TGTGGTGTGAGGAACCGGGAACGAGGGAGCCGGGGAGAAAAAAAGGGAAAAAAAGCCATACCCACAAGTTGTAATAGGACGATGCCTAGGCTACCTACCTTGCCTCGAGGGAACCGGAAGGGAAGGGAAATGGGAAGGGCCGCTATGACCGTCGGAGCCGTCCGACCTCGCAATCTACTCGACCCGACTGCTCCGCACAGATGGTGCATAGGAGTAGTGTAGTATGATGGACAGGAGCTATACCCTAGCAATAAACATACGTAGGTATGTCGTATGCAGTGATGCACCGATCGACAATTAGTGGCAGGGGGGAAGGATCTCATCGCAATAACTACCACCTACGTATGCAGTTCGCAATTATCCAGTCCCCACTACGAGACAACACACGAGGGAAAAGTACGACTCGCCAACCCTAGAAAGTATAAACGCCTGGCGTGCGGAAATCTACCTCGTACCAACTAGCAACGCCTCCTTCACCCCCCTAATGCAGGAGTATTAACACCAAAACACGCTCCATTCCCCCCCTAGGACCCGATAGGATAAGGCGCAGAAGGCATGGAATTCTCATAGAATCAGCCATGGAGGGGATCTGACATCCACGGCGAAAACCTTATGCCTCTAGGGGGGGAGGGAGAAGAGGAAAGATGCACAAAGAAAACATTGTGCGGGAACTGGGCTAGACCGAAATGAAGATAAATCCAAACAAGTCGGGCAAAAAAGAAGAATAATCGACGCAGGGTCGGCGTCGGGCGCGGTTCCTGCGCAAGCCATCAAAGTCTATATACCACTACCAATATCGTAGCAGCACGTATTTGGGGGGTCTTCACTGGGTCGGGGTGAGTTTTCCTCGTCCGCTCTGTCTTCACGGCGTGCGCTAACGTCGATCGAGGCTCTAGTGGATTTTCGTGAGGTTGGGGATTCTTCCTCGGGATCAATTAGATTTAGGGTGCGATGGGGGGGAGTCAGCTGAGTGGCATTTTAGCATTTTATTTTGTTTTGTTTTTCGTTTAAGATTGACAATTGCAGTAATAATGCAGCATAAAATGACGGAGCAAAAGAAACGAAGAAAACAAAATAATAAGCGGGAAATACCTACCTGCGGTGGATACGTGACTTTTTGATAGAAAATAGTGGATACAACGAGGAAACCCGGGGATCATTGCATCCTCAACCATTCCAACCCCGGGGACCAGCAGCGCCAACAGCCAGCAAAAAAGGGTGGTTCGCAACATGGTGGCCACATGTCGAGTTACCTGGTTTTGGACGCCTGCACGTTCCACTAGCAGGGAGGAGGAGAAGGAGGGGGGGAAGAAACCAGGTAACTACCCACCCCCCGACCTACGTTTTTTCTGCGGGAGCGCGGAAGGGTTACAGATCAACTGTTTCGTACAACGTGAAGACCGGACAGATGACTTTGAGCGCACATATACCCTCCATCAGATCTACTAAGTAAGCACTCTCCGCACTTAAGATGAGGGACGAGGAGCATCATACCGGTTCGTGCGCCTTCGTATAACAGGGCCTTCTCATGAAGATTATTTGGAATGCGTCCGGTCTCGCTCTCTTTTTCTCCTGGCCAGTGGCCGGTGGCATTGAGTTTACGGGCCAGTCTGGGCAACACTTCTTAGCTACGAGACTACTTTCTGACCTGACGAAAAGTTCTTTGTCCCAGGCGATCATCACGAACCCGAGGAGAGGGAAAGCCCATGGTCATATTTTATGTATATTGAAAGAAATCTGGGATGTCCAGAAGATATAAAATCGAAAAATAAATAAATAAATCAACTAAAGGGGGGTGAGGGGGGGAATAGCAATCTAGATGGAGGGGGGGAAGGAGGGTGGGGTGGGGAGCAGGTGGCAGAATGTAGGGGAAAAAAAAAAAAAAAAAAAAAAAAAAAAAAAGCCGCAGTCAAACGAGAGCGAAGCAGCAACCGCCGTGATCCCCAAGTAGCTGTCAAGCAATGCACCGATGCAGGGAGCCAAGAGCCAAGAGCCACACTCTCCCCGTCAGGTCAATCTCCGTACCGTGGCGTGTATCATACGGTCATAGATTACGCGCTACCGCAATCCGGACAGCCCATGATCTGCTGGACCAGTCCTAGTGCGCCGCATACTTCAGGCCCGACCCCGCCTGCGCCAATCACCGCGCGGTGGCGTTTTCTGGGTAATTGTCATTTCCATGGGGCTTTCGCCCAACCGACGAGGAATTTATCTGTCAGATGAGAAACTCTAACCAGAGACGGCTCAGGAAAAAGAAATGACATCGATGGCCCTGGAAGTGCAGGAGGCCGCAGGAGTTGGCCTTCGAGGAGGGGAGGAGGGCAGGAGACGGTGCTAAACGAGCATGGAAGTAAGTTGTCATCCAGGCCTATACTTCGTACCTGGTATACTCGGACGGATATGGCCCCTAGGTAGGTACTAGGTACTAGGCACGGTGGGATATCACCGTATCACTAGACCCAAAGTGCTACCTCAGACACCTCCGGAATACCAGGCCAGCGAAGCTAGCCCAGCTAGCTGCGCCGGAGTAAACGAGCGAGCCCGTTTGGCAGCCAAACCATGGCCCCTTCCACCTGCCAGCATCCGAGCCCGGTCTAATCAGAACCGTTTCCACTATTGAGATCGCCGATAATGGCCCCGACGTGCCCCCTCGGACTTTCGGGCTTTACCCAGACCCAACCTAGCGCCTCTACTAGCGATGATCTACTGGGTCGAATGTGGGGAAAAAGACAAGATGGTGATCGTCTCCCTCGTACGGCCTGGGAGAGACGTGGGCCGGAATCCACGGTAGGGAAAAAAGCAAAGTGATGATGGCCGCACGTGTGGGGGAAAAGGCAAAAGGTAAACGACAAGGCTGGTTCCACGGGTGAACTGAGTTATCCGGGCGAACCTTTTCTCTCGCCTAACCGAGCCTCCCAGTGGTGATGCGGACGATCGAGGGAACCACTCTTCGTGTTCCTGATTCCACGGGCGGACAGATGGGACCGAGCTGTCATGAGGGAATGGGGGGAAGGCAAAATGTCCTGCAGACCGTCGGTGAGTCCAGACTGCTCTAGGGACGGGGACAATAGAGATTGAGGGCGGGTGAAGAGGACTGAGTACTATAAAAGTCTATTATTTCGACCAGACTAACGTAGTCGGAGGAGAGTAGATGATGTGACCATTGTATTTTTATTTTATTTTTTGCCTGGCTAATGAGAGACTGCGTACTGCGTAGTAGAAATGCAAATGGCGCATTAATTAAAATCGGAAAGCATCCAAATTAATTTCCAAAATGTAGGTTGGCCTTTAGCTCCCCGCTGGGGATCTCGCGATAATTTCCTCCCTGCTGATAGGCTCCTCCAGAACTAGTGGGCAGTGGTTCGTACGAGGTGCATCAGGACTAGGTAGACGTGCAGTGGAGTTGGGCCTATCTGAAGCTCATCCGCCCAAAAACTCCCCTCTGTAGCAGGCTAAACCGCCTTGGGGCCGGCGTAGATTAAACTAGGGAGATGAATGGTATGAGGATCTGCCCTGCTCCATGTGTGACACGCTTGGCTTGAGCGTTAGACTGTGACACAATTTCACAAATTAATACAGCATTTTGATTATTATTTCCCCTAGCCACTGGGTCCTATTAATAATATTGCGCCAATATACGGAGCACAGGACGTACGGCGGAGGAGTATAGGCGGTTGCCCCAACACGTTCCTAAGGACGAGTTCTAAGAATATACTGCGTACAGACATCCTGACCACTTTTACTACGTCCGTCGTGCCCTACAATGGTTCATGCATCTGGGGAGAGTTTCAGATTCGATCAAAGGGAACCGGTTACTCTCGCATCTTCAGCTTCTTCAAGGGTTACAGGCATTCATTCAGATCTCAATTTGGCACAAAGACGGCAAGGAAGAGGGAGGGAATAGAAACGGCCGGCGTCAAGAAATTCATGCTGAAAGAGGGATAAAAATATCAAGATCGAATTCCATCTCTGGAAGCACTAATGAGGGCACGATAAATCAAATATTCCAGAAAGATGAAAATGAAATATGAAAATAAAATAAGAAAAAATAAAAATCAAAAATGAAAATCAAAAAATCCAATGCCAGAAAATCAAAAAATAAAAAAAAAAAACAAATATTCCCACACCCCCCGAATCAAAAATCGCGTCGCCAGAAAAGAAAAACCTCCTTCCCCCCCAATCAGCGGGCGTCCCAGCGGAGTGGACAAAGACAACGCCATCGCCAACCCCAAGCAGGAATAGGAAAACACCGCCGCCGCCAACAGGGTGGGCTTTTTTGGGCCTGAGTCAGGGTCTCAGCCGCTAGGATTCCATGGATGGACGGCCATCTAGAACGACGGTCTGCAACATCATTCATCGTCTACTCTTAACCCGCCTCCCTTCCCGCCTGCCGTTGTATTTTATCTTATAATGACGCTGCTCGTCGCTGCAGATCCTCGCAGGTAAAACATCCCCTATAGTATCGGACTGACTGACGAACTGGCTTTCCTACCAAGCAAGCTTGGTTCCTTGATTGACTTGCTCGTTTTACTTCCCACTTCACTTCCTTTATCTTTTCCTCTCTGGCTGTGATTGTTGTTCTCTCTCTTCTTTCTTCCCTTCAATCACCCATTTCCCTATCCGAACAAATCAGAAGGCCGATCCTGTCTTGGTGATCTTTTATTGTGGTCTCTTCCTTTCTATTTGGGTTTCATTTGCCTCCTTTTGTCTCTTTCTTTTTGACCACCCGGTTGTGTGGTTTGGGATCTTGCAGACAGCGCCTCATGCACCGTCTCCCCAACCGAGTGGACCAGTACATTTACAATTTCTTCGCTCGCTTCAAGCTTCCCCTCTTTTTCTCCCTTGGGATTGCCGTCTGCATCTTTCTTTGGGTTCTTTCCAAACGCCTCTGCGCAATCAGTTCCCTCTTTCCAGCGCTTAGAAAACGAAAGGAAAAAGAAGAGTTATTGCCAGTGACCCAGGAGGTCATCCCTTGGACCAAAGAAAAATCCGCTATGCTGATGCCCGGCCATCCTCCCTCTCCTCCTCAATCCACAGACGGTGCCACGCCTGAACTTCACGGGAATTCGTGCGGTGTCATTCCCTCCTTGTTCAGCCAAGCCAGTGTTCTTGAATCTGCTGCGCTCCACGGAAACGGTATAGCCAACGAGGCCGCTTACGACAGTGGTTCCCAGCCGGTCATGGTGAGTTAGAGATTCCTTATTCCCCTCCCCAGCCGTCTCTCCTCCGGGATCTCGCAGTTTCTGACCAGCAGCTAGGATTATCATAACTCCCCTTATTCGCACAACATGCCGTTGCATTCGGCTCAGATGATCGCAAATGGCGTCCAGGTGGAAACACCCCCGCCTACCTCAGACGACGACTTCCTCCGCGGTAGTGCGGAGTCAACGCCCTCATCGCAATGGCTCTCGCCTTCGGACCAATCCAAGACTCGCCCAAAGCGGAAGGTCAGCAAGAGCCTTAGATCCCCACGCAGGACCGGTGGGAGACAGAAAAGAATCGACTACGCCGGGATGCCTGGTCCGTTGAGCGAACTGACCAAGCACATGACCCAGGTGCCGATCAAAGACATGGAAGAGTGGGTGCACCGGCCGGTCGAGGTCCGCCAGCAGGAGGCCAAACAGAAAGGCAAGATTGCCCGTCCCATGAACTCGTTCATGCTCTATCGATCCGCCTATTCCGAGCGGGCCCAGAAGTGGTTCGTCCAAAACAACCACCAAGTTGTGTCGAGAATGGCGGGGCAGAGCTGGCGAATGGAATCGCCTGAGGTTCGCAAGAAGTATGAGCTTCTGGCGAGGATCGAGAAGAACAACCATGCCAGAGCCCACCCTGGATACCGCTTCGCCCCCGAAAAAGACAAGAAGAAGCGATCCAGGTCTCTAGAGGCGCGTCGCAGTCCCAAGAGCTCCGAAAGTCCATCGCAGTCTAGCCGCCTGTCGCAGTCCAGTCGCTTGTCGCAGGGCAGTCCATTCTTGAGCCATGCCCGATCCATCAGCTCAGACCAGGGCAGCCGATGGGATAGCCGTGACTCTACCCCGTTTGGGTTCGTCGAGCATGGTTTGCCTGCAGGGGGCTATCTCAGCTCCTCATGGCACTCCAGCAACCCGGGAAGACCAGCCCCCGGCATGATGTCTTCCCCCGGCATGATGTCGTCTCCCGAGCCCGCTCAATTTTTGCAGCAGACTGTTCAGCCCAGTATGATGGGCTCTCACGTGGAAGATGTTCGGTTCAGGAGGGTTGGCTTGCAGGATGTCCATTACACCACATCCACTGCCTTGGCAGGATTGCCAGGTGCAGCTCACCATGAGCTTCTTCAGCCGCAGACGGCTCCCGGGGCCGGTCCCCACGGACAGCTGGATCCCCAGTTGCTGGCATTCCAAGGCGAAGCTCCAAATGGCGGAGGCCATGTTTACAGCAACTCTCATTATTCGATGTGGCCAGAGAACACCGGGGCCAACTCTTACCTTCCTGTCAACGCAACACTTTCTCCCACCTCGGTGGCTAGCCAGGTCCTGCCGGGATACCCGTCAGGGTTGCCAAGTATGATGGATAACCGTGAGACATGGGACCCCAACCAGGAAGGATCCATGGACACCGGTGGGGAGTTTGACAGCTGGATCAACTCTCATCAATCCGGATACTAGGACGAACATCGTATAGTGTGTCCTAAGAAGAGAGTGTTGATATGACGAAGGCGACGAGCCCCGTCGGAGCCATGCATCATGGGGTATATGCCGTCTTTACTGGATTAATTTGGGTTGGCTCTTTGCTTCGTGCGACTTAGGACTGTTTAGATTCCCTCCTTTTGTTTTTGATTCTGTTTTCTCTTCTGCTTTTTCTTCGTTCTCCGCCTGGTTTTATTCCGTCGTTCCTTTCTCTGGGTCTGGCTATTTTTCTTGTCTCGTTCTGGGTGGAAAATCTGCGTGTAACACGGGTTTACTCAAGTGTGGTATTCTGCTTTTGTTGGGGTAGTTATTGTATGGTTGCGTCCGGGTTCTTGATTGGTGATAGATTAGTGTGGGCTTTGCTCGTTATACAGATAGCAAACCATTCAAGGTTTTATAATCTCTCTCTCTATCCCTCTTTCTTGTGGAACTTATGCATCCTGTAGATTAGTCGTGAGGACAAGGGGAAATTCTAGCAAGAGACCACGGGTGAAGTTGTAACAAGGGTGATATATCGAAGGCAGACCCTGATGAAGGTATTCTGATGACAATCAAGGTGTCTTTGCCGTTTCATAAAAGCAATGGGACACCGATAGTCCGATATTGAAAGAGCAGTACTCCGTTACACCTCACTTGCCCGACAGGTGTGAGAGTGTATAGTTGTCTTGCGCTATCTTGAATGGTTGATGGTCGTGAGAAGGCTTGGCGCGCTCCATCACGTGGAGTCCGGAGCGGCGGGGATCGCGTATCGCTGGAGATTCTCTTGGAGATTCTCTTGGAGATTCCTCATGTCTATTTCCCTCACCTCTTCGCACGACAACCCGAATTTCAATTTGCTTTTAAGCGCATAGATAGAAGCTCTCGGCTCACATATCCCTCCATCTCAGACAATCACCTTGGGATCCTCCAGCAAATAATCCGATCATTAGCAAGGCCCATCTGGCTCCCTCCAATGTACGGCGAACTCGGAAATAAGTTGGTACGTTTCAGTCATAAAGACTCGCGTTTCTCCTCTGCATGTCCGAATGATCCTGACTCCGCTCCCTCCAGGTCCAACATGCCAAACGGACCCAATCGCTCGTTCACCTCCCGCCCTACCAGACCGAAATGGTGCGGGCCGTCGCCCGCGAAGTACGCGACCTAGACCGCGACGTTGCTCGTCTTCTCGCGCCCTTCGAAGGAAGCTTCAACCCCTCCTCTCAGCCCGACATTGCATGCGCTCTCCTCGTCGACCACCTCTGCACGCGTCGCAACAAGCGATGTCTCCTCGCCTACCATCGCGTGCGGACCGAGAAACTCGAAGAACTGTGCTGGACGGGCATCGACGTGCTAGAACAGCAGCAGCCGGCGGAGGAGAGCCAGGGAGCACCGTCGGGGCCTATGAATACGCAGGCGGGGAACCATAGCTCGTTGAGTCCCGAGGAAGAAGAATATTTCCGGCAGTATAGTGATATGCTGGCTGCGTACAAGGGACAGTGGACGGAGATCGATCTGACGGGGAGTTTGGAACCTCCGAAGGATTTGTTCATTGATGTGAGGGTGTTGAAAGATGCCGGGGAGATCCAGACGGAATACGGGTATGTCATTCTGGATTATTTTCTTTACTTTCTTGTTGGAGTTCCGCCTCCTCACTCTGTTCTGATTCGATGCTGCCCAAAGAGACCTCTTATGGCTAACATTCTACTAGGGTTATCAACCTGACGAAAAACAGCCAGTTGTATGTGCGACAGGGCGACGTGGAAAGGTTAATTGCACAGGGATTTTTGGAGCGATTAAGTTGAACGATCTTGCGGGATTTTTGGGGGGTGATTTATTTGAGTTTTGTGATACCCAACCAGTTTGTATATGCGTCCAGTACGGAGTAGACCATCAAATGATAGATCTTGGTGGAATAGTCAACATCCGGATTCACTTTGACTAAGAAAAAAGACACACAGCTGCATGATCGGCGCTGCATCCAGAAACAGCCTAATGCCTGCATTAGCTTCTGACCTAAGACGCGGCAAAAGCAAGCAAATATCCGTGATATGAGGCTATTGGCACCAGCCTATCATGGCGAATGGCCTCATGCGGAGGCGAATTCTCCACTCGCCGCCCATCGGAGATCTTCTGCGCAGAAAATTTTTTATTACTTTTTTTCATAACCCATAGCCCAGAGCACAAGGACGATTGATAGCAGTCGCCCCCAAGCACAGCGTAGAGTCCGGGCCAGACCAGGCGACTAAGGCGAGGCGGTGGAGCGGCGATAAATCCGTGATAAGACTTTTTTAGTCACCCGATAACAAGTCCTTGCTTTAGCTTAGCTTAGCTCTCGCCCACCTCGTCCTCCTCTTTCTCCAACGACTCCCTCATTCTCATCGAGAGCCTTCTTTTCTATTCTGGTCGCCGTTGCCCGCTTCCTTTCGTCAATCGTCCCGTTAGCATAGCGATGCCAATTGTTCCTGGTTCTCTGCCCGGCACTTGCGTCATCTGCCATCATTTCTTCTCCGCATCCAACCGTTGTGCTCAAGTTTAAGCCACCAGGTCAAGTTTCTTGCGGGGTCGTTGCGTGATCCTGCACTCATATTACCCAACGGTCTGGGTGCTGGCCTGTCCGGCGTGATCCACGATGGGAGTCTTTCGATCGCGAGGTCGCAGTGATTCATGCGCCTCTCGGCTGTCTCCACGCCGCTCCTCGCTCTCCAACAGCGTGGGTCGAGAAGCGATTGATATCCCCGTTGAACAGGCAAACGGTGGCAGCCCTCCTCGAACGGGCATTGAACCCTCGGGGTCTGGCGGAGGCAGCTACAGGACCCCGAGTCGCTCCTTTTACCACCGGTCCTTTAACCATACCCAAGGTGCGATATGTTAACGCTCGAGCTTCAACAAAGACGTAGTCGGATCGCTAACACGCAGGCTTAGATCCGGCTCACTACTCATCTCATGGCCTCCGAGAGCAAACGGCCGAGCTGGCATCCTTTGCATTGTCGATTAATGGAAACTCCTTTCCGCAGGAACGAAGCACTCTCCCTCCGTCTTTGGACATTTTTCAATCCCCCCAGGCTACCACTTCTTCTGCACCTTCTTCTTCGTCGCCTACTGATACTGTAGTTCCTGAAATGCCGGCTCCTCTAGACATCACATCGGCTCCCAGTCCTGCCTTGGGATCCTCGGTATTGACTGAGCTGATCCGGAGTCCTTCCGACTACCCCGAAAATGACCGAATCCATCGAGACAGCGGCGGATCAGGGGATGGCGTTGATGAGAATGGGGTCTCCAGAGAAGCGCCTGCTTTCGCGACTGACGTACGCGAGGCTCCTGTCAGCGAGCGAACTTCTTTGCTCCCCGGGTCCTCGCAGTCAAAACCCTTTCGTAGCTACGGCATTGCCGAAGACGTTGAGAGACAGGATGCGGCAGTCAAGCAGAGATCCGATGCTTTTCATAAAGCCCTTTCGAATGCGACTTTTACTTTGCGGATGTTGAAAAATCCAAAGTCCTGGGATAGGCGGACAATATGGCAAAGAGGAATCGCTGAACCGGTTAGCCTTCTTCCGTCCGTCTTCCTCGGTCTCTTGCTCAACATTCTCGATGCTCTCTCGTACGGAATGATCTTGTTCCCGTTGGGAGAGCCTATCTTCTCCGAGCTGGGATCGGATGGAATCTCAATGTTCTACGTCAGTACCATCATCTCCCAATTGGTCTTCTCTTGCGGAGGCTCCATCTTCCGCGGTGGAATAGGTAGTGAGATGATAGAAGTCGTCCCCTTCTTTCATCAAATGGCCTTCACCATTCTAGCGCGCGTTGGTCCGGACAACCCAAAGTCGGTTCTGGCTACCTGTATCTTGGCCTTCTCTGTCAGTTCGGTCCTGACAGGGTTGGTGTTCTTCTTGATGGGCACTTGTGGGCTGGGGTCTCTGATCGGGTTCTTCCCCAGACACATCCTGATCGGCTGCATCGGCGGTGTGGGCTTCTTCCTCATGCAGACCGGCGTGGAGGTATCGGCTCGACTGCCAGGGTCTCTTGAGTATACGCTTCCTACTTTGCAGAAGCTCTTCCAGTTGGATACTGTGTTTCTTTGGATGATACCCGTTTTGCTTGCGGTTGGTCTTCTTGTTTTGAAGCGTTTTGTTCGTTCGAATTTCTTGGTTGGTGGTTATTTCATTGGCGTTGCTATCATCTTCTACATTGTCAAACTGGGCGCCCGGTTATCTATGGATACCTTGCGCAACAGCGGGTGGGTATTCGATGCTCCTTCATCTTCCAATCCTTGGTGGCATTTCTACACGCTTTATGGTAAGTCGTCTTGGGCCGATTTGACAACATCCAATTTCTGACTCTTGCAGATTTTGCCGCCGTGGATTGGACCGCGTTTTTGGATACTATTCCTGCCATGTTTGCCCTCACATTCTTCGGGGTTCTTCATGTTCCTATTAACGTTCCGGCTCTGGGGATATCCACAGGCGAGGATAACTTGAACGTGGACCGTGAGCTCATGGCTCACGGAGTGACCAATGCCTTATCGGGCTTTGCAGGCAGCATACAGGTAGGCTTCACAGTTGTTTCTCGCAGTCTGTGGCTGAATATCCGCTAACCCGATGTTCTAGAATTACCTTGTATACACTAATAGTCTGCTGTTTATTGACAGCGGAGGTAATAATCGCCTGGCGGGAATCATGCTTGCAGCTGCTACCGGGGGCATCCTTCTCATCGGTCCAGTGATCGTCGGATTCATCCCTGTGATGGTCGTGGGGGCTCTCATTTTTATGCTGGGAATCGAGCTGATGCAGGAGGCTTTGGTTGACACTTGGGGCAAGTTGCATCGCCACGAATACGTGACGGTAAGTGGTGCTTGATGATTCCTCATAGGTCCGCCGGCTAACTTGAGGAGGTTGTCATCATTGTCGTAACGATGGGTGCTTGGGATTTCGTCGTCGGTATCTTCATTGGTATCATTTTAGCATGTATGAGCTTTGTTGTTCAAACATCGCGCAAATCGGCCATCCGAGCCACGTTTTCGGGCAAGATTACGGGTTCCACGGTCAGGAGACCTCCTATTCAACAGCGGTTCCTGAGAGAGGCGGGCCAGCAGACTCTCATGACCAAGCTTGGCGGCTATCTATTCTTCGGAACCATCGTCAATGTCGAGAATACCATGCGCGGCCTCATTGAAGAGGAGTCATTCAACCGACGTCCGATTCGGTTCCTGATTCTTGATTTCACTCGGGTGTACGGCATGGATTTCTCAGCGGCCGAAGCCTTTACCCGCATCAACCGGGTGCTCCAAAAACGAAACGTGCAGATAATTATTTCGGGGCTTGATGTACAGGGCGACGTTGGTCGCAGCCTTCAGAATGTTGAGCTCTTCGCGCCTGAGAACGGCGTAGAGATCTTTGAAGATCTCAATTCGGCTCTAGAATTCTGCGAGAATGACTATCTGAAAGTGTTTTACAGCCACCGCGAAGCTTTACTGAAGAAGAAAGATGCCTCACCGGCCTTTCTGGAGGTCCCTGCGCCACATGGCACCCCTCAGATGCACGACGTTATCGTGAGCTCTCCCCGTCATCGGTACCTGCAGCAGGCTGCTACCACGACCCTCCGCGAAGACGAGACGGCAGTGATGGTTCCGGCGGCATGGTCGGCGATGCGACAGCCTCTTCCTCTTCTCTTGCAGACGTTCCAAGGGCTGAGCCTGCGGAACGAGGACTTTTGGTTCTCGGCCTGCACGTATTTTGCCCGCGAATGCTACAGCGCGGGTACCGTCCTGTTTGAAGAAGGCGACGTACCTCAGGCATTCTATCTCTTGGAGTCAGGCATGTTACGCGCCGAGTATGAATTGCCACAGGGGCGGTATTTCGAGCTCATCGTGGCGGGACGACCCTGCGGCGAGCTGCCATTCTTCAGCGAGACCCGACGGACGGCGACCGTCAAGGCCGAGCAAGACTGCGTGGCGTGGTGTCTGAGTGCAGAGAAATGGCAGGCCTTGCGGGAGGCCGAACCGGAGGTTGCGCGGGAGCTCCTGACGGTCAGTCTGAAGTTGACCACGGAGCGCATGGACAGCATTACCTCGTGAGTGTGAACGGAATCCTTTGATCAACCGGAGTCGGCGCTAACTATCTCCACCAGTTATGTTCTTACGACGGCGGCATGAATGATTTGCATGGGATGAGTCTTTTTGGGGGGTCTTCATTGCATAATAATTGAACTCGATTTGGCGATCGTTTGAGCGTTTGGTTACTGCGATTATGTACATGCTATTCTTGGGTGGGATTAGGTCTTGGACTACCAGCATGGCGCGATATATAGGGAAGACAGCCGAGCCGCAGTCATTCGGGCTCATGCACGATGATGCCATTTCTGGCGGGAATGGCCGTGGCGCGCAGAGGAGAAATCCGTCAGGTGGTCGCATGCGGGGAGGATCTGATTGATCAATTTACGGAGGCGACCGAGCTGATCGGGCATATGATACGGCGCATTCTCGCAGGTATACTCCGTACAGAATAATGGGCCGTTGGAGGTCCACATCGTGGGTGTCAGCCGAAAAAGCAAAAATAAAAATAAAAATCAATGTAAAAATCAAAATGTGATACCCGAGTTTTGTCGTTGACCTCCCTGGGCATTTTTCTTCAGGCATCGTACGGTTACTAGGCCGGCTATACCCTATTCCTCCCGGGATGCTACAGACCATCCGTTCATGACTTCAGACCCGACACTCGCTTAGCGCCGGGGCCAGCCAAACCGGTCAGCATGGCGCCATCTGCGATCTGGATATGGACATCGAGATACGGAGTATGATACTATGACAAGGACCGGAATATCTACGGGAAGTCAACTCTTTTTTTTTTTCCCTTTTTTGTTACAGTTGGCTTCCTCTCACAATCGGCCCCCCGTGCTCCGAAGCGACTCGAACAGACGCATCCACGATGAAACAGGCGGCGCGCATCCCAATCAAGAGGCAGGATAACGCCGACACGGGCCAAGCCAGCGATCATCAGATGGGCGGGATCGACGGTGGTCTGATTGGCCATCGAGTCGGGAGGTCTCGAAACGGTCCATGAAAAAGGGGGAGTGGATCGCCGTGTGCTTAGTTTCCTTAGTTTCGCTGCTCTTCATCATCTTCCCTTCCGGCCTAATCTACGGAGAGTGGCAGAGTCCCGGTTTATATCTTATTGTTATGATCTCCTGCGTCGAGGGAAGCCTGCTTATTTCCAATTCATCTATCTCAGACTGACCTTCATCTCATTCTCCTCCGCCCCCCTGATAAAACCGAGAGGCTGCGATGGTCAGGAAAGCAAGTACGAGATAGGGCTGCCGCACAATAGCGCAGTCCAAGTGGGGCCCTGCACGCATCCACCACGGCGCTACAACCTGCTAGCTATCGAGTAGTCGATTTTTTTTTTTTCTCTCTTGCCCAGGAATCGTTCTTGTTCTGGTTTCTACGATGTACGTAACCGAGCCCAGGGAAATAATCTGCTAATTTAGTTCTACCAAAGATAGAAGGGGTGTTCAAACGAGAACACCGTGAAAGTGAGACTAGGACAGGAAACACAAAAAACTAGAATCTTCCATCTCGATCTCCTCCGTACTCCGTAGGAAGTTAAAGCGCCAGGTGGGAAGAGCAACGAACCTCTGACCTCATGGACGTCAACCAAATTTAGACGGACGGTGGATGGTGGATGGTGGAATACAATACAAGCGTCCCTTGCCGAAATCCCTCCAACGTTCATCGACAGCCAGTCAAACCGCGGAGAAATGTACACGAAAGTCTGACTCTGACAGGGAAAAAAAAATAAAATGAAATAAAATACTTCCTGCCGATGAATGACATCGAAATGGAGGGGTACGCGCCCAGCTGGTTGGCCCCGGCGTCCGAGTCACGGGGCCTGCCGTGCTTTAGGCCCGTCCACGCGACTGCGACTGCGACTGGTCTGCACATCTTTCGCTGAATGAAGTCGGGTTCGGGATTCGGGTCGCCGTCGTGGTTGGATGCTGCTCGTTAGTCCAGCTGGTAAGGTTTGCGCAGGAATGAAAGTAAATCCGGATTATCTGCCTATCAGCGATGGGGGATTCAATTATTCCGTGAGAGGTTTTTTTCCTGTTGTTGTATTTTTTTCCCTACGGGATAGTAACTTTTCTGGGAGAGTAGGTTGTTTCTGGTTTTTTGGCTTTGGTTGTGGTTGGCCTCCGTGGTAGGAGCGCCTACGTGCATGGTGAAGATTAGGCGCAGTTGGGACTGGAGGATTCTGGGTCGAGGACCAAGGCTAAAGTAGAACACGGGATTTTTTTAGTGAAGTTACTGGCCTGCCCGTTACTTGGGAGGGAAGGGGGGCGAGAATCGAGATCATTGGGTGGGGCCAGGGTCAGGGTTGGGTTGGTGACCTCAGTGGTTGTTTTTTTTTTTTTTTCTGTCGCCGTACGATATGGTTTTGAGTACACGAAGTACGCAGTAAGGTACATCCAGACAGACAGACAGCAGTAATAACTATAAGACCGAGAGATATACTCCGTATTCTGTCGCCCTCCTGATCTCGAGCCTCTTGGCCGGTCATCAATTCATAGTTCCTACGGAGTACGGAGGATTAGGAGAAAAAAAAAAAAAACGGAGCCATGCAGACCATATTATGACTCAATCATCGCGGGTTTGAAATCTTCTGGTTCAATTCCTTACCCACCGGGATGATCTGAAAAGGGGACCATGGTTCCAACCCGAATGGGTGGCTGGACGTCCCACCGCGGTGAGCAGGACCAGGTGACATGATCCAAACATCGGTCGTGTTGTTTTGGTTTGGGTTTTTGTTTTGCTGCTCATGAGACATGACGATATCGATGTTATTGACGACCCCGTATGCTGGCAACCACGGAGCCAGGCGACGTTAATTTGAATCTTAAATCCGCAATCTATTCCAGACACATCGACTTCCAGATGTCAGGCAGAAATTTTCATGATCATCAAACTTCGGAGCTGAAATTTTTCGGGAAGGAGAGGGGGGCTAGAGCCGTTAGTTAGCTAATCTGCACGACCGGTAGCAGGAGAACTGCTGCTAGCTGTCATAGTGTCCCGACTCCTTTTTATAGGGGGGTTTATTTATTTTTTTTTATGCCTATCCTCATTTTTTCTTTGAAAAAAATAAAAAAGAAAATAAAAGAAAATTGTCCTTTAATTTATTTGTCTTTTTAGTCTAATTTGGTGCAAATTTCTTTTCGTATTCTAAGCCCGTTCAGGTAAATTGACCAGGGAAAAGGAAAAATCTGCACAATAATGGGCGGTTTCAAGTTCGCATCGGATGGGGGATTCCATTCGCCGGGGCTGTTGATTGAGCCAAGGGGGCGTAAGAAAAATGACAGACTCCCACGGAGGTAGGACACCATCAGTTCTCTCCGTACTGCAGACAGCTTGGACTCCGTGGTAACCTGCACCAGCACCAGCAGGAGACCACCTGATACTGGATGGGGCCACCCCTTATTCTACGGAGTAGGGAAAGGAAAAAGGAAAAAGGAAAAAGACCCAGAAAAATAAAGGTACCTTGGGACCAGACGGACCCACCCCTCTTTCTGTCTAGGCTGGCCGCCCTGCAGCTCCTTTCCTTTCTGGGCGCCGCTGCTGTCCACACCCTTGTCTTGCGTCCGGATTATTCTGGTTTTTTGGGGGGAGGGTTATGTGATTTTCGTTGCTGTTTTCCCTCCTTTCGCCCCTGCTCCTTCTTGCTCGCTGCGTTTTTCTTTTTCCCTTTTCCCTCTTTTCTTCGCTTCCTTTCCTTCTTCTTCCTTCTCTCTTCTCTCTCCATTCCATTCCATACCACCACCTTGGTTCGTTTCTTTTTCCCTTCTCACTCCCTCCCAACCCTTTTACCTTTCGTTGTGATACCCGAGCTCTTCTGGCCTGTCGTGCTTAGAAAGCTCTTGTTTCTTGTTGAGATACCCCCCCTTTCAGAGATACCCTGCTCGACCTTAACGCCTTTTTTTACGAAGCTTCGCCAGCTTCCCTATTATCATCTATTTTAATCAACCCATTATTATAATTACTACCTAATCACCATGTCTGACGTCCAGAAGCCTGTCGAGGAGACGCCTGCCGCTGCTCCTGCTGCTGCTCCTGCCACCGAAGCGCCCGCTGCCACCGAGGCTCCCGCGACGGAGGCTCCTGCTACTGAGGCCCCCAAGGAGGCTGCCGCTGAGAACACCGAGGCTGCCCCCGCCGCCGCCGCTGAGGACAAGAAGGAGGATGCTCCCGCTGAGCAGCCCAAGGAGGAGGCTAAGAAGGAGGAGGTGACCCCTGCGTCCGAGGGCGTGCTCGGCCACAAGGCCCCTGGTCTCGTCAAGTAAGCGCATTCGGATGATCAGAGTATTGTGAGGGTCAAAGGCCGCTGACATGACGGTTGTTTTTTCTAGGGGTCTGCGCTTCTCCAAGCGGTTCTTCTACTTCAGCGAGGAGGCCGTCGAGGCCAAGAACCTGTCCGTCTTCCACCAGAACGAGAAGCCTGCCGTTGCCAACCCCATCGCCGCCTGGGCTAGCCAGACCGGCAAGGGCCTGCTCTTCTTCACCAAGCGCGCGGAGGACAAGGCCATCCCCGCTGGTATCTTCAACTTGGTTCGTTCTTCGTCGCGCGCGCAAGGGGCTATGACAACGTGCTAACAGTCTGCAGGCCGATGTCTCCGACGTCACCAAGGAGGGTAGCAACGAGTTCCTGTTCAAGGTCAACGGACACAAGCACACTTTCCAGGCCTCCAGCACCAACGAGCGTGACAGCTGGATCGCCGCTCTTGAGGCCAAGACCGCCGAGGCTAAGGCTGAGAAGGAGACCATCACTTCCAGCGAGGGCTACAAGGCTGAGCTTGAGAAGCTGAGTAAGTTTGATACCTGAGCTGGCAGACAAGGTGGATGTATGCTAATAACTACCACAGCCAAGCCTGCCGCTGCCGCTGCCGCCGCTAAGCCCGCCGACAAGCCCGCTGAGGCTAAGGAGGAGCCTAAGGAGGAGGCTAAGAAGGAGGAGGCCGCTCCCGCTGAGGAGAACAAGGACAAGGCCACCGCCAAGAGCCGTTCCCAGTCTCGCAAGAGGACCAGCCTGTTCGGAACTCTCCTCGGAAAGAAGGAGGAGGGTGAGGAGAAGAAGGAAGAAAAGAAGGAGGAGAAGGCTGAGGAGGCTAAGCCCGCCGAGGCCTCCACCGAGGCTCCCGCTGAGGCTGCTGCTCCTGCCGAGACTTCTGAGGGTAGGTTGAATCTTGAAATCTCGCCAGGACAACAAGAATGCTAACTGGTTTGTGTAGCTGCTCCTGCTCCTGCTGCTGAGGCCGAGGCTGCTGCCGCCCCCGCCGAGGCTGCCGAGAAGAAGGAGGACAAGGAAGACAAGAAGGAAGACAAGGAGGAGAAGAAGGAAGAGAAGAAGGACGAGAAGAAGGCCGAGAAGTCGAAGCGCTCCTCCATCTTCGGCAACTTCTTCCAGAAGGTCACCAGCCCCTCTCACGAGAAGTCGGAGAAGGAGGCCACCTCTCCTGCCGAGACTCCTGCTGTCGCCAGCACTGCTCCTCAGCTCGACAACCCCGTCGAGGAGGCTGCCGTGAAGCCCATCGAGCCCGAGAGCGTCACCGCCCCTGCTGAGGGTGAGGCCGCCAAGGAGACCGCTCCCGCCCAGTCCCCTGCCGCGGAGACCCCCAAGGACAAGCGTCGCACCTCTTTCTTCGGTAACTTCGGTAAGAAGAAGGGTGACTCCGACAACGAGGGTACCGACGGCGAGTCCAAGCCCAAGGGCAACAAGCTCGGAGGTCTCTTCCGCAAGCCCAGCAAGGCCGTGAAGTCCGAGACCCCCAAGGAGGCCACCGCCACCGAGACCGAGACCAAGGCCGAGACTGCCGCCCCCAAGCAGGAGACCGTCGAGGAATCCCCCGCCGAGGAGAGCGCCCAGCCCGCTGAGACCCCTGCCACCGAGGAGTCCAAGCCCGTGAACGTTTCTTCCACCGCTGCTCCCGTTCAGGCGGCCGCTTGAAATCCCACCGAGCGGGTCGTTGAGTATGAGCGATGGTGGGCTTAATTTATCTGTGCCATCGTCCTCTGCTTAGATCGTCACTTGGTTGGCGATCGAAATATGAAATCAAAAATCAAAAGAAAAAAAGGATCATGCGTCATACTTGTTGATCTATTTGCTTTGCACTGTCGCTTCTTTGGTATCCTTGTCGCAAGGGGTCTGCCGGAGAGTGTCACTGATACCCTGTTTGCTTTGGCGGTCATTTCCCGGCCTGGTGTCTCGGCATCAGACCGAATTTCATTCCTTTTATGATATCCGTTCGCGCAAGGCCGGCCTGGGTCGGTCTTGCGTGATCATGCTGTGCGCCGTCCAAACTAGATTGATACCACTTGTTTTTTGTTTTGATTTATACTGCGTTTACGTTTGCTTCGCCTTCTGATGCTTCAGTGTTCTCCTTTTTTGATACCCTGCTGTGGGAGGAAGGGTGATGGGGTATGGAACCCTGGTACTTCATGTTGGATCCTCCCAGCACTCGGATTGACCGGATTATCGACTTCGGCGCGGTATGCTTGCGTGGTCTTGGTGTGTCTAGCATGCCGATGGTACCATAGTTTCATACCCTTGTTTTTTTCGCATCATAGGTAATACTTAATAGAATTGATTCTTCATGCATGGATTGTTTCACCCCTCGTCAATTGTATTGGCTGCGATGTGATCTGCATCTCCACCCCGACCCATGTGGATGCGGTGTGGATGGACGTCAATAATAATAGAGCATGGCATGCATATGGCACACGGGCTATGGAGTGCCTACTTGCCTAGCCATTGCCACGTAGGTCACTAGGTATACCTTATTCTTAGTCCGCGTTCGAATCGGCTTCGGTTCAATATTATTGTAGTCTACGGAGTACCGAAATAGGATTTCCGGTCTGGTGCCTTAGGCATAAATCCATCCGTCCCGCAGTCACTTGGGACTATCGCAAAAAGTATATTGAATGGAATCATTCAGCTCAACTATCGAACAATCAATTCCATTATTCGCCATACTTTTTACCCAAGAGGCTTCGTTGCGGGGTATGTTAGGTCGTTAAGTGCATATCGTTGAAAGATCAGATGACCCGGGTTTTCAATTATATATCGAACATCAATTGGAAGAGGACCTTAGGCCTAACACATGCAATAACAATATACAATACACTGTCCGATCACACGCCGAGAAACGCACCAGTCGAAACAGACGAGAATCAAGGAACACTTGGCACGGGTCGTCTACATAGCTTAGAAATCCCCTATCGCGAGGCTCTCGACCGTTATTATTAATGCCGACTGGCAGTAGTCGACGGGAAGACGTCATCGACTGCGACACGTCGCGAGGGTGAGACTGCGAGATCACCCTCTGCAATCATGGGATCATACGAGGCTACTGGATGTGGCTAGGGTGTCGAAATGGATCGCGTCTTGGCTTCGAGCTTGGACCCGGCTGGTAGGAAAAATCTCGACGCCGGAGGAATCTGAGGACTACTCTGTATACGACTACGTACTTCGGAGCGAGGGCCATTCTCCGGGCCACCCTAGGAAGGACTCCCGGAGTGTCTGTCGGGCGCAACCTCGACGGGAAAACCCGAGAAATGCGCCCCGTCACATGGACGGCGGTTCGACATTCCTGAGGCCAGAAATTAAGTCGGAACGGGCGCACATTCACGGGGGGGATTGGCAGTCCGGATTGGAGTTTGGACACGAATGAATCCGGATTTGAGGTGGCATGCGAATTCCAACGGGATAGCAAAATTGAGATTTCCCACGATCAACCTAGATCAACTGCATTATTAATGACGACCGGCCCGGCGCTGGTGAACACGAGGGAGCGATGGAGAGACTAGACTGGACTATCAGCGTGTGAATGGAAATTTCTCTCAATGCTAAACCTTGGTTCGGCGGACTAAGGTTGGACGGCGGGCTTTTAGGCGAGGGGGCCAGCGTCCGTGGTTGGTTTCATTTGCGTGTCGTATTTCTTTTCCACCCGCGAGAAAAATTCTGCTTACTCTCCAATTCTCCATAGTTGGTCTCCATAGATAGGAGTGTCTCCGGAGGGCGCAGGTCAGGCTGGGATTGATAATGGGAATTAGTGATGGGTGAAGTCGCAGGTCTTTTCATTCGAGGAGGACAGCACTGGGAAGGGACGCGATTTAATATACTCCGGACTCCACGACATTATCAGGATCGACGAGTCATACTCGGATGTCAAGTTGCGAAGTGCTGAGGAGGGGGTTAGGGCTGTTTGTCATCCGCAGGACGGATTGAGAGGATTATGGCGCAGACTTCGGATGCGCATGTCGATCAGTTGGACTGCAGCCATACGTAGACTCGGAGGATGCCGTCCTGCGCACTCCGTCCGCAGCGAGGAATTGTCGTGGTGTCTCACATTCCCGGTCGCTTTCTTATTGGAATTGTGTTGATCCAGCCAGACGGAGTATCTTGTCGAGTGCGTAATGGCAAGCTGCGATGGAGCAGATCCAAGGCAGCGGCAGAACGCAAGGACGGATGGCACGGAATCCCCTTGCCCGAACGGGTTTGAAGCCGCGCCCTTCGACGACGCCAACGCGCTTAGTCATGCGCCCACTTGCGGCTCCTCCATGCGCTTCCCCGACCCAAAACAGACCCCGACAGAGGCTGTGCGAAATGCGGCGGGTTGATGCCTAGTAGACCTCTTCTATTATTGGGCAATGGCGAACGGCAGGTTTCATCCTGTTCGCTTGACGCGGTGGAGTTCCAGGCGGACGTCTGCGCAAGTGCTGCGGCGGACGCAGCCAGGCTCCCAGGCACGGCAATGCCTGGGGCACGACGGGGCGATCGAGCCAATCCGCAGGAGCCGCTGCTTTATGACTCACACCTGCTGACCGCGTTCACCCTGCGCCTTGCCCTCTTCCGGTTAGCCCGTCAGGCGGAGAGCCCCCCCGCCCTGATTGGCTGCCGCCGCCGTCGAGGGCGCACACTGCGGCGTTTAAGAAGTGCCTGATTCCCCGTCGCTGCCTGGCGCTTTTCTTTTCCCTTTTCCCCTGTTCTTTGTCTACCATCTTTATCCTCTCTCATCACTCACCCTTTCACCTGGACTCCCCTCATCCGTCACCATACACTCTCAGACTGACTACGACCTTGCCCTCCACCATTTCCTGCAAAATGGCCTTCTAAATCCGTCTTCCGGAAAGAGCCCGTCTTTCTCATCTGAGACAGACACCATAGATCCATCACGGACCTCGTCTTCTATTTTCTCCCCTCTTCACCCCCCTTCAGAGTCTCCTGTCCCAGGACCTCTGAACTTCAGCAGCGCATCGCGTAGCTCAAGTTCCCCGAACACGATTTCTTCGTTCGACGTCACGTCGTTCAACACGGATAACCACCAGCAATCATGGCTTCCAACACCCCCGCCCCCACAGCCTTTGGCTCAGATTCCGAATTCCAACAACAACAACAGCAGCAGCAACAGCAACAGCTCCCCACAGGAGGACTTCGTTCTGTATCCCCCCTGTCCCCAGCCTCGACCCAGGGACTCGTCTTCAGTACCCTCGAGTACAACCCCTAGATTAGCTGCCTACCATCCATTTCTGGTTCGTTCCGGGCACCTTCCTCGACGACAATCTTCCACTTTGCAGCCGCAGCCGCAGCAGTATCAACACCAGCCGCAGCAGCAGCCCCGCCAATTTGCTAGTTCGCCAGTTCAGGTTCCTCGTGTGGCCAGACTTGCCTCGCAGTCTACCGGGTTCCCTCAGTCTTTGTCTCATCGGTCTAGTCCCTCCAATCGGAAGCACCTCTTGCGTGTTCACGCCGCGTCCGTGGCTTCGAATTCTGCGCCGAATTCCGCCCCTTTGAATCGCCCGCCCGTCCCTTTGTTCCACAGCCCATCCCATCTTTCCTATTATCAGAAACAGCACTCTCAACCGACCTATCATCGTCGCATGATGTCTACGCCCAACATGGCTCAGGGTAAGCCCGCCCCGTTCTGGATATCGCGTGGTTCTTTGTTAACCCACTCTCTAGATCTGCCCGATCTCTTTGATTTCTCAACCGACCAATTCGGGGCCGACTTCGAGCTCTCCATGCTCTCGCCCCAGCAGATTCCTACCGGCATCATGGCGCCCAAGGAGCCCATGGGAGATGCCCCTACGGGGACCATCTCGCCGAAGGATTTGCTCATGGATGCTTCGGCACCCCCGTCCACTTCTTTCACCGACCTTAGCACGCCCTCGTTCGAGTCGCCAGGATACTTCAGCCAAGACACTTCTCCCATGTTCGCCACGGACATGGAGCTGGCTCCTGGACATGAGGAGTGGGACTCTCTCTTCCCCACTCAGGATTCCTTCCCTTCGCTGCCCTTCGACTCGGTCACTCTGGACGCCGCTACCGCTGTCCTTTCCAAACCTCAGGAAGAGGTGCCTATGCCTTCCCCGAAGGCTAGGTCGCCTTCCATTGCTCCCTCTCCTTCTTCTCGCTCAGCAACCAAGCCCTCCTCTGTTGCTGGCGTGAATCCTCGCTCGCGCAAGGCTTTGGCGCCCATCAAGTTCGACTCTGCCGACCCCGTCGCCATGAAGCGAGCTCGTAATACCGAGGCTGCCCGAAAGTCTCGTGCCCGCAAGTTGGAGCGACAAGATGACATGGAGCGTCGCATTGCTCAGTTGGAAAAGTCTCTCGAGGAGGCTGAGCAGCGCGAGCAGTACTGGAAGGCTCTGGCTCAAGCCCAGAACAACGCTTGAGTTGAAAGAAGAAAAACGAAAACCTAAAAAAAAAAAAAAAAACCTCAGCAAAAAAAAGTCGGTTTTGATTTCGCCTTGTGATAGCGTTGTGTAACCTGCTGTTTCTATTTTTGGTTCCCCATGGGATTGGTTCTGTGGTGGGCGGGGGCTTGGATGCCTCTCGTCAACCTCCCATCGTCAGCAGTAGCAGTTGGGATCCGGCAATCGGGTCACTGATGGTGGCGCTGCTGACTGGGTAAAAAAGTTTTCCTTTTGTCTGATCCCGATCGTCGGGTCACTGTCTTGCTAGTTCTACTTTTCTTATCGCCGCCCTGTTCACGATGGGTGCTGGTGTTTTCTTATTATGTGTTTATCAATTGGCCGGTTCTGATGTCTCCTCGCGCAGGATTGACTCGTGGCCTTGAATTGTATTTCTTTCTTTTCCTTGGCTGGTTAATAATGGGTCAGTTATATCGTTATGTTTAATCATGTACTCCCAGATTGCTGAATATCATTATCATATTCTTTGCCAAATATTTTTCACCATCGTATTAATCAATAAAGATGCTAGATCGTTGCTCTCTGTTGAACTTGGGAGGAGTTGTTAGATCAGATTGGTCAAGATGCGATTATCAGATAACAATCAGTGGTCACCTGAATGGCTGAGTCAGCCGCCTGCCCCCCTCTGCGAGCCCGCACACTAAACCGCGTTGGGAAGGAGGAGGGCATACGTCACCTCCGGAGTAGGCAAAAGTGGCACTGATCAGTCCACAATCACATTCTGCGGCAACAAGGAACCGCTTGGGCTTTTACTGCGCTCCTTTTCTCCCGTCACTGCGTTTCTCTTTTGCGTTTCCCCTTTTACCTCCCCCCTACCCAGCAGTATCTCAGCTCAATAGCTTCAGAGGTTCATATTCCCTCTCATCTTCGCGGCCATCCATCATGCGACACAATACGTGTCACCTGCCCAATGGGCAACTCTTCACTGTCACACCCGTGTTTGGTGGCGTCATGTTCAAGTCAAAGGATGCGCATACCAGCAGCTCCATTCTGCCTCCGGGCTGGAACATCGTCCTCTCCACCAAACATCACGGCGATCAACCCACTCTGGAAGGCCAGGCGGCCGAGGAGACGGGGGACCAAGAGACAGGTCCCATTCAGGGCAAATTCATCTCTCCCACTCTGCAAGATGACAGTCTCTATATCTCGTATATGGTCAACCCCTCGGACAGTGACTATAAGCCACCCACTTCACCCACCCGTCAGATTGCGATGATGCTCTGGGTTACCCTGTGGTGGTACTTCCACGAACCGGAGCCCAACCCGCATATGCAAACGGAGGCGTCGGCAAACACGCCTCCGTGGGGAAGACCGAAGGGGGACTGGCGCATCTACCTCCGGCGGGAGGGCATCTTCAAGGGTCGCAATCTGTTACAGAAGCTGGAGCGCATGGGGATCATCAGCAGCGAGGCGTCCTGCGTCGGTGCTGACCCGTCCGATCAAGACATCTGGAGCTCGATGTTCGTCAGCCGACGCTCGTTCTGGCAGCTCGATCCCCGGCTGTTTCTCTTCACCCTGACGCCGCAGTCCTCGGCACACACCTTTGCCCCCGCGCGCAACAGTATGTACCTTGCCGAGTCTCACGCCACCTCGGGGGAGGCCCTAGCTCCGTACGCACCCAGCGAGGGGCCGTATGCCTCTGGAAGCCATCTCCCGACGTACTTTCCGCCGCCGCCCACCCAGTACATCTACACGAATGGAGTGCGGCACCCCGTCCGGCCCAAGCCGCCTCACCAGGGCGAGGTGTTTTACGTGCGGTACATCCCTAGCGTGCAGCAGTACCTGTCCTTCCGGGTGCCTTATCTGCCTTCTGCCAAGACGAGAGGGCCGGCCTCGTCTGCGCTGCAGAATGACGGCCCGTCCGATCTAGACCTTCTGCACAAGTGGATGAACGATCCCCGAGTGAATGCGTCCTGGGGAGAGGGCGGTCCAATCGAGAAGCAGGAGGAGTTTTTGCGCCACAACTTGAGTAGCCGACACAGCTTCCCGGTGATTGGATGCTGGGACGGGAAACCGTTTGGGTACTTTGAGCTTTACTGGGTCAAGGAGGACCGTCTGGGCCCGCTCATTGGGGGAGCGGGCAACCACGATCGGGGCATCCATTTGCTGGTGGGCGAGCAGGAATTCCGAGGTGCCCACCGAGTTGCCATTTGGCTCGATGCGTTGGTGCACTGGTGTTGGCTGTCGGATCTGCGCACGGAGACGGTCATGTTGGAACCCCGGGTGGATAACGTCAAGTGAGTCTACGTGTGACAGTTGGTTGGGATGATTGGACGTTGCTAACCTGGATTTAGGGTCATTGAGTACCTTCAGCGATCGGGCTTCTACAAGGAGGGTGAGGTTACATTCCCCCATAAGCAGTCGGCCGTGATGAAGATCAAACGAGATTCGTGGGAGGCGCCGGCTGCGTAAGGGAATGGGTGGCGGACTTTGTGCATTACTTGACGATTAATTACTGCATATACATGAAATGCAACGCAATCTTTACAGGGTGGCTGCGTCTGCCATCTCACCTGTCTCTAATCCATGTCAATCGCGCGTCGGGCGGATTGAACTGAGTTGGCTGGTCTCGCTCGACGGCTACCGAAGATTGTTATTAAAGCGGTCCCTCTCCCCTTCTCCTCCATCCTCTTTCCCTCCGCATTCATCTATTCTTATTTCTTTCTTCCTTATTTTCTTATATTTTCTATATACTGGTCTCAACTCTCTCCTCTTTGAGCAAATATATCATTCTACACAGCTTCTTTCCCAACAATATAATCCACTGCCCCAGAGAGCCCTCAATCACAACTGGATATATCAGAACGGTCATTTCATCCATTTTTCATCAACGTAGAACCATCTCCATAAAGCTCTTTGCCTACAGTCCTTTCCTCTCCAATTACCCAAGTTTTGGAGTCAAACATGGACAACGAACATTGACCAGGACGCCACGGCGGTACGGGCAAGACCTTGAAAATACATCTGCAAGTACTCGTCTCAATTATCCCCACATCACCGCAGCATTCTGACTAGCTTCTTAGAGCATAACCCAAAAAACCTACACGCCGTCTTTCATCTTTCGTCTTGCATCTCAGGCGGGCGCTCAACAGATGATTGAAGCATTGTGATGGACTCGAATACACCTCATCTTCTCTTGTGATCGTGGACGCGGATGTGATAACTGCTCATGCTTTCCGCGCCATTTTGTGTTATATGATCGGGTAACTGAGCGCTCAGAAAGCATCTGAGGTTGCCTGGCGAAGTGGTTTGTCCTCTTGATTTTTGCATCATCGCTTGTACATGATGTCAACACCACGGAGAATCTTGCGAACTAATCCTGCGCTCATTAGTCGAACGAGGTCAGTACGATGGCGATGAACGAGACGATCGAGAGAGCTAACGCGCTAGTTTCCATCTCAGATTTGAACCCGTGACTCCACCGGAGAATTATCATGGTCGTGTTCCTGGCGTTTCTCCATTCTCATACACTGCCTACGCTTCAACGCATTCACTCAATGAGATCGTCCAGTTTAAGACCTGGAACGAGTGCAAGCATCAAATCGCGTAGACGTTGTGCGTGTCATCGTCGGAATACATCCCGGAGAATAACAGCCATGGTGGTTTTGGTGAAACACGCCTTCGCCACTTATACGTGTCCACATCCCGAAGATATGATCTGTGGAAGTCTTACAGAAAACACCGGATCTCCAGCAGAACCCGGTTTTACATGCCCGAGCTGGCCATGATCGGAGGCTGTAGCGGTGTGTTTCCACGCACAACATGTGAAGACTAACGTATGGTGGGAACTTATCTGTCTTTTCTGAAGCTATGTCCCTGCGTCCCATGGCTTGCTAGATCACGGATAACTGGCTTTCTATTTGGGCTTTTTCAGACTCGGCGAACTGCTTCTGAAAAGATCTTTCTGTCCCTGAAATATGTCATCTGAGAGGGATCAATCTATACTAGCCATAAGCCAAGCTTCTTGCTTGGGATTACTCGGCTCTGTATTTCTGCATTTCAGACTTTGGTGCTCATGAAGTAAGTCTGTTTACACCTCTCTCATCGCTACAGTGCACTAATTGTTCACCGATTCTCGATCATATATGCTAATCAAGCCGTGCTTAGGAAATAAAAGAAAGATGCGAACTTATCTACTAGAGAGTGAAGCCATTGACTTTGGACTGACTTAAGTTCAGGTGAGTTGTTCTTTATGTTGAAGTCGACATAATTTTCCTGCGTGCTGGTATAATACATGTCTACCTTTATCTACGAATTGATATAGTGTCTCTAATCACGTTGTCATTTCACTGGATAAAAAGCTGGCTAGCTAACTCTTACTTTGCTGATTATTAGAATGAACATCTTCCGAGATTGCTTGGCCAAATCGTGATTCGACGCCCTGCTGAGCAACCGCTGTATCTACCAGTTGTGCCATTCAACCAACCAACTTCGAAAGGCGAAACTCTACACTTCTTCACCAAAAAGCGGAGATATGGCTCGATATTCGAGGCTGGCGAGCAGAATACAGCAACCGGTGACGTTCTCTGCACTATACACGTACACCATGACAGAATGAAAGACTGTCACGGAATGGTAATACCCCAGTTGCCACTCTGGTTGAGATACTGGGCTAATAAATCAGCCTCTAATTTCGCAGGAGGCTTCGCTCGGCTTTCAGGTGGCGGTTATTTGATCGAAGAGATTTATGGTCACTCAAAACACTCGATATTCAGCACGTCTCTTGAAATGAATCCAGGGACCAGGCTCAAGCGCATGAAGTCTGCAATTTAACATACAACCTGTCGAACTGGTGATGATCGAACTCCCACAAAATCGGAAAATCGCCACGTTGAGAGACGAACTGGAAGATGCATTTCCTTGCACTCTGTATCGATGATCCCGCTCGTACAACTCAATAACACCAACGGGATACGCCACCTCGTATCATAATCGCGCGGCAGCCCGTCTCTAATTTCATCTCTGATTTTCTCCCAAGCGTGCGGCTTCGATAACGCGTTCGGAAAAGCGGCAGAAGAAGCTCGAGGCTTCTTCTGCCCTTTGCTTGGACATCGCCCGTTGACGTTAAGCGCCACAGGCATGTCAAGATGACCCTAACTCACGGATCTATGAGGTCCCTTCTCCGCAAGTCTTGCTCAAAGTGGCAATATCGAGATAGAGGTACATCGGATTTCATCAGACGTATTGCATCCACAACGATGACGACTTTGGGAGCAAGGGGCCACAAGCTCTCTTCTAGCTACCTTGAAATTAATGAGTAAGAACCTTTGAAAAAGGTGGACTTAGTCCCCGAGAACTCTTTTGGCCGTTCCGATCGAAGCAGTGCCTCATCGATAAACATTGCACTTCTCCGCCAAACACAGCCGACTCCACGATCTGTCGAGCTGTCGGCCTGTCAAAATTCATGCTAAGGCAACATTGAACCCACAGATTCGTTCGGTCCTTCAAGCTCTAGAATGCTGGTTACAATGTGGAGACCTGGAGGTAATTGACTCTGATCTTGCTGGGAACAATCAAAGCGCTCATTTCTTTCCCCTTGGTTCTGGATTTTCAATCGGACAAGACGATTTCCAGTTGTTTTGAGAAATGCCGCTTACCGACGTGAATATCGCTCTCCGAAGAATCTTGTTTAATCTTAACAGCCTCGTCACTTGAAACGTCGATGCTTGGCCACGGAGCAAATATCCTTTGCTATTTCTGGACCCGACGTGGAGCCCCGGTTTGGCACGATCTACCCTGTCATCTTCATTCATCGATACCACCAATGTACGTTGCGAATCGCAAATAGTGCTCTAGAAGGAGCCTTGAACCTTTGGAACATACAGCAGGCTGACTTGACACCTCCCAGTCCTACACGGGGCGCATAATGCCGTCAGCCACCCAGGCGAAGTCATTGCCGGAGCGCAAGACAATCGGAAAGGTGTGGGACACCTTCCCAGGCCTGACAGCACGGCATAAAAAGAACCTCCTAGTCCAAATCAAAAGATTTATGAAGACGCAATCTTTCTCCTGGCCAGTATTGCCACATCCTGGCTGGAAAGGGGAAAACGCGGTTCATCCAGGGAACTCATGAAACAGTGATGATCTTTTCGAGTATGATGTGTCGCACACTATCGGGGTGTCCTTCGAACGCGGAGACCTTCAAACTGAGCACATAGGCGCTCGTGCCGGAAGGCAGTCGTCGGGCGACTCCCCTCCGTCTTGGGGCTTAGAGAAATCATACCAGATATGAAACGAAACTCTCGGAATGGAAACAACAGAGCAGCGGAAACAACGACGGACTCTTGATCGGTGGTGTTTGTGTCCAGCACCAGGCCAAAATCTAAGGCTTGAAGAACCACTCAAAACCATCGAGCTTGACGCAAAGATACAGGGATACAACTGGCCCTTCGACTTCAGATTTGCGGTCCAATCGTCGTTGAAATCCCACACTGGTAGTGTTAGTTACATGACACCGCTATCGACCCAGTCCGATCAAGAAGCAACTCTTTCAAGGAAAACGAACGCCATCTGCTGCGACAAACAATCGAGCGCGATTCTGCTTGTGCAGATGGGATTTCAGTACCATTTGGTCCAGACAGCTCAGAAACGGATTCCTGGTAGCTAGGAATATCCGAACGAATCTGTGTACAAGCTAGACGAAGTCAAGAGTTGACACATTTGATGACCTATTGAGGTCCCAGCCTTGAAAAATAAATAATTGGATCACCGTCTTCAATTGACTGGACGCATGTGACATCTTCAAAGCCAGATCTCGACTCGCTTAAGCCCGTTCCGACAAGGTACTCCTGTCCAGAGACATATTCGAAGTATGATGCCTGTCTGAGATCATCGGTGGCCTTGCTGTATTGGCGTTCTCATTGGCTGATTCCTACATGGTCATTCAGACTCTCGTAGGGATCTGATAGGTATCCAGTCCTTTATGGATTTCCATGGTTTGCATGTCTCTCACGGTATAGTACTCCGTAGAGACTACAATATCCGTCGCACGAGATATCTCAGACCATGGGTGTGTGTGCGCCTTCACGAGGTCACATCCAGGAGCCATCCATCTCCTCGATATCAGAGCTATTGTGGATCTAGTTCCGCCTTTGGAATTCATCACCATCTTGCAGGGTTGACGGAGTGGAGGCGAGAGGGTTGATGATGCGGTGTATGTTCCTGGACACCTAGACATTATCACTGATTTCTGCTGTATCCCCGGCACACAATCTTGAGGACGATGGCTTTGGCTATGAAGCTAAAATGAGAAGCATGCGTACGTTGACATGTGGATGGAATGATTGAAACCGAAGAACATACACGAATGTATAAACAGCACAATTCAGCTTATCTAACTTATGCCAACATTTATGCCAATGAGCCACACTAGGCCTAATCCAGTTAAAGTGTCCGCAAAGACCGACTAGTCCCAATGCAGTAAGCCATCTTTGTGCGCGCGTCGCGGGACGTGACGAGGCGCAGGTAGGCGTGTGAACAGAACACGCTTGAGACCGTGTCTTTCGCACGGGGCCACTGCACGCCGGGCTGCTGCGAGGGCGGACGAGCTAGTGGCATTAAGCTTGCTGGATGCATGGAGGGAACTTATTTCGGCTCATGTGCGCCGCAAGGAGAAGACGCATTGACATCTACTAGATCCGAGACATGATAAAGACTCCCTCCTGCATTAGTATGGTACTTGGGGAGATCGCTGGGTCTGGGTCTCGGTCGGGTGTGTAGTGGTGAATTCAGGATTTAAAGGGAAGAAGGGTGATTAGGAATATGCTCGATTTAAAAAATCATTCTTATCGGTGAATAGAATAGGATCTAGTATATAAAGAAGCAAGCCCACGGAGAACCAGAAACCGACCGAAGAAAGCATGATACGTACAGAAAAGGCATAGAATAAACAAGTGGAGAACATGTGAAGAAGAGATAAAGAACGGTACATGAAACAGAAATATGAAAAGAACGTGTCTTATCTAGTAAGAGTAACAGTCTGAATTGCCCCAGCCGATCGTTGTTCATCCCAGCCACATGAAAAAACAGAAAGCAGAACGCCGACCGTGCAGAAAGGTAGATGTATGTATGCAAGAGAACGAGAGACTGGTGTAAGAACCTGGGTATTTGTTGCACATCCGGAGAGAGCAGAAAGAGAAAAAAACAAGGGAGAATACTTTTGGCGGAGTCAATCAAAGCCAAGTAGGAAAGGAGAACATTATGGAGAGTTCGGGGAAGATAAGAGACGGCGTGGTATATGGTATTAAGTGGTGGAATGAGACCAGCTCAGGCGGAAGAAGACGAAGCAAAAGGAGAGTTAGACATGGCGCATGCGGCCGCCCATGTACGAGCCGGCCGCCGAGGCGAAGAATCGGGCCACGAGTCCGCCGCCGCCCGCGTGACTGCCGGACATGCGCATCTTCTTGCCCGACGGCGGCGCGTCCTCCATCTTAACGTCTGACAGGTGGACGTATCCGCCGTGCAGGGAGGGGCTGCGTGCTGCGTCAGCCACACGCACATCCTCATCCATGCTGGAGATGGAGCCGGAGGTGCGCAGACTGGCGGGCGTGTCGCCGCGGGAGCTGGGCGCCACGCTGGAGGCACGCGAGCTGAGCGACGGAACGGTCTCGGCGCGCGAGAGCATGGGCACGTCCTGCACGGACGGCGGAGAGCGCGAAGTCGGACGCCGGCGCGACGGGTACGGCTGGTACCGGTCGGTGTCTGCCACGGAGACGGCGGGCGAGGCGCCGGAAGACGACAGCGAGGAGAGCGACTCTGGGCTCGGGGGTAGGCGTGCGCGATGGTGGTGGTGGTTGTTGTTGTTGTGGTGATGGCGCCGGCCTGCGTCGGCGAGATGGGCGTCCATTTTCTGACGACGCAGACGACCGGTCAACAGTTCGGCAGAGGCGTGCAGACGGCGCCATTCGCGGGGTTGGCGTAGCTCCGCCTCGCGCTCCTGGTAGTGCAGGTAGCGTTGGCGGATGGGCGCCAGGAAGGGCTCGAGATGGCGCAGCAAGTCTGCCTCGGTGACACGAAGGTCCCAGTCCAGCAGGAAGAGCAGTTGGCGCTCCATGAGGTTCACTTCGGGCAGGGAGAAGCTGAAGTCGTCGTAGCCCTTGACGGCGGTGTAGCGAGCCCAATGTTTATTCTTGGGGCTGGAGTCGTTGAGGTTCTTCGCGGCCAGGATCAACGAGGCCAGGAAGATGCGGTGCACCGTGCATCGCATGCCCTTGGCGACCGGGGGCAATCGCTCACGCAGTCGACCCAGGTAGACTAGGGTGGTCATCAACGTGGGCACTTGCACCTGGGAGCGAGTGACCAGCGACACGATGAAGGTTTCGACAGAGGGCAGCGGCGACCTGGACGAGTCCATAGGCGGGGTGGTTGGGGGCGTGGGTTGGCCATGTTGTTGGTGTTGGTGTTGGTGATGTTGAGGCTGGGGAGCCGTCACATGCGCCTCGCAGCGAATGACCCGCGACGCCTGCACCGCCAGATGAGCGACCATCTCACGAGTCACCGGCTGGCGAATAAACTCCTGCAGAGCAGCGCGGTTGAGCGTCCGCACGTTATCCATACTGTAGAAGGACGGATGGCTGGTCATGGTCTGAAGGGTTGTGGTGGACGGCAGGGAGGGAGGGAGGGAGGCAGAGAGAGTATATAGTAGCAGAGAGCAAGAGAAGGAACAAGAGCAAGAACAAGAAAAGGCAAAGGAGGGCAAGCGTTTAGAAAAATGCCAGTCGGCAGGTGTTTGTCTTCCAGTCAAAAAGAAAAAGGAATGTTGGCGTTGAGGTCACAGTAGGAATCCTGCCAGCAGGAATGCAGAAGGTTGTCGTGTCAACCTGACCGATCAGAGACAAATTGGCCGACGATGGAAATGAGACTGAGACACCGGGCAGAGGCTCAGGATTATATAGATGGCAGCGAGCAGCAGAAGAGAGCGACGTGCAGGACTGGGATGACCAGAACCAACGACAGGATCAAACGACGGTCTGTGAGAAGCAACGAAACCCAAACCACCCCGTGAGTTGAGCATCTGAGCAGCAGAGACGGCGTCAAACGGGCGATATAAGTAGCAGAGGCCATGCAGGCCAATCCGACGAGCTGAAAAGGCTGGCCATGCAAGGACGGCGGTTGGACGCGCTGCCTGCATTCCTCCCTCACGATCCTCGTCATTGGCCTGTGCCCTCCGATCCTCGAACACGAGTCGAATTCTTTTTTCCTTTTTTCCTTTTTCCTTTTTTTCTCCCCTCTCAAGGGGGTTTGGTCGCTTTGGGACGGCGCGTTTCGCCAGTCGCCTGCGGGTTGCATGTTCGAGCAAACCAGGGGGGGATTTGGAATGGGAGACGGGGATGTCGCCCTCGAGGGGAAAATCCAAGGGCACTACGGAGGCGTCTCCCCTCCCAACTGCATCGACAGCCATTCATTGCCTGCATCCTCCTGCAACCTGAGGGACCGGCGCGTCCTAGCAGCGTGACGATTAGGGTTGTTCCTGCAGTTAAGCGCCGACCGTGCAGAAGCGCCGGCCTTTTCTATTCTCGTCGTCTCATCTCGCCCGGCGGTTATGCGGACGAGCACAATGTGATGGGAACCCGAAGCCAGCGCTTGACGGGGTTATATTTAGAATGTGTTTGACTATGTACAGTGTCCAATCCTGGAGACAAATCGCCACCGGCTCACTAACCGCTCCGCAGCGGGTTGAAACACGGCGCGTAATGACTTCCCCCTCGTCTCCCCTCGTCTGGCTCGTCCTAAAAAAAGAACTCCCCCTCCATTCCATTCCAAACTTACCCCTCCGCGTCAAGGTCGCGGCGTTTAGTTGACGGTGACCTTGAAGGACGAGACGCTCATCTTCGCGTCGCTGCCGGAGAAGGGCTCGGTACCCGCCTGCACATGCGTGAGGTACTGGCTGGAGGGCAGGTTCTGGCTCTCCTGCAGGTACTTGAGGAAGTCGACCAGATCGGCCTCGAAGTTCTCGACGCTGGACGGGGCGACGAAGCTGTACACCTGCATCTGGCCGTTGGGGCCCAGGTAGAGGTCCCAGGTGGTTCCGGCGACCGTGGGGTTGCCGATGGGCGATCCGGTCGAAGAGATGGGACCGGCGCCGCCGAGAGTGGCCAGCCAGATCATGATCTCGTACTCCTCGTCGCCGTCGGCAGAGGACGAGGTGAACAGGTCGTAGGCAACGTCAGCGACGATGTCCGAGCCCGAGGTGTACCTAAAACCAGTCAGTTCTTTTTCTTTCTTTTTCTTTTCTTTCCTCCCCCCTCGCAAGGGTTCATATCCAATCAGAGAATAACGTACTTCCAGTTGAAGGTGGTGGGGATGCTGGTGAGGCTGCTCAGCTGCTTGGCCGTGAAAGAGTAGGCAGCGTTGGCAAAGCTCTTGACCTGGCCCTGGCCGCCGGTCCACGACCAGCTGGTGTGCCAGCCGATCTCGTTGCCGGAGCCGGAGTCCAGACCGGTGCACTGCGAGCCGCTGTCGGCGTTGCCGGAGCCCCAGAGGTTGTTGTACAGGGTGAAGTCACCTGACTCAGTGGTGTCCCACTGGCCGCACATGTCATCCCGGCGGGTGAGGGAGCTGGCGGAGGCGAGAGAGCCCAGAGCGAGAGCGGCGAGGAACTTCATCTTGACGGGATGAGACGGGAAGGATAGAGTAACCGGGAGAAAGTGTTCTGGAAGATTTTCTTTTGGGCCTGGTGAAGAAGAAATCGACCGACGGAGCAAGAGGCGAGAGCCATTCTTATAGCTCCGACGCCCCGTTCTCTCCTGATCGGAAATCCTGAATCGTCAGGACCACGGGACCTGACACACTCCATCAACCAGAAACATCTCGAACGGATTGGTCCGCAGGCTAGCAAGAACCGTTGCCCGGAGCCAGTGACAGCCACCGCACGCCGCGAGGAAGCTTAATTCAATTTCCGGTGCCTGGATGGGGCACGGGTGGGCCGCGTGAATGGTGGATCAACTGAATCAGGGCTTTCAACCTGAGACGACCATCTCGGACGGAGGATTCCAAGTTGGAATTCACCCGGACTTTGGAGTGGGCTCGGCGGAGCGTCGGAGGATTAGGGAGCGCGAATATTGGTGGAGGATTTCGGCAGAGAACCTGGAACTCTAAACAGAGACGGAGTAGTTCCGTTTCAAGAGGGCCAAGGTTGGCGGTGCGGCCATGACGGGAGAAGATAGACTCCGGGGTCTGGGCCCGAGGAGTTCACGGGGTGAGGGAGAGCGAGTCGATGATGATGATGACGATAGAGAAGGAGGAAGAGAAAGAGAAGATGAAGATGAAGATGCAGATGGAGACGCATGGCTGCAGGCAAGCAAACGGGGCAAACCACGCCAAGGCGGGAGTCGTTTTCCACCGCCTTCGGCTGTTGAGCTTCCGGGCGTAAACAATTTCTTAATGAACCTCCTCTTGTCTCGGTTTGTCTCTGTTCTCCATTGTTTTCCCTCCGGTCCTTCTGCCGTTATGCGTACCTTCAGCTTCCTGGTCACCCTCGTGGCCGCCCTAATTGGCTTCTACAACTACTTCGAGGCGCGTCTGGAGAGTTTCTACATCTTCGACCCCAGCCATCTGCACGATCTTTCGCAGCGCGCCATTGCTGCCCACGGCGAGAACACTCGCGGCGTGGTCGACTTCATCGTTGCCGAATTGGAGCAGAAGGTGCCCTCCGTTCACATCAACAAGGACGAAGAATGGGTGTTTAACAACGCCGGTGGCGCCATGGGTGCCATGTATATTATCCATGCCAGTGAGTTCTCGAATCGCTCCACCGTGGAGAGAGGGTCAATGGCACTAATCCTAACGCTTTTCAGGTATCACTGAATACTTGATTATCTTCGGTTAGTTTAACTCCGGTGTTCTAGTTCTCTCAAGCGTCTAAGCCTCCAATATCGGCTCGACGCTATCCCACCCCCTTTACCCCTATCTCTAGCTTCCTGGATTCCACCGCTCATACCACCGTCCTTCCTAGGCACCGCCATCGGAACCGAGGGTCACACCGGCCGTCACACAGCCGACGACTACTTCAACATCCTCCAGGGAACTCAGCTCGCCTACGTGCCCGGCTCCTTCGAGCCCGAGGTCTATCCCGCCGGTAGCGTGCACCACCTCCGCCGCGGCGAGGTCAAGCAGTACAAGATGGACTCGTCGTGCTTTGCGCTGGAATACGCCCGCGGCTGGATCCCTCCCATGCTGTTCTTCGGCTACGCCGATACCTTCTCGAGCACCCTGGACTTCCCGACCTTGTGGGCGACCTCGCGCATCACGGGCCGTGAGATGATCTCCAACCTGTTCAAGGGCAAGATGTAAATTTGGGTTGTAATCGATTGGATTTGTAATATGTTGAATTGGATAGAATGGTTGGGCGGTTGTATACTACGGGTAATGAGACCTTTAAAGGCTTTATGATAGACACTGGGCTGTGTGTATGTATTTCTAACTATAATTCAACTTGGATTTATTCGCCGTGTTTGTCTTGTTTGATACTTTCTCCGGGATGCAAACCGTGCAAACCGTGCAAACCTCCCGCCTGACTAATCGCTGTTATCGGATTTTCTTCCCCTCCATCAATCAATCAATAGTGAATTTATGACTATTTCTCTTCCCCACAAACATAACACCTACTCTCGCGCCATTTGATCGCAGGAAAGCGAACCGGTAATCGAAAATGGCGCCCACACCCTGCTTCCACTGCAAAACAGCTCGCGCAATCATCATCCGGCCGAAAAACCGCCACAAGCTCTGCCGCACCTGTTTCCTGCACGTCTTCGAGACCGAAGTCCACGAAACCATCACCTCAACCTCCCTCTTCCAGCGCGGCGAGCGCATCGCCATCGGTGCCAGCGGCGGCAAAGACAGCACGGTGCTGGCCTCGGTGCTGAAAACACTCAACGAACGGTACGACTACGGGCTACAGCTGTGTCTGCTCTCCATCGACGAAGGCATCAAGGGCTACCGCGACGACAGCCTCGAGACGGTGAAGCGCAACGCCCAGCAGTATGACATGCCGCTGGAGATCGTTGGTTACGGCGAGCTCTATGGCTGGACCATGGACCAGGTGGTGGCGCAGGTCGGCAAGAAGGGCAACTGCACGTACTGCGGCGTGTTTCGGCGGCAGGCGCTGGACCGCGGCGCCGCGCGCCTGGGTATCTCGCATGTCGTGACGGGCCACAATGCCGACGACGTCGCCGAGACGGTCATGATGAACTTGCTGCGTGGCGATCTGCCGCGTCTGTCGCGCGGCACGAGCATCGTGACGGGCTCGGCGGCGTCGGCGATCAAGCGCTCCAAGCCGTTGAAGTATGCGTACGAGAAGGAGATCGTGCTGTATGCGCACCATAAGCAGTTGGATTACTTCAGTACTGAGTGCATCTACTCGCCTGAGGCGTTCCGGGGCAGCGCGCGCACGCTCATCAAGGATCTCGAGAAGATCCGGCCGTCGTCGATTCTGGACATCGTGCGCAGTGGCGAGGATATGGCGGAGTTGGTGCCGCCGGAGGTGAAGCAGGGGGCGCAGAGTGGTGGCGGCGCCGGGGAGTCGATGGGCGGCTGTGGGAGTCAGAATGGACGCACGAGAGGCGGCGAGATGGCGGAGATGGAGAGGAAGCTGGCAGAGGATGATGCGGCCGAGTCGAGGGAGACGGAGATCAAAATGACCGGTGCGAATGCCGCGTCGAAGCCTGCCTACTCGATGAAGGTGACGCAGCGGATGCCCAAGCAGATCAAGACGCAGACCATGGGCAACTGCGAGCGATGCGGATACATCTCCAGTCAGAAGGTGTGCAAGGCGTGTGCGCTGCTGGAGGGGTTGAATCGGAACCGGCCCAAGACGTCGATCGAGGTGGGATTGGAGGATGAAGAGGGCAGCACGACTTTAATGAGACAGATGGAGAAGGTGGAACTGGGTGGTTGATCCGTCGGCTTGACTCCAAGTCCTTGATCACCGATTTTGATCTGATTGCAGATCCTCCACGGCTGGCTGAGCGCACAGCGCCCGAGCCTGAACTATCTATACATTCGACATGTATGGGGCGATTCATCCCGACGAAATCGAGACTCCAAGTCGATCGACGCCATCAGTCTAGTTCGATCCAGCTCCAGACCCAGTCTCACTGCACCCCGTCAACAGACAGAAAGAACTCAGACACAAGAGGAGAAAGAAAACCTTCTATAGTCTAGCCCAGTTCAAACACCCCGAACAAGATCAATATACATACATAATGAATACAAAAGAGAACCCGCGATCATACATAAATATACATAGCTCGAAAGAACCCAATATAAACCCACCCTCTCACACTCTCTAATTCAGGCCTCCACTCAAATCCCAAGTAATCTATGCGGATATCCCCTCAACCCCCATCTTGGCCAAATCCCATCAACTTCATTTCTTCTCCCCCTCCGCCTCCCCCTCCCCCTCCGCTTCAACCGGCAAATCCCACCCCACCCGTCTCGCCGTCAACCTGATCCTCTCCTTCTCATCCATCGTCATGCCCGGGTTATACCGCTCGACGAGGACCGCATACGAGCGCTGCGCGCGCGCATACAGCGCCATCTGCTCGGCCTCCTGGAGGCGGTGGTGCAGCGCCTCGTCGTGCGTCTGCGTCTCGGTCCCCGGCGTGACGGGCGTTCGGTACAGCGCGCGGATGCGCTGGTGGAGTGGTGTCGGGGAGGAGAGTTTGCGGCGCGGCAGTTCGCGGAGGAGCGCGCGGTAGGTGGATGTGGTTTTGTTCATGTTGTGGGCTGGGCGTCTGCTGTGGGTTTGAGGAGGTTGGGTTCTTGTTTGAGGGTTGAGATTGAGGATTGAGATTGAGGACTGAGGTTGACGAGAAAGGCGGTGGTGTAGATAGGTAGGTATTGGAGATTGGAATGGATGGTTTAGTTGGTTGTAGAGAAGGAAAGGCGGTGGTGTAGATAGGTAGGTATTGGAGATTGGAATGGATGGTTTAGTTGGTTGTAGAGAAGGAAAGGCGGAGATGCGTTTTTCGCCGCAGTATGGACCACGTGACTACTTTCTTCTCGACTCTGCCTGAGGATTATTATGAGTTTGTTGCTATTTAGTATTTACTTGATAAATTCAAGTCGCTTTATTCTCTGGCCGTTATCTTCTAGAGCTACTTTGAACCCCCCATTTACTGGCTGGACCTGTTTACATTAGAACATAATCCCTATGCTCCGCTCAATAATAAAGATACTGTATGTACATCATAGACCAGACGATCGTCATCAACTCATCAGGCATCTCGTCAGTACGGGTGGTATGGCTGTAGCTCATATAATCGTGTCACTGGTTTATCGCTCAACTTGACTCGACTCAGCGGGTTCGGTTCTATTCCGATCATATCATCTCACACATGTGATACACGGTGGTTATTTCTGGATCTCATCATCTACGATGATTCAAGATCTTTACGACCGCAACCAGCCGAACTTTCGTCGTCCGCCGTCGCCGCCTGCGGAGGGCTCGACTTGCGTGCTGCGGGCGTATAAGTCCTAGATTTTATTCGTTAGCATGTATAGCGAGAGCGGGATTGATGAACGGACACGAACCTCATCGTCGCCGGATAATTTCGTATCGAGAATCAAGCGAGCCGCCTCCTCATACCGATGCATATGCGAATACGGGGTTTTCTGGCTGCGCTGGATCCCGAGGACCACTTCGCCCATGACCTCGAATTTCCGCCAGTTGATGCGCGTCTTGCTGTCGCCGACGAAGGTCTTGTTGCCTTCCTCGGCGGAGACGAGATCGCGGCGGTGCAGGGGCAGGAAGGGGATGCGTTCGGAGAAGGAGTTGTCCCATGCGAGTCGGTAGGCGAAGTGGCTTTTCTGGGTCCCCATGAGGATGACCAGCCTCATAAAGTCCTTCTGGGTTTGGACGGGGACCAATTCTCGCGTTTGGGCGAGTCGGTGGACCGGAGTCCCGTTGATGCCGGCGATGACGGCCCCGAGAGAGTTGTAGTTGTTTAATCGGCGGAGTTTCTAGCATGACAAGCGGTTAGTGTGGGGTTCATTCTGCGGAAGACGGCAGTGAGGAATAAACTTACCAAGGCGATGTTCATGAATTTTTCCATCGCCTTAGCGCGGTGCTTCGGCTTATCGCGGAAGAGAATGAAACTGGCAACGAAGAAGGCTAGGTGATTGAATTGTTTGATCATGCGATTGACGTGCTTCAGGCTCTGGATCTTGTCCTTATCGGGTCCTGAGATGCTGACGTGTCGCACAAGATCGCGCGGTCGGAAGGAATTGAACATGATCCAGTCGATCCGCGTCAACTCGCGCGCAAAGTCCTCGTCGGGGACCTCCATGATCTGCCGCCATTGCATTTTGGCCATCGGTATGCGCGAGGTGAGCTCCAAGTTCTGCGATTCTCGCTGCGCGGATTCTAGGTTTAGGAAGGTAAAGGACTGGCTGGGAATGGTGCCGGGTTTGTCGCCCACCGGGCTCGACAGCGTCCCGGCCAGCCTGGATGACGGGTCTGGTGCGCCCTCGCTGAGGTCCAATGCACTCATGTTGTATATAGGATCTTCTTCCTCCTCTTGCTCTTCATCGTCGTGGTGGTCGTCCCCATTGTTCCACGCGCCGCCGAGGAACATGGACGGGGAGCTGCGACCGGAGTGATCCAAGAAGGTTTCTTGCCCATCAAAACCCTCGACATCGCCGTCTCGGAAGGGCCATCCCACGTCGTCATCCTCCGCGTTGACCTCGAGAGACGAGCTGACCTCCTTGGCGGCGAACATGTAGAAATGGCTCTTCTCCAGCGTCGCCACGAAATCCGTGATGCGCTTCCTCGTCTTGGGATAGATCAGGTCTCCTGGGTACTCCGATACCCACACGTACATGATGTTCAAGAGCCGCAACTGATCGGCAATGCGGGTCAGTTGGTCGGCGATGTGTTTCTCGTTGCGTTCGAATCGATTGATCAGCGCGTTGAGCAAGGTGGACGGCGCGGCGAATTTGCGATAAAGGCAGAGGAAGGTCGAGGCGAATTTGGAATCCTGTTTCGATAAAGGTTGGGCGACCAGTCGATCCACGAGCTCGTCAAACGTGAAACCGGCATCGTTCGAGGATCCCTCGCTGCTTGGGGGTTTCTCTTTACTCCCGGGGCTGGAGGGCGCGCTGCGGCGTCCGTCCATGTCCTCCTCCATATCTAGAAAGCCGTTAAACGCATCCGACCCGGCACTGTTGCGCCAGGCGGTGTGCAGACGATGCTGGCGATTGCGATCCTTGCTGGGCGAGGAGTCTTCTGCGGCCGACGGTCGACGTGGATTCAGCCGAGCGCCGGAGGGAGGAGTTTGCGGTCGCACCGGATACGAATGGCTCCGGGCATATCGGGAGGGCTGGGCATTCGACGCCAGATTTGAAGAGGTCGCCTGGTCGGTGGGCGGACGGTCGACGCCGTACCCATCGACTCCTGAACCGAAGGGACTAATTATCGGGCCGCCCGCGGCTCCAGAGAACACGGACGTCGGGGTCTCCGAATTGGCTCGAGAGTGATGCCAGTCCTGCAAGGGATTGGACGAGTAGTCGATCAAGTCTAGATGACGCCAACGACGAGCGAAAATGTTAGCAAGGCACGTTCCCAAGCCCAGGACGAGACGGTAAAATTTTATGTAGTCTAACTGCAGCGGATCGGCAGAGCACCGGGAGCGCACGCGAACGCTAAATCCAGGCCGCGCCGTGGACTAGCGGCAACGTGGACCGTCCTTGTCCTTTTCTTTCTCTCTCTCTTTTTTTTTTCTTTCTTCTTTATCTCTGGTCATTCTTCTCCTTTTCTTCCCCCTTTTGATAAGGTTTGGCCAAGAACCAGTGTGCAGAATGACAGGTAGACAGATAGGCTGTAAACTAGGGTCGCAATTCCACAACGGTCACTTACCATATTTATTGCCAATCACCGACCGCAAAACTAATGCGATGCACATCTTCTGCGATCGCGGCGATTCAGGCGATGTCCGGTGGATCTCGTAGTTATCCAGCAGGGGCTCGAAGGGCCCATCGGAGTTGCGAATGTCGCATTTACTGGCGACCAATACAAACGGGAAGGACAGCGTCGTCAAGGCATCTAGTGCGGCGGAATGATCAGCCATTGCGCCACCAGCACGGTCAAAGAACATGAAAAAAAGGCACACACCTAGGAGTCCGGTCAGATCGGGGAGACTGGCAGGCTGGGTGACGTCGTGGATAACCAGAGCGCCATCAATGGTCGGAGCCGACGCCGCTTCGTAGCCAAGCCGCGGCCAGTTCACGACGCCATTATCCGCGACAGAAACCTCTTTCACGTCGACCTCTAATAGGCGAACCAGATAGACCGTTCCATCCAGCGACATTTTCTTTGTTGTGGCTCGGGACGACAGGGGGTGTTTCATATCCAGGGCGCTTTGTATGAACGTGGTCTTGCCGACACGATCTCGACCGACAACGGCAATGGTAACGTGGGGGAAATTCGGCTTCTGGAGGGGCTGCCACAAAGAAAGGAAAGAAGGAAAGAGTCAGCTATCAGAACACTGTGTATAGAGCTGGTCCTACGACCAGCAGCGGGAATTGATGGAAACCCCATACCTCATCGCCTCCGCGAGGGGTCGAAACCCCGTTTCGTGCCGGCGAGGACAAGAATTCATCTTCTTCTATGACGGCGCGATCCACTCTATGACCGTTGTCCATGGTGATTTTCGACGTATCCAGCTTGTAGAGACCCCCGACAGGAGCGGAGATGGTTCTGCTCTGCAGACCCGGGCGTTGTGGAACGGACGACACAGCTTGAGCTTGAGCTCTATCGCTGGAAGCTCGTTCTCTTCTAGGGGGTTGAGAAGTCATGGTAAAGTGCAATGCGCGGCGCCGCGGCGCGAAAGAGAAATGTCCGATAGAGAGCAAACAAGGTGCGACAGCGCAAGGTCCAACTGCTACATGAGTAAGTGAGGCGGGCACGACAGCTCATCCATTGTCGCTCGCGACCGAATCCGAGGAGAATGAAGGGAAGCAATCGAGGAAGGAATGTTTGTTCGGCGGTTGAGGAGTTGACTGTCAGGGAGTGGATTGATTGACGGATTGAATATTCGACCTGGTTGTTGGTGCGCCGGTTTCTTTTCTTTTTTTATCTTTCTTTCTTCCTTTTCTTTCCTTTTTCCCTTTTTTTTTTTTCTTTTTTTGACGGGACGTGGGAGGGCTGGGAATAGAAAAAAGGCCGGGGGGGGAAAACTGGACACAAACGAGACCAAAATTAGCCCTCGGGGAAATTCTGCAGGATGCAGCGTTGGACGAGTCTTACGAGAGATCGGATAGACAGTGACGTACCAGAAAAAGGGCCCAAATACGGAGCACGAGGAATCAATCGACAATCAATGGAGCCGACGAGTCCAGATGGGCGGAAGTCGCAACTCGTCAGACGGGAAGATCAGACTGGAGCCCCAGAAAATATCGATTTAGAGCGGGTTGGCCTGTCCACCGCTGACTTCCCAATGAGTTCCCCAGTGAGGGTGGAAATGCGAGGTGAGGTGTTTTAGGAGAAATTCGGTCGGGAGAGAGACAAGAGAAGACAAGAAAAAAAAAAAAAGAAAAAAAAGATTGACGCCTTCGCAGAGCAGTTGTACTCCGGATATACGAAGGACGGGATCTTCACACGGCGTGGATAAAGCAGGCCAGTCCGTGTGGCTCCGGTCTGTTAGCACCTGTTAGTCGCGCCAGAGCTTCTCGTTGGATCAGAAGGAGTCCCCGAGAGGATCCCAAAAGAGAGTTGTTTCTGCCCGGACGAGTGGGTAATAATGGATCTATAATTATTTACGGAGCACGAAAACGCCATACTTCGATCTATCCATCAATCGTTCGGATTGACTCCGGCGGCACCAAAGCCTCCACGATGTGATACAAATCAATCGCATCTCCAACACTCTCGTTTCCCCGTTCCTTGGTCCGTCTGTTTCGCAATCAGAAAAGGGGATGGCCGTCCGCATCTCTCATTTGTCTCGTGGTTCACGCGAGAGTTCACTCTCCGCGACGATCAGCAGGTCCATCTCCAATTCTCCATTCTTTCCCATATTTCAGTATTATCATTTTTAATCTCTCAAACACCCTGCCCCGCCATGCACCACCCATGCGCGTTTTTAGGCCATAATCGACCCTTTGTCCGTCTTTCCCTTTTGGCTGGAGTGCTGACAGCTGTCGGCGGAGCCACTAACGCGATCAACCAAATCATCCTCCACCGGCCAAGGAAACCCCGTCTGCCGGTTCGCTTACCAGGGAGGATATTCGGGGATCGTCTTTTGAGTCGTTGACTCTCCGGTCAAGCCCTAAGAGACACGGCACTAGACGCTTTGGGAGGGGACTTTGGCCCCGGAGAAGGGTTGCGACAGGATTGGGGGCTTCACCGCGTAATCACCCGGCGGTCTGTGTTGAACCCACGATCCCTCGAAAGGGAAGGTCGACTTACAGGCGAGAGAACGAGAGAGAGAAAAAAAAATTAAATAAAAATGGTGCCTAGGTCGACCAAGCGGCTGGTGAGATTTCTATCCCGAACATCGTGAGCATGGCCGGGTAATTGACCTGGTCTTTGTCCAGCTCCACCGAGCACAGTCTGGCCCTGGTAGATGGAGAACTTGGCTCCATGAGCTGAAGTGCTGAAATGACGAGTCACTTCTGAGGGTTTCCAGCAGCTTATCCGGGTCACACATGGCTTTCTGCGGTTTGAAAATTAAATCGTAAATGTCAAAATTGCTTGGCCAGACCCAAGTCGACTTCTCCCGTGTCTCTCTTGAGCCTGACAGATGCAGTAGCCGGCCTCGTGTACTCGGCGCTATGCATGTATGCTCGAAGTACTCCGTAGTACTCCGTGGGTACATACGAAGGAGCAGCCACGGCCCTATGCTCTGGCCCTCCCAAGGATCGGAGCTGAAGGGGCCACTGTATCCACAGTCTTGCAATGAACAACGGCCCCCAGACTGCTGAACTGGTGGATTTGGACACGGCGACACCATGCACATGGGAACGTCTCGTGGGTATATCATTTCCTCCTGGGGATAATGCAGCCTCGTTTTCGTCAGAGCCAAGATTCTTAGACTGGAATTGCGAGTCGCTGCGGAGACCTGTCCCGGCATGTCATCTCCTTCCAGTATGATTCAGATGTATAGAGATAATATTGGCTAATGCTAAAAGTTTGATCGTGGCCCGGATTATTGCCTTTCTCCCCGTAATAGTTGCAGCCTAGGGCGAGTAGAATCCAAGGGCTATTGAAATTAAACCCCCATGGCTTAAGGTGCGCAGACAATTGTCGGTCTGAGGTATCATGTTTTCGTCGGTGCATGCGCGTCCGAATTTGCCGTTGCCACGAGCTCGAATCTCTGCGTCCCTCGGTATAGTGCTTTCGAGATCACTGACGTTTACAGATCCAGCTGCGGCTCTAGGCGACCGAGACATGTGTAGTGTTCATCCTAGATGTTCGGTGGAAAAGCCCGGCGGGAAATTTTCTCCCGGGTTATCCCCTCGGAGCATCGAGCAATCACCCAGTTTCCTCGGGATGCTCTCCATTGACTAAATTCATAAACCGCATCAGCCCTTCCGCGGCTCTCCCCGTTTCCAACCCCTCATCACATCGTTCTCTGAACTTCCGGACCTTTCCTAAACCCCTGTTGAAGCCCTTTTCGCGAGTCCAAGGTCCTCGGTTGCGTGGGCCTCCTTTCCCCCGATGGAAAGATCGATGCCGGTTTCCATGTGTTTGCACCTCTACCCACTCTTCTTCTAGTGTGGCCTTGTAGATGTCTTGCAGCTCGTCACGAAGGGATGGGTACCGCTCGAACAGGATTTTTAACTCGGGCGACGACGCAAAGGATTTCGGATTGAAGGCATTTCGGGTTTCGCGAGCTCCCTCGCCATCGATCACGCCGTTGGCTTCGTCTTGGGGCGACGGATCATTGACTGCCTCTTGGGGTGGTTTAGGCGACGGCTCTCGCGGGGTACAGTAGATCTTGTGGGATTGGGTACAACTGAGTGAGCAACTGCAATCCGTTCGTGAGTATTTGCTGAATGTCTGCCGTCTCGTCCCCACCCGCGGTCTTCTTTCCTTTTACCGGAATCATGTACATGTCAATCGGACTGGAGACATACCTCAAGAGTCCACAAGTGGGACAACGGTACTTGAAACGCTCGGAGGAGCAAACCTCACAGGTGTCAGCGGTTTTAATTCCTGTTTGAGAGCTCGTAGACATTTTGGCAGCACGTCGATCTTTCAAATTTTCTGGGGCATTGTTGGGTTTCGATGGATCGTTGCAGGGTTTTCACCAAGCAAGTGCCGAATTCCCAGGCACCTAGCAAGGTCTGCAGCAATGTCGATCCTGAATGCCCAAAAACCGTTGCAGGGAGAGGCGGTGGATCGATCAACAGCTCTGGCTCATCCAAAAATGGTTCTCTCCACGGAAGACTAGCCGCTCTCACGTGAACGCGCATCCCCCCGTGATGCGCTTCGTTCCCCAAAGTCAGGAATCAAGCAAAGACCAGCTGCAATTCCCACCGCCCCTCCCCTGGATCTTCATGGCGCAACACACCGGGCGCTCGATGGACAATTGTGAATTGGTGTCGAGATCTCAAGAACCCAGCACCGCCTCCCTACGCTTGTCGGACTTGGCAACGTCTGGTATGACATCAGATCTCCAAATATGGGTGGTGTTCCCTTCAAATCTACAGGGTGCAATACGTGCCGACGCCGAAAGGTGAAGGTAAGAAAGAGTCCAGTCTAGAGGATTGGTCTATCCAGCGAAGGGCAAAGGGGAGAGATCATCGAACATGCCCTCTAATAACACTGTTCACTCGGTATAGTGCGATGAAACAAAACCTGAATGCCTTCGCTGCGTCAAAAACGGTCATGTCTGCACCGGCTATGAGCGAAATAGAGTCTTCATCCATAAGTCGTCAGACACTATGGAAGACAATCCCCAGAAACCCATTCAACGATCCAAAGCCGTCGCGTACAACTCAGGAGCGCGCAGGCCAACCCAATTAGAACCAGAGATCCCCCGGTTGAACGTCAATACAGAGGTTCGGTCCCAGTTGCTCCAGTCCTTCATTGATTGGTATTCGCCTCCATCGCAATACCTAGCCGGAGATTCGAAAAGACACATCCTCGAGATTCTTCCGGACCTTAGCCGGGGTAGCCAACTTTTAGATAAAGCAATCACCTCTCTCTCTTCAGCCTTCCTCGCGAAGCAAAACAAAGACGATCATTTGCTGCAGTACAGCACCAGATTATATGGCAATGCGATTCGGATGCTACACGGCCAGATAAACTCGGGCAACATCCTCGGCATGGACGTCTTGTACACGACTGTAATTTTTCAAATATATGAAGTGAGCGAATCCGTTACATCCCGCTCAAATGATTAGTTATTGGGTAGTCTAACAGTAAAAAAAGTTGATCAATTGCTCGCCGCCGGGCTTCATGGCATGGATAGCCCATGTGCAGGGTAGCAATGCGGTCATAGGTCAATGTGCTGAGCGGAAGGATGAGTCTATCGCAGAACAACTGTTCCATCGTCAACTCAAATACGTTACTGTAAGTCTCGTGGCCTCGGACCCTGTCAATGCCACATGGTACTAAGAATTCCTACCTAAACTAGCTATGCGATGCCATTGGAAAACGCAAAGCGCCCGCATTTCTCAGCTCTCCGGCATGGCAAACTGGATCGTCGCAAGGTACAGGGAAATCCGAACCAATTGATGAACTTATCGACAAATTGGCAGAATGTACCGTTCTCATGGAAAGGGTCGATCATTATGTTCAATGCAATGGACATGGAATTATACACAACCGACAAACTGGCGAGCAATTGCTGTCATCATGTCTTTCTCTCGAGAGAAGACTGCACGAAACCTGCATTTCCATGCAAAGGAAGCTTGGTGGCCCCTCAACGCTGCCCCCCAACACCCCCATTTTGCAAGGATTCCGCAGTTCCCTTTTTACAGACATATTTTCTGACCACCTTCAATTCCCGTCCTTAACCTGTGCGGAGGCCCATCAAACCTATTGGACGACGTTGGTCCTCCTTTACCCGCTGATTGACCAACTACTCGGCATCCTTGGGCAGCCGGGGGATGCTTATACCTTAGCCAAATCCTACTCTCCCTCCAGTGACCAAACGGACTGTGGTACAACTCCAGACTCGGAGAGTGCCGCAGATTTTACAGCCCTGACCGAGCATTATGCGGATGAAGTCTGTCGCACAGTTCTCTACTGTATACAGCCTGAAATGAAGACTATGGGCGCGCAAATGATGCTGGCGCCTCTAAGCCAGGCTGCACAATTCTACAATGTGCAAGAGATCATCCCGAAACATCAATGGTGCCAATCTGTCTTCATGGCTTCGTCTCACTTGGGTCTTGGTATTGGCCCTCTGCTCAAAGACATGGTATGGCCTAAATACCGGATTTCTCAGAGACAGAAGTCTAGTTCTTCCGGAGTGGAGTCGCCTGAAACTGGTTCATGACGACTCGTTGGGGTTTTACTTCAATTTCAATGAGACCAGGCACATAATTACCATCAATCGCGATGCATCTATTCAGACCGGCGGGTCCTCGTGGATTTGTCACTAGCTAAACCTCAAGGGAGACTCTTCCTCCCATTAGCTACCACATCAAAAGGGCCTAGCATTTAGTGACCCGTGCTATTAAAAGTCATCGGGGAACAGTCTTCAACTGAAGAACATCCGCGGCGCCATATTCTGACCGAGGCCTGCCTATATTGCAGGACAAGCAGCAGAGTCTCGTTATAATTTCACGATATGACTACGAACGTCGCATACTCAGGTCTATATATGAACCATGAATTGGCAATTTGCTATGTATATATATATATTTTTTTCCCTCTCTCTTGTCTCCCAAAGCTCAACTGTTTTTGATAGACTGGCTAGCATAGAATATATATCGAGATAGTACTAATAGCATCATTAATTAATAAAGGTTAAGGATGGATCGATGTGGCCTGGCTCTTTATCTTCTTAGCAGTAGGAGGGAAATTGAACTCTTCTTTAGCAATGCTAAGAGTCCGCATGCTACGACAGAATTTTCTACCATCTCATGAACGCAGTCCATCCAAATATTTGTGATTACGGGCTGCATGTCAAACTGCTTCATTCTGATTGGTGCCGGCAACTCGGTGGATTTATCAGCAAATCTTTTGCCGACGGTCACGTGCTTTCATTGCGTCAGAGGCCGGCAGTCGGAGCAAAGTATTCTGGCCTCCATCAACTTCTCCTGGAAGAGTCAACTACGCCACTTGATAAGCGCATAGTCATCTACATTGCACAATGTCGGTTAGCTCAACTTCTGGAGCCATGCTTCGACGAACGATCTTCAACGTCAGATCAGCGGCGAGACCATTCGGCGCTGCCGAATCCCGAACTGCCCGGCCCAGCGTGCTTGGATCCTACAGAAGTGTCCATCGGTCTGCTCGCCTGCCCGCTATCACAGCCTCCGAGGCTCGTCATAGGCCGACCTTGCGACCTCATCAACAGTCCTCGCGGGTGAATGGACTGTCGCCGACCAGCAAGCGATCGATCTTCATTCAAACAGAGAACACGCCGAATCCCGACGTAAGTATAGTGGCATATTTTTTTCTGCTTCCCTTTCTCCCGATGCGGCTTGGCTAACAATGATTCTCCGATGCATAGGCCTTGAAATTCATCCCCAACCACCGCGTTCTGCCCGAAGATTTCCCTACCTCCTTCCTCGAGTATCTGTCTCCTCGATCTACGCTCGCTCCTCCGCATCCCTCGCCGCTGGCCGCGAACCTCCTGAATGTTGACGGCATCACATCGGTCTTCTACGGCACTGAATTCATCACGGTGACCAAGGCAAGCGATGCCAACTGGGCCCACATCAAGCCGGAAGTTTTCAGTCTTATCACGCAAACCGTCACTTCGGGCGAGGCGATCGTCAACACCGTAGCCAAGACCGGCGAACATGCACAGGAAGGTGGCGAGGAAGACTCGCTCAGCTACAACGAAGATGACGAGGAGGTCATCAGCATGATCAAGGAGCTTCTGGAGACGAGGATCCGACCCGCTATCCAGGAAGATGGCGGCGATATTGACTTCCGGGGGTTCGAAAATGGCATCGTCATGCTGAAGTTGCGCGGAGCTTGCCGGACCTGCGATTCCAGCACGGTTACGCTGAAGAATGGTATCGAATCGATGCTGATGCATTATGTAAGTTGGACATGGTTGTTGACTTTTCCTTTTCCGCCACCCGGTCATTGGGGCTAACGGTTCATTTTTCGAAATAGATCGAGGAAGTCCAGGGAGTTGAGCAGGTGATGGATGAGGAGGAAACGATCTCGATGCATGAATTTGCTAAGTTCGAAGAGAAATTGCGCCAGCAAAAGGGACCCGAGGCCACCGCTTCCACGGGAGGTAAGGGTACTTTGGACACGGCCGCCTAAAAAGATGCACTGGATTCCGATCTCATACGTGCCTCATGTTTGGTTCATTTATATACCGCTTTTGTTCGTTGTGTTCTACTGTTACAATTTTAATGATTGGATAGAGCCCTGGGCGCGTCATGTTTGTTAGCCTTTCGCGTTGTGGAAAATTGTACCATATCAGATATCTAAATCAGCTTTAAACTCTGCGTGTAGATTTGTCTGCACATGACATGCATGACCATACGTAATGCTTTCCACTGAGGTCGTTGATCGGTAATAGAGTGACACCGCCTCGGTCAAACCGACCGCCACAGCCGACGGTGGCCGCCGTGAACAAAAATACTAGTGTCGGGTGGATTTGCGGCTTGTGGAGGATCCAAGACTGAATGTCGCCACGAGAGGCTTCGCTCGAAGGAGGAAAAAAAAAAAAAAAAAAACAGGTGACATCTGATTCTCGTGCTTTCCACCGAAGAGTGAAGAGTTCGACTGTCGAGTGCTCTCGCACGTGGATTCAAGGTTTTGGCAGGCTCCTTACCTGCTTCTGCCATCATCTTACCTGTCACCTGTCAGTGGGCGAATGATCATGCCACGGCGATGACCTGGAATGGGCTGGATTCAGACTCTAGACCCCTCAGCGAAAGTGAACGCTTATGCTTTTCGCCTGCCAAGATATCCAATTAATTTATTCTACTACGACATCTTTCCTACCTATAATGGACCCCCTCCTGTACTGCCATCCTGGAGCAGAGAGAGTTGAAGGCCAAAAACCTGCCTCTACATGGAAATGCCTGTCAAGCACATCTCCTCCAATGTCTTCCATAACTGCTCTCAGAGGGTAATACAAGATCCAAAGCGACCCCATCAGGTGATCGAGGCCGGTTCCCCTACCGACCTATAACGCAACTTCCTCAGCATCATGCCATGCACGTTCACCAGCTTTGCTGCGGCTGGGATAGAAATCCAGAACTCACAATGCATCGACGGCGTACGATCCATGGATGGGCACGACAGTCAACCTCCCACGGCTCGAACTCGCTTACGAGGGGCCGGGACAAGAGGCCAGTGCCCTACCAAAGGAAAGCTCGGAAGCTCGCACCCATGGGAAGGCGGCGGAGGGGCATCATTTTGAATTGGGTTTCTTTATCTACCTGTCATGATTCACTCTTTCTTTCCCATCTCGCTTCCGGCAGCCCCGTCGCCAAAGGGCTCTCTCTCGGCTTATTTCAGAGCAAACTCAACTCTACCTAGCGCACACGGTCCTCCCGCGGCGTTGGTTGGACTGGAGCGGGGTATTGGCTCATGGCGGCCATTGTCCATGCGGGAAGGGAAGCTCTCTCCGCAATCTGATCCTGCAGGAGAGCTGGGCTAATGGGAAAATCTGGGGGAACATCGGCTGGCTGGTCTACCGTGGGTAGATGCGCTAGATTGAGGACTGATATCGGTCTGTTCTGGTTATTTTGTTTAAATAATTTGATTTTATTTGTTCGAGGGCTTCCTTCGTTTTTACGACCCCCCCCCCCCCCCCCCCCCCCCCCCTCCCCCCGCAATTTCGATGCAGGCCGGGTTTTGACTCGAGAAAGTTCACGCAGGAGGAAATCATGTTTTCGGGATTAAAAGGCCAAATCCTAAGGTAGGGCCGCCGGAGGAATGTACCTGGCCTTGGGTGGCCGGTCGACGGTTACTTTAGGTACCCGATGCCTCCTGGTAGGGGTGGCCTCGATTGCAACATCACGACAGGATGACGTTGATGAAATCCAATGTGGAACGTTCACACAAAGAAATCGAGTTGTGAGTGGCAAACACTCACGATCTCCCCACAAAAAAAAAAAAAAAAAAAAAAAAAAAAACGAATGGCGCCCCGACGCCGCCCCCCTCCTTCGTACGGCGTAGGTCCTTATGGCTGGGATCTTCTTCCACTCCGTGGTCGGCAATCTCTTGACTGGAGACGTTCGGATCTTTTAAGCTGGCTTATACGTTCGACCATGGGGATAGCAGACAACCACTTTCATCATCAACCTACTGCGTATACGCCAATTTTCAAGCATGTCGTCGGTGGGGCGGGAGCTCCTGTTGAGAGTTTCTTCCGCCGCTGGGAGGTCCCAGAAATGGGATAGCGGGACGAATGTAATTTTCCTTTCGCACGGAGGAGGTTGAGGTAGTTATAGAATATACCCGTGATGTATTGGATTTCTTTCCCTTCATCTTTCCAATCTGCTGATTGACTGCCCTTGAAGGATTGGGATAATTGGAATCTTGTTTGCAGTCACCGACACCCTTTCCTGCTTGATTGCGTGGGTTCGCGCCGCTCTCGACGGCTATTTCCCCGCATTTGGGACCTCCCAGCATGATGAAATACTGCGTGGTCCGACATTGGGATGCAGAGATGGTCGGCGTCTGACTGTAAGGGATTGTCGATCGCATTTTACCGTGACGTTTCTAGGTAGTATTATTGAAGAATGCCAAGTCGATTGCAAGTAGTGAAAGACAAAGAGATGCCTTATATACAATTGTGTTGTAGTTGTTGGCCTTTTATACTAACTGACCATTGAAGAAGCCAGTGCCTAATCTAGGAGAAATAAGTAGCGACAGCCAACAGACTAAAAAAAAAAGAAGCGACCGGGACATTTCCATGAATTCCCATTCCCAATTCCCAATTCCCCATTGCCAAATCCCAAAGCGCCCGGCCAGCCCCGTCGGCCAGTGAGAAGGCGCGAGCGAACCCCGGAGGATCTTCGAGCTGGACCTCCACCGCGACCCACTGGCAGGCGTTCCATCGACGGCCGACCAGTTCCTTGCTCTGCCTGTCATACAATCCAACCAGTCCTTTTCCTTCCTTTCACGCTTTTCATCCGAGGCTTCGTTTGCTACTTTCTTTTTCTTTTTCTTTTTTTCTTTTGGGCTGGGGTCAATTTTTGAATTTTCCCTTCCCCCCTCCTTCTGTGCCCTGCCAAAACCTCGACGGATTGGACCGCCGTTCCAGAGGCCACCCATCCGGTGCAGAGGAACAATCCGCTGCCAGTCATTTTAGTCCCTCCGCCGCCTCTTTCCTCATCGTCTTCCCCCCTCTTGACCGGTGGCTCCATGCGAATATCTAGACTCCGTCCTTTTGCTTCTTACCCGCCTCAGGCAATTTAATTTTCTCCAGGTCAATCGGATAGTCTGCTTGGCTTGCTTGGTCTGTCTCCATCGTCCTTTTTTTTTTTTTTTTTTTTTTTTTTTTCAATTCAATTCATTTGATTTTTTTAATCCCCTCTTTTCTATTACAGAGGATACCCCAAGAGACTCAGAGTACGACACTGACTACTACTACTACCTAACCCAGTCTAAGCCAACCTAACCCACAACCCGTTCCCTTAGTTCGCTCGATTTCCCTCCTTTCGTGCAGCTTGACCATTGGCGCCACTTCTTCTCGGACCTCCGTCCCGTGGCTCGTTCTTTTTCTCCTCCTTCGTATCCGCCGGGTCTGCGTTAGGAAGCTACCTTACCTGCTACCAGGGCTAGCCTCCGTGATCCTGCTTCACTTATCACTCTCCGCTCGCTCGCTGTACAACCTCTTTCCTCTCTCCTCTTTTCTGCTTCTCGTCCTCTTCTACCCTGCGTTTCGCCTCTCCCTCCGTTATTTATTCGTCTCCTCTTACACCGAGGCTTTATCGTTTCCATTCTCTCTCATTAGAACATCCCTTTCCTTCCACCCCCCTTTCCACCCCCACCTCCCGCATTCTCGGACGACCGACCGATCGAGCGACGTTGCAAGAGCCACCACATCCTTTCCCCAAGAAAACCTTCGCGAAACGACGCCGCCTCTGCTCTCCGCTCCGGCGCTCTTCCCTCGTCGCAACCGCCGCCCGCAGAGACAGGGTCTTCCTTGTAATCCATTTAAAAATCACGCCGGACAATTCGCGACCTTAGCCATCATCGCACGGGTGATTCGCCTTCTTCTCCGATCTTCGCGCGTCCGTCTCAAGATGCGCTGCTCTTAGGCGATCTGCTGCCCATAGTAACTGGAGCCAGTTCGCTTCGCAACGTCATCTATGGTCACGCTACCATCTCCGAATTCCGCGCTTCTGTGATATTCTCCTTTCGCTGCGACTCGAAATCCAGCCTTATCTTTGTTTCTTCTCTGAACAAATTTACACACCGGAATATAGTTCATTTCGAAAAAAAGAAAAAAACACAGGGAAAAAAAAAGAAAAGAAAAAAAGAAGATAAAACAACAGCAACAAAAAAAAGGCATTTTCTTGCTTCGGTGGAGGCCCGTTTTACTACGATCTGCCCGAACTCGCGACCATTTCGCAAAGCGCCTTCCTTGACGATCGCCTTACTTAGACTGGAAGCCTGGTCGCTTCTCTTAGGCGCCAAAAAAAAGAAAAAAAAAATCTTATCGCAGGAACCGTCACATTGTTCGAAAGATTGTTTTTTTCTTTTTCTTTTTTGTGTTTGGGTTTGGATAGATCATAAAAGTTCCGTTGTTACTAGACTGGTAAGTTTTGGAGATCATACGATAACAGGACGGGATCACTCATGCATGAGGGGTGCGCCGACAGACGCGATCACGAAATTCATTTGCACTTCTTATACCTTTCTGAGACTGTCGCAAATCCTCAAGTTATTGTATCGGTTCCTGGTTTGATCCGAAATTGTACTTTACAAGGTATGTGTGTGCTGTGTTCATGTGTCCTGTCCACCTTGCTTTGGTGAATAAAGCCCGCAACATTCCCTACAACCTCCCTGTGAATTTGTATCACCCTTTTTCATCAGCAATTGGCCTCTTGTCAAGTGGAAGGAACACCATATCGTCCGATATCCCAATGATTGGGGAGCAGCTATATACCTGGCGGCATCCAACATATGCTTCAGGCTCCCCGAGGCCCTTACCGGTTTCTTAGCTCCCTGATCACTGCAAACTCGGCAAATATTCACTTGTCAAGTCAATGAACCAGGAAGCGAAAGCTGCTCTCTGGTTATTATATGACATCATCTTGGATGTTGCGCATTTGGCATTTATAAATCCAGGCACCCCTGATTTTCAGTTCCTCCGCATCCCGCTATCGCCACCGGAAGCTTCCCGCTGTCTCCAGCCTTGCTATACACCCCACCGGTACATCCCGTGGCCTCGCACGACGTTATTCTCTGCCCCTCTTCTTTTATATTCTTTCATCACATCTAGCTCTTGCCCTTTTCTTTTCCCCTTTCTTCATCCTCACCACAAAGTTGATGCAGGCTGAGCTAACTGACCAATGGGACTTTCAGACCTCAAGCTCTCTGGAGATCACCTTTGCTGAACCCTGGGGATAGAGATCTTCGTCTGCTATTTGCTCATAGATTTCTCTTTCTTTTTAATTTCCCCCGCCTTTTAATTCGACTATCTTGCGTGGAGACTTCAACATTAAGGTAATCCGCCCCAATTCTATCACATAGCCGGGACGTGGATTAATATTGTCATTTTGAATGATAGCCGCCTCAACGCTGAAAGTCATTCCATAACTAAAATATTGCTCATTACTGCTTCAGAGTTTCACGCTAGCTGTCTCAGACCCCAGGTAAGCATTTCATAGTACCCCGCATTCACTTGCTTTAATTCTTTGTCCGCTTTCCTTTCTTTGTGTCGGTTCCCGGTTTAAAATCCCACCAACCACGCAGTTGGCGACACTCGGTTGTCCTCTGAAGTGCCATTGCATACTGACATCTTGAAAAGTATTCTTTATATCTATGAATCTGTGGCCGAAGCCTTGAAAACTCTCTCGAATCTCGGCTTTCGTCCAGGGACCGTTAATCTATCTACAAAACACCATGACTGCACCGCCCAGCAAAGCAATGCAGGCACCCAAGCCCGGTACCGCAACCCCATCTGGCAACGCGTCGGCGAGGCTGGAAAAGTCTCATCCCGGGGTTCGTCGCTCAACGCCTGATTCAGAGGCATTGGCGTCTTCCGATGACGACGGGGAGCATTCGCAACTTAATGCAGCAAATCCGGCCGTGCCTGCACCCAAACCTGCTCGCCGTACTTCGTGGCTCAACGAAGTTCCAACTAATCTTCCCCGCAAGGCGTCTCTCACCACCGCTAACCCACTATCCTCTGGGGGCTCGAATCCTACCAGCCCCGCCACTGACCAGTCTGGCTGGCCTTCAAACACCTCTCCTGGAATGAGTAGCTCGATTCATTGGAATCACGTCGGAAGCAGTTCGTTTCCATGGGGCACGGGCATTTGGAACACCGAATCTAGGAAAGAACCCCCTCCTCGCCTGTCCGAGATTGTTCCATCGCCCACGATGGCCAATCCAAACGCCTATTTCACCGATGAGCTATTGAGCCCCACGACTCGTACAACTTCGGGAGACTCGTCTATCCCATTCTCCATTCCTCTTCATCCCACACCCAAGACATATCGCTCGCAGTCATACTCGGTGGGCCAGATGGATCCCGAATACTTGAGTCTGATGGCCAACAAGGCCGCGTCGCCCTATTCCGGCACACGTCCTCGGAACGGCGGCCAATTTTCCGCGCTGCAGCATCGTTCCTCCCGGCCGAGCCTACTGGGAGAACTGGGCCACGATCCTGCTACGCTCGGCCGTGTGCGCGAAGACGACGACGACGATGCCGGAAGCCCCAGTGGCTCCGATGGCGGTCTAACTAACTATACCACGAGCCAGGCCCGCGCCATCGAGCAGCTTGCCAGAGAGAATGCCTATCTTCGACAGGCCGCCGGCCAATTAGACAGCGGTTTCAGGGATCGTGCCATGTCTTCGGCCTCGGCAACCAGTGGATATGCAGTTGGCGCTGGCATGCACAATGTGCATCGCATTCAGGGGAGTGTTCCCGAGGAGGGAGATCTGGCAATAGAAGACCTGGATGAGGTGGGCGACATCCCCGGATACAGTAACATCCACAGCAATACTCGAAGGAGATATTCCGAACATTCAGGCAATCTCGAAAAGCAGTTCCCGTCGATGAACTCCCTGGAAAACCGTGCTCTTGATAATTTCAGAAAAGCTCAATGGCAGACGTCTCTCGGATTCGGGAGCATGTCGGACATTCCCCAGAGCCGACGACACTCCTTCGCGGACATTCCTATCCGGCAACCCTCAATTTCCGGGGAATCTTCTAGGAACCAGCTTGGAGATCGGGAAGAAAACTATACGGGTATTGGCGAAGGCTCCCTGTCAAATGCCCAAGGCCAGAACCGTGAGTACCAGCGATTTCAAATGGCTCCTCGCTCCGAGGAACATGAATTGGAAGCCGAATATTTACGAGCTCGTCGATTTGCAGAATCCTATTTTGCTCGCGACCAGGCTCTTCGCGCCGCCGAAGGTGTGTCTGCGGTTCCGACGTCCCTTCACCCGGCCTACACGATGCCGAATGCCTACGGTCGCCACCAACCTGGCCTCATGCACCCTCACCAGAACCAGCTCTTGTATATCGTAACGTTCAAATGTCACCGCGCCGATGTGTTCTACATCCAAGAAGACACTGGCCTTCAAGTGAAGGTCGGGGACCTGGTCATCGTCGAAGCTGACCGTGGCACCGATCTGGGAACCATTCAGCATGCCAATATTACCATGCAGAAAGCCCGAGAACTGAAGCAACAGTACGCGGAAGAGCACTACAAGTGGCTCATGATGTTCTCTAGGCAGGGCCAGAACGGGGCGGCGAATGTCGTCAACACGCCCGGCGGCGTCTCCGGCTTGAGCAGTCGAAGCGCAATTGGTGGCATGGGTCCTCATGGACCGCATGGGGTGCAGGAGTCTACCGCTGATATCAAGCCCAAATTGATCAAGAGACTTGCGCAAAACCATGAAATTATGACCCTGCGCGACAAAGAGGGCAACGAAGCGAAGGCCAAGCGAGTCTGCAATCAAAAGGTTGCTGAACATCGACTCAATATGGAAATCCTTGATGCCGAATTTCAAATGTGCGTTCATCTCACTCAGGTTCAATACAGGCCGTGATTGCATACTAACATTCGTTTACAGGGACTGGAAGAAGCTGACTTTCTATTACTTTGCGGATTCGTATATCAATTTCAACACGCTCGTGACCGATCTTTTCAAAATCTACAAAACTCGAATTTGGATGTCGGCTATCAACCCGGCATCATTTGTCACTCCCCCGTCTGCCGGGCTGCAGTCTCCCAATCGCCTTGGATACGGTCAGGACGTCCCGACCGACCGTTCCCATCAGCAGGAAAGTAGGGCTTTTGGCCCCACTCGGGATGGTGTGAATGCCGGCCGAGATGCCATTCCTAATCCGTTGGGATTGCTGCGCACTGCCTATCCAGAATCGTACCAGCCTTTTACCCAGGGCCCGCGACCGCCTGAAGCTGGTCTCGGTGGACTTGGTTCTGTTGACCCATTCTCGACGTATGCCCCGAACGCCTACACCGGCGTTGAACCGGGCTATGCCGACTATGCTTCCAGCTCTGGCACAAGCAATGGCCCTGGTCGTGCCCATGGTGCTCCGGGCGAATGGATGGGTCGTTTCCAGGGCCTGTCACTCAGTGGTTCTTAAGATATTGATTCTACCTTATTGCCAAACCCTCGTCCTCTTCTGTGGGCAGTCGTGCTGAAATTCCTCGCTCTTCCCTTGTTGAATCGACAATGACAAAGACCATCTCAAAGTCAACAAATATCTTGTATTTGATTCTCTCGACTCTTCTACAAGAGATCCCCCCCTTTCTTCTTTTTACTTCTCTCTTTATATCTTATTATCCCTTTCCCCTCTTTCTGTTGTTAATTCATTTTTTTCCTACCCTCTTGTCTTTTTTTCTCTTTTTCTTGTTATGGGCCGGTTTTAAAGAAATTAGAAAATGCGTGCAACGGATCAACCCATTTCATGGTCTGTCGTTAGTGCTGATACCTAATAGACTTTCAGCTTCACGAACTGATGGTTTAGCCATTTGAGCTTGTTTTTGCACAATGATTTTATATTTTATGTTTATCTTGCTTTCATTTGAGCAGAGCTCCGACTCTACCTTCCGATCTCTCATTGACTTGATGTACTATGTTGTATTCGTGCCTTTCCATGCTTTTTTTCTTTTTTTCCTGCGCAAGGTTTCGTAACGGACATAGGAGGGAAGAATCCACGCTTTTACAGTTAGATGAGAATAAATTGGACGCTTTCGAATGAGAGACACTAATGTTTAAGCAAGAGGTTCTGGGATTCTGTAGAATTCTGTAGAGCGTATACGGCAGGCAGTAGGGAGACAAGGCCTTCGAAATTTGCCCATTTCTCTAAGGGCAGTGGATGCCTTGTGGCCTTACCCGGCTCAATCGGCTGATTACATAAGGCGAAGAGATTTGAGGCGGACACCTGAGGCAGAAAGTGCTGAATAAGGACGGCGGAGCCGCTGATTGGGGGAGCGGCTGAGCTCGCCTAATCTGCTAGCGTCCCACACACAACCTCCGTTGAAGAGATCTCTCTCTCCGAACTTCTCAGTTGCGACAACGACGACAATCGACGACCTGCCACGCCGACAAGGTACGTTGCCTCCGTTATTCGGTTTGATTCTGGAAATCGAGGTTGCATGTTCAATCGCCATCTCCGGGATTAATTGAGCGAGTTCGATCTTTCGAGACTAACATTTTAATCGCTATTCCAGATGGGTGCCCTCAAGTACGTGGAAGAGATCCAGAAGAAGAAGCAGTCCGACGTGATTCGCTTCCTGCTGCGTGTCCGTTGCTGGGAGGTGAGAATTCCCCAACCCCAAATTTCGATCCTTTAAAACATCCCGCCGGATGTTGCTCGTGTGCTATGCCATAGGAATACCTACCCGTTTCCGAGGGGTGTTGCAGCACGGCTCCGAGAAAAGAAGAACTACGAAACTTTTTTTTCGCCGGCGGATGAAAATGGATTGTGGCACAATACAGAGACCTTCTGGGTTTCGCCTCATTGGGCTCCGTGTGTCTTGCTATACACTCGTTGAACTTTGCTGAGAGTGCATCAATATAGCTCCGTCAACTGAACGCTATCCACCGTGCTTCGCGTCCTTCTCGCCCCGACAAGGCTCGTCGTCTCGGCTACAAGGCCAAGCAGGGATATGTCGTCTACCGTATCCGTGTGAGACGTGGTGGCCGCAAGAGACCCGTGCCCAAGGGTGCCACCTACGGTATGAAAAACCTTTCACCAGTCGATTTTGGTCGAAGAGCAGCGAAAACTAACGGGTATGGACTTTTATAGGCAAGCCCACCAACATGGGTGTCAACCAGCTTAAGTACCAGCGTGCTCTCCGTGCCACCGCCGAGGAGCGTGTCGGTCGCCGCTGCGCCAACCTGCGTGTCCTGAACTCCTACTGGATCAACCAGGACTCCACCTACAAGTACTTCGAGGTTATCCTCGTCGACCCCCAGCACAAGGCCATCCGCCGTGATGCCCGCATCAACTGGATCGCCAAGCCCGTCCACAAGGTACGTGATTTGAATCGCTGGATGTTGGAGACGGCAGGACTGACGTGGATTTCCCTGAACAGCACCGTGAGGCTCGTGGTCTTACCGCCACTGGCAAGAAGTCCCGTGGTATCAACAAGGGCCACCGCTACAACAACACCAAGGCTGGTCGCCGCCACACCTGGAAGCGCCAGAACACCCAGAGCTACTGGAGATACCGTTAAGTGTAGATGGGTGGCTAAGGGAGATTGTGTGTCGTGGAAAAAATGGTTTCATGTGGACGTGTTTATTTCGTGTCTCATTCGTTTCTATGGCCATGTCAATGAAATGCTTGGGTGCGAGCATAATGAAACAGATCTTCTGGATCGGATGTTAACAAAATTTTTTTCTCTTGGGTTCAACTTTTATTATTCCCCCTCAACGAAGTATGACGACTGTTTTCTCGGTTTTAGAGTAATCCATCCCACCCGTAGACGTCTGACCTCTTGTAGACCTAAAGCAGTTTGTCGGGGCTTTTGGCTGGATGGCGTTACATTTTGTGCACGGCGTCAAGGCCGGGAATGGTCTAGTGAGCCGCATGAGCGAAACAGGGGGTCAAGCGCCGTCGAGCAGGAGATTTGACGCTCCATTGAAAGTGGGTTCCAGAAGAACCAGTTACCAGTGTCACCCTGGAGGGTCCAGGATTTAGAATAAAAATAGCAACCGCATCGTAATTGACTTCCTTTCGTACTGATCGTCCGATAGGGCCCTGACAGGCAGCCTCAGGCATCCCATGGTGTCTTCCATCGCGCTTGCCGTCAGCTTGTCCAGCACTTCTCTCTCCTCTCTCGTCCTCTCTCTCTCCTTTTTTCCCTCGCTCGCCCGCTGTCTTTCCCTGGACTTCAACCTCCTCCCCACCACGATTCTCGATCCCCGGTTCCTGCGGTTGCATCCGGCTCGTTCCCTCCAGTTCACGTTACATCTTTCGCATCTGGGGCCCCTTAGTCATCTCGACCTTACTCATCCGGTAGCAGTTCCTGTGCCTGGTTGGGAACTCGCTCGTTCTCCCCGTGGATCGTTTCTATTATTTAGTCTAGTCGGCGCTCTTGACCCTCAAACCGTTGGTGTCCTGATTTTAGTTCGTTTCGGCAGGATCCGGTCCCCATCGACTTACTGGTTGCTGCCTGTGGAAAAACCACCAAAAGGGGTGCTTGATTCTCCCCCTCCGTTCCATCCCTCCCTCATTCTTGAACTGCCAACTGCTCTATTTCCCGAGCCCGTGCTTGCACACCACCCCTGTGGCGTTCTAGAGACCGAGATCGTGGCGTGGGGTTTCCACCAACGTTGAGTTCGACCTTGCGACAGACAAATGCGCCCATATGCCGTCGCGGGCTCCACGTAATCCGCCGTATCCTCCCACGTCGAGCTCGCCCGCCGCTCCCCCACATGCGAACCTGGTCCCCTCGTCGATCGAGAGGAGTGCTCCCCGTCTGATTCCCCAAAATGCGACCGGCTTGCCATCCATGAACGCGAATCCAGCTACGTCGCCGCCGCATCGCCACGGCCATTCTCGCTCCATCAGTCATCCGTTTCCTTCTCCCTTCGCCGGCGCGGGCAAGAGGCGGAACCGATCCATCCCGAAGCAGGACTTTCTGGACTCGGACGATGATGATGACGATGTCACTTACCTGCCCGACCCTCTTTCGTCCAGCCCGCGCAAGGGCCCGCCGCGCCCGGTGCCAGGCGAGGACATGACGACGGGGAAGTGCATGACCTGTAATTGTACGATGCGGTGGCCGCGCAACCTCAAGATCTTTCGCTGTACCGAATGTCTTACGGTCAACGATCTCGAGCCGTATAGGGAATCGAATGACTCCAGCGGTCGTGGAAAGGATGGGAAGCCGCCTGCGCCGGCGATTCCTCGGAAAGGTGATTGCGCCCCGGCTTTGTCTCTTGCAGTCTCGCTCTAACCCGTGCTCTTCTTTCGCTCAGCTATCTCGCTTTCCGTCGAACGAACAAGGTCCATGGCCGATGGATGCATCTCGGGATATCTCAAGAAACTTTTGGAAACACCCGGTCCGCGAGCGATTCCCATAAAGAGCCCGCCGGACAGACCCTTCGTTGGACAGGATGGACTCTTGTCACTATCGCCAAAGCAAACGTCCGGGTACTTGTCAGACCCCCGCGGCGTCGATCCTCGTGGCCGAAGTTCTTCTGCCTCTGGTCGACCTAGAAATATGGATGGAACGAATGGAAGCACAAACCCCGTAAAACCCAGCGGACAGTCTGGTCCGTTGCATGCGGAGAGTCGGGATACTCAGACGAGACCTCGAGATATACCCAGAGGCGATCGGCCAGCAAGGGAACCCGGGCGACCTTTTCCTCCTGAGAGCAAAGACTCGATGAGCCGCCCTTACATATTCAGGGCACTTGAGGAATATATAATATCTTCTTTCAAAGGGTGCGATTGCCTTAATAATTCGTTTACAACCTCCCAACAGCCCTTGCAGACCACCAATGACAACAGCCCTTCCAAGAAAAAACCGGAAGCAACAGCGACACCGAGCCACGCGCACCCGGTATTTGAGCCAGATGCGAAAACTCTTCTTCTCGGCGATTTGGCCGAGAACTCTTCTTGGTGGATGCACGATGGTGAAGGGATTGACACCTCCAGCCACGCCCATCCTAAAGAGAAACCCTCTAGTTCATCCCGAGCGGTGAGTTCTAGGAGTCCACGCATCAACTGGGCTGAACTGGCACAATGGTACCACTCGATAGTGACGGCAGGCTCGTCATGGGTCGAGAAATGGTCAGAGATGCAGCCTAGCGATATAGAGGGGGATGAAGACCTGGTGAGGCGGGAACTATGGAATGCCGTCGACTTGAGCATAGTGGAAAGAGAGATCGTTGAATCCCGGTTACATCTGCATCGCACACTTCTCAAGGCGACTGAGAATCTTCTGAAACGGCCTCGACGGCCGATCAAAAAGCCGGAGGAAGTCCGATTTTTGCTGATACTAATGGCAAACCCATTGCTATACCCGTCCAGCTCGTCGATGGCTCTTTACACCACAGCCACCCCGGCCCCTCGGACCGACAGAAGACCCTCCCATCCCATGGATGCGGGTCAGAGACTCGCTCCGCCGGCTGCAAAGCCCGCTTCATCCAGGCATCGAAACGGGGGACCGGGCCATCACTCCGGCATTGTAAAACGGATACTCGGACAGCTGGCCAACTTGTCAAACGATTGCCATCACTATCTGGTGTCCTGGTTTTCTCGATTCTCGCCAGCGCAGTTTGAAAAGACGGTCGATCTCGTCGGTAGTTTTGTTACCTATCGCCTGACTCGTCAACATGGACGGAAGCGCAGCGAAACGGCCCAAAATGAAGACAACAGCCTGATCCCCAGCTTCTCTAGCGCGGCCGGAAATACGCCAGCCGAGCTACATGCTGCGATCAACGGGAGAAGTCCCAACAAGCAGAATAATGACAAGCGAGATAAACCCGTTGTTTACAGCGACGATTGGCAGCTGCGAGCCGCCGCTCGGGTGATGTCTCTACTATTCACGGCCAACAATGCCAACGTTTCGCGAAAAGCGGATGCAAGCGAGGTGGCAGGCTCGACTACTAAATACCAACCGCAGCGGCGAGGGCACATGGTCCCAATTAGCACATTCTACAACACTCTACTCGATTATTCCAACCTCGTGGCCGACTTTGAGGCCTGGGAGTCGAAAACGGCGAAATTTTCCTTTTGCCAGTACCCCTTCTTCCTCAGTATCTGGGCCAAGATTCACGTTCTGGAGCATGATGCTCGTCGACAGATGGAGGTCAAGGCCCGCGAAGCATTCTTCAACAGCATATTGAGTCGGAAAGCCATCAGTCAGTACCTTGTTCTGAAGGTGCGACGGGATTGTCTGGTAGAAGACAGCCTTCGAGGAGTCAGTGAGGTCGTCGGGTCGAGCCAGGAAGAAATTAAGAAGGGTCTACGGATCGAATTTGTCGGAGAGGAGGGCGTTGATGCTGGAGGCCTTCGCAAAGAGTGGTTCCTGCTCTTGGTCCGGGAGGTCTTCGACCCACACCACGGTAAGCTCATACCCACAGAATCGTTTTTAATGCGTACTTTCGCTGCGATGCATTGGCTCATCCTCCTGCCCGTTAGGACTTTTCATCTATGACGAAGACTCTCAGTACTGCTATTTCAACCCGTACTGCTTCGAGTCGTCGGAGCAGTTCTTCTTGGTCGGCGTTTTACTAGGGCTGGCCATCTACAACTCGACCATTTTGGACATTGCCCTCCCACCCTTTGCCTTCAAAAAGCTCCTGGCCGCGGCGCCTCCGACCGGGACCGCACCGCAACTGTTGACGGCACGCTCGCCATTCAAGTGCGGCCTAGACGACCTGGCGGAATACCGACCGACGCTGGCCAAGGGTCTCCGGGCCTTGCTGGACTTTGAAGGGGACGTTGCCGACACATTCTGCTACGATTTTGTGGCGCATGTGGATCGGTACGGAGAGGTGGTATCGGTGCCTCTTTGCGCGGGAGGGGAGACACGACCGGTGACAAACGCCAATCGGCGGGAGTTCGTGGACCTGTACGTTCATTATCTCCTGGACACGGCCGTCACGCGGCAATACGAACCCTTCAAGCGCGGGTTCTTCACGGTGTGTGGCGGCAACGCGCTGTCGCTCTTCCGGCCCGAGGAGATCGAGCTGCTGGTGCGTGGCTCGGACGAAGCGTTGGACGTGGCCTCGCTGCGGGCGGTGGCCACGTATGACAGCTGGTCGCACCCCCGGCCGGAGACTGTGCCGGCCGTCCGGTGGTTTTGGGACTTCTTTGAGCACACGCAGCCCGCAGCACAGCGTAAGATCCTGTCGTTCATCACGGGAAGTGACCGGATCCCCGCCATGGGGGCGACGAGTCTCTCGATCCGGCTGATGTGTCTCGGCGATGATTCGTCGCGATATCCGACAGCACGCACTTGTTTCAACATGCTGGGACTTTACCGATACGGATCGCGCGAGCGATTGGAGCGGATGCTGTGGGAGGCGGTGTTGAACAGCGAGGGATTTGGCTTGAAGTAAAGTAAGCACAGCAGGGGGACCGGGAGTTCCCTGGGAGCCATGCAGCGGTGAGCGCGGCATTTGGAGGGGCAAACAGCCAATCCGCCTGTATCTTATCCTGTAGGTAGAATTAGTCAATATCCTTTTCTCTCCGCTCCGTTGCCGTCCTTTCCCAGATTCCACGGTGTCTGGAGCTCTGGATCGTACTAGAAGGTACCAAACCGCAAGTGGGGCAGTCGTACGATGACACCTGCTTCCAAGTGACCAACTGACAGGATCGCTGGCCAGACACCGAAGCAGATTGGACGACGCCTGGCCTTCTCCAGACGTCAACGAGCCCCACGGCGCTAGTGCCCCATCGGGACTGGATGATTCTATACCAAGGAGCCCATCCAGTCTTGATTGGAAGCACCCCGAATCGCCGCCGATGGAATGCCTAGGTAGGGGGAACCTTTCCCCTCTCTTTAACTTTGGCCCTGTTTCTTTTGTTTCCCTTCCCCCCGCGCCGTCGGTGAGAAGAGAGGGGTGATGGAGGGGTGGGAATCAGGAGGCAGGGATACATAAATAGAGGCGTTTCTCGGCTGGTTGTCGTCCGGTTTTCTTTTCTCTCTTTCTTTTGTCTTTCTTTTTTTATCTTTGCTTTTCCTCGTGTTTGATTACGTACCTTGGTCTTTACCTATTTTATCGGTCTATTGTTAGTATTCGTTATTCATCATGGGTTCGATTCTGCCTCAGTCGATGAAAGCGCTTCGGTAGGTGGTTAACTGGCTTGGTTGGCTTACTGAGCTGTTTTGGTTGTGTTGTTTTGGATGTGGATTCAGCTGGGTATCGAGAGACGTATGCTGATCTGAGAGAATTTATTCTGGTCTAGGTATAACGAGCCGTTGAAGCATGGGATCGTGGAGGTTCCGTTGCCTGAGCTTCGCGATAATGATGTCTTGGTATGTGATATTCCTCGCTGGCTGGGGATTCTGGATGATACTAATGCCACCTCTGGTGTTAGGTCAAGGTCAAGGCGTGCGGTGTCTGCGGCACCGATTTGCATATCCATGAGGGCGAGTTCATTGCGAAGGTATGCAGACCCTGTTTTGTCTTGTGCTTTGTGTGGCTTGTTTGGACGTGGCTGATGGGTTTTTTTGATGGATAGTTTCCTTTGGTTCCCGGTATGTCAGGCCATTATTCTTTGTGCTCTGGCCTTAAGAACAAACGATGCTGATGGGAAATGCCCACAGGCCATGAAACCGTTGGCGTAGTCGCCGCCGTCGGCCCCAAGGTCAAAGGCTTCGAGATTGGCGAGCGCGTCGTGGCTGATAACTCCGAGTTGTGCGGAGAGTGCTTCTATTGTCGTCGCGGGGAGGAGCTGTTCTGTGAACACTTTGAGGCTCATGGTGTAACCATGAACGGCGGATTTGCCGAGTACTGCGCCTATCCTGGTAAGTGCTCCTAAGCGGTCGTTTGGTTCGTCGAAGATGAGAGTCAAGTGTTGACTGGAGTATAGCCGGTCGTGTGTTCAAGATCAAAAACCTCTCCGACGTCGATGCCACGCTTCTGGAGCCTGCCTCGTGTGCTGCCCACGGTTTGGATAAGATTGCTCCCAAGATGGGTTCCTCGGTGTTGCTGTTCGGCGCTGGACCGACGGGTTTGGTAAGCTCAGACCTTTTCGACCAGGGTGATCTTCTAGTAGACTAACAAAGTCATTAAGATCCTCGCACAACTCCTCCGTCTAAACGGCGGCTGCCGCGTTGTAGTCTGTGCCCCCGAAGGTCTGAAACTGGACCTGGCCAAGTCTCTGGACGCCGGCGACGAATACATCGCTCTGTCTCGGAAGGACCCGAGCGCACAGTTCGAGCAGCTCAAGAAGGATAACCCGTACGGCTTCGATATCGTGGTCGAGGCGACCGGCAGCGTGAAGATCCTCGAGGACTCGATCAACTATGTTCGTCGGGGAGGCAAGCTCGTTGTTTACGGCGTTTACTCCAACAAGGACCGTGTGTCTTGGCCCCCGAGCAAGATCTGTAAGTCATCCGCTGTTGATTCCGGTGTTTTCTGCTTGTGTTTCTGCTTGTTCGCTCCTAGTATGTGATTGCCTTGCTGACGATGTGAATGACATAGTCGGCGACGAGATCAACATCCTGGGCAGTTTCTCGGAGACGTACAAGTTCCCCGCTGCCATTGACTACCTGGACTCGGGTAAGGTTAAAGTCAAGGGCATCGTGAACAAGGTGTACAACATCCACCAGTGGGAGGAATGTCTGGAAGCGATGAAGAACAAGACGGCGATCAAGGCGGCGATTACCTTCGATTAATTGGTTTGCTTTGGAATACGAGATGAAAGAATGGATATATATACACACCCATACTATATAGGAACATGAATCTGATAAGATAGGACTGAAGAAGACTGTATTCTGAATTAAAATGGAATTGAGTGAGATGAACAAGAGAGAAAGAGAGGAGGACAAACGAAGAGGACCTTGGGAGAATGCGATGGCCTTATGTCATCGGCAATACTTCAAGTTAATTTTCTAGCCGTCCGATAAGATAACATAACCATCTCGACTCCAACCTCCACCACATCCTCCTCTCCATTCTTCTCTTTCCCCCTCCCCAAACATCCCCCAACAAAACAAAATGGTCAAACCCCTAACCTTCAAAGGCGACAAGCCCAAAAAGCGCAAAAACCGCGACCCCTCCACCACCACCAGCGACGGCGTCCCCGCGAAACGCGCCCACACCGACGACTCCAACCCCAACGCCTCAGCCATCACCACGACAGACGACGCCCCCGACGACCAGACCTGGGTGAACGCAGACACGTCGTCGGACATCGCCGGCCCCGTGATCCTCGTCCTGGCCTCGGACCCACCGACCTGTATCGCCAGCGACGCTAACGGCAAGGCGTTCGCCAGCGAGCTCGAGAACACGATCGATGGGGACCCGGGGACCGCGGAGCCGCATGACGTGCGACAGGTGTGGGTTGCGATGAGGGTCGCGGGGACCGAGGCGTTCGGGTTCAAGGGACATCATGGGAAGTGAGTTTTCGCTGTTCTATTCGATCAGTTCCGTCTTCGGGGTCATGCTCTGTGGAGATACCATCCCTGCGCGAGCATGAACAAACAAAGAAAAAGAGAGAGCAAGGCTAATATGGTATGGCTTGGTGATTTAGATTTCTCGGCTGCGACAACTACGGCATTCCCAGCGCGACGGCGTCCGCGATCTCGCACCGCGAATCCTTCCTCGTGATCCCCGGCGAAGTGCCCGGGACGTTTGCGCTGCAGACGGGCGGCGGGGACAAGGAGAACTTCATCTCCGTGAAGGAGGTGACGTCGAGCAAGAATGCGAGTGGGAAGGGGTGGGAGGTGCGTGGGGATGCGGAGCAGATCTCGTTCGAGACGACGGTGCGGATCCGCATGCAGGCGCGCTTTAAGCCGAAGATTAAGGCGACGAAGGAGACCAAGGCGCGGGAGAAGGTGAGTCGGAAGGAGTTGGAGGAGGCGGTGGGGAGGAGGTTGGATGATGACGAGGTGAAGAGGTTGAAGAGGGCGAGGCGGGAGGGGAATTTCCACGAGGAGATTTTGGATGTCAGGGTGAAGGGGAAACATGATAAGTTTGCTTGATTTGGTTTCATTTTGATTTTTGGGATAGTGGTTTTTGGATATCTGGGTATCTATTTGCTTTGCTTATATTATTTTGAAAGAGGGGAGCGGATTGGACATATGTATTATATTATGTATACCAGAGATTATATTCCATCATACAAGGGGGTATCTATCAATCATTCAAACATTAGTAACTGCCAAGCACTATCGAGTTGTCCTTCGAAGCATATAATCTAGATGGACCATGCGATTCGTCACGGGCACTGGATAGCTTCCTGGCGGAACAACGTTCTTTTTGCACAACGGGCAAAGACTGCTATTCTGATCCAGAGACGTGTCAATGCACTCGACGTGGAAGATGTGCCCGCATGGGAGCTCGCGCACGATGGCCACGTTGGGCACGAAGTCGTCCAGGCAGATTGCGCAGGTTGTTTGAGAGTGACTGAGTCGGTTCCGAAAAAAGGGCGCGGTGGTTGGTGTTTGGCGTTCGCTGCTAGCTGATATATCATCTCTTTGATTTGGGCATACCTCCTGTTCTTCGGCCTCCTTCCCCCCTTTCTGAATGTCTCCGACAGCCTCATCTGTTCGTATCTGTGTTTCGCTTTCTGTATGTGACTCCTCGGGTTCCTCTTCCACTTTATCCAGTGGCTGCATGGAGATCCCGTCGCCCGATCTCGATTCGACGTCACGGTCGCTGAGAGCTTCCAGATCTGGGTACGCATACACTGGGAACGTATCCAAAATCTCCTGGGATACTTTCACTTGGTGAAGGCCCAGGTGCTCGATATCCGCCTCCCCCGCTTCAATTCGACGCTGTAAACTTTCGCGTCGTCGCTTCTGCACGATCTGGTAGCAGAGAAGTAGTATGACGCTGAGGACCAGTACCGTCCCTACAATCGCGAGGATGAATCCCCAGAGACTGGGCATTTTCTTTCCACCTTTATCTGCAACCAGTCGGAAACCAACCATTAGTATTGCTTAAGCTGACAGAGTGTTCGCAAGGTGGGGAATAATAACCCACCTATATTAATGAGGGCAAATAAACGCGTCTCGCCTTGCCCTTCCTGCAAGAACTCTGTAGAATCATTATGCGAACGGTTCGGATTCCCCGAATACCACGATAGTTGGCGCATGATGGTCGCACCCGCCGGGCCAGGGATCGCATAGACCGGGTACTTATTGCGCCTCTTCCATTCCCGGTCTCGCAACGACCATACCGAACTATCTTCCGCCGGTGGTTTGGTATCGTTACTAGAGGGTATGAAAAAGACCAGTGCATTGGTTCCGACGCGCCGAGAGGAATCCAGGAAGGACTGCGTACAGTCGGCGCTTATCCATGGCGCCAGCCCAACGGTGCGGTAGCCGAACGTTTTCACGTCCTCGAAGCGAGTGACATTTGCGGGAACATATTGAGCCGTGGCATTGGTGCATGGGTCGCTATCATCGAGACCAGGAACAAAAAATAAACCTTTAATGGGACCTTTGTCGGGTGCATTTTGGGTTGACAGCGTCTGGACCGTGCCGTCAAGAGCCAGGCGGAATGTCGCGCTATCCTGCAAGATACAATCTTATCAGTATTTTCTTCTCATTTCCTTCCCCATATTTAAGCACCGGCCTTTCTCCACGTGTCGGAAAAGAACCCAACGTACATTGACCAACGGTGTGTTATTAGTCGCTACTTCTGGGCCTGTAAAGAGCGAGGCCGCCGTCGTGAGCGATGCGGCAGCTAGGATGGAAGTCATCAGTCCATTGACCTGGATGGTGATAGACAGATAGTCGTTGATCTGCACCGTCCAACGGCGAGAACACGACATGCCAGGAGGATCAATCATACCCATAACCAGCAGGACATCAAATCAAGTATTTGCTTTCCATAAAAATTGCGAAACTCTAAAGCGGCTCAAATCAGATCGAATCCAATTGCATGAAGCATCCTGCATGGAACTGGAGCGGTCAGACGTAGGATGCGACAAGAGAAGGCGGTTAGATCGGGGGAGGGATGTGAGGGTAAATCAATAGTTCGAGCAAGAATGCTGACAGGTCTCGAAGGTTTCACTTTCACTGCCAAAGGAGAGTCAAAGGCATGATTAGCTGCATGCTATTGAGACCTTCCTGTTCCCGTTGACCCGGTTTTCCTTGCATGGAAATTTGCCTGATGACCGCCCTGCAAATGGTTTATTTTTTCAAATTTTCTCTTTTCGTCCTTGTTCGCCCCTTCGCAGATTCTCGCCAGTCGACCGCAGATTGCCGTTTGCGGAAGGATTGGAATGACGTTTGCAGACTGGATCCTACATGGTGCTGTAGCAAAGGCCATGGCCAGGGAAAAACCAGAAACAGACAGAGTGGTTGGTGGATGAATGCATTAAATTCCAAGATTGCTATGCAGCTATTATGCGCTGAGAGGGCGACTATAGTCCATATTCATTGCCAATCAAGTCGAGGCAGAGTAGTCAGCACGCAGGACTCGGTGCAATTGAAGGCGTAGCATAGTTTCACGGCGCAACCAGCCGTCCCATGGGTAAATGGAGCAGATTGGCGATGGACAAGGGTCCTAAACTCCGCAACTGGCCGAGGATTGGACGGGGATGTTTGATGCTGGCGAGGAAGAGGAAAAGAACGCTTACCCAATCGGGCAACGGCGTCAATTCTCCAGATCACGTGCTCTCCATGTGACGTGCGTCAGGTGATTTGGCAGCGACCTCGCGATTCCCCGGATTCGAAGGCAACAAGCAGGCGCGTCCACGTCCTCGTGTGTACCAGTCTTAACCAGCCAGCTCCAGTGTCTCCTGTCGCCTTCGCCCGACCTGCAAGCTGGTCCATGCCCTTTACAGATCAGTTGCGAGCGTGAACATCATGGGAAATTGAAACCCGACCGCTTGAACCAACCCGACGTACCCTTTGTAATCCGAGAACCGCCCCGCACACCTCTCCTACTACAGATTACGACGAATTCACCTGGAAGAAATGCCATCTGCGAACAAAGGCAAGGGGAAAGGGCGTGATGTCCGCCCGTCGCGAAGTCGCAACACCACCCCCAACTCCAGCTTCAGTGCCGGCCCTACCGCTCCGGTTTCCAGCTATCTCGATAATGACGCCTCGAAGCTGCTTATCCCCCAGACCATCCAATATTCCGAGATCCTAGATCGCATGGGTGGAGTGGGCCCTATCCCCGATTCCAGATCTCTCGAATCTTTGAAAGAACATCTGGAGACACTCGGTCAACTAGCGGAAGCCCGTGGTGATGCCTGCAATGCGGGGATCCGGGAGCTGTCGCAGAAGCGAAAGGAGGTGGTGGACGATGCCGAATCATTCGACGCCGATCGCCCCAAAATGAAGCGAGAGGCTGATGAGGAAGAAGAAGAACCAAAGGTGTCGAAAGGAGGGAAGCTGAAGAAACGGAAGGAGCGCGGGAGCAGTTCGAAGGAGGATCGTCCGCTCAACCACGGCGCTCACGAGGTGTCGCGGCAGGACGGTGTGGAGCCGAAAGTGGAAGGTGGTGAGTAGCTGCAAGCTTCCTGTGGTGACGCTCAATCTGTAGACAAGACCTAACGGATCCCCAGCTGCATCTCCGTCATCGAAGAAGTCGAAGAACGCCTCCGAGGGCTCGCCCCTATCTCCTCCCTCCCAGAGATCCCCTCGACAGAATACTGCTACCGCCGAACAACCCGAAACAGCCGACTCGCCCATGTCGGACGACAGCTCCGATTCGCATCAACCAGAGCCTGCGCCCGCAGTAACCCAAGTCCAGGTGTTCGGGCCCAACCCGTTGAAATTCGATGACCCGACGATTTACAACATTCGCGATGTTACGCCGGACATGACGGATGAGGACAAGAAAGAAATCTACTGCGTCAATCGTTTCCCTCGGAGTGATCTGGGGCATATGATGGCAGGCATTCCGCCTGATAAGGATTTCAGCAATGCCAAGCCTACGAATCAAGTCAGCGCCAACACGTTCCTCGCTTATATTGACGCCTATGTGCGCCCGTTGACGGAGGAGGATATTGCCTTCTTGAAAGAGAAGGGCGACCGTGCGACGCCTTTCGTCATGCCCCGACGCGGGAAGAAGCATTACAGTGACATCTGGGCCGAAGAAGACGGGATGATGAGCCTCGATCAAACCAACGGAGATCGCGAGCGTCTTCCTCTAAATCAAGGCCGGGGCAACATCGACCAAGTGACGGATGAAACCGTGGAGACGGACAAAGTTTCTGTCGGACCTTTGGTTAGCCGACTTTACTCATTGCTCCGCTACGAACATCGCGCTCCTGATGAAACCCCCGCTACTAGTGGACAGGCCAACGGCGAGATGCCCACGACCAACGGCAGCTTCAATGATTCCATGGACCTCGATCACCCCCCTGCCGGAGGGGAGTCTGAAACTAAACCCCAGCCTTCCGCGACCTCGTTCCCGGACGCTTCGCCGAGCGGCTTCAAAGTGCCCGCCGCCAAATTGGACCACGCCCAATTAGACGAACGCCTCAAGGCTGAACTTCGCCATGTTGGTTTTCTAGGTGCAGAAGACAACCCCGACTACGATGCCCACTACGACGACGACATCGCGCAGCGCCTGCGTCTCCTTCAGAGCGAACTGAAGAAGCAAATGATCATCAACAGCGCGCGCAAAACCCGGCTGCTCGAAGTCGCCCGCGAACGCATGGCCTACCAGGAGTACATGACCATCCACGATGACCTCGACTCCCAGGTCCAGCAGGCCTACTTGAAACGCACCCGAACCCTCGGCAAAAGCAAAAAGGGCTCCCAAGCCAAGCACCGCCCCGGCGGCGCCGGCGGCGGCAGCCATGTCGCCAGTGCGGCGGGTGTCGGTCGTCCTGCTATCGGAGACGTTGCACGAACCCTCATGGACCGTCGTAGGCGCTGGGTTGACTGCATCGGACCGGTGTTTGGAGACTGCAAAACCTCCGTGCCGACCGGTACCGAGACCGTCTTCGACCCTCTGATCATGGCCGAGTACGAGAAAGGGGAGCTGGAAGGGTGGGATGAGGAACAGGAGTGATCTTTTCCCTCTCTTTCTGCATCTCCTTCCTATCATGACCCCTCTGTTCAATCTCTTTATTTTCGTGTACAGTTGGACTTGGCGTTTCGCTTTTCATATCCTTATATAACTCTGAATGATGAACGATATGGCTTGAAAGGGATGGATGGGTACGAGCATGGCTGATTGTTAAGTCATAGATTTTCTTCGGTGTCATTGTGGAGTTGGATGGTTTGATTTTCTGTGTTTCTTTTGTGTGATGTGATAAAGGGGGCGTTCGGAGGGTTTCCCTAACATTTTAATGGTTTTTTCCTCTTCTTTTCCTTGCTTCAGGCAGAGCTACCTACTGGGAGCCTTCGATGAGTGGGTAATATTGATGTCAATGTTCACCTTGTACAGCAAGTTATCAGAATTCACGTTCTCTGCGTATAAGATATCCAAAAAATGCACTCTTTAATTTCTATACTTATCATGGGTATCAAAAACAACAAGAACAGAAAAACGTCAAGTCCAACTAGCCCAAAGCCCAGAAATCCCACGCTCCGGTACTATCGATGTACAATCAAGACCTCCCCGGGATAGCGCTTCAACCGCCCCGTCAGCTCCTTCTCACTGATTTCCAGCTCCGTACAGATCTGATCGAAACAGTGCATCCCGTCCAGAAACTTCGACAGGGTCTTATCGTCGATGAAATCCTCGTCGTCCTCGTCGTCCACCACCACCACCGTGCCCGGACGACTGCCGCTGTGCAGAGACGTGGCCTGGTCGCCGCCGCCGGCGATGGGAGCCGGGTCGTCGCCGACGCTGGACGCGTAGGGGCTATTTGTGCCGGTGCCGGGGCCGCGCGAGGACGGGCCGCTGGTGGGGTAGTTGTGGAGGTGCTGGTGGTGGAAGTGAGAGGATTTGGAGGACGGGGCGGGCATGCCCGTGGCGATGGCGTATTTGTGCACGCGGTAGAGGAAGCCTTTGATGACGCCGAAGGTGATGAAGCGTCGGATGTCGATGTGCGCCAGCTGTCGGCTGTGTTGGATGTACCATTGTTTCACGCTTTGGCCTTGTTTCAGGCTGGCGTAGAGCTCGATGATGGAGACGCCGTCGACGACGGGGCTGGTGTTGGTGCTGGTGCTGGTGATGGCGCCGTTCGTGCTGTCTTCTGTTACGGCGGATGTCCCTGTTTGGTGGCGACGGGGGGGGTGGTCTTCGCGTGCGGTGGAGCCGGATTTGGATGTTGTGCTGGGGCTGACGGGGCGCGGGCTTCCGTCTGTGCTGGCGAGGTCGATGGGGATGGGGTCACCGATGGGCGGCCAGACGGCGTCGGGGTCGTTGTGTCGTGGGGGCAGGTCGGGGTCGAAGTTGGTAGAGGCTGTGGTTGGGGAGGCGAAGGTAGCGTTGACGTAGCGGGCGCATTCGCGCTGCATGTCTTCGTCGGAGGCGATGGTGGCGCTGAATTGAGCGGTGGGAGCGTAGATGGCGGAGAAGGAGAAAATGTCGAGGAGGAAGAGGCAGCCATAGTATAGGAGGTGGCGGATTGCGCGACAAGTCAGGGAGAAGTCGGTGTCCGCGAGGATGGAGATAATGCGGACGCTATTGACACCGTTGATGTGAGGCACGATCTAGAAAGCTTCAATGAGATTTTGCGGTCGGGTTTGGCGATAGGACACACGTACCCGTTGCATTGTCAGATCCCAGTTCTCGTCCATAAAGGCCTGGTACCGGACTGTGAACAGGGGGACCTGCCAGGCTCGAACCGACGGGGGAGCAGGATAGACGGGGAACAGTTTGACGTTCAAGGTGTTCAGGTCGTCTGGTGTGGAAATTCAAGGGTCAGCCATTGCGGTTGAGCAGACGAACAGAGACACCGTACCGATTGGAATCATGCTCTCGCAGTAATTATTCAGATCCTCCATCAGCGTTTCGCACAAACTGTACACCTTCCCCTCGCCGCTCTTGGAATGGTCTCGAGACAAAAACCCATTCTGTTCCTCCAGCCCATGCATCAAATCCGCCAGTTTCTGAACGACGCTCTTGTACGTGCTGAAGTCTTCTTCCTCCGCGAGCACCAGGCAAAAATTGAAGATGAATTCATTTCGATCGTAGCGGAGGGATTTCATGCAGATGGGATAGCCCAGAATGCGGTAGCCGTTGGTGCACACTTGAATGAGGTTTCCGCAGAGCTCCTGGCGAGGGATCACGAAGAAGGACACGTCGGAGAAGGTGAGGAAGAGCGGCTGCGAGGGTGCCGTGCTGGAGGGGACGATAGCTCCATCAGGAACTTGGTGAACGACCTTGGGGCCTGTCGAGGGAAAAAAGGAACAAGGTTAGAGATACATGGGTCAATCGCTCGAAGCTGGGGCTAGCAGGCTTACCCTCTTGCGTGTCGAATTTGCTGTAGAAAATGGCCTTGATCATAGCGAGGGGCGATGACGACAGGGCGATTGGAAGGGGCAGCAAGGCGATCGTTTCAGAACATCGTCGCGTTCCTGGGTTGTTCTGGTGGTGGAGTTGCAGGAGTCGTGGGGACGGACGTGGAGACGGTCTGGTTGGGCGTTTGGAGTTACTCCGCTCCACGTCGATCCGGATTCTTTCTTTGCTTTTTCGGTTTCTCGCAGGCGCACCTGGTCCTGCAACGACCGAATTCTATGCATTCTACACGTTGGAAGTATACGCAGCAGTGTTTCAAAATTGTTCACGAAAGAAATGATCACCATTTTCATGCAACGCTGGAATAAAACGGCAGAGGAATCAATCAACAGGGTATTAGAGTCCACGATAGGGGAGATGAAAGGCAGAATTAGCAAGTCTAAACCAGTCAGTAGTCGGAACCGTTTGCGAGACCATGAGCAAAAAGAGGAAGATAAGGAACAGAACATGGGGCCGAAAGAATGAAATATACGCCGGGGACATGGGAAAGGTAGGAAAACACCACCGCTGATGCGCCAGAAATGCATCGAAAGAGGAAATGCGTGCGCTTGCTAGAATCCGGAGATCGACAGAAGGGAACAAAACATCAGATATCAAATCAGAAATCAACCGGTGAAGTCCTCTGCTCTCTTCAACGCGCAGCCCCGGATGGAGAATGCGGAGGGCGTCGAATGGCAGTTCTCGCATTCGATGGTGCTGGGAGAATGGACAGCGGCGTCGCCTGCCGGATGCTTGTCCTACCCAGATGGGGCACGGAGGAGGACATGTCGTACAAGATATTCAACGGCTGACCCGTTCGAATCGCACTGAGCACGTCGGTGTAGCTTCCGCGTTCTCCGGCTTCCTTTAACCATTGCTCCCAATCCTCGTCGAGAGGCACATTTGCGCCCTGCTCGCGAGCAGCACTGGCTGCCAGGAGACGGTGGTTCAGCTCCACTCCGCAGCTCTCCATCTCCTCGTCACTCGATTCCTCCTCCACCTTCAGTGCCTGTATCTCACATTCAACGTCGCGATCGGTGGCGGCGACAGCGGCGGGGCGCACGACGTCCTCGTAGATCTCCTCCTTGGGCTCTTGTTCTCGGACCCGCTCGGGACCATCTTCGTAATGGATTTCGATCGAAGGTAACGGAGCGGGCGAGGCGGGTCGGACGCCGTCGGCCGTGGTATCTTCCACCTTGACGCCTTCCTCCTTCTCGTAGCGCTCGCGAGCCGATTTGGTACCCTCCCAGCGACACAGAGAAGAGATCTCCGCCTCCGTCAATCCTAGCTCGTCGAAGACTCTGAACAGTCGACGATGCCACGGGAACCGACTGAGCCGCATGCGATGGGGTCCGTACGAATAATCTAGGCCCGGGTATTGAGCCTCAACTTTGTCTAGCGACCCATAGAAGGTGGAGGTCTCGATACGAACTTCAGGGACTAGGTTACGAGTGATGTGAGCCGAGAACGTCGCCGGGTCGCTCGTGCGCGGGCGTGGGAAGGTCGCGCTGTGCACAATCTGTGCCAACGACGGTTTGTGCATGGCGAAATGGAAAATGCGTCGTTGTGGTGTTTGGGTGTTGGATGTGAGTGTCGGACAGCGACGATCGGAGCGATATTTAGGGGTTGGGGGAAACTGTATAGATCGAGAAGAGAGAAGTATGCCGGTAAAGTGGTCAAAAAGAGCGAGAAAGAGAAGGAAGAAGACAACAAAGGTCTCGAAAGAAAAAGGGAAAGCCAAAAAATGAGATAAAATAAAATAAAAAGAGGGGGGAAATTAATGGCAGGGGCTATAAAATGCCTGCTAAATTTAGGAAGTAAGAAATGGACGAAATGGACAAGAAAGGAATTCAGATTCCCAAACACCCTGGTTGCGGAAGGGCGACAAGAGCAGGGGATCGACGATCAATAATAGTAGGGGAAAAAGAAAAGACAGGGCCACAGTTGTACGGAGTAAAACTAGCAGCGATCTGGAATTCCGATCTCACCAGAGTTTCAGCGCGAGCACGTATGTACCAAACTACCAGGGGGGACCTCCAGAGGAATACATCAACGTCGACCAACCCGTCCGACGTGGAAGAAAGGGAAGGTGAGAAGACAACTAGTGCGAGTGATGAGGTGAGGTGATGATGAGTTGTTGCCGATGCGGTATGCAGGTTTGATGACCGATGACTCGGTCAGGAGAATATCGGCAGCGAATGGTCGTAGTGGTTTTTTTGGTCGAGGCTCCTGATAAAGGCCACGGCGTTCGGGACTTTCCAGGAGAGGATGGATTTCTATTGCTCCTTCGTTTCTTCTAATTTATTTTTGTTCTGATCGGAGGAATGTTTCTCGAAATGAAAGGATCTTCGGCCCCTGAATTGGATGTGACACACGACCGAAAGCCCGTAGCTTCAGGTACGAATCAGGACCCGAAGCTAAACCCAACTCCTGATTTAGAAAGAAGAAGTATCCATCGTGGGAAGATGGTGGCGAATACTAACGGGGACGTTGGGGTGGGGAGAACTCAAAGAAAACAATGCGGGATCAACAGGAAGGGGAGAGAAGCGTCAATGGAAGGACCAGCGACAGTCTTTATATAGCTTGATGCCTTTGTCCGGGTTGATCGGACAAGACCAACGCATGCAAATTGACCAGCGCATAGGAAAAGCGGCGTGGAGCAAGCAGAGCTGACTAGTACCTCAGGCCAGGAGCTGTGGGTGAGTTAGCCAACTTAATTCCGGGACAACAGAGAGATCCAGCGGTCGACAACTCTCCATCGAGGCATTATTGACTATTGAGCCACCGCACTGCGTTGGCGAAGCGGGTCCCTTCATCCACTCGCCTCACGCTGGTTATCTGCACGGCCAAGTGGTTGTCTGGGTTTTCCATGTCGGGCCTCATGTAGGTACGTAAATAGGGAAACCCGAACAGCCCTGATAGGATTAGACGCCAGGAAGGACTAGAACGTTTGGTGACAATGAACGGTCTAGACATGTTGGTCCGCCGTTGCTGCTTAGGAGCCTGGCACTAGGACGACGCCCCCGACGATCCCGCCGTCCACTTTCCCATTCACAAATCATAATATTACCAACCGGGTTCGCCTCGATGAGCGGTGCTTGAGGCGATGTCACCAGGCCAATCACGGCGGAGAGAAGGGGCAAAACAGAGACGAAATGAAACGTCGCCTCGATGGATTGGATTCCGGGGGATTTCGATCTGGACAAAGTGCCGTTCGGGAGCGACGGACGGTCGACCCAAAGAAACGGAGCTCACGTGAGATCTCACCTCATCGGTCGGAATCAAATCAATTCATTTCTTCTCCTTCCAGACCTTCTCCTGCAGGACAATTATTTGCCTGTCGACCCCCGACGTCGGCATGGGACGCTTATCGCCAGCCAACCTGGTGGTCAGGAGCGACGTATGCCCAATATCACATCAAGGCATCAACAGAATGCCTTACTGACTCTTGCGACGCCGCCAGCCGATCTGCAACGACAAAGTGTCAAACGACCTTCTTGCGAGTTGATCCGCGGGGTATTATGCTCGAGTGACAAGTCTTGGCATCCATCATCGCTCGAGATGGGCTTATTCCTTTCCGCAGAGTGGCATATTTTAACGTCAGCTGTGGTCAGCCAAACATGCATACCGGTCGTTCGACTAATCAAGGATCTCGGAACGGTCGCCCTTGACTAAGTGGATATGGTCACTTCCCCTCTCCAGTTCGCCTGCTTATCGATGTTGGAGCCGCGATTGGGCTGACTGGGCTCGGTTGCATGCCTGCTGGGCGTCCGGGCTCGAAATCACCCCGCCAGGATGCAGAGGGGCGTTGCGAAGCATGGTCGTTTTAATAACATGCTCCTGTTATAACACACTGGCCAGCGAAAGGTACATGGCTATGACGTATTGGCTTTGAGGATGGTGATGGCAGGCACCAATAGAAATCAAGTGTCTCCAGCTTTCCATGGATACCCGTGTATAGGCAAAGGAACCCTAGGAGAAGGCCATGGAGATAAACTTTACGCGATGGCTGCTAGGCAGCATGTGTCTACCATCTATACGCTGATGGTGTCTCATAAGTGAGCAGGCAGTAGAGGACTTAAGATATGAACTTACCGAAATGCAGACGCTGTTGCTTTCAAGAGCCGGAATATGGGGTTTACTGGCATGGCAATGCAACTCAAATGACACTGCCACAGCACCTTCTGCCACTCACTATTACTATTACCTAGGGGGATCTATCACCATAATTAAATCGTTAACCTGCTAAAGCAAAGATCATGACACATGGGTATCAGGAACCTGATAGAATATCGAAATCACCCGCCAGAAACAACCCCACCCTGCTTACCTTTAGCGACCACTCCTTCCTCAACCGTTTCTCCATCCCTTCTCTCACCCTCACGGTCCTTTAGACCATATTCCGTCTCCAGCGTCGTGCGCAGCTCCACCTCTCTCTCCATCCACGCAATAAGAAATCCCAACCCGGCAAAGATGATCGAGATCTGCCACACACGCTGCAGCGCGTCGGTGTAAGCGCGAATGATATCAGTTTGCAGTTCTTCCGGGAACCTGTGCACGAATTCGCGGGACGCCTGCTGATATGCGTCGCTGACACGCAGGATGGCACCGGCCTCTGGATGCGTGTCCAAACCGGAGGCCGCAACGCTGGATGAGAATCGATTGTTGAAGATGGTGGCTGGAATGGCTACGCCCCAGACCGATCCGAAGGATCTGAGGAACGCCCACGTTGCGGTCGACGCGGCGACGTCGCTTTCTGGAAGCTCGGCTTGGGCGGCAGGGAGGGTGGACGTGATGATTAGACCGGATCCGATGGCGGCCAGAATCTGGAAACCAGTCCATTTCCCCGTATCGGAGTCTTTGTCGAGAAGGGTGAATAGCCCCATTCCGAGTGTCATGAACGCAAACCCGGCAATTTGGATCCATTTGTATCGGCCGGTTTTGGTGAGAACCGCACCGGCGAAGATCGCTGCCGGAACGACCACGATGACCGTGGGAATAATCTGTACGCCAGAACGAGTGGGTGTGCTGAGCTTAACTCCCTGAAAGTAGACCGGTAAGAAGTAAAGGGCCCAGTAGAGCAGCATGCCGTGCAAGAAACTGAGGATGAACGCCGCAAGCGAGGTCCGGTTCATGAAGAGCCTTGGCGGGATTGTTGGCTCAGGACAGAGGCGCGTGGTCTGTAGAGTGTGAAAGACAACAAGGCCCAGAAGTCCAAGTACAAGAGGTACAATTACATGCCAGCTCGACCAGTCATAGATTGTGCCACCGAAGCTAAGCGCGATCAGGACTGCTACCACTGCAGCGACCAGTATTGTGTTGCCCAGCCAGTCAATTCGTTTCAATTTGTGTGCCAACGTCGTCTCCTTTTGATATTTCACCTGCAGGAACAGCAGCATCAGAAGCAAGGCGACCCCCGCAATTGGTAGACTGATGTAGAATGACCATCGCCAGGTGACATGCTGTGTCAAGGCACCCCCGACAAATGGGCCGATGGAAGATCCGACGGCGAAGACGACAAATATCAAAGCCATGAACTGGCCTCGCTCGCGGAGGGGGACGAGATCGCATATCACCTAGGCAAGAGTTAATAGAGCACACCTTCCACCGGGCCAGGGACCCCCGTACAATATCAATCAACATGTTCACGCCACCGAGTCCTATTCCCTGGACCGCTCGTCCTCCGATGAGCATGGCCGTCGATTTCGCGCCTCCACTAATCCCACTCCCCAGAGCGAAGAACGAGACGGCAGAGATCAGAGGCCATCGTCGCCCAAATACATCTGCTAATTGACCGTAGAGGGGCTGGAATGCGGTGCTGCAGCCAGAGCACCCGTTCAGCTTCTTGATCTCGAATCCAAGGGGAGAAGACATCGACCGACATACCTTGAGAGGAAAAAGGCATTCACAAACCAGATATAAGCTTCGCCGGCATTCAAGTCACGCGAAATCGTCGGGAGAGCCGTGGAGGTGACGGTAGATTCGACGGCCGTTAGAAGTGAGGTGACAGACAGACCGGCGAAAATCAACCAGAATCGCCAATCGTAGAGCGACCTTTCTTGATCTGGGGACATCGTTGTGGTTCGGACGGTCAATCCTGCGACGTTGTTGCTGGACAGAAAATAAGGATGGGCATGACCTTCTGTCTGGGGCAGGAGGCTGAATGCCCAAGCTGCATCCAGGCATCTCCCGCACTTGATTGTTGGTTGAATGGGGAGGGAGGGGGCAATTTCCGAAAGGCGCTGGTCGTGCTACGTAGAAGTTACATACTTACTACAGGGACATGTTAGCATCGACCGGTCAATCACTGGTCGATTACAACAAAGGAAGAAAAAAGAAAAGGAAAAGAAAAGAAAAAAAAAAAAACAAAAAAGCCGAGCTATAGGGATTCCGAAAGGTAATCTTATGCACCTGCGCCGCTGAACGGGGGCGCCCTGTCGGATATTTGAAGACCATACCGGCTTGGGCAAAGACATTTGCCAAGGACAAGCGTTTGACAGCGCACGGTTCTCGTTGAACTTCCATGGTTCCAATCCCTCGGACGGTGGCAGACGGATCTCTTTGCCGACGCTGACACCCACGGGAGTTCCTGATAGGTACCTGACTTAGGTCGGTAGGCCACCGGAGATCTGGTTCCATGTCAGTATTTCCATTACATATGTTCTTTATTTTACTTTACTTTATTTTGTTTATTTTATTTATTTTTTTGGGGTGCGTCCATGAATGTATGAGTGTGTCAATATAGACCAGGGTGTTGTCGTACGAGCTGAAGAGACCTGTCAGGTTAGGCATACAAGTACCTCCAAGGTACAGTACTAACTTGGAAGGCAAGGCCATTCGACATCCATGATCTCAATCCTGGATCTGTCTTTCATACTTCAGTCTGATGTGCAGGAGACGGACGAAATTACAACGAAGAAAAGAATTGCGAGTCTGACGCATCCCTGGGCCAGGGTGATCCCTCTCGGTAGGACACCTGAAGGAGTACAAATTCCAGTAATACAGGACGCCCCACTCCTCCCTTCCGAAGCCCAATAATCAATGACGGGAGGGACCTTTGCGGGCCCAGATCGCCTCGTGGCGGGCGCTACTTTAGTGGCTTACCCAGGAAGGTTAGGGAGGTGGTCCATGAAGTGTCCGGCACCGATGCTTGGGGGCCAGATTCTATGCCCCCCGTCTAACAGTCCCCGTGTTTTGAAGGTTCATACACTCATAGTTACATGCAAACATAGGCACACCGTCGAGAGCGGAGAATGGAACGCTGTCTGCGATCCCCCGTCCCATCCCACCCTCCTTGCGGCAAGTCAGCCGATCATTTCCCCCTCGTCTGTCGGTCTCAGACAAAGGACCTCACTTGTTCGGCCTTAGGGCTACATGACCGACTTTCACGTCGTGCGACACTTGGATCCCCAGTGTTTGCATGGGGATGGGATGACCCCCTCGTGCCGGCGTCTCCGACCGAATCTCGCAGCAATTACCGGCCCACGGAATTTGCTCCACGTCGTCCCACGTCGGCCGAGCCAGATTCACGACGCTATCCGTGTCGGCTTTCGGTTTCGAAGGGCTGGTGAAATTCGACGTGAAACTACTGCCGTAGCCACCTTTGCGTGTGGTCTGCGCCTGGATCATTCGCAGCAAGGGCGCACACGCCGGAATACAGGCCGTCGTAATGCCAAAGCAGACTTGCACCGACGTCCACATGAAGCTGTCGGTGTCATCCCACGAGAGATCGCCGTCGTTGACCATGCGCCACGAGTAGTAGAATCGAACCACGGAAATGCCCGTGACGAAGATACCCATCGAGAATGCGAAGGTCAAGCCGATCTTTTTGCGCAGAGGAAGTTGCAGGTTCCACAGCACGATGGCCGGCACCGCTAGCATGACGATCTCGGACGCCAGATCCAAGAGCAGGGGGACTCCCAGGTGCATCTGCTGCGGGAGGCAATTCTCTTCGAGGGGCTCCGGTAGCGGGTATCCAAAGATGGGATACACCCGCAGCCAGAACATCTGCGGAGGAATGCAGGCGCAGATGAATTCGACTGTCGACCCGATTCCCAACCCTATACAGTAATAGAAGAGGATCCAGATGGTCCATTTGAGGGGCCGCAGCACGGTGGTGAACGCCCGGTGGTAAAACAGCAGAATCGAGAGCTTGGTGAACATCAACGCGACGGCTTGCAGGATGGTTACAATATAACCCATCTAGCCATCGTTAGTTCATACATCACTGCCACTATGGAGACGTACGACAGACTTCAAAGATGAAAGCCGTTTTGGCCGGTGGGTCCGGATCGATGGACATGACTCGAATCTACCAGTTCCTTTAGCTTTGACGTCCCCTCGTTCCTCGAAACAGGATCAAGTCTTTCTCACCTGATGCTTTCCTAGTCCGCTATGAACTGCCGCTATTGTACAGGATGTCGTTGCGATCGCTATTACCGCGGCGATAAGGATCAGGATGCTGTCTGGCGTAAATATCTTGTGGATGATCGCCTGGGCCCATAGTCGGAGGATGACCGCCAACACGCAGAAAACAATGCTGACGACGCAGGCCGCTAGCACTTCCGGACCGCGATCCTCGTAGAAATGCGTTTTTTGATATTCCAGAGAGGCCTGCTGCTCCGGAGTCGTCGTGTTGGAGGACATGTTCTGCTGGGAGAAATATGGCGGTCGGCACGAAACCGAGGAATCAAAAGCCTATTGATAAAGATGCCCGGTAGATCCACCGCCCGTGAGGGATTTACATGACGCAAGGGGAAAAGGCACGAGAGAAAAGGTATGTACCACGCGGTTTACGCCCAAGATAAGGAGTGTCAAATGGCAAGTGCCGGAGGGAAGGGAGGGAAATACGGATCGTCTCAAACTCTGCCCCGGGTTGAGCCATGAGCAGCAGCATATTTGATTTGGGGCCCAAATATGCAAGGCGTAGGCACATTGCATCCGCCAACGGGGTGATATTCCACGGTAGGTTCGACCATGCGGTTCATTAACAGTTGGCTCTAAAAAAGAAACTCTTGGCCGGCTGACGACCTGCAGATACGGATTGTTGCACGGGTGAGCAATGCCCACGCCACGGTCATACTGCTATTAATCCTTCCGCCGGACTGCCCGAAGACTGCTTGATGCGATGGGGAGGATGATGACAGAGTGATAGTTACTCATACCGGTCAATTCTGCAGAATTGTAGTCGTTGTAACCCATGATGATGATGATCGACTAAGCAAGCCATCTCCCCTCGCCACGCTGGACTTATATGACTTAATTATTGCTTACTTCGGCTCTGGTCGAAGCGATATCCTCCGCTGCAAGTAAGCACTAAGCAAGGATGAAGATATATGGCTGGCCACGGGCTAGGGAGTGACCAAATCAATTCTGTCAAGCCGTGTAACTGCAGTAGCCTGTTACCTACTATATACTACATGTACAACAAGAGGAAGGGAAAATAGTACTTAAACTTTTGTATTTGTGGGTTTGTACACCGATCAGAGACAGGGTTCAAACAATAGTCTAGCATGGGCCTCTAGAGTATCAACATGAAGGCTCAGTACGCCCAATTTATCGTCCATTGGCTACATAATAGCCAAGGCGACTGCCTACTTGACCATCAACACTTCTTTGTCACCCCCACCGTCCACTGAACCGTGATTGCAAGGTACGGGGATCGTGAACAAGTCCAATCTCCCCCTATGCCCGCGATGACCGCAGCACTGCCGTTGACACGAGGGGCATTAATCATCCAAGGCCCCAACACTCTCCGCTGGTTGACCAGTGTCGCCATTCCGGAAATCACGGCAGACGAGATACTGGTACAAACCAAGGCCGTGGCACTGAACCCATCCGATTGGAAAATGGTCGCTAATGCAACAGTGACGCCAGGTCCAATCAGTGGTGGTGATTTTGCCGGCGTCGTCGTCAAGAGAGGAAATGATGTTGGCGGAATTGAAGTCGGAGACCGTGTCTTTGCCTACGTTTTTGGGGCCAACCCAGCCCATCCCTCCCACGGCGCATTTGCAGAATATGTGGCCACCTGCCCAGACCTGTGCTTTCGAATGCCGCCGTTCATGAGCTTTGAAACGGGCGCTTCCCTCGGATTAGGGTTGATGACGGTGGGCTTGGTGTTCAAATCCTTCGGGTTACGCCCCTTTGAGCCACCGAGCCCTAATTCGCGGACGAAGCCGTACGTCCTTGTCTACGGAGGCTCGACGGCCACGGGAACTTTAGCGATTCAGCTGTTCAAGCATCATGGCTTTGTTCCCGTCAGCACCTGCTCGCCGAGAAATTTCGAACTGGTGCAGAGACTGGGGGCGGAGGCTGTTTTTGACTATGCGTCTCCCACATGCAAAGAGGATATTCGCGCATACACCAAGGGGGAACTAGAGTATGCGATGGACGCCATCGCCGATTCTCGGGCGACGACGATCTGTTACGGTGCCATCGGCGAATCTGGGGGTCGGTACACAGCCCTGGAGTCATATCCGGAGAGATTGAGGGGTCGCAGGAAGAAGGTCAAGCCAGACTGGGTCCTCTGTCCCACCATCTTCGGCGAACGGATCGACCTGGCCGGATCTTACCAGCGCGTGGCCCAACCGGAGGATCGCGAATTTGCCATTCGCTGGGCAGCCCACTGTACGGCTCTTCTGGAGACGGGGAAATTGCAGGCTCATCCAATCCAGGTGCAGCCGGGGGGTCTACAAAGAGTCGCTAACGGCTTAGACCTTCTCCGGAAAAAGCAGGTCTCGGGGAAGAAGCTTGTCTATCCGCTGTCATGAACGAGGAGGAAACGGATTTTTATTTTCTTGGTTGCACAAATTTCATCAATCATCATTCATCATGTGGCTACTAGGCCTGGTTCTTGTACTTTTGCCTATTCCATACGTCTGCCTTGCTTATTCCCAAATCCCGAGTCTTGACATCTTGGTTTCAAATGCGAATTCCCTCGGGAGCCTGTGTAACAACGCTGCTAGAACCCGCACTAATTCGCTCCTCGTAGGTGCCGTAGTCCGCGTCAATGACCTGGCCATCCTCGACAAAGACCTCCTCCCAGCCTGCGGTCACCTTGGCCCTGGTCTGGTCGCAGATATCGTCTTCTCCCGCCACGAGGGACTGGAAATCCGGGTCCATGACGATGGCCTGCATAGTCTCCGTGTTGCGCACCCAAACGGACACCTGGATGTCATGGTCATCAATTTCCCAGCCGGGTCGGATGGCCCAGGGAATCTTCTCGGCGATGAGATTCTTGCTGGCGCTCGGGGTGTGGTACTATATGGGGACGTGTCAACAGCCCGAGTCAGTATTCTTCCACGGAGCACGGTGGACACACTTGGACCACTTTCAGAGCGCCATGACGAGACTGCACAAGAGCAGCCTTGGGAGCATGACTCTTGCTGGCATAGTCATGGAAGTCTTTCTCCGAGATGCCCTCCTTCTTGTATCGAAAGGAAGTCAGCTTCAGGACGGTCTCTTTCTTGGGGGCCATTAGGGTGGGAAATGTGACAGTATAGGACACATGGAGGAAGAGGACAGGCGACGGAGGGACAGGGACTTCAATATATTCCGGAGCTGGAGGGCAAACAGCGTAAATTCGTTGGCTCGTGGAGATTTACTTCCGTGATACTGCAGCGTCCGCCACGAAACGGCGACAATACGGCTAGACCGGGGTCGACAGTAATTAATTTCCGGCAGCAGCAGGGGCCAACGGAAGGTTACATTGCGCCGCTGAGGGGTAAAAAAAGTCCCCATTCTCATGCCATCTTCTGTCCGCCTCCATTCTTTGTAGCCTCACATCCGTCACCGTGAGACATGGCTTCGTCTCCACTCGCCTGCACACGGACCCCACGCCAATGTCGTTCGCGCGACAGGGATGCTGAGGGCCAGAGGCCGCGAGGCGTCTTATGATGATTACGGCTACGATTGTTCTCGTTAGAATAATTCTACTAATTTCTTAGCTGAGGCCACGGAGCGCCGATTCCGTGGCCTCGACGTTGGCGTTGGCCTTTAGTCTCATTTGGGTATGGACGCTCCCTCGCGAACTCGCCAGATCCAGGTCGCACGGCGCGACAACCTCACTCTCCTTTCTCAAAAATTAACCTTCCGTCACCGTGACTCTTTTAATCTGGCTACCGGAGGGTTGGGGTTTGGGGATTCTCGCCGTCACCCACCCTGAAAACGATGCTGCCGCCGCGTGAACCAGTGGCCATCGTAGGGAGCGCCTGTCGTTTCCCCGGCGGTGCTGACAATCCCCCAAAACTCTGGGCCCTATTATCGCAGCCCCGAGACGTCAGTAGGCGAATACCGGCGGAACGCTTTGCCGTGGATGGCTTTTGGCATCAGGATAGTTCACACCATGGCACCTCGAATATCGCTCACTCGTACTTCCTGGACGAGGATCCACGGAGGTTCGACGCCAACTTCTTCAACATCAACCCGCGCGAGGCGGTGGCGATGGATCCCCAGCACCGTCTGCTCCTCGAAACCGTCTACGAGTCGTTAGAGTTTGCGGGACTATCGCTCGAGTCTCTGCGGGGAACGCCAACCGGCGTGTACGTTGGTCTCATGTGTGCCGACTATTACGATGTTCAGGCTCGGGATCCCGAGTCTCTTCCCCAGTACAACGCCACCGGCACCGCTCGGAGTATCCTGTCGAATCGAGTGTCGTATTTCTTCGATTGGAAAGGCCCCTCTCTCACCGTGGATACCGCTTGTTCATCGAGTCTCGTTGCCGTTCATCAGGCAGTCCAGGCTCTTCGTCAAGGAGAGTGCACGGCTGCCGTCGCAGCCGGTGCCAACTTGATCTTTGGCCCCGAGATGTTTATTGCAGAATCCAAACTGCATATGCTTTCCCCAACGGGCCAGTCGCGCATGTGGGACGCAAATGCTGACGGCTACGCAAGAGGTGAAGGGATCGGCGTCGTGGTTCTCAAGCTTCTGAAGGACGCGATTCGAGATGGAGATACCGTCGAGTGTGTCATTCGGGAGACGGCTGTGAATTCGGATGGACGGACAAATGGCATCACGATGCCGTCCGCTGAAAGCCAAGCTGATCTTATCAGACAGACTTACCTAAAGGCTGGATTGGATCCGTCAAAGGAGTCCGAACGGTATGTTATGACTTCTTGTAAACGCAGGAATGGATTACTAATTAACTTAAAGATGTCAGTATTTCGAGGCTCACGGAACGGGGACGCCTGCAGGTGACCCTATTGAAGCGGAAGCCATCAAGTCCGTTTTTTTCCCCCGTGCAACGGGTCTAAGTGAAAACCAAGAGAATACCCTTTACGTTGGCTCCATCAAGACAGTAGTGGGCCATACCGAGGGAACGGCTGGTATTGCTGGCCTTTTGAAAGCATCACTGGCACTTCAGAACAAGACCATTCCACCGAATATGCATTTCAGCCGCCTGAACCCCAGCATTTTACCGTTCTACAACAACCTGCAGGTCCCAGTTGCGCCTGAAGCCTGGCCTGAAGGAGAAGTATATCGTGCCTCGGTGAACAGCTTTGGATTTGGAGGCACAAATGCACATTGTGTAAGATAGATTCGGATTCTGAGACGTGGTACTTTACTGACCTTTCTTATAGATCCTTGAACGTTACGATTCATCCCTGCACGGTGGTTCAAGTTTGTGCAAATCGTGTCAAACGGACACTGTTTCAGAGTGCCAAGACGACTTTGTACTCTTGCCCTTTTCCGCATATTCAGAGAAGTCATTATCATTGTTGGTTGATTCATATATTGCCTATCTAGAGAGCAACCCTTCCACTGATTTAGGATCATTTGCACACACGCTACAGCGTCGCTCTATCTTTCCATCCCGAGATTATGTCACTGGATTTTCAAGAGACCAGATCCTGGTGCAGCTGCAGGACCTAAAAGCGGGTGCGGAAAGACCAGGAAAAAGCCTAGATAGCAGCAATACTTCGCAGTCCGGGGGCCGAGGCCGTATCCTTGGAGTATTCACTGGCCAGGGTGCGCAATGGCCGACGATGGGCCGTGACCTGATCTCGAGATCGCATGTCTTCTCTTCTACAATTGACCACCTAGACGATACTTTGAGCCAAATTCCTGAATCGCCTGACTGGTCCCTTCGACAGCAGTTACAAGCCGACAAGCACGATTCAAGATGTAACGAAGCCGCCTATTCCCAGCCACTCTGCACAGCCATACAGATCGCTCTGGTAGATTTCTTGCGGAGTATTGACATCCAATTCTCAGTCGTCATTGGACACAGTAGCGGAGAGATTGCAGCGGTAAGTAAAGATTTCCCTCATCACGGTGAAAGTGAAACATTGCTCATAGATTGTATTTTCAGGCATACGCTGCTGGCTGCTTAACACCTGAGGCGGCAATAACAATCGCCTATTACAGGGGGCTCTACTCGAAACGGAAAGAACCAGAAGTCGAACCTGCACTTGGAATGATGGCAGTGGGTGTGAGCTTCTCCGAGGCTCGCAGAATCTGTAAGCGTTCAGGATATTCAAATCGAATTTTTGCTGCCGCCAGCAACGCACCCCTTTCAACAACAATTTCCGGAGAGAGATCGGTCTTGGAAAAGGTATTGGAAGAGCTCCAGGAGAGGGAGACTTTTGCACGTATGCTTCACGTTGACAAGGCATACCATTCGCCTTTCATGGAGGTCTGTGCACAGCCGTATCTTGAGTCCCTACGACAGTGTGAGATTGAATACACTGCGGCGCAGCCTTTATGTACATGGATATCCTCCGTGCATGGTTTCGAAATGGATTCAAGCTCCGACAAAGTCGACAATAATTATTGGGTACAGAATCTGCTGCAACCAGTACTCTTCTCCAATGCTCTGGAGCAAGCGATTAGAGATCATGGACCATTTGATGCTGGCATTGAAATTGGTCCTCATGCAGCGCTGGCAGGGCCAACGTCGCAGGTTTTCAAAAACATGAAACAACCTCCAATCCCCTATTACGGAACTTTGAAACGCGGCGAGAATGATATCGTGGCCATTGGTACTTGCGTGGGCAATCTGTGGACGACCCTGAGTTCTTCTGCTGTTAGCCTAAGCAAGTTCCAGACCGCCATCAACGGTAGCACACACCACAACTTCCGTATGCTGAAGGATCTTCCGACTTATCCATGGGACCATGATGCCGTGTACTGGAAAGAGACTCGTATTTCAAAGGAATACAGGGGTCGCCAGCAACCACATGAGCTCTTGGGTCCGTGTCTCGAGAAATCTGAACATCAGGTACGATGGCGCAATGTTCTACATCCACACGAGATACCTTGGTTGCAGGACCACAAGTTACAAGGCGATATTTTGTTTCCTGCGGCTGGTTACTGTGTCATGGCTGTGGAGGCTGCGTTGAGCTCGTGGGAGCAGCCATATCAGTTGATCGAGCTGTATGACCTCGATATTCGACGTGGCATAAGTCTCGACGAGGGCTCTGCTGGAATAGAAGTCATCTCTTATTTGAGTCGGGACACCTCTGGGAATGCAAATGCCTCTGATGTGGAATTTTCATGCTGCGCCGGCAAGATTGATGGAACAGATCCCTTGAGTATCAGGTTTATCGCGAGAATTCGAGTTCAACTGGGAAGCCCTGATGTCACATTGCTTCCTCATAAGACACATGATTACTCGGAATTGTCTGCGGTAGATATTGACCGCTTCTATAAGACAAGTGTTGGCTTGGAGTATACTGGAGTGTTCAGGGGTCTTCTAGGCGCGGAAAGAAGGATGTGTCAGACTTCGGCACGAGTGGTTGGGCTCCAAAGCTCGTTCCCCATACACCCAGCCTCTCTCGATTCCTGTTTTCAAGCCCTTTTTATTGCCTTTGCAGCGCCAGGTGATGAGTAAGTTCCCTTTCATAATTCGTCTACAAGGTGCTCCAATGTTTACTGATCCACCATCAGGAGTGTCCGAACTCCTTTTCTCCCCAGGAGAGCGAAGTCCATGACATTAAACCCTCACCTTTTGCAAGCATTCTCTGGAGGAGACCAGCTACTCTACGTCGATGCCTACATTACTCATTTCTGCGCCCCCACCCAAGACTCGCCCTCTGCTTTTACCGGTGACATTGAGATCTACAACCAAGACGGCAGCTGTCTTGTTCAAATAGAAGGATTCAGCTGCGTGGCCCTCGCTGACTACTCAACGGAGCATGACAGACATCTCTTCCACACAACTGTCTGGGACCAAGACATTTCTTTTGACATGGTGGTCTCTGATTACAGGTTTCCTAACGATCGTTATCTAACTTCGCTGGCGGAATGCGAAAGGCTCGCCCATGACTTTTTCCAGATCAATGAGTGCATCACGCCGACATCAGAGACCGTCGTTGACGGGGATCTGGCAGGGTTTGAGGTTAGCGATTCAAGTACTCTGGACATCAAATTAATTCAAGCTGCTCGAAACGCCTCTCTCGTGTCTGACGAAGACCGACATCAGCAATTTATCACGGCGCGGGATCGGTACTTGGAATCTAGTTTTGGGGCCTGTCGCATACGAGACCACATCGCGCGCACTGTTAAGCAAATTGCACATAAGTTTGCTCGCATGAAGATCCTTGAGCTTTTTGCCGGCAATGGGGCTACGACAGAGCTTGTTCTGGACTCACTACAAGACGCCTTTACGTCGTATTTGCTGACGGACCCATCTCCAGAGACTGTACGGGTTGCGCAAGCTGGACTGACATCGCGAGGCGATAAGCTGCAGTACATGGCTCTGGATATCGTTAATTTGCCTCCAGAGCAGTATGAAGCTCATACATATGACCTCATAATTGCGAATACCTTTCCTTGCAGCCTTGATGATGCATGTTCATCACTAGAAAATGCCCGCCAGTTGTTGAAACCGGGAGGCATCTTACTCTTGGCCGGAGTGACCGGCATGTCATTTTTCGGATGCTTTGTTCGTGACCATGTTCACGATTTAGCCCTGACTGATGAGGAATATGGGGGATCTTTGGTCCGTTCCGAAAGAGATTGGGACATAGTACTGGAGGATTGTGGATTCTCCGGAGTGGACTCCATAGCCTACGATACCGCCGAGCCTTCATCACATTGTCACTCGCTGATGATTTCCAGAGCTCAAGGGGCTCCCTTTGAGACGGTCTATCGGCCCCTGGAAGTGGCGAGCATGGCCCCGTTGGAGGATAGCATTCTTATTATCGGCGGCAACTCGTTCCTCGGAGCTCGTCTAATAGGCGAACTTCAATGGCATCTCAACCCCTGGAGCAACAACATCTCTCATGCCCTGTCCGTTGATGACATATTGCGCGGAAGAATCCGGGTTCCAGCGTACGTGTTGAACCTGGAAGAGTTAGACGAGCCAGTGTTTAAGGACATGACCCCGACCAAGTTTCGCGCCCTTCAAAACCTTTTCCAGCAGTCTAAGAATGTTTTCTGGGTGACCGAAGGCTACAAACAGGCCGATGCCTATAGTGCCATGACTGTTGGGCTTGGTCGAGTAGTGGCAACCGAGTCGCCGAGTTTGAACCTCACCTTCCTCGATATTGACAGTCCGAAGGCACTGGAATCCTCAATCCTGGCGGTTCTATTTGCGCAGTTTGTGCAGGGAGCTGAAGCATGTGTGGAAGAGAATCAGGTTCTCTGGGCTCAAGAGCGTGAAATGGCAATCGAAAATGGCCATCTTTATATTCCACGGATTGTTCATGCAAAGGATATGAATGATCGATTCAACTCGAGATACCGGCCTATTACAAAGGGTCTGTCACTGGGAATATCTTCGGCTCAGAAATTGGTTCAATCTCACTCCTTGGAAGACAACAACGAGTCTCCCGTTGCCGTGAAGGTGATTGCATGCTCATCAATGGCATTCAGAATCTATGATGGTACGTGTGTTTATCTATGCATTGGTATGATGGAACAGGAAGGGCACGAAGCCATGACCCTTGCTTTCACATCGTCTCAAGGACAGCTTATCACTGCCAACAATCAATTCATGCTGGATGACACCATTGATGAGGACTCGGCCCCTACTGTCCTGAAACTCCTAACTGCCTTGCTTGTTGCCACTAGGCTGCACGAATCTACCAAATATGGAACAAGCGTCATTTTCACCAACGATCCCGTGCTAGCGAATGTGCTTTCCTTGTTTCTGAAAGAGCGCGCGCCGCTCATGAGACTGGCTACTTCTGATAAAGCCCTTGCCAAGATTGGCGGATCAACTATCTACTTGCACCCACATGCGACCCTAAGAAACCTTCGACAGATCCTTCCAGCGGACATTTCATTGCTTATAAATCTTGAACCTAATCCAACATCGCTATGTGAACGTCTTTTTGAGGCCATTCCGGAGGCATGTGCTACGATTGACTCGCAATGCTACTTTTCACGACGAGCAACTCCGTCATCAAACTGTCTGAGCAAATCATCTTCAACAATGGCCGTGCTGGAATTACTCTGGAGTGACTATCTGTCCAATGATAAGGCGCTTGGAGAATTCGTCAATACAGACAGCCTTGAGACCACGACAGTATGTGCAGTAGAACGGTTCACGGACACCAGGATTGAATATCAAGTGGAACGTTTGGATCCAAAAGAGTTCCTTCGCAGCGATGCAACTTACTTCCTGGTTGGAATGACGGGTGAGCTTGGCGAGTCACTCTGCCGGTGGATGGTTTCAAATAATGTCCGACATATTGCCATCGCCAGCCGATCCCCAAAGCCGGCTCGGTGGCACCAGGAGCTGAGGTCTCAAGGTTGCCAACTGATGGTCCTGAGCCTAGACGTGTGTAACGGACCTGAATTGCAAAATGCTCACGATCAAATCGTTAAATCAATGCCGCCAATCCTCGGCGTTGTCAACGGCGCTATGGTGCTGGCAGATGCTGCATTCTTCAAGATGACCTTTGAAGATTTTATTCGTGTCCTGAGGCCAAAGGTAGAGGGAAGCGCCAGGCTGGACGAGCTTTTCTCCGATCCGGTTCTGGATTTCTTCATCATGCTATCGTCTACAGCCTCACTAATTGGGAATGCCGGTCAAAGCAATTACTCTGCAGCAAATATGGTAAGTGGATACAGACTCTATTTTTCTTCCTTTTGATTCCTCTCTCTCTTATTCCCTCGAGCCTGTGTGCTTTTTGCCAATTGCTCTCACTGACTTTTCACCAGTACATGAAAGCAATTGCCGAACAACGACGTCAACGGGGCTTGGTCGGATCATGCGTTGACATTGGTATGGTCCTAGGTCTTGGGGTTGTATCCCGAAAGAAGACGCATGAAGAACATTTGCGCAGGGCAGGCTTGATGGCGATCGCGGAGCCTGACTTTCACTGCATCTTCACAGAGGCTATCCGTGTCGGTCAAACAACTGCCCTGGAGTCTCCTTGCTTCTCAACTGGCCTGCACGTTCCTCCTGGTCAGGTCAGACCACCGTGGTATCGTGACCCCAAATTTGCGCATTTCCAAGTGGTCGGAGACTTTGATTCGGCTACCGAGAAGTCCAACATAAAGATTCCACTGCAAGAAAAATTTGATGTTTTTAGTGATCTGGCCCTTGTTGAATCCATTATTCAAGAGGCGTTCATGGAAATGTTGCAGGGATTACTCCAATTGTCTGCCCCCATTGCAAACCCCACGAGGCCTCTAATTGAGCTTGGAATCGACTCGTTGCTCGCCATTGAGATTAGGAGCTGGCTTCAAACTGAGCTGAAATTCCAGGTCTCAATTCTCAAGGTCCTTGGGGGAATATCGCTTACCAACTGTAAGAATACTCCTGGAGAGCATCATTGCCACCTAACTAACCTCAATAATTAGTGTGCCGAGAAGCTGCGGAGTATGCTTTTGCAAGATCAGTTGCCGTTCCGAAAGATACCGAGCGTATACTAGAAGAGCCCTTGGACCGAGAGCCAGATATCACTTCAGTGTACTGGAATGACAAGGGGGTATCGGATACGTTGTCATACATATCCAAGCCTCGAGATACATTCACTACTCAAACCGCATCACTCACGAGCTACACGGTTGAGACAACTCCTCTAGTCACTGTCTATGTCCAAGATACAGACCCGATAGCCCTCGAGCATCAGATGGATTCTTCTCTGGAGCGAACTGAGCCACTTTCCATCGAACAGGAAAAGATGTGGTTCATGCTTAACTCCATCGACGACCCGACAATGTATAATTGCACTATTCAGTACGAGATACACGGCCATCTGGATAAGGAGCGGCTAGAATCTGCTGTAACGACGGTGGCAAGGAGGCATGAATCACTGCGAACAGCTTTCATTTCCGAAGCACCGGATGGAATACCCAACCAGGCAATTTTGAAAGATCCAAGAGTGCTCTGGACGGAAATCAACAGTACGGACCCCTTGGAAGTACCTAAGGAGTTTATCAATCATCAAAGCCGCTTGTTCAACCTGGTCGAAGGAGAGACGATGGCTATCTCTGTGATTTCACAGAGCGAGGACTACCATGTGATTATATTCAGCCACCACCATCTTGCCATGGATGGAGTTAGTTGGCAATTGGTGCTTCGCGAGTTCGCCGCTGCATACATGGACCCCAAGTCTCTTCCACCCGTTGCCGCTCAATATGCGACATTCGCCAACGAGCAGCGGCGAGCGGCTCAATTAGTTGCTCAAGAAGATAGAAAGACACACGGTGGTCTTTGCTCCAACGAAGTGCCATCCCCTCTCCCTCTATTCCCTTTCACCAAGTCAAGCTTCCGGTTGGCACAGACAACCTATGAGATGACTCGCAAGCACTACCGTCTAGACGTGGACACCTCGAACAAGATCAGACAGGCCAGCTCGCGTATTGGAACCACGGCATTTCAGTTTCATCTGGCCGCAATACAGTTGTTCCTACAGCAAATCCTCCAGGTTGATAGATTCTGTATTGGGATTGCGAATGCCAACCGGGATGATTCTCGGTTCGAAAAGGTTGTGGGTTTGTTGGTGGAGATTCTGCCGCTCATTTTCGAACCGCGGAAGAATCAGACGTTCTCAAGTCTGGCCCAAGAGACCCGGTCCAGGGTTTTAGACGCGTTGAGCCATTCCGCGAGCGCGATTCAAGCGACCATATCCTCCCACAAGGACATTTCGGACACTGAAGTGCATACCCCCTTGTACCAGGTCATGGTCAACTACATCGCTGGAGTCACGCATGATGTTGTGTTTGACAATTCAGTCTTGCAGTACTTGACATCAGATGATGCTCGTCAGCCCCAAGATTTGGTGATCACCATCCTGGAGGATGTTGACGGCACGACGCTTTTATCCTTTCGGGCACAGGATTATCTCTATGACGGCGCAGATGTCCAGCTTTTGGTGTCTCTATACTCCCGTTTGATCCAAACTTTGTCCCAGAACCAAGAACGCCCGTTGATGGATTATAATTTTTTGAACTCATCCGAGCTGGTGTCAGAGCAGCATCTCGGAAACGGATCAGAGTTGGACTGTCCTTGGTCAGGAGGCCTCTTGAGACGCATATACACTATGGCAGAGCAATATCCCGATTTTGTTGCCCTGAAAGACCAATTCGGAGCGAGTCTCACCTATCGGGCCATGATTTTGAGGGTAGGGTCCATCATGGCGATTCTCTCCGAGGCTGGTGCAAGACCAGATGACTTCATTGTGGTGGCCTGCGGGGCCTCTGTCGATGCAGTGTGCTCCTTGCTCGGAATCTGGGCAATGGGTGCTATATATGTGCCAGTTGACCTGGACCATGGTGTCGAACGACTTGCAGTGATTGTGGATGATTGCCATCCCTCCGCAATTTTGTGCAGAGATGCAAGTTCGGTGCGATATTTACAGCACGATAACGATCTCAGCATTATCGAACTCAACGACGATCTTCTGGCTAGCGTTTCAACGAACTTTTATGGTGCCAACGGAGGAGACACGGCCGTTTTACTCTACACCAGTGGAACGACTGGTAAGCCGAAGGGGGTTTTACTCAGCCACGAGAATTTGCAGTGCCACATCCAAGCCGTCGAGCAAGAATTTGAATTCGGTAGACCGGTGGTGTTACAACAGAGCTCTCATATATTTGACGCGTCAATTTTTCAGATGCTGACCTCCCTGGTGCATGGCGGAACGCTGGTCATGACGAACAGCCGAAGCGACCCATTGGAGATTGCATATCTGATCCTGAACGAGGTCATTACCTTGACATTGGCGGTACCCTCGGAGTATTCCCTTTGGATATCAGAAGCAGGTCAGATCCTCGATAAATGCTCATCATGGCGGCATGCCGTTTCTGGTGGCGAAAAGATGGGCTATGCGACAACTCAGGCGTTCGCAGGACTCGGCCTCTCCGATCTGACTTTGATCAATGCCTACGGCCCCTGCGAGATCTCGATCGCCTGTACAATGGGTATCATACCATACAAGCAGATTCAAAGTGACGCTGATTCCTTGCATGCTGGGCGGCCTTTACCGTGTTACAATCTCATAATTCTCGATGAACGACTGAGGCCAGTACCAGCTGGATGGCCGGGTGAGATCTGCGTTGGTGGGTCCGCTCTTGCAAAGGGCTATCTGAATCGCGAGCATGAAACAAACAAGCGCTTCATAGACCTAGACGGTTTGAGACTGTATCGGACCGGCGACTATGGTCGGATACTGAGCGATGGTAACCTTGAATATCGGGGACGCATCTCCGGTGATTCTCAGATCAAGCTTCGTGGCATGCGCATTGAGCTAGATGAGATCTCTAATGCTATCATGCAATCGTCAAAAGGGACCCTAACGGACGCCGCAACCATTGCCAAGGGCGACAGCGATAATCAATATCTTGTCACGTTCATCGTGTTTGCTCATGCTCTTCGACCTGCCGATACCGATGGCTTCATCAAGACACTCCTCGGAGCTTTGCCTCTGCCTGCCTATGCAAAGCCAGCAATAATTAATCCCATTGAACATATCCCTCTCACGGGACGTGGCAAGGTTGACAGAAAGGCGCTTGACCAATTACCACTTAAGCATATCTTCCGTCAGTCGACCGAGGTCACCGGACTTGGTATCATTGAGGTGAAGCTCAAAGAGTTGTGGGAGGAGTATCTTCCGGTCACCGACACCCTCATCACCAAACAGTCGAATTTCTTCGAACTGGGCGGCAACTCGCTTCATTTGCTGAAGCTTCAGGCGCGAATCCGACAAATTACGAACGCGAAGGTCCCGATAGCAAGTCTTTTCAAGGCATCCACATTCGAAGAAATGGCTATTCTCATTGGAATGACCACGAGTGCCCAACGCGCCAAAACTTCCATTGATTGGGATGTGGAGACGACGATTCCTGAAGACCTCGATCGAGCAGAGTCCAAAGGTCTATCGACTGAGGTGAAAGAGGTCATCCTCACCGGGGCCACTGGCTCCTTTGGGAAAGCCCTTCTTCGGCAGTTGGTCGAAGATCCATCAATCGAGCGGATCCATTGCATCGCCGTTCGGTCATCCGATGATGGTTCGCCTAGACAGCTTTGCGTTCAATCTCCAAAGATCCACCTGTACAGTGGTGACCTCGCTCATACTACCCTAGGTTTGAGTGCAAAAGACATATCATCTTTGACTGCGACCGTTGATTGCATCATCCACAACGGCGCTGATGTGTCCTTCCTCAAGCCATACGCCTCGCTTCGAGCCGCGAACGTCTTATCGACCAAATTCCTATTTGGACTTTGCCTTCCTCGTCGCATCCCATTTCACTATATCTCCACTGCAGGGATAGCAAGCCTGTCCCGTCAGAGCATGTTCCCGGAGCGGTCGCTTTCCGATTTCCCACCGGCTTCGAATGCCGCTTCCGCACTGACAGCGGGATACTCAGCATCTAAATGGGCGAGCGAAGTGTTTCTTGAGAAAGCAAGCGCAAAATTCGGCACTGCAGTCCACATCCATCGGCCCAGCAGCATCACCAGTCCCGAAATGCCCAGAACGAATGTGATAGGAACAGTGTTCGCGCTTAGCCGAGAGATGAAGGCCGTCCCCGCCACGGACCACTGGGAAGGGTATTTTGACTTGATCAGCGAACAACGAGCCGCTCGTCAGATTCTTGACAGCGTTTCCCGCGCAACGACCGACGAAGACGCCGGGGTTCGCTTCTCGCATGTCTGCGGCGAGACTCGATTCGACGTCAGAGAATTGAAGGCGTACATGCAGTCCACGGAGGGGGGTGCTTTTCAGAAGCTGCCGTGGAAGCAGTGGGTCGATCGAGCTCGATCATTCGGCCTCGACCCGATGGTCTCTGCTTATTTGGAGAATTTTGGCAATGCCGGTACGAGGATGTTGTTGCCTTGGCTTCTTCATTCATCGGATGGGATTTGATACCACAATTGGAGATATGTTTATATAGTTTTGTTATTGTTGTATTTATTCTTGATATTTTTTTGTTTTAATGATGTCTATATATGCAATTGTCTGTTTTAAAGCGTATAGTTGAAATTTTGATTCTTACTATTACTATTAGATTATCCATAGCTTCTAGACGCCGGGGGTTAGCAGCAAATCAAAGCTCGATCTCCTCCTCAGTGTGATTGTTTCCCGCCGAAACAAGTGACATAGAAGCCCACGCATCGAAGCTGTCTGCTCGAGCGGCTAGGTAAGCCGCCTTTCGGTTGCGAGACGACTCGGTCCGGCTTAAAGAGGGTCTGATGGCATTGTGTTTATTCGCCTGGTCATCACCGGGAATATCAGATCGGGGGATTGAATGGTGGTTTTCTGGCTGCTCTTGATGGTGATCTGGCTCGTCAGGTGGTGCTGAGTCTTCGCTATCGAAATCGACGATCTGCTCCTGGGAAGCGAAAGCTGATGAAGACACAGAGAATGTGTGGCTTATTTGACTGTCGCCAATGACCTCGTCATCTTCGCGGCTGAGGTCCATGTTTCTTATGCTGCTGGGTGGGTGAGGCGGAGTTCCCGGGTCTTGAGGAGTATATTCATTCTCATGACTGGGATTCGTTTCCATGGTATCAAGGACATTTATGACTCTTTCTGTATCGCAGTTTGTGATATCGTTTGGCCCACCTCCCGGGTCAGTAGGGCACGATGAAGGGAGAGATCCGAGGTGTTGGAATGCGTTTGCGGATCGAGCGTTATTGAGAAAATCCCAGGCTTGTCGGGTTTCAGAGTGCTTGACTCGCTTAGTCTTTGGAGATAACTTCGGTATGAAAAGAGGTTCTTTTGGTGACGGAATTATGTCGGATGTTGTTTCCAAGGAAGATAATATCGGAGCAGGAGCTTTTTGGGAGGTTGCAACGGGGGTGGAAAGATCATCCAGGCCGTATGGGGATTGGTTATGGTCTGAATGTGGCTTTTGTTTTGATGGAACCGAAGATTCCACAATACTGTCTGGCACACTGGAGGTAAGCTGGCTTGACTGTGGCGTTACATCGTCAGAGCGGGCTCGCTTTCTCGAGCGGGTGCCATCATCGTTAGATAGTAGATCCCGCATGTATTTATCATGAGTGAAATCGGTTCCCGAGCAGAGATGACCAAATAAGGACTGCATAGATACATATTCGCCCCAGTTGAAAGGATCAACTGTGCAGGGAACTATGTTTTTGGGTTTGAAGGCAGCGATGAGCTCGCATAGCTCGGAATAAGATGAGTGACGTGAGTATGGGAAGTGCTTTCACATGTCAGGAAAGCCACAAATTCTTCTAAGGAAAGGAAACGTACAATTATCCTGGGTAGCGGAGCTCCAGGTTTGTCATGGACTTCTGATGAGTGTTGTATCACACTCTGCCACAGGTCTTCCCTGGAGTTACCCCGGCTGAGGATCCGGATAAGATTCTCCAGGGATATTTCATGGTCATCTGTGATTCCGTAACTGTCCAATGAGAGAGCCTTTGTTTTGGACTTGAACGCATCAGAAATTATCTTTCTCGTTTGCGACAGGCTTCGTGGATCATGGATCTGTTCAAGACATAACCTGTCCAATTGCTCCAGCGTGGATTCGTCTGGCAGTTCGAGCTCATGGATCTGATACAAATCTCCAGCTCCGCCACCTACTCCTACTTCGGGGACTTTCGACCCATCCTTAGCACGGTTGACAATCGGTACGATATAGACCGTTTTTCCGGAAGGCACTGCAGAGCAGTGTACGCTCGGCTCACAACTGTGAATGCGAGACTTCTCATCGTCACTCAAACAGCCTGGAACAAATTGATTCCCGAGCTCGAACCCACAAAGGGCGGGCGCTTCGTCGGCATCGGTTCCCCGGGAGACAAGCGATTTGTAAAGACCTAGCTGGTATCGATCCAAGTGTACCTAATTTATTAGCAAGTTGTTGTTTCTACATACACTAGGAACGATGCACACCTTCGAGTTGAGAGCAGCGGAGAGTGCAATCCAGACTTCCTCGTAGCCAAATGTCCAGGCACGAAAATAGAATGTAGTGTCTTCAGGATAAGTGGCGACCTTTCGCAGAAGCTCGGATATCCCTTCTGCTTTTGATGGAAAGGTGTTCGATACGTGAGAGGCGCGAGCAAAGGTATTGTCGAGGTATATTGTATCTAATCTTTTATTTCCTAGAGTGTAGGGAATAAGAATTCGATGCCGGGCAAGGCTATTGACCCACCAAGTTTCCGCTAAAATACTTTCATCAGCATCGCGTCGAGCGAGTTCTGTTTCAATGAACAAGCATACCTCGAATGTCGCCTGTATACAAGATAGCCTTTCCATTGCCCTCAATCAGGAACATCACTGATCCCGAACAGTGGTTTGCATCCAAGAGAGTAACTCTGATGGATAGCCGAGGAGTAAGTTCAATCTCCGTCGGCGAGTTCAAGGGGATGGGTCTCTATGTACAACATTAGCTGATGAACATGGCTCGAGTGCTGGCGAAGTTACCAGGAGCTTAGATAAGTGTTTGTAATGTAACGTCCTTGATTCAAGGATGCCTTTGCTAAAGTTCATGCGATGCGGATATTTTTCAATACGCAAGAGTATCTAGACATTGATAAGCATCAGACATTCAATTATGGTGGCACCAGGGTTTCGATGTGGATAGATACCTCTCTGGTTGCTGCGGAGCAGTATATAAAAGGAGTCCGAAAGGACTCCAGTCCTTGCAGATGATCGCTGTGGACATGACTGAGGAAGCATGCCAGGGGAGGGGGCCTCTCCGGGCTTTTGCGGAAATAATCAACTGAAATCCTTAAGTACTTAACAAGAATAAGGAGCGGGTTTTAGAAGTTACTGACTCTGAATGTAAGGAAATTCTACCATTATTATTAGAAAAATGGCACATTCATCCATTGCATTTGGGGAATCTACACACCTTGAACGATCCCATCGAAGGTGGACATTGGGGCAATGCGAAGAAGGTAGATGTGGTTCAATATATCTTTATAAGCATTTTCGGGGTACTAGAACTGACTATAGCGAGCATGTTGAAGTTCCTGTTTTTCGAGGCGGAGTTGAAGGATGGAAGAATCAAGAATGAGCATCGAAGAATGGAAAACGGAGAAGGCAGCAAAAGCTCGGTGCCTGGGATCCTGAGGTGTCGAGACTGCAGCGTCGGGCCACACGTGATCGCGTTTTTGCGGAGCCGAACGAGCCAATCACATCATATCCCTTCGCCATCGCCATCCCATCTCAACATCGCCTGTCTTATCAGGGAAGTCAGGTTATAGGACGATCTAATGCATGAAAGCTGGAATTTAGGGGGCAGACCTATCTATCGCGTTTGCAGATCTTCGATAAAAACACCTTGAATATCCTCTTGTCCAACCCCTCTGATTCATCAACTGCCTCAATCATCCTCCGCAACTCCTTCACGTATTCCTGCTCGAGTTGCCGGTATGCTTGGTCGAGTGTGAGCTCATCGAACACAGATTTGACTTTCATCTCTGCGATGCCATCCTTCCGACCATAGCATTTATCCAGGATTCGACGTTGAGATTCAGAACACCGACTGAGCGCTTCATTGATCACCCACGAACACTTATTATCTTGGATATCTGTTCCCACCTTCCCCGTCACATCAGGATCCCCAAACACATCGAGATAGTCATCCTGAATCTGATAATACTCGCCCATGCGGAACAATATCCCCTGTGCCTGGCGCAAATTCTCGGCTGTCGCACGCTGCAGATAATGCAGTGCTAATGCCACGGGGAGATAAAAACTATAATACGCCGTCTTATGCTTCACTATGCAGAGATATCGCTCCATAGAGAACTTCTCCAAGTCGACCGTCTCCTCGGGCGCCGTGGTGAGATCACAAAGCTGCCCTAATAGAGTCTGAAACGTAGTTTCGTGGAAGAGCTCAACCATTTGGATATACGCCGGGTGCGAACGGAACCTGGCCTTGAGGAGCATGAAGATGCTAGAATGCAGCATAGTGCCGTCGTTGATGGCTATAAGCCCAACTTTTGGCTGCTTGTACCAACAGGGTTGGCCGCGCCGAGTGCTCGAGTTATCCATTATGTCGTCGTGGACGAGGAAATGGGCTTGGAGAAGCTCAACCATCCATCCAAGGATGCTCAGATCGTGGAGCTCCAAGTCATTCAGAGTTCGATTGAGCAGGATGGCACCTGTATCAACGACCGAGAGACCGCGGTTTAGCTTTCCATTGGCGGTATTGTAAATTAAAGACTTCGATATGAGTTAGTGATAATATAGACAGGCATGATAAGATAGAGCTACCTTCTCAAACCATTTTATCATCGAGTCGGGGACGTCATATTGCTTCGTTTGTGTGAGGATATGCTGGATCAGAGAGGGAAAGGCAGCTTCAAAATCCTGGCGGCTGTGTTTGATAGTCATCCTGATTAGAGTCGTTTCTAATGCCACAAATTCTGTCAGTACTTATCCAGGCATGGCTTAGTAGTTATTTGAGCCTTTTTGAATCAGTATGCAGGGCATCTCCTCATCGAGAAGACTCTGGTACAAAACCATGGCAGGCACCGGGTAGGTAAGAGATTAGTTAACTTTAAATTAAAGTGATCAACGCAATCATCGCCTCCCGTTATGACAGGTCGGGGAATCAAAACGAACGATGAAAATGTATGTCGCCTTATTGCACTCAACTCTACTCAGCCTTTGACATAATAAATAAGCCATCTTTGTTTAAATCCCCTAGAAATTAAACGTCGGAGTCGGTGGTGGAGAATAAGAGATTATAAAATAAGAATAAGCTATCAAATAAGCTCTAACGTGGGTCGGCTGTATGTGGGTATCTTCCAGACCTTCAATACCCACACCTCGATGCTACTTGATCAGGTAAGAGCATGCAGAAACGCGAATAATTTGAGCTTACCATCCAACTAGGGAACCTTCTTTGCTAAGCTCACGGTTGTAACTTGTTTTTCATGCCTGATCATGCTTCAGGAAGGTGAGTGAACATGGTTTTATCATTTGAAAATAGGGAAAAGAAAAGAAATGATGAGGGAAAGTCTTTAAACTATAACTTGATAACCAACTTTATTCTTCAATTCATGTGAGTGCAAATTGTAACAGACCAGGGGCTTGGAAATCAACACCCCGTCAAAGCATTGCATCATCTAACTCTAAACATAGCAAAAATGTCCTGGAAAGGTTCAAGAAGATGGGAGAACAGCGAAGCTTTGAGCTTCTTTATACTTTCAATGACAGCAACATTGAACCATTTTCGTCCCTTGGTACAGATTCAAGGTTATACCGGGTGGTTGTAAGACTTAATCCAGATTAGTTGTAGGCTCATAGCGAAGAGAGAAATTTTGTGCAAATCACACACCTCCAATGAAGGAACCCAGTACAGTAGTCATAACAAGACTGTAAGAAAGCTTCACAGGATCTATCGCCGAGATGCATCGCTAGACCTGAGTCATACTGGTCCAGGTCGTCGATGGCATCTTTGAGCAGATGAACAGCCATGTCGACGACCTCTTGAAGGGAGTCGTTGGACTTGTATAGGAGAGGAATTAGACTGCACACTTCTCCTTTTTCCTATATCAAGCTTTCAGTAGTGACCTTTAAATCATGCTATGAGATAACAAACCACTTCCTTTCGGAGAGAGAGAATATCGTTGGTTCTGGTTGGCTTATCAGTGATGAGCTCTGCATGGGTCTTCGGTGGTAATATGCATACATGGCGATCACTCGATTGGTTTGAAGACAGATATCCTTCATAAATGGGTGCAAGAGCGTGGAACGAGAGAGCCTTGTGTCCATACTCAGCCTGAAATGAATAGTTAGTACAGGATAATAAAATGGTATCAATCATCTCTGGGCTAACTCCGTCGCAGCGCAAACCACTCCCATGAGGTTTGTGCCAAGTCGATAGGTCCAATACTCATCGATAGTCGGCAGTCGCTCCTGGGTGCGGTATTGTTGTTCCAGACATGACATCTCAATGGTGAACTCCATTTCCTCCAAAATGATCTCTCTATGAGCTATGTTGCGTATTAGTTGCCATGGACCCTCTCGATGAGATAGACGCGTGCTATCACTCACCTGGGTCATATTCCTCTCGAATGAACTGAGCGACTGGCTCAAATCTATCCAAGAAATGGTTCTCAAACTCTTCTGGAGAACCGCTTCTCTTCTCATCCCCATCCATTCCTAGACTCCTTCTCATGTACCGCAACGTCTGGTCCCGGAATCTTTGACTTGCCGTGAAGTCTCCTCCCAGCGACAGAGACTCTGAAACTTGATCTAGCTCATCATCCCACATAAGCAGCCATATTATGAGGAATGCGAGAACCTGCAGGGTTCTGAACTCCGCATGGGGCCACCACAGACAAGCCAGCAACGCCAGGTCAGTCGATTTGACCTTTTCGGCTTTCTTGGGATTTCCTGGGAACAGACTTTGGCACGTTAGTTTCGAAAGAATTAATTAAAGAATAAATATCAAGGCAAATGAGCGAGCGAGGAATGTTTCTTCACCTGTCTATGAAATCATTTGTTGATGGGATAAGCTTTGCGTGATTAGGGTTTGCGGTGCCAGCCGTAGGAAAGAAGGACCGCAACTCTGGGATAAGAACCTGCTGGCCTCGGAGGCCAGAGAGAATCTCATGGGGCGGCTTAGTTCTGATGGCTAACATTTTCAGGATAAAACAAGGTAGCAGGGCTGGCTAGTAAGGTCGAGCCGGCGTCGTTGAACTCTGGGTTAGTCGGATTAACACTTCCATCTTATATTCCATGAGTGTTGAAGTGAGGCAAAGAGACTTTGAATGTTTAAAATAGAAGAATACTAACATGACCAGCCATTCTTGAGACTCATTCCTTATTCATATTGGAGCAGCATGTCGTACTTCCACAAAAGGCATCACCGGCATCAGAAATGACGCGGCAAAGCTAGAAGTTTACACTTTTGTCTTCCTATACGTACTCGTGATCCTTTAGGCTCAAAGTAGTGAGGTTTATTATTCTTCCTGTGAAATGACGAAAAAGACAAGACAATTGACGAAATGGTTGTAGCGCTCCCATATGAGCATTCTCTCTATATCTCCCTTCCTGAAAACTATTGATTGGTCACTTATGTTATGGGCTTATACTAGGGTTCCATCATCTTGAACTCGACGAAAAGGGACAGCAAATGTAGATTATGACGTCCAGGAAATCCTCTATCAAATCATCCGCAGGGTAAGCACTTTGAAGTAGAATCATGCACTTCGGCGTGTGACGTCAAGCATTCTTATTTACTGCCAATATCGGATTTCAACATGCCCTGAGGGTTTGATGTAGTACGAACGCTGTTTTTGTCAAAAAGGTTATCACTGAGGGTTCCTTGGTTCCTACTCTGTCATTCAAAAGGAGTATGTCATAATCTAACCCGTTTGCCTGCAGGATGGTGGTCTTCCTCCCTGCAGCTTTGGTATTTGCCATTCCCCATCTTGTAACCCCAATTCAATTCCGCGTCAACCGGTTTAACTCTCTGAATAAATCATTGTATTCCATGGAAATTAGAGGCATAAAAATCGCCCCCAAATACTACTGCCACACATTGTGAGAACTCTACACCAATATAAACCTCCCTATCTTTCTCAATCATGTGTGAAGTTCTTTTGACAGTCAATTACTACTACTCGAAAAAGAAACGCAACATCGCTATGATTGTTATCTTAACCATTTTAGGGTCCATCTTCCTCCTCTACTTAATCCAGTGGAAAAGAACTCCTCGAACCCTCCCTCCCGGCCCGGATCCTCTCCCTCTCATCGGCAACCTCCATCAATTCGCCCGACTAGTCCCCTTGAAAACATTTCATGACTGGCATAAGAAGTATGGATCGATCGTTGGACTCACCCTCGGCCCCAGGACCCTCGTTATCCTGGGCACCCATGCCATCAACAAAGAGCTCCTAGGAGGCAAAGGCCAAATCTACAGTTCTCGCCCGTATATGCCCTTGGTGACGGACCATATGACCGGTGGTCTGAACACGGCCTTGATCCCCTACGGGGAGAGATGGAAGACCCACAATCGGATTCATCTCGCGCTGTTGAACCCCCGAATGGCGAGGCTGTACGAGGGTCTCGTGGACTTTGAATCCAGGAGGCTATTGACTGGAATCTGCTCGACCAAGGACTTCTCCACTGTCATTTATCGCTACACTGCGAGCTTAATTTTGTCATTGCAGTATGGCAAGTCTGTGGATGTGAATGATCCGATGTCGAGGGATTTCAAGGAAATCACCCACAAATTCGTCAAAGCCATCGGGGCCGGTAACTTTCTGTTCGAATGTCTTCCTGCGCTACAGCGGATTCCGCCCTCTATAGCGCCGTGGATTAAGGAGAGCCAGGGGTTGCATCATTCTGCGACAACTCTGTTTTCTTCGAGCGCAGAGAAAGGCGTCAATGCGAAAGAGTGGAACTGGTCAAAATATGTGCGCACCCTGAAAGATGCACATGGGATGCCAGAGGAAGAACTCTGGTATCTTATGGGGATTCTCTATGAAGCGGCGACCGATACTAGTGTGGCCATCCTGCGATTCTTCATTATGGCGTGCGTTTTGCATCCCTCTGCGGTAGAAAAAGCGCAGAAAGAGCTGGATTCCGTGGTCGGAGATTCCCGGTTGCCCAAGGAAGAGGACATGGCGCAGCTACCACATGTGAGTGTCTTCATTAATGAGGTTATTCGGTGGCGCCCAGCGACGCCAGAGGGGATTCCCCGTGCGACTTCTGCCGACGACGTCTACCAGGGGTACCATATCCCGAAGGATACAACGGTGATCGTCAACATGTGGGCTATGCACATGGATCCCAATGTATACGATGACCCCGAATCATTCCGTCCGGACCGATGGATTGAGAAACCGGATTTGCCGCTGGGGATCTTCGGATACGGCAGGAGAGCGTGTGCGGGTCGTCATTTTGCCCAAACTTCGTTAAACTCGGTTGTTTCGCGAATGCTGTGGGCCTTTTCCTTCAGTCATAGCTACGAGAATGGGCGTCGCGTTGAAATCGACCCCTGGGATTTGGAGCAGCATGGGGCCAGTTTGAGACCAGGGCCGTTCTCTGCAGACATCCGACCCCGGGATGCAAGTCGTCGGGCAGTTTTGGAGAAGGGGCCTAACGTTGATAGGGGTGTTGAAGAGCTTCTTACTCAAGTAGACAAGGAGATCAGTTAATGGTTTAATTAGCCGTATGTTACTATGATAGGAGTTAGCCTCTGGATATGGGAAGACTGGATCAGATGGTATAATGCTAGTAGCAAGTGGTAAGGGTTTTGTAGTTCAATAATAGTACCGGAATCTATTATTGTGGTCATTCTACGGCCGCAATTCGATGTCGCGGTAGCGTCCTCAAGTTCTATCCAAATATATGACATTATTAGCATTATACATGTCTATTCATAATACAGGTGTACCGTCCTAGTAAACGCCCAAATACCACTTCAAGCGATCGTAAACAAAAAAGCTTGTCGCCACCATGGGCACGACTTTGATATACCCAATCGTCAGCCCTACGTAGAACCCTCGTATCCCTCTTTCCACGAGAATAGTTCGTGCCGTATCGGCAATTCCTGCCTGGCTGATATGTCCCCCGTTCATCCCGCTGACTTGCATGCGTCGCCGGATGACCTCGAGAGGATAAGAGACTGTCTGCGCCACCATGCCCGCCAGAGCACCGGATAAAAGCTCCGCAGGGGCAGTTAGTTGGATGCGCTTCGTCAATCTAGATGGCATGTGTTCGGCGGGCAGAAGAGACGTATACGACGCCAGGAAGGGCGAACGAAACCAGTCTCCGATCAGATCGTGAGCAAAGAACGACATCCCAGCATATGGCAGAGTCGCTAACAGCGTGGGAGTATAGCCGCGATAAAAGTTCGCGACTGCAGATGTCCTCAAGCCTCCATCGCGGTAGATATGATTCCAAATCACAACCAACGACGTGGGCCGGCTTTGAAAGGCTAGATTTACCCGGATCAATTCAAGCGGATAGGTGCATGACATCGAAATAGCACCCGCTAGACTGCCCGAGATGAAGAGACGGGAGGGAGTATCTTCGTCCGGCGCCGTGATCAGGGCGCTGCGGAGCTGTTCGTAGGCGAGAAAGTTGATGGCCGCATCAGGAAATGTGCGGAGTAATGTGAGGGAATGGCCTTGGAAAAGCGCTTGGGTTCCACAAGATGTCTGGATGGTTCGAAGGGCATCGAGGACGGCCAGGCGGCTAGTTGTGTGGTGCACGAAACCAGGGTGAGCCGTTTGGAAGAGAATCTTCACTCTCTCCAGCGGCGCTACGACGGTTCTAGCCTAATTAATTGCAACGAGATCAATGAACGGTCCGTCCTCGTGAGCATACCGCGTCGTCCATCCCTTGTTGTCCTGGGGAGATGACTTACCGTGCATCCGGCCAACCCTCCTGCCAATCCTTTTCGCCACATCTGGCTGATGCTATTACGCTCAGCCGATCGATCATCCTGGCGCATGTTGTCAATGGCCCTTTCTGTGGGGGGAGGCGGCCATAAAGAAGGTGGTTCGGAGCGCGTCCGGTAAGTCGGGAGAACGGTATCCCTGTGTAGGCTAGCATTCCGGATGTCTCACATCACGAATTCTCCAGCATTCGACAATTAACCAAAGTGGACCTTGTTGATTCATCTGCACGCCGTGTAGGCAGCACGGGCAAGATAAGACCTGAGCAATTCGAATCCCAGACACGCTCTCTTCGCAGCGCATATCGATCCCGAAGATCACTTATATGCTGAGCTCCCTTGCAGGGGATCCGCTATTCTTAGACTCATTGCTCCAAAGAATGCCTTTGATACAAGTGTTGTGATAACTCCGTTAGCCCCCGGTGAGATAGGTCAGACCACACAGGCTGCCTCTTCCATCTTTCGCAAGCTTCGGGGTGCGTTGAATCAGGCTAGTGCGGAGAATGCATCTGGATATGTTCGTAGAGCGGCCCAGCAACCCGGCACTTTTGGCGCGGGTCTGGCCTGTCATTCAATCATGATATCAGGCATAGTCAATAAAAGAAGAAGCAATTCTATACTCCGGGGTACACCAGGGCTGGCGGGGTCACGCGTTTCCCGCTGGGGTAAGGCGCTTATGTCCGTGCCGAAGGGCGTTAAATCCGCCACCCCACCGATAGCGTCTGCCGGGGGTCCCTTTCCCTTGGTGGTCAACTTCACTCTAGATGAAGAATTTCTAGATGAGAAGTGTTCGCAAAGGGCTCAATGGCTATCCTGGTTTCCCCGAAAATCCTCTCATCTGATCGTTGCATGTAAATTAGACCACCTTTTATGAGACAGGCAGTTGGCCCGGGTGTTTCCATTCTGTCGAGAGAAGGCCCTTTTCTCGAACTAGAACATGCGACTAATGTAGTATGTTACTTGTTACTTAGCAATGCAAGTTAACTGGGTACTTTCTCATTGTGATTGATAACGACAATCTAGTCTTGCTGGAATTGTCCTGTAGTATCAAAAGGAACCACCGCCTCCAGCAGGACATAATACCACAGCCATATACCTCAAGCGATCGACCTCCTTGCCATGCAGCATTGGGCAGTCGATAAGCAGGACACCCTTGTGAGCTGATACATGCATCATAAAGAATGTACAAGGACCCTCGGTCTGAAAGTAAATTATTGAATCGATTGAAGCAAAACAAAGGGAAAGCAATATCACTTCAGTCTGTCATGCGAATGCAGCCGCAAAGGTAGGTTCGTCAAATGACTTGGTATCTTGATTAGTAGTAGAATGATTTAAGGATCGAGAAAACGGCAAAGTCCTACTGCAGGTAAGGATGGGATGGCGCCGGATCGGTTTCGCAATGTATGTACTAGGACTGTTATGTGTGGTTTCGTCAAGATTGAGGCGATGTGATCAAGTCAGAAAGAAGGAGTAAAGCAATCGAGGAAGCAGTTCGTTGAGCTAGAGATTCTTTCATTAAGTAGTAGTAAGTTGATATGGAGTAGAATAGAAAGATCGAGCGGAAGGATTAGCGATCAATAAGGCGGCCATCTGATCAGGTTGCCTGTTAAGCGTAACTAAACCCTCTTTTAAAGGCAAAGCGCAAAGCAATGGGGATCAAAGCAGTTATGAGAAACGCGCAACAGAGAATATGATAGAGAATAAGGAACAAATGTAAAACACAGTATGGCAAAGCAGATTGTAGCAAACAACAGAGTCAGAATTTTAAAAGGCAAAGCGGCCGATGCAAGCGATAATGTAATCCGAAGTTCTCCTCGAGCCGAGACGATCTGATCTGTCGAGTTCTTCGTTTCGCCTATCAATTGAACAAAGGAAGCACCTGCCAACGTGCCGTAAAAAAGGTGTAAGCGGTTCGGAAAATAAGCGTCTGGGATTCTGTCTCTTATGCTGCAGAGAGAGACAGGCCGAAATGTCTTGAGACATTTTGAAGGAAAGTTACAAAGCTGTTTATCTCATCTTGGTTGAAACTTGTCGATATATGCAGTGTGAACACGGCATATATGAATAGAGGACTTTCTGTGTGAACAAGTCCTCCTGATCCTGGAAACCAAAGTCTGACCGAACTGCATCTAGCCAAAGCAGTGAGCTAGTTTACCTACCTAGTGGGGATAAGGAGCGTCGATTTTAATAAGCTCAGTAAATTCAATACTCTCGTCACCCCGCCGCTTTCTTGCCACAATCTCATTTGCGAGATTTCCAGTAAACGAATAGTACTGGCCAGGTCCATATGTAGTGGGATTTTGTTCATTTGTTGCAGTATGAACTTCCACTATATTGCCACTCGTGGTGACATGTCGAGCTGCCAAGTGACTACCTATAGCAACTATCAAAAATGAAAACCGCATCAATTTAAATCCTTGAGGACAAGATAAACGCTCGCGGCAAATTCTGGGGACACCCAGATAACGGATTTGCTCGAGCATATAATGGGTTTCAGGACTAGATGTCCAAGGTAAAGTATGGTTGCACCCCTGCAACTGCTATAATCATTGTTGAGAGAGATGGACCGCAAGTATTCAAGAAGCTCGCGGAAGCCGCTGGCACCTTAACTGTGCGTCGGCAAGAATAACACACAAGGCCCCGTTGGATCACGTGTCGTCATAGTTATAAAGTGGCCGGAATATGTGAGTTCATCGATGTCACAGTTCCACAACTTCGCATTGAGAGGGCCTGCTTGCACGAGGTAGGGAGTGAGGAAGGGACACAGAGGCACTCTTGGAAGCAACTTGTTGGCTGGTAGCCACCAAAATCGGATAGTCAAGAATATCCTATCTTCTGCTATTTCTACCAGTTCAAGCACGAGGCGTACTTTGCCCCAAAGTTCGTGGACGAGGGTTGAAATGCATAAGAGGTTTGGGGGTTGCCTCTGTACCTTCGGGCCCGAAAATATCGCGACACCATTTGCTGATTTTGTCGGGTATCCAGAACGCCTGGAGGAGACTCCAGAAATCTTCCCGCTCGCTTTCTGTCAGCCCTAGTTAATGACGCTTTGGTCGAGGATTATGCCTGCTCATCAAGGGCCCTTTTGCATTGTATTCCCCTGCACCAGACGGAACAGAATCTTCTCGATCAGCCGCACTATGCGTCTATCTTCTTCTGCAGAGTTCTTGGATTTGCTCGCGATAATTCCGCCGCGGCAGTGGACTTTCCCACCAGAAGATAGATGACTGGAAACGGGTTTGTATGGCTTTGCCAGACTGCTGTAGCGAACGCCCTGAAAGTCTGCGATAATAGGGTCTTTCCACTTTCAGGCCATGCCATATGTCATTTGCTTTCATTGAAAGCCCTTATCAGGAGCAAGCTTTCTTCAGAAACACACGACCAAAAGCTCATCCGCGTTCTGGTGGACTTATCGCAGATTATGCTGTTCCATACATATCGCGTAACCGCAAGGTTAGACTGAGGTACGCAAAGGCAGATATTGTACATATACTTAACCGTGCCGTTATTTGACGAGAAGTTCTTCAGCCATATCTGGCCAAAAGTACCGGATTTCGTCAGTCTTTCAAGACTTGCTGGACTTCGCCTTCGAGCACTACCTCCACTGGAGCTCCATGCCCAAGGCCCCCAACTGGTCCTTGGGACAGTTATTTTCGAGAGCTTTCTTTTTGCGTGTCGACTTTGATTTTCTCGAGGTCTTCCTCTCTGAAACCGAATGTTTCGGAGGCTTTCGAGTCTCCGTTGAACGGGTCACTGCGGTCATTGCGATGCCTTGGAGGTTTACCGAGTGCATCCAGTGTCGACCTAGAAGAAGGGTATAATCCGGTTGCATCTGCCCGTCCACAACCATTGCTGCGATGTCTTGGCTGTCTTGGCTGTCTTTACGATCACGACGTCTCAAGGAACATGTGCCGATTCTGCATCTATATAGAAACCACCATTTCTATATCAGATGATATGATGGACTTCAACTGCATCATATACCAGAGGCTATAGTCCGCAGGTGCCAGGATATCTGGTCTCCTTCTTTGCTGCTGTCGCTGGTGATCGATAGAGATGGAGGGCAATGTAGAAAGAAGATCCAAAGGTTTTCTTTTATCTTCTGAAACAAAGAAAAGAAAAGAAAAGAAAAGATGGACAGCTCTGTCACCCCTCTGCCATGGCCAACATTGTTGGATATTTCAGTCATTGTGATTCGGGAAACGGAATGCAAGACAAAATATTCCGAGCGTTATGTATCTTGCTTTCTTCTTTCAGTGGAGGGCAGCAAGGTATCAATTCGATAGTCAAGTATTTGAGCGGCGGAGTATCATTTGTTTCTCTCCAGAGGTGGAGACAGAGCCTCGAAATGCTCATTCTCGAGATCGCCATGTCAAGAGACTATCAAGCAATATGTCAGCAATCATTAATCCTCTCAGCAGAATATCCATTCAGTTAAGTTATCTTGTCAAGGGTCCGGGCTGTCTTGATCAAAACCTCATGACCCAACACAACCTAACCCGCCTCGGAAGCTGTAAAAGAGACCATACATACCTCTATTATTCTCCTTCACCAGTCTTGCCTGAGGTCTTTGATCTTGTCCTAATTTTCGGCTTTGGGGTGTGTCATTCGCTTGAGCTATGCCTTTTTGGCTAGCCTGGGCCCTTTCGTCATTTCAGTCTGATCGTTCGCTTTTCCAAAAAATATTCTTGGAATTGCGTTTAAGATGTCCCGCGTTGGTTGCGTCTTCCTCCCGTCTAAATGAGGCTTTTGAGGAGAGGAACACTGCTCGTATTTGAACAAGTAATGGAACTCGAGAGGTCCCGACTGTTATAAAATCTCACGTGGAATGGATGATGATTGATTATGAACTGGACTAAAAGTATGGAACGGAACACGGAAAGTCCAACCCACTGCTGTGGGCGGATCCATGTAGCAGAAAGTGCAAGTCACTTGGAGTGGAGAGTCAAAGTAGAATTGAAAAGCCATATAACATTAGTCGAAAGAAAATCAGAAAACTGTTCGCAAGCACCGTTTTGAGGCTTTTAGAAAACAAGGTCAAAATCCATGTAAAAAGAAAAGAAAGCTATCTCATTCCAAGCCATTTCAATAACATCTTTGCTCTGATGAGCACGTCAAATGTCTGTTGGCCATTCAAGCGAAATCACATTGTCCGGATGATCCTCTGGCATATTTGGGTTGGGGTAATCTGCAATATCTTCCATGATGTCTGCATTATCCATTTGAAGAAGTTTTTCCTGCACTTTCAGCATTGCTAATCTGATATCGGCAGGCCTTAAGATAAAATCTAACTTCTCTCGCAAGAAATTAAAGCGTTTTTGCAATCGACTTCTAGATCGCAAGACACGCCTCAAGTGATCATTCTTTGTAGCACCCAAATCAAAAAGGATTTTCTTTTGCTCTTTCAGAGATTTGATCTTCGCCTCTGCATCTTGTAATTCCTTCAGAGTTGGTGTATCCAAAGTCATAATCGCCTTCGGAGACGGAATGTTCTCAGGCAGGTCCTTGTTGCTTTGTTCCAGTTTGGCATTGGCCTGCTCAAGTTTGGATTTGGCTTCTTCCAAAGTAGCCAGCTTTTTAAGCAATCTTTGGTGTTCTTCTCCATTTTTCAGATGAATAATCCGTCTGGCGAATTCTCCGCGACTGGCGACCAATTTTTTGTTGTCGTCTCGAAGTTGAATATTTTTCGCTTGGAGTTCAGCATTCGTAGCACGGAGTTGGTCAATTGTTTTTTCAAAAGAAGCAAGCTGCACCTTCGCCGCTTGGAGCTCATCAACTGTCTTTTCGAGCTGACTGACTTTCAATTGGTCTTGTTTGGCAGAGCAAACAAGCATCTCAAATGTATCTTCCGGAGTCAGGTCTCGCGGTACGAATGGGTTTTGTTCAAGCGGTGATGACAAACGGAGCAGTTCAGAAACGGTTTGCTCGGATCCCTTTGGATCATTTTGAATTTGCTGGCCATTTTGAACCTCAACCAATGACGGGTTTTGAACTTCCACTGTAGGGAATGGCGTTTGCTGACGAGTAATTCGAGGGGGCGTCTTTTCTCGAAGTAGAACTTTTTGTGTCTGAGCATTTCCAGTGTTACGCAACTTTTCCATTGTTTCTGAGGAGTGCATGGTGGAATTGAACCAAATGGCATAGTCGGGGTCGTTTGCCAAATCAGCCGAAGGGACACTTGGAAAAATAGTCGATGAAAATGGTAAAATCGACTTGTAGTTGGACTGAACAGTCAAACCAGGACGAGTCAAAGACGACGACCGCATGATGGACGGGTCAGACGAAGCAAAGGGGTCAAAAGATGATGCTGACCGACCATGGCGTGGCGCAAATGGCAAACCACTGCGAGTCGTGGGCCTTGCAGACTTCCGCTGAGTAGACATATGTTTGGATTCTTGGTGAGGTTGATTCTCTTTCGGATTATCAGGATTTGTGATCACCGAATTAACAGACTCTCCATCATCGTCAGGTCTATCAGCTCCAGCCGGTGTTGTGCCGATTTTGTCTGCTATATCCACTCGAATTCCTTTCTGGTCATCAAATGACAAGCGTGCGCCGTTCTTATACTCGACCATTCCTTCGATAGATGTGTTCGAGGCCAGACGATTGACGGCAGTAAAGCTACTTGTAGATGTAGCTACACCCATGTGTAAAATATTCGGCGATAAAGCTGCAGCCTTTTGTTCTCCAGTTGGAATGCCGTTAATCAACCATGCAGCGTATCTAAACGCCAAATCTTCACCACAGAGAACATAAAAGTATTTTACCACTGGGATAAATAGTTCTCCGTGAAAATTAACAATGACAGCTTTGCCGCGTGGAAATCTCGTCGAGCGTATGATTCCGTTTGAGTTAAAATCAAAGTTCCAAGCCTTGCCTCTGAATGAGGCTGTCCATTCTTTTGGCTTGGAGTGCGGCTCAGCAAGTGGTTTATCTGGCTCAGATGTCAAGTTTTCTGCCACAATCACCCGCGCAACCCATGCGTCGCTCAATTTCACGAAAGATGGCGGCATAGAATAAGTACTCAGCCACTTGTCGCCGAAGAAACTCCAAGTATCGGGGCATTTCTGTTGGGATTTAGAAACCACTGTAGACGGAGTCCACAACACGTCTGTGGGAACAGGGTTACTTTGGTTCACAGTCCAGGCAGATTTCTGGTTATCCCTGGTTGTTTTGGCCAGTTTTCGAACTGAATCGTAGCTTGAAGTCCAAGCCGGGCTACCGAACGCCAAGCATAACTTCTGAGCGGTTTTGGCCTTTTTAGCCGGACTGTCTGTACTGGAATCGTTGCTGTCCATTTGAATCAAGTGAGATGTAGTGAAAGTCAGAGACAGAAAGGCGCAAATTATGGCTTGGATAGTAAGGTAAAGTGAAAGATTCAAGAGAGATGTAAGATGTAGTAAGGAAGAGAGAGGTAGAAGGATGAAAGTGTAGGAAAATAGAGAGATGAAGCATGAAAGTAGAGAACAGTGCAGAAGTCCAAGTGGTGTTCAGCAGCGCATTCAAAATTATTGTCTCAATGCAAATAATAATAATTTGAAGTACGACCTATTACAGAGCCCTCGTCTGTGGTTTTGATCACTGTCCTTCTTGCGCCTTGATGGGAGTAGTAAGTAGCCATGATCTTTGCAGTGGTTATGCATTGGAAGAAGATTGAAGGCGTTGGCGGTGCTGCTTGAAGTGCACCGGCTCCATCTCATGACCAGATTAATGGCTGTTCTGATTTCCTCGAAATATTATTTTATCCGATTTTTGCATGGAAATTAGACCATCTTTTATGAGAACTGGACAGGAAGTTGGCTCGGGTAATCCCGCTTTGACGTGAAGCCCTTTTCTTGAACTAGGATATGCTACTAATGTAATATGTTACTTGTTGCTTAGCAAGCAAATTAAATACTTTATCAATATGTTGGATCTTGAATATTGATTGAATTGAATTGTAGTATTAAAAAGAACTGCCGCCCCCAGCAGGGCACGACACCACATCCTTACTTTAGGCGACCTCCTTGCCATGCAAAATTGGGCAGTCAACGAGCAAGACACCTTGTGATTCAATACATACATCATAAAAAGTGCCAGAAGGCCTTTGGTTTCAAAATAAAGTATTGAATCAATTCAAGCAAAACAAAGGCAAAGCGCAAAGCAATGTGAGTCAAAACGTGATAAGAAACACTCGGCAAAGAATCTGATAAAAAAGCAAGGGCCAAATGTAAAACACAGCATGGCAAACCAGGTCATAGCAAACAGCGCAGTCAAGATCGTGCAATTCAAATGCTGGTATGCAGGTCAAACCACAGATTTTCCTCCTACTTCGGCGGGTGGAACATTTTCCTTAAGCCGAGATAATCCGATCCGTTGCAAAGGATATGGGTGCGTCGTTTCAGCTATCAATTTGACACAGGAAGTACCCACCAGCTTGCTGAAAAAGGAGTATGCCCCTCGGAAAATAAGAGTCTGGGATTCTGTCTCATAGACCGCATCAAGGGACAGACCAAAACGCCTTGGTATCTTCCGTAGCCAAACAACAAAGTCATCAATCTCTTCTTGGCGGAGACTTCGCGAGATTCGAAGTGAGAACACAGCATATAAGGATGGGGGTGTTTCTGTCCGGGTGCTATCAAACCCTTCTTTTCCTGGAAACCAAAGCCTGACCGAGTTGCAACCAATCACAGTCGAGTGGATAGGTTTTCCAAGTGGGGAGGTTAGGCGTAGGTGCTCGATTAGCTCTGCGAATTCAATACTCTCGTCGCCTCGCCGCTTTCTTGCTAAAATCTCGTTTGCAAGCTTTCCAGTGAAAGAAGAGTACTGGCCAGGTCCATATGTAGTGGGATTTTGCTGATTTGTTGCAGCAAGCACTTCCACAATACGGCCACCCATGGTCGCGTCTCGAGTTGCCAAGTGGCTGTAGCAACTGTCAAAAATAAACACCACATCAACCGGCTCTGATGAAGTCAAGTTCATTACAGGTCCTAAGAGCGCAGTATCAACTCTAAAAGCTCTGCCATGCGAGCTAGCAAAGTTCAGGTGCCCTTGTATGCCCTGCATTCCATGTCCCGCATAGTGGATCAAAATAAGGGTCCGACCGGCCGTCTCGAAACCTCTTGTGACAAGCTCGTGGACTTTTTTGGCCACGATTTGGCCAGGTGACGAATGTTTGGATCGTAGGCGAAGCTCCTCAGCCTTTGGCAAGCCCAAGGCTTTCAAGATGTCTTGAAAGCTTTTAACATCTCTTTCTGCATTTGTCGCGTCCGCCTCCCAGCTAAACGATATTGGCAAGTAAAGAGCGTACGTGCGGCAGTGTTGTTCTATAGCCCTTCTTATCATGGTTTGAATCAAGTCTGTGTCGAGTGCGTCGGAAGTCATTTTTGCGGCTGATACCTCAAGAGCAATGGTGAAAGAAGCTATGCGGTAGCTCAGTTACTGGCGATGAAGAATTTCCGAGTATGATGGGGAAAACTGGCTTTGAGGACGTATGGATGACAGCGGTGTTGGAAGAGATCTGTATGTGAGTCAGAATTGCGGCAAAGTTGGGTCTTTTGCGGGAGTTTACGTACAGATGCGGTCACGAAGACCCGCTTGGCTTTGATACCTCAGGCCAAACTGGTTGAGGAACCAAGGGAACTGAGACACTCGATTGAGATGGCTCAGGAAGCGCTTCGCCTTGAGCTTGTGGCTTTGAGTGGACAGTTTGGTTTGACGCGGTTGAGAGACTGAAGACCAAATCAAACGTGCATGGGATCAATCCGGGCGAAATCTTCTTATCAGGCTGAGAAGAGCATGTGTGTTCGATTTTTTAAAATAACAAGATCATCCACCTAAGAATAGTCAGTTTGTTTTGAAGCAAGCTAGGGTCCAAGCTCTACTAACCTGATTGGAATGGCCTTGGTCGATCCTTTGGTCTTCTGTGAAGTTGGTTTGGACCGCGAAGAAATGAAGAGAGGAGGAAAATTTTCTGACAGAGAAGATCACCGAAGATCGAGGGGAAGGTGGTGGCTCCCGGGGTTGGGACGTCCGGAGTCGGGTGAAGAAGGAAGGAAGGGGTCGGAGTCCCCAAGCAGCAAGAGGTACAGATGCTCTAAACTGGAGGGTCAAGGTAAGCAGTAAGGTTGAACATGAGAGAAAGAAACCGAAGGTCGATGAGATGAAGGTTCTTAAGAGGCAGGGAATCCGGGGGATCAGGGGAATCAATGGAATCGAAGGAATCGGGGGAATCGAGGAGTCAAGTCCCTCATTCGCCCCTCTCATCATTTGCAATGATTGTCTACAGCTTTTGACCATCTTCTTTGCTTTGCATATGGTTGTCAGTTGTTTGTTTTGGGTTCAAAATCATCAGTGTTGCCACTTCTATCTTACAGGCTTTCATCCTTCTCATCCAGGTACTTGATTGCTGCAAGACAAAATCACTCTACAGAATACCGCTTTATTTTGCCGATCAAACCATTTGATGATCAATATCAAGCAAAGTATCTGCGCTCGATCATTGACAAACTGCCTCCTTGGTCAATCCAAGAACACTAGCTCAACTGATTTTCATCCTCTCAATCGCGCCGGGCCGAATCAACTACCTACTGCAGTCTCACTTTGAACCGTTTTTCAAAGCAAACTCTAAGATTCTCACTTCTTTCGTCTCATTATAGCATTGGTCTACAAACTGTGTCCTCCCTCATTTGATTGTTTGTCAAACGCCTTTGTCAGTGTGTTCCTCTTGGCTTCATCTTCTCTGGCTTGCTTTACTAACTCTTCTTCCAATTACCAGAGCACACAGGTTCTTACAATTGTTGCTATCATCATGGAAGACACCGACTCGAAGAGCAATCCACACAAAAAGTCCAAGGTAGCTGACAGGCGTTGGGTTCCTATTGGCAGTCCTTCATGGCTGTCGAATATGAGCCATCATACCACCGCTTGCAATAAGATTGCTTCGAAGATTGCAGCAGAAGCAATCAATAATAACACAAAGCCGTTTGGAACCGAACTCTTTTGGACACCAGGAATAGTTCTCAATCAAAATCAAATCGACAACAATTCTGTGTGGCCGTATTTTGATCTGCGAGATCCTGCCAACCCCACAAGGGTTCCCCCTGCCCATGTTCGCTTGTCAGATTGGTGGGTGGCTGCCGTCATCACAAACGAAGATATAACTGCCCGAAAAAGGGGGAAAGTCTGGACTTTCGATTTTGATGCCAATGGATTGATAAAAACAACTCGAGTGCCCCGGGGAGAGCCCGTAATCGTCGAATTGAACGGTGACTTGTTCCTACCTGTTGTAAAGCAATTCTATGTTCTTTGTGGGCAAGAAATGGCACTAAGAATCCCGTGGGTTATCAACTTCCCCCCCAAAAAGACGCTTTACCTGTGGACAAACATGTTCAGGATGCCGAAGGAGTATTGCAACCTTGCGCCAGAGAATGCCATTAAAGCCAATTTTCCGGGGCAGCGTTTAAAATGCTACACATACCAGGGACTACTGTCTTATGAGCTGCCTACCAAAAAAGTTTTGGTCCTTCAAGCAGACAATCCAGCGACTTTGCCATCCGATTTTGCTGATGACTCTATCTCCCTCTCAACAAAAGGAGACTTTGCAAAGAATGACCAGAAACCAAACCATTCTCCTTCTCTGGACCCGGTTCCGCTCCAATCTGCTTTGCAAGAGGAAACAACCACTGACAACACAAAGCCTACCGACCAAAAGGGCCCGATGCCGGATAATCAAGATACAATTGCGAGTCAAAGTGCAGATCAAAACAAGACACAAGCCGCTGGCTCCTCTGAGACTCCTCTCAATCCCGCGGGCAATACAAGCTCGGCTGACGAAATTTTGCAGTCCGTTCTTACTTCATTCAACTATACAGACCCACGAGTTGCTATATTGCAAGAACAAGTCGCAAAGCTCAAGTCGGACCTTCATTTCATGCGCATTGACAATGATTCTTCTTTATCCGCTATTACCGGATTGAATGTGGACATAGGAACTATAAAGTCTGAGTTGAAATTAACCAAAACTGAGTTGAACATAGCCAAAAACGAGTTGGACATTGCATTGGAATCCAAACTTGGGGCTATTGAGGAACGCGACCAGGCAAGATCTATCGCAGAAGGTACATCCAACAAATTGGACGATGCTCTGAGCTTAGTCAATGAATTGAACGCCAAACTTCGGAGCAAAGACGATGAAATAGAGAAATTGCGACTGCAACTCTTTGAGGCGAGATCTGACAAACCTGCCGAGCAGTCGGACTTGAACCGCAAATCGCCCTTGATCCCGACTAATGCCGCTGTGTCGCAACGTACTTCTTCTATCTTGAAGGTCGACACAAGCATTCGCGCATCGCCAACTGACATGAGCGACAATGAAAAAATCATTATCTGGACCCATGATGCCAATCGCTTGGCAAACGAAATGTGTTTCCTTAGGACTCGTTTGACTAGCCTCCAGGATCTTTACAAGAAATCGGTCGATATAAATAAATTCTATCAAAAGCATATTACAGATCTTGATGCAAAGTATGCCGAAGCGACAGTCCGTTTGAAGAAGCTCGAAGGCCCCATTGAAGAACGTTTGGACATAATCGAGACTACTTTACGCCAACGTGTGGATGTGGTTGAAACTGATCTCCACCGTACACAAGAGCAACTTGATGGTTTCAAGAACAATTTGACAAAACTCCAAAACGAGATTGAATTTACTGATGAAAATGAGGGCCCAGATGCCGGGTGCAACGATGGTGGAGCTGGTGGTGCAGTTTGAGGTTTAGTTTTTGAGCATCAATGACACGGACAATAATTCGAAGACACGATGTTGTGGATGCTGATGCCGACCTTGATGATATTACGGATATATGAAATACATCCGCTTGACAAATCAGCTTGACTTTTGTTTGATCAAACTCTCTTTCGATGATTCCCTTTCTTGTTTCCTTCTACGCAAATCGACGACAGGCTTCTGATTGTTGCAACTGACCTACGCCGCAACATTCTCCCGCCAGTCGATCATTGAGATCCCCAGCTTTGATCTCCAAGCCACATATCAACACACGCTCTGTCTCATTTTCCTGGTTATTTTCAATATCATTTTGCATGGCAAGGAATGCGGGGAGTCACAAATGGATAATGCTTTGGTTTTCTTACTTTGAATGATTGCTCCTGAGTAGCACCTTGTATCTTGATTGGGGTTGATCTACAATTAGGTTGGCCGATATGTTGTGCTGGCCCAAGTCACATATACTGCCAAGCGGAAAGAAATCCATGGTCGGTTTTGGCTTACCCGTCGAGTCAAATAAAGAATTGACGAAGATATTGGCCTGAAGATCAAACGAATTACGCATGACATTAGACTTGGCAGCAAGCTCAGCAAAAAGACTTCAGTTTTGATGGAATATTTACAATCATTCAATTCGTTCGAACATCTCTCATCGATAAACAGACACAGATAGATAGACATATGCGTACAGATGCAGGTTCCGCCAAAGGATTTCCATAGATCCAACAAACAAAAAGAAAACGCGTAATGGTATCGTATTAAAACACTAGAAGACGAAGAAGTCTTGCGTGAGTGGGAGGGTTTCCGCCGGTAGGGCATCGCAGAGCATGCCGTCCGCTTCGACAACGTAGCTTTCCGGGTCGACATGCATCTTGGGCATGGCGTCGTTGTGCTTCATGTCGGACTTGCCGACGTTTCGGCAGTTCTTGACGGCTTCGATGCGCTTCTTGATTCCGTAGGACTGCACCGTTCCGGAGTCGATGGAGGCCTGGGAGACCCACATGACGGAGAGGCTGGGGACATTGGCCTGGAAAAGTCAGATTCAGTTCATAAAATGCTAGAGAAAACACTTACCCCGAATTGTGGCCGCATGATCACCGGCTCGATGGTGGGAATAGAACCATTAGGATCACCCTGTAAAAGGTTAGAGGATTTCTCACAAGGGGTTGAATGGACTCACCATCTGCGACGCCACAATCATTCCACTCTTCATGATCATGGAAGGCTTGGTGCCGAACGAGCTAGGATGCCACAACACTAAATCGGCCAGCTTGCCAACTTCCACACTTCCGGTCAGATGCGACATGCCCTGAGCAATGGCAGGATTGATGGTGTATTTGCTGACGTATCTCTTGACGCGGAAGTTGTCGGCACCGGTACCTTCGTCCTCCTTCAACGGGCCGCGCTGCTCCTTGTTCTTGTGGGCGGTGTTCCACGTCCGCAGAATAACCTCGCCGCAGCGGCCCATAGCCTGAGAGTCTGAGGACATCATACTGATGGCTCCAATATCGTGAAGAACATCCTCGGCGGCGATGGTCTCGGCGCGGATACGGCTCTCGGCGAATGCCACATCCTCTGCAATGTTCTTAGACAAGTGATGGCACACCATCAACATATCCAAATGTTCATCCAGAGTGTTCATCGTAAAGGGACGGGTGGGGTTGGTACTACTGGGAAGCACGTTGGGATGCTCAACCACGGAAATGATGTCAGGAGCGTGGCCACCACCGGCTCCTTCGGTGTGATACGTGTGGATGGTGCGGTTCTTGAAAGCCTGAATCGTCTGCTCCACGAAGCCAGACTCGTTCAGCGTGTCGGTGTGGATCATGCACTGCACATCGTACTGATCGCACATGTCCAGGCAGGTGTCGATGGCGGCGGGCGTCGAGCCCCAATCCTCGTGCAATTTCAACCCAGCCGCTCCGGCCTTGATCTGTTCCACAATGCTCTGTCCACCACAGTCGTTTCCTTTACCGGTAATACCAATGTTGAGAGGAATGCTGTCGCAAGCCTGGATCATCTGGCGCATGTGAGTGGGTCCCGGGGTGCAGGTAGTCGCGTTAGTACCAGTCGAAGGCCCCGTACCGCCACCCAGGAACGTGGTGATTCCGGAAGCAAGCGCTTCATCCGCCTGCTGGGGACAGATGAAGTGGATATGGGTGTCGAAACCACCGGAAGTCACGATCTTGTTCTCTCCGGCCACCACGTCCGTGGAGGAGCCCACGACCATGTCGGGATGAACCCCGTCCATCATATCAGGGTTGCCAGCTTTGCCGATGGCAGTGATGATGCCGTCCTTAATACCAATGTCCGCCTTGTAGATGCCAGTCCAATCAATGATCAGCGCGTTCGTGATGACAGTGTCCAGACAGTGTTCGGAGGACCTTTCGGACGACTGTCCCATGCCCTCGCGAAGACTCTTGCCACCACCGAAACTGCACTCATCGCCGTACAACGCATAGTCCTTTTCGACCCTCACCCACAGGTTCGTCAATCCCAACCGGACCAGATCACCCGTAGTAGGCCCGAACATACGCGCGTAGGCTTCCCGGTCCATGGTGTACGGGCTAACAAGCGCAGCGTCGAAGGTCGGGTCGGGGATATGAGCGAAACCTTCGACCTGCAATCGAGCCATGATATCCTCCGCCCGGCTGAAATCGACCTTCCCCGAAGCCAGGAAATTGCCTCCCTTGATGATCTGGTTGCCAGCGATCTGCACGAGCGTAACGGTTTTGGTGTCGCCGGGTTCGAATCGCACCGACGTTCCGGCGGGAATGTCAAGACGGTAGCCATAGGAGCGGAGACGATCAAAATGCAATTTCGGGTTCGTTTCGATAAAATGGTAGTGCGATCCGACCTGCGGGCATTTATATTCCTGTCAGTCAAGTCCAATCTCCCTATAAAGATCCAAGGACATGCACCCACCTGAATCGGTCGATCACCACGACTCATCACCTTCAGCTTGATTCGCTGCCGTCCCTCGTTCAAGGTGATCCGCTCGTCCTTCACGGGTATAATCGCACCGGGCATCTTCTCGGGTTCGTAATCGTCGGGGTTGATATCCGGGAACGCATCGGCGGGCGGGATGGGAAGAAAGCTGCCGTACAGGGCCTTTTCCAGGTCGCCGTCATCGCTACTGACGGGGTAGTGAACGGTCACGAGATAGGTTCCGGTCGGGAAGGTTCCTTCGACTTGCAACTCGGCGAGAGTCGACGGGACGGACGGGAGGACATGTCGGCGACCGAGCATGGTTTTGCCGATGGACATGAGATCGGCCACGGAGTAGATGCCATCTCGGATCAGCTAATTGGCGGGGTCAGTCCGCGGGCACTCGGTCAGAAGCTACGAAAGCAAAAAGAAAAGAGAGTTTTACCTCTTGCAAGTTGGACGAGATGAGAGCGACGGCTTCGGCATGGTTCAGTCGCACACCACGTGCCAGACGGCGTTGGGCCAGGAAGCCCAACTGCGAGATGGCGAGCTTGTCGAGCTGCGAGACGAATTAGCGATCGGCCTGTTTTACGGGTTGCCAGGCGCATCCTTGTCGTTACGTACCTCCTTGGGGATGAGGTGCATCGTTGACAGCAGTCAACAGGCGCAGCCCCAATCTTTTTCTCTTGGCCTGCGAATCAGGGAGGCGGCAGCTGGGGCGATCGGAAGCCACTCGGCCAATCAAGGCGGTATGAGGGAGGGATCGCAGCAGAAGACACGAATGAGGGAGGCGAGTGGAGGACGGGGGAGGACGGTGGAGGAGCGGTGGTGCAGAAGATATCAAAAACCCAAAAGAACCCGAGACCGGGGGAGGCGAGCAAGGCGAGGCATGAAGGGCCGGGGGGATTTAAAAAAGCAGCCACCGTCGAGCGTGTAGGCGAAGGTCGGAGGTGGTGGGGTTCTCGACCCCATTGGAAGTTCGCCGAGATGATAAAACGGCGGCTGATAAGGGCCGCGCGGCCTATCGCAATTGGCTGCCATTCATCGCCCTGACTAACAGCTTTTTCTCGTCGGCAACGGAGGCGTTCTTCGCTTCTTCAGCCCTGACGATAACATTTCTTGGTTCTGGTTCTTGGGGCTTGGCTGGCCGATAAGGTCGTCCTCCCCGGATTTGCCGCCAAGCACTCGGGATTTGGGAACTTGTCGATTCATGCAGGGCGTCGCGTTAGTCACGGCGATGATTGATGCCAGACGAGGCATCCGATCGGAGACTGCTTATTTCTGGCGGTCATCCATGTCAATGCAGTCGCCAAAAAAGGAAAAGGAGAAACAATGCAATTACCAAAATAAACACGGAGAAAAGAGACAGGATCATACGAAGACTTTTCCATTGCGACTACCCAAGCAATATTCAACAGCAATACCCAACAGCAATACTTCTACTTATCCCGAAAAGCCAACCGAAACCACTCTCCCAGCCCGAAATGAAAGGGCATTCCTTCTGCCTCCAGAAATTGCAATCAACGGCACTAACCATCGGACACGGCAGATGTCAAGGCCAAAAAATAGTAGAGAAAAAAAAGAGAGAAAAAACCCCACCAATAGACTGTCCCACAAATTCCCCAAATGTACAGAACCCGATAAGCTATACAGGAACGATTTCGCTTAAGCCAAGGAAACCATTTTCAAGAAACCAACCAACGCACGGGGATCACATTCGAACCAAAAAAGATTTACTCGTCGGCGGCCTCGCTCTTGCGCTTGTTCTTCTTGGCACCACGCTTGTTATCAGCGGCAGCCGGCTTGCGGGCGGAGGCAGGAGGTTCCTCGGCGGCCTTGCGGGCAGAGGTGCGCTTCGTCTTCTTCTCCGGCGATTCCTTCTTCTCCGGGACGGGTGTGGGAGCCTCCTTGGTCTTGCCCTCGCTGCGACGACGCTTAGCACTGCTGCGAGGGGGGGTAGGCTCCTTGACGGGCTCGGGCTCGGGCGAGGATTCTTCCTCTTCTTCCTCATCGTCCTGCTCCTGAGCCTGTTCCTCGTCGTCGTCGTCATTGTCGTCATCAGTCTCTTCGGCACCGGAGCCCGAAACGCCCTCCACGTCCTGCTGGAGTTGGTTGGCGGCTCTGGCGCTGTCGTCATCCGCGACGGGGACGCCGGCCTTGTAGGCCTTCATCTTCTCCTTGTAGATGGCAAGGTTGTCGGCGTACAGCTTCTTCCAGATCTGATGTTCACTCGTATTAGTTCGCGTTCAAGTGTCACAGGACCACAGGACAAGGTCCGGGAGATTCTTAAAGAGATTCTTACCTCCTTGTGAGGCTCGTCCATCACAGCCCAGCGACGGGTTCCCTCGTCGGACACATCCTTGGGCTTGGCAGAGCCACCCAGTTCTTCGGCGATCTTGGCGCGGTTGTGCTGCATGTACAGGAAGAACGGGGTCAAGGCGCGCTTGGGGGCGTTGGGGTCAGGAGGAGCACGCTTGCGCTTCTTCTTCTCGCCCACCTCGGACTTGGCGCCGGGGCTGGTAGGGCGAGCGCCCAGCAGACCACTTTCGAAGAGGGTGTTGGTGATGCCGCTGGTGATACCTCCGATGTCGAGGTTGGAGGAGCCAGGGTTCAGGACCGTGCTAGTGTGGTTGATGTAGGCGCGCGACAGGTCCGAGACGGCAGACTGCAGTTGCGCCAGGCTGATGATGACCTGATTGTAACACGTCAGTTGAGCTGCCTGGTTGCTAGGAGACGCGGCGACGGCGTGAACGCCCGACGTGGTGGCATTGATGGCAGTAGTAGCACGCGCAATACACGCGACGAGGTCACGGGCGGGTAGGCCAGGATGCGACGAGTGGGAGGATGTATTGGGGTTGGGGGTACGGGCGCGTCGGGCCATGATGACGGAATCGGGATGCAAGAACCCAAACGAAACCAAAATCCACCAAGCCGTGGGACCAGATGAAGAATTTTCTTGGGGGGGAAGGGGGAGGGAAGGTAGGGGGAAAGCCTTAGGCTTCGGGGGGAGAAATAGGGGGGCAGGGAGCAGAGACGGTCGCGATCAGGGGAGGCAGCGGCTTTGTTTACGGACGCGTGGGAATGTGTAGAGGGAGCCAGACGCAGCGCCGGACAGCCAAATCGGGGGCGGCGAAGGGCGCCCACGGGCATTCAACGAGAGGGCCAGGAACTTACACTGTCGCGGGTCTTAGTGTAATCCTCGACATTGACGCTAACCGTGGCGGCATCTTTGGCCTTCTCGGCCTTGGATTCGTCCTTGCGCGACATGACGGATGGTCGCAAGCACGCGATGGAAGGATTAATTTTAATGAAATAAATAAGGATGCGAGGGAAGAGAGAGAGAGAAAGAGAGGGAGAGGGAAGAGGGAGATGGCAGAGGGAAAAGAAATTTCGCTAGCGGGGTCGCGTTCGGAGGGGAGGGCGCTGCTAAATAGCGCCAGGCAGGCGCCGGGGCCGGCTGTTTTGGGCTTAGGGACCCGTTAGTGTGCTTCAGCGTCTGCTTCCCTCGTCGCACGGCTGACCCTCGCCCGTCCTACAGGCCTGACCATATTGCCATGGCAGATTAACATGAACATTGGCATTAACATTAACATCTGACATCTTGACATCGTAGACTAGAAATGTTCCTGCACAGCATTCTCCGGATTTCCTTTCCCTCGGATCCACAAATCGAGAAAATCATGAAATCATCATCAAATTGCGCCGTTCCGCCCAAGTATGCGGTCAAGGCACTCTGTAGAGGCGACTCTGTCCCGGCCGGCAGGCTTCGACCGTCTGCCAGACGCCCGCACTGGCGGTTGACCCCTCTTCACGGGTGCCCGCGCCTACGGACGATCCTTTGTTTAGATCCTGACAAAAGATCTGGAGGGACTGGAAGCGATACTCTTGATTCTCGACAGGTCTTCTTCACGTAGACAAGAAAAAAATTGAAAATCAAAAAGTAATTAAAATCATCCTCTCGATTCCCCACAAAAATAGATTCTGTCTGAACACAGCCGATCCATCATGGCAAAAAAAAAAAAAGAAAAAAAAATCACCAATGTAAATGCTGCCAAATGGTGACTAAGGAACCCTGCAGCTCAGCTCGTTTTCAATTTCAATTTTCTTTTCCTCAGAGTTCACGACACACCGTGAGTACCTTTGGTTCAGGTTCAGCCGCCGAGTCCCCAGAGCACTGCCATGTCCCTTTTGCATCCACTCCAAGCCACTATGATCGCGTCCCCCCAGGTGACATCATTATATATATCCTAGACCCTCACCAAAAACCGTCGCGCCGGAGAAAGATACATAATACCCTTTCCGACGGTTGGACCCCGAATGCCACGATAGCGATTGTCATCCTCGAAATCATCTGTTTCTTACATTCTTGACCTGTCTTTTTCTGTCCGAGTTCTGTTTACAAGTCCGTTCTTGCAGCAGCGCAGCGCTTTTTTTTATTTTATTTTTTTTATTCTTTCGTTCTATCTCCTCCACGCCACTTACCGACTATCCTATCTACATCCACCTACTACTACTACTATTATCTAGTCGACTTTCCTCTCAGGGTAGCTCTAGCTAGCTACCTTAGCTACCTCCCCACCTAACACTCACTCCATCCACAACACCTAATCAACCCACCATGTCCACCAAAACATACATCCTCGTCTACGAGGGCTCCCCCCTCGACTACGCCGAATACCGACACACGGCGCTGCACTTCGTGTTCCCGCGGGGCCTGACGACGACGATGCACGTGGTCGGCACGCAGGGGCTCTTCCAGTTCGAAGAGGACATCGACCAGGACCCCGGCGAGGGCGGGAACCTGGTCAAGACGATCGCGGTCGGCCCGCTGACGGGGTCGATCAGCGCGGCGGCGCTGAAGAAGGCCGTCTCGGCGACCCCCGTCAAGAACGGGCGCAACGACCTGGAGTGGAATTGCCAGAACTGGGTCGGCGATGCGCTGGCCGGGTTGGTGGAGATCGGGTACTTGAGTGAGGTGCAGCGCACGGGGGCCATTGATCAGATGCTGGATGCTTGTCTGGAGGCGAAGGATGAATAGGTTTTGGTTTTCCTGTTGCTTTATTGTTTGAGTGCATCTTGTCTGTTGTCTGTTGTCTATTGTTTGTTTCTTGATCGGTGAAGTGTGCTCCGTGGTGATATCCCAATGTTGATTCTTGCTGTGCTATGTATTACATTGAATACCTGATAGCACATACCATGATATGGCAATTCCAAGTCCTGACTGTCCTGGCTGTTGACTAAACCAGCGATACAGAAATCCTGCTTTCTGTCTCAAATAACGGAACTATCAAACTAGGCCCAAGGAACCACCCCGCTGATATGCAGCTCCCCCATGGATAGGACGAATCCCACCCTCATCTGATGTCATCCTACATCGCCAAATAAACTCAGCCTTATCGACGCCTCGTGTCATCCATCTGGCCCATCTAACCCACGCGAACAATCGCGAACAGGACGATAGCTAAGCTACTTATATATTCAGCTTCTAAACACCCTAGCTACAGTCTACACCCTAGACCCCATACAACCACCCAAGCACCCAGTCCCAACCAGACCAACAGCTAAGTAAGTACCTAGACACCAGATAAAAGCAAGTAACACAGCCCTACAGATCCAGATCTGACCGTTACACCAGCATCACTTTATTTTCTTTTCTCTTATCCCCCCCCTGCTTACACCTCGCACACGGCATACCCCTTGACGAATGATCGACCCGTCCCAGCTATTTAGTCTGCCCGATATCAGGGTTCCCCCTCCCCGCCCGTCGTGCCTAGTGAGCGGGAGGCTGGCCCCGGGCCATGGTAGTAGCTTGCTTGGGGAGGCTAACTAAATACTAAATACCTAGCCTAGCTGGTTAGCTAGCTGGGCGGGTTAGGGGCTAAGGCTAAGTATAAGAGCTTAGTTCGGGTTTTGTGGTGTATTTAATTTTTGGCGTAAATGAATATGGGATAGGTTGAGACTGCCCAGGGGGTATACTGCATACTGCATACAAGTAGGTTGTTTGGGCCAGGTGTGATCTCATGTGGCGAATGGATTGGAGTTTGGATCTGGGCTGGTGTCTCCTACCTGGTATTATTGCTGGTGGGGGATTGGGCGCGAAGAGCTGCATTAGGATGATAAAACTACTTCGTACTGGCAAACAGTGCTACTAACATAAATGTATGTCACAAGTGATCCAATTCGCTAATGGTATTCCCTAATATAACAGTTCCAGAACGAATACACCCAGAAACCCAACCTCTAGCTTTTTTCTTTTCTCTTTCTACAAAAAAAAGAATCTAGAACTTGAACACCTGGTCCTTGTTGTATCCAAGCTCAGCCAGGACACCGGTCAGCTCACCCTGGTCCTTGGGGCTGACCTTGTTTCCGCTAATAGCCTTGTACAGGCCGGGAGGTCCGCAGACGAAGAGCTTGATGTTGTCCTCCTTGGGCTCGGGGAGGACGGTCTTCAGCAGCTCCTTGGTGATGAAGCCCTCGCCGCCGGTCCAGCCCTTAGGGGGCTTGTCGAGGACGTAGAAGGCCTTGAAGCGCTGGGGGTAGGTGTTCTCCAGATCCTGGAGCTCCTTCTTCAGCAGGATGTCGTCCTCGGTGACGTTGCCGAACACCAGGGTGACCTTGGTCTTGTCCTCGGGGTTCTTGAAGATCTGGCGCGCCAGCTGGTACATGGGGGTGATACCGGTGCCGCCGGCAATCAAGCAGATGTGGTTGTGCTTGTTGGCCTCCCAGGGGTACTTGGGGAGAGGGCCCTTGAGGGAGAGGCGCTGGTCGACGTTCATGCTATGCAGGTGCTCAGACATGGGGCCGTTGGGGTAGACCTTGACGACAAGGTCGAGGAAGCCGGGTTGCTCTGGACCGCAGGTCAGTGGCCACTCAAAAAAAAATGAGACAATTGTTTGGATAGCTTACCCTCATCGCTGGTGGGAGTGTAAGGACGGATAACAGCCTTCTCACCGGGCTTGTTGAACTTGGCCAACAGAGCGGCTAGAGGAATTGTTTGTTAGAGCAATCCAGAATTATCGACCGAGAACTTTACTCACAAGCAATCTGAAGACCGGAAACGGCCTCCTTGTCCTCGAACTCAAAGCGCAGGCGCTTGGTGTTGTGGCTGAGGATCTCAATCTCCGACAGCTTCAGGTCAACCCATCCCTGGTCACCGCCGGTGAAAACCTTGGGACGGTCGATGGGGGCCTCAGCGGTGGCAGCGCTCGAGTTGTAGCGGTACAATCCAACGCCCAGACCGGTGATGCCGACGGCGGCGTAGATGGGAGCCAGCGACGACTTGGCCTTGGGGGCCTCGGTCGAGTACTTGCGGAAGCCCTGCAGACAGACTCGGAATTAGCAAATTTTCTCCAGAATTGACGAAAGAGAAACAGGATGACAGAAAGCAAGCTCACCTGCTTCAAGGGCTGGGCACAGCGGAATGCTTGACGGGCGAACATCTTGTCAATTGATGCGACCAGGTCAATGCTCAATGGAGAATGCGGGTGAGGGAGAGGCGCGGAAGAAGTTGGCAGGGCGCGAGACTAAGTAGCTGCGTCTTTTCGGGGGGCCGCCCTCCGAGCCCGAGAGCCCACATGACGCAATGGCCCGGCGTAACCACCGTAATTCCGTGCGCCATTACTAACAGCGCCCGCGTAATCAATCAACCCTGAAAGATCTGGGGATTGGACTTGTGCCTGCCGCGATACTGTGATACTGTGATACATGATTAAACTATATGCAGGCATATTTTGACTGTCTGGGAAAAAGGAAAAATCACCGACCAGCCTCAACATGGTTGATCCCGGTTCTTGCCGAAGACATCGAGAATATCTTTCTTTACCACGTAGAAAATGTAAAAATTGGAATAACTGCACTACCAACTGCCTCAATTATCGTATAGTCATACATGGTTCATAACGAGTTTTCAGTCACCCACCCTGGCACCGGTCTAGACCCGTCAAGCAGGCGGTGCCTGAGACGTGACCGGGTTTACTGATATAGCACTACGGGCTTATCTGGCAGACAATTTGAACTCGAGAAAAAAATTGAACCCCGTTTTTTTATAGATATAACTTGAAAGGGTCGCTTGCACAGGACTAAAGAGACATCAAAACCATCCTTCCCATTGTCTGGGCCGTAGATACACGCCGTGTTCTCCGCGCGATCTTTGTCCTTCATGCACGCTGTGGCCATAACATAGTCATTCAATCGCACACTCCTTCCCCGAGAACCCCAAACCTCACATTTACGCGAAAGTAGAGGGCCGCGAGTAGGCGAACACCTTCTTGCCGGCAGGCTTGGCCGAGCGGTGGGGCAGAGGGAACTTGAGGTCCTTCTGGAGGAGCTGCTTGATGTAGGGGCGGCGGATGCTGTCGGCGTTCTCGATCTCAACAACCTTGAGGATCTATTGGAAGTCTGCGTTAGAACGGTGATCGAACATTCGTCCAGAGAGGTAAAAGCACGTACGTGGATGGAACCGAAACGGGCACGGTGGCGGGCAGCCATGTCCTGGTAGAGAGCCTCGACGGCCTCGGTGCGGCTCATCTCACGGAACTCCTTGTACATGTTGTGGGTACCGGAGCGCGAGTCGTAACGGATCCAGATGCCGAAGTTCTTGACCTTGAGGGGGCGCTTCTCGTTGATCTAATGGGCGTTATCAGCGGATTGATCCTTTCGGGTTTCATCCATGTGATGATCGGAATTCTGAGACATACCACGTTGAGGCTGACGATCTCACCGTTGGCCTTCTTGACCTTACGGAGCTGGGTCAAGAAGTACCAGAACCGCGACTTGGCCACAACAGTGTTGGGCGCAAAGATGCGCATGCGGTACAGCTTGGGCGTGGGGTTTGCCTCGGTGGGCAGATGACGCCCGATGACCTGGTACTCGGTGAGACGCCCTAATGATCAACAGTCAGTTCAATGTTCCGCCGGGAAAAAATTCGACAATGCCTCCATCTGATCGGCTCGGTCGGCTGCGTTGATTCTCCATGCGATAACGTTGCGTAGTCGATAAGGTTTCGATAATCTTCTTGTAAATTGTGACTGAAAATCATTTGGGTGCGTCTGTGCGGTTGTAGTTCTCCAGCTCATGCATTCCAGCAGCATACCCCGTCATGGGTTGGCAATAAATCTCGACCAGTCCTCCCTCTTGATCCAAAATTTCCATCATCCGAATGTCGTCAAACTCGTCGGTCTTTATACATGTCGTTTCAACGTTTCGCAAGGAGGCAGCGCAACCGATCGGCCAAAGGGGAAAGGCTAGGGAAAAATCAATCGAAAAGGGGAATATCACTCACCCATCTGGAATAAAATGTTAGCTCAAAAATTCTCCCTAAAAAATTATCGATTACATAGATTGCAAAGGGTAGCACTCACTTTTGTCGACGGTGTTGTGGTTGAGTCTCAAGAAAGGTGTGCCGGGTTGGTCTTGTCGCAAAAATGGAGATTTGTGAACTTGTTGAGTTAGGGCTGCCGCCCTTCGCCTAAGCGACCAGTGGCTTGCCTCCGCGCTAGCCCCGATCCGGCAACTCAGCCACCGCTGGCTGATCGCGAGACATTCGGGAAGGCGGTGGGGGCGCATTGGTTCCCCACCTCCGGACTTTGTAAATGAAGTCAATCGTTCTCTTTGTTGCTCCCTTGGCAGGTCGCGGGATTCGTCTTCGGCCCTCATTTGTTCCACCGCAACTCCCTGATATTCCCATGAGAATCGCTCACTGACACCCATCATGTCCTCTATTTTCGAAGACTTCATCTCGGGTCAGAGAATTGGCTCTGGCCCTCGTCTAGCAGCCGCTCTGAGCCCGGTCGCATCCGCCGCGAATCCCAGCCGATTGTTGTCGTTTTACTACTTCTCCAATGCCGCTCACGTCTCCTCCGATCTTCGCTATTCCCTATTTCAGTCAAGCGGTGTCAAACTCCCCCGGCAAGAACAAAATGCATGGATCGATATCTTTACGGCGTACTGGAAAGCTGCTGGGGAGCTCGTCAAGTTCGAGGAGAACCCCTCCCAAGGTAGCTGGGTCCAGGTGTTCGAAGCGTGGAGAGAGGTGTCAAATACTTTGGTTCGGGGCTACTCGCATTCGGGGCTCCAGGCATGGACTGTGCCATGTCTATACGTTGTTGGGAAATACCTGCGTCTCTTTGCGATCCGAGCAGACGCGGAATCGTCGTCTCAAAACTCCGTTTCGTTTGGAGATCGCCTTCAGGAAGATATCGCGGCGGATTTTACCAAGAGCGCCAAGCTGGAATCGGCCGCGTGGATGATGAACAGAATGTTCACCCTGTGCCTCAGTGACCGGTGAGTTGCTTCAGTGGTTTGTCAGGCGTATTGGTGTTGTTTGCTAAGTGTTACTCGCAGGGCACCTCTCGAGGAATCGCGGAAGTGGGGTGTCTACAACATGACCAACCTCTTGTTCAAGACATACTTCAAGGTATGGATAGATATCTTGTGTCTATGGCTCTTTCTAACGTTTCCAGATCAACTCCGTCGGGCTGACTAAGAACTTACTCCGCGCGCTGGGTGCTGCGTCGGCAGACCTTCCGGGCTTGGATGCTTTTCCCAAGGCCCACGTAGTGACCTTCAAGTACTATGTTGGGGTCATCAATTTCTTGGATGAAAAATATGAAGAGGTAAATACTGGCAATAACGCGGCTGCCTCGAGGAAAACTAATATTGATCCTTTCGATAGGCCGAATCTCATTTGGCGGAAGCGTGGAGAATGTGCTACCGGGATTCTCCCAGAAACAAGGAGTAAGTGGCAGTGACCCCTTCTATCTTTTCCTACTGACCGCGATTAGGTTAATCCTTACATACCTGGTACCCTGTCATCTTGTCACAACGCATACGCTGCCAAGCCAGCGTCTGCTGTCATCGTTCCCTCGACTCGAGAAATTGTTCCGCCCGCTTTGCGAATGTATCCGGAAAGGGGATCTCCAAGGCTTCGACACGGCCATGTCAGCAGGAGAGGAGGAGTTTGTGAAGAGGCGCATCTATCTACCTCTCGAAAGAGGTCGTGACATCGCACTGCGCAACCTTTTCCGAAAAGTGTTTATAGCAGGGGGCTTCGAAGAAGGCAAGGATGGCCAACCTCCGATCCGGCGAACCCGCGTTCCAGTTGCCGAGTTTGCAGCTGCGATACGCATCGGCACCCATGCAAGTGATAGAACGCGTGTCGACATTGACGAGGTGGAGTGTTTGCTGTCCAATCTCATTTACAAGGTAAGTGGCTGGACGCCTTCTCGACTACTGCACATGAGTATTGACAAATCCAGGGTCTAATGAAGGGCTATATTGCCCGTGAACGCGGCATGGTTGTCCTGAGCAAGGGCGGCGCCGCATTTCCCGGAACCGGTGTATAAACTACTACGGCTCCAGATAAATCAGAATGCTAATCGACATAACCAACGCTAGCACTCTGTCGTTCCCTCAATCAAGTTGGAAATCTAGGTGACAAAACATACGCCTAAACTCAGCCAACGGTCCCAGGAGTCTCTGCAGTGAGACATTGGACACCAAGCAATCCCTTCTGTTGCGCTCCATACAAGAGAATTGATAATTCCGGTCACACATACCGGTAATCACACGAGGATTAGCGGGGGTATATTGAACAAAAAACACACTAGCAGATCACATCTCCGCTCCAAACAGCAATCCAGCAGGGATTAGAATGGTTTCAGTTCCCCGGTGGAAGAGAAATCAGATAGTTTGGCTTACGACTGCAAAGTAGACGTTTCACGAGTTATGAGATTATTCAATTATCCATCAGTGCATACTCAAACAATGAAACCATTAGAGTTGAGCCCAGTCATCATGTACCTAGACCTGCTAGCAAGGTCCAATACAGCCATCCAGTTTGGAATCCTCTTTTTAGCCAGCATAAAAGACAAATAAGAGATATGATACAGTATAAGATACAACCAGCAGATGAAACCCCAGAGAAAACAAAACAAAAACCCCAGTATGAAAACAAAGCACCCCACGCTCGATGATAACCTACCCGCCCAATTGAAAGCAAACCGATCTGACCTGACGAAAAGAAACCGCAAAAATGCAAGACACAATGAAGCAAGACAAGAAGACAAGAAAAGGAGAAATCACATGTAGAGCATCCGATAAATCCATACTATACCTATACCTATTCACCTTTTTTTTTTCGGGAAGAAGAGTAGAGCCTGGCCCATGTGATTGGGGTTGGTACTCCGTCTGAGTCTGAGGACCGGACCTAGGTGACTCGATGAGGGAGGGAGGGATGATGAACACTCCAAGCCAGCAGAGTAGAAGCCATCGATCGATCAAATCATCAGGCGTGAGAAGGCTTCGGGTTCTGCGACGCGGCAGTGTCATCCTTGAGTTTAATGTTAGCATTGAATATACCAGGGATAGCAGAGAGAATTGGCGGGGGGGAAGAGAGAGACATACCATAAAATTACACATCGCCACAAACAGATCAAAGAACAGCTTCCCGCCCTGCTCCATCTCCATCTGCATGGTGCCGCTGCGCTTGAACGTGTCTCTGCTGCGAATGATCAGCGCCAGGTAGTGCGCGCGCAGCTTGGATTCGTGGTCGGGGGTGTTGGCGTAGGCGAAGCGCGCGCTGGTCAGGATCGTGTTGCACTGGATGCCCGTGTGGAGGCCCTGTTTGCGAAGCGCGAGGCGCTTGAGCATCTCGAGGTTGTATTTGTCTGCTGCGCAGCTGTACAGTGGGTTTGAGTTAGCTATGGCTCTCTTTCTTTTGTTTCTTCTTCCTTGCATGTGTATATATGCATGTGTATGTCATAGACATCATACATACATATACACACACTTCCCCAAAAGACCAAGAGTGTAAAGAAGACTTACTAGACAGCCGTATCCCTCAAAATCTCCGCGCCCGCCTCCCGATGAAAGATCGTAGCCCCATGGCTCTGCCCATGACGATCCGTCCCCGCATCCTCGATCTCCCAAGAGTCCCGCCGCTTGTTGTGCAAAAGACGAGGGAAGTAGTCGCCTCGGTACAGGTACTCCAAGACACAGGAGAAGACCTCGGGCTGCTCGTCCGGCAAGTCGAGGGGTTCAGCGAGGAGGCCGGATGGCGAGAGGGGAGCGCGCGCGCACGCTGCGGCAAAGAATGACGAGACGCACAGGATCTCCTTGTGCGCGGCGAAGAGGCGCTTTTCGGGCCCCACGGCGATGGTGATCACGTCTGGTCCCGGGGTGCTGTGTTTTAGATGTGTGAGTATGGGGAATGTGTGTGATGTCATTTCATGGGCGGAAGGGGTTTAGATTCAGAGCCTTAGGGCTGAGGATCCATGGATGTATGCGAGGCGAGGACTTACGCAGGCGGGGTGGCTGGACTGGATCTGGAGCGTCTCTCTGGTCGACGGGGGGGCGTTGAGAGAGGATCTTTGGCGGATTTGCGACCTCGCAGACGGGCTTTGCCAGCACCGTATTTGGTCGAGAGGCCATCGGCTGAGGCGGAATTTTGACGCTTGAAGGTCAGCATTCGGTTGACTCTGGGATGCTGTTGGGTCATCATTTTGCGCGAGAATGTGAAGTGTTGGCTTGACGGGGGGTGGAGGAATGTAGGTAGATGGATAAGGGAGGCAATCCAGGCCAGGGAGGGTGAGGGTTAGAGATCCAGGGGGAGATTGGGATTGAATAAATTTTTTTAGGAGAGATTGCAAAGCTAAAGGCAGCTTTGTATGAACGAATACATGTACAGCGTACGGTTTCCCCCTGACGGGTATGAATGAAAGAACCAGTGGGTGTTAGATACAGGATTGAACAGTGGAGTGAGAAAAAAGAACAAAGAAAGAGAAAGGCTGCTATATTATGATTATTGCCCGGGTACCCCAAGGCTTTATAGTCCACGCATCCAAACAACATGCATCCTATCTCAAGGCATCCAACCGGAGAGACGGATGGTGCAGACGCCCGACGCGTAACGGCAGGTAATGCACGCGTAAAGGGGAAGTCCGGCATCGCCAAATGATCGCGCAGTCACGGGAGTGGCCGTGGCCAATCACCCTGCCAGGACGGGAAAAGGGGTGGTGGGCTCTGTCAGGGGTACGGGGCCAATCAGATTCGGAGGGAACTAGATGCATCCACCACCACCGCTTTCACTGCACCATCCTGGAAGAGACCAGGTTGTTTGACTCACGGTCCTGTCTATCTGGTGCGTGAGAAGGAGGGGATTATGATCTGTCACTTAAAATCTCTGACATCCTGCATTTTAAGGGGTACACCGTGTGTTTGCTAGGGCCTCTATGGGTACCTGTATGTCCAATTCAAATCGACGCAATCAATCTGAATATTTCCGGTGGATCCACTTCCCCTTGATGGGATCCATAACGACATTCCGATATTTGCAAGGGAAAATGACTACATCGTGACAACCACAAGAATATTCAAGCGTACTGAAATGTACTTATGTGCATGTATATGGATATGTATAGCTGATAAAGTACCTAGATAGATTTGCCCGAGAAAACGCCTTGCCTGAAACGCCTCATGTCCTGACGCCCGTGATTCCCAGGACCATTCACCGTCAAATGCTTACTCAATCATGTGTGGAGATCCGCTGTCTCTGACGCCATCAAATAATTACCGTGGTTGGGTGGATCGGGTTCTACAAAAAGACCTTTCTCGCTTCGCGAGGGTGACTCTCGTTGGGACAATAAGGGCATTTGAAGCGGCTGCCCTTGCACAACCGTTTGAGGGATTCCTCGGCAATCACGTGCCCACAGGGCATCATCATCGGCGGGTTCTCGTCCGTGGTCTGTTCTTTGGAGACGGGACAGACGAAGATCGAATGGAAAAGGTATGACGGTGGAAGCGGTATTTCAACCTGAGCCGAAGAAGATTAGCTAGATCCTAGAAACGTGAAAACAAGAAGGCTGAAAGGCTGACTCACCGGAAGCTCATTCTCCGTCGTCCATTCGGTGCGCTTCGCCCTCATGATAGTCTGTAGTTTCAGTAGCGTGGGCAAGGCGATCGCACCGGCCGTCGCGGCAACATATAAGGGAGAATCCGCAGACAGCCCAAGCAACGAGCAGAACTCGCGTGTAAACGCTTGTGCCACGTCGTTCCATGCGGTCGGGTTGGTGAAGATACTCTTATACGGGGATTCCTGAAGGTTGGGACAGAAGGCCATCGCTCCCATGAGCTGCTGCACCTCCCGCAAGTATCGCGGCATAAAGCCATGGAATTCACGCCTGGCGTACTCCAGAGCCGCTTGCCGACCCGCGGAAAGTGGGGCCTCTGGAGTCTGTCCGCCATGGAAGAGCCATACGAACTGCAATTGGCACAGCTCGAATTCAAGGTTGCTACCTCGAACTTCAAGGGCCTCTCTGTTGTCCCGGGCCCATTGGATCGCGGGGAGCAGGTTCTTGTTCTGCTCCAATTCGTGCAGGATGTAGTACATGGTGGCAAACTGCTTGCGAACCTCGCTCGAGGGTACTTCCTCGAGGTCAAGGAGCGAGGCGGCATTTTGCGGAACGCGGGAACTGGTTCGCCCCTGCTGCTGAAGTGTCTTTGCGTCCGCCATCTCGGACAAGAATGTAGAAGCGACGGAGAACTGTCCCTCCCGCAGGAGGTGCATTGCGATGGCCCGGTTGATCAGGTGTTCTTGCGATGCCAGAGCATCATGTTCGGTACTTGGGAGAGGTCTGTCCTTGAAAAGCTGTGGGTTCAAGAGCGTCAGTATGTACTTCAACAGCCGACTCCGAGCCATCCCGCGGGGTACTGACCTTATCGAGAGATTTGGAGTATTTGTTGAGACAACTGTGAGTCTCTTTGAGGCTGTCATTTATCGCATCGAAGGAGGATTTCACGGGATTTTGGAGTTTGGCCAAGGTAATCGGGGCTTGTTCCGGATCTAGTGTCACAGGGTCTCGTTAGCTGTGTCGTTCGGGGAGAGAGCGTAGGGTCCGGCATTGTACTGACCAGATGCAATGGCGTTCCGTGCTTCTTGAAGAATATCTATAGTCGACTGGACATTTTTGATACTCTGGGAGGCTTTCAGCCTCTTTGAAAGCCGTTCGTGCTCCTTCTGTACTGCTTCCATGGTGACGGAGTAGCTCGAAGCGGAGTTGAGACAGTTACCGCTTGGCGATGGAGGGTATGGCTATAGCCATAAGAGACCACTAGTATGGTCTCGGTGCTGTAATTAGCAGCAATGTTGGTAAATTCTCGGGGCGGGAATAAACAGGAGGGAAGAGGCGCCAATCCTGTTCAGCTTAGAATGGTCGAGGGTTGACGGGGAGATTGCGGAGGCCGCACGGTAGGTTATCTTTAGGATTACGACATGGCACATCACGTGGTGTGCCATGGCTACCCCTCCTTTTCCGGCGTGACGGTGTTTGCCTGCTTGTTGGCACCCCTATTACAGGGGTTTCCGCAGGCAATCTGGTCAGAGTCTTGTTGACGGGACAAAGAGGAGCTTTCAAGGTTGTACAACCCTCCAGATTCGTGACTAGCCTACCAGTTGCCCCTCAAATATTGGCTCATACGGAGTAAGCTACTCGGAAACAGGAGTCCCACATCATCTTGCTCGGGTCCGGTGAACTTGGCAGATATTCTGGTTGACACTAAGACTCGCGCGACTCAAGTGCTTATCGCGAAAGATGTAGAGTCAATACTCCATAGGATGTGGACTACCAGGTAGGATATATATAGAGGGGTTATAAATAGTTGAGTAAGTATGAATAAATCCGGACGCACCACAGTAGCTTTTTGTTAGTTGGGAAGCCATATCACTCTCATCCAATACTACTCGACTTCTAGTATTTCCAGCAATTCTCATGCGATCATGGTGAATACATCAGGCATTCCTGCGTGGTCAGCAAAGAGCTCCTCCGTAGTCCGTACGCTTCCGGTATCCTCCGGCGGTGACAGCCGGCAAATGACCCACTGGCGAGTCTCGCTTACGCTAGCGCCGTCTGTGGGTCTTGGCGGGGGTATAAATTGTCGGCGCCCCCGCCGCCCTTTCAGAATCTTTTTTTCTTTCTTTCTCCATCCTGGTGCAAGGGTTTTACACGTGTCAGTGAGGAATTATCCGAGACCGTGTTTTTGCTAGTTGAAAACTACCTAGTTGACTGCTCCAGTTGGCCTTCGGGTCGGCTGGGAATTTTTGAAAAAAAATTCGCCCTGACTTCAGATTTGTCTGAAGCTCAGCTAGAGAGTAGGACTTCGTTCTTGTCTGGCCTGTAGGCATACTCTCGATGATTCGTCTTCTTTTCACTGCTGTTGCTTCCCATGTCGGAGGCCTGTAGAGAAGAGATTCTCCGTATCATCCTTTCTGTAAACATATTGGTTGCTCCATGTAAACGAGTTATTGCAGTTGGTAGTTTCCACATGCGATCCAGCGACTGCCTCGGCGTCAGATGGAACAATGGTTCTTGTGGCTGTGGCATTCCCCGAAGTTCCCCAACGCTGATCCTGCAATAAGGTATTCTTTGGGTTGTGGCTGAATGCAGCTAGGCAACTCCTTTTCCTGCAGATTTCCCATCCTCGATGCTGACTGACGTTCTGCACGGGCATTCGGGAGCGTCTCCGTCGTACTGTCATTTCGCTTCCGTACTGTAGTCTGTAGCCTTTACGGAGTAGGCCAAATCAATCAATTGTCTAGATAGTCGTATACTCCGTATGATGGTGACTGTGGCGGTGGTCTGGCCCGCTCACCGCTTCCGCCGGCGCAAGAAACCCTTGTGACGTCGATTGCGATGGTCAAGCCATTTCTCTCCCTACCGAATCGGCCTCGTTATCCTCTCCCCTTGCAACTCTAACGCGGACTTTGTCTCTCATTCCGCCATGGAAGACCCGCAGCTCCGATCTTCCTCACTCCGCCTCCTGTTATAGCCGTTGGAATTATTCTCCCCTCTTCTTCCCCTCGGATATGTCACGATTGTTTCTCGGCCTTGCTGGACTGTACGAGAAGACCCCGGGAGGGTCACCAACGCTTTCCCGCCCCTGCGTTCCGAGCTTGGTCTCTGAATACTGATTGCTTTGTTTTGCTTTTCTTACTGTTGTATTTTTGTATTTCTATTGCTTCTGTCGGCCGCTATCAAAGAGGATATGAGCAGTTCGACCCTCTTGTGGTAGGAAATCGCTTCTCCTTCCTCCATGCCGCCTCCTACAATGCAGACCAGCGCGCAGGCTGCGCCCCCTGTTATAGCCCCTCATGAAACGACACGGACATCGATCGGGGCGAGAGAGAGCCTACCTACCCATCGCAGTAGCTCAGAGATCCAGCCGTCACGCCACGGCCACCAGAAATTCGTCTTCGCCGACCCGATCGCGCTCCGATACCTCGAAGAAGACCCCTCGACGATCGTACTCCACCGACGGACGGTATTGCAGGGCTACGAGATATACATTGTTGAGCAATGGGCTTGTTCGAGGATCCATCCGACTTTCATAATCACGACGTACACCGGGGATGTTTCGCACAAGGTCACGGTTGGGGTGTTGAGCGTCCCCACCGACGAGTCGACGTGGTCCCCTCGTCTACAGCTGTACGTCAATGCTGTCACGCAATGCCAAGCACGCAGGAAGGAGACCCCGCTGGGAACCCTGATGGTGACCGACCTGAACGCTTTTCCATCGGCCCTGACGGTCATCCCCGTGCCTGGTGGCGACGTGCTGAAACACAAGGATGACTTCATTGTGAATGAGAATCTGAAGCGGTTGAATTGCTCAGGTCGCGCGGGCTTGAAGCTACAGCCCCCGGCGGCTGCGACCGAAGCCAAGTTCCACCAGCTTTATCGGACGAGCGAGAGAGTGCCATTGTACAGTGCGGTCATCGAACTCGTGAAGCAATGTCAGATTGCACTGTTGATGTACGGCAACCTGGCCCCAGAATATGTGGATGGACTGTTATGCGACGTGACGGAGGCGGCTATCAGTGACTGGTGGAACGACATAGGCATAGACCTGTATAACATCGAGCCGAGTGATGGTGCCTTGGGACCGACCTCTGTCGCAGCCTTACTCGGGACTCTAATGGGAGCTAGGAATCGGCTCCACGCTTTCGGTGCGCCTGTCGGGAAAGATGCGTTCGATATTCATAATCTCAAAAGGGGCATTAGCAGCTTTCAAAAGTCGCAGAAGCTGAAACGAACGCGGAGACTGGACCGCCAGACCCTCGACAGACTGCACCGGGTAACTGCAAAGGCGGCAAACTCCGAAGGCTGGACGGACGCCGTCAAATCGACCATGGCCGAGCTGAGCGGGCACGGCGGAGAAATGGTGATGGGCATGGTGCGGGGGCGAGAGAAGGCCGGTATTGCCGACATCGAAACGCTGGATGTTGACAACTTTCCGCATCTGGTGAAAGGTGCTCGAGCCAAGTGGCTGTGGAGGGGAAAGGCGCGGAAGGGTGACGATAACTTCACGGGTGGACCGCCAGCTGCAGATATGATGTTCACCACCGATGACCAGGGCGGTTATGTCTGGACAAGCCGCAAACGACCCTCCTACGAAGACTTTGGTAGCGAGCGACCCTTGCAGAGCCCGGGTCTTCCGACGAAACAACCGGAGTTTGCCAGCGCGCTGGACGAAAAGGATCAGAACTTAGGCAAAATGGTTCGACGGGGTGTCAGTGGGAAGGTATCCGACGCACGGATAGGTTTCGGCAGATTCAAGGACGCCGTGGGATTTCGGTCACATCTACCGAAACAGGCCAAAGATGGCGTGGAACTCATCGGTGACGCGGCCTATATCCCGGAAGAAAGCGATACGGAGCTATCGCATTCCAAGCCTGGTGTCGAGGGTGGCCTTCCTCAAATCGAGCTCGAAGGTGCCCAAGAAGGCGAGGCTCGAGCTTATCATGACGATGCAGCGGCCGAACCGCCATTGAACACTCTCCTACCAAGATCTTCCGAATCCCGAACCCCTGCTATCACGATCGATCCTGCCGCACCCAACGATGGTTCCGAGTCGTCCAATAAAGTATCCCTCAGCAGACCAGACGACGAACTCCAGGATCTGGAGCGCTGGAGGACAAGATCAACCGATGCATCGGGCGACCGCGAACAGACATTTGAGTTGGGTTTAATGTCGTTGCGTCGACCGCAAAGCTGCCCGGACATCAATATCGAGGATGACTCCGAACAAAGGAATCGCCATTGCCCACGCCATCTTTCCTTCAGCACCGTCGAGGACGTTGTGTTGAGCTGGAAAGAACTCGGAACCAACGAAGGCCTTCTTGACAAGTCCGATGCCACCTTCGAAGAAGCCGTCGCCCAGGAAGACATGCTCGCCAACGACGCACGAATCTTCAGCTCACGCATCCAGGAGCTAGGCGAACGCACGGTTCCCTGGGTGGAGAAACAAGTCGACTCCGTCGACGACCTGAACCGGGTTCTATATCAAAGCCACGAGCAGATCAACACCGAGTACATGGACCGAATGAACCAGTATCAGGAAATTCGAGATCGATCCAGCGACTTGCTGACTGAGGAGCATTCGTCGCTCACAGACCACATGAGACGCGTGGAGATGATGGGCGCGAAACTAGACTACGAGCTCAATGTGCTGGGCTCGAAGGTTGAGGATGTCGAAACCGGGCTCGGGGAGTTTGAACGACAGGTGGCTGAAATGGAGTCGAGAGTTCAGGCGTTAATTCAAGGCGACGAGGAAAAACAGAGCAACTCCTGGCTGAATTGGCTCGGCGGACTGATAGGCTTTTCGACCTGAGTCCGGCTATCTGTAATATAGGACTGTTTTCATATACATATCCCTTCTAGTGTACATAGCTTTGAAATAGATTTTACAGCTTGACCATCCAATAAGGAAAGATCCTGTCCAACCTTAAACATCGGAGATATCTTTGAATGCCAAAAACGACCTTGATATTCTAAGAAATCAATTAAGCATCAATCAAGGCCTCATAAGGTGAAGCCCATATTCTTTGTTCATCAAACAAAATCAAAAATGTATTATACAGGTTCAATAGCAGTCATTTTTCAAAGTATCCCTTTTACATGCCCATGCCCATGCCGCCGCCCTGTCTGTTGGCAGCAGCCTCGCCCTGCATCTTCTCGCTGACCTTGACGTTGACGTCGAAGAACTTGGAAACGCAGCGGTCAAGGCAGACGGACTCGCCCTTGTTCAGGTCGCCTTCGCGGTAGTCGACGGGGATACACTTCTTGGTGCAAGATTCGGTGAGACTGACGGGTTGGAAGTCGTGTTAGCTGTCTGTCTAGCTGCATGGCTGTGTTTGACGGGCGTGTTGCGGGTTATATCCCTCGGGGAAGGCAACGATTTTGCTGGGTTTGAGGAAGCATGAAGAGCTTAGGTTATGATCAAAAAGATGAGCTCACCGGTTGAACATGTCCGAGATCATCTCAACCTCAGTCTCAGCGGCAGCAATCTTCTCTGCCGAGGACATCTTGGGGGGACCGCCGAAGAGGAAAGACATTGTGATGGATTTGAAGGGATGTGATGAGATTCACACTAGCGAGCGTCAGTTTGAAGGTTAGCGACCGTCCAGCCAGCTCCGAATGGCAGATCAACACTTACGTAGGAGATAGAGGTGCAAGACAAGGCGAGGATGAAGATGAAGTCGGACTTGTTACGTACCGGGCAGAAGGCGACGCCGGAAGCTTGGACCACCTTCACCGCCTTGCCGAGTTTTCTTCCTCCGTTTGGCTGCGTTTCTTTTTCGCTTTCTCTCTTCCCACACAGACGTGATGTTTCTTGTCGACGTAGTTTTCTCCAATTCTCGTTGATTTTACTTTCTCTCCCCCCAGAATGCTTTCAATCCGCTCTCGGTGGGCTTCACAGTTGAGCGGGGGGAGTCTTTGGTCCAGGTAAGAATAGCTTCCTCGCAATCACTGCTCCCTGCCCCAACAATCACAGGACGAGACACATCCCTATATTTTCAGAACCGCTGCATTGATGCTTGCTCTGCAAGTCATGAGTAACAACCGGAAATACCCTCTGATTTGATTGGAATCGAATTGTTATTTTGAGTCACATCTCGTTTAATTGAACGCATTGGCTAACAGTTCGGTGTTAAGATCAGGACCATCTATCTCCCTCAAGATCCGGCGGGATTTTCATTTGAATCATAAGGTTGATCAACCTAGAGCTCTCAAGAATTCTTCGGTCAGCCTTCCTAGAGCTAGGAATAGCAGCACTGCTGCCTCTCCAGAGAGAGCCTACCAAGTTAGACTGCAGGAGGTCCAAGAAGCCTGTCCCGAGCCATACCCTCGTCTGGCAGCAGACCAGCGGTCATTGAACTGCTCAGATTTCACCACCCGATACAGTCATCTAGCCAATAATGAAACAGTAGAAAATGACTCGGTCGTCGTTAATGGTAGGTTTGGGCCTGCCCTGGCTTCTGCCTCGTTTTGTTCCTTTGTACTTAGATTAGTAGGTAGGGTACGTACCTCTAGACTTGCCGGAAGCAAATTGATCTTCTTCGATCTCGTCCAAAATGGCCATAAAGTCCAAGCTATGTGCAATCTTCGCCTCTTAGATGGAATCACCCCGGCGGGATTCAAAAAGCTCTACCGGCTCCTTCGCCGTGGTGATGCTTTCTGTACGTTCTTCTCTTTTCGTATCATCCTCTATCCACAGACTGAACATCTTCAGCTGTAACCGGTAAACCTCACCGTACTGGACGGGGCGAACTCACGGTCGTGGCCACTCAGCTGCCCCAGCTCTTGTCGCCTTGTCTGCACGATGTGCCGTTAGACGCAAAGGAGCACGAAAACTCCCCATATCCACGCCATGTTCAGTTCCTTGCCGATCCGAGTGCTGCGGATATAATCCGGGCTAGGTCGGCGATTGTTCAGTATCTCCGTCAATTCTTTGTCGATCGATCTTTCATGGAGGTCAATACTCCGATCGTTGGCTCTGTTGCCGGCGGAGCAATCGCTCGCCCTTTCTACACCTCTGCGACGGAGTTCCCGGACCGTCAGCTGTCGCTGCGGATTGCGCCGGAGCTGTGGCTGAAGCGGTTGGTGGTAGGCGGTTTTGACAGGGTGTTTGAAATTGGCCCGTCCTTTCGCAATGAAGGTATGTCGACATCTGGTTGGAACTCGTACAGTGTAGGGCTGACCGACACTAGGAATCGACAAAACTCACAACCCCGAGTTCACGACGTGCGAGTTCTACCACGCATACGCCAATCTAGAGGACCTCATGTCCATCACCGAGAATCTTCTCTCCGGCATGGCGCAGCATATCCACAAATTCAACGAGAACGCCACCCTCACACCCACCAATGCGGATTTCTCCACGCCTTTCCGCCGCATCGATTTCATCACCGGCATCGAAGAGAAGATCAATCGCAAGCTTCCAGACCTCACGTCCGCCGATGCCTTCGAGCAAGTCAAGCAGCTCTTCCACGACCTATCCCTGCCTCTTCCCGAGAAGCCCACACTCCCTCGACTCCTCGACGAGCTCTGCAGCACCTACGTCGAGCCCGAATGTATCAATCCCACCTTCATCATCAACCCTCCCGAATGTCTCTCTCCGCTATCCAAGTCCTTCATCCACCCCACCACCAACCAGCGCGTCGCCGCGCGCGGCGAGCTCTTCGTCGAAGGGAAGGAAGTAGTGAACACCTACGAGGAGGAGAACTCGCCGTTCGAGCAGAGGCGCAAGTTCGAAGACCAGGTCCGCTACAGCAAGGCCGCCAACGAAAAGGAGGAGATCGACGAGAGCTATCTGGAAGCTCTGGAATGGGGTCTGCCGGCTACTGGGGGCTGGGGGTGCGGGATCGATCGTCTCTGCATGCTCTTTACTGGTACGAAGAGAATTGCAGACGTTTTGCCGTTTGGGACGCTGCGTGCTGTGACTCGTCGTCAGGAGTGAGGGTGCCTACCCTACTGTAATGATATGGATAGATGGTGTGTAAGCTGTCTGTGTATAATATTTGGGATTTGTTTTTAGTGATACCAGGATTAATATATTCTCTCTTCTTTTATTCATGATATATGGTGTGGGTGTCGAATGTTGGGCTTGTTTGCTTTATTTGCATGGTCTTCTCCGTGACTACGAGTATCTAGGATCCTCTCTCCGACAACTCTTCATCCATTTCTGCAATTTCAGCAAAAGCCCTCTCCGGCGTGTTTTTCATCGTGCACAAAGATATTCATGATAAACAAACACTTTATTTCTTTCAACCAGAGAAGCCAGCAGGATGCGTCAATTATCCCCACACCTCATTGACCTTCAAGATCCAACACTCAACCAACAAGGTCTACGATTCAAAAACCACAAACGCATCACAACCAGCCTAATTAACACCTCGGAGTCAACTTCCTGACCAGTCTACCTTGTTTCGGAGAATCCCGCACCGAATGCTACCTTTCGATCCATCCCAGACACCCTATGGCCTGATCGCTATCTAGTATCTGGGGCGCTATCTGGGGTTGTGGAGGGGTAATCCACCCTAGATATACGGGCGAATGCGATTCAACAAGTGTGGCCGGGCTAAAAATCCTTTGACTAAGGCTTAGACTTGACTCGTTCGAACCAAGTCGGGGGCGTCGGGCAATGCCGAACAGAGTCGGAGACACAAAAAGGGTCATGGAGAAAAGACAAAGCTATCTATTCCGTACCTGAGAGTTCTTCGCTCATTGAGGACAGCGAGAGCAAGATTGAGAGTCAGTGGCACTTGAGAACGCCGACTCCAGCAAATCGTACCATTTCGCATTTCTAGGCGATAAGATAAACCGCCGATAACCGTTTGGCTTCACAGTCGGAGCGGGCCGTCTGTCTTTTTTTTTTTTTTTTTTTTTTTTTTTTGGCTCCGTGTGGGGAGAGAGGGGTAAATTCTTTATTTGTTCTTGTCCTTTCCACCCTTCTTTTCTTTGTCTTCTTTGCCTTTGGCATCTTGTCCGTGTGGTTTCAGAGCATCAGCGCATTATGGGATTGGAAGGCGTGTCGCAGGCTCAGGCCGTCACGGTGAGTTTGAAGGAGTTGATTGACGGTGCGTATCTCAGATCTATCTGTCGGTCAGGTTGGAGTCTGATGCTAATCCCTCTTTCTTGTCTCAGGCTCTGTCTCTTTCGAAACCCTGGCCGAGGCTTTTGGTCCGTCTTCTCTCGGTATCATCGTCGTGAAGGATCTCGACGCCGAATTCCAGCGTCTTCGCGCGCAGGTCCTTTCCAATGCCTCGTATCTCGCCGCCCTGTCCAACGATGAACTAGGTGCGCTTCTCCCAAACGTCCAGTCCACACACCGGCAGATCAACTGATATCCTACAGAATCCCTCACCAGCCCCGAAGCCAACTACCTCGTCGGCTGGTCCTGCGGCAAAGAGACCCTCCGGTCCGGCCACTTCGACACCCTCAAGGGCTCCTACTACGTCAACTGCGCCTTCTACCAGAACCCCGACCTCCAGGGCGCCCCCGCCGACGGCTTCCCCGATCTTCCCGGCTACACGGCCCCGAACATCTGGCCCCCGGCGGACCGTCTGCCCATCTTCCGCCGCAGCCTCGAGGACCTCTGCACGCTGATCATCGACACCGCAGCCCTGGTCGCGCGCGCCTGCGATCGCTACGCCAGCGCCAACATCCCCGGCTACAAGACCGGCTACCTTGAGCACGTCGTCCGCACCAGCCTCACCACCAAGGCCCGCCTCCTGCACTACTTCCCCTCCAACTCCGCCGCCGACTCCGACTCCAACGACGACGACTGGTGCGCCACCCACCTCGACCACGGCTGTCTCACCGGCCTCACCTCCGCCATGTTCGTCGACGAAGCCGCCTCCCCTCCCTCCCCTACCAACTCTGACACCCCCCTCCCGGAACTCCCGCAATCCCCCGACCCCCAAGCCGGCCTCTACATCCAGTCCCGCACCGGCGAAGTCGTCAAGGTCAACATCCCGCGCGACTGTCTGGCCTTCCAGACCGGTGAGGCGCTGCAGCTGATCACGCAGGGCAAGTTCCGCGCTGTGCCGCATTTCGTGAAGGGCGCGAGGCCGCCGTCCGGGGAGGCGCGGATTGCGCGCAATACGTTGGCGGTGTTCACGCAGCCGAATTTGAAGGAGGAGGTCGAGAGCGGGAAGTCGTTTGGGGAGTTCTCTAGGGAGGTTATGAGGAAGACGTATTGATTTTTCTTTCTCTTGCCGTTCCTCGGTGATGTATTTATTTTTATCGGTCTATCTATGCGTATATTGCTAGGGGGTGTTGTTTCTATTGTTTTCGTGGATTTTAACTCGGTTTGATTTAGTGTCTAGTAGGTAGTAGGTAGTAGTAGGGTTTGATGAAGTACACGAGAGAATGGGGAAAGAGAAGTAACCGCCATCACTAGCTGAGACTGATATCAAAACTCCATTGATGCTAAACCCGAAAAAAAGAAAAGAACATAAAAGCCAATAGCTAAAGTATAAAAAAGCAGGATTGAGAAAAAAGGCAAAGAGAAAGAAATAAGGGTATCTGTATTTAAAATGCTCCACGAATTAAATAGCAAACTTGCCCATCCCACCCTATCCATATCTATTTATCAACGACCGGGCCTATAATCACCGCCCTCAGACTCCTCAGTCCCACCCCGGAGTTCCCCATAGGGGATCGTAAAGACCTCCTCTGGTTCGGACGTTTCGTCATCCATCAATTCGTCCCCGCCCTCTATACCCGGAAGCACGGGTTCCTCCTCCGCCGAGCTGACATTATTGCTCGTGTCGCCGGCCCCCAACCCCGTGCTGACCAGCTTACTGAGCTTGCCGACCTCCGCGAAGCTGGACCGCGACTTCGTGGCGGGCCGGCCGACTTCGCCGGGGATCTTGGCGTCTTGGTAGTCCTTGGGCCCCGCGGTGCCGTCGATGATGCACAGGTTGGCGTGCCACATCTTCATGTTGCGGGCGTCGCTGTAGTGGCCGACGTCTTCGCCGTTGAGGGAGTCGAGGGCGAGGGTCTGCGTGCGGAAGTCGCCCCAGAACCAGTCGCGGCCGGGGTGGATGCGGTCGTCGGTTTGGCGGGAGTAGGCGCGGCCGCGCAGCACGCCGTGCAGGTCGAGGCCGAGGGAGAGGCTGGCGAAGAGCAGCTGCATGGCGTCGGGCTCGTAGCAGCGGCCGAGGATCATGTCCTGTGAGACGTCGTAGGTCTGCGAGGGGTCGAAGCCGTGGCCCGGGGTGGTGAAGACGCGGTACCAGTCGCCGTAGCCGGACATGCCGATGTACTGGAAGGCGTCGACGACTTCGTCCGGGTCCATGGGGTTGGGGTTGTCTTGGAAGAAATGGCGGCGGGTGTAGTGGCCGCGGTCGGCGTTGTTGGTGTAGACCTTCCCGCGGACGCGGACTTGGATGCGCTCGGCGAGGTGCGGGGATTTGAGGTCGTCGTCGCACTGTTTGAGCTCGAGGCGGATCTCGTCGATGACCATGACGTCGGTGACAGGCTTCTGGGGGTCTTTGGGTTTCAGGCGGACGACGTCCCCGACGACAAGCAACTCGGCGCCCAGGAAGATTCCCCGGCTGTAGATCGCCCCGTCGGGCCAGGTGCCTTTGAAGTGGTATTTGTCGAGCAGGCTGAACGAGGACATGGTGGTCATGGCGTATTCGATGGAGGGGTGGAGAGCGTTGCGCGATGTGCCTTGCAGGAACATCTCGTAGGAGTTGAATGGCTTGATGCATTTTAGAGGGACGTATTTGTAGTGTAGTGAGTAGCTTTTGTCGATACTGTGGGGGTCTGGAAACGTTTCCACGCGGAATCCTGAATAGTTCACGCCCGAATCCTTGCGTGTCGTGCTATGGAGGTCTTGGAGTACCGTATCCTCCTCGGGAACCTGGCCAATGATGCCCGCGCGCCATTCCGGAGTTCCCAGCCATTGCTTTACAGCGGGAGAGTAAATCTGAAGGCACCCCATTTCGGAGTTCCAAGCCAGCTCGCCCTCAAAGTCGGACGTCCAGAGCACAACCTCGCCGATTCGAGGGAGGTAGGCGGGCTGCATGCTAAGTCCCTCGATGAATTCGGCGAGTTTCGTTCGCTCGGCCCGCCAGTCCATGCTCTCGGTCTCGGTTATCGCTTTGTCCAAGCTACCTTGCTGCTTGAGCTCTATGATTGCTGTCTTGAATACGTCAGGGGTCCCTTCATTGTCAACGGCCATCGGACGCACTGTCATCGATGAGAGCCTGGCTGACGGCCTCCCTGGACGCCTTCCAGGTGGATTTTCTCCTATTGCGCTCGACGGTCTACCTGGTCGCCCAGGCGGCCGTCCAGGTTTTCCTGGGGTTCTTGCAGTTTTAACCGCCGGTCCAATCGTACCATCGGGTCTCACCAAATGCCCGTTGACCACATGGCTTCCTATAGGTCGCCCAGGTTTTTTCCGTCCCTCTGATATCACCTCGTTAGAATACCCGACGGCATAAACCAGAGCCAGAAGCACCAACCTTTTGAAAGATTTGTCATTTTCTCACAGAGAGCACATGGACAGGGAGTTGTCCCTCCGGTCATAAGAAAGTAGAAATGAGGAAAGAACTGGATAGGAGAAAAGAAGTATTGTCCGAGCGGGTGTCCCCAGACGAATTTGTCACGCTGGAACAAGAGTATTAGCTTTAAGTCAAGGTGGTCAAACGAGGAAAACTCACAATGTCAGGTTTTGACATACGCGGTCTATCAAGAAGTGCATAGCCTTCTGGTAGACTGTCCAGTATATATTGCATGCCTTATTCTCCAAGTTAGCCAGGTAAAGGATAACTCAAGTCACATGGCAGGGGCATGAAAACGACAACAAACAATATCCAAATGGGCTATGACTTTCTGAGTGCGAATCATTTGCAAGATGGACTGGAATATGATAGAAATACACAGTGAAGATAAGAAACGAAAGTGACATCTCTTTCACTTATGAATCGCTGAAAGGATGTCTTGAAGTTCACTTCAAATCCATTCGTTTTGCCTGCTACCTTCTACCAATCAGGTGAGAGAACGGCAGTGAACAGACAAATCCAGCAAGCGGCGGATTTAACAGCAGCACAACAAAGGATAAATAATAACATTTTGGATATGAAACTTCAGGAAAATATCAAGGAGATTCATAGAAAATAAATAAAAAAGAAATGTACATACCGGGTTCATACGCCCCAGTTTTCTGCAGCCATAATTTTGCCAGCTTCTCCCGATAAAAACTGTCATCCGGCATCCCATACTTGGGATCCTTTGGCCAGGTAGAGTCACTCCCATCAGTGAAGGACCGATTGATGGGGACCACAATGACCTGCTCCGCGAAACCGGGGGATTGCGCTAGCTGGGGTGTGGAGGACATGGTGGACGATCACGATGAAATAAGGCTGAAGGGAAAGGTGAAAAACAACAGCCCCTAGCAGAGCGGTGAAATTGACATGCTTGGGTGGGGAAGCATGCGCCGTCAATCTAGGTCAATGGAAGCAAGAATGCACGATGGGATGGAGACGGTTTGCTCCGACTGATGGATGGATGGATTTAGATCGAAGTGTTGCTGGCGGCGGCTTTGCAGACGTCGGGAGTGGGTCATGTGACCTGCACGCATTTCATGATGGCAGTCTTTGATCAGATCATTCATCATCAAACGGTAATCCGACGGAGATCAATACTATTTGAGAAAATATTATGGCTGAACATTCTACTTCATTCTATATTCACAAGGAACCCATCTGCAGCAGATGTCTCACATAATACTCCGGATCCTCCAAAACTACTGGCTCTCTGCTGGCTCGGGATCGGCCACATAAGGGGGTGGAGCCAGCTCTCCTTCTTGAGCCCACACCTTGTTCAGCTCCCTTTCAATCTCTTCGCGCCGTTGCTTCCACTCATCCACCTTGTCAAGGCGCTTGCGGAGCTCTTGCAGCTCCTTCTCCACGCCCAGCTTCTCCTTCGCCGTACCGATCCTCTCAAATTCCCAGTGCTCGCCTTCGGCTCCAAGTCCAATCGTGAGGTTGTAGGTGTGGTATTTTTTGAGGGACGCACGCGTAGAAATCGTGATCAGCGTGATGCCTCGCTCCTTGGCTCGTTCGTACAGCAGACCCTCGACGTCCGAGGAGACGGCAGAGGTCCCCTCGTCAAGGAAGGCGTACCGAGGCTCGTGGTAGAGCAATCGTGCGAGGGCCATTCGCTGCTTTTCGCCGCCGCTCAAAACATCCTTCCACTCTTTCCGGGAGTCCCATCCGCCCTCGCGGGCCGGGAGATAGCCCAAGAAGGCGTCGTCCAGGATCTTTTGGAGGTTGGCGTCCGATTCTCCTGCCTCGTGCATTTCCATCTCAGTGTGGGGGTAGATCACTTGGTCACGCAGGGTTCCCACGCTGAGATAGGGTCGCTGTGGTAGGAACATTGCCCCGTCAAGACCAAACCCTCTCGGTCGGCTGACCAGTCCGCGATACACGGGCCAGAGGCCTGCCACGATCCGGGCAATGGCAGACTTTCCAACGCCATTGGGCCCCGAGATGAGAAGGTGGTCACCAGAGTGCACAATGAACGAGAGAGATTCAATGAGTTCCTCGCCGCCCATGGGGTAGAGGGATGGCGCAACGATGGGAACTTGCTCGAGACGGACTCCGTCGAACCCGTTGTGGATAGTACCCTGGACGTCCGCTAAAGAATACAGGTCCGCGTGCGAACCTCGTGGAGGATAGTAGGCATCGGCATGCACTCTGTGCAGCGTCGAAATAAGCGTATACACTCGCGATGTGTAGCCAGCCAATTCGGAGATATCCTTGATGCTGTACATCATGCGGCCGCCGGCATCCGCCAGGGACAGCATCAGACGTTTGTTGGTGATGAAATCCTTCATGCGACCCCGTTCCCGACCGACCGACTCGGGGGTACCGGCCAACTCCGTTGCACCACCTGTGCCGCCCCAAGCAGGTAGGAAGACGGGCAGGGAAGTGATCAGGTAGCCAAACGCGGACCACGAGTACTTCAGGATGACATCCTCGAGCATGTTGTAGCGAATCTTGAGACTGTAGATACCTTCCATCCAGCGTTGAAGATCCTTGAAGCTTCTCGTCAAGAACACCCGCTCAATGTCGGCGCCCCCGTAGAAAGAAATCTCCTCGGCATTGGCCAGCAATCTAGAATGGAGACCACGGAAGTCGCCCTCCTTCTTGCCCTCAACGGCCTTCAGCTTTCCAAAGGGTGGAGACAGTTTCCGTAGGACAATTGCCGTACTAAAGTAGCCCGTAAGAATACCACTGAGGGCGAGAGGTCCCAAGGAGCGGTACAGCTGGTAGTTGAACACAAACAGATCCACCAGCGGCTTTCCCATCGACGAATATAGTGCCGCAGCTGCCGAACAGAAAAGCGTCAGGTCTTGCGTGATAAACTGGTCGGCATCTTGCCCAATACCGCCATCCAGGTTCATGAGTTTGTAGTAGTTGTTGTTATTGGTGAGGTACAGGTCATGAATATATCGAGTGAGTCGGGTCCGGAAAGCAATCGACACTTTCGACTGCAGGAATTTAATCATTGCGTTCGTGTAGGAGGCCAGCGTTCCGATCCCGCACCATTTGATGATCCCCCAGCTGAAGGCACGACCTTTGCCTGCGACGAGATCGCGGACAATTTCACCATCTAGCCGAGCAATCAACAGCGACAGGTATGTCCGCAGCAGCAAGAAAACACCATGGCCCATCAAAAGACCGGTCTCCTTGCTTCCCCATCGGGGGACCATGATGCTTCCCAGGCTGAGGAACTGGTGGAGGAAGGCTAAGTTCAACCCCGGCTTCGTCGTCGGCGGAGGAATCTGGTTCACCGATTCCCCGTCACTCGCACGAGCCGAGGCAGGCGGGTTCAGAAACAACCGTCGATGCGCATCAAAGGTGGTCATCTTCGTGGGATAGATCTTGACCTTGGAGGTCATGGAGTCCCGGTAGGGCACGTATATAGTCCGGGAGCCATCCTTCCCCTTGATTCCAGAGTTGCGGCGCAGCAATCGCCTACCGCGGGCATTTTCCTTCGCCCTTTCCCGGAACAGCTTGTAACCACCATATCCAGAGCCCACGATCGACAGGAGGAGCGCGACTGTAGCGATGAGTTTGGTGGTTTTCGACGAATGCTTGAATCGGGAGCGAACCCAGTCGGCGTAGTACTTGTACAGCGTCACGAGAGGATCCTCCCGACGCTGCAAAGTAGACTGAGCAGCCATTCTTCTTGCTTTCGATCCGCGGAATTTGAACACGTTCAGGGGCAGCTTCTTCTCGGCTTGCAAATGCCCTTGCGGCACATTACATCCGGGAGTCGAGGGCCATGAGTGGAGAGAACGAAGCGCCTGCTAGGACGACGCGTCTGGAGGTTCGAGGTTTGCGATACGGAGTTGTAAAAGACGTTGGCTGGCAAGACACGGCGTGGTTCTGAGGTGGGGGAGGTGGAAAGTTGGCGATCTTCCAAATCCCATCATCGATGCTGACGTTCACGGGGTTGCATGTGAAGACCTCGGGCCAGAATTGCGGAGGGCTCACGTGCGGAGTCCCCGGACTCCGCCATGACGTTTTTGCTTACAACTCTACTCTGCTACAACTCACAATGACGATGAATATGCAAAGGCTATAACGATAGTGATGTACTATGATGGCCCCATTAATATACTGTCGAACGGTCGCAGTATGACAATAAGCTTGGTCGATTTGCAAGATCCGAGTATGAAGTAACCTACGCAGTAATTCATGGTAGGACCGCTGAGTAAAATCAGTTCTTCATGGAATGGAAAATGTGTCGCACCAGTCCTGTCTCCAAGCCAGATATAATTCTTGAGAAGAAAAGCTCGATTCTCGTTGATTGCGTTCTATTCGGCATCCTTTTGCCCTCCGTTCACTGGTTAAGCGCCGGGTTGCCCGTTTAGATCTAGAATATGTAGTAAGAGCGCCAATAATTGCCAAGGGGTGATGGATTGAAATTCAAAGACACTTTCCTCTCGACAACTGCCGGTAAGTAACTAAAATAATTTGCGTAGTTTTTATTATATCCAGTTCTTTCATTCGGTTTGTATTGACACGGTTGTGTTATTTATTAGTGGATGGGCTGGTCGATTGATGCCTGACGGCTCAGGCGTACAGCCTACTGGGGCAGCGCTCTGCGCCGTCGCAGACCTTGTCTGAGACTCTGAAGTCTGAAAAAAAAAAAAAAAAAAAAAAAAAGGAAAAAAGAAAGAAAAAGAAAGAAAGAAAGAAAGAAAAAAACGAAATAGCTAATAGGATGCCCCCACGCCGGATTGAGCCGCGGACCTCTTCATGAACTCATACGAGTGCAGTGCTCTACGACTCCTATAATGGCTCGCCCGTAAAAGAGATGGACGAGGCACCGCAGCGATCAAAAGGAAGATAATGGATCAAAATGGATGAATAGAATAAATTAACTGGTTGTACGGAGTTAAAAGAGGAAGAAAGAGGCCTCCCATGGTGTTGCATACATAAAAATTTCCACATAAGCCAATAACATAGCCTTATCTTCCAGTCCATACTCAATATAATTATCCTAGTTTTTTTTTTAGCCGTAGGCTCCTCCGGTTTTTAAACAGATTCTGGAATAGGCTGTAGCCCCATGCTCTCTGGTCTGTTTTATGTTTTCTGCCCATGTCACACTGACCAGATCAGAGTACTAATACCCACGCCCGGACATAAACTCAGCACAATGTGATACTATGGTACAGTATCATTCAGATGAGAGGCGCACCGGTGCCATTGCCCACATGCTGTGACATTACTAAGTGGCATTTTTCTCCCTCCACTAGCACGAGCAGAGTGCATTCTTGATATTATAATCCAGGATTTTGTTTGCAGGTGCTTTCACCATACTTACCAGGAGTAGGTGTGGTGGGTTCCTACCGATAGAATGGGATCGGTTAATAGAAGGCTCAACTGATTAGGTTGGATGCTTTACTCACCACTGAAGCTACCATTTGTTTCTTTGATTCAGACAATTTATCTTTGCCAGCTGACAGCGCAACGCTATGAGTCTCATCCTCAAGGCTTTGTTCGTGTTGCAGTTGCAGTTAGGGGAATTCCCTTGTAAACGTGATATTACAATATTTGGAGGTAGGTTTTTTCTTTCTTCCGGATATTTGCGGTATATATAAGCTGCCAGATCCTCTTGAGTATCTGCTAAAACACCACATTATTCACAAGGATATCCAGTCAGAGGAGTAGCAGCTGGATCTGTATTACGCTGGCTTATTAATTATTATCATGCCTTGAAATCCACAAAAATCAAGTCTTTTATCACTGCAATTACTCGCATGTTTTTAATAAATATTGCGGTTGAGAATAGTAGTTAAAGATCTTCATCATCCTCATCAAGTTCACCTTGGCTAACTGATACTTAAAAAAATCGTGTTAGTATTTCTGCAAAAATCCGAAAGTATACCTCTATTTCTTTAATAATATTCTAGAATATTAATGCCAGAACAACTTCGGTAGTGGAAAGACCATCATCCCATCCATTTATAACAAAGATTAGTCGGCATCGGAGTTCTTTGGCCTTTCTGGATAAAAAGTTTAAAGCGTGTAATATTCTCATTCCAAACTTCTTGTTTGGGCTTTGTTCAAATGTAAGAAAAGGCGTATAAAAAAAGTAAATAAAAAGTAGCCTATACGTAATTTTTGATATAGTTTTCTTGTGTCCATTCAAGATTATTATAAAGTCAATCTATATCATCAAAATCATTTACCCGGGATATTCTGGCCAGAAATCAAACCAACCAGGTTTTTTTCTCAGATTGGCAAAACTTTGCAGAAGCTTATGTATAATATCGCCATGTATGTTATATAAAAAACACTCTTCTTCTTGGGCTAGCTAGCCTTGGTAGGTTTGATTGCTTTGCTTGATAGAAGGAAAGAAAGTTGAAACTCAGGGGAAGGAGGAGGGAATTTATATCTCAACAAGAGTGAGCAGATAGTTAATAACTTAATACACTACAAATGATAATATGGATAGATGGAGTGAATGGGCTGTTCTATAAGTAGTGAATTGCTACAGTGGTTGAAAGACTAAAAAGACAAAGCAATCAAATTCCTAATCTGCTGTGAAGCATTGAAGACGCAGGTAGTGAAGACATTGCTGGTAGTGTGGCTGACAACGGCAGCCGCCACGCTACCTACTGTCCTCCGGAGCAATATTGATCCCCAACCGATATCGCGGCCACTAGCAAGTGGACGGACGACACTTTAAAAAGTTTTAAAAAGAGATGGAAAAAAGAAATGCACCTGGAGGGATTTGAACCCTCGATCTCCGCATGATCACTCAGTAAGCTATACGAGTGCGGCGCCTTACCACTTGGCCACAAGTGCTTACTTGATATTTGATATTCAAAGTTAAAACTCTAGTTCTTTAGGAGGTGTAAGTAAGTGCCTCAGCACAGTCGCTGTACGCCTTTCTCTTACGCATAGATACCGAACCCCCTTAGCCCTTATTAGCTACCTATACACTTGTGGCCAAGTTGTAAGGCGCCGCACTCGTATAGCTTACTGAGTGATCATGCGGAGATCGAGGGTTCAAATCCCCAGAACAGACCAATCTGCTATACTCAAACATCTATAGCAGATTGGTCGGTCGGTTTAGATAACTATTAGAATGTTCAATGACTAATTATTAACCTCTGGGGAAGAATATATGAATGTATATTGTTTTCTGGTTTTTCTTTTTCCCTTATCTTCTTTTGTCAGGCTGTCAAGGGAATGAGACATGTAGTACTCCGTACGGCCCCCAGCTATGAACTATGTATGACCTGGAACAGTTCTGGAGACCATCCCTGTATTTGGAAAGATACTCAATTCCTGTTGGCTTTATGGATTAATAAAACAAGTGGCTGTATTTTCGAATGGACTTTATGCCGGGGAGGGTGGGGTTTTGTTGGGCGTTGTTTTGGTCAAGTTCTCGTTTCTATATATTTTGTTGATATCCGTCCAAATTCTTGGGCGCATTTTTCTGATACCTCCAGTCAAGCCCTACTACCAGTTCACACGAGATCGACATCTAATAATTCCTGGCATTCCACGGAATTATAGACCAATTGTTCTGCCGGGAAGCACACAATGTCACCCACCATATACCTTTAATATAAAGTAAACGGCCGAATAAAACCTACGGGGCAATCCCCTCGCTTGGTCCCGCTCGTGGATGATAACATGCAATCTTAAGCATGTTCATACTTTAAGTTTAATTGATGCTGCTGTGGCCGGACCATGCAACTCGAAGCATCGATGCAATGTAGTTTAATAATACGCAGTAAGTAAAATGTGTGGCAGAGAGGGACGATTGGCTTGTTTTTTTTCTTTCCCTTTCCTTTCTCCCCTATTTAACTTTCCTACAGAGCGTGTTCATTATCTCAGAAGAAGCCGAGACATGGCCAATCCGACCAGAGATCCGCACATATAACAGAGGGTATTATGAGGGTGGCCCCTCATGCGGAAATCTCGCCCATTTCGCCGAATTAAGCGCCTGACCATCACGGCCTGGGGGGAATGTTCCACATTCTTACCCTGTCACAACCCCACACAGCCTGAGGTCAAGTCCGCTTCATCGCCACAATGCCCGTCATCGTGGTTCCTAATAACTGCCCGAACACACCCCGTAAATACCGCAGAGTTTGACGCAGGACATGAATTATTGCCGTCCCCTATTGTTTGAACCGGGCTAGCCAAAACCAAATCAAACGAAAAGCCAGCGTGATACAGAACAAGATAGTCCGCCCGCTAGCGGTGCTCGATCCCCAATCCCAAACCCTTGCACGGACCGAGTGGTGTCGTCGAGCACGGGGGTGATTTGTTGCCCTGGAGGGCATTCTCCACCCGCATACAATCGACCAAGCAGCGACGATGGACTATTGTGGGCCCGGGCATGACTAGCGGTTCTTGGGCGCATGGATAGGGTCCCCAAGAGGGTTGCCCGGCGGCTGGATTCGTCCAGTGACCGGCCGTGTCGTCGTCGCCTTAGGGGTAGGTCGTTCCTGGATACTCCCGGGTTCGGAGATGAGAGTAGGTTAATCTCGAGAGGGGGCAGCTCGGATGGCGAGTCTGGTTTAATTAACTCGATTGACCGACGGGGGAGGGCCAATTGCACCGATCGTTATCGTACCCGAGCAGCTTCAATGAGCGGAATAAAGGCCAATCACCGGTCGACTCGCCCGAACTGAAGATGACATGACGGTGGCTGGGTTGGGAGGAGACAAATAGGGTGTCGGTCTAGTGGAGGTGACGGACCGGGATCTGAGGTAGCTGTACTCCGTCACCGATCTTGTCTTCTTGGAGATGGTCGGGTGAACCCTCGGGTGTGGAGGTAAAGAGGACATTGGAACTGGTGGATCACGAGGGACTGACGCAGGATGGTGGGTAGGAGAAAGTTTACAGACAGAGAATACTTGTCGTACAGAGGATATACATCGATCAGATAACCGGAGAGAAGGACGGGATTTCTCCAACACGAATCAGGTCGATTGGCAGTAGGTCGAACCCCTTCGCGGGAATTCTCCAACTCGAGGGAGTTACGAAAACCATCACTCTGCATGACCCCCCCCTGCTAGCATGCGATACCCCTCGTCCTTAGGTAACTGGATGCTATACTTAGCAGATACCGTGGTATCCTAGTATCCCACGGGGATAACTTCGGCCGCGAGAATTCCCATAAACAATGCCAATGACAATGAATTGATCAGCAATTTAGCCATGAACTGTTGCTGCATTCATAAAACCAGAAAAAAGGAGCTCATTTCCCGGGTTCCTGCCGGCCCCCAAACCAGACTGGGCAGAGCACATCCATACGGGGACGAGTGTTAGCGCCTCGTTACGGGCCATGGCTCGTAGCAACGGACCTACTACGCTGCCAAGTTTGTACAGAGCACGTCGCTGCAGGCACATATGCCTATAAAAGAAGTACAAGTGTTTAGGTTGTAATTAATGATCATGTTGCAACTCAGGAATTTGGGCAATGGTACAAAGTATGTAACTCCCTGATAGGGTCATTATGAGAGCATGAATGGCCGGGTCAGGGACGCTAAAAGGCTAAATGCCAATTCCAAGACTGACAAACCTCGGGAAAAAAGGAAAAAAAAAAAAAAAAAAGAGAGAGAGAGAGAGAGAGAAAGAACAAAAAACAAGAACAAACCAGAGTCAAAGGGTAGAATATTAGGACTGGGAATAATCATATTTACCGTCTTCTGCAGCCCTGCATGAGCACACCACTTTGGCCGGTCCAGACCCCCCAAGGCACGGGACTTTTCCCCTCTTCCCCCTTGCCCTGCTGCTCTGCCTCTGCCACTCCTCAATAACACTACTACTACCTTGGTAACCTACCCTACGAGTTTCTACCAGGTACTCCTCCTCAATAATACTGGAATTAAGACCGATACCACTCGATACGGTACCAGTCCCCACGTGACGCTCCAGCTCATTGCGCCGTCCACGATCCCATCAACGCCTTCACCTGCCATCCTCCTGCCTTTTTGCCTGCTCGTTTGCGCTTCCGTCGTCCCATTTCCTCGTCGCTTCGCTCTTCGCTCCGTGGGCGGCTGCTTTCCTCTGCTCGCCTCTTTGCCGCGTTTTCCTTTTTCTCCTGCGCAGTCCTAGTGCTGAGCACACTAGTCTTAATTAAGGGCGGTGGTCCGGGTCCGCGAGCTAAGCACAAGCACTGGTTGGAACCTCCCGTACCTTTTCTCTTGCCTGGTCGATTTCCTGTTTCTCCAGTCCCGTATCCAGGAGGCGTGACTTCGCAACTCCCTTCGAGCCCGCCTCCCCTTCACCCTCCCTCTCCGCTCTCCTCGGCGGCAACCCTGGCGGTGATCCACCCCCCGTTTTGCTGATCACACCTTTTGCTTGAATATCGCTTCCTATCTCCTCGAATCCCGCCCTCGTTGTCGGATCCCGTGAATCCTCGCCCTGCTACCCTCAATGCTCGGAGGGAGCTCGGAGCGAGATTCCTTACCTTCCAACTCCAAGGCCCCCACGGGAGAAGCGTCCATGTCTGTCGCGACGAGTCCACCCGACTCCAGTAAGTTTCCCTTCTGCACTGCGACCCGGTCGCCTTGTCCGTCAAAACAAATGCCTCAGAACGTCCCGCTTATTGAAACCTCGTCCGCTGCGTTAGATCCAGAATCCTCCCCCCAGGGCCATGCCGCCCCCGGTTCCGATGCGTCGCCACCGTCAACCCGTGTAGAGCCCTCCGAGACGGCTCAAACGTCTGTCGCATCCCCCCCGGCCCCCGACAGTACCGCCCCGTCGAACGCAGCGGATGCCCCCAAGAAACACCATCTGCTGCTACCCATCCCGTCGCGGTCAACCCTGAAAGCGGACAAACAATCAACCTCGGAAAACACCCAAGATGCCGCCCATGACGACTCGGAGAACACCCTCCGAGGCTCGAGGAGGAGCATCCTGAAAGGGCGACGGGACCGGAGCAGGGGAAGTAGTCTGAGATCTCGGCGGCAGAACCAGGAGGCAGCGAGTATGGAGGAGAACAAGGCCGCGAACCCCGACTTGCGCGACGCGACAAAATCCGACAAGAAGAACAACAAGGTCTCGTCGAAGTTATTTGCCTTTTTGAGCTGTTGCTCCTCGTCCAACGTCGACCCCGAGGATGCTGCGGTGCCTCCGAAGAAGACCCCCCGACGCCCGTCGGTCCCGCAGACGCAGCCGACCCCGGAGAAGGCAGAGGCGACCGCCGGCGATTCGAGCACCGCGGAATCCAAGGAGCCGAGCAGCTTCCGGGGAGACGAGAAGCCCCATGCCACCGTGACGCCCGACCAGGCCCCGTCGCCCGTCGACGAGGAGCAGACGCCCGTCGAAAAGACCCCGGAACAACGCTCGCAAGTGGACGGCGCCGTGTCGTCGATCGACCAACCCGCACCGGTCTCCCAGCCACCTTCGAAAAAGGAAGTCGAAAGCCACGGACCCGTTGAGTCCTCGGACGAGCAAACCGCCACGGGCGCCGTGTCGGAGAAGACGGAGGATCAGGCTCAGCAACCCGAGGACAATCAGACACCCGTTCCACCGCCGACGCACGATGACAAGGCCGAGGAGGTCTCGGGGGATGATGATACAGCGAATGCTCCCGCCACTGACGACGAGGTCGGCCCGAAGGATGAGAAATATCCCGCTCATGAGGAAGATGCGATGAAATTACCGGCCGTCTTGCCGCCTCCCCCGCCTCTTGTTCATTCTGGGAAGCAACCCCAAGTTGGGCAGGATAGACAACTGCAGCAATGGTTGTTGCCGCCGCCTCTTCCTCACCTGCAAAATCGGAAATGCTTGGTTCTTGATCTCGATGAGACTCTGGTCCATAGTAGTTTCAAGGTATGTTGGGTTGTCTTTCCCCCGAGGGGATTACAAACATTTTACTGACATTCCCAGGTCCTTGAACGTGCCGACTTCACTATTCCCGTTGAGATCGAAGGCCAATATCACAACATCTACGTGATAAAGCGACCCGGCGTCGATCAGTTTATGAAACGGGTCGGGGAATTGTATGAAGTAGTGGTCTTCACGGCATCTGTCTCCAAAGTACGTCGACTTTCCATTTGAATTGACTGACGAGCTGCTAACGAGATGCAGTATGGCGATCCTTTATTGGACCAACTGGACATCCACAACGTTGTCCACCACCGGCTTTTCCGAGACAGCTGCTACAACCATCAAGGCAACTATGTCAAGGTGAGTTCCGTCGACGCTCTTCCATGATGATGACTGACCCCTCTAGGACCTGTCTCAAGTTGGTCGCGACCTTCAAGACACCATTATCATTGACAACTCCCCGACCTCATATATATTCCATCCCCAACATGCGATACCCATCAGCAGCTGGTTCTCTGACGCCCACGATAACGAGCTTCTTGATTTAATACCCGTTCTCGAAGATCTGGCCGGTACACAAGTGAAAGACGTTAGCCTGGTTCTCGACATCGCTCTATAATGTCTGTAACTCTAGACCGTCTGGCATTTTTCATTACAGCGCGCCTGGTTTGGTTGTTTCTCGCGTTCCTTTCGCCTGCGCCCGTCTTTCGAGGCCCCGTCCTTCGAGGGGCGAAAACAGATCAACACAGGCACTAAAGATGACTTTCGACTGATTTTCTTTTGTCTATCCACAACAGTTGCCCTAATTCCGTTGAGGGCATGAAAAAAAGCAAACAGCGTTGAAGATTCCCAAGGTTTTGGGACCAGCACCGCGTGTGTATGATTTCTTCGTTTTCTTTCTTCATCCCCTTGCAATTCCCCCGGCTATGTGTTTTGTCCGCGCTCCAAGCGAGCAGATACCTTGTTCGTTGTTTGATTTGGATTGGGGATTTGAACCCGTCCTTTTGATTTTTCTTCTTTTGCATTCTGCAGGCGTCAGTCTTGGGCCATCAGCTGAAATGTTGCTGATCTCATGTATACTCACTTGGTTGATTTACAGTCTCTCTCTTTCCCCATTCACTCTCATCTGTCTTGTTCTTTCTTCTTCTTTTCCCATTTGCTCTTGCTTACACCCCCGATTCGCCCTGAGAGGCCTGACACTGCTGTTCTTATTTCCTTTCTGTCATTTTTGAACTCCCAGCCAGCGCATCTTGTCAGCCATGATTTGTTTTGGAGACCTCGTAAGTAGGTGACACAACATATATGTCGCAGCGTGCACGTCACTGTTTCTGGTACTTTCATAGTTTCATCGATCAAGATCTTGATAGTGACCTTGCAATGTATGTGTAACCATCGCGTATGTGCTGTACATAATCGTGTTTCAATGCAGTTTTATTTCCACATGCACATCCATATGAGCATCAGGAGATTAGAGAACCCTCGAATCCAGGTTAGGGCTGGGTGAAAGGACGTGCCTGAATGACGTGAGGCGACCGACGGAAGCAAAGCAGCGGGACCGATCAGGAGGTTGATTCTTCGCATCCGCCCACCTCGACTTCATCTACTCGCCCTCTCCAAGAACCCAAGACCGATTTATCTTCTCGTTCGAAATCCCCCCGTTGAGTTTCACTCGTAAGGAGCATTATCTTCCCTACAGAACATCGCCACCCGACCCACCCGACTGGCAAAAGCTCCCCGCACCGCGTCGGAACTTCCTCCACCTCCGACAAACTCGAGTACCACCGCCATAATGAAGGACAGCAAAGGATGGGACGGAAAGCTGCGAGTCGAGCCCAAGGCTACGATCACCAACCCAGAGGCTCTCGAGGATCCCGATTACTCGGATTCCGACGCGCCCCCGGTGGAGGAAATTGAGGCCGACGAGGGTAGGTTCTAGCCCATCAGCCTGGATGGGCTATGGCTGGATGGATGGACAAGACATGCTGATTCGGGCTATAGATCTTCTCGAAGACGAGGATCCAGAAGCTGAGGTACGTGTACGGCGACGGCGACGGACGCCATCGCGCTTTTCGCGCAGCAACTCGTCGCGTCAAAATATGCAGGAAAAAGAATTCTCACCAAACCATTCAGGACATCGATCTCGTGCACTGTCGCATATCCTCCATCCCGGCGCTCAAACTCGAACGGTTCCCTAAATTGCAGGTATGCGCTCTTTTCTACATTCCCCTCCGTCCAGACCAGGCGGGCAGATCGACAATGATAATTGACGTCATTCGTTCGCACAACGCAGAGACTATGCCTTCGTCAGAACCAAATATCGCGGATCGCGCTGCCTTCGAACGTCGCGGAGTCGTTAACCGAGCTCGACCTCTACGATAACCTCATTTCGCACGTCCGGGGGTTCGAGGACTTCCAGAACCTGACGAGTCTAGACCTTAGCTTCAACAAGATCAAGCACATCAAGAACATCGAGCATTTGGTCAAACTGACGGACCTGTACTTTGTGCAAAATAAGATCTCCAGGATCGAGTGTCTGGAGGGGTTGACGCTGTTGAGGAATCTAGAGCTGGGGGCGAATCGGATCAGGGTGTGTCTCGTTTGCTTTATGATGGACAGCGAGGACAGGATTAACGTATCGATCTAGGAGATTGAAAACCTCGACACCCTAACCTCCCTCGAGGAACTCTGGCTAGGGAAGAACAAGATCACCGAACTCAAGGTTTGCGCTCCTACCCTCTACCTCTACCTATCAACCCCACTAACAATTCAGAACCTCGACGCCCTCCAAAACCTCCGCATCCTCTCCATCCAATCGAACCGTCTCACGCACATCAGCGGGCTCTCCAACCTCCCGCACCTCGAAGAAATCTACCTCTCGCACAACGCCATCACCGACCTCAGCGGCCTCGAGAAGAACCCGTCCCTGCGCGTGGTCGACTTCTCAAACAACCAGGTCTCGAAGCTCGAGCACCTGGAGGAGCTCGTCCATTTGGAGGAGCTGTGGGGGTCGAATAACCAGCTTTCCAGCTTCGACGAGGTCGAGCGCCAGCTGAAGGACAAGAAGGAGTTGAAGACAGTGTACTTTGAGGGGAACCCGTTGCAGATGAAGGCGCCCGCGCTGTACCGGAATAAGGTGCGCTTGGCGATTCCGCATATCACGCAGATCGATGCTAGTAAGTCCCAGTTTTTGGTTCCTGGTCTGGATTGTGAGGGCTGTGCTGATATTTTTTTCTAGCGTATTTGAGAGTTTGAGTGGACAGACGGACAGACGGACAGACAGAGCTGGCTGATATACAGAATATGATATGTGAATGTCAATGAGACGACTATTTTGGCTGTAGACTTCCTCGAGACAGATTACTCCGTTTATATCTGATCTTAAGACCTATATCTAGAACATAAGGGTATCGTATATCAACAGACAATTAATCCAATGCAAACACCACGCTTGTCCTATCCTTACCATGCACCCATAACCATAACGCCACGCAATAAACCATCTTTCCAAACCCACAGAAAAAAGAAACTCAAATAAAACTCAATCCTCCCTTACCCCATCCCCAGACCAATCCCCAGAAGAAGAAGAAGAAAGAGAAGAATTATACATCTCCTGCAACGACAACCCACCCATCCCTTTCTTCTTCCCCCTGCCCCGTTCCCCTACATCAGCACCACCAGCAGAAAGAGTATGTCCTCTCCCCCTCCCCGACGCCAACTTCCACCGCACCGGCACATCCGCCAGCTCAGCCACCGGGATCCCCGTCTTGCGCAGATCCGTCGCCTGGTAGCTTTCTTTCTCGATGCTGAAGCTGCCGTAGCATGGGTTGCGGTGGAGCGCGGAGAGGTGGTTGTGGCGGGAGGGTTGGAGGGTGCAGGTTAGGGTTTTGCTGCGGGTCGAGGTCGAGGATGAAGCTGAGGTTGAGGGGGATGTTGATGTTGATGTTGTAGCGAAGGACGAGGAAGAATGGGAAGGCAAAGGTATGCTGAGCGGGGAGTTCGCGATGGCTGATTTCGCGGCTTGCGGGGATTCGAAGACCGCGATGGTGTTGCGCGGGGCGCTGGGGTTGGTGTTTGTTTGGTCGTACTGTTTTTCCACACTCCACTGTTAGTGTCATCAGGCCAAGGTGGGGTATAGGGTGGAATTGATCAAGGGAAAAGAGGGAAGGAGGACGCACCTTGAGATTCCGGAATGTCACTACTTCGCCGTATTTCTGCAGTGCGGAGAGCACGCGTTTGCTTTCGGAGAGGGATTGCGGCGGAGGGTGGATGGTTAGGTGGACGGATTGCGAGGCCAGATGGCGCGCTAGGGGGGAGGCCATTTCGGGATTTCCTCTAGTTAGATGAGAGAGTGTTGTAGGGAGATGGGATTTGGGGAAGAGAAAGAGACTTGGAGATGGAGAATGCGGTGGAGAGCGGAGCGGTGGAAGCCGGCAAATTCAGGCATCAATTTCTATATTATATCTTTTAGACTGAGTATGATTATTTATAATAAATTTATTGGGTATTCAATAGAAGATTCGTTAAAGCTATCGCTTGATCATCGCAGCATCACAGCATCACACAAAAGTAGTAAACGGTCCTCGCCAACCGTCTGGGGCGTCATCATCCGACACCGACTCCTTCTTATACCAGACTCGGGGGAGCTTTTCCACGAACTCCACCTCAGTCCAATGGTGCTTGCGTCCATCTTTATGATGCCCAAACAGGTCGACAATGGCATCCGCGACGAAGTTTTTCCAATTCATGCCCTCACCCGCATTCATCGAACCCACGGGGTCCATCCCCATCTCCGTCGCCAGGGTATAGCACCTCACCATAGTCTGCCAGCAGTACTTCAGATACTGACCCAAAGCTTCTCGATTTCCCGGATGCATCGGATCATGCGGAACACCCAGCCTGCCCCTCGGTGGCCTGTAGCCCGCGAAATCCATCACATCCAGCGCCAGCTCCACGGGAAGTCCCCGCTGGCACAACACCGCGCGAACCTCATCTACCTCGTCCCCTGACGGCGCATACCCCCAGCCCTCCGGCATCCACAGCGCCAGGAACTCGTGGATGGGCACCCGTCCATAAAACCCCACGGGATTATTCTCGGCCTTGTATTTGAAATCCCACAAGGACGCACGTGCGCATTGTCTCTTCCCCTTATTTCTCATCATTGCGTTGTATCCTTCGTCGAGAAGCCAATGCTCGCTCTTTCCCGTGTTGGTCCGCAAGTCGAGTCTACCGCAGGATTCTTCCATGCCGAAGAACTGCGTGTGCGGGTATGTCCTCACATCCCAGGGGGTTACGCCCGCCGCCGTGATGAGCGTCTTCTGGTAGAATTTGGCGTTGCGGTAGTCATTTTCCTCCGTCCTGCCGGATGCAAAGTCCCAGGTCTCCGGGAAGCAGTAGGCGATGTTCAGGCAGATGTAGACCTTGGTCATGTGTTGGCATATCTTGTCCCATCCGAGATCACCGGGCTTTTTCCGTCAGCTGAGGATTGAAGGATAAGGGGGAGGGGGGTAACTTACACCTTCCCAAAAGTCACCCACGTACCAGAACTTCAACAGGTCATGAGAATCGGGATGGGCGCAGACCCGCAAGATGGGATCCATCTCACCATAGAGCAACAGGGTCTGCAGGATCTGAAAGTTGAAGAACGCGGCGTCGTTCATGTGGGGATACTCCCAGTGCTCGCTACGGCTATGGGGTGGACGAAGAAACGCCGACATCAGGCGTTCTTCGTAGGGGATCGGGTCGCATTCGCACATTTCATGGCGACAGCTGAGTGGGAAGTCCTCGTTGCGCCAGCGCCGCACGGTGGGCAAGATCTTGCGAACGGTCGCATCGGAGAGGATCACGTCCGATGGCTGAGGCGGTTCGTAGTGCGCTGGATACTTCTTTCGCTCGCAGGCGGCGTGCTCGGCGAGGTTTTGGACGAACGCGTTGACGAAGTGGGTGAGGTCTTTGGCTTGGTTGGGCTTCATGCGCGGGTAGAGGTTCGTGGCGAAGTTGTTCCATGGCGTGGGGGATTTCCATTCGAGATTTGAGGCGAGGAGACCCCAGGGGATATTGTGCGCCTGATGCGCCATTTCTATTGGATTGAGAGGACTGGATCTGGGTGGTTACGGAGTAGTAGAAGGTAAGGAAATGAACCTATGAAGCGGAGCGGTGGAATTGACTATCCCCCAATTGGTGCAGATAAGGTTGATCTTGGGATTTTCTTAACAGTCACTCCTACTTACTTCTTTCCACTCTCCGGTCTCTAGCAAATCGGCACATATATGTCATACTACGCCTTATTTCAAAAAAAAGGGAAGACTCACCCCAATCGGAATATTAAGCCTCAATTCCCGATCCAACGCACTAATCCTCAGCTCCTTCTCCGTCAACTCCCACCCCACAACCTCCAAATTCGTCCCCAATCCCTCTAAACGATTCCTATTCGAGGCAGGTATCCACTTCAAAGATACCTTGTTAGCTAGCGGTATGACATGATGCTTGGTTTACGCGGAGACAATATATCCCGGAAACAGTTCCCTTGCCACTGGGGCATTTGGGAAGTACACAGATGCGTCATTTTTTCAAATATCGGCCTGTGTTTAGCCCTGAATCCGTCGCATCTCCGCTGATACGGCAGGGCCATGAGACATCCATGGATGATAGCGAGCTGAGATGGGGCAATTGATGCGTTGGTTGTGGGTGACCAGGGTACGGTGGCGAGTGCTGCACACTTGAGGGGCTGTCATCCTTGCTATTTAACTAACTTATGCATAGGGCCGGGCCAGACTCATGCGACTTATCAAGATTAGCCCTGATCTACAGCTCTTTAATCTGATGGTGGCCGTGAACCCCGCGGTCTGAAATTGATGCTATCGCCATCCGGTCACCTTTTTTGGTTTTCCGGGACCGGCCCACTATACTTGCATGCTCATCCATATCATGCATCGTACTTTCAGCTCTGCTGAGTCTGCAGGATGTCATCTTGATGCATGCTATGCGAGCGGGGTAAAGAAAACTATCTCCTGCACCAATGACATAGGCCGAACCAACAGCATGGTGGCCTCCTGTCCAACATTGCAAGGTTCGTGGGAAGGAAGAGGCAATTTTCATGTGTCATTAGATTAATTGTCTATTGCCATATGCGGCCCCTCATGATTGATGAAGAAGGATCCCTGGAATTGTCATCGGTACTACCAAGTTAACCTGCAGTTCAGGCCTTGGTCTACATCCTATAAAGTCGAGATCATCTCCGGGGCACTGGTAGAACTTTTCTCAACCAGCGAGGATCTCAATTCTTTTGAAACAATTCAAGAAAAAGATCCACAAGCCCCGTCATTCAATATGGCTTCTCTTCTCAAAGGTGCAGCAAAGGAGACCACCAACATCGTTCTCGACCTGAACAAGGAAGTAGAAAAGCTATTCAGCAGTAGGTGTACCTCCTCGAATGTGGTGCAGCCCAATCTTTCTGATCCCTGGTAGACCTTGTAGATTAGCCGCAGCAGGTCCTCCATGTCTATTCGTACAGTGATCAGACCAGAGCCATTGTGGAAAAGTCATGCATTGCTTTCAAGAACGTGGACATGTCTACGACCAAGCTCTCCGACATTCGAGAGCTCCTGGTCAGCGAGGGGGTCCTGGAGCCGACATTGTAAGTAATTCTAGATGCTAAGAAGAACTTAAGAAGTCTCATTCTCTCCACAGGCTGTGGAGTGCCTTCTGCAACCAGCGCGGCGCCAAGATTCTTGATACCACAAGCTTCAAGGCATACCTCGGTATATTGAGTGAGAAGGTGAGTTCTTCCGTGCCAGGTTTTGAGGGACGACTGAGTAAATAACGTCAACATAGTCAAGTGAGGTTGGAGTAAGTGTTAACTTCTTCCTATGGTAGCTGGTTCGCCAGATGTACTGACCGGTCCAAGGACATTGCCGAAGACAACGCCGACAGCTACAGGGTTTACCTCAAGTCGGAAAAAATCTTTGATTATGATCATCTCCGAGCTGCCCTCAGTCGAGATGCCAAAGTATCAGTTGATGTAGGTGACTGGGCAACACTCTGAAGTGGCTCTTTCTAACCCTTTTTCCACGTGCAGAAGAAAGTCCTCGAGCTGCCGTCGGCTTCCCAGCCGAAGGCCCCAGAGCTTCCCAGCAGCTTCAGCCACAATATCTTCCTCAACCCGAACACAACCTTCAGCATTGTGTAGGGACGCCCACTTGCTCGAGAAACCACTGATCGCTGACTCACGTCTCTACTATCCAGTCATGCTGCGGACATGTCGGAGACACAATGGAGTGTCGTCCTTCGCAACAACTCTCTCCTGAATGCTTACCGAGTGGTTGACGCAGGAGGAAAGATTGGAAAGATCGTGGAGCGCTCAATGCATACCGGTAAGCCAGTGAACCTTCTCCTACACTCTGCTAATCCTGATGCTGATTCAACATTGAAGCCTTTGCCCTCAAACCGCGCCTGTTCCAGAACTACCAGATCTCTGCCAATGCGGCCTCCGACTCTATTGCAAAGCAGAAGGTATGGCTATCTCCTTTCCCCCTCTAATAGATACCTTCAGTTTGCTGAAATACAAAACTCCGACCAGCAAACGCTGCGCATCCCTCGATTCCGCGTCGAAGACGATTCGTACGTTGAGCAGTTCGAGAAAACGAAGTTTGTCTCTCGAGCCATTGCTCAGAGCTCCCTATCCCAGCTTGCAGCGGAGTTGGCTGTGTAGGTCATTCCTTTCTCCCATGTCATGTGGGGTTTCAACTGATAAGCACAACCAAAGTGAAGGGGGTGCTTTCGGATGTAGCGCCAGTCTGTCCGCTAGCTACGGTGAAGATAATTCTTCTTCATCCTCGTCGAGCTCGAGTGAAGACACTCGTGTCATGACTATTACCTACAATGTATGATCGATCCCCGTTTGAAGTGTCAATGTTCTCCCGCTTACGATCCTGGACAGTTCCCACGAGCTGTCATCGATTTTGACCGCTACAGTCTTGACCTCTCCGAGGAGTGTCAGCTCGACCTGGCCTCTGTCGACTCAGTCTCCGCCATCGATGAATTCAAAGACAAATACGGTATGAACCCAGAAACTAACACCCATGCTACGATGGGCCTTCCGCAGTGTCGAGAGTATTAACTCGACAATAGGCCGCTTCTTCCCCACCCGCATCGAACTGGGTGGAAGACTTCATTCCTCAGAAGAATCCACCTCCTCGACTACTGCTGGCAAAGCCGATCAGGCCAAGTCCATGCGAGCGGCTGCGGCGCTCTCGTTCTCGTCGCCCTATGTGCAGGCCTCGGCGAAGGTCAACTATGCTCAATCGTCCGACTCCAGCTCACAGAACGCCGGAGCCTCCTCCAGCAAGTCTGTTTGCTGGGAAGCCAAGGGTGGCGATACGCTGCTATGCAACGAATTGCCGGGTCGACCCCAGCCAAACTGCTACCAAACGACAACTCGACGAACCAGAAGTTCTACATCAATGTTGAGACCACCAACACCAATGAAGACCACCAGGTATGCATGCCAACCTTGTTTGCTCATATAGTGCGCGATGCCTTTTCCAGTCCCTATTAACCAGCTACAGCTCAAATACAAATACCCCTACCGCATCTACAACAAAACCAACACCGGCGATGGACAGACCAGCTGGTTGAGCATCAGCCCCGTCCTGCAGGGCTTCTTGAACACCTCCATGATTTGGTCCGGCAAGCTTGAAAACGCCACGACATTCCAGTTCGTCTACTCGCCTGCCGGCAAACACTCCCCGTACGTCCAGAATGGCGATGAGGTTTACATTGCCATGTTCGACCAAGACGGGAAGGAGATTGCTTGGGCGGAGCGCATCCTGAACCCCCCGGATTGTGTGGGTATGGATTGGGACATCAAGACGAATCCTGATCATTACTCCTTCAAGGTCCAATATATTTGAGGGGGGTGATTAATCGTTTGAGAAAGTATTTGAGGCAAAGAGTGAGGTGGTTGGTGGTCTGTGTTCTAGTGTTGGCAGGTTCACTTTGTTCTTTGGTGGAACAAACTGCTCCTTTAAAAAGGTGTTCAGTCAGAGACTTGGATAGGTTTTTGGCTTTACGGAGCGCCGCCATTCGCGGTTCACTTTGCGTCAGCTGCTGGAAACAAGCACCCTACCGGGTGCTTGGGAAAGAGGCTTGGACTATTAGTCTCTTGTTGCTTTGACTCTATTTGCTTCTATTCTCGTACTTTTACGCACTCGTTGTCTGAGTTTATAATGAGACTGTCTGAATTGTTACATCCTAGTCGGCTGAACCATTCTATCATTATCTTCCATAATCTCTTCTCTTTGCCATCGTTGAGCAGGCAGAAAAGAGCAGGATAGAAGAGGGAGATGTAGTCGGTGCCATTGCCTTTGCTTCTTTCTTTCTACCTATCTGGCCTTTCAACCTTCTTTTAATATTCTGAACCATTCGGAATCCGGACGAAGCCAGCCGAGTCAAGTTGAAGCTAAACAGCTGAACTGCTTGTCGGCTATTTGGCCCTGTCGAATACAACTTTGTGGGTAGAAGTCTAAACGAGTAAAGACAGAATATTGATTAATTTTAAAATATATGAAATAAAATCCCGAATCCCAATCCAAACAGCAAACAACCCGGAGTATCACCATCAAGCCCTCAAAACGCCAGTGCCAAAAGTAGAAAGAGAAGAAATCCAACACGGATAGTAAAACTTTTCTCAATCCAGAACAACCATTATTATCATTAAGTAAACCGCTCTCCAGGCCAATTACCCTGCCATTAATCCGACTCTACTCTGGGATCTATTGGACCGCTTCGACCGCGCTGGTTTCCGCATACGCAGAGCTGGCATGATCGGGTCCTGCCCCATTCATACCGGGGTCGCCGGGTATGCCGACGAGCTTGTCGATGAGGTCGTCGTGGCCCATGAGGCCCTCGAAGCCGTTTGTCGGGTGCGACTCGCGCGAGACAGGCACGTGGCTGTCCGACGGCGGGTAATGAAGGTGCGTGTAGTGGTTGGAGCCGACGTCGCCAGGGATGGTGGTGGAGGGTGTCGACCACGTCGCCTGACCGGTTCCCATCTCGTCAAGGGACTGCGAGCCGCTGCCGAAGATGTTGTTCAGCACGCTGTTGTTGTCGTGGTAGTGGCTGTCGTGGCCCATATTGTAGCCGCCCAGGTTGGGGTGCGAGAGGATGTCGGGCACGTTGAGCATCACGGATCCTCCGCTGCTGCTGGACCCGTGGAGGTGGGTCGCCGGTTGGCTGGTTTCTTGCGGTGGGAGGGGCGGGAAGGGGTCCAGGACTGAGGTGACGGCTGTCTTGTCACTGAGGCCGTCCTCGGGTTTAGTGATGGCGTGCAGGAAATCAAAGTGTCCAGTCGGGTACATGTTCTCTGGCGGCGCTTGATACATGGACCATGAGGGCTGCGACGTCCCGCTATGGTGGAGGAGATCATGCTGAGGGTGATGATGGGAATGGGGAGCCGCGGGAGGAGCGGGCGGAGGGGGTGGAGCATGGTAGACATTAGGGGTTGGCTTGTTAAGCAGGATGGAATCAAGGGATAGAGGAGGGAGGTCGATGCCGGTGGCTGCTGGCCGCGGACTGTTGGTGGTGATGCGGTCCGGCGGAGGAATGAGCCTCTGCCAGGTTGTTGTGCCAACCTCGCCTGGCCGAGTCTGGCGGAATTTCCAGAGCAGGATGGCCATAGGTACGCTGTCCTCCTCTGGTTGAGGAGCGTACGGGTTGGCGGAGTGTCGTCGGGAAGGGGGCGTGGCCCGGATCTCCTGCACCACCGACATGGTGCGCAGGAACCGTCTGGATCGCTCGTCGCCAGCGTCAGGGTGACTGGGGCCCTCCTCCGCCATTTGTGTAAGATGGGTGAAGAGTTGGGCCCACCACTTGGGCTCAAACAGCCGCGTCACCTTAGTCGACGATGGCTTGCAAAGCTCCTTGCCCAGAGCACAATCCATCTCCTGGCCGTTGTCGTAGATCAAAGTATTGCAGGTCCAGTTGTCCATCTGGTTAACCATAGGAGCATCGCTCGTGGCCGGGTGGGCGAAGTCCAATTCCATGTGAATTCCCAGGCTGGACCTAGGAGGAGGGAAATCATCCATCAGGTTGAGGCTCGCCTCCAGATAGATGATCTCGCAGTTTATGGGGCGGTTGAGGTCCGCCATCAACGAGTTCAGATGAGGAAAGCTAGTTCGCCAGCCCGCGACATTTTCCAGAGGCATTGGCGGGGCTACGGGGAGACGCTGGTCTCCCTGAAGACGCGTGTATTCATGATACGCTTTCTCGATCTGGTCCTGTCGATGCGGCGCGTTAACCCACATCCCAAAGCTGAGACCGTGGATTGTGTGAACCGCGGGATCACGCATAGTTGGGTTCAGAACGAAGTGTGGCGGGGGCAGCTCCCCGGGGTAGGGCTGCATCATCCGCAAATGATCATTGTAGGGATTGTGCAGATGGTGCCCATAGTGGCTCGACAAGGGAAGGTCAACGGGACTCCTCCACTTGGGTCCGATGGAGTGAGACTGGCTGCTGGCGCGGTCTGCCGGTTGTTCACGAACCAGTCGTTCCCCTGGATACATCGTTAGTAAGATATTATGGTGTTTGGGCCATGGTGGTCATACAATCAGGATCCCCTTTGAGGAACGAATCCAGGACCTGGAGGTGGCTCGACACCTGCTTCCTGGTTCTCTTCTTCCCCGTGGCCTTGAAAATGAACTCGGCAATCAGTTCGTTGCGTCCGTACGACTTGCCGCGTTCAGACCACTTTCTTCTTCCCATAGGAGGGTTTGCCTCGAGAGCTGAACCAAGTTAGCCGAATTTCCTTGATACACCCGGAACAAAGTATATCTCGACTTGCCCTGTTGAAAAGCGTCCTCGAGCTCATCCGACCATACTGGCTCTCCATCCTTGCCCGTATCCCTGCGAGGCCGTGCCCGATACTCCAGATACTTCTGCGACTTGAGGTAGCTCCTTCCCCTACGCGGTCCAGCGAGACTAGGACCAAACGACTGCAACCGTCGGAGCTTCTTGGCCTGGATCCGGTTGGCTAGCACCTGAGGGTGGTGATAGCCAGAGGCATTAGGCAGCGGGTGGGCAGGGACCGGAGGGGGTTGAGGGTATTTGACGGCATATTGGGAGGGATGGTCATCCCGCACGGTGGCATCGCTGTAGGCTAGGCTATCCGAATAGGACTGGACATTCCCAGATGTATTCTGAAGAGCCCGGTCCGAATGGGCAGATAGACTCTCCAGAGCCGGGGGAATCTGAGGGACCATACAGCCGGGTTGCCAGTCAGTAGCCATGGAGCCAGCACCACCTTGAGGGGCAGTAGGATTCCCGCAAGACGCAAGAATGACAAATTCCACGGGAAGAGAAAAAAAAGAAAGGAAAGAACTTGAAGCCCGCAAAATATTTCCTACCAGACAGAAGACCGCTGGAGGGCTTTGCTAAGCAGCGATCAAGAACGCAAATGCTGGAAGAGAATGTTAGAACCTGGGAAAGAGAATGTGAGAGCGAAGAGCATGGTGTTTATAGGGAACTCATTCCCTCCCCTAGAGAGGAGTAGCTACATTGCTGGATCGCGCTGCTTGTTTAGAAGAAGGTAGTATCCCCTCCTCCCTCGAGGGCAACGACGACTTGGTTTCCAAGGTGGGGGTAGGAGAGCGAGAGCGAACAAACACCCTTGGGCCCGAGCCCTCACGCGTCTGGAGACCGAGGAGGAAGGGTTGCAGCAAATCAGGAGGAAAGGAAACCCCCGAATGGAACCCGACGGAGAGTTGGATGCAAGGGGGCATTCGCGGAGCAGCACCTGCTCGGGGATTTCTTTCAGGCGGAGAAAATCGCCCAGAGACGAACCGTGATCGTCGCTCGTTCAAGCAGGTACCAAAGAGTAATGATGAACAAGAGTTGTGGCAAAGACCACCGTTTGGAATGCCGAGTCGCCAGCAATGGGACCTCATCGTCCTGGTTGTGGAATGTGAAGGTTGTTTACAAAACAGCGCAAAGGAATGTTCATCGTAAGAAGCCAAGCATCTAGCCTTGATCAGGTTGATATCCAGGGTTGCTCGAAGCATGTTGTAGAGACGTGAAAGAGGGAGAAAGGAACGCTAGAATTTGACAAGGATATGATAACCCCAGATTGGGGATAAGACCATTAATACATAGAACATCCCATTCGGATGCACGAGGGGGGCCCTAGGGAACTTTGACAAGAGCCTCTTGCAGGACGCGTTATGCACGTACTGACAGCAGGAACGTGTCTGGCCGGCGACCTGCTGCTGCACTCAACCTCGACCAAGCAAGGGATGGACTTCGCGAAGACCAAACCATTGCAAGACCGTCTTGTTCCCCTATGCGCGAAGGGAGAAAGGGGACGACACTCTTGTTTCTTGAGTCTCGCTTTAGTCCTCTCCCTCGTCCGCGGCCCCTACAGTAAATTTCTTGCGACCGCCTGCCGTGAGCTTTTGTAGTTTGACCCTGTCCATCTGTTCCCCTACTTTCTTTTCGATCTGCTCGATCTCTTGCTCGGCATCGACCGCCTCTGCGTTGGCGAATTCGAGCACCAGTTTTCTACCCAACAAATGCGTGTTCTTCAGCGCGTCCATGGCATTTTCCGCTTCGCGAGCGCTTACGAAGTCAGCAAAACCGAACCCGCGAGCAGACCGGTCAAACTTCTGAGGCACCCGCACAGACCGAAGCTGGCCGTAGGCACCAAAGAGAGACCTGATATCTTTCTTGTTCGCTTGGAACGGCAAGTTCTTGATGATGATTTTCGTTCTTCTTGCCGCGATCTTCTTCGCGGTGTCTTCCCGTCGTCGCTCCTCGGCGGCATCCATGCCCTTGTGGGACGCCCGGATTACCAGTGCATGCTGATCCAGACTGTAGCCTGACATTGCGGCCAGAGCAGCCTGGGCCTGTTCTTTGGTCCTGAAGTCGACAAATCCAAAACCCATACTGAGCGTTTGGCCGGGGTTCTTAGGATCCGGTTTGGTCTTAACCCTGCCAGACACAAAGCCATCCAGTGGCCGGAAGGTTTCCACGAACTTTTGATTCGTGGTAGAGAAATTAAGGTTCTTTACGAATAGAGTCGAGGTGGCCGCGGTGTCCTCGGTTTCATCGGCCGCAAACGTGTCCGCCGTCGAGAAGCCTTGTGAGACAGCCTTGGGCTCGATGGGCTTCTGCGGGACGACCGACGGGTCGAACAAGTTCTTAGGTGCCTTCTCGAGGAAGAGGATCGAATCCCCAACTTTCCGATAGGCAAGGCCCTTGAAGGCTTTTTGCGCCTCGTCCGGTCTTCCAAACTCGGCGATGGCTATCGTGCCGCTGGGAGGCATTAGTAGTCTGGTGAGTTGACCATACGGCTCGAACAATTTCCTAAGGTCGTCAGCTTTGACGCCGAACGAAAAGTTCTTTACGAGGATGGCGGTGTTTCCACGCTCCCGCTGCTTGAAGGCATCAAGGTTGACACCGTTCGCAGTGAAGTAAGCCTTCGTTTCTTGGATAACGTGCGTCTCAGCGTGTGCTTGCTTCACGGCAGCGTCTGCGGAAGTGGGATCCAAAAGGTCAGATTTGGAGACTCCCAGTCGTTCAGCCACCGAGGACATGACAGCGTCAGTCTGTGGATTTGTTAGCGGAGCTGTACGCTCAGATCTGTTGACACAAAACTCACGTTCATATAGAGGGAGTTCCAGGTAAAAGTGGACGAAGAAGCGTCCATCTTTCGCTTGATCTCCTTTTGCTTTTTGACAGGCAATTTCGACAACTCATGCTCATCGATCTTGTAAGTCTTCTTGGCAGAAGCCGGCAGGATGTGCAGCAAACGGCCTTGGAAGTGCTTTCCATCCAGACTCTTGTAAGCCTCAACGGCCGAGTCCGAGTCAACATACTGGACGTATGCAAATCCTTTGCTCTTGTTGAACCTTGTATCAAACGCGATATGAATCTGAGATCGTTAGCGATCGCTCATTGGCAATTGAACTTGAACAAAGAATGATAACATGTGCAAGTTGCCGTTCAGATATAAAGAGGCATCTACTAAAATTCTCTTTCCTGTTCACATCCTGTGCTTTTGCATCTGATGTCCCTATCAGGATAATCATCATATGGGCAACCCCGGAGGGACTTGCATGTTGGTGTATGGGGTAAAGGCGGAAATTTGAAGGGAAAAAAAAAAAAAAAAAAACTAACCTCTTCAATCCGTCCAAACGGTGCAAACAGTGGTTCAAGATCCGGCTCTCTCATATCGTACGCCAAGTTTCTTACAAAGAGACGCGCAGACAAGCGGATGTTCTCGATATTCGTATCCACCGGCGGTGGCGCTTCCGCTGTTTTACCAGCATCCGCACCATCCGGCGACCCACCGTCATCAGAGTCCTCAGAAACTTGCGCAACAGGTTTCGACTCTTCGCGAGCAGGAGCAGCTGGCGGCGCAGAGTTAAACTCCGCTTGCTCGTCCTCGTCTAGAAGACCCAGCAGACGACTCGTCTTTGACCGAAGCCAATCGGAGTCCGACACGGCAGGTTGTTCCTCGGGCTGAGGATCCTGTTGCTCCGTATTTTCCTCCTCCCCAGTGCCGTCGACAACCATAGGCTCAGGTTCAGTAGGGGCTGGCGCCTCGCTATCGTCTCCCTGGCCATCTGCAATCCTAACCCGTTTCCTCTGGGCATAGGTAAGGTCCTGGGCAGTGTCATCCTCTTCGGCAGACTTGTCTTGCATCTGGGTATCTTCGGCAGCCGGGATGAAGGCATCATCGTTGGCCCACGTCTTCGTCTTGGACGATTGTTGCATTAGGGACATGTACTCTTGCATCTTGACATCTTGTTGAGGCTTCTCGCCATCCCGCTTACGCTTGAGCGTACTCTCCGAGGAGTCATCGGGTTTATGAGCTTTACGAGTAGGCTCAGCATCAATCTAGATAATACAGGTCAGTCTCAAGACCACCTTTACCGGTCAGCGTGCACAACAGGAGTATAAGGAATAAAAAAAAAAAAGAAAGGAAAGAAAAGGATGAAAGACCAAGGTCGAAGCCAATGAGGTACATACCGGTTTAGCAATTTCTACTGAGATCTTCGACATCTTCATATATGTCTTATTGAAATACCGAGCAGCCTCCTTGGCTACATCGGAGCTCTTGAAGCCCACGAAGCCAATTCTGCGCTTGGGCAAGACATGGGCATCCGTGACCTGGAAGCGAGTAGCGAAATGCTTTCTCAGTTGATCATTGGAAAAGGTTGGCGGGAGGCCAGAGACGAATACTCTTGTGCTCTCCTCCATGATTGAGAGTTGTTGTGTCCAATGGCTTTTGTTCCAACGCCACGGAAAGAATGGTTGCAGAAGAGGAAGAAGAGAAATTTTTTTTTTTCTTTTTACGTGATGCCGATCTTATAGTGCCGAAGGCGGTGAGGCCAGACGAGACGGGGCGGGCGTGGCCCGTGCGACTCGCGGAGATTCCTCGTCGCGCGCAAAACATCCCTGGATCTGGTCAAGTTGTTGTCGCCCTCGAAGCCCTCGAACATAATCCCCTTCTTGTCGGTTGTTTACTTTCCTCCAATTATATTATACCACCTATTGTCGTCGTCGAGTTCTGAATCATCGTCAAAATGGCCACCGAAAAGAAGGACAAGCTTGAGCGTAAGTGGTGCATTTGGGCAGCACAGTCCGCACACGAGCTAACATGACCGTCCAGCGCAGATCAAGTCCGTCGACATGGTGAGCGTTCAAGAGCAATGGTACTAGTGAGGAATTGGCGCTGACCCAGAACAGACGGAGGATATGCAGCAGGAGGCTGTCGAAGTTGGTATGAACAACTTGGACCCAGACCGAGTGACCGGGGGCTAATTTCGTAGCGATTGAGGCCATGGACAAGTATCACATTGAGAAGGTTGGTAGCTCTGCGATTCCACAGGTCATACTTATATGCTCACGATTTCATACCTACAGGACATTGCCCAGTACATCAAGCGAGAAGTCCGCTACCCCGCCTCCTGACCGATCAACCACTCGCTCATACCTAACCAAACGATAGTTCGACTCGCGTAAGGGCGCAACATGGCACTGTGTGGTTGGAAGGAACTTTGGTAGTTTCGTGACGCACGGTATGGGCTGTTCTTCGCGACAATCTCGAGCGTTCGCTAATACACTACAGAGACGAAACACTTCATCTACTTCTACCTGGGTCACTGCGCCATTCTCCTGTTCAAGACCCAATAAACACTCTCCGAAAATATCTCGCGGGCTCACGCCAGAATGCTGGGATTCTTTACGTATTGTCGACCGCCGTTGTGCCCTGGGCAATAATCAAGGGTGGTGGAAAATGCCGCGCAATGGGACGCAGCGGGGCGAAGCAGGAAGGGTCAAGAGAAGCCAAAAACCCCGGGGTTATTGTTGCTCCGGGTCAGGACTATTACGTCCGGGCTTCTCGCTCTCCTTGAGCCTACTATGGCGGTCAACTAGATTCGTTTCTACTTTCTTCAGCGAAATTCTTTCTGTTAATATCTCGGGGTTATCCCATTCACTTCAATATCATTTGATTTCGGTTGGTAGATAATTGGTGCTGAATCTAAATAATTCATTTATCTTGCAGCTATTACCGGAGATGTTTGTAGTCAAAAACTGGAGGGAATTATATATAGTCAACCGCATCGGCTTACTGAGCTGGCCCCTGGAGCTACAACAGGTCTTACACCCCGTGATCATACTACCATAATATGGATTAAACAGTAAAACCTTAACCATTCCTACCATACTGTCCAGCAAGAAACCATAAAGATAAAAAAAATGAAGATGCACGAAATCCACGTCGACCGAATCGCAACCGCCAAGTGCCAAGCCACAACGCCACACGTCAGCCCCTAGAAACGGATTGCCGCTGCCTGCTCCTTCACCATCTCTCCATTTCTCAACGACTCCGCCCGCAGGACCAGAATTAGCTCTCAAACCATCTAGCTCATTTCTCTATCTCATCAGCACTGTCATATCCCGTGGATCCGAGAATCCATCGCCATGGCTATTTGCATCACGTTCGGATCGCATGGTACGTCACCGGACCCTTCCTACGGGGTAGTTTCTCCGCCCCTGTTCCTCCCGAGGACAGCCATATGGAGAACTATACGGGTCCGATTCCGCGGACTCGATAGATCTTTGTATCAGGGGATGTGTATGAGTAGAGCTAACAATTGATAGAATTCACTTCCATGCTGGAAGGTTACGAGCATGTTCGTGCTTACTGCTATAACTGTGAGTGGCTGCCTCTATCTAACTGGCTGTACCTGATCTGACCAAGACTGAACATGAAGGCCAACATTGGAACGGCCATTGCGTGACAAGATGGTATGTATTGATTTGTTTGGTTTCTGCGATCCATTCAATAACATACTAATGAGCGATTATATGCAGGCCATGGTTCACTATCTGCTTTATTGTATGTTAACTGTCAAGTCCACCTACCATCCACAGTAGGTATACGACTTCCCAGTATCTATACTAACCCATCTGCAACCCAATAGCCAGCAATTCCGCTCGCATTTCATAAATACAAGGTCCTTCCCCATTTATCTCCCCCTCTGGGCTCAATCCTAACAGCTCAACAGGAAGTAACATGCTACACATGCCGCTTTACTCAGGACCTTCGGTATGTCGTGTCATCTATCCTTAGGAACCGAAAGTACCCGTGTAGAAGTATCCCATACTAACGACAAAAGCGATCGTCCTGACATCACGCCCGAGACGCGTCCGCCGCCGGGTGTACCGGCAGGGCCGGCGCCTCCGCCGCAGGCTTATTATCCGCCTCAGGGCGGTGCGCCGCCGCCTCAGGGGTACGGGTATAAGTGAGGCTAGGGATGGGGAGTAATGAAGGAGGTTGGGATTGTTATGTTCTTAGGCGCTTGTTTTGTTTCGACTGAGCTGGGATGTCGTTTTGTTTTTGTGCTACCGTGATTGATTGAAGATACCTTTTACTTAGTTTATCTTATTATTATGCCTTGCCTGTGGCTGACTGCTGAGGTTGTTTGTTTGAATTGAATTAATGAGGTTTATTATTGTTATGTTATTGAAGAACGGGAAGAGAGAGGTCACGTCATTAATAAGTAACGAACGGGGTATAGCAGTAAAACAAGAAACAAAAGCCCATACAGTACCTCCAATATATCCAGCAATCCAAGCACAAAGATCTAATCCCATCCCATCATACAATCATAACCAAACCAACCTACAACACCATATCAAGCCTCCTCCTTCCCAGCCACCTTCTCCGTCGGCGTCGCCACCCCACTCGGCGTCTCTCCCCCCTTCTGGCCCTCCAACGTCGCCCTGGGCCTCTTGCCCATCGCATCCAGAACCATCGACCTTGCCGTCCGCACAATACTCTCTCTCCCCTCATACAGCGGGAACACCACAACCCCAAACGTCGTCACAAACAACCACAAAATTTCCACCACCACCCACCCCGTGAAGAACTTCTTGCTGAACACATACCCGCTCCCATACATGGGGATGGGCCAGAGGAGGAGAAAGCAGATGACCATGGCGACGGTGAGGGTGCGCGAGTAGAGCGCCGCGCGGTTGAGCTTGCGCTGCTCGTCTTCTTCGGCGGCGCGGTTGGCCGGCGCGCTCGATTCGCCGGGGATCAGCTCGATGTCGACGTGTGCGGCGGCGGCGACCTCCGTGTCGTCGACTTTGCGGATGGCGCGCATCGACTCGTAGTCGTAGTTTTGGGGGCCGAAGGCGTAGGTGAGGACCGGGGAGAAGACGATCGGGCTGAGGAGGGCGGCGACGTTGCCGGCGAGCATGGGGTAGCTGGCGGGGGTTTGTTAGATTAGTGGATATGGAAAGGGTGGGAGGGGAGGGGAGGGGACGGACTTTGCTCCGGTCGTGGCGACGGTGAAGACGCCGTATTCTCTCTTGGTGGTGACGAGCCAGGCGATGAGGGACATGGCGAGACCGAGGACAGGTGAGCAGGCGGCTGCGACCCAGTTCTGGCCCTTCCAGACGAGGGTCATGGCGCCGGGGAAGACGGCGGAGGAGATGATGACGCCCATTAGGAGGTAGAGGTAGCCCATGCCGATGCCGGCGTAGTAGAGGCCGGTGGCGAAGCCGGCCATGACGATGGCGAACAAGATACAGGACATGTGGGAGATCCAGACCAGTCGCTTGCCCTTGGCCTCGGGGTTGATGTAGGCTTGGTAGATGTCGTAGGTGAGGATGGACGAGACGGCGATAAGCTGGGCGGAGAAAGCGGACGTGACGGCCATGAAGATCATGAGCGTGGTGCATACGGCTCCGCTGTAGCCCAGGAGCTCGACAGCAGCAAAAGGTAGCACAAGACCGGCGGTGACATCGTCCGAGCTCATGCGCTGAGATCCCTCCAGAGCGAGAGCAGAGATTCCCATGGTGCTGGCACAGAGCCAAGGGATGGCAAACCAGCAGAGACCGCCGATGACATATCCGGGGAAGGCATGGACAGGGTGTGCGGCGATAGCTGTGGATGTCAGTATTATAAGCTTAATGCAGATAGCTCAAAGTATACCTTTATTGTAGTATCCATTGTCAAGGAAGACAGTGCTGTTGATCGATGTTAGCCATGTCGAGATTTGAGGCGCAATTACACATACCCAAAGTTACCTGCAATGAACTCGTTAGAAAGATCCAATTTCAAGGAAAGCCAAGGATAGCTCAAGCAGGATACATACCAACAAGATTAATAATCCAGAAAATGCCACCCTCCTTCGACCTCATGGTCAAATAGCTGCCTTGGGCATTCCCCTCGACGGGATGAAGCTCAGACGCCGCGACCAGCGCATCATACACCTTGCCCGGGGACCCGAGATTCTCATTCGTGGCGTAGGCAGAAAACGCAAAGATAAAGATGACAACGATGATGACCACCGTGTGCATGTAATCCGTAATGAAAGTTGCCTTGATGCCGCCGAACAGAGTGTACAGAACCACACCGATGGGGAGCAGAAAACAGGCTGCAGCTGTGTGAACCCCAGTCAGAGAAGTCATGACGGCCGAGCCGCCAGTGAGCAACATGGCGGTGACGAGGATGTTGGTCATCAGGCAGAAGACGATGAAGACAACATGAACGGCCGTGCCGTAGCGGGCGCGAATCGCTTCCAGGAATGTATGCGCATTGGGGGCCCGTCTTTTGAGCTCAATGGCGAGAGTTGCGAAGAGGATGATCTGAACACAGGCGCCTATGGTGAATGACTGTCAGCTATGGGATCAATCTGAGTGCTCTGATGGACCAACCCGAAGCGTAGAAAAAAGGGCCTGAAATGCCATATTGATAGGCCACAGCGGACGACTGAAGAAGAGTTGCAGCCCATGTCCAGCTGCTGACAACTGCAGCCGCAACCAATCCAGACTTTACGGAACGTCCAGCGGTCGAGAACATCTCGGACGTTTGAACTTCATGTTGATATCTGCATAGCGCATTTAGTCTCGGTTCAATGAAGCTGGATTGTCAATGCAGTGTTTCGTATTATGGCACATACCTCTTCAGAGCCCATGTAATGAAGATCATCACGAGCGCAAAGGCGAACCCTAGCCCTATGATGATTCCATAGCCAAACCCTTGAGAAAGGGGGGCAACAAACTTGACCTCTTCCGAGGCCATACTGGCTCAAGATGACTAGTGCCGCCAATTGAGATGAACAGGTAGATTCCGAAGAGATGAGTTGAAATCCAGAAAGAGCCTTGGATGCAGTACTATGAAGCCAAGTCTAGCGCAAAGACCACAGAGGCAACCAGTGCAATCAAAGTCTCGAGAAACCGTTAACAAATGACACAGGGCGGCACAAAGGGCACCACAGCTTCATATACAGTCACTTGGGCACACCAAGCGCCTGAGCTCCTCCGACCTCGCAGTCCTCATCTTGATCAACATGTTGGAACTCTTGGACCGGGATCGACTGTACACCATAGATAGTCGAATACGAATGGCCGACAGCGATGCAAGCGAGCGACGATAAGGCATCCATTCCGTAATCGCACGTGTCGGGGGACTAGACCCAGAGTGCACGGAATCAATCAATCTGCCTTTCATTGCCAATTGCAAATCAAATAAAGGACCCGGGGAAGGGCTATCATGGACAGCCGCTTCATCATTGGTGCTTTTCCCTTATCAGCGGGACGCCAGTCTGGATTCCGGGATTGCACGACCATTGGCGGCGGGTGGTTGATAAGGAATGGCAGTCCTTTCTGATATCCACCGCGACACTAGGTAAACGTCCGTCCACACCGGTCGTGGCTGTCAGGGTCAGTAAGTCCTCGGGTGCTGGTGCTGCAGGGATGGCGGAGATAATGATAACGCATTCCTTTACCTGAAGTCCCCGACTAATGGATTCGTGCGTCCCCCACTGCCCCCGGGTTACTGAACCTGGGGAAGCCATCCAGGTCGAAGGATTCTGTCTTCCTGAGAAAAGCTAAGATGTGTCAAATTCAGCATGAGCATTGGTGGAGCGGAGCTGGCCGATGCCAAGAGCTGTCTACATTGCTTCGCGTCTTGACGGTCGACTGATAGACCGCCAGTCAAGAAAAAAGAAAAGAGCCTGGGCGGCTTTGTCATCAGGGATGGATTCAACTGCAGCAACCAAACTCATACTGTACAAGACGCAATGATGCCTTTCCCAATTTCTTATATTATTCAGCGTTCTCCATTAACGATCACCGGTGCTCCAGATGCATCGATCAATAACGTAAACAAGACAGGTAAAAAAAAGATAGCAACCAATCCACGTTGTCCAACCTATGCTGCAGACAGGTCTTTCAACGCTACACTTTACAAGCATTCGAACAAGAGTTTAGAGACCTCCCCGTGCCATATGTCTCGGAGCTCATACGCACAGGAAAGAAGCAGGAAGAAGGGACGCCAAGGGGTATATGATTTTGAAGGGGATGTATGAAGAGGGTGATGGGTCGATCGGGATGCCTCGCTAGGGCCGAAGATTCCACGCAAGACAACCTATTCGAAGAATTCGACGTGTTGTGGGAGCAAGCACCGCATTGTTTGTCGCATATGCGTCCGTCGCTTGAGCCGGATTGGACGACGGCAAAGGCGAAACGCAGTGACGAGACGGTGCGATCGCGTTGCATTTGAGAATCGGCTTACGAGGAGAACTTGCGGGTGATCTTGGCAATGACTGTGTCGGAAAGGCGCGATTAGTTTTCCGATACTCACGCAAAAATGTCGACGAAGGGTACATACCGTGCAGGCCAACAACCGAGAAGATGAATCCCAGACTCAGAACCAACACAACGACGGGGTCAACACGCAGACCAGGGCTCTCGTCGGTGTAGAGCTTGAGCATAGTGCCCGAGGAACCGCCGGCGCCGGCAGAGCGAGTCGAGCTAGGTCGAACATTGCGCAGAGACTCCTTGTGGTCGGCGGCCGCACGGCGACGCAAGGCAGCGCGAGGACCACCGGGGGGAGTAGGCGACGAAGGACGGTTGATGGCGGACGCAGATCCGGCGGCGGCACCAGCACCGGCCGACTTGGAGTCAGGGCCGGATTCAGCACCGGAGGTCAGGGGAGAAGCAGCACGAGGAGAGGCCTGATGGTAGAATCGGTCAGTATGATTTCTCCGGGCAATTGACCAAGCTGACGGGGAGGACGGGTCAAGCTGTGTCGTGTGGGTGTCCTTTCAAAAAAGGGCGATCATTTAGATTAGGGGTCTCACCATTTTGAAGAGATTGGATGTGAAAGTGAAAGAAAAGCAAAAATTAAAGAGCGTTGTAGAGAATTAGAGAGAATTGAAGAGGAGAAGAGAAGAGGAGGATTGACCAGATGGATCGACGGAGGTGGAAGGAAAATGAGGTCGTGAGCGAGTCGGAGGAGTCGAGGTCGCGAGTTGCCAGAAAGAGGCCACCTCACGCTCACCCGGCCTGTATTGTCACGTCCTGTCATCTCCCCCATCCCCGGCCCTGTCGCCCAATCACCGGCCACAAATACCGGTCCCTTTACGCCTCGCCATCCGTCGGTAATTTTGCCAAGCCAATCTACTGGAACAGATGCCTCTGGTAACCTACCTAGGTGCCTCCAAAGGTGACGGACATATTGCAACAATCACGACTATCTACTTCCAACATAGAACCAGCCATTCTAACTCCCTGTAAACACCGTATTGTTTTCATGTAATTAAGAGATAGCTACAGTACATGACAAAGGAGATGCACAGTCGTTAAAATATGACATGAAGAAACCGGTCGAGACTCGGCAAAAAAGGATCAATCAAACGCTATCAGCGGCAGAAAGGGAGCGGCAAGATGAAGGAGATAGAAAAAGAAAAAGACAATCCAAGTTCGTGAATAAATCGCCAACGCAAAAGGTATCATATCGCAATTCCCGGAAAACACCTGAAAAATTTCGTACCTAAATGGTTCCTCAATAGGTGCGGCCCCATAGCGGACGTATAGAATGGACATTGCCGAACGGTCCCTTCAGCATCTGATTGATATGTACCGACCATTGTTTTGATTTTGGGTTTTTGTTGCTTTTTTTTGTTTTGATCGTCAAGAGTCCAGGTCCAGGGTCATGCTCAATCAATCATCATGCGGTTGGGGACCTGGCCGGTGATGTTCGAGGACAATTCGGTCGTCTTTTCGGCTTCCTTGCGGTCTTTCTTCTTGTTGATATGCGGCTTGAGACCCTTGTGGAAATTGTGCATGCACATGCTGGCGTTGATGATGGTCAGGACGATAAGAATCAGCGTAATCACGGCGAAGAAGGTAAGTGATCGTCGAGCCGGCAGATATATCTCATACGTCCCCGGAGCGTACATGCGAACGAGCTTGAACAGGAAGTACGCCATGGCGGCGAAATACAGAAGCTGCGAAAAGTAAGCAATGCAATGCTGGGTGAAGGTCGGGTGAAAAACGTACAATGATCACAATCATTCCGAAAGTACTTTCGCGGCGAACGAAGACCGCGGCACACACCAAGATCAAGACGGTCACGGGGACAGCGGCCAGCGTGAGTCCAAACTCGATATCGGCTCGTTCGGTAACGATGACGACGAACTGCACGGTAAATCCAAGGAAGAAGAAGAAGTCGAACTTGAGAAGGGCGATGTAAATCTAACCACGGGTCATTAGCTTTCTGCTCGGCGGCCCGCGAGGTTGTCGGGCGGGACTGCGAACCTGATAAGTCAGATATCGACGCTTCATCCGCAGATCAGCGCTGATATGCTTGTAAATGGACCACGCGAATTCATCGTAGAGTTTCCAGGCGATAATCGTCATCAAGAGCGTGCCCATCGCCACCACGCAGGGGATGACGATGAGAAATGGTTCGGATTCCCCCCAGATGTTCTCGTCGATGGCGTCGTTGTCGGTCAGAACACCCACGGCTTCATTGATCTGTTGTACTTGCACGGCTCCGTAGATCAACAGTCCAACATTGCACATGCACAGCCCGATGATCTGAATCGTGTTCTTCATCCGCAGAGCATCGTAGACCAACACCAGCTCGTAGATAAACCCAAAACTGTACAGCGCGAGAAAGCAGGGAACGGTTTTCGAGGCAGACACTTGGTCGGCCTTTGGTCGGAGTTGAATCTGGAAATTGGCGAAGACATAACTGGAAAAGGCGCCCGACCGGATTAGCGATCTTTCAAACTGGCGGGGGAGGGGGAGATTAGTGACCGCGACCGCGACGGCACATACCTTTCGAGCGCCAGAGTGATGATGGTCTGAATGAGGGTGACGATGGCGAAGGACCACGTCCAGAGCGAATTTGGGATGTACATTCTGCGTTTTGAGGGATGCGGAGGCACGTTCGTATAGCCTTCTCGCGCCCGAAACCCACCGGGGCGTCGGAATGAGGGATCGAAAGAAGAGTTCCCCAGTAGGGAAGCCCGCGAGGTGTGGGAATAAATCTTGACGAAATGCTCCGTTACGGAGCTCGAGTCCGCCGGAGGTTCAGGCTCGGGATACAATATGACGGTTTCACCACCAGACAGGCGGCGAGCGATTGAAGGAGGGTCGGCGAGGAAAATGTCTGGCCGGCGAGATGCTCGAACGACCGGGGTTGGGGGAGATGACAGTCGACAGGCCTTTGAGCTTTCAGGAGGTGCGGTCTCGACGGTGATGGGCTCCGGGAAAAAATGACGGACACAACCCTTACGCCGAACAGCGACACGTACAAACCTCCACTAGGCTGCTTCTGGGCCCAGGGAAAGGGAAAAAAACGGATGGGAGGGAGAAATGACCCGCACCGGCGTGGGCGAGTGAGCGAGTGAATGGGAGCGAGAAAAGGGAAAAAGAAGGGCAGATCGGCTTTTGGGGATTTTCCCCCGGAGGAGTTGCCAAGCCGCGAGTGAAACGTCGCGTTGTTGGGTCGGCGGGGGGGCAAGAGGCTCTCCCTCCGATCGAACGCTCAGGTCGGTAAGGCTGAGGGTGCGCACATTTAGGGATCACGCGAGGACGGAGTCGGACGCAGGGATTGGAGGCGAGAGGAGGTTGGAGAAGAATGATTCGATCAGGCGCGGCAAAACGAGGGACTGGCGCAGGCAGAGGAGAGCGAGCGAGCGAGCGAGAGAGGGGGACAAGGTCCGGAGTGATCCGTAAGCCAGAGGGGGGAAACGGAGAAGAAGAGAGAAGAGCCGGAGAACGAGTGTAAGAAGGATTATTGAGAAACGAGCGAGTGGTGGCGGCGTAAGACTAGAATATTAATATGGAGGCATGCCATGGACGGGTTGGGGCTGGGGAAGGTTAAAGGAGTCTAGGAGAGTCATATTTGACAGCTAACGGGAGCCAGTCTTTGGATCGGATCGTATTCATTGATTATGATCAGAAGATAAATTAGAATAATTTACTAATTTAATTATATGGATGTTCCAATTCCCCTCTCTAGAAGTACTTCTAAGAATACTCCTAACCCTCAATATCTACTCCGTACGACTACATTGGCAGTCGCCAAGATGGCTGCTGATAAATGAGAAAACCCACCGTGCCTGACTAGACGCGAAGGAAAAATCCAATCGACTTGTCTGCCTCCTGAACCGAACAAGTCATCCAGGCCGGTGGAGCCAGACCCGGTTTTTCTCTCAGCCTGTTGGGAGGATTGACGGGCCAGATTTGCCGGTCGTTTCTGCTCGGCCATCCGTGGCTCCCGACAGCATAATTTTACGAATTACGAATGCGACCGTTCTTCATGCGCGCTTTAATTTCTGGGATTCCACTGCATGTCCCGGTCGAGATCTCCCTGACCTTATTTTCCCTGTACGCAGTAGTCCGTACGGCTGACGGAGTACTCTGTCCGATGTACACTCCGTAGACCCTGTATGTAGCCTGTACGACATAGATTTCCGCGTCCGAAGCTTTGATATCGCATCGTCATCTCGTGAAGATCGTCTATTTATAGGCTTTCCACCCTGGATTCCAGGTCCTTCCGACCGCCGACGGTCTCCTAAACTCGATCATCGTCGAGACCCTGTGCATGCGCCAATTCGCAAGCTGCGTCGACAGCCTTACTGATTACATCAAGCTGCATCGCGAGCCTTTGGCCAACTCTCCCAACTCCCAATTGTCGAGCCACAGGCACTGCATCCACCCTCCTCAATCTTACGCGATTTTTGATCCACACACAGCCCAAACGCCAAACACCAAACACCAAACAAATTGCCCCAAGATCCCGTCATTGCCAGGCCAACCAGTCTCACCAGCCGTCATGATCGGTCCGCTAAGGCACTGACTGTGGCAGTGTCGCCTCCATCCCCGACTTCAGGTAAGCCACTCCCAGCCGCCCCTGACCGTGGCTCAAACCAAGCCAATGACAGCGGACGCTAGCGATTTAGAATCATTGAATCATCATGGCCCAACTTCGGTGACGGCCCTTCCTTCCTTTTGGCCATGGACCCCGGTTTCATGTACAGTACTTCAGTTGCTGACCGACTGGATTCAGGATTGACATGCGCTGTATTACTATAGATAGATCTGGGAGCCTTGCGGTGTATCCCGCTGATCATTGGGAAATGGTATTTCATCGGAATCGACCCTTGAATCCATAGGCTATAGTGTCCGGAGCACAGATCGCAGAGAACCGGCGGATTCCGACGTAAAAAGGACCGAAAGGAAGAATTATTGAACGATGGTCTCGCCCGCGGGTTTTCTTTTCCTTTTCCTTTTTCTGGTTCTTTTCCAGGAAGGGATGCGCTAGTCTCGATGAGGCTAGGGTTCCTCAACGCAGGTGACACCTTGCCCAATAGAGACTAGCGGGCAGACCATGAAGTACACGGAAGAACTGAGCATCGTCCGTTCATTCATCTCGACCTTCTTCTTTGACGTCGCTGGTTCCAGCAAGCCCCTTTTCTTGATCCCATCCATGATCCCCGGATCTAGTGTCTGCATCTACCCACGATCTATTGATGGTAAGAACTTTAATGAACCCTTCTGAGGATGGGTCTCTTTAGGCCCCGATTTAATCTATGCAGTCATGCACTGATCCCTGGGAGGTGATCAAAGACCGCTTCACTAGGCCGTCTTACTTCCCCAGACCCGGCTTCTCTGCGGTCCAAACTGACGCGACAGTCATCCTAGGCCCCCAAACTAGATGGCCGAATTGAGGATACAGCCGTCAATTCGTCAGGCCTCCCAGTCTATAAATACTCTGCTTGTTGACATGACATTGGAGACCAAGTTGTTGGCTCGTATCAACGGGGTTGGTTGATGGGCCGCATTGTTTACGAGCACCCACAGAATCTGCCGGCCGATTTGAATCTGCACAATGGTGAGATATGAAATACGAGACCCGGCGAATGGGACAACAAATGCACAATACTGCGACTAAAACCGGTTACAAAGCATCGCATATCGACCAGAGACAGTCATTCTTGATGACAGACTGCGAATAATTGATGACTCTAGCTATTGATTTCTGTGGAATTTATGGAGAATGGAACAATATGTTACGTTCCGCTAAAACTAAAAAGCACCTTTGCCAGGCGTGGTGTCCCCGTCCAAGGCAGCACAGCCTTTTTGGAAGTCGGAGGGGTTGAGGAACTCCGCCTTCGTGCTGTTCTTGCGTGCAAGACCAATAAGCGTGTTCTCTGCACCAGAAGTTAGAATGAAGGGTACCAAAGCAAAGAAAGGACACTTACTGTTGGTATCATACTGGGGCCACCCGAACTTGGTCAGCCCCTTCTGAGGATCACGGGCAAACGCCACCCATGCCGAGGTCATATACTTGGAGAACTCTTGCTCCTCCGTGGAGCTAGACACCGCACTGATGTCGTCAGAATTGCCGAACACCATGGGTAAATCGACTCCGTGGTAGGCTCCGCTAGTGGGATACAGGCGCATGTTGTCCCAATCACCGAAATAGCGCGAGTGCCAAACGGGAACTCCGTTGGCAGCACGGTCTTTGGCAGCATCGCCGCTGGGACAAGTGAAGGCGGCCAGGTTGAACTGGTCCCAGTCCTCATTGGTCAGGGTCAGACTGGCGGCAAAGGCGTTGACGCGGTAGTAGCCGGCCTCGTTTTCGTTACTGTTGCACAGATAAGGCTAGACGGGGTCAGTGGCTATCCTGAATGATGGAATTTCAACGGCCGCAGACTGACCAGTTTGGCAAACTTTCCGGCCGCAGACCTCTCTGCGTAGTCACTGAAGACGGTAACGTCGTCAACGGTCGGATGGAAGACGGGTTGAGGAATGGTAGGCGACGATGCGGCAGGGACCTTGGCAACGGCCTTCAAAATATCTCCGTAGGACTGCTTACGGAGACATTTCACGACTTCCTCGACATCGTCGCCGCTGTCACCGCAGTCCAGAGTCTTGGAGACGTGGTAGAAGTAGCTGGCCGACTCCTCGGCAGTGTTTGGCTTGAAGCTGAGTGCCGTTCCCGAGTGGGAGATGAGGCCGCTGACAAGCGGCTTCTCGGTCCAAATGTATGAATAGTAGTCAACAGACGCACCGCCAGCCGACTGTCCAAAAATAGTGATGTGTTCCGGATCTCCACCGAACGCAGCGATGTTATCATGGACCCATTCCACGGCCATACGCTGATCGAGGAGCGCAACGTTCTGGGTCAGTCCCGGAGCGCCCGAGAAACCAAAGATATTCAACCGGTAGCTATCATCGTCAGATTGGAGGATCTCAAGCACTCGGTCTGAGGGTCACTAACTTGAAGGTCACGACCACCACATCCTCGTTCGCAGCCAGATGCTGTCCATCGTAGAAAGGACTGTTGGCACCGCCGACAGTGAAACCTAGATATGTCAACCTCAGCACCCAGCAATACATCAGGCTACGTACGACCACCGTGAATAAAAACCAAGACGGGCTTCAAGGTCGAGGTCTTGGGCTGCGTCCATACGTTCAAGTACAGACAGTCCTCGCTCTGGGAGGTTCCCAGCTGTTGAGCGAAAGACTTGATGATCTTCACAGCCTGCGAAGTGAAACCCGGGAAATCAAGGGGCGTCGTGCCGATAGTAGCGGGGCAATCCCTGCGAAAGTATTGGTTATGATGATATTTACTTTGATTGGGCCAAGAGAATCGTGCACATACGGGCTCTGCAGGAAGTCAAGAGGTCAGTAACTGCGGTGATGGTTTTCATCGACCGATGGACAGTACATACATAGGCTTTTGCACGAACTGTGCCATTTGACTCATACGCCACTGGGGACGCAAAACGCAGATCACCCGTGGGGGCCTGCGCATACGGAATACCCAGATACTCGGAAACGTTGGACTCCCCAGGGGCGGCATGGCCCTCGATCAATCCACTGCTGGTTGAGACACGGGCACCGACGGACTGGACAGCAGCACCCTGGACCCATGTCGGGAGGCCAGCAGCCAGCAGGGAGACCGACGCGAAGGATTTCCAAAATCCTGCCATGGCTGGGCAGAGAAGCGTTTCTTGCGACGTTCTCGAAATAAAATAGCAGGAAGAGGTGGACGGTGACAGGAGACACCAGATATAAAAAAGGGATTTAGCTCATGGGCATTTCACAGTGGACAAAGCCACGAGTCAGCAGCTTGGAGAATGTTTTGATTAGGACCCATTTGTCTCAACCCGTCAACGACTGGCAAATTGCAGTGCCCTTCTGACCTCTGCTTCGTCGGATGTTCCTCGGCAGGGATTAGGCCGGGCCACTTGGCTAGCAGTCTAGCACCAAGGCTAGTGTCTCTGGCACGGAGAAGGAGCTGTGCCATTGCCTCCGATTTGCCCCAACGGGTTTAGCTATGCGGGATTCACTCTGACCCCTGTCGCGGCTGTCAGTTGAAGAATGCAAGTCTAATTAATTCATGCTTATTGACACCATATCTTGTCATTGTCAGACGTTGAATAATGGCTTAGCCCTTGAGAATCCCTTCGCATGGTTTCAGGGTCATGCTACGAACAGATAAGTGGCATGAGCGGCAGTCGGAAATTTACCCATTCTCGCGTGGTTGATCCACCTATCAGTCGGCTATGGCCGCTAAAGAGGGCAGTTGGCAGCCCGTGTTTTTGATTTGTATTTCTGCCCCCAGTCACTGCGAGAGCCTTCCTACAGCCTTGCCTTATAGGTGTGTTAACATGAGTCAGTGTCCACTTAAGTACCTCCAACGCGAGGATCCGGCCTATCGAACAAATTAACCCTCGTGGAGAATTACCGACTCCAATCCTTCATAAACCTAAATGTCTACGGGCATTGTGCCATCGACTCCTTTAGCCAAGAAGTTCGTGCCCTACGCGTCTGTTCGCTTTTTTAATTATGTGGCAATGTGCTTAGACTGTGCTTGGGCCTTGGGCCTTGAGCCTAAGGGTAATATATATCAGCAATGCCTCTCTAGGGTCCTTTTTTTTCGTCCTGGATGGCCACTTCGCCTTTCAGCATCATGTCATGGGAGATTGGACTGAGCACGCCAACGGTGCCAAACCGAGGCTTCACGTTATGGATTTGGAGTGTGATAATGATTATCTTGGCGGGGATTTTCGTGTTGACTAGGCTGGCGATTCGTTTTCATAACCGCCGACTAGGGGCCGATGACTGGACTATCTTTGCGTCAATGGTAAGGGATCGTCGTCGAGCTTCAGATTTTGACTGACCGTTTTATGGAATAGCTTAGCTCGGTGATTCTTACCGTGACTGAGTGCTCTGGTTAGTTTCCTCACCGGTTGATGGTTTTTAACTGACATCTTGGCGAACAAGCGGTCCACTATGGATATGGAAAACATTCTTCATATCTCACTCAGCACAACCGGGTCATTGCGCTGAAGGTAAGACTCCACGATACTTCCTGAAAGCCGAGCTAATCGTGTAGTGGTTCTTCGCAGCACAGGTCATGTACAAAGTGGTCATCGGCATGACCAAGGTCTCTTTTTTCTGCCTTTACCTGCGCATTTTCATCCAGCCCGTCTTTCGTCGCGTCTGTTACGGAGGAATACTGTTTATCCTCGCCTGGAGCTTGGCATATATCCTGGTCACCATTTTCCAATGCAAACCCATCGCCTCGTTCTGGGATAAAACCATACAGCACCCGCATTGCGTGGACAGCAAGTCGCAGTGGCTGTCGTACGCCGTCATCAATATCCTGAGCGACGTGGCGATTCTTGCGCTCCCGCTGTATCCCGTCTCGCAGTTGAAACTGGCACGGGCGAAGAAATTAGCGCTGGCCTTTATTTTCGGCCTTGGTTTATTGTGAGTTTCCGATGTCTGTACTGTTTTCCTTGGCTTACGAGTAAAGCGTTTGCGTGACGAGTGTCGTGCGAACGACTACTTTAGCTCAATCTGCCGATGACAGAGACCCAACGAGTAAGTCCTCCGTCAAGATCCGATAGTTGAATGCTAATCGACCAGGCGGCCCCATTCCCGCCACCATCTGGAGTGTCATCGAAGCCAACGCCGGCATCATCTGCGCCTGCCTCCCCGTCTACAAACAACCGCTACAATACCTTCTCCCCCGGCTTTTCGGCTCCACGCACAGCACCGGACCGACCAGTCGCAGCAAATCGCGCCGCAAGGGCCAAGGGTACGCGTCGAACGGCGACCTCCAAGATCCGCAGGACAGCGCGTGGCGACAGCTGCACGGCAGCGGGGGGAGCTACTCGAATAGCGTGTCGACGCGGGGATTCGAGATGTTCACGATGCGCGATCACAAGCATAATCACGAGATCACGCAGGTGGTGGACGTCAAAGTCGAGTATCAGGATGATCGGCGGCGGTCGGATGCGTCGTCGAGGCCGATCCGGGACCGGGAGAGTTTATGACGAGGTAATTGATAGATAGATTAATTGTACATACACATGTACTCACATACTAATTTACTTTCTCCCGGAAGTGGTCCATCCAGCAAGTCAAATCACTTGTAAACAATCATATCCATCCCCCCCTTATACGGCAGCGTGATCCTCTTAAACGGACCCCCCTCTTGATCCACATACTCAAACAACTCCTGATACCCATCCTTCGCCATCAGCGTATTATCCGCGATGATGACCGCTCCAGGCTTCAACTTATCCTGAACCGCCTTGAGGGCGGGGAGAGCCATCGGCGTCCAGACTGAGAAGGACAGAACCATTAGCGAGACCCAAACCATACCATCCCCCATCAAAACCAAGGAGGGAGAAAGAAAAGAAAAAGAACTCACTATCCAACAACACCAACCCAACCCCCTCCTCGCCAACCTCCTCACCATACCCCCCGCTAGTCAACGTCTCCCGCAAATCGCCCTCCCTCAACTCAATCACCCCCGCGACATCCCTCCCCGCCTGAGTCCAATACTCCCTCGCCAGCGCCGCCTTGCCGGGCTCTTTCTCCGTCGCGACCACCTTCCCTTTACCCACTCCCTGTCCCTGTCCCTGTCCACTACCGTTGCCGTTGGCATTGTCTTTAGCTTGAAGGTTGGCCAACACCCCCAACGCTAGATAAATCGTACTAACGCCATAACTCGTCCCCGCTTCGACGACGGTGGTGGCGCCCGAGGCGCGCAGGGTCTGGTATACGAATTCGCATTTGTCCTGGTCCAGGGCGATGAATTTGTCGGACATGAGGGCGTCGAAGGAGGTGCGGTCCGCCCGGGAGGAGGGGGAGAAGGTGGAGGAAGGGAGGGCGGCTTCTTGGGCGAGGGATTTGGCGTGGAGGGTGGAGAGGAGGGAGTGGATTTGAGGGGGGAGGGAGAGGGGGTTGGTCATTTTGGTGTTGGTTGGTTTGTCTGGTTATTGGGTTTATGGTGATGGTGAAGGTGAGAGTTGAGAGTTGGGGTTGGATGGGTATGCGGGGGTTCTTTATAAGTAGTATGAGCGGATGGATTCCGTCAATAAGATGAAGAACTGTGAGTCAGAGTCCGCGGAGATTCAGGTCTGCATGGATGTACGGATGGAGGGTAAGATTTTATCCATCAATTAGACGGGGAATACGAGTTATGCGAACCTTGGATTTGAATAGTATACCATAAGAAAGAAAGAAAAATGATGATGACATCAAGAGGGGTCGATCTTATCTGATCATCTCTTGCGAAGTATACTAACCTTCATATTCTGACTGAATTGATCTATAATTCTCTTTTATGTCCTACAACTGACTCGGCCCTCGAGATGAGCCCTCCTGCACCAAGATCAATTCCAACAACTGCCGCAACACTTCCTGCCGACCACTCTCCCTCTCCGGCTTGACCTCGTGTCCCCGGATCACCTCCAACAGCTGCGTCTTCGTCAAGACCATCTCATAGTCCGCCGGATGCTCTCTGGCCTCCTGAACCTGCGCCGCCGAGTCCAGCAATCGCCTCGTCAGCACCCCATTGCTCACAATCAGCCTCCACCGCTGCCCGACATCCGTGACCTCAAAATCGATCGCAAACTGCAGATCCGCCCCTCTCTCCCCGTCCAGCTGCACCGACAGAATCTCCAACCACTGGTCGATACTCAGCTGCTCCCCCAACGCCGTCCGTCCCCCGGCCACCATACCGGCCTTCTTCCCACTCCGCAGCTCCTGCGCGCTGGTGAGGTAGAAATTGCGCCAGGTGGCGTTCTCCGCGCCGAACCCTAGCTGCTCGTACACCGACGCCAGCAGCAGCTTTGCGCGTGGCTCCGTCGAATCCGGGTCCGCAGCCACCGCATGGGCCAGCAGCGTCGCCGCAAACCGATAATCGCACTTCTGAATGAAGGTCTCCGCCTTGTCGCAGAGCCCGTCAACACCATTAAAGCATTCCACGTAACGCTGGCCCTCCTCGGTGGGCGGATACTGCCACAGATGCTCCGGCCGGCCGTCAAACCAGGTCATGTATTTTTGATAGATGCCCTGCCCAAGCCCATCAGCCATCCAGCTCATCCAGCCAGAAGCACAAGAACAACAACAAAACATACCTTCACATTATGGCTCAAACTCCCATAAAACCCGCGACAATGCCACGCCCTCTCGATCCGCCCCGGCAGCCTCATCCGCTCTGCGATCTCCACCCCCGTCCACCCCAGATTCATCATCCGCACCGTCTGATCATGCATATACCCGTACAAATCCCTCTGCTCCTCCAGCCTCCTCACCAGCGCTTCTCTCCCCCACGTCGGCCAATGATGACTCCCAAACAGCACGTCCGCGTCGCGTGCAAACAGCACAATCGCCTCGTCCAAGTACCCGGACCACGCCTTCGCATCGCGCACCTGCGCCCCCCGCAGCGTCACCACGTTATGCATACAGTTCGTCGCCGTCTCCGGCACACACAGCGCGCGGTAGTCCGGGAAAAAGAAATTAATCTCCGCGGGGGCCTCGCTGCCAGGAACCATCTGGAACACGACCCGCACGCCGTCCAGCACATGTTCTTCGCCCGTCCGCTGGATCAACACCGTCGGGGGAATCAGACTCGTCGTGCCCACGCTCGACCCCAGCCCTAGTCCCGTGCCGATCTGGCCTGAAGGCCCCCTCGGCAGCGCATTCCCGTACATGAACGCCCCGCGCCGCCGCATCGCCGGTCCTGCGAGAATACTCTCGCTCATGACGGCTTCCATGAATCCGTCTGGCGCGAGGATCGGAATCCCCTCTCCCACTTTCCCTCCTTCTATCTCTGTATCTAAAACACCCCCAGCCCCCATATAATGATCCCCATGCGAATGCGAATACACCAACGCCGTGACTTTCCTGTGTCCTCGATGCGCACGATACAGCGCTAGTCCGGCGGCCGAGCACTCGCACGAGATCAGCGGGTCGATGACGATGATGCCACTAGCGCCTTCGACGATCGTCATGTTGGACAGGTCGTAGCCGCGGATGTGGTAGATGCCAGGACAGATCTCGTACAGCCCGTGTTTGGCGGTGAGTTGGCCCTGGCGCCACAGGTTGGGGTGTGCGGTGGATGGACAGGTGGCGGAGAGGAAGGTGTAGCTGGTTAGGTCCCAGATGGGCTTGCCTTGGGGGGAGGTGATGATGGGGGGTTCGAGGGCGGCGATGAAGCCGCGGGAGGTGGAGGTGAAGTCATCGGTGTCGGTGAAGGAGGGGTTGTTGGACATTTTGGTTGGTTTTGGTATGGGATATGGGGAATGGGTTTGGGGCTATGTTTGGGAGGTGGTTGAGACTGGTATTTATGGTCCTTGTAGTGGATGTAGAGACTGAGCCCTAAGTGCTTCATTTGGATGGACGGGCTGTCGATAGCCGATTCTGCGGGGAGTTATGGATCTTTAGTTGAGTGTTGAAGCTAAGTGTATGATTGTTGACTGGCAGAGAGAAGTATGCATATGGATTTCCATTGGCTGATTGACTAGTGCTTGACGACATGTGGTTCCCGTCGCACGCAATCCGGCTGCGTCGCGTTATCGGTAGGGAGGGATCTATATCTAAGAATGGGCGATGATAGCTGTCTGCCTGTTTTGTTTCTCTTAGCTTTTGCTTTATTTCTAGGGGACCAGGTAGTGTAGTTTTCGACCTAGCCGAAATAAAACAATTTAGCAGCAACAATGGGTCATGATCAAAGTGTACATCCGCACATTCCAACCACCAGCACAAGAACAGACATAAGGCAACAAGCATCGCAAGATCAAGGCAGAACTTCATAGTATTCACCTGGAATACTCTCGGATACCTGCAGCAGTCATCCCATCCTACCGCCAGCAATGTCGATCCCAAGGGATACTCCATATCGGAAATCAGGTGGCTGGGCGAATGGCATCAAGATCTCCCCAGCGGCAATGTCTCTACACCAAGGCTGTTGAAGATGCCTAGTCTGAAGCCTAATGATATGTCATACTTCGAGGGTTGATTGAGTATGGAGGTATGCAATGTTGTTGAGATTGTCTGCCAGGACAGCGCATGATGTCTTGAAGGTATCACTCACTCCCTGTCTCCCTGACGGTACATTCCAGAGTATTGGAGGTAGGCATCAGTATCTGCCTAGGGTGTCTTTGTAGTGACGATGGTATTCACTATATAAGATGTCTGGAATACACCGTCTGCTTCCATCCTCTCTCCATCCTCCTGAGAACATCACCCACTCATCAATCCTATCTCCAACATCCAACCCTCAGCCCACAAAATGACCGACCCCTCCACCCCCCCAAACCAAACCACAATCTCCACCCCAACCGCCCCCAGGGCCGTCTCGCCCTCGCCCTCGCCCCCGGGCCTGTACCTCCCCACCGACCGCCCGGGCAACGAAGGCTTCCACGACCGGCGTCGGCGTCTCGAGCGCCTCCAGGAAAGCATCCACCTGGACGCGGGCCAGCTGCGCGACATCCTCAAGCGCATCTACCGGTACGACCACGCGGGCCGCGAGCTGATCTGGAAAAAGAAATGGCTGGACCAGTTCGTGCCGGAGACGTTTGAGGGGGCCGTCGTCACGGAGGAGGTGGCGGGGGAGGCGCTCGAGGAGGCCATTGATCGGTCGTTGGTGAGGCTTTGTCGGCCTTCGTATGTTTCCTTTTTTCTCCCTTTTCTTGTTGTTGGGTTCTGGTGTGGGTTCTGGTGGGGATGGGTGGCTAATGTGCATAGGGCGTACGATGTTTACCGGTATGCGGTTCGATTGAATCGGAATGAGCCCGGGAGTCGGAAGTATCATATCTTCACGGTCATTTGGGATGGGTTCACGCCGGACGTTCCGGAGGAGTTGGAGGGGTTGCCTAATTTGAAGTTCAACGAGGAGAGGAGGAAGGTGTTTTGGTATCCTAGCAGGAATTAAATAGCGGGTTACCAGGGAGTGGAGTTTAGTGGTTGAATGCTCGGTTCTCTTCAACAGAGGACTGATTTAGCCGCCGGATGGTAATCAACTTACCTTTAGGGTATGCTGGGTTGTTCTAGCTATTAGGTGGTTTAATGCTTCAGGCTTATCCGTTCCTTAGTTCGCGATTTTCCGTAGAATCATTCATTCCTCATACTATATCATATCTTCTACATTCCTATCTCCAGATAAGATAAGATTAGATAAGTATCTATCTTGATAGACCATAGAGTCTGTCTTCATTCTACTCTACCCTGAATCCATATACCCATCTGATTGGTCTTGACCTGCAGATAAGCATGCGGGGTACCAATCACCACCCAGTAAATAGTTGTTATATCCCCTCATCTGTCCTCCTCTCCCCTCCTTCCACCTCCCTCTCATACCCAGAGCACTCAATCCTCAATCCTCAACCACCAAAATGACCACCCCAATCCCCCACATCTCCAACTGGATCGACGGCACCCACACCACCGCGACCACTACCAGCATCCCCGTCCTGAACCCCGCCACCGAAGCCCCCCTCGCAACCATCGACGCCACCTCTCACTCCCAAATCACCTCTCTCATCACCACCTCCCTGCAAACCTTCACCACCAGCCCCTGGTGCCGCCCCGATGCCTCCACCACCCGCTTCACCGTGCTCACCACCGCCGCGCGCCTTCTCCGCGCCCGCATCCCGGAATTCATCACCCTCGAGACGCAACAAACCGGCCGCCCGATCCGCGAGATGCGCGCCCAGCTGGCCCGCGTCCCGGAGTGGCTCGAGTACTTCGGGTCCGTGGCACGGGTGCACGAAGGCCGCGTGCCGCCGTTCAAGGGCCCCGTCGTGAACACCCTCACGCGGCTCCCGCTCGGCGTGGTCGCGCAGATCACACCATACAACCATCCGCTGCTGATCGCGACGAAGAAGATCGCGGCAGCCCTGGCGGCGGGGAATGTCGTGATTGTGAAGCCGTCCGAGCGGGCGCCGCTGTCGGTGCTGAGGCTGGGCGAGCTGTTCAAGGAGGCCGGGCTGCCGGATGGCGTGTTGCAGATTGTGTCCGGGTATGGGTATGAGACGGGGAAGTGGCTGTGTGAGGACCCGCGCCTGGCGAAGATCGATCTCACCGGGGGACTGGGTACGTATCAGGCGATTGCCGGGGCGGCGGCGAGGAATCTGATTCCCATCACGGCGGAGTTGGGGGGCAAGGCGCCGGTGTGTTTCCTGGATGTGGATGTGGAGGTGGGCGTGAAGGCGGCGCTGTTTGCGGCGTTTATCGCGAGTGGGCAGACGTGTGTGACGGGGAGTCGGTTGCTGGTGCATAAGGATGTCTATGAGGGGTTTAAGGGGCTGTTGGAGACGAGGGTGAGGGCGTTGAGGGTGGGAGATCCGTTTGATGGACGGACGCAGATCGGGGCGGTGATCTCGCAGGAGGCAGTGGAGCGGTGCGCGAAGTTTGTGGAGCGCGCGGTGGACGGGGGAGGCAGGGTGTTGTGTGGAGGGAAGGCGATGAAGGTGGATGGGAAGGGGTTCTTCTTCGAGCCGACGGTGATCGAGACGACGGCGGATTCGGATCTCGCGTGCAACGAGGTCTTCGGGCCGGTGATTGCGCTGCTGAAGTGCGAGAGTGAGGAGGAGATCGTGCGCGTGGCGAATGGCACCTCGTTTGCGCTGGGGGCGTCGGTCTGGTCGAATGACTTTGCGCAGGCGCATCGCGTGGCGGCGCAGATCGAGGCGGGCATTGTCTGGATCAACGGGCATCATTTGAATGATCCGTCGTCGCCGTGGGGAGGGTTCAAGGAGAGCGGCGTGGGCAAGGAGAACGGCATGGAGGCGTACGAGAGCTATACCAAGGTGAAGAGCACCGTGATGAACTACGGAGTGCCGCCGGCCTGGTTTGACGACGAGCCGGAGGGGGCGAGATATGGTTGATCTTGCTTTATATGGAGGGTCTGATAGCCATTTGATATTCAAATAGTACAAGGATTGAAGATTGAGTGAATCAATAGTTCAGTAGTCAGAGGTACTAGAATGTATACATTAAATGGTTGATGTTGATGTTGTAGTTAATAGGAAGCAGCATCGGTATTTCCTCCATTCTAAGACCTTCATTGAGAGCTTTATTATTACCTGAATCCATAACGATTAAACCGTCATGGTTGAAACGTGCAGACCTACCTGCAGCTTCTAGACTCCTCCCTTCTACAGTACAATCCACCACAATCCACAACCCTCTACAAATAAGCCAAAGCAAAACTGAAAATAAAACACAGAAAACATTCCAAAAGAAAAAAAAATCCATTCTAAAGCCACACACCCACAAAACCACACATCCCTCCCACCAGCCAACCAAACCCCCAATCAAAGAGCTAAATCTCCCCCTCCACCCTCTTCAAATACTTATCCACGCCATCCAACTTATCCATCTTCCTCTTCTCAACCACAATCGCGTCCTTCACCCGCTCCAGCGCCACCCCCCTCACCGCCTCCTTCCATCCCTCTCTCGGAATATCACCGTCGATGCGCACATGCACCAGCAGGCCTTTGTCCAGGAAGTCCCTGTCCGGCTTTTTCTCGTGGACCTCGAAGAAGCCGAAGTTGAGTTCGTCGCGCGCGGTGATGAACCGCTGCAGTGTCGACCCGGGCTGGTCTCGGCAGGGCATGTAGGCCCATAGGATGCGCTGTTTGGGGGCGAGGGTGCGGGTGGAGGAAAGGAGGGAATGGGATGAGGATGAAGAGGCAGAAGAGGAGGAGGAGGAGGAGGAGGAGGAGGAGGAGGAGGAGCGGTAGAAGGTGGTGGGGGACATGCGAGGGGTGTTTGAAGAAGAAGACATCTTGGGCTTGGGTTGGATATATCAGGCTGCTTGGGTGGGTTGGTGGGTCTGGGTCTGTATATACTATACTGCAAGATGTGTTGGTGAGGGCTTATGGCAGGGGTTATGGGGGGTTTTATAGTTGGTTGGGGTTGGTTGGGTATATATGATGGTTTACTTGGAAGTATACGGATGGCGGTACAATGGAAGGGGCTTTTGAAAGACGTAGTGAATATGTGACACAATGGAGAAGGGAATTAAGCAGGAAGTCAGTAGTAGTTGGTCAATATAAGAATGGGTGGAGAAGGTGATTCGTTGAGTGTCGGGAACTTCCTTCTCAAGAGATGTCTTATATGATTGCATGACAAAGAAAGGGGATGATTTCAAGTGAATAACTGCAGATGCATGCTCAAGCCATTCTGATGCATTCTACAAAGACAGAAAATTTATTTCAGGGTTGATTTAATGCAAGCTTGAATAATTGGAATTTTATAGTATGATTAAATTCTTAATTGGTTTATTCTTTTAGATAATATGCCAGTGATCTCACAGGTGTCTGTCTGATAGTTGAGGTTTAAAATATGGAACTAGTGGTAAAGAATGTTTATTGTCATCTAAATGGTCCAATTTCTCACAAAGAAGCAAGAGATCAAGAATCATACCTAAGCAAGTAATATTGCAAGTTACTGCACCTCTTACAGATCAGAAATCTACGTTCTAGCGGCAGGGCTTAAGCCCAGTAAAATATAATGAAACAAAAAATCTCATTCAACCAAAACTGCACAGAATAAGACCAAGAAAACAGTAAAGCAGTTGACACCAAAACACCTTTCTCTTCGCGGACACTCAAGCGCTTTGATGCCACAGTAAGCTGTCGGATACAATATCCGACTCCACTCTGTCCGCTTTATCATTGCTGACAATGGCCCAAATGCCTGTCCCCTTGGCGATATTTGACAAAATTAAAGGCTCACAGAACCGTCGTCAGTGCCTCAATTAGAGTCAAGATAGTCCTGGATTACATCCTCAATTGCGCTCTCATCATCGTTACCCTCTTCCAAGTCACCCTCTTCAAAGACGCCCTCTTCATACCCACTCTCCAGCTCGAGCTCGAGGTCATCGACATCGAACTCCGACTCGGAATCAGACTCCGTGGATCCCACCAGATCAGGCACCCTGCACTCGCACTGGCTCTCACACTCCTCATCAGAGGTATTGTCAGCGTCGCTCTCAGCCATAATGACATCCCCGTCCTCGTCTTCCTCACCTTCATCATCGGACTCGTACTCAGACGGCACCGGCGACGACCACCTAGGTCTCAGCTGCGCCCTGGACTTCGGCTCACCGTCCGACTCATCGGCAGTCTCCTCGTCACCGTCATATTCACTCTGAGACTGACAATCAGCCGGAGCGCCGTGCGCCTTGCGCTCCTCTGTCAGAACATGTAGCATATTCTCAATCTCCTCGCTCAGCCGGTCTTCGATCTCGTTGGACCGGTTCTGTAGATCGACGTGCTGGTCGATGGTAAGGGACATCACTAGGATGCGTCGTTGGTTGTCGATGCTCCGTGGGTCTTCGTAGTAGACTGTGTAGTCGCCTGTTTCGAGTCGTTTGAGTGCGTCGTAGTACAGTTCCTCGATGCCTTCGATCTTGGGGACGTGGATCCATACCCAGACGTCGTAGACATCTGGGCAGGAGATATCGGAATCGGAGTTCATGGTTTTTGAGCTTTGGTGGTTGGTGGTTGGTGGTTAATGATGATGGGGGTTCGTGGGAGCTTGTTTCTTCACGTTCACGTTCACGTTCACGTTTGAGATGATCAGTGCAGTATGAACGAGAAGATGGTTAAGCAAGGATGGAGAGTCATGGATTACTGGTGGTACAAAGATATATATACTAGGTCGTTTGCTCTCATTGATCTTGGGTGGTCGTCTAGTGGAACCTTCCTGAGTAAAAGTAGATGCCTGCCAACAATTAATATGTTTGAGCGGAAGTTGCAAAGTATTGTTGAACTTAAAAGAATACAAATGACATTGTTCATTAGAATCGCAGTAAAGTACTAGCTTTTAGGATTTTACCGTTATATGATGGCATTTTTAAGCCAATCAGTCATGATTGCAGCTGGTAGTAGGAAAATTGCTGTGTTGAACAATGGTTTAATTCGTGTTCAGCAAGGCTTTCCAAGAAATTTGAGAGAGATATTCCTGCCAGATGATTCAGTAGATCTAGTAGTCTGAACGAAAGTGTTTAAAAATGTTCGACATTATTTGTTGACAAAATGATACGCTGAGAATCTTTCTGAGGGATTAATTGTGTTGGACACGACCAACGGGTCTATATGTATAAGCATGTTCCTCATATTACCGCTAGACCAAAAGCCTCAGCTGGGCTACTGGGTAGTCCTTGCAATATCTGATATGTCAACAATATGTGATGTTGAACATAAAACATATTATGAGAACTGACCAGAACCGGTTTGGTCTAGTTAGCAAGACATGACTTTTAACACTAGAAGCCGCGATAACGGATAACAGCAGCACCATGGTTCCTGTGTCCTTAAAGTTATTGTAAGTGAGGATCAAAAGATTATCAATATACTATTAATTATAGCAAAAGAAGTGGTGTAAAACAGTTGAATAACCTCCTGATTAGGACAGAACAGGTATGACTAGAACTCTTTCCGGAGTATTGCTGTGTTGAACACGACCAAAGGGCTATACTAGAAGCTATGACAAGAGCAGCACGATGATTCCTACGTCCTTGAAATCTTCGTACATGAGGGCTACAAAATGAAAAAATTATTAACATACTATGAATTATAGCAAAACAAGTGTAAAAAAGCCGAGAAACTTACTGGTTAACAGAACAGGTAACTAGAACCTGCAAACATCTACTAGAAAAAATGTCAGTCAGACAAACATTTCATTTCATGTTTCAAGTCATAGAAGAAAAGCCTTGCATTTTATACCTTCCCACCTCCTGTTCCAACATAGAACAACACGGCACCTAAAGAATCCATAAGCAAGAAAGCCACAGCAAGCAAAGAAAACAATACCACCACTCACACATTGCCATCAACCCCATCCTCAACCTCCTCAACCTCCTCAACATCCGACCAATCGTCCGGATCCCCCATCCAAGGGATCTCACAAAACAGCGGAAACCCGCCCGACGCCGGACGCTCCGCTCCAACAACAGAATCGCCTCCCCCGGGGTGCTGGGCCTCGACGATGCGCGCGATCTTCTGGTTCCGGAGCATGCGGGCGCGGAGAACCTTCACGACCATATCGTGGTGCTTGGGCTCTAGGATGTCAGAGCTGATGTCGACGCGGAACAGGTCGGATCTCTTGGGCAGGGGGCTTTTTGTGCGGCTGAGCTGTCTCCAGATGGTGTAGTGGCCCTGCTCCAGCGCGGTGATGACACTGCCCATCCATTCGCTGTCGAAGAACTCGCTGTCGGAGGTGAGGCGGATGAGGCAGAAGTAGGAGGTGTTGGTTCTGTGGTTCATTTTGGGATGGTATATATAAGGGTTTGTGAGTTAGTGATGTGTGGTGTGAAGGGGTGGTGAGGTTGGGAGGTTGTGATTGTGGGATATGAGATTGTTATATACTAGTAGCTTCTGGGGGTTTGGAATCGGGGAATTCCAGTATAGTCTATTGTTTTGAGGAAATTTGGTGCATGGCTTTGTTTTAAGGACTCCGCAGTTGAAAGAATTGGGCGGATATACTGGTGATACGCAGTCGAGAGGACTTGAGACAATGGCATTACACTATAGAATAGAGTTTTCCTGAAAAGTCAGCTCACCGGAAAGTTAGTAGAACAGTAATATTAAATTAGACAGTACAAAATCAAAGTCAATCGTTATATCATGCTCATTGGTTGTCAGCCAGGTCTTGGGATATATTCAGTCCTCAATTCTTTTTCGATCTATGGGGTTGTCCTTTCTCTTACCCTTCATTTTTCTCACGCACATCCGCCATATGTCTGGTCGATTCTACTCTCAATCCTCTCCAATCGCTCCTGTTCGACCTTAGCAGTGGAACGTTCCCAGCCAGCAATCTCCTGGTAAGGTCGAATTTTCAACAGTTTCTCAATGTGGTTTTTGAGTGACTTTGACAACAGAGAAGCCTGTGTGCAACACTCTCGATCACTACCTTCAAGCGCTAATATAGCGTAATCTAGCGTTGCATAGTACGTTCCAAAATCATCGTTCTTCAAAGCCTGATTCGCAACCACAGTGGATGCAAATGTGAATACCAGGGCCGGAAATGTCCAAGAGAGTTGACTCGTGCCAACTATGAGGACCTTGCTGTCTTCAAGCAACCTCGACGCTGCTTCGTATGCACAAGCAAAGCACTTTTTGATATAGCGCGCCGCATAACACCAGTAGTAGCTGGCGCTAATCACGGCAAGAGATGAAATATGGCTATCTTGATCAGTTACCATACTCCATGTTTCGTGGAGCTTTTGCAGCACGCCGATTTTGTCCACAAATTGCTTGTCGAAGTATTTGAAATAGACACAAATCATGTGCAATGTGACCCCATTCTTGTCCGAGTATGGATTGAGATCGGCCATAGTCCTGATGGCCTTAAAGTATCCGATACGAAGGGTGTCCTTGAAGTCATCCTCATGAGTATTTCTCAGAGCTTGAACGGTGACCAGCAGGGGATGATCCTCTCGCGACTTTTGTTGGTGTTCCAAGAAGCCCTGTTCAAGCGTCGATAATAGCTTCGAAAGCCCCTCTAACTCTGGACAATGCCGATCAATAACGCGCAGAAACAAGCAAACTCGCCAGAACTTCACCATGAAGTATGGATCGCCATGTCGACAGATCTCGGTTAATCGATTCAAAGTTTCCTGCAAGGTGGCTTCCGCCATATCCTTTTTGTTGGACCGCACGAGCCTGGAGATAGCAAAGCAATTATCCGAAATCAACTGCCATAGGGGGCCTTGACTCTCTATTCCGCTTGGTGGTATGAAGTCAATTAGGTCCGCTGACCATCCACGAGGACTTCTTCTGTCGAAGATGCCATGTAAGAATCTATCAATGCTGTAAAGTAGTCGTTCTTGATGTATGTATCTGCGAAGAGGTGGCATGTTGGGAATTGAAGGACGAAACATAGAGATCACGTCGACTTTGATGAGATCTCTTAATGTGTTAGCCAATTTGTGTTTGTGCAAAGCCCGACAGCCCCTTGTCCTTTTCTTCTTCTCTTGACTTCCATCCTTTTTCAACCTCCTCTTCAAACTTGATTCACTACTCAAATATCAATATTAGTCACTGCTCAGGAGCACACAGAAGGAATGGTTGGCGCCACTCACGAGGTATCACAATAATACAATGCGTAAAGTATTTCCATCGTAAAATCTAATTTCCAAGCTTCCCCAGCGGTTATCTCTTTGAAAATGCCTTCAACGTCTTTCAATTTGGTGGGCCTGGGTCTGCGATTTCTTCTCTTTGCCGGGTTCGAGCGGCATCTGCGTCGTCTGTAAAACATTCTAGACCGACGGCGTCTCTTGCGTATGGAGTAGGGCCGCCCATGAGTGGAGAGAAGCTGGGCCTCCACAGCGGATGTATGGTATTTGTTCGTTCCGTGTGTAGAGGAGGACTGGTATGATATTGACAGCTGTCCACTTAAGCTTGTTTGGGGGGTACCCTGAAAGGGATTCGGTGCCACAACGTCGAGCCGAGGCACGTTTTGAATCGGATAATAGCCTGTGCTCTGCGGCTCAAAGAGTGCCGTCGCAATGGAAGGGTCAAGCGTTTCTTGAAAACACAAGTCAGGCGAATAATACATTGGAAAATCCATAATGTTCAGCATAGAAAATAGTCGACAGATGATGGAACCTGCAAAGGGGAGAAGAGGAGGAAGATGGACTAGTCACCACCTATTGTAGAAAGTATTTGGGGAGCGTTGGCCTTCAGCCTCTAAGGTGTTTCAATTGTCTAGCCACAATTCCGAGCTACGTGGTTGTGAGTTAGAGGCCGCATCTACCATGAGCCAGCCAGAGCGAAGATAGGGCACCAGATATCTGTCGTCCAAATGGCGCGGGGTAGTGCTAATTCATAGTCGTCTCGATTCGATGGGTCCAGGTACTTCCATGATTGTTTGCCAGCCTGCCAAGAGGGCCAGGAGTCGCTTTGATTGGGTTGGATTTGGCGCTAAAATGTGAACCTTTAGTGTTTCGCCCAATTAGGATGAAGCTTGTTGCTACACGCCGGCTCGTACGGCATCATTATACTACCATCTTCCTAGAGATAAGGCGAGATTTCATGGCTCCGGCCAACAGCATCTGGAGACCTCGTTTGGTCCTTGGGCATCTCCCAGGCGCATTCAGGTCTTCTGATGTCCGGACTGGAATGCATTGGCCTTTCATTGCCCCATCAAGTGACGACGCTGCTCTCTGGCGTAGACCAGACCGTCATCTTTGGAGAAGGCCTGTTCGCAAAGGCTCGACATGAAAAGGGATAAATACCGCCACCTGGACCCTTCATCTTCGTCCTTCTTTTCTATCCCAGAGCACAGGACGAAGAGAATCAAGCAATCGGGATATTCCCAGTGTCTTATCCTCTTGATATTTTTAGGTGCGCTTTCATTGCACTACAGCTCATTCTTTTCATTTCTCATTATTGTACCTCATTATTTTGCCCTAGGTCCTAGTATATACGCTAGAGAAAGACACAAAATGGCCTCGAATGCAGGACATGAAAGCGAAGCCCCGTCCTTTGTGGGAGAAGGAATCGTCGCACTCAGTGACGAGGACGAGAAAGTGGAGAGTGAAACCAGTGAAGATGAGGTTGAATATGGTAAGGTCGGCGAAGGCTCAGCGCAGGGTGATGAAAAGAGCAAGCGTTCGGCGTGGAGGGTCTATACATACGAGACTCTGAGAAGTCTCGTTACCGAAGCCAAAGGTGCTGCTTCCAGGCCAGTTCTCAGGTTCATCAGAAGGCAGTGAGTTATCTTCTCTCAGTCAATTCTAGGCAACTTCTATCGGGCATTAATACTGACTGCTGTTACTAGCCTCGCCGGTACAAAACTCATACTTGTTTCCGGCGTAGCAGGTGCTGGGAAGACGACCATACTCCAAGAGCTTTCAGGACTGGACCTCAATGTCGGACACTCTCTGAGATCAGGTAAGACAACGCCAGCGTAACTCTATCGCATACTGAGTCTTTCAACAGGAACCTTGCAGTATTACGTCTGCCCCGCTCTAATTGACAATGAGCAGTACCTGTTTGTCGACACTGCAGGCTTTGGGGCTTCCGATGTGAAGGATATACCAAACATGAGAGACATTGTTAGCTGTCTCAGCACTCTGGGCCCATTCGTCCGTGTTGCGGGTTTTATCTATGTCTATGGAAAGATGAACCCTCGCTTGACTGAAGAAGATGCTAAGATTATGCAGTGGGTGCAATGTTTCTGCGGCCCGCAATTCTACAAGAACATCACCATTGTCACTACACAATGGGACTCCTGGAGCAAGAAAAGCTTCAAGGAAGCCTGGAAAAGAGGAAAACAACTTGAACGTGAAACCGAAATTGCGCGAATTCTCAATCCTCCCTACAGACTCCATGGGGGATTTCTCTATCACCATGGAGTTCTTAACGATGACGTTTCAGCAATTGATGTTGACCGGCACGTTCTTGACAACGAGGACCAACTCCTTGAGCGAGAGGCACAAATCAAACGTCTTATTACGGATCGATATGGGGCATGCGAGACACCTAAACTTCAAATCTTGAGCGAGCTGGCCGAAGGAAAATCCGTGGAGGAGACTGAGGCTGCCAAAGTCCTTATTGCGGCGCCAGGAACGACTGACATTAAAACTATCAACGACCGCAACATTGTTTGCGGCCGGCCAGACGATTCTGACACCGGTTCAAACCCATTGGCGATCCCCAAGCTGTTACCTCCCCCTGGTGGTAGAAAACCGCAAAACGAAAAGAAGGGATGGTTTGACTCGGTCTTCGACTGGTTAGACGTGGCAAAGCATATCGCCTTGTTCTTCATGAAGGCAAGACAGACCCCTACGTCACCAAAGCCCGAGAAAAGAAAAGCTTCCACGTGGTCTTTTCTGGACTCCGTCAAAAATTGGTGGAGTGGTGCACCGCCAGAAAACGACTGAAGATCTTTGATGGCCATGCTCTTACGGGAGACCGATGTTCAAGCTGCGTTGTCTTAGTTACCTTTTCGGCATATGGCATGATTTTTGTTCTCTTTCTTTCTTGATTGCTTTTGATCTTTTTACCTTGATTCTCTGTTAGACTTTCCATTGCTTTGTGTTGCTGGCTACCTACAAATTGTCACATTTATAGCCACAAATATAGTCCCAGTTACTGCTTACTCACTTATGGATGCAATAATTGACATAGCTTTGTTCGCGTTCCAGATAACCTCCTATTATCGTTTCCATCATAAATTGCATTTACTAAGTCTCGTCCAGAGACCAAGAAGCCAGCCATTAGATGTCAGTGGAGATGCATGCGTGACAATGACTGCGCCTCCAGGATGACTGTGCATGTTTAATTCGGCTATATGTCCTAAATCCAGTAGAGATATAATATTCGGCACGGCTACTTGATATTTGCCGGGAAATACCTCGTCTCTTTCCCTGTTTTTTATCTTGTCTGTGCTGTTTAAGTGGTTTCGTGGGCTTGAGAGAATGGCATATAGATCGAGATTGTTCATTTAAATGCTCAGAGGTCGACACCAAATACTATGTTCTCTACTTTCGTTCTTTCTATCCAACCGAGATGCCTACTCACAACACCACCAACCAACATCCCATACCTCCCACCCCCTAATAAGTATACCTAAATCCTCTATCCTGCTTCTCCGTCAAATCCGCATCCACATCCAACCCAGCCCCAGCACCAACACCGTCCTCTCCCTCCCCCGCCCTCGCCCCCCTCTCCCTCCGCGCATTACTCCACCTCGCCGTCGCATAGAACACCCCCAACGAGACCCCCAGCAGCCCCAAACTCACCACACTCGTCACACACCCCTTGAAGTACCGCGGCGCATCGGCGGCTGTCCACAGCTGCGGCGACACAATACACCCGACGCAGTACATTACGAAAAAGATGGCCCCGACGACGGACTTCTTCGTGTTGCCGCGCACGTTGGACGCCATGAGGCCGACGGCGTTGCTGAGCGCCGGCGAGTTGCACGACGCGAACCACGTGCTCACCACGATGCCCCAGTTGCTGGACGCCGGGAGGGCGAGCAGAAGCAGACTCCCGAGCATGGGCATCGCCGCGAGGAAGATCCCCGTGAAGCACCGCGTGTTGGGCCAGTGGAGCGGGACCAGCGCGCCGACCCAGCAGAGGATGAACGCTACTGCGCCGGTGGGCAGCCCGACCAGCATTGTTTCGAAGGCGCTGAAGCCGAAGCCTTCGATGACGAGGGAGGAGAACTAGAGGATATTGCGCATTGCGTGTTAGAGCGGGATGGATGGAGGATAAGGGAGGGGAGGGGAGGGTACTTTGAGAATGGCCGTTGGCAAGGTGATGAACAGCGCCATCAGGGCGTACATCAGCGTGCGGATATCCGTGACGGCTTCCTTGGCCTGGGCCCAGTTGAAGCTGGTCTGGTCGCGGGTGGCGCGGTCCAGGGCCAGACGCTCGGTGGCGATCTGGCGTTCGCGATCGTTCAGGAACCAGGCGGTGGTGCTGTCGCGAGGCATGAGGAAGGTAAAGAGCAGGCCGCCGAGAACGGTCAGGCCGCCGCAGATGAGAAACATCACTCGCCAGGTCTGGATGGACAGGTCGGCGCTGCTGACGCCGTACATCATGAGGGCGCCGACGATCTGGGCGACGCCGAACATGGAGACCCATGTTCTGGATGGTTAGTTGGGGTTATAGAGATGGGTGAGGGTGTACTAACGCAACTCGAACAGGGTGTTCCCTTTGACAGTACCAGTTGCTCGTGATGATCACGAAGGAGGGAGATACGGCGCCTTCGAAGAATCCGAGAAGAAACCTGACCGCAGCCAGACTTTTGAAGTCTTGCGTGGCGGCAAGACACATCTCGGCGGCGCCCCAGAGGATCCTGATCCTCTTAGACTGGGTCAACACACGAGGGATTGACCTACACTGTGACTCCCACAAACGATGTAATCCGCACCCTACTCATCAGATACGCCGCGGGATACTGCGAGAACAGCTGGCCGAAGTAGAAGAGCGAGACGGCCCATGAGAAATCCGCACCGCTGAGCCCAAGATCCTTTTTTAAGCCAAAGACAGCGGCGTAATTGATACTTTGCTTATCGAGGTCTGAGTTAAATTCATCAGCACGGCATGAGCAACTCGTAGAAAGGACACACTGACATTGGAAGAAATAAACAAAAGCCATAAGCGGTAGAATCACTCGATCCAGTTTCCTGACCACCTTCTTCTCCTCAACGGGGTCAATCACGTAGGTGGGAGGGACACGTTTGTCCTTGATGTTCTCCTCTAGCTCGACCCCGGGCTTATCATTCGAGGCCATTTTGACGGTAGTGAGGAAGGTCGATTACTTCAGAGGGTCTGACACTTCAGGATATCAAGGAGAGGCAGTACTTGGATAAACGAAAGAAACCCTGCTTTTATACCCAATATCCAATCGCACTGACAGTAGTCAATCATTTCCCCGCTTCATATCTCCACAAAGACAGGACACCAGCCCCCGCATGGAGGAGTCGAAGCGAGACTGGGGTAGTGGATCTGGGGTAGTTCTAATAGCCTACTTGGTTGTCACGGCTATTCACAGTTTATTTCAAGGAAAGCTTACCCCAAAGCAGTAACGCGGTTGGTTTATAGATACGGCCGTTTCCTGCACTTATGTTGGGACATTAACGTAAAGCGGACTGCTAGCATGCTTCGAAAGTCTTCTCAGTCCATCAGAGACGAGGAATTGGGAGAGAGCAGATAGGGGGCATTGGAGTATCCTTGTACCATGAGCAGGAAAGATAACATCTACCCTATCAGTCAGGAAATGCGTTTCAAAGTGATTGCGGTTTTCAACAATCAGCCAGGAAAGCTCACTAATAGCAAGGCGTCACCCTTCTTACCATAAATAGGCCATGCCTATCGATTAATACATCAGAAAAGACAGCCAACGGAGTACAGCGATATACATCACTCGATGCTCGGGAACATACAACAAATTCGTATTCGTATCATTAGATCCCAAGATGTCATCTCGGCTACCATGCAATTTAGTGGTACTCTAATACTTAATACCCGATCTGGCTGGCACGTTTCATAATCTCAGGCCTTCATAAGTCAGGAACTCGGGAACTTGAAATGCTTGATCGATAATTAGCTGACACGCATAAGCCTGAAAGACAAGTCCCGGACAGTTGCTTGGATATGGCTAACTTGTCAACATAGGATTCATTATCCAATGAGCTCTCAGGTTTTAGAAAGATGAACCGAGCATTGCTTCCTTCAGGCTACAAGTAGAGCTTCTCTTCTGGAGAGACCACAGTGCTTCAGGGATATCTCTAGAAGGCGACAGAATAGCGGAATGATCAGTACACTTCATGTAAGACATACTCCCACAATCTAGTACACATTCACAATCATTAGAGCCACCTTGAAAAATACCAGTGCCCGAGAAAGACGACGTAGAAACCGAGATGAGATACAAGCGAGTAATAACTCCGTAGACGTAGATATAGACACCTGAGGCCACACAGACAGGCAGCCCACCGCCCAATCAGAAACCAGCAGGCGGTGAGTCACTTCCGCACCACACAACAACTCCTATATTTTCTTTCCCTCTCCAATCTCCTTCCTTTTCCTTTTCTCTTCTTCTCTCTAAGCACCATCCCAACCAATGCTGCGTTTCTTTGCTACACACGACAAGTCGACGGTGCCCTGCGCCGTCCTTGTCCCTTGCCTCTGACCCGATTTGTTCGGGTCAGAGCAAGGTCCCGCAAATGAGAAATTCGGAGGAATCTTCACTACTCGCACCCGTCTTGTTTCCTTTTTCCCTTGGGTAAAAGGACGAGACCGGTACTGCCCGCAAGGGCCCGATGCGAGTCTCGCATCTGCAATTGGCATCAGAAACATCGGGGCGGTAAAAAACCCCATGGGAGAGTCGTTGCGAAGATTGTGTGCCCCCTGCTCCTTGCTTGCTTGCGGGCGAGCGAGCGGGGCGTGACACTTTAGTGCAATACGCAGCATACCGAGCCCCTTTTCTTCTCGGAGGAGAGGGGGTGGTATCATTCGATTCCGATTATTCTGGTTGGGGTGGTGCTTCGCTCTTTTTTTAAGGTCAGTCTGTCTGTTCCGGTTGCTCTCTTGGGGTGCTGGGAAGAGCTTCTTTTTGTGTGTGTCCCTGGCTAATTTAGTGAGGGGCTTGGTGTACGAGAGTGCACGGGTCTGGTGTAGGGATCGAGGGTCTGGATGGTTGGTTGGTTAGGAATTTTTATGGATGGTGCTGGATGTCATCAAACTGGGCTTGTCTTGATATTAGAAACATAAATCTCAAGAGAATTGCTTGAGCTCCTTGCCAATTACTTGAATTACTTGAATAAATTACCCAAAAAAGTAGGAAAGTTGATCGCTTGATATCTAACTTGGATATTATATGTAGGCTTTGGCATCGTATGGTGCGCAACATTCAAGGGATATTTTGAACAAAAATGTGAACAAGAAAAACGAAAAAGAAATCGTGGCCTCCTTATGCTCCCCACTTCATCATCATAATTTATTTGTTTTTTTCTTATTTTTTTCTTCCGCTTACTCCTCATCACCGATCTGGACCAAAAATTAGCACCGCTGATTGTAACGAAACGAGACGAGGGTAAGATACGCACCTTAGGAGCAAGGTAGAATCGCAAGTGACCGCTTCCAAGACCGTATTCCACGAGCAGAGGCACCTCCTGAGACAAGCAGAGAGACACCGTGCCGGACAGGTTGGTAGCCTTGCAGAAGTTGACAAGGTACTTGAGGGAGAAGGTAAGGGCAACGGGTTCGCTGAGGGCAATGGAAACGTTCTGGTCGGGCTTGTCGACGTTGGTGTGCTGGCGGATGGTAACGGAGCCACTGCCAATGTCACCCTGGCAGGAGAACTTGACACCCTCCTTGGTGGCCTCGATGACAACTGGAAAAGTCAGAAATGGCCCGAAAGGAACCCCAATAATTATAACAAATACATACCGGACTCAGACAGAGCGTGCAGATCTCTGCAGATGCGCTGGAATTCCGCCGAGGGCATCTCAACCGTAGCGGCGTACTCCGTCTCGGGAATGGCCAGGTGCTCCTGGTCAATGTCCATCAACTTGATATCGTACTCGCTTAGCCGGTCGGTCTCGGCGCTCTCGAACATGAGGTTGACGGCGTCGGGCGAGTCGTCCGCCTTCAGGGTCAGGATATCCTCGTTCTGGGCGGCCCGCAGAACCTTGGTCAGGGACACCAGGTTGATACCGAGGGCAATGTTGCGGTCGCAGCGGTAGGGAGAGAAACCCTCGGCCTTCAGGAGCATGGAGACCAGGGCAACGTGGGAGTTGTCCATGGCCTGGAGGGCGATTCCGGAGTCATTGCAGTCGAAGTTGCAGTCCTGGACAAGGTCTTTGATGGCATCGACGACCTGCAATCGAGATAAAGTCAGTTTGCGGGTTTGAAAGAGATTATAGAGCATTGGGTTCACGTACCTTCTTCAGGAGCGAGGCTTGTTCTAGGCGAGCTTCCAACACTGGTGAATGGGTCAAAATGCAGTTCTCTGGCGGTCATGACTTTTGAAATACTCACTCTTGATGTGATAGGTTGTTGCGGTGGGAATGTGAAGAGAAAAAGGGGAATTGGAGGGATATGGAGGGACAGGCAGCTATTAGGTTGAGAGGAGTAGGGTTGGGAGCAGTGAAAGAAGGATGGCGATGACGGGGTTAAACGAAGAGAAATGAAATCGCGTCGCCTGCGGCGGTGGGGAAACGCGCTCGCGTGTCCCGCGTCTGGCCTGAGGCTGATATGACCGTTTGGGGTTAGACTGTGGCCTCAGGCAGCCACATGACTGGTCGCGTCTTCGAGTTCTTCGAGTACGGATAGTTCTGATTATTGAGAAAAAGGTCGATCCAAGATCAATTTAGATTTCACGTAGTTAAATACACGGCTATCTCCAACAATGCACCAGGTTGATGGCGGAACTGTCCATATTAACACCATGCCCTCAATGATACAGAAGGAACTGAGAAGAATACAAAAAGAAGTACAAGACAACGAAGGACTGTCGCGACAAAAGAGAATATACACTCTGCATGCTATACTGCAGGAACGAAGGAATACACGTGAGACCAAAGATAGGTAACCAAGAAGACTCAGGCAGAAAAGTTAGCAAATAAACAAGAAGAAAACGCCGCTGACACCAGGCCAATCTATGCACATTGGGTATCAACCCTGCATACGTGTTGACAACACGGCTGCAGTTCTGTTCAATATAGACAAGAATACTCGAAGAAGCGTCCCTAGAGGGACGCAGGGAGGGAAAGGGTGAGAACGAAGGAGCGGGGCAGGATCTGAGAATTAAATACTCGTGACCCGTTTTGAGGCGAGGGATGTCTTAGGTCGCTGCTTGATGACCATCTCGAGCTCCTTTAACATATGGGTGTTTGCGTCCACACGGTCTCTGGCGGCCGCCTGTTTGGCTCGGTCTTCTTTGACCCGGGCGATGCGCTCCTCTCGCGTCATGGACATCCGTTTGCTGGCACGGGCCGGAAGAGCCACAGCTTCAAAGATCTCCTCGTCATCGGTGTTTTGGATGAGACTCGAGTCCGGTCGTTCGCCATTCAGGGCCTTGAGTGCGTCAGTCGGGCTACCTTCCACCGCTGTAGCCCCGCCTAGGCTAGGCGTCGGAGACATGGGCATGGGTGACAGTCCGCTCGGTGGTCGCGAAAGACGGTCTATGCTCGACTGTTTGGCCATGTTGTTCGCGAGAGCCGATTTCCCAGCCTCCCATTCCTGAAGAATGCTTTTGATGTCCGTTCCTATCGATTCGTATTGCGATAGCAGGGTCGGTTCGATGTCACCAGTGTCCGCACGCTCAAGATTGGCGCTGGAAAGTTCCCGAATGATGTGCATTTTGGCATGGAGCGCACGGATTCCTTGTGAGAGCGAGTTGAGCTTTCGGTATTGAGCACGGAGACCTTCCTTGTTCGGAGAAGCCGTGGGCAGAGGGGAAGGAGGAATAGCTTCACCTGCAGAAAGTTGATTAGATGTGAGGCCTGCGATGAGGGTGGCTGAATGAATACTCACGGTCGTCTTCGTTAAGAATGTTGCTCATTTTGCGGACATTGTGCCCAGTAAGTTCAGACAAGTCGCGCATTTGCTCAACGGCAGTGCTCCATCTTGCGATATCCGATCCGCCGCCGTCGGCGCCGAGAGCCAAAAGACAGCAAAGAATGCTCTTCCTGACGATATACAACCTTCCGAACAGAGTACGCAGAGCGCGCAGAGAATATTGATCATCGGTTGTGCGCTCATTCAAGGTCGATTCGGCTTCGATAAGCTCCTCTTCGGTGATGTCGTAGATGTCGTAGTATTTGGCCAAATTCGCGTCATCCGTGAGCGGTTGCAAAATGCGCTGCGCCCGAATGTACCGACCCAACATGGAAAAGAAGCTCTCGGAGACGGTCCGACGCAATCTCAGGCAACGTCGCGTTTGGGCCTGATCTTCAAGACGACTGATAGGAGGCATGGGTGTACTTCTACGTTAAAATTAGCATTTGTTTCTAAACATAACGTTTCCCGACCAGGAGTAGTGTGAACCCACATCCGGTAACCTCTTGAGACCAGCTCAACTTCCTGAATGAACACAACCGATGCAGACGCGGCGGAATCGAATCCCTGAGCGTTACTGATGAAAGACGCGGCCGCTTCCACGGCTTGATGCCGCAAGTATTTGAGCCATTGTCGTTTGGCAAAAGCGTAGAAGAAGACTCCAATCACCGGGACGAGGATTAGGAGAACGCCGACTTTGCGAGGATTGATGCCGGTTCCGGTGCGAGATCGACTCCAATGTAATAACCAAGCGATCGAGAATGAAGTCGAGGCGGTGACAACCGCCCCTTGTAGTCCGAACGTCGTGGAAAGCGAGGGAAGATCTGCGGGCTGCGAGGTGGACAGAACGTCGGCGGCTGATGTATAGGAAGGGGCGCTGTGCTCATTCAACAACTGGGATGCAACGATAACGTAGCCGAACTGTTCCAGAAACCGTTCATTGTCGCTCCGGGCGATTCGCGCGTTCAAAGCGGACTGTGATCGAGAAACGGAGTCGTCAGCCTACTTCTAATGACAGTCACGAGGAATCAACGGGACAATACCGTGCAAGTGTCGTAAATCTTCCCCAGGGCCGCTTTCTGGTGCGATACCTTCAAGTCCAGGGGCTTGGGGAGTTTATTTCGAATCCGGCTCTGGAACTTCGACGTTCCTCGCGGGGCGAAGTCTGCTGCGGTCGAATCGGAGACATCGTCGGAGTTCTCGGATTCCTGAACAGGCCAGTTCGGGTCGTGTTCGCCTTCCCCTGAAGGTACATGGTCAGCAGTTGGTTTGGCGACGGGAGCTTTTTGCCACCCACCCTGAAGGTACTCTGCCAGCGGCGAATCTTCATAGACGAGAGATTCCATGACCAGGGCACATTCCGTAACGCTCGTGAATAGGGAGGGGTTGGAGGGGAGCGATAAGGTCGGTCAAGCAGGAAAGTCGATCGACGGATCGGTCGGGATCAGGTCGTTCGTGGAACGAGGCAGTGGTGAAAGGAAGGTGGTGGAGATCAATTATCGAAAACCATCTCCGCCGGATCCCACAAGCTGGAAAAGACGAGGGAAGGAGCAATTGCGTTCGGATCGGGGGTTGGCGCAGGCCGGTCAGCGCGGTAATTCGGAGCAATCAGCAGAGAGAGCGACTGCACAAAAGAGACGGGCTGAAACTCGGGTGCATGGATTTGGAGCATTCACGTAGGGAGACAAAAGGGATTCCCCCTGGGCGATAGGATGGAAATTGCGGCGGACAAAAATAGCCAGGAGGGCCACGTTGAAGATCCGGTCGTTCAAGCGTCTGGGGAAAGGAGTTTCTCAGGGCAAATCACGAGGATCTCCCAGGCTGCCAGGCACCACTCCGAGGCTCCACTTGTCTTTAGTCTCGAACTACGCTGCGAGTTAGTCAAAGACGCTTGGTCACTGCCTCTCTCCTGTCATTTCCAGTGCGAAAGAATGAAAGAAAATCAAATCCAAGACGGCAAGACTCCCTTGGCCACATCCAACCCAACTAATATATCTCGCTGCCTAGATCGGCGTCGCCACGCATGATCGAGTCCGATGACGATGGACGAACACCTCCTCGCAGGGCAGACCGAGGTCCCAGAAACGCTAAATTATCCAAAAAACTTGCTCCGATAAATAAGAATCCTTCGTTCCCATCCGGTCATTGCTCCGGAGGCACCAGCCTGTTTCATGTTGACGCGGAGGAACTGGCAGGCATAACCCGGCCGACTGAGGATTCCGGACACAACTGGACCGTTTTTAATGTCGCACAGAGTGGGATCATTGCAATCTATCGCCGGCCATGATCCGAGCGTTAAATTGGCTCCTGCTCGACAATGCACGGAGGACGGATGGCAAACCGCCGGATGCACGATGCAATTTCCTGACTGCGCTATCCTTGTTTCTGAAATTTGGTCTGCAGTCATCGTACGAGCAAATTAACTCATAATCGCGGAGTACGCTTGAGCAATTCGCGATTGAATTGAGTCGCCAGGATCGGTGGATGTCTGTCTTCATCCACACTTTCAAAGATAGATGGCACATGATTCTCATGGTTCCGACCTCATCTACAATTCGAGTCTAAAAGAAGGCAGCCGCTAATCAGAGCATGCAAATGCGACCGAATATTCTGACCATCTGCAACGAGATTTCGAGCACCGACGGCCTTATGCCCTGCATATCGAAGAGATCAATTTCTCAGCGGGATCTACTGACATCTGGTTCTGCATATAATTGTTGCCCTGCTTGGTTTATCGCTTCCATGGTAAGCGTTCTCCCCGTCTACTTTGTTTATATCCGGCCAGGTGGTTCTATAGTCATCATTCCAAGGGATATTATCCCCCGTTCTTTCGCTTTCGGTTTTCCTTTCCTTTTCCCCTTCTCCGATGTTCTCTTGTCCCTGAAAAATAAAAAATGCAGCCGATTTGTAATATTCTCGCAGTAAATCGTTCTTTCCCACCCTCTTTTCCGTACTAACAATAAATCTTGTGCATATATAATTAGTGAGTATACTGACTATCTTACGGACTCATTTTCATACTAATTCTGTTTCCCCGTAGACTCGGCCGACCTTGCGTCTCCTGCTGTCTAGAGCCTCTGCATCTAAGCGGGGCTGGTGAAGATCGCAGCTTAGACTCGCACGAAGGCCGGTTTCTGCCCCAAACCGCCAATTTCGAAATTTTCCCTCGTGTGGCTACAAAATTTGGACTTTTTCAAGCTTGGCGAAATCTAGGGCTACCGATGAATCCGATCACGTTCATTTCTCTAGCAGTGTCCTTGCTACTAGGCCTACAGCTATGGGGATGGCTGTCCCCACGCCGATCGAAATTGCCGCTGCCACCAGGCCCGAGCTTTGTGTCAGGGCCGATGCCCGTTAATGACATCGCCAGGACGTTTCAAATATGGTCGCGAAAGTTTGGGCCGATTGTACATTTCAAACTGGGGGGCCAGAACTTCATCGTGCTAGGCACTCGCCGGGCGGCTCAAGATCTCCTCGAGCGGAGAGCGAGCATATACAGCTCGCGTCCGCCGTCCAAGTTCCTGGACAATTACCTACACAAAGGACTCGCGTCTGCGTTCATGCCCTACGGCCCCCAGTGGAAGCTTCATCGGCGGCTGTCATCAAACCTACTCAGTGCGAAGGCATCGAACGCATACCAATACCTGCAGGATGTCAAAAGCAAACAGCTGCTGCATGGGTTCTTGTCATCCAATGACTTTTCGGAAGCTTTCCTGCGGTACACATCAGATGTCATGTTTACCCTCGTTTACGGGAAAGGAAGAGGTAGCGACGATGACGATCACAAACGGCTGCACCAGATCAACGAGATGGCTGTTTTTGTTCTCCAGAAGGCTTCGTACGGCATGCTACTGCTCGACCTTTTCCCTTACCTTGATTGGCTTCCCAAGTTCCTCCTGACATGGCGGGATAAGGCGCATGAGCTGCATGAGAAGACGAAGGACGTGTACACCGAATGCTCCAACATTGCGCTCCAGGGCGACTGCTGGAACTGGAGCCACGAGGCTCGGCAGAGGAGTGAAGCCAGAGAGCTGCCCTGGGACGTGGTGTGCTACTCACTCGGTGAGCTCTACGTGGCCGGCATCCACACCACCAAGATGGTCTTGGAAATCATGGTCATGGTCTGCATTCTGCAACCGGACGTGATGAAGAAGGCACAGAAAGAACTCGACTCGGTCGTCGGCGCAGATAGGATCCCATCATTTAGCGACATCGAAAGCTTGCCGTACATTCGCGCGCTGGTCTCGGAGCTTCTGCGCTGGCGACCCATATCTGCCATCGGAGTTCCTCACGCTGTCACCCAGGACGACGAGTACATGGGCTACTTCATCCCCGCAGGATCCACGATCATTGCCAATCAGTTGGGGATGAACGAGGATGAAGCGATCTTTGACAATCCGCGAAGCTTTAACCCGGATCGATATCTTGAGAACCCGGATCTTCCGGTTTCCGCGTTTGGGTTTGGCCGACGACTATGTCCAGGACATCATTTGGCACGGAATAGTTTGCATCTTGTCACTGCACGCTTGCTGTGGGCATATGACATCTCCCCGGTCGATGGCAAGATTGGTGACCCCTTGAACCCCGCCTCTTTCAAAGCCAACTTCCACGCTCGAGCCCCTGGACAGGAGAAAGTAATCGAAAATGAGAGCGCCGTGGCTGACCGGGACGAAAAGGCCATAATGGAGAAGATCAAAGACAAAATCCGGGGCGTGGATTCATAGTCAGGGATGCTACCGGTGGATATTTTAGTGATACTGATGTTGAACGATACATGAGCAAGCTGAATAGTATAATATGGAGCAAGGGTGAATACACGTCCGTTAACGTTGACTATGAGCCAGTCTCGACTGCTCTAAGAGTGTGCCTGAGGCGGGGCCGTTGCGCGGGCAACCAAACGTCAACATCGCGTCTCCATACCTCCCCGGCTCCAGTCCTCCCCCTAACCCACTTGTATTTTAGCGACATTCTTCCTCGTCATCGCAGATCAACAATTTTAAAATTACGACTCAGTCTTCGCCTCATAAGCTTTATCTACCGCGCTATCCCGCTCATCACCGCTCCTCGCCCCCCGCATTGTCCCTAGCTCCTAGCTACCCATCCCTCGATTCAAACGATCTAGACTCCCTGTCCTCGGAAAACCACGGCAAGCTAGCATGCTCATTTAAGGAGCTTCATATCCTGGACGAACCACAGCTGAAGTCATCCTGCATGGTTTTGCTCAGCTCCATCATTATCACCCTCCACCACCATGTCCGGTCTTCTTGAAGACGTGCCAACCCCATGCCCCTCTAGGCTGGGGGCCTCTCGAGTCGACCGCAGCAGCGCGGGAAGCGACTCGATCCGAAGCATGTGGGAAGATAGTTTAGACTCCTGCGAAGACACTGCAAACATCGAATTCACGACCGAAATCCAAGCCTCCATCCTAACCGGTGCCAAACCCCGACGACGAACCAAGACCAACTCCTCCTCCACCTTTTCTATCCACGACGAAAGCGAAGAGAATCACGCTCCCGCGGCCAACAAGCGACGGAGGGACAATGGAACAATCGCTGCGCCTTCGAATCGAAAGTCCTCGTTGCTGGCTCAGCCGGCTCAGCGGTTCCGACCTAAAGTTAGCCTCCCGGCTGCTTCGCCCGCAAAGCCGATGCGATCGCAAGGAGAATTCGGGAGGACTCAGACGCGAAAGTTTGACGTGGATAAGAACAAGGAGCTCTTGATGCAGATCAATGGGAATCCACAGGAGACACGCACCGATATGGTGAAGGACGTCCATCGTGATGCGGTGTATGTTCCTCCGAACGAACCCACGGCGGCTAGTGTCTTTATGGGCTTGTTTAGCCCGATCAAGTCGGACTATTTGGACCGTCAATCTGAGACTACGAAACATCCGAATATTGCTAGAAAACGACATACGAAACCGTCCCTCGCGTCGTCCGCGCACCGAGCTCCATTGCAGCCCAGCGCAAAGATCAGCCAAGAGTCTCGCATTCATATAGACGTTGTTGGGAAGAATGGTGGAAAAGAGAATATTCCCCCGGGTACAATTCTGGTCGACGGCAAGGAAAAGAAGTTTCCGTCCGCAAAGTTCGGAGAGACTCATGACAACGCCTCGAAACCACATAAACGAGCAGCGAACAATGAGATGCGTGCTCCCACGAGGCCAGCGGTCAGGCCATTAGCTGCTAAATCGGCCAATGGGTCTCTCCAGAGAGCGATGAACAACGTCAAAACATCTTCGGCCAAGGCCGGTTTGAAAGATATCGTCAAGCCAAAGATGAACACGGCGAGACGGCCACTGGCAGCGTCGACAGGATCGACCCTTTCCAGCTCTCTGAAGCAATCCAAAGGTTCTATCGCTGGCTCTAGGACTACAGCTGCCAGAACTACAGCTGCCCGAGCTAACGCAAAGAAGCTGGATTGCGAGTACCCGCTAATTCAAGAGGAAATCAAAAACCCAGCATTGTACGAGGATAATTGGCTTTCGCATCAAGAGATAGTAATCACGCAGTTGGTCAACGGGCTTTTCGAATCCACGGAGAGCTCAACTTTCAGCGACCCTGGCGCTCAACGGCATAGCCTCCTAGCGCTATACCAAGATCCCTCATTTGCACAGCTTTACAAGCGTGTCCAGGCATCTTTGCTGTACGGTGCATTGAGCATTCCAAGGGATGTTCTTGCGCGAACCACCCGACTCAAGCGAGACCTGGGAATGAAGAGGAAGTTTCTCGATTTCTGGCTAAACACGTATGATCTTGGAATCCTGAGAGCTGGATTGGAAACAATCACAGGCAGAAGAATTGCCAACTCGAAAATGATGCAGGAGAGCACTGCCGGCTCCGAAGATTCCAGCCTGAAGCGCAAGATGGAAAAATTCTTGGATACATTTCTGCTTCAGAACCAGGACATGGATCGAGACTCGAAAGAGCCAGATTCTAAACTCCTCAGCAAGGCATACCACCGAACTGTTTTCCGCAGTATCATGCTCATCATCCTTCTGGATAAAGCGGCGACAGAATCAGGTGCAAAACTTCCTCGTCTGTTTCTTTCTACGTCGCCACACAAATCGTCCGCTGCGGTCCTCCAGGCCTTAGCCCGGTTTCTGCTGCCGTCGTCTGGGGATGTCGTTAAAGCACTGAACCACCTGGACTGCCATCTTACCTATGAGCAGCATCCGCTCCAAGAATACGAGTACAGAATCAGCAACCTTGCCGTTGACCTGAGGGACGGCGTTAGACTAACGAGGATCGTGGAGTTGCTCCTCTTTCCTTCAGCGGCGCGCGAGCATCCGTGGCCCCTTTCTCAAAACTTGAAGTTCCCCTGCTTGAGCCGTGCAGTCAAGGGATTCAATGTTGAAGTTGCTTTGAACGCTATAGCTTCTTCAAGAAGCTCGCGCGGGCTACTGAGCAATGTACGGGCGGAGGACATCGTCAACGGACATCGTGAGAAGACCATCTCGCTTCTTTGGGGACTGGTTAGCAAATGGGGTCTCGTCGAGCTCATCAATTGGAATGACTTGAGCGATGAGATTCATCGGCTGAAGCTGAAAGCCAGTCAGCAATTTGGACACCAGAGCTTAACACAGGATTGGTTCCAAGAATTCGATGCGACAGATGAGAGCGATGGACATGTTCTCCTGCTCAAGCAATGGGCGTCTATTCTGGCGCATCTGAAGGGTCTACACTTGGACAATCTCAGCACCAGTTTTGGCGACGGCAAAATCTACGAAAGCATCGTGGACGAGTATGAAGAGTACATACTTCACGCAGATCCAGAACCCCTGACCAGCGGAAACCCACTATCCTTACAATCCCGTCTCCGAACATTGGGATGCAGTGCACATTTCGGTGAGTTGTGACATGAAAGAAAAGAAATTGCGATTCCGGACCGACCCACTGACTGCTACAGCGAACCTCATCCACCCCAGCACATCCAAACATCACATCCTAGACAGCGACTTCACCATCGGCGCTCTTGCCTTCCTCTGCTCTCGCCTTCTCTCGGCCAGCAAACGCGCCCGCGCCGCGACGGTGCTCCAGCAGCGATGGCGAGGCATTCTTGCGCATCGCGATCTTCAGCGCCGGATCGTCGCGCGAGATGTGGCCCGGCAATGCGCCGCCGTGGTACAGACCAGGGAGCGAGTCATTTGGGCCACTTCAGTCATTGTGCAATGGTGGAGAAACATGAAGGCGAAACCGCAGCGTCGAAACGGACGGACGTCCACTTTTTCCAGTCGACGTGGCCAGCAGCGGCGGTGATCGTCCGTCCGGCATCGGATTGGGTGGTTACGAGGCGACGAATTGTTTGTCTACAGATTCCGGAGTTTAAGTCTTATGGTTTTGCTACTGGGGCGTTGGGCATTATCGGATAGGATAATTGGCCTCGGTGTTTGTCTTTGTCGGTCTTCATTTTTCTTTTTTCTTTGTCACTTGTTTTACATTAAACATCAACATAATCCAAAGTTCAATAGAGTCCGCGTCCACGGAACCGCCCTGAGTGGAAACAGTAGCTAGTTGTCCGTTTCAAACATGAAACACCCTCCCTCTTTCTTTGCTTTCCTGCGCATCACTTCCCTTTGTTTCGCTGCATCATACATCATACATGAATACGGAGTAGGTAGGTCGTTGCGTGGTGCCAGTTGTACCTAGTTCCGGAGTCCCTAGGTAGGTAGGTAGGTAGCTCAGGCACCTGGACAAATCGCATCTCTGTATTTTCTATCCCGGCGCCCATCCCCGGAAAAAGCAACGCAAAGTCAAAAGTCATCTGGATTTCTTGCCCTTCGTCATCTTGCGCAAGCTCCGGGGAGGATCTCGCAAGGAGCGCGATTACCGGCTTGTATCTTCCGACTTGTCTACCTTAGCTTACCTTGCTTCCAGGTTGGTACGTACAGCGTGGTAGGTAGGTAGGTGAATCGAAATCGAAATCGAAATCGAAATCTATATCCCCGCAGCCTATGTACGCACGTACATGTACTTTGTAGCGGTCCACGCAATGGGTTCCACGGCCTGCGAATGAATATTCCGGCCGAGCCTGGGACCGAAGATGAGTGGAAGAAGCAATATGTTTCTTTCTCAGATGTGTTCGGGAGATGTCAGGGATGGGGGTTTCTTCTGCCTAGTTACTACAAACTTAGTTATTTACCAGATGCTAACCTAACCTTATGTTGGAAGGCCGGATGAACGGAACGGAATATATTTAGATATCGTTGATACCTATTCTCTTCTATTCTATTCTGGGCACTGCTTAACCTCTCCGACCCTAGCAGTTACTTAGTAACAGTAACTAGCTAGCCCGGAGTATATCCCTGAATCCATCAACGCAATCACAGCTAAGGTACTGAGTCACACATACATAAAACCAACATGACACATAGGTACCCGTCTATAGTTAGTTACAGGTGCTGTTAGTCACAGCCAAGCTCAGGATAGAATATACACCTTCCTCACAGCATCCATAAGTCATAACTATAGTAGTAACAGTATACGTTAGTAATTCAAACCTGAGACCCAGCCTAGCCCTACCTCAACCTCGAAGGATCAAGTCCGAGAAAGAACCGGAGCGAAAACGAACAAATGAGCACGATCATCGTCAGGCTGAGTGAGTGAGGCGGCTGGCGAGTCTGACGTCATGGCATGCTGTTTGCTCTGTTTGAGTGGGCTATGCTGGCGGCCAATCTGTACGGGTTGAGAGGCAGGCAAGTTCTATCTATAGCGATGATATAACCATATCCGCGGTCATTACGCTGTGGTTATTATAATTAATATCGATAATAATGGAAATCGTAGAGGCTGGGGGACTCTAATTACCTGGGTACCTGATGACATCAACCGCCCCGTGCTGTACAACACACCAAATAAATTACCTAATTGAGATAGTCACCACTTGTTCTGTAAGTCAGGGAGGTAGTAACTAGAGGAAAACACGAGAAAGAAAATAACCCTATTCTATCTGTATCATGACGTTTCCCTCCTCTCCCTCTCGAGTAACATGACTCCAGGACGACTATCCACCGAGCTCAACAGATGGACTGAGCGAACAAAACAAACCAGAAAAGAAGATCCCCCACGATGACCACCAGCTACTCAAAAGTATACGTAGTCCGTCGCCCTAGCAAGAACAAACAAGACAAAACCAGCCAGAGAGGAGGGTATACTCCGACCCACTAAGCCCATAACCTCCACGCTATAGGGCCAGGATCGGGTCATCGGGACGGATCGATAACCACTTCTTTTGGGGGATGATAGATGCGGATGTGTTCATGGGGGCGCTATCATCGAACATATTATATCATAACACTGCGGGGAAGTCTCATGGGAAGAATGGAGATAAAACCGCGCAGATGTTCATGTGTTGCCAGGGTGCATGGCTAGTGAGGTTGATATCCGGCGGTATGGCTTGTTATTAGTTGATGGGGGGGTGGTGGTTCCCGGATAAAGTATGCCTATGCCTGGGGACCCGTATATGCGAGTGCGTGCATCCATCCATCGAAACCTGAAGGGAAGGTGAAGATCATGTGCTGGTCTCTTTCCTGGTCCTTGGGTTTGCCTCTCGGTCTTTGGGGGTTTCTCGGGATTCCGGATGAGGAAGGGTCAGCGAGTTTACATAATTATTGATGTTTATTTGGTTATTAACTTATTAACGGTTATTTTATCGTCGTGGGATGGGTTTTCTCTTGGAAGATAGTTGATTGGGGGATTTTTCTCGAATCAGATTTCTCGGTGGTGTGGTTTTATATAATTTGGCAGCCTGGCGGTTAATTGGCATTTACTGGTTGACCACAACCACGATTAGTATTAGTAAAGCCGGAAATAGGGAAGTTTCAATAGGACGAAAAAACCGGTCGCGAGGGAAAATTTTGATCTTTGCTCGGAGGCGTTGCCTCCGCTTTTGCCTCTGCTTTCGACGAAGGCGACTACGCAGGACTCGCCTTAGCTGTCCGGATTGACTTCCACGGAGTTTCTAGAGCGGCGCCGTTTCCATCAGAAAATCGATTTACCTCATCGATCTCTCTTATCTCTGCCCAGTGGGCGTCCCTCATACTGTGGGATCCTGGAATATGCCGGCCCTCCCACTGCCACTCCACTGCCACTCGCAGAGGACATTGATCGCCAAGAGCTGTAGATGCACTCACCGAGCAGATGATCGACGATGATCGGCCACTATCAGGGAAGAGGGCGCATCCGTCCAGTCCGGAGTCGAATGCCCATTCTCTGGCGGGACGTAGGCTGGGCTGGACTCGACTCAGAGGAAAAAGCCAAAGAAGGAAGGGAGAGAGACAGGAATTTCACGAGCGACCTTGGCGGACTTGGCAGGCAGGCAGGCAGAGCAACGCGGCCATCCGACCGTCGCGCAAGAGTAGCATCTGGGCAAAAGGCAAAAGGCAAGGAGACGGTCGGAAACCGGGCAAACTCGCTCCCCCGGCGTCTTCTGAGCGTCACAGGCGCCAGTCTTGGCAAACACTCAATTCTCGCCCGGATCATTTTTGGCGCGGCCTCTTTTTGAGCATCGTTGAGCAGCGCCTTTCTTGGCGGGATTCCCTCGTCGTACGGCGCCGAAGGGAGGTCACTCCCTTCGGTGGTCATGGAGGACGTTGCCAAGCGCTGCTGTGGAATGGGCGAGTCGGGCTGCTCTCCTCCTGATGTTGAGAGGAAGCAAGGGGAGGGCCAAGAGGGCTATCCCATTCTCACCCCGATCGATGATGCATGGACTATCGACATATTGGACGGATCTTGGCGGATCTTGGCGGGGATTCTTGGCTGTCTTGTTAGCGTCAAGGGGGTTCAAAATGGTCTGGCCGCCGATAGAAATATTCAGGAGAATCTGCCGTGTTTCCCCAGGGGGTCTTGGACGATGACGATCACCGGTGATGTGTGACTTGAGCCGGGAGACAGGTTTAGAAAAAATGATGCTATTCACGATCAGTCAATAGTCAATAGTCCTCCATCCACCACAGTCCATAGTCTTCCATAGTCATCCATGCCATCCCTCCATTATTGGCCCTTCGGCTTGGCGCTGCTCAGACATGCTACCGTCGGTTTGACACTGACAGGTATGGTAGGATTCTGGTGCAAATCGGGCCGAATCAAGGGGCGTGTTCTGGAAAGGCAGAATATGTGCGCCCCTCACGAGTTCTGGCCAACGCAAGGGAGAGCCTCCATGTGCCATTGACTTGGTTCCACCATCTTCATACACTCCCTTACCTCTGCTGTACTGCGTATTCGCATTACCGCGTCCGTAACGACGCGAGGCAATACCGACCGTTGCGGACTCGTGGGATTCGCCGTGTTTGAGATCCTGCATCTGATACTGGCCCCCCCGGTATAGTAGCACGACGAGGGGGAGGGGGAGGGGAAGAGGGAATTGAATTGAGATGCTCGCCACTTGAGCAGCCGAACAAGCCCACGGCAACCACCAAAAGGCACGGTGCAGCTGTCAGGACGGACCGCGCATTTAACCGCAGTCAGGCTAGTGGGTAGATGGCTCGGTCGTGTCGGTCTCCTTTCCAGGTAGTCACTTAGCGCCGACCGCAGACTCCCATGCGATTTGACAATGGCACTCATCCAGACGAAGGTTCCAACACCCAAGACTCCGGAATGCAGCTGTCAAGCGGCAGGAGAAACGAGGCCTCAGGCTTACCGCATTAGGGCCGACGTGCAGGCCGCGAGTGACCCCGTGCTGCGCGTGTCATTGGGATGTCGAGAGAGCAGGTTAGTCTGGATTAAATGCCTCATACTGGCTTTGCTCGGCCTTGATTGGCGTCAGATTCATCCGAGCGGCTGACTAAGGTAGCCTCTTCATTATTCACGACGACCGAAGTTATTCATTCCTATTATACGATCTCTGCTGGTATTCCGACTCATTTTGCTCACGCCCCGACGAGCAATCATCTTCTGACTCTGACCCCCGCAGGCTTTATCCGGTGCTCCGCATCGTGACAATTCACCCTTCCTCTCCACCGGTGGATGCTGGATGGCTTGATGCAGAAAGAACGCGGCCGGGGGAGGTTCCCCCAAGGTGTTGGCAACTTCCTGTCTGCCGAACCCGTCCTTTTCTCCATCGGGTCGCCCGGTGACTGGTGGGATGACCACGATGCTGCAAGCCCAGGCGAGCTGCGACGGAGCATAAGCGGTGCCGGCAGCGTCCACGAGTCTTTTGCCCCCATGCTGCTGCCGCTACCGTCTCCCCCTGTATCCAGCACCGATGACCGTGTAGCAATCAAGGTAGAACAATGAGACTGAGACTCATGGGTCGGAGGTTTTTTCCACCCGCCAGACCGTGCGTGTATAGGACATGGGGGAGAGGGAGGGGGGCAAGGATCGGAGCCTAGAGCGAACAACTGGAGATCACTCCGTCAATCCTATTCCTGTCTTCTCCATGGGTGGTCCGTGTGCGAGAACGGCACAAATCGATCTACCTCGTAGGGTCAATCTGTCGGTCTGACTCTGGCAGTTGCTGAACTTGTCTGCCGGTCATGTCATTGACGGTCACGTCGCGGACGCCGAACAGTGCTCCGTCCAGAGGGAAGGGAAGAGAATCCTTCGAGTTTAGCCCCGCGAAAGGCAGACCCGAGAAGACCGTGTTAACCTCAAACGGGAAACCGGAGACGTAGTTCGTATTGTTTGGGTTATTTTGGTTATTTTTTTTTCTCATCCAAGGCGACTAGTGGTCTTTCTCGCAGGATCGAACATCTCCGTATGACTGGCGGACGTTCAATCGATCCTGATTGCTGGGATGCAGGAGAAAAACCACCACCAGAGAACGCAGGACCGACCAATGGAAATGAAAGTCGCGCCCCCATCGAGACCAAAGGCGAAGTTTAGGCGACGTGCGAGTGGGGGGATCCCTGAGTCGCAGGAAGCTTGACCAAGACGCAAGCCGCCCGTCTTTGGTTCTCCAACCTCCGGTCTCCGCTTTCTCTCGCTCTGGCGCTGACCGCTTCTCTGCCGTCGGGCATGGCTTTCGGCGGTCGTCACCCTTCAATTTCCCTTAGCTGATGGCTTGAGAAACTCGAGAAGAAGGCGAGACTGACCGCGGAGTCTGCAGTCCGAGAACTACGAAGATCGCATCCCGCTGCGTTGGGTTGTGATTCCAAAATTAAAGCACGAAGGCAGAACGAGCTTGGCGCAGTTTCCCGTCGGGATGGCGCATGTACGATGAAATCCAAAGGGACGAGAGAGAAGAACCCCAACACTGCCTCGTCTGATCATCTGCCTGCCGTGCTTCGCCTTTCTAGTCACGACTGCCTAAATCTAATTTTTGATATAAACTTGTCAACGCAGGGACTCGCGATTTTTCCAACTCATCATCCTTCGGACGATCGCCGGTGGACCCAACACGCCCTTCTGACCTGACTTCTCAGGACTCACCGCGTTCTCAGAAGTGACGGGACGTCGTTTCGGACAGGCACCGCCATCTGGTCAGAGAGCGATGACAGCATGGAATGAATCGGCACTTTTCGCTTTCAGATCAGATCGCCCCCGGGGGGGTTATTTCGGGCAGTGGATGTGGCTTCGACGGATCTTCACGTCCATGTTGTACAGCCAAGATCACACTATGATGCCGAGTCTGTAGTTTGCAATAGTCATGGGCAAGTGAATCTCGCCGACCACTTCACTGCCTTCAACTGCCCAGACTGCGGTCGCACGACAATATTGAATCGACACGCCAGATCATGGAGTCTTGGTATATGACTCCATCCTGCGATAGCGTCATGGCGAGGAGCGATCGGCAGCAATCCGTGGATGGTTTGATTTGTGGCAGCGTCGTAGGAACAGCAACCAGGTGTACGATGCTCCAGCCAGTCCACCGTTCAGTTGATCGCAACGCAAGGGGTTCCGTCCGAGAACTTTGGAGCCTTCGTTGAGGATTCGATTGCAGCTTCCATCCTGTCCCTCGTTGCCCGTATCGAGTCGGTATTCTGGAACATAGGCACCTGTCCATACCTTGATTATTCTCCCTACACCTCAGCGATGTCGTATTCGATGTCAACTACCGGCGAGTGTAACTTACGTCAGGAGGCCCAGACGCCCGCCTCGCCGAATCAGGGACGTGGAAATGAAGGCTTCGATACCAAGCATCGGATTGGAACACTATTCAGCTCTGCCCTCCACTCTCGTAGACGGGAAAAGGGGGCCCCTAAAGTTGGACCTACTCCGTATCTCTCAAATCTAAATCATGAGCATGAAGCGAGCAGAGCGCCCGGTAGCTTGAATCAGTTTACGGCTCCTAGTGGACTCCATCGTGATGCTCGTTACTCGTTCCTAGGCTAGTGTCTGGCCGCATTGGGACTAGCGACGGGGAGAATTGGAGAGCGTCTGCTAATTCTAATTCAGCTAATTCTGCTAAGGTACGTAAGAATCGAATGGTGCTGCCATTACGGGGCTGATGGACGGTTCTCTAGCACTGGACGGAGTAGTATAGAGTATAGTACGTGGTCTACTAATTACCATGTAGATTAAGGTACTCTGTAAGACGAGGTGCCAGAACCAAAATGGTTACCTTCGTGAAGCAGCTAATTAGCGTGTAACCGACTAACGGTAAGAACCAAAATACCCCAACAAATGAAACGAGGCTTCGGCATGGTTTGCCGTCCTTCGAGGTCACGTTCGAACGAAAATTACGCCCGTCCTCGTGGGGGTTGTTTCTCGCCGGTCGGCCGCTCCTCCCTGCCTCTGACGTCCGGACGTGCCACAGCGTCGGCCTCTGCGTCGAATCTTCGCCGGGGGGAGATTTGGTAGCACCTGAGCATCGAATGGAGGATATTCAGCATGTCGCGACTGCATTCAGATCGAGGGACAGAACCCTCTTGAACGATTCCCCATGTTCGATAAATGAGCCTGAGTAATCCACGGCTCCAACGGCACCGTAGCCTTAGGGCACCGGGCACCTTCATTCGTACGAGATTCCACCCGGATTACTCATCCAGGGCCGCCGCTCGTTACCGCAGTTCAGCGGCGTCTACAAAATGCCTCATAGTGAGCTCGAGACTCGGTACTCGCTGTACCGGTGGGTGAAACCAGCCCGTCATCATCCTGGCCGGTCGTTTCTCTTGGGACGGAAACAAGGCGACTTGGGTTGGCTTCTCGGGATTCCAACTGCAGAGTGAATTTCTTTGTGTGCCTCGGAACATTTTATTCTTCTGCCTCCTTGTTTCTATTTTGAACGGGCAGAACTCCTGGCTTCCTGGTCGGTGGTAACTGGTAAGAAAGTGAAAGTAACGATACGAACGACGTCACGTACGGTAGCCGCAGGAACCGAAGCCTGCATCGGTTTGGCGAGAAAAACGATGCGGTGGGTCCGGGCTTGGCGGGGCTGGTTGGACCGAGCGTCTCCTAGTCCGGCTGCAGAAGAAAAGAAGCCCAAGAGAAGATCAGAAAAACTGTAAATTTAAAATTTTTAATGATTAATTTTTTTATTTTTCATTTTTTTTTTTGCTCACCCCCTTCCCTCGCTGCCCTGTCGTTGACAGTGTGGCAACCACTCCTGAACAAGTGACCAGTGACCACACCGGTGGTCAGGTTTCCTCTTCCAATCCCGCCAACTCCCCCAAACCAGCCCAAACCTGGCGCTGCTCTCCCGCGCCCCATCGCAGTTGATTTTACCCTGCATGGATTTTTCTTTTTTCTTTTTCCTTTTTTCTTTTTTCCCTCTCTTTTTTTTTTTCTCTCACACCTTAGCCCTCCCACCTCCTCTTCCCTCTCTTACAGCGTACTTACTATACCGCCGCTCAAAAACCACCACCATTTAATAATTATTATTCTTTTTCCCTTTTTCCCTTTTTTTTTTTTTTTTTTTTTTTTTTTTAATTACAGTTTCCCTGCTCCCCTCCCCTTCTTACTTCTTTTTTTATTCTCCGATACTCACTTTTTGAACATTCTTCTCTCTTGCTTTTGCTCTCGCTCTTCGTCTGAATCCCACCCAGCATTGCCAACGCATTGCCTCTTGAAGCCTCTCTCGACGCGTCTTCTTCTGGCGCTCTTTGAGCTGCCATTCTTTGAAGAAGGCGTAAACCCCAACTCTTGGCGGCATACTTGACGCTCTCGTCCTCCCCCTGCTTTTTCTACCCTCCTCACATACCTCCCGCTATGTGTTGTATATCATGACAATCTTCGTCCTTCACGGGACACCCTTTTCTTCCGCCCCTCTGGGTCGATCCGGTTGTACTTGATCGATGTTGAGAGAGAGCATCTTCTTATTTGATCCTTGATCGATGAGATTTTATTCTTCGTGTTGTATAATTCCTCGTTGACCGACCTTCGATCCTAAATTCTCACCGTCCGCCACTTGACACCCTTCGAGTCATACTACTTCGACCTTTTCTCTCTTCACTTTACCTATAACTTTGAACCCCTACCTCTTCTTTTCTTAGTTTCAATCCCCTCTCACTTGATCCCTGTCAAGTGATTAATCTCATTGTGAAGGGATGGCTCACTTGCGTGGTGGTGACCGACCATTTGCCTCCATACACAACCTTCTGAAGATGCTACTCTCGCCCCACCAGTCCAACAAGCCTGTCCAGCAGGACGCCGACATGGCTGAGGACGTCGACGAACCCCCCGATCATCGGTTCCTGAACACCTCTTCGAGTCACGTTGACGAGGATGTCGTCCGCGTCAAGACCACCGTGACCGAGCGGCAGGAATCCCTGCTCACTCGTGCCCTCAAAACCAGCCCCGTCCTGAGCCCCTCCGAACAAGAACCGTCGTCCCACGAACACACCTTCTACCGCTCCTACCACTACACCAACATCAGTGGCATCTCGACGGCCGAATTGACCAGCGACGGAGGCCTCACCAGCCCGTCTTTGTCCAACACCTCGAGTCCCCCACTTCCCTCCCGACTGAACGACAAGCCCGCCCCCGTCACCGACAACAAGGAGAAGAAGACCGGACAACAAGCAGGCGAATCGGCGGTGGAGGCGAACCTGGGCCGCAAGAGATGCATTAGCTTCGCTTGCGGACGCAAAGCCGAGGAGCAGAAGGTACAACCTCCCACCCCGCAGCGACCCGCCGCGAAGAACCCGGAAACCAACCCTACCCCTACTTCGACCGAGCCTGTCAAGCGCAAGACGGTGCTCACCTTCGTCTGCCCGGCCCGGGATCCGGAGACTCGCCGTGAACGTTCTCCTGCTCGTGCGGCTGCTCTGAAGCCCCGCCCCCGTGGATCTCCCGCCCCCGTCGCCCGCAAAGCTTCCCCTGAGAACAAGACGCCATTGAAGATCGTCATCCCCGAGCACCAGGAGCAGCAGCCCTCGTCCGACCGCAGAGGCGTCCCGACCAGCGGACTGGGCAAGTTCGAGGAGTCCGAGGCAACTCGCTTCCACGAATTTGCCAGCTCAGTCGAGGAGGATGACGAATGGGTCACCAAGTCCGCCGACTACAAAGAGAAGATCACCCTGAACGACTGCATGAAGAAGGAGAACGCCATCCGGAAGCTCGGAGAGGAAGCCGAGGAGGAGGCCCTAGACGACGAGGAAGAGGATGATGATGACGACGATGAGGATGAGGATGACGATGATGAAGACGATGATGGCGATTCTACCATTCACGATATCTCGTCAGATGATGGAAATGAATCCGACAACGAGGCTGGTTTCGCCGACTCAGATGAGAGCGATGGCTCGGAATACGAATTCTGGGCTCCCGCTACGACAACCGCCGCCACTAGCCCTCAGACGCTCGACCTCCCTCGTCCCACCTTCCCTCGTCGGGACTCAAACACGTCCTTTGACTCGTTGAACGACGATAACAAGCACCGGAGGTGGCCTCCGGCTCTCTCCGAGAAGGGTGGCAGCCGTCCAACCAAGATCCCGAAGATGCGTCCCAGCACTCCTCACCTCCCCGACAGCACCGACTTCGTCTGCGGAACATTCGACGAAGATCGTCCGCTGGAGGCTGCCTACAAGTCCTGCATGGAGCAGCGTCGTCTCTCCAAGCAGATCCTCATCCCTCAAGATATCGACCCCAGCTTCCCGACCTCAGACCCGGAAGAGGAAGATGAGGAGGACGAGGAGGATGACGTCCCGGAGTCGCTCGTCGTCGACGAGGCGCCTCGAGGAAGAGCCGGCCTGGAGCAAGCTCGCAAGCCTTCGCCTCGCGGTTCCCCCAAGCGGATGATTTCGCCCCCGCCGCCTCGCCGCAACGGTCGTGTCTCCCCCCGTCGCCTGCGGTCTCCGCCTCCCCCGATGAAGCTGAAGTCCCCCACCAAGGGCGATCGGTCGCCCGCGGAGGAAGCGCCCAGTCTTCGCCCTCAGGGTCTGAACATCAGCGAGTTGGTGCAGCGGCCACACATGACCCGTACCAAGTCACTGCCTCGGACTCCCAACCCCTTCTTCATGAGTCTCGACAAATCCCACAAGTGGCCCGGCGTTGCTTCCCTGGGAGACTCGTCGGACTGTGATTCACGTACGCGTGAAATCCATACTCGTGGCCCCATCGACATCGTCGAGGGTCTCGAGAAGAAGCGCCAGAAGCGCAAAGAAAAGTTCTGGCGCCAACACTGCCGCAAAGCTGCCAAAGAGCAGATGGAGCGGCGACGACCAGTCCCCGGAAAGGGAGCCGAACGGATGAAGGACCTTGGCCTCGCAGTTGCTGAGAGATGCCGAGCTTATGGCGTTGGAGAAAACGCCCAGCTCGTCCTATCTGTTTAGGTTTCCCCTTTTCTTTCCATTTTTTTTATTCTTTCTATCTTTGGATTGAAACGGGAACTGTGTCTTTCTTGTAAATATTGAATATTGACACCGGTCATTCGCTCCAATGGACAGTCCTGGAGTCGAAAAACGGTGTACAGGCTTTTGCATGTTCATTCGTTATGCACCGGCCTTACATTGCTACTATTGATTTTATTTTACGTGTCCCATGGTCTTTCTCTTTTACTTTTTTTTCTCTGTTCTAGCTTCTCGGATGGCCTCTGTCTGCATTTACGGGGCGATTGCTTTTGTCTTTCTTTCTTCTTTTCTTCGTTATACATATTTGCTACGGAGCATTCTCAGTTGAGTTGTGAGGAGAGGTCGGCTGTCTTTGGAAGGATCTTTTGAGACCATTGCTTGGGTTGTTGTTTTCTTTTCTTGCATGGAGGGTGGTTCAAATGGAGTATACCCCTTTGGTTGTTGAGATGTAGATAGGTTTCCATGACAGGCCTAGAGCCGGTTGAATGAAAAACATTCACTCAAATTGCTTGAAGTCTTTGTAGCGAGAACAGCAATACTCTGTACAACAGGAATACTCTCTAAATGTAAATGACCGCAAACGTGCTGAATAGCCGCCGCTGATCTCCGGCGGTTAGAGTTGCGTGAGGTGGCTTTAGCGCTCGGCTAAGCGTGCAGACAAGCGAAAGTCCAACGTCAACCATGTCGGGCCACCGCAACACTTCTTTCTCCTCGCCTTCTTATCTCCCTTCTTCCCACCGCGCTCCAAACTTGCTCTCGCACGTTCCTCTGCGTTCTGTCAGCGCTCTTCTATTTCCTGAGGTCTGAATTCATCTCTCTTCTCCACCATGTGGATCATCAACTGGTGTAAGTAGTTCCCGTGGCGTTGGTTTCGTCCCCGATCGTCCTCGATCGCTTTTTTTCTCCAGTCGATCGACAGAGCTGTTGTTGGCTGGGCATTTCCTCTCTGTGATGCCTCTTCAATTGATTGCTTTTGGCTCCTGGTCTACTTTGTTCTTGTTCGAGATGATACTGACCCTGTCTCGTCTGATTAGTCTATGACATGCTGGCCTCCCTTGGCCTCCTCAATAAGCATGCCAAGCTTCTCTTCCTCGGTCTGGACAACGCTGGAAAGACTACCCTCCTCCACATGTTGAAGGTGAGCCGTCTCCTGTCTTCTACTGTTTTTGGGTTGTATTGTGAGGGTGCATACCGTGGCGGATTGAGAGTGAATACGCTGTCATTGCCGACCGCAATCTGACTGGGGGTCGGTCAAGTCGGTCAAGGACAGCGAGGGAGGAAGCTGGATCATGGTCACCGCTGGATGCATACGGACAAAAGAAGAGTTTATCGCATATGAGCTTGCACGCTGACGAGAGATTTCTAGAACGACCGAGTTGCGCTGCTTCAGCCCACCGCCCATCCGAGTACGTTTTCCCGTGATACCTACCACCCGACATCAGAGCATAGAATCGGATATGGGATGGAATATGTATAGAGAAGGGACAACTTGGGCTAATGGGACTCGATCTATCTAGCATCGGAAGAACTCGCGATTGGCAACAACCGATTCACGACCTTCGACTTGGGTGGTCACCAGCAGGGTAAGCAGACTTTCTACACCGACATGTTCTCCCCGCTCTAACGCCGAATCAACCAATTAGCCCGTCGTCTGTGGAAGGACTACTTCCCCGAAGTCAGCGGTATCGTCTTCCTCGTCGATGCCAAGGACCACGAGCGATTCCCCGAGTCCAAGGCCGAGCTCGACGCTCTTCTCGCCATGGAGGAGCTCGCCAAGGTGCCCTTCCTCGTGCTGGGTAACAAGATCGACCACCCCGACGCTGTCAGCGAGGACGAACTGCGACACCAGCTCGGTCTGTACCAGACCACGGGCAAGGGCAAGGTTCCTTTGGAGGGTATCCGACCTATCGAGGTGTTCATGTGCAGTGTTGTCATGAGACAGGGTGAGTTATCTATCCGCCTGCTCGGCTTAAGCCTCTCTAACAGATTGATATAGGATACGGCGAGGGTATCAGATGGTTGTCTCAATACGTTTAAATCGTATCTCGATACCTACGTCTCTTTCTTCCGCACTACCCCTACCCCTCCACACCGCATCATAACCTATCATACCCAGCGCAATGCGTCATGTTCAAGCTAGCCTTCATGATAGCCCATGACTTAATTGCTAGCTCACAATCTACCAATCTACCTGTCCATTTACATCACCTACATCTTCCATCTCCAAGTAATGAATGTCTGTATCCGTCACCCATTCATTCTCCTCTCTGTCTATTCGTCTTGTCGTGTCTGCCTATCTGTCCGTTTATCATCGATCTAGCTCGTTTCAATTGAACTTACTACTTTGAACTGTCTCATTTAATTTAGAACTTGATCCTGTCTATTCACGTGCACTCTAGAGAATCAAATGATAAAACTTTTTGGTCTTATTCAATATCAGACCCATCAAGAGACTCCTTACCAAGAACCACAACTACCAGTTCACCTACGCAATACAAACAAACAAATACTCTAGCATAAAACAAATCTTAAATTCAGAATGGAACCACCACATAAACAAGGTAGATAGACAGTTAGAACCAACAACCACGACAAATAAAGTACAGTACAGTACACGTATAGACAATAAACAATGAATCAAAGTAGAAATACATGACCATTCCTATCCCCATCCAACCATCCCATTAAATTCCATCCCCATTATTTCTTTGCCGACGAAGCACAAAAAAAAAAAAAAAAAAAAACAAACACAAACACATATCAAACAGACAACCAACAAGAGTCTAAACCCACCCACAAATAGAATGAACACATGGATGAACAGATAAATAGACATCCATACCCCTATATGGGCTATACCACATCCATCCGTCTATCAATCCACGGATCTATTCTGTGAAAAGACATCCACCTAACACATCCACCGAGACCAGTTCCAGTTCCAATTCCAGTTCCATGTGTATGGAGTATACAATACTGCATACAACAGCAAAGCACAGTGGAATGCAGCTCGAGACAGAACCAAGAGGACACCGAGGCTAAGAAAAGACACGAGTGGGTGTTGATTTGATGGTCGTCTTAATCAGCAGATAAGAAACCAATGCCAGGCACTTTTCTCTGGCCATCCCAATCTAATCAACCAGATCAAATCTCACTCATCGGAAATCTACCTATCTCTATGCGAGTTGAAGGGAGTCCGCGGATAGAAGCAAGGTGGAGGGAGAGAGGATGGCAGAGGAGAGGAGGCGATAGTTTCAAATGACATAGACAATGTCGTTGCTTATTTGGTTGGCATTACACTCACAGGAAGATCTCTCTCAAAAAGGAATCAGGGAAAAGAGAAAAAAAAAGACAAACAGAGAAGTAAACACCAGATGCAGCCCGTCGCTTCCCCTTCCTCTGTCAAATGGATTTGGACAACACGCGGTTGGTTGGAATGAGATGAATTGACGATAGGAGGGAAAAGGAAAAAAAGAAGAATGGAAAATAAACAAGGGGAAAAGAAGAAAAGAATAAGAGGAAAAAGAAAAATGAACACCAATTCCCTACTGACAGTAGAAAAAAAGTAACCTTCCGAAGAGAGAACGTTAGGAAAAACACCTTTCAGCGCAAAAAAAGAGAACTATAACAGTCGGGATTCCTTTGGCTGAAAAAAATTGATTGGTATGCGGGGAGAGTAAATCAAAGATGGGACCGATTCTGCATTTCATGTCGTGTAGGAAAATAGCACAAGGTCGCGGGCGGGTTCTTCGAAAAAGTAAAAATTTTTCTCATGTGTATTTGCGGCTGCCGATTCGTCTAATGCATAAAGCCATCGATGTCGTCGGGGAGGGGGTGGGCGTTTTTCGATCTCTCGTATTATGGCGAAAAGGTGGATTGGATATATGACGTGTTTATCTCCGCCCGAACCTGCTGCACATGGAAAAGCTCGTATGATTCCTTACTTCTTCTTTTGCTTTCGCGGAGGAGTGGTGGGTCGGCCTGAGCTCATGCCCCCGTAAACGTACTTTTGCTTCTTTTCAGCTGGTTTCAAGATCTAAGAGCGAAGTAGGTTAGTCCCCGTGATGATGCAGAAGCATGACGAATTCTGTCGTGATAACATACCTGGAACGAACACAATAGACTCTCGTCTACACTCATCATGGCACCAGCGTTGTCGAATTCTCCGCAGTAGTTGGGTGCACTGAACAGCGTGACTAGTTGCCTCTTCGAGAAAAATTCGTAACCGTCCTCGACGACTTGGTGAGCGCGACATATTAAGTCCATATCGTGTTTCTGTAGGAATCGGGAAACGACGTCGGGGCCGAATGTGAACGACACACCGCGATCGTTCTCGCTCCACCCGGTAATATCCTTGTCGGGATCGGACCAAAGAAGATCACAGAGAAGACCGCAGTCGGGGATCTGGATTGGTTAGCAAGTCAACACCCGAGCTTCTTCAAGCCTCGCGGAAAGCAAAATCAAAAAATTTCCCTCGTCGAAGATGATTTAGGTGCGACCAATGCAACTTGGTCCCTGTGTCCCAAATCCAGAGGGAATGTTGAAAGGGAGTCAACGAAGAACTTACATCGGTGGGACGCATGACCCGACGGATCTGCTCCATCGAGTTCAAATCGGGGCTAAGACCACCGTGCATCGTGAAAATCTTCTCGTCGATGATGGCGGCAATGGGTAGGCAGTTGAAGCAGTCGGTGAACGTTTTCCACAGCTTGATGTTATACCTCCGCTTGCACTCGTCGTAGAAGCCATAGATACGGTTGATAGACGCACACTCGTGGTTTCCACGGAGGACGAAGAAGTTCTCGGGGTATTTGATCTTGTAGGCCAGGAGGAGGCAGATGGTCTCCAGCGACTGCTTGCCACGGTCGACGTAATCTCCGAGGAACAGGTAGTTGGCTTCCGGCGGGAAGCCGCCGTATTCGAATAGGCGGAGTAAATCGTAGTATTGGCCGTGAATATCACCACAAATCTGTCAAGTCCGGAAAGTCGGGTCAGTTGACAAGAACCGATGCCATTGCCTCCTCCCCGGAGTCCCCCGGGATTTCCCCCGGAGAGGAAGGGATTTCAGCATTTACCTTGATGGGCGCCTCCAACTCCAGCAGGATGGGCTGGGAGATAAAGATTTCACGGGCCTTCGTGCAGAGATAGCGAATCTCCGACTCTAACAGTTGAACCTGCTTGCCAGGACGGCTGCCCCTCACCTCCAAAAGTCTATCGATGATCGAGTCCAAATCCACTTCCTGATCGGCCATGATGTATTGGCTCGAACGGTCCAAAACCGAAAATTAGAAAGAAAAAAAGAAAAGGGAAAAGAAAACAAAAAGTTTTAACACAGGCGTCAAGCGACGAAAGGAAAGAGGAACGAAGACGGGCAGCTGGTGAAGCGTTCGAAACAACTGATGACGCGGCGTCTATGGACTGTCATAACAGAAAGATCTAGTCAGCAGAGGACGATTGAAAATTCGAAACGATCCAAAGGGAGAATAAAGAAGGCGGCGGAGAGCGCTAAACACGCGTGATGGATGCGCTCGGAAAATATTTTTCTTTTTTTGTTTTGAGGGAGCGAAGGCAGGCGATAGGGAGAGAGAGAGAAACAGAGAGAGGGGCGGTGCGCTTACCAAACAGAGGGTAAAAGAAAACCGAAATCGAAAGGCGGAGATAGGCCAAATGGCCTTGGAAGATCGAGAGATCTAGACGCTATGCCCGACGACGTGAAGATGAATGGCTTTCTCCCTTGGGTGGTGGAATAGGCGCGTTGGGAAGGACGTGATGCGGCACCGGCGGACAAAAAAAAAACCTCAAAGCGACGTTGGTGTTGCAGACCGGGTCGGGAGGAAAAAATAAGAAGGGGGGCAATATAGGAAGGGAAGAAAAAAAAGAAAATACACTAGGCGACAGGACAACCGCGACGGGATTGACGATAAGAAAAATAGAATCTCCAAGGTCACCGGTTGATGAAAACACCAGAACAGCGACAGAATCTGTAGCGGACGGTTGGTGGCGTGAGGGGGATGTGGAAGGAAGGGAGAGAGAAAAGCGAAAGAACAGAGACTTTGCTTTGGTCGGCAATCAAGGGACTTGCGATCTCTCTCTGTCGCTTCTATTTTTTTTTCCTCCCGGGGAATTTTAGGGTCTCCGGGATTGCGAACAGCGGCACAGGAGCGAGGGAAAGAAAAGTCGAAGGTGAATTGAATCCGAAGGCCAAAGGAGGAGAAAGCGAGCGATCGAACTGGTCAGGGACAAAAAGCGATCGCGAGATAGACCAGGATGGAGCAAACCAGAGGAAGGGAGAAGGGGAGAAGGAGAGAGAGAGAGCGAGAGAGCGACAGAGAGAGAAACGCCGGCCAGTGCGGCCTGAGGCAGCCTCAGGCAGACCGGGCTCGGGCGTGGCGGCTGCGCGTGCTGATTGGTCCCCTCCCGGGCGGGACGTTTAGGTCGTTGATCGATCTATACGATTACGGAGTCTTTAGCTCGCCTGGTTTCAGATCCCAGGCGGTGCTGGTGTATTTATAGTCTGGATAGAACATTGTATTGCAGCATAGAACCTCAGTGAGGTAGTTCCCCTCTCTCCGTGCACCCCTCTATCTTCAGCACTACGCGCGAGGAATTCCGGATCGCCCTGACCCCGTCCCGAGCCAGACCGACGATCTCGGGCGTCTGAGAGCAGCGCCACTGCCTATCGCCGAGTCCATGACACAATTGCTTTACGACCGCTATTCGACCCGTGGTTCCGTCAACTTCGCTGCATTGCACGATCTGCCGGGCTCGTCATGTTCTTCGTGTCTCATGCATTATGGTCCGAAAAAAAAAATGATGATGAATAAAGATAAGAAGAAAAGGAAAAAGAAGCAGATCAAAACAATATACATCTGTCAAAATGAATCAATCAAAGACTCAATCAATGGCTTGCTGATAATCATCAGTCCCTCCCAAATAAATCGTCATTAAAGGCATGAAGGTGAAGAAGAAAAGGCGGCCGAAAAAGATAGCTCAATGAACGCCGCCCGAAAGAACTCGAATCAAGTCGTGAAAGTGGTGAGAGAGGAAGTGGAAAAAGAAAAAACAGATCAATCAAATCATGAAGAAACGCCGCGCAAACACCGGATGAACCCCATTCCCCAAATACAATACATGCGATCTAGAGCAAATCACTCTCTTCAAATAATGCCTCCCATGGTATGGACCAGCCGGATGTCGGTTGGATGCAGACTGTATGATGTATATAGAGCGGGTCGTGCGAAGGAGAAGGGATGGTTTCGTGATCATGACTCAAATGGCTTTCATACATCCGGCCCGCCGTCTCGTAAACTTCATTCATATAACGCCCAGGACAATGCAATCGGTTCGGCAGCACGCTGCCCTTGTGGTCAAACTGGAAAACGCGGGGGTGGATGATGGAGGAGGTGAGGTCGTAGGATAAGAGTCTGAAAAAATCGCAGGATATAATGCAAAAGATACCCCGTCACCACCGGAAAGATGATGACGGCCACGCAGAGCATCTAATCGCTCTCAACTTTTGGTTCCATAGGAATGCAAGTAACATAGGTGGTGTTGTTGTGAATGTCGTCTCTCGTCTTTTTCACTTTGATTTTCTTCTTTTTTTCTGGATGGTTTTTTATTTCGGTTTTCCGAAATCACAGATTGGAGACGACATGTCTACCCGAGAGTGTGGCCTCCCGTAAGGATAGGCTGGGTGCTTGCACGAGTCAGTGCGTCGGCAGGAATGATGGACGAATCACCGAGATCGGCACCCGTGCGAGGCACAGTGAAATCTCGGTGTGGGACTTCCCAAGCGCGGTCTCCCAGCATGGACAGCCAACTGTTGCCCACTTCGTGCTTCAACGCTTCCAACTGCTGCTTGAAGATCTCTCCGTCCGCCTTCCAATCCACACTCTGCAGGGTGCGTTGTAAAGCCAGGGTTTCGTTCAGTTGTACTGCGCGATGGTCATGAGCCAGGTCGATCTTGCCGAGGCTGGAAGTGTCACGGGGCCTGTTCTGGGCTCCACCATCAGATATCCATTGACGGTCGGTGGACGGCGAGATAAACGGATCAACGGGTAATTGAAAATGCTGAACGGAAAGAATAGAAGGCACGACTGCACCTGGGGCCTCATTACCATGGGTAGAAGAAGGATATTCTCCAGGTTGATCGGCAATCCGCCGCCGATAACCCTTCTTGCGCCGACCAGTGGCCACCAACCCCTGCTCGGTGTTGGCGACTGGCGGCAACAGCTCCTCGACTTGCTCGTCGTCGGCCTGGACGACCGGGGTGCTCTGCACGACAGTGTTGTTAGATGGTTTGCTGACGATGGCTGAGTGATCCGCTGCTGTGGACCGTATTACGGGTGCACCTTCGGGCTCGGCAGCGCGGTCGACCAGCTGCTTTCGCTCGGTATACCCCGGACCGGAGCTATCGATGATGATATCTTCCGAGTAGCCGGGGGTGCGACGGAACAGGTTGAAGATCACAGCGCGGTAACCCGAGTGTGTCTTCACGAAGGGATTCCCGGACACCCAGATCTCCCGTATCTCAGGGAGGCTGGTGAGTCTGGCAATCTCGGTCGGATCGGAGAGGTTGTTGTCACGGAGGTCCAACCGTTCCAAGGAAAGCAGCCGCTCGATGCCTGCCAGCGAGCGAAGTCGGTTGCCGCGGAGGTTCAGAGCGGTGATAGCGGGAAGGGGGTTTCGGGAGATGGAATGAAGAGATTCGATCATGCAGTGCGACAGGTTCAACGCCCTCAGCGCTACAAGGGTGGCGAGACTGTCGGGGACCTCAGTGAAGAGGTTGGTCGACAGATCAAGCGAATGGAGCGTGTTGGCAACGGGGACCAGGCCGGCAGCGGAGATCGAGGTCAGAGAATTATCCGGGAGGCCGAGGTGACGAAGGAAGCGCCATTTCGAAGGTGGGAGGGCGCCGGAGGGAAGGTTGGAAGAGCTGCCGTTGCGGTAGCCGGAGTTCTCGCTGGAGTTGGAGCTACCGGAGCCGGTGCGCCTGATCCGCGAAGGGTTGTTTCGAGTATGACGGTAGACGGAGTGCTTGGAGCTGACTGGGCGGGAAGGAGAGATGCTTCCCGTTCGGGTGCGGACTTTGGCACCTTCGGATCCCACTCGGATCATGGACGTTGCCTGGGGACTGGTGCTGGTTCCGAAGGCTGTATCGGTGACTGGGGATCCAGGAGCGGAGAGAGAGCTGGGGATCTCAGGCCGGTTCAACGGCTGAGGGTTGGCGTTTCCAGTCCATCCGAGCACGGGAGATGGCTGGTTCTTGGAAGACCGATGTCGACGTTTATCAATGTCGTCCAGCACAATTCGCGTGAGCAGATCCGCCGGGTCATCAATGTTGGCCCTCTTGACGGTCAGCGTGAGGAGTTGCTCCGAGAGTCGGTCCCAACCAAAGAACGAGCGGTAGTCTAAGTCGATGATCTCTAGGGCACTCAGGTTCTTAAAGGCGTGGAGAGGAACGGCCGTGTCGAAGGGGAACTCTTCATATCCGCGGATCAAGCGGGCACGACGGTCCGGGGCTAAACGGAGACAAGGGATCTTTGTGAAGGCAGAGTAAAGGTATTTAGTATCCGCTTCTAGAGCCGCTTTGGCCTTTTCTGATTTAGAGACTGTATCCTTGGATCCTAGACCAAAGGACGACCAGATAGCACTCATACCAGACATGACACTACGGACACTTGATACCGAGTGAATCGAGTCTCGATCACCCCGGGACCGCTGAGGCTTGTTCAAGAAAGAGACATAGGATTGGGAGACTTCGTTGTTGATGTTCTCCAGTCTTACACTCATGGGGCCCACGGATATAGAGAGGTCTTCGAAGCGAGATAGGAGGTAGAAGAGGTGATGGGGGGTGAGGGTGAGTTTGGCAGGCTTGATGCTCTGCGAGGCGAATTTCAATGCCCCGAAGGACAAGGCCGCCGCTAAACCGGTGGATGTCGAGCTCGCGGCGGAGCTCGACGAGGAATGTGTAGATTGTGCATTTTTGGCAGGCTGCCGCTTCAATTGAAGGGCATTGGCGAGGGCCTTTTCATGCGTTCGAACAAAACTAGCGAGATTCTAGTATAGCGACTGGACGTTAACACATGCTGTCATTTATTTCCGGAGACGCCGGGGAGGAAAAAATAATGATGAAACATGACCCCACATACCTTGACGAAAAGCTGTCCATCTTCAGTGTTCAGCTTCTCCATTACGGACAATGCTTCGCCCCACGCGACAGATTATGCGGTCGGGCGAACTCTGAAGAGGAACGCTCAGCAACTACTCGTAGTGTTGGCGACAGGAGCCGACATCTTTGCTGGTTGACAACAGGGAGAAATCGAATCGCAGGAGCCTGGTCGGTTAAGGCGGAGGCAACCCCCAAATGATCAGTAACGGTTCGGTAGCATTCAGGATATCCGGGCTTCCGGGTGCAACAAAGTACAACGCTACAGTGTTCTATCGCAAGGGCATCAAACGACTAAGGGCACGAAAGAGAAAGAAGAAGAGGAATAGAATTGATGGAATATCTGAGGGGAGAGAAAAAGGGGGTTGGAAAAAAAATGGACGGTAGGATTTGAACGGCAATGCTCGAAAACTTCGACGACAGCAATGCAAGTTCTTACCTAGGGAGAGAGCTGTAGACCGAACGGCTCTCTTGTATGTCAATGAGAATTGAAGAGCTTGTCGCCTGGACACAGCTGAGGATGGCGAGGCGTTGAAGCAGGAAGGTCCCAAAGGGGGAGAGAAAAAGGACGGGATGAGATGGATAAAAAAGACAGGGCCCGGCAGAGCTAATATGCAAGCACCACAATCTAGTCTAGCCAAACTAGAGGTGGTACGTGATGGGGGGGAAGAAGATGGGTGGGTAAGGATGTGCACTGGATCAATCAGCTGAGAGGAGGGGCTTAGGGGGGCGTCAGCAGCAATGACAGGCCCTCTATAAAAAAAAAATAAAATAAAATAAAGGACAGGGGGGAAAGCAAAAATGGAAAAAAAGAAAATCAAGCAGAAAGTTTCTCTCTGCCTCGGAGATAAAAGTACCAGGCAACCGATGTAAATTGAGATAAAATCGACTGAATAGGACTCAGAGAGACAAGAAGGAAAAAAAAGGGAGTCGAGGCGGCAGGACGATACTATTATAATAAGATAAATTTTTTTTCCCTGTATGATTATTATTATCATCTAATATAATCCATCCGAGTAGTATGGTTCCCTGTTATCGCCTTCTGTTGGTCGGAGAGCCGCTGCACCGGGCGTAGTCGAAGTACGTACATGCATAACGTACGGTACAATACCACGGCGGGTACCACGGTTTGGCCGGTCTAATAATGTACGCCCTTTTTTTTTTTTTTTGCCCTCCTTTGTCATTGCAGATGATTATTTTAAAATGATGATATCGATGATCGAATAATGAAAGGAAAAAAATCAAAGTCCGTAAAGAAAAAAAAAAAAAAAAACCACACTTTCCCCATACTCCGGACTGCCTCCCAAGAACTCCGTATGCTTACTCTGTACACTCTGTACGTTACTCCGTCGAATACTACCTACAGGACTCCTAAAACGATGGTGGCAACCTCTTGGAAACGCTCGTCCGGATTTAGTTCGTCGATTTCTGCCGTCCGTACGACGCTCTTATCGGTATCGACTGAACCATTGGAGAAGGCCTGATAACCTTCTACTCCAGAAACTCTATTGCACGGAGGGGTATCGGAGTATGTATGTACAGTGCAAAGCAAGATTGGTTCGCGGTTGACGAATATTTGCGAATCTGGTCATCCATCCCTCGTCGACATATCTGTCGGTTTCAGCTCCCCCAGCCGGATTGTCATATCAAAACAATGCGCTGCCCAGAAAGTGGCATTCTTCGGCTCAAGACAGGGAAGAAAAAGAAAAAAAAAAAATTAAATAAAAGTGGAGCCAAAGTTTCCGAGTCCCTCGAGAGCGGGTATCCCGATCGCCGACCCTTGACCTGACTTCCATCCTTGATGGCACACTAACCACGGCGCGACTACTATCTAAGTGTTATGCAATAATAATTATAGTAACCGGGACGGAGTCGTCTGGTGAAAGCGAAAGAACACCCATACGAGGGCAAGTGGTCAGTCGGAAGCCTCCACCATGACGGCAGACGAGCTGATCAGCAGCGACCAAAAATGTTTGGAGCGTAGCCACACGATGCAGGTCGGGTGCGAAGGTTTTTTTGTTTGGAGGGGGAGGAGAGGAAGGAGGGGGGGAACGGAATGAGCAGCACCGCCGACTCATGGGTGGATGACCCGTGCTGAATGGCCCCGCCTTTTTTACGGCGCCGAGGGTGGCTCCCCGTCCGGCGATACGCGCGCTGATTGGAGCGCCGCCGCTAGCGTGCAGCTGATAGCGCCCAGGCGGACATTCAAGTACATGCGCCTCCAGCCAATCACGGCGCCGTCCTGGCCGCCTGCATGACGCTTTACTGGACAGACTCTAGAGAGATGCGTGGTAAAATAAGAAATGGAGGGAGAAAAAGAAAAGAAAGGGGGAGGAAGGATGGTACCGAAGACGGTATTTTCTGGACCTTCTGATCAAAAAGACCGTACATGCGATGCACAGTAGGCGCTTCGCTTTAATTAGGGGAACCGATCCGTTCTGCATCGTATGAATTGGTCGAAGGATCAGTGCGCCGATCTTGAAACTCGGAAGAAGACTCCAGCCCTTCTGCGTCCGATGCCGGGTCGTACGAAAAGGACGCCCTGCATCTCGCTTTTCACTATCAATCGTCAACCAGCAATCAGATGGAAGCTCGACATCGAACGTATCAACGGCCACCACCTCCCGTGTGCTTCTCGCACTGACCTTGGGCATTCGCTGGAGGCTCAAGTGGAGGGCCCTAAATTTTTAGTTTCTCGTCGCTTTGGTATCAAATGACCTCAGCCTTTCGACGACCGCAAAGAGGTGATCGTGTCATCAACGAACCCCTTTGACTCATGGGACTAGTACCGTGCGATATCCATATTAGAGTTGGCCATCCGAGATATCCAGAAAAGGCCTCACCTCCTCCCGGAGTAGGCAAAATTACGGCCTCCCGTCGACCTTCCCACTTAACCCGCCTGCCTCTCCCGCTGTCAATGTCGAGTCACACCGCTTTCCAGGCTCCATCCCGATGAATCGAATCATCACACCACATTTTGTTCCTTCCACCCCTCCTCAGACATATTAACGTCATTCGACCCATGGTTCCAATCCACCCCCCTATTTTTCCTCACCCGCGCGCTTTCTCTGTCTCTCTCCTCCGTAGCAACGTCCTCTCTCCATCCAGCGGCCCACGTTCTTGTGATCGCCCCGGGCACCCTCGATCTTCTCAACGGTATTGGTCCGTCGTGCGGGTGCGATGAGTAAAATGACGTCCATGGGCCCTCGGTTTGTGTGGTGATGAGGCGTGACCGAAGCCTCGTCGATAAACCACCACACAAAACGGTTGGTTCGTCGCAACGAGGGTTACCCAGGTGAGGCCAGTAACATCTCAGATTCGAGCGGGATGTTTCAAACCACAATACACATGCCTTGCTTTTATTTGATTTTATTTTCCTTTTCTTTTTCTTTTTCGGAACATTGCCGTCGCCAAACCAAACACCCTCTTTTCTTCATTATCTCATTTTTCCTCTTTCATCTCCTGCCCCTCCTCCTTTCGGGACCCTTTTTTTTTCTCGTCCCGTTATCTATACAGGGCTGGTTACCATTACAAGGCGAACCGAACCATACCGAAAGTCTAGACGGGCATTATCTCCTCCGTACATACGTAGTTATGTAGTATACAACCTACATGTAGGACATTGACTCACAGGTTCCCGGAAACGTACAAAGGCCAGACAAGATATGCATGGCTTTCGATCTCCATGCGCATTCCTTATGCCAGGAGTAAGAAGATACTAGAAAACTCTACCTTGGCAGAACTCTACCTTGGCAGCTAATATCAAACCCGTTGATTCGATATGCCGAGCGACGCAAGGGGAGCTGAGAAAAACCAAAACAACCCAATCCAGTTCCTCCGTCCGGTCCAGTTCAGTCCAACTTGTCCGGACGCAAGTAAAGGCCTGGAGGACCGTTTTTCCCATTCCCCTAACCTCTCCCCAAGGTTCCTGTTTTTGTGCAATCTTGGCACAGTCGTGTCTCACACCTTTCCGGACGGCGGGGGCAAGGGGGTAGGAACCCAAGATTATTGTTTACGCTGTGCAGAGTAGGGAGGAGAGAAGGAGGAGGATGGTTCTTGGCGAAAAGGCTGTTTGGAGTTAGTAGTTCTTGAACCGAGTGATGCTGCAGGAAGGAATGGTTACGCCCGTATGTGTGGTCACGATGGGTTTGGGAGAAAGTCAAGACATCGACCAACGACAATCGTGGATCGTGATACGTGAAAGGGACTACTACGGAGAAAAAAAAAATCAGATATGGAGATGGAGATGGGTCCTCCTCCGGAGAATGATGGCATCGGTGATGCGCATGATTGTCGGTCTACGGAGTATGACATCTGATCTACGAGTTAGTGCGGGTGTTCACGGGCTAGGATGAGATACTACTGTGTGTCAAATCCATCGAAGAGGCGAAGATGAGATGGAAAATGATGGAATTGTTGACCGTATTTTGGCCTAGGCGACGACATTGCCCACGGACAAGTGGAACTGGGGATCTGACGACTGGCGAGGTTTGCGTTGAAAAAGAGGAAGGGAAAAAAGGAAAAATAAAAGACGAAGTCTCCACTGCAGTCAACCGCTCGAATGATCAGCGGTGGATCCGCAAGGTTGGTCGCTGCTGGGCCAATCAAGGCAGACATGTGTCCTTTTTTTTGTCATCCCGCGTGAGTACATTGTATACTTCCATCGGTTGGTCACGTCCAGCGTACAGAGCAGGGCGATAGATGCTCTGGAGGTACAGTACGGACGATGGCAAAAATGTCCTCAACAGCCCGCCAAGAAAGGTTTGGCCCGGCACACGGACCAAAATCACCGATCGTCATGCATCCGGCAGAATGTGGAAGAACATGGCCCGGGTGAGATCACAAGTTGGGGTAGGAGTTGTGGTTTCAGCGAGAGCAGGGCCGATTGATCCTTCTCGAGGACTCGAGTGCTCGAGTCTCAAAGACGAGACGGCTCAATCTTCGTCTCGTTAGCTCGCATGCAGGGCTCTGGATCTGGAACTCGACCGTTCAGTCGTCGTTCAGTCGTAGGATTGCGAGTATGTACTCCCTCCAATATTTACTATCAGCGTACCACGACCGAGTCATGTCTGGTTGAACGTTAACAACGGTCCCAAGGTTCAGGCCGGATGATGAAACGAGCGGCTATCGCGCAAACAAAAAGGCAAAATTCGCCTCCAGGCTCGTCATTTACATTGCCTCTTCCGTCGGCTTGGCTCTGATAGCGGTGGAGTTTACATTGTTATCGTTACAGAAGGGAGCGTCGACCCATGGACAGGAAACTTGATGTTTTTCGATGGCGATATGGAGACATACACACCCTCAAAAAAAAGCAAATCTGCGCTCGGTCGGACAGGTCAGTCGGTCGGTCTCTTTGTTGCGTTTTTTTTTTCTTTTCTTTTTCCGCAAGCCGTGGCATGATGAGGTGCTTGACAGGATCCGGGCTAAATCCAATCCATAGTTATGTGTAATAAACTAGTGATGCAGGAGGTCAATTAGTCCGGGATGACCCCAAGAACGCCAACCTCGTCGGTCGGAATGATTTGACGGACGCAAAGACCAACTTGCGACTATCAGTGATGAGCTGCAAATCATTGTTCGCCTCTGTCTGTCCTTCTCCCAGCCCCTCTACGGAGGAGCTCAGCAGATACTCGCATTGGAGTGGATCCGGCCAATTTATTAGTTACTGCCAGTCACCACGAGGGATTCTGGAGTGATTCCAGCGCCCGCCGGCGGGAGAAACCACTGCATGTATTTGGGCTAGCTCGTCGAGTGCGCCGGCCAAACTATCCGAATCCTGTGCGGTGGAATGGGACTCTGGATGTAACCCTTCTATCGGGGCGATTGCACGGATTATATGGCGACTTCTTTTTACCCCGCAATGCTTGATACTATAAGAGGCTTGGTCGCGGTCACCGCCCTTCCAATCACCCTCCCTTGTCCGTCGGCTCAGCCTTTATCTCCTCCGTGGAAGGTCGTACAGACTACTGGTTTAATATCGGGGGAATTGAGATTTGGCCCGCTAATGTCGCCCAGGTGCCTGCGGGTGAGGACGGCTCTCGTTCCGGGTGGTGGGCGGCACTATCTCACTCCGGACTCGTGTCCTGAAGGATCAGCCCCGGTCTGAAGGTACAGTACATACGTCCGATGTGCAGGACCCTCTCAGTATGGGCCGGTCATCGGATGCAGCAGGGACTGGAGCAGAAAACGTCGCGGAATCTCATGCGTAGTCCTGCTTACGACGGGTCTGTCTATCTCGGATGCCACCCATCGACAGTCCGCAGACAGACACACCGAACGGAGTGTTTTCCAGCTGATCCCTTGTGCGTGCACAATACACATTCCCATGCCCCCCGGATTTTGGAAGCGACGCGTATGTACGGTACATCATCTGCTGTTATGTAATGCCCTTCGTGGCGCACCGTATCCGATGATCATGGGTCATCTGGGCAAGGATGTGCAAGCTTCCCTCTCTGCAATGTCGATCTATCAATCCCACGGACCATTCAGGGCAACTCTTGGGGGCAGATGGTAACAGAACCGATCGGATTGACGGAGCGAGAGAGGGTGGGTGGTACTGAAAGGGGGATTTGCTCAGATCGTTGCAAAATTGGGTTTCGTATCAGGTGCAGATGAGAGAGTGAAAATCTCTGAGGCAATGTGATAGACCACAGCCGGGATGCAAAGTCATGCAGTATGGTCTGATTCGACCCGACCTGGCCACTGCGGATGCAGGTTACCTGCATTGTATCGTCTATGGGACTGGATTCTGTTGAGATTGATGTGGGGAGGGGGTGAGAGACTGTGTTAGAGAACGGAAATGAGAAGGGATGAAACCTTCAACGGTTGAACCCCTTGATGACAGGCACCATGATCGTATTTGGTCCGGTTGAAGAGGAGATTAAACCCATGTCGGACAGGACCCATGGTTCTTCCCTCTCGGACCGTTTTGGTCAAGGCGGGGTCGAGCCACGGCTTCCCCCATCGGGACTGGCGGCTTGGCACTTTGTTGCCTTGGCGCCTGATCCGATTACCTCAGCACAAGCCACTGTGGCTGAATGCGGTGTGGTGGTGTGGCGGTGTGACAGTCTGACGTCGATGTCATTTCATCATTGCCTGGCAGGATCCCTTCCCTGTCGCCCATCCTCTGATTCCCCTAGGTTTTCTCATCATGAATGATCCCCAACAATGACATCGGCGGACAAGTCGGCAACGGGGAAGATCTATGATCCCAGCTCTCTGCCGGATTACGACCGCCAGTTTATTGATCCCGACGACCTGCGGCAATTCGAGAATGCGCTGAATGGCAACGAGGCTGACCCGCTGGTCGCTCTCAACGACTGGCGCCCCATCTACCAACGTGTCCGGAAGAGTAGAGGCCGACGGGGCAAACCAAGACGCAGCAAGGATGAGACGCGAGAGGGGGTGCTGTACACTGTGTTGAAGTGGCCCTTTCTCTTCATCGTGTTTGGCTGGATCATCTTTCTGGGGTTCGGCTACACCTTGACCCGCCTGTACATCTTCCTATATGAACAATGGGTGTCCTGGAGAGGCAAGAGGGAATCGCTTCGCCGGCAGCTGTCGGCGCAGACGAACTACGGCGATTGGTTGAACGCTGCACAGGCCCTCGATGATCATCTCGGGAACCAAGCGTGGAAGGAAATAGACGAATATGCATACTACGACCATCTCACGATAAACAAACTGGTTACACAGCTGAAGAGCGTGAGGAGTTTGGTTGAACAAGAACGCAAGGAGGATGGTTCTGGTTCGACCGAGACGACCGCCGTGGAGGAGTTGTGCACGCTGCTGGAGGCGTGCGTCAAGAACAACTTCGCCGGTGTCGAGAACCCGCGACTTTACAGCGAGTCCTACTCAGGAACCAAAGATCTGGTCCAAGAATACATCGACGAAGTGAAGACATGCATTGATTTGGTTGCAGGTAACAAGCAAATCAGCAGCGAAGACAAGTTTCATCATTTTAGACATTTGGATACCAATTTTGGGCGTACCGCCCTCTGCTTGTCCGGGGGTGCCACTTTTGCATATTATCATTTTGGCGTTGTCAGAGCGCTTTTGGATAACGGTGTGCTGCCTCAGATAATCACCGGGACCTCGGGCGGCGCTCTGGTCGCCGCCCTGGTGGCTACTAGAACCGACGAGGAACTGAAGGAGCTGCTTGTGCCTGCCTTGGCTCATCGCATAAAGGCCTGTCATGAAGGGTTCACGACGTGGTTGTGGCGTTGGTGGCGGACCGGTGCCCGTTTCGATGCCGTCGACTGGGCGCGTGAGGGTAGCTGGTTCTGCAGAGGCTCGACCACATTTCGCGAGGCCTACGAACGAACGGGACGGATCCTGAATGTATCGTGTGTGCCATCCGACCCTCATTCGCCTACCATTCTAGCAAACTATCTCACTTCCCCGGACTGTGTCATATGGAGCGCCATGCTTGCCTCTGCAGCAGTTCCCGGGATCTTGAACCCCGTCGTTCTTATGACGAAAAAGCGCGATGGCACACTCGCTCCCTACTCGTTCGGTCACAAGTGGAAGGATGGCAGCTTGCGGACGGATATTCCCGTCAAGGCACTGAACCTACACTTCAATGTCAATTTTACAATCGTCTCGCAAGTAAGTCTTGAATGCCTTTTCTCTAGCACCCTGATTCTAACGTGCCGTCCAGGTCAACCCTCACATCAACCTTTTCTTCTTCAATTCTCGAGGAACGGTCGGTCGGCCCGTCACTCATCGCAAAGGTCGCGGATGGCGTGGAGGATTTCTCGGATCCGCCATCGAACAATACATCAAGCTAGACATGAACAAATGGCTCCGAGTCCTCCGCCATCTCGAGCTCCTGCCCCGACCCCTGGGCCAAGACTGGAGTGAGATCTGGCTCCAAAAGTTCAGTGGCACCGTCACCATCTGGCCCAAGACCATAGCCTCCGACTTCTACTACATCCTCTCGGACCCTAGCCCCGAGCGCCTGGACCGCATGCTCCGCGTCGGCCAACTCAGCGCCTTCCCAAAGATCCAGTTCGCCAAGAACCGACTCAAGATCGAAACCGCCATCACTGCCGGTCTCAAGGAATTTGCTCCCGCCGGCGCAGCAGGTCGCGTTGTATCTCCTCGCCGTCGCCGCCGCCCTGTCGACAGTATCTCTTCGCGCCTCGATGGCTCTCTAGCCGAGGACCAGGACCAATCTGACTACTACAAAGATGATCCACAGCAGTTCGTCCTCGATGCCTCGGACCACTCGAGCGCAGACCCAGGCTCGTCTGTCGCTTCCTCTCGTGACTCGTCCCGGCTTGATACCCATCGTCATAACTCCAACAATATCTTCCAGGAAATGAGGCGGCAGTCGGCGGTCTTCTTCGATGACTCCGATATGTATGCTGAGGATGATATGCGGAAGATGCAGTGAGGTTTTCCTCGTTCTATTCTTATAATCCTTATCGCTGCCTTATTGTTAGCCAGACTTGTAATTATGATGATTGGGCTAAGTCGGTAACTGGTTGGTTGAATCGCCGTGGCATACACTTGCTAGAGTGGGTAAGGTTGCTCCGATATATACCTCGGAGACGGCTGTTTGCATCGGTTACTTGCTTATTTTTCTGTACATTATTAGTATTGTTACACTGTTTTGCACATTAGGATACCTTTATCTTTTGAGCCGCAAATACAAGCGAAGCCATATAATATATATCTAGTCACATCAAGCTGTGTTATATATTTGACCATCCACTGATCACATATCCTTCCTAATTGAAGTATAACGATCGATCATAGTCATTATATCAATACTGCAGGACAGGGGAATAAATATAGTGACAAAAATGAAATGTCCCCGATATAGAAATTGAACACCATGATTCCAGACGCTGCCTATATATAGCCCGATATCATGATAATTCCACCCACCACTATTACTAACTCAAGCAACCTCACGAGCACATCATAGCTGAGTCTGGTTCGTTCTTCGAGCCCATATATATATATACCACTCTTAGTTCAGATAGCGCTACTGAGTATCAGATCCAGTGGACAAAAATTGATATGACCTAGCAGTCAGTTTATCTGCGATGGAGTGAAATGCATTGTCCCAGCGAAAACATAGCAGGATAGAAGTCTCATGATCTTGTTGCATGCTTTTATAGCTGGATATCTTATTGACTGCTCAAGACAACAGACTGTTTGAATGTTACAAGACAGAAAATTCAAACAACCAAAAAAATATTCGAACACATAAAAAACACATGTTGGACTCCCATGGTCGGGATCATTCATCAATTATTCAATAATGTACTCAGCATTAACATCCATCTTGAAGACTTTCAATCCATCAATCCGTCATAACCGTTTTCCTTGACATCACAATCATTTGAGACACAACCGGGTCTCCCAAACATGCATGTCCAAGACCAAGAGAAGAGAAAAGAACGTGTAAATGGAAACAAAATGAGAACATGAAGAGACAGAACGAACTGATCGGGAAAATATCCTTCGAGCGCAGTTCATCTGGAAGAAAAAGAGGAAACATCAGACAGATACATACACAAAAACACAAAGGGTCAGTTATTCATCCAAATGTAATAGGTGGCCAAACCAAGTCGCGAATCGGTTAATAGATAAACACTCTCCCCATAAATCCGTAAATAAGGACGTTTTGGCTTTTTTGATAGGAGAACAAATCGGATCCTGCCACTTTTGCCCAATCTCAATCTAGTCAAATTAATGCGTAGACAGAATTTTGTTTGCTGTAAGAAACGAAGAAGTAATAGAGGTGAGCACCTCCATTATGCGATGTTGTCCAGCTTGCCATCAGTCTTGGCTTCTCTGACCTGCTCAAAGACCTGTTGATTCTATAGTTAGCAGGGATAATTCCAGTTCTATATGTTGCGTTCTCACGTACCTTGAGCATCTTGTTTCTGGCGCCCAGTGCGTTGACTCCGCGCTGCTCCAGTGCCTTATCGTCGAGCTCGACCAAATCAGTCCATTTCAGGTCCTTCAGGTTCTCCGTGTACTTGTGCAGACGGAGAGACCGCAGCCAGCTGGGAATGTCCTTCAGCAGGCTGGGGTCAGTCGGATCCTCTGGCGGCTTGGAGCTGCCACGGCGACCACGCGGGGATCGACCCCGGGTGACCTCCGAGTGGTCCGAGAGATAGCCTTCGTGACCACCCAGTCCAAACTGTCCCATTCCGAGAGTACTTAGTCCGTTGCCCATCAGAGGGTTGTTGGGGTCATAAGCCGCCAAGAACCCGTTGTTCTGCGGAGACGTGAATCCCATCGGTCCCAGCGAGCCACCTTGCATGGCGATGCCGGGGGAGGTCGGACGCGAACGTCGGCCAGCCATAGCGGCCTGCTGCTGCGCCTGCAAAGCAGCCAATTGCTGGGGGTTGAGAAGTTGGCCCGCAACGAGTTGGTTCGGACCCGGGAGGCCCGGGCTGGCAAGGCCACCTTGGGACATGTGGGGGTTGAGGTTGGAGTTGGCGTTGGAGTTTTTGCCCTGTCCGTCATTGGAGCGGGCACGACGGTATTTGCGAGCATCGTCCAACGCGATGCGGTTGTTCACAGTCGACAATGCGGCCAGTTTCATCGCAGTGGCATTTGCCACCATGTCGGCCTGCGAGTTCTGCTGCTGAGGCTGCTGCTGCGCCTGCTGGCCAAAAGTCGCCGTCATCGGGGTGTTGGTCATGGAAGCCCAGCTGGCATTTCCAACGTTATACGGGGACAGCAACGGCGCGTCGATGTCCGGAGCAGGGATGGTGGCAGTCTGGGTGGGCAGGGGAGAACGCAGGCTCGAGGCCTGGCTGAACTGGCCCATAGGCTGCTGACCGGAGGACGACTTGGGTCGAGCAATCGGAGGTTGAGGCTCGGCGCCTCGCTGGGCCCACGGAGATACGGGGGCCTGTCCCAGATTGTCCGTGTTGCTGTCCGGAGCAGAGATGGTAGGAGCAACGAAAGAAGTCCGGTCGCCAAAAACAGCGCTGTTCCGGTTCGAAGGAGGGGCGTTGCCGGTCTGCTGAGTGAACTCGGCCTTTTTCTTGGCAATCGCGGCGGCGGCATCGGGGAACATGGCGTTGATCGTGGAGGAGTCGAGTCCTGAGTTACGCTTGGCACCGGGAGAGGGAGGAGGACGTCCCAGCGAGTTGCGAGAACTGTCCACATTCAACTTGGCCATCGCATCATTCAAGCGATTTGACATGGCATCTGTCCGACCCAACAGAGTTAGTAACACGTTTCTTCACAGAATAGCGAAAAAAATGGAGTAGATCTCCATGCGATGCCTGACGTACCCTTTTCGCCAAAGTTAGCCGGCGATAATAATCCCGACATAGGATGGCTCTTGGACATTTGCTGGAGAACCTGGATGAAGAAGCGGATCTGCACCTGCGTGGTCTGCTGGAGCAGAGCGTACAGTGCAGCCGTTCTTTCCGCCTCGCTGAGCACGCGGAACCATTGCTCAATGGCACTCAGCTCGTCCTTGAAGTCCTGATCCAAGGTGGCAGCGGCCATTTCCTCCAGTGTAGTTTCGTACTGATCGATGTCGGCCAGCCACTGCTGGGCCGCACGATCCAAGGGGTCCTCCGCGTTGTTGGGAGTCTGCGACTGCTGATGATTATAATACACCTCCGACGCCGGGCGGATGCTTCGAGAAGAGAGAGGGGACGGAAAGCCCGACATATCGGCGGAGGCTCGCAGTTGGTGCGATCCGAGGTTCCGAGACGAGGAAGGAGGACGGAGAGTCGACTTGGAGGCTTCCGGGGTGCTGTTGCGGTTTCCAATAATATGGCTAGCCATGGAGAGCAAGGAGTGAAGATGGGTTATTCGGACAGAGAGGGGGTCGAGAGAAGGCGCTTCGGACGATTGCTTTACACAAGGCTTCGATGTACAATAGATACAGAAAGAGAAATATTACTGCAAAGCACCTGCAGCACCGGCTGAGTTTGCGTATAAAACGAGGCGAGCCTTGATCCGAGAGAGGACACTCTTGTCGTGGACGAGACGGTCGAAGGGCCGTTCGAGATGGCAGGAAACCAAGACCGAACAGGGGAAACGTGTCTCTCTAAGGACGGAGACAGAAATTTCCTCCCTTGGTGTTGTTTTTTTTTGCGAGGATGTGGAAAGGAAACCAACGCGCAACGGCTCTAGGCAATTGACGATTGGGGCACAGACCAGTCCAGTGGCTGCACTACCTGGATCGAGAATCTGGAAAAAGATTCGAACCGAAGGAGCATCAAACGATTTTTCGTTGTCGAAGAGGTAGTGGATTCAAGTGGACAGAGCGGAGCGACAACGGATATATTAGGGAAATTGTGGGTTCTGGCCTCTTTTTTTTTTTTCTTTTTCTTTTGATCTTCTTTAACTTTCTCTAAAACGAAAGGATGTCAAGGGTCAACTGCAGTAGTGTGTCAAACACAGCAAGCAGGAGTCTTGAGCATCAAAAAACAGAAAGAAAGGAAAGTAAGAAAAGGGCAGGACGGAAGAGATGACGGGGGGATGGAAGGCGAGGGAAGAGGAAGAGAAGAAGAGGAGAGCGAGGCGAAGGGAAGGGAAAGAGTGGGAAGCGAAAGGACGCTTTGCCGTTTGGGTGCTGCAGGTCACTGGACTGGCGCTTTTTCTCGCCGCGGCTTTTGTCTTCTCTTCTCTTCTCTCCCGTCCTTCTCAGTGTTGGCTGGGTTACGCCAGTTCGTGCGATCGCTGAATTGCCCTCTGTCGACTTTTTATTGCGGTCTACTCGGGGACTTTTTTTGAATTCTCCCTCTGATCCTGCGACTCGGTTCAATCTGACAGCTGGAACATATCCTGTCGAGCTTCTCGCCCTGCAGCGGTCGCGTTAGCCTAGTGTCGGCTGGGCGCTTATTAAGAGGTTCTATGAATAACTAAACGTACATTTGCCTGCCTTTTTTCTTTTCTTTTCTTCTTTTGTTTTTTTCTGTTCTTCTTGTCGTTGCTGTTAAAACAATGGAACCATTTTCTAATCCATGCCCATAGACATTGTCTACTTTCGAGGGATGTCTAGTGTTATTTCAACCCCAGCGCCACACTAGTCAGCTTGCGCCGTAATTCCCCAAAATCTCCGTTTCCATGTATTGGTGGACACGAGAAAGATTGCGCAACGTCATTGATACCGGTGGATGATTCCATATCCCCCTCAGACTCAGAAAAAAAAATGGACTATCCCGACCCAGATCATCTGGATCCTCATTATCCCTCCGAGGAGCAGGCTTATCCTGACCTCGATGAATCCATCCATTATCCATGGCAAGGAGCCCAGCAACCGGCGCAGGCCGAGGCTTCTCTCCATTCGGTGATTGATCCCCGTCTTTACAAAGACTTATTTTCCGCGAGTGCCTCGCAGCTCCCAGATCAATCGCTCGACGAGGATGACGAGATTCATCAATATGCTGAAGAAGCGTATCCTCATCTTGATGACTCAGATGAAGACGGCAATTATGAATATTCCTCGCAGGAGAGTTCAGAGTATGTCTTCCTCACACCTGCTTTTTTTTTTTTCCTTATCGTGTTTGGCTGACGGTCAACATAGGGAAGAGGGGTTATCTGATGGGCCGGAAGAAGGGGACGATGACTCGGATCCTGGAAGACGACGCCGTCGGCGGCGAGGCACCGGACCATTTTCTGGTCGGTACGGTGCAAGAGGCGGTAAAGGCATCAAAAGAGGGCCCCGCAAACCCCTGGAACCCAGTCCGGAATTTAAGATGCTTCATTCCGAGGCGACCGCAGCATTCATTGACGGTGACTATGATCGGGCCGTTGTTCTGACCAAGCAGGCGATTCAAATCAATCCAGAGATGTTTGCTGCCCATTCTTTGCTGTCAGAGATCTTCCTGGCGCAGGGCCAAAAAGACAAGGCGTTGACGGCACTGTTCAGTGGTGCCCACACACGTCCTAGGGATCCTACAGTCTGGGCGAAAGTCGCAAAGATGATCCTGGATCGGGCTGGAGAGGAGCGGTTCATGGCACTAAACGACGTCATCTACTGCTATAGCCGTGTTCTCGAGATCAACCCTAGGAACTACAACGCGCGTTTCCAGCGAGCCGCAGTGTATCGGGAGCTAGGCCACAATAAACGGGCTGCCACAGAATACGAAAGAATCCTCAGAGATCTCCCTCATAATATCAGAGCTCTTCGACATATCGCCGAAACATATATCGATAGCAACGAAGTCCAAAAAGCCGTGGATCACTGGTCCAAAAGCGTCAAATACCTGACATCCTTGGACCCAACAACGGCCCCAGAATTCTCCTGGTCCGATGCGAATATCTTTGCCGAGCTTTATGGTTATGTAGGCGAGCATGCTAAAGGATTGAAATCCCTGAAGGCGGTCTGCAGATGGCTTCTTGGGCGTAGGGGTGATAGCATGTGGGAGCGATTTGACGAGGATGACCGGGAATGGGATGCTGACGATTCTCCCCGACGTATCAAAACAAATGGATACATGCCGGGTCAGTGGCCGCGGGACTCGTACGGGCTAGGCCTTCCACTGGAACTGCGGATCAAGCTCGGGCTGTTTCGCTTAAAGATGGGATATGAGCACAAGGATGAAGCATTGGTGAGTTCACTAGAAGGACGGAGATGGTTTGGGAATGTTTTTCTTGTCTAACGCATTCGGACAGCATCATTTTGAATGGCTAAACCCCGAAGATACTTCGGAAGGAGCCCGACTTTTTGATTATGGCGACTTGTTTCGAGAAGTTGCAGATGCAATGAAGGAAGTGGGCCTGCTTGAAGATGCTCTCCGATTCTATCTGCCTCTCCAGCAAACCAATGAACACGCGGATGTTAGTTTCTTCCTGGCCATGGGAGATTGCTGTGCGCAGTTAGAACGGTTTGACGAGGCGGAAAATTGCTTTCTCACTGTCGCGGAATATGACCCGAGAAACATCGAGTCGCGTGTACAGTTAGCAAAGCTGTACGAGAGCATTGATATGACTGAACGGGCCCTCAAATACGTTAGTGAGGCGGTGTTGCTTGGAAGACAGGAGAGCAGAAGTAATCGACGGAGAAAAGACACAAGACTCGAAAACCTGGCAATGGAATTTAAAACGGCGGAATTGGGACCAGAGGCGATGACCTTCAGGCCAATTGCGCCCCGACCTTCCGAGGAGGAGGAAGAGGAAGCGCCAGCAGGACCAGCCTTGACGACGGCTCCGACGGCTCCGACGACAAAAGAACGACCCGAGGATGGCAACAGAACGGAGAATGTCAAGTATCTCTATTCCAAACTCCTGCAGCTACAACCCCATGTGAAAGATGGTCACGTCGAAGCAATAGAGGACTGGTTGGACATTGCAGACGCTTTGTTGCGCGAGTTCCGGTCCAATCGAATCTTCTACCCAATGATCCGAGGCACCGCCTTTTTGGGTTACTCAAAAGCAGCACGAAAGAAGGCCAACAAATCTAAGAGCCGATCGTTCATTGATGAGATGCAAGAGATGGCAGGTCGTCTCCAGGAAACTTTGGGTATATTGCGTCAATCCCCATAGAACCCACCCGAAAAAAGATTGCTGACCTTCATGTTTAGGGAACGATCCTGAGGAAGACGCGCTAGGGCCAATTCCTACAGACTACCATGGTATATCTTTCGAGGAATGGCTCGATCTATTCCTTCAATATGCGCTCGTGGTGACCAGTCAGAATGAGGTCGACGAAGCATATGATATGCTTGCCGCAGCTGCCGAGGCTAGCATTTGGTACCACTCGAAGGAGAACACCCGTCAGATTCATGTCTGTTGGTTTACCTGTGCGTTACGAGCGCAAGACGAAGAAACCCTAGCGAGCGAGGCGCGCTGGTTTATCAAAGAATACCAGTTTGTCACCGACACGTATCGTCTCTTCAGCATGCTCAGTCGCCTCAGCGGGGATCCTCACCGATCCTTATTCCACTCCTCGCCTAATATGAAATTCATGCTGCGTCAGATCAAGGCCATGGACTTCACTCTACCCAAGAAAGGAGGAAATGTCCGTTCAATTAGACCCGTTCGAGAGTCAATATACCGAGAACGTGCCTCGCTCTCGACCAGAGACGATACCGGAGAAGCCATCCCGGCCGAGGAACTGGACGTCGCGCTGCTAGTGCTCTACGGGCACATTCTCTACTCGGGAAACAGTTTCGTCCCGGCCCTGAATTATTTGTTCCGCGCGTATGATCTCGACGACCAAAACCCCGCCGTACTCCTCTCTATCGGCCTTTGCTATATTCACCAGTCGCTGAAGCGCCAGTCCGAGAACAGACACTACCTCATCATGCAGGGCCTATCGTTCATGCACGAGTACCGCCGAGTCCGCGAACAAAAGGGCACCCTCTTCTCGGAGCGCCAGGAAATGGAATTCAATTTCGCTCGCGTCTGGCATATGCTTGGAATCGCCCATTTAGCTGTGGAGGGGTACGAAAAGGTCCTAACTCTGACCGAGGAGCAGAAACAGACTCAACAAACGCAGAACGGCAGCGATGTGACCATGGCGGATGTGCAGGTTTCGCAGGAGCAGGAGCATGAGCAAGAGCAGGAAAAAACCCCCTTCGTGGAGGACTTCTCGCGTGAGGCGGCTGTAGCCTTGCAGAATATTTATGCGCTTAGTGGAGATTTGAAATCGGCACAGGAGGTTACCGCCAAGTATCTGGTTATATAGAAGAACCTAGTGCTATATCTTGATCAATCGAATTCAAACGCGATGCAAGAATTCAAATGCTGTATCTTTTATCCAGGACGCCAAGCGATCTTTCTTTCTCTCCTAGATATAAAAACCACTCAATCAACAACCCAATCGCCAAAGCGGACCAAACCGAATCAGAAGAAGAAACCATAGATTCCAAATCAAATCACCCTGCAAACCGACTCCTCGCCCTCATGCGCGCCCCATATTTCCAAATAACAAACATACCCAAAATGCCGAGTGTCGAGATCGCCGCCAAAATCGTCACCCCTTTACTAATCCCCAGATCCTCATACATATACGGCGTCACCATGATAAACACCGCGGCCGTCGCCGACCTCGCAAAGTCATTCCCCGCCAGCAACGACGCCACGTACTGCGGATACGACGGCGGCAGGTAGACCAGGATGCCCTGGAAGGTGACGAAGGTGCCGCCGGCATAGAGGGCGATGCCGATGGTGGGGACGATCCAGTGGATGGACTCGCGGGCGGTCCAGGCGAACAGGAACAGGCCGATGGGCGTGAAGCAGACGGCGGGGAGGGCGGGGAAGAGGCACGCCTCGAGGTTGTTGGAGTCGACGAGGGCCTGCTGCGAGGTGGGCCGGCGGAAGAGGTAGGCAGCGTAGAGGACGGCGGCGATGACGCAGCCGATGACGATGGAGACGAAGATAAGGCTGAAGGAGAAGAGGGACATGTGGTAGGTGTTCATGTAGACGAGGTTGAAGGCCTCGAAGAAGGAGTAGTAGATGGCGTAGATGAAGGAGGTGTAGAAGCAGGTGAAGCCGATGGCGGGGTCTTTGATGCAGATCTCGATGGGGCGGGAGAGGGTTTCGCGAAGGTGCGTGGTGAAGGGGATGGGTTTGAGCTCGCTGGGGGCGAGGATGGTGCGTTTGTTGTGAGAGTTTGTGGATTGGCGGCGGAGGCGACGGGCGCGGTGTAGCAGGATAGTCTCGCCGTAGGTTTCGGGGAGGAGGAAGACCATGAGGATGCAGATGGGGGCGGCCATCATGGCGATCTCCCAGAAGGGCCAGTGCCAGGAGCGGGTGTCGACGATTTTGCTGGCGAAGAGAGGCCCGAGGGCTGGGCCGCAGTAGATGCAGCTGACCCAAGCGATGAAGGCGTAGGGGACTGAGTTCCAGGAGTAGATGTCCTGGATGGAGGCGCCGCCAGTGGCGAGGCAAGGGCTGCCGAAGAAGCCTTGGAAGAAGCGGAGCACGACGATGACAGGGAAGTTGTTGATTGTAGATAGGACGACGGAGATGATGAGAAAAATCGTGAAGGAGATGATGTAGGGTGGGTTGCGGCCGATGGAGGCGACCTCGCTTATTGGGGAGAAGATTAATGGACCTGCTCCGTCTGAGGTTGAAGGTATGTTAGACATAGACGATTTTTGTAGTGAAAGGCGTTTGGACTCACATCCGATTACGTAGAGGGCGAGCACGAGGGATACAACGTGGTGCGATGTCCCGAACTGCATTACGATGCCTTCGTAACTGGGAACGACGATGGAGGAGCCGCAGTATACCACAAAGGAGTAGACCCTGAGAAGGCCATGGTCAGAATTTATGTGCGTGGAAGTTGAATTGGGAAACGAACGATATCAAGGCTGTCACCCATGCCTTATATAAGGACGGCCAATTTTGAGGATTCTCTGGATCATCAGGGCCATCCCAATCCACCACAGTGATGTCCTCGGAGCTAGAAATGAAGTTAGTGAATGTGAAGAAACCAGGAACTCATACGACACCGACACACCTTGACTCTTCTTTGGCATACTCGATGCTAATATCATCTTCGGCCGGTGGCGAATCGGGACGAGACATGCAATACTGCACTGCCTGTCCAACGACCGTGGTATGAAGCCAGGAAGAGGGCTTCATGTTGGCTTGAGAGAGAAGACAGATGGAACACACCCAGTCGGGACTGATGAATGTTCAATGTCTCCCATATCCCTGCTTATATACTAGAGAGGCGAGTATAGAAACGAGAAACGCATGAGCCCTTGACCCAAGGAACAGGATAAGCTTGGTTCTGCGCAGTCATGGTTAACCTTGTTCATCAGGACTATAACCGGAATCGCACGTGCAGGGCAGGTTTAATTTGCCAGTCCGGTGTCGCAAAGCTAATTAGCGACATCATTGCGCCGTGCGGGGATCCGATCTCCCAATGAGCCCATCCGTGGAGATCTCCAGAGCATAATCCCAGCCTATCCAATCGGTCAAGTCCGCGGGAATGGAGACGGAGAACAAGAATCCAACATTGCGGCGACTATCGGGGACCGGGGACTTGCCCGACGGAACTGACAGACTGACAGACTGACAGAAGTGACAGATGATTGACAGGGCGAATCCACTTGAAGCCAAAACAGCGGCTGTCTACAGGTCAGATGACGGCGAGTCACATGTCTCCATGTGATCCTTTTCGGCAACAGCAAAAGTCCACTTTCTTTTCTCTTAACTTCCTTCGAGAATTCAAACCACTCCAACCTCGCCGGCTGTCCTCGATCGGTGGTTCTGCAGAAATGCCCTGGCGTCTACGCCGACCCCCCATTTACTGGAGCAAACACCATTTATCACCGAGCGGCTCTCGTCTGCCGTTCAAAGCCACCACAGTGCCACGCTGTCAATATGACGTGACACCGTGCCAACCCACACTCTGTGCCTTGAGAGGGCGTTACTACAAATCCGCTCCGACATGATTGGTGCCAACCTCGCCGCTTGCATCGGGGTTCAGTAAAACCCACTGTTCTCCGTCCGTTACTCCTGGAAACCAACTCTATGATATGCTCGCGCGACGCAATCTTGCAATGTTATAGCTGTGATGACGCTATTCATGTGGACCAGCGTACAACATCCCGAGATCGTCAAATTTATACGATTCAGGAAGTCGAAATGGAGATCGTGGCCATTGTCACGTTGCCGATGACAGGAAAGGCAAAAGCATCTCGTACGGCTCGGCTTTGGCCAATAGGTCTCTTTCCCATACATCTCATCCTGATGGTTGACACTCGCGGGGGCATTCCTGCCGAAGGAAACGGAGTCGGAGTCGGGATTGATGATTTTTATCAGTGAACTCATTTTCGCGCTGACCAGTGGTTGAACTATGTCCCGGTAACTTCAAGAGGAAATACACAACCTGGACGTTCATTGACGGACCAAACGTGAGATTCCATAGCGCCGAGGAGCGCCGAGGAGCTCCTATAAGCTCCTATCTCCGTCGCGAAAATCTGCAAGGATGGATATGGAGGCATTACAGAAGCATTTTACAGAAATTGCCCCTCAGAAAAGAATAACCGGCCACAACGAAGCTAAACCGTTGGTTTTCAGCTTTGTCTATAAGCTTCGTGCTGGCCGAGAAAAGCGAAGCCCGTCCTTGAGCCCACCGGGCACTACGCTTGAAGACTTCGACCGTGCCCCTGTGGCGACCTCAGTTGGGATATGGGCCCGTTAGGAACCCGTGGTGGAGTGAATGGAGTATGCGCAGCAGCAAGGAAGTTGGCACAACCTCTTATACACTTTGTCTTTATGGAGATTAGAGATATCGTTACCATATCTCTGCCTACCTTCGAGAGAACGATCTGAAAAGGAAGGCGATGTCGGATTTGAAATGGAGGGGACTAGGGTTTGAGTCAAGTCCTATCGTCTGGTTGACTCAAATGCGAGGGCAATTCTGATATTCAAAGTACCGAGGATTGAAAGTGCTCTGCCAAGGCGCTCTGCAACTGTTGTTGTGGTTCCAATCGAATGAAGGATTTGGCGTGAGACGTTCTGAGGATTCTAATGCTGTGAAGAACCCAATTGAGCAAAATTCAGCTAGAATGCAGCTGAAAATGCCATCAATGACTGCTCAAAGGCCAGTGTAATCTGAAAAATGGTCCCCGAAAGTACCAGGAAGAATATTCCAGAAACTCAGGCCCTTAAAGCCCGACACTTACCTTTCCAACCAACCTTATCTTTGGTGTTTCCCCATACTCTCATACCGAATGCAAAGACAAATCTATCTTAGCGAGTAGGGTCACTAGACCTTAAGAGGAAGGAGCCTCAGTAGTTATCGCCGGGGCTCTTTGCTGACATTATTTTTCTTTTTCTAGCTGATCTCCTAGTGAGTCCATAACTACACCGAGCTGAGAAAAATAAAACACCGACGATAGGTCATTTCATCTTCTGGTATTTTAGGTACCAATGTGTGGGAGTTAGTTATAAGATAGACAGGGGCCAGGAAGACGCCACCGAGTTGGACCCTGAAAACTCTTTTTCTTAACTTAGTGCTCTCGATAGAATGAAGGCAAAAGATGAATTTGAATTTTGAAAGTCTTATGGAACCGGGGACGCCTTTACAGGAACTTGATGGACTTTCTGCGGCACGCATACGTTGTGGCTTACTGTGACTTTCCTTCCCGGCGATAAGCTTTCTTTCCAAGAAAATACTGGGCTAAACTCATATGTACCTAGTTAGGAAAATTAAGTGCAATTTATACTAAAAGACAGACATAGTATAAACACTGCATAATGAAATATAACTGAGTGGTACATATCTGTTGTAATGTGCTCCATATCAAACTGGATATACTGGAGGTGCAAAGAACACCTCACCCAAATCCAGTTAACTGACTCAGGGGTAGTAATGTGAAACCTGGCCCTGCCAAATAAATAATTATACCAGCACATCCTGGATAAATTAACTTAAATCCCCAGCGCGTAGATCTGAAGGATAATTGCTTTCTTTGATTCTGTCTTTGCCCGGACCATCTTTGTATGCTGCACCGGACACGGACTGGTTGCCGCACGTGGTCCCATAAGCCCTAATCCATACAGGCTTTCTTCCAATTGCTAAAATCAGAGGACAGGCCTAAGAAGAAGCTCATGTAGTATCTGACAGCAATTGCAATGATTTCTCCGCTCATTGATTTTTACGAGAATGTTCTAGTATCCGCAGTAAAGTCACATATTGATCGATGGTTTTATTTATGCCAAGTTTGAAAAAAGAAGCAATTGACGAATGATCGAGGGATAATTAGAACTGCAGGTTTGATCGTACTTGAAACCAGCATATGAATGGCAAGCGAGTTCATATTGTTAAAGAGCTGGTACCACGCATGTGCCTATCTGGCGATCTCGTCGCTTCTGCTATGCCAGATATTCTACCTCAGCCAATAATCTAGTTAAGAAACAAATAGAAAGCCATGACAAATTGCTGAAACGATAAGAGGCTGAAAATTAGCCAAAGAGTTTTAAAATAAGCCAGTAACATTAGTGATGTAATCCCCCGCAGCCTTTTGTGGTTCTAAAATGCGGGTTCCGAATTTTGGGCAGCAAATTGTGTCAAAATCCGTAGAGTTTAATCCGTGTCCCTATAATTGGGGCCTTTAACCTCCTGTTTCAAGGGGTTGTGCTAATAACAACATCGTAGTAAAAAGTGATGATCATAGTCAATCAGACATGCGGTTTCCCAATATTTTGCTGCAGACTAAACATATTGGGAGTGTATAGTAGATCACCCCGGGACCTGAATAAGAGAGCTACATGACTCTCCTTTCGCCTGCTAATAACTAGGATATTTAAATCAGGAAGACTCCCATACCTTCTTTTCTCACAAGTTCATTTTATTTACGATCTCAGAATTTTAACAGAACTATTCTTTCCATACTATAATATTTCCACCAAAAGGTTGGTATGTGTAAACTATTCCCATCATTACTCTCACTGATTTCTGTAGTTCTTAAACACGATGCGTTCCAATATCATCTCTACCCTCCTACTAGCCACTACGGTTGTGGCTGGCGCTCACAGCCCGGTTCAGCAACGCAGCGCGATCAGCACCGACGATATTCCCGTGGTCAACCTCGTCACCGGCCTGCTGAAAGCACTCAATATCGACGCCGATGTTACTGTCGACCCTGATAACCTTGTGAAGCACCTCAGCCAGAGCCAAAAGAACGGATTGGCGACATGTATGAAGCAATATCTTCCTGAGGATGTGAAAGCTTCTGCTCCGGCGTCTAAAAGACAAAACTAAGGATATACTCGAGTTCGATATTCCCGTGAAAGGATACCTGTTTACAGGTTTCCTGGGATGAGATTAAAGGAGCTACTGTATCATTGATAGCCTGATTTTCGCCTCCTGTCTTGTACCATTGTTTTTCTTTCTTTCTTTCTTTTTTTGCGCTTTACCAGCGAATCGAATTTATTCTGAAGCGATTGTTTGTCCGTGGATATGTTTGTAACAGCTAGGGACATCTTGACGAATACTCGATAATCAGGGCAGACAATAACTAGGTAATTGATGCCTTGGGAGTATTTTTCACTCCTTAAAGAGTCATCTAGCCTTGAGTGTTCGGATGCCTCGCTACGATAACATATTACAAATTTTCCAAATGGGTCAACTATAGTTAGTAAGGCGTAATTTGTAGTTCACACTGCGACACTAAAAGATGTTAGTATGTAGGCAATAGCAAAGAAGATCTGATAACTGCAATGATTCCTAGTTCTTGAGTATTTAATAAACAGTCGTGGCTGTACTTGAGTTGTTAGTCTTGCTTAAGTGGTGCAGGTCGAGTCTAAAAGAGTTGCCAGCCTTGTGTGACCTCGAGAGTCGGGAATGTCTTAAAATAAATTTTGAAATGATGATGATGTTAAATTTCAATGATTGGTAATTTTAAATGCCAGGATGCACGGACCTAGCTAAAGGATCACGTGTGCCTTTAACCGAATACGGAAAGAGCAAATCAGAACTAGAGGCCAATAGGATTGAAGGACTACCATAATGTCTTAGATCTTCCTTGACTCTAAGATGGAACCTCTATCCATGAGGGTGAATCGCGAGCACTAGCACTAGCGTACCTGATTGTTTTCCCATCGAATCCCACTACCTCAGAGTTTTCCTATATGTCCTCCTTTAACCATTCTCATATACCTATTCCGCCTTGATAAAACCATGTCCCCTCAACTCGAAGCCCTCCCCTATGAAATTCAGCAGTTCATCTTGGAATATTTGGATGCAACTCACCCGGCAAGCCTCACTGCTCTGGCCTGCGCCAGTAAGAATCTTTTCGCCACTGTGAAGCCCTTTTTGTTTCGCACCATCAGATTCTCAGTTAAAGACATAAGGGACTACAACAGAATTCAGCCGGATCGTATATCCATAGCAGTGCAAGAGTACTCAAAGTTGCTAAAGCACTATAACAGCGCGGAGTATGTCCAAAATCTCATTATTGGCGGCGACATAAGCGAATATGATTACCGCGAACGCGGACTCAGGTCCCAGAATGGTGATTTTGGGCCTTATCACTGGAAACAGTCCAAAATATCCCACGTGGATCGTTTAACACTTGCTTCAGCGGATGGCGAAGTCTGCGACGAGCCAGACCCAGTGCGACACATGTCCCGTGCTGATTATTCTAAGCCTGATGCCTGCTACAACGACAACCCTGCCTGGAAGCCCCTGGCAGAATTCATAAAAATGCTTCCCGGGTTGAAACACTTGGTCTATAACTACTTCTCTCAGTTTCCACCATGCTTGCTCGAGGTACTGCACAATAATCTCCCGGGATGTAAATTGCATTTGTATACTTTTAGTATGCGAAGTGTTCCATTACTGGACGACTACGAGACCAAACTCATCACGTCGCCCTGTCTAACCAGCATAAGGATTGTTTGCAAGGTGGATACGAGACGAGGAACCGACTTTGAGCTAGGCCATCCGGCTGACCATGCGATGCGCCACGCAATCGTATTAGCGCCAGCCTTGAACAGGGTACACATTGATGTGTGCCGCGGAGGTGGTGCGAGACGCATTTTTCTTGAACCAAGAATTATCCCGACGACAGTATGTCCTAGTGCGCCGAAGTCTTTGGACGTTCGAAATTCCCTGCACTCGCTTCGACTTCGTTTTGTTATTTCGGCGAACCGAGAACTCGTAAAGCGCTGGACAGCACGCATCGATTTCTCCAAATTGAAAGTTCTAGGCCTCACAGGGAATATTAATGCGGATACATTGGACTATATGGGATCAAGCTACCAATTTCCTTCCCTCCGAAGCCTCTTTATCCGTTATACGCTCCACGACAGCGCTTGGGTCAGTGGGGAAAGCCTAAAAAGATTTTTGGACCGCTTACCGCCATTATTGTCCTTAACTGTGTCGTTCTCGAGGTCTGGACTGGACGTGGACGGCATTGCCAAACACCACGGTGCCGCACTACGGAGGCTTACAATAAACAATCCTCACTTGAATGAATATGACCTGAAATGCTTGGCCAAGTACTGTCCTCATCTGGAATATTTGAAATTGGGCCTGAAACGAACATGGGGCGATGCGAATGAAATAGCTCTCTACAAGGCTTTGGGGTCTATCCCACGTCTAGTAGATCTGGACCTAAGCCTCAACGCACCCGATCGAAATCTTCGCGGCACGGATGCTCCAGATTTCTCCGATGACGATCGCTTTGACAAGTTCCATAGGAAATACTGCACCTTACGGAGCGGTTTCAGAGACGAGCACACCGAGTACATCAAAAACGGCTACGTCCGAGACCAGCTCATGAATTGTGCTCTGGACAAGGACCTGGCTTGCGCTATTTTCCGAGCCATCTCTGCAGGAAAACCTAAGGATATCGGTCGGCCACTGCAGAAAGTGAAAGTCAGGATGGCAGGTGGAAGAGTCACTCGATGCTATGGCGGAAGAGATGATAATCATATCACTCAATATATCTTGGCCGTCAGCCAATGGTGGCAAGTGGAGCGAAACGTTCGAAATGATCGGCCAAATGACTTAGTTACAACAAAATGCGATGCAGAGAGGCACCCGGATAGAAACAGAACAAACAACTATTCAATCAGCAACGCCGAGGAAGTAGTCCAGCGGCTTTGGCCTGGAATCAAAGACATGTCAGATTGGGAAAATCACTGGCATAGCTTTCCTTTGGCTGATATCGACAAGGGAGAGAGTGATTGTAGAGATTTAGTGAGCCGAGGGCCACCGCGGCGATCTGAAAGGATCAAAATGAAGAGCAAAATGAATGGATAGGATGCCTAATCAATGAATGAATGAACAAATTTGTTGTGCCTAGGACGAAAAAGGTTGAGAAACAGATTAATGAGAGATTAGCTTATGTTACTCTCCAAGACAAGCGCCCAGTCATCATGAGTGTCAGCCTTAGGTGGCCTGAACTCCCTAATTGTTGTGTTGTTCTCGCATTGCGTATATGCCATTTCAATGTAGTGACCAGAGAGTGGATCATACCACCTCGCATTCACATCACAGCCCTTAATATCTTTGGTATCAATCGAGAATGGCTTTCCAGTGGGCGTGTAGACCATTATCCATGACCCGTTTGAATCACGAAGAGCCTTGGTTTTCTTGTCATTCGCGCCTAGCGTTTCTGTCAGCCGGCCGAATTCAATTGCGACTGAACTTGGATTTTGCTTTTTATTTGACAGGGAATCCTAACATACCTGCGTTACCAACGATGATCTCAGGTGCTGGAACTCTATCGAAGAAGCTACTGTTTCCACGATCGAAAACAGCCTTCTTGACGAATTGTATCTGTTCCGAGCCCGGGAGATTGATGGCTTCATACCACGGAATTGCAGGCCCACCACCATTAGACTCCGATAACGAGGGATTATACATTTGCCAGACCATATCGGCTCCGTACACGGCACCGGCGGCACCGGAGAAGACCTGATACAGCGTTAACACTTAAAGATCATTCTGTGTTCCTCCAGGCAATGAAAACTTACAGTCTGCCATGTGCCAACCCGTACATCACTTGCATTCCAAACAGGTAACCAGTCGCGTGCATTATTATATCTCCCCTCGTAGTGCGGCTCATTATCCAAGGCCGGTCGCTTCTTTCCAGGCCGCGTCTCCCCAACGGCATACATCAGCTCCACAGTCTCGTACCCGCGTCTGCAATTCCACCAGTTGATCGGTGGATTAGGAGGATAGTCACTATGACCGGACTGTGCGATGTCGAATGTCAACCAGCTGCGATGCCCGGCCTCTGAGCTTGCCAGTGCCAGTGGCGCTCCGCTGAACCACTGATTCTGATTATGAAGACTGATTAACGGCGCGTAATCTGCACTGTCCGTACTATTCCTTATAACAGCCTTTTCGCCTCGAATGATACCCTCCGCAAGGGCATCATAGACCGGAAGCCAATCGATAGTCTCATAGTCAGAGGGAACACCACCATCGGCATATTCTGCCTTAACCTGTGTCTTATTCTGCCATGTCGGATTGATATCCCCAAATAGGATCTTCGGCAGATACGGATACCTTTTCCCGATAAACTCGCCCAACACACCCGCATTGCTCGTGTTCAGCGGCCCCGCGACATTCTCGCTGTTATGCACATAGTTCCCCCATGCGGGAAATAGGGCTACCCGGATTCCGTGCCTCTTCCATGCTAGTTCGACTACTGAGTCGACGTACGTCCAGTAGGCCTCGTTGGGGTGGTGAACGTCCATATCGATGAAGGCTAAATCGCCCTGTCTGTTTTGGCCGTCGAGACCGTCAGATGAGGGCCCGATAGCTTCGACGATGTTGAAGCCCTTGGAAGCGCGGTCTGCTAGGTATAGTTCGGTCTCGGTGTAATTGAGGCGCGTCATGAGTGTCCATGCTGTGTCAGCTTGCCAGAAGAATGGCGATCCGTCGGATAGCTGGAAGAAGTGCCCGTTGGCTGAGGTGTAGAGGGCATATTCGGGTGGTGGGGACCAGGATGCGTAGGATAGTTCAGAACAGAGGTAGAGCGTAGTTAAGGTGATACACTTCATGTTTATGTTGCGAGGATGCCTTGGTGGCTAACAAAGCATAAATCTGGGATGTACTGAGAGCAAGCCTGGTCTGACAGAGTTCCACCATTGCTTTTAAATTGCTGTCCAAAAAGAAACCGATCGTAATGGATCTGATGAGGGGAACATGTTCCATCGTCACTTTTTGCATGCGCTAGTGCTACCATTGGTGGAATAAAGAGAGCTTTCTAGGTCCTGCTACGTCAACAGACTTAAATTGCAGTGTTAGCGTGTGTAGAATTACCCCGAACGCTGCCCCAACAACCTGATTGCTAAAGCGTTGCATAGCATACATGAACATGCCAAAAGCATTCAAATGTCGAATTCCGGAATTGGCACATATCCCGGCGGCGGCTCTTTCATCTCATTAAAAACCTCCTTCGGAATACCATTCTTATTCACATACTCCAGCACGGTCTCAAAATCCCGACATAAATGCTTATTCGCGAATTCGGGAGACGGCATTCCAGCCCCCTCGACCCAAACAAACAGGATCGGGTCAACACTCCCCGAGCACTTGATACTCTCTGCTAAAACCTCCAGACAGTGCGACGCATGCGAATGGTGATCCAGATGCGATTCACCACCATGTCCCGATCCGTAATGATCGCTGTAGACGTGCTGCCGCAGGATATCGACGCAATGAAGTAAATGAAACACCTCTGTCCAGGCAATATATGCGTCCGAACCGTAGCCGAACTTCTCGGGAATCTTAACAGCCTTGGATGGGTCTTTGCCTATTCTATGGATCTCGGCGGACGAGACGACGATCGGTCGGGCTTTTGTGCTGCCGCCGATTCGGTCCCATTCTGCGTCGGCTTCGGGGCCGGTTGGGACTCGGAGGATAGGTAGGGGTTCGTGATCGTAGAAGGTGCTGTTTGAAGTGAACGTTGTTTTTGGGATGTCAAGACGGTCTAAGAGTGGTACTATTGGTCATGTTCGTTAGTACCAATGTAGTCAATCCGCCACATGTAGTGCAGGGGTGTACTTATGCAGTAGAGACATACAGTAGACCGAAGTAGCTTTCCATTTATCTTGATCATTGAGACGGCGTAGGGCCAGTTGCTTCGACAATGGAGAGAACCAGAAGAAAAGGCCCAATGTGAAGAATATAGCATTCACAATCGTCCATCGCATTCGTCGAATTGTCGAGGAGGGTTGCGATGTTCTGGGGTAACTGTGTCGTGCTGATTCCATAGGCGAGAATGAAAGGCGGGTGCTCTTAATGCCCAGGTCCGTCTCGGAGAGAGGGAGATCCTCGTAGTCTTGTCGATTAGGATAACCCATGTTCGAAGGGGTTCAAATGTGAAACAGTCAATTTTGGCAGTTCCTTCTGAGGATTCAATGTCATCTTGAGCGCCCCATCTTCACTTATATCCCCAGGGATCATAAAGGGAGTGGGTCTAATGCTACATGCTGGCGTGTTTACTTAGCTTTAGTACCGAGAAAGAATGCCTTATGATTTAATATCATTGGAGGCCTTCCAATGGGAGTATTCTTTCGGACACCGAAGTGCTACAAGGAAAGTAAGGGGGTTAAATGTGCTTGCATGTCACACAAGGGAAGCAGGATAACCACTTATGGTTGCATGTGTTGCCACCGCTAGATGCATGGGTATGAGGTAGGTTCGAGACACATCTCAGATTGAGCACACCGCTTCAATCAATCTGACAAAAAGAGCATCCCTTGCATACATCGCTGCGAGGAGCTGGGATTTTCCATCGCGTCTGCGAAATTTGACCTGATCACAGGATTTGCCATTATTATAAGTAATAGCGACTCCGACCCAACGCTAAAAAGCCCTGACATTTCTCCCGATGAGTGGCCCCAGGCATATGGTCATGATAAGAGCGAGGATGTATATTGCTGTGAATAACCGATCTAATCAACGCCGATACTGTACATTGTAAACTGCCTCAAGACCCAGCAATAGGATTACTTCGTTTCCTCAATGGCCTCATCACCGCTTCCTTTCCACCATCGCCAAATCGCTCGACAGTAGAAATATGTTTCCATCGAGCCGAAAATACCGAGAACAACCAGCAGGAAGATTTTCATGTTCTTGCTCAGTCCTAATGAGTCCAGATTCAGGGTTTCCGGAGCGCTTTCGACTGTTTCCTTGGGCGATGCATTGCTAGACTTAGGTTGAGGTGATGGTGGATGTTGTTTGTTGAGAAGAGGGATTCGTGTCGAGAACGGTTGACGAGAGAGAGGGAGTATAGGAAAAGTTGAACGAGCTGGACACTGGACTAAAGGCGCATTCTTGTGGGAGAAGCCCCTTGCATAGAGACGGATAGACTTGGATGATAGCGACATGGATATGAATGTTTTGGGTACTCCGTAATAGCAGAGATGTTTGTGAGCATTGGCTTTATAAAACCATGAAGATATTAAGAAAATAGCTTGAAAAAGTTTCCTTTGAGTCACATTTGAATTTAAATATTAAAGGGCGCGCGGTTTCTCCCGAAGCAGCTTGGCTCCTCGTGTTCTGTTGCTTACGCCGATCCTACCGGAAGAAGGTAAAATGATGCACGCCGAGATATCTCAGCAATCGTGCTCGAAATTTCAACGAGGATAAGATAGAGCATTGTAAACTGACACATCTATAGGGAAGAAAAGAACAGCATATTGAGAACAAGTCGCGTAATGAGAACCCAATAGCCCAATAGCCCACTTGCTGCAGTATATCGTCCCAATGACGTCATCGCGTATAATCTTGGATTCAGACGTAACTCCTGCTATGAACTTAAGCTGCATTAGACAGCATAGCATAAATGTTAGACCGAAGAGATGTTATTAGAAATGAATAGAATGTAAATATACACGTAAAACGAAGAAACCGCCTATCCGTTGACAACCACTCCGCCATTGGGATGCAAACTCTGTCCAGAGATATAGCTACTGTCTTGACTGGCCAAGAACACAAAGCAAGTGGCGATCTCACTTGGCTGACCTGGACGACCCATAGGAACTCCATGGAATTGCTCCATGGCCTCCGAAGTCATCGTCGCTGGAATAAGAGGGGTCCATACTAGTAAGGAAACAGTGTTAGCATATGACGTCCAATTCCGCGCATGGAAAGACCCTTTGACATACCTGGGCCGGGGCAGACAGCGTTGACGCGAATTCCTTTGCTGATTACTTGGTTCGAGAGACCTCGCGTGAAAGAGATGATGGCTCCCTTGGTGGACGTGTAGTCTAGGAGGTCGGGCCGACCGATATACGCGTTGATGGAGGCACAGTTGATGATGGCTGAGCCATTGTGCAGATGAGGGAGGGCGTATTTCGACAAGTAGAAGTAGGGATGGATGTTCACATCAAAAGTATGTTCCCATTGGTCCCTGTAGATTTGTCTGGTTAACGAAATCATCGAGACGGATGGGGATTCTGAGGACAGAATGGACATACTCAGACAAATCATGAATATCCGGGACCATGTTCTGATAGGCCGCGTTGTTCACCAAAATATCAATGCCTCCAAGAGTTTTCAAAGCATGCTCAACCACCTTTTGGCAATTTTCCTTCTTCCGTAGGTCAATTGCCAATAGGTGACATTGGCGACCTGCTTCTTCAACTCGCTTCTTGGTCTCCTGCGCATCCTTCTCTTCCTCGGGAAGATACACAATCAGACTCGAAGCACCTTCTAGAGCGTAGAGGATAGCGATCGCTCGGCCAATTCCTGAGTCACCACCTGTGATGATCGCCCTTTTGCCTTCTAGTTTGTTCGCCGCTTTGTATGTCTGGTACCCGTTGTCTTCGGTCGGAACCTGCGTAGAGGTCGGCTTAGGACCAGCCATCTGGGCCTGGAGACCCGGTTGTTGCTGATGCTGAATGGGGACCTTGTGACCTTGAGACAGAGCGCATTAGTATACGGTTGAAAGGAATAAGATCATGAAGTGAATTGAGAGGTAATACCAGGCTGGAATTGGGCCTGCGGTCCCTGGGCCGATCGCTCGGTGTGTTCCTGCATTGTAATTTTCGGCAATGAAAATATCTAAATTAAAAGATCTTCAATAATTACAGCAATCGAGGACTCTGTGTAAAAGTTAGGTGGTGTAGATGATCAGTTATAAAAGCTGTATACTTTCACTCCGGGTATGACGTTACCATGATGGCACCTCTATCAGACTGGAAAGAGAACATGTCATCATAGCCATCATCTCACCCTGATCTCATTCTTATGTTCCTACAGGCTGCAAAATACACAACGGTCTGGTAATGGCCTTGTTGCATTCATTTCACGTTGGAAAACTGGTTCGTGTTGGTCTTTGCTCTCTTTGGCCCAACGGGCCCAGCTTCACGAAATCTCCCAAGACAGCCTGCGAAATCTCATATCTAAGAAAGCGCTGGCCCACTATTCTTATTATCTTGAGATGCGAATGATAATACGCAACAGAATCGTGAATTATCACTGCGCTACTCCTGTCACTTCCCGGGAGTGCGGTTTCAACGAGCGACCTATTTATAGCGCTGAATAGCAGTGTTTTATGCGCCATGATTCCAATTTTCATGGCCAGAAGCTCACATGATTGCTATAAACTGCTTCGAGTAAGAGGTAGAGCGTTTCTATTATGTCACTGCTCGACCGGCATACAACTCACATTCTTGAGTGAGTGCAATATGCTAAGCATCCATTCTCATAGCGACAATGATGGAGGTTAGTGGACTAATTCGATTTCTAGCAAGAAGACGTACTGATAAAACTAAAACAGAGACTCTTCGAATCCCAAGACGGACAATGATTGATGTATGCCCACAAACCCCAAGAGGCCTATATCGACGACCCTTTCTGGAAGCTCACATATCAAAAGCAACAACGTGAATACCCGCTATTCAAGAGGCGGATGATTAAGAAGCATCAGATTAATCAAAACCACCAGACAAAGAATTAAATCCACTCCTGGGATGTAAAAGTCGAACAATACTGCTGCACCACTATTCATGATGCACATTGCTGCATACGGGGTAAATCCACTGCACACCCAGCCCACAACCGCAGCGGCCAGTGCACCTATCCAAGAATTAGTCTCTTCGCAAACAGAGAGTCCCAGCAGAATCAAGACAGACCTAGGTGGAATCCAGCTATTCCAAATCCCCGAACCATTAAGATTGTGGTAACAACGATGAAAGTCACGGACCAGCTGACGACAATAGCACGAATGCCTAATAAGTTCATGAGCATGATTGGCATAGAGAGATAGTCAGAGGGCATGTACTTGGACGCAAAAGGTATGCAGTCAACTCCTCCAATAGCTCTTTCAAAGGGATATCCCGGACCAGGCCTTCCACGCCATTTGCGGCAAAGATGTTGTCGGACAACAGCCGAAAAACACGAGCTTCAACAGCCTTATGTCGGGATAGAATTAGCTTTGCAAGTATCTCAATCTTGTCAGGATCCAGCCCACCATTTGAGAGGAAGAAATATCAATTTGGCAGGGTATAGAAGTGGAGGGTCAAGATAGAGTTGAAACGACGGTTGGATAAGATAAAGGTGAGGTTAGAAAGTAAGGCCAGCAAGATTTTGTTTTGGCGCGAGTTGATCCTAAATGGCATATATGGAAACTTCCAGTCTGAGCAAGAGCGCACGTGGGCTGAAATTACTTGGTCTTTCCAGTAGACGATGACTGTGCAGCTATACAGTGCGTTCGCTTTGACCGCCTGCACATAGTGAATTTTGTCCACTGATATGCGGATCGCAATGACACCAAAGCGAAAGCAGATGTGCAGAGTGAACAGATTAATCCACTAAGCAAAAAGAATACTGCCATTGCCGACTTTGATACAATGTCTGCCTCCATATCAGCTTCGACGTAAGTACCAGGCCACAATGGTAATGCATACTTAGTCACTTGGAAGGATTGGTTTGGCCATTCGCTTTTAATGAAAACAACAAGAAAGCCCATCAACTTGTGCTAAACATATTATGTTTACACTTGCTCGGGAGTGCAACGAGTCTTTGAATGGCTCTAGAACATGCCTTGAAGCCTCGAATGACAAACTTAAACGGCACCTGATTGGAGAGCACTAGCGAGAAGCTTGTCACGCACAACGTGCATGTCTTATTGGCAGCTCAAGATGCAAACCGAAATGATAGTAAAAGGAAATCGGATAATAACAAGGCCAGACGGACATAAGCGGAGATAACGGACGCCCCACCAAATGGTGGCCAACGAGGACTCCCTTATGACGTACGAGTGTACGACTGTTGTTGTGACATATCCTCTAATTGATCCAAGTTATGATAATCAATTGTGAGTGGTTTGGCCCCATCGGAGTACAGATATCTGCCAAGGATTCAAGTACACCTGTTCTCTCAAGGAACTGTAGTTCGAATGATCCATTCAAACACAGACACCTTCAAGTCTAATTGCCATGACCGAATCTCACGCCAACCTGATCCAGTCGATTTACGACGAACGGAGCACCAAATACGACGACTCATTTCACGGCCTCCTAGCAGACGACTACATTCGCTTCGCGGACCCAAAAGAGGGCGAATATGTGCTGGATCTAGCATGCGGCACGGGCCTAGTAACCATACCAGCCGCCCAGCGCGTCGGAAACGCAGGCCATGTCGTAGGCATTGATATCAGCGACGGCATGCTAGATGTGGGCCGACGAAAGGCCGAGAAGCAGGGTCTCGACGTTCCTTTCATTCAGCACGACATCTCAGACCTCAACGGACTAGAACTTCTCCCCGTCGGCTCTCAGGGCTTCGACTTGATCACGTGTGCTGCGGCTTTGGTGCTTCTCCCTGATCCGCCTGGTGCGATCAGGCATTGGACGACGCTGTTGAAGCCGGGCGGACGGCTCGTCATCGACGTTGCGGCGAAGGATGTCAACGTGCCGAGTAGGCTGTTTTCGCGGATTGGAGAACAGCTGGGTAAGACGCTGCAGTGGGATCAGAGCTGGGTGCAGTCGGAAGAGTCTCTGGCCAAGCTATTGCGGGATTCGGGATTGATGGTGGAGTCTGTGTTCATGACGAAGACGTACCAGGTGCGGGAGTACACTGTTCAGAAAGCATCTGAGACGTTTGAACAGGCGGTTGCGAGCCCCATGTATAGAAACTTTGGTGAGCCTTCGGTGCGGGAGGAAGCGAGGAGATTGTTTGTGGAAGTATTCAAAGAGGAAGCAGGTGCTGAAGGAGTCTTGTTGGATGAGGCCAAGATGTATATGGCTGTTGGTTACAAGCCATGAGATGCCAGACTAGGTACTGAGCATTTCGCTTAGTTCAACTACTCTGCGTCTAATGAGCCCTATTGATTGAAGTTAGCTATAGCTGATAGAGTAGACAGACTGGGACTGAAGATTGCATTTACTTGGCTTTTTCTTGCATCATTAACTGGGAATAATATTTTCACTGAAGTAGATGTGTAGATTCGCCCGTATCCTTTCAATTTAGCTTTGTGAATCCTGGTCTTAGATGTCTATACCACGGCCTTTTCCCTTGTTAGAACCACTCCGAAATTTTTATACCACATAGAACAGCAACCCAGTACTTTTTCCGCCAGTCAAACTGCTCGTCCCTGCATAACATTATTCCTTTTGATTTCTCTAGGGCATGGATGTAGATCACGTGCACATCATAACTGCCGGCGCCGCCGATTGGTCGGACGCTACAAAATGGAGTCAATTTAAAGCGGGGGAGAGCGGCAAATAGAAAGAAGAGAAATAAAGTATGGACCGATAACAAGAAACTAGATATGCAGTCTTGCAACGCCGTTTTAACGCAGATTCTCGGAAGGTCCACTGCTATGTGGTGTGACGGTGGTTGAATGTTCACCCTGGCCATGAAGAAAGCCCTTAAATAGTGTATGAGTAAACAGCCAATTGGAATAAGCTTGATTTTTTGTCGGTGTTGGAGGAATATAGTACGTTCCCAAAAACACCCACCTTTTCTGAACTCAATTAACAATAACTAGTACTTTATGCAATGGGGATATTCTGTCATGCCGTGATCGCCGTCCTGTTTCCGTTTATAGACCATTCCGAGCAGCCTTATCCACAGTCTCGAGCCATTAGGGAGTGGAAACCGCGTCAGCGTCACGCACGTAATATTTTAGTAGAGTGTCGCTGTTTTGTTTGCTGGATTGCCCGCGGAAGCAGTTCAGTTGTTTGTCTCAATGGGTCCAATATATGGACCTACTTGCTGTTAACAGCTTAACCGCTGAATGTTTTGCCACAAAAGAAAAGTAGCATTAGTTGGATGGGGCTGAAAGTTTGAAGTTGATGCTAAATAAGTGACAAGAGCTGCATCTCGCTGCATAGGGCAATTTCAGTCGAGATCAGTCGATTCGCTTCAAATCCGTGGGATGTACTCCGTATAATCCCGGCCCTGGACCCCGCCCTTTTGAGCAGATCGCATACTTAATCAGTAGGCCATCGTTCGGACATGGTATAACCCTTGGCTCCGTACCTAAGCTTGAACTAGTCAAGCAGGGGTGCATCGGCCCCGATGCGCTGCAACGTCGGCTCGAGAGAAGATTTTGACTCGGATAGTCGTCTAGGCAGATACGATATTCAATTGTCTCTCGGTTCACGGCGAGAGCCAAACTCATCAGGCCTTGTACAATGGTCGATCATCTCCAACTCTGTCCATGAACTGTCAATCCCGCCAAGGATCAACAAAGTTAGGGGGATAGTTGAACACAATATACACGGGCCAATTCCGTTCTTCTTTTCGCTGATCCGAGCGGTGGATCTGCACAATATCCGAACAAAATCTGCTCGATGCATGTCCCACAACTGTCAATATCCCATCTGGTCAATCGTCACACTCGACGGTTGTTATACTACTGTCAACCTGCATCCATCACACAGTAGACTCGCAGTGGATTGCCAGGCACCGAATCCTTCAAGATATACTGGAACCAATTGCAAAAATGCCGCAGGGTCTATGTTCCACGTACGATGTAGAACGGGGGATTACCGATATTGGAGGACTATAGTTACATATATAGCGGGGTGATATAGACTATGAGAATCGTAGAGTACGTCTTTCTTTCGGCCATTGAGACCTCAATTCAACGGCAACATGGCAAGCATGGGAGATTCCGTCTCCGACACCACTTCAAGCACCATGGTCGCAGAAAATGGCATCTCCACTAATTCCGACCGCTATGAATTAAGACTTGAAGCCCAATCGCCATCCACGAAGCAAGAGCACGATGAATCCCGGGCATCGGATTTCGAGGACCTCCCACTTCGTCTACCACCATTACTATACTCCAATCGCAACGCCTCTGCAACTTCCGCAGGCTGTCATAGGTTGACACGAGAGTTGGGATCCTCATTTGGATCAAATCTACAAGCCATTGGGGCAGAAAATGGTGTCTCACATACCGCGACCTTCCTCACGGGCCTTGGCGTCATGATCAGTCGCATCTTGGAGATTGATGCCGAGTTTTGTGTTACGGTTGATGCATCTGACAAGGGTCTCTGTCCGGTGAGGCTACACCCAAGCCCTACACAGAGTGTTCAAGATGCGCTCAAAGACGCAGAGAAGGCGTTGAACAGAGCTTTACGCTATTGGCCGGTTGGCCAAAACCGCAGTCATGAACCTACGATTGTACTTCGTCATGAGATTGTTGATGCGCCTCAGGAGGGTCCTGGGGCTACGTTATCCGGCAAAGAGGCAAACTATGCGGGTGTGGAGATCAGTGTTAGGATTACAGAGTGTTCTCTTGATGGCTCTATAATTGTTACATTTGACGTCGCCAAGTTTCTGTACACCGAAAACGATGCTCAATTGTTGCTTGACTGTTTTCTACATGTCATGCAGGTGATGCAGACCACTATCTCGTGCCTTGTCAGCCAATGCCCTTTATACGAGAAAGACGAGGCCTGGAAACATACAGAAGTGGGCAGAGGATTAAAAATGAATCACGCATGGCCACCGACACTTCTTCACAAGATCGATGAGATTGTTGCCTCCCAACCAGGCGCTATTGCAGTCGAAGACGACGCAGGCAACGCCTGGACCTACTCCCAGCTCTCCAACCGAGTACAATCATTATCCCAAGCTCTCTTGAACGCCGGTGCCACCGCTGGCCAAACCGTCGCCGTATTCTGCGAACCCGGTATCGACTCCCTCTGCGCACTCCTGGCCATTACGCGCCTCGCCGCTATTTATGTCCCACTGGATCTGAACCACCCGATGGAGCGTCTTTCTCTGATTGTGGATGACAGCAAGCCTTATGCCATTATTATGCATGAACCCACCCACGAGAGAATCGCGGGATTACAGCACTCTGCCAACATACTCGACATGACCAACCTCCCCACCACGTCCGAGCCTGTCCCAATCACCTGTACTTCCTCGGACGGTGCATTCGTCCTCTACACCAGCGGCTCAACAGGCTGTCCAAAGGGCGTTCTACTCAGCTACGAGAACTTCCTAGGCCAGATCGCCTCCTTCACGCGCGAGTATGGGCTAAAGAGAGAGCGAGTACTCCAGCAAAGCTCTCTGGGTTTTGACGTATCGCTGCACCAAACCTTTGTTGCTCTAACGACAGGCGGGACGCTGATTATCGCAACGAATATGATTCGGCGCGAGCCGAGCCAGCTTGCAGAGCTGATGCGGACGACTGCTGTGACCTTCACGCTGGGTGTGCCGTCTGAGTATGCCGTGCTGCTGCGCTACGGAAGGTGCCATTTACAACAATGTCCCGGTTGGCGATACGCTGTGTGCGGAGGCGAGCGGATGACGGTGTCGCTGAAGCAGGCGTTTCGGGAGCTGGGAAGTGCAGGCCCGACGCTGGTTAGTTGTTATGGTCCGACGGAGGTCTCGCTGGCTTCATCGTACGGTGTGCTCTCGTACACAGACCGGTCTGCTGGGTCGGAAGACGAGAATAGCCCTGTCGGATCGACACTGCCTAACTATGCTGTTTATGTTCTGGATAAAAACATGAATGCCGTTCCGACTGGGTTCCCGGGAGAGGTATACGTCTCCGGCGTCGGTGTGGCGTTGGGATACTTGAACAACGAGACTCGCACGAAGGAGCGATTCCTTCCCGATCCTTTCGATGTCGAGGGAAAGAGTCGGATGTATCGAACGGGAGATCGAGGGCGTCTTCTACCTGATGGATCGCTTGTTTTTCTGGGCCGCATGGAAGGCGATTTCCAGGTGAAGTTGCGCGGAATACGCATTGAACTGGACGAGGTTGCGAATGCGATTGTTTCGGCATCGAATGGCGTGCTTCGTCAAGCAGCTGTTATACTGCGTGGCACGGAAAATAAGTATCTTCTTGCCTTCGTTACTTTTTCGGAGGGTTGGGCTGGGAATAAGGAGGATTATCTAGCGGGACTTCTGCAGAGATTGCCGTTTGCGCCGTCAATGAGGCCTGCGCAGCTTCTTCCCCTGGATAGGTTGCCTACTAATGTTAATGGCAAGTTGGATCGACGAGCGCTGGATACATTGGTAATTCGGGGTGCTCAACCGAAGAGCAACCAGCCTCTGAAGCAGAGTGGGAACGATACCGAGAATAGGCTGAAGGAGGCGTGGAAGGCAGTGCTGGGTGAAAACAACTCCTTAGGCGGATTCGAGATCAGATCGGACTCGGATTTCTTCCAAGTCGGAGGTAACTCGCTTCTCCTCGTGAAGCTACAGGCTGCTGTCGCCGAGACCTTTGGTGCTACGATTCCGATCCGCGAGCTGTTCCAGATTAGCGTGTTAAAAACCATGAGTGCACGACTGGCCTCTACCCAGACAGAGACGGAGGAAATAGAATGGGATGAGGAAGTGAACATGCATCTACGACATTTGAACACACCTCTTCCCTGCATTTCGACTAACTCTCGACCGGCCCAGCACGGATCCCAGGTCCTTCTAACAGGCACAACGGGCTTCTTGGGCAGATACATTCTCAGACGTTTGGTCGATGACCCTGCCGTACACACCATCCATTGCCTTGCAGTCCGCCAGCATAGCATCTCATCAAACGGTACATTGGCAAGAATATCGTCTCCCAAGATCAAACTCTGGCCGGGCGATCTCTCCAAACCCTATCTAGGCCTGATGGGCTCCACATTCACACGTCTCGCTCAATCAATCGACCTGATCATCCACAACGGGGCGGACGTTTCTTTCCTCAAGACATACAGCAGTCTGCGTGCGCCCAATGTCCAATCAAGTGTTGAACTGGCTAGAATGGCACTACTCAGAGGAATCCCACTACATTACGTCTCCTCCGGAGGGGTCATGCGTCTTGCCTCTCCCAGTTCGTGCTCGACTCCAGACTCTGAAGCAAGCAGTCATTCGGGCTACTTTTCAGGCTCGGAACCCAGTCTTGAAGGCCCCGCCGACAAGCAGCTTTTCTACCCCCCAACCAATGGCTCAGACGGCTACATCGCTAGTAAATGGGCGAGCGAGCAGACTTTGGAACGAGGACGCGAGTTCGGTCTGCGGTGTTATATTCACAGGCCCACAACGCTTGTTGGCGATGGCGTCCCGAGTACGGATCTCCTGCATAATGTCCTGCGCTACTCTGGGCTTCTGAAAGCCGTGCCGCGGTTCAACAGTCTAGATGGAGTTATTGATATGGTTCCTGTTGATGAGGTCGCTGGAGGTATACTGCGATGTGCTCGCGAGCAGGTGTCAGGGGGGATTACGTGTCATTCTGGAGCTCAGGTGCCTCTGTCAGACCTTGCTGGGTATGTATCCGAGACTAGCGTGCCGTTGAAGACGTTGGAAATGGAAGAATGGGTGCACCAAGCTACCATTCTCGGTCTTGACTCTCAGATGGCATCGGTGCTGCTCAGCGAAGAGGGCAGGAAAGGTCACGGGTTGATCATTCCGCAGGCCTAATTAGCACCCAACTCAATTCAACCATCATGAATACAGTCATAGGTAGATATAGAACCACAAAAAAGCAAGTCATTATTTGAATAGCACATTCCATAATCAATCCTATCCTAATATACAACCACCCATCCGTATTCCCACCAAACCCAAAACACTCCATACTTTACCGATACTCATGTAACTCGATACTCTGCCGCACACGAATCCCATCGACCCCTGCCTCACTCTCATGGTCGTCCGAGACTCCAGCGTGCACCGTTGTCTGATTCAGCGCCTTCATGGACCCCGAGTCATCGAGACGCACGAACAGCTGCGGATCAACGGAGTGCGTCGAGCCCTTCGGGTATCCCGTGCTCGATTTCGTCTTGCTGCGGGTTGCGGTTGTCAGGGAGAACTTGCGGGGGAGGAGGTACGAGAGCACAGGGCGGAGGGTGGGCAGGCAGGCGCAGATTACGGCGACGGAGGGTTCGACCACGGTCCAGATTAGGGCGTCTAGGTAGACCCCTGGTTTGGGGTTAGTTTTGGTAGATGGGTTTTGGGGGGAAAGGGGAGGTACGAACATGTTAGGTCGGGGTCGTTGACGTGGAGGATTGAGACGAGGAGACGCATTAGGGCTGTTACGCAGGCGCTGGAGTGCTCGTTAGTATCGTTTCATGCTATTGCAGGATGCACATGGGGAGGTAAACGAGGGGACGGGACATACAAAGATCCTAGTAGAAAGATAAAGGTCAACGCGATCTTCTGCGACCCCGTCAACGTCAACCGCCAGATCATATGGATCGGCAAGATGAGAATAAACACATCCAGCACGATGTTGACCACCGCATAGCCGATATCATAGTCCAGGAGGCTCATGCACTTCCGCCCCGGGAGATCTGTGAACCAATAGCCCTGGACCGGCACGCAGGTGAAAACGCCCGACACGCACATCCCGATCCACCAGGCGATGTTGATACAGACGAGCCAGAACACGACCCGGCGGAAAAGCAAGGTGTCGAAGATGCGGCGGTAGAGGAGCAGGAGGGAGATTTTGATCGTCGGCCCAGTCGCGATGTAAATCTGGTTGAATGCGTAGAGGGTCTTCCAGAACTTGACGTAGGGAAAGGTGTTCTGGATGGGGTCGAGGTGTTTACCTACGCCGTACTGAACGCCTGGGTTGGCATTGTTAGTTGGATATGGACTTAGGGAGAGAAAGAGGGGGAGAGAGGTGGGCATACAGAGTGTCGCGCAGACGGCGCATCCCCAGGTGAGGATCTATATCTTCATCAGTATAGCTGTCACCCTGCCGTGCTGATCGGCTTCGACTCACCAACCCCACGATCACCATATAGTCATCCATCATCCATGGTTGACTTTTAATGCGACGAGATAGGAACCGTCCCACCACAGACAGCGTCGCCACCGTCACCACGGGGTACACGCTGCTGATGAGGACAGGACCGCGGTCGTCGTGCAGGCCCATGATGTCTGGTTTTAATCCGGAAGTACACCCATGGTAAATATCATCAGGGGATCAGACGAACTCAGCTGGCAGGGTCGGCGCCTGCAGGGCTACAGATTTTATTAGAATGCCCCCGGTCGGAAATTACGCAGAGTCGGCAGTGGCATGACAAGGATATTCTGATAGTCAGGGAACCGGGGTTGTCAGCCCGAAGGACTTCCCTCTCTCTACAGCGTAGGAACGGGCGAACGCAAAGGGGGCAGGACGACCAGGAGGACAAGACCTCGATATTACATGGAATCGAGACGAGAGACGAAAATCCTGCACAGGATCAGAACCAACAGGGAAGATCATCCTCTCTCTCGCCCTCCCTCTGCCAAGTCGGCCGGAACTCATTCCTATCTGCAGGATGACACCCCGGACAGTGTATCGGCGAGGGCAGAAGCACGACTCCGAAGGTGGCAATGTGGACCAGAGCCAAGCAGAATGGCGTTTCAGCGGTGATTGTGGTCACTGTTGCGCCAGAATTAGGGCCGGCTGTGGAGGTGACGGCCCGTCACCCTATAGAACCGCTGGATAGGGGCCGATCAATAATTGGCACGCGCTGCCGTGGCCAGTTCGGAGGAATGTGATTGGAAGGGCTAATATGCAATTGCTGGGATTCAGTTCCTCGTCTCCTCCTCGCTTTTCGGCCAAGACTAGCCAGCGCTAACTGCGGTGGAGCAAACTGATCCTCCCGTGCTTCCGGACGGGGACGGGCAGGATGGGGATTCCTAGTCGATGGGTCCACGTTGCACTGGCAGCTGCTAGACTCAATAACTTCGGCCTATTTTAGTTCAGCTGGACTTTTGACTGCAGTCACGGGGGGCACGCAAGACTTTGCAGGGTACTGCAGGACCTCCCCCTTGCGCGAGAGCCACCTGCGTCGTATATTCTCTTCTGCACGGGCTGAACTCTGTTCTTCACCTCTCTTCTACACTATACACTAGGCATACACAACTAAACCACGGTCGAGCAAGGCTAATTGCCGTCGACTTTGCCGCTCACCCCTTTTCCAACGTGGTCCACATCCACCGGCACCACCACCTTCTCCTCCTGTCCGTAGTTGGTCGGCCGCACGCAGAACCAAGTCACCAACACCATGCATAGCAATCCCACCCCTTGCAGCGCAAAGGTCCACGCAACCACATATATCTGATCCAATCCCGCAGCCTCCGTGCCAAAGGTCGCGCAAAGCCCACCGGCCAAACACCCTTTTGCGAACCCCGCAAAGCGAGCGAGCGTTTCGGGGTCATTGCTCAGCGAGGCAACGATCCACTGCACCACAACTTGATACTAGATTTTTTAAGACACAAATTTAGCTTCCTCCTTTTACCTTTTATGCTTTGTTTGCTTTTTTTGTTTCGAGGGACGGGACGCGAACTGCAGAATCCAACGTGGGGGCCGGGGATAAAAAAACACTTACAGCAACCATATTGATCCCAAACAACAGCGTCAGGACGATAAATCCACCGAACGGGCCGTCCGTCCAGTCCCACAGCGGAGGACTCGTTAGGTCGATGGGATGTTGCGACAACCACACGCAGAGGCCGATCCACAGTCCGAGCGTGAAAAGGCCCATCACGACGATCGCGAGGAGGCCTCGTGCCCGGCGAGTGCCGATCTTGCGACTATCCAGCATAGCCATGGTCCCTATGGCCCCGACGGCTTGGAGGATGACGAAGATCACCGAGTTGAGACTGCGCGTGCGGATGTTGAAATAGAGGGCTGTGGACGGTTAGTTTGGGAGACTCTTTTTTGAGAATATGAGAATGGTACGTACAGTTAATAGACGAGAATGCGATGATTGCCACCTCGGAGCCGAACATGGGGAGGAGAAGTGCGAGCATGCGCCAGTCCATGATGATCTGGCGCTGGCCCTTGAGCTCCTCCCACACGCCACGATGAGGATAGTGGGCGATGGGCGTGCCATCGGCGCGACGCACGTCAGCTGGGGAGATGATTCCGAACAGAGCGACGGGTAGGGAGAGAGCCATCAGGATGATGAACACGATGTATACCGAGTCAGGGCATTTCAGCTCCCCGGCGTTGAAGTTGATGCCAAAGGCGACGAACGAGGCAATGGTACTTCCAACACTGAGAAGGCCCCATTGCATGGAGATATACGTTCCTTTCTTGTCTTCGGTCGCATAACTGAAGGCAATGAATCCAGCCGCCGTCCAGAGATGAACGGCCGTGATACCCAATATTGCGCCGCCGAGAATCGGAAACCACAGATTTCCGGTATTGCTGACTGTTGCAGGTTGAGTCAGTGTTTGCGCTCAGATTATCGTCACAACTGGCTGTCGGGGAAGTACATACAGTACCACAGAGAGCCGACGTAGATGGGATATCCTATGGTTCCGAAAACAAGGGTGTACTTGGGACCGACAGTGGTCACGACAGAGCCGCTGAAAAAGCCCACGACGAAGTAAATTCTGCCCAGAGATTAGCTGACGGGGATCTGAGAAGCAGGGAAAACTTCTAGACGCACGCATAAAGAACCGAGTTGACGATGTTCTGCATCTGCGTGGCGTTGGCGGGCCCGCCGCCTGCACCCAGGTTGGTGACCGCGACACTTGGGCGGTTAGAGATGTGAAATCATTGGATATGTGATAGGAATCACATTAGTACTCACTAAAGCCCTGGTCCTAGTCCAACCACTACAGAAGCAAGGAGGTTCTGCACGAAGGGACTAGACGCGATCAGCATGGGCAAGTATGATCCCGGTATACAAGGCTCACCTGTTTAATCTGCCCAGCTTCATGGTGAGAAGCGAAGGAATAACAAGAAAAAAAAATTAAAACGAGTGTAGGAAGATACAACGACAGAAGAGCAAGAACGACAGTAGATATGACCATGCAGGGTAATCAGCGTCGTGGCGAGTGGCATGAGCAGGATTATCTCAACGATTAGCCCTCATTGGAATTAGACCGAGAATACGTAGTATGCCGGAATCCTTTGACCGGGCAATTAAAAGAAATGGCTCATTAATTAATGCAATCTGCAGGGATTGAATCCTGCCGAGCAGCTACTTAAAGCTTTGGAACATCGCTAACCCGTGGAACAATTAATCCGGACAGGCGAAAGGAGATAAAACGAAAAAGAAAACGCGTTTCGTATTCATCCTGCCCTAAACCATTCCCCGATTCTCATCTTTCCTCCGTGTCCGTGTAAATGGCTGCTTCGCATATCATCGGATACGCCGACCCTCTGACGGCCTCGCCTGGCCAGACCGTCGCCATCCACGTCTCCTGTCACCGTGAGAAATACACCAGTGAACTAGTCCGTCTAGGCCCCGGGCAACTCAACCATCCTGACGCTCCGCCCGAGGATCGTCGCCGCGTAGAATCCCTTGCGTCCCTCTCCCACACCGGACGCCCACAGTTCTCCCGTCCGGGGTCCTTTGCGTCGGTGCCCTGGAGAGGAGACCTTCTGGATCAGCATCAGAAGGATGCGATGATCGTATCCTTCTGGGCACAGCCCACTCTCCCACGTGCTGGTCACGAACAGTATCTGTTCTCATCCCTCGATCCCGATGGTCGGGCGGGATTGGCAGCGCTAATCGACGGGGAGGGAACGCTGGTTTTGTGCTCCGGGAGCCCCGAGGGTGTACAGCGTGTTTCATCGTCGATCTCGCTCGAGCGTGGGCGCTGGTATCGTCTGGCCCTCACCTGGGATCGCGCATCCAACACTATCGGCGCCGACGTGCAGGCCAAGGCCGGCGACGTCGGACAGGATTCCACCGTGCAGGCCGAGAACCACCCCGTCAAGCCCATGCAGCTGTCGACATTGCAGACCTTGACGATTGCGAGTCATTCCAGTGCTGGACGAGTGGCTCCACACCCAGTCCCGTCGTCCAGTTTCAACGGCAAGATCGACGGGTTCCGCGTGGAACTGGGATGGAGATGCATCTTGGACCTGGATTTCAGCAAGGACATCCCCACGGACTCTGTTCGTGATGTGTCTCCTAATGCAACTCATGGTGTTCTTATCAACTCTCCTGCTCGTGCAGTGACGAGTCATGATTGGAATGCTCTCGACGTTGACTGGACGCGTGCCACGTATGGCTACGGCGCCATCCACTTCCACGACGATGATCTCGACGACGCCGCGTGGGAGAAGGATTTCGATCTCGAGCTCCCCAAGGATCTGCATTCGGGGTGCTATGGTGTCGTCGTGTCAGATGGTGAAACTGAAGATATCATTCCAGTCTTCGTTCGACCTGATCTCTCCAAATCGTCGAATCCCCCTGTTGCTCTGATCATGCCCACCTTCACCTACACTGCATATGCCAACGACCGTATGTACGACACCTCTCGTGACGTGCATATCGATATTCCCGGATCCGACTCGGTGACGAAGAGTCGACATATCCAGATTCTCGAAGCCCGACCCGATCTGGGGATATCGCTGTATGACAGCCACAACGATGGTTCTGGTACAACGCATTCCTCGACCAAGCGAGTCGTTCTCAACATGCGACCCGAGTAAGACTTCCCCTTCCCTTCCCCCAGATACAAACATGTCTAACTCATGCTCAACAGCTACTTCCACTGGGGCTTCGGCGGTCCTCGTGAATTCCCCGCCGATCTGTGGTTCGTAGGCTTCCTAGACAGAGAGCTCGGCCGCGACAACTACGACATCATCACCGACCACGACCTGTCCATATACGGACCGGAGCTTCTCCTTCGCTACTCAGTCGCCCTCTCCTGCAGCCACCCCGAGTACCCGACCTTCGCCATGCTCGACACCTACGACGCCTTCCTCGCCCAGGGCGGCTTCTTCCTCTACCTCGGCGGCAACGGCTACTATTGGGTCACAGGGCACCAAGCCACGCAAGCCCATCGTATCGAAGTCCGTCGCGCCGACCAAGGCTGCCGCACATTCAACCTCCCCCCAGGACACTGGCACCTGTCCAGCACCGGCGAACTCGGCGGTCTCTGGCGCTCACGAGGCCGTACGCCTAACCGTTTCATGGGTCTCGGGTCCGACGCCTGTGGAATGGGCCAAGGAGCGCCGTACGGCATTGTGCCCGAGGCGCGCAACAACCCGGCCCTGGCATTCCTCTTCGATAGTCCTCGCCTGCGGGACCCGGCTGCGTCGGTCATCGGGGACTTTGGACTCGTGCAGGGCGCTGCGTCGGGCGATGAGATCGACCGCTTGGACTACTCGCTCGGCACGCCGAGTAATGCGATCATGGTGGCGACGACGAAGTTGGCGGGTGGTCATTCGGATAACTATGGGTTGTTTAATGAGGAGATTCTCTTTCCCATGGTTAATACGACGGGGACGACGAGCGATAAGGTCCGTAGTGATTTGATCTATTTTGACACGAGCGCTGGGGGTGCGGTGTTCTCTGTCGGGTCAATTAATTGGGTCGGCGCGTTGGCGTGGAAGAATTATGAAAATAACGTGGCGGAAATCACGGCGAATGCGGTGCATGAGTTTGTCAAGAGAGTCAAGGCTCGGGGGGGATAGTATAGTATAGGTTGCTTATTACATACCATGGCCAGCATGGCATTTAGAATTAGACATTTACTCACATTCTGTTGAGATGAACCATTCTTAATATTTCCACATATCAAGTCTTATCTCCTGTTTATTTCTAGGAAAGTACAACGACACAGTGCTTCTGATAGCGAACCGCCACTCCCGAGCAGCACCATTCTTCAGCAGTAGTTTCTCGATCTCCCACCGTCTATAATTTTTTTTCGCTTTTCTGCGCATAAAACCGAACGGCGAAACCGCCCATGCGAGAGCCGTCCAGCCAGCATCGTCTCGCGAGTTCACATCAATTCCAGGCGTTTGTAACAAAATATCTGCGCCCTTCTGGTGGTTCATTTCAGCGGCGTACATGAGTGCTGTCCTTCCATTCGAATCTTTCGCATTGACATCTGTTTTTCCGAAAGCCAAGATTGTTTCAACAGACGCTGTCCTCTTATTTCGAACCGCCAGCATAAGGGGTGTATGCTTTTGTTTGTTCCGGTGCTCTACATCGGCGCCCTGTTCAAGCAGATATTGCAGAATGTCCGTCCGCCCACAACTCGCTGCCAGCGAGACCGGAGTATCCCCGTTCGTATCGGGATCATGGATCTGCGTCGGATCTGTTTTGCGTAGAAGAGCGGTAAACAGGTCCAAGTCGCCATACTTCGCGGAGGAGAATCTCACAGTGCGACGCCCGCAGCCTTTTCGCTGATATATGCAGCGCGTTGTTCCCCTTCGATGTTTCTGCATCGAGGTCAATCCTGTGTCGATGGTTCGTGAACAGCCAGCTCGCGAGGTCTTCATGTCCATCGCGCAGGATCGTTAGAGACACGGGGTTCAATCGAGGTACGCCCCCTGCGCGCTTCCATACCCGGCAGTCCAGATCCACGCGCTCGTGGCCGATTAGTAAATGCTGCGTGATTTGATCTTGCTGCGCCGTTACGATGGCTAGCGCGGTCTCTCCGTTGAAAGTGGTGTTTACGTCGATTCTGTCGTGTCTGAGGAGGAGTTTGAGTGCGTCCGGGGGCTTTTTGTGCCGGTCGTCGTGAACGGCTGTCCAGAGGGCTGAGGAGGCTACGGTGGGTGGTAAGCGAGGGCAGGAGAGTAGGGCCTGGAGCATCTCTGCGTCGTTGGTTTTCGTGGCCCATTGGATTGCTGTGCGATCGTGCTCTTTGTCTTTGGTTGTGAAGTCGAGGTGTTGGACTGTGAGTAGAAGCTCGACACAAGCGAGGTGTCGGAATCGCGTCGCTAGCAGGAGGGGGGTGTTGTTGCCCCATTCCTCTGTTACGTTCATGTCCAGGTTGTACTGGATTGCGCGGCGCAGGGTGTCGGGTTTTCCCCGGATGGCGGATTGCAGGACAATGTATTTAGAGTCGTGGTTGTAGAGGAATTGATTGAGGGAGGTGAAGGCATGGTGGCAGGATAGGATGACGGAGTTGATGTCCTTGCTGGAGGCGAGGTTTTCGGCGATTCTGATGAGGAGCTCTGGTGGGAGGGATCGGAGCATGGTGGGATTTGATATGATAATGGATAGGGAGATATCTGAGATTTACTTTTGCGACGGTGGTGATTCAATGATCGCATCCTTGTCTACCCTGTTCGGTTAAGGCGAGGCTGACTGCTGAACGGGTGATGTGGGCGAATCATCGTTGATGGATCGGTCGGTGTTGGGCTCACGGGAGGAGGTTTGGTTATGGTTGACGCGAGGCAGGGGTGTGAAACTGAAAGATTAAGTTGGTTTGGATATATTATATTATCTCTTGGGGCTTACAGGTAAGAAGCTTGGGTTATTTGGGGTCTTGTTCAGGATCACATGTACTGATGGTGTCAGACGATTAGTATTGGACATGGTGATATATCACCGAGTATCGACTCTGACGGAGTGAACTGAAATCAAAGTTTGAACTTGGGAAATGGAAACCAAAATCTTAGAGCTCAGTAGGAAGATGATAATTTGAACAATCCTGTACTTCAGGTCTATAAGCCATTGCAATTTCTATAGATGAGTCTGCAGTGCACAAGGTACATGCGCTGGATCGGGTTAGCGTCGTACGGGACATGTATATGCCTCAGGCCTACATCATGTGACCTGACTGGCAGGTCCCGTGACCGTAGTCGGCCAAACAATCATCCGCGCTTTCTTTGGCATTCCCTAAACACAACGCACAACTCAACGTCTTTTACTTCCACTCAGGACCCACAGTATTGTGGGTCAGATGTTACACAACTCTATAAGAGTCAAGATGTGACATTGATGCTGGAATCTTCCCTGCGCAAAACCTGAGGCTGCATCCAAGATGCCATTTGGGTCGGATTTCGAGTATCCTGCCTGGAGGTACTCTCGCTTTAGCCATGCCAAGGACGAGCTAACACCGATGCGCTTCACGATACGAATGATTACCCCTCTCTTCTGAGTCTGACCGGTCAACTGCACATGTCGAAACACCCGCAGGGACGAGATTATGATACTCCAGAAGACGGGTCTACTGCAAGGGCTGAGATCAATAAGCTGAGTGACTTGATAGCCGACAAAGATACCTGACCCACAGACCCTGGTCAACCGAGGGTCATGAATCTGTCTAGTAACGTGGTATAGCCTCATATTCTGAAATCTGGTCAGCATCGCCCGCGAGACTAGAGTGAAAATGTCGTCTCCAGCACGATCGCACGCCAGTTACACCGTCGCATGGATCTGCGCCTTGCCGCTAGAAATGACAGCTGCGAAGGTCATGCTCGACGAGACCCACGACCCACTCCCTCAACAGTCGACAGATCACAATATCTATACGCTCGGGAGCATCAGTGGACACAATGTGGTTGTGGTGTGCCTCCCGTCGGGAGTGTACGGGACGACATCCGCGTCGACGGTGGTTTCACATTTGATAACGACATTTCCGTATGTGCAATTTGGATTGATGGTCGGCATCGGCGGCGGTGTCCCTAGCCCCAGTGCCGATATCCGTCTGGGTGATATTGTGGTCAGCAAACCTACGCCAGCCTCGAGCGGCGTCGTGCAATATGACTACGGCAAGGCTCTCCGCGATGGCCAATTTCAGCGAACAGGTCAGCTGAACAAGCCGCCTCCGATACTGTTGAAAGCGATGACCCAAATGGAGAGCGATTACATGATGGGAAGAAAAAGAGTAGGTGAAATACTGGCTCAGTCACTGGGGGAGAATGAGGCATTGCGAGAGCGATTCGCTCGCCCCCAAAATGACTGGCTCTTCCAGGCAACCTATGATCACGATGGGCAAAGCTGCTTGGAGTGCGACTATACCCAGCTCGTTAGCCGCCCCGAGCGAATCACCGATGAGCCATATGTTCACTACGGGTTGATTGCTTCCGGAAACCAGGTCATGAAAGATGCTAACACCCGAGATGTTATCGCCAGAGACCTGGATATCCTCTGTTTTGAGATGGAGGCTGCTGGACTGATGGATGAACTCCCATCGCTGATCATACGGGGTATCTCTGACTACTGTGACTCGCATAAAAATAAAGAATGGCAAGGATATGCAGCCTTTGCTGCTGCTACTTATGCTAAAGTACTTTTGCTGACTGTTCCGAACAATCACCGGAAAGATGTCCATGAGCCTCATCGGCCTCAAGAACAGTTGTGGGTGGTCCCATTCGGTCAAAATTCCCGCTTTGTTGGTCGAGGAGAGGAAATCGGTCGAATTGAAGCTCTACTCACCCAACCCAGTGGGTCATCAAATATTGCCGTTTGCGGGCTGGGTGGAGTTGGAAAGACGCAGATAGCCCTCGAATTGGCATACCGCATGCGTAATCGCGACCCTCAATGGTCGATATTCTGGATTCCATGTACAGGTTACGAAAGTGTCGAACAGGCGTACATCAGCATAGCACAGAAAGTAGGGATTGAAGTGAAAGCAGCTGAGGTGAAAAGTCAAGTCAAAGCATACTTCAGTCAGAGAAGCGCCGGTAACTGGCTGCTGATATTCGATAACGCTGACGATATGGAGATGTGGATCGACGGGACCAGTACAAACCCTGCGTTGAAGCAATACCTCCCACAGAGCGATAGAGGTCATATTGTGTTCACAACGCGTAGCCGGAAGCTGGCGGTTAAACTTGCCTCGTCTCATGTGATTTCTGTCTCAGAGCTGGATCAGGACACCGGGGCCGAAATGCTGAAGACATTGTTAATCGACAGCAAATTGAGTTCAGATCAAAGTGCTACCTTGAAGCTCCTCGAGCAACTCGCCTGTCTTCCACTTGCCATCTCCCAGGCAGCAGCGTACATAAACGAGAACGACATCGGCATTTCTGACTATCTGGAGCTTTTGGAGGCACAGGAATCCGATGTCATCGAGCTTCTCAGCGAGGAGTTTGAAGATGAAGGCCGATACACAGACACGCAGAATCCCATTGCCACTACGTGGCTGATCTCTTTCCAGCAGATTCAACGTCTAGACCAAGTCGCAGCGGAATACCTAGCATTTATGGCTTGCATAGATCCTCGTGATATCCCGCAGTCCCTCCTGCCGGATTCCTTCTCCCGTGGTTCCATCACGAAGAAAAAGCGGATCGATGCTATTGGGTTGCTAAAAGGGTACTCTTTCGTCAATGAACAAGCGGGCCATGACTTTCTCAGTCTCCATCGGCTCGTTCATCTTGCAACGCGTAACTGGCTGCGTATTAACCAGAAGTTCGGCGAGCAAATAACGAAAACCGCAGACAGACTAATGGAGGTATTCCCCAACAATAACAATGAAAATCGAGCTTTGTGGCGGGAATATCTACCTCATGCTTTGTCCTTGATCTATGAAAAGGAATTCGGCTTGCAACGACGCCACTATATCCCTTTGATCCAGACAGTCTGTGAATGTCTTGATAAGGATGGCAGATATAACGAAGCAGCTCTCATGTGTGACGCAGTTGTGGGATTGAAACTGGAAAAGGCCGGCGAGGAAGACCCATCTACCTTACAAAGCATGGGACTGCTGGCGAATATCTACAGCAGACAGGGACGCTGGAAGGAAGCCGAGCATCTTTTCGAACGGGTGATCGATATCCGCAAACGCGTGGTCGGACCCGAGGACCCATCCACCCTCCGGACCATGAACAACCTTGCAGCTGCATATCGCAAGCAGGGGCGCAAGAAAGAAGCAGAAGAGCTGGGAAAGAGAGTGGTTCAGCTACAGACACAACTCCTGGGACCAACCAACCTCCAAACCTTGGTCAGCATGAACAGCCTAGCGATGAATTACATCAACGATAGGCGTTGGAACGAAGCAGAGGAGCTTGCCGCCCATGTTATGGCACATCGCATGAGAATCTTGGGCCCGGAACACCCGGACACGTTGATCAGCATGGGAAACCTTGCCACCGTGCTCAGTAATCTAGGACAACTGGAACAATCACAACAGCTAGCGTTGGGGGTCCTGCAGATGCACCAGCTTTCGCTGGGACCGGAGCACCCCCATACGCTTATCAGCATGTCCAATGTGGCTCGTCTGTGGAGGAAGATGGGCAAGCTTGAGGCGGCCGTCGACTTGATGACGGAGTGCCTGAAACTTAGAGAGAAGGTATTTGGTGCAGGTCACCCCCGCGCCCTGTCTTCGCGCAAGAGCCTGGAAGACTGGAAGATGGAGCTTGAACAGGGGTGGGACGTTGTAGAAAGCGATACAGAGATGAATAAATAGGATGTGTCAGCGCAGGCTCCAGAATATGACTTTTAGGCTCTCTGGCCTGTTCAAGGTCTCCAAGATTGGAACCGACCAATGCCAGATAACGTGAAGATAACGCTCGACTCGAAATGAAGTGTGCATTTGTGCATTTATGAAATATCCTTTCTTCATAAAAAGATTCTGGATAGTAATAAGAGAAATAGTATTAATCTATGCGTGACGTATTCAGTCTTGTTGTTCTAATGAACCTCAAACACTCTCAGAGTCCCTCCTTACCCTCCCCCAGATCCTCTCTATCAAATCAATCCCAAACCCAGTAAACAAAGCCAGAGCCACCACAAAAGCAAGCCCACTCGGCCAACCATGCGTCTCCTTAAACTCCGGCGCCTTCCCACTCGGAAACTGCAACTGCTGAAACGGAATAACCACCGCATACCCGAAGCTCACCATAAACGCCAGCGTGAACGCACGAAGCTGCTGATCCCCACCACAGACGGAATTCACCCACCCCGCCAACAACGGCGTGTAGCAACCATACGAGCCCGTCAGGATAAAGACCGCCATCTTGAGCTTATCCGGCACATCCCACACCGTGAGAACGACGTAGCAGAACGTAAGCACACACCCGACGCCGAAGCAGACGATGTTGCGCCGTCCCAGCTTATCAGCCAGATAGCCCGTCGAGACCATGAATACGAAATTGACGGCCCCTATGCACGTCGGGATGTTGTTGATCTGCGGGACAGAGTACTCGCCTGTCGATTTCAGCCAGAGACTGAAGTACTGCATGACGTATGATCCGCACGTTAGTGTCCAGAGCGCGTATGCCACCGAGAAGGTATATAGTTGCCAGGACGCGAGGATGCGCTTGAAGATAGTGCGATCGAACCGCGCTGTCGAGGCGCGGCCGTCTTCGCGCATGCGCTCCAGCGCGCGATCCCGCTCCCACGGGGTGAGGTAGAACGCGGACGTGTTCTCGGGCGTGTCCGGGTAAAAGAAGAAGCCGTAGAGCGCGACAGGGACGGCGAGGAGGAAGTCGAAGATGAAGAGCCAGCGCCAGGCGGGCATGCCGTGTTTCCCTTCCATGCCGGAGTACAGTGCCGCCTGGAGGTAGCCGGAGAACATCTGGCCCAGGACGCCGGACATGACGAAGAGGCCGCTGCGGCGGGCGATCTCGGACTTCTTGTACCAGGAGCCGAGCACGTATTGGATGCCGGGCCAGGCGGCGGACTCGAACAGGCCGATGCAGAAGCGGAGGGCGTAGAATTCGCTGGCGGTGTTGCATTTGAAGAGGAAGAGGACGAAGAGCGACCAGGACATGAGGCAGAAGGGGAGCCAGTAGCGGGGGCGGACGATGGTCAGGATCAGGTTGGAGATTGGGGCGCCGACGATCTGCCCCGCGCTGAAGTAGGTGTTCATCCAGCTGAGTTCGTCGCCGGGGCCGAAGCCGAGGTCTTCTTTCATGCCGGAGACGTAGGCGTTGGAGATGTTGTTTTGGTCGAGTTGTTTGATGAAGAAGCAGAGGCAGCTGTAGCTGAGGAGGAACCAGTCCAGTTTGAAGATAAGGAGCTTTTCCTCCTTAGATGTGTTCGGGTCATGCCAGTGGAAGAGATTCCATTGCTGGGTTTGCTGGGTTTCAAGACTGTGGAGGGAGTCATTTGGTGTAGCTTTAACGGTTGCACCCTTTAGATCTGAATTTGTCGTCTTGAGGTTCTCCGTGGCATGCTCTGGTGGATAGAACCTGGAAGAAGTCATAATTCCAAGTCGATAGATCGATAATGACCTGTAGGACGGCATGTATCTGAACGGAACATGTTTGAGAAAACATCAGACATATGCATTTTATAAACGGCCTACCCACCATAGTAAAGCTAAGATAGACAAGGCCGATGGCGCAATTAACAAGCCGAGTCAGAACCTTAGCAGCGCGCAACTCGCCCTATCTCGACCTGCCCTGTCGGGAGTTTTAGAGCGGAGTGGGGCCGACGCGGGTTTTGGGCTTGACTGCCGGCAATTGTGCTGTTCGAACATAACAGAGGCCTGTCGCGTGGATGATCGATGATAAACTGGAATAACGGGTCTGTCGGGCCCACTTGCATGAGCTGTGCAATTTTAACCAGCCATTGCGTCAAGGGCCTAGAATCTAACCTGATAGTGCGAGTCATTCAACATTATATTGCGCGGAATCATAAAAAAGAGAAATGATATCCTTGATGGGGTGAGAATGAGGAAGATGGCGAAACAACGACTGGTGACTCAGGCCCGGCACGCGGATAGTAACTGGGCTCTGGTGCCTGTGTGTTCCAGTCTTCTAGAATGTTAAGGTAGCAGCTCGTCTTGCCCATAATCTTACCCAGCAGATCGGAGAGCGATTTCCATACTGACCGTAGCCAATCCTGATGGGATGGGTTCATCGCACAGGGGTGAAGGGAATCAGCCTGTGACATCAAGCTCGCCTCGTAGTCGGATATTAGGTCCTCGAATTCGGTCAACACTTGAATAAGAGTGCGTGTCATCTCCCATTTATCGGAGAAAGTCCTCAGGATGTCAATGCATGTTCTGACATCCCCCTTGCCCGGGAAGGAGCTGTAGCATCCCCAGGAGAAACAGTGGATTAAGATCAGGCAAATTGGTGCAAGACGGCATAATGTGACACGATTGAGAGGCAGCTGCCGATTGGCCAGAAGCACTTGGTTATACTGCATGAACTTTCTGACTAGAGGCAATAGGCCTGGCTCTTGGGACCCCTTTGCCCGTGAATTGAATTGGCAAGGATAATAAAGAACGAGCATAAGATGATAGTATCGTGCATTCAGCCATGCCATTGTATCGTGGAGTCGGACATTGTCCGGTTCTGGTCGAGCAATTAAACAGCCATGGCTATACCAGTTCTCGACATCCGCTCGAAACCGACTGGTGATAGCGTTCCGATCAGATAGTGATAGATTGCTCACATTGGTACGACTTTGCAGATGGACTGTAGACAGGATCCTGCTCTCGAGCTGACGTAGCTCAATTACATGCCGGCTTACCTGGAGCATAGTAGCCAGATCAGTGCGGTCGGGAGAGGCGAATTCCTCCACTGTAATCGCTGGATACGGAACCTCCATTTCGTCAGATGCCAGACCGGGGGCCTGTCCGACAGAGACTGCCATCATTCTGTCTAGCACGAATATGCTCCACACAAGCCGTCGGCGAAGCTCAGTGGTTTTTGAGTTCGTCTGACTTTCGTTCGTCGAGCGCGTGAGACCTTGAGTCATGGCTTGTCGGGTGATGATCCCAACGATAGACCAAGTAGAGGGCCCGAGGGGGTCAAACAGCGAGTACAGTGCGAGAAGAACGAGGATTTGAATGGAGTCGATATCCTCATGGAGGAAACATCGTTGGAGTATGTCCGAATAGGAGATCTCGAACGCCGGAGACACTCCATAAGGTGCTTTTCCAGAGCGCTGCAGACTCGTATGGCCGATGGCCATGATTATGTGCAAGATCTTTTGCAGTCAGTCTGTTGATCCCGGGAATGGTGACTTCTGTTCACTTACTATTGAGTCTCCATCCTGTACATTTGGTTTCAAGCCCAAAGAGGATAAATGCAGGATCCGCGTCTTGTCGATGAAAGGATAGGCTCTATAGACATGATGGAAGAAGGCCTCCACCAGCGCCGTCTGGGGTATAACGTCCACGTGAGAGTTTGCAGCAATTGCATCCGGCGCGGGAGTGTCACGTTTGTTGAATGGAGCCTCGTCGCGTTCTCCCGTCTTCAACTCTTCTGGGGCCGCTCCATCACCATCATCGACAATCCCAATCTCTCTTTCAACATCACCCATCTCTCGGCCCATTACCTCCACGATATATCGGGTCAACGCGTTGACCCTTTCTTGCAAAATTCGATAAGCACCGGCAGAAGGACCCAGTCCGCCCGAATACGAGCATCTCTGACCGGCGTGGACGCAATGCCCACATTCGGGCAAAGCCCGACTACATCGCTTTTTCAGTCGTCGGCAGCGATCACAAGCGGGTATTGAAACCCTCGCGCTACTCTCCGAGCCTTCGCGTCGAGACGGAAGCTCCGCCGACTGCCTGGATTCAGAATCCGGGGTTGCGCGACGTAAGCGAAAGCGTTGGGTTGTGAATCCGTCGGACGGTTTGGCCTTGTCCCTGCATCTCTGGGGCGGCATGGCCGTCGAAATTTTCCAGGAGGGGAAGTTTAAGTGGGGGAGATGATAATGCGCGATGGGTTTATCTTGAGCGGCGGTTGGTGCGTCATCCTGGCGCTGATGGTGTGATTTGCGGATGTGCTCCGACGCTGATTTCCTCTCTGGGTGATACTTCCATCAGCTGCATCGGCTTAAATACTCTGATAGTAGTTGGAGGATATCTCTGCTGCTTCGCGTTTGTATCGGACTGCCTTAGATAATGGTATGGTGCCATAAACAAGAGCCCATGATGAGTACCACAGCAGACACAAACATCTCCATAGGTTAGTCTGTCTCTCTTTTCCACAATGGCTTGAGCTGACAAGCAAGATCGCGGTGGCACATTCTGTGATGTTCTTGTCCAAATCCCTGGGCAACCCGACCGTGTCTTCAAACTCTTATCAGAAGATCCTGCCAATTACCGCGATGCGCCGACAGAAGCCATCCGACGGGCACTGGAAGTTATTGAGAATCGGCAAATTCCAAAAACAGAAAAGTTAGATGGCTCGCGAATCGCGTCATGTCGCATTGGCACGACACTAGCAACCAACGCTTTACTGGAAGGAAAAGGTGAAAGATTCGCCTTCATCACCACCAAAGGTTTCGAAGACGTTTGTGTTATCGGTGACCAAACGCGGCCTAAGCTCTTCGACCTGAATGTTCGCAAAGCCACTGCTTTGCATGACAAGGTCATTGAGATTGACGAGAGAGTAACGGTGGAAGATTACGATTTGAACCCTTTTCCTATGGACAAGAGCCGCGAACTGAATGATCCAGCTCTGGTTCGAACGGCGAGCGGCGAAGTGATCCGGGTAATTAAACCCTTGGATACCCCCGAAGTGCGAGACGCTCTCCAGAAACTCAAAGACGACGGATACGATTCGATCGCTATCGGATTCATGCACTCGTACTTGTTTCCTGATCATGAGAACCAAGTGGCATTGCTTGCCCGACAAATGGGCTTCAAATACGTGACCACGTCGTCCGAAATAAGCCCAACCATCAAGTTTCTGCGACGCAGTAACTCGGTTTCCTCTGAATCCTACCTATATCCCATAATCCAACAATACATTGCAGATTTTGAAAATGGGTTTGCCACATTGCCGAAAAGAGTCGAATTCATGTGCTCTGATGGGGGGCTGCGATCATCACGAAAGTTTCGAGGCAACGAGGCCCTGCTTAGTGGCCCAGCTGGTGGCGTAGTGGGAATTGCAAAGTCCTGCTTCGATCGCCTTGAAGGTACTCCGGTCATAGGCTTTGATATGGGCGGTACCAGCACGGATGTGTCTAGATACGACGGTAATTATGACTATCTGAGTGAAACGACGATTGCCGGTCGCATCATTACCGTGCCGATGTTGAATATCGCGACCGTGGCTGCGGGCGGAGGATCCATCCTGTTCGCCCGTAACGGCCTGTTTGTCGTCGGACCTGATAGCGCCGGGGCCCATCCGGGTCCTGCATGCTATAGAAAAGGAGGACCTCTCACAGTGACAGATGCAAATTTGTTTCTAGGGAGGTTGGTATTATCGGCATTCCCGTCTATGTTTGGACAAGATGCAGACGAGCCTCTCGATTATGAGGTGACCTCTCGGAAATTCAAGGAAATTACGAACGAGATCAACTTTCAAACAAGACAAAATCTCTCTGCAGAGGAGGTCGCGTCTGGATTTTTGAATGTGGCGAACGAGACCATGAGCCGACCAATCCGCAATGCGACTGAAGCCCGTGGCTTCCACCCAGAGCGCCATAATCTTGTTAGTTTCGGAGGTGCTGGTGGGCAGCATGCATGCTCTATTGCCAATAGGCTTGGTATCAGACGAATTTTGATTCACAAACATTCGTCGATCTTGTCGGCTGTTGGGATTTCTCGAGCTGACTTGCAATATGAGTCTGTGGAGCCATACGTGGGTGCGTTTAATTTCGATGCCTTGCCAGGAATTCGCGCTCGATTTGATGCCCTCAAAGACAAAGTGAAAGATGAATTGATTGGCCAAGGCGCTTCGGAAGAGTCCATACAATTTGACGAGTCACTTAGCCTGAGATACAAAGGCACAGACACGAATCTGGTTATCTCGAAACCGGAAGATGAGAACTATGGTGCCGCCTTCAGAGAGGCTCATCTTCGAGAATTTGCATTCGTGTTAGAACGAGACATCATTGTTGACTCTGTCCATGTTCGTGGAACTGGAGGCAATGACACCGATGATCGGCTGGTATCTCCCTTAAAAGCTTTGGAACAGGTCAAGATAGACCCAAAGCGAGCCTCGACAAACAGTTCACAAAAGGTTTTTGTTGAGGGACAGTGGCAGGATGTACCTATCTACAAACTTGAGTCGTCCTCTGATCCTACTATTGTGAGCGGTCCGGCGTTGATAATCGATTCAACTCAGACAATTCTTGTCGAGCCACAATGGCAAGGTTATATATTACTGGAACACGTTATTTTGGAGCGATTATCTGCCGATACAGCGTCTCTTCCTACCCGAAGTTTGTCTGACAACGTCGACCCCATTCAGCTGTCTATTTTCTCCCACCGATTCATGTCCATCGCCGAACAGATGGGCAATACGCTGCAGCGAACTTCGATCTCCACAAGCATCAAAGAGCGCCTGGATTTCTCTTGTGCAATTTTCTCCCCCGACGGAAAGCTTGTGGCCAATGCTCCACACATCCCGATTCACCTCGGCAGTATGCAATATGCTATTCAATATCAGCACCGTCTATGGGAGGGAAAGCTTCAGCCTGGCGATGTCCTAATGACAAACCACCCCGAGTGCGGTGGCACACATCTTCCTGACGTTACCGTTGTGACACCCGTCTTCGCGAAAGACGACGTAACCATTATGTTCTACGTGGCGGCTCGAGGGCACCATACTGATATTGGTGGAAAGGGAATTACTTCCATGATGCCTGATTCAAAAGAGCTATGGGAAGAGGGTTTGAATATCAAATCGCTCAAAATAGTCAGTCACGGAAAGTTTCTTGAAGACGCCGTCCGGGATGCTTTTCTCCATGCGGGGACGTTTCCTGGCTGCAGTCCGACTCGTCGACTGGATGACAACATCTCCGACATCAAAGCCCAGATATCGTCCAACCAGCGGGGTATCATACTTCTGCAGAAGCTGTGTGACGAGTTTACCCTTCCACTTGTTCACCGGCAGATGTACGCGATCCAAGCAAACGCGGAAGTTGCAGTGCGGAAGTTCTACAAAGACATCAGCAGGGCACACCCGCAGCCGCTCACGGCGGTTGATTACTTCGATGACGGTACCCGACTTCAAGTAACTATTAGAATAGACAAGGACACGGGCGACGCAGTCTATGACTTCAACGGGACGGGTCCGCAAATATGGGGGAATTACAATTGTCCTATTTCCATCACTCATTCCGCTGTGATATACACAACTCGATGTCTCATTGACGTGGATATTCCTCTCAACGACGGATGTCTTGCTCCCATAGACATTCGCATCCCGAAAGGATCAGTCCTGCGCCCTAGTGCATCGGTCGCCATTTGCGGCAGTACACTCGCGAGCCAGCGCGTGATTGATACGATTCTACGGGCCTTCGGTCGATGCGCCGCTTTCTCTGGATGCGCAAATAGCTTCGGCTGGGGAATGGGTGGCAAGAACCCAATTACCGGGCAAATCGAGCCCGGATGGAACTATGGCGAAACTGTGGGTGGTGGGTGTGGCGCTGGTCCTTCATGGAACGGGGAGCATGCAATCCAGGCGCACTCGACCAACACGAAAATCACAGACGCAGAGGTCGTCGAAAAGCGAACTCCGGTTATTGTTCGTCAACATAGTATCAACCACGGTACTGGAGGACAAGGACAGTTTAACGGGGGAAATGGGGCTACAAGGCTCATTGAGGCACGGGTGCCGCTCAAGTTTAGCATCTTGAGCGACCGGCGGGTGTTTGCGCCGTACGGAATGCACGGCGGAGGAGAAGGAGCTGTGGGCAAGAACTTCCTATATCGCTGGAACGATGACAAAAGTGGTTTTGAGAAATTATCCCTTGGGGGAAAGGCAGCGTTGAGTTTAGAGGCAGGGGAAATGATGGAGGTCAGTAGTCCGGGTGGTGGTGGATGGGGAGTTGCCGGACATTCATGCTAGCAGGTCAGAGTAAATGGAATGTGTACCGACATACCTTCAACTTGGCTGATTGAATCACCGTAAAACATAGCCAATTTGCTTCGGTCAGATTCGGAAATTCCTATCGGAAGCGATCCGCTGTCTCTCCATATATAAAGTTCCGCTCTGATCCTGCCATCGTCCTTTACAATAGGCTCCTACCTTAGGCACGATGGTAGACTTCATTTCGATCAACGGCGCACAGCTTGCATACCGTCTTATTGGCCCATCAGATGCACCACTCATCATCACTCTCCATGGCGGACGAGGATTCGGTACTTTCTTCACCCCAGCCTTCGCGCCCGAAACACTAACCGAGACAACCAGGCGACCACAAATCCGACTTTTCAGCATTCTCGCCTTTATCGGACCGATACCGAGTGCTTTCATTTGACTACCGTGGTCATGGACAGAGTTCGCGCACCAAGCCGTACTCCTTCCAGCAAATCGTCGACGACATCGAGGCACTCCGGGCTCATTTCGTCGGCCCCGAAACACAGTGCATCATTTGTGGCGGCAGCTTCGGCGGCTTTCTAGCGCAACAGTACGCCATCCAGTATGCGGATAAAGTATCGCATTTGATACTACGTGGCACCGCACCTTCGCATCATCGTGAGATGTTTTTTTCTTTTTTTTTCTTCCGCTCTCCTTCGTCTCTGGCGCCAAGGTTTCGTTGCGATGCTGATGTTTCATCCGCAGACGAGGACAAAGCGATCCAAGTTCTTGAAACACGTCTTAACAAGGCACTCGGGTTATCTGTGGCCATGCTGAAAGAGAAGATCTTCGGGCGATTTGAAAGCGACATTGAGTTTCAACTGGTCATGCTATCTGCGGCTCCGTTGTATGCGGAAAAGTTTGACCCGGACCTCGCGTTGCAGAAGAATCTGGAGACGGTGTTTAATGCCGAATCGCATAGTGAGTAGACGAGCGCTTGACGGTCTAGGATATATTTGGGAAATTAAATGCTGAGAGTCGCTAGATGACCTGTACTATGCGGCGGAAAAGTACTTCGATTACAGAGATCGTCTGCATCTCATCAACGCCCAAACGCTCGTAATTGTCGGCGAATACGACTGGATCTGTCCACCGGATGAATCCGCGCTTATAGCAGCAGAAGTGCCAAACGCGACTCTCGAGATCGTAAGCGGGGCGAATCATGCGGTTCATCTGGAGAAGAATGATTATGTGGTGGGGGTCATTCGAGAGTTTCTGGGGTAGGGAATTCGTTGGTCGGAAAGGAGACGAAGGATCGGGCGTCTCAGAACATGCAGCATGTTCTAAATCAAGCCATCGAAGCGAGAAATCCAGGAGAGCTGAGATAAAACATCATCGCAGGACCGCAAGATGCGTGCATGAGAGTCGCTCGGATCATCCCACGTGTCGCACACGTGGCGCGCCATCGTCGACTCCTTCAGCGACGCACATGGCATGTTTGCTCAGATCCCGGCTTAAGATGTCAGTGCCCTGCGAATGAGAAGTGGCGGACTCGTATTGTATTGGCTAGCGCAATGTGCATAGATAGCGCGAATGATGATGTGCCGTGGTTTTCGAGAAGTTTAAAGGCCAGTTCACGGAAGCTCGTTGGTTTTCGACTCAGGTGTTCATGCGAGACGAGTTCGTCGACTGATGCGATGCCAACAAGTGACATGTTCGGTCGCTTATTTCGCCCAAAGCCTCGGATGCCCTTAATAAATGACCAGCAGCAATGCATGCTCGTCAGCCGCCTGCCGCGCGAGCTCCGGGACATGATATGGGAAGAGGTACTCGGGGGAATGACGATCCATCTTGTGCGCACTAGGACGAAGATCAAAGCGATTCTGTGTGAATTAAACCACGATCAGCAGCGTCCGATTTGCAAACATCCATGCTGGGGGCAGAGCGAGGAGGAGGTGAAGATCAAGCCGATCTGCTACCAGTCGAAAGTCGGGGGGTTGTATACAGGTCCGCTTCAGGAATTTCCCGTGACTTGCCCTAATTTGCTCCCGCTGGTTTGTACGTGTCGAAGAATGTAAGGATGCTTTCGCTCTGCCAGCAGGCGATATTCTATTTCTGGTTCATATCTGACATCGGTTGAAGATACGCGGAGACCATCTCCATCCTCTACACGCACAACACCTTCCAAATCAACCATCTCTCCACGCTGATTCAACTCTCCTCGACACCGGTTCTCTCCCGAATCCGTAGACTGAGCTTGTATCATTATTTCCCCGTTGATTTCGATCCAACACGTACGCCTAAGTGAATGAAACTGTGCGGGCCCATCGCACCGTATGACCTGGGGACATGGCATGAGGGCTGTCGCGCACTGGCCAGGATGGTCGGACTAGAGGAGCTGAGCATCCACATTGGGGGCTACTCGCTGTGTGCATGGGAGATGTTTTCGACGGTTGCGGAGCCGTTGAGGAATATCCAAGTCTCCAGACTCTTTGAGGTGCTTTTGCCGTGGGACGACGAAGTGCAGGGATATGTAATTCATGGGATGCCGTTCAAGCTGCGGGGCGCGAGCGATCAGGATTGTTGTTGATGGCTATATCTTTCGGACCCTATGAGATTTCGGTGTTTCGCTCGTGTAGCAGGGGTAGCGCTAGCTAGCTAAGCATTCGTTTCAATGATGATCATCCACATTAGCTGCCGGGATGGATGTCTCTAAATTCTTAGATCCCTCTAGCCGGACTTGTTCTTGATTGCGACGCTTTGAATAGTTCAATCATAAGGGCTTGGAAACGCTCAGCGGACGCGCTTCGAAGCAACCTGGCGTATTTGGATTTCATGTAAATTGGATATCGCCTGTGGATAGAATGGCAGTCTTGAAAAGATTTAATTTTCTCCATAAGTGGGGACACATGAAGGCTGAAAACTCCTTTGTTCCCCTCGCCGACCCCGCTATGTACAAACACCTGTCTACCTTGTTTGCCTCTTTGCCTGAGCATTTAGCCTCCTCTCTACCTTCCTCTCTACCTTCCTCTCTACCTGCATTTCTACCTGCATTTCCACCTGTATCCCCATCTGCCTTTTAATCTCCCTCTCTATTTGCTTCTCTATATTTTAGACTCATCGAAAATCCATGATAGGAATAGGTACACGAAAAAGCTCCAGTGTCTCGGAAGCTTGGTTATTTCTGTTGAGGCACTTGGGCACCTGAGCGCAACTTAGAATGAAGATATCTTGTGGAAGGTAAGTTGGTTTATTAGTTAGCCTATGCATAATTCTTTTGGCTCTGACTTGGATGGCTAAGCCCTCAAAAATAGAAGGACAAAATAGAGAGCGAGAGAGAGGAAAGAAAGAAACGGCAACGGAAGAAAGGAAGATAAAACGAAAAATATGAAAAGCTGTTCCCTTCACTGCCAAAATGCTTCCGATATTTCCTGCATCTTGACTGCAAAGGTCTTCAAATGCTTGATAACACCATGCCATTTTTTGAAGGGCTTTTAGCCAGAGGTTTCTCGTCATCTGTGTGGGCAAACGCGCATGTTCCGGGTCCGTGAGTGCGATGTAGAGGTCTTCCTATAATCCCAAATTCGTATCCTGGAATCCTGTTCTTCTACCCACCCTTCGCCTGGAATCTCAAGACCGCGAACCCTTGTCTTCCAGGGGCCGACCTATTATGGTGGCTACCTTCTGGGACGGATTGCAGACGGATAATGAGATGATTAATCGATTAGGCAGCCGGGGAAAGCCGATCGATTACCGTGTGTGGGTGAGGTTGGTTGCACTCTCAAGATGAGATCCTCCGTGATTCTAGTGCTCGACAGTCTGCAACCAGGCGCTCCTCGTCCCTATGAACCTTGCTGGGCGGCTTCTCTGTGGTGCTGGATTACGCACTGTTCAGCTGCGTCCACTGTCGTTCCCCATTCGAGCCTCGTACAACTGCCCAGGTCTCGGAACTCAAATATCGGAACAGGGCGCGTTGTGCCCAATATCCATTCAGTTCTATCGCCGAGCCCTCCGATTTGGCCATCGCCTTTCCCGTCAAATCCCTTGAGGAGGTCCTGGCGCCCCTGAATAGCTTCAATCCATTCCTTTACATTCAATTTGTGACGTTCAAATGTGAATTCCAGCTCGTCGAATCTCTTGTTTGGCAATGGATGGTCCAGGTCACCATCACTCCACCTGAAATCGATTCTAAAGAGTCTGTGTAAGCCATTGTTAGAAACGAAATGACGGATATCACTTACTCAACAATATCATCATCGACGGCATTATAACAGGCACCGACTCTTACTATCTCATATAAGGATTTGTTTTCCAAAAGCCGTTCCAAGCCTGTCAGCTGGAACATTGCCACGAAATCCGTTCGCGGCATGATGGATGTATCCATCTTTGGGCTCTTTTCCGCAGCTCCGTACGCCGATGCTTTGGCATATGATAGGACAAGAGCAAAGAACCCCAGTGCATCTTCGGAAAGGTCGCTGGGGTCGATACCCTCTGGTCGGGACCGGAAAAAGCCACGCTGAACCCAATTCATGCGGTCGGTGAGTCGCGTAAGCGACGGCAACAGAGGACTTGTCATATTCCTTTTGCCTTGCCTCATCAAGTTATTGATCGCCCGTAAGGGCATTGGTGCTGTCACTTGATAAGACCATTTGATAGTATCAACGTCCTTGGGTGCTTCTGGATAGACCACGTAGAAAGGATTGATGTGCCAAACCGCTGGTTCATCCACGGAGAGTGCACTGAGATATGCTAGGGGATTTGCGTAGGGACTCCAGTTGACCTGGCACCACTTTAGTTCAGATGTATTCTAAAAGATTCTTCTTGCGCGTACAAGATCGACGGAAGCATCATTGGCTCCCTTTACAGCCAATCCTTTCCCGATCTTTGCCTTTCTTCTGTCGAGTATATACTCAGCGGTCAGAGTACCTGGTTTTTCAAGCGTGGTATCCCCCGTCAGCGCCCAAAGCTCACCCTTCCTCTTTCCGAGTAGTTTTCCCTTGGCCTTCTTCAAGTCTTTGTGGGTACAATCTCTATTCTGGCTCTGGAGTTGGATTACTGATGTTTCAAACTCTATGCCAATCCCAGGAGCATTATGTTCTGCCTGCCTGTTGTCTGCTGTAGAGTTTGATGTGGATGATTCCACACATAGAGCTTGGTGTGACATCTTGCGTATGATGATCTCGGTGAAACTGCAGAAGTAGGAAACAAGAGGCGTGCGTTTGATAGTCAAGGGGAACGATTGACTGCTGAACAATTGGTGACCAACTGAGTGAGAAGGGCAAGGTAGGGTGAATTCTTGCTGGGCTAGATCACAAGCTGTGGCTACATAATCATTCTTCTATGCAGTGATTGCGCAGGTCCAAATATCATAACAAGCAAGATTCCTGTTATACACCCTACAAGTGAACGGCCATTGTATTCATGCCATAGTTCAGTTACATGAATACTGACTGTCACGAAATAAAGAGATAGACCCAGCGAGTCTAATAAAAGACACTCCGCATTCGGGATGGATCGTGCGTACTATTTCAGTAATTCTTTGCTCTTTGTTTATAAGATTGCTTTAAAAGTCTGTCTCATCCCATCTCTGTTTCTTTAGTATCCGTGATATTTTTCACACTTTCTTATATATTTGCTATTTTACACGATATATTACCCAACATGCAAGGTCCCAACCCGTCCCAGGGAGTGGATGGGGTGGGTCTCACAAATGAAGAGCCTGCTTCTGACTACCAATCCCTTCAAAGTCTTCCCACTGAAATATTGATTGATATATATTGCAAGCTAGAATCGCTTTTTGCTGTATACCAGTTGGCGGCAACATGTGCTCGTCTTCAGTCCATATGGTTAGAAAATACCAATGCGATATACAACAGCATTGGGCCTGTGGAGATAAAGTGCCACCGTCATGCACGTAATCTACTGACAGACCAGGGTGGACCCTCTCCCAACTCTCTTGTGTCAGTCTCGGATGTCCGCCGTCTGACACGCAACATGCGCATTGTCCATGGAGCAATCGATTTCTATGACAAAATCATAACTTCTAGAATAGGCGGTAAGTATACCCAGCTCATTCCCCTCCCTAAGCTCATGAATTTCATCTCATTCTAGAAAAATAGGCAATAGGTACTTCGGGTATTACGGCTCTGATCCTCGTCCAGCACAACTTACATACACGGAGCGCCGTCGGTTTATACGTGCGTATTATCAGATATTGGGATCCATCATGCTGGAGCCCGAGAGACAGAATGATAGACTGCACTCAATCCCCCTCAAAGATCTTATGATCATGGAGGATATAACGTGGCTCTGGTATACTGAAGGGTGCAGAACAGGCGGTGGGGCTTTAGCAGGACTCAGCGGCGAACAAAAACAGGATCTGGTCTACCGGATTGATGAAGCTGCTGCTTACGTGTATAAGCGCGTCTACAACAATCGATATAATTATATAAGGTTCAATTTGGCACCTAACTTCGGAACCCGAGGCCATTACTGCGTGTTTGACCATGCACAGCGCGATGTGATGGACGAGGTGCGCGGACTAAATTCGCCGCCATGGCCAAAACCCAACCCTTTGTGCCCACCGGAATGGGCAGTTGATACCGACGATGATAGCTAGTGGCATGATACTTGACTGAAAGTATAAGCCAGTCATTACTCGGTTTGGCCAAACATCTGATATAGATTCTGCTTTAGTTGCTCTGTGCTTTATTGCGTCTGGAATTCTGCTTCTGTCTCGTTGTTTCGGTGTCTTTGTTTTTTCCTGACAGCGAGTTGGTTCTTCTTTCTAGCCTCCATCATACACTTATGCATGCCGATCTGAGAAACTCCAAGAGCCGCCCATAACAAAGGTCTATTTAAATGCTTCGGGGACCAAGAATGGCAGCACACAAAGATCGCGGATATAATGGAACCGGGCGTCAGTGTGGGTGGTTCCGCTCTTTCAATTCAAGGCCATCCATTATCCTGCAGGGATGCGGTTTGAATGGCTCTACGGCCCCTTGTCCAAGTCTGAATTGTCTAGGAATGATTTCTAGTGCGGCCTCTTTGAAGACTCTGCAGAAAGAGCGACATGGAAACATTGACTGAGGTGTTATTGATGTTTATAGAATTTTGCTCCTTGTTTTACTGCTTTTCGCTTTCACAAAATATCGACAAAAAGACAAAAAGAAACAAAACCAAAAATGAAAAAAATAGTTACCCATTGAGCAATATACTGAGAAAAAGAGACCACCTCGCTGAATATTTTTTGCTGGCGTCAATGTAAGACTCTGTAGAGAAACCCATTTGATAACCTTCACACTTCTCGTATTCTATATTGCTATATCTTGCTGAATCATTGATGGACTAGCTGTAATCAGCAGTTAGTCTTTACCGAAGCCATCAAAATTCTGGCATGATCTCACGCCCTCTCAGTGGATTCTAAAAACCCCGCTAACCGACAACCCGGTTTCATTCCCCGAATTCTTTCTAGGGCTCTCCTCCACTCTCTAAAAGATCTCATACCTTAGCTCCGGCCAGTGAAACTAAACTATCGATTGAATATTGAGTGAACGACTGAGTTTATTTATCTATGGGATCGTTTCTTCTAGCCATCGGACGCAGTCGCAGATTGGGATATGAATTAGTAGGATGTAATTCTAGTAATGTTTGACAATATCTGAATCCCGCGTGTGGATATGAGAGATCAATGTTGGAACCTCCCACCGTGTTGGTGGTAATTCCGGTTGTCTCATGGCTCTTTCCGCTATGCATGCCATGTGATCTTGTCTGTATAGTCAAGGTCATCCTCGCTGTAGATAATGGCTCGGAGATCTCGATTCATTTATTCATTGATTCTTTTCATTTAATGAGAGGCATTGCAGCTCATGCCGCACCATGGATTAAGATTTATATGACACTAGAGGCTCTAGAGCGTTTCTTAAATCAGTTATGAATAGCGAAGAACAATTAAATCGTGGTGGGCTAGGCAACTAAGTAGCAGTCTTCTAGGCTGACGTGTGATTTTCAGAATGTCCTTTACGATTGTCAAACAACCCACCAGGAGTGAGACACATATGTTGTGATGTTTATAGCATGAGATATAGAATGACTACAATACAAATGAAGAGTGAAATGGCGGACTTCAAGGATGTCGGACATGGACCCATCCAAGACTGTTTTCGGGATTCGATGGTTTTTGATAATAAGCCCAAAGCGGAAACCATGGTTTTGTTCAAGGAGCCCCAAAGAAGGTCGTGAATGAGTAAATGGACCTTGCTTTCAGTTACCAAGTGGTTGAATGTCCAGAGCAAAGTTAAAGTGAGACGAAGTAGCAGCGCCCTGGGACTGTAGATGCGTAAATCCTTATAGAATTGGTGCGCTGTGGGATGAATAAATCTCACTGTTTCATCAGGGGCGATGAATATCAATCCACAACATATTGATATCAGTAGATTTTCATCGACTATCTCGTCTTGGCTTTGCTTATTTATCCAAGGCGGAGATAGAGCGTACTGCAATCCTGACGCAGTAAGAGGCTCATATGTGTAGCACACCATATCTAGAACCTTCGTCGCAAGATAGATGGTGCCTGGATTTTGTTTATGCATTCTAAGCCATGACACTCGATACATGTCGTTAATGGACGTCGGGTAGGTGTGAAGTGCAGCTTGGACGTGACGCAAGCAATGCTTCGTCGCAATGGAATCTAAATGCAGCTTTGCCATGAGAAACCTGCAATACGTTAGATCGGGAAGCTCAGATCGGACTTCCGGGGGAAATGCAACATACATTCCCTGAGACTGGTTGATAATAGTGTCGACAAAGGCGTCCTGGACTGAGGTGTCTCCAACGAGAATATTCTGTAGCCCTGGAACCATTATAGTTCGGTGTTCGATATAGCTCTTCATATCTTGCTTGCTTGCTGATATATTGATATAAGCTCTCGGTCGTTTCCAGTCCGTGAACGGTGTTTTTGAACGGGTTGTAATCAGCAAGTTCAAATTGGTCCAGCTTTCCAACGCGCTCAGAAGCATTGTTACCGATTCATCAAGAATCCCTTGTTGGTCCAGACCATCAATTACAATGTATACTTTCGATAATCTTTCCATGAACAGCCGAAAAACTTCGAGACATTCTTCCCAAGAAGGACGGGATTTCCTTCTGTGATGTGCTGTGTACAAGTTCTCCAGGTGAGAGCAGCATGTGGAGAATTCATGCTCAATCAAGAACTGCTTCAGGATGCTAGAAATAATGTCCTCGGCGGTGGTTCGGTGGCCAATATCTGGGTCTGCGAATAAGAATGCAACATATGTGGCGTGGTCTTGTTTGTATTGGATAAGACGATCTGCAATCAGCGAACTTCAAATATTCATTAGCTCGGATTGTGTTGATATAGAAGGCCGATTTGGCTACATACGCAATGACGGACTTTCCACTTCCAGCTATGTCGATCGTTCAAATACACGTTAGAACAGCCTATTCGAGGGCGCTGAATGCATGATCGTCGCCTACCGATTCCATAACACCACAGTGTTTGGTCCTCGTCGTTCACCCATTTATGGAAGTCTGGAGTATGTAAAAACCACTCTCCAGTTCTTCCATGACGTTTAGAAAATATTTCTTTCCGCCTTTGGTAGTGATTTGAGGACGAAAGCCACTCCGCAGCAGCCAAGGCGCCTTTCACTTTAGATTCGACTTCATCTATTGTAATCTCGAGTTAATATAGGCCATTAACGTGAATTTTGGGGACATACCCTCATAGACAATTCTGTTTCCCAGATGTACACGAGCAGTTCCTTGGATCGTAATGCCTTCAAAATTGTTTACTGCCCGCGGTGCTCTGATCATTGTGAGAGTTGGAGGTTTGCAAAGACAATCAAAATTAAAACAACTTACATTACAGGTCGTGTATTTATATTCAACAATCAGGAATATGAGAGCTGGGCCGACTATGTTTCTATTTTAAAACAGTGGCTATACAGACATTATCAGTGGTCGAGACTCGCAGGCAAGGTTGATTAAGCGCCAAATGAAACAGCCCAAGAACAACTGCACACCACTCATTCCTAAGCGCCTATGCTGGACCCTGTTCGGGTGCGGGAATCTGCCTTGCCTCTTCGGTTTATCAATTCATGTTTCTGCTTAACGCTTTGCCTTCCCCGTCTTCCCGTTCTTCATCCTTACGGTAACCTGCCAAAGAGGTTGGTACCGATACTCAACCTTTTCACCGCAATGGCAGACCCTCTATCAGTCACATTTGCTGTGGCCGGGATCCCCGGGATCTTTACATCTTTTTTGAGTTGCTTTGAATATGTTCAACTTGGACGAAAATTCGGCCGAGATTATGAGGACAGCATGCTCAAACTGGAGCTCGAAAGGCTGCGTCTGTCGCGATGGGGAGAGAAAGTTGACATCAACCTGGCAGACCCCAACTATGTGCAAATTCAATTGTCGCTTGGCTCATGTACCGACACCAGTCGTGCAAGGGAGGTCCTGACACTGATCCTGGATTTATTCCGGGATACCGAGAAGGTCGCGAATCGGTACCGGGTCAAAAGGATCGCACAACTTGCGCCTACGAGCACTTCAGCCCGATCGGAATCAATGACGCTATACCAGAAGACTCGCGACCTGTCTATTAAGCATCGTCAGAGGGGTACAACTACCTTGAAAAAGACCATCTGGGTCTTATACGACCAGAAATACCTCTCTGGGCTGCTGAAGGAGCTGGATGAAATGATCGGGAAGTTGGAGGAATTGTTCCCTGACAAAGCGGAGGATGATGTCGCCGCAGGAAAGTCGGGCAAGGAACAGACGATCGGAGAACAAAGTGACGACCGTGTAATCGGCCGAAACGATCCTCTTCTACCGGAAATTTTGGAGAAAAAGGGGAAGGGTCATCTGTATTACAACATGAAGGTTGGGGGCGATGCGAAGGTCTACAACGGAGATCTGCTCACTCCCGGAGACAAACCTCGGGGACGCGGTCATGCTTACTTGGACATCACTGTGGGTGGGAATGTGAAAGTCAGGTTTGGAAATGACCAAACAGGTGGAACAGCCTTGTGGAATATGTGAAATGTCAGTCGTCTGGTAGAGTATTGTCTTCGTGGACAAAAGATTTTCCATGTTTTACGAATGATCGAACCGTATGTTATAGGAATCGTGTTTTGCTTTCAGGATATGTGGCGAGGAGCAAGAATCAACAGGTTTTATACTGAAACATAAACAGTGTTTGCCATTGAAAGTAGACATTGAATTACCCGACATGGTGTGATATTTATATTCCATACGTCAGGGCAAAGTCGCCACATGAATCAAGTCACTGCAGTTATCATCCACCGCTAAGTTAGGTCATATGGAAGCGATTGATCTTCAAGACCATGTACTGCTCCCAGTTACTCTTTTCAGCAATCTGGGCCTGAGATGTGGAACCAACATCATCCACCAATGAATGGACCGCGGGAGGACTAGCAGGAAGTATTTCAGTCTTAGTCTTCGCGATGCCAGTCGATGTCAAAATGCGACCGTTGACACCAATAGCTTCGGCAGAGACTGCACTTAGTTTGATCCCACTGAGCGCCAAGGAGGTTTCAAAGCCGGTCCGCTTTGATTCCCCCAAGAATTCACGCGATCCATACTCATCCACGACATTATAGAATCTCCAGACCTTAGTCTCGGTATCTCCGTTCCAAGACACGTAGATAGTTGTACCCTGCTCATTCTCCAGAGAGACGATAGCGGGAGCTTCGTTCGGAAGACCGGTCCAGTTATACCGGAACCCTCGGTAATTCTCCACGCCGTCTCCCAGGAACCCAGAATCCATGTAGGCATGGAAAATAGGCGTTCCGTCAGGTCGAAACTCGGTCAGCGCCCCTTCGGATCCCCAATTCACAATGACGTTTCCATTGGGCAAAAGCTGTGTACTTCCCTGTGACTTGGACAGCAGACCATCGGGAGGCTGAAACGCCTGGACAACGGAGGCAGTCCAAGTAGCCGTATCGACTTCAATGATCTTTCCCTGAGAGAAAGGATGCGTGTGGACTTCATGGCCGCGACCGTCTTCGGTGCCGTGGGCGGCATTGTCATAAAGAGAGATCACCTCTTTGTCACCCTCCCTGGAAACAAAGCGAGCATGGTGCTGGAAGCAGAAGTCCGCATTTGGACCTAGAGAAAAGTCGGATTTTTTCCCGGCCAGACGCCAGATGATCTCACCGGATGTACCGTTGATTTTGTGCACTGAGCAGGCGTCGCGGGCGGAAATTAGATAGTTCCCGTCGGAGTCTTTGTCGACGGAGTTGATGTGGAAGTAATCCCATGCATCAGAGGAGTTGTAGCCGGAGCCGGCTTGGCCAGGGTTGATGGGGAGAATTGCCTCTATTTGAATGAGCACGTAGATAATATATAGAAATCGGGATTTGTATACCATCGGGAAGAACATGTTCTAGGCTGGACCATTCGAAGAGAAGCTCTCCAGTTTCGATGTCAAGTTCTAGACACATTAGTAGCCAAATCAGAAGGGCCAGAAAACAGACCTACCTTGAAAAAGAGAGTCAACTATCCATTGCTGTCCAGGGCGAGCTCCCCACTGGGTAAGGTCAGCCGGAACAGGCTGGTAGATCTGAATCAGGGCTGTCTCTTCATTGATGACATGGAACTCGTGTTTATCGGTCAATTTGTGGTTTCCCGCGCGCAGTTCCCGAATAGTCTCATAATGCTGGTCCAGGATCGTCGTATGTCCATGACCATGACCATACCCAGCATTATGGTCGCCCTCGAATGAAAATAGCACGTCTTTTCCCTTCCAGCGGGCCTTCTGAAAGTTCGTTGACCAGATAGAATAATATCCGTATCCGGACCAAACGAGCTCTCCATCATCTTGCAAGATATACGGAGCTGCCTGACGAGGACCATGCATTTCACCTGCTTTGTCAGGGAAGCCGGCAAATGGAGCCACGAACAAGTACCCCTTCTCGACATCAGCTGCAGCAGGGATGGTGATGTTCAATCTGGGAGGGGCCAGATCAGAACGAGACTTGAATTGCCAATCGGCCGCCACAAAGGGCAGGGCTGCAGCGAGCCACAAGGAGCGCATGATGCGTGCTGGGAGCACAATGATCAGCCTCGAGTCGGTCCATGTTGTTCAGGATGGGTACATTAACCTTGGTAGAGTTTCTGGGCTTTAGATGAATTGGATTGTTTGTTTCTGGTCTGTTACGGACTGAGCAAGTGAAACAAACTCGATCGTATCATGGGAAATCACAGCACTATTTATGCTATCCCCCATCACCGACTCTGTCGCAATACTCGCTGACATTCCTCCCTTCGTGGTTTGCGTGATTGCCCCGCATGACGCGCCAAGCCCTAACTCATCGCGCAGCCAAAACTCCCCTCGCCGCTAATTTCGGCTACAGCACCACAAAACTGGGTCTCTCCAGCGGCCTGTTGCGCAGTGTCTGGTTGATTCCTGCCCGATGCGGTGCCCGCCTGCCCGGACAAGCCGTGATTGTCTGCAAGCGAAGCGTCGGCCAAGATTGCACCATCCTGTCCCAATCGCCGCTGTAGAAACTGCGGGTTAGCGAGAATCAACCGCGTTGAGCCAATTCGACGTGTCTAGAGTGGGGTGCACAAGAATTTAACTGTGGAATTTTGCACGAGGGGTTCTAGAAATGATTTATAAACTTAGCTCCAAATTCGACAGGAAGCTGTTCACAGGCAATCAGCACTCGGCAGCGAATCCAGCAGGCGGAACGGATCACGGCTATCACCATGTCAGCTAGCATCCACGGCACTTTGCCTTCGAAACTACCTTCAGGCGGTCTATCGCCAGGTGAAGACGATAGAAATGCCGTCTCGGAGTCGCAACCATTGCTCCCTACAGACCCAGACAAATGGACACCTCCTAAGGGTTTTATCTGGATCGAAGTCGGTAGGTGAATCCGGAATTCTCCACGGTCCTGATGAACTAATAAAGATTTCAGCGATTTTCGCGAACGTGTTCTTGTCTGGATTTGATGGAACTATCACTGCATCGACCTATGCGCTGATCAGCTCCGAGTTCAACGCGGCTAATACGGCTTCGTGGCTAACAACCTCCTACCTTATCACCAGCACTGCTTTTCAGCCTTTGTACGGGCGCTTTTCCGATATTTTCGGTCGGCGCTCGTGCTTTTTTACGTCGACTATTACTTTTCTTCTGGGATGTCTTGGGTGTGCCGTTGCGCGCGATGTCATCTTTTTGAATCTTATGAGAGCGTTGACGGGGATTGGTGGAGGAGGATTGATGACCATGGGTGAGCCTTTGACTATGGAAGTATTTGAAAAATAAATGTAGAGCTGACGAACTAGCGACCATTATCAACTCCGATATGATCCCTTTCCAGCGCCGTGGGATGTATCAGGCCGCCCAGAATGTTCTTCACGGATTCGGTTCAATCTGCGGAGCGTCCATGGGAGGCAGCATTGCAAATACCATAGGCTGGCGGTGGTGCTTTCTGCTGCAGGTTCCTGTATCGGTCTTTGCGTTAATCATGGGTCGCATCACAATTCCTATTCGTCAAATGTCGGTCGCAAGTTCCAGCCATCATGGTTTGCGAGGCGTGTGGCAGCAGGTTGATCTCACCGGTGCACTGCTACTGATCCTGGGACTGTCCATCCAGCTAGTCGGCCTGAGCCTCGGGGGCAATGAGCTTCCGTGGGACAATATCTGGGTGATCACATCACTTGTCGGAAGCGTTTTGCTCCTAGTCGGCTTCCTCGCAGTAGAGGCCCGGACGACCGCTATACCGGTGATTCCTTTGCGCATGCTTCAAGGCATCCTTCCGCTCTCGACGCAGATAGCTAACGTGTGCGTGGGAATGGCTGCATACGCCGTGAGTACTTAATCTATGATCCAACCACCTCATACTGATTATTTTCAGTTTCTCTTCATGCTCCCTCTCTTCTTCCAAGTCATTCTTCTTGACTCGGCCTCAAAAGCGGGTGCTCGCCTCGTTATACCCTCCCTAGCCACTCCAATCGGTGGCCTCGTCTCCGGCATCATCATGTCCCGCTGGGGCAAACTAGCGCATCTCGTGCGTGCAGGTGCCTTTCTAATGTTCATAGGCAACGTCCTGGTAATGCTACTGGACTTTGACGACGCAGGGTGGAAATACTTTGTCTACGTCATCCCCGCGAACCTCGGGCAAGGCATCGTATACCCAGCCATCCTGTTCACCTTTTTAGCAGCATTTGATCACTCCGGTACGTTATCTTATTTTCCTTGTCAAATACATCGATCTAAATCCAAACCAAATACCCAGATCACGCCGTCTCGGCCTCAACAGTCTATCTTATCCGCTCCCTCGGCACAGTCTGGGGCGTAGCCATCACATCAACTATCCTTCAAAACCATCTCAATGCGGGCTTACCAGATGCCCTGAGTGGAGTACCGGATAAATGGAAAGTAATCTCGAATTTCTTTGTTCAGGGGGTGATGTTTTCGGAATGTACGCTTACAATCTTTCTGTTTCGGCTAGGTTATCTCCGATATCAGGCACTCTGTCTCCGCTATTTACACTCTGCCACCGGACGTCCAGGCGGCTGCGAGACAGGTGTATTATGGCGGTATTCGTATGTCGTTTGGGGCTTCTGCCGCCTTTGGAGGTGTTGCCAGTTTGGCCGCGGTGTTTGCGAGGGGCAAGGGGTTGGAGAGAGGTGGCCGTTAAGGCACTTAAAAAGAATTTTGAAGGATATCTTGGAAGAAAGGATGTTGGCATGGAAGTTGGGTGTGGCCGAGTGGTGCGTAGGTAGACATGTTAGCGTGGATATAGGTATAGCGGTTGAAAAATATATGCGGTGTTGTCAGGAAAAAGACACTGTTCGAGAAGGTCGAAAGCTTAGTCCGTTTCCAACATATAAATGATTCAGACACAGTCTGAACAGTAAGCTACAAATGGGGGCATTGGAGAGGAAAACCCATATCGCCTTAGAAAATAACTTGCGCTAGAAATGTTTCCCTCACATCCCCACCCAAAATAAAATCTTAACATAATCAGAAGCTAGGCTTTCTTGAATTTGACCCAGATTTCGTTAATTTTCACAATGTCTGAGCGACCTCACTCACTATCCACCCCCCTATACTCAAAATACCTCCTAAACTCCTCATCTGCAATCAGCTCCCCCGCCAACTCCTTCTCATACATCAACGCAAAAACATTCCCCTCATCCGACCCCGAATCCTCATCCAACCTCGGCGGATACACCAAACACACACCCACCGTGACGCCATCCCCCCGCTGCAGATGGCGATGAGCCAACGGCCTCGCAAACCCAAAGTCCGCATCCGTAACCTTCGCCTCCCGATGATCAGTCATGATAATCGACATCGGCGGTTTGGAATTAATCCGAATATTCAAGTTCGTTTTGTCCTTGACATGCGAGACTGCCGTCAGCGCTGTATCTAGATTCGCCTGCGTCTGCGTGTTCGTGATGCGTCGGATATAAGCGGCGAGTTCCGAAAGGGGCTTTTGGGAAATAACTTCCCCGTGCGTGAGCTGTCGGAAAGGGGCCTGGTCGGAGAGAGCAGCCCAGAGGACGTTGTGTTGGATGCGTGGATGGACGGGGGGATCGTTGAGGCGACGACGCATGTCGACGGCTTCGCACCAGAAGATGGGGCTTTCGAGAGACGTTTGAAACACGGGCTGGCGGAGGCGAGTTACCGTGCGCCAGAGAAAGGCAGCGAATGCGTCGTAGGTAGAGATCCATGTTCCGTCTTCCGGCGCTGCGAGGGCTTTAAGCTCCGCGGCTTTGCTTTTGGGTAGATGGAAGAGAAGACATTGTCCTGGCTTCTGGTCCGGGTGACGCTGTGGCTCAGGCGGGCCGTTGACGCGTTGGTCGCTGGGAGGGTCTAGTTTTGAGACGATGGATACATCATTGCATGCTGGATCCCAGGCAGGGAATGGCGTTTTGTGATGAATCGCGTAGCAGTTCTCTGCGAGTTGGTGGATGAATCCCGCCCAGCCCATCACGTCGTTGGCGTAGTGGTGCATATGAGTAACCAGGACGAGACCGCCACGGACAAAGTTGGCTATGAAAGCTGATGCGGTGGGTGATTTGTCTGGATGAGCTTCTGGTCGTTCACCGTATGTCATCGGCTCGATGCTCCAGTTCTTGAAGTCGCCGAGCGTGAGGCCGGCGAAGCTTGACGCTTCCATATCAGACATTGATGGGAACTTCTCGGTATCTTCGGGAGAATCAAGCCATTGAATGATGAGTTGCACCGTACTCTGGCGTTTCTTGACAAATGAGTGGCCACCCTCAGGGTCTTTCTCGATTGTACCACAGAGATGGCCTATCTGGGCTAAAGTTCGCTGGAGACTTTCTTTGAGAACAGCAGCGGCTTTACTTTTGTCGGCGTCTTCAAGGCGAAAGTACACTGCAAAGTGGGTATAGCAGAGTCCGGTCAGATAATCCAGAGTTGAGACTTTAAACCGCTCCTCGGGTGGGCTAGTCTCCCAACCGTGCGGATAAAGATCATATAGGTCTTTATTGACCATGTCTGCGCGACGAAATAGTGTTTTTCAATGCTGAAAGATCCAAGAGTTACTGTAAACGCCAAGTCACAGTCTTTGGAATTGAAACTGCTCTCTTTAAGTAGGCAGATGTCGTCCACATCCGCCCATTTGTAAATCATAACATGCTCCTTATAACCCCATATTGGATAATGGCCTTCATGTCTGTCACTCCCGTGCCGTGCTCGGAAAACAAACTAATTTCTGACACTTCACAAGCTTCCACCGTTATTGGTGGCTGGTGCGGGATTCCTGTCATGGCGACCAGGTCAAGAACGGCTTGCTGCAGGACAACAACAATCCCAGCCTCGTGTGGCAGATTACCCCGCTCACAAGTGAATGACAAGTGGTCGTCTGGAAAAGCAAAACATTGCAATAGTCTCTCACTAAGTGGTCGTCTCTATTCCAACTTTTACCCCGATTAGGCAATACCTCGACATCCCTAGAGCCATCGCAGTCATTCCTCTCACGGAAGAACGGGCGCTCAACAAGTGAGCAGAATGACTCACCAAACCTTTCATTTTTTCCCAGCGCTCCCTCCCGAAATCCGTCGCACGATCTACATTCTCGCAACACCGCCTCGCGTCGTCCACATCCAAGAGGTATCCGAAGATGAGAAGACATTTCTTGCAGAACTCAAAATAGCCCCATTCCGTCGAACGCTCTGTCCTTCTCTGACCCATTTCGCTCTCCACTGGCGTAAATATATTCCCAAAGCAATCAAACAACCAACACTCGAGCACTTCGGAGTGACAGGCGCCCGACCGCTCAATAAACCATGGACGCCATCCGCAGCGACCCCGGAAATCCCAATCCCGTGGCTCACAGAGCAACCCGAATTAGCATGGGAGATGGTCCGTAACAGCTACCTGTACAGCAAAGCACCGATCCCGGCCCTGTTACACACGTGGTCTGAATCGCGCGAAGAGCTGATCCGATTTGGCTACGAGCTTGCATTCCGAACGCGCTCGAATGGCCCTCGCACGTGGTTCAACTTCAAACGGGACGTGATGTACCTCACAAAGTCCGAGTCTAGGGGACGCTTTTCGGGAACTGTGTCTCTCAGTAATAATATGTTCTACGAGGTTGGGCAGTTCCATCCGTTTGATCTCACCAGGGTCAAGAGGTTGGCCTTGGCCTATTGTGGTCCATTGTTATTCCCGTGGCGGGCACCGTCGCTGTGGACAGAGGAGATAGCGCAGATCTTACCGCTGTTTCCGGGTCTGAGTGAGCTGCTGCTGGCAGAATTGGAGGATGAAGATGTTATGCGATGGTCGGAGCGCGGACCTCATTGGAATAGGAATTCGGGGTCCTCGACCCGTGAGCGTTGGTGTTGTTTAGCTGTTGAGGAGATCGATGCTTTGCTCTCGCTACTGTCCGATGGCTTTCGAACAGATCTCGGATCAGTTGGGCTGGTAGCGGAAATGTTTAAAGAGCATCAACAACGCAGAGAAAGCAGCGACGGCTACTTTGAGCATCGACGGGTCGTCACAGAGCAAGCACTTGCGGACGCCAGAGATGCTATGATCGCCTCCAGTCATCCCATCCCGATGACACCCTGGTCGATCCCTAGGATCCGAGCCGTGCATATTCTGCCAGAGTCGATGGTCCCCGGGATGATTCAGGAGCGACGAAATGCTTGGAACAAATTCTGTGAGCTGAAAAGAGACTGGAGAAAGGCTATAGATGGCATTCCGTCGGACAACTTTCCTCAAGCCAGGGCCATGACTACTAAGCTAGGCACGATGTGTAGCCCGTTGTTACCCTGGCTGCCGGACGAGGATTGGGACGACGTTTCTGATCCTGTGGTATTTTGTATCTTCTCGGATGAGCAGATGGGAGGTGAAGCTCTATCCCGGGGTCAGCGTCGTGCGAAGTCGTGGTGGGTACAAAAGGGGACTGTCAAGGAGCCAGGTCTTGAAATTATCGCATAATCTAGTCGTCACTGGCTTGATTTGAGGTTAAGATTGTTGAGATCGGTGTTTAAGAGGTCGAACTCTACTGCAAACGACTGGGTTGGCATGGAAATGGCTCTAAGAATTGATGAATTGATGCCTATCTGGAAGAAACAAAGGATTGAGTGGATCGAGAAGTGTAGGTAAAACTCTGCCTGGACCTCTCATCTCGCTGAGGGGCTTGTACCACGTCGCGAGTTCCCTATGACTGCGGCCAAAGCGCTCACATTTTAGTGCGAAATTTTTTGTTAATTCGATTATTTAAAAAGTATTGAGAGTACCAGAAACATTTCGATAAGCTCGACTTTATCATTTGAAGCTGCATCGAGAGATTAGCTTGCCGCAGATCTTGACCACCATTTTGTGGGGGCCAAAAACCCCATCGGTGAGATCCCTAGATTCACCCCGAAGAAAGGGGAGCGTGTGGGTCCGATATTAGCGAGTTGGTCAAATCTAAGAATCCATTCGTTGGTTGCCGTTTGGAACCATTCCAAACATCCTTCAAAACTCCCGGCGAGGCACCAGGCAGAAGGCTGCTAGGCAGATGAGGCACTCCCTTGTCACCTTCTCTATAAAGTGCACTTCAGATCTCTGCCTCCAAGCGGCTGCCAGGTTTTACAGCCAAACATCTCGGTCAATATTCACCGGCAAATCTCAATATGGGTGAGTGATGTTCAAACCCCCGAAAGCATCCGAAACTAACCGCTTAAACAGGCTACTCTGAGGTTCGGTCGCACAATCTCTTTATCAAATCTGATAGACTCACCTCATCAACCAGATCTACTGCGCGCTATGCGGCATCAGCTTCAACATCGCGCGACTCCGAACCGCCGATGAGCCGGAGGATGCTGCATGGACAACATACGCTCCGGTAGGATGGATCAATCCTCTAGGTCGCGACAACGGAGAGTGTTCCACCGAAGAAACGGGCTGTTGCTACGTCATCCGCAACTGCGAGTGGTACAAACGCGGCATCAGCGAAGGCATGAAGTCCGATCTCTGGGAAATCATGTTCTTCGAGTACGAGGAGGGAAAGCTCCCTAAAGTCGGAGACAAGTTGCCCATGGCCGAGCCAATCATGGAACTGGACGGTCGGATTGGATTGAAGAAACAGGACCTCGAGCATGTCGCCGGTCCCGGGTGTAGATGTACAAATGGATACGTTGGGCATCGGGTGTCCGTCGAGGAAATGCGTTCTTGCCAGACAGCTCAGTGTCTTGCTGCAAAGCAGGGTGGCTGGCAACTTCAGTCTGATGATTGCCAGGTTGAGTTAGAAAGCAATTATTTCTTAACCGGTCTCGTGGATGGCATGCCAGATATTGAAATGGGTTGGATTGGGATCAGTCCCGTCAGACACGGTCTAGATCAGCTTGATCCAGCGGATCCCTTTGGTCACGTACGAGTTTTTATGTTCTCCTGGGCTAAAGGGATTTCTCTTGCTGACGTTTGGTCCCAGTGCTACGACGATGAGTACAATAATCCACCATTCCATCCAGCGTGTTTCGCCATCTTCATGAAGCTCAGCCGTCTTCGTTTCGGTCGCGTTGTAGTGGACAGCCTAATGGACTTCTTTTCAAACATCGATGCGGACGAATATAGTTTAATAGAAACATTGATGGACCCCGACGCCGCTGGATGCACTGATCAGTGGTGGGACCATGTACGTGGCACGGAGTGGCTTGCCGTCAATCCATTCTACGTGCCTCGTTTACGAGAGATTTTCCAAAAGGCCATGAACAGTGAGATTTCCTTCAGTCAACAGGACTCTGCATTCACAAACTCCATCTCAGCACCGGATCATCACAAGGATCCCTTTGCCCAGCTGCCGCCTGAGCTGCGGAACATGGTTCTCGACCGCCTTGTCGCAAAGGATATCGCGTCTCTGCGCCTTGCATCGCGGACATTCTACGATATCCCTATCTCTCTATTCCACGGTCTTATTCGCAAGGAAATGCCTTGGTTATGGGAGATTTGGGACGATGAAGCTCCATTCTTCTGGGCTACAGTCACCGAGGCAGATATCAGAGCGAACGGCATCTTGGAAAATTCTGTCGATCGAGAGAGCCAGGTTGTTGGGCACACTATGAATGTCGAAGAGCATGTGCGTCGGTGGACATTACCGAAGCCACCTGTTCCAACCACCAATTGGTATATCATTTACCGGGACATCAAGAAGCACTGGACCGATTTGAAAGGACTGCGGAGTCGTAAGCGCATTTGGACCTGGCAAGGGGGGATTATTGATGGTATGGAGAAGCGTTTCAACAGGGGAGATGCCTGAGCTTCGTGGGACTTTGTGGCCAATGCTCATTGAAATGAGTTAATATCGTAATTATCCGAGAGAAAAAAGAAGAATGAGTTGTATTTGCAGCATACTCTTACGTCCTTGCATAATTTACCGTTATTTGTCTCTGAGAATACGTTTGCTACCTCGTCGGGATTCAAATCCCGTACAGCAATGTGCAACTCAAACCCGGGATCTGCGGCCCTAGATGATGAATGTCTGCACATCTGCGAAAATGAGACGTGCGGGGAAATGAGTGCTATATATCTCTCCATACCATAGAGACACCAATGATATACACAGGCTGCATCACACCATGAGTCTTCTTCGTCTGTACACCGTTACTCGATCCCTTCGTCAATCCTTCCTGCCAAAAGGAAGACTCTTGGCACGGTCTTTATGGCGGTTGAAATCAGATACTGTTCCAAGCCCTGGGACCAAATCTGCAGGAAGCGCCGCTGCTGCGAGACAGTCCTTCCTGTCCAAGCTCTCTCTTGACGGAAAGGTGACTATGATAACAGGTCCTTCTGTCCAGCTTGTCCTTTAATCAATAATATGCTAAGTATTAGTAGGAGGCGCACGAGGTATCGGTCTTGCTATCGCAGAAGCCACCGCCACTCTCGGCAGCGATGTCATTCTGTTTGACGTTTTAAGTCCCCAAGCTGGGGTCGAGGAGCTTCAGAAGCGTTACGGAACTCGCATCAAATATTATAGGTTAGTCGACGCTGATACGCGACAGGCTTAAGAACGCTAAACTCAGCATGGTTCTTTTCATTCCTCCAGAGCAAATGTTACGCAGCAGTCGAGTCTAGAAGGCAGCTTCACAACAGCGATGGAGGACTTTGGACGTCTTGATAACTGGTGAAGGAAGATTACCAATTTCCAAGCCACCTCATCCTGATTCTGTCTAATGGTTCGATAGTATAACCGCCGCGGGTGTCGCTCTGGACAAACCATTCCTTGATCACCAGTGGGACGAGGCACGACGTGTTATGGATGTCAATGTATGACCTCAAACTCTAATTTCAATCCATATATAAGGGTAGACTGACCTCAAGAACTTCCTTCAGGTCCTCGGTTCCTTCTTCCCCGCCCAGCTCGCAGCCCGCCAAATGGTGAGCCAGAAGTCCGGCGGGAATATCCTCATGATAGCGTCGATCGCAGCACACTGCGCCGTACCAGCCCAATGCATATCGATCTACGGGGCGTCAAAAGCGGCCATAACCTTACTTGGCAAGACGCTAGGTGTAGAACTAGGCCCTTACAATATTCGCGTAAACACTCTGTCTCCGGGATTCATTAGCACAGACATGCTGAGGCAGTTCGAAGAGCTACAGGATATTTTTGCTAGGGTTCCGTCGCTCGGGAGGATTGGGGAAACGGATGATTTGATGCTGGCCATTGCTTACTTGTTAAGCGATGGGGCAAAGTACACGACTGGTGCGGATTTGCCTGTTACTGGGGGATTGCATGGAGGGAGGATTGCTCTAGGATAGGACGAGAGGTAGTGTGGTGGTATCTTTGTAGGCCTGTCAAGTGAAAATAATATTTCGGATTTCAGAAGTTGGAAGTCATGTCAATCACGCATTTACGCAGAGCTTCTTTCGCAACGGGGTTTTTAATGTTTTCAAGTTCGCTTATTCAAGATACGTTATATGGCTAACTTTGAATTAATTTGTTCAAAAAAGAGGAAAGAAAGAAAAGATCCAAACTTGAATAATTGGCAATTCAATAGGATTATTGGTTTTTAGAGCTCGTTCTATCACCATAAATATAATCCAGAATTGGATATTTTCTCCCACAATTGCGGGGCATCAGGGCTGTTTAACAAAGCTGACAACCGATCGGCCAACTCACAATCTTCTCCAAGTCTATTCATAACATTCCATACTAACTCTATCCGTCGGGCCGCCGCAATTCGTTCGTTCATTGTAGTGGTCGCAAGTCCCTGGCGATGTAAATTCAGGGCCAGAAACAACAGTGTCGCCGAGCACCCAGGGAGAACAGACGCCAGATTCAACGAGAAAACCTCGGCGATCAAATTTCTTAGGCTCAAAATGTGTTTCTTTCCGATCTCTGCGACTTGACGGGTATTTTCAGCACCGGCTGAAGGGTTGATTTGTGACATTCCAGCAGCGGCTAGGTAAAGTAAACGCAACCAGGTCCGGTGCATGTAGAGACTCTGTTCCCATACCATCGGGTATGGGGAGAGAGGTAGTCGATGCGTGGTCTCGGGCGTTCGTTGAGCAAGCCACCATGAGAGTTCGTCCGGGTCGATCAATGTAGATGGGGTTTCGAGATCAATTCCATTATCCCCATATACAACACCGCTTAATTGCCCCGTCAAAGTCGACAACTGGAAGATTTGACACAGCTTCGTTTTCTCAATAAACAGAAGAGCTTGGGTTTTCTGGTACTCCAAGCTGCAAGCAACCTCACTTTCTCCAAATATCGAACGGACTTCGCGTGACGCAATTTGGAGTTCGAAATCATCAAGTGTCACCATCGAAGGGCTATCGGCCTCCATGATACTCACCATGGACAGTAGATCCGGACATGTGTTGCGCGCGTGGTTGTGCATGCTCCACCACGTTCGTTTCCATATACGCTGCTGAGCAGGGGTCATCGTGTTGGGGTCTGGGTCCTGATGTAGCCCGATTGACATGGCTAATGAGATGCAACTTCCCATCCAGTGAGCAGCATCTCGCTCTCCCTTGCGGGGGCCATCCCAATATATCATTAAGAGAATTGCTTGCACGTGAGACAATCGATCTTGTTCACAGTCTAGTTCGAAAAGCGCCTAGAATAAATCACATTATCAGTTACATTCTTTCCACCGCAGAGAAGCTTTGATGAAGATACAATCTAACCTTGGCGCGACGGTAGAGACATTCTCGCGCTGCCCGTCGAGACTCATATCCCTCTCGCTTGATACAATCGATATCCACGAATCGCGACGCCGCGAACATAACCGCATGAAAAAGCAGCAGACTAATGCCACATAATTCCTCATCTACCACCATTGCGTGAAATTGGACATTGAGATCCAATATCGGCACACTCGGTTGTACCCAAAGGAAAAAAGATTTCAGAAGCTCGCGCCGAAACTGGGGAGACGGTATCGTCAATGCCCCTTTTCGGCCCAAGTACTTAATGTCTTTCTGTTCCAAATATAGTGCCATTCTGGATACATATCGCGGGATATGCACTATCGGGGGTTCTGGAGCCGATTGCGCGCCTAGTAACTGCTGTACGATTGTGATATAGTTGTCCAATGGTCTTGTGCTGGCGACCGCCGGGTTTGTAGCTAGCCGGATTTGTTTTTGGTTCTGTGTTTGTTGTACGTGTGAAGCAAATAGTTCCTCTAATTATTCGGTCTATTAGTCAGGTGTCGCATATCCCATTGCTCATAGCAGAAGGAGGCAGATGTAGCTTACCAGCACTATAAACCAGGGAATCCATATGTCGTCCGTCACAAGGTATCCCATGAATCCGGCATTTTGAGCATGGAGGTCCTTGAACACCAATGTAGCATCTTTGATTCTGTCGAACACAATGTGTACATGCTCCGCTGTTCTTAGATCCAGTTCGTTGAGTTCTGGGACACATTTTCTGTGTTTTTGATCGTTCATCGGCCGAGGGACACAGTATACAAACCCGCTATTCAAGAATTCATTAATTCTCAAATTTCCTTGAGCTAAGTAATGAATTCTGATGGTTCCCGTGAGGCCATAGTCATGAATTGCTGCATGGATGGCTGACGACTTCGGAATTCTAAACCCTCGGGTTTTAATTTCCTGTTTTTCAGGGGCAGCTGAGCCCGGGCCGGGAATCATTTATCCCTCTGAAAGATTATTCTCGGGTCTCAGGATGTACATTACCGTAGTTCTTTAACGGCCATAGTATCACTGGAATCTCATTGTCGCTATCAATCGGAAAATATGATCCCCACGTTAGATCGCTTTGGCTACAATTCGGAATTAATCAAACCAATTCAAAAGTATTTCGCATTCATTATGTTACGTCTTCGAATTACCATATTCCAGCATATTGATATGAATTCGGGTCCAGATCTACTCCCATAGTCGATTAACCACGCTCCACCACTTATTATCACTTACGACCGGTTCCTCCTCTTCCAACACCTCCTCCAACCCCGAATGCAAATCCACCGACCTCGAATCCCTCACCCAAGGCTCATACCAAGTATAAACCCGATGACCGAGATAAATCACAAAGAACAGCGGAATACCAATATATGCCGTCAGAAACGACTCCACGCTCCAATTCGACGGAAAGAACACATCGAAGCCATTCGCCAGCGCGAGGAACGGAAACAGAGCCAATCCCGCATATGATCCCCAGGGTTGGAATCGGGACACATATGGTAGATCCGTCACGCCCTGGGCATTGCACGCCTTGCGAAACCGAAGGTGCACGATACAGCAGCACGTCCAGGAGATAAAGGCAGATTGGTTGGTGAAGTTGACGAACCAGTTAAAGACGACTGCTGCGCTGTTGCTGAGGTTGAGGTAGGCTAGAGCGCAGAAGAGCGAACACATGGCTACGCAGCGATAGGGTACGCCGGATTCGGTGCACGCGAGGAACCATGATGAAGCGTTTCCTGCGCGGGCGAGCGAGTAGAGGGATCGGGTGGCCATGTAGAGGAAAGCGTTTCCCGAGGACCAGGCGGAAAGAAGGATTCCGGCGTTGATTATGCTGTCTAGCACTGGGATGCCGGCGTTCTTTATGCCCACGACGAAGGGTGAAGCACCGGCTCCTTGGCCGCCGCTGGTGAGGCGGGAGTCGGTGGATGGACAGATCACCCCGATGGCAAGGACGGAGAGAATGTAGAAAAAGAGAATGCGGTAGATATAGCGGCGGGATGCTTTGGGGAGAGTCTTTCGTGGTGCGGCCATCTCTCCGGTCGTCAGGATGAGGAATTCAGGAGCGAAAGTGAAGGGGAGGGCGGCCAGAGTGAGAGTCGAAATTAGGGCAAGGAAGCGTCCCGTGTTTCCTGGTAGAAGGTATCTAATGGTAACCTCGTTAGCATCCCGACACCTTGTCTGTAGAATTTCAACGTACTCATTCGCTGCTCCAGGGTTATTCCAGTAGCGAAATCCCAGGCGATCGTGCGTTGGGCCTCCTCCAAAGAAAATAACCACCGAGACAATAAGCAGCCCTGTCATCATCACGACCTTCATAAAAGCAAACCAGAACTCTGTTTCACCGTAGAACTTTACCGGTAGAGCATTCAGCAGGACCATGAGCACGATCATGATAGATATCCATACAGCAATGTTAATTGAACTATGCCAATAGCTAATTACCAGGGACGCCGCTGTGATCTCATAGGGTGCCAGGATACTCATGCTGTAAACGTATCTGCCACACTTCTTGTCAGCCTCGTGTCAGAAATCGAAATGAGACATACTCACAGCCATCCGGTCGCAAATCCGAACGATGGCGATACAAATCGACTTGCATACAGACTGACCGAGCTTCCTGGGACGGGAAGCCAGGTAGCCACCTCTGTCAATCCCGCCAGCACCGTGTATACCGCAATGGATATGAAGCAGAAGCATCCCAGTATAAAGGCAGGTCCTCCTCGAGCGAGAGTCTGACCAGAACTCACAAACAATGCAGTTCCGATCGTACCCCCGAGCGCCAGCATTTGAGCATGTCTCGATTTGAGTCCACGCTTCGTGGTCTGCCCTGTGGAGACCTCGACATTGGTCGTGACTGAGGGCTTCTTTTCCAGATCCATAACGATTCTGGTTAACACCTTGTCTCAAAATCGGTTCACCAGTTCTGGGGAGCAATCGTTTTCATTTCCGTCAAGGCTGATTACAGGGATAACATGGCCAATTTCAATAACTACGGACGGCCTATACATGCTACCTGACTGTTCTAGAAGTCATTATCGCCTTCGACTCCCGATAAGAGACGATAAGAAAACTACCCTGCGCTAAGCAAGTCGGGGGAAGTTGGCGACGACACCAATCACGGCCTCTACATTTATCTAAATCACCTTGATAGGGTCGAACTAGCGTTATCGCTTTCCAGAGGATTGCGGGGTGCGACGGTTTTAGGCCACGTTAGCGACCCAACCTATCACCAGGAAGGCTGCTTTGGAATTTAACCTCATTCCAGCTTTTTTTGGAGTTGTTTGCTGGCTTGTAATTGGGTCTTCATCCTCCCGTTGTATGCCGGCGTCGCGTGGTTCTCGGGACATGACTTGTGTCCACTATCGCGCGTGTTTATCTATCTGCATTTTCATTACTCACAAGGCTAGTCGGCTTTCGTTGTGGTTATGACACCACACAGCAGAGCTCAGTGTATATATAGTACATCGGGCCTTGTTGAGAATTTCAAACATTTAATGCTGCTTGAATGTTAAACAAGAACTTCTACACGAAATTCATTCCTAAATAAGTCTCGTCATGACATCACCTAGCATCCAAAGAATCCCTTACTCCGCTCCGCGAGACGAGTTTATCAATGCGTTGAAGAAGGATGGTTGTGTTATCGTTCAAGACTTCACAACGCTAGAAACCCTAGAACAGGCACGTCAAGAGGTTGAGCCATGGCTAGCCCAGGAAGACAAGCGGAGCAAAGTTGGTGGTAAGCAGACTCCCAGCCATATCACGAAGTCTGTAATTAACCACGACTGCAGCGCTTAATGGAGGAACAAGAACCTGCACCCGTCTCGTCGGACGTAGCCAGACTGTCCGTGAGAAATTCTTCTCCGACCCCCTATACCAGGTATTTTTGTCCCTGCACCACCACGATCAACACATCACATTCAATACTAACCTTATCCAAGGACATGGCTGAGCAGTTCCTCGTAATCGAGACAACAAACTGGTACAACGAAGAGCCCTCCACAAGCACCACTCATCCCCTTCTGTCCATCTCCATCACTATGGACATTCACCCCGGGGCCAAGGCGCAGAAGCTTCACCGAGATGACAAGAATCATCACGCTCGCCACGCCCCCGCTCAGGCTTACCACCATAACCGAGACATGCTGCTGGGTCTTTTCGTGCCAGGCTGCGATACTACGCGTGCGATCGGCGCCACTCGTGTCATCCCAGGCAGCCATCTCTGGGGCGACGAGAAGCCAGACTTCGGTCCGAACCTCGACAAGGGTGTCATTGATGCAGAGCTGAAGGCAGGTGAGGCATTTCTCATGCTCGGAAGTCTGTACCATGGCGGTGGGGAGTTTTATCAAACGACTGGGAACCGCATGGTCCATATTATGTTCATGTGTAGTGGTGTTTATCGCCAGGAGGTATGTCCATCTCTCAGCTGTGAAACCGAAAGTGTAGGGAAGCTGACCCGATTCATAGGAAATTTCGTATCTTTCTTATCCGGTTGAAGATGTCAGAACATACTCGAAGCTGGTTCAGGAATGTCTTGGTTGGAAGCAGTCGGAGCCGAATCTAGGCTGGGTGGATCTGGTATCGCCGGAGGCTTTGTTGGTCTAGGCTGTTCTTCAAAAATCGCGCAAAATGTCATGGTGGCTTTTTCTTTTCTTAAGCTCTTTACGGTAACTGATACATGGATAGCCCTTGGCCTATAGTATTCTACCTATACGGAGTACTCATATCCAACTTCGCCCCTCACATTATCAGGATAAGTGATAATGAGAAGTCAAAATAAAGCAATGTTCCCCAGCACTCCCCATTCAAGCCATTTCACAAACATTACGTTCCTTTCTCCATTAGCTCCACATCGCAAAATGTTCTTATTAACTCAGTAACAATGTTCGAGTAGTATATCTGACGTATCATTTTTTGGTACTCATGAGATGTGTCAAACTTAATTCTTTCAGGCCAACGTTAAACTCGGGATATTAATTCGGGTCCTCAAGATTGGTCTTTGATATTGACAGTTCTTCCTCTACTCACTTTCAGCCAGTGTTTATTCAAGTGCATGGGCTAAACACGTCAAATCCCCCTTTAATAAACCAGATCCTTCTTATTTACATGATAAACCCTCTGAAAGGGAGTATACCAATTCCGATCCGTAGCAAGGTCTTCGGTCCACAAATTTCCTTTCATTCTTCGCTCCAAAGTCCCCGAATATTGCTCTCTGTCCTACCTCACCTGCAAGGTGCACTCCAGGCATCCATCATTGGCACCCACACCATCGTATCCTTCTGCGGAATCGAGCTTTTACGACTTTCCAGGCAGACATACATCATACACGTCCGACGAAGTATACTCCCATTCCCCAGGTTTCATAAGCACAGATCTCACTAGCGCCACCTATCTCTACTATTGGTAAGACGTATCACAAAAAAAGCCCCGATCATATCGTTGCCCTTCGTGTTCGCGAATCCAGCAGCCCAAGCCCCTGCAGGTTGTGTAACGCGGCACCAAATATTCCCTGAGCGTCCAAGCAGAAGAAACCAACTGAAGATAAGTTGAGTCGTGTATGGGCATACAGGGCACACACCGCTTGCGTCTTGTCTGGGTACAGGTCAGATCAGGCATCCTCTTTTGGTGATTTGTTGTAGTTGCTTTTGGAATGCGTTCCATCTTTGGACTTCAGGTGTAGTTGCGGCAATTGATTTTGAACTGAGTGGATTCTAGATGGACTTCGCTGATCATACCTCGTATTCCTTTCTCGTACTTTGCAATGTGAGAGATGATGTGGCCTGCTCTAGACATTCGACTTCCTAAATGCCCTTGATGATATCTACAGCTAGAAAAGAAGTTATATAAAGCCCTTATCCTCCCCTTCATGTTCGACCTCAACAAACACAACAAGGCAAAGCAACCAGCTCAAGAAAAAGAAAACCCCCATCCACCTCTCTCAAAATGCAGAATTTCCTCCCAACCCTCCTCCTTCTCATTACCACCGTCACCGCCACCCCAACACCCATCGACCTCGTCCGGCGCGAATGTAAATACCTTGCCCCCTCGGCCATCGACATCCTCAGCGAGAGCAACCCCGACACTCCCTCCCTGGGCAACCACTTCTCTCTCTCCCACGAGGCCAATCCCTCACGCAACACCGAAACTGTCGCCTTAACCTTCACCGACATCCCCGCCACCGCAAGCGGCTGTGTCCTACAACTCGCGATCCCGAAGCTGACGCACGAGAACGAGATTGCGTCCGGAACAGCCACGCAGGCTGAGATCTGGAAAACGAACCCGTGGACACACGACGATGCCCCGACTTGGAGCCATCCCCCGCACAAAGACCGGATGGTGTCCACGACGGGATTCCCGACTGAGGTGACCGATGAGAAAGACGTGAGATGGTTGGCGAGTGATACTTGCAGTGAGACAATGAGCTATTATGTCGAGTTGAGTGATTGGCAGAACAGTGAGGGTGACGTTGATTTTGAGAATCATGTTGATGGTGGTGATGGTGATTTGGGATTCAGGATGGTCTATGGGTGTTAGGTCTCTTATTTGGCTCCACTGGTGAAAGGCGTGATTAGGTGACATGTGAGGGATGTTCGAGAGCTATTTAGGGCTTTGTGGTGATAATGTTTTCAGGTCCAGGGGGGAAGTATTTTGTTGACGGTCATGCTATACGGGTTTTGTATCGACTTCATGTTTGTTGTTACGTTAGATCGTTCAGTTTCCGAAGTATGTTTATGTTGATGTTCGTTTACATATTTCAACTCCTAGCGTAGCACCGACATGCTCGGTATATTGACCTGAACTCAAAAGTCTTGAATAAACCCCGAAAGCTCCGCCGTATTGGTGTTACTTTTCCTAGATTCGTTCATTCCTAATATGGGATAAATCATAACATCCCACTCATCGCTCAAATGCCTTCAATAATAGCAGATATCCTTCCCATGATAACTACAGCGCTCAATAAAAAGTCCACCCGAAATATAAACAGAATTCAAAAAGACTTATGTCACCGTGAATCGAACATAGCATTTCGGCAACAACTGATGATGGCCTTCAGGACAATACTTATCGCCTTCTTATCCGGCTGCTCGACGACCGTCTTCTCAACAAAGCAACCAAGCCAAGCCATCAAGCCGAGGTCTGCCTCGGCATCCTTGTGAGTCGGGGAAGCAAGAATGCCCCAGCACAAGATGAAAAACGGTACAGCTTCATACATGAAATATATACTGCGCGATATTAGCGGACGATCAATAGGTCATGATACTATAGTGATTTCGGAGGCCAAACATACCTAATACCCCAATATTGGTTGGTCGACGAGCCCACGATCTTCTGAATCATCGTCATCGAGGCCCTGGCAACTTCAAGAGTCTTTTCTGATAGAACCGGACGGCCATGGTTGCCCTTCTTGTATTGGTGAAACATGATCAGCATCTTGTAGCAGCTAACGAAGATGTCCATGCAAATCCGCAGGTCGATGTGGTTGTCGGTATTATTGAAAAGCTCATCCTGTCGCATAATTAGATCACGTCATGGGGTATCTACAAGAACGTCTACCTACCGCGTTCCAGTCACGCATTATTGACTCGACCTCTACCGCCAAATTATCCAGCGACTCGTCGAACACTGTATCATCGGCAGTAAATTCCAGGAGGTCCAGGTATTTCAGTAATACCAGCGTTAGTCGCATCGAGGCCAAAAAATGTATTTGAATATAGCGAGTAGACATGTGCGTGACACCATTGATACTCGGGTCCGGGAAATTGACGGCCCACGAGCCTGCAGCGATCATGGCTGGTTTACCGAAATGCAGGCGGAAGACACAGTCCATACGCAAGAGATGCCAAAATTCGAATCGCATTCGATTCTTGCTGATTTCTTGTGCATAAGGGCTGTCATCTGGGAAACCCGGGGGGTTTGGCCCTTTGGTTTCCGCATCGACGGTCAAGTACCCCAAGGCTCTTGCGATTGTGATCGTATGACCAAAGCTCCTCCATGACAGCTCCGTTCTGCAGTTTTCCAGTGTCACAGATAGCTAGTGCGTGAGATCAGCAAGTGACTTACAATAATCAAGTCACTGAGAAAAACCTACCACAAAAAACGATGCATACAGGTCGGGTACTGTGATCTGGACAGAATTCACCCAGCTCTCTCCCATATTTGCCACGAGCTGATAAATACTTCGAACAAGATTAGACCTATCTGGCACAGGCTCGGGATCTATGAAGAGACCCTGAACGACAGCGCTGTAGTAAAGAATTTGCGAGGTGGCGTCGAGCGTAACATGCGGTATCTCTAGCAGGTCAGGAATCGACAGCAGAAAGTCCCGATCGAGAGGCACACGGAAGGCTTCAAATTGGTGGCCATTGAAGTACACTAAACAGAATCAGATTAGCACCGCGACCTGACAGCTATTTCCCGATTGGTACGGACAATTTATCCATCTTTTTGCCATTTCTTTGCTTATCGGAATCGGAGCATGTGCCAAGCCGCTATCCTGCATGTCTTCCCAAAGTTGAATTTCCGTCACCGCGTTTTCGACAGCGTTGCGGCACATCTCGTGCTCAAAGACATCGAATCCAACGTAGGGCAACTGGCAGAAGATAGTCGACCATAGTAGGGCTTTAGTTTGGTCTTTCTTCAGGCGATTCAACAATGGATACACGGCACTGCGCATGGGCCGGATTGGTTTGAGAGGGGTCATAATGTCATTCTTCCACAGTGATCGATGAGTCTCTGAGTCCACAGTGGACACTGACATGGAGCTCGAATCATCATATTGGTCTGCGGGCTCTTTGCTCAACATACAATGGTCCTCGAGTCGATCTAGGCGATCGAGAATGCTGGCGAGAATATCCTTCTCATGGGTCCTGATAGCATCATTGTACCGTCAGACGCATGCACACACGTAAGATCCCGCACAAGCCAACGTGTACAGGATGCACAAATGACACAAATGGCACAGCTGTCATACCGAGGCTTCTTGGCTCTTGTCTTTCGCGGTAGGTAGATACATTCCGCACCAATAGCATCACATTTGTCGCAGCACGGGTGAACCCTGTTGCATCGGATCTAAGCAGACGGGCTTGAGGGTGAGCCAGTCGGACAACGTCACCACGGCAGGCTGCAGTATTCCCGTACCTTCTTAGACTTGCAGCGGGTGCACTGCCCAAGGATTCAGCAATCAGCAACCCATCACGATGGACTACGCACATCCAGCCAGATTAGGGCGCCCCACTTACCGAAATCTGCGTGAATGGTCTTCGGGGGGTCATAACCACCAGGATGGACAAACAGAGGGTGGATGGGGCGAAGGGAGGAACAAGGAACTGGGAGAAAAGGGGGAACAGCCGCAACTTCCAAGAGTCCGGAAGTCCGGACTTTGCCGAAATCCCGAAAGTCCGGGCGGGACGGATAGTGGGGCTTAAACATCCAATCAGAGGGGGAGTGGCACCCGGACCGGTCGATCGGACGCATCATCCACTCAGGCGGGTTTCTTTTCTCCTGCCTTCATGCGCGTTACTGTACCTTACTCCTGCTGCCTGTGTCTTACTTTTCCAGGTTAGTATGGTGGTGTACGAGCAGAGTACGCGCATCCTGCTGACTCTCATGCAGGAAGCCTGACAATCTTAGTCACTGACGAACGTCGGGTTACAATGGGGGAATGGTTGCCATGCCTTGAGTATCCACTCTTTCCAGACATGCACCCAGTGGTGCCTACACATTCCCAGCATTTATATAAGATTGCCCTTGCCAGCAAGGCCGCTCCCTCCTGTCTCCTACTGTGTCTGATGCAGAATTGACCATCTTTTTTGACTCCCAGAATGGCCGATTCTGCACAAAATACTCCACCTGAAAAGACAGGCGACCAAAATGCGATTCCGGTACAGGCGTTGACGTCAGGGAATTCCGACCATGAACGCGGCACAACCCCTTCAGAGTCAAATCAGACCGAGGGTGACACCCAAGAAAATGGCAAGAAAAAAGATGAACCGCCTCAGCAGTCGGTCTCTATGGCCAACTACTTTGTATGATCCATTTGAGCAATTAGCATATTCTTCGCTAACTCTCTGCCAGAGGATCCTTTCCTATACTAATAAAAAGGACCGAATGGTGCTCGCCGTAGGGGTAATTTGCGCGGTGGCGTCGGGAGTGGTATGTTTGTCCCCTACTAAATTCAAGCATGGTCTAATAGTCGCGCCCAGCCTTTGCCTATCATGAATATTATATTCGGTGGTCTTGTGGGTACATTTCTGGACTTTTTCACACCGGGTAACACGGTGTCAGAGAGCAGCTTCAAGTCCGAAGTGAGCAAGTTGAGGTACGAAATTTTGACCACCGCAAAGACTCATTCTTTTTTCTGGCCCCAGAATTCTGACACATCCTAGTTTGTACATCGTGTACCTGTTCATTGCCAAATTCGTCCTTACATATTTTGCAATGGTGAGTTCAGAATTCCTGCCCCACAAGGGCTTTCCCCTAACTCTCCTGTCTACTAGCTCTCTTTCCGCATCACTGGCCTTCGAGTCTCGGCTTCTCTTCGTCTTGAATATATGCAGTCTCTCTTCTTTCAGCCGATCAGTACAATCGACCAACTGTCCGTGGGAAGTGTCACCAACACGATCACGACGCTGTCCAACAGCATCCAACAAAGCATCGCGGACAAGTTGGCAATCCTTCTTCAGTCTCTCGCTCTTGTCATTACCGCCTACGTAATTGCGTTTACATACTCGTGGGCCTTGACTCTCGTCACGAGTGCATCACTGCTCTTCATTCTGATCTTTGTCTCCTTGATTCTACCGCCGATAACAAAAACGCAGCAAAGCGTCGACAAGGCGGATGAAAAACACTCCTCTATCTCTGGAGAAGTACTGAGTTCCATTCGGACGGTTTGCTCCCTCGGTGCGGAGAAGCCGCTATCCGCCAAGTATGGCATTTGGGTTCAGGAGTCCCGCAAATGCGGGCAACGCTTGGCTGTCTTGCTGGGTGTGAACATGATGATTATTTTTTTCTCCATTTACTGCAGTTATGCCTTGGCATTTTGGTTTGGTTTGAAGTTGTTCCGGGAAGGACATATTGCCAATATCAATACCGTCATCATGTATGTCATTCTTATTCCGTGGGGCTCTCTCTGGTCGCGTCTAGTTAACCGGTTGTTTTCGCAGCGTCTTCTTCTCGGTCATGCTTGTGGTTAGCATTCTCGGATCGATCGCCTCCCCGTTGATGATGATCACCAAGGCAGTCAGCGCGTCGGCCTCCTTTTTCGAAATCATGGACGCCCAGAAAGTAGACACCAGCGGTCTACGCGAACCCGAGGCCTCGGCTGAAGTCGATATTGTTTTTCAGGATGCTCATTTCGCCTATCCTACGCGGCCTGATGTTTCGGTTTTGAAGAATATGAACGCACGTTTTCAACGGGGAAAAACGACGGCGCTGGTTGGGCCATCGGGGTCGGGAAAGAGTACAATCGTGGCCATGGTGGAACGGTGGTACCGGTTGAACGGTGACGACGGGCAACAAGGGTCTATTCTTGTCGGTGATCATAACATCAACAGCCTGGACTTGAAGTGGTGGCGATCGCAAATCGGCCTTGTGCAGCAGGAACCGTTCCTATTCAACAACAGTATTTTCGAGAATGTGGCGTTCGGTCTCATTGGCACCAAATGGGAGAATGAGTCGGATGAAGTGAAGAAGCAGCTTGTTGAGGAGGCATGCCGGGAAGCGTTTGCAGAGGAGTTCATCCTCCGTCTACCAGAGGTATGCTAATTCGTGTTTAGAAGCAGACGCTCGCTAATCATCACAGGGCTATGCTACCGAGGTTGGAGAAAGCGGCATTAAACTCAGTGGTGGTCAGCGGCAGCGCTTGGCGATCGCCAGAAGCATTATCAAGCAGCCCACAATATTGGTACTGGACGAGGCAACGAGTGCGATCGACGTGCGTGGTGAACGAATTGTGCAAGCCGCTCTCGAAAAGGTGTCGCAGAACCGAACAACCATCGTTATTGCCCATAGACTTTCCACCGTGCAGCAAGCCGATCACATCATAGTCATGAAGGCCGGCGTCAACGTTGAGCAGGGCACCCACGAAGAGCTTCTGGACATTGAAGATGGTGTATACCGTGGTCTCGTCAATGCGCAGCAACTGGAACTGTCCACAGAAGCTGATGAGGACTCAACTGAAAGCCTGCACGAGTTGAAAGAAGAAGGCACCGCGAAAACCATGTCCATCTATGAGCCTGAGGACCGAGATGCCAACGCAGAAAACACAAAGGCGAAGGGCTTCTTTGGTACTATTGGCTTGATGCTTTGGGAGCAGCGTACTCACTGGCCATTATACATTCTAGCTGTGTTTGCTTGCGCTGGGGCTGGAGGTAAGTCCTCTCAAACATGTGTTCTATCCGAGCCTTCCTAACGCTGATGCGAATCACCAGCTGCGTATGCTCTCCAGAGCTGGCTATTTGCCCAACTCCTTGTCGTTTTTACATACACTGGTCAGAAGCTTTCTGATGCGGCCAACTTTTGGTCGTTGATGTTTTTCATTCTGGCCCTTGCCGTTGGCGCATTCTACTTCTTGTTTGGCTTCGCTGCTCATACGATCTCCATGGTATACTTCAATCTCTACTTGTTCTGCAACTCGACTATGCTAATATTCCACCAGAGAATTACCGCCACTTACCGTATGGAATACTTCCAGAATACGCTCAAAAAGCCGATGTCTTTCTACGACTTAGACGATAATTCGTCCGGATCGCTCATGGGCAGACTTACCACCGACCCCAAGCAGGTACAAGAAATCCTTGGCCTGAACGGCGCCTTGCCCTTGGTGTCTATCTTCAACATTCTCGGTTGTATTGCCATTGCCTTCTCATTTGGTTGGAAGTTGAGTCTCGTGGCGGTGTTTGCTGCCTTGCCAGTCATCTTCTTTGCCGCCTTTATGCGCATTCGTTTCGAAGTACAGTTCGAGGCGATGAATGCAAAGGTTTACAACGGCAGCTCGCAGTTCGCAGCGGAGGCTATAAGCGCATTTCGAACTGTCTCTTCATTGGCAATGGAAGATACTATTCTTGATCGATACAGCAACCTTCTGCAAGATCAGCAGAAAAAGGCCTTCCATAAGGCTTGGTATGCTACTCTGGTGTTTGCCTTTTCCGACAGTATTGAGCTGTGCGCTATGGCGCTCACCTTTTGGTAAGTTCATGTTTGATTATCACATGTAGGCCCTTTTAGTTAGAGGCTAACAACGACCAGGTATGGAGGTCAACTTCTCGCTACGAGAGAATACGAGCCAACCACGTTCTTCGTCATCTATATGGCTATTATTCAAAGTGGTCAGCATGCGGGTCAATTCTTCAGTTATGGATCGAACTTCGCACAAGGCATCGCTTCCGCCAATCGTATCCTGAAGTCTCGCCTGGGCATTCACTCCGAAGATCATTCAAACACCGATGAAAAGCAAGCCTTAACCCTGAAAAATGACGTTGGAGCTAGCGTTGAGCTCCGCAATGTCGCATTCAAGTATCCCTCGCGCGACACCCCTCTCTTCACCGGCTTGAACGTCGACATCAAAGGCGGACAATTCGTCGCATTCGTAGGTCCTTCCGGCTGCGGCAAAACAAGCGTCATTTCCATGCTTGAGAGATTCTACGACCCTATCAGAGGCACAATCCTCGTCAATGGCCATGATATCTCCTCCATCGACCTCGCATCCTACCGACGCGCACTATCCCTCGTCGCCCAGGAACCCAAGCTCTTCGAAGGCACCATCCGCGAGAACGTCACACTCGGTCTCAATGACAGCGATTTCTCTGACGATGAAATCGCGCAAGTGTGCAAAGACGCCGAGATCCATGATTTTATCACCTCCCTTCCGCAAAGCTACGCCACCGAGCTCGGGGTCAAGGCCCAAGCTTCTATGAGTGGTGGTCAGCGCCAGCGACTCTGCATTGCGCGCGCATTGCTGCGCAAACCTTCTCTTTTGCTCTTAGACGAGGCCACGTCCAGTTTGGATTCCCAGTCGGAGAAAACTGTCCAGGCCGCTATTGAGAATCTCGCGGGGAAGAAAAGTATGACTATTGTTGCTGTCGCGCATAGACTTGCGACTATCCAAAAAGCCGATGCTATATTTGTGTTCGGGGAGGGCCAGCCGGGTCGTGGATCTGGTGTGGTTGAGCACGGAACTCATCAGGAGTTGCTTCGTAAGAGGGGGGCTTACTGGCAGATGGTGAGTTTTTTTTTTTTTTTTTTTTTTTTTTTTTCTTGTTCTTTTTCCTATGAAGAGATTAAATTCTAACAATTGAACAGTGTCAGGAACAAGCGCTAGACCGATAAATTACAAAATTACTGACAACGACTTGGCATGACTTTATATTGATAGATCTTTTGAACACGCCTACCCTCTGAAATCATCCGACACTATTTTTTTCTCGACATGCCAGGGCGTTACAGTTTCTACCACGGAATGTTTCTTACGGCCGTTTTCATTGTGCAATATACTGTGATTGTAATTGGAAATATAAACTTGAGCTCATGAAATGAACTATACATCCGGTCCCTTAGCACACAACAGGCCTTGCATATTTACAGTAAGGACTACTCAGTCCCAATGACTCGATACTCGTCGAAAGTATTCAGTCAACGAAGAAGTACTACCCTGCACTAACTGCAAACTCTCATTCAACTCCCCCACCCCTCCCATGAAATACCCATACTCATCAATCATCTTGTGAGTCTCCATATACTCCAGCCCACAGCCTTCAGGCGCCAGATCCCTAAACTCCTTCGGTGTCGCCTGACGAAACACCCCTTGCTTTCCTGTAACACAACAGAATGTCTCCATGACCTCCTGAGCCGAGTAATACCGATCTGCGGCAAGGACTCGACGGCCAGCAAAGCCATCTGGATCTTTCAAAGCTGCGCCCACAAATACCCCTATTCATAAAGTCGGCATCAAAGCCACCACCTCGTAAACATAAACCAAATGGGTAATAAACAGTACTCACCAACATCCCTCTCAGCATCCACCAAAGGCAAAACAGCCCTCCTTCCCTCAAACGGATACCGAAGCCGATACTCCTCCCCCTCCCCACAGAATACCCTCTCAACCAACCCTAGAAAATTACTCATATAATACCCCACAAGCACAGAAGTCCACGCCATCCCGGACGCACGTCTATATTCTTCCACCCTAGCCTTCCCCTCCCGATGGCCCACATACTTATACCTCCCGTCTGTCTGCCATATAGCACTGTCCAGGGAAGAAAATATCACGTGTTTCACGCCCGCGGCTTTCGCGACATCGATTACATTCTTGCCCTGTTCGAACTCGGTATTTGGGTCTTGGTGTGCCCAGTAGTCTGTCACTAGGAAGAGGGTGTGGCTGTCACGGATGGCTGGAATGATGGTGCTTGCGATGTTGAGGTCTGCCTGGGTTGGTTCAGTTTCTGTTAGAATGGACGGTTGGTGGGAGCGGTTGGAGGGGTGAAAGAGGACGGGAGGAAGGTACAGTAACAATATCGATGTTACGGTTGAGAAGTGCCTTAGCTGCGGACTTGGTTATGTCGCGAGTGACGCCCCTAATGCGGAATTCTTCGCGCAGATGCGGGTCGTCGAGGATGTGGTTAATCACAGAGGTTCCTTGCATGCCAGTTGCGCCAAATACTGTTATCAGTTTGAACATTTTGAATATTTCGGGGGGTGGAAAGATGGTTGAGAGAGCTTGAGGGTCAAGTAGATGGGTTGGAAAGGACATATGGGAAGGTCAAGGCTATATCTTCTGGAGGATGGGATACGAATACGAGTCGTATTCGTGCACGGATTTATAAGGATTCATGCTGATGAAATCATGAGAATTTTGGTATCATTCAGCTCATTGGCCCTTGATTTTGTTCGGCCCTGCATTGAAATGCTCGAAGCCAACGCTAGCAACTGAGGGCATAAAAAAGAAAATTTTCCAAGCAAATTGAGGGTCAGTTAAATTCGTTCCAGCAATCTGACCTCGACATTAGGCGTCAAATTATCGCAAATAGCAGGCTTGAAGTGACACAGGCTTGAACTTCAAGCCTTTTTTATTCCGATCCCCAATACTCCTCTCCACTGTCGACCCAAGACCATTCCTGGTCTATCCTTGAATCCTCACTGCCTCCTAGGCTCTGCATCACGGCGGCGCGTTTGTCTAGGAGGCTCCCCAGTTCTTTATTGAGATCTCCCTGTCGCTTCTGTAGATTGATCAAGCCTCTTCGATACTTGGCGTTACAGGCCACATCTCGGTTTATCGATTGCAGCCACTCCTTCCGCGGCGCAACCTGGTCAGGGCGACTGGGCAGTGTAGTATTCGAGTTGATGGTATCGATTGTTCCTTTGATGAATACAGCGCTAGCGCCAACGTCTAGGATAATGCCACAGCAACCCAGCATGGCCTTTGCCATGTCGATCCCATTCTGCAGGAGTGTTTCGTGGAGTCTAAGGTCATGAGTCTCGATTGTGTCGTCAACAACATCTAGCTCGCTTGACCCTGGTATTTCCACAACGTCTACCAGGGTGTTATCCCCGTTCACCTGGTTCTCCAGCGTTGTGGTGTCCCTCCACGGTTTTTCCAGGGCGGTAGCTTTCCTAGCGGTCGCTACCAGTAGCTGAGTATTCTCCACCAAGTCCCGAAGGATTCCATGTAGACGTGACAAAAAGGACGTGTCCAGCTTTTCGATCTCAGTTAGCGGTGCATCAATGTCGCTGTGGACACGACTTTTATGGCTTTCGTACGTGTCCACCTTGTGGGTGTTGCCCTGGCTCATCTGCGCCTGTCTCTTCATAGGAGGAATATACAAGGCACTCGGTAGGGGTGCTTTTTCAAGACCACGCCTTCGGTAAGACGCTTCTGAGGCATCAAGTGAGCGTTGATGGCTGCTTTTTATCGGGGGGTTTTCCTTGACGCACTGGCGACCGTCAGGATGGTACGGTAAAAACGTATCCCCTCGGACAGCGCATATTCCAGCAGCTGCCGTACAAGGGAAGGTCTGGGGATGGAGGGGGATGGACATGAGAGGCTGGCAAATGTTCGGATTTCTGAATGTCTGCAATATGAGAAAAAATTACCAGGTGAAAATTTCCGGCCATCTGCATTTTAAAGGATAATATGACGGGTTTTTCTCGTCATTGAGTCACACCCGCACCCATTTTTTCTGTTCTTTCCACTCTTAATTTATACGTCAATATTTTAAATTTATACGTCAATTAAGGTGTCCAGCGCAACCAAGCTTGCCAGATGGTCTTTCAAACTCTAGACATGGTTGACTTTGGTCACAAGGGCCTAAACTCAACCCAGTCCTCTCCACAACTCCTCGCCAACTCCCTCGCCGTCATTCCTACCCTCTGGCTCCATTTCTCTGCAGTCCCCGGCTGAACCAGCTCCTCCACTTCGAGAGAAATCATCACATCGACCGTCCAGTCCTGGCATCTTCGTTTCCCGTCCCTCGGCGCCGGTTCGTTCTGAATCACGCGGATAACCTCCAAGCGCGTCTTCGCGTCCAGAACAGCTATCGTGCACATTCCAACCGCCTGGGGCGTCTTGATGGTAGTTGCCTCCCGGAGATCGTACTGATACCAGAGTCTTTCTAGGTCTATCGGTAGGACTTGGTAGATGTCTCCGAAGTCGTCTGTGGGGGTGTATATGAGGAACAACCAGTGGGATCGGTGGTTGGGGTTTTCGCCGGTGCCTAGCGCTTGGATGCAGAGATGATGGGTCATTTTAAAGAGACTATAAACAGGCCTTTGGGGCTGCCTTGTTCAAAGTGATGAATGTAGTGGAGTTAAGCTCATCCCGGAGTGCGGGGTTTTATTGGCGCCGGTTTACTTGCAAGACGCCTTGACCGGAATATCCGAATTATTCAAACTGACTCTTCACGTCTCTATACCCACCACATCTTGCCATCTCTTCGCCAAGAGCTATAATTACAACAGTAACTGTTCTTTGGCTCTGGGGGTTGGCCTTCAGGCTCTGCCCTATCAAAAACTAACTAAATCCATGAACTGCTCCTCTGACATCACGCATCATCGAGTTCTTTGACCATTTCCTCTTTCGGGTAACCAGGACAAGGATCGACATCGCTTGATGTGGGTACTATCTGTCCTAGCCAATCCAGGACTTGTCAAAAATTCCATTTCTCCGCATCCCTTGCGTTGGTACTGGGTGAGGAAGAAACTAAGCATTCAGGCTGTGCGAGTCCACGGCCAAGCCTCCTTGTTACAGACTTATAGTGGGCCAAACGGTACTCCGTAGTGATAAGCAATGCCTTATTCTCGGGTTCTTTTGTACTGTGATATCATTCGTATGCTGCGATCACCGGTTTTGTTGAATTTATAGAAGTTCCGATGATTGTCCCGAGTCTATGAGGCTGTGTTGCTTCTATTTTCTGAGCTGAGCCTTGCCCAGGTGAAATAGATAAATATCCCCTACTCCGTATGAACCACGAGGTTTGGGAATCCATGTTTCTACCTCTGTCTGCTTGAATAGATCAAATTTTCACACAAAAGTCCTCTGCGGCCTAAATCTATAATTTCAACCACCATCACCTACCTCTACTATTATCTCGAAACATATTCTTTTTGCAATGTGTTTCGGGCTTTTCAAATCAATGAAAAAACGAACTTCCTCGCGAACACCCTCCGACTACGAGGATAAGGACCACGACAATGTTTCAACTCGAACAAAAAAGACGGAAAGCAAGCCTGGCCTTCGACGAGAATCTAGTCACTCGAAGGCTCTGACAGGTATTGAGGGAGTCGGTGCAGGTTTTCTAGGGATTGGGGCCTGCATGGTCTGTTAAGAGTAGGGTTATCAGGAGGGGAGTTTTGAAATTTCGGTAAATATGTGCTTTGGGAAGCAGTTATGACTGATGATTTATTGTAACGTATGATTTTTATGAAGATCGTTTAGAGGATTAGAGTGGTCGGCATATATTCTTCATTATTTGGAGGATCGAACCCCACACAATCAAGTTTTCGATATTTTTCATGGTGACAAGCCCACATACATCCAGTAACATCGTTATCAGGCAGATTCAGTGGTAGAATTGACAAAAAAGAAATACGTGGTCCCAGAGAGGCTCGAACTCTCGACTTCTGAGTTATTAGCTCAGCACTCTAACCGACTGAGTTATGGGACCAGTTGTTGAAAACCAGGACGGAAATTGTGGATCTGATTCGAGAATGCTTGGCGATGATTTTTTCTTGGCGAGAAAAATGGACCAACTGACTCAGCAAGGTGACTCATCCACAGATCACATGCGCGCCATTCCCGATTGGGCGCTGTCAAATGCCGCCTCTCACCGCCTGATTATCCTGTTATCAAAGAATTTTTTTATCATCAGTTTGGACTCCACACCTCCCCAATCGACTGCGAGCACTCACATCCGCCAAAATGAGGTAAGTTGACTGACTTTGAATCCCTGCATGCTGAACTCGTGCGCTAACCAACTCTAGGATTGAGAATTGCTTTTTCTGCAGGTTCGTCTGCCCCCACTAATCCAGGTCGCACGCCGAACTCCGAATTGACCCTCCGTCCAACAGTCGCCCGACGTATCCGTCGAAGGGAATCACTTTTGTCAGAAACGATGGTACGCATATACCGGAGACCAGAGACCCTCGGAATACACACATACCCTAGGAGTGCGCTAACATGCAGCGTACAGCCAAGGCATTCAGATTCTGCCGCTCGAAATGCCAGCGCGCATTCACCAAGAAGCGCCAGGCCCGTAAGGTGAAATGGACGAAGATCTCTCGCCAACACGCCGGCAAGGAAATGCAGGTCGACCGCACGTTGCAATTCTCCGCCCGCCGGAACGTTCCCACCCGCTACAACCGCCAGCTCATGGCCCAGACCCTGCACGCCATGGAGCGTGTCGAGGAGATCCGCGCGCGTCGCGAGCGTGTCTTCTACAAGAAGCGTATGGCCGGAAACCGCGAGCGCGAGACCGCCGACAACTTCAAGCTGGTCTCCGAGAACGAGCACCTGCTGCCCCGTGAACTGCGCGAGAACGCCGAGACCAAGGTCGCCGAGCTGCAGCCCGCCAAGTCGAAGGTCTTCAAGACCGAGCGGCGCAAGTTGCGTGCTCGGGTTGACGGCGGCGTCGAAGAGGTTGTGGAGGATAACACCATGGATATGGACTAGGTTGACGGAACGGCTGGATTTCATTAAAATCATGTTACCCCATTTTATTTTTCTACGAGCGTGTCTTTTTTTTCTAATGTTAAAAAGATTTCCTTTGTTTTTTCCGTTCTTGCAAATACCTCAAGGCGATGTGTTGCACGCATTATGGCTGCTTCTCTCGAAGAACGTCTCAGTTTTCTTGTCAGGTTCAGAGGAATGCAACATCAACTGCACTATTCATCCTATGTTCGAAACTCCCATTTTTTAGAGGAAGAATCCAGTATTATAGCTCTTAGTCGTTCTTAATCATCTGGCTGCTTATAGAAGGCAGTTGATTTGGCTATATTAGATGGAACTTATGGCTTTTAATTTGTTTATTTGGGTGATTTTTGATCAGATCGATCTTACATCTTTATTTTTGATATTTTTCAAAATTGTAGTCTTTGCTCATTTTTGACTTACATGAGCAGTTTTTCAAGTTACCCAATTTATCTATTTGCCGTTCGAACGTCCTGTTTTGCTTTTGTTCATTTTATGTTCACTTATCACGAACTCGAGTTATTTAGTCAAGTGTTTTAAAGTCCCTCTGGGGGTATAGCATCCCTGCTAAGCGATCAAGAGGCTTTTTATATATATATATAGTATTTGTATTTGGTGGCGAGGTAGATGAGAGGAGCGGCTAGAACGTGTTGGTAAAGGTCTGGAAATTGTCGAAGGGAAAAGATGTTTTCATATAACAAGAGCTTAGATGGATTGAAATATTTATAAAATAAATTTCGAAACTAGCTCAACTAAGGACGAAGACCTCTAATTGAGCCGAGGTAGGTGAGATTGTGTACAGTGTTATTTAGCTGGTTAAGAATCTCTTGTGGATCTGACTAGAAGGCGCGTTTTAAGGTGTTGAGGTACCGGGGTTGTTTCCTTTTTCGAATGTGATGACTTGTCGTGATCGATTAGAAATCCACATGGTATCAGATCAGTCAATTGCATGAATGGCTATGGATGGCAGCTATTTACTTATAGTGCACTAGTATACATTGGGCTGAGCATCCAGCTTACCGAGAAATAACCGACAGATGCCCGACGTTCAACATGGCTTTTAGTTGGTCTTTTCAGTTATATGGCGATGCCTATAGACGGAAACTTCTAGCACTATGGCGAATAGGAATTATTACCTTAATATTTTTCTCGCTATTCTTTTTTGGGTTAATCGTCTGTCTTTTCAGTGGATATCTTGTTATCCTAATTACCCCATACCTACAAAGCATCTTATCAACGCCATGAATGGTGCACCGACGCAGCACTATCGCAAAATACTCTGGCCACTATGACAATCTGAGACGTAGTTTGATATTCTCGGAGATACGGTAAGAAGAGATCTCTAACTGATCGATTGAATCCAATCTGATTGCTAGATGACATTGAACCGCTAGCTTACTCGAGCAGATATGGCTTCTGCATGACGAAGGATGTGATGTGATTATAAGGCGTGAGTAGCAATTGAATATATTTTGAGCTCAGAAATTGCTGAGCCTGGTGACACGGAACCGTAGACTCCCACCAGTTCTGAGGGAATTTTAAAGAGAGATATATTCCAGCTTTTCAACAGAGGACTATATACACTATACCGATACCGAGTTATACTTGCTCCAGCAACAGGATGTGAGGAAGCCACAACAGGTACCACAATAAGTAATGCTTCAGGTATTCACCAAATGCTCACCAAATATCTGAATGATTTGCCTTGGGGTTGCCTTCCATCCATAACTTGGCCAATTTCTGCGTCTGGCCTCCCCCAATCGGATGGGCTGAGTCGTATTTAAAGAGATTCCTTCCTGCGGTTTCCCTTTCGTTCTGGGGGTTCATAGGTTGACTTGCATTGTAGTCGAAGTAGTGCCAGCGCTTTTTCTCTTTCAGCCTTGGGATAATGTCTCCGACGGTGGCTTCAATTCGCCGCCACTCATCAACGTAGCCCGGGAGTTCATCATGGGTCTCGTTTGGGCGTATCATGTAGGCGTGGATGTACTCGTCATCGATCCGGCGAGCATTGAGCTTGGGGAGATACCTTCCTCCATGAATCAACGTATCAATCACGGTGGTTTGAAACAACTCGTGCTCGTTTGTTCCCTCAAGCCATTCTGGGTCAGGGTCGAAGGACACATTCTCGAACCAATGCACGCCATATACCGCCTTGCGACTGATTATGTACAGCACAGTGCAACCCTCGAGGCCCTCCGCTCCCGTGCTATACTGTTGAGGTACTCTTATACTGCTGAAGGTTCTCATGATACCAGTTGTCATGTCCTCCGCGACGGGTGCCGTATCGTGTGGCACAATCCGCTCGGTCAGGCGGGGGAACTCATGGAAGTAGAAATCCCCCATATCTGTCCCTGGCAGGTTCATTCTTTTCCCAAGGTTCGCCGTTGAGACATTGCGCTCAAACCGGATGAACCCTACGCTGCGCTTATCATAGTTGCTGCTGCCTCTGGCAGCAAATTTAGGCCCGCATTTTGGCCGTACTGACTTGCGTTTCTTCAGTAATGGGCTATTCGCTGGGCCTGATTTCTTGTCAGAATCCGTCTGGACTGAAATATTCTTGCGTAAAAGAAGGGGCAGGGCTTACCAAAAGTGAACGAATTTGCAGAGGCCACGAGGGCCAACCATGTTAACAGCCACAGTAATCTCATGATTAATGATGGGCTGGGGAACAGAGGCAGCTGTATGCTAGATTGCGTCTTTCAAGGACTCGCTCGACGCCTTGAATAGATACGAGTGACACCGTATTCAAACAAGGATAATCACAGCAGTGATATTGATATTTATTTGCAGAACATGACTAAAGTGGTAGATAATGTGCCCCGTGCTTGCTATCAGAAGTAAAACTCTGTCGTTTAATCTTCGGAAATCCTATTCAAATTGCGAATTCCATATTAGGGATACAGACCGCGGTGCCATAAAGCAAATATCTCTGGTTCAATGTCTTTGTTTAGCGCCGGCTATAAGGAAAGTAGACAGTAATTAATGAGCATAATGAAAAACAAAATGAGCCTCCGTCGGCACTCGAAGTTTACTAGTAATCGTACTAGCATAAGCACTAAAATACCATTGCACGACTGCCATTCTATACAAGAGTAGGTACTAGCTTCGATTGGGTCATAAACAGTACAACACCGAGGTAAGTCCGACATCCCAAATAACTCTCGAAAAAAGACAAGAAATTCTTGCAAAAGTTAATCTCTTCCTTTAAGTCTGATTCTTGTACATTACATGATTAAATGAACACAGTATAAATAGCTACATTCGCTCTAAAATAATCTGCCTTGCTGTCAAAAGATGACATAGGGGTTTTTCCAAATTTAAATCTCTCAAAACAAAGCTTCCCAGGTATAATCCGTTCCATAGAAACTCACCATACAAAAGAAAGAGAAAGAAAAAAACAGATCGACTCCGACAAGATTTGGGCTCAAAAGGATCCGTTCAGATCCACCTTCATGGTGGATCCGGATCAGGTCCGAGCCTCCGTAGTAATTCTTCGATGCGCGGGGCCGGTTGATCCGGGCTTTTTTTTTGTTTGTTTATTTCTCCAAGTCTTTCATACGAAGCACCTCGTATGCTTCGTGCGCCAAATAGTTACCTTAGTGTTTCCATGAACGGCCTGCCGAGAAAGTTAGAAATCAGGAAATATCACGACACGACCAGGAAAGAAAGTTTTTTTTTTTTTTTTTTTTTTTTTTTTTTTTTTAGTTCAAAAACATGCTTTCCTGCCAAGAGCTCTGTGTATATATACTGGCTAGAACATGTGTATATATTACTAGTATTCAGTTTCAGTGAATCGTCACAATATTCAGCCAGAAAAAGAAAATTCATAGCAAATTTATGCAAATCGGAAACAGATAGTCCTAAATTCGCCCCATGTCTAAAGGCTAGCACCGTCTAGCAAGGCCAGCAAGACCAAAGGCTCTCTTGAAAACTCTGCTGAAAGTATAGACAGAGCTGACCTTCCACTAACGCCCCAGAGTCACCGAAATGATCGAAGTGGAATATGTGCTCGAAGTAGGAAATGCGGTTTTAACGGTTCCTGAATTCCCTAGTTTGCACTAGCCCTCTTTAGCCATTTGCCCCACCCATAGAATAAGTACTTCTCAAAGCCTTGGCACCATTTTGGAGCAGGACTTTGGTGAATATAATTACTACTCCGTACACATTCTGTAATGCTCAGACTCATCTCTCTAAAGCATCCTACTCAGGCCCACCTAATTCAATAGTAAGTTCCAAACATTGTCAAACATCACATACAACGCCCCACGCCGTAGTCCGCCTTGTTATCGGGCTTCGCACCGGGATTCCATACTCCGAACTTTTCGATTCAGCTAAAAACAAGATCATCCCTACTTGGAAAAACTTGAATATTATTCATCTTCCCAGTAAAATATCTAGTTGGAGTGAAAATGCTTATCGAGACTTGCTATATCAGACCAATGTGTAAAGAATCGATTGTCCCTGCCAAGGACAGGATTTAATTGAAGCAAAATTGTAGACTTTGAGTTCTACCTACATACCGGGCTTATGACAACTCGACTTTAATTAGGTTGGAAAAGCGGCAAGCCTTGGTAGATACAGATAATTAAAAGCCATATATGAGCCCTAAGAGCAGCCACACTTCGACGATCTGACCCGTTTTGTTATAACACAATGGTAAATACATTTTGATACTACTCATCACCACCTCCGCCAATACCTACTCCGCGAGACTCAAGGAGACTAAGAATAGCCTGTCTGCGCTCAGGGAATATTATGCCCTGAGCCATCTGCAAGGGGCTTCGGCCACGGTATTCTGGATGAGCCGACTTTCCAGTAGGATCTGCACCTGCATCCAGTAATGCTTCAACTGCTCCCGGCTTAGCAGAGTAGATAGCACAGTGCAAGGGGTTCCCCCATTCGGCAGAGGTCATATTAGGATCGAGGCCCTTCTCCAGAAGGAACTTCGTCATGAGCTCTCCTAGAGGCATGCGCGAGTCCACGGCGGTAAAGAGAAGCTCCGGTTCCAGTCGGGCCCCATGCGCGAGTAGCATCTCAGCCAAGGATGTACCTTTGCGGCTGCCAATGGCCCGAGTAAGGGGGGTTAGCCCTCGCCGACCGGCACGATTAGGGTCAGCGCCTGCTAATATTAATTCGCGAGCGCAGCCGGGGTCTTCTATTTCACTGTTCCTAGAGTCAGTTACGATCTCCCGATATTCGGCCCAAAAGTCTGACACGTACACTAGAAGAGGACTGTCGCTGCGGCAGGTGCCGTTGGGGTCAAGACCGTGGTCGAGGTAGTGGCGAATGACGCTCGCCTTTTGCTCTACTCCTGGATACCCGGGAAGAGCATGCATTGTTTTGGGCGTTACGCGAGCGCCTGCATTGAAGAACGCGGCGACGAGATCAGAGTATGCCATCTCGGTGGCGGAGGTAAGTCCCTCCTCGAGGTCCTCGGCGGTTAAGCGGCCGCTTTTGAGTCCTTCCTGGGTTTTTTGCAGGTCACCAGCATCGCAGGCCTCAAAAAAGGCGTCAGCAAAAGACTGATAGTCGAGGGTCATGGCGCAGGTGAGATGTGTGGTATGTGAAATGAAGGAAGTGGAGAGAAAGTAATCTATGTCTGGGACTCATGCGGATCCAAAGTCTGATTATATAAGGAACTGGTAACTGTGGATCAATGTGCCTTACGGAGTCCAGGGATCCATGGATCTTGGTAGGGCTTCACAGGTCCGCTTATTCGTCCTTACACTACTGTTGTCCTATAAAAGCTGTCTTATTTTAGGACGCTGTCGATGGGTAAATTGATATCACAACACTGCAATATTCCTCAATGCCATTTATGGTACTTACCTTAGAAATCACTCTATATGTAACATCTCCTCTAGTCTTTATTTTGTCGTAAACTGTATCGGTCAAACCTCTGCAGACTTTGTTGCGGAAAAGAAAAATGGAGTGGAACCAGACATTCGATCAACTAGTGTGCGGACTAGCTCGGGGGCCCTCGGCCGGAAGATCTCTCGACATGTTGGAATACTCTATAAGCGAAGATATGGAGTATAACCAAACTTTTGCCTTACATCGATCTCTTCGATCCCTCCGATCTCTCCGATCCCTTTGCTCTTTCCCCTTTGGTGCTCAAGAGTCGGACCTTGACCTTACAATACGTTCCCACTCCTCGCCCGATGGGCCATTGGCATGATAACTAACTATCTAGTATTTGCTAGTAACTTATAGCTCTAGTCTTTTTCCAAGGATTGCTGCACGGATCTTTGTACACTTCAGTCTTAGCCAGAGCTTATGAGAACCACAGGAGACTGGATATACTCTATACACAAGCATTGCGGGCATTGCCACCTCTATTTGTCTTACTTTCATTTCCCGTACGCTCGTCTGAGCCAGGCAGAGTGCGGAGACTCGCTTCTAATCCCTGGTTCAGTAACCAGATGAAAATAAATGTCTGTCGGCCTGGGATAACTAGGTATATATAGTATTTTATGCATCTTTTCTCCTACATGAAGTGTAACTACAGCCACTCTCATTTACTTTGAACGCAATGGCACTTCCTGCGCTGTTTGTACTACTCTCTCTTGTTCTTTTTTTCTCTATACTTGCTTGCGGGGATGATGAATATTTCGTTGTCGGCGATCTCAGCCAGTACACCACAGAGGGCGTGCGCTTACCTTTCCCACTACTTTACCATGACCAGAAAGCTTCTAACACGCCCTAAGGTACCTACGCCCGTCCTCACAGGGTCTACCATTGAATTTACTGCAGTGGGCGATCCGGCCGACAATGGACTTTTGGCATTCCTCTCCCCAGACATGCAGGCCAGTGTGAAATCCGCCATGGATGCCAACTGTGACACGAGAATTGACACTGAGTGCTATCAAGAAGTTATGGACGTTATTGAAGGTTCCAACAGTGTTCTCTTATCCCGCAGCTTGGAGCAACGAGGACTAGAGCGGCGAGTCGTAGGCTTCGCCGCTGCCGCTGGTGCCTTGTTGGTCGGCATGGTAATTCCTCTTATCTACGAAGCAACTCAGATATTGCCGAATCACATCAAGATCCCACCGAATCAAATCGAGGAGTCTTTCGAGCTCGAAACTGCTACAGCCATTGTCATCGTAACAGATAACGCCAAGCCCCAGGGAACCATCACGCAACCTCCAGAGCAAGACAAGGTCACTGGGTAAGCAAACGACACCTCTTTTCCTTCTCTGCTAAAGTAATTGGACTGACTGTGGTTTTCAAGATTACCGGCCACAATTACGACCTTTGCGAGCCCCACTAATGGGGCGAACGCGGGAGACGTGGGTATCGATCTGGACCCGACGGTAGCGGCGCACCTCCAGGCACTGCTTTCCAGCTCAGACGCCAGCAGCTGCGATGTAGGCGATTATTTGAGCGCTCGCTCGCTTGAGACTCGCGGCCTGGACCTATTCAGCCTCATATGCAATGCTCAGCGCCTGGTAGTTGATGGAGTTGGACGAGGGGGAGTTGGCAGGGAACTTGTCATGAACCACGGAAGGCTCCCGTGGACAGACCGTGAGATTGTGGCAGCTGTAAATACCGTGGTGCAGTGGACGCTCGTCGAGGCTAAAAAGCTGAATCCCACCATCAGCGCAAGCACTCTTGATAAAGTGGCCGCCGGTGCCGTTACCCTGGCATGGATCTACGACATATACGGGGTCATAAAGGAACACAATGTGATCCCCTCCAAGTCACTCCAAGGCGGTTCCAGCGCTACCGCGTGTGAAGCGCAGACAGCTACTCAATGCGGTGTGGAGTGCGGTGTGATGCCCTGGGCTCCTCAATTTGAGTGCACAACGGCCTGCTCGACTGTCACAAGCTGCGATGCGACGTCGGCGCTCACCACTACTCGCACGGCCACCATGACTGCCTTTGGTCCCGATCCGACGGGGTCGAGTGGTGGCAAAGGGCAGCAGATTGCGGTTGCATCGTACATCAATCCGCTCAGTGATCCTGCTGCTTGGGATCGGCTGATCGACTATTCTCCGGACAAGATGCCCATATTAGTCGCCAACGCTGTGAATGGACCGGACTACGCCGTTGACAAGAACTGGGCCGACGTTGTCGAGCGAGCTTCAGCTTCCGGCAAAACGGTCCTTGGCTATGTACGAACCGGATACCTTGGTGTGAGCACTCAGAAGTTCAAAACGCGCCTGGGCTCGGGGAATCTGGCCGATTGGACTGCTCAGATTGAGGAAGACGTTGATATGTGGTACAAGCTGTATGGTGACAGTATTGGCGGCATCTTTTTCGACGAGGGCTGGCCCGAATGTGGTGACAATAATCAATACGTCGACCTCTACAAGTATATCAATGCCTATACTAAGCGTGCCCACCCCGGTGCGCTCACTGTTTTGAACCCCGGTTCCCCTATGGCATCTTGCTTTGAGGATACTATGGACACTCTGCTTACATTCGAGCTGAGTTACGACTCTTACATCAACTCCTACACTCCAAACGACTGGACACCCAAGGACCCGCGGAAGCTCTGGCACATCGTATATGACGTGCCTCAATCAGCAGTTAACAAGGTAGCCAAGTTGGCCAAAGAGCGCGGGGCTGGTCTCCTTCAGCTCACAGATGACACCTTGCCCAATCCCTACGACACTTTGCCCGCCGATTCCTACATCCAGAGCATGATGAATGCAATCGAGGGTGGCTCTCCGCTAAACACAGATGCGGCATCCTGGAAATCCGGAAACGCTGCAGGAGGAGTGACTGGACTGTCGGTCGTGACTTCGGACTATAGTTCTGCTAAGCTCTCCTGGAACGCGGCCTCGAATGCCCTTGGCTATCATGTGTATTCAGGCGACAGTGTCATTGCAAGCGTTCCTGCCTCAATGCATGAGATTACTATTGGCGGTCTCCAAGCAGGAGCTAGCCATGCATTCCACGTCAGCGCAGTGGGGGGAGGTGGCCATGTAGGACAGTCTTCCAACACAGCCACAGTCACCACGAAGTCTTTGCCAAACGGGAACATTATCGTCAATTACCACTCTTCTCCCGGGACGGACTCGACCACCATCCAAGCTGATATTCTTGTTCCGTACTCTTTCATCCGCCTCTATATCTGGGACTCGGTGGGATGTGAATTCGACACCAACCCGGGATGGACTGTCAACTTCAAAGTCGACGAGTATGTCTGCGCCCACTACATGGTCGAGGGCACCACGCTATACAAATACAGTGGCACACTTCCTGCAAACTCTATGGCTCCACCGTGGGCGTGGACGGTGGTCGGGCCCATCACCCTTGATACCAAGGACTATACTTACAAGTGGACATTACCTCTGGGAACTTCTACTATCGACACGAGCAAATTCGTGGTTCAGGCGCAAGGCTACAACCCCTTGACCAATGTCTTCGAGCCGGATCCCAGCGCTTACGACTGCAAGGGCTCATCCCTGTGCACGACACCAGACTTTTTGAAATGGTGCGACCACGCCGTCAATACCCTGCAGCGATACGACGACCCTTTCTACTTTGCTGCTTCTGCGTGAGTAACCCCTCCCCATTTATCTTCCTGCAAAAACCCTCCCATATCTTTTATACTCAATGTCCATGCTAATTTTACTCGCACATAGTAACGAAACCGGAATCAACCAATCCGGGAACTGCTGGGGCGATCAGACTCGGGGCTGCGGCGTCTTCATCCAGGGTGATGATAGCTGCAGTATAAGTGGCAACGACCTGTGGAATGACTACCAGAACATCCGCAACATTGGCGGCTGTAACAAGTGTGGCTCGTTTCATAGGGACGATGGCTGTCTGATCACAATTAACTATGTCTATCAATGTGATAACCACGACACGAAGCTAGCATAGATTACATACTGAACCCACTTAAACAAAAAATAAGAAATGAAAAGAAACCATAATAAACAAAGGATACATTCATACACCCTGTCTACACAGGCTAAGAAAAATCAGATAGTGCAATCGGTCAGATCCTGTTAATTGCTAGCGTCGCCGACTTCGAGGCATATCAACCGTGGTACATGTGGTTTAGCTTCTTTTTGGCTCCCGAACTGAGTGGGACTACTCCCCGGGCTCTCCACCTCGCCCAATATCATTCTGACCCTGGCACCCTACGGAGAACAGAATGGATGGTTGGTGTTTTGGATTACGAGTATTTTCTTTCTATTTTGCCATTGGGATGAGGTTAATAATGCAGGCTTTGATATCATCGCCTCGGTTAGCCTCGATTTCCTCTGACGTACATCATATATGGCGAAGTCTTATACTAGGGATATCTGCAATTGAAATCACGCGTAGACCGGTTCCTTGATGTCTTGGTATTCTAAAAAAACTTCCTATATTGTAAATTACATATACTAGAAAACAGATCTTTCCGCTCCAAATTCCCCTATACTGAGTGACACTGTCATGATAAAGCGACGAAAGTTCGTAGGCTGCATCCGCATGGTTTGTGATGTCGGGACTAGTTGTGGCTATCCGGCAGGGCTTTTTCTTCTACCAAGTTTGACACAGGCATGCATATATATATGCAATAATGCAGACTTTGAGACTATCTGTCAGACAAGCTTGGAGATTAAGCACAACTTACTGACTCGCCTTGGTCATTTATTTGTCTTGCTAATCGCCGACTACAGGATGGTTCCAACAGTATTGCTTCATATCCAGAGAAACCGTGGGTGGTTTGGTTGGGTTGATGCTTGAGAAGAGGTGAAAAACAAATAAAAAAAGCCCAACGCGGGGCTCGAACCCGCAGCCTTGTGATTAAGAGTCACACGCTCTACCGATTGAGCTAGCCAGGCTGGTGCTTATATCACGTGCGATTTAAATGATATGAGATCTTGAAAGTTTCAAAACCACTGTACCAGAAATAGTAAAATGCCGGCCTGCCTTTTTCCGGTCTTGGCACCGACCACGTGCCGGCGTATCCGTATTCGGGTTTATCCGTATTCGCCATCGAATTCGCATTTCTACCATCGAACCACCTTCGATTCTTCCTCAATCCCATCGCACCGACGGCCGGGCTGGTTTGGCACTTCCAAATATTATCTGCTTACTCAGATGATAGGCCTTTGAGATTACTGGCTGCACAATGGCTCCTCGACGAACCCATAAAAAGTCCCGAAACGGTTGTCGAGAATGCAAAAGACGCCACCTGAAGGTACTGCATTCTGGTTGATCCGCCCGTTCTGGCTTGCTGAAATAATGATAACAGTGCAATGAACAATTTCCTTGCAGCAACTGTTCGAATCATGGCATTTCATGCAGTTTCGTGCCTCCCGGAGACGCGGTTCCAAGCCGCGAAGTCTCTGGGGCCCCTCAAGGCTCCCCAGCTGGCCTGCCACCAGCAGCTTCGACCCCGAGCGTACTATCATTGTCTCATCATTCTCCGTCGATTTTGACGCCCCCTGAATCGGGCTACTCAAGAAATTCAGCCCTCTTGGATCTACTTTCAGACACCCTCCACGACGTACCTACTTTGCCCAAAGAGAACTGGGTTCGCGACCTCGAATTGATGCACCACTTTTGCACTGTGACAGCCGACACACTAGCTATGCGCGAGGACATGCGGTACACCTGGCGAGTCATTGTTCCAACCGAAGGCTACGCAAATGAGTTCGTCATGCACGGCATTCTTGCAATTGCTGCTATTCACCGAGCCAGTCTCTTTCCTTCACGTCGATCAATCTACCTGGAATGCTCCGATTATCATCAAAATTGTGGGCTACAGACTTTTCGGGCCCTGCTTTCTGCTCCAATGAAACGCGAAAATTGGCAGGCTATCTTTTGTTTTGCGTCAATGCTGGTCATATGGGTGTTCGCTATGCCTGTTCGATCCGCGGATTGTCGTCTCCCCAGTCCAATTGCGAACGTCATTGAATTGTTCTCAGTCATCAGAGGCATCCAGGCCATCCTGGAGCCTTTCAAATATCCCATTAAAAACTCTTCATTGGCAGCCTTTGCGCATGGGGTCTGGGCGCACACCGATGACAAGGAGTGGTACTCCAGGTAAGAAAGCCTCGAGACACTTTTTTTTATTGCCTTGCAGGCTCTCTAAAACTCATGCTTCTCGCAGCTCCATATCTGAGTCCCTTCTCCCCGAGGATACCATGTCCCAACTAGGAGGTCTCCGGGATTTGGTTGAATCCAGCAACTTCGAATCGGACGAAAAGGAAGATCATATGTCCGCCATCGCGTCTCTAGAACTCTCAGCCAGACACATGATCGCAGCTGGCCTGCGCATAGAGATTGGCATGGCATTATTCTGGCCCTTTTTGATTCCGCAACGCATCATGCGTGCTATAAACAACAGAGACCCTCTGGGGCTCATATTTCTGGCCCACTTTTGCGTTCTTTTTAGCTTTTTTGAGAATCAATGGTTTACGAAGGGCTGGGCAAGACAGGTTCTTGCCGACATTATACCCTGTATCCCGTCCTCGCACACCTCCTGGCTCAACTGGCCAAGGGAGCATGTTTGGAAATCCCGATGAAGTATCATGCTAAGCTGATTGGTCGATTCGCTGAATTCTTATGTGCTCTCTGTAGGCTCGTGGATTTAGATCTTTGGCAACCGCCACGTTGCATCAGAAACATTGGATGCTGCGCCGAGCTTGAGCAACTTCACCCAATCGCCGAGGATATTTGAACCACTGGATATTCATGGGCGAGCCTGGAATTGCCAAATATTCACTTACACGCCTCCTATCCTCACTCATGTCTTCTGCCAGATAAGATCTAATTCGATGTCGCTGCCACACAAAATAGCGTCTCAAACATTATCACCGGGGTTTGACCCACAAGGGTATCGTCCCACGGTTCCAACAACAACCGCATGAATCAGTCACGATAATCCAAGGTCCTGGAGACATAACCCCCAGCCCCGCAAATTCCAAGTGTCGGGAATGCGCCTTGTGGGCCTCCCTGGCCCTGGACGACTAGCGCTGCGCCACTCCTTGAAGAGCATCAACCCCGTGAGTACAGCAACCGCACTAGTGACCAAACGAGGCTATGCCCAACAGCCTCGCAGTACTCATCACGATTGGAGCTTTCAAACCGCCATGTCCAGGACACATCCTCATTCTTACGAAAACGATTTACACTTCTCGATCCAATCCTCCCAGCCACAAAATCGAACATTGAATCACCTCTAGTCAATTATCGTGAATATGTACGGTCTGGGGGGGGGGGGGGGGGGGGGTCAGTTGGTAAGCTTTTGTTGATATTTCAGATAATCTTTTTTGGTGAGCTAATTTACACTCCAGACTGCGTTGATTCTACTTATAGTGTCGGAGCTGAAACATAAGGCCTTCCGATCGAGATACTGAATAGGCTCGGATGCCTTTGGTGATTCCATGTTGACTTGGTTTATGCACATTGGCAATGATTCGTAAGGGATCATTACCTGCTTGACATTGATTTCTTGTATTGAATTCCAATATATCGGTAGGTTACTACCTAGTATTCATTCAACGGTATATTGGATAATTGAAACATAAAAAATAAAACAAAGAAAGAAAAAAGCCCTGATAAAAAATCAAATTCCTGCTAACACGCCCATAAAAGGCTCCTGTGGTATAACAATCCCCTATTTAACGCCAGATGTAAATACCCATTGTAAATCTAGCACCGCGCCTACCGAATAATAAGAGCAACAACTGGAAGCCAAGGCACTACTATTGGGATGCTGTGAGTTGGCGTGCTTCACTGCCGCTTCCTGCCGGATAGAGGGGGTTGTTGGAGGCTCAAAGTGGGCTGGTAGGTAGGTAGTAATCTAACTTTTGAAAATTAAGTGCTGTCAGGAGGAATATTCATATATGTATCTCATTTTTCCGAAGGTGGGTACACAGTCATACAAGTCAGAATATTGTTACTTTGGGGAAAAGCGAATTTGATTTGCGTAGATATTCTAGATGAATTGTTCTTTATGTATCTTTGATTGTAAGTGCTCCTCTTGGGACGATTCCTCAAGTACTGAAGTTCTTGTTATGCGCGTTTTTTCACACATTTGTTATATGCATGCCCCTCCATTGTTGATGCCTTGCCAGGCAGTGAAGTCAGCAATACGGATTCATATTTTGTTAACAAACTAGACTTTATTGTAGATTTCAAATTTCGAAGGTTTCAAAATCTAATCTAGTGAAAAGCCCATTGTTCTATTTGTGTTTAGAGAAGATGGTGTTCAATGGGGTTGAAAAAAGGGCCTCAAACAAATATGCACACACCGAATGCTAAAGCACAAAGATTACTTAGGGTTGCTTAAAAGAAATCAACTGTTGCATAAAGCTTATAGTCTTAACATAACAATACATGTGTAAATGTAATAAACACGCAGTAATGCAGTTTCAATTTTCAATGATTCGTTGCTACTTCAAAGGGATTTAACAAGTAGTCACGTCGTGACCAAATCGGAAATATATAATCCGCTTGCAGAGCACCAACAACCCTTCATAATTACAAAATAGGCCCAAAGAATAGGTATAAAGAGCCTAGAATGAGTATAAAGCCAACAGAAAAGTATTTACTAACCTACAGGCCAGCTCTTACCCAGTTTAAAATCAATTGCCAGATAGACATGGCATACAACGGAAAAAATCAAGCGGGGGAAGCAATTAAACTTTTCCTTAGAATATATTGTTAATAAGTTTGAGTTTTAAACAAGAACAGGCCGGCTGGCCCAATGGCAAGGCGCTTGACTACGAATCAAGAGATTGCAGGTTCGACCCCTGCGTCGGTCAATTCTTTTTGTTTTTTTTAATTTCCACCCGCCCAGCGGATCGCAAGATTGGCTGGCCAGCCAAGTAAGGGAAGAAACATCTCATAATTTTATTTTAATTTTTCCCTTTAATTATTTTGAAAGTCAACACCTCCAATACACAGAAGCACCCTGCTTAGTTCAACACAAGGACTTATTCGTCACCAGAATACTCCATCCAGAGATCGATTTTGTTCCCGAGAATATCCCGAACACACCCCGACAGCCAAGGCGAGGTTCAATGAAGTGTTTGTTTGGTATTACGATTGCAGACTTTCATTCAATGCTCCGGTGGCCTGCTTTGAAACGTCTTTCCTAGGAGTCGCAGATCGCCACTAGGTACTCCTCCCGAAATGGAACATATGGAATGCCCATCCAAAGTGCCCTAAAAATACAGGCGTATAACTGAATAGACTCTGGTCATCTGGTCGCACAGCCGCGGCCACCGGTGCGGCCACCGGCCATCGTGCATGCACCTTAGTCGCACACGACCTCTTTGATTGTCGTATATGCAGGAAAGATTATCCAGCTATAGATAGACCTTTCCCTCTTACTATAACTGACGCATTTATCTATTTGTTTGCCTAACTTTTGCCTCGTATACTCCGTACCGGGTGGCTCATTGTACACTTTTGCCTTATTTCGGAATGCCCGTCCTACAGATGGTGGATGAACACTATAAATAGTGCAGTGCGCGTCAAGTAAGGACTTATCTCTTGCTGCACAGCGACGAATACATACATGTACGTGACTACGTAGAGGTTCATATTCCGTATGTGCGGTGGTTTAATGGGGTGGCTGGCTAAGCCACCGTGACGTCGGAGTCTGCGTCCTATTTTCCCTTTTCGAAACAATTGCCGAGGGTATCGATATTCGGATCGGGGCGTTTATTGGCGATCCCGAAAGGGCTGAGATAGTGTTTTGTTGATCCTTGATCTACTGACGATCACGGGGCCGCCGCCCTGGTGGGGAGTATCGTCGATATCATCAAGCCCGCTTCTTGAACGGAGAATTATCTATAGATATTTTGAGTATTGAATGTTTATATGTGAAATAGTAAGATGGGCATAGCGTCTTGATTATTCTAACACATGGAAGGAAATATAAAAATCTATATACAGTTCATAGCGTCATAATTTACGGCACCTCCTCATACACCCGGTCGCCCTGCTTGGGCGGCTCCAAGAAGTCCGACGGAACGGACTCGGGCATCTGGTTCTGCTCGGCCCAATCGCGAATAGCATCGAAGTTACGGCAGCGATGCTTCGTGTTGAAGTCGACGAAAGGCTCAGGGCTGTCGGGATGAACCCAGACTTGGCCGAGCACTCCGACGTCCACGGTGCACATGAGCTGCTGTCGGAGGATGTCGAGGCAGTGGGCTAGAAGAGTTAGCACTTGTTAGGGTTGAATCGAGGGAGCTGAGTACTCACAGACGTGACGACGAACGATGAAGTCGTCGTTCTTGAAGGCACCATGGCCTTGTTTGTGGTAGTAGTCGTAGTTGTAGTAGAGGGACTGGCGGAGAAGGTTCAGGCAATGGAGGTGATGAAGACCCTCGACATTAGCTGGGTAGCCTCCGCCATATTTCTCGCTGATTTTGACCTGGTCCTGCGCAAGGCCCGATCGTTTGGCTTCCTCGGGAGCAACCCGGATGCTTCGGTCTGGGGTTGTTAGCTTAACTCAAGTTCGACCAGATGAAAGCGAAACTCACAATCAGCACCGAGAGACTTCCATGCCGCATCGACCTCGGGGCTGGCGTCCTTGCGGAAGATGTTCTCGTTGAGGAACGAGCCGTTGAACTGCTCCTGATGGTACGAAATGCCGACGTTGGAGATCACGGGAGCTGCCGGTCGGGTTAGCCGCTGTCTTCCCCGCGTGACGTGATGAAGCCCTACAATATTGAGCGACTCGCAGCGTGCAAGTCTTGTCCGAGTCTTGCTGCTGGTGTCCAACCAGCGCACCTATCCCCAGTGACACAAGAGCCGTGGCGATGAGGAGAAGGATGGTGCCCCATTTCTCCCAGTTGCTCTGAGGCTTCCGCTCTTGTCTCCACCGTGCCTCTTCGTCGGGCAGGAGCTTGTCGTTGATTTCCATGTCTTCGGTCGGGGTCGGGTGTCCCATGTTGACGAGATAGATTGAAGAGCGCACTTGAATACGTACAGAGAAATTAGAAATGCCCGACCGATGCGACCGCAGCAGGACCTGGTGATTTATGAGGCCGGGCAGCCGGATGAGGGCAGTCCAAGCAGATGGAAGTATCCCGAGGCCACCGACCCAATGAGACCGGCTGGAGACATGCAATGAGCGTAAAAATAACTCAGGCCGCTGAGTTGTGAGACAGAGACCCGGTTTTCTGCAGGACGCGGCAAGCTAGTTGGTGTGGCTTGAGACATGGGCCGCCTAGCCGCATGCATGTCTCATTGGGCATATTGGGGTAAAACCGTAAACACCTGACTCGACTCTCTAGATTCCTGGTAGAAGACCCTAGGGCCACGCTAGCCTTCGTGCCAGTGCCGCTTAGATGAAGTTTAACCCCGCCTGCAGCTTCGATCCGCGCCCACCGGCGGGAATCCCGAGCTTTCGACAAATTTCCAGGTGAGACAATGAGGCAAGGCCGACGGGTTTGTCTGGCTTTGAGACCGCAGTTGCGTGATGGATGGGAAGGAAATTGGCACGGAGAGCTGCACCGCATTGCACCGCATCTTTTGGGAGGCGACTTGGGGGAGAGAAGAAAAATCTTCCGTGGACAGTTCCCCGCGTTGTCGGGTCGATTGTCGATGATACCAGTCTCCGCAACGGGCTGGCCGGCTCATTTTACGAGGTCGCACTGCATGCGATGCCCTTCATGCGTCATCGGGATCTCTGCTGATTGGAACATGCCAGGTTCCAGCTCGTTCTCCATAGGGGAGCTGGATGGGATCATCCGAGACATGCCCAATTGTGGTGACTGGCGGGCCTCACCGTGGGATCCGGCATCAAATCTATTTTTGTTCGGTGCGGTATATCCAACCCAACAACATTATAAATATGCCCTCAGAAAGCGTGCCGGAAACTTAGAAGAAATCTCATAGCAATTCATCAAACCATCTCCTCTCCTAACCACCTCTCTTCTCTTCTTATTCCCGCAAAAATGTACTTCTCTTCCAAGTCCCTCGCCCTCTTCCTCGGCAGCAACTTGCTGGCTGTCAATGCCGCTCCCGTGAGCAGCTCGACCTCGACTGCTCCTGCCACCACTACCACTGGCCCTGCCAACTACGGCGAGTATGGCAACTACGGCAACTACGGCTCGTACGGCTCCTACAAGCGTGATGCCATCCCCAAGAAGGAGAAGTCCGAGACCTCGGCTGCCCCTACCACCACTGCCCCGGCCGACTATGGCAGCTACGGCAACTACGGCAACTACGGCACCTACGACAACTACGGCAACGTGAAGCGTGAGGACAAGAAGGACACCACCTCCGCTGCCCCTACTTCCACTGCTCCCGCCGAGTACGGCAGCTACGGCGACTACGGCAACTATGGCCAGTACGGCAACTACGGCTCGTACAAGCGTGATGCCGCTCCCGAGAAGAAGGAGGAGCCTTCGACCTCTGCCTCTTCTGCCGAGCCTACCTCCACCGGCCCTGCTGACTACGGCAACTACGGAAACTACGGCAACTATGGCTCCTACGGTTCCTACAAGCGCGGCGCTCCCAAGGAGGACAAGGACGAGCCCTCGAAGACCTCCTCCGCTGAGCCCACCTCCACTGGCCCTGCCAACTACGGCGAGTATGGCAACTACGGTAACTACGGCTCGTACGGCTCCTACAAGCGTGACGCCCCCAAGGAGGAGAAGGAGCCCTCCAAGACGACGACCACTGCTGCTGAGTCTACCACCGCCCCTGCCACCTACGGTGACTACGGCAACTATGGCAACTACGGAAACTACGGATCCTACTAAGGGTCTGTTTTTTGGAGGCGAGGTGCAGTTGTACAGTGACACGTCATCGCGAGGGGGTGTTACTGTTGTTGCCTGAACATCCATCGTGCTGAGTAAATACCAAACAGCACGAGGCAGGCAAAGGAGCAAAATGCATGGTGATCACGGTTCTGAATAATGATAAGTGTTAATTAGACTGAGTTATTATATAGCGATAATACTTAACAGCCACTTGCATGTTTAATTAAGTTTCGTTGATGTTTCAGCCACAACGAGCATTCCTCTCCACATTCCATCAAGAGATAACAAGATAACACATGTGTCACCTGCAATTTTTTTCCAACACGGTGGCATTGGAAAAAGAAATTTCGCGATCAGTCGCTCTGTTTTCGCTATTTGGGGTTAATTACCCGGGTTCATGCACATTTTCCCATAGTTTGGGGAGATCATCGCTATGATGCAGCAAATATTGGCTTTCCAGCCATTGATCGACACCCATGTACCTCGTGCTGGTCTGGTCGAGTCTTCGCCACCCCCTAGCATGTGAAGTGATTTTTGTCGGACAAACCTCATTTCCCAGGCGCAGGTCGGTTTTCGTTTCTCACTCAATCTCGCTGTTTTGCCGTGAAACTCGACACAAGCACCGGCTCCTTCCCCTTTGTTTCGATGACCGTGCGATCCGAGCCCACGTTAATTACCCGAACTTCGAGTACCCACCATGGAGGCATCAGGTTTGACTGCCTGGAGAAACACGTCGGACTGAGTCGCTGATTGATCGACTCTTAGAGAAACCTCCCCCATACGAAGATAACCTAGCACCTGCGCCCGATGTCGAAACGAGCCCCCAAAATTTACCAGCGATCAATGAGCGCAAGCTCGTGACCAAGATCGATTGGCACATAATGCCATGTCTCTGTGCTATGTATGTGCTTTCTTTCTTGGATCGGTAAGAAAAATGCTTGGAAGGACGGATGCGAGTTCGGCTAAGAGTTGCGAACAGGGTCAATATTGGGAACGCGTCTATAATGGGTCTGAAGGAGGAATTGAATATCGAAAATGGGACCAAGTATAATACGTCTCTTACGATTCTCTTCGTGCCTTACATCATCTTTGAAATCCCGTCGAATATTCTCTTGAAGAAGTTCAAACCGCATGTTTGGCGTGCGTGTCTCTCCTCTCAGTACCGCAGACCGAGTACTGATTGAATGCATGCGCAGTGCCGCTATGTATGTTTGGGTTCGGCTTTGTTTCCATCTGTCAGGGTCTAGTGCAGAACTGGGGCGGGTTGATGACGACTCGATGGTTTTTGGGCATGTTTGAGTCGGGTCTTGTTCCTGGGTGTTAGTCATCGAACCTCGGATCGTTGATGTGTTTGCTGATGAGTCGCCTTTAGGCTACTACCTGATCGGAATGTGGTATAAGCGCAGCGAGGCCCAGAAACGCTTCAGTCTGTTTTTCTGTTCAACTACCGTGGCAGGAGCTTTCGGTGGGCTGCTTGCCAGTGGGATCGGGAAAATGGACGGCCTACGAGGTTATCGAGGCTGGCGTTGGGTATTCATCATCGAGGGTCTCTTGACTTGCGTGGTTGCGATCGCCTGTTACTTTTTCGTGGGAGATTTCCCAGAGGATGCGAAATGGTTGACTGACGATGAGCGGAAATTTGCCATCGAGCGGCTCGCGACAGACACGGGGAAGTCAGCTCCGCAGGCGAAAATGAACTTCAAAGATGTGCTGGCTGTTTTCAAAGATTGTGTGTTGTATCTGAACTGGTGTCGAAGCGGTTACTGAGTATCGCGCAGACAAGATATTCGTCGCTGGGTGCATGTATTTTGGGGTCTGTATACCGATCTACTGTGAGTGAAGCCCCGCCGATACCGAGGCATTCGAGCTAACAAGAATAGCGTACGCAAATTTCGCGCCTACAATTATCAAAACTTATGGCTATGATAGTATGTTTCTCTCGACTGGCCAGAGATGTCCATCGCTAATAGCACAGCCATCCACACCCAACTCTTTTCCATCCCGCCCTGGGTAGCAGCATTCGTCTTCTCCATGGTCATTGCATACCTCTCCGATCGATTTCGCCATCGCTACATCTTCGCAATGGTCCCGTTTCTAGTCGCACTGGCTGGGTTGGGAGTCCTTCTGAACATTTACGGTCCCGTGCAACGGCACGTGCAATACGGAGCCCTATTTCTCATCGTCAGTGGAAGCTTCAGCGCACCGCCGGTATTGGCATGTTGGTTCGCCATGAATTTGGCTGGGCATAGGCGACGGAGCGTCGGGATTGCTTGGTTTGTTGGGTTTGGAAACTGTAAGTCGCTCACTGCATTTGGAGGAAGATCGATGCTGATGAACCACAGTGGGAGGAATAATAAGTCCCTATTGTTTCCTGTCGAAGGATGCGCCCGCTTACCATGATGGGTATATTCTTTGCATTGCTTTCGTTTGTCTTTCGGCTGCCACTGCGTCGATCTATCTGTTCGGTGTGTGGCTTGATAATGTGAGAAGGGAGAAAGCGGCCACAAATGGTAGTCTTGGAGAGTTTTCAGCGGAGGAAGAAGGGTTGATGGGTGATTTGGCGCCGAGTCATCGCTATGTTTATTGATGGGTTTCTGTGCTTTACTGGGACCAGGAACTAGGATGAGTAATTTTTAATATTAATTGTGTGGTAATGGTCTAGATTTGGATTCCGATCTCTGTTGATTTTATGGTACTGCTAGATACCCTAGAAGGATTATGGGAAAGTTCGGGACTATGATGGGAATAAATGGAACTTTATACGCACTATTCAATAGGAAGGTCTCACAAGGTACTTGCAAGACTGCACGTTAATGGAGGAGGATTCTGTAAAGACAATCATTCCTCCCTCACAACACTCAATCCCTCGACACCTTCTCTACATGCTCCGCCCCTTGCTTGACTTTCTCATCCACGTCCCCACCGTCGCCCTTCCGCTCCCCAAGCACCGCACCATCCCCATCAAACACCACCGCCATCTCCTCCAACGAATACCCCCTCGTCTCGGGATAAACATAAACCACCGTGACCAAGATCCCCACTAACAACACAATATACACAATATAGTACTTCCACGCAATCGCCTCCAGCGCAATCGGATTCACAAACTGATTAAACAGCAGCGCCAGATACGTGCTCATGGTCGTCAGCGCCAGGCCCTTCGCGCGGAACGAGTATGTCCAGATCTCAGCGGGGTAGGAGACAATGAGAGGCGTGAACGCGATGTCGTATCCGCCGTAGTAGATGAATAAGAAGGGGATCACGCTGGTTCCGACGGCGGGGATCGGGCTTGAGGCGAAGCTGCCGGATAGCCCGGTGATGATTATGTAGCTGACGAGCATGATGCAGGTGGAGAGGATGAAGAGCTTTCGACGCCCGGCGTAGTCGACGAGGAGGGAGCCGAAGACGGCCATTATCAGATTCCAGACTTGGAGGAAGCCGTTGATGAGCGTTTGTTGGGTTACGGATGTGATGCCGATGGTGCGGAGGATGAGCGTGAGGTAATAGGAGACGATGCCGCTGGGTGGGAATTAGTTGGGGAGAGGTGGGAGTGTGGAATGGGGGACGTACACTCCGTTCCACTGCGAGAAGATACCAAGCGTCACGCTGATGATGAATCGGTGTCGATTGCCGCTGGTCTTGAGCATGTCGATCCAGCGAGACGAAATGGTGGCTTCTTTTTCAGCTGCGATGGAGGCGGAAATCTCGTCGAGCTGGAACTGAACTACTTCGGCGGTCATGTCTCCTCCGGCGTGGTATTTTGCTAGAATATCTCGAGCCTTTTCTAGTTGGTTGTTATCAATGAGCCAACGCGGTGACTCAGGACACCACCATGCCATGGGGAGAGCGAAAACGGGGAACCCGATCTGCAGCAGGACAGGGATTCTCCACGACCAGGAAGACAACATATTGCGTGTTCCGAAAACCACCCATGCCGCTAGGGTAGATCCAATGTAGTACTGGCATTGGTACATGGCCGATAACTTCGACCGATGTGTGGGATATGCCAGCTCAGTAACGATGATAGCAGCAGCTTGGAACCAGGCCCCCGACCAGCCCACGATGAAACGCGAGGCGATGAACATGGCAGGATTGCGGGCGCCAGTCTGGATGCCCACCCCAAGAATGATCAAGATATACCCAACGAAGATGCACGGCTTGCGTCCGAATTTATTCGCCGCCCAGGCTTGCGAGGGAAGTCCGAGCATGGAGCCTAGGGATTGAACGGCACTGACGAATCCAAGCCAGGCGCCTGTCGGGTGGCCCATGAATCTTTGCCATTCGTTGAGGGATTGAAGGCCATTCATAAGGGAGGTGTCATAGCCGACTGTGCTTGAAAAGAGCAGCATGCCCATGATTAAAAGGTTGAGTTTCCGGAGGTGGGATACCCTCCACCATGGTCGGTTGTCTGTAGGCTGGAACTGGAGAGGTCAGAATGAGCAGAGGAATGAGTTTGGGACGCTGCTCGAGGATGGGGGGTTTTAGAGGATTTACCTGCGTGCCAGGTCGCCTCGTCCCCTGGTCTCTGACGGCCATGTTGGTGACGATATACAGGTGTCTGGTAGATTAAGAAATCGAGGAAAGCAAGTATTGTGCCCAGAAGCTGCCTCCACTCCCATGTGGTCTCCCATGCGGCCACTCTTTATATCACCCGGATCCGGTGCTTATACCGCATCAACACCCGGTCAAATACAGGGGTGAAACACGGGGAACGCGGGGAAACGTGGTGTCAAATTGCGGAGTGCATATATACGGTTGCCACTGCCTGGTCTCGGCCGTTCATCGGGGAGTATCGGGTAGATCATGGTACAATTATTGGATTCGCCGGCATTGGTTCGTTTGGCAAACTAAACGATTCTTCGTTGAGGTAAGAGGATCGAGTATCAATGGATGGAGAAGGATGGCTAAGAGGCTAGTGATAGCTTATAAGAGTTTAGTCTCATTTCTGTGTTATATGTCGGCCCGGCGTCCCGAAAAGAGTTTTAAATTTCTTGGGAAGCTAACATAGGGCAGGCGACATAGATATATATAACCAGGAGGGGTGGAAGCAAAAGGCAATGGAGCAAATACTGCTACTGTCAAATCCCATGATGGTGTGAAAGTGGTCTAAACATGCTCTTTAGTAGGCACAGGGCGGTTAGAGTAAAATTTGGCCCTCTTGTTCGAAGAGATAGACTGAATGAAGAATGCCCAGTATCTGTAGGAACTAGGAAGTTAAAACACCCGGCTGGAAGAAGAAACGTTTTCTCTGTATAAATCTCAGTAAGCAGCGTTCACAACAAGTAGCTCGCATGGCTTAGTTGGTAAAGCGCATGACTAGTAATCATGAGATCCTCGGTTCGAATCCGAGTGTGAGCATTTCTTTTTGCATTTTTCCTAAATCACGATAGTTTTTTTGGCCTCTTTTTAGTGTGTTTGAGACTATTCGGATCTGGTGGGTCCGTCGGGGAGTGTCGGCCGAGCCAAGCCTAGGCCCCATCGCCACGTCGTTTGTTAACCCTCTACAAAATGGAGTAGAACGATTCTAACATGATGAAAAAGTGAAAGAGCATCTTCTTCTGAACCTATGGTGTCTCTGGTCATGAAAGTGTTACTAGGAATATGCCCTACTGCCTCCTGCGCTATACATTCGGGCCATAGATTTTAGCATTCCGCTCAGATTTAACTGAAACACCACCAATTAAATCATGTTGCTAACGATAATCAATCATCCTGTGGAAAGTGCCCACCTCCTCGCTCGCGAATACCGTCCATGATTTCCAGAACCCGTACAGTTTCCTTCCACGGCATGATCTCATTCTCCACCCTCTTGGCCGCTATATCCAGTGCAACCGCATCAGCCTCGTAGAAGAACCCTTTACCAGGGCTTTTGGGAGCCTCATAAACGACAGGCTCCATCTTCGCGTCTTTCGAGAAAACGGTAAATTTACCCGGTAATGAAGCTGCGACCCCTTCAATGGTGATCGACCCGCGAGAGCCCTCAACCCGCGCAAACACTGGGTTTGTCTTTGTTTGCATTGTGGAAGTCAAGATACCCTGGCGACCACTATCGGGGTAGGACAAAATGATAGATGTCGCAATATCGGCGCCAGCGTGGAGTGTTTGGGCGGAAAAGACTTGAGGCTGTGCTGCGTCATCGGGTGGGTGGTCTTCCAGAAGTAACAATCCCCAGGTAAGCGAGTAGATTCCGATGTCAAGGAGAGACCCAGCACCCAATGCGGGGTCCTTGAGACGAGAAGAATCAGGTAGATTATCGAGGTCGATATCGAGTCCGAAATCACAGAACACTCGGTGGACGTTGCCGATGGCTTTGTCAACGTGGATTATCTGGGTGAGTTGGCGTACTAAGGGCATGAATCTAGTCCAGAGAGCTGGTTTATCAGATCAGCAATGGGTCTCTTTCTTATTCACATCGGTTGATTGAATTGCGTACCTTCCATCACAAAAACACCTTTTTGTCTGGCAGCTTCGAACACTTCTTTCGCTTCGCGGGCATTCACTGTAAATGGTTTCTCGCATAACACATGTTTTCCATGACTGATCGCCTGAAGACATGCCTCTTTGTGGAAGACATGAGGAAGACCGATATAGACAATGTCTACGTTGGGGTCCGCATAAACACCATCGTAAGATGAATAGAGAGAGGGGTTCGAATTAGGAGAATGTTCCTTGATAAATGCTTGGGCCTTTGTGTCGGAGGAAGAGCCAATGGCTTGGATTAGATGGGTTGCTTGGGCGTCCTCCCTAGTTTCTACTAAATCGGAGACAAACCAGGACGAGATGAGGCCGGTTCCTATGATAAGCATGTTAGCTTTAGGGATTTCTAGTTGCGCGAGGAGAAGGAGTTACCAATAATTCCCCATCTCAAAGTTGGAAGTGTCATGATGGAATACTAGAGACAAGAGAAAAACACACGTCGATATAGTGAGTTACTGAGTTGGTACTGAGAAGAAATCCTCAAAGAACAAAGTCAATATTAAGGCAGCAGTTCAGGGAAGGAAACAAGTTCGGCTTGTCTGAGGGGGCAAAGAGCTATTTTTATAAGACAGTGCTCACTAACCCCACATTATAAGTGTCACCCTACATCTATCAGGCCGATTTTCTACTGGACTGCCCCCTTGTGTAGAAACAGATAACTTTCTCCACAGGTGGCCATGCGAAATCGATCGGCGGAGGTGGGGTGGTTTAGTCATTATTTCCAAAGGCTCGCCTTATGAACACACTGCGGTATAATTTATTTTGAACTCGTACCAACTGAATTTATGCTCAATCCTTCCTAGCTGCAGCTCTGACTAACATGCGGAAAATTTCCAAATCCTGTTTAGCATCTACTGCGGTTGTCTTGACCGGTTTCTCTCCCGTAACAACGGCATGAAGCTCTTTTAGCTCTACAGTATATGGATCCTCATAAGTTCGCCGAATAGTGCGTTTCTGGAAAACCCCGTCTACATTTTCCGCCACATGCATTGTGATTGGCAACCCCTTGACGTAGGGAGTATCGTATTGAAGTCGAACCGTCTTCTTGGCAGTATAGACCTCCAAGTGAGCGTCGAATCGAGGTATTGAATCCAATCCTGACTCATACATGACGGTGAAAGATGGATACCTGAAGAGTGCACTAAAAGATTTGTAAGAAAAATCAATTCGATGCAAACTTCCTCAGACAAGGCTTACCTCCAGAATGGTGTCTGAAGATGCGCTCCGATGACCTCAACTGGCATTCCTAATACTTCACGCATCAAGCTGAGATCATGAGACCCCAGACCACCCAGTGCTCTCCACATGCGAGATTCAACGTTGTCGTCTGGCAAGATCCCAGCTTCTTTCTCGAATCCTTGCTTCAGAATGTCGGTAGCTTTCTTATTCCGGTCCTCAGTGTCTGCCGTGCTGAAATCCGTTGCGCGTTTCGGAAAAGTCCCAGACTGTTCAACAAATGCAGAGTTGGGCCCGATAATATCCCTTACTCTAGCGTAAAGGATTGGGTTGTCTCCAATCTCGCTTACCATGTCTTTGACGATGGGCGCATAGCGACGCATATAGCCAACCATGGCTTGACCGTTTGAATTCTTCTCGGCCTCGATGATAGCGTCTGTATCTTTGTCGCTCAAGGCCAGAGGCTTCTCAATAAACACGTTCTTGTTGTGGGTGAGGGCGAGAATTCCGTGCTCCGCGTGGTACTCGTCACTGCTGAGGACCATCACCACATCCACATTTGGGGATGCGCATAGCTCGTCAGGACTAAGTGTGGCCTGCGGTATTCCACCAACGACCTTGGTTTGGCAGTGTGTCAGGGAGTCGCGTGAGACGTCGCATAAGTATGTGATTTTGAATAAATGAGACAGAAAGTTGAGAGTCGGGATATGAGCTACTTGGGCGATTTCACCACACCCAATGATACCAACTCGAACCCTGGGAGGGGCGCTATTTTGTCCAGAGGCCATTATCTTGACTGATCTTGTCGGAGCAAGTATAAAGGAAAGATGGCGTTGATGCAGAACAAATCTTGAATATAGAATTGGAACTATCAACAAAAGCTATCCTAAGTATAATATTCCCATCGGCCGTTTATAAGTCAGGGGCCTCGGTCATAAAGATGAACGTCCTCGAGTTTGGTTGCGTCCCACCGGCCCAGATTTAGGGCTTTCCACTGTGGGCACCAATGAAGTTCTGCTGCCTTGATGCCTCGGCCCGACACTCCCCGTCACCCCCACGACGATCCGCTTCAACCTGCATCATTCCTCGGTCGTGTGGACGGTCATAAATTCCCCGTGCACTGTCCGACAGTTCCCCGATGACCATGGTCTAGCTGCAGGAAGAGTCCTCATGTCAACGTCATTTCCGACCGACGTGCCGTCTGGCCTAGGCGTAAAGAGACCCGCAGTCTCTGCGCCAGATGAAGCCTCGTATCCCCGGAAGAGGGCAGTGACGGCATGTCAAGTTTGCAGACGCAGGAAGACTAAGTGTGATAATGCCCAGCCGACATGTGGATTTTGTGCTAGCGTTGGCGCACTTTGTGTTTATCAGCCTTGCCAGAATGACCAAACAATGTTAGACCCTCCTCCAAGGGAGTCTGGGACTGTATATTTCGTGCTTGAAGCTAAGCTTGATCTAGTCTTGACGCCAGTAGTCTGGTGCTACTGGAGCGAATCAATTACGTTGCCTCACTACTAGAGACACAGCGACAATCTGGCAGCAGTCAGTATCAACCGCAAAACAGCGAGCCATCACCCATCCCACCTGTTGACCAAGCAGACCCGCATTCGGAGCAACAATCACTTTCATTCCGCTGTAATATATCCTGTCGCCCATTGTTTTGGCCAATACTACAAGGGGAAAGGTACACGAACAAAATACAATCATTATTCGTCGTGAGAGCTGAGGCACAAGAACGCCCGATCCATCGACAAAAGGGAATCGACGAAGATGCCATTCCGACCTATGTTTCTCAATTCCTAACAAACGTGCACACCAAAAACCCTGTCTTAGATAGCAAGACACTCGGGGTATATGCGCGCAACGCTGCAGAAAATGGTCTTGCCTGGGATGGTCCCAGCTGTTTGGTAGTATGTAGACCTGACCTTATGAGTAACAGTTTGAAGTCCCTGACAATTACTAGCTCATGGCATCGGCACTAGGAATCCTATCTCTGCCATTCCAAAGAATCAAAGCGAATGCTAGGCATGCACCACAGACCGACCGAGCGTTAGCGGATGCGTTTTACCTAGCTGCGAGAAAGCGACTTGGTCTTCTTGATCCATCATCGCTTTTCTTTCTCCAGTGTACTTTTCTGGCAGGGATCTATGAAATGTACTGTTTGCGGCCTTTGAATGCCTGGCATTCGTTCAACTCGGTTTGTACAGCGATGCAACTATATTTGCGAACACGGCCTTCCGACGCCAAACACAAGAGCTTGGAGGAACGGCTTTATTTGTCGGCGTTGAAATCTGAATTGTATATCTTCCCTGCCGAAAGAAAGCATTTCCTGGGTCCCAGTTATCTAATGCCATGATTTTCAGTGAGGTCTGCATTGAGCTCGACCTCGTTCCATCCACCGTCCCAAATCCAGCCTTTGTCGCGGAATATCCCACCCCACCGGCCGAGGACACCGAAGCACCAAATGGCTTCACCCTGAAAGAGAGCTGGTACTACTATCTCTCGGAGATCTCACAAAAGCGGATTATGGAGCGAATCGTCGACACCTTCTACTCCGAGCCCAACGATACCCACTTGCTCGACATGCGCATCGGCACCCTCACTCGTATCGCCCACGAGATCGAAGAGCATCAGACCCTGGCGGCCTCCCATCTCCCATCTTGGCTTCAGTCTTCGAAAGACGATACAGAGCAAAGGGAGCTGCCATATGTCATACATGGCCGTGCGCTTCTTGTGAAGGAGTGCTTGTTTCGTCCTTTCCTGTTCATTTTACTACATTCTGCCTCTACCCAGCCACAGGCTGTGTGGGATCTTGCCCAGCGCTGTCTGGATATGTGCTATGAAGCTATTGAGCATGTTAACTCGCAGCATCGTCACCATGGCACTTGGTTATCTGTCCGTGTGGCGTTTCGATGCGCACTGTCTATTATAGCAGCTGTTAAGAGCGGGAAGGTTAGTATGAGACCGAACTGGAAAGATTCTATTGAAGAGGCATTAGAGACATTGAGGTTTTGGGGTCAAGAGGCTCCAGATATTGCGAAACTAGGGGCGATTTTATGTGAAATCTATGAGCAAGGGCGACGGCTGCCAGGTGGTTAACATAGGTTGTTTCTGTGACGTTGTTTCTCCGTGTGGGGGCTAGCATAGACAAGCACTAAACCCCATCTTTGAACCATCCAGAACTTTGAAAGTCTAGCGCATAATTGCTCTGTAGGCATAAAGTCGCGGAGACGGAAAGTCGTTATTTCCGCTTAGTCACCTCTCTGTGGGGCGTTCTCGGGATTTCTCGAGATGGACACTTTGCTGCAGCTTCAAGACCACAAATCTGCAAGTCTGAGAGCAAAGATTCCTTCACTACGTCGCTCTGCAGTTCTCTCGAGCTGAATCACGAGGACTCGTAATGTCTGACTCGCAGTCGACTGACGGGACTAAGCCCACCCGAGTAATTCGACGGCGCCGAAAATGTCGTGCTTGTGATTCCTGCTACAGGAAGAAGGTAAATGGCCGTCTCTGTTTTCCTTAACTACTAACTTGCACGAATCTGTGCTGTAGAAGGTCTTGCTCATGGAAGAATAGATACAGTGCGATCAAGCCACCCCCAAATGCAATTGGTGCTACCACCAGAATATCCCCTGCACATTTACGCGCAATCACGAACGCTTCCGGGGCCAGCAATTGAACCCTGCCAGGTAAGGTGTTATATTAAGCACCAATAATAATGGAAAGCTTAACCAAATTAAGCTCTGAGCGCTCGAACCTACCACCTGAGTCTCCTCGACCAGAATATTTGCGTCCCGATCCTCACGGTGAGTTTGCCACCACCCGATTGATCCGCTAATTCCTGCAATCGGCTCCAAACTCCAAACTGACAGCTACCGGTATAGCTTCTCATCATCTGAACCCTACAATAAATGGCCTTTCTCCGGCCCCTGGTGGTCCCGCGTCTGCGCCATCCCCAGGATCCACGGGCAAACCTCATAATATGCGGTTGACTCTTGGAAACATCTGCACTTTCAACGGGCTACCTTTCTTCTCTTCTAGTGGCAGGGAATGGATCAAAAAGCAAACCGGAGAAGATGCTAATCTGACCCAATTCCTACTTGATCGAAATCATTCATCTTTTACGAGTGGTCCAGCAACCTCTATTAGCTCGACTTATCATCCTTATTGCTCATTATCCCTTCCAGACAAGACATTGCTGTATCAAATCTTGAACGCTTATACATCGTCTGTATTTTTTCATATATTTCCATTCATCACACCTTCACTGTTTGAACATACGATACGTGCTGCCTACCATCAACAACTGTCATCCATATCCCCCGGCGCTGCGAGTGCTAAGGCGTGTGTAATGGCGTTTCTTGCCATGAGCCCGATGTTTTGCCATTTCTTGGACCCGAGTCAGCTGCAGATTATGGGCCAACTTGGATCTGAGACTTATCGCTCGCTACCCGAAGTTTTTAGTGAATCAGTCACAGTAGATGGTTTGCAAGCACTTTTATTACTTGTGAGACTTTCTAGCCTGGTAGACTACTGGTCCATTACTAATGTATCCCAAAACAGTGCATCCACAGCCAAGCTATAGTGGGCGACTTGTTCACTGTAAATTTGCTTACAGCTGCAGCAACCAGATTTGTCTATCAACTCGAAGGGAACATCACCCCTGTTAATGTAGATGAACAGTCGTTACCATTGAAGCGACATATCCGAAATCTATTCTGGGTATGCTATCTTATGGATCACGAAAACAGTCTACGCAGCGGTCTTCCTCCCAACTTCGATGACACCCACTGCGACTTCTCCCTTCCTGAATGCTACGGTGATTTATCTGCCCCGAGCACTTGTTCCCCTCTCTTTCTCCCGTTCATCCGTCTATCAATCGTGCAATCTGAAATATACCGTCGACTCTACTCTGTTTCGGCACTTCGACAAACGGACGCCCAACTGCTCGGCACGATTCAGGATCTGGATGAATTACTCGAGAACTGGAAATTGTCAATCCCAATTGACAACAGACCCACCTTCACAGAGCGTCCCTCCGACGCGGGAAGTATGCCTTCATCCGTCATGCAGCTACAATATCACTACTGCATGGCGACTATTCACCAAGCCAGTGGTCGCTGTAGCTCCTGGGCCCAGAACCAGAACACGCACGGCCCGGGCTCCAGTCTCGCCATCAGCGTCGAAGCTAGTCGGTCGCTTCTGCGGAAGTTCTCCGAGTCCGAGCTGGACTTTCATCGTCGCAATTTGATGTAAGTCGGTCACTTACTTACCTGCAATGAGCGCTTCAATGCTAATTATGTAGGTTTTGTCTACCATATATCACTGTCGTCATGATTCACCTGTTCTGCAATTTCCTGCTGAACCCTCTCGACCCACGCTGTCGGGCTGATCTGGATGTCATGGAACGACTTCCTCACCAAATTCAGGCTCATGTGTGGCCGCAGGCTCCTGCTCCGTTTCTAACGCAGGTGGATTTCGTGAAGGAGCTGAGTACGGAGTTGCAGCGTCTTGCGCATAGTGCACTTCGTAAGGCTATGGAGGCACAGGCCCAGACTTAAATGCTTGTTTAGATTTCTGTCTGTATGTAGACTATTGGGAACGAACTCCAAAGAGAATGATGATAGAATTGGATGATCTCTCTACCTACATAAGGTGGACTATGGCTTATATAGCCATGGTCACATGACCTGCATCGCGGAATGAGCTATGTAACTCCCGGAACCTACTGCTAATATAGTGGGAGATTCCAACACACCCCCTCAGGGCAAAATAAAGCCAAAAATCGCCTGAATTAGGGAAGTAAAACACGGGGATACATAATTTAATCGAAAGAAAAAGAAAATAACAAAACAGAAATAAAAAAATGATCCTGAATGAACTAAATACTCTATCTAAGGAACCATATTCTGAAACCGTAGATATCGCATAGAACTTTATTAAATTAAATAAACAATGGCTTCACCACCACAAGGATGCAAACCAGAGTCACCTGTGGATTCCGTCTTCTCGGTCGGTAGACCAAGGCGCCGAAAAAGGGGGAGTAAACCAACGAACAAACGGTCACGGGTGGATTGAGCACACCCGCAGTTCCATCAGGATATTATCGAGGATTCTAATCTTTCTTTTCTGTGTTTGATTCGAACAGCCAAATACTAGCCTGCTTATATTTATAGATCTTATGCAGGGAGCTATATTTATAGATTCTGCGCTTGTCAGCCCCCTGCGCAGGAAAGAGGATTTTTAGTTTATTAAAAAAAAATAGAATAAACTAAGAATAACAGCAGAGGCGTCTGTTAGGCGGAGGCAAGAGCAAATAGGTTAATAAAATATTATAACCCGGATTTAAAAATATGCCGGGGGGTCTGGGTGCACTAAAGCCTAATAAAGGGTTAAAATATTCTTTTTTATCAGGCCTATAATGGATCTTTTTCTTTTATGTTTACGAGAGTAAAGAACTATTATCTAAAAGTAAAAAGACTAAATTATCCTATATAAGGGATGGAATACTGGGAAAACAGAATAAAATATCTTTTTTTAAGGCGAGTAAATGCCCAAAAGACTAAAAAACAGCAGAATATCTTCGCAGAGATTCAGCCTATAATTATATATATAGCTAGTTAGGCTAAAACGCCATAAGTATAGCTTGAACGAAAATATATATAATTAATTAGGCTAAAAATAAGAAGATTAAGATGGTATAGAAGGAAGAAATAAAGATAAAAAGGGAGATTTAATTTAATTAATTTCACGCGGCCACCTACAGTGAATAAAGACTGAATAAATTCATTATATTAGGCTATTATAATAAAAAATTTAATTAAAATTTGCCGAATTTTATAAAATTTATTAAATTTATAAATAGTATGGCCTACACAGTACAAAATGTTATATATAAGGTTTAAGGCAAAAAAGAGATCAAAATACTATAAATTTTATTAGATTTAGGGGTTTAGTTAGGCTATTAGCGGGATTCTGATTAATATTAACCTTAGAGAAAATAATAATCTTTTTTTTAAATTAATCCTTTACGAAAAAGTACTAATTATTAAGCTATTTAATAGTAATAATATAGCCAGACTTTTTAATAATTATCGCTGTATTATTTGAATCCGTAAAAATAATAATAGGTGAAAGTAGGTTATTAGAACTAGAGGAATCCTTTTAAATTAATAAAATAATAACTAATTTTTTAATTTATAAGACTTTCTTTACTGCTCGGTCAAATATAATTAACTTAATAATAATAAAAAATAAGACTATCACAGTCTGCTTCTTCATGGACTAAGAAACAGGGGATTCTGTATAAAAGATAATATATTTTTTAAAAGATTTACTATCTGGATAATCCTAATAGGCGGTATTAATATAGACCTCTATACCCCAGATATAATTAAAGCCTAATACCAGATCATACCAATTCCTGTTAATATATTAATATATGGACTTATATACTTTGTAGTTAATTATAGATAGATTTACCGCCTGCCTTTAAAAACATATAAGATAATAGATAATATTAGGACAGGTCCTGGTTGATAGCTAATTTAATAAACCTATTTTTAAGAGATAATCTGATCCGGAAACTTTATTAGAGAGTATAAAAAAAATTATAGTTTTTTTATATAAAAGAAATATAAGAATAAGATTTCTACTGGACCTGGTTATATTTATATAATTAAGAATAATATTTATAAAGATATTCTAGGAGATAATAATAGTTCCCTTCTCCTAATCCTACTTAATAAAACTGCTAAAAAATCTGGTAAATTCCCCCAAACACTTATTTTTAAATAACAAGGAGAAATTATTATAAAATATATTAATTTTAGATATTATCTTTACTACTATAATAAAGTTATTAATATAGGAGATAATAATCTTAATTAAATCATTTATAAAATAAAAATAGAGGCAAAGGTCCTCTGTAAGAGAATAAAATCCTATAGATTTTAATTTTTTATCTACTATATTATTCTAGAGATAGCCTACTTAATATAAACTATAAATTACTTTATATAAACAGTAAAAATGCTTGCCTTTGATCTTAAATCTTACTAGTTAAATTATATAAATATTCTCCTAGTCTATTTCAGAATACAGGAAGATAATAATAATATTAAACTGCTTTTATTTAAAGCTATAAATTAATATAGTAGTTAGGGTTATTTTAACTATAATATTAGAGATAATAAGTATATAAATTAAGTTAAAATTAACTCTGATTCTTTATATATTGCCGTAAGCCACCCATCTGGCTTTAAAGTAGAGAATAATATTTTCTTTGTTCTTCTTAATATTATAAACCTATTTCCCGTAAAGAATCCTGGACCCCTTTTACTTAGTTTTAGAGATAAATTTAAAGATGCCTTTATAGTATAACTTATTATATTTAATCTTTATCACAGCTAGCTATTTAAAGATAAATAGAAAGTCTAATACCTTTTTAAGGATTAATAAAACAAAGACTTTATAAACCTTAATCTTAGAGTTAGAAAGATTTAAATCTATAAATAAAAAAGCTAATAAGGCACCTCCTAAGAATCTAATCTTTAAAAAATCTACTATATTAGGGTCTTCCTTTTTCTGCCCCTTTGTTAATCTTGTAGATAATTATATAGGAAAAATAAAGGATCTTATAGACCCCTTTTTAATTAGAGAACTAGATTATAAGAGAAAAGAACTAGGGACCGTGCCTTAAAATAAAACCAAAGGAATAATTATATTATAGATTATTATAATATGGTTATTATTATTATACTCCGGGGTTTCTATAATTAAATCTATAGAGATAGGATTAATCTTAAGAGCTAAATTAATTATTTACTAGGAAAGACCAGGTATAAAGATTTAAAAAAAACTATAATTACTCTGTTCTAAATAAATAATATATCTAGAATTACCTTAAGATTTATCTGAATAAGAATTCCTAAATATCTGACTATTATACTCCCTTTAGGTTTAAATAATTTATTAGGATCTATTCAGAATACTACTAGGGCATTATTATTATAATCTAAGCTATATAAATTATTTTTACTAAAAATAATATTCTCTAACCTGTAGATTTTATTATCTACAGGATATTAAACTATATAGATATAACTATAATTACCCTTATATTTAACCAGATAGCTAACCCTAGCTTTAGATATTATTTTTTTTGATTAGATATAATCTTTAGCAGGAATATAAATATATACCCTGTAGTTAAAAATCTTTAAATAATTAAAAAAAGAGTTCTGATTAAAAATCTTGTAAAATTTGTGTTATTTTTAAATAGAACTTTTTGAATCCCTATAAAAAATAAAATAATTAATAATATAGTAAGCTATTTTTACCGTAAAAAACCAGAATTGGGTAGGAAGGCCAGAATTAATTATTATTATATAAATAGTTTAATTAATATAATTACTTATCTATTTACTTTATCTATTTAGTTTAGAGGTCCGGGGAGGTATAATATTAATTTAGATATTTTTATTTTTAGTTTATTTCTGAAATCTATAAAACTCCCTGCTACTATTAATCTGCTATTATTAAATATAATAGTAAATCTAAACCTGATAGGTTTTATTAAAAAGAATTATCTCTGTAAATATAACTATTTTTATATATAATATACAGACCTTTGTATAATTTATTAAAGTATTAGTTATAATTAAATAATATTTAAAACTATTATATCTAGTTGGTTTAATTATCTAGATATCTGTATACTAAAGTTCGGATGGGCTTCTTAAATTATTAGGTTGGGGAGTATAAGAAATAATCTTTTTAATTTTTATCTTTTTATAAGTTTTATATATTCCTTTTAATCCTTTAACAGTAGTCTCTAGATCTAATATAATAGTTAATTTAAACTTTAAATCTCTAGTATAACCCAGGCAGTGGTAAAGTGTTATTATATTTATTATTATATCCGAATAACTAAGGATCTGGCGATACGGAAGGTTAATTATAAAAAAAAAAGGAGTCCTTTTTTTATATAAAAAAATCTAAAGACTTTATCCATATTCTAATAATAAAGTGTCTGATTTTACTAATTCTATTATATTTTTATTAATTTTTTTATATATTTTATTATAAAAAGACCAAAATCAAGGCTAGGGATATAAAACACAGGAATTTTATATATAATATAGGTCTTATTATGCTAATTAAGTCGGATAGCTACTAAGCTATATTTTTTAGCTATTATATCTTATTTTTTAGATATTTAAAATCTATAAGAAGAATTGTTTAAACTATACTTTGTGTAAGTTATAAAGCTGGATAGATCAGGAGTTATATAATTCGCGGAGTCATTATTAATAATCTAATCTTTTTTACTAACTAGGATAAATAAGACTACCTGCCCGGAAAAATTAAATATATCCTTAGTTTATTAAAAAATAATTATTTGTAGATTATTAGATTTTAAGACTTTTTTTAAATAAATTTTATTTTTTTATTTAGATACCTATATATCTTCTACAAGTAATTATTTATTAGGGTGAATATAAGATATAAAATAAAAATAATTTGTTATTTTATAGCTATATATCTTATAGTAAATATATATTTTATTAATTATTTTCCTATTTTCAGGAAGATTCTGCTATTTCTTAGTAAAAATATAATTATATATATTATTTTTTGGCTTTCTGGGAGGATAGTTAAATAAAAAAAATATATTTTTAATAGGAGGAATATTTATAAAGGGATTTTTTCTTTTTTTACTCTTTACCGCGGGTACTATAAATAAGAAGTTAAGTATCTGGTTTGCTGAAAGGACTGCCTTATCTATGATTTTCTTAAAATAAGATTATTTTATTATAATAGCTATATTATCCTTTAGTAAATAATAGGTCAGGTCATAAAAAACAGGTAATTTATTTTAAATATTATTAAGTAATATAAGGGTCGCTATTTAGAAGGTAATTAGATAATAAATAGTTAAATAAACTTTAATTGCTTACTGAAAACCCTTAATATAAATAGTAAGTAAATTAAACTTATTTTTATTGTAATAAATAATATTAAGAAAAAGTGATTCAGACCTTCTATTACCGGAGCTAATATAAAAATAATATAATTTATTTTATAATTTATTAGCGTATTCAGAGGCGCCAGATAATATCTTAATCTAATTAAGTATATTATCTAATAATTACTGCTTAATCTAATAAACTGTTTATTTTAAGTACTTAAGCCAGATTTTAAAGTCCTCTATATTATTAATTAAGGGGTAAGGAATCGAGCTATTAAGCAGCTGGAAGTAATAGAGTAGTTTTAAAATAATTTATACTTTATTATATTATATATTATAATTTTTATAACCCTTGAGTTTTTGCTCTAATCCCTTAATTATAAAAGGGTTTAAAAGGTTAAGTTTGAATATATCCTGCGGTTTATAATAGATTTAATCTTTAGGAGGGACCACCGCAAAAATAGTAATCTAGTCAGATAAAGAACTTATCTTGAGACACCTAAAAAAAAACAAGGTAATATACAGCTAGGGGTTACTAAAATAATAAGAGATTAAAAAGAATAAAAATAATTAAACAGCTCTAAAAAAGCAGAGGGCTTAAAACCTATTAGAAATAAACTCTAAAGAAAATAATAATAGAATTAGATAATCTCTCTACTTACATGAGATAGACTATAGCTTATATAGCTATAGTCACATGACCTGCATCGCGGAATGAGCCATGCAACTCCCGGAACCTACCGCTAATGTAGTGGGAGGTTCCAACATAGACTGTTTAAGATATCCACTCATCGCTGTAAGAATTACTACCCTTCGCTTGTAACGTCCAGTCATATTTCTACCCTAGATCTCGCCCAGCGCCTGGCCTTACCCACCTTACCAGTCCCCCTAATCCTCAACAAACTTCACCCAGCACGTATGCTCCTCCACCTTCTCAAACGCCTCATCATAAAACACCTCGAACCGATTCGTTATACCCGGCGACACGCCCACAAACCCCGGCGCAATCTCCGTCATATACTTCCGATAAACACTCGCCAGGAGAGTCGTCATCTCGGCCATCGCCAGACTACAACCAATCAGTCAGTACATATCCCTTACTCTGCCCCTTCCACCACCCCGCCAAAAACCAAACGAAAGGGTAAAACTCACTGAACCCCAATACACATCCTCGCACCACTGGAGAACGCCCAAAACCACCTCTTCATCTCCGCCACCCTCTCACCATCTCCCTGCAACCACCTCTCTGGATTAAACGCCTCCGGATCCTCAAAAACATCCCCGTTCCGATGAAGACTATACGCCGCCATCCCGACCACCGTACCAGCGGGGATCTCGAACCCATCGATGACCTCGTTGGAGTCTGAGAACCGCGGCTCGGAGCTCGGGATGGGCGCGTAGAGTCTTAGGGTTTCTTTAAGGACGGCGTCGAGGTAGGGCAGTTTATCAGCTGCCATTGGGGGGATGATATCATCTTTCGTGATGTCGATGGGAAGAGATAGGATTTCTCGCCGAAGCGCGTCTTGGAAACGCCTATTATGCGGCAACGAGAGCGCGAAGATCGCATACATAATCGTGTCGCTGGTCGTGTCGATGCCGGCGAGGAAGTGGTCTGCGCATTCGCTGGCCACGTCGAGGAGGTCCATGGGCTTTTGTGCCCTGGTTTTGGCCTTGGATTTGATGGCGTCGAAGAGGCGTGTGGCGATGGATTCGGTGGGGTTTGGGACACCTGTGCTGTGGATGGTGCTTGCGGCGGTTAAGGCGTGCGCGCGGATACCGGTGTAAGTTGTTGGTTTGGACATGGGGAGAAGGCCGAGTTTGGTTATGAGGGACTCGGTGAGGCCGATCTGGGTATACAGCCAGTTTGTTAGACGGGGGAAGTGCACTGCGAACCAGGTGAGGGTTCGACGACTGGGGTGGAGGATGTCAGAGAGGAGGGCTCTGTCGGTGGGTGAAGAGAGCGAGGTTGTTGAGCCTTTTGGGCCGTAGAGGAAGGCGGTTATTGAGTCCATGGAGAAGTAGTGGAGGGCTGTGAAGATCTCGAGCTCTGATGGAGAGGCACACGACGAGGAAACTAGGGATAGGAATTTGCGGGTTTTATCCTCGATCATAGTAGCCGTCTGAGGTGATAGGATGGATGATTTCGAGTAGGCGTGGTGGAGGAGCTTCTTGCGTTCTGGGTTCTGGTCAATAGGCATTTATATGGCTCGTTCAGAGAAGTTGAGTACCTCGATGTTCCACGCCTGAAATAAAACTAAATAGATTCTTTCTCCCATACACATCGAACATTCTGTAGAAGCTTCCTCGCTGAAATGAGCTGCCTGCACCATAGATAGTCCGCAGCGCGGACAGACTGTTGAATGATATTTCATTTGGGCCAACACGGACTACAGGGCCGTACTGTTTGTGTAAGAGGTCGATGCATTGTGTCCTGGTGCTCCGGTAGTCTTCCCATGCTAGTCGATACTTGGTCAGAGCGAAGGATTTGGGCCCGGGGATTTTGGCTAATGGCGAGAAGAAGGCGGTCCTGATGATTCTAAGGACAGCCAATGCCAGTGAGATTGAGATAAGAAAGATAACAGGGGGCGATAGAACCGGCATTGCAGTGATAACCATTTTTCTTTCGTTAGGGAATAGATCGTTGAAAGAGATATCTCAAGGCAAAGTAAGGTTCATTATATAATGACAGTGGGATCGCCAATGCGGGGAATCCTGGAGCATCGGATAGCGATAAGAGGTGGATTTCGGGGAAACCGTCAGCGAGCAGAGATAACAATCCGTCTCGCTTGGAGATAGCAGAGTTTAAAGCTCATGATCAGGATTGGAAGAGAATCTAGAGGAATTCAAGCTTGGTATCCCTTGCATCTCATCCCATCATCAGTTCTATGACGTGTCTAGCGATCAACCAATTACACTTTAAGCATTTGATTTACATCGGTAAAACCTTCAACAGCACTTTCTCCGCCTTTCCTACCGGCTTATCCTCCATCATCATCTCATATGCATCGATCTCATTCCTGCTCTCTCCCAGATTCAAATCCACGTCTTTCGGGTGGATGAACTTGGTCTTTTTGACCAATTTCCAGCCCACAAACATAACGATGTAGAATAGCAACATCGCGTAGTCCAAGAAGAAATACTTCAAACTCCAATTATTGGGCACATCAACGAAAAGGTCGAATCCCAGGAGCAAAGTAAGAATGGAGGTGGCGGAGATGGCAATGTACGACGTGTACGGCTGAAACCTCCCTTTGTAAGGAAGCGTGTCTCGGTCAATGCCTTGAGCTCGCAGGGCGCGCGAAAAGTGGATGTATGTTAAGCTGACGGAGAAGTGGTTTAGCAGCTGATTCGCTGTTATGAGAATGACCAAACTGATTTTCGACATCTAATTAGCGCTGCCTTTCATGTCAATTCGGTGGAAAAGGAACTTACTAGCTCATAACCTGATTCGAAGTCTCAGATACCTGCATCAATGCAAGCAAACAGAGTGACAATGAGGCAAAGAGAGCCCAGATCCTATCCACGTCAGCATCTCACCCGTAGACTGAAGAATTGTTGATCAAACATACGGAATTCCGTTCTTCGTACACCTCGAAAACACCCTCGGTGCCTTCCCATCAACAGCCATCCCATGCAGAGTTCTCGTCGCCGAGAAAAGCAACGCATTACCAGCACTGACCAGGGATATCATAATGCCCGCATTGACCACGCTACCGAGTCCCGCGATGCCCAGTCTTTTCATTGAAATCACATACGGCGAGGCAGCGCCCGTCGAAACACCTTCGCTTTGCAGGCGAGCGAGCGTGGAATCGTCGTAGGGAATCACGATCGAAATGCAGAGGGCACCGCCGACGAAAAATAAGACGACTCGGACAATGAAGGTCTTGTATGCTCGTCGAAGGGTCTTGCGTGGGCTTTCGGTTTCGGCGGCGACCATGCTGAGGTATTCGGGTCTAAATTTGACACTTTAGTTTGCTGGGGATGCAAAAAGGGTTTTGGTAAGAAGATATTAGGGTGTTTACCCGCAGAATGTAAAGCCTGCCTGTACAATGGCTGCCACCACACCGCAGAACCTTCCACTAGGACCTGAGACAAGATACTCGGCAAAAGCACCGGGATTGTTCCAGTATCGGAAGCCGTAGGTGTCGTGCTGGGGGTTTCCGCCGACCATGGTCACGAATGTGTATGCCGTGAGAGCTAATGCTAGGAGGACCTTGAAGATACCGATGTAGAACTCGGCCATGCCGAACCAGCGAACGGAGATGACGTTCAACATTCTTTTCTGGATCAGTAATGCGTTTGACGTAGGGGATAGAAGCCTACAGGTAAATAACCATCATTATGACCACAACTGCTGCGGCAGGAACCTGAAATATCGTCGTGAGAGCAAATCACTGCGTGGTTTGGGGAATGACTTACAACATCTGTCCAATATCCAATCATTAAGCTCAATGCGACAATTTCGAATGGCACCAAAAGGGCCCTAGTCACCATGAGCTTTAACTTCAGAATATTAAAGAGAGGATCTTACATGTTCAGAAAGTAATTCCACCCCATTGCAAATCCAAGCGCCGAGTCTACCCATTTCGAGGCGAACGTGATCGTCGCACTCGTGACAGGCATATAACACACCATCTCAGCTACTCCATTAGCAAAGGATTCCTCATATACTGAACCACGAAAAGAGCACAAACCATAGCATTCATTGACACAAAGAATACATATCCCCCAGATGAGAAACCCAATGAACAGCCCTGCCGGACCGGCCTTGGGCAGGGCATTTCCGATCGTGACAAAGATAGCTATCTCTTAGCAACTCTCCAGGCAGCGACCAACTAAAAAAAAAATGAAAGAAACATACAAGTTCCAATGGCCGCCGAAAGCGCAAAAAGCTGCACCTCTTTTACTCCAAGTTTGCGATGCAGACTTTGGGACCTATTGTCTAGAACACGAGTGTCGCCTTTTTCCTGCAAGGACTCGTTGTAAGACTCGGCGCCTTTAGTCTCCGGGGGTGCTTTCTCGAGCACATGTGACGCGGACATAATGAACCGAAATGTTTGCTCGCGGGAGGAGGTATGAAACCAGATCAAGGATCAAGAGCGAGCAGACCGGCATTCTTATCCACCCAGCAGAATTGATAAGGATAAGAGGGTCGCTGACTCCTGCCGCGAATTGCGCTCCTTATCGCTGTCGGAGACTCCGACGAGGTATGTCAATCATATCCCCGTTGGTATGCGTAAGCTATGGTGTATTATATTATATTATAGAGAGACCCTGGATTTACGTATATCCCACCCCAAGCCTATATTCTGATGTGTTCGTGTGGCACCGGTCTAGGCCCCCGCGTGGCACTCCTAGCCCCCGCTCATCACACGCTTGCCCCTACGGCGCAGGACGCCCTTCCAGCCTGGTACTTCATGCATCCCTGCGTCTCGACACCACCAGACCTCCTGTACGACTCCCCACAATGTCTGAATACTACCGATACAGTACCGCTGAACCCCCGTCCACCATGCTCGCCACAAGGGCCGCTCGTCGGGGTCTGCTTCGCACGCGGCGATGAACCCCGGCCATACGATCGGCGCCATGGCGCTCCAGCCTCTTTGTGCGCTCGAAGAGGACTTCAACGCCTCAGCGGCTATGAGGTTGGATACACAGGCCCGCTTGTAATAGCGCAAGGTGTCGTTATCGTCACATTGGTCCAGAGCAACGTGGTAATAAATTACGACCGCAGCGTGGAAGGCGAGAATATGGCAGGTTATTAAGGACCGGGTTTCGTGGTCAGCGCGCGGAGTCGAGGATAGGGGCTCCTGTGTGATAGTCCAGGTGTGAATGGCTTGCTTTAGTGTCTCGCGGGCTTGGGTAAGGGGGGCTGGAGGGGACGGTTGGGGGTGAAAGGAGAGGTTTTCGGCCAAGGTGATGGCTGTGTGAAGGTAGCTGGCTAGTGTTGCGGTCGTGCCGTAGATGAATTCGAGGCAGTCGTTGTCTTGGTGGAAGGGGGAGTGTTGGATTAAGTCCTTGATTGATAGTATTTGCCCCATTGTGTATGGCTTTGGCGTGGGATACGGATTCGTCGAGCGCGATAAAGTGTTCATGAATGCACAGATGGTCCTCAATTGGCCGTCCCTCGGAGATGCGCCGGGGTTGAGAGACTGAAGTAGACGGTCGCATCCGCTCAGATGAATCCAGAACTCTGTCATGTCACCTTGCATGAGCTTTTTAGGTTAGTCTTTTGCTTCAGCTCTCGAAAATAGGTAGGAAAGGGGACCTACATCAATGGAAACCAGGGAGAGCATGGCTGATAACACTGTATCGCAATCCCCAACACCTTCTCCCGACGTAAGAGCCTTCTGTAGACTGGTAACTGCCTGCCCTCGATTTACCTGGGCCAATCTCTCGTATTTATGCTTGTCGGGATGGTGTCGACGAAGATGAAAAGCAGAAACCGCCAGCAGGGCGTGAAATAGGGCTTTGCTGCCCCGTGACCCTTTCCCTCCGCCGACGACGAGCGCTCCGGATTCCACAGCCCGCGGGACATAGATCGTGCTGTACGGATTCTGGGGGTGATTTGCAGGTTGCAAGACGTTTGCGACAACCCGAATGTAATTGTCCATTAGCTCGGCGGCCGTCGAGTCGACGTACATCGACGGTGTGGACAGATTGGCTCGGACAATCTCCAGTGAGCTTTCGGTCATCTCCATAGACTCAAGCTCAGGCTCCGCATCTGTGGGCCCTGGTAATGATGTATTTTCCACTTCAAAAGCTGTAAAGGGACCCACAATTGCCTTTCTCCCTGCCTGAGTCAGGTCATCCAGTTGATCCAACATCCTATCAATAGCGACTGGATCACACGCGACAGGCAGGTTAGGGTCATAAACCGCCATAGCCTGTCGCTTCACAGAGCATGGTCGCTCATTAGCATCGTCCAGCCAATACAAATCGACATCGTAACCCTCGCAAGTATCTCCACAGCGACGACAGCGGGGTCGGAGATTGTCGCATTTGACTTTCCGGCGACGACATGTCCAGCATCTATTATCATTAGTCGACGGAATTTCTAATGAATTTTGAGGGGTATATACCCGCCAAAAGTCTTTGTTTTAACAATTTTCGCCCTTGGGGACATTTCTAGCGTGGAAATTGTCAGCGAGAATGAGGGGAAATGCAGTAGTTGGAGAAGTAGCGAGCGGATGAGTATTTCTGGGGTCGAAGGATCGTGGCGATAAGAGACCGAGACTCGGGCAGCTGTCAGCGAGCTTATCACGGGTTTTGTTGCGGTGTGATCGTGTGCTTAGTATTTAAAGGGCACCTTTCAGCCCATTCCGAGTGCTTTCTCAATAACAAGTCCTACTATAACTGCTCACAATGAAAGTCTTCTCACCCGTGCTTTTGTCTCTCTCTGCTGCTTCCGCGCTCAATGTCGGGCCCGACTATGCACACCCCATCGAAGGTGCGGATATACATCTGAACTCCCTATGTCAAAACACCACTAACCAGCAAGACCACAGACCTCGACAAGGACCTCCCCTTCTCCCAGCCCGTGACATTCGCCCATCTCGAATGGCAACGATGTCTCGCATCCTCCCACACCACAGTACGCCTCCCCACACTCAAACCTCTTCATCAGCCTAACATCTCCAGCCCCTCGACATCGCCATCCTCGGCTTCCCCTACGACACCAGCACCTCGTACCGCCCCGGCGCACGCTTCGGACCACGCGGTATCCGGGCGGGGTCATCTCGCGAAAAGAAAGGCCGCAGTTACAACACCATCTACGGCGTGGACCCCTACTCCAGCGGCCTCAACATCATCGACTGCGGCGACGTCCCGATCACGCCGTTCGACGCCGCGCACGCCTTCAAGCAAATGGAGCAGGGATACCGCCAGGTCCTGTATCACCCTACAAACACCACGTCGGGCAATGGCTGGCCCCATCCCCGCATCATCAGCCTCGGCGGCGACCATTCCATCGTGTTACCGATCCTCCGCTCGCTGAAGACTGTCTATGGCCCGATTAGCGTCATTCATCTAGATAGTCATCTGGACACGTGGGATCCATACGCGGGGTACACGGGCATTGTGTCGGAGCAGTCGGGGGTGACGCATGGGACGTTTTTCTGGCATGCGAGTCGCGAAGGGTGTATTAGTAAAGGGACGAGTGTGCATGGGGGGCTCAGGACGAAGTTGTTCGGCGAGATGGATTATGCGATTGATAGTGAGGATGTGGGATTTCATCGGATCGAGGCGCATGAGATTGATGAGGTTGGAGTGGCGGGGGTGGTGGAGAGGACGGTGGAGGTGGTTGGGAAGGATAGGCCGGTGTATTTGAGTATTGATATTGACGGTGAGTTTCCTTTTCCTGGGGTGAACTCGTTATGGGCAAAATAGGGAGGGTGGCATTGAATGTGAGGAGGCTAACATTTATGTAGTTCTCGATCCAAGCATCGCTCCCGCCACAGGAACTCCTGAGTCAGGAGGCTGGACTACGCGCGAGCTGAAGCGGTACATTAAGGGATTGGAGGATCTTAATATTGTCGGAGCTGATGTTGTCGAGGTGAGTCCGCCGTACGATTCGGTAGCGGAGACAACCTCGGTCGCTGCGGCGGATTTGATCGTGGATATCCTAGCGGCGATGGTGAAAAAGAAGGAATATACGGGGGTGACTTCTACGGAGAACAGTGAAGAAGTACTCAAGGATGAGCTGTGAGATGGTGGTATTTGTGATGGGAATGGTATTCTGGATTGGGGGCTCTGAACATCCTATTTTATATGTTGAATGCAAGCAGGTTGCCAAACGAGGTTGGATATGCCTGCACCTGCATGTCAATCACTGAAAAGGCTCTGAAATAAATTCATTTGAACACGAACCATTCCAATCTAGCAAAACTAACAGTCGACGTTGGCTGACGACAGGTTCGCGCAGATTGCCTAGTCACTGGCATTGTCTGAACGTCTCGACCAGATTGCCTAGTCACTGGCATTGTCTGAACGTCTCGACTGGATAGATGATTTTCCTTTCAAGAAGGTAAAAGCCAGCAATGACATGGCAACACAAATGCATGCTAGGTGATGTCAGCTTAAAGACTCCAAACAGCGCTTGCTGTCTTTAGGTGACGGAGTGTAGCGTATACCTAGCACCAAGTTCATATATGAATAGCCCAAAGAGTCCGTCAACGCACCGGAGAGAAGGGGCCCGACAAGAAATCCCATCGTAAAACTGATATTGGAAAGCGAGTAGCTGCGCGAGTATCCGCCATGAGGACCGAAAATGCCGGGATGCTTCTCCTGTAATTCGTCGACCGTACCTGTGGTGAAATGGCTAGTTAACTATCCAATTCACGAGCGCAAAATCCCAAAGCGAGGATAGATAGGAATTTGTGGCTCTCATACAAGTAATCTCGATTGTGCCGACACTTGTGAGAAGATTCTGAAAACAGCCAATACAAACGATTGCGACAATGTATATCGTCTTGGCATTTTTCTCAGACCCAATCCATCGGTAATAGTCCCATTTATGAGCCGCACCTAGTAGCCATAGCAAAGGGGCCAGAAGAATAAATCCGAGTGCCGTTGGTGTTCTGGTTCCTATCTTATCTCGCAGCCAGCCAAACAACGGACTGAATATGATAGCGGGCGCCTGAAGAGCCAAGAAGCAGAGACCGGCGGGGAGACTGCCCCATCCAAAAGCCTGCTTCACGTGGATTGGAAGTGTAGTATTGTAACTCGCGATTAGAGACGAGTGCAACATGTAGGATAACAGTCCAACAATGACTCTAGGTTGACCCAGTATGATCCGGTAGAAGGAGGCAGCCGAGATATCTGTATTCCTGCGGAGAAGCGGGCTCTGTTCACTAGTATACTCTGGGCCCTGGTTGTTGTCGGACGCTCGGTGCTGGATATCGCCATCGCCGTCGAAGCGAACTTTCGACATCTTCGGCTTCTCAATCATGATAACTCTCATAATTATGTCTATAATTAGCACCGCCAACACAACCGACCAAGTGATCCAATACCCAGCCACCTGAAGGAGCAACCCAGCAATAGCCGGGCCCGAGAGAGCGCCGGCGCTAACAAGAGCATTCACCAGGCCAAACGTCTTTCCCATGTTCTCAGACTGAATCGAGTCTCTGAGGGTGGCATAGCCGATAATCCAAGCTGTTACGCCGCCTATAGCTTGAAGCGTCCGGCCGATGAAGACTCCATACACTTGAAGAAGCCCATTAGTACAGATTGCGGCGCACTCTTCCATTAGATAATTGTGCCTCTTACATCTGGTTGATATTGCTAGCAAAAGTGTCCCAGCAAACGCAAGTCCCAATCCGAGGATCAGAGGTACACGCCGAGATTTTATACGGTCACCAACATGCCCGATTAAAATGCCGGCTACTACTGCCACCGCGCCATATAAAGTAAGGACCTGGTACGTTAGGCGCTGGACGGCAGAAGGGCTGACATGATTCCGGTCCTCGAGGATATAGGGTAGGATGGGCACGACGAAGGAGTACAGAAAGGCTTCTAGAACTGATAGTCAGAGTCTGTATGACATTTGTGATACATTTAAGGGACAAAGGGTTGGGGTCTTCAGGATCTGTCTGTGGATTATTGAACAATACGGAAAGAAAGCCATTAATACCAGCAAAAAGCGCAATGCTAATACAGGAAACGATAAATCCTGTTGATGACCTCCAGCTATATCCCCAGGGCATCGGGGGAGCGTTATGGGAAGGCATGGAGACAGTCTTGTCCCAGTGTCTGATGTGGAGCGAGGCTGTAGATGAGGAAAAGAACAACGTGCGTTCGGAGAATCACGAGGATCACACGGCCTCCAACTTCTGGACGGGAACTTACGTACAAGGAATACCCTTTCTTAGGTTTGAGGCAATTACGTGGACCATATGTGCAAAAGACCGACGCGTATACAGTATTGCAGGCTGATTCCCATTCACGCAAAAGAGTTTAAAAGACACCCAATGATGACGTGGAATGAACTAAATAAGTTGTATTTGGGACCGAGTTCATGAGAAATTGACTTACTGCACATGCAGAATCTGTGTAACGACAGACTTGGCGAGTTCCACGTTGAACAAGGCTGTTTCAATAATAGATCACTATCAAATGACGATCATCAGACGTCTTTGGACAGGGATAATGTGGTAACACCGAGACTTTCTGTTCTATCCGCGAGGCAGGCTTTCACTTGGAAACACGAGGGATCAGCCGGTTGATATAAAGATCCCGAGCGAGGAGTGCAGCCGGTATAATTAGCGATTCTTCGTTATACACAACCAAGATATCAGTTCCAAATCTGATTCCTCAAACCAGTTTATCACTGAAGGCTCATCCTCCTATTCTCTGTGCAAAACAAGCAAGAACAAAATGGACGTTGAAGCGGAGCTTATGTTCGATGATATCGCGAAGAATTACGAGGCAAATTTTGCTGAAGACCCCAGTCTGCATCGAGTCATCGACCAAGCCTTGGGCTTACTTTCGCCACACTCCCAAGTTCTAGACGTAGGATGCGGGACCGGAAAGCCAGTCTCGTATCGTCTAGCTGAAGCTGGCCACGATGTCACCGGAATCGACATCTCTCAGAACATGATCGACATCGCCACGCGCCAGGTGAAAGCACAGTTCATCAAGACAGATATGACCAATTACGAGCCGAAGATGAAGCTCGACGCCATCTTTGCTATCTTCTCGCTATTTAACATCTCGCGCGCCCAGGTCCAATACATGGTATCTAGGTTTTACGACTGGCTGAAACCAGGTGGTCGGCTTGTTTTGGCTACGATTCCCAGCGAATGTCTATTCCAGGACCCGGGTATCTATGATGAGTCTGGCGAGTGGGTTGATCAGAAACCGATGTATTTTATGGGACATAATTTCTGTGGCTCGGCGGCGACGAAGCGGGGGTGGGAGGATTTGTTCACCCAGACAGGGTTCGAAGTGGAGGATCAGTTCTCTTACAATTTCTCCCCGCCGAGTTTGGATGCACATAAGAAGGATCCTGATCATTTGTACTACGTTGTTCGGCGAGGGTGTTGAGAAGCCATGATGAGTTGTGCTGTTCAGAGCCACCGAATGAGAATCTTGCGATGCTTCGTATTCTGCATATATTCCGGGTAGCTTACTGAGATAATGTGATCGGTATTATACCAAAGCCACTGAGACTTTCTTTTTCTTTTGTATGTGTGCGTGTGTGTGGTGTGGTTCAAATGCCATTCATTCGAGATAGAAATATAGAAGGTCCAGACGAAAAAGGGGAATCCAGTATAGTTACCAATGCACAAGTCTGATTTTGCTATTTTTTCAAACATGCTCAATGAGAAGAGCCTATACTAGATACCAATGTCTGTACAATTAAACATCTTCACTCGGCCTCGCCACCAGAACCGCCACCTGATCACCAATGGCATGCGGACGATCCAAGAAATGGAAACGAAGTCGAGGAATCAACGCCTGCTTCATCCCATTAAAATTGCTATCATCCAGGCACCATAGTCCCGCAATCACACCTGCAGCCTGCTCGCAACGATCCGAGAGATCCTGCTCCGTGAACTCACAGTACGCATCAACTCGATGGAACGTGATATTTCCGAACTCACAGGCAGCAAATACCTCAGCTGCCTTGTGCAGTAGATAGCCCTGGTGATTTGGAAGCGGGTTGGACGCACTAAGGGGCGCACAGACGGTGTTCATCAGGTCAATAATCTCATTGTCCGGCGCCCCTTGGACGATCACAATGCGAGAGTTAGGCGCGGACCGATCCGTCACTCGTACTATTTCGCGCAGTGATTTCTCCAGGTCCTGCACGTAGTGCATTACCCACATCGCGACGACGGCGTCAAAGTGAGCGTCTGGGTACGGTATGTTCTCGGCAGATCCTTGTGCGATTTCGACGCCGCGGTCGCGAGCATTTGCTGTCTGGATGCTATTGCGATCGGCGTTGGGCTCGATGGAGTAGGCCTTTCCAGTTCTGGCAGCAACTTCGATCGGGAGTTCTATTGTTATTAATAAAATTAGACCGTTAGAACCTCAAAATCAAGTGGTAGAGAAAAGGGAAACCGATGACTGACTTCCATATCCACTACCAACGTCTAGCACCTGTTGGTTGCTTTCCAGAACCTGCAGAACGAAGTCGAATTCATCACGAACTAGCCGGTCCACGAACGGCTTCCAAGCTGCTTCGCTAAGAGGAATGGGGCCCCGATACTCCTCGGGAAGAGGGTAGGGCCCTAGGATTGAATGCTTGACAGACTTGCGGAAACTCATAAAGGAGTGGTGTTGAGATGGACGATCGGCTGTGGCTGAAACGGTGAGATATGCTTCATTGTCCAGGGAAACGCCCGCTTTCTCGAACATGGAAATCCATTCGTTTCTGGAGAACAGTGTAGAATGAACTGAATTTCCGAACAGATTCAGTGGATAATCGCGAATGCAATCGTCGACAATGTTATGACGTGATTCAGTATCGAGGTAATCGATTGGCGATGTAGCCAGGAGAATGAAACCACCAGGCTTTAGCCAATCGCCCATCTTAAAGACGAGCGAACGGACTTGTGCCCGGTTCATCTCATGTAAGGAGAAAATTCCCAAAATAACATCGAATGAGCTCTGCGGCAAGTATTCCACCGCGGGAGCTTGCTCAAATTGTCCAGAAACTTGGGTTTGGGCAAAGTCGAGGGTCTTTTGAGACCCGTCAATGCCGTAGATATGGTGACTGGCGGAGGAAAGCAGAGAGAGAATAGGTAGGGATGTCGTACATCCTACGGAGAGAACCTTTGACTCCGGAGGAACTCCCTCAACAAGTGCCCTAACAAGCTGGCTTGTGCGTTCATTGTTCAAGATTCCAGCTGGATCGAATAGGGTTTCAATATTGGAACCCATTTTGAGGGCTTCTGGTGACGGAAAGCAAGCTAACAACGAAAGGAGTATGGATTGTGTATCGACGGAATCAACAATATAGTCAAAATGACTCTTCGGGAAAGTCGACGATACTAGTGAGCCACGTGAAGGCCAACGACAGCCATGCGAGGGTATTATATCGAGCCCAATCGACCCTGTGGTTTACTAAACTATACAGAGGGGCCTCTACAATATTTCCTATGGTGTGGCCTTGCTGCTTCAGCTGCCCCCACGACGGCAATCCGGATAGCACACAACCTAGCCCGACGGACGACAAAGAGTCGAGTATACGCATTTCATGCTCATTGTGTTGCATATGCATGATACATTCAGCTTTAGTTCAAAGTTTTGTCGTGGTCGACTGCTACTGGCTGCCCCAAACAGTTCTCCCCGCAGTATCACCCTGCCGTGATCAGCTCGGGCTGCACGAATGTAACATAGTTTAATCTCATGAACCGCTGACTGTGATACTCGAGGCCTGTGCAACATTCCATATACGTGCATATGACATCAAAATGACTGTAGCTATCGTATACATGACGAATCTTGGTTTGTTTCTGAATGAAACCAGACGGAACAACTCCATGCTGACTGGAGTATACAGGAAGCTTACGCAGTCCTTGGTTTCTCGACTTGACTACTAGTTCTGACCGACGTCTCTGCATTCGACTAGACATCACTCTGTAGGGACTAGTTAGTGACGATATCGCCCCTTGCCAGAGGAACAGCATCATGGATTGTGAACTCTCAACCGGGAAGCCATGAATAGGATAGATCGAGATAGAATGCGACGGCGAATGCACATCGGTCAATTCCAAGGCTCGCTTCAGCTGTAGAAGACTACATTGTATTGCATCCTGTAACTTTATAAGGCCAAGGCTTCTCGCATGTGCTTTTCATGGGTTTTTGCATCTCAGTTGTACTTTGTTGAGCTTTTTCGAATTCCGCAACGTCGCATTGACATCACAAACCTAACAATGGCTTCGTCAGTGGTTGGCTTCGTGGGCCTTGAGAAAGCCACTACTCCGGTGGAACACCTAAAGCTGAATGCTGCTTCACCTGTTGAGTCAAACGGCATCACTTCGCTAGAGCCGAAACTCGCCAATGGTGCCAATGGCCAGCGGGATGCTGGGACCGCGAGTTCTCTTCCAAATTCCATCATAGAATCAGGTACGAGAGGATGAACTCCAAGGAATGTTCTAGCACAGTTCAGAAGTATTTTAACTAATATCGGTCTTTCTTCTACAAAGTGCCCTCCACGCCTAGCAGCCCACCGAGTGTTGAGGTTGACACCAGGATAGTCACCGCGGTACGAACTATCCTGGAATGCCTGGGCGAGGATCCTACTAGGGACGGCCTTCTCAAGACGCCCCAGCGCTATGCCAAGGCCTTGAAATTCTTCACTCAAGGGTACGACTTCAGCCCAGCGGACGTCATCAATGATGCCATCTTCGACGTTGAGCACAGCGAGCTCGTTCTGGTCAAGGACATCGAGATCTCTAGTCTATGTGAGCACCATCTCGTGCCGTTTTTGGGCAAGGTGCGTCTGTCTTCGTCTTAGATCTATATTGTTTGTCTACCAGGAATCCGGATAATAACCCCCAACGCTCTTAGATCCATATTGGGTACATTCCCCGCGGCCGTGTCATTGGTCTATCGAAACTCGCGCGAATCGCGGAGATATACGCCCGTCGACTCCAGGTCCAGGAGCGTCTTACGCAGCAGGTTGCAAAGGCTGTTGATGAAGTGTTGAAACCGCTAGGTGTGGCGGTGGTGGTTGAATGCGCACATATGTGCATGGCGATGCGGGGGGTGCAGAAGCCGGGTGCAATGACTGTGACGCAGTGCAAGATGGGCGTCTTCAAAGACGATGCGAGGCTCGATGAAAGATTTCATGTCCTACTAGATATGGGTAGGCAGTGATAAATTTTGAATCTTAGTCTATGATTGATCCTGCAGATATAAATTACTCTACGCGTCAAGAAGGGGGGTCAAGAATATCGTGTTCCCTTGATGCAGCTTTACCAGGACGAAGATATATTTGACAAATGTTCTCTAGTTTTGAAACAAGGGATGAATAGGCTCTTGGGTACCCCTTGGAGAAGTCTTTCTATATGGTCGATAAAAGATGAAAGAAACAGCAAAAGCCTCCAACAAGCCTTTGAGTTACAACATAGAGACCAGACTGAAAGGACAACATCAAGTGTCTTCATTGCGAAGAGTCGGTAGGGTTGAGAGCGACAAAAACAGACTTTTTTACCGTACGCGATAGCTCTCTAGAGTCTGATGATTAAACATCCTATTGCATAGATTTCCCCAGGACATGACACGTTGCTTCTATGAATCAGGTCAGGGGCATGGGTTGACTCTGTACAAATTGACCGATCAGAGGTTCGTCACCTGCAATCGCGGAAATGTCGTGCCAGCCGTGGAGACAATACTGAAATCTTGGCAAAGAGCGGGCATTCAAGCCACTTACGAGCTGGAATGTACGTTGAGTCATGGTTCCTGGCATTTAAACCTTTCGTACAGGATTATCGAGCATGAATGGAACAACCTGGATACTGTGGTAAAAATAGATCATCGCAAGATATCATTTGATCTGCTTTTTCAAGTTGATGACAGAGGTTGCTGTCAGCATGACAATAGAATGTCTCAGACAAGTGATGACGCGTGTATTCATTTCCTATCGAGACTGTCGTACAAGTGGTTCACTTTTCAATCAGCACATGGAGTTTGTGCGGCAGGATTTGCTTTCTTGGCCAAGTTCATCCGGTCGAAATGCCAAAATAACGACATAGAAAAATTAAACCATGACCAATAGAAAATTGGGGAAGGAAACAGAAATAACAAACAAATAATCAACGCCGCCAAGTGCTACATTTCATGGAAGTGAATGTTATTCGAAGGCAAATGACCGTCGAGAAAGTAACATTAATCCTCAGCCAATTCATTCGGGCTGAGGAGAAATATGCATGAGAACAGTTTTGTTCTCAAGGAAATTCTCCAGGCTATCCATGTATCCTTCGCGACCCAGACCGCTCCTCTTCCAGCCCCCAAACGGCATATCCATGGCCAAAGTTGGGCTAGTACAATTGATCGCCACCGTTCCAGCCTCCAAATTTCTGGCCACACGCATTGCACGATCCATATTCCCAGTGAAAACCGACGAGTAAAGTCCAAACTCACTTCGATTGGCACAGTCGATTGCTTCGGATTCAGACCCGAAGCGGTTGATCACGACCACCGGACCAAACACCTCCTCTTGCATCAAGGGTGAATCTTCGGGGACATTTTCAAACATCGTCGGCTCGACGAAACAGCCAGGTCCAGCCCTTCCACCAGTGAGTAGGGTGCCATCATTGCATCCAATCTTGATGTATGATTGGACTCGGTCACATTGGACTGTATCAATCTGAGGCCCATGAGTGGTATCTGGGTCGAGGGGATTACCTAGATGAGAAGAAGTGAACGCCTTCTTAAACAGACCGATGAACTTATCTGCGACAGACTCCTCCACGTAGATCCGGGAGTTTGTTATGCAGCTTTGCCCCGTCATAAACGTCAAGCTTGCCGCCGTTTGCTCCGCCGCAGCTTGGAGATCTGCATCGTGGAATATGAGTGCGGGTGACTTTCCACCGAGTTCCAAGTGGAGATGCTTCATGTTGGAGTTTAATGCTGCTATTTGAATTTTCTGTCCCGTAGCAGAAGATCCAGTGAAGCTCAGGCAGCGGACTTCCATATGCGAGGCGAGAGCACTGCCGGCCGGTGTTCCGAATCCTGATATCATATTCAGCACGCCAGGTGGAAATCTTGCTTTGTCTGCGAGTGTGGCTAGAAATAATGCCTGATCAAATTTTTATTAAAATCATGAAACCATTAATCGGAAAACCGGGGAAAGAGAACATACCGATAGAGGGGCCTTCTCGCTACTCTTGTGCACAACTGTGTTGCCGGCTGCAAGAGCAGGTGCCACTTTGTATGCAAACATGAGAATAGGTAGATTCCAGGGTGTGATACATGCCACCACCCCAAATGGCTGCTTCAGTGAGAAATTAATGTGGTCGGGCGTATGAAGACTCGTGGTGCCTTGGGCGTGCCATCCTGCCTCGGCGAAATATCGAAAGACATCAGCCGCGACGCTGGCCTCGAAGAACTGGCTTACACACTTCCCTGTCGCAATAGCCTCGATACGTTCGAGTTCGTCCTGCGAAGCTTCAATAAGATCACCGAGTCTGCGTAGGTAGGCTCCACGTTCCCGTGGACTCAGATCCTTCCAGGCTGCGGAGGCCGATTTTGCTGCAGCGACAGCATTATCAACGTCGATTTCCTCTGCCTCATCAACTGCCAAAAAATGTGAGAATCAGATTGTGATATTCAGATAATGAAGCAGGGCCAGATGCTAACCGTGTGCAATAATTTCTCCTGTAGTCGGACTGCGCACGGAGAACTGTTTGCCTGTATTGCCGGGACAGAACTAGAGGCGCATTGTATGAGAGAAGGCTCAAATTCCTATTTGCGGATGGAGCAACATCTTACATTGCCGTTGATATATAACCGAGTCTCGAAGGTCCCGTCGACCGACATTTTGCCGTTTCTTTCGTATGCGTGTCTGGGATATGTCAAAGGTCGCCCTAGGACTATTGTAAGTCGAAGGCTAGGTAGTTCTTACCTTTTTCCTCCTTGATGCTTGTGTCCAATAACCAGTGGTATGGGATGTCGACTTAACCCGCTACTTGGGCGGGTGTTTCTGGTCCCTGAAATTCGCAATTTGCAGTAGCCCAGACGTCATATCACTTATTGCACTTTTACACGCAGAACCCTGGCATAAAAATAAACAACCGACTACGGGCAGATGGTCCCAGGTATAATCCCTCAGTGCATGAAACCGTAGTTCGTATTGCCACATCCAAAAGTACCAACATAAACATTATTGCACTAAACAGCTCCCTAAATGCCTTGGCCATCATCCAAACACCAAAGCCCTAACCTCAATACTTTCCCTTCCCGGAGCACCCGCCGGAGTTCTCGGATCCTCAAACGCAGAATGAGGCACCTGCATCGCCACATCCTCATTCGAGTCATTACACTTCAATAGCAAACACTCATCCACCTGCATCCCAGACCAATACATCCACTTCTGGTCCGGATTGAACGCCACGCCCACAATCTCACCCGTACGATGCGGCAACCGGAACTCGATCGGGACCAACTCGTCGCACGAGACCGACGACCCACTCGCAAACGCCAGCGGACACGATTGCACCGGCCCCTTTAGCGGCTTCCACACGTTGATGATACGGTAGCGCCGACGCAGCAGCTCCTCTGCTTCTGCCGCGTCCGGAACGCACAGTCGCACGCGGTTGGCGGCCGCTCGCGCCGTCTGGTCTGCATGTGCCGTGTGCAACGGCTTACTGTGTTCGCTGTCTTTGCGTTCCATGCGGATGACGTGGTCGAAAATAATGACCCGGTGCGCGCCGCTGACGTGGTCCAGAAGGAGCTTTTCGACTTGGGGGTAGAAATCCCGCTTTACGGTCTCGTCGGAGAGGAAGGTTTCGTACGGTGTGGGGGATAGCACACCTTCGAGGGCTTGGAAGGCGTCTTTTTCCAGCGTGAACTCGCTTTCGTGTCCGCGTATGTCATACAGACTGATCGACAGCGCCGGCTGGCCGTAGTTCAACGCCGGAGTGCCCTCTGGTGGCTCGCCGGCATATTGGAATGGCTGGGAGCCATCGGCAGGCGGTTCGTAAAAGTTAAGCCGTACTTGGACACACCCTCGCGGTACTAGACCGGTGGCATCTGATGCTATGGGAGATGTGGTATTGGTGGTGCTCGACATGGTGGTGCGGTTGGTGAGTGTCTTCAAGCTTTTGGTGATAGATTGTAATACTGTTGAACTTGAGCTTTTTGCCGCGTGATATACACATGCTGTTGTCAGGAATTTACATTTGAACTCGCTGAATGGAAGGGCTAGAGCAAACGAATAATCCAACAAGGGCTTTTTTGGTTTCAGTATGCCGTACACGTACAGCAATAGAACAGAATGTTGCCTGAACTCATTTCCATCCTACCTGCAGTCTGGTTTTGAATGCATTACAACATTACTGGGAACATGACTTGAGATGGTCGGCATGGAAAAGTTGAATGCAAGCCTCCTAACAGCCACCACAGCGTAACACTTTCCTGTGTTACGTGTTCTGAATGCACATGTCATACTGAGCCTGAATCCAGCCGCGGTTCATGTTCAAATTTAGCTTCTACAGATCACACTGCATTTGTACAATAGACCCAGGTTCCAATTCCAGCAAACAATAGTGATTTAGATTGTCAAGGCTACTGCACGCCACGATCTGATATCCCTGCTAACTAGACTATTCTTCATCTCTGTCACTGCCTTCATGAACTGTGCAAAACAAGGAATCAGGATCTCGACTATGACGAACTGTGGCAAGACGCTGGGCGCTGCGGCCCCAGTACCAATCATAGGCCATTTTCAAATCGCACTCGCCCAGATACGATCCCACTGCGTGCTCTTTTACCTTTGCCATACTCTCCTGCGCCCATGCTTTTGATCGCGCCGCCTCATCCCGGTCGCTGCCAATAGCGTACACAACGAAATAATGGTCCGAGGGGACATTCAACGCCATGTCCGAGACAGTATGTCTACTGCGCGGGTATAGCGGATACCAGAATGCAAAGGACTTCCCGGCAGGGATGGTTAAGCAGGTCTCCTCTAAGACCTCGGTCACATTTGCAGAATTGGAGATGAAGTAGTCGTCTGTATAGCAGTAGTGATCTTTGGGGTTGGCGTGGATCTGGTCCTCGTATAGATGCTTCATAGTATCTTTCTGGGAAACTGATTCTGTGATAGTTCCTGCGGGTCGACTTCGATGAATTTCAGTCAATGCATACTCCGATTCCAGGGGATTCGACTTCATGGCCACAAAGTGAATTTTCAAACAGGTTTCACCAAGGACGTCGGAGTGGAAAGCAACTATTACAATCTCCGTATCCCGGTCGGCATCTGGGACGATCGACTGAACCCACTCAAAGGCTTCATGGTAGATGCTGGCGGGATAGATGTAGGCGGATGATCGGATATGGCCGGTCAGGTCTGGAAGCAGTTGTAGGTAGAACTTGGTTACGATTCCAGGGAACACTGGCATAGCTTTTGTGAGCCCTTCCCTCAAAATCGTTTTCCTCGGACCAATGGTAGAAACTCACAAGGTCCAGCTCCTCTGGCTGCCCAGAATAAATCCGTATTCTCGTCTTCATTGCACTGCAGCAACTCGGCTTGCGCCGTCACAACTTCCACGCCCACGACTTTGTCACACGCATATCCCCAGCCCTACTCGCCACCAAGTGTCAGCAAGAAATCCAATATCTAAAATGAGGCCGGAAAGTGACATGCCACGTACACGACAGTTCCACCCCTGTCCCCCATGCAGGAGGAACCCGCCTAGTGCGACATCCGGACAATGACCCGTAGGGAAGAAACAGCCATGATGGGCTCGCAGGTATTCGTTCAGTTCAGCCCCAGTCACACCCGGAGTCACCTCCGCGATGCCCGTGTCCGCATCCACGACGATTTCTTTCCAGCTGCCCAGATCCACTAGCATCGAGTCGTCGTGGAGACTCCACACGAAGAAAGAGTGACCACCAGATCGCACGGCAACTCGGCATTTTCGAGGCTGGTCAAGTGCCATCCGCACTGCGCCGATGACGTCCTCTGTGCATGTCGCCGTGACGACGGCGCGTGGGAAATGCGCCGGTCGTTCCATGTTGAAGACGTTGTCTAGGCGGGCGCGGTCATAGCCATCTCCGCTGTCTGTGGTTTTCCAAATGGTTCGCATGGTTTGGATTGCAGAGGGGCACTTTCTTGGTTCGCTGGTTATCATGGCGCATTTACTTCCGTGGTTGTATTAAGTAGCCGAGCCAACGTCTACCTCTGCCCTCTCCCTCATCATCCGGGATCCGGTCATTCCTGGCTAGATTCCCAAGGCGACGGTCATCCTATCATGGCATAATCCTCTGTGTATTGAGTAATTCACGACGTATAATCCTCGTCCACCAGGCAATGGCATGCAAACATACGGTAATGACTAAAAGTAACCCCAACAACCATAGAGCGCTGCTAATTTCTACGTAACATCCAGTTGGAAATGAGAGTCAGGGCAAGGTCATAAAAGATGCGTACAAACTAGTTCTCCATGGAAGAAACACGCAGATACTATAAGCCACTCTCTCACTAACTGTAAATCCACAGTCCAAAACCACTCTCCGCAATGTCTGAACCAACCCCCTTCATCTCATTCAATTCTCCACCTCCAACCGTTGACACCATTCACTTAAGAAACATTCAACTTCAACTGCCCACCGCCCCAGAAGCATGGCACCGGACTGGAACACCCCAGCCCTGCACTGCATCCCTAAGGTTTTCCTACTCGTCGTCAGTCGCCGCAGCCGAAGCAGACGATGTCGCCTGCACAATCGACTACGGCAAATTGTTCCGCCGCATCATTCGGAATATTCAAGACCAGGGTGAAGCAACCAAGTCAGACGGATGTATTCTCGGGGATCATATCACCAACACAGATGGGACCTCACTGCAGGAGATGCTATACAAAGATATAAGTCAAGACGTGCGATTCTTCCCGACGATCATCGCGAGGTGTTGTTTGGAAATATTGGATGAGTGTGCGGTGTGTTCTTCCACATCTTCCCTATCTTTTCACTTCTCCGCTATTCTCTCAACCACCCACTATTGCATGCGCATATTCATTGACGGAAATAGGAAGCATGCCCCCATCCCACGGCAATCAACCCTGAATACGGCCACTTCGACATCCAGCTTCATCTCCCGAAGGCGATTCTCCGCGCCGACGGGGGGTTTTCGCACCAGAGCACCTTCGCCATTGGAAGGACCCAAAATGAAACATCAGGCAGAAATGAGCGATGTCTCGTCCTTCTAGACGAAGTATTCGAAGTCCGCAACATTCGCTGCTTCTGCATCCTGGGCATCAATCCCTGGGAGAAGCTCGAGAAGCAGGCCGTGAATGTTTCGCTGAAGTTCAAAGGAGTCGGGGGGCTGAAATGGGGCACCACGGTGGTGGAGACGTATCAGGCAATGGTCCGTGAGTTGGCTGAGGTGTGTACTACGCTATAGTAGCTCTTTCAGTATGACATTGCTGACTCGATTTGTTCGGTTCTGGCAGCGTGTGGAGAATACCTCGTTTGGGAGCGTCGAGGCGCTGGCATCCTTTATTGCACGTATTTGCACGATGGACTTTGGGAATGAGGAGGTCACGGTTTTAGTGGAGAAGCCTAATGCGCTGGCTTTTGTAGGTGGATCGGGGCTGGAGATTACGCGCTCGAGGGCTTTTTTTCAGTGAGGGTACGGTGTATAGAGCGTATAATCAGATGGAGAACGGAGCGGTGATGCTAAGAATGCATAACAATAGAACTTCAAATCGCATATAATAGCATGGCAGAATGAGACGTAAGGTGTATCCTATCTACCAAGTAGAGTGAAAGATTGATGATCTTCCTTAATCATATCAGCTGCCCTCTCAGCAACCGCGTACACCGTAGCCAACACATTCCCACTGATCTGAGTCGGAATGACACTAGCATCTACAATTCTCAAGCCGCTCATACCCTTTACCTGCAGTCGCTCGTCTACCACTTTTCCCATCGCACAAGTCCCGAGGATATGGTTGAACGACGTGGCCCAGTCGCGCACAAACTCTCGGCCCTGCGCCCGATTGCGTAGATCCGTCTCAGGATCCGGAACGACTCGCTTCAGAACCTGATCGGAGACCTGACGGGACGAGAACACCCGATCGGCAAACTCGAGTCCAGCAGCCAGTAGATCCACATCCGCTTCTTCGTTCAGAAGGCCGAGATCGATGGCCGGGGGCACCAGAGGATCCGACGACACAACATGTGTGGAACCGCGAGAAAGCGTACTAGTGATAGTGACGAGGAAACTGTAGTATATTTGTTCGTGCCCAGAGACGTCAGGAATCAACTTCCCACGATCGGTATGTCCGCTCTCGATGTCGACGTAGGCGGAAATGCCGTTCAGCTGCACGGCGCCAGATGCGGGATCCTGCAGCCGTGAACGAACAGCCTGCCTCTCGACCTCGGACAGTGATCCGACTCGGTCAATCCGTCCAACTGCCTGGTCCAATTCACCCTGTGGTACAAGGCTACCGTACGGGAGGAAGGCGATCAAGCTGACGCCGCCATGAGCGGACGCCTTCCCGTCAATTGCGTAGGTAAGAGACGTCATTGGGTGTTCGCAGAGGTTATTTCCCACGTCGGGGATCGCGAGTGTGCAGTCTATGTCGGTGGCATGCAGGACGCGTGGGTCGCCTATCCCCGATAGCTCTAGGAGTTGGGGCGTTTGGATAGAGCCTGCGGCCAGGATGATCTCTATGCTCGCAGACACGCGATGGATAACGCCTTGGTAGAGGAACTCAACGCCTGTTGCGGTGAAGGTGTCTTTGTTGGTATCGTGCAAGATCCTGCACACCGTAGCTCCTGGCAAGATTTGTAGGTTCTTCCGGCCACGGTGTGGATGCAAAAAAGCCGATGCAGCGTAGCTTCGGGTGCCGTGTTCGGGGTCAACTGTTGATAGGTGTTCGTACAGGCCAAGAGGCTTGCCACCGTACGGGTCCTCCGCTCTCAATGATCCTGATACTTCGTCAAATGCAGCGATGAAGCGTTCCTCAATTGGCGGCTTCGCTGAGGGCAATGAGGTGATGATGGGTCCGGAATCACCATGGGATGTGGTGCTTCTGTAGATCTCTCCAGAGCCCACTGCCTCATTTCTCCCATGAAATCTCTCGCTTTTGAGATAATACGTCCTGAGCTCCTCCCACGACCACCCCGTATTTCCCATCTTTTCCCAGAGATCAATATCCTCGGCCGCGGGCCTTATATAAGCCATGAAGTTGATGCCGCTCGAGCCGCCCAGCATCCGGCCGCGGGGAACATGGTGGACTCTGTTATTGTTGCCAGTCTACTCAGTCTCCTTGTTAGCCTTGTCTCGGCAGTGTCAAGCGGAACCTCACCTGAGGAGTCGAATGGAATACCCAGTCATACTCTGGATTATTCAGTGTATTTGGGAACTTTTCCGGTCGATCGACGTTTGGGTCGTCGATCTTGGAGTCTCCGGCCTCGAGAACTCCAACGTGAATATTTGGATTCTCGGTCAATCGAGCGGCGACAAGTAGGCCTGCCGTTCCACCGCCGACGATGATGTAGTCGAACTTCTTGGACAGGAACTCGGGCATGGTCTCGGGGGTATAAATTAGGTTGTCTGCCATCTTGAGAGCAGTTAGGCGGGAGAAAATATTGCTGGATAAGTGAGCTAACGAGGTCTATCTCCTGTGACACTCCGTGGTTGACGGCACTATATAGCCATGTGAAAATTGCAGGAGGTACCGATACTTCATACATCTGTACCCTGCCGGTCCGTACCACGAACCCCCGATTTTGATTTGGAAGGCAAACTCAAACTCATCTCGTCCGGTTTCAAAGTGCGCAAGGGTCTCGTATGGTGGCTGCCCACATGACTATACAGGAGGGCTAATATAGAATTCCCAATTGAAAAAAAGAAGCAAATGTACCATGGAGACCATGTAATTGAATGGCAACAACGAGGATATTGCCTGCATAAGATTGTAATAAAGCTGGTGAGTCAGATACCGGTTCATGCAGGTATTTGATCGCCAAAATATCTCATTTCATGACGTTTGCTCAAGCCCTCTAGCCATGGCTTTTGCCACTATGCGCAGATAGTCAGGATGCCAGGTGTATCCGGTGATCTATATGAATGAGGAGGTTTACACTTGTATGAGCTAGTCAATTGAATTGTTTGGGTTTCTCCCTAAACTCGTCAAGATGTACCATCTATCGATCAACTACATACTGTTGGGCATTCTCGCCGCGTTGTTCGTGAGAATCGCTAGAGTTCGTTTTCCTGCTGCTTTTATGTCCGCTCTAGTTAACCACTGTGTATAGGTGCTGCTTCACGGCTACAACAATGTCCTCGCCTCCGTCCCGGGCCCATGGCACTCTCGATGGACCGGGCTTGCCGCCGAATACCACTGGGTCATGGGAGACAGGCCACGATATGTGCACTCTCTGCACCAGAAATACGGCATGCCCACCTTCCCATGTCTCAGATATCTCTCCTTCCTCACAGACCATTCTTACACTCCTACAGGCCCAATCGTCCGAGTCGGTCCCGACGAAGTCGACATCTGCGACGTGGATACCGTCCACGACATGCACAAGGCGGGTAGCGGATTTCTGAAATCCGCCTGGTACGATACATTGACTGCCAACGGAGCCAAGCACATCTTCAGCGTTCGAGACCCAAAGGCTCACAGTGTGCGTCGACGTCTCCTCGCCTCGCCCCTGTCCGACGCATCGCTCCAGTCCATGCACCCGACCATCGCCGCGAAGGTCGAACTGGCCGTGCGCCAGATGCACCACGAGCTGCAGACCCGCGGGTTCATGGATGTCTTCAAGTGGTGGTATTTCATGTCGACGGATCTTATCGGGGAGTTGTCGTTTGGTCATTCGTTCCAGTTGCTGGAACGGGGGGAAGTACGTACATCTTCATCCCTGCCTCCCTCCCCTATATAAAACCTACCCACAATCCACCTTCAATCCAATCTCACGTCCCAGAAAACCCAAATGGCGCAAGACCTCGAATCCCTCCCCCGTCTCGGCATGATCGGCACCGCATTCCCCTCCCTCCTTCGTCTCGCGCGCCTCCTCCCCCTCCCCTACTTCCGCGCCGCCATGTCCGCAGCCCGCAGAATCGGCCACTACGCCACCCAATCCATCCATCGCTACCAAACCCTCACCACCGACCCAACCAACCCTCCCCCGGCCACCCTCTTCACCAAACTCTTCCACACCGACCCCGCCGCCCTCTCCGACATCCGCATCGCCAGCGAAGCCCAGGGCTACATCGTCGGCGGCAGCGACAACACCGCCATCACGCTGACGTATCTCGTCTGGGCCGTGTGTCGGGACGAGGCCGTGCGGGCTGCGCTGCTGCGCGAGCTGGATACGCTGCCGGATGGGTTCGGGGACGAGGAGCTCAGAGAACTGCCTTTTTTGGAGTGTCTGGTGAAAGAGACGCTAAGGCTCTACGCGACGAACCCGTCGAGTCGGCCGCGCAATCCCCCGGCCCCTGGGTCCCGGCTGTGCGGGTTCTGGATCCCCGGTGCTGTGACGGTGTCGACGCAGGCGTTTAGTCTGCACCGGGATAAGGGTGTTTTTCCGGAGCCGGAGAGGTAGGCTTATCTTGTCATGTCATGTCCTTTCTTTTTTGGGGTCTTGAGGTCCCCGCAGACTGACATGGTCTTTGGGACAAGGTTTAACCCCTGGCGCTGGACCGCTGCGACGAAGAGCATGAACCGTGCGTTCATCCCTTTCGGAGGAGGTTCGAGAAGTATGTGCATTTCCCTTTTCTGCCCTTTGTCTTGTCTTGTATCGTGTTGAGGTCACTCATCAGTATACTAACCGATCTAACAAGTCTGTCTCGGTCTGCACCTCGCCGTGCGAGAGATCCGGCTGGGCGCAGCGCACTTTTTTCGGACGTTCCCCGGCGCGAAAGTGAGCAGTCGAGAAGGTATGAGTGATGCGGATATGGAGCAGGTGTGTTATTTTATTATGTCGCCGGCGGGGAAACGGTGTTTGTTGGAGGCGGGCGATGGATGATGTTTTGCTGCGGGTAGAATGTGGACCGAGTGGAAGTAGTAGTATATGGGCTGCGGGGGAGGTTCTTTGAAGTTGAGCTTGAGATGAGGTTCAATATCTCTGCTGTTTTATTCGTGGTTTTGATCCAATAGCATGTTGATTGCTGGGGATTAATCCAGGGAGAGATATATTTCTGGTTCCGGGTGGTGGATATTTGAGTAACGACGTCTAAGGTGCGGCATATTTCCTGGGCGAGGATGTAAAAAAAAAAAAAAAAAACCAATAACGCAAAAGTAAACGATATAAGGAACAAGGTATAAATTGAAAAAGAAAGAACGTCAGCGACAGGGTTCGACTGTGCGGGCGAACCCAATAGATGAGATTGGCAAAACCATTCAAGTCTATCGCCTTAACCACTCGGCCACACTGACAGTTATCAATTAACTGGACTTTAATAGCCGTTATAACCATCAGCAATGCCAACACCTTTATACCCTTGAGAACCGATATCTATACTTGCTTCTCTCCTCCAGACATGATTCCCAGCTCCACCCATTTTGCTGCATCCCATCAAAACCAAATGAACTCACCGGATCTGCGCCCCCGTCGTCCCCGCCTCCCCCGAGACTTCCAACCCATCGACATCCACCAAATGCTCATCCTCCTGCCACCCCTCCCTCTCATCCCGGACCATCCGCACAAACAACACATCCAACACCAACGCCACCACACTAATCCCCACCCCAAAGAACAACGCCGCGCGATACCCCATAATCCGTCCCTCCGTCTTCGCAATCTGCGTCTCGATCGTCGCCGCAAACCCCAGCCCCAGACTATTCCCGTACAGGTTCAGGGTCCCAATAATCGACCCGGCAATGCCCTGCTGATTCCTACGCACAGAGTTACTCGCAATGATCTGCCCCGCCGTATACACCAGATCCGGACAGAACGAGAACAGCACGACAGACGGAAAGACCTGCGCCCAGTAGGTTTGCTGCAGAGGCAGCGTGGCCATGAGCACGTTGGAGACCAGGATCGTGATCGTCCCGATGGCGAGGATCCATTGCGCGTCGACGCGCGGGATCAGCCATGCGGCGAGACAGGCGGCCCCCGTGGCGCAGATGACGAAGGGGGTCCAGCCGACGGCGAACTGGAGAGGTGACCAGTTCCAGACCTCCAGCAGCCAGAGCACCTGGTACCAGATGAGGGTGCCGACGGCCATGTAGTTTAGCAGCACGACGAAGATGAGGGTCAGGAAGCAGGGGGCCTTGAAGATGTCGAGCGGCATGATGGGGTGAGGCGTAAAGCTGCGTTCCCAGATCAGGAAGCCGGCGAACATGAGCACGGAGAGGATCAGCAGGGCGATTTCGTAGGGTGTTTGCCAGCCGACGCTGGGGGCTTGGCTGGTTGATTGGGTTGGTTAGTGATGAGAGGAGGGGGTATAGAAGAGGGGACTTACTTCCAGACGAAGTTGAAGATGATGAGCGAGCCGGTTCCCAGCGCGGAGCCGATCCAGTCGATTTTGCCGTGTCGGTCGACGGCGACTTCTGTGGGGGTTAAGGCCCACAGGGGGATGAAGGTGATGGCGTTGAGGCATGCGCTGCTATCATCAGCTCTGTACTATACACAGACAGGGGAAAGCATACATGAAGACGAAAAACCACTTCCACTCGGTATTCTCGAGGAACGCGCCCAGGAACAACGCCCCGAAGTATCCCCCCATGGGCGCCGAGGCACCAAATAGCCCCAGACTGAGATTGCGCACTCGACCGGGGGGATTGGTCGTCGCGATCATGGCGACGGCGTTGGGCATGATAGCCGCGCCCCCGACACCCGACAAGGCTCGCATGCAGACGAAGGCGAAGAAGTTGTTGCAGAAGGCGCTGATCAAGGTGCAGATGGCCAGCCAGATACCACCGAGGAGAAGGAGTCGACGGTGTCCGAGCACATCGCCCAGGCGACCGCTCATTAAGACGAACGTGCCCTGCGTTAAGCTAGTTCGGTCAGTATAGTTCGCCGATGAGGCGGGAGACGCACGCATAGCTGGCACCGATCCAGGAGGCATAAGATTCCTGAACGCCCATTGCTTCGGTGAGTTTGCTGCCTCCAGCGATCCCGGAGAAGTTGACCGTCATCTACAGAATTAGTATGGCTCGTCGGGGTAGGATGCAGACGTACCTGGACCAGGTTGGCCAGAATAATCAACGCCGTGATCGCCAGTCGGCGCGGCTTGTTGATGACGGGCAATGCAGCCCGCTCAAAGACCTGGTGACCTGCCTCTGGAGCTGAAGTTCCGGTCGGTTGAGCATCGACGGGCGAGCTGGACACCGGCTCTGCATTTTGAACTGCGCTGGCGACAATCGGGGGTGTCTCCGAAGCGGGAGTGCTCAGCTCAAAGTGAAGCGATTGCACCAACGACATGGCTAGATATGCTAGTGTGGCAAGTGTAGCCAGAATAGACTGAACATGAGGGAAAACAGGAGAACTGTGCGAGCGAAAACAGCGAAATGTGCGAGAAAAGCTGTAGGTGATGGCGCATGAATTCCGCGCGGGGAAAGTCTTGTTCAGGTAATCGTCGGAATTTCCATATGAGGAGAAGCGTGAGGTCGAGGAGTGGATACATCACAAAGACCAGAGCTTCGGATCCTGCGCGGGTGGCATTTTGATAGGCTCGTCGGGATTCGATTTCCAGGATTTTTAATCAAGCGCCAGATATACTAGGGTCTGGCGGCAGATAAGGCAAACACTGCCTGATTCGGGGGTTTTAGCCTATTCTCACCTGTAACCCACCTCATATACTCTTTATAAATATATCGTTAACCTGAATTACTACCAATCTATTAAATATGTACATGAACCATAATGCGTGAACATCCAATCAAACCACCCACTGCGCCTGCGAACACTCGCCCATGTCCTGCACGAGCTCATCGATTCTCTCGGGGATCCAGCCCGAGATGACGCCCGTCGCCGCCGTGCCCAACTTCGCCGTCGCCGACAGCCAGCACGTATCGCTCTCCTGGGCATACTGCACGCAGTCCGGATCACTCATGCACTTGCGCCGACACTCGACCGAGCTGCGACTGCGACTGGAGATCGAGTTCTGCGGCGCCACGCGATTGTCCCAGTCATACCGCACGCCCATCAGCTGCGAGCGCACCGCGCGCAGGAATACATCCCTCCACAGCAGCAGCTCATTCCCAGCCCCAAACCACTCGCGATCCAACCGCCACAGATCCTCCACCTCGCGCGGCCGCAGGTGATGGAACGTCACGGGCGCATAGCACCACGGCGTCTTATAGTAGTCCGGCGAGAACGCGTCCATCTCCCCTGGCGGCCCGATCTGCAGCGCCGGCCACGACCAGAGCAATCCCACCCCAGACTCTGCCAGTAACTGGCCCAACACACAATCACCCGCCCAGTTGTCGCGCGTAATCGCATCCCACCGCGCCACGTCGCTCCGTCTCGTCCGTACCGCCGCCTCCATCGCCGGTCTGGACAGAACAATCCCGGAGCCGCCGTGCGCAAACAACACATCCAGAATCTGCATCTGATTGCCCAGATAATACGGCCTCGAGGAGTCAAACTGCTCCAACCAGGCCACCAGGTTCCGCCACACAAAGTACGTATCGGCCTCCATGAACACGTACCACTTCGCGTCATCCCGCACCTTCAACGCCTCCTCGATCATGGGTAGAAACTTCCACTTATCCAGCTTCCACCCGGGATTGTTCGGCTTGCCAAACACCCCGTTCACGTCCTCGTTCAGGTCCGCCGTCGTCAGCGCCGTGCGTCCCGCCTGGCGTACTCGCTGGTACACGTTGAACTCGGGGTTCATCCACTTGACGGGGTCTGGGACGGTGCGCAGGATGTCGTGGACTTGTACGTTGTTGATCTCTTCCGCGTAGTCGGAGAAGATGGCGTAGTGGGGGACGCAGCGCAGGGTGGTTTGGAGGTGGGTGGGCACTTTTTCGCGCGCTTCCGTCACCCCGGTTTTTAGGATCACCAGCATGTTGTCCATCCCTGGGAGTGCCGGGCAGGGGGCTGTCGCATTGTGGGGGACATGGTCGGGTCGGGAGGTGGTTGAGGTGGTGGTGGTGCGGCCGAAAAATACGTACAGCGTCAAGAGGAGGCCGAGGAGGCAGATCCACGGGAGGCGACGGCCGGGGGGTCGGCGAGGGAATGTCATGGGCGGGTGGATTTATTTATTCGTTTAGGGTAGAGGTATAGAAGAAAGGATCGCTCGGTCGGTCGGTCGGTGTTAGGCTGTGAAGGAGTGGCGGCGATTCAGCATGATGCGCAAAGGAGAGAATGAGAAGAGAGAACGAAAAAGAGAAAACCACAAAACAATCGCAGCTGGGGAACCATTTTAATATTTAATTCCAGATCGGCAAACAAAAAGGGGTGGAGAACGCAGCTGCAAACCACGCAAGCAATCGCCTTCCCCCTTGCACTAAAGCTTCAATGCGGGAGGATCGTCGTCGCGTTTCCCTGGGCGCGCGGCTTCTTGCCTTGGCTGGCGGGGGACTGGAGAAGGTTGACGTATGCCGGACCCAGGAAGAGATCCTTGGAATTGTGCTCCCACTAGGCATCATGATTGGATCGTTGGTTCTGGTTGGGTCTTGAATCGATCGATCTGTGGATGTTGTTGGCTGGTCAGTTAGGGTTTGCAGGGGGCGTGACTGACAGTTGCGGTTTCAGGTGTACAGAGTTGGCTGGATTTTCTGCATTGTGTTTACACTTTACAGTGGATGGACTATCGCTATTTCTGGAGCTCATCTACACCTGCAGCACTCCTGGTATGCACCCCTGGCTGAATCCTGCAGATCGTGATCGCCAGGGTTATGTACGGTAAGGTTATGGCATTCTTATTCTCGACTCAGTCAAACTCGAGAGTAGATACTGACAGATTCATCGGACAGATTCTAGGACAGAATTAATCCTTAGATCTGAAACCTGGACCTGTCATCGCACGATCCATGCTTAGTTTTTGGCCCCTGCGCCCGGGCGGCGACTCAAGCGCCAACACGGACAAGGCTGAACAACTCCGATCCGATGACTCAAATAGATTGACACTACTTCCTTTGCTGTGTAGGCTGATGGCTGTGTTGGTTGTAGGCTGTGAAGATTGGTTTGTTTAAGTAGAGCACTGTAGAATCTAGGATTTGGATCTACCTGTGTACTCACGATTCTCTACATCTCACGACATATACCCGCCATGGCAGCTCTCGGCGACCCCGGCGTCACCATCTTCAACCCCTTCTCGCGAGTCCCCGGATCTTGTCTGCGCTCGAAACCCAAAGGCGTCCAACGAGCACGCCTAAAGCACCAGAACCAACCCCCCTCAGATCCCCAACCCCACGAACCAACCGAACCAACCCTCCTCGACCGGTAACCCCCCAAAATAACCCCATATACCCAACCCTAACCCAACAACAGATTCTTCTCCCTCCCCCTCGATCTCCGCAACCACATCTACCGCATGCTCCTCGTGCAGCCCTGCAAATGGGACATGCGTCACTTCGCCTCCCCCACCTGCACGCCCGTCCAAGACGACTACCCGGGCCCCAGCACCGACTGGTTCGTCCGCTGGACCGACGTCACCCACCTCTGCGCCGAGTGCCACGCCCCCGAGCACATCTGGCGCAGCGGCGTCCCGGTCCTGGTCTCGCCGTTCCGCAGCGTCTGGGCCCCCGAGCAGACCAACCCCTTCCTGTGCGATAACTGCTACTCCGAAGAAGTGCGCGCGAAACGCGAATTCCACCCCCCGCTGAAACTCCTCAAGTGTCTGTGCGTCCGGCGCGAGAACCTGCATTTTTTGCTCGTGAATCGGCGGTTCTACGACGAGGCGGCTCGCGTCTTCTGGACCGAGAATGTCTTTGCGTTTGAGAACCCAACCCTCCTGTGGCAGCTTTTGTGCTCGGTTCGTCCCGCCACGAGGGATTGGATTACCAGGATTTCGCTCATGGCGGATGCGGAGCGCGGGGAGCTTGATTCCGTGGAGACGCGCGGTGTCGTGAATGCGATGTACTGGCTAAGGCAGTGTAAGAACCTAACGCATCTGGAGCTGGACGAGGGGTTTTTGTCGCGGCTGCCGTGGGTGTTGAAGGTGAAGAATGTGCTGCCCAAGACGAGGGTGCGGTTTATTCGGTATGAGGATCTCAGTCGCGCTGCGTTTCTAGGCGATCAGTGTCCGCCTGTGTGGAAGGTGTTGTACTGTCGGAGGGACTCGCAGGATCCGTTGGCGGAGAGGTTGGCGGTTAGTATGGTGAGGCAGAGGCCGTTGAGACATAAGATGGTTAGGAAGCTGTTTGCGGAGTTGAGGGTTCCGGAGGAGACCGATTGAGCTGGTCGATTGTAAAGTGGACGGTTGGGATTGAGATTCTTGTTTGTATGCCTCTGGTCAGCTGTCCGTCCGCTGGATTCTCAATCACAGAAACACGTCATTACCTAGATCCTAGGATTAGTATAAGATACCCTCGTCGTTTGGCTTGCAGGGACTCCTGTCAAAATCATCATTTTTTACTATCGTGTCTTAACATCTCTCCCTATCTATCATCATCATAGTTCTACAGAACCCCGTCTCCAACATGCTGAATCCCCTCCCCTACATGTTCCTGGCGCTGTCTCGAACAGCCCTATCTGCTCCAGTCGCCATACCGCTCAAAATCGACATGCACCACCACTTTGTCCCCGACATCTACCGCCAAGGTACCAACCCTCCCATCTACACGCATAACCCTAACTTCATCCAGCCCTGCAATCCGCCGGCTGGCCAACCCCCTCATGGACCACCGCATCCTCACTGCAAAACATGCGCGCCAACGGCGTGCATAAAACCATCCTCTGCCTCTCCGCCCCAGGACCCGTTATCGCCTCCACCAACGCCTCCATCCGGACCCTCGCGCGCCGCGTCAACGAATACGCCGCCTCCATCCGCGACCAGCACCCCTCGCGCTTCGGCTTCTTCGCCGCCCTGCCCTCCCTCCTCGACGAAGCCGGCACGCTCGCTGAGATCGAATACGCCCTCGACACCCTACACGCCGACGGCGTTTACCTCCTCACCCGCTACGGCGACGCAAACTACTACCTCGGCCATCCGGCGTTCACTCGCATCTGGGAGGCCCTCGACGCCCGAGGAACCCTCGTCTTCATCCACCCCACCGTCCCCCTGGACACGGCCCTAGTGAACCCACTCCTCCGCGTCCCCACCCTCGACTATCCGCAGGAAACAACGCGTGCGGCCCTCGACATGATAATCACCAACGTTACGGGCCGGTTTCCCAACTGCTCGCGCATCCTGCCGCATGGAGGCGGCACCCTGCCGTATTTGATCTCCCGGGTGGCGATGACGTCGAGGGAGATGAGGGGGGTGAAGAAGATGTTTGGGAAGACGTATGATGAGCTGATGTATGATTTTCGCTCGTTCTATTATGACCTGTCCTTGGCGAGTGCGCCGGCCGTGGTGCGGTTGCTGTTGGAGTTGGTGCCGCGCGAGAGGCTGCTTTATGGTGAGTGGGGGTGGACTGAATGGGATGGATCAGGTGATGAGATACTGATCTTTGATGCGTAGGCTCGGATTTCCCATACGCTGATGGGGATAAAATTGTGGGGTTTAGGGAGGAGTTGGATGCGTTTCCGATGTCGCGTGAGTTGCGCGAGATGATATATTTTCGGAATGCGGAGGCGTTGCTTTCCTGATGGATTGGGTTTACGAACATTGGGTGTTAGTATCGTTATTCTAGACTACTGCGTATGTGTTGGGAATTGAGGCTTTGCATCCTATAATGCATCCCTGGTCTATACAAATGACGTCACCAGATCTGCATGGGAAATTGGCACTGCCGATCGTGGTTCTTCATAATTTTGGTTGACGATCTTAGACAGAGTAAGGGGTCTGAAGAAATAATATTCTGCATCTCAACATTCCAATCAAGCACCATAACACCACCACCTGACAACTTCCTGGTATCTCGCCAAATCATCATGTCCCAACACCAACACGAATACAACAGAACACATCGCACAACACCACACAACACCAACGCTAATCAACCAAACTAATTCTGCGCAACCAAAACACCCCGGTATCTCATCTTCCCATCATTCAATGTCTTCAGACACTCGGTCGCGCCGTCCGCCGTCAACGGATACGTCATCTTGATCGGCTTGATGCCATGGAAGGCCGCAAACGCCAGCATATCGTGGTGGACCTGGCGCGCCGACACGAGAGAGCCCTGCACACGCAGTCCCTTCGACAGCAAAGTCATGTAGGGGAACTTGAACTCGTCCATGGACACCGACAGCGGCGAAATCACCGCCCCGTTGTCCAGCACACTCGCATACAGGTTCCAATCCGGCTGGCTGCTCGTCGTCACGATCAGATTATTCAACGGGTTCCCGATCTTCAACTCCTTCGCCCCCTTCGTCGCGTAGAACTCCGTCGCGCCCAGCTTCAACGCCTCCTCCCGCTTACTATCCGTCCCTGAAAACACCACCACCTGGCACCCCATCTTCGCCGCGAACTGAATCGCCAGGTGTCCGAGCCCGCCGATGCCCACGATCCCGACACGAGAAGAGCTCGTCACCCCCGCCACGTGCATCGCGTTGTACACCGTCGAGCCGCCGCACATCAGCGGCGCCGAGTCCTCATTGCTCAAGGCGTCGGGGATCTTGAAGAGGAAGGCCTCGCGCCAGACGGCGTGCGAGGCAAACGAGCCCTGGTCCGTGTTGGCCCCCGCGTACATCTTGCGTTCCGGACACATCGTCTCCCACCCCGTGAGGCAGTGCGAGCAGTACCCGCAGCAGTCGTGCTCGTAGCCCCAGCCCACGCGGTCGCCTTGCTTGAGGAACTTGACGTCGGGGCCGACCTGCTCGACCACTCCGGTGCCTTCGTGGCCCAGCGCCATGTCCGCGTCTTGGTAGTGCAGGTCTGTGCCGCAGACGCCGGAGTGGGTGACGCGCACGAGCACATCGTCGTGCGTGAGGTCGGGGCGGTGCGTGGTGGCTTTTTTGATGCCGGAGGGGGAGCCTTTCAGGACGGTGAAGTCGAAGCCCATGGTTATTTTCGTATGTGATTTCGTAGGGTGAGGTTGGTTTGTGGGTGTTTGAGTGCTGATGGTGGGTTTGACTGGGCTTTATAGATCGTCCTGTTTTCATGATGTCACGCATTCTTCGGATGTCGAGGAAACTCTAATCTTGCGGTTAACGTCATGCGGTGGATTCGCTTCTCCACGATAACACTCCTCGTCGACTCAATTGGTCCCAGGACGTGACTAACTAACTGATCCTGCAGCAGGATTTCAAATTCTTTGTCTGCAAACCTTTTCCGTCTGGACTCGTGTCGTATTACTTGCGTAGGTGCTTTGGCATTCCTGGATTCAAGGGATACACCTTTTGCCGCCTGGGAATGTTTGAAACAAGACATTCTCTCCAATTGAGTTCACTCTCTAACCGAAATTAAACTTATTAATACAGATAAACCCCTACCCTTCAGCTAGATCGCCCGAATCCCCCCTCCAGCTCACCTAGACATGAAACCGACGCATCCGCGCAGACGTCGCGTTCGAATGGAACCCCGAAACCATGCCCTTCCCCAACCCCGCGACCAACTTATCGCCCAACTCCGCAATACTCTCCTCGAACTCGTCGTAGCTCTCGGCGTCCCACTTCGCCTTATCCCCGGGGACCGCCTCCTTGCCTGAAAACGCAATATACAACACATCCTTCTCGTCATGGCCATTGTCGCCATTCATCTCCTCGCCAAAGCACGCCGTCGCCGTCGCCAGACTCGCCTCCCCCACCAATGGCTTGCCATCGTCGCCGTTCGTATCGCCCCAGATCCCATACACCAGCTTGCCATTGCACACCACCGCCACGATACTCAGCGGCTCGACGCCGTGCTCGCGAGGGTCAAACGTGGGGTCGTAGTTGCCTTCGTTCCCTAGCACCACATACGGGTGGATATACGCGTTCAGGTCGCTGATCCCGTACTGAGATACTTCCTCCTGGAACGCTGTCTGACCCTGCGTGTCCTCGGAGCTGCCGCAGCGCCCGTCGCCGGAGGTTTGTTCCCCGTCGCAGTCGATGTCCATGTTCACGAGCTCTTTGTTGGGGCCTTTCAGGTAGAAACCAGTGTCGCCCATGTAGCGATTGCAGTAGCCGTAGGAGGTCGGTCCGTCGTCGGTGTCGTGGAACCCGCCCTGCAGGAGGTCCGAGCCAGAGCAGGTCCCGGCGTTTTTGGCGTGCACGTAGAAGGCGGCCACGTTGGAGGGGATGTCTCGCGCGAATGCAGCCTTGGAGCTGAGGATTAGGGACAGCGAGGCTGTTGCGAGGGTTTGTTTGAGGAACATGGTGAGGGTTATTTGGTTTGTAATGTGTGAGGTTTGAAGTGGATGAGAGTGGATTGGAAGTGGTTGATGGGTGTTTTTTCGTCGGGGTATACACCTCTTATATATCCGTCCAGACGAGGTGATGGTGATATGTACTGAGACATGATGGAACTTGTCACCTTCGCCCATGGCGGGGCGGGGCCAGAGCGTGGACTCCAGACCTGTCACTGCATGGTGGATATCGGATCGGAGGGTCTAGAATAGCATCACGGTTCTAGCTCAGGGCCAAAAAGCGTGAGAAACGCAAACAAAACAGCTTCCAAGCCAAAAACGCCTCTCGCTAACCGGCCCTGTGCCAAAGCTCCACGACACCGTGAAACGCCCGCCGCTGAAACAATCTCGTATTCCGCTCGGGGGGTAAATCGAGCCGATCGCTCTGCATGCTGTAATTTGGACAGGACGTACATTCCATCTGCATTGTCACTTGCCTCGTGGTTACTACAGCGTCATCCTCAAACCTTCGTAGAAAGAGACAGGAACAGACAGGAACAGGAACAGGCTAGTCGATCCGGGGCCAAAAGCAAGCTTAGCTTCAATCCTAAATGGTTTCGGACCCTCGCTTACGGAGTTCTTCTCCCGACGTTTGACCACTTCCCCGGTGCGGATGGTATTTTGGCGCCGACGGTCCGCGGTCTGACATGGCACCAGCCGTAGCTAGTCTCTGGCCTGTCACAAGCTGACGGAAACTACAAGCTAGACGGGGTGGGAGTCTAGTCGGCAATCATCTCCGTCAGCGGTCACTGGTGCTAAGAAGCCCTGTGGGGAATGAATACGGGCTTATCGGATTGAAGAATGGCATGGGTGTTTCAGGAGTAGGGGTAGGGTAGGGGTTTGGGGGTGGTGCTATTTTTCGAGGATAAAAATAGATTCTGATCTCGACAGGTACGGTGGACGGATCACGGAAAATCGGTCGGGGGGGTTAGAATATCTTGCAACTAGTCTGTAGGTGTACGGAGTAGAGCAAGCTCAAAAAAGAAAATGGGGCTGGAGAATGGAATGGAAGGCCCGGTGGATTCAGTGGGGGCGGATTCGCGTCAAGCCACAGGGACAGCCGCCCGTGTCGGCGACCGTGATTGGGTTGATTTGGGGCGAAGAGAAAGTCAAGCACAGGTGTGATGCTTGTCATTAGATTAATTCCTCAAGTAGTTCCTCATGAACTGACGGTTCATGGCCTTCAATTTCCCTCGTGGGAGATGTGGGGACTAGGCACGGGTGGTAGGGCTGGTCAGATGGGTTGACAAGTTTATTTTGGGTCTGTTTCATGTTTCTTGCATGTGAAGGTGTTGAAGGTCCGATCCGACTCCGTCTGTACTGCTTTGCCTAGAGTCTGAATGACTCCGTGCCCTGTAGGGAACTAGGGTGCCGTTTGGCACTATCGGAGATGTTTATCTTCCGTGGTGATAATCCAGTCTACCCCTTTTAAAGCGTAGATCACTATCGGAACATGGTTTGACACCGTTGCCATTGCTTTAATTAGCTCATGAAATAGCATGATTGTCCATCCTATTCCAAGACGAGACGTCGACGTGGGCTACGAGGGCGGTGATTGGGTATATCCGGTCGGGTGCCGCTCACGGTGGTATTCTTGACATATCGGGCGTTTATAGTCTTGTCGACCACTGTATTTGCGACCGTTAACGTTCTGCATCTGATCCTGCGTGGTTTGCCGCCGGTTCGCCGAGTTTGCCGTCGGCTAAACGGGATGGTGAGGTATGATGTCTCTGGCTAGAGGCGTGTTTCTGTACCGGCGGCGGTTTGGCCGGAGGTAATATTTCTGGTCTTCAATTTGTGAGGTCCTCATGCCACAACTGCATGAGTTACAGGATATAGTAAGTTTGACGAAATGGTGAGGATCGGGGCGTTGTCCGAGGAAGGTGCCTGTTCTCGGCTGACTCGACTGGCTCCCTTGAATATTCAGAGTACTCGAAACCTGGTGGCGTTATAATATATCTTGACGTGAACTCAAAATGCGATTTTCTGTCGAGCTGGTCTTCCTTGAGTTCATTGATGACTCTAATGGTAAACACGTCTTCCACGAGCTATTGCCTACAACGTGGCAGCACAGGAGTAGTTAGTTCTGCCATTTGGCGCCGCGAACTGAAGGAAGCTACAGTGTGCCCGAGTAATGCTGGCACTAATGAGACCTCGTGTCTCCATAATCTCCGGTCAGGCTCAACACGGAGAATGTTGCCGTTTGATACAGTCATCGTGGACACGTGGAATCTTATAGAGGTATAGATGCAGTCAATACTCCATTAGGCAAGGTCACATTTGATAATCGCTCGGTCAGGACCTGATATCTGATACTTGATCATCTGGGGGTAAATTCCAGACTATGCTCGTCAAGGACTACCTCACGATAATACAACTGCATATCCCAGGCCACCATGATAAGCATCGCGCGATGTTGAGTTTACCAAGGCCCAAATGCATTCTGCCGGGGCTGTTGCTCGGCACGTTGGCGCGCTAGTCGCTGGAAATTTAATAGAACTGTGTCGGAGATATAGATCTTAGTTGTCGGAGGATATAAAACTACGCGATCTCCGCGGAGTCCACCCAGGTATCTGTGACAGATCAGATCTGTATAGCAGCCACATGGTCGGCCCGAACAATAGAGAATGCCAAGCCATCGGGCCGGGGGATTCTCGCCCGGAACGAATAGCGTCCGACCGAGTGGGGCAGCCATTCCGCTCCCGGCGCCAATGACAGCCCGCAACCGGAATACGCTCGGTGCTGATTGGCTCCTGTTGTCTCAGCGGTCCTCACGTGCGTTCCGGCCCAACAGCGCCAAGACCCGTGACTAAGACGAGGTGCGATCTCTCCACCGCTGGAAAACTGTCTTCTGCTGTCACTTCCACGCTCTCGTTGCTCTTGCTGGTCTCGGTCATAAACTCCCGAACTCCATCAAGTCTCCGTACTACAGCCAACATGAACTGCCCCTCTCGCACTGACGATACGCTGTTGCACTGCGAGTGGAACCAGAATCCACCGACTCTGGCCCCCGATCTCACCACCCGCCAAGACCTGAATGGCATCTCCAATGTCCGCCAGCGTGAGGACCGCAGTGGCTTAGCCGGGGTATCGTTTACCTGCTTTGACGAGGCAGGGGGTACGCCGGCACAACCCATTGATCCTGAGAAAAACAGATCCTTCCGGACCGGGGCGTCTCTGACTCAGTCAGGTATGTCGTGAATTACACGTCCGATGATGGCTACTGATATCAACAGGACGCCTCAATTCCCCTACCGGCGCTGCTGGTCAGGGGAATCCTCCGAATATCAATCATTCAATGCCTCAGACCCTGCAAGGCTGGGCTCTGTGGCTTCTGTCGGTTCTGTTCACCGCAGCCCTTATTTCTCACGACACCATCCTGCGATATGTGTACTCTTTGCGCTCTCCGTCTATCGACCTTGAACCAGGTATGCCACCCGCTACGCAGGTCGCATTGTTCTAACCAACGTAGTTGATCTTGTGCAAAATGCGCCCCGTCTTCCGAAGCGCGACTCCTGCGCCTCCAACAACGTCAAGAAAAGCGAGTACAACACTCCTTTGCACGTCGCAGCCCTCTTCATCATCTTATCCGTGTCCACCCTCGCCTGCGTATTCCCCGTACTAGCCAGCTGGTCCCCTCGGATGCGCATCCCGGCCTCGTTCCTCTTTTTCGTCAGCCACTTCGGTACCGGGGTTCTCATCGCCACGGCATTCGTGCATCTCCTGCCGACTGCCTTCCAGTCCCTGAACGACCCCTGTCTGTCGAAGTTCTGGACCTCCGACTACCCCGAAATGCCAGGTGCCATTGCCCTAGGCGGCATCTTCCTCGTCACAGTCATTGAGATGGTCTTCAGTCCGGCTCGACACTGCTGCCGCGGCGGCACCCGCATCGGCGAACAGCCCGCCTTTGTCTCCGGCGCCGTGCCTGAGAAACCCCAACCCACGCCCCAGATCGACGTAACGGACCACTCCGCCCCGGACGGCGAGCGCGAGACCCCGCAGGGCCAGGACCTCGCGCATCTTCGCGACATGGGTCCCCTTGTCGGGCGGTCGTCGAGCATGAGCCGCGCCATCAGCCGCATGGGCGAAGACCCCGAGCGCATCTGTCGGATCTCCTCCGCGCCCGAGGACCCGCAGGGCTGCGAGCGCGAGCCACAGCCGCAGCAGCCTAAGATCGAGGCTGTTACGCAGGACATGGAGCGGAACGCATACGACGACAGCACCGACGACGGGCGCAGCTTGAGTCCGCAGCAGAAGCACAATAAAGCCGTGATGCAGGTGTTCCTGCTGGAGATGGGAATCCTGTTCCATAGTGTTTTTATTGGCATGTCGCTTAGCGTGTCGGTGGGGAACGAGTTTGTCATTCTTTTGATCGCGATTGTTTTTCATCGTATGTCCCCCCCCCCCCCCCCCCAACATCTCTCTGCTGATCAGCTTCCCTGGATGATGGTACTAACGGATTGCAGAATCCTTCGAAGGCCTCGCCCTAGGCTCTCGCATCGCCGCTCTCGACTGGCCCGAAAAGGCCCTCCAGCCATGGCTCATGTCCCTGGCTTATGGATGCACGTACGTCCGTCCCAACCCCCACATTCCCCATTCAATCCCAACCATAACCCAACTAAACCCACCAGAACCCCAATCGGCCAAGCCATCGGCCTCGCCACGCACACGCTCTACAGCCCCGACTCCGAAGTCGGGCTCCTCCTTGTCGGCACCATGAACGCCATCTCAGCTGGCTTGCTGATCTTCGCGTCCTTGGTGGAGCTGATGTCCGAGGACTTTCTGTCCGATGAGAGCTGGCGCGTGCTGCGCGGGAAGAAGAGGGTTTATGCGTGCTTTTTGGTGTTTGGGGGTGCGTTTTGTATGAGTTTGGTGGGGGCTTGGGCTTGATTGGGATTTCTTTTCTTGTCGAGTCGGTTGAGGGGTTGGTGGTGTTGAGGGGAGAGAGGAATTGTTTGTGTGTAAAGCGACGGGGGAATAAGAAGTGGGTAGAGTTGTTTGAGGATGACATGCTGGGTTGGGGTGGTTTAGCTGCTGGTGATGGAGAGGTTGAACGGAATTGTAGATAAGTGGGACATGTGGATGATGAGGATTGTGATGAGGTATATAGATCGCTCGTACATAGTTGCAGTCGCATTAGGTGACGACACTTGGTGTGATAAATAATATATCTGAGGTTGTGATGAATTTGTCAATACGAAATCACAACCTATCCTGAATAATCTTCTCTCTTTCCTTAACACCAACCTTCTCAAGCATCCATTCACACACTTCTCCGCAAGATCATTTGCCATAAAGTCCGCATTATCCTCGTAGGTTGTTGCACATGACGAAGCCTGGCTCACGATATTCAGATGGACTAGGAAGCGCGACGTGTTTGGCCCTCTTGGGGATACTAATATTATATGCCTTAGCACTGTAGCAGACAAAAGCATCAAATCCAATCAATAGAATAACCCTCAAGGTGTCAAGTGGGGAACCGACATGAATTCTGATCAAGCCGACTGATGTGATTGGCTCGCGGACTCAACTTGTCATTCTTCCCGCCGCTAAACCCTTCTGGACTGCCCCGCAACGTCTCCCGGTTTAAACCAGTTTAACGCAGGGCCTCTTCGAACCTCCGCAGGCTCGATCTGATACATAAGTCTCTGTCGAGTATTCATATCGATCTGTCCTAGTTGAACTATTGGAATATCTTACTCACGATGCTCAACCACTTGTATCGCGTGTACGCAGGCTTTTTTAACCCCCCACCGGCCCGGAAACGCGATGACGCCATTCGATTCGGTCTGCTTGGCGCATCCAACATCGCGTATGTATCCCACTCTACCATTCCAACAGCACTGACAAGACTATAGTCCCGTCGCTTTGATCACTCCTGCAATATCGCACTCGGAAGTCATCGTCGCGGCAGTCGCAGCCAGAGACCGCTCCCGAGCCGAGGCATATGCTCAGAAACACAACATCCCTGTGGTTCACTCCACTTACGAGGGTACGTAGTAGCATTCCAGCCTCTACTCTGACCCAGTATATCCTAATACAAACCAGACCTCGTGCAAGACCCCTCCATCGACGCCATCTACATCGCCCTCCCCAACAACCTCCACTGCGAATGGGCCCTGCGCTCCCTCCGCGCCGGCAAGCACGTCCTCCTCGAGAAGCCATCGTGCTCGAACGCCGAAGAAGCACGCGCCCTCTTCACCCACCCGCTTCTGAAAAGCCCAGACGCCCCCGTCCTGCTCGAAGCATTCCACTACCGCTTCCACCCCGCCTGGCAGACCTTCCTGGCGCGCATCCACGCCGACCCGGTCGGTCGCGTGAGAAAGGCCCTCGCTCAGCAGTTCCTGCCTAAGGGTGTCATTGGCGATGATGATATCCGGTGGCGGTTTGATCTCGCCGGCGGCGCGATGATGGATTTCGGTACGTATCCGATGAATTGTCTTCGGCAGATCTTTGGGCAGGAGCCGAGTGAGGTGTTGGAGGTTGGGGTTCGTGGGTTGGCGGCGCCGCCGGTAGGGTTGAAGGAGGCAGAGCAAGTGGATCAGGCGATTACAGGGAGGTATCGGATGGCAGATGGCGCGGAGGGGACGCTGGTGGCGGATCTGGCGGCGTCGGGTGGGTGGCCGCTGCTGCCGAGTTCGTGGACGAAGAGATGGCCGGGGCTGGGGTGGCCGAAGTGTGAGGTTGAGTTGGAGGAGCATGTTGTGGAGGATAAAGAGGGGGAGGTGCATACTGTGCAGAGGAATGTGGTGCTTTGGAATCATTTGATGCCGAGTCTTTATCATCGGGTGGATGTGGAGGATACGCATGTGGTTCGAGTGGGCGAGGAGGTGGTGAAGAGCTGGAAAGAGACGAGGCACGAAAAGGCGTATAAGTGGGCTTCTGGTGATGCGCAGGACTGGTGGACTACTTATCGGTATCAGCTGGAGGAGTTTGTCAACAAGGTTAAAGGAAGGGAGGGGTCGGGGGTGTGGGTTGATGCGGAGGATAGCATCAGGCAGATGGAGGCTATCGATGAGACGTACCGCAAGGCGGGGCTGAAGGTGAGACCAGGAAGTGACTTTCAGCTGTAGGTTAGGTAGTACATATGATGAATCGATGTGTGGGTAAAGAAGACATCGCACAAGTATCTCACAAGTATCACTCGAAAGGCCTTCTCGGGCTCTGCATCCTAGAAGGAAGGGATTTGGATATGTTGCACATATTCCCGGGCTTGGTTGTCAAGGCTGAATCACAGAAGCAAGGGATCATGGCCTAGGGGTAATGATGCCTGATTACGGGGTCAGCCAGGACGCATGTTACCCCTGATGACCGGGATTAATTGCCTTAGAATAGTCCTAGGTATGACACAGCGTGTTACTCTCAGGTGTATATAAACTGTACAGCTGCCGGACACGATATCGCGATCAGCATAACTAAATCAGACTCAAGGCTAACTGCAGTCTAACAATACCAGGCCGATCCAATACTATGAAGCAACGACATGAACGACTCTATTCATATCCCACCCGCACAGCCAAGCTGATCATACTCGTCTGTATCTTGTCCCTGGCTGCACCCCTCGCAATTCTCGTTGCCCTTTCCGAAAACCTCTCTCGCCCTCTCGCACTCAATGGCTGTTTACCAGATGGCGGCTTCGCGATTTACAAGAGCCAGTTTGGACAGGAGCAGGGATCGTATAGGTCATGGAAGGCGCGACTCGTGATGCTCATCATGGCCCTATTGACAATATACATTGCCACTTTTCCTACGCTCTTTTCCGCCATGACTGGATACTACAGCCCTGGACGTCTCATGATCAGATACCACCCATCCACTGAGGATATGGGTGAAGTAGACGAGGTGGACTGCCGCGGAATCCAAATGATGCCGGCATGGGGCGTGCTATTGGACGGCGAGCGTGTTCGTCTTGATAGTCCGACGGCTTTCAGCTATGTTTATCCAGACGTTCACTCAATGCGAGAATGTAAGTGATTCCACCGCCGCTCAAGCGTAAATTCTAACTCACCGGTATGCAGATTACTCCATTTATGAAAGCGCATACAACGCCGCAGAATGCACCAACGCAGAAAGTACAGCCGACTGCCCGGCAACCAACATCTCAAGCCAATACATCAGTCCACGCAATGTTACCTACTGTCTGGATCCACCGCTTCTCAATTTTCATCTACTGTCCAATGACTCTCTGTCCATGGACTCCCCTTCCCCCTCGCCGGACAAGATGCCCGTTGCTTGGGTCTGTGACTTCGCGTTGTTCTATCACACAGACTTTTTCGCCCACTCGGGGATTAAAGAGCCCAATGCCACTGGGTCATGTCAGTCTGCCTCAGACGGCTATATCTGGGGCTTCTCATATATTTTGCTGTTTATTGTGTGCTTGCTGAATCTGATCACTGGACTGGCTTTATATGGACTTTGGATCTACGGTCATGGGAGCAAAGAAGGAACGTTGCGTGGACGCGAACCGGCGAGTCAGTTGCGTGCGGCGGCAAATATTATTCAGCAGGCGAGGGAGTACTACGGGGACGAGGCGGTTAATGGAGATTGGGATTGCAGGAAGATGGAGAGGGATATTTTCGGCGGGGACAGAGGTATGCGAATTATTGTGTGTCGAGATAATCGGAACATGTATGGAGTATAGACAGAAACATTCAGTTGTGGGATGAAGGGAAGATTAGCAAGACCAGTGTCAACTAATCTATCCACTCAGAGGTAAAGACGTGTTTTCTCGATCGTCTTTGATCATCGAAGCAGATCATTATTTGTTGACAGATCGAACGGGATTAAAGGAATATGAGAGGGGTTTGTGAGAAGTAGAATTTACAACTACTATCGTCGGAAGGAGGATATATTCAAAAGTGTTCGCATGATTTTACTCCTAGTCTATGAGACTGAGGCAAACAGAATATTCTCGCATCTAGAGGGAGCCCATGTGATGTGATGAAATGTGTTTCTTTTCAAATAACTTCCTAACTTTACGTCTTGAAATAATCTCAACTTTGTGCAAATACAATATTAGCATGTAGTCTAATGTATAAAAGTATCTATACCTTTTGCTCTAACCATGTACCCAACAGTCTTCGTTCCACAAAATCCCATATTAAATATTCTATTTCCATCATCAACCTCGATATCCACTCGGACATCACCCAGCCCATGCTACCACTCCAACTCCAGAATAGCTCAATCCGACCGCGCACTCTTCGTCTTCTTACTCCTCAACTTCATCATCAAAAACACCAATCCATACGACGAGATACAAAACAGCGCCGTAATACCCGTCTGCAATTGTCATTGTCAGCATCCACCCAAACCACAGGGGAGAAAAGAAAGGAATACTCACATCTCTCCAAGAATAATATCTCTCCAACAGATTAAACCCCTTGGCATAATCCGCCCCGGTGGTGTACTTACAGAACGCACACTCCCCACCAGCACCACCAGCAGCGTCGACCAAATACCCCGTCCCGCTTGCTAGAAAGTCACCCATATACTGCGCACAGGTCTGGCCATCTGGCGCACTAAACCGCACCAGATCGTCAGCTTTGCACGTCACGTCTACGTCCCAGAGGACTTCGCCGAGGAGCCCGCCCACTAGGTACGTGAACGGATCGAGGTAGTAGAGCCAGTAGCGCCAGAAAGGCTGCATTTGGGAATAGGGCACCACGACACCACAGAAGCTGACTAGGCCGGCGCCGATGAGCACGGGGTTCATGATTGCGGCGAAGTATTCGTTGGGTGCGTAGGCGGCGATGGCCTGGCCGATGGAGGTGTAGAGGAATTCGTAGACTAGATACAGACCATTTATGTTAGATGAGGTATGGGAAGGGGAAGGCCAAGAGGAAAGGACGGGAGGGAAGGACGTACAAATCATTTGCAGATACACATGTCCCGAGATACTGGCTTTGACTGGGAACCCGGCTGTGAAGTACCAGCAGGCAAAGTAGAGCGTGGCGCAGAGGATCAAGTAGGGGATTTCAGAGACGGCTTGGGCGCCGATGAAGGCGAGCCAGTGGTAGGTTTTGGACTGGACGGTTAGCATTCCATTCATTTAAATTTCTGGTACAAGGATTTAAGACACACCTTCTTCTCTCTGGTCTCGAAGATATCCCGATTATGCAAGAAGAAGGGCTGCATCTGGTTAATGCATCCCGGAGCCACGAAGATGAAGTTGAAAATGGCAAAGAGGCGAAGTTGCAGCGCGAACGTGCCGTCACCGATCTTCCAGAATGTGAAGCCGCTGAATAAGGCTGCGAATACATGCAGGATGATTTTGTTCCACATGTAATCCTGTCCTGCATTAGCTCTTGATCTCATAACGCAAGGAGGGCAGGCGGACGTACCGGCGACCGCCACAGCTGAATCATAATCCTCTTCAGTACCATCTTGAACTGAAACCAGTGCGAGGTAGCGAAATCCGACTGGTCCTCTTCCTCGTGCGAGTTGGCTTTGCTCTCGCTGTTCAATGCCTCGAGTTCCTCGACGGCGCGTGCCCTTTCCTCGGAATGACTCCAGACATCCACCCAGTCGATCTTTTCCTCTGTGTTGCCTTGGATGACTTCGACGATGTGCTCGGCGGGATTGGCGTCTGGTGCGCAGGGGGCGCCGTTCTTGCTGAAGTAGTCCAGTACTTTGGTGGAGTCTTTGCCGGCTATCGACTGTTAGGTATGTTTTGTTGGGGTGGGATGGGAACTTACTCTCTCCGAAGTAGGCCATTTTTCCACCCTTCGCCAGCAGAAGAAGAGAGTCGAAAGCTTCGAATAGCACAGCCGAGGGCTGGTGGATGGTACACTGGGATTGTTAGATTGGGCTATTTCTCGAGGGGGGGGGGGGGGGGGGGGGGGTACGTACCAGAACTGCCTGTCCGCTGTCGACCAGCTTGCGCAGGAACCGAATGATGTTGTATGCGGACTGTCCGTCCAGACCGGATGTGGGCTCGTCGAGGAAGAGCAGAGTCGGTTTAGCCACGAGTTCAACGCCGAGAGTTACTCGCTTACGCTGTTCGATGCTGAGCCCGGCGCCGGGGACTGGCTCGAGTTAGCATTTCGTTATTTCTAGGAACGCACTCACTCACCTCCGATCAAGGCGTCTTGAATATCGCTCAACTCAAGCAAATCAATAATGTGATCCACATAAGCCAGCTTCTCCTCCTCAGGGACCTCCGCCGGTTGACGAAGTAGAGCCGAAAACACCAACGCTTCTCGCACCGTCGCGCTGGCCTCGTGCACATCCATCTGCTCGCAGTATCCAGTTGTTCGCTGGAAACTAATACCCTGGGGTCTTCCATCAATCAGAATCGACCCGTAAATCTCACCGCTGTCCTTCCGCTGCGCCAGTACATCCAGCAAGGTCGTCTTTCCAGCACCGGAACAGCCCATCAACGCCACCAGATTCCCAGGCTTCACGAACCCAAACACCTGGTCCAGCAACTGCTTCTTCTGCCCATGGAACGGAACATGGTAGTCGAGATGATTCCACGAGAAAGTCGACTGTTTGGCAGTCTTGCTGAGCGCCGCAGCAGTCGCAGCCTCGGATGGGCCCTTGACCTGACTATTTTCCTCATCAAGCGTTTTCTTCTTCTCGCTGCCTCGCTTATACAACAGCACAGACGAACCGGCCTGGTTATTCCGCATCTCGAATCCCACGGCCGTCAGAAATATGAAGAACGCCCACATACCCACGATGATCCCGAAACTGCGCCAGATATGGTGCACCGAGTAGCTGTACTGTTCGCGAATGTACGACTCGCCATCAATAACTCCATCCGCGTTACTCCCTAGCACCGCGCAGCCACGATTCGCCGACGCGCTGTCCGAGTACCCCGCGCCGTAGGGGATATAATCCGGCTCGATGCACTGCAGCTGCAGACCCACGAACTCGTTCGCCATGAGAGCCTCGAAGGCGTAAGAGCCCGGGTTGAGGTAGAAGATCCAGCGGAACCAGACGTGCATTTTCTCAAACGGGATGAGGTAGCCGCCGTAGACGAAGAAGACGGTGGACAGGAGACCGGAAATCTTCGACGCGTTGCCGAACTGTTTGCAGACGGCGCCGACGGAGCGGAAGAGTTGCATGAAGCACAGGGTCTGGACGATGATGATGATCCAGAAGGTGAAGAAGCGACCGGCGTCCATTTGGAGGGCGGACATAAAGTAGAGGATTAGTGAGAAGCAGGAGACTTGGACCATGACTATGGGGATGTCGGTGATGGCGTTGGCGATGCAGAATGCTGTTGGACGGTAGAAACCGAAGCGTTTCTGGCGGGAGAGGATGGGACGGCCCATGAAGGAGCCGGTAGTCTCGGAGAGGGATTCCAGTAGGAAGTAGAGGACGGGGAAGAAGAGGACGCCTGGACGGAGGAAGATGGAGCTGCTGTCGGGTTGGAGGTTGTAGAATAGACTGCCGCAGACGAGGGCTTGAATGATGGCCGAGAAAATTTTGATGAAGAGCGAGAGTTTGTCGCCGGCCATGATTTGGAATTGTCTGGAGAGTTAGCACATGGTCTCTTCTATGAGGGAGTATACTAACCGGACTGTGCATGCCGCAATCTGACTCCATAGACTGGCCGTATACGGACTCTGCGGACGAGGGAGGTGCTTCTTCCTCTTCTCACTCGCCACAGCCACAGCCAGATCTTCCTCTTCATGAGTCAGCTTCTCCGGCGGATCGATCGACTCCATAGCCTGAGCATAGATGACGCTATCTTGGAACCGAGCCTCGAATTCCTCCGGCGTGTGAGGAACCTTGTCCTCCATTCCTGGCTTCACAATCCGCTCCGTAACCACCGTCACCGAAGTCAGGAAATCCGCAATATTGGCTCCCTTGGGCACAACGAATCCCATTTCCTCAAAGTACGCACGCGCCAGACTCCGCGGGCCATAGTACGTGACTCGGCCGTCTGCCAGAACCAGAACCTTGTCGAACTCATCGTAGATGCCATTTCCCGCCTGATACATCGTCGCGATAATGGTTTTTTCGTTCTCGCTAGCCTCACGTCGCAGCATGCGCGCAAACTCCACCGCCGTCTTGGAGTCCAGACCGCGCGTGGGATTATCCCAGAATTGCACCGGACTCTGGTCTTGTCAGCTCACCCGCCTCCCATAGATAGGCACAGTAAGAAGCAAGATCATACCTGTCCAGCCATAACCTCCGCCAACGACACCCGCTTCCTCTCACCTCCCGACACGCCACGAATAAACTCATTCCCGACCAGCGTCTTCTTCGTATGCGGAATTCCCAGGGAGTCTAGAATCCCATCCCGCGTGGCCTGCACGTACTCCTTCTCGTCCTGTAGATGCGCCGGCCTCTCGCGGGGCACTTTGTTGCGCAGCGCGAACTTCATCGTCCGGTTTACCGTCAGCGTGGGGAAATGCACGTCGTCTTCGTTGTTGAACATGATCTGTTGGCGGAACCGTTGTGCTGATTTGTGGTCCATGCTGCCGTAGCGCGTCTCGCCGATGACTTCGTCGAAGGTGGCGCGGTCGTTGGAGAGGACACGGAGAAGCGAGGTGCATCCTGAGCCGGGACGGCCGAGGACTAGGAGCTATACGGAGCGACGCTGGTTAGTCTGGTTGTAGTCAGGGAAAAGGCAGGGGATGGTACCATTTCGCCGGGTTTGACTTGGCCGGTCACATCTTTGAGGATTGTCTGTTCTTCCGTCAGCTTTGCTTTTAGCCAGATTTGGAGAGAGACTACAGTACCCTCTTCGGCTGTTGACTCTTCCGAAACATGTTTATATACGGACGTGGATCGGCGTAGGAGAGCAGCGTGTCGCCCAGCGCCGCGTCAGGCGCAGTAACGCGGACATTGAGGTCGCGAAAGGTGAGCGTCAATCGCTTGCGGAGCTGTTGATTGACACTTTCCAGGTCTAGCGTCCCTGATGAGGAGTCCATGTCCGTTGAGTTTCTATCAGGATGGGTGAGTATGTCAAGTAGATCCTCTATCGGTGCCACCTACCAGCTTGCCAACTAGCTCAACCAGCCAAGCAAATTAAGGTCGATATCTCAGAAGCTTGGACTTCCGCGCAACCTATATATACCGACAGCTCAGAATCCCATTCTCGCGGTGAGCTCATAATAACCCGCATGCTGCAGGCTCTACAGCCGTAAATCCGTATCGCCGCATCTCCGAGTCCGTATTTCCGGGTCCACCTTTCTTATATCGACCAATCACGAGCGCATATTTAGAGGTCGAATCCACTGCGGAAAGTCGAGATGCGGATTTATTAGAAAGCGTGGCAGAGAATCTTTAGATTAGGTCTGAGATAAGGCTGTTCAGGGGCAGGTTCTGTCGGGGTAATTTGCCGGTCGTGCATGTAGTTCGGTATTCTGTCCGGTCGATATATCTGTAGATGTGTTTCTAACATGGAATCTATTTGTCCGAACGGCAGACAAACTGAACAACAGTTCTTAAGTAATCTTTCATATCTAATTTCTCAAAACAAGGAGCTAATTCCGAGCTCATTGCGGTGGATCTATATCCAGGTACGGATATAGGACAAACCGGTGGGGCGGCGAATTTCCTGACCACATGGCTCATTAAAGTGTTTTGTCAATATGATGTGAATGTTCTAGACTGGATATACGGATGTCTGGATCAGGTCCATGGCATCGGCTTATATCACTCCCCTCGATTACTCTTCTTCTGTTCCGATAAGGCCGGCTTCTTTACTCGGCGGATCGTTGAAAGCAAGGCATTGTGAGTAGCTCAATAAGAGCACGCAAATGTTCAAGTTCTTAAGTATTGTTACTTGAGATATATTCAGTGGGTATCCCGAGAATTTTCCGAACCTCCCGCACGTTCAACTGCATTTTGGCAAAGAAATACAGAACTTGTCACAAAATGATGCTACAAAGGTCGACTCAGCAGACAGCTATAAAACACATGGATGTTTAACTATGGGAACATTGTCAACACCGACCGAGATCCCTGTCCTAAACACCTAAAGAGATAACCACGCCTAACCCAGAACAGACAAAACAGCACAATGTCTTAAGCCACACATTCCAAGCCCTTCAAGACAGGGATCCCGTGGGGGCAGATCAGAGTAAAGGATTAACACACCAGATCCTATCAGTTATCAACGGCATCTTTCACATGCTCTGGTTTGCTTAGGTTCATCCTTGGATAATTCCCGAACATATAAACTACATATGGGTGGAGTCAAGAGTACAGGCACAGATCTCTAGTCTGTCTTAATTTACGGGTCTATCTGTCGATGTCACCACCAGCTACCTAGCATCTGTTCTAGGTATGTCTTGTCTGACGTTATTTTCTGATTCCGCCTCCTTAGACCCTGCGCCCCGTATTCGTCCGAGGGCTTTGACCAACCGGTTCATGGGGTCTATTGGAATGGACTGAGGAGGTTGATCTGCGCGTTGGGGGATATTCCCTAGCGAGGCAAGTTATAACCCACAGATGTTAGGTTAGGAACAGGGCCCAGAATGAATGAGGCATGGGCTTGACGTTGCGAGAGTTAGACTGTCTACCCCTGGAAGGATTTCCTTCCTCTATTTACTTCACTGGCAGACTCTCCTACCTGCACTAGGTGTCAGATATCTATTCCCAGTTGTGTCCGCAACCAACCCTCGATTCATCCAGCCCAGGCCCTCCACAATGCTCTCCCGACTATACAGCTACATCCTCTTCCTCACCATCCCCCCGATAGTAGCAGGCGCAGGCACCGGATCCTCCGACCCCCGAAAATGCTATCTCATGGACGGCAGTTCCGCGCCGGCGCTCTCGCCCTGTCTACCTCTGTCCTCCTCCTCCTCCTCCAACAACAACAACTCATCCGAAAGCAAAACCACCCACTCCCCCTGCTGCCTCCTCCGTAACACCACCACCATCGCCTCATCCTCATCCTCAAACCAAAACGGAAAGGCAAACTCCGACACCTGCCTCACCCCCTCCGGCCTTTGCCTCTCCAATCACGGCCTCCTGTACTCATCCGGCTGCACAGACTCCACCTGGCTCGACCCCGCCTGTCCCTCCATCTGCCCCGACAACCGCTCAAACTGGACCGGCAAGGCGCTCGAAGGCAAGGAGTGGAGCCAGGGCCAGATTGTCGAGCATTGGCAGGTTATGGTGTGTGCGGCGAAGAGTGTTTGCTGTAGACGGTATAGTAGTAGTGTGGATTGTTGCGGGAATCAGACGGTTAGGGTTAATGAGGTTGTGGTTGGGGGGCTGTGGGTGGGGTTTTGGGCGCTGGTTCTGGTGGGGACGATAGTGATATTGGGAGATGTGAGAGTATAGGGGATAGGGATGATGGCAATGATACTCAGGGGAAGAGTGGCAGTGGGAGTGGGATTTGTCGTGAGGCGACAGTCGGTGCTGCGGTGGGGGCTCCCCTTGGAGTGGCGTTCGTGGCGACATTAGCGGCGCTGGCGTGGGCGATTCGCAAGCAGAAGGAAACGGAGAAGAGGCTGCGAGGGGTGGAAGCGCAGGTTCAAGCACAGGCGCAGGCCAGTCTGGTGTGGTCAGGGGGATATTATAAAGATGGGGTACGGCAGGTGCAGAGGCCTGGGAATCACGCCGAGTTGAGTGCGATGAAGCACTATGAGTTGGATGGCAGGACGAATTTATAGTGCCTTACCACTGGGACTTGATGGCCGTTTGGTAGGAGAACTTGAAGACATGCTGGTATTTCTGTAGGACATCGATGCGTATATTGACCCTAACCCAATGATATAACTCCAGTACATTTTCCCAATATATACACTGCATATCACAGCAAAGCAACGCTCTATTTTCATTACCGACCCAATGCTCAGATCCAATCAATCATATCGTACACATCCCCGATGGTATCATCTATTCGTATCGCCATCCCCATCCCCGTTCCTGCTCCGTATCATCCGGTCTATTTTCTCCGAAAGGTCATTCGTTTTGTACGGCTTGTGAATGATATCGTCCATCCCAGCCGACATCATATCCGCTTGCTGGGCCTCGCGGACGTTAGCCGTCACTCCCAGCACCGGGACGTGAGTCTTCGTGCGCTTCTCCAAGTCCCGGATCTTGCGCGTCGCTTCGTTCCCGTCCATGATGGGCATCACCTGGTCCATTAACACGCAGTCGAACGAGTGTGTCTGCACGGAATCCAGTGCCTCCTGGCCATTACTGGCCTCGGAGATGCGGAAGCCGAGGGATTTGAGCTTGCGCGAAAGAACCTGGCGATTGATGATGTTGTCTTCGACGAGGAGGATGTGGCGAGCCGACGAGGGGGGTTCGGAATTCGTTGCTGATGCTGATGCTGATGATAGACTCGACGTCCCTGACGCAGACTGAGGCAGTGTGACGACCGTCTCGCCGGACTTCGTCTGCCGGGAGAGCTGCGCCGTATGTTCTTTCCGGTCGTCGCTGGCTCCCGGCGTCGCTTCCGTCAGCTTGGCCATCATCGGCGCCTCCGGGATACTAGGCGCCGCGGTGTCGCGGTTCACGCCGGTCAGCTCGTTGCCGAGCTTCTGGATATCACTGCATAGCTCCTGGATGGCGTCTTTTTTCTGACGCGGTGGTTCGTCGTTCGCTGGTGCCGCGGTGCGTCGCACTTTGAAAAAGAATCCGAACGTGCTGCCCTCGCCTTCCTTCGAGCTGACGCCTATCTCTCCGCCGTGAATATGGCACAGTTTGCGCGACACGTTCAACCCCAGCCCCGAGCCTCCGTAGATGCTCTCCGTGCGCGGCGTCGCCTGGTTGAAGCGCTCAAACAGCCGTTTCTGCGCCTCGTTGCTGATCCCAATCCCGCTGTCCTTCACAGCCACCATGATATACGCCGTGTCTCCAGAGCCCCATTCCTGGCTCGACGTCGCGTCCATACGCAGCGCCGTCTGGTCCGATTTAAAGAACACCACGTCGGGCGGATACGACGCCGGACGCTCCGTCGCCGCGCCCATCGACACACGGATCAGCTTCTCATCGCCCGACTTCGCCGTAAACTTGATCGCGTTCGACAGCAGATTAATCAACACCTGCGCCATGCGGTCCATATCCGCCAGGACCCAGTCGACTTTACAATCGGCATACGTCTGATCCAGCACATACTCAAACTTAATCTCATGCTTCCTCAACTCAGGCCGAAACATCGTCAAGCTCGTCGCGATATCCCGTCTCGGCATGACCCGTCTCGGCGACAGCGAGAGCATCGACGCATCGAGCTTCGAGAACGTCAACACGTCATCGATGATCTTCTTCTGGTGCGCCACACACAGCGAGATCGTGTCCGCGGCCGTCGCGATATCCGGCACGTCAATGTCCCGCTTATCCCTGTTGTGGATGGCCTCGAGAATATCCTCGGTGCAGTGCAGGATGGCAGACAGCGGGTTGCGCACCTCGTGGCTGATCATGTCGATGAAGCGCTCCTGCTGCTCCTTGCGCTCGTGCGCCTCCTGCGCGATCTTGCGCTGCGATAGCTCCGCGGTCTTCTCCTGCGTGATGTCCGCCATCGTGCAGATGAAGCCGCCGCGGCCGTCGCGGTCGGGGGTTAGGTTGAAGTGGTGCAGCTCGGAGCGCGCCAGGGGCGTCAGCACCACCGATCGCCACATGCAGCGGTGGTTGCGGATGCGGTATTCTTCGCGCAGAGAGCATTGCGAGCGTAAGGCGTCGGCGTAGCCTCGGGCGACGCGCGAGTAGTCGTCTTCGTGGATGGAAGGGCTCCAGCGGTCGAATGTCGTCGGGGCCGACGAGATGGCGAGTTCTTCGAAGCGCCGGTTCACGAAGATGGCTTCGTCGCGCGAGTTGATGATGGCGATTCCGCTGGGTAGGAGGTCGGCGAGCTGTTGGGCTGAGATGTTCCCTGTGAATGGCAGGGCCATGATGGCGGCGCTATGGCGCGGATGCGGGCGGCGATGAGATCGAGTGCAGGCGAGGGGTATCTGGCGGTCGCACTGGATGGAATCTTTGTATAGGAAGAAATTCGGATGGATTGATTTGATTGAGAATAGTGTATGGAAGAAATAGAAGATCGATGGAAACGTGAGGCCGAAAAAGATCTGAAGATAGACCCACGGCTGGCGGCGGCGGGTATGATGCAATGGGGGCAGGGATGCGGTGGACAGTTTTCCGGGGGGAGCAGAACGATCTAAACCGAAGACGACCGGGGGTGAGAAAATCAGGCTGAAGAGAAGAAGCGAAGTGAAGCGTCGACAGGGACAGGCGAAGTCTAGACAAGTCGAAGGCCGTCGATCATGCATGACACCATGTGACGTCAACAGCCCTCGCCTCCGCCTTTTTCGCCTCATTTTGGTTTCATTTGAATCCTTCTGCTCCATTTAATGTTTCAGTTCAGTTGATGCATTCGTCTATTTCATGCTCTATCGCTCTCTATCGTCTATGCTTTTCCTTCCTCCCAAAATCCGCTCCGGTCGTCCGCTATTCGGCCTTCTTCGTCACAAAGTGCAACACCCCCGGCTCCACCTTCTTGCCATGCCCGGTCTCCGACACGTAGATGCAGCTGCGGAAGGTCTTGTACAGCGAAACGAGGAATCCCTCGTCCTTGGACTCGTGGTAGTTCTCGCCGAGCACCGACTGCATCGCCTTGGTGGCCTCCTCGGCCTTGTAGAAGGGGATGCGACTGAACAGGTGGTGCACGACGTGGTAGTCGATGATCTCGTGGAAGAAATGACGTCCGATGAATCCCATCGTGCGATCGACGGTCGCCAACGCGCCCCTGGTGTACGTCCAGGCCTCGGACGTGTAGTGCGGGAGGGCCGAGTCGGTGTGCTGGAGGTAGGTGATGGCAACTGCTAACATTAGACTTCATTCTATTTTGAGGACGCAAAACCATGCAAGGGGCAAGACATACTCAGCCAATGGTGGACCCAGAAGTACGGAACTCCATACAGCAGCGCCACATTCCAGCCGCCGATTTGCGTGCTAGCATAGTACAGGATGGAGCCCATAATCAGCAGACCGAGATCCGAGAGGGCGATCTGAAGATATTGGCCGCGCGTGAAGAGACCGCCGACGGGGTTAAAGTGGCTGGCCGATCGAGCAGGCCAGCTCTTGGGGCCGGCGGTAACGTTCATCAGCAGGTACAGCTGCCAGCCGAACAGCTGGTGTCCGATCAGCTGCAGGAACGACACGATGGGCGTCTCCTCGGTCAGATGCTTCAGCTGCTCGATGCGCACGTTCTTCTTGGCCGCCAGCTCCTTGTCGGTCCACGGCACGAACACCGTATCCTTCTCCATGTGTCCGGTATACCGGTGGTGACGGGCGTGGGTGATCTTCCACGAGAAGTAGGGCACCATCAGGAAGGAGTGGGCGGCCCAGCCGACGAAGTCGTTGAAGGTCTGGTAGTTCGAGAAGGCGCCGTGACCGCACTCGTGGGCCAGGATCCAGAGTCCCGTCCCCACGCAGCCCTGGAAGAAGCCATAGGCGGCCCAGGCGAGGACGCGTAGGGGCAGAGACGGCAGCAGGTGGATATGGAAGGCGCCGTAGGTCAGGACGGCGCAGTAGAAGATGTCGCGGGCCAGGTACAGCAGCGAGGTGACGACGGAGGATTCAAAGCATTCCTTCGGGATGCTGTCCTTGATGGTCTTGAGATTGGGGACAGAGTCTGTAGGCTGATCTCAACTGTCAGCGTCCATCGATTCTTGCACGTATTTTCTGGCCAGCAGCCAATAAGAAAAGCAGGAACTTACCTCCTCGACAGCCTTGACTGTGATGGAGCCCCGACGGAGCTCAGTGACGACCGACATTTCCAACTGCTAACCAACAAGCTTGCGTCTTGCTACCAGGTTTCACAGAATCCGGATTTCGAAAGCTTTAAAGCAGGGTAAAAGAAAACAGGGAATTAGCCAAACATAGGGGCGTAAGAAAAAAAATCTACAGTCCAAAAAATAACGGACAGCCGAAAAAAAAAATCAAAATAAATCAAACAAAAAACTCCCTCTCGCCTTCCCCAATCAGGAGTTTCCTGGAGAATTTCTGGAACGAACTGGCAGTCGTCGATTGGCCACCCAGACTTACTATTTACTGTCTAGACTCTAGTGTCTCCTGGAGAGACAGATCAAGTGGACCGGCTGCCGTGTCAAATCGATGGATTCAACGGGAAACGCTGAAACAGTGAGCTGATCGCTCGCTATTTCTGGTCGCCAAGCTTTGCCTGGATCCCAACGGATTTTGGTCTCCTTTTTCTGGGGCTTTAGTGTTGTCTTTCTACTCTAGTCTGCGTGAGTTGGAGAGTCTAATCACTGCGGTCAACCTGCGTACTACTACGGGGTCTGGCAGTCGATCACCGATAGCTCGGTGGTTATCAGTGCCATCCCTGAAAAACCAAACAGAATCGACTAAAATAAGATAAAATAAAACAACAAAATCGAACCGTCCATTCAGATCCTCCAGGGGAAGCAAGGAGAGACAGGGGAACCTTCCCTATTGCATCGGAACCTGTGAACCTAATGCAACGCTGGCCATCAAATTTTCCCGAAAATTAGTTTCATTTTTGTTTAATTTTAGTTCTTCAATTTTCTTTTTCTTTTTTTCGCCTCTTCCGCCGAGGCAAGCAAATAAACCCAGAGAGTGGCAGTGAGTGGCAGAGATGTCCAGCACTAACAAAGTCAATCCGTTTGCCTCATTCAAATTTAACTCTCAACAAAATCCGTTAGTCCCGCGCCAATGCAGCGATTAACGATTAACGGCAACGGCCAGTTTCCAGTAGTCCCTGGTCTAAACCCGCTTGGGCGCTTTGTTCGGGGCCGATTCGTATCGCGATCCACTCGCTTCTCGCCTCCCACGGTTGGGCTTAGGGTTGTTGACTTGGACCCGGAAAAGTCAGATAGGGGAGATTTGAGGATTTTTGTAGGCCAATGGGACAGAGGGTATTGATTGGGGGATTGGGTTAGGTTTTCTGGGTTTTTGCGATTTTTTATGGCCGACTTGGCGGTGGAAATGGGAGACGGTGAAAAGGTCAGTGCTGAGACTGGGACCCGTGATTTTCAGTGTCCGTCAGACCGGCTATTTGTGTTGGTACCGAATATATATATTCCAGGCGACTTGGGAATATCATATGCACTTGCTCGGTAAAGGAATTTGGATATCGCGTCGGTCCGTGATTGAGACTGTGGGTGTCTTCACAATACTCCGTAGTCGAACTCTAAACATTAATAGTAAAAAAATATATACGAAAGTGAAAAATCCACAAATACTATTCCGTAAAGGAGACATCTAGGAAGGTGCTGCAATGCATGTGAAAACTAGCCTTTGAGCACTATTCATTCTCCGGTGGGAATAATATAGTTTAGCCCACATTTACTGCGTATAAGGTCTAGCAAGCCAACAAGCCTGCCTGTACAGAAAGAAGCAAGAAAAGGGCGGCAGGATACCCGAGAGCGGTGAGACCTCATAACATGTGACAAACCGACACGCTGCAAGATGCCCATGACTTTGCAGACAAACTCATCGGCCTACTGGCTACATAAAATTCGGAAGAACTTAACAAACATTCGTCCAAAAGATCGGAAGAATAATATACTGCGCTGACCAGATGCGTTCATTCTTTCCACTCCACATATTTGAGTATCTGTTTCCAAGACGCGAGAGAATTCAAACCCAACCGATTCTCCCTCTGCTCCAGGTTCCGCCCTTTGGCCGGGCTCAAGATGCCGATGATAACCAGTCGACCTTGCGATAGTTGATCCTTGGCAGGTATGGTGTGCGTCGTGGAGATGCAAAAGCTCCGTCGGTCGGTTCACGCCATATTCCAGAGGAACTACGAGTGAGTATCTTCTCGGCGCTGAATTTGGGTGAGCGTTGTTGATGGAAGAGGTGATTTTACGGTTGGGATCTTAGGGTTTCGTAGACTCGTGACCACGAGGTACCGTGTATATGCAGTCCCTATGGCATGGCCTGCCTTTCTTCGATGCTAACGAGCAACGATTGCTGCTTTCCATTGATAGCTTTATGACTGTCACTAGCAATATCTTCTTTTGAGATAGATATTTGGTCATGAAGTTAGAGACAAGATGAATGAGGAAGAAAGTCATCATATGAAACCACATTGAACAGCTATTAGTAGTATAACGACTGTTTTCCCCCGGGCCAATCCCTCAAGGTAACCATGAATTATATCATAAACCAGCACCCAACCCAACAACGTCTTCTAGTCCATCTTCCTACCTACCTTCCCAATCCTTCCCAGTCCCCAAACACTCACCCCCAAGCACGCCACCGTCAACGCAAACTCGAACCAGAAAGCAGCCCGATATCCCTCCAACAGCGCCCCGGTACCGTCTTTATCCACATCCCCAGACTTCTGCGTCACGCCATTCGCCACCAACGCGGTCAACGCAATCCCCACGCTCTTCCCCGTCTGCGAGACAGTATTAAACACACCCCCGGCAACGCCCTGCGTCTTGGGCGGAAACATCGACGTAATCAGCAGATTCGAGACCGTGAAGATGCCATCCGCGCCGATCGGGTTCAGCATGTTCGCGATAAACGCACAAGACCAGTACGACCAGGTCGGGCTGGCGATGGCCATGAGCAACGGGGCGATAGCGGACGGGATGAGGGTGATGATGACGATCCAGTCGGCGCGGACGCGGTGGACGATCAGGCCGACGAGGACGTTCGCGAGGGCGCCGGAGACCGGCATGGGGAGGAAGCGCAGGGCGGAGTCGAAGGGCGAGATGAGTTGGATTTCCTGGAAGAAGAAGTTCTGGAATTGTTCGAAGGCGTTGAATGAGGCCCAGATGAAGAAGACGTTGATGCAGATGCAGGTGAAGACTTTGTGGCGCCAGAGCGAATTGGGGATCAGGGCTGGGCGCGAGAGGCGTTCTTGTCGGCCGACCCAGAGGACGAAGAGGGCGAGGACGAGGAAGGAGACGAGGAGGAGCGAGATGTTGGTTGGGGAGCGGATTGCGCTGGGGCTTCCTGCGATGGCCCTGTGTGGTTGTTAGTGGTTGAGGCGAGGGGATCGATGGGATTATGAAACATACGCGATCACGTAGGATAGGATGGCTAGCGAGGTGCTCGCAATGATGACCCCTACCCAGTCAATATCGTTCAAGAGCCGCTGCCCGATAACTCGCGCAGAAGGATACTCGTTCCGCGGTAGCTGCCATGCAGCCAGCAATAGCATCACGAAGCTAGTGATCGCCGCCGCGTGGAACCCCCATGGCCAGCCGACCTGGGCAGCAATGATTCCTCCCAGGGTTAACCCGAGCCCGAATCCCACGGGCTGCGCACCCCCCATGGCCGCAAAACTGATATTTCGCGATCGGCCAGTCGGGAACACCTCGTTAATCAAGCTGACGGCTGACGGCAGACAGAAGGAGGCCGCGACTCCGGAGAATCCGCGAAAGATAATCAACTGCGCTCCGGTAGTCGACAGTCCGCATCCCATCGTGAAAGCGGTTTGCAGCAGACAGCCTAGAAGGTAGGTCTGGCGGTTTCCCACGACATCAGAGATCGAACCGCAGGCCAGCAGCGTGCATCCGCAAGTTAACGAGTAAATAGTAACAGGCCTAGAACATCAGTCCGCTGCAGCAGAAAACCGGTATCGCATTGATCGAATAATCTCACCAGAGAACCAAATTATCAGGCAGATTCAAATCCACCGCCATTGTCGGAATCGCGATCGTCACCACGCCAGCTAGGAAGGATTGAATCCCGGTACTGAACGTGACGCAGGCAATCACAATCGCTGTTTTCTGCTTCGAGACAGCACGTCTCTCTGCTTCGACATCCTGCAGTGCATGAATAGGCTCAGGCGCAGTGAGACCGAGCTTCGAACTATCAGCGGAGATCGCACCGGCCGGCATAGGAGCCAGCTCAATTGAGGTCGCGGACCCCCCGTTCGGGACAGTGAGAGTCATTGTAAATGAATGGCTGAAGCTGGGTTGCTGGAAGAGCCCCGGTGCGGCGGATTCGCAAAATGATATATAGGGGCCATTAAGGCCATTAAATCCGACCCAAAGGCCGATCGGACGTGAGTCAGAGTTGCAGCTGCAGACGCAAGCGCAGTCCCTGGCTGAACAATCCAAGCGGAACGCTGCCGTTACGCTCGGAATTCGGAAAGCCACCTGCTGCGGTGGAATCGCTTGATGGGTCATGTGGATTGCATTCTGACCAGTCAATGATGAGGTCGGCGTCAATATTACCCTGGTAGATCGGAATGGAAGAAAACAAGGAAAGAAAGGGAGAGACGAAGAGGAATTAAGGAATTATCTCCGAAAGCGATGCTGAGGGCACGCCGGATCGCTTTTACCACGCGGGTTTCTGCTTTACACCGTCAGAACGGCTCTCCCTGGAAGCAACATGGATGATTAATTCCACGCACTTCGTTGACTTTAATTTCCTGTTTTTATAAGATTGATAAGACAAGTTTATTTCTCTAGCACAGACCCTTTTAATAGTCTTTCGGTTCCATAGTCTATGTGTCCTGAATTTAAATAATCCTCAGACCTTCACCTCATATTGTCGCCGGAACTTCTCATCAACATGAGCTAGATAACATGTCCCTGAAGCAAGATCATCGACACTCCCCTGCGGCACGTAGTCCTTCTGCTGATATGCTTGTTCACGAAGCTGGCACATCTATTTGACAGTCAGTTCCATACCAACCCCCAAAAACACAAACGAGTAAACTTACCTCATTATAAACTTCCGGCGTCACCTCCATCCTAGCCGCCAACCTCGCGTGCAAATCCAACGTCCGAGCCATAGGCCCCGTATCGCCTCGTACACGCAGCGTCAAGAGCGTACTAGCTAGCCCAGCCCCGTAGCTATACACCCCAACGCGCTTGCCCCGCAACGTCTCGCTGGGAACGTTGTTCAAGAGGCTCGCGAGTCCGGCCCATACGCTTCCTGTGTAGCTATTGCCGCAGTTTGTAGGGATAGTGAGGGACGGGTGGACTCGTTCTGTGAATTTTGCTTTCGAAAGAGACATGAAGAGCTTTTCGAGGTTCTTATCGGTCAGGGAGCTGTCTGTGTCGATCGTGGCGTATTCCTGCGGGATGGAGTCGGAGGCAAAGGCGTCTGGGCTAGCACGGTAGTCATTGAAGAGGATCCGGCCATAAGCTTTCGCAACCATCTTAGTGTTCGGAGCATGGAAGACGAAGAAATCAAACATGTCGATTCCGTCCCTCTCGACCTCTTGCTCAGCTGCAGGACCACGGCGCTGTTTCACCCTCTCTCGATACCTCGTATAGCACCCATCCAACGCCCGCATATAGCACTGATTCGAGTAATGCCCGTCCACAAGCGGATACTCAGACCCGAAGTCCCCCTTGTAGAAATCATACACATGCTGCATATAGCTGGCACGGATCGGCTCTACCACGACCGGCGCATCCGCACCAACCAACATAGCAACGCACCCAGCGCCACCTGTCGGCCGGGCGGCCGGCGTATCGTAGAGCGAGATGTCGCCGGCAACGACGATGGCGTCGCGTCCGTCCCACGACGACGACTCGATCCAGTTCACGGCGTTGATGAGCGCGCTGGTCCCGCCGTAGCAGGCGTTGTAGGTGTCGATGCCTTCGATGTCCGGGTTGTCGGGGAACAGGGACATGAGGACTGATTTGGCGGATTTGGACTTGTCGAGGAGCGTTTCGGTGCCGACTTCGAGGCGGCCGATGGCGTTGGGGTCGATGGTGTACTTTTTTAGTAGGGACGAGACGGTGGTGAGGGCTAGGGAGTAGAGGTCTGAGCTGGTTAGTGTTGATGACTGGATCGGAGGTATGGGAGATGAAGCGCTTGCCTTCGCGGTCGTCGCAGATGCTCATGCTTGTTTGGCCTAGGCCGATGGTGAATTTGCCGGTGCTGACGCCGAGATACTTCTCTAATTCGGTTTGGGAGACATACTGGCGTAGGTGAGTAAGGCATATCTTTAGGGGCTATAATTGAAAAAATAGGACAGGGGCTGTACTCGACTGGGAAAGTAGACTTCAATGGCTTTGATGCCGACGTTTTCGGGCCGCGTTGCCATGTTTGTGTCGGAATGAGGGCGGGAGATATATGGCACAATTTAGAAGATATCTGATTTTCAGGAATGAGTGAGGTGAAGGTTTAGAAATCGACCTGACACTTTCCACGAACCTCACTTTATACCCCAAAACACAGCCACTCGCCCTCCAGCGAATGTGGTGATTTAGGCCACAGTGCTCTGGTCTACCGTGTATATCGGAGAATACCTCAGAAGGACCCTCTTGGTGCTGGTTAGCGCTCACCATTGGGGAATAGCAAGAACAAGCAAGGATCTAGACAAAATCCCAGCCTTTCGCTTCAGGGAATTTGGAAAAAGATCGGCGAGAATACATTGACTGGATTTCTAACCGGGGTCTGGTATCACATTCGGCCTGCCGATGTGACCACCACACACCACCAAAGGAGGAATGGTTATGGAGCAAAGATAACGTCTGATTCGCCTCTATGTCACTATCTGATGTAAGTTAAGTTTATGCAAAAGTATATACCAGTTTATGTTTATATGCGCCTGAATTCAACTCCATATCGTCCCACCCATATTACCCACCGGATATTTATTGAATGTTCATGATTCGTTTCAAGTCGTGAAGTGACAATGGTTTAACCAGGTAGTCGTCTATGCCGGCTGCAAAGGCCTGCTGTTGCATGCTGCTCGACGCAACCCCCGTGACTGCCATGATGGCGGCCCGGGGGAGAGAGTGCTGTTCTTCGTACTCGCGAATTTTGCTTGTGGATACTACGCCGTCCATGATTGGCATAGAGATGTCTGCCCATCGTTAATAAAAGATTTCAGCTTTAGAACAAGGCACATACCCATGAGAACGTAATCGTATTTGCCAGTCGAGTTCTTATATTTCTCTAACGCAGCCAGTCCGTTACTGGCGGTCTCGAAGGTGCAACCGATTTTGCGCATGAATGTTGACAAAATCTAAGAAGTTAGGAAGGACATCAAAATTCCCATCAAGTAGTAACGTACCTTCAGATTTATGTCGTTGTCGTCCACAATCAACACATGGAGGTCTGTCCCCTGCGTATCCCGAGGCGATGGAGGAGAGTAGTTGGACACATTATCCTTCACCACAGGGGGTGACTCGGTGCCCTTCGCAAGAGCAAACGCATCGGACAAAGATCTCCCTCGGGTAGGAATGCCTGAGAAAGGGCCAGACACTGGCTTTTCAGTAGAGGGACTCGCTTCGTGATGCGATTCCTTAAATCGCCGTAGTGCGTCGTTGATTTTGCGGGGACCGATTCTATGGTTGTCAGTATTTGACTGTAGCGACGCAAGGATTGCACATACGGTTGAGATAAATAGATGACGTCTGCACCTTTGATGGCGAAATTTCCAGGTAGAGACACACCATGCTGGCCGAGAACAACGATCGTTTTGAAGTTTGCGTGAACGTCGCCATTCTTCGAAAGTTTCTTCAATGTCGATTCTTCCATAACGCCGATATCACCCGAAGATCTTTCAAGTGAATCAGCAAAACTGACGATCCATCCAGGATGACTCAGTAGAACATTGCTCAGTGCACTCCGGATAGACAGTTTCCGCTTGGCATCTGTGCTCAAAACCTGAGTTGGAATGCCGTTCAGACCGGCAAATCCGTTTAAGCCGATAAGACAGACACGAGTTGTGGCCCTCGCACAAGGATCATCCTGGAGTGTCTGAACTTCCTGGGGAGAGGTTTGGACAAACTCGACAGGGATGTACACGTCAACTTGTGTCCCTACCCCAGCCTCGCTCTTGAAGTCGACAGTACCACCGAGATAGGAAACTAGTTGCCTTACAATACTCAATCCGAGTCCAACTCCTTCTGCCAGGTCGTTCTCTTGCGTGAAAGGCTGGAAGAGTTTGTCTTCCAAGAACTCGGTTGAGATGCCGCAGCCAGTATCTTTGACCGATAGGTGTGCCTGTACTGACTTTGACCCATTGGAGCGCTCCACTCGCTGCGCTAGGCAAACTTCTATCAACCCGGACTGGGTAAATTTGAACGCGTTTCCTAGAAGATTCATGACGATTCGCCTCCACCCGCCGGATACTGACTGGATGACCCAAGATGGCTGCTCATCGATGCGGACGACAACGGAGATATCATTCAAGTCGTCGGAACAATTGCTCTCAGAGCTAACGGTGCGACTGCTGACACCAGTACCGTTATTGACATAGCGCCCAGCAATCTTTGAGGTGTTGATGCGAGAGCGGTGACCGAAATATAGAACATCGGCAACGTCTTCCACCAGGGTGTCCAAGTTGAATTGAGACACTAGATGATCAATATCAACTTCCTGGTTGACAGTTGCGACTTTTTGCAGGTGCGATATGTTGGTTAGATTGTTTATCTTAGTGAAGTCCAGCCTACTAGACGTTAGTTGAGCACGATTGACAGAAATACAGAAAAGCATACAGATGATTTATGGTATCCAACAATGTCAGACCGCAAGTCTCGATCATCGTAACCATATCTCGTTGGGCTGTCTCAAGAGTCGTGGCCTGTAGCAATTCGGCACTAGCAAGCATGCCATGCAATGGTGACCGAAGTTCATGGCTGACAGACGAAAACAGGTCTGATTTGGACTTTTCGGTGGCAGTCCAGCTTATGTGCAGGTATTCGGAGGTGACAAGATCGGCGAACGTCTTCAAATAATACAGATCCTCTTCGTCGAGCAATCTTTCATTCTCGCCGGTCCAGATCACAATACCAGCAAGCCAACGAGATTTGTCCCAATTCCACAAGGGGTAGAAAATCAGTGACTTGGCATCCGGAAAGTCCCGAGAAAGGCGTGTTGCAGTAAGATGGTTCGAATAATGTTCATTTTCATCAACTGATCCTTTGCTGTGGGCAGATTGTACCAAGGGATCGGTATAAAATATTTCACCCTGCGGAGACCAGATGAACAAGTCATGCAACAATGCCTCCGTCATGGAAAGCCTAAATGAGCGGCTTGCATTTTGTGTGGACTGTGACAATGATATTCCGAGTGGCTCGCACAATCGTTCAGACCAGCCACCTTGGGATGATAGAAGCGATGAATGCGTTGACAAGCTTCCATCGCCATCCTTAGACTGCGCATCCCAATCACTGCCACTAGTTGACGAAAATCTATGAACGAAATTAGTCATGCCTTGTCCGTATAAGGCAGATCGATGGACCTACCGTCTAGAATTGCTTCTCGAAGCGTCCAAAAACAAGACTCCGTCTAGTTCCATCACCTTTTGCAACAGCGTGCTAGCTCTCGAGAAGAGCAGAGAAGTGAGAGGGGATGGAGCCACCTTTTCCGACACGGTCACTAAATTATTAGATGCAATGGAGTATCTTCTGAGGTGTTGTTGATGGTTCTCCCGAGGGTGTGGAATGTTGAAACCTGGCTCATGTTGAAAGAACGGGGACTCAGGCGGCTGCAATACCGTCGATATTGGAGGCATGTCGCGCGCCTCCTTCATTGATATTGAAAGGTGGTCGAGCTTTTCTGACAAATCAGACCCGGGCGAGGACTGTGTCTCTGACGTCTCGTCAATGTGCTCAATACTAGGGAGACCTTTGACGGTCATGAGCGTATTGAGCAGACGATCCGATTTGACTTGACAATGCACAGCGTAGACGCTTTCAAGATGCTGGACAATTGCACTGGCAGTATCCTCTAGGTCCGTTATGTTTTCGTCTTCCAACAACGCACGATCCTCGTTGTCCACAACACAGTAAGTGCCAATTGTGCCCCAACGGGGCGAACGTAGTGGAATCTCAGCATAAAAGCGCGTTTCTGGAAATCGAATCACGAAGGGGTGTCGCCTGAATTGATCCTCCTTCGTCAAATCCCCGATCACGCGAGAGCAGTCCGTCACTCCATTCATCATAGTATGTCCATGTTGTCCATTTGTCTTCAAACCAAGAGTGCTCGTGCCGATGTCGCCACCACGGGAGTTCTCAATTGTAGCATGAGCAATGACTTTTGTCCAGCCATTGTCGAGGAGGCTGACGAATGCTCTGGTACAGCCGAGTCGAAAAGGTCCCAGTTGAGTCAGGGCTGGCAATGTCGCATCCGAAGGCCCAGCTGGCGTAGATTTCCGATTGTTCTTCGTTGGGGTCTGGCAATGGACCCCGTCGGCACCATTGGAAATAGAGGGGCAGTATACTCTATTGAAGATACGATCAGCACTGATGAGATAACTCACAAATAACACAACCAGGACGCGGTATCAAGAACACAATTCCAGGCAAAGCTACTTACCTCAACAGCTCAGAGACCATCTTCTGTCCCGAAGATGGCATGAGTGGGTGCTGGAACGTGGATGAGTCCAACACCACCATGTTGCCTATCGCATAGCAATTCGTTTCCGCACGACTCTAACCAATGCGTGAATCAAATGAGCCGACAGAATATCAACCGAAGAATATATACTGTCGAAAGTCCGAGTTTTCTCAGTGTCGGCCAGAAACATCCGCAGCGAGGCTTGTCGTTCCAAGGTTCCTGCAGCCTGCAGCGAGTTTTCCGAGCAGCCGGTGGTGAGACTCGGGGGGCGAGGTTCCAGACCAGCGCTGGCAGAAAGAAGACCGGGGAAACTTTTCTCAGCCTCCTGGCTAAAGTTTGGAAGCGATAGGTGCCACCCCGGGATGACGGGGTCATCGACACCAGTGAAGTCTGACAATTTCCGGGATCGACCGCCCCGTTCCACGGTTCATGCAAGCCATCTCTACTGTCGAGTTCCGGCCGAAAGCCCGTCGGCGTAGCCCGACGGACCGGCTCCGATTTATTGCCTTATGTTGTCTAGTTTTCTTGAAATCAGAGCACGGTAGCGATGCGAGGAATTGTAGAATTTCTCCGAGTTTCTCCGGAGATTCTGGGATGATACCACTCAATAGGTGTGATGAACGATGGCCATAGGGTTGTGGCGGATGGACCATACTCTTTAGTGTCCCTTGGCTGTGCAGTACTGGTATGAGGGCAGATAACCTTCTGGTCACACTTTAGGAATCCCATGGGCGATGTTGACGAGCCCTGAGCGATGTGTAGCTCAGTGGCTCGGTTTGGCGCGGAGAAATCTCTCGAGGAGTCAGCCAAAGTCAAGGGCCCGCATTCGCATGCAATGGCAATGAATCATGGATGAAGCCAAACCCAAAGCAAACGCAAATCGCCGGAGGATCGGCGGAGGGTTGCATGCTGACTCATCCATTGCGATAAGATAAGTGGTCAGCTGACCCGCCGAGATTGGTGCCTTAGGCTTTGGCTGTTCGCGTCAATGACTTCAGTCCTTAACCTTCATAATGTCATAATCCCCTCTTGAGGCGGGCACAGCGGAGATAACTGTTCCTCCTGTATTCCCTAGTCTTGCTTGCAACCCCTTCATCCTCGGCTACCGTCCGGAGTTTAGTAGACCTGTCTAGACTTCTACACTATTCTACTGTTGCATTACGGCTGTTATATCATGGCATGACCCCATGCAAGCCGGAAAACAGGTGCGAACAAGTCAATAAGGCATACTCATAAATTAGTTGGATAAGCATTCAGCATACGGAGTGGACCTTCTCCGAGCAGACCCACACCAGCTAACCTTCTGTCCGCCATTGACTACCGACGGTAGATCCAAGTATCCAATCGGCGGTGGTCGGACATGAAGAATCCATGGCACTGGGACAAAATACGTGATAGCACCGATAGAGCCCCACATGAATCGGTCTCACGCGTACGGATTATAGTCCCATATACCTTGTCGGAATTTTTGACATGCTTTGTTTTGCCACCATTTGCCACCGGATTAGGATTCTTGACGGTATGCCAGCGGATGAGGCGAGAGACCAAATAGAAACAGGTTTCAAGCATTGGCTCAGGGTCGACTCAAGGCAGCCCGGTCGAGTCGGATTGATTAGCCTATCCTAGCCCCTTTGAGCCAATTTAGACGATGAGCCGAGGGTGTCTTGATGGTTCGGTGGCGCGCGGGCTTGAGGCACCGGACAGCTCCGACCAATTGTATAGACCGGCCTGGATCAGTATGCTGGTTCTGGCTCCTTTCTTGAGTTTCATTTCGATGTAGCAAAGGGGATATGTTACATCAGGAACAAACGTATAGATGTGAATCTCGACAAAAGTACTCCAGGTGGTTCACAGAACCAGCTGCAAGACTCGCATTATTCATATAACAGGCGCTCCCATATTAGGGTTGATCGAGAAAAATGCTTCAAGGTCCATGGTCGAAAAGTCAAAATCCCAACCCATGTCCGACATGGTCAGGTCAAGGAGCTCTTCACTCCCCACGCTTGCCGGATGAATGTCGTCCTGCAAGGAATTGCCCTGGAAGTCAGATAACATCGGCAGGCCAGCTGCCATGGGATCGCCCAATCCGTCGTACATGATGCCTCCTTGCTGGTTTGGCATACTAGTGGGCGGGCGCAGAGCATTTGTGGCTGGGTCAATAGCCAAGCCTTGATCTTTCGTAGCCGGATGGGCCACCCATTCGAATGAAGGATGGATCTTTTTGAGGGTAGTCTCGATAGCTCCGATGGTGCTTTTGATCGGATCACCCGCCCGAGCTGATGAAAGACATTGCAGGCTTGCGTGGATCCACTGAAGATGCGTGTTGGCCAGGTTCTCGCCGTGTAGTAGGTCGTATATCAGAACGAACGAGGCGCTTCCGAGGAAATAGCCATGATACCGAAGTTCCTGTCGCTATATTAGCCAGATGACTTGGATACTGGGGACAGGAGACATAGATGTACCCTGACGAGATCGTTTACGATCGACGCCTCGTATAGAAAATGGATGGTCCGACAAGCAGCGCTGAGCGCATGATTGCAGGCATCATTGAGCCATGCTGGGACTTCAGTTGGCCGCCTGCTCGTCCCATTTGTACCACGGGGTGGTGCTATTTTTGCGTCTCCCTGCCATCGACCCCGAAATATCAAGAATGGTCGAAACGTTAACAGAATTGTATGGTAATAAACTGATCGATTAGTTTCGTTTCTTTGTATCGACAAGCACACTTACGAGTGATTAGCATGGTTTGCTGTACACCCAGCACGCCTGGCTGGGCGCATTTGTCAAGGCCAAAGCCCAGAGCTCGCCGCATATTCGCGTCATAGCAACGGAGATCATCCGAAATCGACCGGGCGATCTTCCACATTTGCAACAGCGAATCATGGTGCCGACCGTACATTTCGTCGGCGGATCGCGCAATTACTTTCGACAGATGCACCAAAGCGAGCATGAAAGGTTCTTCGGGCAGTGCAATACCGACATCTCGGCTATGGAGTGAGCATGGTCGGCCGAGATGAAAGCAGAACCAACTAATAGCTCATTAGATAAGATCACAAAGTTAAAGGGTATACCAACGTTTCGTAAAAAAAGAGGGCCCAGAATGTAGTTCTTCGCTCTTCCATGCTGTGAGCCGTATCTCCCTCATTCGGGGCTTCTTTATGCAGCCCTGCGGAAATTGCCTTGCGGGCTGCAGTTCCCAGGTGAAGAAAGGCTGAGTTGGGTCTCCCTTGTTCGGTTTGAAAATGGGCGTACTGGAATTTGTCAGCTAGACACTTCAATCGAGTTATTTGAGGCACTCATCATCATCAGCGAGATTTGCACGGTTTGAAGATTGACGACGTCATCTAACATTGCACACGAAGCTTTTACTCTTTCGAAAAGCACATCGCCCCAGCTGTACTGCTCAGTCCCCAGAGACCCCATCGCCAAACCCATTAAAATCATAGAGTGACCCCAAGTATCGGTCCGAAAGTCTGGGCTTGGGTTATACAAATTCCAGAGCTGGCGTTTGAACGTGTCCCTTGACTGAAACGGCACCATCACATACAGTGATGACAGGAACCGGTCCAGGAACGCCTTGGCCTGTTCATGGGGTAGAAACATCACCGGAACATCTGCCGAATTTTGATTCTTCAACGAATCATTCGTTCCATCAGGACCCCCGAAGAAAATGCGGCGGAAGCTGAACATGTCCAAGCCAGCTCCGGCCTCCTGGACCTCGCGCGGGTCTTCCGATTGAGGAGCATGTTTGCTTTCCACCAAATCTCGGTAGATCTCGTGCATCAGCGCAAAGTGCGATGTCGACCCATAGTACAATTGCACCTTGCATGATGGGGATTCCATGTGCGTGGCAGAAACACTGTTGTTGAACGTGTAGCTGACGGACGGATTCCGCCGCCCTGAGGGCCGCGGTACGTCCGGGGAGGGCTGCCGTGCGGTATTCGGCGCATATGCCTCAGCAGCCTCAGCATCTTGTCTGTATTGGTGTTTCTTCTTCCGCTGCCGGATGACCTCGCGGTAAGTGCACGGCGTGTTTCGCAGCTGGCAGGTCTTGCACGGTTCGTGGCCGTTGCATTTGATCTTCCTTTTGCGACATTCTTGGCAGGCCTTGGATATTCGCCAGCCCGAAGATTTCTCGGGGGAGCTTGTGTCAGCCATTCCGAATAACCGAGTTTAGATTGGATTTGACTAGTAGATCTCGTGGGATTCATTGCAGACTTGATTCTGCAAGGAGGCGAAAATTCGGATATACGCCACGTGATTAAGCCGTAATTCCGAATGTTTGTTGCTGAGTCATTGTTTTGCTTGTTTGCATCCTCTCTTGGACTGATTTTGCCTCATCGCAACAATGGCATTTGCTTAAATCAAAATGCCATTTTTTGTTTTTTTTTTTTTTTTTTTTTTTTTTTTTTAAAGAAGCAACTGCTTTTTTCATTTGAGTCATTTTACTTCTCATAAGATGCAAATAGGTAGAGACAGTGTGGTGGTAGAAAACTTCCCGCATGCCTGATGTTCATTGAAACTATATTTTTCCCGTATCTCAAGCCTTTACCACACGGGTTCAACAACTCAATACTCTGTCCTGCGTTTTGAGCCCGAGTCTTTTCGACGAAGACTACTATTCACAATCATCCCCAATCAGAACAACCTTATACCCCTTGAACCCATTATAAGGATAACAAATATCCCAAGTGCTGCGAATCACATCCGTATGCTCCCCACTACAATCCCCATCGGCATACATGCACAGATCGAACTGCGCGCGCTCCTCCACCGGGCTTTTCCACGACAGACTGTCCGCTTCAGACAGGTTGAGATCTGCGCGGGTATCGAGGGCGGAGCAGGGCTTGGCCCTGGTTCCGATGGCGTGGTAGATGTATAGGCTGATATCAACGTCGTCGGGATCGCAGCCTGGTCGGAAGATGTAGAAGTCCCACTGTGGTGGATGTTAGTTGATTGGGTAGGTTTGTATATAGAGGGAGAAGAGGCGGTACGTGCATTCTTAATTGCCCCGGCTGTGCCTAGGAAGAGGGCAGCTGCTAGGAGAGTGGGTAGGAGACGCATGTCGTTGCTGTGTGGTATATCTTTGACTATGTTTTAGAGAAATTGCGTGGGGCGGTATTGAGAATTGAACAGTGAGGACTGACATACATGGTCTATTTATGGTCCAAATGGATGTCCTGATGTGGCTTCATTATACGAGTACTTAGGGCGAGGCAAACAATACGAGATCCTTAGTGCTTATCGTATGCAGCATTTGAGTCGTCCACAAAGAAAGGTTACATTCAGGTAGTTGGGTAGACAGGTCACTTTATGCGCCAAGTACTGACTCCCAGGCCCAGGCACCCTAATACTTGGTGGCGGCACATCCAAAAGGTGAAGTACGGTACGCTTCTAAGAGCCATTGGATATGTCTCAGTAGGAACCATGCGAAATAGTTGATGCGGGATTATCGGGCTCGATACGAAGTCAGTGGGTGGAACGCGATAACTCTTGAATATAGAATGAATTAATTAAGCTGTTTCAGCTAGTTGGCCAATCCATAGCCTCAAGGTCTGCAAGAAGTCTCGCTGGAAATACCTCCAGCTGCGGCTCATGTGCATGAAAGAGCCCTTCCAGACCAGTTAGAAAGGCTTCATCATCCATGGTAGGAGATGCCGAGCCAGTCACTGACGGCACAACGTGAATGTCGGGCTCAAGCTCAGGAAACTCCTCTACAAATTGAGTTGTCATGCGCCACCGCTGCAGGTCAAAAAAGTGACGAGTAAATGTTTCCGAGAATTGGTAAAGCCCAGTTTGGCATTGTTGGAGGAAGGCGTCCTCAATAGTGTAAGGCCAGTCAAACCGAAAGCAATCCCAAAAGAGATTCCAGAATTTGGCTGAGCAGTGTTCATGGGGAAACAGCACTAGGCGCTCACGAAGACCGGGCCTTGACTGTTTAGCATCTGGTTTGCCACTCGGCTGGGGAGGACATACCAAACAATGAAGTCTATCAAAGGCTTATGGATGATGCGCATTTGCGAAGGCCGCTGTCTCATGAATATTGGCAGTGCTTTTGCGTTCGTCTCGGAGGGGTCGGATCGATACTAATCAAAGCAGTGTGAGCTTTGTATAGTTTTCCGTCGGAAATGTCCTCCACAGTTGACATACGCGAAGCATGGAGCTGACAACCCTCAAAATCACCAAGCGTTCAACGATCCCACAATTTCGCCAGATCGATTCGTCAGCGACACGCATAATGGTCCAGACAGAATCCAAAGTGTATAGACCCTCAACAACATGCCACCCGTGAAGCACAGCCCTGATCGGGACATCCGCGTCGATCTCTCGTTGGTTAATCGACCTCTGGAGGTAAGATGGCGTGCATTCCCCTAGAAGTCTGTTTAGGTCAATAATTGACTTACAGCACTCACATACCGGGCTGAGCTGGGACACGGATTCTGCTGATATCAGGGCGCTGAGGGTGGCGCTCGTCTGCTGATGAGCGACCCGAGGTGCTCTTGTATAGTGACAATATTGACGATCTTTCAGTTCGTCATCGACAGTAAGTGAAATGTCAACTTTGTCGGCATCAAATGCCTCCGCAGCGACACTTTCATTTGTCTGAGAGCCGAAAAGGCTCTCTATTGAAGCGTCGACATCGAACTCATCCCGTATATTATCGCTCGATGGCACGAGATCATTCGATATTTTCAAGCTAGCTCTACTGGGACATAGAGCATCTCCAACAAATAAAATTAGTGAGAGTCAGCCTTTGGAAATAATATTGATCTGACACGTACTGGCCTGGGAGACGCCCGAGCCGATGACCTTCTCAACTGTTCGTAACGTTGCCCGCAGTGTGTCATTTGCGCTTCTCTGCAATTCGAGCTCATCCAACAGACTTTTCGCATTTCCACTGTCATGGAACTTCGTCAATGTATCGATGCGGGACTCTAGTTGGGAAATGAGTGTTTTTGTCTTTTCTCGAGCACTTCGCTGGGCTTGTCGATCCTGCTCTCGCTTTCGTGCCACTCGATCGGTGGATGATTTACGGGCCCTGGGTGACTTGCGAGATTTATCCATTGGTTGAGTATGTGAGCACAGGAGTATTTGAATTCAAATTGGGTGAACTTTTAATGTCGAGGATTCAAAACCAGAAAGTCAGAATGATGCCAGTAGGTGTTGTTGGAGCAAGGTGTGTTGCCATATAGCAACAGAGCTTAAATCAATGATATACATATCAGCTATTCAAAGGTCTGATCTTTCGGTATTCACATGTGAATTCCAACGGCAAGCCGCTGGGGCCGTTGGCAAGAGTAGGAAATTGATCGGCCCCCGTGTCTTCAGAGCGAGGCTTCCCCGCAATATCAATATAAATTAATCTCCAGGATGCTTCCCCGCCCTTTCTTGACCCAATGAACACTGACTTTTGGATTTGTCTAGTCATGATCTACAACACCATTCCTGTTTGCCAATCAAGTTTGAGTCATGTCCTCACGTAAAGGATCGGTGTTTTGTCTCCGTGACTGAACAGGACGATTGCTGGGGGTATCGTTTCTTCGAAAAACAAGAGCCACAGCATGACTTCTAAGTAATTTCTGATAATGCAAGTTTTAAAATTTTGACTATTTTACTGCTTCATGGAAAGAAATTATCCAGGTTAGATTGACTATTCCTGGAAGGATGTTTTCCAAAGGTCACGATCAACTATTCTCATATTGCAGTTCGTGCTAATAATTACTATCCTGGAGATTGCCCCATCCACCATCATCTACTGCTCCCATTGGTTTCATATCAATTCAAAGTGAGATTTGAGTAGTACCCGTTGAATCTGACTTCGTGATAGTTATAGTCAGGTCGAAAAGCTCACTATCCCAGAATACTCGAGAGCAGTGCAGTAATGACCTGAGAGATCGCAGACACCAACTAAAACAATCAGCATGTGGAAGCCCGTAAAGTCTGTCACAAATCCAACCTACCGGAGCAACATCATTGATAAGGCCTTTGGTGTTCCCAACAAAATCCGCAGTCAAGAGCTCGTGCGCATTCCCAAGAATATCAGTAACATTGTTCACCAACGCAGGGGTCACAAGTCCTCCGACATCATTTAAAAGCTCTGGAAGTTGATCGACCAGATCTTTCACAGCTTTGGAGCCCAGCAAAGAGCTAACAGTTCCGATCAACTCCTTCGTCTGCTTTGCGGTCGGCTGCTTAAGCAGGTACGACGCGTCCGTGACGAGAGTCTGGATGTTGTTCAGGCTTTCGGGGGATAGGAGATCCTTCACGGCCCCGAGCGACTTGGTCAGGTCGCCTAGGAGGTCTCCGAGATTTGACAGATTCTGACTATTCTGTCGGGCAACGAGGGAACTGGCAAGCTGGTAGTCGGTAAGTTCCAAGGCAGGCTTGGAGACGGCGTCTGGGGCTGGGATTGCGAATGCCGTAAAGGGTAGGATGGCGAGTGGGAAGAGCTTGAAGAACTTCATTTTCGCTGGATATTGATATATGAAGCCGAAGAGGAAGGTGAAGACTGGGGAGTTGCTCGGTGTTTGGTTAGTGTCTGGTTGGTCTTGTCGCGCCTTTTATACCTGTGTTGGCGGTAGGTCCCGGTTGTTTCATGGCTCGTTCCGCTATGCATATCATGTGTCCTTGCCTATACAGTCAAGTATACATCCTCCAAATGCGTCTTAGAATCGCGTCCGCAACGAAGTGATAGTAATTGCACCTTGGAGCAAAGAAAGGAAATTGAAAGATCCACGAATTAGATGCTTTTTTCTGGGAAGCAATTTGCTCCTTTCGTTCACCTACCCCTCGACTCATATTTTCTGACTCGGTGACACAGGAACGCGGAGAAGCCCAGAGAATATTCCAGAGGAGGTTATACCTATCGTGTGCTATCTCTATGCACATTTCCGTTGGAGTACTCCATGACAACGATGCTCGGTCCGCCTGGAAACATCATAGTGCCAACGCCATCCTCGGCCCGTCCCAGCCGGTTTATATCTCCGCACTCATGTCTAGACCTCTTGTCAATGATCCTGGATTCTTGCTAGGTCTGTTCGTTATTAGATGTGACTGTCTAGTCAGTGACAGCCCTAAGTGGACGGAATTTTATTAATTCCTTGGTGTCTGAGTCATTATAATTGAGTCAGACAGGTTGAAGAACCAGGAATCTATACAAAGCTCATATCGAAGCCCGCGAGATGACCGAGGTCTTGATACCTCGGCCCTTGTGGAGTATGAAGGCTTTTTGTAAAGTATTTTTTAAGCAATTGTGGGCAATAAACTGTTTTATCGCGCAGGATTTCAGCACCGACTCGCAACAGCGAGGTTTATTATTTTTGCTATATAGTCACCTGCGGCCAAAGACACGTCTCCCACCAGGCATTAATCTAGGTCCCCGAAACTGATAAATCATCAGGATCAAAACAATGAACCTCCTCATATCATCACTACTGATCATCCCTCTATATATCTCTCAAACCCTCAGCCAAGACCCCACAACCTCTGCAAGTAAAGCGACCCTCGATGGCGCTCTCCTACGCAGCCAAGCGTACGTTGTTCATCCCCTTAAGAACCATCTTGCTATCCACTAACCCCCTAACCAGAGATGCCCTCACATCCGCCTTCCCGAGTGCAACACCATTCACCAAGCCGTTCGAAATCCCAGGCGGAAACCTAATCCAGCCGCCTTCGTCGCTCGTCGGCGCGATTATCACCGGTATACCGCCGTCCGTCCTGGCGCAGCTGATTCAGCCCGCAGGACGAGAATCCATTGCGTCGGATTTCCGCGCAGGAAATACGCCTGATTGGTATGCTGGTTTACCGGCGGACGTGAAAGACTATGTGACGAGTATGAGGGCTCAGGTCAGTCATGGAGAGGTGGACTTTAGCGCTACGCCGACGAGTACGGGCGACTTTGGGAGCGGGGGAGGGAGCTATAGTGATGATGGCGATGGTGGTAGTGATAATATAGGGAAGGAGACAGGAGGAGGACAAGGAGGTGCAGCAGCAACTTCGAGTTCGACGGGTAGTGCTGCTCGTTCTACTGGGGAGTTGGCTGGGAGCTTGGTCGGTGTGATGGGAGTTTTGGGGGCTGTGGCTTTACTTTGAGGGAATCAGGGAGTTGTATAAGTGGACAAGCTCGGAATTGTCCTCTCTAGCTCTGTTTAGCAAAATTAGAATGACTCGTTCAAGTATTATTCTCTCGCGGTGATTTAATTCGTCTCGATAGATGGAATCGAAACCGCAGTCTTTCTTAGTACATTGAAGACAAGCCCTCTCATTCTAGCATCGTATGGCGATGGTTGTGTCTATAGAGGTCCAAGGTTTCCCGCCCTAATTTCCACAACATTGCAGTAAAGATCAATAGACTAACGAATTCCGGTCGTCTCAGCAAGGTGAGGGAGATAAGTGCCTCACTGAGCAGAGAGAATAGATTTGTCAGTCGCTGACATGGCATACCAGGGGTTCCAATGATATCGACAGAATGAACTCGGCCGGTATTTCACATCAGTTCGACTTTTGCGCTATGTCATACTACCCAACACACACGTCTTACCTTACTTTCGGCTATCCCGTTCCAGCGCTGATCCCGCGTAATCTTCGAGGAAGAGGCCAAGCCCGTCGGTAGACTACCGTGCTGACTCCGGAGAACAGACCGGACACTTACCGTCATAGGATTTATCAATCAGAAACTCAACCAATTACCCTATGCCAGATCAGGCACATGCTACCGTCAATCCAACGGGTTGGAGAGAACAACTCATTGCAAGTGATTGTTGTCTTGTCCTTCTTGGAGAGTGAACAGTCAACCATGGTCAACCAGGGTCTGCTTTATTGGCAGAAGACGCCCCCAATCAAAAGCTGAGCGCGTCATTGCACGTCGGTACCGCATTCCTCTTGAGAATCTTGGCTTCCAGCTCGTCTCCGATACTTGATCCGATACTCGGCGCTTGAATGTAACGCAGACCGTACTTCGCTTATCATAACAGCACGGACTTTGATGCGGGGAAGCACCGCCAAGCTGCATCTGCGCCGCAAAGTCGGGGATTCGTGGGGATGTGGGAAAGGGACCAAGAGCAGAGACACTACCTCCTGTAGCCAAGGGAAGGGAAGGGAAGGGAAGTGAGAGGCATATAGCAGGGCAGAGTATGGTATAGCGCAGGGGTGGCAATGTAACCTGGAACGAGGATTGACGATCACCAAGTGTCTAGCTGCAGAAGGAGACAGCATCCCCAAGAGGATTGTCATTCTCTAGGAGATTGACGTATTCCGAAGTAACCTGTTGTAGGACGGAGGAGAGGCGACTCCGTCTGCACTCCGCGGACTCACGTGGCCTGCCTCCCCACTGCGCACGTGCCGTGGGGCCGCCAGAGTTGCTCGCGTCTTTTCCCTTCTCCAACTCTCCGGTGCCATCGCCTCATTGGCACCAAACCATCCGATCTGGGGATTTTGTGGAGCTGCGGGGATTTTAGGCGATTCCTTCCTGTCAGCAGGGCGTGCTCACTAGCCCAAGTTCATTCCTGGTGTGTTGCGGCTGTCTTTGTGGGACATTGTCGAGCATGAATTCTCCCATCAAATCGACGTTTCTTGTGTCATTTTCATCCTCTCTCGGGGTTTCTGTGAGACCTCGGGGGCTCATTTAGTTTGTTTTTGGTCTCTCGTGGATTTCGTCGCTTTTTCTCTCGTTGTCCAGACGACAGAATGCCACCCGCTAGCGGTTTCAATCCGGACCCGTAGACTTTGGTGGCTGACCCTCCTTTCCAGACTGGCAAATCCCGTCGTTCGCCATGCCAACGGACTCGTCCTTGGCGACTGGCCAAGACAAGGAAAACATTATGGATCATCTCGGGGACACAGCCAGAACGAGCGCTGCTGACTGCCAAGGAACGCCGCCAGAAAAGTCCTGTGCGTGTCTCCCGCGCTGCAGATTTTCACCGTCCAGTCCGCGGTGAATGATTAGTCGCCTAGACTTCTGGTCTTGCATCCTGTGTTCTTGATTGATTCGGCAGCCAATGCCAGCTCTGCCTCGGTGTATCTTCTTTTCACGGCTTCTGGGATCTGCTCCCTACCCGACTGTAGTGGCATACGCGGTGCGAAGCTGGGGTAGTGGGAGATAAGGCCTCCCCACAGTGTCAAGTGCCGTCTATCATAAGCGATAGTGATGGCCTTGGTGAATTGACGACGAGCAGGCACCCAGCACTCATTCACCTTCAGCGCCACTCCCCACCTTTCGAGATCGACCCTACCCCAGATGCCTTGCCTTTCCCCACGGCTCATCCGAGCTTCTCTCCCGTGCTAGGATTCGGCAGATCCGAGCAAGCTCTCCTATCCGACCCCAAGGAGCTTTATAACCCTCATCATCACATCGTATTGCAGTCTTCTGTGGGGTTCCTGTCTGGCAGGGATAGAGCTCTTTCATCAATCCCCTTTGTACGACACCGGAGACGATCAGGAGCACCATGGCATCTGCCACCCCCCCTGACACGATCGTGGAGGAGAAGGGTGTATCGCAGCACAAAGAGAACTTTGTCACCGAAGCTGCCCACGAAGCGGCTGGGCGCGGTCAGGCGGCCACCGACCAATACGGTCGTGCGCTTGTAGAGTTCGACCGCCGCGCTGAAAGTCGTCTGCGCCTGAAGATCGATCTTTGTATCATACCCACGGTCGCACTGTTGTATTTATTCTGTTTCATTGACCGAGCGAACATCGGTAAGTTGTGCGCATGTGCTTCTTGGGTGACATCGATGAGCTGACCCATCTTCTGACGTGCAGGTAACGCGAAGCTTGCCGGATTCGAAGATGACCTCAACCTTAAAGGGAATGATTATAATGCCGTCTTGTCTATCTTCTATATCTCGTACATCATTTTCGAGATTCCATGCAACATTGCATGCAAGTGGATAGGACCAGGATGGTTTCTTCCGGCCTCAACTTTGATCTTTGGCATTTGTTCTGTCGGCACGGCTTTTGTGCATGATAAACACAGCGCATCGGGTGTTCGCTTCGTGCTCGGCATCTTCGAGGCCGGTATGTTGCCGGGCATCGCGTACTACATGTCGCGATGGTATCGAAGAAGCGAACTGGCATTCCGTCTGGCGCTCTATGTTGTGATGGCACCCCTCGCAGGTGCCTTTGGAGGTCTTCTGGCGTCGGCAATTCTGACATTGGATCATTTCGGCGGTTTGCACGCGTGGCGGATGATTTTCGCGATCGAGGGAATTATCACCATTGGGCTCGGCGTGATTGCATTTTTCACTCTAACCGACCGCCCTGAGACCGCTCGCTGGCTCACGCAGGAAGAGAAGGATCTGGCGATTGCCCGGCTGAAGTCTGAGCGTGTGGCCACCACCGAGGTTCTCGATAAGATCGATCGAGCCAAGATGATGCGTGGCATTTTCAGTCCCGTCACCCTGGCCACGTCGATGATTTTCCTCCTCAACAATATCACCGTGCAGGGATTGGCGTTTTTCGCGCCGACCATTGTTCGGACCATCTATCCCGACAGCAGCGTCGTTGGTCAGCAGCTCCACACTGTGCCACCTTATGTGGTAGGGGCCTTCTTTACCGTCTTTTTCCCTTTCCTCAGCTGGCGTTATGATAACCGGATGATCTTCTATGTTATCTCACCCCCCTTGGTCATGGCCGGATACATCATGTTCCTGACTAGCACCGATCCGATGGTTCGATACGGAGCGACCTTTGTCATCGCCAGTGGTGCATTCGCCTTTGGGTCTCTGTGTAATGCCCATGTGTCGAACAACGTGATCTCCGACACGGCGCGCTCGGCGGCGATAGGAACAAACGTGATGATGGGAAACATCGGAGGGCTTATCTCGACCTGGTCTTTTCTGCCATTCGACGCGCCGAACTATCACATCGGCAACGGGTTAAACCTGGCAACCTCGTCCACCATCTTGATCCTGGGCGCCTGTCTGTGGGCATGGATGAAGTGGGACAACAAGAAAAGGGAAAGGATGGACGTCGACCAGGCTCTAGCCGGCATGTCGCAGAAGCAGATCCAAGACTTGGACTGGCGCAATCCGGCATTCCGATGGCGGACTTAGGCCAGGTGTTAATCCGAGTACTTTTGCGCCAATGGCGGCTTCTTGCTGATTTGTATTTTTTTTATTCATATTTTGGTTGAGTCCACGTCCACGTACTGTGGTCTTCTTGGAACTGTTGGGGGTTTTACTTCTTTTGGGCTACGCATGCATATCACATTGATTGAATCCACTTGGGCTACCACATTTTGGAGGCGAATACAACCTCTTTTAACCGGAGATTACGTAGAAACGCCCGATTGGGTCGATAAAGGATTGGCAATTCATTCTGGAGCTGGCGAGCAGGACCAGAATGTCACAAGGCGCCTTCTGGAGCCCCTCATGCAGAGAATTCCCCGAGGGAAGCTACTCTGTAAGCCCGAGGCTAAGGACTCACCTCTGCCTTATATTGGCCAAGCAGGTAGCGCGATGGACCAGGGGTATGGGGGCAACGATCTCGACCTCATCCTTCAGCCCTCCACTCGGTCGCGTCCTCCAATCGCATCGAGGCCATTATGATCCTATCAATCCACCGGCTTCTTTTCTGCGGTCTCACCTGCGGGCCGTCTATCCCCTCCTCTCTTGCGACACGGGCAACACTACTCCTAGTCCTACTAGGGGGCCGGTGAACCGCCGGCGGAGGCCACCTCATCAATTTTTCTAAATTTTTTTTTCCTTCTGGCTGACCGAATCCTGCGTCCGAAGGAAGGCTTGCCGACCGTGATGACCAGGGTGTTTCGCTGCTGCCAGACAAGGCATGCCGTGAAGTTACATCCGAGATTCTGCTCAGTTGTTGAATTCCGTGCGCATACTGGCCCGAATATTGAGGTCAGGAACGACGCTCGCTACATTCACATCCCATATGCCTTGTTGATGCAGCCTGTTTGCCCAGCCAGATCGGCGGTGACACACGAGGTTTTAAACCCCACAACCAAGGCTTAATCGCGCACACTAAGAACCTCCCCCTCGTGACCCCAAAGATGCCATGAAATTTCCCCAGGTCCGCCAAGCGGGTTCCCCGGGTGGGTGCCAGAATTCCCTTCGGACGTTGTCCGAAGTCATTCCCCATGTTACAGTCCGACTCCGGCGCACGAGGCAGATGTCCACTAGGATCCCTGGCCAGTGTTTGTTCGTCCGACCGACCGAGGAGCTAGCGTCGCTTCCTGGCTCATCATGACGATATCATCCAACATCCACGATAATTCCCCATGCGGGGTTCGAGCTGGAATTCGGTTTCCCCCAGATTGAGACGTCTGGAGGACCCGTTGTCTCCCGTGTGGTGCCAGATGACGAGACTCTTTTTTTTGGCTTTCCGCTGTGCGGCGCACCCGGCTGGGCCAATGAGTCAAGCGCTAATAAGCTCCCCATGGCGAGCGTGTCTCTCCAGAATATGCACCCCAAGCTCTCTTGGCGACGCCGGCTCTTGGCTGTACTCGGGCCAGTTTAGGTTGTACGGGATGGAACCATGTTGGCAAGCATCAAGCCATCGGATACGGATTTCTATTGATAATGCCGAGGAAATAGGCTTTTGCTGTTAGCGGAATCCGAGGGATGGTGAGCATAGCACCCCACGCCCCAATCCCCGCGTCGTGTTGGTCCGTGGTGCGTGGGCTCAATTTTTCTGGGTCGTGGAAGAGGCAGGGAAGACAGACAGGGAGGCCTTCTGCTGCGGCTTGGTCTACTACTGCATGCATGGCCTGCACTGCACATATTATTTAAGTGAAGGTTACATCCCTCGAAAGGTTTTCGATCTGATCTGTGTGCTCCCTCCATCTGTTGTCTTTACCCCCCTCCTCTCCCTCTCCCCCTCTCCCTCCTCCCTTGCTTCTTCTTTTCCTCCTCGATTTCCTTTCCTCTTCTTCTCACACCTACATTTGCAATAGCCAACCGGGAGAAGGTCAGACAACCGACACCATGGCAGGTGGTCCCAAGAAACCCCTCAACGTTTTTCGTATGAAAAACCTGGGGGATCCTAAACAGGTGTACAACTGGCGGCTATGGTTTGCTGTCATCTCCTTCGGTCTCATGGGTGCCGCCCGCGGTGTCGATGAGGGATTGATCTCGGGTGCCTTCAACTCCAGGGACTTCCAGCGGACCATCAACTTCGACTCTTACAGCTCGGTGGAGCAGACCAACATCAAGGCCAACGTGTCGGCCATGGTGCAGATTGGCTCTGTCGGCGGTGCTCTTTTGTATGTTCTGCTTCATGCACCTTTCCTACCCGGTCCGTCGGCCTCGATCACTAACATGCGTGCGTTCGTTCTAGTGCTTTCTTGGTTTGTGATCGCATCGGCCGTATCTGGGCTACTCGTCAGCTTTGCGTGCTCTGGATTGTGGGTATTGCCATCTTCATGGGAGCCAACGGCAACTTGGGCGCCGTCTATGCCGGACGTTTCGTGGCTGGACTGGGAGTTGGACAAACAGTCGTCGTGGGACCCGTGTACCTTGCAGAGATTGTGAGTTGAGTCCATTGCCTTTCGAGGGTTACACGATGCTAACTATACCAGGCACCGGCATCCATTCGAGGTCTTTGCACATGTATCTTCACAGGTTTCGTGTACCTGGGTATAGTGCTTGCCTACTTCACCAATTATGGCTGCCAGATCAACATGGGAGACAACACACACAAGCGATGGGTTAGTCCCCCCTTGCATCGCACAAGGTATCCACCCGTTCTGACATGTCCAATAGGAGGTGCCCACCAGTCTGCATATCATCTTCGCCGGTCTCATCATCTGCCTGTCTTTCCTCCAGTACGAGTCTCCTCGTTTCCTGGTGAAGAAGGGCAATTACGAGAAGGCCCTGGAGAATTTGTCCCGCATCCGTCATCTTCCCACGGACCATGAATACATTGTGCAGGAGATCACCGCCATCCGCAACTCCCACGAGACCGAGATGGAGGCCACCCGCGGGTCCGGTCCTATCGGTGTTCTGAAAGAGGCATTCTTGGAGCCCAAGAACCTGTTCCGTCTTTATATTGCCTGCGGTGCGCAGCTCCTGTCGCAGTGGTCGGGTGCCGGATCCATCACTCTGTACGCGCCCGATCTTTTCAAGATCTTGGGTATTGACGGAGAGAACGAGTCGCTGCTGGTGACCGGTGTCTTCGGTATCGTCAAGCTGGTGTCGGCCGTTGTCTGCGCCTTGTTCCTGGTCGACGTGATCGGTCGGAAGCGGGCACTGTTGATCGGAATTACGCTGCAAGCCATCGCGATGGTCTACATTGCGGGCTTCCTCACCAATTCCCCGCAGATGGGCGTCGACGACAGCTTTGTGCTACCCGACAAGAAGGTGCCCGCCAGCCGCGGCGCCATCGCGATGATGTACATCTCGGGTGTTGGCTGGGCGCTGGGGTGGAACTCGATGCAGTACCTGCTGACGGCCGAGCTGTTCCCGCTGCGCATCCGGGCGCTGTCCACCTCGCTGGCCATGACGCTGCACTTTGTCAACCAGTACGGCAACTCGCGCGCGGTGCCCAACATGCTGATGGGCCAGCATGAAGGCGGACTCAGCCCGCACGGCACGTTCTGGTTCTTCGCGGCGGTCACCATCTTCGGTGGGCTCTGGGTGTATGTGACGGTGCCTGAAACGGCCGGTCGCAGTCTGGAAAGCATGGACCGGCTGTTCGAGCTCCCGTGGTACAAGATCGGACTGTTCGGCAACCGCGACGCCGACCAGCGCGACCTGATCATGTCGGACAAGGTGGAGATGGCCGAGGGAACACGCGACGAGCAGGTCGAGCGCACGGAGCGCATCGACAACTCGTCTCGCGTGTAGTTTTTTCGTGGATCATGGACGAATAACGTACCTGGGTTATGTCTGGCTGTGTTATGCGTGGTCCCTGGTGGACCCATTAGTGATATGAACTGAATGATACCGCGTCATGTTTATTTTTATTTTGATTATCTTCCTGTAGCCACATTCCTCGGCCACCGCCGATCGCCGACGGAGCTCATCCACCGTCAGTCTGCGCCAGATTGGGGATGCGACCGGTCAGAATGGAGCCAGAATGGAGCCAGAATGCGGCGTCAAGTTCCACGGAGGTGCTGAGGACAAGCCACTAGTCTGGAGATCCTGCAGGCACTGGTCAGTTGATCGGTGGTCTCTATCTTATCAGACTTGGCGTTTGCTCTGCGGGGAATTTCTCTTCTCCAACTCTCTTCCTCTTCGTATATCACCGCTCCCTTCTCTCTCCTCTCCTCTCCTCCCTTTCTTTCTAATCCCCCTGTTCATCTCCTACCTGCCCATCTCTCTTTACTCCCCCAGTATATACCATGACCACCAGATATCGCGTCGAGTGTAAGTCCCCGTTGGCCTTCCCTGTGGATCCAGATTACTCACCGACATCTGTCCAGATGCCCTCAAGGTACGGTTCAACCCAATTCCACCAAATTCCGACCGAAGCTGACCGGCGTCATCTCAGTCCCATCGCCGCGACCAACTGATCGAATGGATCAAAGGTCTCCTCGCCGTCCCCTTCGTCCTGCACTCCCAGCCCACCGTCATCTATCAGGAAGATAGCGAGAATCTAGTCGCCGTCGCTGCCGACACTCACCAGCGCTATGCCGAGATCTTTCGGGACGTGGAGAGTCTGATTCGCGATCATAGTATGCCATCCCTTCCTCCAGACTTGACTGCACGCACTGGTGGAACTGACATCCATCTAGTCGACCACGAAGCAAAAGACCTCCCCGGCAAATCTAAATTGAAACTCCTCGTACCCACCGTCGGTTCCTTCTTCACGCCCCTCCACCTCGAAGACGCATTCAAATACCAAGACCGTATACGCGCCATCAGCCGCCGCCGCTTCGTCGCCCCCTCCTTCAACGACATTCGCCTGATCCTGAACTCTGCCCAGCTCCTCGGCCTCGTGCGCAGCTCACACGTTGACCTGGTCACCTTCGACGGAGATGTCACCCTCTACGACGACGGCGCCTGCCTCACGTCAGACAACCCCTCTATCCCGCGCCTCCTCCGCCTCCTGCGCCAGGACCGCAAGGTCGGCATCGTCACCGCCGCCGGATACACCGAGGCAGAGAAATACTACGCCCGCCTGAAGGGCCTGCTGGATGCCGTGCATGAATCGAGCGATCTCACCCCCGCCCAACGCGATGGCCTGGTCGTCATGGGCGGCGAGAGCAACTTCCTCTTCCGCTACGACGCGGCCTCGCCGTCTCGTCTGTCCTACGTGCCCCGCGACCAGTGGCTTCTTCCCGAGATGACCACCTGGCAGGAGTCGGATATCACGGCGCTGTTGGATCTCGCCGAGTCGTCGCTGCGCGCGTGTGTCCGGAACTTGGGATTGCCCGTGACGGTGCTAAGGAAGGATCGTGCGGTCGGTGTCAGTCCGGTGAACGGGACGAGGGTCAATCGCGAGCAGTTGGAGGAGACGGTTCTGGTGGTGCAGAACACGATTGAACGGTCGGCAGTCGGTGGAATCCTGCCGTTCTGTGCTTTTAACGGTGCGTTTCCCTTTCTGCATTTTTTTCTCCCTACCCCCTATCCCTTCAACACCACCATTGTCCTTTGACTGACAGACATGTGTAATAAACAGGAGGAAACGACGTCTTCGTCGACATCGGCGATAAATCGTGGGGTGTGCGCGCCTGCCAACAGTACTTCGGAGGCATCGAGCGAACCCGCACCTTGCATGTCGGCGATCAGTTCTTGTCCGCTGGGGCCAATGATTTCAAGGTATGTCCCCCCTTGCTCTTATCGGGGTTAAATTATTCGGCTAATTCATCGCGTAGGCCCGCCTTGCATCCACCACAGCCTGGATCGCCGGTCCGGCGGAGACCGTGCAGTTGCTCGATGAACTGAGCTCAGTGGAGGAAGAATGAACGCGTTATAATTCCTATCCGGGTTGGCTTCGATATTCTGTCAGGAAAGGTTAATATCTTATAATTTATGCTGAGTAAGGCTGCAATCGAGTTGTAGCAGTCGCATGTGTTGGCTAGCCTGTTGTCTATGCTTCCGGTTTATTTGCAGGTATAGGGTATTTGCATTTTGTTCATTGTTTAATTGGTTCATATTGCCCGGGTTGTTTGCTTGGTTGGCATTCTAAGGTATTGCATCGTGTTGTTGGTGTCTGTTTGTTTGCATTTGCCATTCATATTGAATTTGTTAGTTTGATGTTCATGGTACATTTGTGCTCATGCTCATGGTCGTGGTAATGGTTCTGGTTATTTAGCAAGCACGCTGTATCTTTTTGTCTTAATAGGATGTCAGCATGTCATGGGATTTTTAATTAACGCTTTATTTGTAATGATATATTTTCCCACTCTAATTGATATATATGCAAGTCGTAACAAATCAAAATCAGCGTCAGCATCAATATCTTCCCTTTCCACCATTTGATCAACAATAATGGTCGCCTTAATCATGACCATGCAAAGTTTATAATTAGAATTTGTTGACATATCAGATATTGCAAGGACTACCCAGTAGCCCAGCTGAGGCTTTTGGTCTAGTGGTAATATCAGGAACATGCTTATAGAATTTCTGATCTATGTTTCTCATCAGTGCCCAGCCTAGTTTTCTGCGCGCAACACATCACCAACTATGCGAATTATCCATAGTGCCTGGCGGCGATTAATGAGGAACCATTTATTTTTGATTCGCTCGAGGGGAATATAGGAAAGAATATGCACCTATCAACTGGTCATAAGAGTACCCAATAGCATTGTTCTCTCGAGTTGTTGGAGTCAAAGCTAACATGTGTGTTTATTTAGCTTGCTCTTATAATTGATAGTTCTGAAATTAGGGTCTGTCTGTCCTCCAGCCTCCTACACCCCTAAAGTCGTATACTTATATTTAAAGAACTCATGTACTTGTGTAGAACTACCAAAAGCCCTGTCTACAATGTATGCAATTAACCTAAAATCTAAAGTTGATCCAACACCACGCGTCAGCCCATGACATCATCCAGCGAGTCACCCGTCAACACCACCACCTCCCTAGCCGACCTACCTAGGTACCTGGCAGTCTACTGCCGAATCCAATCCACTAACCTCACCTCCAGCGGGCTTTACTTTCCACCTCCCAAACCAACTCACCCAATCGATCCATTCCAACCAGTAAATCCCTCAATCCACACCCGGAGATAAGGTAGCCTCGCTCATACGCATACACCCGCTATCTCCGCCTCCATCCCCATATAAAACTGCTTCTACCCTATCCAAATCCAGATCCAAAATGCCCATACCATCTCCCACAACCTCCTCTAAAATGTCCACCTACCTCGTCACCGGCTCCTCGCGCGGTCTGGGCTTCAACATCGTGAACCACCTCGCCTCGCGGCCCGCCTCGCAAGTAGGGACTATCTTCGCCACGTCGCGGCAGAATAACAGCGCCCAGCTACAGGAGCTGGTGGAGCGGGAGAAAGGCCGGGTCGTGTTTGTGCAATTAGATGCGGCGAGGAAGGAGAGTGTTTCTCAGGCCGTGAGGGAGGTGGAGATGTTTTTGGAGTCCGAGCAGCAGACACAAGGCAAGGGGAAGGGACTAGATGTGGTGATTAACAATGCGGGAATCATGCCCTCCACCAGGGGTGGGATTGCGAATATGTTTGTTCCTCTCTCTCTCTTTTCTTCTTCTACGGCTATGGTGATGTGTGGCGGGTGGGATGCTAACTACTTGATCTATGTAATGATAGGGACGATCTCAACGAGACGTTCAACACGAACGTGACGAGCGCGCATATGGTGACGAGTGCGTTCCTACCCTTGCTGAGGAAGGGAGAGAGGAGAGTCATTGCGAATATGTATGTCATCTACCTACCTCCCCATTCTGAACAGTGTACTAAGGAAATGCCTAGCTCCACAACCGTGGGCTCCATCGCGCAAGCCCCAAAATATAAAATGAGCCCGACGCCCGCGTACAAGATCACCAAGGCGGCGCTGAATATGCTCACGGTGCAGTATGCGCAGGAGCTGGAGAAGGAGGGATTCACGGTGTTGGCGATTAGTCCGGGGGTGAGTCTTCCCTTTCTTTCCTTTCGATTTACTTTGTGTTTGGTTCTGTTGTGTGGATTCAGGCAGGGCAGGCAGAGCTAACAGCGTGCAGTGGCTCAAAACTGAAATGGCAGGCGGCGACTTTGCGGACTTGCCTGTGTCTACCGGGGCCGAGGCGACGATGCACATCATCGACTCGGCGACGCGGGAGATGAATGGCAAGTTCTTGAATATCAAGGTGCCCGGGTGGGAGGAGAATCCGGGGGTGAATCGGTACGATGGGAAGGAGGTTCCGTGGTAGGCAGGTAGATTTGCTACAGGTTGGTTTAGAGGTACAAATGACTCCAGGGATAGATCAATGGTGATGAACATGCTAAGGGTATCTTAAGCTAATAAAACGCACTAGGAGTGTAGACTACGGCTTGGACACGTCTGCGACGAACTCCATCAAGCTCGGCTGCTTGGCAGACGCAGCGTTGGAGCTCCAGGTCTGCGACTGCAGCGTGGGAGAATTATCCACGATTCGTTTGAACCGGTCGCCGCCTAGGACAGAGTATGTCTCGGCGGTCAGTCCCTCCCGCGACAAGCTCAGTTTCATCTTCCGGCTTTGCCCGGCCTTTGAAAGAGCCAACAGCTCGCCGTGGTGCGGATTGGCCACCTGCCAGTTGAGATGACTTGACGTGTCAGCCTGCGGGGACTCAGGGATGGAGTTCTGGGAGATGGCTGTGAGAAGGTCCAGCATGGTGAAATGGGTCAGCACGCGCGCCGCCTCGTCCCGGATTCCAATGCGGCTTGGGGGCTGGACTTCGGGGAACTGCGGCAGAGTGACCGAGATCTCGTAGTGTGTGCCGAGCGGCGGCGACACCACGTTGGTGCGAATGCGCACTCGGAATGTGCTCTGCGCGGTAACAAACTTGCCGGTGAACGTGGACTCGAACGGCATGAGAAACGTGTGGACCAAAGATTCGACCTTGGGGATGGAGACGTCCGGAGACAAGCGACCGACTGACGAGAAGGGGCTCGCCGTGAATTCGCTGCCGAGATCAGCCGACTGCAGGATCTGATGGATGTCCTTCATGTGTGATTCCAGCCAGCGGACATGGGAGTTGTGCTGGAGGTATGCCATGATGGGGCGCAGGAGGCTGTATTCCGGGGTATGTCGGCGTTTAGGAGTCAGCGGCGGTGGAGGCTGCGTTCTCCGCCGTAGGTTCTGTCGGTGGGCGTAAGAAAGAAGAATCCTGGTAGAATGGCCCAGCGCATCGGCAATCACGTCGTGTTCGGTGGAAGAAATTTCCTCCTCGTCCGGGAGTGGTTCCTGGTCGGTATCAACAAGATCCAGGAGAACCTCCTGCTCTTCAGAGACGGGGATCTGGATCAGGTTTCGCCGCGTAGTCACTCCCTGGCCTCCTAATATCCGAGCCTCGCGGAACAACTCGTGGAAAAGTTCCTCCTCGTAGAGTGTATCCCGCGCCTGGAGAATCCGCCCTTCGATTGTATCCTCGTTGAATGCCGGCTTGGGTAGTTTCGAGCAGCCAGTCAATTTACCATGGCTTCTCACGCGAACCCGCACTGCTTTCGCCTTGCTCGGCACCAGGCCTTTATCCAGGATTAGACTACCATCGTCGAGACGACGCAGAGCTGCAAGGGCGCGATCGCGGAAGATCGGAGTAGCTGTATTCATGTCAGAAAAGAAGTCGAAATGGGGTCCACGAATACTGACATTCCATAAACCCATACTGCACACCCAGAGCCTGTCTCTCGCGAGGCAATCGGCACACCTTCCAACCCTTGGCTTTCACCGCCAAAACTTCATTCCAATACTTGGTCTCCGAGGCGACCTCAGAATCCAATCGCGACGAGCAGTCGAGCAGCTTGTTAGCCGCAGAGTTGAAGTTCTGCATGCGCCAGCCACGCGCCACGGTCTTTGTATCCTTCAGCACCGAGTCGGGTTTCGGCGGAGGTTCGACGACCTCGCTATTCAGCGACCCCAGCGGTGCAACCTGCTTCAAGAACTGGGACATGGACGTTTCGGCCTGGCGAGGGGTATGTTTCGAGAGGAGGAGCGAGACAAAATCGAGAGCGAACATCGTTTCCATATGAGCTTGCCTGGAGCGGATCAGTACTTGACATTGCCAATGAAGGCAAACACAGAACCCTACATGGCAAAATTCGTGATCTCCGCGCGTCGCTTGATCAATTGATCCTTGCGCTCGGTCGTATCCAAGTCGTCGGCCGCTTTGTCGGCGTCATCCTCGTCGGACCAAGGGTCTTTGTTCTTGTCGGCTTCGATCTTCTCGCGCAGGGCGGTCTCGTTGACATCGCGGAAGGCACCCCATTGGGAATTGATCTGAGCGATGTCGACCGGAAGCGAATCGGGGCGGTCGCGCTTCTCGATCAGAGGGCGAAGAGGGAGATTGAATGATTCGGACATTGTGGTTGGAGAAGCAGCGGAGAACAACGGCGACCGACCGTTGATGATGGGAGTGGCACGTGATGCGCTCAGTCAGCTGACATCCCCGTTCTGCCTTGCCTATTTGGGTTAGCGCCTTCCACTCCGAGCAGTTCGCATCCAAACTAGTCGACCTTGCGATGTCGATCGAGTAGACGCAGTACTACAGTAGACCAGGATCATGCTAATCACGGCTCGTACATTGGCCAAGTGACCGGCCCTGAATTCCAATTGATCCTTTGGTCGAATGTCCCGCATTGGGTTGCAATGTAATTGAGTTGTGCTTATATATTTTTTCCGGATTCCAATATTGTACAGGCCAGTGTGCAATAGTGCAATAGTATGTGGTTAATATGACACCAATAGAAGTACTCCGGAGCAGATATATCCGTAGTCTACCGGTCCATCCAAGGCACCGGAGTCGAGACCAGCTTGAACCGGTTTGCGCCCGGTGTCTAGTCTGACAGAACAACAGAGCAAAGTGGCTGCCAGTGTTGTGATGACATCATCAACCCCGCCAGAGCTGATGCACGTGCAGCCCCAAGCCCTGCCCTAGCTGCCCGCACTAAGCCACATCGGGCAGACCCGTGACATCAGGCGGATCAGCTCGTGACTTCATGTTGTCGTCGTTTGTCTGCGTTTGCCGGGTCGTCGAGGATCCTGGCAGCGATCGTATTATTTGGTCAGTATTTCTTCATCTTTCCTCGCTCTACCCCCTGTTCCAATTGAATCTGTATCCCTCATCCTCATCTCGAACGGCGGCAATCGAAGTATAGCTCGGTCAGTGACGTACTGCCCACTCCTCCCGCTTTCTCTCACCGGAAAAGCATCCCCCCCACTATTGCGCTCTCTCGCTGTATCTCAACTCTCTTCCCCTCCAACCTCACCGACTGATTGTCCGGGTTCTTTTATTAACTCCTCCATCTCCAGTCGTCCATTCAATTTCCCCGCCAATCCACTATCCTCTCCCCTCCTCTCGCCCCGTCACTCATTCTCTACCGTTGATCGGTAGTCCTTCAGGATGGCTACCACGCACGCCCCCGTCGAACCTCCTAAGCGCCGCCGCATCGGTGTTCTGACCTCCGGCGGTGATGCTCCCGGTATGAACGGTGCCGTGCGGGCCGTCGTCCGTATGGCCATCCACTCCGGCTGCGAAGCCTACGCCGTCTACGAAGGTTATGAGGGCCTCGTCGAGGGCGGCGACATGATCCGCCAGGTGCACTGGGAAGACGTCCGTGGCTGGCTCTCGCGCGGCGGTACTCTGATCGGTTCCGCCCGTTGTTTGGCCTTCCGCGAGCGCGCCGGTCGCTTGCAGGGCGCCAAGAACCTCGTGCTGCGTGGCATTGACGCCTTGGTCGTCTGCGGTGGTGATGGCAGTTTGACCGGCGCCGATGTCTTCCGCTCGGAATGGCCGGGTTTGCTGGAGGAGCTGGTCAAGACCGGTCAATTGACCCAGCAGCAGGTCGAGCCGTACCAGCGACTGAACATCGTCGGTCTGGTGGGCTCCATTGATAACGACATGTCCGGTACCGACGCCACGATCGGCTGTTACTCGTCTCTGACCCGCATCTGTGATGCCGTGGACGATGTGTTCGACACTGCCTTTTCCCACCAGCGTGGCTTCGTTATCGAGGTCATGGGTCGCCACTGCGGTTGGTTGGCCTTGATGGCTGCCATCAGTACCGGCGCCGACTGGCTGTTCGTGCCGGAGATGCCGCCCCGCGACGGCTGGGAGGATGACATGTGCTCTATTATTACCAAGGTATGTTGATGAACTTATCGTGGGATCGCACCTGCTAACGACGATGCCTGTAGAACCGTACCGAGCGCGGTAACCGCCGTACCATCGTCATCGTGGCTGAAGGAGCCCAGGACCGCCACCTTAACAAGATCTCCAGCAACACCGTGAAGGATATTCTCACCAAGCGCCTCAACCTGGATACCAGAGTCACTGTCCTCGGTCACACGCAGCGTGGAGGTGCTGCCTGTGCCTACGACCGTTGGCTGTCGACCCTGCAGGGTGTCGAGGCCGTTCGTGCCGTTCTCGACATGGAGCCCACTACGCCGTCCCCTGTCATCACCATCCGCGAAAACAAGATTCTGCGCACTCCCTTGATGGATGCCGTATCAGAAACGAAGAAGGTCACCTCTCACATCGAAAACCGGGAGTTCGACACGGCCATGGCCCTTCGTGACTCTGAATTCAAGGAGTACCACTTTGCCTACCGCAACACTGCGACTCCTGACCACCCCAAGATGACTCTCCCTGAGAACAAGGTTAGTTTTCTGACAGCTTCGTTAGTTGGCATAGCTGACAATTCTAGCGTATGCGAATTGCTATCATCCACGTCGGTGCCCCCGCTGGTGGTATGAACCCCGCCACGCGTGCCGCCGTTGGGTACTGCTTGACTCGCGGACACACGCCCCTGGCGATTCACAACGGCTTCCCCGGCTTGTGCCGCCATCACGACGACAAGGTCAGCTCCGTGCGCGAGGTCCAGTGGGTGGAGACGGATCCCTGGGTCAACGAGGGAGGTTCCGATATTGGAACGAACCGAAGCCTGCCGTCGGAGGACTTTGAGACTACTGCCAAGTGCTTCAAGGAGCACAAGTTCGATGCTTTGTTCGTGATCGGTGGTTTCGAGGCCTTCACCGCTGTCAGCCAGCTGCGCCAGGCCCGCGAGAAGTACCCGGCCTTCAAGATCCCCATGACTGTGTTGCCCGCCACCATCTCCAACAACGTGCCCGGAACCGAGTACTCGCTAGGTAGCGACACCTGCCTGAACACCCTGATCGACTTCTGCGACGCCATCCGGCAGTCCGCCTCGTCCTCGCGTCGCCGTGTGTTCGTTGTTGAGACTCAGGGTGGCAAGTCTGGCTACATCGCCACGACCGCGGGTCTTGCCGTGGGCGCTTCCGCCGTCTACATTCCCGAGGAAGGTATCGACATCAAGATGCTCTCCAACGACATCGACTTCCTGCGCGACAACTTCGCCAACGACAAAGGCGCCAACCGCGCCGGTAAGATCATCCTGCGCAACGAGACCGCCTCCAAGACCTACACCACCCAGTTTGTCGCCGACATGATGAAGGAGGAAGCCAAGGGTCGCTTCGAGTCCCGCTCCGCCGTCCCTGGTCACTTCCAGCAGGGTGGCAAGCCCTCGCCTATGGACCGCATCCGCGCCCTGCGTATGGCCATTCGCTGCATGCTCCACCTGGAAAGCTACGCGGGCAAGACCCCCGACGAGATCGCCGCCGACGAGCTGTCCGCCTCCGTCATCGGCATTAAGGGCTCGCAAGTCCTCTTCTCGCCCATGGGCGGTGCCGACGGCCTGGAGGCCACGGAAACCGACTGGACGCGCCGTCGTCCGAAGGCCGAGTTCTGGCTGCAGCTTCAAGATACCGTGAACATTCTGTCCGGTCGGTCCGGCTGGCGCGAGGGTCGGCAGACGAACTGGGGGTGTTACGAGTCGGTTTGATCTAGTCTAGTTGGGGTGGTGTATTTGGCGTTTCTTTTTCCTTTTGATCGATAAGATATGCATGAAGATATGAAGACATGAAAAGAAAAGACATTCTTCTCTTCTACACTTGTTACTGTTTTTTATTCTCAGACATCCACAAGGCAGGACTGTCTAGCTTAGCTAGCGAAACCATGACATGCGCTGCCGATCCGTGGGTGTTTCAATGTATGATGACATTTTCTTTACCTTTTTCCATTTTGACTTAACCATTTATGTGTTTCTGGAATGAATAAGAGAGACATCGTGATTTGAATCAATTCTGCATTGACAGATTGCCCAGGTAAACTGTAGATACTACGGATGTTCGGAGTCGGTCAATCGACACCATATTTTTCTCATGCCCGAGAAACAGAACGCCCGAATGAGCCCGGTTAAGTATAGTAGAAGATGTTGGTTCTTTATTGGCAGAATCCTATACAGACATAACACAGAAAAAGACGTGTGTAATCGAGCTCAAACAAGACGATTTCCTTGAACTCCCCCTCCCAGAGCATAAAGTGAGCACTTCTCAGATAAATAATAAATTAGAAGTAGGTATTATTGCCAAGTCACATTATCTATTATTCCTCCCTAAATAAAACCCCTTAAGAAGTAAGAACGCAGTAGATCAGATCAGATAACGCTCTACGGCGCTACTCTGGACTATTTTAGCGCCAACGAAGCCACATGGCTCGACTGGATTACTCTAATAGGACAAGCACAGGGGGTATCTATGTTTCAACTTCGCTCTCAGTCTCAACCTCTCCAGTAGTTCTGAAACTTCTCACACCTAACTAGTTCGCGGCAAAGATCTTACCCCGGCTCTTGTCTTATAAACTTCTGGGCTTTTATCAGCCTTATTCTCAGTTTTAGTTAATTTCACTACCTTGTGTATGTTTCATCTTTTGAACAGCTGAGGTGTAGCACCAACGGATTAAGAAGACGTAAGGAAACGGATGCATGCTTTCGAACAAGTGGTCTACAGTTGGAGTGTATTGGCGAAGACGGCGAAATTCTCCTAGATGGGCGGTGCAGTTAGTAGCCTGTCCATGGGAAATATCGTTAGCAGTTGATTCTAGGAACTGCATGCATAGAACATGCAGCTTGGAAATCCTGAAGCCTGGGCAGAGTCTCGTTCCTGAATCCTCCTCAGGGATAGCGCCGGACGACACCAGGCCGCCGAATGCCAAGGGAAGCATTTCAAGTGGTGGTGCTCCTCGCAGGAGAATAATCAGACAGCTTGACTCGGCGTGGATGGAGTTGAAGATAGTTGGGTCTTTGGGGGTAGCATCGGAGGGTTAATTGGGTCCGCAATGGCGAATCTTGGGCAGATATAGTGTAGCAGGCGTAGATGGAGCGCGAATTAGACGGGGTTGAGTTGCTCTTGTTTGAGCTTTGAAACGTTGATCTCGGTTAGACCTTAGGGCACTGTGTCATGAATCATGATAAATCCTCGGCGCCGTTGAGCGACAAGGCACAACACTCGAGGAATAATGTCAGGCGGAATAGCGTATTCCCGGTGCTGCACGGAATTACGGGTGAAACTGCATCGAATTTTTTTTCTCGTCGTCGGTGACAAAGATTGATAAGACTTGACAAAGCCTGACAAAAACCTGAGAAAGGCTAGTTCCACGGGTCTGGAGGACCCATAGATGACCCTAGTTTTGCCTAGTCGCTCTGATTTATCGGTTCAGCACTCCACGCGGCAGAAATGATCTGGAAAAATGTTACTGTCATAGATTCTGACATAACTTTGAAGATGGAATAAGAGCTTGCTAACGGCTACCTATTCTGTAGCCGAGAACCTATTATTAAAGTCGATATGAGTAGCGGCAACTCCTTATTAATGCAAACAATATCTGCTGATCAAATGCAGTCAAGATACGAGAAAAATGAGTCAAGTCTGTGTGCTACTCATGAAGCGAGGATCTTTCAAATGCTCAACCGCGGTATCGGCTTGAGGCGAATGAACTTGACTTGGTGACACTTTGAATGACTGTCAACCAAGTTTTCTCGAAGTTTCATGCATCATCATGCAGACCATTCCAACCCATGGGTGGGCCCGGAATATAGCCGTTGCCGTTATGTCATTATCTTAGGGATCCGCTGCATCCGGAGATTGGGAGTTCGGTGAAAAGAAGTGGATAACTCGGAAATTACTTTCTAATGGCCCAGCAAAGTTTAGCCGACGCGGCTGGAGGATTCCAGAGCACGTACGGACTATGGAGTCTTGTTTCAACATGGTCTGGGTCCGGGCTTCATGAACCGAATAACAGTCCACTCCACGTGGAGAATGCAAGATTCAGAGAATTATAAAATGTCTTTTCCCCCGAAGATGTAAAACTTTGCAACCCGATATCACATCTTACATCATGCGGTACCTTCAGACAGGCTACCAGGCAGCCCTGGTTGCCGCCATCAGCGGCTTGACTGCGGCGTCCAGCTTCCAGAATGGATCCTACGACTACATCGTTGTCGGCGGTGGTCCGGCCGGTATCATCACTGCCGAGCGCTTCACCGAGGCTGGCAAGAAGGTTCTCCTGCTTGAGCGTGGTGTTGGTCCGACGGTTGCCACCGGCGCCAACGAGACTCTGCCCTGGAACCACGATCTGACGGCCGTCGACCTCCCCGGGATGTCCGCCGACATTGGAAACACGGATGCGTGGACCAACTACATTTGCACCGACACCGAAGGAACTGCTGCCTGCGTGTTGGGTGGCGGAGTGACGTTGAACTACATGGTCTTCGTGCACCCTCCCGATCACGACTTCGACGACAACAACAACTGGCCCTCTGGATGGAAGTCGAACGACCTCAAGCCTGCGTCCGAGCGCCTGTACCAGCGAAACCCCGGTACTATCCTGCCTTCGGCTGATGGCAAGCGCTACGACCAGGGTCTCTACAACGTCCTGTCCAACTTCTTCAGCAACCTCGGCTGGAAGGCCGTCAACATGATCACGCAGCCCAACGAGAAGCACCAGGCCTACAGCTACCCTTCGTGGAACATCAAGGACCAGAAGCGTGCTGGCCCCGTCCGTACCTATCTACCTCTGGCCCAGAAGAGCGAGAACTTCTCCCTGCGCCTGGGCACCAAGGTGCTTCGTGTCGTACGCGACGGCAGCCGTGTCACCGGTGTCGAAGTGCAGACTTCCTCCGGCAAGACCGAAATCGTCACTCTCGCTGCTAATGGCCGTGTCGTGCTTGCTGCCGGTGCTCTGTCTACTCCTCGCGTTCTCTTCAACTCCGGAATCGGCCCCAAGAAGCAGATCGAGACCGCGCAGAAGAGCGGCATCTCCGTGCCCTCCGAGAACCAATGGCTCGAGCTGCCCGTGGGCGTCGGTCTCCGCGACCACCCCATCTTCTCCATCGTCGTGCAGACCAACGGCTCTTTCGGCGTCCCTGACTACGATCGAATCCTGAACGGCACCGACCGGAAAGACATCGCGCTGTACCGCCAAGGCAGCGGCCTCCTCACCCAGGGCAAGCACCGCATGATCTTCTTCACCTCGAACGAAGTCAACGGCAAGACCGTCTACTACCAGGGCTCCTGCGCCCCTGACGCCAACTCCGTCCTCGGCATTACCGCCTACATGACCCACGGCGCCACCTCCACCGGTGTCCTGGGTATCGACTCCACCCAGAAGACGGTCATCGAGCAGTCTCCGTACCTGCAGACCGACGCCGACAAGCAGGCTGCCAGCGTCTTTGTCAAGCAGATGATTCGCGACATCACGGCCCCTGGAACCGGTCTCAAGCTGACCACTAACCTCAACGAGTCTGCGATCATCGACTCCATGACTCCGGGTATTCATTACACCAGCACCGCTAAGATGGGCACCGATAGTGGTCTGAACGGTGGTTCGTCGGTTGTGGATACTAACACTAAGGTCTACGGCATGGATAATTTGGTAAGTTGTCATGCTCTGATTTTGCTCAATATGTACGCTAACAGATCTACAGTACGTCGTCGATGGCAGTATCCACCCTGACCTGCCGACTGGTAACATCCAGAGCACTATCATGATTGTTGCCGAGGCGGCTGCTGCGCGTATCCTTGGCCAGGATGCCCATGCCTCGCACCAGGGCAAGGGCAATGCGACTGCTTGCCCTTTCGCCTAAAGATAAGACTTTGTGTGGATGGTACAGTTGAACGAATCTTCAGTGAATAGTCCGAAAGTGTATATTAGTGCTTATAGAGTCGATAAATAATTTGTTGTTTCATTATGAATTTGACAGGCCTCTGTTTTAGTGTGGTCTTAACGTAATATGTCGTCCTTATGTACGCAATAAGTTCTAATATCTGCATCTGCTACTGTTGACGGTCATATCTAGTTCTAAACCTAGTTTTTCCCATTGGCTTCCTTTGACATTAGTCTTTCAATCTCTGATGTTTCTTTGCCGATCATCGGAGTAATGACTGCCAAAACCCTCCTTGTCGTTCTACGTCTGGAAATGATAACCGTCTTTCCGCAACCCATCCGGCCAATTTTGCCGTCTGCATGAGATCCCAGCAATATACCACCTAACCCTACCCTTAGCTACGAAAAGTTGTATATATTAACTCATCATTACCCTCCCAGTATCCCTTCGAATACGAAACCATCAATCATACCATCACCCAGCCCCCAGAACACAGAACCAAACCATGACAAGTGACTGCTGCAAATCCGGCTTCAAATGGCACGCCACACCAACAGGAACCGAGTCCTCATTCGCCGGCACCAAAACCTACGTCACCGGGACCTCTAAATCCATCGCCATCCTTTACGTCCACGACATCTTTGGCTGGACATTCCCGAACGCAAGACTGCTGGCCGATTACTACGCCGAAAACGCCAACGCCACGGTCTATGTGCCTGATTTGTACGTTCAGCCTCCGTCAGTTGCGACACTGGCAAGTGACATGAAATGCTAAGTCTGCGCAGCTTCGACGGCGAAATCGTCTCCCCTGAGATCCTCTCCGACCCTGTCCAGAAAGACACCTTTGGATCTTAAGCGTATTAGAATTCCCGAGTACTCCAGACTTCGTAACCCGCCACTCAAAAGACGCTAGATACCCTACCATCCTAAACTTCGCGACAGCGCTACGCAGCCAGTACCCCAAGGTCGCAGCAATCGGGTTCTGCTACGGCGGATGGGCGGTCTTTCGTCTCGGCGCGAACGGGCTAGGGTTAGTAGATTGTATAGCGACAGCGCATCCGTCGCTGCTGGAGGACAGGGAGATTGAAGCACTTGGTGTTCCGACGCAGATTCTGGCGCCCGAACGTGACTTTGCGTTCACGGAGGAGTTGAAGGGGGTTTGTAATAGGGTTATTCCGGCGAATGGGGTGCCGTATGAGTATGTTTATTTTCCGGGGTTGGAGCATGGGTTTGCGACGAGGGGGGATCGCGAGGATGAGGTGCAGAGGAGGGGGTTGGAGAGGGCGGCGAGGGCGGCTGTGGGGTGGTTTAATGAGTGGTTGAGTTGATTTATGGTGGGATGGGACATGGTCTTAGGGGGTTGGAGTTGTTGATTGTGTGTGATGGTCTGGTATAGCATCTCCGGATCTCATACGACAACGATATCATTCCTGGTATGTTTCAGCATCTAGTTCTTTTTCCACAGCATGTTGATGGCCACCTATCCTGCCATCCAGAAACTCTTTCCGGTTCAGCATTACCTACAAGTCCACCACGTCAATTCCCAGGCGGCTGGCATGCTCTTTGACCTCTATATCTCGGTTAAACTACGCATCATTGGCGGGATAGGCCCGCCATCCGCAGCGGCTTCAGCCCGCATCCGTGCGGATGTAACCTTCTCCACACCCTGCATTCTTGAGGGTGGCTGGGCTTGGACTGGTAGAAATAGGAATTGCAATCCAGATCCTCTATCTTGGGCAGTTGGTAATCAATCGCGTAGTATTCCTTATTTCATATGATTAACAGGAAAACCAGAACGCAACAGCTACTGAATCTAGATAAGTCGAGCATACTTAAAGCCCACGACCGTTAAGTGATCAGCATACTGTCGCCAAACATGTCGAACTCATATCCACCCTTCTTCGCAATCTCATCATAGCTGTGTATGACAAAATCCTTGCCCGCAAACGCCGCGGTAAGCACAATGTGGCTCGACCGCGGCCGGTGCAGGTTCGTCAGCAGCACATCGATCATCTTGAACTGGAACCCAGGGTAGATGTAGAGATCGGTCCAGGACACCTGGGGCTCAACGGGCGTGTTCGGCTCCTTATCGACAGCCAGGGACTCCAGCGTTCGCATAACCGTCGTTCCGACAGCTACAATGCGGCGGTTCTCCTTCTTCGCCTTATTGATCTGCGACGCGGCCTCCTCGGTCACTTCAAAGTACTCAGACCGCACCTTGTGGTTCTAAATCTCCTCTGCTGAGATGTGTCGCACCGCCAGGATCTCCGTCGCGCCCACATGCAGCGTGATGTACGCAACCTCGACCCCCTTCGCAATCACCTTATCCAACAACTCCTTGGAGAAATGCAGCCCCGCGGACGGAATCTCCAACGAGCCCGGAGACTTTGCATACACAGAGCGATACGCCTGGCGCTCATTCTGCCAGTAGGTCGGGTTGAGGTGAATATTCTCGTCCAGACGAATGCCGTGCTGGTCCAGCGTGGGGACCAAGAGCTCGAGGGGCTCGAACTTGGCCTTCCAGAGGTTATCGGGCTGCGATTCGAGCAGGGTGCAGGTGAGCTTGTCGTTGTTGGCGGACTTGAGCACAAGCCCGGGCTTGATGAGGCGATGGTCCGTCTTGATTTCGACGATGGTGGTGCTGTCGGGCTCGTGTCCGTACACGGTTAGCTGGGCCGGTTCGTCGCCGTTCTGGAACCACAGCGTGTTGGACAGCATGTAGCTGTCGTTCAGCACAAGGAGGTCCCCGGGCCGGAAGTAGTCGCAGATGTTGGAGAATACGGTGTGTTCGATGCTGGTCTTGGAGCGGTCGAGCACGATCATGCGTCCGCTTTCACGGCTCTTGCCGCGCAGCTCGACCGGGTCGTGAGGTATGTCCTCGGGGACCTGGTGGAAGTCGAACTCTTCGGTCTTCATGGTGGGTGGTTGAATGATAGATTTATGGATAGCTAATAAGGGATAGTTATGAGATGCTTTGGAACTGAAAGTTGTATAGAATATGGATGTGTCGCGGAATTGATGATGGATTTAAAGGTTTGTTGGGCCGCAACCGTCACGTCGACAGGGAGAGCTCTTTCCTACCCTGGTATACTGCAGTATTTTCATAGATTAGATATGCATTGACTGGATCCGTCGGGTATAGCTGGTGTCGATGCAACGTGCACCCAGACGGCTGGAGTATACCTTCGTGGTGGCCTCGCATATGCCGTGTTCAAGGTCTTGGCTCCCAAATCGGAGTATAGCAATAGCTTCTTGCAGAACAAACCGACAAGGGTTCATCACCGAAATGTAAACTGACTCGCCCTTGAACGTGCAGGGATGTGGAATGGACCGATAAGCTTGGTCGACTCCGGGGCCACCCAGAACTAGAAAGCGTGGGCTGGATATGAGGGATTAAAAGTTCCTGTGAAGCGGTTGAAGCGTTATCTTCGACATCAGCATCGACTCGATCTCCAAAAGCCATTCACGCTGCGCGCGATTCCGGGCCTGAAGTCTCAGCAACGCGCAACCCCGCAGGCTGCAGCGTATACCCACCATATCAAATAGATTTTCATGATCAATGACAAATTCATGTATTAAATCCAACATATAATAAAACATACCAAAAAATATAAAAAAGGACAGTCTGCCTGTCGTATCCTGCCTAGTCCATGTCAGAATGAAAGTCACTCCAGCGGCCACGGCGTCAGAAGAAAAAGGTGCTCCACACAGTCAGGCTCATACAGGTACAGGATACATCTGCATGTACGTGCATAACCCTCCAGTCCATATTCAAATGCCCCTCCGCCAGCTCACTGCGTCTGCATCTTCGGAATCCCCTCGACCGGAGACAGCCACGGCCGTCTATCCCGCTCCCACACTTCGATGGTAGGATGCAAGTCTTCGCGCTGATCTATCGTGCCGCTCGTCACGGCCAGGTGCTGCACCGGCTCTCCCGTATGCTGACAGACGAAAAGACTGGATCCGCAGATTGCGCAGAACGATCGTTCCAAAGTGCTGCCTGACCGAGTGCTACTGTCGTGGTATGTTCTCAGCGAGTCGTGGCCTTGGATGATTTGGAGTTGCTGGAGAGTGATGTCAGTGGCTGGACGGGCGGAGGGCAGGCAGAAGAAGAGGGAGGGGTGGTACACACGTCTTTTTGGAAAATGCAGTTCGCCATGAATACGGAGCCACTGCTTTTTTGGCAGTTGTTGCAGTGGCAGACGAACATTTGGTCTGGGGGGGCGGTGAGCTGGTACTGGATGGCTTTGCAGAGGCAGGAGCCGGATTTGATGGATGTCATCTTATATCCGGAGTGATGGTATTGATCGTGTGTAAGTGGAATTGCGAAATGAGAGGAAAGCACCTTAAAATGGCCTTCAGGGACTCCTTGAGACTTGTGTAGTCTGTATTGTCAAGATTCGAGGTGACCCGGGACTATATACATTCAAATTAACTCTTGTCACGTCAAGGGTGGCAGATATTGCGCGAAAGGCCTCGGCGTCTCTAGTAGCTTCTAGAGCTCCGGCGATGATTCCACCGTCGATTTCCCCGCGGTTTGGCTGCAAGTCAGACCATGTCATTGCCTGCCTTCACTGTCAGGCATCCAGGCCAACTCCATTGGATGACTCATCGTGAGTGTCAGCAAGTCTTGGCAGCGCTAACCCTTTTCGGATGTCATTCCAGGCAGCTCATCTTGACTGTTCATGCATCTCTGACATATTGGAGTCATTTTCGCTCATTCACTAGCTGTATCATTGCATCCATACTTTCCTTCGAGTTGATGATGACCATCTGGAGAAGGGCCGCGGACTTCCATGGAATCCCATGCGAAGATCAAGGATCGAAGATTTAGACCCCCTGGTGATTCAAAAAACAGACCATATACGCAGGTCCAAAGATGATGCTTCCCACTCTAAATGACCTCCTATATCTTTGGTTAATGAGGACAGACAGCACCAACCAGGTACTATGCAAGGCTCATCTGCTTTGTGTACTCTTTGTTCTGACAAAGTCGAGCCAGCCATGCTCCATCATGATCTTCTTTGTTTGGGCTCCCTCATATAAACAGCCTACCTGACGCCTGCTACCTTCCTATTCTTTACCATCACTGCTTCAGTTGCTCTATCTTACACATGTCCAAGCACCAGCATCGGCCACGAAAGTGCCGCGTTCTCCATCCCCCTCCATTATTCTGGGATAGGCTCAGCAGACTGTGGTTGACTAAGAGCGCGTTACGAGAAGTCCACCGGAGAAGCACGCTCTTGTCTCCAATCCAGGAGCCCTCACCCAGTCCTGATATCTTTGCCCCTGAATTCCTGCGCAACTGTTCTGCTACTACCTTGCGCGAGCTTAAACAATTTTCCCACTGTGGAGGGCCAGATACTTCGGACCTTAGAGGCGTGAGTGGATGCCAATAATCCTACAGAGACCAGGTATCACAGACTAACCACCTGGCCTATTTTGGCTCTCTAGTGTCCAGAACCAGACAGCTTCAGTCAATACTCCATGGGTCCCACACACACCAATTCGAAGGGCCTCGCCCCTGACACGGAGATCAAGACAAAGACCGGAAACACAACCGTTTACGATGCACACTTTGAGAGCCATATAATCGACCATGGCGTTTTCCTGTCATCGTCCACATACCCGGATGGTGTTGAGCCATCCGAACCGGCGAACCTTGACGAAATACGAACGAGATTACGGGCGCGTCGGCCTTCACTCGATCTGTCATCACAATCCCTACAAAAGGAGTATAAGGAATTTTGCAGGCTCAACGATAAGGCTACTAGTGAGCAGCTGGTCCTCAAAGACATCTTACCCATTCTTGAGGGTAAGAAAACGGCTTGCTTCCAAACGGGCGGTGGACACCTGTTCAATAATCTTGCTCCTTTAACTGACGGCACTCTAGCAAATGCGAAGCCCGATCTCTACTACGGTGCAACCCCAAACCAGCTGAACGCCGATATTCGGAAACAGTTGAACGACCAAATTATGCCGTCAAATAAGAGCAACCGACCGGTGGCACCGAACCTTTTTGTCGAAATGAAAGGTAACGAGGGTTCTGTTCCTGCGGTTCACCGCCAGGCCTGTTACGACGGCGCTCTAGGTGCACGGTCTATGCACTCTCTCCAGCAATACGGGAATGAGACTGGGCTGGACCGTTATGATAATAACGCCTATACTCTAGAATTTACTTATCATACCGGAACTCTTGGGATGTACGTCACACACCCTACAAGGCCTAGGCTGCAGGGTGACCCCGGCCGTCAAACGGATTATGTGATGACGAAAATTGGCAAATGGGCATTGGACGGTGACTCGGAAACGTATAAGCATGGTTCAATTACCTTTCGGAATGCCAGAGATCTGGCTCAAGAATACCGGGACGAGTTTATCAAGCGGGCAAACGAGCGTCATGAATCCGGTCGTTGTTCAGACCAAGCAACTGGTGATTCTGGCGAGACTGAGGAGACAGCAAAATAGGAACTCCTGACTTGTCTCCAAAGACAAGTCATGCATGACATCGATTGCGCTCTCGGACCTATCCTCATCTCCTACCCCCCAAAGAGTATCCATCTATTCATACAAATCCACCACGGACCCCCCAATCAATCTCCCCGCCTCCGGCTGCTGCTGCCTCACCCACTCCAGAATACTCTCCACGCAATGCTTCTGATGATGTTCGGAATCATACCGCTTCTCCATCGTCACCCCCGTATACCGCGATCGATACAGCTTCCGCCATAAATACAGACAGTGCGTATGGTGCCAGTCCACCGTCGTGGTGACTGCGCTGCGGTTCTGCGTCCCCACGACGTCCGCGCCCATGGATACTTCTGTGAGATCCAGCTTTCGGGACGCGTTTGGCCATGTGTAGAAGTCCCAGTTGTGGTTGTGGGACTTTCCCAGCGCTGTGAATTCGGTTATTAGGGCGTCGTCGCGGCAGCTGGAGGGGAGCCAGGCGAGCGCGAAGGGGTCGAATTTGCAGCCTCGCGAGAGGGCTTCTTGGGCGGTCGTGCCACAGGAGCAGGAGTTGGGGGTTGGGTTGGAGGTTTTTGGTGGAAGAGGAATGTGGGTGTAGATTTGGAAGGCTAGGTTGATGAGGCCGTAGAGGGCGAGGAGGTAGGTGAGGATGTTGAGGAGGAGGGAGGGCCATCGACGAGATGGGGGTGGAGGGTTTGCTTTTTCATTGTTGGGGGATTGTTCGACATCTGTTTGGTCTAAGGGAATGTATTGAGCCATGGCGAATTCCGATATTATCGTTCGAAGAAGTAGGAGACATACGAGCTGGCGAGGTCGCATACATCTGAATGAGAAACCTACCAACTATTCAAGAAGCTAGGGTTTCCAATCTTCAACGACTTACCAAATCCAATCGCTCTAATATTTCCCCTCCAAGCAAGTACGTAAATCTTGCCACTCATCCCATACGCCATACCTCAGCTGCGGCTAGAGTCCGTCCACATGCACATCTCACCAAATAAGCACTAAGCCATGTCGAACTATAACCAAAGCGGGAAATCCACCAGGATGTCTCACTGTAATCGCATTAAGACTCACCGTGTAAGCAACGCCCGCTCGTATTCGACCCAACCGTCCAACAAGAACCGGACCTGCAAAAATAAAGCAGAGTAGGCGGTCCTAGTGCTCTGCATGTGGCTTTGGTATACTCCAACTATATCGGTGTGAGATTGCATGAACGGAGTCCGACGCCCCGCGAACGTGGCTTGCAGGATCAGGCTGTACGACGTGACGCTGCAGATTCAGGTGGCTGTCACATGAGACGGTGATCCTGTAGGATAATACGATAGCAGGGATCCATTTCCCAGATGAGGGTTAGGTGGTGTGTTCTCATTTTTGGGTTGTCGAGATCTAGACTGCACTCTATGACTACCTGTTAACGAAAACAGCAACCACGCCTATACTGCAACTCTATGTAGAAATTCAACACCTAAACTCATCCAATAACTATACATCCAACCCCAAATCACCCAGACCCAAACGGCCTCGCCCTCCCCTCCCCCGACAACTCCCTAATCCCCTCCGGAGCGCGCTGAATCAACGCCCACTCCTCATCCGAAACATTCACCTGATTCTCCTCCTTCCAGTCCAATATCGCCCCGAAATCCCGACACTTATGATCGATGCTAAAATCCGCCATCGGCCCCGTCACCCCCTCCACCTTGTTAAACGTCACCATCCCCACGTCCGCATGGCACAGGATAAACTGCAGCAGAATGTACTGGCAGTGCAGATCGTGGCCTCCGCGCGTGAAATGCACCTGTCCGGGAGTGGACCGCTCGTGGTGAGAATGATCGTGGGTGCGGTTGAAGTAATATTCCGGATATGCAGCCTGTCGCATCGCGTTTAGACAGTGGAGGTGGTGAAAAACATCCAGGAGACCCATGTAGGCGTCGTCGCCGTAGCCGTATTCCTCGGGGAAACGCCATTGCTCGGCTGGGTCGCGGCCCATGTTGAGGATCTCGTCCCGTGAAAGCACGATGGCGTGCGTGTCGGAGATGCGGTCCCATGCGGCGTCGACTTCGGGGCTGGGAGGCAGTTGGAAGAGAGAGGGGGGGTCGTCGGCGAAGAAGTTCCCGTGGGTGCGTGTTTCGCGCAGCGAGATGGGGAGTTTGTCGAGGATTGGGGCTGCTTTTTCGTCAGTTGCTTAGGTATTGATGGGTTGGTAGGATAGAAGAAGAGGGAAGGTACAGTAGGAAGAGGTCTTTTTGAGGAGGCTGTTGTCGATGTTGTGTGTTATGTTCTGGACGTGGATGATGGATATTAGGAGGATGAGGATGGAGAAGAGGAAGAATATCAGGTTGAAGAGGACGAAGCCACCGGGGACGGAGAGGATGCGCATGGTCCATATTGAGGATTTCTCTCTGGGGGCATGGTGAGTTGGACTTAGAGGCTCAGTTTCTGAGTCTATGTCCTCATTTCCATTGTTCACTTTTTGATACATCGGAGACGGCATTTTGGCAGCGCGTGAGAACATCGAAGGAGAGGGGAAGACAGAATCCCAAAGTTGAAAGACATTTGATGGGTGGCCACCTCTCGGGCTGTAAACAAATGCCGATACTAAAATCACATCACCCACCTGAACCAGTAGCCTCCGTCTGACATCAGTCAAGAAACAAGCTAATCTGCAACTATGATAGGTCACACAGAGGCTGCATCCAGGCCAATCACAAGCCAAGCCACCTCGTGTTAGGGCTTACATCCCAGAACTACATTTTATCCTTTCAGGGTAACATGTCGACGAGCGGTGGATGGGAACCATCTGAGTAAGGATAGACGTAGTTGAGATGGAAATGGCGTTAGAGTTGAGGTTCTGGCGAAGGTAGTATCCATCTCCTGGCATATTCCTGTTTTGATCAAGCGCTTATCTTCTGTATGCTTTTCTGTGGTGACTCGAGACATAAATAGCCTCGAATATCCCAGCGATCTAGTCCTGATCAACAATCAATCAATCAAGCCATTGATCCCTAGCACAACTCTACTCTCTCTCCAGAATCCGCCGCCTTATATCCAAAATGCAGTTCTCCCGTGTTCTTCTCTGCGTCGTCGCTCTCGTCGGCACTGCCATTGCCCTTCCTACTCCTGAGGCTCCCACGGACGATGTCTCTACTGCTGGCTACACCGGTGCCGGAGGTGAGCATACACCTTGTTCTCTCTATACTAGATACTAATACTATCAATGCAGGCGTTGCAATCCTGAACGGCGTTGATCTTCCGGCTCAGAAGCGGGATGATGCGACTACCCAAGGCTACACTGGTGCCGGTGGTATGAACATCTGCCTGTTGCGATAATTGTCCTCAATCATTGGCTAACACGTATTGAAGGTGTTTCTATCCTGAATGGCGTCGAGCTTCCCGCTGAGAAGCGCGATGATGCAACCACTCAGGGATATACTGGTGCTGGTGGTGAGTTTTGTTTCCTTCTACTTGTGTTCTGGCTAATGGGGCTTGTAGGTGTTGCTATTCTTAACGGTGTTGAGCTTCCTGAGAGTAAGTAGAGTAGATGGCTGGCTTGGTGTTTCAGGGTGTGGTCTTGTTTACGCAATCTTGATTTAACTATGATTTTTATGATCGCATGAAGGAATCTAGGAAATCTCTTCAAATGATACCATGGAAGGTGTGTATAGAAGAATGTAGATCCAAGGATATATAACCGCGCATAGTGGTTTGATAGTGATTGTACTACTTACTTGGCGGTGTTATGTATCGAGGATAAGCTAGCATTTCTATACACTAGTCCCAACATTATCGATTTGTAGAATAAAAAAACAATCCATAATAATTCCACCAGTGTAGTTCTATGTCCTCTGGTGCAAAATAGATGCCTGATGGGATGCCTCGTGCTCACCGCCTTCCCCCGACTGTTGATCTTCGCCGCGTTCGCGACTCCAACAATCGATAACTCGTCATGTTGTATAAACAAGACCAATTCAAGGATTATCCTTATCCTCAGAAGGGGTAAGAGCTTCAGCCGTGCCCTCGTATTCTCGACCGACTGACATAAACCAGGCCCGATGTCCCAGCCACCTACGACCGGAAGCCGAACCCGCCTCTGCGCGGTTTCGTGGTAAGCCTGGCCGCCTGGCTGTCGGTATCCCCGAGCAATCGACGAGTCGAGCTGAACTAACGCGTCCAGACTCGAGTGGGTGTGGTTCGTACCGAGTCTTATCTGGCTGAATGCCGGATTCGGCTCATTGCGTGCTATCAAGCCGCATCTGGATTACACCGAGCCGCGATATGATCCGACGGTGATTCCGTTGCACGCCGAGCAGCGATCCGACAGCGAGAACCCTTTCGAAGAACCTCCGTCCGCGACTTCCTCGTCCTCCGCCGTCTCGAACCCCAAGTACTATTCGGTGGCCGACTACCATGCGCTGTATACATCAGGCGAGCTGACGCCGACCGCGGTCATTAAGGCGCTTTTGCCGCTCATTCGTCGTGACTTGGAAACGCCCGGAAAACATTCGATTGCGTTCGCTGATAGTCAGGTGGAGGCTGTGCTTGCTGCCGCGGAGGCCTCGACCCGTCGGTATCGGGAGAAGCGCCCGTTGGGATTGTTTGATGGGGTTCCTACGGCCGTGAAAGATGAATTCGACGTGGACGGATACCGCACGTTCCTCGGCTCGTTGAACGATTATACTCCGGAGACGAAGGCGGATGGGTCGTCGATCACGAACTGGTGTGTCAGACAACTCCAGAATGCCGGCGCGATTCTCGTGGGCAAACTCTCCATGCATGAGTTCGGACTGGGTGGGTGTCTTGCACGATCATGAGCGTCTCGGTCTAACCTCGGCAGATACCACTGGCAACAACATCCACTATGGCACCCCTCCCAACCCGTACCATCCCCAGTACTACACTGGCGGAAGCTCCTCGGGCTGCGCGTACGCCGTCAGCACGGGTCTAGTTCCCCTGGCCTTAGGCACCGACGGCGGCGGCAGTGTGCGCATCCCGTCTGCCTTCTGCTCCGTCGTCGGCCTCAAACCCACGCACAACCGTCTGTCGCACTATCCCGGAGTCAACTATGCCAGCACAACCAGTGTCATCGGCCCACTCGCCACCGATATTCGCACCCTGGCCGAAACCTACCGCATTGTGGCTGCCCCTGGGCCCGACACGGCCTTCCCGACCCCTGGACCCCTGGTTCTGAACCCGTCGACCCGCGGAAAGAAGTACCTGGGCGTGTCTGAAACCTGGTTCTCGCGGGCATCTCCGGACGTGCAGCGCCTTTGTCGGTCCCTGCTTGACAAGCTCGTGTCCGTGCACGACTACACTATCGTCCCGATCGAGATCCCCTTCCTCGTCGAGGGCCAGAACGCCCACGCCATGACGATCCTGAACGACGCCGCCGCTGTGCTCACGGAGACCAGCAACTTCTCCGCCGCCAACCGCATCCTTCTCGCGCTGGGTAGAGCCACCCCGGCGACTGACTACCTTCTCGCGCAGAAACTGCGCCAAATGCTCATGCAGCACCTGTCCGCTCTCTGGCAGGAATTCCCCGGCATGATCATCGTCACCCCCACGGCTGCGTGCACCGGATGGCGCGTCAAGGCCTCCACCGAGCTCAGCTGGGGCTTCAGCGACGGCGACCAAACCCTGAAGGCCATGGAGTATGTCTGGCTGGCGAATTTCACCGGCATCCCGGCGCTCAGCGTCCCCGCTGGCTACGCCGAGCCGGAGAAGGGCGCGCGCGGCGAAGGTAAAGTCCCCGTGGGCCTGATGGGCAATGGCGAATGGGGCAACGAGGAGGGACTCCTGCAATGGGGGCTGCAAGTCGAGGAGATCTCGTCACAGCTGCGTGAACGGCCACCCATCTGGGAAGATGTCATCCAGCGAGCCCGTGACTTGAACTGCACCAGCGACAGCGAGGACGAGCATGAGCATGAGCATGAATCGTGATATATGCATTGTATCAGGCGCATTAGATACAGACAGACATTAGCCAAGACAGCGAGATTTACCTGAACCAACTGCCTTTCCCCCTTCACCCAAGGTCAAGGTGTAGTATCCAAGCTATCCCTCCTTCGCACTCACCATCCTCCCCTCTGCATCCTCACTCATCCTCCTCGTCCCTCTCCTCCTCTCCTCCCTCCCACTCATCCACACAATCCCCGCCGTCCACCCCACCAACGCCACCGAACACCCTATCATCGCCCACATCCCCCTCGTAAACCTTGGCGCCATCTCCGCCCCATAGAAGAGAATACTCCACCACGCGTTGACCGCATTATTCCCCATATTCATACTCGCGATGACCACACTCCTCTGTCGCGCATCCACCCCCCTCATCGCATCATTACACCACGCAAAGAACGTCGCCTGGCACGCATACACCGCGCCGGCCCAGTAATACGCCCCGAAGACCGTCGCGGTGTCGTTGAACCGCGCCAGTATCAGCCCCGACGTCACGCAGCCCGTCACCCCGATGAAGTACCCCACCAGGTACCGTTTCCCGTTTAGATAGTCCGTGAGCGTTGCCCAGAACAGGGTGGACAGGATCCCCACGGCGGGGACGCCCGTCGGGTAGGTGTTTAGTTGCGAGACGGAGTAGGATTTGGTGGGGTGGGATTTCATGTACAGGGCGAGGAGGGAGTTCGAGGAGAAGGATTCCGTCTCGCCGGCGATGATCCACAGGATGACGAAGAACCACCAGTACCAGGTTGAGAAGAGGGTTTTGAGGAAGGGCAGGTTGAGGCGCGAGGTGTGGCTGTTTGTGCTCGGGAGGCGGGTGATGGCGAGGTGGCGCTCGGTGGGGTTGAGGTAGGGCGCGGTGGTGGTGGTGGGGGTGTCGGGGAAGAGGAAGAGGCCGTAGATGGCGATGGGGAGGGTGATGAGGCCGTCGATCTGGGGGTATTAGATTATTGGGTTATGGTATGGGTGGAGGGTGTAGTTGGTGGGGATGGTCTGGGGTATGCGGGGGAGTTAGGGCTAGTGATGCATGAAGGCTAGACAAGACACGGCAAAGGGAGTGTCTAGACCGGGGAAGGAAAGTCGGATGGAACACCGAGAGGGGAACACAACTTGAAACAGGAAAACCGGCTACTCACAATAAACAACCACCGCCAACCAGACAAGCCCCTCGCACCGTCCAGCGACGAATGGATGCCCGTCTGAATGAACCCCCCAAACATGGTCCCCGCTAGCCCCGACGCCGTGAAGATGCCACTGCGCTTCCCCAGCTCGCGCTCCGTGTACCACGAGCCTAGGATATAATGCGTGCCAGAGAACGTGCTGGCCTCCGCCAGACCCAGGAAGAAGCGAATGGCCATGATGCCCTGCGGGCTATGCACGGCGGCGGTGATCATGGTCAGTCCGCCCCAGAGCAGGATCATGGACGGGAAGAAGATGCGCGGGCGGAAGTAGGTTAGGGCTAGGTTGGACGGGACCTGGCCGAGGATGTAGCCTACGGTGAAAATGGTGTTGATGAGGTTCAGCTGGTTGCCGTGGAAGGCGAGCTCCTCTTTCATGCCGGAGACGTAGGCATTGGAGAGGTTGGAGCGGTCGAGGTAGTTGAAAAAGTAGGTGAGGCAGCAGAAGGAGAGGATGAAGAAGTCGATTTTGAAGAGCAGTTTGGACTCGGGGGTCCTGAAGGTCCACATTTTCCAGAGGGGGGTTGGACCTGGCAAAAGGCAGGCCTACATGCAGGGAGATCGAGACGACATGGCCGAGTTATATAGGAAGAGATTTCAGCCGAGATGATGGATTCTACGGCGTAATTCTGGATCTCGACTCTTATCAAACATGCCAGGATAGGCATGACTCAGCGGGGCCGGGGGTGCCTTCTGATTGGTGGGTGGGACTCGTGCGGTCATTGAGTTGCCTAGGTTTACTCCGGAGTAGACAATTGCATTGAAGACTGAAACAGGATATACTGTTTTGAATATTGATTATCTCTGGCATCTGTTATCATCAAACATCTCAATCTTTACTTCGTCCTCACCCTTAGAATTCAATACAACAATACTGCCTGAGAATACAGGCCAATGATAAATGATGAATTCTCAAACAGTTTGCCTATTTTCTCTAAAAGTAATAGTATATGAAAAGTAGGGAAATTATCTTATCATTGTCAATCTGGCAATCAAAGATCAATCAAACCAATGGGGTTGCATATTTGATTCCTTGCCTAAATCGGTCTAGCCGATGGCATACTTGATCGCCTCCGCCCAAATGCCGCGCCGGTTATACAATAACTATATCATTGTTTCCTCGGTGTATAGGACCTATAGGCGCTCAGAGATGGAAAGTGTTATCAGCCACCGTATCTAGATCCTGAAAGTGGTGATCAATTGAACATCCCCGCCTTATAGGGTCTTGGCGAGTCTCAGCAGGCAGCGGAGGAGAATATACATTATCACAGATTACGAACCCGAGTAAAAAGGATGAGAGGATAGGAGGGCAGATCAGATACCGAGCCATCCTTGCCAATACTGTAGGTCGTACTAGGTAGGCTGTGAGGAAACACATGTCCAATCAGACCGAAAGAGTGAGATATATTTAGTTCCCACGGCAGTTATATATGCTTCGATAGTAAGTCCCGAGACTGTACATATATTGAACTCAAAAGATGACCAATTCAACGATCAAGGAAAAAAAAAAAGAAAAAAAAAGACAGGTAAAATATTTTCTGAGCCGGCACAATTTGAGTTACCTGTTATTCGACAGTATGCTAATGCAATCAAGTTGTGCACCTTACAAATTGTGCAGCCCAGCTGCAGTCAGCTGCCGACACACCGCCTGCCTAAACCACCGATCTTGGCACGGGGCAGTGCCGCCTCCTGAACGACTTTGGCTCTTTTATTCTCTTGCACAACCTCACCGTTTCTTGTCTGCCCATCCAACGTCAGACACGTCAGGATGCTGCTCGGTCTGCCGATCGTGCCACATCCTGTCTCCCCAATTCCAGTCCTCTGGTCTGTCCCATAAGTGGCCCTCTCCCAACCATGAGGCTGGTGAACGTCCTCCGCGAGAAACTCCTGAAGGAGTCGCGCTCCCGGGTCCTCCGTCCAGTCGCCATGGACCCTCACGCCCCTATCGAAGCAAATGGGGACCCTTCCTTCCTGGACCGGAAGCTATCATTCGACGAAATGGGTGAACAGCTGGTCGAGCCCACCCAGTTCAGCTTCATGACCACCCTGCTCGACTCCGCCATCCAAGCCCCGAGTCTCGACGAGTTGATCTCCTTCTACAAGCCCTTCGACACCCTGATGGAGACACGGGAAGAGGCCGGAACCTGGTGGCTGCATGTCACCTCGCCCTCGGATGCGGATATCGAGAAACTCTCGGACCTCTTCGATATCCATCCCCTGACCACGGAGGACATCAAGATGCGAGAGGCTCGCGAGAAGATCGAGCTTTTCGGTCCTTACTATTTCCTGTCGATGCGACCGCCGCGACAGGTCGTTGCGCCCAACGCCGTTAGGGCTCTGTCGCTCAATGTATATGCCGTTGTGTTTGCGCAGGGTGTGTTGAGTTTTACGTTCGGTCTGAGCGCACATGCCGACCATGTGCGACATCGTATCGATGAGCATCGCAGTCATCTGGCCTTGACGAGTGATTGGATCTGTTATGCTTTGATGTATGTCACCCTTTTTCTTCTTCTTGTTCGGAGCTGACTGCTTAGTGATGATATTGTCGACGGGTTCGCCCCATTCATCGAACGAATCGAGACGGGCGTGGAGATGATGGAGGATGGCGTCTCCATCGCCCGCCCGGACGATATCGGCGTGGCGTTGCAGCGCATCTACAAATGTCGCAAGGAGGTTATTCGCATCCGACAGCTGCTCAACGATAAGATCGATGTCATTCGCAGTTTCGCGCGACACTGCGGTACGGCCAACGCACCAACCGCCGAGGTCGCTCTCTACCTCAGCGATATCCAGGACCACGTGTTGACCATGATGGCCAACCTGTCGCAATCAGAGGAGATGCTCTCGCGGTCGCAGTCGAAGTACCTCGGACAGCTGTCCTGGGACTCGACGCGCATGCGTAATGAGATTGTCGAAACGCTCAGTCGGCTGTCGGTGATCGGCGCGATCATCGTGCCGATGCAATTCATCACGGGATTGTTCGCCATGAACGTGACGGTGCCTGGCAAGGGCACCGAGGGAGGAACAGAGCCCGGCACGCCTGGACTATATTGGTGGGGAGGCATTTTAGGAGTCATCTTGAGTGTGATCTTTTCCTGCCTGCTGATTGCCAAGAGGCTCCGGATTATTTGATAGATAGCCAGACTTCAACCTGAATCGATTCCCCATTTTATCAGGACTTGTGATGTACCACTTTAGCCTCCTCCAGATTCACATTCAAACTCAGCAGATCCGGCCTTGAATAGTGCCCGACAGGATCACAAACATTCTTCGCAGCGAGGATATCATCCAGATCCACGTTCGCTGTCAGAATCCCTTCCTCCCCTTCCGCTAACCTCTCGACCAGCGGCGTCCCATCCGGCCCAAAAATCATCGCAAAGCCTCCACCGTCCTGCAGAATACACAATTAGCCCATACCCACCAACCTCCCTGTCCCCAACAATGATGCCAAAAAAACTCACCTCCCTAAACAACCCCAGCCCTTCCAACCCCAACACCCCAAACCTCTCCCTCTTCACCACCTGCGTCGCACAAATCACAAACATCTGCCCCTCCATCGCCACCACCTGACTGAGCCGATAATTCGCCTCCCCCGAACAATTATACAGATACGGAAACGTCACGTCCTCGCTCTTCCACGGAAACGCCGGCCACCCGGCCACGTGGATCTGCGCGCCCTGCGAATACTCGTAGTAGCGGAGCAGCGGCTGCATGTTTTCCCAGCAGTTCAGGGCGCCGAGTTTACAGAGAGGCGTGTCGACGACGCAGGTTAAGGATGGGGATTGGCCTTCGCCCCAGAGGGTGCGTTCGGCGTGCGTGGGCTTGATTTTGCGGCGGTTGTGCAGGATGGTGCCGGTGTTGGAGATGAAGGCCTGTTTTGTTTGGTGCTTAGCTGTATGCTAGGGGGTTAAGAAGGGGGGAGGGGGGCATGAAACCTGCGACATGTATATACTCCCCCCATCTCTCTCGCTGTATCCCAGCACCACGTAGACATTGTGTTCGGCACACGCGTCTTGGATGCGCTGCATCTGTGGCGATGAGAGCTCTAGTGACGTGGCGCGGTACTTTGTTGCGAAGTCGAACGACGTGTAGGCGTTTTGGGTCCATATGGGCCTGGCATATGCCATAAGGACTTGTTATTTGACCTTCTAGCTAGCAAGGATAATCTGATATACATACCATGGATATCCTCCCACCCACACCTCGGGAAACCCTAACACCTGCACGCCCTTTTCCGCGGCCTCCGCGATCAAGGAGATCGTTTTTGTCACGGCGCCGTCGAGATCAAGGTACACTGGTTCAGCTTGTACTGCGCCGACGGTTACGGGGGACATGGTGTTTGGTGTTACGTGCTTGGTACTTGGTGGGATTAATGGGATTCAGATGTCGGTGAAAAATGTGATATCTGTAGTCTAGGTATTGGTAAGCTGAGTGGAGAGAGTAGGCATGCGGGCTGTTTTATATTGATATGAAGGCCGCGGAGATACGGATGTCTGCATCTGCCCCGCATGAAGCCAACGCTTCCGGGTTAGTGTTTTTCCAGTTAAGGAGGGATTGCTTACGTAGGTGGCTCTTTGCTTGGGAGGGTGTTGTGTGGCTGGATACGAGGGGGATCGATATGTTCATCAACGTGTCTTGTGTAGTCCGGCAAACGGATGTTGTGGGAGAGATAGTGTTTGTGGTGGCATTTGGAGAAATTTCCGGATGTCGAGGAATTTGTGGGAATCGAAAGAATGAATAGATACCTAGAAATTTGGTATGGCGTTACTCGGGGAACAGGTAGGTATGGAGTGGGAGAGAGTTACATCTCAGGTGTCTTCAACGCCTACAAGATAGGTCTCCGGGAAACACCCCGTAAAAGAAGATTAAGCAAGATATGTTAGGGGCGAAGAAAGGAATTGAAAAAAGAAAAGGAAAAGAAAAGGCGAAAAAGAAAAAAGGCAGAGCAGACAAACAAGTGAAACCGAGAACAACAGATTAAACGTATAACAACAACCACTGACCTCACAAGGAGCTTAAAAAGAGATAGGCTTCGGTTCTCGAGACCTGACGTCATCCCAGACAGTGGGAGACGAGATCTTCTTTCTCCAGCGACCTTTCACTTGAGACAGCCAATCGTCCCAAAGACATTTCTTTTCGCCAATATGAATAACACCGTCCTTTACTCCGATCCAGCCATCAATGGGCCCCAGAAGGTACTCGTGGCGGGTCCAGCACGCTTTAAACCAGAAGCCATCTTCACCCTTCTCAAAGAAATTGATCTGCTTCATGTAGCAGTCTTTACAAAAGTCTGTATTCATGCAATCCAGACAGTATACTATTTTTGACCCATGAGGCTCAAAAACATCTAAACTGACTGTAGGCTGGCATACCCCGTCGCAGGAAGCAGATCCCTCAATGCTGTCCATATTGGTAGGAATTGTGGCTGTTGAATCTTCGGGCTGAAGGGGAGTTGGTGCACTTTCAGGTTCATGTGTGCTCGATAGTGGTGAGACGGGACTGGGAGGTTCATCTCTCGGTTTGCCCTCGGTCTTGCTATTGACAAGGGCTGTGTTGCTGGGTCTCTCTTTTTCGTGATTCTCTTCAAGCTCAACCAAGCTGTCACTGGAGATAGAGGAATTCGACGACGGCAAGCCTGACTCTTCATATACTGATATTCCATCGTCATTTGCCCCCACCCGCGAAAGCTGGAGCGAAAAAGCCACTTTAGCATCTTCTTCTAATCCTAGAAATGCCAAAGCTTTGGTTAGAGCACGAAAGGCGCTTAGGTCATTGTAGCTGATGGAGTCTTCCAGATCTGCAATGCATATCTCAAAAGCACTTTGAACGTGTTTATCAGCCTGCTCATTGTTCCCCGATTTGAGGTACATCTTCGCGAGAGTCAACTTGGCCATTGAGAGGAAGCTTGTTTTTGGCCATGAACTGTGCTCGTACCTCCCAATTAAGCTTTCCAAATTGTCAAGTGCTTCCTTTTTGGACTCGTCTAAATGAGCGAATGTGAAGTTTTCATAATAGACCTCGACCATCGTGGAGAAAGCGTCGAAGACGATGAAGTCCGCACATGAAGTCGCGGTTAAGATCTCTTCCATAAGATATTCTGCCATTTTAGTTACCTTCGCCAGGCGCCAGTAAATGTTTAACAGCTTCGATTTGAGGAAGGCAGCTTTAATTGGGAATGTTTTTCGATCAAAGTCGATTGCTCTTTCGAATATGCGAATCAAATAATCAATGCGCCTTGACTCAGCCGCAGCCCTCTCTAGCAAGGTAGTTCCGTTTTCGAGGCGTTCCATCAAGTATATATGCATGATGAACCTATCTTGAATCACTGGTTTCTGTCGCCAGACTAAGTCAATGATCTTCGCCCATTGGGAGTTTTTGGCATATATATCAACAAGAAGCGAGAGAAGGTCCAGAGTCTGGGAAGTATACTGGAGTTCCCTTTTCAAGCAACGCTCACCAGTTTCAATCGCTTCTGTATCTTTACCAAGCTGCTTCAAGGCGTATGAATGCAGGACGAATGCTCTGGTAATTCTTCCTTCATTCAGATCTGTCCCAAGAGTGCCACTCTCTTCGAGCATGACATGTAGTGCTCGTTCAGCAAACTCTGAAACTGATGTCCAGCGTCGATCCTGTTCATTATCTCCGGTCTTCTCAGACTGTTCTCTGCTGTCTTCAAAGTACTCAGCTAGACCCAGATATGAGTAGAATCTTTCTGGGCCGCGTGTAACTTCGTCATCAATGTTCTGCTGATAAAGGTTTCGCGCAAACTCTCTGTTTTCTTCGTCCGTGGATTCATTGTAAAGTACCAGAGCTGCGGCAATTCGGCATCGAGACATTTGAACTGGCAGGTCGTAAAACACTCTCTTTTTCGCGTAATTCAATAAAGCCTTGATCTGAGCAGCATCAACTGTCGTTGAGTAGACCGATTCTCTGTTTTTCCCAAACCTCTAGACAGGCAGGTTAAAATTTCAATGACTTTCAACATGGTAGACCACGGGGATACATACCAAGTGCAGAGCGCGACATATGAGATTGTGAGGCACTTTGGCCTCAGGATAAGTCCTAGCCTCTGTCCAACTGTAGAAATGGCCTTTGGCAAGATTTTCAAGCAGTCTCGTTGGTTCCTTGAGAATTCTCTTAATCCAACTTCTTTCTGCTAGGGGAATCTCTGTTTCCTCATGGAAATCCATCTTCTTAGCCCAGCTCGTCACGATCCCGAGATTCTTTGCATCGTAGATGGTCGACATCAACCCATCATAATCGTAAGAAATATCATGGCCGCATAGCTCCTCGAAGACACGGGAGACATTCCCATCGTTGTTGAATATCCGGGAAAGCGCTTTAATAACTTGAGAGCATTCTGCAGGCTCCGTTAACTTAACATCTATGGTTTCTAAGTGACGCGTGATTCTTTGAGCTGCGTATCTTTGAATGTTTTCACGGAGCCCAGCACCTTCTGAGTCATGTCCGCAGAGAACATCAGTTAACTTCACAAAGAGGGATACCTTCGATTTCAACGGATGAGGAATCAGGTCGTTTGTTGTCGTCTCCAGATATTCACGGAAGGCCACTTGTCGAAAGGTGGCTATCTGTCGTTTGCTGCGGGTGGCTGCATCTTCCTGTTTGTCTTCACTCAAGTCAACGCCTTCAGAGACTTCCGTCACAAACAGGAAGCTGCTAAAAATTTGAGTAAACTTGTACACGTTGATCCCCGGCTTATCTGGAGTACTCACTTTGATGAATGGGCCTTGATTTGCTCGGCTACGTCCAAAGCTGACTTTCGCAAATCTGGCTCCTGTCTGACAAACTCCTGGAGGACGTACACGCTCAATGGTTGCTGAGCAAAAGTGCATAGAGCAAAGACGAATCGGAGAAGTTTGCGCTGATTTTCACTTTTGCTACTAAGGACCACACTGATAGTTTCTTTGTACAGTCCCTCTGGTGTCTTCATTGTTTTTAGCTTTTCAAGAGCGGAGACTTCGTCATTTGCTTGCTCTATGACTGTCATTTTGATATCCACCGTAGAGATTGCTTTCATTGATATAGGTAAGTCATAATGTTCAACAATCCATTGTCCTCAAGGACTACTCACTGTTCAGGCTTTCAAGCAGTCTCTTCTCCACTTGCTTCCAAAACTCATCTTTGAAGTTCCGCAGCTTTTCAGATTGGCTTACTCGGTGCTGGATTATTCGCCAAATGTCTCCTTTTTTGCCGATCATGTCATTTAGAACAATGACTGGGCATCTAGGAATTCCAACACTGGTTTTGTCACCGGCTCCTGTCATGAGTATCCGAATTCTGTCTTTTCCCAAGCTCAGATGCTGGAAAAGGTCCATCATCCTTGTGCGATCTGATTCACACATTACCTCAACACCGTCAAGAAGAATGAAAAGCTCTCTTGGGGCTTCTGATGCCGCCTTTTCAAATTTTCGGACTAGTAGACTCTGCCAAATAAATTCGATCACCTTCTGAGAATCGTCGTTTCCTTCTTTCTTACGCTCTTTGAAAGATAGCAAATCTCTGGCGATTGAATCACGAAGCTTCATGTCCTGCATCGCGACCTGAAGTAGAATATGCGCAAGCACACTTCCCAGTCCTTGGGAACTTTCCCTACCACCCTTGAAAGGGAAGTATGTGACAAACGGGATTGTCCTTCGCTGAGAGCTCTGATCTTTAGTTGCCAAGGCCTTGCGTTTCTGCAGAGATTTGTAGCAATGGCACGCAAAAAAGGTTTTCCCAGACCCCGCCTCTCCCAGTATAAAGATATAAGGAGCTCCCCGGCCTGACTCCCATTCTGTGTAGGTACTTTCGCTCTCAGTCCATGAAAACGTGTCATTCACTACTCGCTTCGCCACTAGTTTCATCTGATCTTCTACCCACTGTTCGACTTCAGGGTGAAAGAGGTTGAAGGCTTTGAGAGAATCTTTAATCGCATCCAGAGACTTTTGCGATTTATTCCAAAGGGGCTGGAGCTCGGAGTATTTCACACTAGCTTGCAGCTGCTCGACGAACCGGACAGGCATGTCTTTCATGTTTGTAGAAATTGTGTTCATTTCCACCAGTGTTTGGAAGGGAAGTGTATCACGGAACAGCCCGATGGCTTTTTTAACTTCATTGCATGCTTCTCGGATCTGCTGGTCTTGCCCTTTCAGAAGTGCTCGGAACCATCGTTCTACAACATTAGCATCATACTCGCACATTCTCTACCCATTATACTCACTTCTTCTGGTAGATGAAAAGACTGTGCCACTCATTGAACAAAATTTGACCATCGCAACAAAGATATCAGTTAGTCTTTCCAGAAAGGTCGGGCTGGCAAACTCCAATTTGAAGCGCTGGAGTTCTCCAATATCTTGCAGAGCATTGTTCAGAGTCTCAAATGTGGATTCTATCAAATCAAAATCCGCGCTCACATCTTCAGCCGCCTGTCATTATTCAGTAAAGCCCAAAGTTAACGGTAAACCCAAAGAGACGACAATAGCGCACATACCTGTATCATGTATGCAATTGAACCAGTAACTATCTTTGCCGGCACCGCGTACTATATCCTCAATTAGCAATATCCTATAAACTAAATCTCCCATCCCCTTTGGATCGGGTGACATACAGTCCCGGAGACATTATCATTGACAAAGCCGAGACCAGTCTTCACCCAATCCAAACAACCAGCAACCGAGCTCATAACCTTATCTTTTCTATCGTCCGGGTGTCGCGATTCTTCGAAAAGGGCCCTTGCTCTCTCAGAGCCGGTTTCTCCGTCATAAAGATTTCCATTGAATTGTTCGAGCTTCTCCGAGGATAGTTTGTACTCTTTCGCAATTTGGTCCATCGCCTCTGCCCAGATTTCGTCTATACTCTTAGACTTCGGGGATTCCTCGGGATTTTTCTTTCGACGAGAGATCCCCCCTGGATTCTTGAAGATGGCCGAATTCGACATTTCGGCTTTTTCTTTCTTTCTTGGTTTATAAGGTTTATTCAGGGTCTTGCTGATGCGTGCTTTAGATGGCGAGAAATCACCCCAAACAAGTACAGGGAGTTCATGGGAGATATGAACGAGTTTGTCTTCCAGCCGCACGCTAATACAGCACAAGTAGCACGCCAATCAGCCGCAGCATTGATGCGATAGACATGTTAGGTGTGATGCCAAGACACGCTCTGCATATCGGGCAGCATAACATCGGAGATTCTCCTGCCCCCATTGCGCTAGACGAGGGCCATCTTGATCTGCGCTTACGGGCTCTTCCGACACTAGTATGTAGCGGGATGGGTCAATGAATCTACCTCGCTCACTGAGGCAAGGCACATAATAGGTTGTTTCATTCCAGGCTTTACGGCGTTTGATGTGTATCTATCGCTACGTTTGATATGTTGATTTGAACGGTTTGTCAGAATGCAGCATCCCTGAGGCCAAATGGACTGCATAATATGAGCTGGATAGTTAGTCGGGAAGATTCAGCCCCTTCATGCAATGTAACCCTAGTGAACTTCCACAATTGTCAAACTGCATTGCACGTGAGTGTCTTCGCAGATAAGATATCATTTCGTCTAGAATAGCTGCATGAAACGTTGACCTGGTCATTCTTTTTAGTTCATACGGGGGCTGATAGGCCGCCTAAGGTCTAGGACGTGCCATAGACATCGACATTTTGACTGTTTATGGCAAAACTCTTCCTTCTTGGAAAGGCAGAGATCACCTCTAGTGGCATAGTCGATGGCTCGAATGAATTACGATTCCTTCGATCAATCAACCTTGTGAGGCAAGGCTATCGATGATCTCATTGATAGGGTAGCGAAAGTTGGCTTCATCGCCTGTCAAAGCCAAGATATGGGTGAAACTAAGCTTTAGGTTTGCATTTGCACTCGAGGTGTCTGTCTATAATTGAGATCTAATATTTTAGTTAAGGCTCGAAGGAGCTATGGCAGTGAAATCGGCACAAAGGTTACATAGCCAGGCTTTGTAGCCAATCGGACAACATATTATGTTCAAGTACACTAAATGGCAGCGGAATCCATACATTACTAGTCCGCCAGAGCAATGATAGTAAGGGGCTTAGTAGTAGGGGATCAGGGATGGTAGAGGCTGAGCAGTAGTGACGAATACGAATATCCTATTTATCCCGAATTTGTAACTCATTGTATATCAAAATGCATCAACAGTGGAGATCATAACGCGCCAAAATAGAAAGATAACATCATCACTGATCAAAGCAATCCGAAAACCTGATCTATCGAGATCCAACTCCGTAAAGCAAACAAATAAACAATACTCAGGCAATCTGCATCTATCACCCATTCCAATACCCAAGCTAATCACACCTTCTCAACATCCCGTCTCTCACTCACCACAGGCTCAGTATCCTCACCCTCCTCCTGCGCCTTCTTTCTCTTCCACGGCATCATCCCACCAAGCCGATGCATCCCCCGACTCAACGGCCGATACACCGCAACAACCGGCTTGCCAACAAACCGCGCAACAACAGCAAACCAGTCATCTGGGAAAACACGCACAACAATCGCCCACGGCCACGACAGCGCCGCAACCAGGATACAAATAGCCCACTGGACGCCATTGATCGGGACGATGCTGAAAGCGGTCTTCCCGACAAACGCGATCAGGATCTGGCAGCCGACCATGAGGCAGTTGATGACAATAAAGAAATAGTTGCGGTGCAGGCCCGTGAAGATGTTGAATTTGTTGTCAAGGCGTCGGTTGTTGAATTCGTTGAAGATCTGCATCCACACGAACGTGTTGAAGACGATCGATCGGCGCTCTTCGTCCGGGTAGTCGAGGAATCCGGGGCCCTGGGCGAAGTGCAGGATTAGGGTGACGGTGAGCTGGAAGATGGCTTGGCCGATGATCATTTTCCACATGGTGATTGAGATGAGGCGGGCGCCGCGTTTGGGCGGTTTGCGGTCGAGGATTGCTTCGGTGGGGGGGTCGGTTGCGAGGGCTAGAGCGGCGAGAGAATCCCTGTGGTTGTTAGTTAATGGGTATGGGTGATAGGTTGGTGTCTTACATGATCAGGTTGATCCAGAGGAGCTGCACGGCTGTTAAGACGGATCGCATCTCTGCGTCGGAGACGGACGAAATAAACGTCAGGAACACGGCGGTGATGTTAACTGTGATCTGGAATTGCAGGAACTTCCGGACAGCATCGTTCACGGCTCGTCCCCACATCAGAGCTGTCAGGATCGAGGCGAAATTGTCATCCATAAGAACAATCGCGGACGCTTCCTTGGCTACTTCCGTTCCGGCGATTCCCATCGAGAATCCGATATTCGCAGCCTTCAGGGCAGGGCCGTCGTTGGTTCCATCGCCCGTCACTGCAACGATCTCGCCCATTTCTCGCAGCCGAGTGACGAGAATCCGCTTGTCTTCTGGAGATGAACGGGCCAGAACCTGCAGTTTCGGTAGCGTCTCCGCAAATTCCTCGTCCGTCAAGGTACGGAAATGCGGTCCTTCCATGACCACTCCGCCTGTGTAGATCCCGCAGTCTGTCGCGATAGCTTTCGCCGTGACCATGTTATCACCGGTGACCATGCGGACCGTCACGCCCGCATGGTGGCATTTGGCCACTGCCTCGGGCACTCCAGGACGAATCGGATCTTGGATTCCAACGACGCCGAGGAAAACCATATCCTTCAGCAGCAAGGCAAGATCTGCAGATTTGGGATCATCGGCGCTGATTCCCTCTCGCGGAGGCCAGGCAGGGAAGTCGCGGTATACCAAAGAAAGCGTGCGAAGTGATTGTTTGGCGTAAGTTAAAATGATGTCTTCAAGCTGTTCCCGCTCGCGTATGTCAAGGACGTCAACGCCTGACGGTTTCCAGATGTCGGAACTGTAACCAAGCAAGATTTCGGAAGCCCCTTTGAGGAGGAATCGGTATTGGCCATTTTCCAGTCGCACCACTACCCCCATGCATTTGCGACCGGAGTCGAAGGGCATCAGTTGCACGACAGTCGCATTTGCGCGCTCCTCTGCGAGAGATCCCATTCCTAGCACGTTTCGGGCAAAGCCTAACAGAGCAGTTTCGGTCTTGGAACCAACGAATCCAGGAACTCCGTTCTCTTCGCCCTCGAAGGCTGTCGAGTTGACGGCGACCGACTCGATCAATACCCGCTTATGATCCTTCGCCATATCGTTGGCAAAAGCGGCTGACCGTCGCTCGTTCCCGGTCTGGTTCTTATCGTCGAAGTGATCGTCCCCGAAGACTCCGGTAACAACAGTCATGCGGTTCTGCGTCAATGTCCCTGTTTTATCCGAGCAGACGGTGGTGGCATTACCCATAGTCTCACAAGACTTCAAGACGCGCACCAGATTGTTGAGCTTTACCATGCGAGTGGTCGCAAATGCCAGCGCCAGGGTTACCGCCAGCGGAAGACCCTCTGGAACGGCGACGACAATCACTGTAATAGCGACGATTAAGATGTCGGTGAACTGAGAAGCTTTCTCGGTCCCGCTGCGTGGATTATCCGACAGCGTGCCGACGAAGCGGAAAAGGAGAACAAAGAATAGTAGTATAGCAGCACTGCTACCCAGTTTTGCGATTGCCCCCGCCAGACCATCGAGTTTCTTCTGAAGTGGTGTCGGCTCCATATCCTGCCTCATGGCCATGAGAATCTTGCCGTAGCTAGAGTTCACACCAACAGATGTCACCAGGCAAGTACCGACACCTTCGAGGATCTTGCTGCCTGAGATGATAAACGGGTCCATGTCGTGTGCTTTGCTATGTCCTTGCTCCAACATGTCCATGACCTGCTGCGCACCAGTTTTCTTCAGCTGATCCGACTCTCCGGTTGCAGAGGACTCGTCGCATTTCACATTATGACCTTCAATAAAGATGCCGTCGGCGGGGACGATGTCACCTGGCTCGAGATGGAGTACGTCGCCGACGAGAACATTGAAGACAGAAATACGAACGGTTTTGCCTGATCGGACAACCGTGACTTCGCGGTCTTCTTTCTTTGCGTTCAGTCGCACAAAGGCTCTTTCTTTCTGCCAGTCGTTCAAGGACCCGACGAGCACGACGATAACGATGGCGATACAGATGGCACAACCTTCGATCCAGTCCACGGGCATAGGCTCCCCGGGTTCGTGGTGAGCACCGAATGTTTCGTAGAGTCCGAGAGCCAGTGAGATGGCAGCCGCCGCAGTCAAGAGGTGAAGCACCTTATCATTGTATGCCAGCCAGACCAGCTTCCATAGAGGCGTCGCCTTCTTCTCTGGGAGTGAGTTGTTCTTGTACACGCGGATCCGGTCGGCGAAAGGCTCCGAGCCGTGGGCGCCGGTCGATGATGTATCGTGAGTTGAAGCAACACTTTCGTTAGCGCTGAGACCAGAGGTAGCGTCGGTGTGCAGCCCCTTAACTAGTCCCGACAGACCACCAAGAGCAACAAAGGCAGGGAGCGATTTGGGGTTGAGTAGCTTGTTGAGTTGGCCTGGGGAGAACGAGAACGGGTTATTATCAATTTTGAAATCATTCTCGGATCCTGGATCGGGTCGGAGAGCGTCTTCTTGTTCTTTGGATGAGAAGATACTCGACGCGGAGCTGGACGGTTCGCCTTTGGTGTCGGGCAGCTCTAGGAGCGGGCTAGCGGGCGCCATGGTACTGCCGCTCATGGCTCGATCTCGACCTGTATGAGTAGTATCTATCGCTGTCAGGTTGCTAAAAGACCTCTGCCGCGAGGACACGCCCGATGAAACCGTCTCGTCATGGTCACCGACGCTGGAGGAAGAGAAGCTATCGATCTCCTAGGAGACGTCAGACAAAGGAGAACGAAGCTGACAGGCAGACTGAAAGGTACCTACCGGGACCTGCACGGTGATCGCCGGAACGGGCGCTTGACCAGAAGAAGTTGGCTCTTTCTCCGGGGATACCATGATGAGCGTTGATGTCAGATTCTCATGCCGCTGTAGACAGAAACTGAGAGCATCTCGAGAAGCAAAGCATCAAAACACCAGCATTTGAGTTATGTACTGGCAGCTCGAAAAGCCTGCGCATCCGTGGAAAGCAGGACAGCACGGGACGAAGCGCCGTGGGCACCGCTTGCACAGCCCCCTTCGATGACCATCGAATGGCCTGTTTACTGGCACGCCGGGCTCGGCACCGCACGAACCAGCAGCAACGAGCGGAGCGCCAAGATACCTCACCAAAGGCCGGCCGCGGAGCCAAGACCGCTCTTGCATAAGTGGCCTGCGATGGCGGCGAGTTTATTCCTCGTCATTGTTCCGGGTAAAGAGCCATGTGGTTTCAAGGAAGAATCCGTCAATGTCAGAGAAAATGCGGGGGATTTGCGCGCGGGGTATCAAGCCCTGTGCAACGGTGATAAGTGCCGTTTTAGCGGAGAGACGGAGTATATGCCATACATTATAGGACGGATCTCCACCGATAAAAAGCACAGCCGACTCCACAAGGCTGCCTTGTCGGGTCTTGTCTTGTTTGACGCGTCAAGGTGCAATCTGGACTCTTTGTCGGCTTTGCATCGATTGTTCTTTGTGCTGGCCTTTGTGGATCTTCGATATGGGTTTCAATCTTCATGCAGACAACAGCAATGACCCTCCTGAAGTGCGCAACTGGAGGGTCCATTTCATTGCGACGGTGGTTAGCATGGGAGCTATTGCCAGTGAGTTTCATGCCATATATTAGGCGATTGACTTCTGACAATGGAGTCGCAGTGGGATACGATACAAGTGTAATCGGTGGAACTTTGGCATTGAACTCCTTTCGCAGAGACTTCGGGCTGATCCATGTGTCTGACCATGCGACGGACACGTTGGAGGGAAACATTGTATCGACATTCCAGGCTGGCTGTTTCTTCGGATCTTTGCTGACGTTCCCACTCGCGGAACGCTTCGGGCGAAAGATGGCAATCATCATGGCGATCTCGGTCTTTTGTGTTGGCGGTAGCTTGATGGTCTGTACTCAACCCGAGAAGCATGTTGCCACATCCAAAAGCTAAATTCTGTTTTCAGACCGCTGCCTCGGGTCATCTGGGCATGATATACACAGGTCGGGTGATTGCAGGGTTTGGAATCGGCTCGGTATCCTTGCAGGTTCCCGTGTACATTGCGGAGACCGTAAGATTTACTTCTCATTCTCGCATGTGTGTCACACTAATCACAACTTTAGTCTCCACCCTCCATTCGGGGCCGTCTTGTGGGAATATTTGAGATATGTTCCCAAGGAGGCGGCATGTGTGGCTTCTGGATCAACTACGTTGTCAATCGCACAATTGCCTCCTCTAAAATGGCTCAGTGGCAGGTTCCGTTGGGACTTCAGCTTTTGCCTGGGGCCCTCCTCCTATTCGGTATCTTCTGGTGTCCAGAGACGCCACGCTGGTACGCGAAGCAAGATCGATGGGACGAGGCTGAGAAAAGCCTGATTTGGATCCGCAAGTTGGATCGTCATCACCCGTTCATTCAGGAGGAATTGGCGCAAATCCGCGAGCAAATCCAAATTGGCTTGCCTCCACCCGGGACTAGGCACAGCCCGATGTACTTTGTGCAGCGGCTCTGGCAAAAAGGCACCCGCAACCGAATTGGGATTGGTCTTTTGCTGATGGCATTTCAAAATCTGACTGGTGTTAACATCATCACCTAGTAAGCTGGAGTCTGTTCTTTTGTTCCAGGGAGGTCGTCGGACATTTGTCAGAGCACATGTTAACTCGGTTGCGAAGCTACTCGCCGCGTATTTTCGAGACGCTGGGTATCACGGGCACCGACACGAAGCTTTTTGCGACGGGATTTTACGGAGTTGCAAAGACCCTCGGCATGGTGATCTTCAGCGTCTGGCTGGTCGAGAAAGTCGGTCGTCGCAGCGGTTTGATCTGGGGAGCCTTTATTGGCAGCTTGCCGATGTGGTATATAGGTGGGTATGTCTTCAAAGCGGATCCCACTGCAGCTGCGGCAGCCGGACGAACAGAGCCTAATGCAGCGGGATACATTGCCATGGTTTGTGTATACCTGTATGGCCTGATCTACTGCGCGACTTGGCAGGTAAGACATCGTTTCCCTTGGTGGCTTTGCGACAGCTAATCATCTCTCTATCTTCTACCAGGGGATCACCTGGGTCATCTGCTCCGAGGTCTTCCCTATTGATATTCGCATGCTCTGCGTGGCCATCACGACGGCTGATCAATGGCTGTGGTCGTTCATAATTAGCCGTACGACTCCCTACATGATCACCTCATTAGGGTACGGCACATATTTCTTCTTCGGATCGCTGATGATATGTATGGGAATCTGGGCTTATTTCTTCATTCCGGAGACGAAAGGCAAGACGCTGGAAGAGATGGAGGCGTTATTCGGTGCTCCGAGTAGTGTTAGCCAGGAGTTGAATGAATACGGCGAAGTGGTCAAGGGGAAGGGTATGGTGACTGCGACACATGTAGAGAGAGTCTAGTGAATGATTCCATTGGCATAGCATGGGGATGCAAATGATGCAGAGTGACAAGAAGGAAGAAGAAAGAGGGAAGAGGAAAAGGAAGAGACGGAACGAGAAATGCTGATGCCTGATCTTCGAGGCTGCCGAGCCGCGGGGGACGTGACGGCGATGCCCTAACCCTGAGCCCTGAAGGCTGTCTATAATAGGCCGTGCTATAAGAATGCAAGATCCAGACTTCAATTGATTCCATCTCTATCATGCTCCATATTTAGTGCCGATTGTGTCCCGGTCTGCATCTCCTCTCAGATCGCCAAGTCTCCCCGCAACCTCGCACCGCTTCTACTTCTATTCCCCGTGTCGTGCAATGGCACCCTAACGGTCGGATTTCTCTCCGCGACAGCATTCTATCACCGATTTAAGACCTAGATTCCTCTACCAAGCGGACCCTCCGCCGTTGCTCCGGATACGTCATGAGCATCTTATTGGACTTGCGCCGACGAGCGGGCCATTCATAGTGAATCGGCGGTGGCAGTGCTCTTGTCGCACTGCGGGGCATGTCTGGCCCATGAGACTATAAGCTTGCAAATACCGGCCTAAGAATGCGCAACGTTTGCTGCGGTCAGAGTTAAATTTTTCAGAGTTTTTTTTTTTTTTTCTTTGCCCCCCATTTGTTTTGTCCTTTTGTTTTTTCGGCTTGTTGGTTGGGGGTTTGGCCACTTGCTCAGCCATCCTATCCCGTCAGTCCAACCCCTGAACCTGGTATGCTAATGGTATGGTCGGCCATTCATAACTCTGCTTCTCTGGTGACGGACCCCGGTGCGTCCCTTCCACTTCCTCTAGCCATGCAAAAGAAGCATTCCCGGCTCTGCAACCATGAATGCCTCGCCCACGTCGCCGGAGTCTCATCCGCACAGGATTGAGCGGCGAAGGACGGTAGGTGAGTCGAGCGCGGGGACCTGGTCTGCGCGACCGAAGCCAGTGGCTACGGCGTGTGAGCGCTGCCGAAGAAGGAAGATCAGATGTGATGGCGAGACGCCGTGCGCTACTTGTCGACGATTCTCTATTGCTTGTGTGCGACCGCGCAAGAACAGCGAGACGCAAGCGGCCCTGGAGCAGCGGGTTCGGCAGCTCGAGGCGCAGATTATGGAATTGAGTACGGGGTTTACATCGAATGCTCAGACTCAATCACCGGGGTCTCAAGGCGTGGACTACCGCGTACCACCGAGGCGAGCGTCCCCTGTGCCTTTGACGCTGAATACTCAATTTGGAAACGGGCAGAATGCTGGCGACATTGGCGGCGGTGGGCTGTTCAAGGATTCCGTGGGAGAATTCAGCCCTCATGGTCTGGATATTCCACGCATAGAGGTCTTCGATTGTGCTGATCTATCGCCTACCTCGTTGACGCCCACGCCTTCCCTCCCATCAGCCGGGTCGGTGGCGTCGAGTCCCATGTCAGCAACGTTGGATGCTGGACTCACTGCGCCTCATTTTGCCTTGGCTTTGTCGCCACCGATGTCGACTTGCCCGTCTCCCAGCTTCGATTCGCTCCCTTATCTGTCTCCCACCAGCCTCGCCGAATCCTCTGCATCGCGTCGATCCTCGGTCTCGTCGTTAGGTCTAGACATGGACTGGGGAACGTCGAGTCTTCCACTATCCGAGAGCCCGGACGAAGATTTAGGATTGAACGCATTCAGCCCCCTTCCTTCCGACGCGCAAATCCCAGCTGTGCCCACGAGATTCGAAGCTGAGACTTTACTGGAGTTGTTTTTCGACAGGACACAAGGCCTCGGGTATCCGGTTGACCAGGGTCGGTTTCGAGCCTTCCTGGACATAATCGATGCTCCATACGATGGACCGTTTGGCCCGAATAATCCACAGCCAGTGTCAATGGCTAAATTCCACGTCTACATGGCAATGGCAATTGGGCTGCGGCTCAAGACGGACGGTCGTGCGACGGAGAGTCGTCTATTAGAGAGCTGCTATCGGCTTGCGCTGGATCAGATCCGATCGCCTCGGTTTTGGGGTCAGCCATTAGCCGGGGAGGCTGCCATGCTGATGGTGCTGTTTGCAAGGGCGAGTCAAGATCGGATCTGTTGATCTTATGAACTCCGCTACTTGAGGAATACCTCAAAGGACACGATACATAGCAATCAATCAATCAATCAATCAATCAAAGTTCTATTAACCTGATAAAGCCTATCTATTAAAGCAACGGGCTATGCGGGCGCTTTTCCGGTAAAACCGAATTCCGCCGACTGTACACCTTTTATATATAAATCTTATAAAGCACTGGATATCGGATGTAGGCGAGGCTTGAACCAGTACGCTGTTGACAATTCCGAAAAGGATGGCTATTAGATTCAATGACTCTCGAAGAGCTTTTAGGAAAGGAAACTTTATGCTGCTCGAATAAACGACCAAGAGGACTCCTATTATTCCAAATCCTCACATGAAGCCCTATTCCCACGGAAATATACAGCTTAATAGTTATTAAACAGTAATATGATCGTCCGCGGACACGAAATATTCTCCCCCATCCCCCTGGTTGGGGAACTGATCAGCGCCGCCGTGGTGATGGGCATTCTGGCCGGCTACGAGCATTACATCGACCGCGCAAATGCCTCGAACAACGGCCGAATCGTCTACTCTCTTGTGATAGCATTTCTTACCCTCTTTTCGATAATCCTATTGATCCCATTCCACGCCTCCTTCTACTTCTTCGGGCTGGACTTTATTTTCTTCGTCTGCTGGATGGTTGCGTTCGGCTTAATGGCCAATGTAAGCTGCTCCCTCTATCTAATTTAATACCCTGTTCATTGTTCCCTCTTATTCTCAGAGTGGATGCTAATAGCCCTAAATAATAGCTGACTGTCTCCCACGTATGCAATTCGACCTGGATCTGGCATGACTGGGGCTATTACTAGAGAGGATGGTATTGCACCTTCGAGCTGGATGATGTCACTCCTGTTCTTGTCGGCACCAGCTACTGCCCACGATGGCGGGAAAACTTGGCGTTTGTATTTGTAGGTGGAGTATTGTGGTTGTTGAGCGCGGTTTTTGTATAGAATAAGGATATTCTTTTAATTCTCTGGATTACTGATAAAGAAATAGGGCCTCTATGTCGTAATTGAATACCGCAAGGGTCGAGGTGAATCAGAAGGAAGAACAAGATACTTGCGGAAGATGTCTCATTCTGAAAGGTATTTGCTTTTCTTCTGCTCTCCCTCTTTTAATCTTCCGAAAGAAAATCCCAAATCTCTGTTACTCTAGAGAACCCGTAGCGCAGCCTAAACCGCACAGACGAACGTCTAACGTGCATGTTATCGTTCTCGGAGACAAGGCGGTACTGTAGGCTTATGGAGTTTATTTTATTGTTTAATGGCTTCGGAATCCCAGCCCTATATGGCAGCGCATGGCCCTCTCCTTTCTTTCCACTACTGTCCGCCTCATTTCTCTCTTTCTTTAGACTCTTCAGTTTCAGCCTCCACAATCTCTTCCCGTAAACATTCCTCGTCGGTCAACACCCTCTCCTCCCCAGAATCGCATTCAAGCATCGCCATCGAGTATATAACGACCTCGAATTTCTCAATCGCCTCCGCAAATGCCTTTTTCACCCTCGGGTTGAATGACCCCCCTCGCGGTGGATAGATGCCACCATGCCAGTGGGAGATATCGGGATCACAGGGCGGGACGTAAGCGGACCAGTAGACATGCGTTTCACTGAGGCGGCGGAAGTAGACGTCGGGATTTTGCGTGAGGGTCGTGAAGAAGTGGTCCATTTTTAAGATATCACCATGATCTACTCTTTCTTCTTGATGGGGCCTGGGTGTTTTCTGCGGGACCTGTTGTTCTTTTTTTTTAGTGATGAAATGGGCAGGGGGGGGATAGTGGTTACAGAACCTTACCTTATAGCAACTATACGAGTCCCCAATCCTTGAATGAATCACTTTGAAAACCGCGACGCCTCCGTCTACGGGTGGCTGGCAGAGCAGCATCTTTCGCCAGCTAGCTTCTTTTCTCATGTAGGCTGTTTTCTTTTGAGGGGATGAGAGCATGTCGAGAGGTTTAAAGGAGAAGGAGATCTCGTTCTCTTTCTCTCTCCCTTCGTGTTCAGTTTGAGTTTCAGTTTCAGTTGCCTTTTCTTCGTTGTCGTGAATAGGGGGAAAGAAGGGTGGGAAGGCCTGTACTAAGAGCGGATTGTAGATGCGGGGTGGATGCGGGGATTCGTATCCGTTTATGCTTCCTTGGTCTATTTTTCCGTTCTCTTGTAAACGTGATGGAAGGAGAGAGTGCCAGATTGATTCTGTGTTCCATTTGTCCCTTTCCAAGTTGGGGTTGCGCGCGGTTTGTTGGAAGAAGAGCGCTTGCTGGATTGCGGGCGACGTCTGAATTAGGGCTGTCCAGGTCCGGCAGACCCGCTGGGCCGAGACGAGGAGTGTGCGGGTGTCCAGGTGGAGGAGGATGATCTCGAGAAGTTCGGGAGTGATGAGGACCTTGGTTTGGGGTTGCTCTTGCATTTTGGTGTTTTATGTTCGTCGTGAGTAGGCTTTGGTCTTGTGGCTATTGGTTTGAATGGTGGTAACGGCAAAAGATCGAACATGCGTTAGAAATAAGACAAATACTGCCCCGCCACCGATGCCGGTCGCAGCCGAGCAAACGACGGGGTCAATTTCAGCCGCATGCCCCTGATCGTGAGGCTGTGACGTCCTTTAGCTTAAATCTGTCTTGGGATATGACAATGCGTTAAGGGGATTACATCAAGGGCACCTTCAACTAGACTCCGGCACGGTTTTGGTTGCGGTTAGCAAGGTGAAAACTGCAACCAAAACTAAAAACTGAAGACTTTGCCAAAACCAAACCCGAAAATTTGCGGTCAACCAAAATCATGGTAGGTCTAGTGTTTACAGTGACTGGTATTTGAAATTTAGAACACCCCTGACGATGGGGCTGTGCGACCGTCCTACCCCCTACCATTTTTACTATGGTAAGCGGGACTAAGGCAACCGGACACGCGTATTTGAATAGGGTCACATATATTTATAATCGGGTGTTCCAAATTTCAATTACCTCCCAAAAAGGCATAGTTTTGAGACTTTCAGTCGAGCGGGATGATTCAGTAATCTTCTGTCCAGAAAACCTCAAAACTCGCCAACTTTGGGCAGCGATTACGCGCGATCAAAGAAAGATATAGAAATTCAAATTGGTGACGAAGACGGAGCATTGGCTAATGTATTTATATCTGGGTTTATTTTCCAGCTCCTCCGCGCTCATTGCGCAGCAGGACAGGATGTTCCCATAGGCTTGGGTGGCCAATTGGTCATCGGGGGCTGTAGATAAAAATAGAAAACGAAATAGAAGTGTTAGTCTAGGTAGTTGATTACTCATATATCCAGTGGAAGAGAGGGAAATTCAGAAATAGGGAGAGAAGGACGGAATAGATAACCAACTCACCTTCACCTGTAATCTTGGTGCTAGGCCTCTGCATGGTGCGGTCCTGGTTCTAAGGTCAAGGACCAAGGACCGGACCGCGCGGTCTTCCGGTCCCAAAATTATAGACTAGGTCTTTGAATTGAATTTGCAGCTTCAGGTACACAAGCTCGTTCATGTAAGGGATAGAGCTGCTAGGTTATTCTTTCGATCTCAGTTCCAATCCCACACCCTTCTGACGTTCCTTGACACCATCCATCAGCGTTGTCAAATCTTTCTCTGCCACTTCCCACTCTCTCTCGATCACCTCCTCAGCATGCGGCCGAGGGTCAAATACCGCATTGAAAGGCTCTGGCATAGACACGAATCCTGATCCAAACGCCATATCATCTACCTTTTCCGGCTTTCCGTCAGGTCCCTCACGCGCTCGAATATTGTAAGCCCATAAAATCCGCGCAATAAGCAAGTACAGAGAGTTCATCGCGATATGCCGCCCAGTACACACCCGCCTGCCGTAACCGAACCAATTCGTGAACCCGCCCTCGGTCCTATCCAGCCATCTCTCCGGGCAAAAGTCATCCGGGTTTTCGAAACGAGTCTCGTCCATGGTCATGGACCAGAAAAGAGGAATGACTGTCGCACCCTTCGGAATGCGATAGCCCATGTACGTGTCGTCCTGCTGTGTGGCGTGCGGAAAGCCCCCGGGAACCATCGGTCTCCAGCGAAGCGTCTCTTCGACAATGGCTATGATGTACGGCAGGTTATCTCTGTCGGAGAATTCAGGCAGTCGGTTAGTTCCGACCACGCGGTCGAGCTCTTCCTGCGCGACGCTGATGAAGCGGGGCCGTGTAACTGCAGCCAGCACGAATATCTGCATGACGGCGGACGTTGTCTCCATTCCTGCGTTGGCGAGGATGCCGAGGTCGTATGCGAGCTCGATCGGCGGCATGATCTGTGCTTGTTTGGAGTTGGAGAACTCCTTGGTCCAGTTCCATGGCTCGTTGGTTAGGGCGCGGTTCATGTTGCGCATGTGTTGGTCTGCTTCGATCTTGAATAGTCGCTCGGCTTCTTTCTTCCACGGGGTGAATGGGGCTGGGAGTCTGTTCAGGATCGGAATCGCATCCACGATCCATGTTCCTGGTCGACCGGCATAGACGAAGTTGCTGAGGACCTCGCGGGCTGAGTGGATTTCTTGCTCGTCGCCGGTTTCTAGTCGGAACCCGTAGGTCAATGCATATAGCAGGCTGACGCTGTACCGTTCGATAATCTTATGGAAGTCGTTTGATCCCAAGAAATCGTGAAGAAGCTGCTTGCTCTCTAGGTCTTGGATCGGATGATAAGTAGATGATGCTCGAGGGCTCAGTACGGGCGCTTCCATGCGCTGGTGCAGTCTGTAGCGATCATCGTAATGGCGCACGAGAAGATGCATGCCTTTGGTGACATTTTCATTGGCCATCACCATCCGCGGCCGATCGCTGTATACGCTGCCTCGCTTGTCCAGAAGCTCGCGTGCGATAGCGGGATCGGCGATCATGATCATGGTTTGTCTTCCGAACTGGGCGCTCCAGATGGGTCCATACTTCTTGCTCCAGTCGTCAAAGGTGCGCCATGGGAGCACCTGGGGGACTTGGTGAATGTTGCCGATGAAAGGGAGTCTTCGAGGGCCGGGGGGGAGTTTGCGATCGCGTCTGAATTCATACAGAAGGCGCAGGATGACAAGTCCTGCCAACGTGCTGAGGATTATGCCCATGTTTTGATCACCCACAGGTGCTTTCAACTGACTGAGAATGGAAGAAGGTTCAGCGCAGAGAGAAGAGGAAGAACGACTTCCAGTACATCCCCGCTTATTTATGATTGACAAGGCATTGGTTGATGGAAGACAACCAGGCAATTAGGCCATGACTAGACCGTCGTTTAGCTTATCTTCCCCTCATATCGAAGGCGCTACATGAAGGAGTGTTGGGCGTGAAAACAAGCGAGTGGTGGGACCGCACCCCTCAATAAACTTGTGTGATTATGTGGGTTCCTGTCATTAGAGCTTCTAACTCGACAGACTGAAGGATCAGACCGTTGACGCTAAAATGATCCTTGTGGGTCTACCTTCGGCAAAGATTGTCTTACACGTATTTCCCTTCTGCTTTGTGAAATTGCACTCAGAAGGACCTTTTGAAACGATCTCTTAACATATCAGATATCACTAGTATTAGGACCCAGTTAGCATTTTTGTGGCAGCTGAGCTCTGACTTCTGGCATACTCGTAGAAGCGATAGGCCTCCACCTTGAACCCACTTTCTCCTCCGCCGATCATGGACGATCGGATCGGTGATACATTTTATATGTATTGTGTATTCGGCTTGTTTTCTGAATCAGCTGTTGGCGACTAGAGCGCCTTGTAGACTGGTCAATCATTTCCTATTTCTAAGTCCGGCATGTCGGGGGAGCTTTTATGTACGGAGAAAAAGACTAAACCATGGGTAGTCAGCACTCAAAATAAGGCTTTGTCAAACAGTCAAGAAGGTAATCTGATTTTACGCATTAAGTTGAATCAAGAGTTGATCTGCTGCATCTCGCTGTAGGATCATTGAGTAATCAATTATTTGTAAAGTTTGGTGCAGCAACACCTCATCCTTCGGCTATATTTCACCTTTGACATACCTCTGGGTTGCCAACCTGTGCTTCTTCCTACACATAAAATTCTCACTTTCTCGCCCTGCTCACCAACATATCAGTAAACACTCAAACTTTGTTCATGAAAGCCGTCATTACCGGAGAATGAGGGCTTTTAACTCAGTCTTGCGATCCTCAGGCACCCCGCGTTGCCTCAGGCTGCTGACAAAGCGCGCCTCGATCCTTTTGCCAACAACAACAACACGAACAACACGACCACCAACAGGTATTCGAGCAATCTGTCAACAGACCCCCTGCATTCAGTCCATCTCCACAATGTCAGCGAAACCGCCACCTTCAGACCTCCCAATCTACCCATTCCCATCCGCCTCGGAGCTCGAAACCTTTCTCGAACGCGAGCATTCCACCGCATCGGGGTTCTACCTAAAGCTAGCCAAGAAATCATCCGGCATTCCATCAGTCTCCGCTGCAGAGGCAGTCGAAGTCGCGTTATGCTTCGGCTGGATCGACGGGCGAGCCAACTCGTTCGACAAGGACTGGTGGCTCGTGCGATACACGCCCCGTCGGACAAAGAGCATCTGGTCGCAGAAGAACGTGCAGACCGTCGGACGCTTAATTGATGAGGGAAAGATGCGGCCTGCGGGGTTGGCTGTGGTTGAGGCCGCGAAGAAAGATGGCCGATGGGCGCGTGCGTATAGTGGGCCCGCTACTATGAAGGTCCCTGATGATCTCACTGCTGCTTTGGCTGAGAATTCGGCGGCTAGGAGCTTCTTTGAGGGGTTGAATAGGACTGATCGATATGCTGTGCTCTGGCGAGTGGAGACGGCGTCTCCGAAAGCGCGAGCTAGTCGAATCGAATCGTTGGTGCAGATGCTGGCTGAAGGCAATAAGCCGGGTGAATTGGCAAAGCCAGCGCAGAAGCGTAAGGCCAGGGCCGATGTAGACGAAGATAGTGACAGCTCGAGAAACGTCAAGTCTGTTTCGAATGATAAACCCAGAGAGCCGCGACGTGCTGGGCTTCGCAGTCGGAAATGACTGACCAGTCTGCTCAATGTTCAAGCCCAGCAATCGCTGTTTCCTTTCTTTCTATTTTTGCTCATTAGCTTCTAGTATAAGCGAGTTTAAACAACAAAGTACATTTCCTACGTGTTTACCTCAGGTTGACAGGGCAGGATGCTGATCTTCGCCGTCCCACCTGTTATGCGCGTCCACGTGTCACCGCAAACCCTCAGTTGAATTGAAAAGTCTTCTCTGCGTCTTAACTTCATCCCTACGGAGAATAAGGAAATATTCTTTCCGATTTTTCTTCTCGAGAAATCAATGGAAGCAATCGCAGCTGCATCCGCGATTCTTGGAATCGCTACGGCCGGCGTGCAATGCTCAATCAAGCTGGTTACCTTCGCCAGTCAGGTCAAGTCTGCAGAGGAGGAGGTTACACACATTGCCGAGGAAGTCTCACTGAACGCGAGCATCTTGCAACAACTAGCCGAATTGGCAAAAGATGGCCTGGAAAACGAACAAGCACCGGGCAACGGCACTCATGGAGACTTGGACATCCATGATGCTAAAAATGACCAATCAAGACGGGGAATTTTCAATGCCGCTGGGCTTGCAACGGTTATGAATCTAGCCGAGAAATGCAAGGATATCTTTGATCACCTTAACGAGTCGATACAGAAGGCCAGTGCGCAGACTAGTTCAGATTCTGAGGCTCCTGGGCAGGTCAAGCTCACGCGGTTCACGATGCTGAAATGGCCGTTCTTAAAGCCGGAGATGGAGGCTCTACAAGCCCAATTGAGAGATGTCAAAGGAACGTTGATGCTGATGCTGCAAGTTGCTATGTTGGCTTATTCAAGACGAATGGCAAAATGGTAAGATATCGTAATCAGCCAATCGCACAATTGACTAACATTGTGCATTTAGTGAATCCGTCACATCCTTGAAAAGCTTTCCCAATTTATCCATCTCGGATCAAGAGTTACTCGCGTTGTCCATTGCGTCGGCATATAAGAAGCAGAATGTGCGACCATCCAGCAGGAGTACGGAAATAAACAATGCTCCTAAATATGACGCGCAGTTAAGCACCCCGCCGAAAGCGCGGGAAACCAGCAGCGTTAACCACCGACATCCGGAGAAAAAGCCAAGCAGAATCTTTCAGTTCTGCAGGAGGTTTCTACATTCTAAACCAAATGACGTGACGGCAGATGACGCAAGTGAAAAGCCCCCCTCAATTAGAGACATTCATTTGTATGTCATCTTTCTCACCAGCAGTAGTCAACCCAGAGCCTTTTTTGATATTATGAATAGGGAACCGAGCTTTGCGATAGACAAGGCGACATTTCAATCCTCTGACATGGACCAACAGAGCCTGGCGTCTCAAAGCGTTTCAAAGTCAACCCGACGCTACCAAAGCTATACGATCCCATCCGTTAATGAGGCCAAAGCAAATGTGCAATATGTATCTCAGCCTAAAGGAGAGGCTACTCGTCCGGAGTCCTACTATGGTACAGGGTAAATTGATCAATCACACACAGTTCGTTATCTATGATCCCCTAACTTATGATGCAGAAGTCCGTCCCCTCTGCAGGATTTCCTTGGAGTCCTAGTTTTCTCTCCCGTGGCTTGCATCAAAGATCGCAAAATTCATGTTGAATATGTCCACCGAATTATCAGCATTTCTCAGGAAGCAGCACAACTACAGCTAGAGGAATGGAAGTCCACCTCCAACGACTCGGTACTCAATCAGCTACTCGCGCTCACCACCAGCGAGCATGAAGCGCTAGAAGCGTCTCCATTTTCGTCCGATGGCCGTTCAAAGCTCGGAGACGAATGTCTTGAATGGCTACATTTCGGAGAGTCTCTTCCGCTCGTTGATGACGTAGCACATGTTAGAGCGAGGACTCTGACTGCGGTGGTCAAAATGAGCTGCAGGCCACAGGACAAAAAGCAGGCGGGTGAAGTTGTGAAAGACGAAGGTGAAAGAAGCAATACTTGGATCAAGGTCAGTCAGATCTCATTCTGCGGCAAGAGAAACCATCTGTACTTGAACCTCCGCTAACGTTTCTTCAGGTACACCGTACGCATCTTCTTCCCGAGACCTTGGATCAATATAAATTGCACTGGGTCCAAGATGAAGTAGGTCGTTTCCAACTCCTCCATTGACATTATTTACCAACCTCAATCACTTCCAGCATGATTCAAACTATATTGTTATTAAGCAATGGTTATCTGAAGACTTCCAAGATGAACTATTTGCCCACACTCGCCGCATTCATCAAGCCAACCTCGTCGCCCCTTCTCCATCCATGTATCTCGAACGTCCGGAGAATATACATGTTCGAACCTCGAATGACCTGACAACGCCGGAAAAGAAAAACAAAAAGAAAACCCAGATAAATGCAGGTGACTGGGAATCGGACCGAGTTGATACCCCCGAGACTGCGCTGAATGCGCATTCCCATGCTGATCCTAGGGGAGACAATGTCGATACCGTTGTGGCCGATCTTTTGGCTCGCTATACCAATTCATAAAGACATAATTAAGTCATGCGATCATTCATCCCATAAAGACACCACCGACTACCCAACTTCCCATGGGCGAGTTATTGTTGGCCTGGAAGTTTGCCCCTGCCCCCTTGCCCAACAAAAACCAGAACGCCTCCCGCACGGTGATGTCGGCCACATTTGGCCCAGAGGTCGACGAGTGCGCAATTGCTGGGCTAAACTCCAGCCCCCATTATCCCCCCGGTTTCTCCACTTGTCGAAGGAAGATTGTCCAGTCGTAGGTTGTCATATATCCATACCGAATCTGGCCGAGGCGCATATAGCGCGCTATTTGCCCCAGTTTCAAAGTTCCGTTAACACTCCTTTCAATCTTTCTTTTCTGGTAAAACCGAATACTTTACCTAAAACGCGCCGGAGAGTAGGGGTGTCGCCCCATTCAACGGCGGCACGGAGGTCATGCTTCGGCACCCAGGGCGTTTTGATCTCGCCAACGACCCGCATCTCCCCGTTGCTCGTCATGCAAACCGAGTCTGGCACTTGGCCTTTAAGTGATTTGTTCCATGTCGCCTTAAAGTCAGCAAGAGAAATCTCTAGCCGGAAGGCTCTGCAAACACCGAGCCCTGTCTGCCAAACATTGCTGTTGAGCTGTCCTGTCACCCCCATATGTGTTGGTTTCATGGATTAAAATCCGAGATTTTCCATTTGGGCCTCTGAAGTCTGCAGTCAGTATCCAAGGGCTTTGAACAACCATGAGCAAATTATCACAGTGTCCAATCTTCCATGTCTGGATGTTCTTCGGTTTCTCCCCATCGGGTATACCACTCAGGCGCCTTTGCTAGGCCCCAAAAGATAAAGTATTCATTTTTTCAGGGGGGTACGGTATTGGATCTGGCGTTCCTGAGAAAGTCATAAAAAGCACTAATCCTGTTAGTCTCGAAGCTCAAGTCATCATGCTGTGATCGAAGACATGCATTCTTTGCGTGCTGGCATCCCAGAACATCTTCGACGGTGATGAAAGCGGGCGATACTGAGAAGTACGAGTACACTCGCTGTACGCACGTCAGCTTGATCTCATGGGGAAAAGTATTTCAATCACTTACATCCAGGCATCTTTGAGGTAAGCTCGCATTTTATCACGCTCGTCGCGGTCTAGGTCCCAGAACCAAGGGCCCATCTTTTTCCCAGGCAATTTCTCGAGCAGCAGATATGTCAGGAAGCCACCCGGCACTGGGTCCGTGTCACCCTGTGCCCTCTCGACAACGCCCATCAACCGCGGAGCGCATCTGCACTGAGCCCCGTCTAGCAGAGTGAGTGCGTCCACCATGTCCTGGGCGCGTTTGGGGATTGTCTGAACGGCGTAGCGGGCTCTTTCTGCGGACGACGCGATCTCCGCACCCGCATGTGGAATTCTAGATATCAAAAATCAGTCTCTGCTTTAGTCATGCAGTGTAACTCATTGAGGAGGGTCATTTACTGCATAATGATCCGAATCACGGCTTCTTGATTCACATTTTCTGCGCTCTTGGCAAGAAATGTGCCATAAGCTGCTCCGCGTAAAGAAGGGTACTCAATAACGTCTTCAGGAATGAGTTGCGAATGCCTCTCGCCTAGCTTTTCGGTGAGGGTCCAGTGCGATTGAGGATCTCCAAACGAGATCCTCAAGCCGAGGAATTCGTCGCCAAAGAACTCCTTCTCTTCCAACAGCATGGTTTCTGTGTAAAATGGAAGTGTAGGTGATGGTAAGTGGTCAAGAGATACTACGGTAGAGTGGGAGAGAATAAGAGACTGGGTAAAGCTCAGAGATAGTGAAGAGTAGTAGTTAAGCGTAGTAGTGAAGAGTATTTATTAGTGAAGATTGGACTCGCTTAGGTTGAAGAATTCACTGTTCTCCGAACTGATGTCAATCTTACATCTTATAGAATCATAAATCTTCCGTCCCAGAACTTTATTTATGCTGCCCTTGGCGCTAGAGTATGTTCCATTATACTTTTCTGGAATTCTTCCGTTTACCAAGGCATAATGTTCCTGCTATAGCCAAAGGTCTATTACATTATTTCAGTTCCATTCTAGATATGTGCGGAGTTATTCTTAATGTCGGGAGATTCACGAAAATCGCAAAGTATTAGGGCACGGCGCCTGCGAAAAACCTGAAGAAATTGATATCTCCAAAAACTACTTATGTTATTGATAATGACCTGCCGTACTTTGAAGATATTTTTGTTTCACGGACTTTGGCCAAGGAGCATTCAAAAATTATTCATCGCCTTTGCTTCAGGATACCTAGGCTCTCCTTACAACGTCCCGACAGAGCATTCACCGTTGAAACGGAAAATGGATTCTAGATGATGGAGTTGAAACCATTTTACATAGAAAACCCCTAGCAAGATACATTTCTTGCAATAGACTATTGTAGTGAGGCCTCCTGAATCTCAAACCTGGGATTATGAAGCTCAACAGTAGACCGCCGGTCATTGAGCTATGAGTCCTAAGATATTCGAAGTCAACAATTCATATCACCGATCGCGGAGCTTTCGTCTCCCACTAAATTGCATGACTCCAACTCTCCAACTGCAATTACCTTGTCTGAATGGCCGATAATCTTGGCCAAGACGCATTAACGCCTTGGCGTCGGGTGGTTGCGCCGGAGATAAGGTAGTAGTGTTGCAATTATCTATCGCTATCGGTTATCAGTTTATCTTTTCGCGTTTTGAATGCTTCCTCCAAGGTCACTCCAATTGCCGATCGTCATGTCAGTCCGTTGGAGGAATTTCCCCGGCCACGGGTCAGCACACATGGCTCCCATAACTCCGGGAGTATCGGCTAGCTATAGAGCAGATCTTTACCCCGATAAGGAGGTACCAAATAAAATGACATCGGCTAAGAGTCAGCAGGAGGCAGCAGCACAGATCGTATCTCCAAATGGACATTTCCGGGAATTGGATAGAGGCTAAGATGGTCCCATTCGGCATAGCAAGGTCCTCGAGCCTACCTATATAAGCGGCTGAGCACTCCATCCTCATGAAGTCGACAACCGTTTCTCTTCATGTATCTTGGAACCCTCCTCTCCCTGGCCGTCGCTGCCGTTGGGGCTGCCGTTCCCAATGGCCAGACGCTCTCCCTGAATGGCATTCCTTACTACCTCAGCGGAATTGCTGTGTCCACTCTGCAAGGACATAATTCGTCTCTATTCGACCAGTCGCTAACGGAGGGAATTGATATTGTCCCACTCACCGTCATTCCTGTCACCCCTACAACCCAGATAAGCTCCTTGCTTTCCGACTTCACTGAGCGCGATGATGTTTTCCAAGCGGAATTTCTACGGACTGTTCTCCTTACCTCAACATCCGGGAGCAAGGTTTCCATTAGCGATCATGCTTCCACGTTGAAATCAGAGGGAACAAAACTCCTTCTGACAGGATCCGGTCTTTCTGCCAGCTCTCAGGGTGTTGTTCCCGTCAGTTCAAGCCAGGACCTTCCTGCGGGTCCATACTTTGTGTCTGCATCCACTGGCAAGGTGTTCCGGGCATACCGACTCTATCCCGACGACAACGTTGCCTTCATTCAGGCCGCCATCAGCGATGAAGACGGTGGCTTCCTACCCATGCCCGCGGTCACCGAGAACGCCATGACCAAAGATGTAGCTGTGCCGTCTCGTCTTTATTATACTCCAACGGCCAAGCAGCCCCTTGCTGGCCTGCGACTGGGCGTCAAGGATATTTTCCATGTCGAAGGACTCAAGACCAGTGGTGGGAGCCGATCCTACTACTACCTCTACGGAACACAGAATGCCACAGCTCCATCTATCCATCGGCTGATTGATCTGGGTGCCGTCTTTGTCGGCAAAACTGGGACCGTGCAATTCGCCAACGGAGATCGACCTACAGCTGACTGGGTGGATTTCCACTGTCCCTTCAACCCCCGTGGAGACGGATACCAGTCCCCCAGTGGTTCCTCGTCCGGCTCTGGTGCTGCTATTGCCTCCTATTCGTGGCTTGACATTGCAGTTGGCAGTGACACCGGTGGCTCTATGCGCTCTCCTGCCTCTGTGCAAGGCGTCTACGGCAACCGTCCCTCAACGGGCGCCATCTCGCTTGAACACGTCTTGCCTCTTTCTCCCGAGCTCGACACGGCCGGAATCTTCGCCCGCACCGCCGCTCTCTGGTCCAGGGTGACTCAAGCATGGTACCCTCACTTCCGCCACAACTATACCTCACTTCCTCGTCACGTCTACCTCGGCGGCGACGGCTGGGACGGACAAGATCTCACTCCGGAAGCCCACGGCCTGCTCAACACCTTCGTGCAGGATGTGGACAAATTCCTCAAGACCAACCACACCGTCGTCGACATCTCCAAGCGCTGGAACCAAACCCACTCCGCCAGCACCCCCAGCCTCGAAAACCTCCTCGACCTCACCTACGCCACCATCACCTCCGTCGACCAATACAACCACCTCGCCACTCCGCTCTTCGCCGACTACGCCGCCGCTCACCGTGGCCGCCAGCCATTCATCAACCCGGGCCCTCTCTCCCGCTGGACCTGGGGGCAGTCGAACGGCGGCAACGCGTCCTACGAAGTCGCCCTCCGCAACATGACCCAGTTCCGCGACTGGTGGGAGACCGACGGCTACGGGCGCTCAGACGAGGGTTCTTGCTCCGAGGGCCTCTTCGTGAGCATCTATTCCGCCGGCGAGACCGACTACCGCAACCGGTACTATGAGCCGCCGGAGGCTCCGCCGCTGGGCTTCTCGGTTGGGCGCATCGCGGTCTTCACGGGTTCTCCCGAGGTGGTGGTCCCGTTGGGCGAGTCTCCGTATAACAGCACGATCTCGTTGAAGACGGAGTATTTGCCTGTCAGTGTGGCGCTGCAGATGGCCAGGGGATGTGATCATGTTTTGGCGGATTTGGTGGCGGGGTTGGGGAAGAAGGGGATTTTGAAGGATGTAGGTACGGGGTCGAGGTTGTATTCGAAGGAAGATTAATTGAGGATGCTTGTAAATCAATAAAGTAATAGATTCAGTTAAATAAGTTCATGATGAGCTTCTCTACTTTTACAGCCGCAATTGAAAAAATGGATATATATTTCGCTCTGGTAGGGAACACTACATTCAAAAAGCAGATCTCAAACCGAGCTTGTTTGAGCCCAGGACGTTAAAATGGAAAGGAATCATAAGAAGAAGGGTGAATATTTAATATAAGCCCAATGTTTCTGTTGTGTGTTGATCTGGTTGTTCACACTCCAATGGTCATACAATTCTGCCGAGGATGCATAAGAGAATATGAACTGGCATAAAAAGACATGAAACTCCGCATGGGGAAATGATTGTCCAAAATGGCTTTGGCTTATGATGTCAAAATCTGAGCGCCAAGACATCCCACTGGGCTTGTGGTTTAGTGGTATAACGCCTGCTTAGCATGCTGGAGGTCCGGGGTTCGATTCCCCGCGAGTCCATCTTTTTGTTTTCCTCACATGATCTCCTTTCATCCACGGGCTGCAATCATTGTGTTTCTTTTTACTCCTCCCACTCGACGGTTCATGCACTTATTTATCAGTTTCCTCTCTATTCTCATCTAAGCTGATTCGTTCAGCTCCATTGCTGGTGTCCAAACAATACAATTGCATTGCCCGAGTGGCTATTCCTTCAAGTTAAAGTCCACCACGATTCGACCGGCCACCTGCCCTTTGCGCAGTTTCTCCACGCCTTCTGGTAATCGATCGATTCCATAGACCTCGCTGATCTGCCGCAGCTGTCCCCGCTTGGCAAAATCCAGACAAGCTGCCGTGTCCTTGCGACTGCTAGTCAGCGTACCTTTCACGGTCAACTTCTTGAAGATAAACGTATTGGGATCTTCGCCGAGCGTCATAGTACCGACTGGGGCCAGCCCAATGCACATGAGGACCGCGCCAATACGATTGCCAACATAGGAAAAGGCCGTCTTGTAAGCTGCGGGTGCCGTGACAAAAATACCGTGCGCCCCTATGCCATCTGCCTTTTCAATGACGGCTGCAGCGGCATCCGGGACCTCGGCAAAGTCAATGAAGGATTCTGCCCCCATGTCTAGTGCCAGCGCTCGCTTCGCTGCTCCCGTGTCTATCACGATTGGCCGCATTCCCATTGCCTTCGCCAATTGTACCCCCTGAATTCCTACGCCGCCCCCGCCGCCGGGGAAAACGGCCCAGTTGCCGGGCTTCAGGCCGGACTCCGTCAGTGAGCGGTGCATGGTGGATGCGCTGCACATGATGGGCGCGGCAACTATGTCTGGGATACCGTCGGGGATTGGGGAAGCGTATCGAGCAGGCGATACAATGTAGTGTTGGTAGGTGCCTGCGAATTAGCAAGCTGGTTGTCGCTGCTGGCGCTCTTACTCACCTGTGACCATAAGTCCCGTATGCACACCGGCGGCACAGTGTGGCTCTTGGTCATTCCAGCATGGGTCGCAGGCACCGCATGTGTCCATCATTGGTTTGATCCCCGCCCGGTCGCCCAACTTGAAGTTCTTCACATTTTGTCCAACTTTAACGACTACTCCGGCTCCTTCGTGGCCTGGCGAGCGAACCCCGAACGTTGACATTGGAGGAGCGCCGATATCCCCTTTCATCACGTGGATGTCCGATTGACAGAGTCCAGTTGCGTTCAGCCGAATTAAGATGTCATCCGGACCTGCGCGGATGAAGACTGTCACTTCGAGGCCCTAGATCTGGGGACAATGGGTGCATACCTGGCTCAGGAACTGGGACCATTTCCACTCGCACCTCGAAATTGGGACCCTCATTTATGACTACTCCGGCTTTGCAATGCGATGGAATGTCATATTCGGGGGCAGAAAATGCAGGAGCCATGATTAAAGTTTGCAGGTTCAATCGTGAGTTTGAAATGCGAACTTTGGACGGCGTCTACGAAGGCATTTATATGAGCATGCCATTTGAGTTTGACCAAAGCCTGCAAAGAGCACATCAAGGGTCCATAGCGGAAATCATCCGCAGCAGACACGACATACCCCTCATTTGATATTGTTGAACAAGTGGGGGCTGTATTCTCGTACTTTTTTAACGTCGAATGTACGATGCACGTCTACATCCGAATATCCGAGTCAGCGCTTGGCGCATAACAGACCGACACCAGCGTGGCAATTGTTTCATTTACAGAACATTCGTGTATTCATATTATCCAAGAAACGGAAACCAGCCTTAGTGAACATTCAGATTCCTGTCACTCGGTGACCAGCCAGCCAGTCGAACCTATCACTAATGTGGCCATCAATACTGTCAAGATGCCGGCCCCCGCACGATCTGCAGTGCTGATGCTCATGGAGAGAACATGGGGAACCGGAAGAGGCGGGTCAGACCCCCCTCCAGGATCGCCCTTACTGGTGCCTCCGGTGTCATTTGTCACCGGCGGATCCACACGACTGATGAGGGTTGACTGCATCACCTCCAAAGCGCTCATCTGCAATCCGACATCTTTCATCCCATCCCACTCCCCTGAACTCCATTTGAGCCCACAGCTGGCCTTGTCTGACCCGCCCGTACAAGTTCTTGCCGCTGCGCTCGCCGACGGCCGCAGCTTACCCATAACTTGCTCGAATGTAAAGGGAGCCATCTGCGTGGACGCGGCCATCCAGCGCGCGAGATATCCCTTGAAAGAGCGCTGGTCGACTTGGCAGGTATCGACCGGTTCACAGGCTCGCTCGTACATGACATTCTTCGGCTCGTTGACAAAGAAAATGTCCGAAGCATCGAGAATGCCCTGCGTGCGTTTTTTCCAGAGCGGATCCCCGTCGGTCTGATGAAGTTAGCCACGACCAACAGACTACAGTGCCGTGTGAACTCACCAAATTATACATAGTCGCCGCCCCGAGGAGATACACCCCCGAGTTATACGTCCACTGGATGCGATTGAAATTGGTGCAGTTCTTGTCGTCGTCTGCGCCGTCCCAGAACCGATAGTCGTCCGTCACCAGTCCGACCGAGGAGGTCCAGTCCCACGCTCGCTCGGCCCATTCTGCATAGGTGTCATTACCGGTGTATTTAGCGAGACGCGCCGCGAGGTTGAAAAAACAGCCATTCGAGATCGTGTTCTTATAGTTGTACCCATTATTCCACGTGAAGATCTGCCACTTTAGCCCTCCGCCGCAGGTATCCGTATCCCACCGCGCAGCCTGGGTGTTGAAGACGGCCTGGGCCATGGCGAGCCAGCCGGGCTTATCGTCCGGGGGATTGGGAAAGTTCCGTTCCGCAGCAGACATCACGGCAAAAGCCCAAAATGCTTGATCGTCGTTGCCTTCGGTGCGCGATTGGTTGGCGGGGATAAAGGTGCCGTCGTCGCCTGCTTGCCAGAGCAGCCCTTGCATCGTGATATCGTTCCAGGTGTCATCGTCCGTGTAGAACCAGTAATCGATGAGAGCGTTGAACATGGCTCCGGCTTCCCACCAGTAATACGGATCGGGCAGGTTGCCTGGAACATCGCCGGGGTTCATGCCGGTGTAGAAGGAGAGCATGTTCTTTGCCACGGCGTGGCAGGCTTTTTTGACCGATTCTAGAGGGGTGAGTGAGTACCGGCAATCTCGGATCATGTTGATGTCAGTGGCTTACCCTGATCGTCTAGTTGGAGTTCAATGGCCTGAACACTGACCAGCAGCGTCAAGATGAGGTGCCATAGTTGTCGCATGGTTACGCAGAGTCGTCTGCTCATCGCAAGTCCCAGGCACGGGGAGGAGAATGAGGATAAAAGAACCATCCAAGGGACCTGTTGAGCGGGGAAACGATTGTTGCGATTACCCATGCCAAACAACGTCAACTGACATTCCATCGATGCGGAGAATGTGAGCATCCATAGAAACGGGCCTCCACATGGCTACTGGACGATAAATCATTGGAAGTCCAAGGGATTATTACGGAAGTGACCATGGTTCAATAGGGCGCTATCATTGGTATAGCGGATGAAGGTAGCATCTTTGTTTCCCCGTGGACATTATCACTAATTGTCTATGGCTGAGACGATGTTAATGGGTCGACATGGAGTCCTGCTTCGCCGAATGCGATAATGCCACATTCCTTTGCAACCCCCCTTGCTGTGGCGCCCGCTTGGCTCGAATACAACTTCATTCTGCCCTGTGCCTGAATACACCCCCTGCGTCACTGGGCCTTATCCGCCAATGATCTAACGGCTGCTGCGAATGATGTCAGCCGCCCGTTCAGCCACTGCATACGTGAGGGCCTGGATGTTGCCTGTGGGCTCCAGGGGGAACACACTGGCATCCACCACTCGGAGGTTGCGCGTTCCGTGGACCTTGAGCTGGGGGTCTACCACACCGCCTAGGTCTGCAGGCATCATAGCGCATGTTCCGACGGGGTGGAAACAGTGATACAGGCGCTCTTTGACGAGATCTTTCGTCTTGTCGAGATTCGACAGGTCAGCGGCGCTTTGGGGTTCCCGAGCGCCCGGTTTGAGCAGCGAAGCGAACGGCTCCGTGGTAGCAATCTGGTCCGCGAACTGGGTGTGGCGGGCGAGAATTTCCAAATCCAGAGGATGCGATAGATAGTTGGGATCATAGATCGGCTTGTCGTCGATCTTGGATGATCGGATGTGCACCGACCCCCGGGAGAAGGGGTGGTTGTGCATGATCATGATGCTGATGTAGTTTCCCGGTAAGGTCTTGGCCAGAACATCGTTCATTGTCGTGGCGCCGGGATTCATATGCAGCTGAGCAGGCAGGAAGATGTATTCCGATGAGGCGTTCTGACTGTCCAGCAGGACCTTTCGCTGCACGTCATATTGCCGCTGTCGTGCGGGTGAGAGAGACTCATTATCCAGATGTTTGGCGAGCAAGTCTTCTACTATTTCTTGCGACAATTTGCCCTCATGGTCCACCAGGGGAAGGTATGCTACGCTGATGGGCATTCCTGCCAACGGGCCACCGCGGGTCTCCTCGTAAAGCTTGATGACGGACTGCAGGACGTTGGGATCCCGCAAGATGTCCCCGGATATTTGCCCGTCTGCGATTTCGAAGTTGAGACTCGTCAAGGCGTGGTCTTGAAGGTTCTCACCGACTCCTGGCCGGTCGAGAACTACAGGAATGTCATGCTTCTGCAAAACTTCCTTCGATCCAATACCTGAGAGTTCCAGCAGTTGAGGCGAGTTGAGAGTGCCGGCACTCAAAATCACTTCTCGACCACCAGAAATCTGCTGCTGTTTGCCATCCTTAGTGCGAATCTGGATCCCAGTAGCCACGACCTCGCCATCGGCTTCGTTGTTTAGCAGTATCCGCTCCACCATGGCCTCCGAGATAAGATCGAAGTTTGGCCGCTGCGCAACCTCGGGGCTATAATAAGCCGCGGCATAGCCTCGCTGGCCCGTTTTGGGATCAACTGAAAGGGGCGACGTGAATGCGCCTAGTTTGCGACCGGCAATAGGATCGGCATCGCTGCTGAAGCCCAACTGCTCGAATGTCTTATCCCATGCCTCGTTGAACGGCCCATATATATCCGGCAAAGTCACCGGTACTGGACCGTCTGCCCCCTGGTCATGCTCTTTCATATATCGGTCGGTTGCTAGCAATTTCGACGTGGTTTCGCTTGGGGAGGTGTAGGTGTGGAACTTTCGCAGGTACGGGGCCATGGTCTCGGCGCCCCAGCCGTCGTTTCCAAGGGACTCCCATGCTTCGAAATTCGCGGACGAGGGATACATGATCAGGGAGAAGTTCATGCCGGAGGAGCCGCCGACCATGCGGCCTCGAGGCTGGCCGATTTGCCGATTGTTTGCATGGACCTGTTCATCGAATGTCAGATCTAGAGTCGGATCTCGACTGCAAATGGCGCCGACTCAGGCCACAAATGGCAGAAGATGGCATACCTGCGGCTCGCTCATATAATCCCAGTCGAACTCGGGATTGCCATACTGAAGCCCGATGAACCCCGGAGTTTCGACTCGTGGGTCGCCCATGCGGTTGGCGCCCGCTTCGACCAGGAGAACATTGACGTCGACATCCTCGCTTAGACGGGAGGCGACCGTTAGACCGCCAATCCCGGCGCCAATGACGATGTAGTCATATGAAGATTTAAGGTCCGCCATGAGGAAAGGATGAGTGAAGTCCTTCAATTTTAACGGAGAAATGAGGGCCAATTGAACGGATACTAAGAATAAACCCACGGATTGGAAATAAATCCCGAGGAAAAGCACGACTCATGCAGCAGACCCCGATATAACTAGTAAGTGTCAGTGGTGTCGGGATCATCGCACCACCGGCGAAGCGAAATTTGGGGGCCAACGCTCTGGAGTAATAAGATTATTATTATTATGGATCCAGTCACTCCTATTCCAGGCTGTTCGCATTGCGTCTCCGCCGCAGCCGTCGTTCTCACTCGATTGTGCCTTGTCAAGGCGGTTGACAAGCGGGTCCTCCATGACGCCGGCCGTTTAACTAGTGTGTTAGAGGTGCTGCTAAATCACTAGCGACCCTCGCAAAACGCCTGCCTAGGGTGTTTAAGCGGCCTGATCAATTCCTTCCTCCCCGAGACTGCGTTGTACACGGTCACATGCCGACAGACAGCCCGACACGGACCGACTGGGTCCACAGCCCTAGGAACCTGTCTTTGGCAATGATGCACGCTGTCAGACGGGCGAGACCCGTTCGTGTTTCGCTGATCCTCCCATGTGGGTTATGGGAGCTCCTGCGAGCGGTTGGTAGGCAGCCCTTCAAGTACCGGAAATCCCTGTGCCGACCTTTTGCTGCATCCTGCGCGTATGATCCCTGAGGCCCTTTGTGCTCGCCTCTGCGGACGGCATGGCCATCAAGTTCTACAATGTGTTTGATCATGCGATTGTGCGGGATCAACTCATAGCCAACACGGTGTTGACGGCCGTCAGCACGGTCGCTTTGGTCCTGCGGTTCATTTCGCGGCGGATCCGGGAGAGTCATTTGTGGTGGGATGATGCGTTTTGTGTGATTTCGATGGTAGGTGATTGCTGCTCCATGATAGGGCTGAGCTGATAGATATAGCTGCATACCTATGGCATGCTGGCCATGCATTACCATTATGCTCGGGTGGGAATGCGGTATCATGTTGATGAAATCCCCCCTCAGAACACGATCTTGGTGTTTAAGGTATGAGGTGTTCCTGGCATAACTCGCAACTTGGCTAACTCCTGCAGATGCTTATCATCTACCAAGTCATCTACTATAATGCCATGGTCACAGCCAAAATCTCGTATCTTTTCTTCTACCTGCGCATCTTCGTGACTCGAGGGTTCCGGATCGCCGCCTGGGTCGTCATGGGCTGTGCCTGTGCTTACTGGCTGGGGAGCATGCTGCAGATATTCCTCATCTGCCAGCCCTTTGCCAAAAACTGGAATCCGGCATTGCCGGGACACTGCGCGAGTCAGAACGTGGCGTTCTCAACCATCGGAGCGTTTAACCTGATCACTGATTTCATGGTTATGATTCTCCCGATCCATTTTATCTACAAGTTGCAGATGTCCACGGCGACGAAGATTGCTCTATATGGTATCTTTTGTCTGGGTTTGTTGTAAGTGTTGATTCCTCCTGACATCGGGTGTGATGCTGACAGCATGATAGCATCTCCGCCATCACGATCGTTCGGATTCGTGTCCTCACAACGGTCGACTTCCTGGACCTCCCATACTCGATGATCTGGGCAGCATTCTGGAGTGTGACGGAACCAGCTCTCGCCATCACCAACTCCTGCGTGCCCATGATGCGACCGGTCGTGAAGGCCGCATTCCCAGGCCTTTTCTCGTCGGCGAAGCCAACTTACACATCGGAGACAGGACCGTCGGGCGCCTCGGGAAACGCCTTTAAGCGAATGACAGACCCAGAAGGCGACGTTCCTCTCACCCAGCTTGACGAAATGCCATCTAAGTCAGGGAGTCGGCCAGAATACGAACCGTCGTTGAACGACCGATCGCATGATGGAGCGAGTTCGGCGCATCATTTGCCGCGGAGTATGATTGGGTCGAGTACGGCGAAGGCGTGGTCCTGACGATTTTCTTTTGTATAGATATCTAAAAATAGTTGGGGTGTGAAGTAATACACGGGTCATTTGCCTTGATGAGATGTGATGCTGCAGTGACGGCAGCCTGCAGGTCGCATTGCAGGAATGACGAGTCACGATGTAACCATGCGTTGTACCTTGACTGGGATATTGATGATCTAAAGTCTTTTCTCCCCGCATGTTTCCTGCAGCGTAGACTAATAAATGCACCTCTTTCCTGCTTCCCCAGATCTCTCACACCCTCTCTCCCCACATCTTCAAAATGCATCTCTTCCTCCTCACCCTCCTAGCAACCCTCACCACCTCCCTCAACCTATCCTCCCCAGGAGACACATCCCCCATCCCATCCTGGCATCTCCAATCCTCCCTCCAAGCCCCCACAAACCTATCCCACCTCTCCCTCCCCTCCACCAACATCACCCAGCTCAACCCAGCATGGCACCCTATCCCCTCCTCCCACGCCACCGTCATGGCCGCCCTCCTCGCCAACAACATCTACAACACCTCGCACCTCTTCTACTCGGATAACATGGCGTCTCTCGATACCGACCCAAGCTTCCAATCCCCATGGCTCTACCGCTCCACCATCACCATCTCGCCTCCTCGCCCTGACGAGCATATTCTGCTACTAACGCATGGGATTACCTCAAAAGCTGATATTTTCTTCAATGGCATAAAGATCGCCAGCAGCGAGACGCAGAGGGGGTCGTATACAGGCGGACGGTATGATGTGACCGGTTTTATCGCGAAAAGTAACACAGGAGGGAGAAGTGAGAATGTGGTACTGATCAAGGCATACCCCACGAACTATCTGGGTGACCTTGCTCAGGGGTTTATTGATTGGAACCCGTACCCGGCTGATAATGGCACAGGAGTGTGGAGGGACGTGGAAGTGAAGCGGACGGGGAGGGTGTGGGTGTCCAGTCTGAGGGTGCTAACTGACTATGCTGGGGCAAAGGGAGGAGATGTGAACGTCACGGTGAAAGCGGAATTGGTGAATCTGGAGAATAGTCCTGTTCGGGTTACCGTGCAAGGGTATATTGAAGGACCTGGATCCAATGGAGCGAGTATAGCGAACCTGGCGAGCGGGTTCAAACTCGAAGCCCAAAAGAACACAACAGTGTCCATTACAGTTCTGATTCGAAATGCTAGCATCTGGTGGCCTGCAGCATGGGGTTCGCAGCCTGTATACACGGTGCATTTGAACGTCTCACTTGGGGCTGCGATGGCAGTCTCAGACGTGGCGAAACCAGCACGGTTCGGGATCCGCACTGTCTCGTCGAGAGTAAACGCGCACAACGACACCGAGTTCAGCATCAATGGCCATCCCTTCCGTGTGAGAGGCGCCGGGTACGCGCCGGACCTGTACCTTCGATTCGACCTCGACCGCGTCAGGACCATGTTTCTGTACATGCTCGACATGGGACTGAATACTGTCCGGCTGGAAGGAAACCAGGAACACCCACAGCTGTACGACCTCGCTGATGAACTCGGGCTAATGGTCCTCGCGGGCTGGGAGTGCTGCGATAAATGGGAAGCGTGGGATGTGAGTATTTCTCTTTGCCTTTTAACCAGCCGAAAAATAGATCTAGAGCTAGGACTAAGAGAGAAAACAGTACGCCGAAGACGCCAAAGGCACCCCCTGGACCGACCCCGACTACACCACCGCGTATACCTCCATGCTTCACGAAGCCGCCATGATGCAGCCTCATCCCTCCCTCCTCGCCTTCCTCGTCGGATCAGACTACTGGCCCAACGACCGTGCCACGAGCGCATACCTCTCCGCCCTGCGCCGCATGGACTGGTCCACGCCCGTCATCGCATCCGCCTCGAAACGCGGCTACCCGGACGCACTGGCCCCCTCGGGGATGAAAATGGACGGCCCCTACGACTGGGTGCCGCCGAAGTACTGGACCGGATCGCAGTACGGGGCTGCATTCGGGTTCGGATCCGAGCAGGGCGCAGGGGTCGGGACACCTGAGCTGTCCAGCCTGCACACCTTCCTATCCCCAAGCGAGCTGGATAGTCTATGGCGCGACCCAGCTAAAAACCAGTACCATATGTCGCGATATGACTCCAGCTTCTACAACAGAGCTATCTACAACAAAGCGCTCTTCGGCCGCTACGGCCCCCCATCCAGTCTGACCGATTACGTCCGCAAAGCGCAAATGATGGATTACGAGGCGACGAGGGCGGAGTTCGAGGGTTTCGCGATGAAGCAGAACGCGAGTCGTCCTGCGACGGGGGTCGTGTATTGGATGCTGAATAGCGCATGGCCGAGCCTGCATTGGCAGCTTTTCGACTACTACTTGCGGCCGGGGGGTGCGTTTTTCGGGACGAAGACGGGGGCGAGGAAGGAGCATGTTGCGTTTGATTATGACGAGGGGAGTGTTTATTTGGTTAATCATGGGATTGAGCTTGGGAGGGGGGATGTGAGTGGGAGTAGGACGGTGCAGGTTGATTTGGTGGGTCGGGATGGGGGGTATATTTGGGGGGAGAACGTGACGGCGCAGACGGTGCCGAATGCCTCGAAGAGAGTGACGAAGGTGGATGGGTTGAAGAGGATCAGGGATGTCGCGTTTCTGCGTCTGATGCTGCGTGAGGGTGATGGGAAGATGCTCAGTCGGAATGTTTATTGGCTTTCGGCGAAGAGTGATGTGTTGGATTGGGAGAACTCGAATTGGTATACGACGCCGACGAAGCAGTTTGCTGATTTTACAGCGCTAGGGCGCATGGCGAAGGCGAGGGTTACGACTGATATCGGGAGCCTGGATAGTAAGAAGGGGTTCAGCAAGGTTGAAGTGACGCTGAGCAATGAGTCTGAGGTTCCGGCTGTGTTTTTGCACTTGGTGGCTTTGGATCCGGCGAGCAGGGAGGAGATCGCGCCGGTTTACTGGTCGGATAACTACGTGACGTTGTTTCCGAGGGAGAAGATCAAATTGACGGCCGAGGTACAGAGTACAGAGTGGATGGTTGTGTTGGAGGGGAATAATGTGCGCAAGGTGATGGTGGGACATAACTAGATATTGGGGATCTACCGTTGCGTTTATACCTTGATACAACACATCTCCTGGCTTTTTGACACATTGCTATATAGCTTCAATCTGGTGGAGTGATCTGCTTGTTGAATTGCTTTCTATTTATAAACTAGCTACGTATACCACAGTTGCTCATATGAGAAATATCATCTATCAACCTAAGCATTCAGAACGCGCTGAATCTCTGCAACGTGCTGAGCCAGCTTCTCGTCCTGTAGGCGCCGTCCAACGATCTGGACATGGCACGGCGCGCCTTCGATCTCTTTCGGTTTGTCTGTACCATTATTAGAGCCTCGGATGAATGAGGTAGAGGTAAGGGTTAGACATACAAGGTGGTTTGTAGTCGATATCTCTGACGAAAGCAGCATCAGCTTCCTCGTTGGCCTCGCCGAAGGGGAGTATACAGGCCGGATACTATTCATCATTAGCATCTTGGACACAAAATGAAGGCAGACTAGGAAAAGGACACCAACATCGAGCAAATTCGGCATCGTGGTATAAAGCCCGTTATCGTACGTGTCATGAGGCACCGCGCAGCTCTGAAATCCCGGAGTAAGAATAACATCCACCTTATTGTCCACGTAAGCTTTCCTCATTGCCTCCGCCAGATCACTGCGTGCCACATTCATGTCAAACAGATTGCGCAGTGTCGGATCGCGCATCTCCACTGTCGTGCCTGTGCCCAGCACCGCAAGCGACGGAATAAACGGCTCCTCGCCGCGCAGGATGTGCGAGAAGAGCGTCTTATCCGGGTCCATGCCGAAGTACTGGAACGTCAGGCGGGCGATGGCCTCCAACGAGGGTGCTTTCTCGGACAGATCAACGACCTTGTGTCCTGCTTCTGCGAGCTTCGCCGCAGCCTGTGTCAACGCCCGATGCATAGACGGATGAAGCGGATACGCTTGATCCTCATGCAGCAAACCGATAGTCAAGGGCCGTGATCTCTCCGACACATCCAGCTCGCGCCACGGGATCGGAAGCGCAACATCATCCAGATCCTCAGGGTGACTGTTCGTAATCACGCGCAGCAACATCTCCGCGTCGCGAACAGAATGACACAACGGACCCGCCACCGGCGCTATACCCACCGCAGCAGCCCCGGGCCTCGCTGCCATCGTCTGCCCACCATACGGCACCCTCCCAACACTCGGCTTGAAGCCCACCAGACCACAGCACAGCGCCGGGATACGAATCGAGCCCGCGACATCCGTACCCACACCCAGGATCGACCCCCTCATCGCCACCAACGCCCCTTCGCCCCCCGTGCTCCCTCCCGCCGTCAAATTCCTCCGATGCGGATTCAGCACCCGCCCAAACACATGGTTATGCGAGTCCGCCGTCATCATCGTCTGCGGGATATTCGTCTTCACATAGAGCACCGCCCCCGCCGCGAGCAGGATATCCACCACCGCCGAGTTCCTGCTCTGCGGCGGATGCTCGAGGAAGGACACAAACCCCAGCGTCGAATGCTGCCCGGCCACATTAAACGAGTCTTTCAGACTAATCGGCAACCCGTGCAGCGGACCAAGTGGCTTCCCCGTGCGCGCTAGATGCTCATCTAGAAACTTCGCTCGCTCCGCTGCCTCCTCGAAGAACGTCTCCGTGAGACAGCACACGACCTGCTGCGCGATGGCTGCCCGCTTGCTGAACGCCGTTGTGACCTCTAGCGCGGAGTATTCGCGCGCAGCGAGCTTCTCAAGCAACAGGCTGGCATCGTCGGTCTCTGTGATGGTTAGTTCGCGGGACGAGAGCAGCCCGCTGGTGCGTGGGATGTCGAGGACGTTGGAGTCGGGAGCGAGAGCGGAGAGAGTGGTATCGGGGAGACGCCAGGCGGAGGGAATTTTGGACGCCGCGGCGAGTTGTTTGGCGCGGGCTTTTTCTTGCCAGGTGCTCATTTTGTTGAGAGGTGCTGGTTTTCTAATGATATGTTGTGGGGGTTAGTGGTGAGTGTTGGGGGGAGTAAGATAGGCGGGGATGTGTTGAGGGGTAGTTCATATGTTATTTATTGCCTGTTCAAGCAGGGTATGGATCCCTCGCGCGTGGAAATGTGGGGATTTGATAGATGTAGTCCAATGATGGGGACGCTGTCTTCTGGGCAACGCGCGATGATGTATCCGCCGTTCCTCGGTAAGTCGCGGAACCGAGATTTCATATGCAGGCTGCTTGGAGTTAGACTACGCGATGTCAATAAATAGAATATGGGATATATCTGGCTTCAGGACCAAGAAATAATGTGCAATGAGTTAACATAATTATCCATAATTTCGTAAATTAAATACATCGAGGGCAAGGGAATGTGCGGAACGTTCCGATATATACTGAAATCAAACCAAGATCAATCTGTTGGGTATAAAAATGAGAGTATCAGACTTTGTTATAGTTCATGTATATTCTTCCATCCCAGTCCAATGTTTGTTCAAATGAGAGGCATAGACACACGGTTGTCCAGGTCGATGTTATCCTCATAGCACTCCACCCGAGGCCCGCAGGTGCCAAAGATCCGGTCCCAAAGGCGCGTCTGCTTTCCGTAGTTGGCACTCTTCTTCCATCCGCGTCGGTGGTGCAGATCATGGTCTTCAATGATCAGTTCGGCGTTGAAGAGTCGCAGCGCCCAGGATAGCGTGTTAGGGGGCACGGCGAGAAGACGCAGCCCGCTGTGACCAGCCAGTTCGGCGAACATCACGTACTGATGGCAGATCCACCACTCGTAGAATCCCATGGGCATGCCCATCAACTTCATGCTGAAGTATGTGAGCAGAGGAATACCGGCGATGTCGAAGAACTCTTGCTCAGTGTCGGCGTAGAGGGTCAACAGCGGGTTGGGGTGTTTGGTGAGGTGGTGCGTGCGGTGGTACTTCCAGAGACCGCCGATCTCGTGCATCAGGCGGTGATACCAATAGAACCAGAAGTCAAGGATAATGCCGTAGAGGCCTGCTTCCAAAGGAAGCCATGCCCAGTTCATCGAGTCCGGGGCTAGATGGCTGCGGTAGCTGAGGAACACGGTGAAGATAGGCCGGAAAGTCGATGTCGAAATGAGCGACTGAGCCACTTTGGCCACACCCACGTCGGGCACGCCATCGCGTTCGTGCTGGTCACCGTCTAAGAATCCGAGGACGTGACCCAGACGGCGAAGCATTTGGAGTTCGTGAATGGCGATGGCCTTGAAGGCGACACTGTAGAAAACGAAAGCGGCGAAAGGACTGAGGTTGTTCCCGGTATAGGCGGTATAAACATGGTGAATAGCGAGCGGAATAAAGGAATGAACAAGCACCCAGCGGTGCATATGCCACTCGGGCACCCATGGTACCTTGTCCTCCTTAGGATGAACAGGCACATCCTTATCTAATACGGAGGGGTGAATGCCGAGGATTTCGTAGAACCAATGAGAGAAGGTCCACTCGCCGCGATCCAGACGACGCCAAGTGGACTTCATCGAGTCCTTGGGATTAGGTTGGAAACTCATGATGATGGAGGTGGTTGAGATGGTATCTGAGCCCCTCCCCGTGGGGGATGCGAGACCTGGTTTATATCAGGGCGACTCGGCCGTTGAGCCTACTCTCGGCATGTGAAATTGTGGGCGAGACCGTGAGAATCCACCGCAGATCATCGGACAAATACTGGGACGACACGAGATTGCGATGAGATAATATTTAAATCAGGCCTGTGTTGATGCTTTTGCTGTCCCACCCCCTCCATGGGCCTCGGGCGAACATATGAACACGTCTGGTCGAACCCCAACAAACCCATATTCTGCGGTTCATGAGCGCACTTCTAATCATCTGCAGACTGATCGAAAGTGCACGGAGGATTATCAGGAATCCAAACGACCCAATGGTTCCTGACTGCGGCGGACTAAAATTTGGGTCGCGAGGGAAGAACCAATAATGAGTTCCGCCGGGGAAATCAGGGGTCGATCTACACCCCATTTCCGCCCAAAAATGGTAATGGTTGCGATGGGCTAATTTGAATCCTGGTCCATAGCAGAGTCTGGTATGGTCGATGATTCGATCGCTGGAAGCATTTTTGTTCTTGATTTTCATGTTGTTTTGTTGGGATGCCGTGACTTCACGTGCTGGCTCAAGCCCTGAAACGGCCGATGGAATGACTTCGGCTGGAGACGGGATGTTGGCAGTAATTTTGGCCAGGCCGCAGCTTCCCTGATTGTTTTGCCGAGTGCTCAGCTGTAAATAAATGATGGAGGCCTTGATTGCATGTGCAAATAGCGACTTTTGGCTGTTGACCAAAGGGCAGGTGTAGTCGGTGGTGACTTCCTCAAACACCGCGGGAGGATGAGTCGGAAATCCTCTCCATTTCTTCAGTTGCGGATCCTCAAATCATTGCGCAAGTACTCATGTCGTTTTCATATGCGCTGATAATTGGAATCTCCAATCATGCATTTCCGGGCCGATAGCCTTGACGTCACTCGCCTGGCTGTCTTTGTGTTGCTCATCCTTCAGTTGCTCCTCATACGAGTCCTTGCCGTTGACATTTCCGACACGAGTGGCAACATTCGGACCTATGACTATGTTGTTGTCGGTGGCGGGACTGCTGGGATCGCCGTGGCGACGCGACTGGCCCAGATGTCATTTACTGTCGCCCTCGTTGAGGCCGGTGGGTACTATCAGGGAATATCACTGGCTCCCATACCGTCCAGTGATTTGTTTAGAGTAGGTGCGAGACCACGGATTCGCTCGCTGATTGATTGGGGCTTTGTGGCCGAACCCCAACCAGGGGCCAACATGCGGTATATCCACTATGCCAGAGGTCGATGCTTGGGCGGATCGTAAGTCTTTGACGATTTGTGGAGAACTGTGATTAATGGGCCTGTAGTTCTGCAATCAACTTCATGATTTATCAGCGGTAAGCTTACTGGACTTGATGTAAAACCTAGCTGAGAAAGACTAGTCCAACCCGCGACTCGATGGCCGAATGGGCCGCAACCGTGAATGACAGCAGCTACACCTGGGACCGAGTCTTACCTTACTTTAAGCGCAGCGTCCATTTCACCCCTCCTGACTTCATTGGTCGATTTCCGAATGCGACACCGAGCTATGATCCTGGCGCCTACGATCCTAAAGGAGGTCCTCTTGAGGTGTCATTCGCAAACTTTGCCATGCCCTTCTCCTCATGGATGAAACTCGGAATGAATGCCATCGGCATCGACGATATCCGGGACTTTAACGAAGGATCCTTGCTTGGAGCGCAATACTGTACCGTCACCGTCCGACCGCCCGATGAGACACGCAGTAGCTCGCAAACGGCCTTCCTCGGGAAGTCGAAGCCGCCAACGATGGATATTTTCACCTATACCCTAGCACAGAAGATTCTTTTTGATAGCGAGAAGCGGGCCACTGGTGTGCTGGTTACCGACAAATCGTCCGCCTCTTTTGAACTACGTGCAGTCAGAGAAGTGGTGTTATCCGCGGGTGCGTTGCAATCGCCGCAGCTGTTGATGGTATCCGGGATAGGCCCAGCTCCTACACTACAGGATCATGGTATCCCGGTGATCGCGGATCTCCCTGGAGTCGGACAGAATATGTGGGATCATCCTTTTTTCGGCCCCTCCTACCGGGTCCAGGTAGTGACCTTCACCGAGTATGTGAATGATATCTGGTTTACGATATGGGAGCTCATAAAGTGGCTCTCCTTTGGTCGCGGCATGGGCAGCAGCACCGGTGCCGACTTTCTGGCGTGGGAAAAGATTCCAACCGATTTGCGAATGAAGTTTTCCAATAGAACCCTGACGGATCTCGAGCAGTTCCCGCCGGACTGGCCCGAAGCTGAGGTATGAGCATTCTGATTTCTTGGCCTGACAGATGGATTCAATTCAACAGTCGGGCAAAGTAATTTCCTTGTGTCTAACTTTATTCCGTCAGTATATTTCTGGACCGGGCTATGTGGGTGCCTTCGCAGATCCAGTATTTGAACAACCCAAAGATGGCTACCGGTACGCGTCCATCTTAGGCGTCCTTGTCGCACCAACCTCTCGAGGCAATGTGACCATCAGATCGGCAAACATGGCACACTTTCCGGTCATCAATCCAAACTGGCTGGACACAGATACAGATCAGGAAGTTGCAATTGCCATGTTCAAACGAATCCGTGAAGCAGCTAGTACTTCGGTCATGGCGCCGGTTATGATAGGGCCCGAGTACGATCCCGGAAGTCACGTTCAGACGGACGACGATATCCTCGAGTACATTCGTAATAGCGTTATGACGATTTGGCATCCGGCCTGTACATGTAAGATGGGCAGAGCCGACGACACTATGGCGGTTGTAGATAGTGAGGCGCGTGTCTTTGGGGTGGAGCGCCTGCGAGTGGTGGATGCCAGCGCGTTCCCTATTTTACCCCCGGGGCACCCTCAGTCTACAGTTTGTAAGTCATTGAGCTTCCTTGTCGAGATGAATGTTGACAAAGAGTAGATATGCTGGCAGAGAAGATATCCGACGTCATGATCCATGGAAGTAATCGTAGTTCGTAGGTCCGTGGCTGATCTCCGGAGATTTCAATATTTTACCTCTAGAGCTGAAATGTATGAACGAACATGACACTCTCATTTGACAGCTTCTGATCAGTATTTGTAAATTTGTAAAGGAATGATTTATCGCCGCACAAGTGACTTAACTGTATTAGTGGTTGCAATTCATGTGATTGCTTCGGCTTCCTTTGCAGACATTGATCTAGGAAGCGCTTGTTTACATGACTCCCGCTCAATGACAGTATAGTTCTAGTTTAAACACCGCAATAGGCAGCCAGATTGTAACTCAGTCCCACCATAAAAGCACAGCCACGTTAAGATGCATGAAATGGCTCATTTCCAGGCAGACAAGAAACTTATGCGGAGTAGAATTTCCCCAATGTTACATGTCCAACTGCCAAATCGACATGTGCCTAGAACTCGATATAGGGATTGGGTTTGAGCACACCATGAGCCCACGGTAGATGTATGATCCATGTTTGATCGCTTTGCACTGACGAAGCTGATATTCATACAAACCAGTATCAATATGCATAACATCATAGCGGTGTACAATCGAGGAAATGACAGAACAACACAAGTAGGCAACCGAGTTCTGCCAGTGAAATTTGGGGGCTAAAGACATGTGGATCCGGTCCCTCAATTAAGCGCCTCGGACCAACACCAACTAAGCGGCCAGGGTCCAATGAGGATCATTTTAGATCAGATGGCCTATCCCATCTTGGCAGATCTTCATCCACTGGCTAGGTAACTGCATTCAAGGCTTGAGTTGACAGTTTATATCGACCCTGTTGCCATAGGAGATCCGATCCATCCGCCACCAGCGATCGTGGATACTTGAACCGGCAGATCCCGATCCTTTTGAGGTTCAGCAATATATAAACCTCAGTTCCTCATCCCTACCATGCGTCCTTGCAAAGAGGTCCACGCAACGAAATCAGAATGCATCTCTTCACTACAGTCACTACCGCGCTCACGGCGCTAAGCTTCCTCTCCCATGCCGCCGCCTATAAATGGGACAAGAAGGCCGCTGAGTTTGGCGCTGGCAAAGACTGGTTTTCGGACATCATGCCCCCGCCCGAGGGGTCTTGGGGCAAGCTGCTCGTCGACGAGAACGAGCAATGCTATATTGTGTTGAACGAGGTCTATGACTGCAAGGGACGCTCGGAGCCCTTTGCTACGTATAATGCCACGACGGGGTATTGCGATGCTTATGGTAAGGCTCCCCCTATTCACCTAGTCCCCGCAGAGAGAGTGACCAACTCTTCTCCATCTAAGGGGACACTGTACCCGTTCCGTCGTGATCGAATTGTTTAACTAACCCCTCCTCTCCTAGACGGCGCCGAACCCATGACCACCCCCATCTGCGGCGGCTACCTCTGGTTCTTCCGACACGCTCAGCAAAACGCCTTCGTGCAGTCCACACACGGCGAATATAACCTCACCGGCGGCGAACTGTTCATGAAGAGTCACCGCTACGAGGTCAACCTGGTGCCGTATCGGCTTAGCAAGGCCGGGTGCGGCTTCTCGCCTGTCTACAAGGACGGCGAGTTCCAGCATCTGGATCAGCCGTGCGGGCTGGTCAGGAAGCCTGTTGGTAAGTGGAGTGGCTAGGTCTGAGAGAAGCGGTGAATATGTCACTAATTGTGGCTTCACCTAGATGAGTGAGGAGGCGTGGTAGTTGACGAGGTAGTTGGAGGGGCTATTGAGGTATTTGATGAGGGGTGGCGAGAAATGACTGGTATGTGATGTTTGGATGGTGGGATATGGCTTATGATGGGATTTTGATTTTGATTCTGGCGTTGAGAAATTATGTGTTGATGAAGGATTTGAAGCATGGATGAGAGGCCCGATGTTGGTTTTCTTTTGTGATACGTGGAATGCTTTGTTTAATACAAAAGCAATAAAAATAAGAGGTCTAGACCTTCCATTCATATCATGGGTTAAGGAAAACCAGAGGAAAAGGAACACACGAATGGGATCGATAGTAATGATTGTCTTGTGCTGGAAGCCACATTTTCAATTCTATTTGAAACTAAGGAAACCATATCCTGCGCAGATACATATCTTATGATGTACGGAATTCGCTGTCACATCTTTAGTAGAAAGTGTTTCATTCTGACTTTCGAGTTAGCGGCCAAAGGACTTCCTAATAGTTGATCAGTGGGATAGACCCCAGCTACCTGGTTTATTGGAGGAGTGGTGGGAGAAAGGAAGGAAAACAAAATCAGAGAGTGGCCCCAACTCGTCAGTCCCGGTCCCTAGGATGCCCGATATGCAAGGGAGTTGACAAAGTCCAGCCAGAAAAGGGCAGTTTTATCCAGGCCTTTTCATTAGAGATTGCCTGAAGCCACTTTCAATAGAAAACTAAATGTGATACAGCGTCATGTCACTATCATCTCAATCTTGAATAATTTAGAGAGGTTCCATGATACTCCATTCAACCTAAACAAATTACCACTTTTTTATTTTTTTATTTTTTCGCAGCAACAGTGTCACATTCATCTGGATGCAAGGGATGGGAATCTCACAACCAGGGTATTTAAAGGTCTGGCAGGGATTCCGCCCGCCGTATTTTAGCAGTGGAGATTCATTTCTGGAAAAAGAGCTTCAATTTATCATGCGATTCTTCAATGGAAGTATTCTCGCGTTGTTGGCAATGTATGTAGGGGCAACCCAGGCAAACGACGTCACCTCCACAGTGACTGGTATTACGGCACAGACACTTGATGACCTTGTTTTGAAATCAAAACATGGTGCCCAGACGCTCAAGGGTAAGCTGCCCGAAAAGTAACACAGACGGAGCTAACCGGTTGCAGCCTTGTGTCGACTTATTACCAACTGGGATCCTTATACGCGGAACATGCTGAGAAAGTAACAATTGCCAAGATGGATTGTGACCTTCATGTTGCTCCAATCGAATTCGACCAGTCGCTAAAAATTCTTCTATATCCTGCCGATTACAAGGACTCTCCAGTGGATATTTCGGAAGTTAGGGACCTGGCAGATTTCGCCAAGTCAATCCAAGAGTATGGTTCCCATCACGTCGAGATATCGGTTCCAGATAAGGGTGAAGGGCGTGATGAATTGTAGTGGTCAAGGCTCTTAGGCTAAAGAAATTGGAAATGGGTAGTATTAGTCTTGTTCCGTACTCCTATGGGGTGTTTTTAGTGAAGCTTTGAGTTTTCATGGTAAACCAATATCAGACGTGCAGTTGTTGAGTGCTTTTGGCAGTCCTATCCAACAAAGGCAAAATGTGAAGTAATAATTGCGATCAACCAATCTCACTGGCCCAAATACTCATGACATATCATGGCCCCGCACCCCGCAGATACCCCTCAAACCCAATCCACATCGTCCAAACTCGCTTTCTCTCCTGTAATCTCACCACCTACAAAACATCCCAATATGTACACACAGTCTATGCACGCCGAGACTTCCACACAAACCCTCTTCGAATTTATCCGCGACAATCCCCTTGGTATACTCACCACTGCCATTCCCTCGACCACGCAACCGCTCATTCAATCCACGCATATCCCCTGGATTCTAGACACCGACGGAGAACCCCACCCGTCTAACCTCGGCAACGCGCAAGCCAATGCCGGCGAGAATGAGAGTCCCCCGGCCCGCCTCCGCGGGCACATCGCGCGCCAAAACCCCCAATCAGCAACCCTGATTGAAGCTGTCCAGTCCCTGGGTCTCCCGTCTGGATCTTATCTACCACATGAGACTCACGAAGTCATGATCCTATTCACCTCGCCGCACCACCACTACGTGACACCGAAGTTCTACACCGAGTCGAAGCCCGCGACGGGAAAGGTGGCGCCGACGTGGAATTATTCGGCTGTGCAGGCCTACGGCACTATTAGAGTCTACTTCGATCCCGCCGCTGAGGAGACGGGGGCGTATCTGGATCACCAGATTCGGGATCTATCGGCGCATTGCGAGGGTCATGCCATGGGGTTCACCGGGGCGGAGAATGGTAGACCGGAGGCGTGGAGGGTGGACGAGGCGCCGGAGGGGTATTTGAAGGTGTTGAAGAGGAATATTGTTGGTTTGGAAGTGGACGTGAGGAGGATTAGTGGGAAGGTGAAGATGAGTCAGGAGAAGGGAGGGGGAGATAGAGAGGGTGTAATAGGTGGGTTCAAGGCGTTGGGAACGCAGACGGGGGATGTTATTGCTAGGTTGGTTACGGAAAGAGGAGAGATGAAGGATAGAAAGAGGGAGAAGTAAAGTGTTTGGATGTGTGTTCACCGGTTGAGATAGGGCTGGTCAGATCAGATGACTCTTTGAGGCCTGACATGGCAGGCATTGCATTAGTTGAAAGCTATATCATCAATGGCACATAGATTCGTCTCGAAGGCATTTGGCATGAATAACGCTCTTCACGGCAGATCCTCATCATAGATCCTTGTAATATGCGACCGTTCAGATGCCCTCTTTATCCACCTCTTGAACCCCCGTAACAGACGGCGATGACGGCGTCTCCGTACCTTCATCATCCTTGGTCCAAGTCCCCCTTCCATTCAGCCCGCGATAAATCTGGGCAATCTGCTGAATACCTCCATCCAGGATAGGATAGAAAATAGCAATGAGTGTTGTGCCCCACAGCCAAATGATAGCAACAACGACCCAGGCAGTATAGAACTGTCTCCAGTTAGAATCTTATCTGTCTTAAGGGTTGAGCGAGAACTTACTCCCTTGCCAAACACATATTTTGATCCATACATTGGTAGCGGCCAAATAACCCAATGGCCCAAGAACGTTGCGATGGACCAAAAGGCCGCAATGCGACCCCATCGTTTCAATTCTTTTGCTTCTGGCGCAGATGAGGTTCTTGATCCGTTTTCAACATTGGTGTCGTTCGGGATATGCTCGTTATGTGCGGTCGTCAGATCACTGTCTAGCTTTTCCAGTGCGAGCTTTTCTTTCTTGAACTCCGACCAGTCGTATCTTTGCGGCCTGATCAGGGTGATAACGACCGAGTAGAGAATGGGCGAGCAAGCAGATGCCACGGTTCCGTATACACACGGTAGAATCTGACCTGTTGCTGAAACGGAAACTGCGCCGTAGAAGTGCTGCGCCGTGCCGAGCCAGACACCGATACCCGTAGCCATACCTAGGATAGGCGAGAGGATTGCCGCGGCTTTGCTTTGTCGGCGCCAGAGGATCGTGAAAGCCATGGGGAAGATGCCAGGACAGGTTACGACACCTGTACTCGTTAGCTTTGGGCCCTGTCATGGTGATGTGAATAATGACCCACCAAGCATGTATAATGTCCATCCAAGATCGATCCCGACGTAATGCAGCATGGTGCTAAAACCAGCCGAGAAGGCCGCGAAGAAAATCACTCCGAAATGACTAGCGCGGATAATATCCCTGTCCGAAGCGTTGCGGTTGAAATATTGTCGATACACATCGAAGCTGAGAATAGAGCTGACGGCGATGACCTGGGCCGAAAGCGTAGATGTTACAGCCATGAAGGTCATTAGGAGCACGGCTGCTGCACCTCCCTTGCCTGCAATTGTGATAGCGGCATATGGGAGGACAAGCCCGTTGCTGACTTCTGTCGTTGTCATCCTCTGTGTAAGTGTTAATTAAAAGTGTGGCTAACAGGATAAGAGTAGACTCACGCGAGGAAACGTGGGGAAAGAAGAACTATTTTCAAGCCCTAGGGCGAGCGAGCTCATCACAGTTCCCAAGGCCCATGGGATAGAAAAGTATGCAACACCTCCGATCGTGTATCCCGGTACGACTGATGAGGGAGCAGCCGAGAAAGCTTTGATGAAGTAACTGGTGTCCATGATGACGAGGCCGAAGTTGGAGCAAATGTGCAGGATACTGAATAGCATTCCCTGGATTGATGTTAGCATTTGACATAGATTAACACGGAACTTACTTACCCCCTTGGAAGTCATCGTTAAGTAGCTTCCATCATGATTTCCTGCGACCGGGTGCCGTTGAGCAGCAGCTTGAACGAGGTCGTATAGTTTTCCGATCGACCCGACCTCCTCGTAGGTAAACGCTTTGATGGAGAAGTAGCAGGCGATGATCAGAATGATAGCTGTATGGAAGTAGTCTGTCAGGAATCTATCTTGGGCATTAGTAGCGGTCATCAAACGTGATGGGTTATCTCAACGTACGTTGCTTTGATACCACCAACAAAAGTATAAACAGTGACTCCGACAGGCAGTAAAAACGTAGCAGCGATAATATGCATTCCCGTACTATCTCGGTCAGTGCTCATATAATTTCGAATATTGGAAAGTATTTGACTCACACTGCTGATATAACCGCAGCCGCGCCGAGTAACATGTTTGCACATGCGAAGATATTGTTGACCAAGCAAAGGGTCATGAACACGGCATGTGCGATTTTCCCTGTCATGTATCAGCCAAAGGAAAGTCGTCGCTGAGACTTAAGACACCCACCGTAGCGAATTCTAACAACTTCGAGTGATGTATGTGCCTCGGGGATCTTTCGTTTGCATGATATTCCCAGTAAAGCGAAGAAAACGATCATGGGGCTGCATCCAGCCGCGAACCAGAAGGAACCCGAAACACCGTAATTGTATCCCACAAAGGAGGAGCCGAGCAGGGCAGTTGTCCAGAGCCATGACTGAAGTATTCATCAGCATTTTTAACTTAAAAAGGAATCAGAGAGAAATCGACATACCGATATCACAGCAGACGCAGTCAATCCCGTCCTCACTGTGCGGTTTGCGGTCATAAACCTATGGAGTAGTTAGTATCGGAGATTCAAACCATTTTGGGGACCATACATTTCTGTTTTCCTATTGTCCTCACCCGTAGTCCTTTTCAGAACTCGAGTGATTAACATCATCACTTATTTCATTAGCAAAAGCTTGTCAAAAGAAGAGACGATAGAACACACCCAGCGCGATAATCAAACCAACAACGACAACAATAACATAACCGACAGCCTGAGATAAAGGCGGTTGGACTGCTTCATCGCCAGCGCGTCCTTGTAGTTGAGCCATCTTGTCTTTTAATCTGCGTCGGCTTCTGTAAAGATAAGGCCTCGAATGCCGAAGGAAGAATAAAGTCAGCTCTCAGTGGGGGATATCGTCCAGCCTTAAATAACATCAGCCACAATGGCCCTGAAAGACCCTGCAGGGGTCTTTACATGGAATATTAGGCTTTGGCCAGTGCATCCTTGGTGCATTGCAAAGCGGCATAGGCCCACAGTGATATGATAGAGAATCGATATGAGGTGCTCACGCGAACCGGGTTGGTGGATGAACTTTATGTTTGAATATTTTCCATAGCCCCGTTCGCAATACTATTATTGAATCTAATCGATTTCGGCTGATAGCACCTAAACAGTTTGATGAGAGAATCATAGAGCTACGACGCTGTATTGAAGTTCCTGGTGCTAGGGGTAGGGCTGCATAGCCCAGGCCCAGCTTACACCTTATTCCTGACACTTTAAGACTTTTGGGAGCATCAATTACAAATGCTCAAACTCTCAATGCTGAACATATTTTCTCAACTTTTTTGTGATATCCCAAAATCTCCTGTCCCTGGCTCGGTGTACCTTTCATGTTCCTCCCTTCCCCCGATGCTGCGTCGCATTGCGTGATACCGGGAGCGACTGACGATAACGCGATCAACCGCATTCCGGGGACCATCGACTCGCCCATTTTTGCACCCCAACTTTATTTCCCTCGCGTTCACTAAAGTATCTTCCAATGAGACACTCCAGCCATGGTAAGCACCCGGTGATATCAATGATCTGCACTTCCATCGGGGAATCCTCGTCGTCTGTTCGTCGTGCCCGCATGGCGTCATCACGGCCCACTTTGATGCTATGCAGAATACTCTCTTTGCGGGCGCGCGAGGGAGGGGATGACATTGTGTCGGCTGGAAATATCGCATACTTATTCTCTACGTTTCGCACTTTGAGGTGGACAACTTAATTAGAATCTGGCACAATCGCTGTAGCAGTCCATTGTGAAAATCGTTGTTCGCTAGCCCTACAGTCACGCAATCACAAGCAACTTCTGCAATCATGGCTACTGCAGATGCTGCGCAGGCTCCGCGCAAGAAGCTGATTCTCAATGCCTTTGTTGAGATGTGTACGTGCGATATTGCCGCGCTCTCAACCCTCCCTGTAGCTAATAATTAACAGGTAGCGGTCATCAATCGCCTGGCCTGTGGCGCCACCCCGAAGATGAATCGCATCGCTTCAACGACATTGACCACTGGGTGGAACTAGCCCAGCTATTAGAATCTGCCAAATTCCACGGCATCTTTATCGCAGACGTACTAGGTCAGAACCAACTCCCTCGGATCAAACTTCGCACAACTGACGCGATCGATATACTAGGTGGATACGACGTCTACAAGGGTCCTAGAAATCTCGCTCCGGCCATTGTTTCTGGTGCGCAATGGCCCGTTAACGAGCCTCTCGCCGTCGTCCCTGCCATGGCGGCAGCTACAAAGAACATCGGATTTGGAGTCACGGTGACGACGACGTATGAGCAGCCGTATCATTTGGCGAGACGGTTGTCGACGATCGATCATTTGTCGAAGGGACGGTAAGTTGTGCTCCTGGGGTCCTTGTCGCGAGATAGCTAACTGTTGCATAATAGAGTAGGATGGAATGTAAGTCATCATTGCGTGGATGATACGATCACTACTAACATAGTCGACACATAGGTTGTGACAGGTTATCTAGACTCTGCAGCCCGCAATCTGGGCCATGCGCATCAGCCACATGTAAGGCCCTTGGTTCCGTGACAGCTGCTTTTGCTAATAGTAAATAGCATGACGACCGCTACGCCGTCGCAGAAGAGTACATCAAGGTCGCCTACAAACTCTGGGAATCCTCATGGCGCTCAGACGCCGTTGTCCTCGATCGCGAACGTGGCATCTACACGGACCCTGCCCGCGTGCGCGAAATCAACCACGTCGGAAAGTATTTCGACGTGCCGGGTCCTCATCTCACCCAACCCAGTCCCCAGCGCACACCTGTAATTCTGCAGGCTGGTACGTCAAAGGCAGGCAAGACTTTTGCGGCCCAACATGCCGAAGCGATCTTCGTGGGTGGACACAGTCCCGCTGTGGTCGCTAAGAATATCGCGGAGATTCGAGCGCTGGCGAAGAGTGATTTCGGTCGCGATCCGCAGGGTATAAAATTCTTGGCGTTGTTGTGTCCGGTCTTGGGTAAGACTGAGGAAGAGGCGCAGGAGAAGTTCAAGTATTTTAGGAGTCTGGGGTCGATTGATGGTGCGTTGGCGTTGTTTGGTGGCTGGACAGGAATCAATCTCGATACGTACGGGGAGGATGAGGAGTTGAGACACGTCGAGAGTAATGCAATTCGGTATGTTTTCACTATTCTCTTGAAAGTGAATGTGGCTAACTCAGAAACAGATCTGCTGTGGAAGGCTGGTCGAAGTCCACCCCCGGCGTGGCCAAATGGACCAAGGCGACTGTGGGACAACACATCACAGTCGGAGGCCTGGGCGCGACACCCGTCGGAACTCCCCAGCAGGTGGCAGATGAAATGGAGCGATGGGTTTCAGAGGCAGACGTCGATGGATTTAACCTTGTGAGTGTCTACCTCCTTACCGGCATCTTACTTCCTCGACTAATCCGGCTTCCTAGGCATATGCGGTCAAACCCGGCTCATTCAAAGACATCATCGATCTTCTTATCCCTGAGTTACGCCAGCGCGGACTCTTCTGGGATGATTACGCCGTCGATAAAGGCACGTATCGTGAGAATCTCTACGCGAAGGCTGGGCAGAGTGGACCGCCTGCAGATCATCCTGCCGCTAAGTATCGCTGGAATGCTGGAGTGGAGGCCGCGGATCATACAATCCCTGAGAACTAGGAGCTTGGCTTGCGCGAAAGATAAATGTATGATACGCCAGGCATATAAGTTCATCTATTTTCATTTTAGTCAAGTGTCTATTCGTATGTGTTCATTTAGTGAAGCTTTATATGACCATTGTGTGCCAAGTATATCGATCTTGGCTCTATATTCTTGAAAGGTCGTATGTTCAGGTCGTCTATTCGTCATCATCCATCGCCGGGAATGCATCCCAGCTGTTGTCTTCTTCCGGTGTCTCTTCCCCGAGGCACCTTTCACATTTACATAGAAACCTGAAGGACTTTTGTAGATGTTCCCGTCGTGCGCTCAGTTCCACAAACTCCGTCAAGTCGAAATAGGATATACAGCATTCTTCGCCGGCTTGGATATCGCGCGACGAAACAAACACCATTCTGCCGTTGTTGTCAGGCTTATGGATAATCTATTTCCCATTAGCGATTTGTTTTACAACGTGGAAGTAAAGTATAGGACCACTTACATTCGGGCTACACGAGTGATTTGCTATAGCAGCGCGAGGGTACACAGCTGCAGCGAACTGCTCCCCCCTATCAAGCGAAGTATCCGAGAGCGAAAGAATCCCCGTTTCTCTCGGATACAGGCCAAAAGAATTGGCCTCTTCGCGACAAATAAGCGCCAGGACATCATCCGCGCTCATACCATGCGGCAACGACTCGGAAGTCCTCATATACTTCTTTACCAGCGTGCTCCACTCACGCACCTGCGAGTGCGCCCACGTCTCAGGGGAACCACAAAGCGACTCAATAGCGCTCCATCCGGCCTTGAAGCGTTGTGTCGACTCTAGACTGCCGACTTCCTCAACAGACCTCGTGGCCAATATCCGCACAATAAGCCAAAGCATCCCGAAATCATACTCGCCCCATTTCGAGCGTATCGAGGCCGCGTACTTCTTCAACCAGGTACACTCGAACCCATGACGGGCTTGGTCGGCCGCTCGACAGGCTTCATTACACCACGCTACATCGGGGACGCAGTTGCTTGGGCACGAGGTGCGTGTTCGCGGCTCCGTCGACGCAGACGCAGACGCACTAATAATCTTCCGATTGCATTTGGAATTGCTGCATAGGACATCCGGACTTGAGGCGGGATCGTCAACGACGGGAATTACAGCGTAAGGTGTGTCTATTAGGAGAAGTTCGCCTTTGGCTATGGGGTGCGAGGCGACGAGTTGGCGGCCTTTGATTGGGTGCGTGCTTTGAGAGAGATAAGCGTGGAGCCAAGGTTCTTGAGAAGTGTTTATCGTGACATTTGTCAGGTGGTCTGTTGTGATGTGCAGTCTTTGTTCAGCTGCTGCTGTTGTGGTTGTTGCTGTTGGTGATTGCATGGTTGAGTTGAGTTGTTAGACTTAGGGGGGCTGTCAGGAGTGGGTGTGGATTCTAAAATTTGCGGCACTGAGAAATTTTTCCCAATTTTTTTCACTCCCAGATTGATCACCAATTTGAATAATCTTATCTTTGCCTCTGGGGTCCCACTATCTGTGCCGTGGATCTGGACCCTCTGAGGCCTTTTCAGTGGCTGCGAGGCGTCCCCTAGTGGGACCTTGCTCATTTCTTGGCAACATGATGCCTTTCGGCAGGTCGTGATTGGTCTGGTCTAGCAAGACGGTTTGCTTTTAATTGTGGTTGTGATCTCTCCTATTACATTCTAACTATTTTCGATATTAGGATGGATCACTCACGATGTATGGTTGCTTTTTTGTTATGTTGTTTTGTCTCATCGCTCAACTGTTTATATTTGCCGCAGGTGGCGACGAAAACAGGGAGGCAAACATGGTCCCGAAGAATTTCCAGCAGATGAGGAACTTTGATGACAAAAAGCAAGATATTATATACTTTTTATCAACCAGTTATTGCAATAATCCATGTGTATCATCTAATGTCTACTCCCGAGGATGCAAGAAACACTCATTGAAGATGGGGCATAGACCATCACGTGGGTACCACGTGGGCAGGAACCGAGTCAGTCATCTGAGGTCGGAGAAACTCACCGACAATTGAGCTTCAAAATCTCTTGTAAGTTGGATGAAATCAAACAAAGGAGGATTCCTCCTTCGACAGGTAGATTTAGGAATTCTCCGTTAAGCAACATTCTCCTGGGCCACTTGGTTATGTTCTCAATTCTCTGACTTGCTATGAATACCAGAACGGTGGTCGTTAAACTCTGAAACTAACAGTGAGTGTGTCTGTTCGGTCGGTAATGGTGAATAATAGGAGATTAGCCCATCTGCAATGATACTTACGATGCCACCTGCTTTAGGCAGAGGTATTCCTGCTTATCGGAACTTCCCAGGGGCAATCATAGAATATGAATATACCACCAGAAAGTAGACCTCTAGTGGTCCTACGTGAAAGCTCCGACAAGAAGTTCACGCTGAATGGTTTCTAACATACTATGCCCACCTGATAGGCAGATTATTTGGAACTTGCCAGTAGAATACTGCAAGTTTCACTGTTGGATGTTCTAGCCGGTTAAATCCGGCACTGTTGGCCACGTGAAATTCTGCATAAAAGGACTGATTGTCCATGATTGAAGGCCTTTGTCCCCTAGCAACCCCATTCTCAGATCCCTTTGATTACCAAAAGAAAACTCTTTGTGAGCCTTTCATCATGAGCATGCCTTCTCAATCATCATCGGATGCACCCGAGTCATTTATCCAGAGGCTTCCTAATGAACTGCTCATCCTGATCTTTGAACAGTTGCACCCAGCCACTGAAAAATACCCAAAATTTAGCTATTGGCTAAACCCGATGTTGGTCTGTCGCCGATGGTATCCTATTGCAGAAGAAGTTGCATGCGCTAGTACGACACTGTACATTGAGCGGGATCCGGACGCGACGACAAGAGTATTGATCAATAAATCACAGACAAGAAGATATGTTCGGTCAGTAAGGTTCAATTGCAACTTCGCGGCAGAGAGCTTGAGGGCCAGAACCCTGATACTGCTGCAGTCGTTGAAGCGTGTGCGCTGTCTTATCCTGGACTCCGGGTTCCCAATAAAAGACAATGCTATGCTCGCAGCGTTCCGGGAAATGCCCCTCACTGAGCTGCACATAACTTACTTGCTGTGTCCGTACTCCCTGTTAGAATTCTCTAACATCCCCACTCTGCGACGTTTGGCTCTCAATAATTGGGGTGATTTCATTAGGGAACGTTGGCGTCGGGGAGCAGTCCCTAGACGCCGCCCGCCTCCACGGTTTGACGTCGACCTAGATAATTTCCTACCACCAAGGAAACAAAGGACCTCGAGGATTACGACTCTTCGATTCAAGAAACTCGACATCCCTGCGGACCTTTTGGAACGGCTTTTCATGTGGCCGGCGGATCTGGAAAGCGTCGAATTGGACTTTCTCCCCAGAACACCTCGGCTTCTAACATACACGGCTGAAAGAATCCAGGATATGCTCGCACCGCGTGCTGCATCTCTTAAAAACGTTAGATTAGGCGCTCTGCATCTCAACAGCAGGCGTATACCGGACTTTTCATCCTTCAACTGTCTGGAAACGCTTACTGTGTATGGAGCAAATCTCTTGTCAGAGCGTCCCGAGATTGCACTGCAGAAGCTGGCTACGCCGAGTCTCAAACTTCTTATAATAGACCTTAGAAGCGACTCGGAAATTATCGCGGGTCGTGGAAAGTTCCCAGAAGTCTATCGCTGTTGGCTGGAGAGTTTTTTCAAGGGGGTTAAGGGCGTCAGCAGACTGTCAGGGCTCAAGAACGTGCAGATTTACACTTACAAGGGTCTTTTTAAAGAGGTGCGTCATCTTCCCTCTGCCCAAATGGTAGATAATTTGGTACAAATTGCCCAGGAGTGTGGAATATTTCTCGAGGATCGTAAATGGCGACTGGGAATGCTGCAATGAAGGGCGTGATATTTGTTTGACCAGCAGGATCAAACATGAGACTCTTTCATAGTTTAGGTTTATGGGACAAATTGAAAGCAAGTATGAAAGCGATTCCTAAGATTGCCTGAGTCCTGATTCCTAAGGCATCGAAACACCTATTCCGGTAGGACATTCCGTGAACTTAGTAGACGAGAGAATAGAAATTCATAGTATTTATTCACCAAAATGTATATCTATGTAGTTTGGAAATCCGAGGTGCAATCTGCAAAGCATTTCGCCCTTTGCTTACCCTTCTGTGGCCCTTTTACGTATGCAACACCATGGAAGCCATTTCTACCTGTTTAGCCTAGGTGCAGTCAAGCCATTCTGGTGCTGCTCCCATCGTAGCCATCGACCCAAGCATCGACATTTATCGGTTGATGGACGACAGATATGTTCTCTTTAATTATGGGGCGCTACGGCTAATCCCGCCGTAGTGAGCTTTCCCCGATATTCTTCTTAAAGGTCCATTGGACTGCGAATCTGATCGTTCCCAACCACTGCTCAATAGCACGTAATATTCCTTCACTTGCGATTTGTGAGACTGTTTTTCGTAGTGGACACCGGGCATGCACCCGACAGTTTCTCCACTCGCGGACGACGCAGCCGGGGTTTTTTCCCCTCATCAGGGTAAAGCACGCGGGATCTCCGCATGCCCCGGGACGCTACCCGAACTATACGCATAGCTCCTATATTAGATATCGATTTCCACATCTTTCGTTGCTTTGCTATTGTGCCTATCATATCTTCAATCGCTCAAAAAATTAACAAAAGTAAGCAGCTCTCCGAGACAATCGCAGTTCAAATTCACCAAAGTCAAAACGAAAAAAGATATGAATCGGCTAACAATGGCCTCTTAGTGTCTGGCAACCTCGTCCCTCTCACCGTCATCAAAGGCGCCGGCCACGAGTTCATCCCCCTTCCTCAGGGCGAGAACGCAACGACAGCCGACTTCCACTCCATTCGCACCAAGACCGAGTCGCCGGCCTACTTCACCTCCGGATTCTACAAGATCGAGGCTGGACCGCAACGACCCGCACACTACACATTCGAGGAGACCAAGTACGTCCTTAATGGTCAGATCGACGTTCTGGTATGTGTCTTTCCCAGATACTTACACATGAAGCCCAGTCTATACCGTTGCGCATGAATTCTCGAACAACATTGCTAATAATTGCATTTTCCATCAATAGGACGAGGCTACCGGAATCACCCACCATCTAGTCCCGGGCGACTTTGCCTTTTTCCACGTCGGATCTAAGGTCAAGGTATGTTATGACCATTTTCAATTCGACAATGTCGCAAATTGCAGCTGACGCATATCTACTGTTTACCAGTTCTCGACCAAGTCCTCGGGTTTCGCCTTCTACGCCGTTACTCGGCCCGTTCGGGCTCCCCACCCTAACCTTGTGGACCGAGAGGAGAAGCAGGCCAAGTTGTAAATCACGAAGCCAATGTCAATATGAATTATTGTGAACAATTAGAGAAATAAAATCTTCGTTTTAATTTTCGATATTTGTCTTTTTCGGGTGGATAAAGCAAAATGCACCGATATATACTTTCAATTCGAGTTCAAAGAGGGATATGAAGATAAAAAGAGCATCCAAAGCCGCGTGAAGAAAATAGAGAATGAAAAGAGGCATTAAATGGCAGGGAAGCCGACTGAGTGAATTGAGAAAACGGTTACTCAAAATTTTGCAATATAAAGTTGCATTCAGTGAACACATAGCTTGGTGAACAGAAAGTAAGGCAGCAAGGCAACAAGGCATCAATCCCACGCCACCTCGCACTAATCCAAATGCGGTCATCAGTTGCAGGGAAGTCACGTGGACAACAGCTGGCACAATGGGCGTGGGGTTACATTGAAGGGGTAAATAGCGGAATATTCTCTTCTACGAGATAACAGAACTTTCAATGGCTTCTTCCTCCCGATCTGACGGCCTCAATGGCGACCAAGGCCGACCGGAGACTCCGAAGGCCGACAATGTGGGTGCTCCGTGCACCCGAGATGAACTGCGGCACCATCTCCACCTTCTTAACAGCAGAATCTGCCCACCGGCTTGTGCTTGATCCCAAGCACAATGCAGGAACCACTCATTAACAACCTCCCCAATGAGCTACTCACCTGGATCTTTGAGATCACGCCGCGCTATGCCGATAACAACCACCCGGGCTACACGGCCTGGCACCGCAGACTGGAGTATTACCCATGGCTGAGATTCATGCTGGTGTGCCGCCGATGGCGCATTGTGGGAGAGAGACTTCTCTACCGCAACATGTCACTAAAGATCCTCGATGAGCCCTCGGAATCTTTGACGCGGGTGACAAAATCCCCGCATATCTGCCCGTTTGCTAGGGATCTGCGTCTTACTGTCTCGTTGAGTAAACCGGTGGCGAACTCAACTTTAGATCTGTTGCGGAATTTTAACGCCGTGCGCAAACTGGACTTGACTGGCCGCCCGTATAAAATAGGCCGGGAGATTCTCGAGATCATTCGGTCCATGCCGTTGACGGAGGTGTCGCTGGGCGAACTTCCTTCGTTGAATATGATTTTTGAATTTTTTGACATCCCCACATTGACACACCTCTCGGTTTCTTCGTTGGATAGGGGCAAGAATTTCCAGTCCCCTCCATCTGGCAGTGAGGAGAAAAAGCCAGCTTTGGAGGAAGAGGAAGAGAATGTCTCGAACTCATCACCGTCTCCAAACACGCCGACAGACACCAAGCCCACATTAAATGGCGATGCTGCAGAGGGCACAAAGGCCTTGGATGAACTCCTTCCATCCAGTCGACAAAGGACAAGCAAAATAACATCTATCCACTTTTCATGCCCCTCGACCGGCGTGCAAGCGGCCCAGCAATTATTCCTATGGCCTGCTCATCTAGAGGAAGTGAAAATCAGCTTATTAACCACCGCAAATACATACGAAGAGTACACAGCGGAGGGCGTACAGAGTCTTCTCACACCACAGTCAGAGTCGCTGAGGAAGATCGACATTGGAGTCATGACCCAGGGACGTGGCGGTATCCCGGACTTCTCAAATTTCCCCCGTCTCGAAGAAGTGACCATCTCTTCATATAACCTCTTCCATGACTCTCCGGAGGGTGCGCATCAGAAGCTTTCCGCGCCGGAATTGAAACGCTTAGAGATCAGCTTCTCCCCGGAGGAGCTGTGGTCCGAGTCATTGAATGACTTTGGGGAAAATGAAACGCTGTGGTTGGAGGAATTCATCGAGCTTGTGAAAGACGCGCCGGAAACGTCGAAATTAAAGAACATCTACGTCCGCTTCAAGCCGCAGCCTACATATCCGCCTCGCGATGACGTTGACGAATGGCCCTGGGACATGTTCGAGGAGTTGGCGGAAGTGAGTGAGGAATATGGGATTACGTTTGAATATGACCAGCCAGAGTTTTCCAAACGGCAATTCTGTGAGAGATACCAATCACCCTAGAAAGCTTTATTCTATCCAACAGGTGAATAACGAAATATCAGGTTATATAAATGTCGTATCGTTTTTTTCCACGTAAGTGGGTTGTGTTGTGTTCAGCATATGTTTATAGACCGTGATTTTATTTTGCTTTGATGATAGATATAGAGTGGTCCTGTTTGCATGTTGATGTTATTATGGTTATACGTCGTTACGAATTGCCAGTGTCGAAAGTCTGGCCTCCAAAAATGATACACTGTTGTTTAGATGTCTATGGCTTCAGTCAAGTGCCTTTAGATAATAATTGTTGTAGCAAGAGACACCCCTCACACCTACTTATGACGTCACTCCCGCTAAAAGGATGCTTAGTCACATTTTGCCGCCCTCGCCTAACCCAAAGGGGCTAGCCTTCGTCAGCCGGAGTTCCGTCCAAAACGCCCCGAACTCCGGTCTTCTCTCCCCGCGCGCCGGGATTCGGGAGGAATAGGCCCAGACCCCGTTGGCATTTGATCTCTGCCAGAGAGGCCGAACCCCCCTTTTCCCAACCTTTCCCACATCACAATACCCAGATATGCCCCTGCTGATTCTGTTATGCCTCCTAGTGTGCGCAGCTCAGCAGGCTACGGCCACGCCTGCATGGCTTGCGCTCAGGCCAAATGTAGATGCTTGCCTCGCGGGTCTGGCGGAAAGTGTCAAAGGTGAGTGATCTAAAATATGCTGAAGGTGGCAACTAACAGTTATAGATGCAACCGACTGAACAAAGAATGCGTTCAGTCGCAGAGAAAACGAACCCCTAAGCCGCTGTCCAGAACGGCGCAGCTGGAGCAGAAGGTCGACGGCCTGTTGTCGCTGCTGAGTGCGTCGACATCAGTGGACGAATCAGGCGCTCGGAGAGCAACTGGCTTAGAACAGAACGTACAGCAATCCCTGTCTGCTGATCTTGCCAATCCGAGAACGCATTCTAGTTCTGGTTTTACGCCGACCGAGTCACCCCAAGGAAATAGTGAGGTAGATAGGATTGGTTACGAGGACACGCTTTTAACCTCATTCCGAACCAAAAAGCTACCATGTTTCCCCTTTGTCCACATACCCGATACAACGTCAGCGCAGAAGTTCAAGCAAGAATCTCCATATCTTTGGCGCTGCATCGAGGTCACCGAGTCCAGGAATGTCGACGCTCTCGATGACTTTACGACGCGTCTACGTCGTGAGATCTCGAACGCAGTGTTGGTGGAGTTGGAAAAGAGCCTAGATTTACTGCAAGCAATCTTAGCATACCTTGCTTGGTAGGCCTAAATCATGCCGACATGAACGATAATTGACCGACTAGCACAGGATCACATATGAAAGCTTTCCAATGAAGTCTTCGTTATGCATGTACTGCCAGCTGGCATGCGGTTTGATCATCGAACTGGGGTTGACAACAGCACCACCGGGAGAAACAGGTTTGGCTACATTTACTCAGATTTGCGCGGGTCAGGGTCAGCTTCAACATCTTAGACCTCGGCTTTCAGAAACACGGACGATGAATGAGCGGAGAGCGGTGTTGAGCTTCTTTGTTTTGAGTTCAATGTCAGTTTGCCTTCATACACACTATCGGTTGAACAGATTTAACACTTTCTAGGATATCGCAATATCTGGGACGAATGGATCCTCTTCGCTGGACTCCGCATCTGACCGATTGCCTAGATGTTCTGAGCACAAACTCCGAGACACCGAACGATGCTGTCCTTGTGCAACTTACTCGAGCTCGCCTTCTGGCCGGAAAAATGTCCGACGGGCCGTGGAACGATACTATGCTCTCTGAGGATAGGTTTCCACGAGCACCATCATCGTTCTATCTCTCGGCTCTGCAAACTCACTTAGAACGAACCCGAGCCGAAATTCCCACGGATCTGCAGAATAACAGTATGTTAAACCCAACAACTCTTATGTGGACTGATACTCACTCTTTGTTCGAACAGAACCCATTCTATTCCATATTTACCACACAGAGGTCAGCCTCTATGACCCTATCCTCTTCAAGCCAACAACCGCCGACGACGACCTCAAACGCCTGGATTACCTCTATGCCTGCTTATTCGCAGTCAGACGTTTCTTCCACCTGGTGCTTTCCATCCCATGTACCGACTTTGCATCATTTCCGTTAACCCACATCATTCAAATCGCACATTGCTTCATCAGTCTCTTCCGTCTCTCAACTCTCGACTTCCCGGGGTGGGATAAGCCCAACGTGCGTCGTACAGCGGATATCATCAGCATTGCCCACCAGGCCGCTGAAAAGTGGATTCAAGTTGCCGATGTAGAAAACAATTCTCTGCATCGCAACGCATATACCGGACTGGGTACTATGATGCACAAGTTGAAAATTGGATGGGCGTCTAGGCTGGAGCCTTCTCAGAATGAATCACTTGATCGCGGAGGGATGGATGAAGGCGAGGAGCTAGGGGATCTGGATGCTTTGTTCGGGTCGGAAAGCGCGTGGTTGTTGGATGCATTTTTCTCGGGTGGTATATGTTAATAATTAGTTTTATGTGCGTGGGCCATTCTTTTCGCACTCGGAGGACATCTCGACTCTTTACGTACTGTTTCCTCGTATGATTGATCTCGTGGGTCGTCAGTCAGCGCTAGGCCCGCGCCGTCAATGCCTAGATTGACCAAATGCTACCGCGGAATTAGGCCCGGACCACGGCCCCATCGCTCCCAATAAGATTGTATACTAAAACGGACCCATATTGCCCTGGCTCCTCGGCCTCTCCCCTTGTCAATACCCTGAATAAAAGGGCATTAATGCCGGCACTAGACAAAATAGCAGACACGAATAAAATAAGCGGCCGTTAGCCACCAGATTCTTCTGCTCAACCTTGTCCATAAACCATGTCAGCCCATATAAGCATGCCGAACTTTCTCTCGACCTCCGAATCTGACGTTCTCTAATCGCACTCTCCCCTGCCCCTGTCTCTCCCCCACCGATACACGACTGGACAAAACAAACCACCCACCATGCCACTCACATTCCAAATCCTACCCGTCACAGCGGACGACATCCCAAGCCTAACAGAACTCTGGTACACGGCATTCAGCATCCGCGAAAACCTCCAAATGTTCCCGGACACACCGGGGCTCCGAAAATGGTGGGACGAAGCCAACCGCGCAGCGCTCGAGAAGCCAGACTCGCGCATGCTCAAGGTCGTCGATACGCAGAACCCCGACCGGATGGTCGCGTACGCGAAATGGAACCTTGCGGCGCATAAGTACGAAGAGCGGTTTCCGCCGTGGCATGAGGAAGCGGATGCGGAGTTGTGCGCGACGTTGTTTGGCGTGACGCAGGAGCATAGGAGGAGGGTGTTGGGGGGTCGAGAGCATTATTGTAGGGATTCTATCATTGATGATTGAGTGATTGGGGTTGAGATGGGCTAATGAATGGTGTAGATTTGGATATTATTATTACGCAGCCGGAGTTCAGGCGGCAGGGTGCGGCGTCGTTGCTCGTGCAGTGGGGGTGCGATCTCGCGGATCAGAATGGGGTTGTTGCGTACTTGGATGCGTATGAGCCTGCTGCGCCGCTGTATTATAAGCATGGGTTCCAGGATCAGGTTGATCCGCCGTTGGACGTGGAGTCGAATCTTCCGATGATTAGAGAACCGAGAGTGAAGAGCTGAGTTAGGGTTTGGGGGTCACGAGGTTGGTTTGTCTGTTTGGTGATGATATCTAGACGTTTGTACAAAAGGAGTCAAAGATATAGTCTAATTCTATATTGGCATTAAGGATCTATTTTCTATATGAGTCCATTTCGATGTACTCCGTCCGTAATGTCCACTCTCTTGTTTCTCGGATGATGAGCTGTTGGGAGTTGTCGCTGCCTTCAGATGCGCCGGTGACGGTCGGATTCAGCTCATCCTCGTCTCTGGGCTGCTTCGACTGAGCATGTGATGTAGTGTTATGCGAATCGTAATAGTATGACCCTGCAGCGTTCTTCTTCTTTATCCCTTGTCCCCAACCGGTGTTGAATGCGACGACAAACGGTTTTAGACACGGCATTGTCGCGGCCATGATGCTGAAGTGTAGAAGGACTTCTGTGGCGACCAACGCGTCGGAGAGGCGGAGAGAGAGGTCAGGGGCGGAGAAAGCGCGGTTGAGGTATATTTGTCGGACGATGGAGATGATGATTAGACTATCGTAAAAGGTGGTCAGCCAGGCAGGTCCACTAATGAGTGCAGGAAATGACTTACGTTGTTCGGGTCCCGAAAGCAAAGATAACCGCTACCTTCTGTTTGACCTTCATGCGAATTCCCCAAACCAGATACATACTGAGGCCCACGAGCAAGGTCTCTGTGATGACATCGATTGCGGTGATTCCCTTCCAGGCATTGTTCTGCTATTGTGTTGGTTAAAGGTCTAGGGTGCGGTAGGAGCCATTTGCATACCACTCTTGAATCCATTTGCTCAATGATTAATGCTCGTCCAGAATTGCTTAATATGCCAACAGAAACCATCGAAGCGATTGCCCATAGTGTTGTAAGAAGCAGAGCGCCTTTGCACCACAGCAAATAAGCAGGCTCGCGACCTAGCCGCTTGAGAAGAAGACACACAGATAGCTTGGCGCCACAATGACCTGCGATGAACAGAAGATCTGCAGCAAGCAAGGTCTCCGGGAGATCTTAGCTATGCTCAATCATGTCGGTCCGGGGTTTGAACTCACCTTGCCTCCATTAACCAACTCAGAGTCCGTGGCCGAACGTGCAGACTGGGCTAAACCATGGGACACTCCATTCATGATCACGCCCACATTTGCTATTCCGAACAGCTAAACACACGAGTTAGTGACGAGCCGAAACACCAAGTATAATCAGCCTGGAAACTAACACCTCCAACAAATGCTGCCAGATCGTCCCAGCCCAGAGGCCCGTTCAAGGCCAGTCTCATGTACAACCGGATCAAGGAGACAATCACCATCCATGACATGAGCATGGTAGCGGTGATCACCACCAGGCCTCTTTGATCGGTAGGCGTAAGGGCATACGCCGGGGGATTGTACATTTTGGCGAATTCACACGCTTTCGCGATCGCACCAGAAGCTGAACATCAGGCCCGACAGAGTCAAGGATAGATGTTTTGAGCGAAAAGGCCTTCTAGAAATCTCATCATCACATTCATTCTAATTTTCTCATCCCTGTTCACCCGAAGGACGGGATATCGTGGGACAGGATTCGCCAAGTGATTAAGTGTGATCGTTTTCGCCCCTTGGTTGTTTAGCTGTACGGCGAATCCGTGCTATTTCGATGACTACGCCGATTGTGTGGTCGTATTCCTTCAGGAAATGATCAGCCTTAATCTCGAGCCTGGGACGTCCGGAGCATAACTAAGTTGGAAGGATGAGACATGGTTGCATTCCGTGTTGGTGACTAGACAGGGATTATAATTGCGGCGTAGGGAACCCGCGTCGAATTATGCCCCGAAGATCAATCTACGCCTCCCCGAAGCGGATCAATCCGAAGCTAATTGTTAATTGTCCGTCCATCCGGGATCCACTGAAGCCCCTAAAGCTGCGCGCCGAGACACCTCAGTGGGCGGTTTGGCATCTGGCCTGGACGGCCCGTCGGCCGTGTCCCCCGCGAAAAAAACAACGCAGTGGTATTGTTGTTGTGCCGGATATGGGCCAGTGCTGCCGGTGGAGATCATTTAGAATTTAATAAATTCGTGGCATAGTCACTCGTGGGCTAGTCGTCGGAACGCAGAAGCCGGACCGCCATCGCGAATCACCTTTCGTCGTGGCCGGAATCCCTGCATTTCTTGGCCGTGTCCTGCCAATGGGCTAATGCATACTACTGCACCACCCCTTAAGGCGTTAAACGAGTTTTCGGACGAAGAAATGTTGCATGGGCTAGACATGCTTTGCAGGGCCGTTCAAAGCTTTTGCATGCTTGCCCCCGCGTGCTCGACTTGATCCTTGCTCCTGAAAAAAGAAATCTCTTCTCTCGCAACCCCTCATCACTCATTCTTTTTAACACATTCTTGTGAATCTCGAATCTTTAATTGTGGTCGCAAAGCCTTTTGCGATTTCGACCTCGACCCACGATGTGGTCCGACAAAGAAGCCCAATCGGCGGCATATGCCACTTCTCCTGAAGATGGCAGCACCGGTGTCAGTTCTCGCGGGGGGACTTCGCAAGACAAGAAGGATATGTACCGAGTGGGCAGAGATCAAGAGCTGAATGTATGGCATCAGCTTATTCCAAAATTAGAGCGACAACTGACGTGCGCAGCGAAACTTTCGTTTCCTCTCCGTTCTAGGTTTCAGTGCTGTGCTCATGTGCACCTGGGAAGCAATTCTCTAGTTCGTACTCCTTTCCATTAAATCGTTGTTCATTTCTGACCACTCGAAGTGGCGCTTCCTTCGGCTTAACAAATGGAGGAAAGGGTGGTATGATATACACATATATTGCGGGTTTGATCGGATTCAGCTTCCCGATCTTGTCCATGGCAGAGATGGCATCCATGTGCGTTGACTACCCTCTGCGAAAGTCTCACGATCAAATGGCTCATTTGGATCCCTAGGGCACCAACATCCGGAGGTCAGTATCACTGGGTGTCCGAATTTGCGCCTCCCAGCTGCCAATGCATCCTCAGTTATTTCACCGGCTGGGTGTGCGTGCTAGGCTGGCATACGGGAATTGCGGGATGCTCATACACTGTGGCGAACATGATGGTTGGCATTGTCGCGATTAACTACCCTGATTCGTACACCTATCAGCCGTGGCATGTCACCCTGCTCGTTATTGCTGTGGCCTTGGTCGCGCTTTTCTTCAACACCTTCCTGGCGCAAAAGCTCCCGTTGATCGAGGGAATCATCCTGATCATCCACTGCTTCGGCTTTTTCGCCATCCTGATCCCTCTATGGGTTCTTTCGCCAACGACGCCGGCGTCGGAGGTCTTTGGATCGATCGAGGACCGAGGAGGTTGGGGCAATAACGGACTTGCGTGTTTGGTCGGCCTTACTGGTCCCATGATGGCATTGATTGGACCTGACTCTGCAGTTCATATGTGTAAGAAATACCTACTCCCTTCGTACAGGGTCCGTGCTGACTCTGGTAGCCGAGGAAATCAAGGATGCATCTCGAGTCCTGCCTATGGGTATGATTTGGACGTTGCTTATCAACGGCTCTACCGGTCTCGTCATGATCATCACCTTCGCCTTCTGCGTCGGAGACATTGATGAGGTTATGCAGACCAACACCGGCTTTGAATTCATTCAGGTCTTCCTCAACTCGACAGGATCTGTTAAAGCCGCCACCGGAATGACCTGTATCATTCTTGTCATGCAGTTCTGTGCCGCAGTTAGCAACGTCGCCACAACCTCTCGCCAGGTTTATGCATTCGCGCGTGACAAGGGTCTTCCTTTCTCGGATTGGTTCGCGCAGGTAGGCCCCCTTGGATCCAGGCCCTTAGAACGAGTATAACGACGCGGATTCTCACCTACTCCGAACAGATTAATCCCACGTTCACCGTCCCATTGAACGCTCTCTTTGGCAGCGGCGTCATCGTCTCTCTCCTTGCGCTCATCCAAATCGGTTCCTCTGTCGCCTTCAACGCCATCATGTCGCTCGGAACAGCCGCCCTCTTCTCATCCTACATGATCTCCATCACCTGCGTGCGCATCCGCCGGTGGCGCGGACAGCCCCTCCCCCCTGCGCGCTGGAGCATGGGCCGACTCTCCCCGTTCGTGGATACCGTGTCCGTCCTCGTCTTGGTGATTATCTGGACCTTCACTTTCTTTCCGCTCACGCGCGAAGTCGACCCCGAGACCATGAACTGGGGAATCGTCATTTACGGCGCCGTTGCCATTTTCTCTATGGTGTATTACTTCGCCTACGCGAGGAAGGTGTACAAGGGACCCGTGACGAGGGTTAAAGTAATGGAGTAAATCCAGGCCTAGAGCACCTAGTCCGTCGGAATGCACATATCGGGAACCGGCACCTAGTGTAGCAGCCAAGCTCAATAGTACCTTAATTATCCGATGCGGTCGGAATCTGTAAATCTGTCCAACAATGCAATATGATATAATCGATCTCATTCATAGATATTCTCCGAGATCACGCAGCAAATGGCGACTGGCGAGACTCGTACAGGGCTGGGTCTATTACGCTTGGCTGACATAGCCGTTCCAGGCACAGCACCCCATGGGACATTGTTGTCTCCACTGCCGAGCATCTTGGCGGCGGCGAGCGCAAATGAGCAGCGCGGGTGCGACCGTCATGACGCATGCCAGGAATGCGAACGTGATGGCGATTTCTTGATCGGGGTGTGAAGAATTCTCGTCGCGATGTGGTTATCATGATGTAATGCCGAGAGGTGGGAATATATAGGTTGACGGGTGATTGTTCGATCGTTGAGCTTTATTCTTCATTGTTCTCTTACAATCTATACGAATTCTACACAATTTCCAGGGTTAGAATCAGAAGTTACCAAGCTACATCTGCAAAATGGATCTCGCTCAGAAGCACGGCCACCTTAAGACCGAGTCTCGGAACCCCTTGGAGTCGCAGCAGCCACATGTGGACAATCAAAGCGGTACGCACCCATCCAAATAAATAATCCATACCTCCTTGCGCGAACAGAGAAGTCTAATCATCCTTGACAGAGGTGAATAACCTCCTAGGAAGCTTCGGCCACCCCCAGAACGACCACCCCGATCGGAGATCTAGCGGCGCCGGCAACATGGGAAACCTGGTACAGAAGGCGCGAGAGATGACTGGGTAAGATGCCTTTTGATTGGACTTTGATTCGTCATGAAGTCTTACTGACTAATGCAGACGTAACTCTGGCGATATCTCCGACCGAAAGAATTCGCAATCTGAGGCGGGATTTGATGGTGTTCGAGAACAGCGATGATTTTCTGGGTTTTGGCTGAAGTATATCTATTCAAAGTCATGGTGGGAGATTTGATGTGTTTATATATATGATGAGTTATAGATACCATGTTCGGATATGCACATATAGTTGGTGGGGTTTAGAATACACCTGCATTGTTTGCATGGGGCTGCTTTTTTGCCTTGTGTATTGAATGGAATCCAAGAAATGCGCCGGGTAATTAACCGCCAATTCTATAGGCTGGATAAATCAGGCTACAAGGTAGTAGAATACGACGTCCCTAAGAATGAGTCATGAAGTTGGTCTTTTAAATATCGACATTCAATCCACCGCGAGTAAGAAAGAAATCTCAAAGTCTTAGGGTGAATCGATCCCTCCCGAACCTTTCTTTTTAGCTTTGTTCATCATTTAGAAAGAACGGAAAAAATAAAATCAAGTCTGTGCTGTACAGAATAGCCAGCATGAGCATAACAAACATCGCCCTCATCCCGGGCACAACCACCGACCACGGGACCCTCGATACCCTAATTGACCGCTACAAAAACATCCGCCTGCGCGCCCTCAAAGAAGAGCCACAAGCCTTCGGATCAAAATACGAAGACGAACTCCAATTTCCGCATCATCGATGGCAAGCACGGATCCAGAACCCGAGAGCACATACATTCATTGCTCTTAATGTCTCACCTGGCTTCGATGTCCTTGTGAAATCTGCTGGCGATAGCGACCCCAGCCTACCAGTGTTGCTGACGACCGAGTGGCTGGGCACACTTACCATGATCGGCCCGGAGGCTGTTCCTGATTCGAACCTGGACGCGAAGGAGCTATTGGACTTGTTTGATCGGAATCGTGCCATATCGTCAGGCGATGGGACTCATGGGTCTGTTATGGCGTACGTGTTGAATGGGATGTTTGTGGCGCCAGAAGGGCGAAGAAGCGGGAATGGAAGACGACTGGTGGAGCGGGCAGTTGGATATGCCCGGGATGCAGCAACTGCTGTTGGGGCAGTTCAGGTGTGGATGTTAGTGTTTGTGGAGGTAGAGAATGGGCCCGCGTTTGAATTTTACCAGAAGTTTGGATTTCAAGCATGGGATGGTGAGGTTTTGTTAGGGCATCGGTATGTTCGGATGCTGGATTTGCGAATTGTGCTTTGATGAAGTGCATTAAGAAGACTAGAGAGACGATTAGGCATTTTTTGTTTTACGGCATACTCATTTCGAGTACCGATGGGTATGATTGATGGGCTTTCAAAATCCTAAGCAGATATCCCATGATTCCGAACAGAAAATCCTAATCATCGTGTAGACGCACTAATCAGAAGCTCGCGAAACTTTTTTACTACCATTTCCCTGAAGTTTCGATCCTGAGTTCTTGGGTCCCGGGCTCCACGTTCCATACGCAGTAAGTTGATGATTTCTACGTGTCTTTCGTTTTTCTCCCCATATACCCCGGAGTAGAGGGCCAATGATGACGGAATCGCCTTGAAGGAGCCGTTGGCATCAGTAGAGTTGCCTAAAAACATTAGCTCTCGTTTGTTCCCGCGCAATCTGGATGACTTTGAGTTCTGTGATCAGCACGTACCTAAGGACAGGCGCGTGAGAGCTTTGTATATCTCCTTCTCCTCTCCTGTAACTGAGTCTATCACACCACTGGATTGTTCGGTGTTGGATGCTCGGCGGGAAGAGCTGAGTGAATGTGATTCGTGTGGGTCACGGTTGCGAGGAGCCTGAACACGAAGCAATGTTATTAGACTGAACTATAGAAAATGTAGAAGGGGATGGTACCCGATAACTGGCCAGTCGGCGCTCTTTGACGTGACGATCGGAGATATACGTCTTGGCGCTTTTCGCGCTATACAGGACAGTGTTGACGGCAAGGGCAGTGGCTGGAATAAAGTCAGTAAATTCAATGACACGGTCGCACCAAAGATAGTAGACAGTGGAAAACGTACTCGTGAATGGCAAGAACGCGATATTTCCCAAGAGTTTGGCAGTGCCTACCCCGACCTCTCTAGCTATTACCTCCGACATGTGAGGGTCCCCTTTGGTCTCTTTGTCATTCTGGGGCGCAGGCTAGGTATCACTCAAATGTCAGATAGGAATGAAACGAAAGGCGTCTGCCGTAAACAGAATAAGTACCTTTCTCCACAGCCCGTCAAGTGCGCCAACTATATCTGAGGCCGACACAATCTCCTTGGCGGCCTTGCCGAAATACCCAAAGTAGGCTTTCGCAGACTTATGTGAGTCACAAGTTTCTTCAGAATCCATGCCGTAGAGTTGGGGTCGTATTCTGTATCATAGCAAGTTATTATCGACCCAAGCGCCAATGAACTTCCACAATACTTACAGACTAAGGTCTTCTGGGTCAATCAGTTGCTCTTCCAGTAAGACGGACGTCACTGCAGCAGATAGACGTATTGATGGCTGAGAGCGAACTCGGCATCCCGCCAAGAGGTCTTTCGCAATGTTGCAATTTTTGGTATGTGGGGATACGCTCCGATCGAACAGCTCGACAGCTTTTTTAACGCCATTCTCAGTTGTTACCGCTCGTTGCAGACACCGTGCACCCTCTTGAATGTCAGGTCGTAAGCAGAATAATACACTCTCAATGAAGCTTGTTGGAGAGACTTTGTCAGATACGGGCAGGGCAGCACCCGCGCCGTTTCTGGAAAGGGCTGATCCCCAGAACTCTCCTCTATTCGGATATTAGTTAGAGCTTTAGTATCAAAATCGAGAGAAGGAAGCATACTCTGGAGCGCTGTGTAGAACAACACTCGGCTTTCCGTGCTGAAGAGCTGCCGTAATTGACTTGGTGCTTCCGTCATGTATTACTGCAGTCACTTTGGGGAGGATAACGTCTGATTTTTCAAATCAGTATACTGTTGGCAATGTTGGATTCATTCTCAGCGGGGATCTCACGGTCGGGTATGGAGGAAGCGATGAAAGCCGAGCCGTTATTGTCATAAGGTACCAGATGAGTGTAGCTTTCCGGAAGGACAAAAGTAAGTCCATGTTTTACTCCCTCTTGAATGAACAGTTTGATAGAGTTAAGGTTTATGACATTCTCAAGATCAACATTGAAGAAAATCGCCTTTTCGGAATTGGCGAGAAAACGTTGAAGGTCTGCATTTTCATAGGTTGTTGACCCAACTGGCTCGGTGATGTAGCCAGCGACATCTGGCCTTTAATTAGCATTCGACGTCTAGTTTTGCAGGTTCAGGAGTCACTGTACTATGAGAATGATCCCAGTCCCTAGGTTCGTGGACAATCGACCGAGAAAACAAGTACGTGTGCGGAACCTCGAAGTCACTTAACAACCGTCCTGCGACCTCTTTCGATAGCGTCTTCAGCCCAAGTATGTCGCGCCGGAACCGATTAATGGGGTCAATGATCCTAAAAGGTGATTAGAGGCCGTCATACCTTTAACAACACAGTTCCATGTATCTTACGTATTCCAAATCGACTCCTCAACCATCGCATAAGACAGTAAATGTGATATATCCGCGTCTTCCATGTCGCCCCCCTCTCTCGAAGCTCTGGTATGTGGATGTGCAAACGCCCTAGTGGGTGTCCATGGAGTGGTAGACATGATGTGAAGCGGAACCGAAAGCCGTGTGGCGCAATGGATATGAGCATGGGGCAATGGACTGGCAATAATAGCGTCCGCGAGAAACGGGGCCTGTGCTTCGCCGTACGGTGCAATGCACGACTCCCAGCATCCTCGGTAAGTGTCGAACAGCACCTCTGATAGTTCCTCGCGATCGGGTGATTGTGAATGCGACTGGGCTAATAATTCAACACTTATAGTGTCCCACTGGATACGTGTTATCAGATAGGTTGGACTTATGTTGGATAGTAATGCATACCCTTGAGTCACAGTCAATGCCGTAGAAGTCTATACCCTCTTCTTCAATCCGACTGCGCAGCGCAGAGTATGTTCCAATCCGGACTCGATGGGACTTTTCACGTAGTTGTTTGGCGATTATTAAGTAGGGGTTGATATCGTCTGAGGTCGGCACGTAGTGAGTATGAAACAGCCATCGCGGTTTGACAGAGGGATCACGTACCGTCTACCACCATGACAACGATATCAAGAGGCAAGTTTTCTTTCGTGTGGTCGGGGGTGCGCGGTGGTGCTTCTTTCGATGGGGTATCTTTCGGGGTCGTGGCAACGTTCACCAAACGGGCTTGTACTCGTGGACGCATAAAATGTTGGATGAAGGCTGAAGTGCGCGGTTGAAGGTTTGTTTTGGCGCTATCATGGTGCTCTAATGGGCCCTCTAATCAAAGTCATTAATACGACTGACACGACTACTGACACAAGCAGGGAAATAATGGACCAATTGCAGCACGGTGGCATACCTTCATGCCGCAAAGAAGCTCTTGGGTTGTCTGGACCTGCAGGGAATCTTGGATCGCAATCAGGTTCAACAATGCGAGGGGGGTTATTCGTTGGCGGGGCATCATGATGGACAGGCGTGTATGGCGGTGGCTGTTCTATGTCCTCTTCGTTATCGTCATATAGTGATATTATCTTGTCGGCCATTCTTTTGATCGACTGGAGGTCGGAACCAATAATGTCCTAGACAGAATTCTTGCTTTTTCTGGTCACTACTGAGCTCTTTTGAGAACGACAGAGACACGAAAAACGTCGCCAGGCGATACAAAGTAATTATTTAAACACCAATGTCGGCCCACTATGGATAGGGGATCCACCCAAAAATAGTTCTTTTAATGGCTTATGAAACAGGCCCATTTTCTTATCGATCCGATGCTCGGGTTCGGGTTCGTAATCGTACAAAGCTCCATGTCGCCACTATCAAGAACGGTTGGCCATATTTTTCCAAGTGAAAAATTCAATAGTCTGAGACTTGGCAGCCTACGCAGAATGAAACAAGAGTAGGATGCTCCCTTGCCTGAAAGCGCGAAAAGAACAAAAATAAATAGCAAAGATTTTCACATATTCTAGGACGAATGTAGACAGTATTGCGAGATATACGAGCCTAGTTTGCTTCGTATCAAGCTTGGGCGATCCACTTTTATTTAAAATTTGACCAAACCAAATAAAGCGATTATTAGGGGTCATTCTTTCTAATGTTTCTTTTCACAGCAACAGTGGGATTAAAGCTTTCCAGCGAAGATTAGCCCTTTTTGGCCGAGAGAAAATTTCAGTGCATTCATAATTGATGCTAAAATTGTACCCCCGACCCACAAACGGTCTTAGGCAGTCTATAAGCGCTGCGACTTTGTAATAATTCTATTTGAAGATACACGTGTTTTCCTTCTATTTTTTGACTTGATTGTATTGGTATAATATGATCTTGAGGCAGAATGCCTGCAATGCAGGTTCACCGCAATAACAGCATATCATGTCCGATCCCCATATTTACTGAATAAATCGTTATAAACGACATTTCTACAGCATTTATACGATATTGTGATTTTTCCAGCTTGGAATTGTGTTTGGTTGCATAACTAAGCATGGTGTTATGGTCACATCACTTCTCTACCGCAGGCATACCAACAACCTTCCACATCAAGTATGAGGCTTGGAAAGTTTTGTGACTGGGCAATTATAAACAAAGACTATTAATTAGATAGAATTAACCATGGCTCGCGTTTTATGACAGCCGGATTGCCCCATGGGGAGACCCCGCGTTCGATGATGTCACGAGGGCGAATCCGTATAAAAGTCGCCACGCCCTCCTGCTACCTCACGCAAACAAACAATCCAGACGTTCAACCTGATCTCCTATAAGCAAAATGTTCCAAACTATCATCGGTCGCTCCAGGCCTCAGATCGGCAACTTAACCAACCGACTGGGCTCGGTATGTCTCTCGTTGGAATGTTTAAAGCAAGCTAACCAAGGGCCAGAGGGATACTTCTTCCGTCACCGGGCAGATCCCCATGCGGTCCCTGTACGTCCAGCGGGCTGCTTGGATTACTGCAGGTGGCGGGATGGCGGCTACGCTGCAGGGAGTGTACATGATGTTGAGGTCTTTCCGACATCTGAAATATATCTAAGACAGGGCTAAAACAAGCCCGTCTACTGCACCTACAAAAAGGCCCAACAAGAAACATAATCAAAAACAAGCGGGAAACATTCAGAAAAATGTAGTGTTTGCTACATGGCGCTGGCGCTTTTTATCCAGACTGTTAATGTGCATAATGGGAATGTTTTATTACGATCGGCAGATCACTATGCAAGTCCATCCCTTTCCTCAAGTCTTCACGTTAATCCTCGGGTTTCATTATCCCCGAGCTTCCCTCGGACATATGTTCCTTTTTCGACTAGAAACGACAAAGTCCATAAGATATTGCACAAATCAAAGTTATCAATCAGAGATCCGGAAGCTGTTTAGTTGAAACGGCCGCAAACGGCGAAAGCGTGATTCAATCTCGCGCCGATTGATAAAATATCAAGGTTCCTACCAAAGTTCCCAGGGCCCTACCCGCTTTACAACCCCTTTTTCCTTCATCCTAGACCTCCGGCCATAGAAATGCTCATCCAAACACTTATCCCCTGGGCCTTGCTGACCAGCACAGCTTTGTCCCAATCTGCCCGGCAACTTTTCAACTTCTCCACATCTGTCACTATTGAAAACAGTGCCCTCCGCCCCAATGGCCACCTCCTCCTGACCACCTTTGACCAAGGGCGACTCTACACGCTTGACCCCTCCTCCTCCAACCCTCAAGCTGAGCTGGTCGCTTCATTCCCCGGTGCGACCGCTATCTCGGGCATTGCGTCCATCGGAACCGATAAATTCGCTGTCGTGGGTGGTGTACGCGGAAACTACCAGTACGATAATGAAACCCTATACTCGATCGATCTCGCGGACTCGTCCAAGCCCATAAACGTCGTGGCTCATCTTCCCGAAGCCGTCATATTGAACGGCATGGCTGCGTTACCGACTGCACCGCACGTGGTTCTCATCTCCGACTCCCGCGTCGGCGGTATCTTCCGCGTGGATACAGACACAGGGGCCGTGGATATCGCCTGGAAAGACGAGTTGCTCACTGCGCCCAGTGATGCGGCCATGCCGATCGGGGTGAATGGTCTCAAAGTCCGTGATGGGTACGTGTACTTCACCAACACGGCACAGGGGCTGTTTGGTCGTGCGGCGATCGACGATCGCGGGGATAAGATTGGAGACGTGGAGGTCGTTACGAGAATAGAGACGGATGGGGATGATCGGTGGGATGATTTCGCTTTTGATAAGAGTGGGGTTGCGTATGTTGCGCAGCCGGATAGTGCTCTTGCTCGAATTGATGTCGATGGTGAGCAGACGGTGATTGTCGGTGGAGGTAATAGCTCGGTGCTGGTTGGACCGACCTCGGTGACACTGTCGAAGGATGAGAAGACGGCCTATGTCACGGCGAGGGGTGGTAGTGTTGGGGATGTCGAGTATAGTGGTCATGTCGTGGAGGTTAGCCTCTCGCTTTGAGCGTCGTTGCGCTGAGATGTATGAACCAGATTGGGTTGATAGTAGTTATTTTCGATGTTGCTTTTGACTCGCATATGCAAATATGCAAAAGCTGTGTTGGGCCTGGCCGAATGACTCATTCCTTTACCTTGTGGCCATTCGTAGCCAGGCTTTCCTGTATATACATCGTGATCTCGTGCTTCCTCAAGCCCTAATCGACGTCAGAACGGTCCTCGTCCTTTCCTTCGTTGCCGTCGCCACCATCTTCATATTGTTTGTTTCAAGGTAGGAAAGAACGACGACTTGATCATGAGATCCGACCAGTTCGCTTCTACAGGTTGCTCCTCTTGGTTAGCATCCAGAAGTGCGCGAATTGCACCGTTACCACACGAATGCCACCTTTCGCCAGCCCTTGAAGGCCCGAAAACAAGAGATTGTCGACTCTTTATCTCTCACTTATCATTCTTGGTCCTGCAGAAACTCCTGTACATATCATTCTGAGATCCCGAGAAGCCATGGGCTCTTTGCGACCGATACATATCAGTGAACAATTCTGCAACAACGTCACGATGAATAGCCAGCACACCGAGCTAGTGAGAAATGCATGTTTAGAGACAGAATGTTTCCACAGAGCTAAATGCGACAAGATATAAGCAAAAATCACTTAAAGTGCTGAGGCTTGAGTGCTTAAATCGTTCAAGCTGCCATGGACGCGTTCGAGTGGGATACAGCCCCGAAATGGCAACAAAGTCAGTCGCAAGGATCCATAATCGAAATCCAGCGGCGATAAGACACAGGAAGATATGCAAGTGTCCATGCATACCCCGCATCAGCTGACGGTCGAATGTTTGCTTTTTGTTGTTTCAGCCTCGTCAGCCTCGTCAGCCGCGTCTAAAACCCACCCTCAAAATTCTCGACATCGTCATATTCTCTTTGTCGTGCTTTGTCGTCTTCCTGAGTGCCCTTGTCCCAATGGTGCGGGGTGATTAGCGCTACAGTCTTACTAGACATATTGCGAAGACCATTACGTTTCCCCGGACATGCCCCCTAAACCTCCGGCGAAGCCCATGCACTTGAGGGCCAATTCCACGCAACACCCTTCCGCGAGCTCGCTCTTGCATGAACGCCAAGGACCGGCCGATCAACATGGCCAGAGAGACTCAGAATGGAATTGGGAGGAAGCTGGCACAAGACAGGATGCATTCGGAACGCTAGGCGCCGGTGTTAGGCGTCCAATGGTCCGGATAAATACAAACAGTGTCTCCCTGGCGCACGGTGTTAAGGATTCTCTCGGGCCGGGAAGTACACAGACGAGTAATGGGAACTCGGCCCCATTTGGCGACTTATCAATATTTGAAGAATCTCAGGAGGAGCCACTGATTGATCTGTCACCTGTCGACTCTCCATTGTCCAAGGTATAGTGTACGTTCTTCCGGTTCTGAAATAATCGATATTAAGAAACGAATCAAGATCCAGTCACCCCAACTACCCAAATCCTCTGCCGACTACACGAGCAAAAAAGGCGGCACTCCAATACGCAGGTGAGTTGTATACTATGAGCATAGTGAGAAGTCATATTTGCTGATTCAATTGCTAGCGACGAGGATGTAGCCCGAAACCTTGCGCAGGAGTATAGTCTCTTAGACATTGACGATCTCAGTGAAGTGCCGTAGGTAGTCAAACTTCCTCACCTCAAAGACCGCAAATTGTAGCATTACTTATTCTCTGCGCTTCTTCAGTCCCATGTTCCGCGACCAGATATCCGCCGCATCGAAGCCAAGGTTACGCAATTTCGAACCGCAAAGCCCACTCCTATCACTTGGTACTGACGACATGATGTTTCCAAGTTCCCTGGAAGCAGATCAATCCACCGACGCAATGCCAGGCGACGAAGAAAGATGTTATTGCGGGCACCATTCTGCGTATGGCGGACAATGCTCCTTTTGCTACCCATGTGGTTACGTGTTCTGCGAAAGATGCTGGGATAAATCACCGCCACACCGCCGACAGCGTATCCAGGGTGGCATACCGCATGAAAAGACAGACCCGAAGCTTGCAAGGATCATTGAGCAAACACTTGAAGCGGACGTGGATGAGAAGACGCAGGCCTTCCTCCACATGAAGGACGAAGATTCATCATGGTTCGGAACTTCTCGCGATGACGACGATGACATGGTGTTTCAGGACAACGGGCGATACGCAACCATAATGGCCGACATGTCGTCGCGCAAACGGCAACTTCGGTATCCGGGCTTGGTTTCTTTCGTTGGTCAAACAGGGGCTGGCAAGAGCACCATTATTAAGCTTCTCATCGAGGTGTGTTTGACCTCTACTCATCTTCCGCGATGTCAACCTGCTAATTGGCCATATACAAAAGCTTCAATCAAGGTCTGAGGAGGACATCCAGGTACCTGTCGTTGGGTCAATAAAAAATCAGGATCTGCCCACCTCGGGAGATGTTCACCTTTATGCCGATCCGGTTTCGTCAGGTTCAGACAGTCCGATTCTCTATGCAGACTGCGAGGGCCTCGATGGCGGCGAAAGAGAGCCGATGGGGGTAAAGTTCAAGAGGGCGAAAAAGAAGCTCCCTTCAAACCAAGTACCACAATATGTCAGGTCACTCTCAAATGCTTCGGAGCGCAATCTCCTGTGGGCGACCACGGAGAAAACAAAAAGTCGGGAGTACATTGTGCGCAACTTATATCCCCGACTGCTGTACACATTCTCGGATACCATTGTCTTTGTCACGCAGAACCCGCGGTGAGTGCTTAATTCAGACCTCAGTGAACAACAGGCTCATGCACTGTAACGTCAGAGTCGTGGAGAATGTTGTCGATCAACTCATAGACTGGGCGACCGCGGCATTGGAGAAGTCTTCCAACCAGCCCGTCCTTCCGCATGCGATTATAATCCTCAACGCGGCCGAGAATAACACAGAACCTGATCTGTGAGAGATTGAAGAGTCAACAGACCATCTTATGGTCTCTATGAACGAAGCTATCGAGAGAAACCATAATCTGCGAGCAGTATGTGAACAGTCCTTTCAATTAGACATGACATTAACTGGCATTATTACAGCGAGCGGCCTTCTGGGCGCCCCGCCAACGACGCATTACATCCATACGAGACCTCTTGCTGTCTTATTATTCTACCATTCGAGTTGTCCGTATCCCAGAGAGAGGTCGGCCTAAGCTGATTCATCAGCAAATTGGGCGACTATACCGGGAGATCAAAATCGCGTGTCAAAGGTCCCGCGAAGAAAAGCGAAAGGTGTTTATTATTATCGAGTCCAATGAGATGAAAGCCCGGCTCTGCTAACTCTTCTCGTGGTGTAGCTCAGGATGTTGCTAAACTCCGACGAGCTGCAACCATATCTGCAGCATGCCTTCGATCATTTCACGCGCGATCTCGAGCTGCCCTTTGATTTCGTCCAAGCATCGTTTGCGAACAGCCCTATTCCGTCTGACTTTGGCGGTAACATTTTGAAACTAGCTATAAATATCCTGGATGTTTGGAAAGACAAGCTAGACGGACCGGCTATCTTCAAGGAATTGAGCTACATTGCAGCGTCATGCGTGATGCTCGACTCGGCTCGGCGTAAAGCTCTGGGTATGAATTTCAAACTCTTGTCCAACAATCGGTTGAGCAGCAAATCGCCCGGTGCTAATAGCAACTCTAGGTCCAGCTGAGAGCGTCTTTCCGGAATATCTCGACCATTTCGACGACGCCTTGGATGATTTCTGCGATCGCCACTGGCCATGCGAGTATGTCAGTCCTGAAGGCCGATGTGTCAATGTCCGAAGTGGCCACCAAGCCAAAGGGCACCAGCTTAAGAATGGCCGGGTCTTAGCCGTTGAGCCATACGTCTCGTCCTTCTCAGCGGAGGGATTTCGAAAAACATTCCGCTCTATGACATTCAATAACCTAGTCGCCTTACTGAAGAAATTGATCGATGAAACGAGACTCTCTGATAACCTGGAGCTGAACCAAGCAGCGGCGATCCATCGTGACCTTGTGCTTAAGAACTTTTATCATCATCTGGGAGGCCCGGCAAAATTTATAAGTCATACTGCCTGTTATGCTTGTCTCGTGGAGCCCCCAGAGCACCTATTGCCGTGTGGCCATGTTCTGTGTACCCCCTGCGTCCGAATATTCGGCCTCAGCAGAGGCAAATACTCCTATGAAATGTTATCGTGTCCTTTGCACATCGACCAGGCGTAAGTACATCCACGACCGGCAAAATGAACCCCGCTAACTTGAAATCACCGCGCAGTGAGGGACAGTGTCCCCCCTTCTGGCCGATATCAATCAAACCGCCTGGGGCAGGAACTCGCATTCTGAGCTTAGACGGTGGCGGGATCCGAGGGATTGTAGAATTGACAATCCTCCAGCAGATCGAGCGGGCTTTAGGCCACGGGCTATACATCCAGGACTTTTTCGACCTCATTGTCGGAACCAGCACGGGTGGAATCATCGCCCTAGGCCTCGGGGCATGCGGCCATTCCGTCCAACATTGCACCGAAGCATTTCGAGCCCTGTGCAAACGGGCATTCACCCGGCGAAAAGGCTCAGGTTGGTTCGCTATCGAGCGCATTATCTCCGCATCAAATCACAGCAAATTTGAAACCCGACCGCTAGAAAACGCATTAGAAGAATTTTACGGTGATGCCCGATTGTTTGGCGGTCTGCGCCATGAAATCGACTCAATGTGCGTGAGACGACTCACCAAAGTCGCTGTTACAACCACCACAACAGCAGCTTCGGTCGTCGTACTGGCAAACTACAATCGACATAGCGATGTGGACGATATCTCTTATCGGTTCTACCGATCCGAGAAGCCTGAAAACGAGATGAAGATCTGGGAAGCGGCAAGGGCAACCTCCGCTGCTCCGAGGATTTTCAAGCCCTTTTTCCATAGCCCGTCAGGACAGGAATATCAAGACGGAGCCATCTACTATAACAATCCAATTGACATTGCGATCCGTGAGCAGCGACTGATATGGCCTGACGTGGTTGAGAATCATCCGGATATCGTTCTCTCCGTGGGAACTTCATTTAACCCCAAATCGCAAAGTCGGGAGCCAACACTCTCCTCGAAACCTTCTACGTGGGGAATGATTTCCCACGTCAAAGCGCTGGCTAAGATTGCCATCGACCATATTCACAGTAGTCTAGACTCGGAGCGCACATGGAAAACGTTTTTGGAGAGGAGTCCGCCGCCAACGCGTTTCAGTGACCGATATATCCGTGCCAATCTGGCGTTAGAGATGGACCCCCCACGGCTGGAGGAAGTCAATGCGATTGACACGTTGAGTGAGATGGCACGATCGCGCTTTACCAAAGAAAAGGACTTCATCAAATCCATCGCCGACCGCCTGATCGCATCGTCATTCTATTTCGAGCCCCTACCGACGGCCAACGCAATCGAGAATGAAGACGGATCCATCACGCTGAAGGGGAACATATTAAGCCGGCTTCCCTGGGGCTCGGAGCAGATTCATCACCTCGGAGAAGCCTTCCTCCAGCGGTCGAAGAATATGTTCAATCGCGGCGACAGCAGCCATCAGGCGTACTTTGTGATCCGGGAACGGCGCAGGGAGAAGGACAGCCAGTTCTATTTCATCGACGAGCAAGTGATAGGCTCAATGATCCGCGACGGACAGTTCTCCATGAGCAAGGTGGAAGTTCGTCTGACGCGACGAATGGCCGAGACGGAAATCAGCCTGTGTCTTGATGGCGATCGTCATCAGCCGACATACTATCCAATCAGCGGGTTTCCCCGATGTCTTCTAGAGGACGAAATCGCTGGTAAGTACTCTAGACACGTATCCTACATAAGGGATGCATCGGCTAATCCCACCCCACACTAGCATCAGCGACAAAAGCCAAATTCTCCCGAGGAGTTGCCCGATCCCGATCCTTGAACCAAACCCAGCGTCGGGAGGAATGGCGAAAACCCACTCTAGACGAGGGCCCTCGCTCAGTGGATCCGATCACCCGATACGTGCAGACGTCCTATCAATACCCCGGCGGCGAAACCAGCGCCAGCTTATCTGCAATGTCGACCCGGTTCTCTAGCTCGTCGCGCCGCCCGTTGCAGGAATTTGACCCTGCGCTACCGAGTCATTTCCCACCTGCACATAGCGTTGCTCGCGACTCTATTGGCTTCGACAGCGGCTTCCTCGGCTTCGATGTATCCGTTCGTCCTGGGACAGTGGAGGCAGACACGGTGCCTGTATATGAGATGGAGGACACCTCGGCGCAGTACATGTCTCGGATGAATCTTACCACGCAGGATGGAGTGCGACGATCCGATTCGGAATCAACAGCAGTTCCCGATGAGAGCGGTAATGGAGAGCTCCCTAGGTACAAAGCTCTTGAAGACGGAGTCGCGTCTCCCTCGGAATTTAAATGGGTTTAGTGAAGATGTTTGGTGCTTGTGCCGGGGAGGTGCACACCTTCTCTGCAGACCTTGGACAATACCCAATAGTACTCTTGACAAGGCAAATTGTGGTCAGGAATGATATGAGTTCCGATGGTAAATTACTCAAAAGTCAGACCTCGTTATGGCTGGGACGGTGGTGGTTAGTAGCCAGACCCGTGCAGTCGACAACTTGCACCGAATAGTTGATCATGCGATCAGTTACCTTCACGCAAAGGAAACGACAAATAAAATCACGTACGCAGTAGGTAAGAACAATATCGCTCTCGAAGCAGAATCGGCTAGATCTCACTCACCGGGCAGCCACAATACAACCCCTGTGTCATCACGAGATATTAATTCGGATTCTCTCCGGACCCGATTGCCACGAGCTCAGTTGTTCAGGACGAGAAAGCTAAAATGTTGACAAAACAATATCATCAGCACGTGTCTGACCGGACATGAAATTACCACCGTCATCCGGTCAGCCCTGAGCACAAATTAATATTAATGCCGACCCGACGAGTGGGTTTGGGGGCCGGGACTTATTTAGGGCCGCGGACTGCGTGTGCTCCGACCTCCGTCAGGGGCAGAAACCAGTCAATTCTGCTCCTGCGCCCCCCAAAATAGACTTCTTCACGAGTCAAATCTAGCTAGGGCCATATGGAAGGTTCTACGCGCGGACTAGTTGTTCTGGCCCCTGGTGCCCTGCATCGTCATCCGCCACATGGTGTGGTGAGCTCCCGGTCCTGTATTTGCAGGCATCAGGGTCTTGCAATGCCGTCAGCTGGGTGACGCCAAAGGCAAAATGGAAAGTGGTCAGGGATTAGAACACTAAAGTCTAAAGTCAGCGTTCTGGCCGCTGCGCCCCTGTCGAGTCGAGGGGATTGGATTGGTGACGTCCGCCTTGGGGGCCATTCTGATAGTGGAGCTCTCCCTGTGGGCTCGTATTCATTTATGCTCAATGACCAACGGCATGATAGAGCTGAGGGTTTGTCGATCCAACAGCCCCTGCACAAGTTGGCCTTCGGCTTGAGTAGTGTAGGCTTCGTCAGCGTGCCTAACACCCGTTTGTCGCTGATCCTGTCGACGATCACGCCTAGACCAGAGTTCTCACTGTGAAACAGGCCTCGCCCCCAATGCATTCGGCCCCTGTCACCACTGCACCATCTTCCTTTGACAGCCTTTCCATGCGGACCATCAGCCCATTCCAGCCTCACGGGTGGGCGATATAAGAATCGCGATGATCGCCGGGTAACTTCCTCTCTCCTCACTCACTCCACACTCACTCTCATTCAGTCTTTCGCTCTTTCGTCTGATTCAGTCCTTCTTTATTGATTCTGTACCGGTACAGATCGTCAATCTTTACTCTACTTAGTTTCCAAACTTAATCAGCCTCGACGGCCCCCATTCCACCCAAAATGCGAAGCGTCATTGCCGTTTCCCCCGTGACGGCCCTGCTGGCCACCCTCTTCCTGCTGCTGCGCGTTGCCTCCGCCGCGCCAGTCACCACCGAACTGGTCCCTATCGCCGCGCCCGATGACAACGATCTCGCCGCGCGGTCGCCCATCGAGCTAGTTCCCATCGAGGCTCCTGAGGGCAACGAGCTCGCCGCGCGTGCACCCACCGCCAAGCCTGTGATCTCGGTCAAGTTCTTCAACGACCAGATCAAGGAGAAGAAGATCACCAAGGACAAGGCTTGCCTGTTCTACTACCGCCTGAACGCGGCGGCCGGCGAGACCACGGCGCGCCAGTGGTACAAGGACCACGCGCCCAAGAGCGGCGGCTTCCTGGGCATCGGCAAGAAGGTCAAGGACCCGGTGACCTACAACGACGTCAACAACAAGATGTACACCTACCGCATGGACCTGCCCAAGAACGTGCCCAAGCCGACCACCATGAACAGCGACAAGACGGCCCCCAAGGAGATCAAGTCCGACTGGCTGGGTGGCGGCCTCATCTCGCAGGCCCTGGCTGAGAGCTGCGAGGGCGACGTCTACTTCTTCACCTCCGAGGGCGAGCAGTGGTGGGACGAGTACCCCTACAGCTCCAAGGACACCAACTTCTGGTGGGACTTCGAGTGGCCCGCTCTCCTGAAGAACAGCAAAGTCAAGAACGTCTACCTCATCGACCCGGCCACCGCCACTGAGATCCCCTCCACCCCGCTGTACAAGAAGGGCACCACCCCTGACCACGTCCCCGACAAGAACCGTCCCTTCGGAACCGGCTGGGAGTACGACACCGGCAAGACCCAGGCTGCCCCTGCTCCTCAGCCCACCACCACCACCAAGGCTGGTGCCCAGCCCACCAAGACCAACGCTGCCTCTCAGCCCACTAAGACCAAGGGCAGCACCACTGGTGGCGGCAAGCCCGGTAAGCCCGGCAAGGGCAAGGGCGGCAAGAAGATCTAAACGTCTTTCTCGCCTCGCGTCCTTGTACACCGGCAATCTGGGCGATGGCTTAACGTGTTGACGCCTTATGCTGTACTATAGACAGATCGAGTCTAATTCCGGGGTAGCCGTGGTTTTCTTCGCTATTCAGCTTGCTTGTTCGTGTGATTTGCTTTTGAGTGATTGGATGTATATATTCTTCTGAGTCCTAGACTATCCTTAATTTCACAATCTGTACATTTGGTGGAATCAGCTCCTTCACCTCGTAATCTCCCTCCAAATCCTCCGACAGCACAAAGTCCAAATAAATCTTCCTCAATTTCCTCAACCGCGGCAACACCGCCTGCAACTCCCTCGCCGCCTCATCATCCATCACCCCATCATGATCCACATGCAACACCTCCAGCGTCTCCTCATGCGCCCGAATCGCCCTCATCATCCCCCCCGTCACAAACTCCGACTTCAACTCCCCTGCAAAATGCACCAGCCCAATCTCCTTCAGCCCCTTCAGCCCCTCCACCACCTCCCCGGTCACCGCAACCCGCCTTTGCACTCCCTGGCTTTCCATCCCATTATCGAGATCATTCGACGCCGGTGGCCTCTTCAACACCAACGCCTCCAGCCTCGGCAAGCTCGACAAAATCCTCAACGTCTCAGCCGGCCCCGTCGTCGCATACCCGGGGAACTCCAGCCGGCGCAAATTCGCCCCATACGCTAAAAATCCCAGCTCCACCGGGCCCGCCTGGAACGCTAACTCGCGCAGACCAGGCAGCAGACGCACGCCCATCTCGAGCACCAGGCCCTGCTCGAGCAGAAGGGGGTCTTTGTCGTCGACGCTGTAGATGCCGGAGAACGTGAGGCTTAAGTTTCGAACGCCCGGTAGCTTCGTCAGGGTGTGGGCTAGTGTGGTGACTGGTTCGCGGGACGAGCGAGCACTCATCGTCATAGTCGAGGTGACGCTGTGCTTGAGCTTCTGCATCATGCTCGGCTTGCCATCTCTCAGGGCTGATAGCTTTCCCGGGAGTCGAGAGAGGTAGGTTTCTTCCCAGCTGTCGTGCGGGATCTCGACACCCGGGATTAGACGTCGCTGCCAGTCGCGGAACGGCGCGAGGGAGCTTTCCAGACAGTTGATGTCGAGGATGCGTACGAGGGGAAGCAGATCGGGGGGTCCCTTGGAGGTCCATTGCGACAGGTGGTGCAGGGAGTCGAAGAAGCGGACGAAGTGGAGTAGGATAGAGAGTGCTTCTGTTCGGATCTGGCGGCAGACGTGCAGTAGGGGCTGAGGGCCTACTGTTCGGTAGAAGATCATTTCGTAGATGGTGTAGCGCAGTTCGAGGGGGATGGTGAGGAGGGTGGGTTTTGGGTTTGGGGGTGGCATTTTGGGTGGTTGGATGAGAGGTGTTGGTTTTGGGTTGGTGTTGGGTTGGGAATTAAGCAAGAATAAGGATGAGAAAGAAGCTGCTGACTAGATTAAATTTATGAATGAAGATGGATGATGAAGTGGTGAGATGGGAGATGTTCGCGGGGATGCATGCAGGATCACGTAAGCGCTACGGCATAACTAACGGCATAAGCCAGGCCCTAATTGGTTAGCTCTTCAGCCTTAGTCGCTGGTCTTGGATTCTTTGGATTTGATCACAGTTTTCAAAGGTTGGTCTTATGAATTGAACCTGGCCTGCTCTTCGGTCTTGCTAATCATTCTGCAAGAGGCTGATATTGATCTTGTTTGTTTGCCTGAAGGTACATTTCCGGAGTAGGCTCGGCCATGAACATGTATGTTGTTGTCGAAATTATCAATAAAGAACGAGATACTATGTTGCTTTAGATTTGACCATGATAATTAAGAAAGAATGTAGCATCATATAGGGAGCGGTACTCGTGGCGATCGAGTAAATAAATTCAACAGAGATTGTTGCATAACAGAAGTGGCTCAGACAGATGGAGCAGCCAAATGGAAAAGGCTTGGCAATTTGCGCCTCAGGCAGACAATAGCTGCAGGGAAGAAAAACACCAAAATAGAAGTATTCTCGATACTACGGAGTCTTAGAATTAATTAACTCTGTTCAATGCTATGTATATGGCTCTATCATCAATAGTTTTATTCTATATCGAAGGCAAAGAGCTACTTTCCGTAAATCCCTTCTGGGTCGTTGGTTTACTCAGTCAGGATATCGAACTATATATTTCTACCCACAGGTACCATTAAACTGCACCCGGATTGAAAAAATCGTCGTAATGCCACGGTCCAAACAGGACAACGCCAAAGAATCAAACAAGGTTTACCAGAAGTAAATAAAGCGAATATCTTATCTCTTTGACCGACTGTAACCATAGGTGGTGATACAATTCTGGCGAGGCGGTACCAACATATTACTGCGCAGCATAAGATTTTATCTCGAGTGTATCGGTGTTAATAGATCACCAATGGTGTGTACTAAGTCTACATGGTGAAAGGAATTGCAGGAGTAGCAATTTGGATAGATGAGTACGTTTACATCCCGCATCTTGGCTCCTTCGTCGGAAAGTGACAGTCGATTCTTGCCAAGCTTAATGTTTGTCATTCTGTCCAGACCATTCCTGGTAAGCGATAGGTCTGAATCCTGAATCATCAGTGCCTATATTGAGCTGGATTGATAGGCACCTAGTCTACGGAGTACGCTCAAGCGATATTATTGAAGTGTGAATGCCTGTTGATCATTAATATTCTCCAGACTGATTATCTTGTGGAGCAACAGGGATATATCTCTACTCTTTTAGCGGTCGCTGACTATGCTGTCTCTACTATCATCGCATTTAATTGACGGGAAATTACAACAAGAAAGGAAAAGGCTACCTCCAAGGCATTGGTCGCTGCTCGCTCGCTGTGCCAGCCAGGACTCACGTGGAAGAAGCATTGGCGGAAGCAGGCGGATGTCAGTAGTTGGCCACAGTGGATATTCTAATCTGAGCACAGAATGCCCCGTACTTCGTACAACGTACACACTCCAGGCTAGACGTTGGCCTGTGGCTAACCGCCGATATATGCCGCAGCACTGACTAGCGGAGCCCTAATGGGGAATGGCACGGAGCAGAATGTGTTTCATAGATGCGACAACACGTCCTCGACTTGCCGTTTTCAGACTCATCCAGCATCAACAAGTACGCGGCCGTTCCTTTGATTAGATTAAAGGACGGCGGATCAACAGACAAAGCAACCCAGTCAGGTATGGGGCGTGTGGCTGTGAGGGCGTCCCACCGCTTGGCATCCGAAGAAGCGTTTCGGCGAGTCTTGGCTTTCCCTTCACAGAAATGCTTGGCCGACGATCTTTGCTCTCGACGTCAACATCCAAAGGGTCCCTTGGTTGTCTGGCACGCGCCATGCTCTCAGATTCGTCGGACTGGCCCGCCCGTCGTCAGGTCAGTGGCCCGGATCCCCAGTCTGGATAAGGGGATACAGACATCCGGCCGCTCTGACTGCCCTGATAACCCACGCGTCGAAGATCTATACCTAGTCCAACGGTCATGGTGGCTCGCCATGGCGGTTTCGGTGTGATTCCCGTCCGTTCCTGATTCGTATCAGGCGACATGGATCGTCAGTTCGTGTATGGTGTTGATGAAGTGCCACTGTCTAGACCTCGAGACACGGCTGGCGTCTGCATATATAAGTCCCAGAGAGTCTCCTAGAGCGTTCTCATTCTCATTCCCATTCAAGCCTTTCTCTCTTTATCAGTTGCACGACCGGTTCGTCGACATCTCTCAGTCCTTCGCTTCAATCATCTTGTTGATCAAGTCCATTCCTTCGTCTCGTTCGAACCCCCTATATAATTCACCATGAAGTTCGAAATCGCCGCTGTTATCGCCGCCTCGGCCATCGCCTCCGCTGCCCCTGCCTCGTCCAGCGCCGCGCCCTCGTCCTCTCCGGCTCCCACCAGCGCCGCCGTCAGCGGCAGCGTCACCACCAAGCTGCCCGCCTCCTCCGGCACCTCGACCCTCAGCGCCGTGAAGACCATCGCCGCCGGCGAGACCTTCGACGGAGGCATGGTCGCCTACGACCGTGGCGTCTCCTGCACCGGCCAGGAGGAAGGTGACGACAGCGACGCCGTCTTCGAGATCGAGAACGGCGGCACCCTGTCCAACGTCATCATCGGCCCCAACCAGATCGAGGGTGTGCACTGCTTCGGTGCCTGCACGCTCACCAACGTCTGGTGGAGCTCTGTCTGCGAGGACGCCTTCACCATCAAGGAGCAGGCCGACGGCGAGACCACCAAAATCACCGGCGGTGGTGCCTTCAAGGCCGAGGACAAGGTCCTGCAGCAGAACGGCGGCGGTACCCTTGAGGTGTCGGGCTTCTACGTCGAGGACTTCGGCAAGCTGTACCGTAGCTGCGGAAACTGCGACGATATGCCCACTCGCCACGTCGTTCTTGACAACGTCTACGCTGTTGAGGGCAAGCAGATTGCTGGTAAGTTTTATCCTGTGTGAAGTTGGTTGGGTTAGGTATGCTGACTGTATAGGCATCAACGCCAACTACGACGACACCGCCACCCTCCGCGGCGTGACCGTGTCTGGCGTCGACGACGTCTGTGTTACCTACGAGGGTAACTCCGATGGCAGCGAGCCCGAGGAGAGCGGCTCCGGCCCTGACGGCACCAACTGCAAGTACTCCGAGTCGGATGTCACCCAGGCTTAAGGGTGCATATGTTGGATGAGTTTGGGACTTCATGAACTTGCGATGAGAGGTTCGATGATCTGAACTCACACTCCTTTGCTTTGATTCCATTGTAATATACCATCAGAGTGAATACTATAAAACTGGCTTGCCAATTCTTAATCTGTCATTTCGTAAACATGTTTTTGATGTTCTTTTGCGCCTAAGGATGTTTCCACTTTGAATTTAAAATCTCCAATGGGGTCCATTCCATCCAGCGTTTAATGCTTCCTGGAAGTGGAATAACATCCAACTATGTATAGGAAAGTCCATAGTAGCTTGTAATCAAGAGAAAGGCCCTCGACTCTCTTCAGTGATGCTGTTCGGGCAGAGCATTGCCATATTGGCCTTTTGATTCTTTCCCAGAGAGAGGTGTGTCTCGCATATCTCAACGCTACAAGGAAAGCAATATGTCAACATCCCTAACAATAACAATTCTGCTCCCAGTGAATTACTCCGACGATACTAAGACTTCGGCGGCAGCGGCTTCACAGGCCACTCATAATCCCTCCTGAAGACACCGTGAAACTGCCACTCTCCAGCGCCCACCACCTCCGTTCTCTCTCCCTCTCCCTCCGGAATCACCACCTCACACACAACCCCATACGGCACACAAACTTCAATCTCAACCCTGTCCTCCACCCCATCCCCCTTTCTCGTCTCGCACGCACACGAAACCACCCCAAACGGCGTCTCATGCTGTGCCCTCGCACTCCTAATATCACCCCCAATTGCCGGCCTTACACGGCACCGCTTCCATCCCGCCTCAACCCTCTCCAACCCCGCCACCCTCTCATACAAGAACCTCGCAATCGCTCCAAACGCATAATGATTAAACGACGTCATCTCACCAGGATTAATCGATCCATCAGGAAGCATACTATCCCACCGCTCCCAGACTGTCGTAGCACCCATCGTCACAGGATACAACCACGACGGACACGTTTTCTCCGTCAACATGGCATATGCAACCTGCACATGGCCCGTACGAAGCAGCGCCTCGCAGAGAAACGGCGTCCCCGCGAACCCCGTGCCGATGTGGAAGTTATTCTTGCGGACGAGTTCGACGAGCCGGGATCCTGCGCGGATCCTTTGGGCGGGTGTCAACAGGTCGAAGGTTATGGCGAGGGTGTAGGCGGCTTGTGAGTCGGAGGCGATTCGTCCGTTGGGAGTTACGTATTCGGATTGGAATTGTTCGCGCGCGAGTGTGGCGTCGTTGGAGTAGTCTTTTGCGGCGGTGGGGTGGTCGAGGATGCTGGAGATGAGGGAGATCAGGTCCAGGCTGTGGATGAGGAAGGCGTTGGAGACCATTTTGGCGTCGGTGAGGCCTTTCCACGGCGCGGAGGGCGGTGCAGCTGGGTCGAGCCAGTCCTGGTTTTGGGGCTTGGTTAGTTGTGAGATGGGATTTGGGGGATGGGGATGCATACGCCGAGTTGGAAGATGCTGGTGTCCCAGAGATGCGTGGCGCCGGTTTTGTTGCGCGGAAGGGTCTCCATCCACGTCGTCATGCTGTCGTATTGCTGGCGGAGAATGTTCTTGTCTCCGGTCTCCTGGTATAAAGCCCACGGGGCGAGGATCGTCACGTCGTGCCAGATGGCGCAGGGTTGGCGACGACACCAGATCGGGTCAGGGAGGGTTGCGTTCGGAGTCACCATTGCTGGGACACCGTCGAGGACTTTCTGATCGTGCTCGACGTCGATCAGCCAGTTGCGTAGCATGCCGAAACAGTCGTAGATGAGGGTTGCAGTGGGAGCGAACAAGGCCAGGTCGCCGGACCATCCGAGTCGCTCGTCACGCTGGGGACAGTCTGTGGGGACGGATAGGAAATTGCCTCGCATGCCCCATTCGATGTTTTGGTATAGCTTGTTGAGCAGGGGATCGGAGCAGGAAAAGGACCCGGATGGCTTCATGTCGGTATGGCAGACCACGGCCTCTGCGGAGGCTTCCAGGTCAATATCGCTCGTCCAGCCATCGACCTGGGCGTATCGAAAGCCATGGAATGTAAAGCGAGGCTCGTACTCTTCCCCAGTTGGATCTCCTCGCAGCGTATACTCGTCCACCGCTTGACAGATGCGCAACGGCCTCGTACAGAGCTCCTCCTTCTCCAAGACCTCCGCATGAGACAGCGTGATGCGATGGCCACGCGGGCCCCTGATATTCCTCAGTCGGACATACCCAACCAGATTCTGTCCAAAGTCCAACACCAGCTTGCCAGACGGAGTGACCAGCTTCTTCACCGGACTGAGGACCTCAATCCGCCTCACAGGCTCCCCATACCCAGCGGTCAGCTCCACGACCTCCGGCAAGGGGTCCATTCGAAGAACCGCCTCCCACTTCCCATCCACACACCCAACAGACGACCACTTCTCAATCTCCAGCCGAGCATCGTACTTCTCACCATCGTAGATCTCCCCCTTCTGAATTGGACCCTTCGTCACAGTCCACGACCCATCCGTGACGACGCGTTCCACATCCCCGTCTGCGTACACGATCTCCAATTGCGCCAGCAACGCCGTATGCGGACCCCAGATATTCCGATGTCCGCCTTCAAACCCAATACGCCCCGAAAACCACCCCTCGGCAACACGCACCCCGATGCAGTTTGTTCCCGTGGAAAGAAACTCCGTGACGTCGTACGTCTGGTACTGCAGTCGAGAATCGTAGGTCGTCCAGCCAGGCGCCAGGAAATGGTCGCCCACGCGGTGTCCGTTTATGTCCGCTTCATAGACACCCTGAGCCGTGATGTACAGTCTTGCCTGTGCCACCGGAGCCGAGGCTGAGAACTCCTTGCGGTACAGTTGCTCGGGGTCTGCAGCTAACGTACCAGGTCCCCAGGGGGCAGCGATGCGATCGCATTGCCACTCGGAGCGGGAGAGGAGACCAGCTTCCAGGCTCGCTGGGTCACTCCAGGCCGTGCTTTCTCCGGTGGCATCCCATGCGCGGACGCGGGCTGAGATCCTTTGTCGGGATTGGAGAGGTTGAGGGTCTGGCCATGGGACAAGTCGTGCAGAGGGCGAGTTCACGCGAAATGTAGAGGTTGAGGTGGAGTTAGAAGAGAATATCTGCTGCGAGAGCTCGACCTCATACCCTGCCTGTTGGAAACTGGCTGGGGCATTTTGGAAGCGCCAGGAGAGTCGGGGGCGGGTTTCTTGCACGCCCAGGGTGTTTGGGGCGTGGTAGTGTTCGAATCGGAGGTTGGTGATTGTTGGCATGGCGTTTAATGTTCAGAGGTGGGTAGAGACAGATAGATCAATATGTAGAAGTGTGGAGTGTTTAATAAACCCTAGGAGAAGGCGCGGGGACAGAATGCGCGAGAATGCCTCTGGCTCTAGGGCTGACCGTTCGGAGTGCAATACCCCGATCCCTGGAGTTATGACATCGAGGAATACAACACTGGTTGCCGTCAAACGCCGACAGTCCACTAATATTGAAAAGGCTTGATTTGGTCGGGGAATACGAGGAATTCCTTTGAGGGGTGTTACACTCCACCGGATCTATTCAGGCCGATTGGATTTTAGATTTCCCAAATCAGCTATAAAGCCCGCTGATTCTGAGGACATACTACAACATTTCCTAGGACTTGCTACCTGAAAGACATCTTCCAAAGAGCCACAAATACCGCCAACATGAACGTCAACATGTTCCAAGCCGGCGACAACGTCGCCGCCACAGACCACTCCGACATTGACAAGCTTCCCATCGAAGAACTTCCTCTCCCCCCCGACTTCGCCTGGGGCACCGCAACCGCCGCATACCAGGTTGAAGGCGCGGTGACCCAAGACGGCCGTGGCCCGTCCATCTGGGACACATTCACGCACTTGGAGCCATCCCGCACCAACAACGAGAACGGCGACATCGCCTGCGACCACTATAACCGCGTCGCCGAAGACGTGGACCTCATGGCCTCTCTCGGAATGGATGTCTACCGTCTCTCGATTGCCTGGTCGCGCATCATCCCACTCGGCGGACGCAACGACCCCGTCAACGAAGCGGGTATAGCGTTCTACAACCGTCTGATCGACTCCCTTCTTGCGAAAAGCATCGAGCCCGTCGTGACACTGTACCACTGGGACGCACCGCAGGTCATCTACGATCGCTACGGCGCATTCCTGATCACCGCCGAATTCAAAGCCGATTTCGAGCGCTACGCCCGAGTCTGCTTCTCTCGCTTCGGTGACCGCGTCAAAAAATGGATTACCTTCAATGAGCCATACATCATCTCGGTCTTCGGCCATCATACCGGCGTGCTCGCCCCGGGCAGAAACTCCTCTAATGGCGGCGATTCGCGCACGGAGCCCTGGCGTGTCGGACACACGCTGATTGTCTCGCACGCTTCGGCCGTGGAGATCTATGCGTCGGAGTTCCAGCCCGCTCAGAACGGTACTATCTCCATTGTTCTGAACTCCCATTTCTACGAGCCCTGGGATCCGGAGAATCCCGTGCACGTCGACGCCGCGCAACGCAGACAGGAGTTCTACGTCTCGTGGTTCGGCGATCCGATCTTCCTAGCGCGCGACTACCCGTCCTGCATGCGTGAGTTCCTGGGCGATCGACTCCCTACCTTCACGGACGATGAGGTCGCACTGCTTCGCCGAACAGCGCATCTGAACACCTTCTACGGTATGAACCACTACTCGACGAAGTTTGCGCGCGCGCTCCCCGACCCTCCCTCCCCGGACGACTGCACGGGGAACATCGAGGAGGGGCCCACGAACTGTCGCGGGGAAGAAGCCGGCCCGGTGTCGGGCATGGCGTGGCTGCGTGTGGCGCCGTATGGGTTCCGGAAGCTGTTGAATTGGGTGTGGAAGCGGTATCAGCTGCCGATTATTATCACGGAGAATGGATGTCCTTGTCCCGGGGAGAGCGAGATGAGGAAGGAGGAGGCGCTGGATGATGGGTTCCGGGTGAGGTATTTTGGGCTGTACCTAGACTCGATCTCGAGGGCGATTTACGAGGACGGGGTCAAGGTGACGGGGTATTATGCGTGGAGTTTGATGGATAATTTTGGTGAGTGATCTTGGTCTCTCTGCTGTTGGGTTGTGGTGAGTGATGGCTAATTGTTGGCAGAGTGGTCCGCTGGGTATGGGCCCAGGTATGGCATCGTGCATGTGGATCGGACGACGCTGGAGAGGACGCCGAAGAAGTCGGCGTGGTATTTGAAGAGGTCGTTTGATGAGAGGAGGGTAAAGGGGAAGAGTAGGGCTTGAGAGGAGGATGGGAGACTTGGATCGGAATAGATTTGAATATCAGGTTGCTTTTGGTTTGATATATTTGATGTGCTTTGTAGAAAAGTCACAGATGAACCTGTAACTACATTAATGAATTCCTTTTGCTTTCAAAACTATGAACAGTGCACAGATATCAGACATGAGCATTTGGAGGAACGTTAAATTCGAACTTCCCCGCGCCCAGCACACCACTTCCCAACAGTGCAATGCAGGTCGTAATTCTTACCGCAAATAGTAAGGTTTTCGAACGGTGGCCCTTTGCTTTCCTTTCTGGTTACCTTGTGGATCGGATCGCAGGGATGTGGATCCTAGTGCGCTCCTAGTGTCGTTTCCGCGCTTTACCCTCCAACCCTACCTTCTCCAGATATACAAGTCATGACATGATATCATTTTCCCCCTTAACAGTATGTCTCCCTTATAAAGTTCATGTCATGTCATTCCGGTCTAGAAATTTAATTGGCTGCTCTTCATTCTCATAGTTTGAATGAATCGTGTTTCCTAGCCCTTTGACAGTATGTGAGTCCCACTAGTTGAGGCCTGGACCAGACATGCTTTCACCCCAGAGTCACACCCGGTTATTGAATGCCCCATGGGGTTTGACGGCTATTGAACCGTCCTATTGGAGTCGGGGTTGGCCATGGCGGTCGGTCGATTAAGAATCCAGGCCTGAGTGTGCGGTATAATTCACAGCGAGACGACTGTGTAAAGAAACAGAAGTATCTTTATGAAAGAAAACTCCACACAGTTAACCTATTTACCGCTCATAGCATATAATATGTTTGCAAATGCTGTCCTGATCTATCATGACGCCCTGAACCACAGCATTCCCCTGTACATATGGCAAAAAATGTATACATGAGATCGAATGTATTGACACTCGGACTGTGTTCACCCGCCCATGCGCATTGTAAGCAGTGGCTAAATTCGCATTCCAGGCTAAATCCTATGAGTTTCCTTGTCTAGAGCATACTACGTCGCCCCACACATACCATGTCACTGGACAAGGCGCGAATCCGGGGTCCCCGGATTGAACTGTTCGTCGCAAGGAAATTGTCTGGCTTGTTGTACAAGACTAAATCGCTTGATCCTGCCCTCCAGACAGCCCGGTTAAATTCACCCCGAGACGAGTATATGGCGCTTTCCTAGCTAAGACGCGTGGCGTTATGTGCGTCTGATCAAGCCATGTCTCGTGTTCACCATTCATCAAATGCCGACGACTGCTTGAAATATCCCTCGTTTCTGCTACATCTTTCCAGGATACGCACAGCTAAGACCGTTCTGCCAGAATGAAGTTCAATCTCTACCCATCCGGCAAGTCGCCCACGCCAGTCGAACACATTGAAACGGCACCCGAGGACCTCAAATCCTCCGATGCGGAACTCGACGCCGCCACCAAAGGTCAGGCCACGTCTGGCTACGAGACCCTTGGCATCATCGAGACAATCCTGAAGTTCAAGATATGTACTGCTGTCTGCTTCGCTATGGCCTTTAGTGCTGCGACAGATGGGTATCAAATTGGGTTCGTTTCCATCCAGCACCCACCCCTACACCTCTTCCACCCTGATGAAAAACACTACTAACCCACGATAGAATCAACGCCAGCATCATCGCCAACACCGGCTTCGTCGCCCGCTTCGCCACCGAATCGGGCAAAGACGGCGCCCCCACCCTCGCCTCGCCCATCCTCAGCGGCTGGAGCTCCATCATGTCCTGCGGCCAGATCATCGGCATGACCTCCCTCTCCTTCCTCTCCAGCCGCTTCGGCCGCAAACCCGCCATGTACACGTACTGGCTGATCCTCGTCGGCAGCGTCATCGCCGAGTGTCTCGCCCGGTCCTGGCCCGTCTGGCTCGTCGCGAAGCTGCTCGCCGGAATCGGCGTCGGCGGCGTGCAGTCCACCGTCCCCACGTACATCTCGGAGGTCGCGCCGGTGAGGATCCGTGGCGGGTTGCTGATGTGCTATAGTTTGTGGTGGACGCTGGGGTCGTTTTTCGCGCAGGTGGCGCTCCAGCATCTCTCGCGGACGCATCCGGGGAACTATCTCACCCCGATATACACGCAGTGGGCGCAGCTTGGCCTCATGCTGCTTATCTACCTCTTCGTGCCTGAATCCCCGGCCTGGTGCGTGAACGCAGGGAAGCACGACCGCGCGAAGAAGCAACTCCGCACACTCTACCGCCGCGTCGACGGGTTCAACATCGAGCAGCAGTTCCAAGTCCTCGTGTTGGCTGTGGAGCACGAGCGCGCGATTGCCGTCGAGCAGCGACGCGAGAAATGGTACTCCATCTTCCGTGGGACAGACGGGCTGCGCACGGTGATCTCCCTGTGGACAAACCTCTCACAGCAGTTCATCGGTCTGACGCTGTTCGGCACCTTCGGGACGTACTTCTTTCAGCAGACGGGGCTGAAGGATCCGTTTAAGATCAAGGTCATCACATCGTCGATTCAGATCGGGACCGTGTGTGTCTTGATTCTAGTGGCGGATCGGTTGGGGAGACGGCTGTTGGCGTGCTGTGGGACGACGTTGTCGTGGCTTTCGTGTTTGGCGATTGGGGTCATTGGGGTTGTGAAGTCAAGCGATGCGTCGACTTATGTGTTTGTGTTGTTTGCTTGTCTTTGGAGTAGGTTTTTCCCTTCGATTTGCTGTGTTGTCTGTGGTGGCTAACAAGTCCTAGATGTTGGATTGGCGGCGAACGGTGCTACCGGATGGGGGTATATCGGGGAGATATCCTCGCAGCGTCTGCGTCCGTATACGGCTGGATTTGGGGCTGCGGCGACGTGTGTGGTCGGGGTCGTGATGAACGTGCTAGTGCCGTACATGACGAACGAGAATAAGTGGAATTGGGGATTAAAGACGGGCTGGTTCTACGTGGGTGTTGGAATGCCGTTTACGCTGGGCATGTGGTTCCTGATTCCAGAGACTAAAGGGTATGTTCTCTTTCTTCCTCGGTATATCTTGGTGCAGACAGGTTTTGCTGACTGGGTTAGGCGATCCGCCGCTGAACTGGACGAGCTGTTCGAGAGGAAAGTAAAACCGTGGCGCTTCCACAAGACAGAGACGGCTACGCAGAGACTGGTGCAGATGAACGACCAGAAGCAGTAGTGCTATCATGGGGGGGGGGGGGGGGGGGGTTCATTGAGGGCTCTTCCTCCTGTTATGCAATCGAAGGACCGATAATATAGGATGTCTCTCTCATCTATGCTAGGAATCATTAAACGGAACCTGTGATATCCACCATGAAAGGACACAAAGAAAACAGGAAATCATAACCATAACACGTATATTTACACATCCCAACCACTTCCCTCCCAAGCTGATCAACCTAAACCACCTCCTGATGTACACTCGATGATGCCTGCCTCTTCTCGCCCGCATCCATCTCGAATGTCTTGTCGCCCCCGGCACCAGGCCCATCAAAGATGACCGCCATCTGTTCCAAGCTATATCCGTTTGTCTCGGGGTAGAAGAAATAGGCCGTGACGCCAAAGACCATCAGCACCACAATGAAAACGATGTAGTATTTCCAGGCGATTTCCTCCAACGCGATGGGGTTGACGAAGGTGTTGAAGAAGATGGCGCAAATGGCAGCCACCCATGTCACGGTGAGACCGCGGGCTCGTAGACGGAAGGGCCAGATTTCGCAGGGGTATCCGGTGAGGAAGGGTGTTCTGTAAATGAGTTAGTGGTTGCCTGAAGATGTAGGAAAAGGCAGTCAGTGAGAGGGGTACTCACAGAGCAATGCAGTATCCAGCAAAGAAAGTAAAGAGAAACGGGATGACAGCAGCACCAGTAGCCGTATTACCAGTCTCGGCGAAGGATCCCGACAGGGCTGTGACCAGCACGAAACTGATGAACATGGTTGCCGCAGACGCCATGAACAAAGGACGACGACCAAGTTTATCGGTTAAGAAAGCACCCATCGTGGCAAAGATGAGGTTCCACATCTGCATGCACGCGGAGATGAGGGTCTGGTCCCGCGAGCTGCCGACACCGACGCTATCCAGGATCAGGGCGAGATAGTAAGAAACGACGCCGTTACCGGCCCATTGGGAGAAGATACCCAGAGTGACGGAAATAAACAACCGACGACGGTTGCCAGGGGACTTGAGCATTTCCGCGTAGCTGGAGGTGCTATTGGCCTCTTGCTCGTTGTGAATTGCCGTGGCAATTTCCCTGAACTCCTCTGCGACCAACGCTGACGAACGATCGCCGGCAGCGTGGTGCTTAATCAAGAGGTCCCTCGCCTCCTCTTCACGTCCAATTGAAATCAACCACCGAGGGCTCTCGGGGGCAATGAGGAATCCAGGAAGGGCGACCAGGGGCACAAGAATCTGCAAAAGGGACGGCAACCGCCAGGCCCACGATGAACCGTAGGTGCGAGAGGCGAAGATAATCCAGCCGGCAACCGTACCACCGACATACCAGCCTGACATGTACAGAGAGTTGACGATGCTTCGATGATACGGATGGGCAATTTCGTTGACGAGGAGAGGGGCTGCGTTTCCGAACATAGCCGAGGAAACACCAATGAACAGTCTAGCCATGAGGAAGGCGATATCGTTGTTTGCTGCCGCCTGCAGAACGCTTCCAAGGACCAGGAAGACATAGCCCACATAGATGCTAGGTTTCCGTCCCCATCGGTTGGCAATCCAGGCAGCGGTAGGGTACCCAATCCCTGATCCTAACCAGTATATGCCATTCAACCATCCCAGCCATGGACCAGTAGGATTATCCATGAATTCATTCCATTGGTCCAAGGCTTGAAGACCGTTCATGAGGGTACCGTCGAATCCGTTTGCAGATGAGAACATTATGAGCGAGAAGATGATGAAGTTGAGGTGAAGGAGATGTTTCTGGCGATACCATGCTGGGCCGGAAGGGGTGGCCGCAGACGTCTGGATGTCTCCAGCATCCTCAGCGCGTTCCTTAGTCGTGGTGCCCATATTGCCGGAGTATAGGGTATAATGAACGAGGTCAGAGAAAATGAGTCCCAATCGTGCGGTCGAAATCAAAAATTTTCAAAACTAGCCCGGTGGTGTGACTATAGGCTGCTACTTATGCCCATCGTAACAACCGACGTAATATGCCGGAAATAATCGGCCAGATCAAAGTGCTCTTTAGTCCAATGCCCTAGACAGGCAAATCAGATGACCTTGCATGAACATCCACTCTATGCCGTGAAGCCATTAACCGTCATGCCGGCCCCCGCGAACCCGAAAAGTCGGGGAAACGCAAGACGTTGTGGAGAATCGGGGGAAGCTGTGGGGAGACCAACGCGGAGAAACGGAGAAAAGGAGAAAAGGAGAAACGGACGTCTTGTATTGGCGAGTTTTTGGCCAGCGAGAACTGAGAATCGGACTTGCTGTTGGATCCACTCGGCACGGTGGGTCGCCGGGGTACGGAGCGGAGTCGAAGAGTAGAGAACCACGAGGGGCAGATGCGAAAGAATATTTAGCAGGCTGTCCGACCGGTATGATAATTCCGGATTGCCATTCTTTTCTAACGCAGATTGACATTGAGCTGGAAGTATGACGTCCAACATTGACCCGGCCTTCCAGCATATCGCCAGCGCCGATCTGGACGCGCTGTTGAAGCAGCTCACAATCGACGAAAAGATCGCCCTGTTGTCCGGTAATCATATCTCCCGTGTCTATTCCGCACGAACATATGCTGACTTGAGCTTTTGTACTGTTGATCAGGCGATGACTTCTGGCACACCGTCGCGATCCCGCGACTGAATATCCCTGCGATCCGACTCTCCGACGGCCCCAATGGCATTCGGGGCACGAAGTTCTTCGGCAGTGTTCCGTCGGGTTGTTTTCCCTGCGGCACCGCTATTGGCGCCACCTTCGACCAAGACCTGGCGCTAAAGGTCGGTCATCTTTTAGCGGATGAGGCCAAGGCCAAAGGCGCCCATGTCGTCTTGGGCCCAACTATCAACATCGCTCGGGGTCCTCTGGGAGGAAGAGGGTTCGAATCGTACTCCGAGGACCCCGTTCTGTCGGGAGTCCTGGCTGGCCAGTACTGCTCTGGCCTGCAGGAGAAAGGCATCGCGGCAACCTTGAAACACTTTGTCTGCAATGACATGGAGCACCAGCGTATGGCATACAATTCGATTTTGACCGATCGCGCCCTGAGGGAGATTTACCTTCTGCCGTTTATGATCGCGATTGCGCAGGGCAAACCCGATGCTATCATGACGGCGTACAACAAGGTCAATGGCACGCACGCAGCGGAAAACCCAACGATTCTGCGGGATATTCTTCGCGGAGAATGGGGATGGGAGGGACTTGTGATGAGCGACTGGTGAGCAGCCTAACCCAAGCCATCTGACTACTGCTTTCTAACTCGGTTATGCAGGTTTGGTACGTACAGCACCTCGGAAGCCGTTCTAGCGGGACTCGATCTCGAAATGCCCGGCCCGACTCGCTGGCGTGGTGGCGCATTGGCGCACGCGGTCACCGCCAACAAGGTCCCAATGGCCGATCTCAATGCCCGAGTTCGTGCCGTTCTGCAGTTGGTCCAGAAGGCCAGTCGCTCGGGTGTCCCACAGCATGCGCCGGAGGGGCAGCTCAATCGCGCGGAGGATCGGCGCCTACTGAGGCAGATCGCTGCCGAGGCGATTGTCTTGCTGAAGAACGAGGACAATATACTCCCCTTGAACAAGACGAAGCGGGTGGCTGTCATCGGTCCTAATGCAAAGGTTGCATCATACTGCGGAGGTGGCAGCGCCTCCTTGAACCCCTATCAGGCGGTTACCCCATTCGATGGTCTTTCCGCCTCTGCCCCCGGCAACGTGGAGTTCGCCCAGGGCGTTTATGGCCATCAGAACCTGCCTCTCCTTGGAAAGCTTATGCACACCAAGGATGGCCAGACTGGCTTTACATTGAGAGCTTACAATGAGCCCCCAACCGTTTCCAATCGGCGCATCGTGGAAGAGCGAGTTGAGACAGACTCCAACTTGTTCCTTATTGATTACAGCCATCCGGAGCTCGAGAGCGTCTGGTACGCTGATGCTGAGGGGTATCTCACTCCCTCGGAGAGTGGTGTCTATGATATCGGTCTTACTGTGCATGGAACAGGAAAGCTGTATGTGGATGGAGAACTCCTGATCAACAATGCGGACGTACAGAGACCTGGCACAAGCTTCCTCGGAAATGGCACCTTAGAAGAGATTGCCTCTTTGCAACTTGAGGCTGGCAAAGCCTATCATATTCACATCCAGTGGGGATGCGCCAAAACAAGCACCTTCAAAATTCCGGGTGTGGTCGACTTCGGCCACGGTGGATTCCGCTTCGGTGCCTGCAAGCAACTTCCCCCTGCAGATGGAATTGCTCAGGCCGTCCAGCTCGCAGCAAATGTCGACCAAGTCGTTTTGGTTGCCGGGCTTAGTGCGGAATGGGAGTCTGAGGGAGAAGACCGTCCGAACATGGCCTTGCCTCCATACAATGATGAGCTGATCTCTCGTGTGCTTGAGGCGAACCCTAACACTGTGGTCGTCATTCAGAGTGGCACGCCTGTTGAGATGCCCTGGATCCACAAAGCAAAGGCGGTGCTCCATGCATGGTATGGGGGCAATGAGACAGGCCACGGTCTGGCAGATGTGGTTTTCGGCGATGTCAACCCGGTAAGCAACATACTTCGTACTTTTGAAGCCAAACGCTAACATCCCTAATCTCTAGTCTGGCAAGCTTCCTCTCACTTTCCCGCAGAAGCTTAAGGACAACCCTACCTATTTCAACTTCCGCTCTGAAGGCGGTCGAGTGCTTTATGGAGAGGACGTGTATGTGGGATATCGGTACTATGATACCCTAGAGGTTGAGCCTTTGTTCCCCTTTGGTCACGGTCTTTCCTACACCACGTTTGAACTGTCAAACCTGCAACTGAAGAAGGATTCTGACAGAGACCTAACTGTGGGATGCACGTTAGCAAACACGGGCTCCCGGTCGGGAGCTGAAGTTATCCAGGTTTATGTCGCGCCTGTATCACCTCCACTGAAGAGACCACAGAAAGAGCTGAAGGCTTTCAGTAAGCTGACATTGAACGCTGGAGAGTCGCGACCGGTGGAAATACCCCTAGACCTAGTCCGAGCAACCAGCTACTGGGATGAATACACCAACAGCTGGTGCAGCCACAGCGGCACCTATAACATCATGGCTGGAACGAGTAGCCGCGGTATCTTCCTCGAAGCTTCGGTGGAGCTGAGCGAGACGACCTTCTGGCAAGGTCTTTGAGGAGCCGGGGGATGTCAACGAGTATTTTCATGTACAAATCATATAGACTTCAATTTCTATCTGTTATTCGATCTGTGTCGATCCAGGATTGTAGATGTATCGTATTCATGTTTTCGCTCCGGTCCAGACGTGCCAAGATGTTGCTGGAATGCTGGAGGTATTCCGTGGCGCGTTGCGACTCGGGAGCGTCGGGATGAAACGGACACGCAAGCAGGCTAGCGGCAATATCCCGCACCTTGTAAGCGAGATGCAGCCCGTTGGCCTCCAGGTTCACTTGTGGCAAGCTGTGTAGAACAAAAAATAGTTGTCGACAAAGCTCCTCGCGTTCACGCCAGAGTGCCTGCGCATCCATGACGACCGGGTCGAGATCTGCTGTCGCCGACTGTATTGAATGGTGTCGCGACTGTGTCGCTTCTAATCGGTCGAGTAATAGACTCTGGACCCACAGATGAGTGACATGCAAATTTGCTCGCATCGTAGCAAAATCCGATCGAACCCGATCCGCATCGACAGCAGCGGGTATGTCGCCATCCATTGGCATCCACGGCCGGAGAAGAGGGGGGATGTCATCGAGGAGGAATTTAAGAGTATGTAATTGATCTCTTATGTAGTTCATTTCGACTACCGGATCACGAGCTCGGGTACAAGGGCATGGCTCATCTTGCGGTTCTTTCAGCCGAGGATTTCGAGCAGCAGCCCAAAAGACTCGGGAGTGGAGATTAAATCCAGTAACGAGACAAGGATTGGAAGTGCAGGGGGTCAGAATCTCGTTCTCGAATATCTGCTCGTCCTCCACTTCGACGGGCATGAGATCTTCTGGATTCAGCGAAAGCAGCTGGGATGGGTCCAGATATGATAATCGCTCTCCGAACATGTTTTGCAGTTGTCCATGTCTGGATACAGTCAGCGAAAAAGCACAATTCCCTCGGAGGCTGTCGATGTCTTACATAAAAGCGTAAAATACTAACCAAAAGCCCTTCTTTCGCAGCTGTGTCTCAATGTGATTTAGACCGACGTACTCGGATATATTGTGAAGATTCAACATCCGCGCCAACTGCATTGCCTCTGACTGCAACATGCGAGACCAATTATGCTCCCCCAGCTGCATGAACGCAGCACAGAAGAGATAAGTGGTTGCGAACTTTTGGAAATTGATCTGTTCAAAATGGTCGGGGGTACGAAGGCCCATCGCCTTCTGATAGCAAGCCCAGACCATCTCCCGGCGCGTGCAGAAGCGCAACGGAGGATAGTTAGAACGGTATTCATTAAATCTACTTGGCATTGCCGCCACGATATTCGCCGCCATGGCGATCTCAAGGCCGAGAAAGCCAGCGTCGTCACAATCACGGTCTTCTTCCAAGCGACGCCGAAACGACGGACGGTGAATAATCGGGACGACAGGGTACATGTATTCCAAGTAGTCCTGCAGCATCTTCTTGAACAGGCGACGATCGCAGATATCATCGGTGGGATATGCACGGAAGGAAGTGGGTACAGAATCCCTGTCCTGCAGCGAACGCACGCTATGGTCGCTAGTCGGAGTCTGAGGACTGTGCCCCCTTGCAGCGAGACTTGCGGCATGTCAGCGGAGCTCATATTCCGGAAGATCAGTCTTACCGTTTCTTAGGGCCCCGGACCTTTGCGGGCATAAGAAAGGTACATGGTCGATTTAACCGCTCACAACGCCCACAACGGGCAGCGGCACCAGACACTGGCCGGGGAAGATGACATTTTACTTTTCGTTTGCGGCATGTATCACAAGCCTGGGTTGTCAGATCTACCCGGAGCGGTTGTTCATCCAGCTCCTGAGGCATCTCAGCTTTCTCTACCTCGTATTTTGATGATCAGGGACTGTGCTAGAGGATGGTGATCGATCTTGAGTCTACAAGACGCGCTGCGGCGGCTCGGGCTGCAGAGAGTCACGTGTGGTTGTCTGCTGACTAAGTCGAAGCAGTGATTGCAAACCAGGCAAACCCGCCAAACAAGACAAACAAGACAAACAACACAACTCCCTCAAGTGTACAACATCCCAGGATGTCGGGAATAACAGCTCTATGTCTAGCTGGATATTGCTTCTGGTCACGGCACAAGAATACGGTCATTGCGTATCTAGATAGGAGGGAACAACCCTGGTTTCCCCCCTTAGGTCCATAGGTATGTATTATATTTCATTCGTTCTATATATATATTTGCATAGAAATGAAGCTTGAAGTTTTCTCTACGTAATCTAGGATAGATCTGGCTGGGGGTCACCCTCTCCTTGGTGATGTCTTAGGATATATCTTAACTTAAACTCTAGACCTCCAGCAAGCTTCGAGCTGGAGCGCGACAACGGTGCAGCTGTCAAATGTGGGTCTTTTGGTTTTAACGCATAAAGGAGCGTGAAGTTTCTTGTAATGTTGCTGAGATGTTTCAAGTTTGTCGAATCATGATACCCAGTTTACGATGGAAAATGTTTTCCTTCTCTTTCTTCATGTTCACAAAAACATCTCGATTTGTCCCGATGACTATCAGTGACCTATAGCATGTGTAACATAAAGCCAATGTTCTCTCTGAGCACCACATACAAACTTTTGTCAGCTGCTCAGATGCTGGATTGCTTTGACACTTTCCTCCCTCTTTCTAACGCAATGCCCTGCTCTCATCACCACAAAGAGCTCTTCGACTATAAAGACACCTAAAAACTGCAATACGGCGGACAGGCAATAAAGCTCCCTCAACTGGGAAATAATTCTCTGGTATCTATGCGATTTGAAGAAAACATATTATTACAAGTAATCCTCGTTAAGGGATCTATGCCTAATACTGGTAGGGGAAGGAGCAGCTGAGACCACGGAAGAGTCAGTGTAGCCAAGAGTAACGGTCGAATCGACCGGGATAACCGAGTTTGATATCGTTGGCCTTGAATCTGGTATCTCCCGTTCATACAAAAAGCCCCGAGGGGAGACAAAGTCAGAGGGATCAATTTCCAGAGGCTCGGCTTCTTCCCACTGCGCCAGAAAGGTTCTTTCTCCATTGGCCAAACGCTGAGCATTCAACATGGTGCTGTACACAATCCCTTCGGAGTACGCCTCATGCCACTCATCTCCAGTGTAATATATGTCTGAATCTCGTTCGCTGGACCCAGTCTGTCTCCAACTACTGATGAGCGGAGGATAAGGTGCCAGGCAGCAAAAGTTATCTTCCGGACCCTTGTAGTCACACATTGCTCCATAGGCCACGTCGACGGGTTCATTTAACGGAGACATGGAGAGTTGAGCGAGGATCTTGCGCGCGGCGTCGCATGTCACTGCAAATCCCGACGTGCATACCCCTCCAACGGCGTCAAATACAATCCGAGCTTGCTGCATTTGACTGTTGTCGGCTAAGAGAGGATGTTTGAAATCCTCGCGACGAGGAACAGGTGGCACTGTAGGGTCGTCGGGGATAATATAAAATCGGCGCTCGCCTTCTCGAGAGTCTATCCCGCAGAACCCGAGCCATAGCATATCCCAGTCATCTCCATAAGGTGAGGGTGTTCCAGATGAAGTTGCGGGAGCCCTCAGCCCGCCACGAGGCCATTTATTCTGTTGGATTGCTCTTGTGCCGCGGGCAAATTCAAGCATCGTGCTGACAGCTTGTCCGAAGCGGCCCCCAACTCGGTCTGCCCGTTGCTATTAGGCGGCCACGCCACTTGCATTTGTTTCCAGATAACTCTTGTGAGTGATACTATTAGGGAGAAATGTCTGGGGTTTCTTGGTTCTCTGATGTACTCTGTTTGGTTTATTTACCGGTTTTACAATGGAACAACGGGGGAAATAACATTGCACTGACTGATCCTGTTCCGTCGCCGATTGTGTTCTATCTGCACTGGGGGGTTATTGGGTCGTGGAGTCGGTTTTGCGATACTTCTGTGGGATAGTAGTGCATCAATCCAACAAGGGCTTCTTGTTCTGGGTCGTTCCAGAGCAGACTATGGTGTAGTGGGTCCGATCCTTTAGGTCGCGATCCTTCTTGCTCGCGATATTTCATCCGCCCCGCAACGACTGGCGCAATGAGCAAGATTATAGGGTGATTAGCCATGACTGTCTGGATGAAGTGCTTTGGCGGAGTAGTTGAAACTTCAATATTAATATCTTCGCACTGCCATCAAGACCAAACAATATCCTATCTCTAATACATATACCTAAACCCCTCATTCTCCATATCCGTCCGATCCTCAAACGCGGCCGACAAATCCTCCTCCGTTGCACCCTGCGCTCTATCGCGTCTCCGATTCTGCGTCACGAACCAAACCCTTAAGAAGATCAATATACACATAAGCATGGAATAACACCCTAGGTGTACACTAAATGCTACCCTATACCGCGGTGCATCCCAGGAGAAGAACACCTGCGGACCGACGGCGTTCCCGACGGCCCATGCGCAGAAATTGGCAGCGACCACGACCGCCTTTTTTGTTTGCCCTGCGACATTTCGTGAGACGAGTGACAGGCTGAGTGTTTGGGCTGCGAAGAACGACATCGCGATGTAGTAGCTTATTAATAGGCCGATGCGGTTCTGGGGGGTGTTGTTTTGCACGGTCATTAGGACGGCGGTTCCGGCGAAGGATCTTTAACAGCAGATCTCGTCAGTAAGAAAGTCTATGTTTGAAATGACGAGGGGCATTGGGGAGAAGGAGGACGTACGGAAGAACAAACCCTGCCATAACCAACAACGTCTGGTCGAATTTGCGAACCAACCACGCCGACAAGAGCAGCACCAGCGTGATATAAACGCCGAAGACCATCGCGAGAAGCTGGGTATGCAGAACACTAAAATCAAAGCTGTTGATGACGATATTGACAAAAGTCGAGAGCCCGTTTGTCGGCAATGTCGTACAAATCTGCAGCAAAATATAGCAATAAACTTGGGGATCTCGAAACGCCTCCCAAACCTGGTATACTCGGAACTTTTTATTCTGCAGACCGGTTTGGTTCGCCCGCACACGCTCAATCATCAGGATCTTCTCCTCCTCGGTGAAGCATTTCGCGGGCATCGGCGAGTCAGGCATCCATGTGATGATAATGACGCCCCAGAGCACCGACACGGCGCCGTAGGTGACGAACAGTGCCTCGTAGGATCTGAGGACCCCGGTGTTGCCGATAAGGCTGAAGGCGTATGCTAGGAGACCGCCCACAATGCTCTGTACACCGGTCATCATGTACCAGTATACGATAATCGAGCCCTGCTCGGACCGCTTGTACCACATGCTGGACATGAGGAGGAGGAGCGGCTGGCAGCACGCTTCGAATATACCGAGCAAAGTGCGCAAGGCGACTAGGCTGATGAAGTTCTTGCCTACGGCGTGCAGAGCGAGAACGATTCCCCAGAGGACAACGTTGATGCCGAGGTATTTGGCTGCAGGGAGGCGCTGGATGAGCCAGTTGGTTGGGTATTCGACCATGAAGACTGCTATGTAGATACATGTGCTGAGCCATGAATACTAGTAAGAGGCCCTCGTTAGCATGGTTCAGGGTCGATCAAGAGGAATAGAACTCACCTGTTGACCAGCCAGTCCGGCATCCTGAGGCAAGCCCATGATTGATGTAGAGCCCAGAGTGCCCTTGTCAAGGGCCTGGAGGAAGTATGTACCCATCATGATGGTCAAGACGCGATAATCTATCTTTCGTTTGAGCGTCCGATCAGTCTCCTCGTCAATGGCTCTGGGTAACTCTGATAGATACTGTTGGATCTCGCCATCGATTCGGGAGGTATCATATGTAGCTTTCTTGGGGTCATCGTTGAGCTCCACTGCATTTTCGACGTGCGACGCCGAGTTGCGATCTTTCTGCATTTTTCTGGAGGCAGTTGTTTCTGTAGGGGAAACTAGAGAGCGGCAGTACACCGAATGTGCCAGACAAACCTGTCATCCACGACTATACTTATAGTCATTGCGTCCCCTAGGCTTCCCCTATCTGTCTATGATCCTCTATATCACACGCCGTCGGCTATTGATAACACAACGACCTATGACCTTCAAACCTAGCTTCAACAACCAGCACGTCACAAAGGAATTTCCCCAAGGTTTAGAAACCAATCATTCCCGTCATGAATCGTACTATCCGAGTACCCAAACCACCTTGACTCAGTTACCCCAAGGATCGAAGCGGGTCCGGGCGAGTTTCTCCGCAACGCAAGGAATCTGGGGAAGTTCAACCGAAGTTTAGCCGGAGGAACAACACCGCGAAAGAGCTTCATTGGACAGGTCTTTCCAATAGCTTCTCGCTCTTCCCGCTCAGCGTGGGGTGTCAAACGCCGATGCAGCCTTTATGCTTGGTTTTTAGGGTGCGAGAACTTGCCGTTAGTTGCCGGGTAGGATGGCCTGGGGAGGCATTTAAGAGTGATGCGCTGCAATGTGCTGAACCTCGATCCTTCCTTCCATGATATAGGCCGTACTGCCTTTGAAACACACACCATACCCTGTTGCATCTCATTCAGCTAGAATGCTCAAGCCCCAAGCTAACGCAACCCGCGAACTCGTCTCCCTCGACGGCGTGTGGAACTTCTCTCTCCTACCCCATCCCCCGAGTCCGGAACAATGGACCGCTCCGCTCTCCAACAAACTCCAAATCCCCGTCCCCGCAAGCTACAATGACATCCTGCTCGACAAGGCTGTGCATGACCACGTCGACTGGGTCAAATACCAGCGCTCGGTGTTCGTGCCGCGCAGCTGGTCTGCGTCTTCGCTGCGGTACTTTATTCGCTGTGATGCGGCAACACATGTGGGGAGGGTCTGTGTTGACGAGACGCTGGTCACGGAACATGTGGGTGGGTATACGCCTTTCGAGGCGGATATTACGAGCTTAGTGAGACCCGGAGCGGAGTTTCGGTTGACTATTGCGGTGAATAATGATTTGACAAATGAGACGATTCCGCCGGGGAGTATTGAGGTGTTGGAGAATGGACGCAGGAGGCAGAAATATTTGCATGATTTCTTTAATTATGCTGGTTTGGCGAGGTCGGTGTGGTTGGTCGCGGTGCCGGCCAGGGGGGTTCGCGACGTCACTGTGCTTACAGGTGTCCTTGGTGTTGAAACAGCAGATGCCGTCGGTATCATTGACTATCATGTTGAAACGAGTGGATCTGATGCCGATGAGACCGAGGTTCGAGTCTCGGTCAAAGACGAAGACGGAAATCCAGTCGTCCATGCCACTGGTAGCACGAATAAGATGCGAATCGCCAACGTCCGCCTGTGGCAGCCTGGTTCTGCGTACCTCTACACTTTGACCGTCGAGCTGATCGACCGAAAGACCGACATACTCCTAGACTCCTACCACCTTGAAACGGGGATCCGCACGGTGCGTGTCCGAAACAATCAGTTCTTGATAAACGGCAAGCCGTTCTACTTCACCGGCTTCGGCAAGCACGAAGACACACCGGTTCGCGGGAAAGGACACGATGCTGCATACATGACCCACGACTTCCAGCTCATGGACTGGATGGGGGCGAACTCCTTCCGCACATCACACTACCCCTACGCGGAGGAAGTTATGGAGTTCGTGAACCGACACGGAATCGTGGTGATCGATCAGACGGCCGCGGTGGGATTGAATCTCGGGATCACTTCGGGGCTGTTTGGGAACAAGGCGCCGCCCACATTCTCAGACGACACGATTAATGATAAGACGCGCGAAGCTCACGAGACTGCGATTCGCGAATTGATTGCCCGAGACAAAAACTATGCGTGTGTGGTGATGTGGTCGATTGCCAATGAACCTGGGTCCGCGGAAGACGGCGCACGAGAGTACTTCGAACCGTTGGTGTCGTTGACTAGGGATTTAGATCCCACGCGACCTGTCTGTTTCACGAACTTTGCGCTCGCCATGGCCGAGGAAGATCGCATCGCCGATCTCTTTGACGTGCTGTGTCTGAATAGATACTATGGGTGGTATGAGCACACCGGGGATCTAGAAACTGCAGACATTGCACTAGAGACCAACTTGCGCAGCTGGGAAGCGAAGTATCACAAGCCCATTGTAATGACAGAGTATGGTGCTGATGCTGTGTCTGGCCTGCACACTGCCAGTGAAGCGCCGTGGAGCAAAGAGTTCCAGTCACAATTGATCGACCTATACCATCGAGTATTTGATCGTGTGGAGAGCGTGGTTGGCGAGCATGTCTGGAGCTTCTCTGACTTCCAGACTAGCTCACATGTTTTTCGAGTGGATGGCAATAAGAAGGGGGTATTCACGAGAGATCGTAGGCCGAAGATGGCGGTGCGAGCGCTCAGGCAGAGGTGGCTCGGGCAATGGAAGAGAACTCCTTTGCATTTCAAGGGCAGGAAAATATGATGTTGTATAAGATACGTGCTGCGAATGGAACAACAAGCGAGATATACATCTAGCGGGACAAGAAAAGGCCATTCTATCTCATGAGGCGTGGGAGAGTGGGAAGCTTGAACCAGAATGTAAAACGAGAGAATCAAAGTTGGTATAGCCAAAATTCCATCCAAAACATCATGTACAACTCAAACCCCGTGCAAACAGTGATATCCAAACTCTCGCTCTAAAACAAGTATTTCATATGGTCATTCCGACGTTTCAAGATCATGCAACCGTCCAATCCCTTGCGCCAGACCGTCTAATCATATTCTGTGGGCGTATGCATTCCAGAAAAGTAAAAAGAGCAGTCGATAAGAAAGAAAGCCCTCGTCCAAACAAGCACTGCGAGCGAGGAATTCCAGCAGATTTACTGATCTATGTTCTTCAATATGTCGAGTAAATCGAGTCGCTTGATGGGCTTGATGAGGAAGCTATCGATTCCAGAGCCATAGGCCTCTTTCTGGGCATTCGCGCTGTCTAATCCCGTCAGAGCCGTAATGATTGTGTATGGAAGCTTTTCTCGCTCAGCCTCGCTGAGCTTGGCTCGGTGCTCCTTCTCGATGCGCCGAATTTCTCGGGAGGCCTCGAAACCGTTCATAACAGGCATAGAAATATCTATTTCAATTCAATTAGAAAGATTGGAACAGCTGGAAGAGCCAAGCTAATATTCAACATACCTATCACGACCACACGGAATCGGCCGGGATCAGACCTGTATGTCTCCACTGCTTCTGCCCCATCTTTACCCGTCACATAATCCCGGCCATCCTTCTTGGTGTAAGCACAAAGCAATTGGAGATTGAGATCATTGTCATCCACCAACAAGACGGATTTTGGCACAGGAGGGGCAGGCTCGTCCGTGCCCTTATCATCTTGGGTGGTTGGAGAAGGCTGGCCGGATCTATTGGGAAGGGTGACTTCCCAATTTCCTTCCGCCACAGCTTTCTGAAGACTTGTCTCTTCGGGGCTCCCCATGGTGTCGGTGGTCGGGCGCTTGCTAACCTTCAAGCGCTCATTCGGAGGATCGCTCGGCCCGACATCCACGGGCAAATGAGACGATTCGGGCATTTCCACCCATCGCGTAGGCTCATCGGAGACACGCCGGCCTGATTCATCGTCTCGCCGGCGCTTGATACAAAGCTCCAGGGCTCGAGCTAACTTCCGCGGCCCGCAGGGCTGACTGACAAACTCAAAGATAGAGTTAATTCCACGGTTCTTGGCGGCGACAAACATGCTGTGCGCCTCCTCGGGGGATTGACAGATGACCACGACAATGGGGGTCTCATCTCCCTGGCTACACAATTGAGGTGCCAGGTTGAATAAGTTTCGACCCTCAAGATCCTCGCTGTCAAGTTCGGTTTGCACAGCTAGGTAGAAGTTGAAGGGACGTTTTTCACCAATGATCTGTGAGACCGAGGTGACTTCGAGGCCAAACCATTCCTCACATACCCTGGCCAGAGAGGTATACAGAGTCGTGTCTCGGTTCGATTCCAGTGAAGAGCCAAATCCCAACAGGCCGATAGACTTGCCCTCGGTGGACTTTCGCAAGGAGACAAATACAGCGTCAGAGGAGTTGTCAGATGTGGCTGACGGATAGTGGGTGAGTGGAGTGCGGATGGTCAGCTCAGTGCCAACGCCTTTGGTCGAATTGATTTCGATTGAGCCGCCCAGCGCGCCTACCGCTTGACGCACAATACTCAAGCCCAGCCCGCTGCCAGACGCAAGTGGGTTTTCTTGTGTGAATGGGGTGAAAAGGTCTTGCTGTAGATACTCAGGGCCAATTCCCTTGCCCGTATCCTTGACAGTCAGTGTCACCTCATATTCTTCCGGTTGTTCATCCCCAGATGGGTCCGACCGTTTTCGGCTCTTATGTTTACTCTTGGTGCACTGGAGCTGCAAGTAAATGAACCCAGAGCTGGTATACTTCAGAGCATTTCCAAAGACATTCATCAAGATGCGGCGCCAAGCGCCGGCATGCGTGTAGAATCCCCATTCAATGTCTGGTTGGATGTCAAAAACAATCGTGATCTGGTTTGTCTCGCCGGTCGCACGTGAAGAAGAATCCGCTAAGGCTGGGGGTGGTGCTTGTGGATGATGGTAAAAGCTGTACCCAGCAAAGACGCACTCTGTCACCTCCTCCAAAACTTGATCCAATTTGACGTGTGTATATGCTGGCGCCTTCTTGTTCCGACTGCTTTTAACACCAGAATCTTCTTGAGACTCGCCCGAAGGTAACTGGCGCTGCTTGGCCTGATGCTTAGATGAACGTCTCTTCTGGTACTTGTCAATGAAAGTAAGATCCAAAAGGTTATTAATGGTGTCTAGTAGAGTGCGGCCGCACGATTCGATCGTATGCACCATGCCATGTTGGAGAGCGTTCATGGCGGTGTCGCTCAGTATGTCCGCAGTGCCCAGGATGCCATGCAAGGGATTCCGCAGCTCGTGAGTGATGCTGCTAACCAAGTTAGTCTTCGCCTTTTCGGCCATTTCAACGTCGAGGCGCCGAATCTCCGCCATGATGCTGTTCGAGAAGGCAAATAGATACGCGAGCTCATTCTCGATCGTAAAGACGCGTTCCGGGTTGTTCGTCCAGACCAACGCTCCAGCGAAACAGCGCCGCCTTTCGGTATCCCACATGGGCAACAGTATAATGTTCCGAGCGTCGGGGAATATCCGGATGAGGTTCCCAGCGTCTTGGCGGAAATTGGGCTTGCGCCGTTTTTTACTCGAAGAACGCCGCTCTGCACCACCCATTTCGCTGTTCTGGTTCGGTTGTTCGGGGGTTACAACACTACCCAACGTGTCATCGCTGTCGTCAGAGACGGATCTATTGGCGTTATAAGTGAATATCTTTCCGCGAGGATACCGGCGGAGCCAAGATGTAAGCAGCGGTTCCTGTACCACGACTTGGTTGCTCGCCATGACTTCGTCATTGATGCTGGATGCCCGTGACGTGGAAAACCCCAGCGAGACACAAACCGGGACGCTTTTAGTACCTTCTTCCTCACTTCCAGAGGACTGATGCCGGCGGGATGACGATCCGGAGTCGCTGCTCTCGTCGCTGCTCTCGGGCGAGTCGTTGTTACCGGAGCCTGTCACTTTGCGGTTCGTTTTGTTTTCAATCAGGTCGCCGAATCTTTCGCTGTTCGTATCCAGGAATACCACCCCTTCGGCACCGATCGACTCCCGGATCAAGTTGGCGGCACGAGAGAAGACACGCTGAATGCCGGTCGACAAGACATCTTGAGGGCTGTCTTCGCCGGCAAAGACACTTCGGATTGACTGGCCTGTGTTTTGAATGTCCGCCGCCTCTGTTTCTTTCTTGGTGCCTTGTCCCTGCTCCTCCAGATCCTGTTGGTGGATGTTCAATTGTCCCTCGGTCGTCTCACCCGACTGCTCCGAGGCTGCAAACTGGGCGTTCGCCTCTCGCCATGAATGACGCAGAGTCGCTCGTCCCTCGACAAAGCTTCCCAAGCCAACGATCATACGTTCAGCTAGCTGACTCTTATGCCGCGCATGCTGGCCTTCCAAATGTTCCATGACGGTCGCTGCCATGTCCTTCAGAAATTGTAGTGAGTATGTATCGACGCCCTCGGGTCGCGGCTGGTCATCCCACACACTGTACGCACCAATCGTCAAGCCGCGCGGGCTGACAATTGGGACGGCAGCATAGAAGCGAACGTCTGAAAGCAGGCCTAATAGCTCGGCGCACTTGAATCGTTCCTCCTGGGTCACATCCGGCACGACAACAGCGCTGCCGTCGACCACCGCGGAATCCTCGTTGTAGTCGGGGGAGGGTAGAGTGGACACCAGAGTGCAAAGACCCCGCTCCCTAGGGAAAACGCACGATCCTACCCGTAGGTTATCACGCTCGTCTCGGACGTGGCCCCCGATGAGACTCAAGGTAGGGGTTGCCTCGGTCAGGACATGTTGATAGGTGCGATCGAACAGCGAGACCAGGGCCCGTCTCGCGCCGAGGCGAATGGCACCGAGCTGGGCAAAGGAGGTCAACGCAGCATCTCGCGAGGGCTGCGCGACGAAGGACCGCCGGCTTTCATGGTCGAAGGGTGCAAAATGCGAGGCGGAATGATCGTTGGGGATGAATCTGCGCAGAACAAGGATCAGTCACGTTCGCCACGCTGTGCAGGGGCATTGTCAGCTGTACACACTTGAAAAATTCTCGTTCTTGAGCTAATCGATAAGTCGACTGCCCAGTGTTCTCTGTGATGGCAGCCATTGTGACGGGTGACAGTGAAGCATTGCAGAAGCACCCGAGGGGTCGCCTCTCGAGGGATGCGGGCAATCCGATATCTACTAGAAAACTAGTAGATCGGCTAAGGTAGGGACAGTAGGGCTCATTGGCCCGTTCCAACCTTTTGGCGATCGCGTTGCTCGCCGCCACTAACGTCGGGGCGAGTGGGCCATGATATCATCATGAATCATGGGGCGTCCGCCAGCTGCATTTTTTTTGGGTCTGGTCCAGACTGCAGCACGCCAGGGGAATTGCCGAATTCGATGGAACGGCGAGGAATTGGCATTTTGATGACACCCGGCTGGAGGGCTGATGGCATGAAGATGAAAGATGAAGAACGCAAAATGATTTCGGTCGATTTCGGTCGGCGTCTGCCCTGTTCTGCCGCCCGCGCCCGCCTTGGCACGTGGCCCCCTGGTCGCCTGGCAATTCAGGCCACATGTCTGACTGCGCAGGACGTCGAGCACAGAGCACTGCCGTATAGACGGTCGTTCGCGTTTCACCGGGTGGAATCATCCTCGTGGTATTGCAACCCAGAAAGCCACGGCGCTCACCTCCAGAAGGCAGACCAATGTGACGCCGGTGGATGCTACTTCCACGGCACCGCAACCGCAGGCTTCAGCCCGCCGCCGCGATGACGTCACCGCCGTCAGCTCCCGCATCAGGCAGTCCGGATGGTATTCCAATCATGCCATATACAGTCCTCTCGAGGCATCTCAGAAACAGTGTGACGCCTCTGATCATGCCCATCCCTCCACACGGCTCAAGCCTCTCGGGGAATATGACTTTGCATCTGCTCCGGACATGGTCCCCATATGGCGTGCTGCTGTCAGCACCGAGTTCCCCGCAGAACAATCCCAGGCAGGCTCTCATGCATCAGCTGTTGAAAGGACGACACAGAGTCCGTGTTTGGGTCATGGGAACCAGGAAAGTCCAACTGTGTGATTTGAGTAGTTCCGGACGGATCTCAGGAACACTCGCCCCAATATGAAATATCTGGGGATCCAACCACCCGTGTCCTTGGGCAACGACTAGCCTGTGCTGCCCCACGTCGTCGGATATATTTAGGTGGTTTCTTAAACTTCCACTGGTCGAGCACTGGAGCGGTCGCTCTTTTCTATTTGATCTGTTATCAGCTTGTTAACGATAGACAGGGCTTTGAGGTGTTTACGGTAGGCCGAATATTGCCAGTTATATCGACAGCTCGGAATCAAAACAGCAACACGCCAATCATAACACCTGGCTGTCAGAGCCTCCTCAACATGCCGATCCACTTATGCTGGGTGCTCGATATGGTCTGGCTCCCTCCAGATCCACACAATGGCCCGTAGGGAGATCCACCATTCTTTGTATATGAAGAGGGCAAAAAGTCACAGTCGAAGAGAACCTTGGATTTCTCCCAATCCAAAGATTTTCTCAATCTGTCGGGCTCAACATTGAGTAGGATCCTTTTCTTATGCTCGTTCGGCTACTACCCCTTCGATTCTTCACCAAATCCCATATAGATATAATAGAGTATAAGTCCGACATGGTCTCTATATATTCCGACTTTTCTTTGTCTCGATTGATGAGTATTATTGAGAATCAACGTAAATGCATCTTCGGAATTTGCGGGCGGATGCCTGAGGTTCGACGCTGCTGCCTCTAAGTTCAGGCACCCGCAGGCAGCCGTTCTCCAGATCCCTCCGCTCGCTATCCCTGCCATGGCTTTCCCATGGGGGTCTTTTCCCCTTTTCTCCCCCATCATGTGCTTCAATCTAACGCCACATGGTTGATAACTCTAATTTCATATATACTTTCTGTTCAATCCGTTGCAGGTCTGCCATTGGCCCTCATATCTTCCATAATCTTGATCCAGCCGTGCGGATTCCTCATTCTGGACGCTGCTCAAAGAAGCCTACGCCGTAGCGAGGTTTCTCGCTCGCTGTCATCTTCTTGGATTCTACTCAGGTCCAAAAGTCGTGATGACCATCTCTTTATCGGATCTCCCAAACGAAATTTTGCTCTATATCGCAGAGTTTCTGCGCAGCCAAGCAGACATCGGTCACTTAAGTCGCGCCAATCGACGGCTACACGGTGTTCTAGCCAGCTACTTGTATTTTTATAATGTCCACCACGATAACGCCTATGCGTTGGCTTTCGGCGCCCAGTACGGCCGCCGCGACATTGTCGAAAAATGCCTGGCCGCAAACCCACCGAATATCAACGCAGCACCTTCTCAGGACAAGAAAGTCTTGTGGCAATTGCATAATCCTCTTTGTCTCGCAATCAGCGGCAAATATACCGATATCGTGGAGTTACTGCTCTCCCACGGGGCCAGTGTTCACATTGAATGTAGTGCATACAACGCTATGCAAACTCCGCTCATGCATGCTGCTCAACACGGCAATGTGGATTCGATGAAGCTGCTCATTGAGTGGGGCTCCGATATCCATGCCAGAGATGAACGGAACCAAACTGCTCTGTATCATGCTGCGTGGAGTGGCGCTGTTGAGCGTGTCCGGGTGCTGCTCGAGCAGGGCGCCGACGTCAATATGGCGGGAAAGGATGGAATGACTCCGCTTCATCTTGCAGCTAGATGGGGTGACATGGCCTCGGTAGAAGTTCTCATCGACTATGGCGCAAATGTTGCCGCGATCGATGGACTTGGTAGAACTCCCCTCGCTCAGGCTGTAATCTGGGGCCAGTTTTCATGTATTGAACTCATTCTCGAACGCGGCGCCAAAGATCAATTACCGCTCGATATGGTCCAAAAGGCGCTATTTGAGCCTGTTTGCTCCGGCAACCAGCCTGCAGCCGCTGTGTTTTTTGTTGATTATAAAGCCATTCTTGCACGGAGAAAATAATTGTTGCACGCAGCGCTGCGATCTGGGCAGTACCTTGTTGGCTTGGATATTGTACCCTGCTACAAGACTGCAGGTCACAGTGAGCTTTGGTGTCGTGTGGTGCGCCTTCAGCTGGAGGCGTACCTGACCGTAATCGAGGGTATTGTACTTGCCGGCGCTGGCACCAATTCACTTAGTACTCAAGGTCAGGTATTGCTATCTAAGGCTAAAAGGAGCGTGGATTCAAAGTTTGAGTATGCATTACTTCGAAAATGAGTTCAAATCGCTTGATGTACATTATGATTCCTTTCATCATCAGCAGTAATATGGTGTAGATATTCTCTTCTTTTATTTTAATTCATTAAATTACTTTAATTTATTTTTGTTTTCATTTATTCTTGTTTTTCTGACCCTATACCAAAAGTCGAGCGACTAATATTCTGTAGGAAATTGGCAGAGGGGGGTGGTCCACGATAGAACAATTCAATTGACTAGAAAACAGATAGATGAAAGGTTGTTGAAGATGAAGCTCTAGATACACGCAGAAAGGCCCTATTTATGCTGATCAAGGCGGTGATCAACTAATGGAACCTCCCATAAAACATGATCGAATGACATCATCTTGGGATAGGTCAGCGGAACGCTCCGGTAGGCATCCGGAATCTCGCTGAATTCCTACATATTCACATCAACAGGGACAATTCGGAAATATATATTGGGGATCAACTACGGAATAACAGCACGGAAGGCAAATGTCGCACCCAAGCTGCAAGCGACTTAATGGAAGAACCATAGCCAACTTCAAAATATAATTTTCCAACTGCTAGAGCTTATCTTTCGTATTTATTTACTCTCCGGAGCCTCGCGGTGCATTCTCGATCAGGCAAGTGGATGCTGATTTGCTCGGCTGCCCGAGTGGGGCGGCGGGTCGGCATTGCTGGAGCCTTAAGAGTAAGGCGGCTCTTTGTCTATCTTTCTCTTCCCATCGCCCTGATTTTTCGTTCTCACTCCTCCAGTTTCCTGCTCCTGGCCTTCTACAGCTGTTCACAATCAACGTCCATCATGGCCAGTGAAAAATCTCAGAATCCCTTCGAAGACCTAGGCCGACATGCCGAATCCGATGACCCTTCCATCCCCGGCCCGGCCAATACCTCCAATCCCAGCTTCGATCCCCCACCATATACAACAACCCCTGGACCCGAGACGCAGCGGTCGACGTTCCCACCAGCCCCGACATCACCCTCGCAGCGAAACAAACCAATTGCCATCCCCGCTGTCGGTCCCTCCAGCAACTCTGCGTTCACGCGCGCCTACGCCCCCATCCTCACCGACTACAACCTCCCGCGAGAATCCTTCCTCTCCTTCCTGGACCAGCTGAACAAAGTCGTCGCTGCAAGCCCTCCGCTACAGGTCCTAGACGCAACGGGCGGGATACTGCAGTCCGTTCCGATTCTCTTCCCCCTGCACTGGATCGGCTCCGCGGTCAGCGGACTAGCCAACCTAGGCAGCCAGGGCGTCTCGAAGAGTCGCACCGACTCGGCCATTCGTCAAGCAAACAAGGATATCTTCGGACCCCGTGGCTTGAAGGTCGAAATCGCCAAGCTGGACGCCCTGGCTCACGTGGCCAATATCCCGATCCTGGACTCTCAGGGCAAAGTCAGTCGCCAGACGCCTCTTTTGCAACGCCTCCTGAACGAGTCCGGCGACTATATGAGGGAGAATATCCAGGACTTGGACCTGCAGCAGCGACGGGTCAAAATCCTACAGCCGTGGATCGCGGATCTGGAGCTGGAGATTCTGCCGTGGACGACCAAGTCCAAATTGACGCGCTTTAACGCGGCGTTGAAGAAGAGGAATAATCCACCCCAGGCGGAGTCTTCGGCGGACGCGAGGTCTCCTGCCGAAGAGGAGGAGACGGGGTTGAGAAAGGCTCTGTGGCTTATTATTAGGCCGTTGGATGCGAACTGAATGTGCTCTTTCTTCGGTATTTTGCCGTTCCTTGCTATCGATCGAGGACGTTTCAATTATCGTATCTTGTGGGGTGTTCCGGTTCATATCACATGGAATTTATAATGACGATTATTCAATTAATTACTGCGTGTTTGCGCAGCGCTCATATCCATCAAGGCTCAGCGAACGTTTATTAACAAGGGTGCTATGCTACTACAAAAGGGGTATATGAATCAGAACAGAAGTGCAGCTGGTTCGGGCTTGCACACCGACCAGAAAACAGGTCAAATATCACCTCGAAGGCTCATCAGACGGACGTCGTCGCCGTTTGACAGACAATCTCATCATTCTCTCCCCGTCCCCAGCTCGACTGGCTCCGGCGCCGGCACGTGATGAGAAACCGCCTGACCGGGATAAAGCTGGCTCCCCGCAAGCTCTGGCATTGGATGAATTTGCGCGCCAGCCAGCTCGTGCTTCACGTATTGACTCGATTCCGCCGGGTTATGCATCCCGTTGGTGCCAGGTGCCGCGGTGGTGGGAGCGACAGCAGCAGCAGCGTTCGCCTTCCGACGACGAAACAACCAGAATCCCACAGCGACCAGCAGGAGAACAACGCCGGCCGCCACGCCCACTCCGATTCCTGCCTTGGCGCCGCTGGACAGCCCGCTCGAGTCCGGTGAAGAGGTTGCCGCGGAGGAGGTTGTTGACGTGGTAGAAGACGTGGTTGATGTCGGAGCGGACGTGGTTGTCGCCGAAGTGGTCGGAGGGAGCTTATCGGCGGATTGGTATCGAATCGTGACGGCGTACGCGTTGACTCCGTATTTGTCCTCGGAGGTCGTGGTGATGAGTCCGTCGTCGGGGTCATCGGTCGTGTAGGTGTATACTTCGGTGCTGTCGACGATCTTCGTGCACCCGTTGTCGGCATACCAGGGCCAGTAGGTGTCTGTTTGGCAGATGTACGAGCTGCCAAGTCTGTTAGATACTGCCTGCTTGTTCGCTTGTCTTCGTGGGGCTAGCGAAGCACGTACCTGGGACAACACGTCGCTCTGGTCTCCGTTACCGTCCCAACGCTGACCAAATTCGAGCAAGCCTCCGTGTATCCAGTCGGGCACACACCGGGGGAGTAATAAGCGTCTGTCCCCGTGCTCCAGTCGGGCGGCATACAGTCGCTCGCCGTGGACGGCCCAAGATGAAGATACTGGCACGGCGAGGACGTATCGCCAACCATACAGGCGAATCCGCTGGCCGCGTACGGCAGCATGTAGAAGTTATCCGTGCATGTCGGCGCGGGCGTGAAAGTCGTCGTCAGGGCCCGAACCGACGGCGGGGGCCCGTTTGTCGTTGTCGCCGTAGGCAAAGTCGTCGTCATGATCGGTCGTTGCTAAAAATCAGGAGAGGATAAAGTAGTCCAAGTCCTCCACTCGGCTCAACACCAAGACGGTAATCACTATTGCATCAGGAATGGAGCTGGGAAAATAGAACAAAACAAAAACCCAGCGACCCGAACCGTGGGAAAGAAATCCAACAGCGGAAACATCGGGAAGGGGGAGCAGCTAGACACCGCCCGTTCGATAGTCAATTCGTGATTCTCTCATCCCTCAATGCTAAAGAGACCCGCTCATGGACCGCAGGAGCTCAGCTAGCCGGTGCGCCATCGCGTTTCAGGCAAATACGCTGATCCTTCGCGCGATCGGCGTCTGATATTTCCTCCCTTGTGGCTTTAAACCACGCGATTCCTTCGTTTCGCACGGATCCGCGGGTTGTGATTTGCTGCTGTTGAAGGCACTTTGAAGTGCAATTTCCCAGGCCCACAGCCGTTAAAGCTTCATGGTGCTATTGGTTACAGGGGATATTCTACGGATACGGAATAGAGGCTCAGCCTTGTCGCAGTGGAGTTTGCGGAGTTATCTATCATCAAACGGAGTCCTCCGTATGCGGTGGGATCGGAAGGACTTGACAAATAGGCCCCGGCTACGATCAAGTCCATTCGATCGGATTCTCTGCGGAGTATTGAGCAGAGTTTGGATCAGGGCCGTGGCGTGTTTCGTGGATGAGACCGTCTCGGGAAGAGATTTTGCGACGGCGGTGACTAGGTGATGGGCGGTTGGGGGCCAAAACACTTATTTCTAGCTAGTCTCCAACTGATGAATGCTTGATCAGCTATTCTTGGGGCCATTTGGTTTGCGAATTGGATGTCATTCCAGGTCCATGAGGTCGGCGACAGTTGCCTGATAAGCAAGCCTGAGCGTTATACTGTCTTGGATGGGGTTTCGGGTTAGGTACCCCTTGGACGGACATTTTGTGAGACTCTCCCCAGACGGGCCAAGAACAGATCCTTTCGTTGGCAGGCACTGATAGAATTCTCTTGTACAGTGCCCTTGCAAACACTTACACAGTAAACTGGGGACCTTCAGCATACTCTGCTGTCGTCAGTCTGTTCTTCATAGGGTTTGTCTGGGTCATCTGGCACTAACCACATCTGGACTAATGCGATTCCTACGCTGCCTTCCCTGTTCGGCTTAGCTCGAGTCACCTGCGCGCCGGCCGTGCCAAATGAATTCGGCGAGCTCAACTCGCGATGTTTTGGAGTCTCGTTGTCTGGGCTCAGCCGCTCACTCGAGTCTCACTCTGACACCAAAGCTTGTCTCGTTTCGCCCCGGACGCACCTCGACACCCTACAAGAGATGTGGTGCTCGGATCTAAATCAACCAACATCCAAGAGCGCGAGACTAATCTGAGGAAGCTAAAAATAGTCCCTACAAGTAGCAGATGAGAGAGAGATGGCAAGGATGGGGTGAGAACCGATACTCTATCTTCGGATTATTCTTTCCATACGGACGGATTTTGATGTTCATCTGATTCTGTCTTCTCTGGCATATTGTTTTCAGGGTGTCAGTACACGTCTCCGCCATGGAATTGGATTCAAATTATCTGTAGAACGGCTATACAATTTCATGCTGTTTGTTGGAAGAAAAAAGTCATTCATGCATTATTTCCTGAACTTGTCCAATTTTGGCTTGGGGAATGCTTGTCTCGTCAAAACAGAACGCCTGTCATAATCCATGGAGTGTTGGATCTATGGCATCCCACCGAAGTCCAATTCCGGGCATCTCGGGGAATTCAGGGGCGCCAGGCGCATCTAAAGGCGATCGATCATCGATCATGATAGAGTCTGCCAAGCCAACCTCCCTCCGAAGCGCCTCGATCCAGGCCGGATCATCAGCATAGGTCTGATTCCAGGGATCGTCATCGCCGTACGCAATCAGACGAGCCTGGTCCTGGACCATCTGGTCAGAAGGATGAACCCCAGCGGCCATCTGCTCACGGAGATACTCATGAAGTGCTTGCCGGAGCCCCGTGTACCGACTCAGAGCATTTGGTGCTTCGTTGGCAAGAACGGACGGTTCGTCTTCGAGCGTTCTCAACGCGCTGCTGGTCTTCCACGGATCCATTGTGCGTCGCTCCTGACCGATCAGATACGGCGGCATCGCGTTCTCCACGAGACGCTGCACATCCGGCTCGAACCCCCACTCGCCTTTCCATTGGTTCATGTCCGCGCCTCGTTTGAAGTGGTCGGCTATGTGCTCGACTCTTTCTTCCCAGGTTTCGAACGTCGTGGCGCAGAATCCGCAGCGGGAGATCAATCGCGTTGTTGAGTCCCGCCAGTTATCCATGGAGACGTGATAGTCGACGTCATGTGTCAGTCGGAGATGTTGTCGAAGGTGGTCTTTGCGGAGGAACGTTCGTTTCTCAGGTGGCTTTGTTCGACAGGCGAGATAGTTGTGCGTTTCGAGGTGCTCCGGATCGGTGATTACCTCGCGGCAGAAGGCGCATGTGTTCTCCCCGTTCGCTTCGATGATCCCACCGTCGGGAGCGCAGAGCCATCGATCGACGGGTATATGCAGGGCCTTTTCATGTCGTTGCCAGTCGTATTTGTTGCGGAATGCATCGGAGCAGAATGTGCATTGATAGGGGCGTGTTCCGTGCTCTTTGCGGTGCTTTATCGACTCCATCGGGCGAGGGGGTTTGCGGCGACGACGCCGGGTTCTCATGCTGGGAAGAGGCGTCGGTGGGCGCTGAAAGGGAGTCGAGGTGTGAGAATGTTGATATGATATGTCGGAGCCCGACGACTGGCTGTGTTCGATGGAAGGCGCCCCGAATAAGAACGAACTGTTTGAACTGTTACTCGACCCGCCGTCTAGAGGTACACCACCCTGAGTCGAGCTTTGATCGGATGAATATGGCGTGTCTGCCAGCGCGCGCATGATGTCTGACGTAGCAGCTGCTTCGGTCTCGGGCGGCGAGTGTTTCCATCGTTCGAGCGGTGATAGGAAAGCGCTGTTGACCTGGTCTGTTGATGGGGTTTGGAGTGATCCGATCAGTCTGCGTCGTCGCGCGTTGGTGAACCAATTGGCGATTTGTGTCTTGCTGAGTCCAGTTTGTTCCGCCAGTTCATCCTTTTCCTCGTCAGTTGGATAGGGATATTCCTGGTGCTGATACAGCCATGAATTTAAGATCCTCACGGCATGAGTGTCCAGTCGCTGGTATTTCCTTTTCTGGCTGGACGAGGCTCTGCTTGACGAGGCAGATCCCCCCCGACTCCCTCTTGCAGAGCCAGCATGGAACGATTGAGAAGATTGCAGACTAGAGCTGTCGCCTGCAGGGGGCCCAGCATCTCGAGAAGACGCTCGGCAAGAGCAACCTGCATTCACGCCATGAGGACACCAGCGATCGAGGCCCGGGGACTCAGACGCGTGCGTCGATGCTGATCGCACAAAGGCGACAGACTCAAACGCGGCGGGTGATTCGTTGATATCGGCCTCGTAGGTGACGACCTGCGAGTCCCCCAGCGACAATCCTAGCAGAGGATCAAAAGGAACAGCATTACTAGACGGGGGGCTCGGAGAACCGATATGAGGCAGGGACAGCACGTCTTCGCAGAATTTGGAGAAGCTTTCGTCGACGTGACTCATCCTGTAAGGGGCTGGCAGAGTCGAAAGAAGAATGGAAGGAGGCCGTGGGTCCCTGCGCCCTTTGAGTGACATTAAGCACTGGTCTCGGATCCACGGTTCCGCTTCGTGTTTACTCTTGAGATTGAGGCTTCATCAACGTCAAGTCTGGGTGATGATGTCATGATATTCTGGGGTATCATCTTCACAATCTACATCTTATCCTATCTTTACTACGAATTTTATTTATTATCTAAGCTCAAAAATTAGAAAGCTACTGAAAAAGAAGCTCCGATTACTTGCCAGAGTTTTATAATCAATGCGCGCCCTGTGTCACGGAGACCCACTAGCCGAGGATCAGCGACGATATCCGTGTCCGAACTCGGCCTGATTCAATGATGGCGATTTTGCTTGGATTGATTTCAACGATGCTTCGGTGTATATATTTGCCCTAATCGCAGAGAATAGAGGTACTCGGTGAACTAAGGAGTCTGCATTCCGTTAGGCCCTCGATCTTCAGTAGCAAAACATATTGCCGACGATCTTTATAGTGGTCTGTCTCCGTAAATCAAGCCAAATAACATTACAGATTTGGTCTCTTCAGGCAATACTTTGGACCCTAAAGCGTATTATATTACTCTTTAAAGCCAGCCTTAACCAATGTTGGGGAGTTTACCGCGTACAATCTCGGCATTTGCGACTTGAGCCTGGGCAGCATCCATATAAAATGAAGCAATCCATGCCGGCACGAGCATGATTCCTCTTACCTATCAGAGAGCGCACAGGCATTGAAGGACCCATATCGCGATACTGCGAAGTACGCCGCATATACCAGAACGCCAGCAAGTTTATAAGAACCAGAGCGATCATACTTTTGTACCTTCTCAAATTCCTCACTCAGTTACATTAGCCTTTCTTTTTACTCTCCAGCAATGTCCATACTTTCCAAAAAAAATGCCTTTTCCGATATATATAAGGCCTTCAAGATTGCCTTTCTCGCTTTTTAAACCTAGTACAGCCTATTCATCTACACGCCTGCCCCCGACGCTCCAACCAATCCGGCAAAGCTGCCAGTCTCCAATCTCATCTGCTTCCACTGAACCGCGCAAAAAGGTCACCATCAAAACATTGCAATCACTCCATCGACGCGGAGAGCCAATTGCTGTCCTCACCGCTACTGACTTCCCAAGTGGCCATGTCGCCGAAGCCGCAGGGATAGAGGTGGTTCTGGTTGGCGATAGTCTGGCCATGGTCGCACTCGGAATGGACGATACCAACTCGATCACCATGGACGAAATACTAGTTCATTGTCGAAGTGTGTCAAGGGCCGTCAAGTCTGCCTTTACTGTATGTCCTGTGCTGGTGCAAAACTGCAGAGAAGAGTGTGATACTGACGGGAGTTTCTAGATCGGAGACCTCCCCATGGGCTCCTACGAGTGCTCTCCCCAGCAAGCCCTGCAGTCCGCTATCCGAATGGTCAAAGAAGGCGGAATGAAAGCCATAAAGCTAGAATGTGACGCTGAGATGGCGCCGACTGTTCGATGCATCACCACCGCTGGGATCCCCGTGATGGCGCATATTGGGCTAACACCGCAACGGCAGCATTCGATTGGTGGGTTTCGCGTGCAGGGCAAGACGGTCGCCGGGGCTGCCAAGGTACTGGAGGATGCAAAGGCAGTGCAGGAGGCCGGCGCGTTTATGATTCTGATCGAGGCGGTGCCGGCAGAGGTCGCTGCTATTGTTACTCGACAGCTTCAAGTTCCGACTATTGGAATTGGTTCTGGAAATGGATGCTCGGGACAGGTGTTGGTACAGCTTGATATGTTGGGGAATTTTCCGGAGGGACGCCATGTGCCGAGGTTTGTGAAGACATTTGCGGATGTTTGGGGTGAGGCGAAGAGGGGGGTTGAGAGGTATAAGAAGGAGGTGAAGGGTAGAGAGTTTCCATCGGAGGAGTACACATATCCGGTCTCTAAGGAGGATTTGGAAGAGTTCGAGACCTTGGTCAGGGATATTCCTGACGGAAGTAGAAATTAATGTGGGAGGCTTGGTTCCCTAGGGTGCAGCTCGACATCATGAAGATAGCATGAAGGACAAATGTATAGATTGAAGAAGCTAGACTACTATGAATACCTCAATCACAGCACAGATTTGGCCATCGGTTTACCCAGTTCAGGCAGCTTCAAGACACGAACAGCATTCCGACCCATAAAGTCCTCGAGAACACTCTTCCTCAAAGCACCCTTCTCCACCAGTGTCTCATGAACATGATTGACGCACGCCTTCCACTGTAACTGTGGAAAGTTAGTACCAAACATGAACTTATACCGACCAGTTGTGTTCGCGAACTGCAGAAACTCCGGCGCATAGTACTTGGGCGACCACGCGCTGGTATCAATATAGACATTCTTATGCTTCCACGCAACGCTCACGGTATCCCCCGCCCAAGGCCATCCAATATGTCCACAGATGATCTTCAAGTCGGGAAACTTGAGTGCAATCGTATCGATGTATGGAATGGGGCGTCCGACCTCACTCGGACACAGGGGACCGGTATGACCGACCTGAGTCAGAAATGGGATATCCAGTTCAATGCACTTCACGAACAGCGGCCAGTAATGAGGCCCAGTGGGTGGGAGACTCCACAGCCAAGGCACAATCCGTAGGCCCTTGAATCCCTCAACCTTGACGTAGTGCTCTAACTCTTTGACCGCGTTCACTGGGTCATGCAGGTCGACCGACGCAAGGCCGAAAATGCGATCGGGAAAGGCTCGTGTGTATTCGGCGACATCTTCATTCGAGAAGGTCGCACGTCCAGGACGATGCCAGGCGGACATGCACATATGCGAGATTCCCGCCTCATCCATTAGCGCGACGACTTCCTCTGGGCTGCGTTTGCGGCGGGCCCATTCAGGGTCGGCATGGCTGTAGGTAAAGAGGTTGTCTGTCTCAGGATGGCTGTACCCAGCTGCAATCTGTTTGTCAGTATCCCATATTGATATTGCACAAGTAGGCCTACTCACGCCGGGCGGATTGGCCCAAACATCGACGATAGAGTAAGAGAAAGTGCTGGGAGGCATTTAGGAGACGAAGATTGAATAAAGACGCTACAACTATATAGTTGTCTGGTAAGCTCGTAAGGGCTAAGTAGTGTGTATTGAGCTCAAGCTAAACTGCTGAACATGGCGGGTCTTTATCCCCGGAAACAGAGCATCCCCGCCCTCTGCAGCTCGGCAGTGTCTTGAACAGGGCGTGGGGACATGTATGACGCGAGGGGTGAACACGAGAGCAATTAAACACTTTAGTATGGCTCAACACCTTAAGAAGCTCACATCGATGTCGACGAGCTTGCTAACCAGCGCTTTAAAAGCCCCAATGGCATGTGGTCAATAGATTGCATGGTTTCCTCGCCACCTATACCAGGAAACCGTGCTCTAAGCTGGACGATCTCATCCTTTCGGTCTTGTTTATGAAGGATTGCTAACAGGATCTCCGCAGTTGCTAAGGTTCGTGGACTCGCCAAGTCGACTGATCCAAGCTTTTCTATGCTTGAGAGAAGTGTGTTACAACATGATTCCGCTTCGGCTAGTCTCCCCTCGTGCAAAAGGACATATGTGTAGCCCCATTGGAGATGAGTTCGGTCCGGGTGCTCGAGTGGCACAATGTCATGAAGCTGTTCGATCAACTTACCAGCTTCCTCCCATCTTTCGCAATATATGTATGCTCTGCAGAGATTCCCTTTCGTCATAATCATGCCCACATGGTCTTCGCCGAGGGTACGGACAACGGTAGGAACGATTTCTTCCAAGATGCGCGCTGCATCGGCAAATTGACGACGCTCGCAGTAGATTTTGGAAAGATCATTGATCGACCATAACGTATAGGCATGTTCCTCACCAAGAATCCTTTTCCTTCCCTCGAGCGTACCGATGACGTGGCGTTCCGCTTCATCCAGATTGATTTTCTGGGCGCACAAATTCATCCCAAGCTCGTTTCGCACCATCAGTGTGTCAGGGTGGTCGGGGCCGAAGAAATGTGTGCGCTTCTCAAACACCATCTCGAGCAGTTGCTGGCTTTCTGAGAGTTTTCCTAAATGAAGATAGGTCCTCGCCAGATTGAACATAGCGTTCAATGTCAACGGGTCATCCTCTCCTAGATATAGCCCCAGGATCCTCACTGCAGCCTCTCCAGCTCGTTGGGACAAGCTTCTCTGACCAGCTAGCCACAGTGAACGCGTCAAATCATCCAATGCAATTCCGTACGAAACGTGGCGTGGTCGCCATGGAGGCCAAGTAATCCAATATAACAACGATGGGCGGACCCACCACTGCATCGTCCATATCTCTCGTTGGATCGTGACACATTTTCGGATATCAAATAGATTCCAGTACGTATTTGCCAGAGCACGCTTCGCATTGATTGTGTCACAATGCCATTTCCCGAGGCGTTTGATTCGAAACTCCACCACAGAGTTTTGCAACGCTCGAGCCCGTTTCCACAGACCTAACTCTGCATAGACGAGGCCAAACCTTTCAAGAAAACAAGCATGTTCGACTGTACAGGGAAGGTCCGAATATGTTGTTCTCAGTAAGGAAACACATGCATCAATATGCGGTAACAGATGTCTCCGGAATGTGCGACCGGATGTCTCAAGCTGCAATGAGATTGAACTGGCTATTATTGCAGCAGTAAAATCTAACCAATCGCGCTGCTGTAACTCGGTCAAACGTTCTCGGGCCCATTGATGTATAGCGGGATGCAGGGAGAAATGTTCTGCTGAGATACGCTGGCTTGACCGGGAAAATGGATCATCTGCACGAGACATAGAGATAATCGAATGGTCATAAAGTACTCGGGCTGCTGCTAGAACTCGATCTTGGACTTCTTGTGTTGATTTAGGCGCAAAGAGAGGAGGGATTTGGACTGTAAACTTCATCCTTTTGACACCATCCGACGCCCTGGAAAATACGTCTGCAGGAATGGAGGCAAAGTGCATGAATGCGAATATGTGAATCAAGCAAACGGCATCTTGATAGCGCTGGGTTGTGCCACTGGTAATCTCCTGAAATGGTAGCTCCCAGGTAGCAATGATGTTGGCATCTGTAGCGCAGCGAATGCTCCGGCGACTGAGCAATGTTCTGCGACAGCCAAGCAGAGATTCTAGGTACCGTTCCAATGGCAAGAAGCTCTCGCGGATTGTGGCAGCTGCCTGCTTAAGGGCGAGGGCCAGGTACCCCAGTTCCGAAGCAATTTCTTCGGCTGGCTTCCGGTTTGCTATATTGGATGACTGCGGGTCACCTTCTGGATACGCCAAGCGGAGAAGAAGAGTGATCGCCTCCTCCGGGTTCATGCCCTTGAATTGAAACGACTGGATGGTACTGTAGATCCGAGCCCCCGGATTGCGGGTGGTCACTAGAATATGACCGTTCCCAGCCGACGGAATAAATCTTGACAGATCCATTTCGGGATGATTGGCATTGTCCAAGATTAAAAACCACGGCTCATAGGTTTGGGATAGCCATTCTAGAGCCGCGCTTGCTTCGCCGCCCTTTCCAGCTTTCTGGCTTATGTTGCTGTAGCTATTCTCTGCGTTGATCTCAGTTGAACAATCAACCAAGAAAAGTCCCCAGTACCTTAGAAAAAGATCAGCACGGATGCGGTATCATAGATAATACGACTTACTCACCTTTGGCGGTTTTCTTCGGCATACTTCAGACAGAATCGAGTCTTGCCAGAACCTGGAAGCCCATATATCACACATATTTTGGGAGCTCTGATACCGGTGTCTCTCAAACGTTCTGTTAGAAGTTCTGCTTGCTCTTGTCTGCCAACATAATATCCCGATTGAGGGGGGACCATCCAGTATGTGTGTTTATATGGAATCATATTCTCATCAGGTAAGACATCAAGATACATCGGGACCTGTGGCGTTGTTTCTAGGCGAATCGAAGGAATAGGTGAAGTTGATCTCGACGGTATGCTGGCGTTGGAATGTAGATATGCCTGAATGCCAGATAATTCATGGATTCGTTGTTGCTGCATTATTTCGGTGTCCTGTTGCCACCTTGTCTGGATGGATTCAACAGCTTTTGAGATATAGCTATCCAGCGCAGCGAAAACCAGACGGTATCCGGGTGAATCCTTGCGACCGAACTTCACAATGCTGGAGTGAGTCGCATTCACTCCGCATTTATCTACATCGCTCCATTCTGGTGGAGCTGCAGACATCCTCGGCACGACTATTGCCTTTGTATGCCCGAAGTCGGTTTCCGCCTGCTCCCAAAAATTGTAAATTGAAAATATCTTCACCAGTGGCGCAAACTGATCGTTGATTTCCGCCAACGTTTCCGATCCCTCCAACAAAGTCAGTGAAAATTGGCTGGGACCTGAGTATTTCTCCGAGTGAGTATATGAGACAGAGTCCCCGGGCATTCCATGATGTGGGGTTGCCATGAACAAAATGCCATATGTTGATCGAAAGATGGACCTTTGGTGTTCGACTTTAGGATCCTTCCTGGAATTAGAAAAGGATAAAGCTCGCTTAACCAGTAATCCACCAAATCCATGGCAAATGAATATTATGGGTCGTTCGGTCGCTCTTTGAATTCGTCGCTCCGCCACCAGTTCCATCACCAATCTGATAGATTCGTCATAAATCCCACTTGCCGCCGGCCCGCCCGGGGCGATGAGACTATCGGCATCATATTCGTAGGAGAGGACTCGAGTTCGATATTCTCGAAACGGAAAAAGGTCGCGTAACCATATTTGACCTGTACTGGGGTCACTCCATGTTTCCAGCCCTGTTTCGTATAAACCATGGACGGCCACGATACTTTATGAATAAATTAGGTTTGCGATCTACTTCAATTTCAGAACACGGCGTCACTCACTCGATAACAGGATCATACGATGCTGCTATGGACTCGTCACATTCCGTCAAATCAGTAACGGACATGTTGCTTTGGCGCTCGAGGCTTCATTATGGTTTCGCGCCTCAAAACTCAGAAAGACGAGCAAAGTCTGGGTCAAAAGGCTCCACAATCAGATGTTGCACATCGTTGTTTATGAGAGGGGGGCGCCTTTGCGTCGGCTGACATCCGCTGTGTGTTGATTTGTTTCGAACCGGAGCGGGCCGCCGATGCACCCCTGCTCGGATTTCTCGGCGGCGTGTTGATCATTGGCGGATATGAATAGCTTCATTCCGTCTCGCCAATCGGAGGGAATGTTGAAGCGCCCGGATGCAAGAACCCCCTCTTCCTGTCTGCCGCCCAAAATACGGTTGCATCGGAGTGCCCATCACGTGTTACTGCGCCGCAGGTGCAAATTAAACAGCCTCGCGGCGCGCTCAGGTCGCAAGCTTCCTGGAAAGTTTATCCTCAATTGACGAGAAAATGTATATACTGCTGTCTGTCTTGATCAGCCTACTTTGTTTTATTCTCTATCGTGTTTATAGAGCTAGACGCTATCGCCAGGTAAACCTGCCACGAGGTCGGGAGCGTGGAAAACCCGAGCTAACACTGTGCAGGAATATGATGCCATTGCCCGCCAACATGGATGTCTTCCGCCACCAATGCTCCAGAATCAAAGGCCCTTAGGGGTTGACAGGCTGGAGCAGATCTTCCGGGCAAGCAATGAATCTCGCTTAATGGAGCTGTTTCTGTTCCATTTTCGCCAAACCGGATATACCCTCCAGCAGGTGTTTCTATTGACACCCGCATTCGGCACCGTTGATCCCGCGAACCTGCGAGCTATGCTCTCTTCAAAATTTGCCGGTACGGAATAAAAGTACTCCTTTCACAATTTAGATACTGATGGTGTATCTAGACTGGGACAATGGCCCGCGACGAGCTATCACTTTTCCCATGTTCGGGGATGGTATATTCACGCAAGAAGGCGAAGCGTGGAAGCATTCGCGCGAGATTCTCAAGCCTCAGCTCTTTTATAGGACATATGAAAATCTAGAGGTGTTCAAGCAACCAGTGGAAGATCTGCTGAATGCGATTCCGCAGAAAGGAGGCGTTGTCGATTTACAGCCTCTGTTTTTCCGCCTCACGTTGGATGTCACGTCTGCATTCTTGTTCGGCGAATCGACATACACATTGCGATCACCAGTTGTCGCAGGGGAGAACACATTCGCAAGCGCCTTTGACACTGCCCAGAAATATGTTGTTGAGAGATTCCGTCTATTAGATCTATATTGGTTAATTGGCGGTAGAGAATTCCGTGAAGCGTGTGAACGAGTACATCGATTCGCTGATCAGATCATCGATCGAAACCTCAAGCCAGAGACAACGGAGAAGTCAAATGGCAGTGGCAACTTTCTCAATTCAGTTGCCAAAGAGTGTCCCGACCGTGATGCTCTGAGAGGCCAAATTGTCAACATTCTTGCTGCAGGCAGGGACACTACGGCTTGCCTTCTTTCCTGGACATTGTAAGAATTAATCTCAGTCATGGAGTGCTGTACTGACTCGATTTAATTTTAGCTTTCTCCTTGTCCGTCACCCTCACGCCATGCAAAAACTACGGGAAGAAGTCGCCGAATTGAAGGACAAAGGCGATGACATAAACAGGGCAGATTTGCGGAAAATGAACTACCTGCAGAACGTGATGAAAGAAAGTGAGATATAATCATCGTCTTCAATGCCCCAACTCTTTGCTAATCGTGCCAGCTCTCCGTCTATATCCCTCGTTGCCCGTGAACACTCGAACCGCGAAAAACACTACCATCCTCCCCACCGGAGGCGGACCCGACAGAAAGTCCCCTGTTTTAATTCCAAAAGGCTCTGCCGTGGCATACAGCGTATATACTCTTCACCGCAGACCAGACCTTTATGGTATGGATGCTGAGATCTTCCGTCCTGAGCGCTGGGATGAAGATATGCCGTTGAACCAGGACCCCATCACCCAGCAATGGGGCTACTTGCCATTTAGTGGAGGTCCTAGAACTTGCTTAGGACGTGAGTGTTTTTCAATTATTGGCAAATAACCAAACTAACAATCGACAGTTGACTTTGCGCTCGTTGAAGCGGCCTACACGATCGTGCGGATCATGCAGAAATATCCGAATATCAGACTTCCAGAAGCAGAGACTGTGGAACTAACTGGTGTTGAAAAGCAGAATGTTACCTTGGTCCTCCAGATCAAAGATGGCTGTAAAGTTGATCTAGCATAGATAGAGATTTCTCCGAGGGGCTTTGTTCTCCGATCTTTCGTTCTTTATAGCTTTTGCGAATTGGCCATCCCGCAGTTTACAAAAGACCGCGTCATTGGCTTGTCTATCAGTCATGATTGTTTAGTTTTCGTTATATTCCTCTCAGCTTAACTCTTTATAAAGCAGGGCTCGTGGGTTATGTATTTATATGGTTGTTGTCAAAATCTGACAAGAATACTACCGCCAACCTAGGTCTCAATCGCAGGCGTAGGTTGTTCACAGATTCTTAGGGCCCCTATGGTGATCGGAAACGACCGAAAAAATGAATTATCGGTCCCATCGACTGCATTCGGATTTCTATTTGGTTGTTGCACAGGACAACACAGTCGTACATGCTGTCGCATGTATGCGATGACCACGGAGGGTACATGGAGGGGTAGACAAGCGCGAAATACTTGGCAACTTGCACCTCAGCGCTTCGACACTTTGCAGTCTGAAAAAGGATTATACAATGCTTGATAAAACTGAATACCAACTAATCACTTTCATGATAAATTTCCCGCGCCTCGTTTCTCCGGATCGACCTAATTATCTCTCTTGTCTCAGTCCACCGCCGCTTAATTTTGCTCGGAGCCTCGTCGGAATAACGCATCAGTGTAGCAATAACAAGCCTATAGCCGGGTGACGTCCGTGTTGCAAACTTGCATATACTGTGATGATCCGCTTTGATTCCTGCCCGGTCAGTGTCATCCATTATAGGGGCTGCGGACGTTTGTGCCACAATCTAGTTTCATAATCAGTATGGCGTACAACGTGAATAAGATGTCAGACTCACGTAATCCCATTTGACCCCTAAGTTGGACTTTTGCTGTTCCCAGAAAAAGAACACATGGAAGTGCCTCATCTTAGGTTGGAAGTTATCCGTGATATCTTGTAGAATCTCTGACCCTTCTCGTAGGGCTTCTAGTAGCTGGGAGCCTGTGTCGACTACTTTGGATGGTAAAACATTAACCATGCGTTGCACGTAGTTTGCGAGGATTGCTTTGCTGCTTCCGTGATGAGGAGTGCCGAAGAACATGATCCCGTAGGTCGAAACAAAGATGGAATGGATATGCTCTGTCTTCTTTGCCTTGCGGCTTTCCGAGTAAATCAGTGCCTTGGATAAGTCAGTATGTTGGTTGGTGTCCCCATGCAGGGTGCGAATCTTACTCTCTTGACTATGATCCCACCTAGCGAGTGACACAAGAAAATAATCGGCCTTTCTGTCGCCCTTTCTATCTGTAGGTTATCTGTTAGCGATGATTTTATTAGCTTGAATAAGGCACAATTTACCTGCCGATCGGCTGCCAACTCTTGGACTAACGTGGTCGCATGCTGGAGTATCGTGTCTGAAGAGGTCCTACCAAACACCGCGGCCACAGACGCCGGATAGCTGAATGTCAGGATACGACAATCAGGCATGTCCTTGGGGAGCATTGCCTGGTCCCCTAGCCAGAATTTGCCAGTCTTTTTTGATGTGAATGATTTGAAGGCATCTCCGTTTAACCCGTGCACTGCAACAATACTAGGACAAAGTGAGCTTCCATCTGGTTCCGTTTTCCCGTTGTTCAACTTACTCTATAACTGGATTCTCTCCGCAATAAACGGTGGTCAAAGCCGCAGTCTCCTCTTCTTCGCTTTCGGATGTGTCTGACTCCCTCAGTTCCTTTCTTTTCAGAATTATTCGAGGCATTTGAGTTTCTCTATAACCAGAAGAAATTTGAAGAGAAGTTCCACGACTAAGATTTGCAAAACCGCGCTCCTATATATCGAATTGTCGCGGCGCATAATCTCTCAAACTCGAGCACACAGGCAACCATGAAAAGAGGGGAAGCCCGTCAATTTCGATCGAGCACAGTACTTTGAGCTGTGGCACGCATTACCATTGAAGATTGGTTGAGAGGCTAGATCATTACTTGCTCAGCCTTGTTCAACGGCGCGTATTGAACAGGGGTGGATTTGTCATCGTCCTGTTGGATGTCTACGCGCTGCGATCGACCGTCCGAATCTGCGCCACATGCTACGTATGTAGCAGGGAACCAAGCCACTTCTAGATCATCAGGGGTGTGCTAATAGCAGTTGCACTCCAGGTGGCAGTGTTTTGCGATTAACAATTTTCAAATTCATCAGGGTACTTGGAATCAATCATCGGATCCATTATGAGAGCTGACTGGTATTCTGAGGGAGACGGCTGAATGATTCGTTCGAGGGATTGTTCTAATGTGTGATCAGAAGGACGATAATTTCTTTCTGTTTTTGCTGTTAGTTAGAAAATGCCCAAAAATATTATCCTGCACTAGAACAGCGTGTGGCTATATTCACTCATATCCTAAAAAGTGATGTACTTAGGTTATATCACAGCATGATAGTAAGAGATATAGTTCAAATAGTCAAATTGATTGAGACTGAAGTGTTTGAAAAAGCTCATTGCCGATGGCTTTGTCAGGATATATTTTGTTCCAAGGGTAGGTAACACGTCATTTAAGGGGGCCCATGAATTCATAATTGACGACATACTGAGAAACGGAAAACCCTCCTTTAAACTCCGGGCAGAGTTGATAGATCCACTCGATCCTGGAGGCCGGAATGCGTCTTCAGAAGAATCTCCGAGTTTCATGCAGGCCGTCAGCATGGCCGCAAATAGCTCGGCATACGCTCGGTACCGAGCTTCTCCCGAGATAAAAACGCCGGTGACATCAGAGTTGCCCGAGAAGGATGTCATCCCTTGCTGTCGCAATCGACAACATTTGAAGGATTTTCGCCTTGTTTCATAGTGAGAGATTTTTTTCTGACTTGCCCGTGCGCAGATAGATTTTTAACCATCTTCTGAACTGTCCTTTGTTAAAGTTGCGGGTGAAAATCTCCCTTGGCGTTGGGTATGTCCGCCGCTCTACCTGAGCCCAATTCTCCGTATAGTTTTCGTGCAAATGTACATCACAAAAAGATTGTTAGTTTAGCTTTAATTGAAATATCTTCAGTGACTCATCGTTCCGCATCCCTTGTCTTCTTGAGGTATATTGTTCCTGGAATAGACTGATCGGAGGTGGACCTAGCCCTGAATCGACCCGCCAAGTGGGGACGAGCATTGATGCCGTTCCGAGAGAAAGTTATTTTGCAGTCTTATCTGATAATTCTAGCTCTGCGGGTTTTCTAGAACCGTAGTGGCCTGCAGGGCTAGTCAGAAGGGTGAAAATGTTGCACGGCGGAATCCCGGCGTAGCTCGGCATTCTGTCGGCGAGAAACAAGTATATACATCGTCGAGACCTCACGGTTTGTAGATGCTACATTGTGAATACATTCTATTACTCTAAAGCATTTGGATTTTCTCTTCTATTTTCCTTCTTTCAATCATCATAGACTTATACAGAGCAAAATGTCTCCTTCGATACCCGACGAATCGCAAGAACAGCCTGAGCCATATCTAGATCAGCATCTGCTGAGAACAGAAACAAGAGAAAGTTTGCGCAACCTAGGAATATCAGAGAAGGCACCTCCTACCGATATCAATTATCCAGAGGCCGGACGTCATGGAGACCCTGTCTTCCCCGAGGAATATGTTCTCGAGACAAACACTGGTCTCGTGCCGCAGCGAACCGTAGAACAGATGCGATCCCGCGCCTCACGAACGAGTACCCCCAATGAGTCGAGCGAAAGCGACGTCGAAAAGGGCAAACCTGACCCAGCCGAGTTTGTGACATTTACGATCGGCGACCCTGAAAATCCCTACAATTGGTCTCGAGTGTATCGATGGTACATAACGATGGTTGCTTCGGCCCTTGTGGTCTGCATTGCCTACGGTTCATCCATCGTGACCGGTGGACTGGGTCTAATCCAGGAAAAATACAATGTCTCGCTCGAGGTTGCAATCTTAACCTGCTCTATCATGGTCTGTGGATTCGCAGTCGGCCCTCTCCTCTGGTCGCCCCTGTCCGAAATCATCGGTCGACGACCAGTATACATCATCTCGTTAGCGCTTTACGTGATCTTCAACATCCCCTGCGCATTGTCCCCTAATATCGGCGGTGTCCTCGTCTGTCGCTTCCTCTGTGGCGTCTTCTCCAGTTCCGGCTTGTCCCTCGCTGGCGGCACTATCGCCGACATCTGGAGCATTGAAGAACGAGGCATGGCCATTGCCTACTTCGCCGCCGCACCCTACTGCGGCCCCGTCGTAGGCCCCATCGTTACCGGCTGGATCAACGTCGGCACAGGGCGTCTTGACCTATTCTACTACGTCAACATCGCCTTCTCCGGCCTGATCCTCATCCTAGTCGGCCTCGTCCCCGAGACCTACGCGCCCGTCATCCTCAAACGCCGCGCCGCCTCCCTCCGCAAATCCACCGGAAACGAAAACATCATCACCGAACAGGAGCAGAACAAGCCCAGCCTCGCCGACATCGCACGCACAAACCTCATCCGCCCCATCAGCATGATCATGACTGAGCCCGTCCTCGACCTCATGTGCATGTACATCGTGCTGATCTACTCCATGCTCTACGCCTTCTTCTTCGCCTACCCCGTCATCTTCGGAAAGCTCTACGGCTACAACGACGGCCAGATCGGCCTCATGTTCATCCCCATCCTCATAGGCGCGGGCTTCTCCCTCCTCCTCACCCCCGTCATCGAGAAGCAGTTCAAAAATACCTGTAAATCCCGCGCCCCTACACCCGAAGACAGACTCATCGGAGCACTGATCGGCGCGCCTTTCATCCCCATCGCGTTCTTTCTCCTCGGCGCGACCTCCTTCAAGCATATTATTTGGGTTGGGCCTGCGTCGTCGGGAATCGCGTTCGGGTTCGGCATGGTGCTTTGCTACTACGCGGTCAATAATTATATCATCGACTCGTACCAGAAGTATGCGGCTTCTGCGCTCGCCGCGAAGGTCTTCCTGAGAAGTGGAGGCGGAGCAGCATTTCCGCTGTTCACGACGCAGATGTATGATCGGTTGGGGCTGCAGTGGGCATCGTGGTTGTTGGCGTTTATTGGGGTGGCGATGGTGTTTATTCCGTATGTGTTTTATTGGTTTGGTGGGAGGTTGAGGGCCAGGTTGACGAAGGATTAAAGGTCGTTGATGCTGAGTGAGGGCATGGGAAGGAGACCTGGTGAATAGTGATGGGGAGGGAGGAAAAGTTCGGCTGGATATGATGATTAAAAAACATGGATATTCTAATTAGATTACACAGTATATAAACTTAATAGATTATTTTTCATCGTTCTACACTCATGACATCGTACAAAGCATTCATGGCTCGGAGTTCAGTCTACCCGTACTCCACGTTCCTCTTAACGAGTCCAACATCTGATCTGACCTCAGAGCCCCTTTCGTCCAAAATAAGCGCCAGTCTCTCCTCTCCATCGTCTTGAATATTTTCATAATCGGAATCCCCAAGCTCCTTCTTCCCAGACAGGACACGCACTGTCGCCTGCGCGCCATAAACCCCGGTACCCGAGATGCCTGCACCGGTATTCCTCAGCGCCTCTGACGCAGGCGAATTCATTGCCAGCGCCGTGATTTCCATCGCAGACGACCAATTATCAGCACTCACGCCAATGATAATCGTGTAGATAGTGTATCCCAGCGCCAAGGCACAATAAGCCAACAGAACGATCACCGCGAGGACCGACGGCGTGCCACGCATCTTGAACGAGTAGCCTACGACAAACGTGTCTTTCTTGAACATTGTATACTCATCTGCTCTGTCGGCATCTACACTGAACACATCGCTATCTTCAAGCCAGCGATGAGACAGTCGCGTTGAGTCCTTTTGATTGGGGAGCGCGTCTGTCGCCACGGTACCGGTTAAGTTGCCGTAGAAACCTGCGCGAGAGATACCGTTCGCTAGCATACTCGAGATAATAGTAGCAAGCGTGATTGTGTCGTTTGACATGACCCCTGAGGCGCGGACTAAAGAGTTGAAAACCGTTGTGTTCTGCGTGACGTTGTCCGCGGCCGGAACGGTAGGGTTTAAGAGGTCGAGCCAGGACTGCGCGATGCTGATAGGTCGTTGAGGGAAAGCAGGGTAATCGAATGCAGTGCCTGCGGCTTCCCGTGAGTTGTCTATATCATGTCGAAACCATCTGTAGGCGCCTGCGACGGTGGACTGGTTTGCCTTGTTGAGGCTGCTAGATACTCGGTTGGGATCCTGCGCATCAGTTGTTACATTCAGGGTGCTTCTGGCCCATCCAGCGCTGGCGGAACAGAGAGACACATTCAATGGATACTCCGAGCTGGTCGAGGTGTTCGGGGGAATGACGAAGGCCAAAAGGGAGTCTCTAGCGGCAGCCACATTGTTTTCAGACCCAGGTATGGCATGAATGTCCAGTCCAAGCCACCATATCCGGTAATCGTGGACGTTACCCTCTATAGAGAAGACTGAAGACCAGTTCGTGTTTGGAATCTCGGACCAGTTTTTGTCAGGATCGTGATATCTGTCCCAGTTGGCTGTTCGGGGTCTCTGGGTCCAGTCGCCTGATGGAGCAAGTTCTACTGGGATAGTGGCTGGGCTTTTCAGGTCTGTAGTGTTGACCGACATGCCGTTGCATCTGCTAGTCACGTAGGCTTGGTCGTAGGGGCCCTCCAATACATGGTAGACCAGCTGATTACTACTTATCGGTAGGTCTTCTGAGTCGTCTCTGCCGATGATCGTGTAGCCGCCTACCCCAGGCTCAACCGTCTTCATGTCGGTGGTTTGACCAAGCGCGAGACCCCACATCTCTGCCATGGAGATGAGAGCGTCTGTGATGGCGGCCTGAGGAGCACTAGCATAGGTTGATGCCGTTGTAGCAAATGCCCTATTCTGCACGTTCACGTATTTTGGGTTCATGATGGATAGGGATCGAAGCGAGTTCTTCCCCGTTACTTGGGCGCTTGCCGAGGTTCCCGGTCGCTGGGTGAGATAACTTTCAAAGTATCTTTGGTAGTTCTCTTGGACATTGGTGTGGTCCTGAAGAATGAAATAACTTCGCAATTGCCCGTACTCGCTTCCTGGGCAGTCATTGCTAAGCAGTGGATCCTGTAAACCAGCACGTATTAGTATGTCGAGTCTTTTTAAGACCCTCGATGACCTGCTTCCGAAGCGTACCTCGATGTGTCGGCAAGAATTTGAATCCATCAAACTAGATGCTTCCAAGCTGTCAGGCCAGATATCCTTCGCGGGGGCGTTGACCCAGAAGCGTGTACTCCCAGCGGGCCATGAATCGACGCGAGGAATCATAAGAATAGCGCTCGACGGACCAGCGCCAGTTGCCAGAATCACTGCAACGAGCACCATGAATACAGTGGCGAGACTTCTCTTCATGCGACCCAATGAAGACTTAAATGACCCTGCAAATGCCGAAGACCATAAATACGTCACGTCTGTGATCTTGGCGGCGGAAAATATCAGACCAAACGGAACACCGCGCATGCTTGTTAACTGGCGACCGATCTCATTTCCAATGATATAGGTTAGAGATGCTTGGATCAGTATTTCATGTGCCTTTGCAGCGAACTGCAAATAGCTGACATTGCTGACGGTGGCACCCAAGTACCGACCTTGAATGGTCAGAATAACCAAAGCCAGAGACGCTGCGATGGGGACAAGGTGAACGAGGGAACGAAGCAAAGCCGCGATATGGCTGCCGCGTACAGCGACTTTAGGCGTTTCTCGAGTCGTGCCTAGCCACCGTCGCAGTGGAAGAATAAATAGCTGTAGTCCTAAGACTCGAAGTGTTGAGGCAACCTCATAAAGCCATGTGTTCTGCCATCCCCCTGTGGGGCTCTTAGTCGCGGTTGCCCTTCTGCTGAATTAATATCTGCCGTCAACAGAGTTCAAGCTGGTACTCACGGCATTTCATCATCTTCGGTGTCTTCTTCGCGAACACCTCGGCTTTGGAGAGGGACGTCGTCGGATTGGGTTCGCGAATAAAAGGGGAGATTGAATCTCCGGGTTACCATGGTGTGAGATCGGTGAGCGAGGCATATAGCGTGTAAGTTCGGTTTGCGCGCTGAAATTGGGCATATGGCGACTGAGGCTGAAGAAATACGAGAATTTAAGAAATTTCCCAGCAGGGAAGCGCCAAGTCTGTCTAGACTTGAATAGGATTTCTTCAAACGCCCGTGCATCACTTTTGGGGCCAAAGACTCCGCGAGGCTACACGTGGAGGCTGTGCTAGTATCATGTCATGGCCTGAAATTGGTTGGTCCTGTGGGGCCTATCCACTGGGCTTGTCGGTGAGAATTGCTTTGTCCCAATCCCATTTGCTGGAGATAGACTCATTCTAGGGCGCTAGTGGTGATGTTGAGTCTCCGCGCCACAGAGCCGGGAGCGCTGCGGCTTCTTCTAGTTTAAATTTAGATAGTGCTTTCGCTATCATATTTGAAGTTTGTATAGGGATTTACCAACATCAACAGAGCTTACTTCCGACTTGTGTGTCTGTAACCTCTTTTTAAGCCAAGGCATGATGAGGAAGATAAGTAGCCTAAGAAGACACCTCAATCAGCCAACTAGATGTAGATCTGAAAGCTCATGTCATCAAATCTCAGAATCAGGGCATGTAGGCAGAGATAAGAGTGCTGGTCAGGAAAATAAACTGAAGTTATGATTCGACATCCCCTGCTTTTTGCGCTAAAATCCAGCGTTTTCAGTTCTGACATCCTACAACCGAAATTCGAGCGTTCCTATGTCAATGTTCTTGGATGTTAATTGAACACTTTTTCTGTTATGGTAGCAGGTCAAGTTCTTTTCTTTGATCTATTTCTCAAGTAGGTTGTGAAAATTTACCAGTGGGAATACTGGATCTCAGCCAGGGAAGCAGTGGCCTACTCAATCATTATGATTAATGTCTAGTTTTGTGCTGTCTCTGTATCAATCTATTCTCATGTCTATGTACAATCATGTAATGTAATAGTATCTATCCATCATTAATTCTGAACCTCGAAAGAAGGAAACCGAACAGGCGTATTCGTAGCCGCAGAATCATCAGTCATAGCAAAAAGCCCAAAAATAGGACCCGTCATCTCTCGAGCAACGAAGTCCCTGGCAAAAACTGTTCCAATTTCTGTCCACTCGTCCTGCGATGCGCCCTTGGCAGAGAAAGTCCATTTGGTGGGGCTCGATACTATCCTGAACCGGACTTCCTTTTCGCCAGCATCGATTTCTAGCTCACTAGCCAGTTTCTCCGTACGGGTCAGCGTCACAAGCTGACATGAAACGCGTGCGGGACTCGGATCATATATCAGGGAGATATGGCGTAGGTTGTCCTTATAATTCGCCAGACCAGCCCGAACATTTGGCAACAACGCTGAGATATCCAACGAGGCCTCCGCGGTAGACGTCAAGGACAGCTGTCTGCGTCCCACAAACGCACAGGTGTCTTCTTCTTCCGAAAGGCCCTTGGTGCTGGGAAACAAAGAGTGCACACCCTTTCCATCCGCCGGAATCGAGTACTTTGTGAGATCTGGAGTTCGGATGTAAAGATTGCCAACCGAGGGCGATGCTTTGAACTCCTCCCCATCCACGATGCTGCCCGTAGAAGACCTCACCGGCTTGGCCGAAAAGCTCATCTTCGGTTGCTCAACCTGCGGCCATCCATCTTCAGGCCATTCCACAGCAGCCAGAAACGTCTCCCGTCCCAGTGGTGCCAGAGCCTCCTTTTCACCTGGGGAATTGATATTCTCATTCCGGATGCCCAATCCAACAGCCCACCACTGCCCAGCACCATCCTGGAACAGCTCCCCGTGTCCAATATTCTGGATATACTCATCCTTTCCATCAGCAGTCAGAATGGGATTCTGTGCGTGGTCCTCATACGGACCCCAGATACTTCTCGATCGCCCAATGCACAACATATGGTGTTCGAAGGTGCCCCCCTCCGCAACAAGCAGATAATACCACGAGCCGAGCTTATAGATATGCGGTCCCTCTGTATCATATCTCGCATGCCCGCCCCAAATCTCCTTCTCCTCCGACAAGTGCTCCCCCGTCTTCAGATCCACCTCAAACTGCTTGATCGTACAGCTCGGCTGTTTGCACCGATCCATCATAAAGCAGCCCTGGAAATAGACCCGATCGTCATCATCGAAGAAAAGACTCGGGTCGATACCATTGAATTCGATGTTCACGGGGTCACTCCACTCGCCGGCCCAGATGTCCGACGTCGAAATGACGAAGTTCTGCAGCACAAATGAGTCCGACGTCGCGATGGCGTTTGTGCAAATGATGTAGAATTTGCCACGGTGGTGTCTGATTGTCGGCGCGAAGAGACCCCCGGCACCGACCATGAACTCGCCTGTGTCGAGTGGCATTTTGACCATCTTTGCCTTGTTGAGTGAGACTTGCTCGGGGCGGTTGATTGCGTTTCCTGTGTTTATGTTTAGTTCTGAAAGGGGACAATGTCGTGACGGGTGGAAATACCTATATGTGTCCATTTTCGTAGATCGGTCGAGGCGTAGATCGGCAGGCCAGGAAAAAGGTGAAAGGACGACGTGGCCAGGTAGAATATCCCATCCACGAACACGACGGAGGGATCGGGGTTGAATCCGGGCGCGATCGGGTTATGGTATTGAACTCTGGCGCTATTAGAACTCATCTTAGCGAATTGAGAATTCGTTCACAGTTGATGTATGGATTCATGAATGTGAACTGTTCAAGTCATACTTATAGGTTAGCACGCCAGTGGCGCTGTTGCGAGTGGGTTTTGGCTGTTGGATCAACACTAGGAGAAAGTCCGCGGACGAATACTCCACTCGCCTAGTCTGAAACAGTGAAACTAACTTTGAGTCGCGGAGAATCGTTGTGTTGGGATCATGCGATTTGAATGTTTTTCTATATGTCGTTCCAAATCAACACTGCTGGCCAAGTCGCTTCATTCATCCCGGTTGTTCGGTAATTGAGTAAATAAATACTTTGCTTACTCCGAATAAGCTATCTGATTTTTCATCGGCGCAAACCGGGTCCGCCCTTGTGCATTATCGTTAAAGGAGTGGCCCGGGTTGATGTCATAGTATCGAAAACAAGGCTATGGATTGAACCTGGAACATGCAAGGAAGTTGTAATATAGTAATATGATATATTGTAACGAATCTATTTATTCCAAGAGAGCCTATTGATAGCAGAGGAAGCAGATAAAGATACGTCTTGAAATAACATATCACCACAATCACTCCTTTGTGGGCTTCATTTCGTTGATATCCTCAGGAATAAGCTCCTCGGTGGGATATTCCTTGAACTTGCGAGCAGGGACCTTCCTTTGGAACAGTTCTTCCAGCTCCAAGTAACTGCGGCCCTTCATCTCGGGCAAACAAAAGAAGAAATAGACACAGAAGAATACCGACGGAGCAAAGAAGATGAAAGCCACTTTGCCTCCCAGATTCGCCTGTCCGGGGTTAATCAAGATGGGAAGGACCATGCCCGTCAATGTTCCGAAGGCAGTATTAGCCATGACGTTGAGAGAATAGGTCTTCTGTCGGAGGCGAAGCGTGGGAGTCTCGCCTCCGATTGCGAATGCCACGGCGCCGATGGTCAATTGGTACTGAATTATGGTTAGACAAGACGGATATAAATAGTATGGTTGATTGTGCCTACCCCGAATCCCCAAATGGCCATCAAAGCAACAATTCCCGTCTGCGCTGATTTGTTACTCGTGGGTAGAGTGCCGATACCGCCAATCACTGCAAGAAGGGCCGTCAAGATCATCGCGCCGTAGGTGATCAGAGGTCGCCGGCCGAGCCTTTCAACAAGGAACCAGGACATGATGTTTCCAACGAGCTGGATGGCGTAGGCGCCCTGGGCAACCGCGACCGCATCGTGGACTCCAGCAATGGTAAAGAAGTAGCTAGAGAGAATTATCAGGACAGTCCATGCAGGGGACTCGATCAGCAATGGGCTTACGGAAGATATGAGGTGATGAAGTTGGATCCAATCAACTGTTGAGACACATATACCATGAGCACGATGATAGTCCGGCGTCGATTAGTGCCCTGGAAGCACTCTATGTAAGAAGATCCCTGCTCCTGGACCTGCTTTTCTTTTTCAATAGCAACCTCCATCTGAGCAATGGCAGTCTCGACATCCGCCTCCGGTCCTCGGAACTTTCGTAGAGATTGGACCGCTTCCTCATGCCGTCCCTTCATGAGAAGCCACGATGGGGACTCGGGCAGGAGCAAGGACCCGAGAATAAACATCGAGACTGGGGGCACCAGTTGGGTGAGAATCGGCATACGCCATCCCCAGTCGTTGCTGATGAATGAGCCACCATAGCCGACAAGGGCGCACGACCACTGTCCGAGCACAATCATGGTGTTGATCAGAATCAGACTAATTCCTCGAATACTGTCGGGGGATATCTCAGCCACAAAGACAGGGGCCAGGGAGTGACCAAGGCCAAATCCCATAGTGCTGATCAGCTTTCCCCCGAAGATCACCAGGATGGTCTTTGCAAACGCCTGAACAAAGATCCCGGCAATGCATATCAAACAGGCTGTGATGACTACCTTCCGGCGGCCAAAAATGTCGGAGACAAAGCCTGCAGTGAAGGCTGCCAGGAAGATGCCCCCATAAGTGGCTGAGTTGAGAATCTGTTGAGTCTGCGAAGGGATCTCGCGGCCATTGGGCGTGTCTTGGCCGAAACGCTCGAGAAAGGACGGAATGGCAAGGATGTTGCCGACAAGAGCGATCTCGTAACCGAAGTTAATCGGTAAGATAAAAATCAGAAGGCCTGTGGTTGACGAATTAGCCTGATTAGAAAATCACCAGACAATACCTACACCAGCCCAGGATTCGTCTCTCGGCCAGCAGCTCGGCCATGCCACTCGTCCTTTTGCGAGGCGAGGCTGTTCCGATTTCTTGATCTCCTTCATGGTGATCGTAGGTATTCTTTGCTGAATCTTCAAAGGACATGGTGGCAGAGACAGGGAAACAATTGAGAAGCGACGACGAACTCGAAAACAGCCCAGGTCTGAAAAAGTGGCATCTACATGGTCCTTATAACAGCGTCGAGTTCTCCCACATGATGGGACTGTCCGGGGACATGCGGGATGGCACGAGAACGCGGTCTGGGGTTAAAAGCACATTCCCCAGATGGCATTGACGACAATGATTGGATATTTGTCTCGTGGAGTGCGGAGTGGACCCAGTTTCAGACCCGCGATGGTGGCAAATTAGGGCTCAAACGAATACTCCGCGGACTAATTCTCCAGCCTCGCGTCAATTCCTCCGCGATCAAATCACCCGCGGACTTTTCTCTCCCCACAATATCATGCAGACGGTAGGTTGATCTCTCGGACTGGAATGTGCCTTCTAGACTCACGATCTTCTTCTAGCGTTCGCGCCCCCCAAGAGCACCGCTCGCAGCCCAAGCGTGTGACCCCTGTAGACGACGCAAGATCCGCTGCGATACAAGACGGCCCCAATGCTCGAACTGCCGGACTCTCGCTATCGAGTGTCACTATAACACCCAGAGAAAGAAACGAGGTCCCAAGCCCAGGGCTTCACGGCCTGACAGTGACTCCATCCAGGTTACTCTATCACCAAGTGACTCCAGAGCCCCAATCGCCCCGGATGTCTTCGGCGACAGCCCATGTTTCCCTGTGTCTGAAGATGATCCAATCTCTCCCATGCATCATACCTCCCCGGCCGTATTGGTTGAATGGAGTACCCGACCGCTCCAAGTGCATCGGGCCCTCAACGCCGCTATAGATGCCATGGGGCTATCTTTGGAGCAGACTGTTAAGGAGTGCCTGGAGAGATGCATGCTATGGAGCTTTGCTACATTACCATTGATCCACCCATCAACCTTCAGTCGCAACATCCCTCTTCTCTTACCCTCTTCTATGCATCGTTTTCAAGCGAGCACACAGAGTCAACCAGCGATGGAGGATCTACGAGCATTCTCTCTCCTGACTACCGTCTGTGCCTTGGTTTCCCGTCGCATGGGTCGTGGCTCTACGAATATCCGAATGGACGCCTTACTCCTCCCCTTTCTCACTGCATCGCGGGATATGCTATACTGCTTTGAGGACTGGGATATCGATCATCCTGACTCGAGCTCGCTTGTAATCAGGATTAGCCAGTCAACCGCCTACCATTATACAGGCCAGACATCCCGGTCGTGGTATCTTCTGGGCGATGCACTCCGTCTCGCAATGAGCATGAAACTCTTCGACGAGTCATCCTATCTCGGTATAAACCCTCTAGAAGCCCAACTCAGGAGAAACGCATTCGCCACGATCTACGCGGGCGACAAATCCGCTTCTTTCCTGAACGGCATGCCAATCTGTTACTACGGAGTCTATGCAGACGCACTTGAATCCGACCCGCTACGCTGGGAAGACGGGTTCAATCTTCTCGACCCTGAAGACCCCAGGTTCCACCCGCCGTTCGAAAACCGCCTCAATAAAGGCGTCTACCTCTCCTTCCGGCTCTGGACAATGGCCGCCGAGCTTATGAACTATCTCGGCGTTGCAGCCAGTCTCTCTGCCCAACCTAGCTATGACGCCTCATCTCCAGATTCAGCAAAGATAGGCATCACCCAGTCCTACCTTTCTTTCTGCGGCATCCTCGATACCCTTCCGGCATGGCTCCGCAATCCAGACGGCCACATCGCTGAATCCGAAGAAGCTACCAGCTACCAGCGCAGCGCATTCTGGCAACAACGAGCTAATTTAGTAATAACCTTCCACTGCCTTCGAATCCTCATCCTCCGTAAGGCCAGCCAGCTGGGCCTCAGCTACCTCTTCGGGCTAACGGATAACCCTGACATGCTGGCTCTGCGCAAGATCGATTTCGCGAGTGACTTGGCCGCAGCGTCCGAGATTATTCCATTCGAGGCGTTGCAAGCGAACGGGGAACCTTTGGTAAGTATTTTTCATTGTGTAGCCCAGAGAGGTACCATTCCGAGGGGCGAGTTGTGAACTGACTAGGTGGGGTTTTGCAGATCGAAAAGCTAAGGCAGGTCGGTGTCACTCTGCTCGAAATCATACATCAGTGTCAGAATCGAGCTATTACTTCGCGCGCACGCTCGCTTTTGCATACCTTAATTGAGGTGGTTGCGGGTTTGGACTCGCGCGTGTCGGATGGACTGAGGCCGCCGGAGGTTAGTTGAAGAGAATATCGTTGGTTTGTTATCATATTGTAAGGTCTTCCTTATTTACATAGTTTAGACCAACAAACAGAACCTACGGGGGGTGTGCTTTTCTTTTGTTATTTTTTATTCTTTTTTTTTTTTTTTTTTCAAGTTTATGTCGGTTGTTGTCTGCTACTAGGCAGACATACTTGTCACGTGTGATGCCTAAACTTTGCAAATCCCGACACTAATTGCGGGAATCATGAGAACATTCCTTCAACATCATTCACTCCTTAAGGAAAATTCCATTCAAAATGACCGGTCGCGGCAAGCAAGGCATGCGGCCAGCCACTCCACCCGACCCAACCCTCAAGTCGCGACCAGTTCCTCGATCTCGGCACTTCGCAGTCCTACCATTTGGGCCAGCATCCGCGAGCGACATCCACAATACAGCACCATCGCTAGAAGACATAGATGAAGCGATCGGCATCGATGAAGTCAAGCGCCAGAACCTGGGTGGGAAAACCCACGTTCGCAGCCTTCTGGAAGATCTGTATATCCTCAGTTTACCATCGAGCGACGACGAAGAATGGGAGCCTGACCCTACCTGGGGCTTTTATGTCTTCGTTACTTCATACTCAGATAGTGCTCTGGAATATCTTCCAAAGGCCATGGATAACTGGATCAAGTTAGCTCAGCGTGACTTGATGCATTACGGGCCTTACGGTGCTGAGGCATTTCGCCGTTTGAGGATGGATGTGATCGCCGATGAGGAAGCGCTCTCTGGGGCATCCGATGATCGGATAAGAGAAGAACTGAATGCTCAAATTCACGGACTCGAGTCTAGTGGCCAGGGTCAGTCTACGCTGGCTCGTCGCCATAGGGGGTGTTTTGTTCTCGGTGAAGATTTGATTGTCAAGCTTGCAGGCCTTACGTTTCCAAATGATTCACGTCAAGATCATGGGTCATTCAGCAATATTACCGTCAAGTTTATCGATCGGTTCTGGAAATGGCGTCCCCTGGGTACCCCTTTTACTTATAAAGGGATACGGAGCTGTTCTATCACCTCGCTTGCGGAGATATTTGAGCTTCTGGCGTCGAATAGCCTGAGTTTGGAAGAGATACATGGTCTTCGTCCGCCCTTTGCCCCTTAAGCTTTGCATGCGTTACAGATTAGTGGCCTTGGAGCGCTGAGAAATGGTTTGTATGGATCTTGAGGGTACGGATCCTATTGATTCGTGAATTTCAAGGTTGCGCTGGTGATTGATTGTCTTATTGTGGTGGATTATAAACCATTCCTTTCTAGAATGCCACGAGACGTAGCGAGTATCAATTCGACAGGAATGTGCATGTTCTCTTCTGCCACAAGATAAACTATTGTTCAGCATGTTCGTTCACAATTGCTATACATTTACAAACTATGTGTTGGAGTTATTCGAATGATGTGTCTGGTATTCCCCACCCAGGATGGCAAAGACGTGGCCTGTTAAGAAGCTAAATGGGAACCTTAGAGCCTCGGTCTACAGTATCCCAACACTTTTTGAATTCAAAGGGGCTGGTGCATGACGTAGCCCACAGCTTGTACTTCCGTGTTCGAGTCTGTGCACGGAGTGCTTCTGCCTTGTTTATGTTTATTTGATGTCATTCAAAGGAGAGAAGAGGAGAGATTATTGGAAGAAAAAAGTTAGGTAGCAGGCACTGTCAACCTCATTTGATGAGCATTCTCAAGAAGATCCACGAAGCATAGTGGCACTCTGTAAGATAGCATAAATACAGTGGCAATTTCTGACCCAAACCTTGCCCTTGCAGCATTACTGCGTTTGAGCACATGCATTTCCTATTTACTGGCGGGATCTGCTATTTGGGAGAACTAAATCCCGAGATTACCTATTATGATTTCCGCGGGTTCGATATCGTCCTCATATTACTTTATTTCCCGCTTAGGATATCTTACCGACAAGGGAATATGGCCCGAATGCCTGGGCTTGCTTCAGTGTATTCTAAATTTAATCCTGCTTGCTTCAGTGGCTTATCTTTCTATGCCTTGGTAAACTTTCATGCTTTCAGGTTTTGATCAACGAATCGGTGGGCCTCATTGAGTTTGGCTGAATCAGCCGAAGTCAACAGTCATAGTTGGCATTCCTATTCCGTTCATATACCCCCAACATAATCAATAGCCATAGGTGCATACTTGAATTGCGATCCAAGAACATTGCGATCCACCAGGGGCCTCGTGATGAACTGGATGACCGGGCTAATGTCGCATGCCGACATCAGTATTCGGAAATCAGGGATTATGCTTAGTTTACTATGCGTAGATTTAAAGGGAAACGCTTTTCCAAGAGTTGGGGACCTGTCAAATTTTCAAGGCCTCAATATCAGTGTAGTCACACCTCTTGTATTTATCTTATTGTTCTGCTCTCGTTTCACTCCTCACACTCCACCAACTCCATATTGCCAAGCATGTTAGACAAAGACTTTCCTGTCGATTATTTCGTCGGTACGATGGTCCGTCTTCTGGACACCATCCAACATAATGACGAAAACTACACCCACGACGAACGTGTTAAGACTCTTCATTACGTCTATACTCAAGCCGCCAGCCATTTTAATCAACCGTGTGTTCGCTGTACTCTGGATATCAGACCACAAAAGCTCCAGGCCGCGTTGGAAACCGTTACCGGAATGGTCGTTTATTCCTGGGTTAAAGCATCGCCCGGGTTGATGGCCGCCCTGACCGTCCACTACACCTACGCACTCTTTCTAGATGATGGCAAGGATGACCCTTTCCCTACGATGGGGTCTTTCTTCAATGATATGGCCGACGGTAAAGTACAGCAGAATCCGTGGTTGAGATTGGTGAACGGACATTTCCCCAACCTTTTGAATCGCTATGGGCCGTTCTGCGCCTTGAACATTTACCGGAGTACAATTGATTGTTTGTCTTCCGTCCTCGGTAATTTCGATGAGGCATTCAGACTGATTCGTTTGATTCTCTGCAGTTTTCGAGGGCTGTTGGATCGAACAGTATCATTTCCACGGCTACCGCGGAGCAGAGGACTTCCCTGATTTTTCACGGCGGATGACCGGCCTCGGCCACGCCGTCGGGGCCTCCATCTGGCCCGCCGAGATGTTCGACGAGCAGAGATACTTCCGTGAAATCACTACCGCCATTTGCATGATGGGAAACTGGATCGTTTGGATCAACGATCTGATATCCTTCTATAAAGAGTTTTACGATGAGCGGGACCAGACCAGCCTGGTCAATAACTACTCCCACGTGGATGGAATCAGTACTACCGAGGCACTCGAGAAACTGATTCAGGACACACTCCGTGAGAGCGTGCAGATTATGTCTGTCTTCAAAGATAAACATCCATTGATCCTGGAGACCTTGACCCGGTTCATGCATGGCTATGTTACCTGGCATCTCTGTGATCAGCGCTACCGCGTGAATGAAATCTACGAGCAAGTTGACAGAAAGAGCGAGGTTGGTCGGAAGTTTTGTCGGTATTTTGAAAAAGCCAACAAAGTCGGTCGTATCGACCCAGCGGAATGGGCTGTTCCAGCGGTTGCAGGTTTTTCGGGCTCAAAGGAATTACCAGATTCAGCGCCAAAGGCCTATGCAGAACAGAATGGCCTGGTTACGCCTCCTATGATTGAACTTTGAGCTACTTTGCCATGGCATATCGCGATCAGTTGGTCTTGCTTGCTTTATGAAGACGCGTATCTATTTCCAACGCAATGATTGTTTGCTTTAAGAATACTGTTATATTGCCAAGGAAAGACTTTATTTATTGCTAACAATTGTGATGCTAGCAATTGTGATAAAATAATGAAACCCTTTCTCTTTATCAGGATCCAATATGTACTATGAAACTCCCTCGTCTCACTGCGCAGCGGCGCTCTTAGGCACCCTTAATGCTGATATACGCCTGCTTCACCTCCTCACGCCCCTGAATACTCTTGAGCCATTTTGCAATATTGGGGTATTTATCCAAAGACAGACCCGCAAACGCGTATTGTCGAACCCACGGCTCGAAATGGTAATCCACGGCCGTCACTTTGCCCGGCAAGATGCTCTCCGCGGAGGACTTCTCCAGATGCTTCTCAAGAACATCGAAACACCGGTAGCTCTGAGCTACATACCTTTCCAGAGCATCATCGTTCTTCGTAGCATTGTAGTTACTACTCCTCTCAGTATTTTTCCTTAGTCTTAATGGGCAATGGGCTGGTACATACCGGAACCAATTCGTCTGGCCCATCATCGGCCCCAGAGTCGTGAGCAGGAAATACTCCCACTTCTCGAAGTCCACCACGTCCTGTTCCGCATTGCTGACTGGGCCCAGTTTTCCGGTCTTGTCATATACCCGTCGCACGTAGTTCATGCATGCGCCGGATTCCCAGGACACGACTCCGGTGTTGGGATCCTCCAGGGCGGGAACTCGTCCGTTTTCGTTGATCTGTAGGAATTTGGTGCCCTTCACGCCGTTTTCTGCATCGTCGCCGAATTGCCACTGCTTGACTTCGTACGGCACTTGGAGGTATTGGAGGGCCATGGCCACCTTGAAAGGGTTGGGGCCCGTGGAATGGGCATGCAGGGTGAGCGGCTTGATTGAGGACATTGTGTTGTGGAAATATCAAATGTTTGGATTTAGGAGAGACGGACAGGGAAGTACGGCATTTAATACTGATTATTAGTATCTTAAGGGGGTCTGTTCTGCAGAAATACCCCGTAGCTCAGATGAGCATTAATAATCTGTGGTGGGGTTTCTATGACGTGTTAGCTGTTGGAGTCTTTCTCCAATTCCTCAAGTTCCTCAATATTAATATAACGCTCATACATGCATACTCAATTTCAATTAAATTTCAGGCACATGCTTTGTACAATCCGCTCTTTTATAGCTAGAGCTACTACCGTTCCCGATCGGCATTCATATCATGGTGTTTTCAAGTTCTCTTGGCTGTACCTACTGCGCAGCCTTGAACATTGTGCATATGCCAGATGCCTAGCACTGTAATTTCCACCAACCACTATTTGCGTTTTGGCTTTAAATTCTGTCATTGCATAGATATATCCCTCAGGGTAAACCCATAGCTGTGACAGCAGACCCTGGAACACTGGGTCGTGCCATACCAGTGGGTCCTGATCTCATGACGTCACATCTCGTAAACCACATATGAACCTCTTCGACGCAGCATTCCTCTCCTCTTTCTTCAATCCATTACACTCTATTCACGCCTCTTCACCATGTCCGAATCCTTCGCTGCCATTCGAAGCCGTCGCTCCGACGACCTCTCGCGCCTAGCCGACGAACACATCCAACAAGACCTCCAACCCGATGACCGCGACGCACTGAAGTCGGCCGCCTCAAGGGTGTCCTTCTGGACGGCTTTTGGCTCTGCAGTGGGTGTTGGACTGGGATTATACACTGCTTTCCGGCTGAGAAGTACACGACATGCGTTCTTCCAGGCTTTCCGCGCGCAGGAGAAGCCGACGCAGATTGTTTTCGCGGATGGGCGCACGGGTAATGTCCCTTGATGGTTTTGAGTATGAAGGTCAAGTACTGATGTGGGTTGTAGAGTCGTTACCCGATATCACTCCCCTGTTGAAGCCGACTACGTTTGGTGATTTCGCGACATATTTCTTTGCCTCTGCGGGTGGCTTGTTCTTAGGCGGGGAGCTTGGTAAGTGTCGTGCGATCATCGATACTATCCGGTAGACGGCGCGACTGATATAATCTCTCCGGTCTAGGTCTTGCTGGAGGGGCTGCTGGTGCACATAGCACTATTACATCCGATCCTGCCAGAAAGGAGAGGATTGAGAAAGCTTTCCGGAAGTTCCGAGCGGATGTTCTACGCAAGGAGGCCGATTCTTTGGACTCGGGGGAGAGCGTTTGGGATAAGTTGTTCTAAGTACCCAAGTTGGTGTGGCTTGCAAATTATGATTCTAGTCGTCTTGCGTCGAGTAAATGTGCTGTTCATTTAATACCCTGATCATGAATGAAATTGGTGTTCATGAGTGGACATTTCTTCAATACAGGCTATTGCTACGAAGATGAATAATAACCTTTAGCCAAAAGTCAATTCATTCCCTGGAGTATCCCGATTGAGTTTTCCCTTATGGCTGGACACTTCCCTCCTATATAAATGTTAGCACACTCTATAAACTGGTATACTGTATCTATCTTCCACATCCTTCTATCTACACAGCTTGCTCATGCATCAAAAAGACGCATAATATTTCGGCCATTAAAGGCTTTTTTCCAAAGACCTGCTCATTTCTTTGATTCGGGCGTGTTATATCTCACGTAACCCACCCACCTCCTCAACAAAAACAACATTATACCTTCACTTACTCCCTGAACATTCAGCAAAAACACTTTCAAAGGTGCCACCCGGGTTCGAACCGGGGCTCTCAGGAGGCTGCGTCAAAACCTGATGTCCTAACCACTAGACTATGGCACCCGGATTGAAGCAGATAGCTAAACACAGGTCCGGGCGTGGGTTGAGTATCGCTCAGTCATCTTATCCATTCCCGACGTTACCTTGCTCGAGAGGTGGGAATAGGCTTATAGCAGTGTATCTGGTATCTCGGCTAACAGGCGGGAGGTAATTAAAGCGACTGGGATTCAGTAGATGCAACAGTAGTCGACTGAACAGATATCATTCGGGCCGGTGGTGGAAACTTGACATGGGTGACATGCACTGAGCGAGTTGAACGGAACAACAGGGAAGCAATCCAAAAAGTGGCTCGGAGTCTGAAACTAGCAATTGCGAAATGTTGGTACTATGGCAGTGTAGTAATTGAGCTTTACAAATCAAACCCTTAACTGGGTAATACTGCTAGGTGTTAGCGGAATATGGTTGTGCAGGCGATGAACCAGGCCTGAAGTCTGGCTGTTGGAAAATTCAGCCATGGACTGCGGCGACCTGGTTTTCAAAAATGTTGCCGTGGTTGAGATGATTCCTTAGAGTAGATGAAGGGAAAAAGCAAAAAGATTGACCGACGCAGGGGTCGAACCTGCAATCTCTTGATTCGTAGTCAAGCGCCTTGCCATTGGGCCAGCCGGCCTAGTTGTTATGTTCGGGCGCTCTTTTTGCTATCATAGACCAATTATCTTGGAGTGCTAAACACTGTGTTACACTCCTCAACACCCGCGTATGCCATCCAGCAACCCTTTATTTAATGTGAACTTGGCACAAAATTAAGTGATATGATAACCTCTTGTTAAAAGTTGAGCTAGTTACAGTTTTTCTTTCCTGCACTAGGGTTTCGTTTACTGAGTTGGATGAAAATCCTATGTATATTTGGTGATGCCCACTCATTGCCTTCCCGATGTCCACTCCATGTTAGCGACTGAAACGAAATCGCTCCATCATCTGAAAAGCATTTTGAGCATGATCATAAAGCAATCCTTGGTCTCTCGTACCAGTCCAGCCATCAGACCAAGCTAATTGTTACCCACAAAAGTGGTTGAATTCCAATCCGATGCAAACTTCACCCTAGTTAGCGGGTTGAAAGAAAAGCTAGGCGACAAACTTACATTCCAAGCATCGATACGAAGCACCGATGAGTCTCCAGATCGTTGAACAGGTGTTAAAACACCGATGGCTACGGACAAATTAGTAAACCGGTCGTGGCTGGTGGTGAGTACCCAGGAAATCACCGATACATACCCACGATATTATTCAACCAATAATACTTCTCGCTACCCGTCTCGAAAATCAATCGTAGATGCAATTGACCAGAGGGCGATTTAGGACCAGCAGTCTGGATAAAAATATCGGCACCGTCGTTTGTCCGCAGGTTGTACCGCGTATCCGCCGAGAAGATGTTGGTTTTGGGATCAACCAGGCCCCAGTCGGCACCGAGGTCAAGGATTTCCCCTGGTCGTGTATTAGATAGGTTATAATGAATGAGGGGAAAGGCATACCAGAGATTCTGGGACCGGTGAAGTTGCCACCCACGATTGGAATAGCTCGTCGGATGCCGTGAGGTCCCGCAGCTTCCATCAGATTGCCTTTGCACTCTACGTAGGCTGTGTAGAGGAACGACAAGCCCGGGGCTGATGGCTGGATACTAGATGCCTCTACTGGAGGTGCGAGAACCGTGAATTGGAGAAAGCATAACGAAAGAACGAATTGAGAAAGGGTGCTCCGGAGAGAGCAGTGATGAAATTTGGATAGCATTTCCTAGCGATCGAATGGTTCGCTCTCGACGGTAAGAGGTGATTGATGATGAACAGGACCTGTATCTTTAGAGAGGGGTTTATATATCTTAGACGTTTCCTCAACAATGACATCAATGCCGAACCCCACAAATGTCAGAGTGGAGGAGAAACCCCAGAGTCCAATATAAGATTCGAGCCGAGGTGTGTCGATCAGTAGACGTCCGTTCGGATCTGCCGAATATATGCCGACCCAAGTGCCGAGTCACCATCATATTGCATTCTAGGTGCATTATTGTAAGAATGATTGTGTTGTTCATTATTTACTATCAACCAAGAGCTCTATCTGCATTTAACTGACATGCGTTGTACTTTTGATGCATTTATGATGTTAGTATAGGCCTTGGAATGTAGAACTGCCTAATATCCAGGTGCCAAGACTTCAGGTAGGAGTGAACATGGAAATAATATATTATCTCCGGCATCTTGTGAAACAATATCTCATAGGGAACAAGAAAAATAGGCCGTTCTAGGTGATGAAGCTTTTTCGTGCGGGTGACATATTTCAGGCCATCGGTATGTTGCATGCTGTAGTCCCATCTGCGCAAAAGCCAAATATATCGTGTCATGAGTCTTCATAGTACTCCTTTGACTTATTATCCAAGTAAGTGTTATTCGGTCGAAGGCGCCAATGGCAATTGAAGTAGATTTCTATCGGCGTTGGAATGTCCAGAGACAAGGGCCGATATCACGATAGAAACCAGATCCCGCGAGTCAGTGTATCACTGGACTGTTTGAAGCAAGGAGCGATAGATCACAAGATCAAATGCTGACAAAAAATACCAGGAAAATCTTCAGCGTAGTTAGCATTACTCAGTCTTGTAGGGGGTAGAGAAATTCGCGACTCTTCCCTGGAAAATGTATCCGGACGCAGGCAGAAAGGCTGGTCTGGAACGGACGAGGAAGCAAGGGGTTCGTCTCATTAACCTACTCGGCTGCATCGTGAGGGAAAGGCATGAGCAAATAACTACGATAAACTGTCTAGTAATCATCTCTCCCAAATTAGGGCTTATCTTTGTGATGGATTAATTGCTAAACCAAAATGGCAAATCGTCTTTAGGTAACATCAGACTAACCTCATGTGTACTGATAGTTTGTCTGGGCGTGGCGATTATGCACGGTCAGCTAGGCGGAGAATGTGCAACGAACCGGTTCGTGTTCTCACCTTCGATGCGAAGATAGTAGGCATCACCCATGTTGCCCGATCATCTTTTGCAGAATTTTCAACTGCCCAATTGATGTTGGTCCAATACCACTCCCTCGCTTCGATTTTCCTAGTTCGATGGCCATTAGCCCTTACGTTAAAACGTCTGGCGCTGGGCTAATTCATTCCCGTGAAAACCACTGGGATAACGCCTTAGACTTAGTGTAGCTATTCTAGGTGACGTCGAAGGCCCGATTAAGAATATGGCGTTCGTTTTGTCCTTTGAGGTCAGCCAGCCCGGTACGTCTCATCCTTTATGTCTCACTAGCTACTGAAAGGCGGAAACCTCGATTCTGGTAATTTTCAATACTTGCCCTGCTTCGCACACGTGGCATCTCAGGTCTCACCGATAAGACGCTGAAGACTACAGCGTAAAGGATTGGCCGCCACAAGTGAGTGGGTTGGTGCTGATGAAAGCCCTAAACTCCCGCTTGACAACCGACGCCCGCCACCACATCTTGGCGTGGGCTATAAGGAAATTATTTGGTGATATTGGTATAATGAGAGCAAACTTCACAAAGCTTTATGTCCAATTGCTAATAATGCTGATACGGCAGCTTTGTATCATCTTCGATCTAAGTCCTCTTTCGAAATTGAACCATCGGCCCATCTCTCATGCTGATGTAGCTGTCAGCCACTTGGAACACATTCGAATCATAGTTTCCCCAGTGACTATGCTTGCTCCTAGTTCCAGTCATGTCTCCCGGTAACAGGCGCATATCGTAAAGCCACAGCGTTTTGACAATCGTCAGATATAACTCCAGGAGGGCGAAATTCTTCCCAGCACAGCTTGTGGTCCCAGCAGCGAACGGAACACAGCTTGAGCGAGCCCAGGCCACATCTTGCTCTGTGACACCAGTTTCTGGGTCTACAATCCATCGCTCGGGTCGGTATACATCGGGGTCTTTGAAATAGTCCTCGTTGCGATAAAAGCTCCAATGAGACACACCGACAGTTACGCCCTCGGGGATATATGCACCGTCGATCATCAAACCACCTGGAAGAGCGATTCGTGGCAATTCGGAAGGCCCTGCTGGTGTGATTCGCATTGTTTCGTCCACACAGGCCCGCATGTAGCGACAGCTTGACAGAAGCTTCGGCCCGCTTTTAATCTCCTCGAATGATGTGAACGTGCTTCTGATTTCACTGACAATCTTGGCATATGCGTGGGGCGTCCGAGTGATGTAGAAGAAAAATCCCGCCAGGATGACAGACGTAGTGTCTGAGCCCGCAATCGTCAACATAACCACCTCGGCCTCTAATGCTGCCGGGGTTAACCCCCGTTGAGCGGTCACCGGGTCTACTGCGTTGATGAGATGCTGGAGCATGTCGTTTCGGCTTTGCTGTCCCTCCAGGTTCTGCATCTTTATGATTTCATGGAGTTTGAGTCTCTGTTCCAATGAATCTTTAACGAAATCATAGAAGAATCGAACCTGTGGCGGTGTCATTACTCCAAGAAGCCTATCAAGACCTCGTGGTTTGAGCCAGACGACAAGGTTCAACCATGGAGAATGACCGAGCTAGGGCTCGTTAGTTACACCCACACTGTCAAAAAACTGAATAACATACCGGATATAGTATCTTGAGAAAGAACGCAATTATATGCGGAATCTTACGATACTCATTATCTCCCGGCTCCTTCGTATCAACAGCCCGCCCGAAGCAAAGATCACACAGCACATCGAGAACAAGATGATCGCAAGTATCTGACATCTTTCTCGGAGATGACCACTCATGCCCATTGCCATCGACCAACAGTTCACACCAGCGATTCACATGCTTAGCAAGAAGCGGCTCCATGGAGCGAATTGACTTTTCGGAAAACACGCTGTTCAAGACACGACGCTTTTGCGCATGAAGAACCGGGTCGGTTCCCGTAAGTGTGCTCGTGTCTTCAGGGTGACGGGTCATGATGTCGTAGAACTTGGACCGTTTGACGTTGGCTTTGTTGTTGAAGATGTCCCTGTAGGCCCGTGGGGTTTTGAACAAGAGGCCGTCGGGTCGATAGCGAAAGACATCTCCGTACACTTTTTGATTGTGCGCAATCCATAAATGACGAGTCCCGGTCAAAGACCAATAGAAGTCTGGAAAAGAAGAGATCTTGCACAAAAATGGGCCAGGATACCTTGCCAGAGGGCTGAGATAAAGGTTGAAAATGGCGGACCCAATGAACTGTGAGCATGTGAGTGCCTGGATTATGTGGAGAAGGGTTTCGAGTAGACTAACATAGCATAATCCAGTAGTTGTAATTATTTCCATCCAGTGGTCGAGAGATACCTGGAAAGCTGTGGCGATATACATGGTGAGCGTTCAGAGCTGAGGATGGATCCTTGTAGCAACAAGAGACCTACCTTCATGACAACATGATAGAAAAGTATCTTTATACACCAATTTCACTAGTTGGGTCTTAATTCACCTGCCACATCAGCACGCCACTGCGTGCACTTCAGCTGGTTCTTCCGAGCTGACGATGTGGCGTGCGCTTGTAATTTTCAACAGACGGAAATGTCGCCCAGCAAGCCACAAGGAGCGATGGTTTCAATGACCACCCGATTAAAGTCTTCTAAATCCTGTGGCGTTTTTATTCGGAATGATTGAATCTGTCGCCAAAGTATATTTAGTATATTTATCATTCCATTCTTCTCTTCCTAGTTGCACACACATCCCTTACTGAAACCTACGAGTGTGACTGCCATACAGAATGAGCGTATATCAGGACTGGCAGCTGCCGATTAGATGGGCATGGAGTCTCATTTATAGTCTGGCTAACACTCAATATCTCCCAAAATCCAAAGCAGACACATTGTTACTTCCCGATTCCCAGACTACGAGCACGACACTCAAGCTTCGAGCACTCTATGATCAGGCGTGGCGCTCTATTTCACCGACACTAGAACTGGCTCAGTCACCAACATTCAAGCCAGCATCCCTTTCACTCAGCATTGAAAGCCGAACTCGGTTGACATACGAAAGGGCTAAACTTATATGTGATGCATTCAGTGAGTACCTCGTATTTCTCGGATAATTCGTCAGACTAACAATTAAGACCTAACGGTCGAGGATGCTCTGTATCTCAGTCCGAACTTTTGGAAGATACAGACTGACCTCATAGGCTCAATGGATGGCGGAGCCATCACGTTGATCACCATTCAATACAACCTCTTCGTGGGCACTGTGGCACCATACGCAGTGGGTCGACCGGACCTTGAACTTATCCTTGACCGGGCCATGAAATTTGAGATCTCGTGAGTACTATGCCTCTGCCATACATGATCGAATTTTAAAAGGGCTAATTGTTCTCTAGAGGACAATTCCTACTCACTGAAGTCGGTCATGGGCTGGATGCCCGTAACCTGGAAACGACGGCAACACTGCTACCAAATGGAGATTTCGACCTTCACAGCCCTAATCCCGCCGCTGCAAAGTAAGTTTTCTTTACAGTCATGGCGACTTCTGCTTATCCAGTGTAGGTGCATGCCGCCCACTACCCCCCGAAGCGGCCTTCCTACAATCGGCGTCGTCATGGCTAAACTGGTGGTGGCCGGAGAGGACTACGGGGTCCGTCCATTCGTAGTCCCTTTGACAGATGGACAACAGATGTGCAAGGGAGTCACTTCAAAGTAAACCTCATAGACCCCCCATCCCTAATCCAATAAATCAAGTATTAACCAAACAGAGTCCTCCCTCCTCGCACCGGCGCCCATCCAATCGATCACGCCCTCACATCCTTCAACCACGTCCGCCTACCCAACTCCGCCCTCCTAGGGCCCATCGAGAAGCCCAAAAACGAGCGATCCCAATTCTTCACCTCCATCCAGCGCGTATCAGCTGGAACCCTTTTCCTATCCGCGGGCTGCATCCCCCTTCTCAAGAACGCCATCTACAACGCCAGCTTATTCAGCATGCGCCGCAAAGTGAAAGGTCATGATGGGAAGCCCGTGGCTGTAATCCACTTCCGGACGCAGCATCTTCCGATTCTGCATGCTATTGCGCAGTATCATGTCCTGCAGGCGTTTTTCATCAAAGCTGCGATGGAGTTCCGGGACGTGAAGTATGACCCGCGCGTGAGACATGCGTGGGCGACGGTTTTCAAGGCTGTTGCGTTGCAGCATTTTCAGAAGAGTATTCGGGCTATGAATGAGGGGTGTGGGTGGCATGGCTATTTTGAGCAGAATCAGATTTTGCAGAGTGAGGTGAGAGGGCTCTATTCTACAGCAATGCTACATTCTTTAGGCCATGGCTAATGCTTTCTAGTTGGAGTTCCGGGCAGTCGGAACCGCAGAAGGCGATATCAGAGTCCTTGCTATCAGTGAGTTCCCATTACGGAAATCCAAAATATCGGAACGCTCTCAGTACTAATTCAAGGATGTAGGACTCGCAAGCGAACTCCTCCTCGGTCGCTACCAGCTCTCACCACCCCAGAACCCAACCAGCCTCGTAGCTCAACACGAGCAAGGCCTATTCGCAGAAGCCACCGGATACCTCCACAGCATTGGCGGCTTCCACCGCAGCGAGAAATTCAACCGAAACATCCTTCCTCTCTCGCTTCCTCTTGTGCAGGCAATCGGACACAGGATAGCCCTTGAAGCAGCGCAGAGCGCAGGAATCGATTCTAAACTTCTCGCCCTGTACGAGAGCGAAGTTATCAGAGAGGACTCGGCCTGGTATGCTGAGCAGGGCGGGCTTAGCAGGAAAGCGCAGATTGAAATGGAGGCGAAGGCTGCAGATGCTCTTCTCCCGGATCTGGAGAGGTTGGTACAGGAAACGGGTGCTCGGGCGTATAGTAATGCGCCGATGGCGTCTGAGAAGGTGTGGGATGAGTTTGTGGCGGGTTTGGAGGGTTTCTTTGGCGATGCGTCGTTTGATGTTGGGCTGGGTGTTTCGGAGAAGAATTGTGTGGAAGGGGCGCATCTATGAAGCCTGATATCTTCCCTCGTGCGAGGAGGATTGGGCGGCGGGTGTATCTTGACATAATGTCGGAGTTATTTTAACTCTTTATCGTGATCTGAGGCCTTTCCTTTCCTGCCTTGTTTATCGCTTCAGGAACTGGACTATATGTAGTCGTTGTGGCACGCTCAGCTATGATTCTTCAAAGTCTCTCGAGCTAACGAGAAGTCTGTATATATTAGTGGTATCCATAAACTTTCGGTATGTCTCTCGGTAGCCACTATTCTCGGCAAGACGAGTCGTCCATGAATCTGACCTAGCCATATATACACCTCTGCCGCGAGAAAAAGGGACGTGAAAAATATAATGGAAAGTTGTAGAAAAGAGAAAAGAAGTACCAAGAAACGATACAAATAAGGAAACGAAGTGTAAAATTGAGCGTACAAGTTGCATAAAAAGAGAATGGCTTCTTGTTGCTGATGCAGTAGCGATAGGTTGCTCAAGTACAGCATATCATGCACAATCCCTTCCATCCCAGAGCCTAGAGTCTAGACCAAAGAAACACAATTGCCGCAGGAGGAAACATAAGACCGTACGCTATATCCGCCTTATCCTGGAACGTTGAATCCTTGTCCTTCCGCGCCTCGTCAGTTGGCTTATCCTCACCATCTTCACCATCATCCTTTGCAGCCTTTCTGACCATCCTACCAGAAATCATCCACGCCGGTATCTGGTAAATGACAAACAGAAGGATTGTCAAAAAAGCCGAGAGTCGCGCCTCCGTCATCGGGACAGGATTGACGAAATAGAGATAAATTTGCAACGGCCCCAGCATGAAAAGCCCCTGGGCGTTGCCTCTGATTGCCACAGGTGAACGCCCTGTTCGACGAGCTAGGCTCTCAGTGATGCCGTCAAGAGTAGCCTGCACTTTGGGGAGCCGGTTCATAAGCATTCTGAAGGCCACTTTGATGGCGATGAACCCGCAGACCGCGAAGAAAGTCTCGTACAAAATGAAGCAAAGGTTTTGGTTAAGCATGGCCCGAACAGCGGGCAACAGATGATGAATATCATTTAGGGTCATCCAGCAGATGAAGATGCTTGGTGCCAGGAAGCTGAACAGCCGCACTATCTGTGTGAGAACAGCGCAGGGTATGACTGCGAAACATTTTCGATGTCCGCAATTCCAGGTTGATCTGCCCTCTCTAAAAATTCGGAGAATGGTCAGTATGTCGTTTTTGGTATGTTCAGAATCCTTGTTTGCCTCAACATCGCTTCGCAGCACCGAATTTGAGAGTCGCTGGACCCGTTCGCAGAGGTTTTCACCGACGGGTCCCTCTGGCTCGTCTTGGTTTGTATCACCATCAGAGGGTTCTTTCTCTTCCGAATCCTTTTTTTCCGGGTCTGTGCTATTATCTTGCTCGGTCTGTTTATTCGCTTTGATTTCGATTGGGTGGCAATAAATCTCAGGGATTATTTCCCTCTCACCCGAACCAGGACCCAAGAGCATGCTTTTGGGCCAGTCTTTGCGAAAGTAAACCCTGTCTGGCTTCGGCATCGCGAACAAAGTAAGGGCCTCGAGAGCGACAGCATCCCCGACCAAGCACGCCACAAAGAACTGTAACCATCGATGATCGTCGAACCAAACCAGCGCCGCGAATACTGGTAGCGTGATCCCTGCAAGAAGCGCCCGTCTTGCGAGATTAACTGACGGGCTATGTTTCCTGTGCTTGGTTGGGTTGACCTCGCACACGTTGTAATGGCCGCAGAGTGTGAAAATAAACCAAATGGTCAATTTTGTGCCCATTACTCGAGGGAGACGAAAAGTGAGGAACAGTGTGATGTGCCGCAAGGCTTTGATGACGGGGTACAAGGGCGAGAAGTATTTGAAGTTTTCAGCCGCATCATCTTTCAGCGTCGGCCCTGTAGGTTTGATGAGTGTACTGGCTGTCGTTGAGAGGAGTGCTAGTAGAACTAGCAACCGTTGTGGCGCTTCATCTGGGGGTTCCATGGCTGCGTGCCAGAGACAGAAGAGCCTAAGAAGGCCCAAGCAACATGGGGAAAGCTCGGTGTTATAAATAGTGTAGAAGGATTTTGCAACACCGCGCTTACTCCAGGGACTTGTAAGCTAATTTGGCCCACGGACTAGTGGCATGTCTTGGATCAGCCCGTGGGTGCACCTAACGCTACCTGTTGATAGCGCCACGCTATCGCTATATCGGGATGAAGCTCCGGATTGAGCAGTTGGTACCAAGACATTTACAACACATTATCAGAATAACAACACGATCAATTCATGTCCACACGATGATGATTAGAGACTCATGAACTCCAGGTGGCAGGAAGGGTGCCTTGCGAGTGCCTTGCGGCATTGTGGAAGGATTGCTAGCGGCTTGGCCGGGTCTGTTCGCCCCAGGAGCTCTGTGTCACACCATTGAGATTGAACAAATCATATCGCACCTTTTTTCGCTATATGAAAGTCCGGCGAATGGTATCTATTTCTGTTGGTTTTCACTGTCTCGAGCGCCATTTTTTCGGTGGCAGCGTTACATCAAAAGCGATATAGAGGCAGGCATACAGCGACTGGTTGACAGCTTGCCCCTTGTGTGCTTAAAACGCCCATATAAAACCCTCCAACACCTGTAAGAGGATTAACTTCACATAAACGACAGCGCTGAACCTTCATTGGCTATGCGGGGCGAATTTCCTAAGAATAGTCAGATTCTCTTCCAGAACATAAAGCTTGCACTACCTGTTAAACTGTGAGCTTCGCAACATGAGCAGTCATGTGTCTCCCATAGCATGGCCAGCCACAACAATCATAAACCCCAAAAACGCCTCATGCAACAAACCAAATCCCTCCTAGTCTCATAAGCCCCCTTAAACAAGGAAGAAGGAATAACCGACCTGATCGAATCTGATCACAAATAGTTTTCATGCCTGGCTGCATCTCCCATGGGAAACAGCCATATATGTCATTCCAAAGCCAGATGACCGCTTGGTGTAAAGCTAAGAGTGTTTCCACGGCATTTGAACCTGGAATCCATAACCCTAATCAAGTGTGACGTTGAAAACAGGATTAAGCTGCCTGAGTCAGCAGGGCCTGGTCGCTGAAGTATATCCCGGTTCTGGGGTATAAAGGAACACGGTCTTGGCTAGTTTTCAAGAGTTAATAAATTAACAATGGATGATGTCAATGAGACAGATAATTTAACCAACGGATTTATTCACTTCTGTTAATCATGTGGCTCTTTGGTAGAAAGGACAGCCAGCCTGAGCCGAATATCCAGGAACTCGAGGAAACAACCCACGCGGCCACAAGCGACGATGATCCCGATCCAATCGCAGTAGTTGGGATGTCCATGCGCCTTCCGGGTGGGATAAAAACCGGCGAAGAATTCTGGGATCTCCTGGTCCGCGGGAAAGATACCTACGGACCTGTTCCGCCCTCTCGCTACAATGCAGAAAGCTACTACTGCGAATCGGGTCGGCCGGGGACGATGCCAACCAAGCACGGCTACTTCCTAGACGATGACATCGCGGCGTTCGATGCACCGTTCTTTGGAATCAATAGTGCCGAGGCGGCGAGTCTTGATCCGAAGCTGAGATTTCTGCTTGAAGTTGTCTGGGAGTGTCTTGAGAATGGCGGGCAGGTAGGTTGTCAGGGTAAAGACATTGGATGTTTCGTGGGGAACTTTGGAGACGATTGGTCGGAGATCCTGTGGAGGGATACTCAGAGTATCAGAAGGTATGAGGCGACTGGGGCGCAGAGTTTCACGATCGCCAATCGGGTGTCGTATGAATATGATTTTCATGGGCCAAGGTATGCACGAGTAGTCTGGGATTATGGCCACGCCTTTGAACCATTGATTGACTTGTAAAAAGCATGACGATTGAGACGGCCTGTTCATCGACACTCATCGCCTTACATCAGGCGTGTCAGTCCCTTCGAAATAACGAATGCAGCGGCGCTGTTGTCGGAGGAGGAAGCATGCTTATCTGTCCAAGCTGTACAATCGCCATGGGAGCAGCAGGAGCTCTCTGTGGGGACGGCAAATGCAAGACATTTGACGCCAGCGCTGATGGCTACGGGCGAGCAGAAGCCATTACGTCCATTTTCGTGAAAAAGCTGAGCGATGCCATTCGCGATGGCGATCCGATCCGCGCCACGATTCGATCCACGGCAACCAACTTCGACGGAAGAATGCCTGTATTCGTCGCACCGAACCCAGAGGCTCACGAGGAAATGATCAAGACGGCTTACCGGTCGGCGAATATCGAAAACATAGGCGAAACGGCATTTTATGAATGTCATGGCACCGGGACGCAGTTGGGTGACACAAGTTAGTCAAAATGCACGTCTGGTCGTCCCGACTATCTGCTAACAATAACAGCCGAACTGTCTGCCGTGGGTAATATTTTCAAAAACTCCGGCGTTTATATCGGCTCCGTAAGCAACAAGATCCTATATTCATGAGTGAAGCTCATCAGACTGCAGGTAAAAGCGAATGTCGGCCACTCAGAAGGTTCCTCTGGCCTGACTGGCCTCATAAAGACAATTCTGAGCATGGAGCATGATACAATTCCTCCTCATGTTAACTTCTCGACACCAAACCCCAACAGTATGTGCACTCATCATCGTTCCCAAAAATCGTGCTTTAACCGAATGCGCAGTTCCATTCGACTCAAACAATCTCTGGGTGTCAACAAAACCAACTCCGTGGCCCAAAGATCGCCTCAAACGAGCAAGCGTGAGCTCATTCGGAATAGGAGGGTCCAACGCACATGTAAGAGTCATTCAAGCGCTGATTCAATGTGGACGGGACTGATGTGATGACAGGCAGTAATTGAAGGCCACGAGCGACCGAAAAAGCCTCCTGCAGAAAGGTCAACCCTGCCCACATTGATAGTCCACTCTGCCAAAAGCCACTCGTCTTTAGAACGAAAAGTGAGGAGCATGCAAGATTATGTCTCTAAACACTCCGACCGCCTCATCGACATAGCATGCACTCTCTGTCAACGTCGCGAGCATCTGCAACACCGCGCGTTCACGGTACATGGGCCCGGGGCTGTCGAAAATCACCCTCAGTTGATCAAGGCGCCCGAAAAACGACCACAACTCAATTTCGTATTCACTGGTCAAGGCGCGCAGTGGAGAGGTATGGCTCAGGGGCTTATGGAGCTGGAGCCATTCAGGGACGAGGTCCTTCGAATGAGCGAGACATTGAAATCGATTCCCAACGGACCTTCATGGGATCTTGCCAGTAAGTGACCTCCCAGATCCAGACCAAGGCCTATCCTCTAACGCTTTCGTAGACCTTGTGCTGTCAGAGGATATCGATTATCCCATCCATGATCCAGAATACGCTCAGACATTATGCACCGCCCTGCAAGTCGGCATCGTCAAGGTCTTATCATCATGGCAGATCAAACCGGACACAGCATTAGGACATTCCAGCGGTGAGGTTGCAGCGGCATACGCTGTCGGCGCCATCTCTTCTTCGGATGCCATAAAAATCGCATATTATCGAGGATACACGGCTAAACAATATCCGCACAATGGTGCAATGGCAGCCGTGGCTATCAGCAAAGAGACAGCCGAGAAATACCTCAAACCGTCTGTGATAGTGGCATGCGAAAACGCCCCGCAAAGCATCACTTTGAGTGGGGATGCAAATGATTTGCATGCTATTCTCGACAGCATCAAACTGGACATTCCAAGTGTGCGGTCCAAGGTCTTGAATATTCCTATAGCTTATCACACACGTACGTCTGCCTGATTGACGATTGAGGAGAGTTATGCTGACAGATAGATCAGATTTCCTTAATAAAGCCGGCGACTCCTATGAAAAGCTTCTTAGCGAGTCGGCCTCCCCGGGCCAAACACCGATCGCAGTCTTCCAATCAACATCAAAGATCGGGGAAACGGCCTGCGCCGAAGGCTTTGACCCTTCTTATTGGCGAAATAACTTAGTATCACCGGTTCAATTCCACTCTGCGGTGGTGAACGTGTTAGAAAAGCAAGAGGACGATGACAAGGCCGTATTTCTGGAGATCGGACCGCATTCCGCTCTTTCTTCTCCCCTGCGAGATATTTGGAGAGCTCAGTCGAAGGGACCCGAGGCTGTCTACATTCCCACGATAATCAGAGACACCTCTCCGGTAATCGGATTATTCCACACAGCAGGTCGTTTGCACCAGCAAGCCGTGGACATCGACTTCCTCGCCGTCAATGGGAAAGGCAACGTTCTCACGGACCTGCCCCTCTACCCGTGGGACCATGACCAGAAATACTGGACCGAACCTCGAATCTCAAAAGAGTGGCGGCAGCAGAAGTTCCGACATCATGAAATTCTAGGATCCCGGGTCGTGGAATCAACAGACTCCAATCCCAGCTGGAGAAATGTCTTGTCGGGAAGAAATGCAGGATGGATCATTGACCATCAGCTTCGAGGAAAGATCATTTTCCCCGGAGCTGGGTTCGTTTGTGCAGCTGGTGAGGCAATCCGACAGATTTCAGGCTTGGAAGACTATACTATCCGCCATATGCGTATCGCGGAGCCCTTGATTCTACGGGAAGAATCAGATGTCGAAGTCATTACGAGCTTGGGCGTTATTCCACTCACGAATGCCGAAAACTCCAAGAGATACCGATTCACGATCTCGTCAACAACAGGCGATGAGTGGGTCAATCACTGCACCGGTGAGGTACAAGGTGGCGCTGATTGCGACACCTCGGACAAAAGGCAGCTGCTCGTTGACGATGACTCGCATCTATGGAACCGAAACGTTGAAGCGGACAGGTTCTATTCGAGTCTGAGAGCTATCGGACACGGATATGGGCCTTATTTTCAACTGCTTTCTTCAGTGCAGTCGTCGTCAGGCTCGTGTGCAGCAAAGGCTAATGTGCGTCTCGACAAGGACCTGCGCCGAACAAGCTACTATGCACAGCATCCAGTCGTCATCGATCATTGTCTTCAGCTGTCGATAGTGGCAGCCATCAAAGGGCTGACATATCGACTGGATCACCTGGTTGTTCCGGCTGCAGTAGATCACATTTATGTTGCGCCGAGCCGGGGTGAAGGCGTCGACTATTCCTTGAAGGCGTTTGCCGACAAGGTTGGAAAAGGTGCCCTCTGTCAGACGGTGGGTGGGAGCAACGGAGGAATGCAAATTGCGATCAGCGGGTGCTCAATGGTACCAATCATAAAGGACATCAAACCCATCGAAATCCAAGAGCTGCACTGGCACCCTATGCACAGCTCGATGAGTTCGTCGGAGTTGATAACAGCCACGCATAAGCCAATAGACTCGGACATGCTGGTGGAAGAGATAGCAGTTCTGTGTACTCTCGAGTCGGCTCGCACTGCTCAATCGCATAAACCTACCACAGCGCATATTCGAAAATACGCACGTTGGCTACAGTCTCAGGCAGACATGTTGCGAAAACAAGGGCTGGCGTTGGTTCCACAGGCTAAGAAGTGGGCAAATGAGGATTCATCGAACTGGCTTGACATGATTGAAAAGCGTGCAAGCCTCGCCAAAGAAATATTGGAACCATGGCAATATCATCTCATGCTCCGAGTCTTTGAGAATTTGCCCTCAATCTTGAGTGGTGATCAACAGCCCTTGGAGATACTATACGACGATGCAGGCCTCAGGGACTTTTACCTAGGACTACACACTCCCTTCGACTGCTCCCTATTCCTGTCATCGTTAGGCCACGAACTACCAGGATTGAAAGCGCTAGAGGTTGGGGGTGGCACTGGCGGATTTACGACTCACGTTCTTGGATCCCTCAAAGGCGCTTCGAAAGTTCCATTATATTCAAAATATGTGTTCATCGACATATCGGCTGGTTTCTTCCCGGAGGCACAAAAGCACTTACAGTCGTTCGCAGGTATTGAATACTCAGTGCTCGATATTTCTTCTGACCCGACAACGCAAGGATTTCCAGAACAAGAATACGATCTGGTTGTTGCAGCAAATGTATGTCAAGTCTCCGAGTAACCCAACATTTTGTCTAACTTGGAAAATCAGGTTCTGCATGCGACTCCTCTTTTGTCGAAGACTATTCAGAATGTCCACAAGCTGCTGAAGCCAGGAGGAAAGCTGCTAATGCCGGAGATCTTTCCTGGTAAGTATTGTTCTGGCTATAATGGTGATCAAAGTACTCATGCAACCGCAGAGGGCCTTTACATGAATTACATGATGGTATGCTTTCTATTAGGTCTTGTCAGAAGAGCGACAACGCAAGCTAATGCGAATTCATAGGGTACCCTTCCCGGATGGTGGCTTGGTGAGCAGGATGATCGCCCCAATAGTCCTTACGTATCTCCTGAGCGCTGGGATCAAGAGCTCAAGGCCGGCGGCTTCACGGGGCTGGATGTCATTGTTCCAGACCAACAATTCCCATTCCACAAAGGAGGCATATTGGCATCCACCAAGAAGGAAACCCTCAAGGCTTTGGACGATGTGACCTTGATCTATCACCACGAAGGCAGTCCAGTCGTTCAAATGATCAAGCATGAGTTTAGCAGAGTTGGTCATCAGGTTCATCTCACACCTTTCGGCAGTCATAAGAAGCACCAAGGGGGTATCGTCTGTTTACTCGAGGCCGAGGATGCTTTCTTCAGCGACATGACCCAGGACAGATGGCATGCATTCCAAGAATTCCTCCGTGACATTGATCAAGCCAGTGTTTTGTGGGTCGCAAGAGAGACGCATGTACAATGCCAAAATCCAGATTATGCTCTCACACTGGGCGTAGCACGCACGATCAGGTCCGAGCTTGCGGTCGAGATGGCAACATTTGAAACACAATCCTTCGACAATGGATTTGCCGATGCATTGCGAATTGCCTATAACAGTTTCCGTGGAAAGTACGGTGGAACGAATGATCGCGAATACGAATACCTATACCGTGATGGAAAATTGCATATTGGACGATACCATTCCGTGCCAGCGGAAAATGCGGTTTCTGCCAAGAAGCTGCAGTCCATGGATGCTAGAATGCTGTCTATCGGGGTTCCGGGAAGTTTGAGCACTATGTTTTGGAAGCCCGTGGCATGTTGCCCACCGCAAGATGATCGGGTTGTGGTCGATATTCAGTATACGGGCCTCAACTTTAGGGTACGCCATATTCTCAAAGGTATATCGGCAGGCAACTTTGCTAATGTTTGTTATAGGACCTCCTGCAAGCGCTGGGAGCCTTCGGCGAGAAAGTAGAATTCGGTATCGAAGCAACCGGAATTGTCAGTCAAGTCGGTCCTAGCTCCAACCTGAATGTTGGGCAGCGAGTTGTGGTTATGGCACCACACGGGTTGCTTGCCACGCGCGCTGCAGTGTCTTGCAATAGTTGCGTACCAATTCCCGACAGTATCAGCCTAGAGGACGGTGCTGCTTTGTCCTGTGTCTATAGCACAGTCATCCTTGCGCTATTGCATCAGGGAAATTTGCGCAAGGGGCAGGTGAGACATTGAATCTTGCTTTCGGATCACATGCCTGTCATTCTAACTATTGCAGACTATTCTGATTCACTCCGCCTGTGGCGGTGTTGGTCTCGCGGCTATTTCTCTCGCCTTGATGCAAGGCGCCGAGATCTATGCGACCGTGGGAAGCGAAGCTAAAGCGCAGTATCTTCACGAGCGATTCGGCATTCCAAGGTGTAGAATCTTCAACTCCCGTGACTCGTCATTCCAGAGCGGCGTAATGCGGGAGACCGACGGAAAGGGAGTTGATATGGTGCTCAATTCGTTAGCAGGAGAGCTTCTGCATGCTTCCTGGGAGTGTGTTGCGAAGTTTGGAAAGATGATTGAAATCGGAAAAAAAGATATCATGGGCAATGGTTCACTCCGCCTTGCTCCATTCTTGCACAACCGATCGTTCGTTTGCGTTAGTATGGACGAAATCATGTCCGATCGGCCCGAGCTGAACCGCGAGTATGTGCATTGATCTCACGGTCTCAAAATCTTTGCTAATGATAGTACACAGGATCCTCAGTGAAACGTTCCGGTATATTGAGGAAGGACTCATCGAGCCCATCAGACCTATACGGACTTTCCCTGCCAGCCAGGCGGAGGAAGCGTTCCGCCATATGCAAGGCGGGCAGCATATCGGCAAAGTTTTGGTACAGATGCCAGCGAACATTGACGATCTACCACACTCTACAAAAGCAGATGCGCCGAAGTTTTCGCCAGAGGCTGCTTATCTGTTGATCGGCGGATTAGGGGGTGTTGGACGGTTTGTGTGCCGATGGATGGCTGACAATGGCGCGCGAGAGCTCGTCTGTCTTTCCAGGTCATCACCATCGTTATACACGGATTTCGTGTCCGAGATGAAGGGTCAAGGTTGTCTCCTGACGCTCGTACAAGGAAATGTTGCCATAGAAAATGAGGTCAAGATGGCACTTCGATCTTGCAAAAAACCCCTAAAGGGTGTCATCCACATGGCGATGGTTCTAGAGGTATGCATGTCTCACATCTCTATGTCAGTATGAAGCTCACGATTCTCAACCCATTAGGACCGACCAATCCTACAAATGACCTTGGATGAGTGGAATGTTCCGCAAGAGCCGAAAACATCTGGGACATGGAGTCTTCACCGGGCTCTTCAGGGCACCGACCTTGACTTTCTCATTCTTTTCAGCTCCATCTCCAGTGTTTGTGGGCAGCCAACCCAGGCAAGCTACAGTGCAGCCAGCTCGTTTCTGGGCGCCTTTGTCAGATACCGGCATTCTTTAGGTCTGCCGGCCGCCGTGATCGACCTAGGGATTGTTGGAGACATAGGACGTCTCACCGGGGCAGACCGTCGCCTGCTTGAAACCACCTTGCGGGGTTACATAACGATCGGCGAGAAGGAGATCTTCCGCGCCATTGAAGTTGCGATGATGCGCCAGGAGCCCGGTAGTGTCTCTGAAGGATTCCGCAATAGCCAATTCGCGGTGGGGCTTACTCCACTGCCAAAAGACAGCCCACATCACATGAATAGTCTCTTGCATGGGGATAAGCGCATTGACCTGCTGAGACCTGCATTGACACATGCGCAGCCTGTGCAGGACGAAGCTAGTCGGGTCCAGAGGCTCTTCAGTGCCATGTCTCAAGACGCAACGTTTTGCGAGAGCGACGAGGCCTCGACGCTGACTCAGCAGGAGGTCATTCACCGATTGAGTTGCTTGTCCGGTTCCAACGAGCAAGACGTCGGGCTGCAACAGCCATTCTCCCAGTTGGGACTTGATTCCTTGGTCGTGGTGGAGTTGCGCATCTGGGTCCAACGCACATTCCATATCCAGGCGAGCGTGCCGGAAATCATGGGCACGGGTCACGTCGAGGGGCTAACACAACTGATCCTAAGTCGAGTGAAACCGCGATGAGCAATTGAAACCTTAGATCTGTATTTAGTACGGAGTACGGAGTCAATTAAAGGGATAAAATTTGGTCTCCTGGATGTAGTGGACCTAGTTGACGATCAACAATCTAATTGACATTTGAGTCGGTCCACGCCGTGCCCATCAACAAGGCGAGACGGGTCTATCGATGACATTTTTTTCAGAATAGAAGTGAAACATCGGTTTTTTGGGTAATGGCAGTTCGATGATCAATAGCCATCGGGATGGAAGAAGTCCCGTTCATCGTCGAGTCCATCCGTGGACGTCGTGCGAGTAGAAGGAAGAAGGGAGAAGGAAGGAGAAAGAGAGAGAGAGAGAGAGAGAAAGAGGAAGGCGGAAAGGCGGCAGAATGAGATGCCAAGATAGCATGTGACCTGTCCCAATGCGGTCTAGCCCCGTCACCTGCATTCCCTTTCGAGTCTTTCCTCAATTCCTCAAAACAAACCGTCTTCCATAGTACAAGATGATCTGACGTGACTCAATATCTACACTCTCCCTATCTTAATCCCTCTTTCCCCTCAGCCCGTGAAGCAGCGCGTCTCGGTCTCATCTCCGACTCGTGCATGGCTTGGCACGCATAAAAGTGGAGACCGGCCAATTTTGCCGTTGACTGCCCGGAGTATGGCATCAGTCCGTCGACCAGCCAAAGAGCTCATCAGCTGTCTGTTGGCCTATTCTATCGTAATGCTCACGAATGGAATGTTGAGACAGTGGACGCGAGGTAGTGATATTCCTCCTCCCCGACATCCCCAACGAGTTATTTTCGCGGACAATTTTGCCTGCTTGATATCGCCAGTACGCCGCGCATCGGAGGTATGAACATGGATAGTCGATCAATTTGCATTAAATGCAGGTGTAATCAGATCTTCTTCGACCTATCAACTCTCTGAATCTCCGCCAGACCTTGTATATTATTAATGTATCACGCTTGGCACGTTCAATCTCGCAGCCCGAATCCTCGTCCGACATCAGCACTAACAATCTAGAATCTACATGCTCGGACCGGGGTGATCTTGCAATGTGGCATTTGCTGGTGATGGCAGTTTCGCCGCATGGTCTCTAGATTCGTTATTTGTAATGGCGTCGTCGCCATCCATGTCAACTCCGGCTATATATACCTGCCTCGAGCCCTGTAAACAATTACTTTTTTTTCTCACAGCACAACAAATTTCGTCTCCTCAACTTTAACAACACCCAATCACCATGCCATCCTTCGACGGCCTCACGACCAGCGAAGAGGTCCTCGAGGCCTTCGGGTCCCAGATCAAAGACCGCACCTTCGTGATCACCGGCGCCGGCAAGCCCAGCATCGGCGAGCAAATCGTCAGCTACCTAGCCCAGGGCTCTCCAGCACACATCATCATCGCATCGCGCACTGAACGCAAAGTCACCCCGGTCCTCGAAGCAATCAAAGCAATTGACAGCTCGATCAAGACGACTTTCGTCCACATCGACCTCTCAGACCAAGACTCGGTCCGTCACGCCGCCGCCGAAATCCTCGCCGTGGCGCCCAAGATCGACGTCCTGATCAACTGCGCCGGCGTCATGGTCGTCAAGGAATACACGACCAGCAAGCAAGGCATCGAGCTGCAGCTGGCAACCAACCACATCGGCCACTTCCTGCTCACGAACCTCCTCGTCCCGGCGCTCGAGGCCGCCGCGCCCTCCCGCGTCGTCAACCTCTCCAGCTCCGGCTACCGCATCTCCCACTTCCACTTCGACGACTGGAACTTCTCCGACGGGAAGACCTACGATGGCTGGACCGGGTATGCGCAGTCTAAAACCGCCAACATCCTGTTCGCCATCGGCTTCACGAACCGTATCAAGCACCGCGGCATTACCTCGACGGCTCTCCATCCTGGGTATAATCTGGAAACCGAGCTCGGGACTCATCTGGGCCCGGATGACTATGCGCTCATCGATCCGGTCATTAAGCGTAACACGGGCAATGAGTTTGTGTTCGAGGAGCCTCGCTTCAAGTCTCTGTCGCAGATTGCTGCCACGGCGTTGATTGCGTCGTTGGATCCGGAATTGCCGGAGAAGTCGCCCGCTTTCTTGCAGAATAGTCGCATCGACACGCCGGATCCGCATGCCACGGACCCTGAGGCGGTTGAGAAGCTCTGGAAGTTGAGCGAGGAAATCGTGGGGCAGAAGTTTGAGTACTGATCCCTGTCATTTGCATCGAGTCCCTGCAGCTGGTCATGATTCTATGCCGAGAACGGAGTATGTTTATAGTTCATCGCTACTATAGAAAGAACTCATCTACACTCCCTCTTCATCTCACCCAATAGCCTTCTGCAAGTATTACAATTACATCTAAGCATTATATCATGAATATATACAGTCCGAATCTACAACCCACCCATCTATAATCAAACATGCTCTCTAACACCCACCCTCTCCTCACCACTCCCACCACCAGGCAACCCACCCGTCGACGTCTGCGTAACCTCAAACGTCTGATGAATACTCAGCCCCATCTCGCCGCCGCCATCATGCACGGCGATCGGCGACGGCTGCGCGATCGTCAGCCTCTCTTCGCTACTGTTCGGACTGCTGGGGCCCCCGCGCCACGACTGCTCCGGGTCATGCTGACTCTGGCTCTGGATCGTCGTCACCGTGACGGCCAACTTGTCGGGCCGCAGTCGACTCTGCACGTCGTTGTCGAGCGAGCCGAGAGGAAATGGCCGGTCGCGACTTGCTCCCGCCGCGGCCCGGCGCGATGCAGAAGGTCCTGGGAATGGCGACGAGTAGCTTGGGTCGGCGCGCGAGCCGAGCCAGTGGCGCAGGAGAGGGCGCAGGGTCGCGAGACTGCCGGCGGTGATGCCGAGGCCGGTTTCGATGTTCGACCAGATGGCGATTTCGACGGTGGCGTCTGTTGGGAGTTAGTGGGTGAGTGTAGGTAAACTGGCAGGGGAGGGACGTACAGAGGAAGTCCGGGTCCGCGAATGTTTTGACATAGGGAATGCGGATGATCACTGCTGACGAGGCACTAGGATTCTAAGTTAGTAGCTGCGTGCACAGCAAGATAAGAGCGACATACATGCAGGCCATGCTGAGAATGCAGACCACGGCGATTTTGGTCTGCTTCTTCATATGGAGCTTGCGCACGAGGAAAATAGGCAAGAGACCGACGGTGAAATCGCAGATGGCCGCAAACGCGCTGTACACGTAGGTCATGGCGATGATGATATCAATGCTGATGCAGTGGCCGTCGATGTCGGGGTCGAAGGCCGTGCGAGTCCAGAAGTAGGCGAGCGGCTTGCATTGCAGCAGCATCAGGAACATGAAGACGAGGCCGGCCAGCACGGTCAGCACCATGACGGTGTACAGGATCCACAGGTGGATGGGCTTGACGGTGATGCGCATCAGGAAGATGCAGACGGAGATCTTGCAGAAGATGGAGGCGAAGCAGTAGGCGATTTCGCAGAGCCACCAGTACTGGGGAATGGTCAGAATCGGCTATCTTGGAGATTGCAGATGGGTCGAGAGAGGTCAGTGTACCTTCATGGCTGTGACTCGTTCGTGGGCAGTGAGATCGGCGAATCGCCGCCCCGTGCCGTATATCGAGCCTCCGATCATACAGGCCGAGAACATGACGTGGAATAGCTGCAACTGGTTAACGACGGACGCGACCACGGCGAATCCCAACATACCATGGCAAACACCATCGTGCCGTCATCCCATCCGAAGCCCTTGACGACCCATCCGCGCACGTAACAGCGCAGCATGACGGTGACGCAGGCCACCGACATGAAGACGGCGGCGACCGCCTTGACCTCGAGACTGCGGTCATCGTCCGCACTGGTCATGCTGCAGGCGTCCAAGCATGATTCCGGACAGGAATCAGAGGGAAGAGAAAGAGGAAAGCAAGGGAGAAAAAAGGGAGCAGCGAGGACCAAGTGTGGGGAAGTCGGGCGACAAGGCTCGATATTTATTTCCCAAGCTCACGATCACAGAGTCATCTCCTCTAGTCTCCCAGAAACCAGGTTCGACTAATTTAGTGCGGAGGTTCCGGCTCGAGAGTGGCTCTTCTCTTGGAGATCGACGAAACACGGAGTCGGCAAGACGACATGAAAGACGGCAGAGGCTCGCTTAGCCTCAGCTGCCCCTTCTTGGAGGCCTGGCATGTGTGGAGAGGAATTTCCTCTGGGTCGAGCGCAAATATGGGAGATGCGCATTCCAGTCCCCAGCGCCGCACGGCGAATGGGAAAGCGTCGCCCGAGGGCGACCGGTGGCAATCCAGACTGGACTAGACCAGACTATTGACGCGGAGAGTCGCAGGCCGTCGGGGAGATTTTTCCAGCGAGACGGGCAGCTTGGGACAGTGGCATCGGTGACCATTACACTTCTCTAGCGCGATGGGACATGACGAGCAGGCGCTCCACCAGGCCCACGGGTCAAGCGAACCAAACCGGCAGTGAGGCCGTCGCCACGAGTCAGAACCGGTCGATCGATGGCCACCTGCCAATCCGGGAAAAGGAGAGGCGATTCGCTCCCATGGATGATGGCTGGTGCTCGCGATGTCGCCGTGGAGCTGCCCGTGGCATGACAGCATGACATGGGCAGATCCAAATCGAACATGTTCTTCGATTGGGACTCTACGGAGGATATGGGTTTTCGAATTCAATTCCTGGACCATGCACGGCGAACACTGACCCGATTACGAACGCCGGACCGTCCAGGGCCGCTAAGAAAAGGCGAGAAATGAAGGGCTCCACTCGCCTGGGAATGTCACAGATTTACAATTGACAACACCCAAAATAAACACGAGCGAAAAACTCAACTGCCAGCAGGGACCGTTTTTTCGCTCGACCTGACAGCCCGGAAAAAATCAAACGGTCCGGAGGTTTCCTCGCGCGCTGCGTTGGTCGTACTTTTGCCGTCTCCTGATCCTAATCCCTGATTCCTAATCCTCCCCCTCGAACACTGCATTCCTGCGTATTAATTCCCCTCAAGCGTAATGATCCTGCCAGGCCCTTGGCAATTCCTTGGGACTCAAACTGCCGAGGTTTCTCGACTCGGTCGCCCCTGGCTCATGGTTCCTTCGGCCTGGACGAAACACGGGAGAATCTTCGACGCACACGTGTAGCGACGCCATTTCCCGCGGTTTTTCTCGGTCGCGCAAGCCTCCGAACCAGAAATCTGTCCCAGAACTGCCTTCTTGGGACTAGTTGGCGTCGCGGAGACGTCCTGACACGCTCGGGGTCAAGCCACCGGTGGCCACCGTCCATCTGCCCATTGTTCTGCATTTAGGAATCTGACGGACAGTCACCCTGTCGTTCATTGTCTGCAATCCCTGAAGACACACCCTTGAATGTCGGAGTAGAATGTCTTTCAATCCCTGTGCGCCCGGGCCTCCGACGGAGAAATCCGCTCCGGACTATCGTCAACTGGTGCAATTGTCCATTTGTGACTTTCTCTTAATCCACGTTATTATAGGCCCCCTGCCGAGAACTGCTTCTTAAATAGGGTCGACTCCTGGTTACCCCTAATCAAATATTTTTCGCTGCGCACACGCCTCTTGCCGTCTGAAAACTACTCGAGACTAGCGTTCCAAGTCTTTGTAGCGCTCTTGAGTGGATCCGGCGATATCAAGAGCACCGCTTTAGGAGACGCTTCCCGTTTCCACAATGATAAGCAGCTTGGGATTTTCTAAGTGTTCCATTCTTGCAGGTCGGTGCGAGTCTATGTTGATGTAGATATATCAGAAAATATTCTAAAGTATCTTTCCTTCATAATCTAGCATTCCAATTCCCAAAGAGTAATTCGTATGTATCTCATGCCCTAGTCGATTTATAAGCAAATCAGTAGGTTTACGTTTTACCCTGTGGTGAATATGGCCTACTTATGTCCAAAATGAATCAAAACCCGAGTGAATTTATGGGAAGTAGTGATTCATTTCCTTCATTCACATAGGAGAGGCACATCCCTGTCTTCCCAGAAAGAAAACTCTCTCTACCACCTACTTTACAGATTCCACTACTTCTCCCTTCCTATTCCAGCTTATCCTACATTGCTTCGCGTCCATTTTTCCAACTTGTTTCTGATTTCTTGGGCTTGAATGAACAATTAACTGCCCGTAGTCAGCAAGATCGCCCTGATTGCTTTGGAATGCATTGATCAAGACATTTTTCGCCGCTTTATGGGCGCTGTCAATACCGCAAAGTCCCCGATTTCGATATGAGTCTATTCAGCACAGCAAATGCCATAAGAGAAGCTAACCATTAACGCCCTCAAAGACGTTGCACACTTCACACTCTCGTCGCCATCGAGAAAAGACGACATCAAGCCAAGGGATTTCTTTATGCATGGTTCATGTTAGTGGACTTACTACAAGGGTCTACTCTACCTACTTAAAACACCCGTGTTCAAGAAATACTCCACGCGAATTTAGAACGTGCTCTTGCCTCATTCGTCAATTCCAACAAATCTGCCGAGAAGAACGCTGGCGCAGGAAGGAAAAATAACGAGTTTGCTGGGCTCATATCTTTATGCCCACCGAGTTTTACACAGCTATATTATGTCAATGTCCGCGAGAACAGATCAACCTCCGTGTGCTAGCCGCATTGCCTGCGAACGCCTATAATCCAGCGAGGCCATCTAGTTGAATGCAAATGCCCTGGAGCAGGTGGGAAATTCCTGCAGAAGTCCTATGCAACGAAAGTGAACGATGCGAGGCTCGTGGAAATATCATCAACAGCGCCAAGGTTTCAATTGCCGGAGGTCGCTGTCCAAATTCATCGAGAAACGGCTACTTACTGATCTGCTGGAAGCCTGAAGATTGCAGACATGGCCCCGAAGGCGTGTGAAAGTCGCCATACTCGACACAGAGATTGACCGAGCATATCCGCTCTTGGATGAAGCCATTGGGCAAGTCAAAAGCCAGTATAGCAGGACAAATGAGATGCCAGCAAAGCTTGTTGACAGTTACACCGGACATGGTACCTTTACACTATGCACTGATTCCGAACGCAGTTTTCGCACTCCTGCAACAGTTGTGAGTAGTCATTTCTTTCTGTCTGTGTCACTGACTCTAATATTCAATACCAGTACAACAACGGTGACAGAGAGCATATCCGATCACAAATAGCCAAGAAATACTGGGATCTGATCAGCCAAGTACCAGAGACTCTTAAAAAGACTACTCGCACACTTATCATCGGCATTTCTACCAACGACCTCCAGAAAACGCTATTTATGGATCATTGGCATTGCATCTATGCCACCGTGGTTGATTATTGACAGGAAATCGAATCCATCTACCTTATCTCACTGCACATCCTTTGTCACCCTTTCCGTATCTATCACCTGCGATACACAATTCTACATTTGACCTGGACTGATCAAATGATACTGCGATTCACAGTCCCACTTGTTATTATCGGACTTCTTCTTGTGGCGTTTTGGTACCAGGCCTGGATAAAAAGAGCGTATGTAAATAAGGCTATTGCAGAGGTTATGTTATAAGTATTTAACGAATAATATCTACCTACCCACCCCATCTCCCTGAGTAACAGAATACAAAATCACGCATGTCCCTCCACCGTAGACATTACAGATCTTCCCCGTGCTTGAACGCCACGGCCCAAGACCCAGGAACCGCCCATTAGTTGTATAGTAACATCCGACCATCAAACTCCCATTGGCCATTTTGTCTTCGTCCCCAATTAGATCGAACTCGACTTGTCGTACAAACGGCTGTAGGACGTAGGACGTAACGCCCGGGCGAATGCTCGCGTCTTGCATTTCCAGCATGACAGCCGCCCATTCTTGTTCCGAGAGATCGGCTCCCAGCAAGTGGCCTCTGCCGCGGCTTTGGCGAGCTGCTTTTAAAATATAGTCGTCCTTGCTGGTCCTGGCTTGGTGGTGGCTTTGGATCCAGCTCTTGAGTTCCGGAGATCCGGGCAAGAGGGTGGGTACTATGCCTTGTTGCAGAGTATGGGCTTGGTCTGGGGTCAGAATGCCGTGTTTGCTGGTTAGAGGTTCGAGCTCCTGCAGGATAATGCCTAGGAATCGCTGGTCATTTACGAGTAAGGATATCCGCAGATCGTTCACGGCTAGCGTCGCCAATTGCCGAAGCATGTCCTGCGACAGCGAGCTGAACTCGTCCGGAAAAAGCGTCAAGACCACCTGATCGATCTTTTCGGACGGGTTCTGGTCTTGCTCCGTATGTCTGCAATAAAGGGAGTAGCCTGTCACGGAAGACGAACCAGGCTTCAACTCCAGATCGTCGACGCTCACATATCGTGGACACATCCCTGTTCTCTGTTCCACCAGCCGCACGAATTCCTGTCGATCGAGTTGGTCTCTCCCTCGGATGATATGAATCGGTAGGTCTGCACGGAAGAGACCAAGCAAGCCATTCACCCAATCGTCCAAGTCTCCGACAGGCTGGATGGCTGAGTGGGATCCCATTAGTTTTCGCATTTTGAGATGCTTGTATGCGCTGCAGATTACTAGGTTGTCGGGCGTGCGGCTGTTGATCTCGCAGATCTGAAATCCAAGGCCCGTGGCGCTGTCGTTTGCAGTAACTAGGAAATCCGGCCTCCAGTTGCCGAGGCGGTCTTGGAATGCTGGGATTGTCTGGTTTCGGCTTTGCTCGTCTATCCACTGCGGTTTCGGTTAGCATGATGGCTGTTCTGGTTGGGCAATGTGAGACAAGGTGACTTGCCTGGAGCGCCGCCTCTACGGAAGCTTCCAAAGGCATTCGAGCCGGGAAGTTGGCATCGGTATCGATCCACCATCGGTCGACGATGTTCACGACGGCTCTCACGAGCGTGTCGTGGAAATATTCCAGACCCGTAATGAAACCCTTATCGGTCAAGATGGGATGGGGCGAAAGCGTCTCGTTCTTGGGGTCATACCCAGGCTGATGCAATAACGAGATGACTTTGTGATAGGTTTCAGCTTCATTGCTTCGATCCTTCTCGCTGGCTTCGATTGCTCGTATCTGCTGCCCCTCTGAATCGGTCACTGACCAGCAGACTTGCTGGTGGTGAGGCGTGTTGTAAAGACTGCCCATTTTGAGGATCTCCTATACTAGTGTGAATGCAGTGGGCGGCGATATGACGGGAGGCAATAGAGGCAACATTCGCAGGAGGGAATATACTTGACATGTGTAGTCAGCCTTCCTATCAACTAGGAACTGTCCTTTCCATAAAATAAGAGTAAATGAGAAATGCTTTGCGGAACCAACGCTCAATGTTCCATCTCCACTAGATCCAACATCGCGTCGACTCGACTGCTCACCACAGCCGATCTGTCTCCCACCAAATCTGTCATTTATTTGACTTTCTGGCCCAAGGGATGGAATGTAACTGTCTCGAGACTTTTCCGGATACCCGTATGTCGGGCTCTTCCCGAAACGGAAAGTCGAGGATGGGGGTGCGGTCAAGGTGTCATCCATCCCTTGCTTCGATGAAACATGACAGTTGCCGAATGCAGCAAGACTCTTCGCCGGAAATGGCTTGTCAGTAGGTGAGAACAGTCGCTGCAAAAGAATATAGCAGAAGCGCAGCCCATAGACTCCCGCTCCAAAGACATCCTCACCTCTTTTCCTCTGTATTTTGAACTACTGTACATCCACCATGGGCAGCATCAATCCGCTTCTTCGCATGCCCCAGATCTGTCTGGAGGCGTCTAGGAAAAACGGTGTCCCGTCGCCGGCGTCAAGTGCCTCTTATGAAGATAGGAAACGCAGCCAAGATGCCTATCACGCGGCTCTCGTCCACTACATAAAAGGCGAGTTCATTCTTTCATACCCCCTGAACTACCAGTGTCCACATCCAGTCCTGGTGCCCAATAGCTTTATCGCATCATTGAAGGAATTCCACGTGGCACTTTCGACTGCCTTGACGAACATCGTGCAGAGATGGGTTGTCGATGAAGACGCGGACTTGCCCTCGCGCATGCCGCTCGAAAGACACGAGGAGGAAATCCTAAGGGTATGAGCCTTGAGTTTTTCGCTTTGGCGTTGACTTTGATTGACAACTGTCCGATATATCTAGTGGATTTATCAGCTCGCGGAAGATAAACAATTCCCCGCCTACAAAGGCCACCAGGGCAATTGGCGACCTGACTTCCTCCTGCCCGCCGACACAGTCGACGGGTTCAAGGTCTGCGAAATAAATGCTCGATTCCCATCTAACGGCATCGACTTGGCCGCGTGGATCTACAAGTCTCTGGACAACTCGGAAATAAAGCCCTTGGATCTTGATGTCGCAGGAGACCCCGACCATATTCTGGGTCGTCTGCAGGCTCTTTTCCTCCCAAAGCCGCCTCTTCACGTTGTCCAAGACCTTGACAAAACCGCGATGGTCGAGGCCTTCAACAGAGTGTTGGGCGATTTGAATCCGCGTATTTTGAGCCCTCTTGATCTGCATCTTGTGCCAGATGAGGCTTCGCCGACGGGTTATAAGCTCCAGTGCGTGAGGGAGCCAGGCTCGTCTGACGACAATCAAGATGGCGATACAGAGGATATCCACCAGGTGGCTCTTCGACTGTTTATGACAGAATTTGCCGCCCTCTCTCCCGAAATGCAGCGACAGCTGGCGTTCCTCAGCGGCAACGATATCCGGACTATATTTCTGATCCACGACAAACGCATTCTAGGCATCTTGCGCCAGGAATTAGACGATCTGGTCAGCAAACACCGTGTTCTCACCCAACGACAAGCCGACCTGCTGCGGGAGCGAGTCGTCTTCACCATCCTCCCGGGATCAAAAGAGCTTCAGCAGCTCATTCACTCGCATCGTGAAGGCAAGGTGTCCAAGGACGAGTTCATCCTCAAGCCCATCCGGTCAGGTCGCGGACAGGGAATCGTTTTTGGCCAGGACCTAAGCACCTCCGAATGGGAGGCTACTCTCGCCGACATGCAGAACCCGGAATTAACTCCTGGCCGAACGCTGTACATTATCCAGCCGGTGGTGGAGCAGGCTGAGGGGGATATGTTCTTGGATGAGAAAGTGGGAGTGCAGCGAGTTCAGCGGGTGGGCACATACCACAGCATGCATGGCGAGTTTGTGGCCTTGGGAGGGTGGAGAGCTGGCATCTTGTCCAACCGAACTATCAATATGTCGACTGGAGATGCTTGGAAGATGGGCAGTGTAGTGAGAAAGATGAACTAGAGAACCATCAATAATTCCATAGCACCGAGTGAATCTCATCAGACCATATTTTGGCCCACTTGATGAACATCCAATGGCAATGCTAAGTCCCCCAGACCCTGTCTAGATGTAGTGACACGACATGCGCCAACGACCCCCTGTCTCGATGCTCAGAAATCAGGCGAAGCTTTTCTCCGGCCAGCTTGTCTCACCATCGAATCCCGAGCTGAGTTTGTTGTCCTACCGACTAATGCTGATTGCGTAACCCGACGGTTCCAGTCAGTCCGACTTGCCCTAATTTTAGGCGGTTTGCTTTTTGCGCGAACCTGGCTGGTTGGTTCTTATCCCAATTTGAGGATAATTGGCTGTTACTTCGAATAGCATTCTTGATTCTGTAACCAACCCTGCTGTATGAACTGGTTACTACAGGCGTGTAACCATCGTGAGCCATCGAGGACACGATCCAATGTCGTAGTTTTCGGATCAATCAGTCGATGTCCTCCTCGTCAGCAGTCACAATTCGGCTCTGATCGACCTCGGACGTTATCTTCAAACATAAATGGTTACATCGCCAACAGGTTGATTTGCGGGGAATTCCCATGATCTTCAGAACCCCGCTTGCGACGATGTGTCTCTGCCAACCAGCACAGAGCATGCGAGACGATCCCCGAAGCGATCGCTCTTGGGGCTTGGGTGTGGATGCATCGGAGTGCCACAGATTGGTCGGTTGGGTCGGTTAGACAAGCTCGCGCATGTTCTGCATGGAGGATGGGCATGTTTGGCTTGGCTGGTCGAGGAATAGCCTATTTGTTTGTCTCTTTTCCAGTCTGCCCGGGATGGGTGTTAGTTATAGATATCTCTCTATCTCGATGCCAACAACCGCAGAGAACAGCATCGTACTATGAATGACGCAGGGAATAAAACAAGACTATCGGTCGAGCACCATGAAACCACCTCGTCTCCTTCGCCTTCTAATGAATCCACTGAAAAGAACCAGTCGCTGCTTTCCTCCGTCAAACAGTCTCCCAAAATCGCAGCCTACTGTCTGGCCCTGACGTCCGGAATCCTGCTATACGGATATGACCTCGTCATCGTGGGCAATGTCTCCTCCATGCCTAAATTCCAGTACATCCCTCCCTCCCACATATTGTGAACATAGACCCTAACCCCCCAGGCGCGACTTCGGCCGCAAGCTCAACAACACCCTCATCATCCCCTCCCTCTGGCTCGGCCTCTGGAACATCGCCAACCCCATCGGCGGCATCTTCGGCTCCCTGCTCGCCGGCTTCGTCCAAGACCGCACCGGCCGCCGCTTCGCCCTCGCCCTCGCCAGCCTCATCTCCGCCCTCGGCGTCGCAGTCGCCTACGTCTCCAACCTCCCCGACGCCATCGACGCCCGCCGCGCCGTCTTCTTCGTCGCTAAGTTCGTGCAAGGCTTCGCCGTCAACATGATCATGTGCACCACCCAGACCTACATGTCCGAGGTCCTGCCGCCGGTCCTGCGCGGCCCTATACTGGCCTTCTTCCCGCTCTTCATGCTCCTGGGCCAGTTGATCGGCAGCGTCGTCGTCTTCACCCAGCTAGACGCCCCCGGCGCCATCGGCTACCAGAGATGCATCATCTCGCAGTGGCCATTCTCCGCCATCCCGATGCTCGTGGCGGCGTTTCTGCCCGAGAGCCCGACATACCTCGTGCGCAGGGACCGAGTCGATGATGCACGCAAAGCCCAGCGCCGACTCGACTCCACAGCCGTGAACTCCGACGCGAACCTCGAACACCTGCGTCTCTCTCTCCGACTCGAAAGCGAAAAGTCAGACCACGCAGGGGCAGGATACATGGAGTGTTTCCGGGGCGTGAACCGTCGGCGCACGATGATCGTGTTGTTTGCGAATCTGGTGCCTCAGCTGTTCGGGCTGACGCTGCTTGCGAAGGCGAGTTATTTTCTGCAGACCGTGGGCATGGATGCCACGAATAGTCTGCTGTTTCTGCAGGTGGGGATCGCGTTGGGTCTCGTTGCTAATATAGTGAGTATGTGGACGTTGACGAGGTTTGGGCGCGTTCCGCTCTTGCTGTTTGGGCTGTCGGTGTCGACGGTGCTTTGGACGGCGATGGGGATTTTGGGGTGTTTTCGGGGGGTGGTTACTATTTGGTATGTTCTCTCCTGTCCATTCACTACCTTGTCTCTAGGGGTTCGGATGACTGACTCGACAGGTGGTCTGCTGTATCTCTCATGCTGGTGATCATGATCTGCGGGCTCAGCACCTGGCCGGCGTCGTATGTCGTGGCGGCTGAGACGTCGGCGCTGTGTCTGCGTTCGAAGACGCAGGGTCTAGGATGGTTAGTGAATGGTCTGTCGAATGGCGTCTTTGGGCTGGTGCTGCCGTATATATTTAATCCTGATGAGGGCGCGCTCCGTGCGAAGACGGGGTTCGTGTATACGGGTTTTTGTGTCCTCGCAGTGGCTGGGACGTGGTTGTTTGTTCCGGAGATGAAGGATCGAAAGCCGATGGAGATTGATCGGATGTTTGAGATGAGACTGTCGACGAGGAGGTTTAAGGGTTGGGTTGAGGAGGAGAGCTCTGCTTGAGGGGAATTGGCACTAAAATAGGAGAGAGAATTGGGTTTTACGTAGCTATAAATAATGACCTATTGATGGAAAACTTCGTCAAATACCTTATATTTAATAGTATATATGGCAGCTCCTTACTGCCTCTTCAAGAAGCTCTACTTAGATATTTTTAAAGGGTTTGTACAATCTGTACCCATATCCCAATTTGAATGGCACAAGGCATTCAACCGATAACCAATATATTTTGGGCGCCAAAGCCATTGCCATAAATCATAATAGTCATATAACCAAATCCGGTTTCTGGCCTATACTTTAAAAGTCTGCAGTCTCAGCCTCGGTAGGCTGGATAGCCTTGTTTTTACCTTTCTTATACACTCGCTCGTCATTGGGGTCGAATCCACCGTTACCCCACTGAGCCCATTCCTCGGTCTCTCGCATGTAATCCTCAGGGGTGAAGGAGGTGCCGTCGGCTTTCTCCTTCTCCAGCAGCTGGAAGAAACGTTCGTAGTCGATGCGCGAGTGCCACTTGCCGTTGACGTGGAATCGCTCCGACGCGATCAGCACGCAGCAGCTGTGCGCGTGCTCGGCGGCAATGCCGTAGTTCAGACCCCGGCGTTCGAGTTCTTTGTTGAGCGCCACCACGAAGGATGCGATTTCTTCGTAGAAAGGCACGTTTTGCATCGTGAGGCCGGCTCCGGCGCTCGTGCTCGTGCCGCAGTACGTCACGCCCTTGATCTCGACGAAGCACGGCAGGGCCTTCTCGACGAGGTTGGCGTAGCCGATCACTTCGTCGTCCACGTTGAAGCCCTTGACCAGCGTGAGGCGGAAAACGGTCCGCTGCACGTGGCGCTTCTCGCGCAGGATGTCCAGGCAGCGCTGGAAGCGCTCCCAGAAATCGCGATGCAGGGGCCGGTCGATCTTGCGCAGGCTCTCGCGGTTGCTGGCGTCGATGGAGACGTACAGTTGTGTTACGCGCTTCAGGTTCTCGAGCTGGTCCGGGTGTTGAGCGTTACACACGAGGAAGCTGGAAATGTGCTCGGCGTGCAGCATCTCGAGAAACTCGTTGATGTGCGGGTAGAAGATGGGCTCGCCGACGAGACTGAGCGCGCAGTGCCGGATGCGCATGGCCTCTGCGAATCGCTCGGCGCGAACGCCAGGAACACCGCGCATCATCTTGATCTTCTTGTAGTGACCTTCTTTGACTCCATTAAAAATCAGCTCGGGGGAGTCCACCTTCCAGCGCCAGGTGGTTCCGACGGGGTTGGTGCCGTGTCGCCAGCAGAAAATGCACTTGTTACTGCAGGAGAGCGACGGGGTCGCCTCCATGCACAGGTGAGACCGAATACCGTAGAAAGAATACTTGTAGCACGAACCGCGGCCACGTAGGGCAGACTTGGTCCATCGGCAAATCTTAACACCGGAGTGAGAGCCAACAATCGTGTAGCCCTGCTTCGTCAGGGCGGCGTAGGTGGGCGATGTCTTGGGAACCATTTCTTTGCCAGTCGATTGGCTCGTCGGCGCAGGCTGTTTGCCACCGGTGGTGAAATCCACAGGGATGGGCGCGCCCGATCCCCCCTGGTTATCCGCGGACATTTTGATGTCTTCCAAGTCCACCACGGTCTGGGCCTTCTTCCGGCTCTTGGGCTTGCCTTCGTCCGAGGAGTCATCCGCGTCCTCCTCGTCACTCTCCAGAGCGTCACCACTACCGGGAACACCTTCGCCCAGGCTGCCGTTTTTCAAAATATCCGAACAGATGTCCTGCAATCCTTGAGACCATTCCTTTAGTGCGGACTCGGCGTCGCTCTTCACGTCGCCCAATCCCAGAGGGTATGCACGTTTCCGACCGGTGAGTTTTGCCATCCATCGATCCAGCTCCTTAGCCTGGGAGCAGAAACCTTCTTCTTCCGTGGGCCAGCCTTCCTTGTCGCCGAATCCAAAGACGGAGTAACCAGCCAAGGTCGACAACGAGCCGGTGTCGATGCGGAAGTCGTGGTGCGTCTCCTCCAGGTGGCCCAGGAAGGTGTTGAGAACCGTATCGATGTTATAGGTAGGAATCAGCAAGCAGTACATGTACCGAGTTCCCGGGGAGTTTGCAGGAGGCTTCGGCGCGGTCGTGAAGTAGTCGTCGAAGTCAATGTAAGACAAATCCTCCAGCTTGGGCGGAAGGATACCGCGCTCGCGATTCTCGGGGTCGGCCTGTTTCTGCGCAGCAGCACGCAGGTCTTCCATCAACATCTGAGCGTATCTTTCAGTGGTTGCGGTCAACGAGGCGTAGAAAACGATGGGTTGGATGAAAGACAATGGCGTTTGGTCCGATCCTCCACGTCGTCCGGCAACTTTCAGCGGTTTCTTTCCAGACACTCTCTTAGGGCCAGAAGGCTTTGTGGTCGTCTCATTGCTGACAGGTGCCGTGGAATCCTTCTTCTCTGTGGTTTGGGGTTTCGTGTCTCCAACTTCTTTTTCAGCTTTCCCGGGGGATTGGCTGCGAGGCGATGACGGGATTGACGAGGCGGAGGCGGTTTTCGACTTGGGTTGGATAACACGGTATACTCGGGCGACAACGAAGATGGCAAGAAAGGCCACGAAGAAGTGAAGACGGTAAGAGTGCCAGAAGGTCAAGAGGCCTGGAGTTCAGTCGGTTAGTGGCCAGTACTAGTGATTGTGGGCTAACAATGATCGCTAGAATGCGTACCTTCGGTCAAAGATGGCGCCGCCATGTTCGTGCCAAATATTCAGCCGGTCGCTTTGTATTCTTTGATCAAAAAATCGGAGATTGCAGCGCGTGTGAAGCGCGTTCGACATTCAAGAGGGGCAATGGAGGGGAGCCCTGTGAGGCATCGCAGACACCGTTCTATGAAGTGAGTATGAATCCAACTGCCAAAAATGTACAGAGCGCACTGATGCGCCGAGGACCAATAAGCAAAATCGTCCGACACTATACCGGTGCAGCCAAACTGTCGACGAGGAGGTGGAAGTTGAAGCGTCCGGCAGTCGAAGCCATGGAGATGGGCTGACTAATCCAGAAGTCACGATTTTTCTCGTCAACAGGCGGACGCTGATTGGCTCCCGCATGTTCCCAGCCAGGAATGGCTGACTCATCGCTTTCTGGCGATTGTTTACTTTTATAGAATGAAGTCTCATCTTTCAGATTCCCAGGCACAGTACTTTCAGCTGAATGGCTGGACAGGATACCAGTGATGCTTTCTCTGCTACCAGATATCAAGGCACTAATGACATGCCACCATTCAGCTAGCGATACAGTCATTTCAGTGATCTCAGAGGCATTATGCAAGCCAGTCTACTAGTATCCACGTCAAATGAGTGAATACTGACAACCAATCGGTACCGATGCTGCATCTCTTTAAGTGCTTGGCGCAGGGGTTTTGACTTCAAGATCAAGTTCATTGATACCTCACACTTCACCAAACTCCATAAATTCTTTGACCATATCCAAAGACACCATCAAAATGACCCAGTTCTACCAAGTCTTCCTCGTCAAATTCACCCTCAGCCTGCAGGACCCCGACATCCCCGGCGAAAGACACCATCACACGATTTTCGTCCAGACTGCAGAAGATGGCAGCGGCACCATTCACCAAGTGACGGGCGATGTCGCCTCCCAGGATGGAATGTATTATTTCCCCGCGCCCACAGACGATCCAGTCTGCTCGGAGGAGTTCCATTCCAGTCAGAAGCTCGGGGTCACGCCGTCGTCTACCCATCCTGCTCAGTGGAATCAAGTCCTGGGAAGTCTGCCTGCGCCGCCCCAGCAGAAGGCATTCAACCTCAGCACCATGAGAACGGAGCCGTTCAAGACCAAACTTCCGTTGACTTTCTACGAGCCGCGCGAGCCGAGGAAGCGTCTGGTGAAGTGTACGGAGTGGACAATGGAGAGTGCCATTCCAACTCTAAAGGAAAATGGTCTTTTGATTCGGCAGGTGGATAGTTAGAGTGAGCATCTCCTCGTGGTATGCTTTTCTTTTCTTAGGACGGCGTGGACTTCTCACCTGGTCAATGAATGACACTGGATAGTTTCAGCTGGAGAGGGCTTCAAAGTATGACATCGCATTGCTGAGACACACTGACTGGTTTCATATGATCGCAGTCTATCGACTTTCAACATCTTCTCATCACTTGCACCTAGGCTCCCAGCTTCTAATCAATACAAACATGACTAGCGGTTCCGAGCAGTTGATAATCTGACGGTCGCCTAATACTCAGCGGTTTGCTCGGTCGGTTTTTCAATTGGATTCGAGGGCTCCATGGTTTTATTAAATAGGCCTAGCTAGTCAACCTGAGTGAATTTCCATTTACTTGTCCTTCATACTCGGCCATACTCATATCCAACCTCCGAAACTGTTGATTAATAAGCTAATCTATTCCAATGCAACGCTATGATAATCTCCCTGAGGCCATGGTCTCCCAAGATCTTTTTCATATTCATTATGATCTAGAGTATAATCTCTGTACAACCTCCGATATTAAATCGCCGTGCATTCGGGCAGGTGCGATAACGCGATCCTCCTTCATCCTTCCGACTTCCCAGCCTCCCGCTTTTAATCTCGCATCGTCCCCGCTTCTCCCCTCGACTTCGCATCAACCCATTGGTATTTGGCACAATGGAGAAACACGAGCACCTCTTACCCGGGGGCTATCCTCCCTCTTATACTTCCAAATCAGAAGTCAATGTACCCCATCAATCGCTGAAGCCGGCTTTCCGAAACAAGATCTGGACCCTTGTCTTCACCTTGTCTCTGGCGGGCCTCTTCGTCACCGCGACCAATGCTTTGAACCTGAGGGAGCCTCTCTCCATTGAAGAAAGAGTAGAGAAGATTCTATCGGAAACCCCCTTGATCGGTAGGATATTTCGTGTTTTATGCTTGTTGTGTACTCGCGGACTGTACTGAGTCACGTAGATGGCCACGACGATCTTCCGATCTTCATCCGAGCGTTCTTCGGAAACCATATCTACCAGGAGAACTTCACCGTCCCGTTCACCAAGGGAAATCTGTCCGGACATGTTGATATCCCGCGGTTGGAGGAGGGCCGCGTCGGCGGCACCTTCTGGAGCGTGTTTGTCGAATGTCCCAAGAACTGGAGCGATTTCTCGGACGAGAATTACGCATTGAGTGAGTTGCGCTCTCGTGTGGTTCTTTTAGTGTCGCGACTAATTGAAATAGGTGTTCGTCAGACGATCGAGCAAGTTGACGTGATGTCGCGCCTTCAGCAGGCCTATCCGGACACTTTCTCGGAGCCGCCCAACGGCACGACAGCCGCGCAGGCGTTCCGCGAGGGAAAGATCATCTCGCCACTGGGCATTGAGGGATTGCACTCGATCGGCAACTCGCTGGCGTATCTGCGTCATTTCTACGATCGGGGTGTGTCCTACGCCACGCTCACTCACAACTGCCACAACCGGTATGCCGATGCGGCGCTCGTTGAGCTCCCGGGCGGTGGTATTAAAGTGGCGGATCCCTTGTGGAACGGAGTCAGCGATGCTGGCAAGAAGCTTATCGCGGAGATGAACCGCCTGGGTATGATTGTCGATTTGTCCCACGTCAGCGCAAACACGATGCGCGACGTCCTGGGCGGCAAGGACGTCTGGGCTGGTAGTCAGGCGCCGGTGATGTTCAGCCATAGTTCCGCATACGCCGTCTGTCCGCATCCCAGGAATGTGCCGGACGATGTGCTGGAGCTGGTCAGGGCCCGGGACTCGATTGTCATGGTCAACTTCTCGCCGGATTTCATCTCCTGCAAGGCTTCGGACAATCCGAACGGTCTTCCTGAGTTTGATCCGGAGCATGCGACCCTGGAACATGTGGTGGATCACATCGTCTACATCGGTAACCATATCGGGTTTGATTATGTCGGACTGGGCAGTGATTTCGACGGCATCCCCGCTGGGCCTCGTGGTTTAGAGGACGTTTCCAAGTTCCCCGACTTGATTGCTGAGCTGCTGCGACGCGGCGTCAGCGACGAGGACGCCGCCAAAGTGGCCGGAGGGAATCTGCTCCGCGTGTGGAAGGAAGTGGACCGAGTTGCGCTGAAGCTGCAGGCGAAGGGCGTTCTTCCGGCCGAGGACGATGTGAAGAGCATGCTTTGATGGACACGGAGTAGTTGCATATGTACACCCACGCCAGGCTAGCTCTATCCAACACCACCTAATTACTAGGAATCCAACCCCAGCTATCCATCTACTCATCTCCTCTCCCCTCAAACAACCGAAACCCCCTCAGTAACGTCGGTCCCTGATCCCCCACAAACTTCAACCTCCTCCCTCCATCTGCCCCTTCTCCCTGATCATTCAATCCCTCTCTAACCTCCCCCTCCGTCGCCCACACAAACTCCTCATGCTCATCCGGCTCCAGCCTCACTCTTCCTTCCCACCCCTCCCCATCCTTCGCCTCCTCCACCAAAGCCAAAAACGTAAACTTCGCCGCCCGCACCACCCCCTCGCTTTTCACCCTCGTCCACTCATGCACCCCAATCAGGTCCTGGAAATGAGTCACCCGCAGCCCGCTCTCTTCGTAGACTTCGCGCGCCGCTCCGCTGAGGATTGAAGAGTCGGTGGGCTCGCACAGCCCGCCGGGTCCTTCCCAGAAGCCGGGGTAGGAGTCGTGTTTGGAGCGGCGGAGGAGGAGGACGCGGGTTTTTGGCGCTGGGGCTTCGGGGTTGGAGGGGGTGGTGCTGGAGCGACTGTAGGTCGAGGTGAAGATGTGGCCGCCCACTACAAAGTGCGTGTGTTGTGGGTTCTGCGCGGCGAAGGTGGAGAGTGGGAGGGCGTATTGGTGCAGGTGCGGGGAGTAGGTGAATGGGTGTTGTGGGGTGGTCATTTTGATGTGGTTTGGGTGGTGGTGGTGGTTGAATTGATGGATGGTTGTAGAGAAGATGGTTAGAGATGAGGATGAGTCGGTCTAGATGCAGAGATCACGTGGGGTTGTATACCGACACAGGCCAGTGAGAATGCCTAGGTAAAAAGGTGGAAATGGAGAGTGGAAGCGAATGGACGAGCTTTTATACACTGGACGACTGCCGAAACTACTCCAGTGCTAAGCTAAGAAATTCTTGGCAGATCGTCTACGTCTGTTGGTTCGAGATATCAACTTCCACTTCCAGGCTGTACTAAAACAAATGCGAGTAACTGAATGGCTGCAGAAGCGCATACACCGCTCCCTGGTGCCCGTTCTGCATCGCCATCGACAAGGCTGTCTGGCCGTGCTCATCTCGTGTCTCCAACTCGGCACTGCCCGTTTCCTCAAGCAGCCGCTCGATGACAGCCTTGTGGCCATTCACGCCCGCCCAGATGAGTGGCGTCCGGCCGTCCATGTCTCGTGGACTTTGGTCGACGTCCGCTCGTTTCAGCAGAATGTCTACAACAGATGTGTGACCGTGCATCGACGCCCAGCAGAGAGGCGTGCGGCCATACTTATCCACGGCATTCGGATCCGCGGCGTGTCGGAGGAGGAAATCCACGACCTCGGCGTGTCCGTTGCGCGCGGCCCAGAAAAGCGGCGTCTGGTCGAGGATATCTCTCAGGTCGGTTTGTGCCTGCTCTTGGATCAGCATCTGCGCCGTTGCAAGCTGCCCTGATCCTGCGGCCCAGAAGAGTGGCGTGTGGCCGAGGCGATCTTGTGTGTTGGGGTTCGCGTTCCGTGCGATCAGCAGCCTTGTGAGTGCCTTGTTGCCGTTCTTCGCGGTCCAGAATAGTGGCGTTCGGTTCTCTCGGTCTGGGTTGTCTGTGTTGACGCCTTTTTGAGAGAGAAGCAGTTCTGCGATCGAGGTGTGCCCTTCACGCACTGCCTCTGTGAGCGGTGTCTGGCGGTATCGGTCTTCGGCGTTGATGTCGGTTTCGTGCCGTGAGAGGAGATGTTTCACCAGGGCTGTGTTTCCGAGGGCAGCGGCCCATGCTAGCGCTGTTCTTCCATACTGCAGGTCTTTGCAGTTTACTTCGGTCTCGCTGTGCGCGCAGAGCAGCTGCACTGTTGACGTCTGCGATTGAATCACCGCCCAGTGTATTGCTGCTCGGCCCTCGCGGTCTCGCAGATTCGGGTCGATGCCTTCTGAGAGAAGGTCCTCTGTTAGTTTGTCTTGGTTTGTCTTTACGGCGTTAATCAGCCGGGTGTCTTTCGTTGATGATGGGACGATATCCGCGGTCTCCAGCAGCGACTTCGGCAGCTTAGGTGCATAATTGCTCAGTAAACGCGGCGGACACTGCTCTATCCCCGTGCTGAATCCAGGCAGTAAATCGACATCTCTCCCAGATCGATATTCGACCCCCCTGATCGACTTCTCACTCTTCCCTACCTGCGACCTGCGATATACATCCCTCAACACGATATCCTCCATGCTCTCCCCCTCGGCCCAAGCACCCTTGACGACCTGGGTCAGCGCAACACAGGTACTGCTAATCCCAGTAATCAACGCAATCATCTGCCCCGTGGACTCCGAAATCCCCGGCGTCTGCAACCGATTCGCCCTCAGCATCTGTTCCGCCGACGTTATGGCCACCAAGGGCCCAGCCAGATTGATCAAACACCAATGAACGACCTTCACGAGGAGCCCAAGCCACGACCGTCGTCGGTCCCAGGGCGACGCCAGGCTTGGCCGCAGGAGTGATCGCAGATTCGAGTTCGGTTTTTTAATCCGATATCGCGACCCGGAGCCCGCGAAGAACGCCTCTGCGACAATGACCCCCGCGGTGCCGAACGCGCGAGCCACGGGGCCTTTCTCACTCCCTGTGAGCAGCTCGACGGCGTGCGCTACGAAAAAGAACGCAAAGATAAGCCCCGTGATGATGGCCATTGTCGTCGCGAATGATCGCCACGTGTGATCGTTCAGCTCGAAGACGCCGAAGAGCGCACCCTGCGCGGGACAGGTCGGCGATGAGGCGCGATGGACACCGTCTAGCCAGAACCAGGCGCCGAAGAAGCTCGTGAATGCGAAGAGCAGGTTCTGCGCGAGGATGGGGACGTCGGGGCGGAGAACGTACCCTGGGGAGTTTTTTGACGGTGATTCGCTTTTCTCGAGCAGGTTGTAGGACTCGGAGTAGAAGAGCGCGATGGTCAGGTAGTAGACTATCAGGTAGTCGACGGAGAGGGTTGATCCCTCGACTGTGTAGACGACCAGCGTGAGGATAAGGGAGAAGCACAGCACGTTGTTGGCGATGCGTACGCTCGAGATGGTTTCCCAGGATCCGTTGCAGTTGCGGAGGAGCAGACCGGCGACCCATTGGAGGTACAGACCGAGTCGCACGCCGAGGCCGTAGAGATCGCCATCTCCTTGGGTGGTGCAGTCCGGCATGGTGGTTGGGTGTTATGGTGTTGGGTAGTCACCGTGGCATTTTAATTGTTGATTTTCGCTTGAGATTGAAGATGCGGGGATTCCGAAGATCAAGAGATGATTCTGCAGTGCGTTGTTTGCTGCGAGGCTTAGCCGGTGGGGGCCAAATTGAAGCTTTCCTGCGTCTTGGCTGTCATATCATAGATGTTCCTATCCATCTAAGATGTGTCTTTCTTTCTGAGTTAGAAGGCTTATCTTCCCTTCCAGCCACTCCACTGCTATACAATTTGCAATTCCTCAATGTTTTATTTTATTTCCTCTTATAGATAATCACAATTTGCTTTCAGGTACTGCATCCTGCTTCTCCTTTGGGATCAAGAATCCCTCGAAGAATTCCCCGATCTTCTCATACTCATCCAGGCCGACAACAGCAGACACATCTAGTTCCTGTCAGTAATAATCCAAACCCCCTGAGATCGTACTTACACTGATCTGGCCGCACAATGATAATGGCCCCCTTCTGAGGACTGATGCCGAGGAATTCGTAGGCCTGTCCGTGGCCTTTGTTGTAGCTTTCGTCGTCGAAGTATATCTTGTGCAGGTCTGTACACTTAGTGGGTTTCATTTGATGCAGGTTGTCCGACCTACCTCTGATTTGGTTCTTTCCAGTGATGGGATAGAAACACTCGGGGATCTGCTCCAGTTCAATTTCATGTCGTTTGCCATGGCCCACGAATATAGGTTCTATCAGGCTGTCTATGTCCGAGTTCGCAGGGCGGAAGCGATGGACAGGGCTGTCGCTTGAGTCGAGATATTTTCCGAGCTGGTCACTGTCAATATCACAAATCTTGACGCATGGGAGCATCTCACCTTATCCAATCGAGTTCTGTTCTCAGACAAGCCCAAATCCCCCACAAACGCCATCATCCGCCACCGTCCATCCGACTTCAGCGCCGTCATCAACTGCACAGGCTTCGAGTCACAGAACCGCACCACCTGCGCACTGGGAAGCCTCATTCCCACCTCGACATTCGTCGCCAGCGCACCCGACTCATCCATATCCGACGTGATCATCGACCTCTCATACTTCGCCGTCAACCCAGCCGTATACTTCCCCGACTTCACAAACCCCTCCTGGAACTCCTTCGGCGAGACATCTCCCCCGGACGAAAACAGCTTCGAGAAATACCGATCAAAATTGATCAAATCGATCGCCACCCTCTGCCTCTCCATCACATACGTCTCCAGCAGCGGCGCCGGCGCCAACCCCTTCAGCACAGCACCCAACTTCCACCCGATATTATACCCGTCTTGCAAACTGACATTCATCCCCTGTCCGGCCTTCGGCGAATGCGTATGGCACGCATCACCAGCCAGAAAGACACGATGGTCTCTATGGAACTGGTCCGCATGGCGCTGGCCGATCGCATACGCAGACCACCACACCGTCTCCGTGAACTCGATGCTATACTGGCCGAGAATGTTGCGCGCCGCGGTCTGCAGGTCTTCAAGCTTGACGTCCTTAGCCCGCGTCCCGGCCGGAAGCTCGATGTAGAACCGCGTCAGGTTGTCACTGTCGCCTTCGCGCGGGATTATTAGCAGGTTTCCCGCCCGCGTGCGAATGCTGCTTTTCTTCCGGATGTCCGGGTAGTTCGTGCGCGGCACCATGTCCATCACACCCCAGACGGCGTCGCTGCTGTCGCCGAGCATTTTGTATCCGAGGGCTTTGCGGACGGTGCTGTGTGCGCCGTCGCAGGCCTGAGCATATGTACATTAGCCTCCACTCAGTCTAGTCCGGTGGGCTGGTCATGCGAGATCAAGCAAGGAAAGGGGAAAAGGAAGGGATCACATACAAGAACATACTTCGCCTCAAACACCTCCCTCTCGCCGTCTCTCTGCGCCGTCACCTTCACCGGAAACTCTCCTTCCCCTGTAACCTCCACGTCCAGGACCTCCCACCCATACTCCACCCCCTGCCCATTAAACCGCTCCATCGCCTCCAACAGCAGCCCGTTAATCCGCGCCTGGTTCAGAATGACATGCGGCTGATGCGATAGCCCGGGCTGCGTATCTGCCGTTCGACCAGTGCGTTTTATCTTACCCCCTGAGCCGTCCCCTTTCCCCGCATCAGTATCCATACCTGCATCTGCATCTGCATCCGGAACTGTATGTGTATATGAATCATCCTCAGCCCAAAACACCACCTCCAGCACATGATACGCCTCACGGAGCAGGTCCTCGCCCAGCCCGAAACTCTCGAAGATCTCGACCGTCCGGCACTGCACCCCGTCCGCTTGGCCCATTGTCATCGGCCCGGGTCTTTTTTCAAGGATGGTGCAGGGTATGCCTGCGCGCGCGAGCCACGTCGCGGCGCAGAGGCCCGCTGAGCCGGAGCCGCTGATTAGGATGGGGGTTTGTCTGGGCATTTCTTTTCTTTTTTTCTTCTTTCTTTGAGATTGCTGGGGTTGGGTTTGGGTTTGGGTTTGGGTTTGGGTGAGGTAGGATGTAGGTATGAAGGTAGAGGTTGATGGTATTGTAGAGGAAGATTGGATTGCTGGTTATGCTGTACTTATGAGGGCTTCGGAGTGAATCCCGGACCCCGGAATCCATTCCGGGTCGGTTGTCTGGGCGGATGGAGGTCCGGAGGGTGCTCCGGGCGCCAATCAGGGTCTTCCTCCGCTTTGAGCATGAAGACTAGAGGGGGATTTCCGGATTTCCATGGGGATGGATATCTGCAGTGGAGGCTAATACTTTCTCCGGGATTTCGTTGCGGACTTCAGTCTTACGGTTGGATGACACCTCGCTAAGGGCTGACTGCCATATACTCGTACCAATCATCAACAAATCATTATTGGACTCTAAATCGTTATATAGAATGGTCACCCTCAACCGAAGAGTATCGCCATGTCCATATTTACTCCGAACGCCAGCGCCGGTGCATCCCCTCGTGAGTTACAGTCTGACCACGAACGCGCCGAAAAGACAACCAGGAAACAAATCTTTTTTACAAGAAGTACTCGCTGCGGCCCGGCCGCGCTGTCGGAACGTGTCGTTGGTCGTCGCTGACCGCACTGAAGAGTTTGAACGTCGGTCGTAGGTCCTCCCCGACCTCGCACACCGACGCCAGATTGCCGCAGCGGTAGCAGTAGTTCGGCGCGCTCCACACGGTCACCACGTTCTGGTTGGCGAAGTGGTACTTGTAGCCTTCGTTGACCAGCTGATGCGCTCGGGCGATCAGTGTTAAATCGTTGACGTGGCAGAATTCATCGGCCACCTTGTCTCCGAACAGCCATCCTAGACTTTGTTAGTAGAAATCTTTGGGACCAGGGAAAGCATCTTACCGGCGCCTCTGGGACTGACAGCCCACGTCTCCACATCATCCGGGTCAGACCAGACCAGGTCACAGAATGCACCCTCGTGGGGAATCTCCTGGGCTCTCGCGACCACTCGCACTTGATCCAAAGTTCTGATTTCCGGACTCAATCCACCGTGCACACACAGCACCCGACCATCGATAATCGCTCCGAGCGTCATAAAGTCAAAGACCTGGCAACAGGCCTTCCACACAGACGCATTGCCGTATTTCTGAAAGCACTCCTCGTAGAATCCATACACCTGGGTGATTTGTCGAGATTCGTGATTTCCGCGCACCAGCGTTACTCGATCCGGGAACCTATCTCGCTGTCAGATCCAATGTCTCGTTTGGGAAAGTGGCACACCCACTTCGCCTTCAAGCATAATAGCAAGGTCAACGTCTCCAAACTGAAATATCCTCTGTCGACGTAGTCGCCCAGGAAGACGAAATTCCGGTTTACCGAGATGTCCGACGACCCGGCGCTCGACGATCGCTCGCGACTGGCGTTGGAGGAGTCATCGCCTGCATCCTCCGAGCCTCCAGACTTTCTTAGTTTCTTCCGCAGCTTGGGGTCCGAAATGGAGGAGGGGGGTTCGAGGTCGTCGGAGGTGATCACGGAGGGCGACGTCTTCGGGGCCTCGACGTCCGATTGGTCGGGCATGCCACCAGAGACTCGGAAGAGCTCTAGCAGATCGTAGAATTGGCCATGGATATCTCCGCAGATGGTGACGGGCGTTGAAACGGGTTGGATGTTCGATTCTGGAGCCGCCCGTAGTGTTAACCCTGTGAACCCGGTGATCGGTCGGGTGCCATCTGAAGACCTTACCTTCCATCATAAATTCCTTGACCATCTCACAAAGCTGTTTCATGTGCGGCTCGGACAGGTACTTGCAATCCTTTGCGGCCTCGAGCCATTCGTCGGGGCCGGCATTGCGCTTCAACTTGGCCGGTCCTGGTTGAGGGACCTTACTGTCCACCATCTTCAGCGGTTCAACGAGGGCACAGAGATCGAATGATGGGAGGAGTGGGGTCTGGATAGAAGGAGTGACTGCGATGAAGTAGAACAGAGCCAGGGGAAGGTTTGGTGCCGTGCGCTTGACAGGACGGGGGTATCTGGAGGAGGATTACAGCGACTTCCCCGCAGGGCATTTGTTGGCGATGCCGCAGTGGCGTCGGTGGCCGCCCTGCCCGGCCGTAGTTCTGCCCTCCGCGGCTTCACTTGCCTTGGGGACTTTGACTCTTGCTCGCTCCGCTCTCATCACGGTCGGATTCACCGGGGCTTTCCTTGTTCTTCTGCAGACCACATGTCTTAACATCTGCTCACTTGGAGCTCTCTGCTACTTTGAATCTTCATATATTCCCCCAGCTTCATCCCTCGCTCAGCAGATCACGGTTCCGTACGACAGCCCACCATGGCGCAAACACCTGCTGGCAAATCAACAGGAGGCGTCCTTCAGATTCCTGCAGCTGCCACGCAAAAGAATGGTCCCACGGCTCCCAAGAAACCGCCCAAGCCGGCAGCTCCGCGCCTCAAACTGCTCGTGAGACGTTTGCCTCCCGGTTTGACACAGGCGGAATTCGAAACTGCAGTCGGTCCTGAGTGGAAATCCGGCGCAGGCAAGGTAGATTGGTTTCAGTACAAGGCCGGCAAGGTTTCCAAAGAGTGAGTCGAGGCATTGTTCAGTTGAAGACTCGGTCGGCCATTGTCTAACGCAGTATCCAGCCCCGCCAAACCCTCGCGGCCATCGCGCGCCTACATCCATCTCAACTCGAGCGATCACATCATCCCTCTGTCGAATAAGGTCCGCCAAACTTCGTTCGTCGATGCTCGCAGTACATCCAACGACCCCGTGCTCATCGGTCCCCCGTCCATTGAGTATGCACCGTACGCCAAGATCCCCGGCAACCGAGTGCGCAAGGACGCCCGTCAAGGCACAATCGATCAAGACCCCGAGTTCATTGCGTTCCTGGAAAGTCTCACCCAACCCATCGTGAAGCCTACTCCCGCCGAGACCAACGAGGGAGGGGACAAGAAGGACGCGGTGATCACGACGCCCCTGGTGCAGTATATCAAAGAGAAGAAGGCCAACAAGGCGAAGGACGCTTCCAACAAATCGTCGAAACACTCGAAGTCGGACAAGGACGGCAAGTCCGAGAAGGTGCAGGCGAAGAAGCTCCTGCAGCGACCGGACAAGGAGGCTTCTCAGTCCGGCTCTGCGGAGAAGGGAGAGAAGAGGTCCAAGTCTGACAAGGCAACCAAGGAGGCTGTCAAGGCTGCCACCAAGCAAGCCGCCAGCGTCGCCAAACAAAGTGGAAAATCTTCGGGGGCGCAGAATTCTCCGAGGGACTCCAGCCAGTCGACTCCTAGCTCCGAGCGCAAGAGGGAGCGTGGAAATGTCGCTGCGGCGGCCAAGATCTTGCAGCGTGATTTAGGAATTGCTCCGTCGGGTGGTCGTCGCAGAGGAGGAAAGGCCGCCGCCGCTGCTGCTGCTGCTGCCACCGAGACTGATGCCGCGAAGACAGAGCAGGTGTCGGAAACCGGCAAGAAGGATACGTCTACGAAGTCCAAAGGATCTTCATCTCAAAATGCAAAAGGCAAAGGTCCAGGCGCACAGGCCACCGAGCCGTCCTCTTCTCAGAACCAACCCGAAGCAAAGAACCCTCCCGCCCCCTCGCAGGGGAAATCGTCTCGATCTACGAAAGGAAAACAAGCGCCCGCGCCTACGACTTCAGCTGCCACCCAGGCATTCCTGAAGCATGCGAACCCATCGCAGGGCGTCACAGAACCGCTGCTCGATACCGCGTTCTCCCCGTTCGGCAAGATCGTGAAGGTGGAGATCGACAAGAAGAAGGGATTCGGATACATTGACTTTGCCGAGGCGGATGGCCTTCAGAAGGCCATTGCAGCTAGTCCGGTGACGGTTGCACAAAGTCAGGTGGTCGTGCTGGAGCGAAAGGCCAACCCTGGAGGCGAGAAGAGTCGGGGCAAGAACCGCGCTGAGACGCAAGCTCCGGCCAGCGGAGGCGGCAGCAGCGGCAACAATCGCGGTGGTGGTGGTGGAAAGGCAGAAGGGAACTCCGGATCCTCTCGTGGATCTCGAGGTGGTCGAGGCAAGAAGGGTGGTTCCAAGGGCGGTGGAGGGGGTGGAGGAAATGGGAATCCCAGCGGAGAGGGCAAGGCGGGTGCAGAGGCGAAGTGAGAAGATGAGATAATGAATTCAATGTACTTCACGATTAGATATCACGATACCCAAGGGAATGGAACTGAGGGACAAAAGAGCTGGCATCAAAGCCAGACAACTATCAAGGCGAGTCCCAAGGGACAAATACTGAATCAACCAACATGCAAAAGATGTTAATCTAGCAGTCTATGAGCAAATCTGAGGATTACTTCGCTACCAATGGCTACAGCGAGCTACAAAAAATAGAATGTAGTTTGAATAGAATTAATTGTATTTGATTGAACAAAAAAAGCAAAGGGGTATAGCAAACTCCCAATCCGATCTAACATCACCAACATAAGATGAAAAAGGGAAAGAATAAACACCTTTCAGACCTCCTCGACACCCACCAAATCCGACCGACCGAAGTCAAGACATCGAGATAAGGTCAAGATCATCACCACTCCCTGGACCAGCGCAGCCAGACCCGAAACAAGCCCATCTTGCGATGAGTCGTAAACAGAGCGAGGACAGCGCGGTCGAGTCGGAAGTAAAACGGCTTCACTTTAGGGCATCGAGGACTTAGCAGTCATCAGCAAGGGTGGAGATTCTGTGGCTCTTTAGAAGAGCTCAGTATGAGACGTCTACTCTAAAGTGATTCTTTGAACTGTTGAGAGGAGACTGGTTAGCAGGCATTCTTCTGAAGGCTGTTTGGGTTGAGAGCCCGAAGGCTTTTCCCAAGGTAGGGAGGGGGAGAACTAACGTAGAGTCGCTTGATTTTCAGAAGAGAGGGGAGGGAGACGGTATTTATACTTGTGGTGCGGCGGGTGGAAGCGCGCTAGCGACAAGCGAGGTCAGGTGGGTTTGTCTAGTTTGTTTGGCGGATGGGTTTGGGGTGGGGTGGCTGGGCCAATCGTGGCGGGCGGAAGTTTTTTGACTCCACTGACAGCGACGGTGAAGGGCCTGGCCGAGATTTTCGGTGAAAGTTTTCGTTTCTGCAGTTTCTCTTATTCAATTGCTTGTTCTTTATTGGGTGAGGAGCTTGACTTGTGGGATTTCAAGATGCCGAGTTCCGGTGCTGGGTTGGCTTGCAAGGTTTTCTTGCCTATTGCCTCAGGCAGGAATTGATATCCGACTCGGGCCGATTAGACTCGGCTTGCCGATTGTACGAAGATAGAGTACAGAGTATGGACTCACCTATTGTCCGGTGCATTTGTCCCATACGGAGAGCTTACTAGAAGCTATCGAACTAGTCAAATGGTTTATTTAGGCAATCAAACTATGTATCTATCTCGAAACTTCATCTAATCCGATTCTGTAGTGTGCCTTGGTATGCCTCCTAAGCCTCAACAGGGGTATACCCCGGCTATCTTCACTCAAGAAATCATCAATAAGCTGTAGTCAGGTTTTGGTATTTGCAGGCTATTTCGAGGACTAGGCATATGTGATATGGATCTGGTGATCGGCTTGGTCTCGCTTTTCAGAGTAGAAGGAACAAAAAAAACGCATCATCCGGTCCGTGCTAAATCGCATGCCAGTTTCGAACCCTAGCAGGCTAGATTTTTGCCGTCGACAGTTGCCCACTCGACCAAAAAAGCAAAAGAGTATTTAGGACTAATGCAAATTCGAACACATAAGGGTATGGTGGTATCATTTTTGTCCATCGAAGTACACAGCACAAGGGTTGTCAATTACATTCTACCAGCGTATGTGATCCGTTTTAAGAGTATATAGATGAAATAAGCACACTCAATGACCCCGGGGAGTATTCAATTCAAACAACTGACTCTTGTACAAGAAGTTGGTCAAATCCATGTGGTCGTACACAAGTTGGTCCTTTTCTGTACGATGTTTATGGTGCGAGTACAATGGAATATATATCTCGAGTATCAATTCAGTTCTTACCACTGCAGGAGTTAATAGCATGTAAGCACAAGACTCTACGCGAAACAATAGCACACACCAAGTAGCCAAATGCATTTCTACAAAAAAAAAAAAAAAAAAAAAAAAAAAAAGATAGACTGCTGGATGCAAATGCTGCATGGTTGTCCCTGGGCAAGAGACGGACACCTCAGGCAGATACACGTGACGCCATCGACAACTCGGCGATTCTTGGCATTCTCGACTGGAATTAGTCATCCGTATCGCTGAAGATAATCAAGTCACGCGCCAATCAGGAAGGCGATCGACAGGCGATCGACCTCTCCTCATCTGCACCCCAAGAAATACACCATTATTGAGGAGAGAAGCTAGCTCATAGTCCCGTCCTGGTTCTCACCTGCTTCTTCGGATGTTAATGCAACCTACCAATCATTCATCGCCCCGCCGCCTGTACTATTCAGTCTATTCTTGAGCCGGGAGACCCTGCGGGTCCCCGCCGGATGGAATGCCGCGACGCAAGGTATCTCCCTCTAACCGTCTGCGTGCAGAAGAGGCCTGTTCCTCCTGTCGAAAATCCCACAGGCGATGCAATGGCCGATTTCCCTGTGCATCATGCATCAAAAGCGGTAGGACCGAAAGCTGTCGCCCGTGCCAACCCACAGAGCGATTTGTACGACGCTTCCAACCAAACCAGGATGCATCGAGCTCCACCACCCCGGGGTCGAGCCGTGCAAGGTCCCTGCCTATCGCGGGCTCGGATAACCCCATTGCCTTACCCCCTCTTGATCGCCCTGCTACACCCCGGCGACAGACAGATGCAGTCGCAGCTCCTGGCTCTCCGGAAGCACCGCACAGGACTCATCCGCGGATGCTACGGAATCGCCAAGGGGAACGAGGTATGACATTGGTTCAGCAAGGTCTTTGCACCATACTAATGAACCGAGATAGTATTTATCGGCAAGGCTGCCTCGCTGTCTTTTCTACAGTTACTTCGTGACACCGTCACTCAATATATTGGACCATCGCTATTCTCGCACAATATCAAAAGCGAGGATATGCTTGAGACGGAGACACCGCGTGATGTTCCGTTGACAATCGACGACGTGGATTTAGATCAACAAAGGGTATTCATTAGGACATACCATATTGCAGTAAGTAATCTGTCTTCCAGATTGTCTCATAATGATCTCCACACCAAATGTCCATGGATAAACTCAGCTGACAGAATCCGTGCTAAGACAAGCGGGTTCATCCATGTCCTAACAGACTCAGAGTCATCGGACATACTAAATGAGCCACCACAACCAAACAGCAACCACCCTGGAGCTAATACGGCTCTTAGAGACATCATAGTTGCCATCGGTGCTCAATCTCGCCGGAGTAACCCGACATCGGTCCAGGCTGAGCGTTTTTTCTTCGCACGCGGTCAGCGCATTGCATTTGACAACATGCTGGAAAACCCAAGCCTGGAGCTTGTGCGAGTGTTTCTTCTCATGTCGTTTTATATGCTTGGCGCCTGTCGTCGAAATGCGGCGTTTATGTACATCGGCATAGCTGTGCGTGCCGCCGCCGCATTGGGCCTGCACGTGAGCGATTCTCCTGAATCTATTCCCGCGGATGAGAAGCGGCAGAGGTATTTTATGAGGATTGTCACTTTATCCAACGCTAATGCATGATACAGAACCCGTGTATGGATGAGTCTTTGCACTTTGGACCTTCTGGTTAGCTCAATCCTCGGACGACCTCCCGCGACGACCGGTTTACGCCCCGAACCTGCAGGAAACCAGCCCAGCACGAGGCAGCAAGACTACCACTTAGAAGCGAGTCTAGTTGCTTCCTTCCATATGTCACAAATTCTAGATGAGATCGTCGTGGGCCTGTATGGCGACAAAACAGCGTCTACAGAGAGAGCCGAGTCGCTGTTGGGAAAACTCAAAGGATGGAGTGAAAACTTACCGGAATCGCTGCGGACGCCACCGCCTATCGACAGCGAGCGATTTACCGCTCAGGAGCGCATCATCGGTTGTCTACACACAGCATGCTCGTACCACTTTGCCATCATCATCATCACCAGACCGTTCTTGATATCCGTTCTTGGCGTTCGGCTAGCCCGACTGCAACGTCCCGGGGCTGCGATGGATGAGGCGTTCCAGGAAGACCCTGCCCATTCAAGGCTGGCCGCTGCCTGTGCAGATTCAGCTCTATACATGATCCAGACCTGCGTGGAGGTTCACCAGTCGGGTTTGTTACTTGGTAACATGTGTATTCTGAAGTAAGTTAAAGCATGGCATGATCGTAAACCCTCGGCTAACCACGCATACCCAGAGCATTTGTATTCGCCGCCGCACTGGTCCTAGGATTCTCCCTGTTTTCGAAAAACGGCACGGACTCGGTTCTGGACGAAGCATTCAACGGGGCCATTGCAATCCTCGAGGCCCTCTCCGAGCAATCCGCCCAAGCGGCCCATTACTACGAAATCCTCACCTTCCTGCAAAATGCCATCGAGCAGAGACGACGGCTTCTGCAACAAGAGCAGCAGAACAAGAATCCCTATGTCAGCAAACTCTTCAGCCTCAACCACCAGCGAAACCAGTCGGATCCGGGTAACATATCAATGACCCCTGTAAGCGGTGGCTCGGACATGCCAACGCCAAATGGTGTCTTAGATATGTGGTCATTCATGGACCCCGCTGAGCTGGGTAGCACGGCCCCTGGCTGGGAAGGCATGGAATTGCCCGTGTGGGATAATTTCCCATTTGCTGCTGCTGGGCTTCAGACTCCTGATAGGAACATCGATCCAAGATTGGCGCTTTGACGATGACGGGAGTGATCAGTTTGTGTGATTTTCGCTGATGATTGTGATGTGCTTTATTTTTTCTTCTTTCTGTTCTACGGAAGTTTTTCTCATGATACCAACATGCTATCTTTTTATTCATTTTATTTATTTCTTTCTCCCTTCCTTTTTATTTTTTGGTAGGGCTTATCTAGAGCTTCATCGGAATGTAGGAATCTGGAAATGGTTGCAGGTCGGCTGATGGTGTTTCTTGGTTCCGCTGAGAATGAGATGAAATCGAGTGGGTCAGTTGACCCACAAATTCTTTCATTTAATAACTCACTACACTTCAATACCTATTTTATATTAAAAACTTTAATGACTATTATTTTAAAGGGGTACCGGGTCTCACCGCGAGGTGGAAGCAAGGGCCACGATGCACGGGATGGAGGCCATATCTTAATGTCAACACACTGCTGGTTACGCGAGGGATCCTCGTGGGTCTTGGTTGCTAACGTAGGGGGCTAATGAAGCAGAAAGAAGAACTTCATTGATTACGGAGTATATGGCTACAGGAACCATCCTTGACTAAATACATGATGTTAAGCTAGGGATAGTGGCTAACCTACGCGGTATGCTGGCCCAGAATTAAGCGGAAATCGCTTGTCATTATTAAATTCCTTCAAGGGCTATATGAAGTTTTTAAGGATAAAATTCCCTCGGGATTACAGCGTAGGGCCCTTGTAGGATTACTCGTTCTAATCATTTCATGTGTACCTATTAGTATGGGGAGTAAGGAATGCAGTTGGATACACTACTGCGTATCATTTATGACTCTCATAAGATAAAAAAGGCGCTAAAGGGCTTAGCACTGACAGGAGTATGGGTCGTCTGTAACTACAATTTGGAAAGAATGTACATACTGCGTAGATAATTAAACGCAAGATTCAGCTCATTGGCTCTGCAGTACCTAGTCAGCCCCATAATTCATACATTCTCATCGACAACAATGTCTCGGAGCCTTCAATAAACGCACCTGGCAAGAGATTGCCACCTCGCTCAGCTCTTGCAGGTAATTTGACCTCGAACAAGCTGGCGATATTGCATTCCCTGCATTCCTGCATTCCCAATAAAGCTAAATGTCATTATCCCTGTTCGCATCGGAAAGCATATAAATGCAGCATCACTTCCACAGGTCTACATGCCCCAGTCGCCTCAATCGAACCAATTCCCACTTAACAAAAACTGGCCATTCATCATGAAATTCATTACCACTATTGCCACCATTGCCCTGGCCTTCGCCGGATCTGCAAGCGCCGCCACATGCACCCCTGGCGTTGATTACTGCTCCAAAACCTTGCAAGATATTGGTATGAAAAAAAGTCCCAGAGCCCCTTTGAGTATCCACGCATAATGCTCATAACCTGTACAATACAGACTCGAACAACGAAGGCGCGATCAAAAGCGCCCTGACAATCGACGGCGAGCCTATTCTCGCCAATATCCCGGCCGTTTGGCATCAATACATTTTCCATTGTAATAGCGACAAGTCGCTTACCTTAGCAGGCGGTTGCGCTGGGGGATGTGAAATTACCGGACAGGGCAAAAATGATATCTGCCACAAATATAAGGAGGGTGAGGAGGATTGATAAAGGAGCAGAGTTTTAAGCATTATGACGCCGGTAGCCTTAGGAGACAGGGAGTCTGACCAACGATGAATGGTGTTTGCTTTTGTGTAGAGACCAACTTCCTGCAATGATTTAGTGATGACAGACTGTATATTTCATAAATATGTAGCTTCAAGTACATACGACCACAGGGTGAGGAGAACAGGGCTTCCCGTCCGCTCAGCCGTACTTAAGCCTCACGCCGGCCGGTTAGTAGTTGGGTGGGTGACCACCAGCGAATCCCGGCTGTTGTATGTTTTTGCTTTTATATCCTTCCTCTGGATAGGAGACAGCAAGACTGTCCCCATGGTTAGTTGGTGATTTGCCTCACCCGCAGACATTACCCGCCATTTTGCCCAGGGTCACCATTCTGTTGGAATCCTCTCATCTAAAACCGCCATCTTCTTCGACTGGAGAAGAAAAGTAAGCCGCATGCCGTAGAGCTGGTTACTTAGACATATAGACAACCCATCTGGATTTTCTCGCATCTTTCTCGTAGGAACGCTCGGGGATCCCTCTCCTACCTGGTCCTCGCATGCGCCTTGTATCCTGCTGCAACATCATAATTCACCCTATGCAGGTGGCATTCAGATTAGTCAAGTCCCCAAGTGTTTCCTAGTATAACAAATTGAAGATACTCATATCTATTATCTCTCCCTATCCCCCGTCCGACTCCTACATGTCAAGCAGAAAACAACAGCCCTCTCTAACCACAGGGGAGTTCTTATAGTTCTGCCCAGGGGAGTCAGGACCCTCGGCGCAGTAAAAAGCAATCATGTTCAGCCAACTGTCCAGAACAATAACCCCCGTCGAAATAGTGGCCCTTTCAACATGCTGAATTATTTCCCATATTCTTTGCTGTCCCCTTTCTACTAGCCTTATCAGACAAATCCATAGAAACCACGCCGTTTTCAGGGCCCAATTAAGATATCGCTTGAAGGGAAGCACCGCCCCCTCGAATAAGAAGATATTAACTAAGGAGAACCCATCTGGGAACAGCTCTGCCCGAACTTCAACAACCAAAAGATCATTGATTAGGACAGTATACCTTTTAAATGAGAGAAAGCACATCGTTAGATAGATATGGCAGGGTATAATAAACAATTACCATGGGCTAACTAGAAACTACTCAGCAGGAGCCTTATTGCAAATCAGTATATTACTTAAACATAATAATAGGACCAGAACCTAACCACATCTCCACCAAGAATATTATACCCATTAATAAAGATTCCTCTTATCCGGGCAATAACAAGCATTAGCATTACAAAGAGAATACAGCTTAGGTTAGCGCCCCAGCATCTAAGGTCGTGGACATGTTTATTGGCTTGAAATCAGGCATCTTTAGATGGCTTCAGCGGCTGATTTAGGAGGACTCGAGTCGGGAATGCCCTGGACCTTCTTTGTCAGCGTGTCAAATCATCTGAGGACACTCCTCGCGGGTGAGCTACTGTTAGAAGATCTAGGAAGAACTTGGCTATCGCATCTTGAGGTCGGGCCTTATGCTCCTCTTTATCATACATATAGATCCTCATCCGCCGTCCCGGATTTTCGGATACATTAGGGTTTACACAAGTACCTGTGCGGTTTCGATGTATCGAGCGGTCATAGGAAACTGTTACTCCACGGTGAACCCGATAGAACCAACGGGAACGTGTCCTGGGGACCGTTTATTCGGAATGATAACATAGATACGTTGAGTACCATCGAAGGACTATAAGGTAGCTCCTTAAGCAACTCTGGTCAACGGTCCGGTAAAGAAATCAGCTTTCTAGCATATATCACAGCAAAACAGCAGTCCCGCGATGAGCAATAGTTGATCCCTTCCATAAAGCGTGAAGCGAAGGGCGGGGCCGGATCTTCTAAGAGACCTTCAGTGAGACAATAGGTTTTATTTAGCTTGTGCGGCAGGATTATTTATCTGTTTTCTGGCTTGGGAGTCGGACTTGCGTAATAGACACAATTGAGTAGATAGTACAGTTTATGGGTCGTACTCAAGGGCGAGTGTTTGCCAATCACCGACCGAGGCGTAGAAGATGTAATCGGTAGGGGATAGACAGAAGATATCAGTCCTAATATAAGATATGTAAACAGATGGTCAGGCGTAGTTGTAGCCATGCGTCTGGTCCCACAGGAGGGCCATCGCTAATTCATTTCTGGGCTGTGGAGTCTCCGGGGGCAGCAACTGTGGAGCCATCCCCAACTCATTTGCAAATATAATGGACCTCAACCTGGAAGTTTTCTTGCATATATTCAGGGTAAATAGGCCATACGGTTCTCAAAGTAAGAAAAAAAGACCTTTGATAGGGAGAAAGACAAGGCAACGTGCTCTTACAAGTGGAAGCCTAGATTATGAGTCATAGCACATTGCCTATTTAACTATAACCAAATACGAACCCTCGAACACTAAACATCTAGAAAAACATCTCTCCCCTCTAGAAAAGATGACCCCAGAAGACAACGAACCCGTCTACTTCTGGCGACTGGAAGACGACAACGCTTTTCTGGGCCAGTGGTATCCGTCTTCCTTTGAATGGAAGAATGGGAACGATACGTTCTACTACGCTAATGCTGAACAGTGGCGTAACCCCTTTTCTTAGTCTCCCCATGAGACATTCATATTCCTACCAGCCCTAGAGGAAAAACTAGGGCCACTAACAATGAAAAGATACATGATGCACCGCAAAGCCCTCCTCTTCGCCGGTCCCGACCACCCTCTGACCCGGCAGCTCGAGACCGGAGGGAAAGTGAACCCCCGCAAGCTGCGCAGCCTGGGTCGCCAGATCCCCGGGTTCGACGAGAATGTCTGGGAGGCGCAGAGGTACGCCATCGTGGCCGAGGGCACCTATCTCAAGTTCGCGCAGAACCCGGATCTTGCGACGCAGCTGCTCGCCACGGGCACAAGGGAGATCGTCGAGGCGAGTCCCCGCGATCGTATCTGGGGGGTGGGATTTGGGCGCGTGTCTGCGGGCCTGAGGCGCGAGGAATGGGGGTTGAATTTGCTGGGGCAGGCGTTGATGGAAGCTAGGGATAGGTTGAGGAGTGAGAAGGCAGAGGAGTAGGGGCTACTGGCGAGGACTGGCTGTTTGTTATTTGTGTCTCTAATGTTTAGTTTGAATTGTCTATTACCAGCATCCACTTTGGAATAACATTAGACACCGTTCCAAAGTAGAATAAGACTCTGACAGCCGTAACAAATACTACGGACCACTCATAAAAACCGCGCTTTTCCTCACCCTCTTTGCAAGATCCTCAACCCGGGTATCGATAGATCCTCGAGTAGAGTTGAAAGAGAGCATTCCGCCGTTTTCATCGCCAGTGTCCACTAATGGAATTCGAAGCAGAGTAGCGACACGCAGGGACTGTTCGCGAATCCACTCATACTGCCCAGGTTGGAGAAAGGTCGCCATAAGCTCACCGTCGTCCTCCAAGAAGAATGTCAACAAGCGACTCAGCGGGCTCATGATGTGCCACGGCCCTTGCGCGATAATATGGCTCCTATGCTCCTTCGGTGCCTGTGGGCTGTGGTTCCTCCTAGAGGCCAGTGTATGGTAGCTAGGGCGCAAGATCGCGGGATCAGCGAAGTCAGTAATCCTCAGTGCTCCGGCTTGGTTTCCCAGATAAAAAGGCACGCTGTGGCACACAGAGTCCACTAGTTCTTGGAGTGTGTGTGTTTATAGTTGACGAAATCCTCACCCCTCGCTAATGTTTCGTCCGCTGACAGAGCGACTCTGCATAGCTTCACTGGCGTTGCAGGCTACCATTGTCAGATCGGTGCTGCGCAAGAGCTTCTGAGGACCATGTTCGCTTGGCTTAACCAGACTCTGGGCTAAGAGATGATATCTGAAATTGCTCTTCACATACTGGAGGTCGGAGGACTGCGAGATGTGCAAGTCGTTCTGTAGCTACCCACAGGTTAGGTGTATTGACATTGATTGTTGCTTATATTCTTTTTTTTTTTACTAATGAGATCGTCTTGCTGTTCCCTACTAAATGGATACTTATATTCTATGTATCATACTACTCCGTAGACACTCGGGTGGCTCCTTCCTATTCCACACGCCTAGTCTTCTCTTTTTCTTTAAGAAGCTTTGCAATTCCTCTTCTCCATCCCACAACCTACATCGCTAACCGATCAGAAAACTCTGCTCCGAAGAGGATGGATTGCCCATGCATGTCCAGCAGATCCTTCGCGGCAGTACCATCGTGGAATATCCTTTTTGCACGCTCAAGGACGCTGCCGCCAACCGAGCCAGCCAATTCCCATGTGCCCGAATGATTCCTACTCGCGTCGGTGGAGGTTGGAGCAGCTCTTCCCACCGATCGATACTAGCAAGCTCGACGCTCGAATCTTCGCTCGAATCTTGCGCGTCCCCGTCACTCGATACTGACACGACATGTTGCTGATGATCAGCTAACGGAGACGCCACATTTTGCGTGCAATGTCAACGAGGACGCTGCAGGATAGGACTGTCCAGAGCTGCGAGAACATCCAAATCCCCGACCCAGCTCCCACCGTCGTATACTCGCACCTGTGCCTCCAGAACGTAAACGGTGGTGTCGCAGGCCCCGCGGTCCTTGCTCCGAATGGACTCGGAATACCCGGTGAAAGAGAGCTCCAGTTGAGTCTTGGGAAATTTATCCATTAATCGACCGTCAAATGCGGCGTGTCGGACTGAAAAGGGGTCGCATATGTTGGATGCACGAACCATCGGGCAGGCCGGGGGGACAAGTAGGACGACTCCCGGATGCCCAATGTTCCCGATGAGTCGTTTGATGAGGAAGTCTTTGGGCACAGTGTACGGATCGGAGAACAGCGACTCGGCCGCGTATATTGAATCACCACAGGAGACTGCCATAACGCTCTTGTAGCCTTCGGGGTCGTGGTTGTGCGACCCCGATTCGAAGTATACGATGCACGCAAAGGCGTGGGAGCGATTCAATTCCGGGGCCTTCCACTGCGTCCAGAATTCTTCACCCTCTTTTGGAAGCGCCAGTCTCTGCTTCAATTGTCCTCGGGAAAAATCCAGAAGACGAATGTTACTCAGAATGAATCCGCCGTCGTGTACACCCGCCGTTTCGAAAAGCGGTAGGATGTACGGACCCGGATCAGAGGTAATGTATTCGTCCTGCCAGATAAGCCCTGTATCATAAGGGAGATGGTCCTCTGGCGAGTTTTGAGAGTCAACTTGAGGCTCAGGACGTGGTATCCAATTGGCTTCATGAAGGGGCAGCATTAGGGAACGGAGGGACAGCTTCGCAGTAGGGATAGCTTGGTATATCTTTGCTGCAGCGCAAGCACCTCTGATGGCCTGGCTGTGTGGATGATCATACGGCAGGCTAACTTGGTTGAAGAGGGACAAGAGCCGTACGATACTGACTCGGTCGGTCTTCAAGGCAAGAGTTAGACTCATTGCCCGGGCGGCCTCGAGGTCCTTCCCAGGGGCTTTGGGATATTCTCCTGCAAAGTACAGCGCAGCGTATTCCGGGTCCCCACAGAGAGGATTATACAACGTCCCGGTCTCGCCAGACAAAGTGCTAGAATCGGCCATCCAAGGAGCTTCGTGAGCTGGATCTGGTTCTGCTTTCAACCAAGTAAACCCAGTTCCATATTCGGTCCGCGAGGTTGAAATTCTCTGGCTGGTCGGATCAAAAGTGTCATGGACTCCCAGCTGCGTTCGCCAGCTTATCCAAGCCTCTTCTATATTCCGTCGGCTGTCAATGTCAATGTCCTTATCAAGAGCAATCCACCTCCGTGGCTCGCAAAGGACGTTTCCAGCATAGTCTCGTTTGTTTGAGACAACAGCACTGGCCAGTCCACAAGTGTTGCGATGAGTCCTGAGATAGCCCGGAAACTCATCTGCGAGGGCGTACTTGATAATAAGTTGATTTGGAACCGCAAGTATCTTGCTTAGATCTCGAAACAGCTCGATCTGCTCTTCTAAATTGTTGGATATCAGAGAGATTACCCTCTCGTCTGTCAGACCGAATGCAGGCTGCGTCTCTTGGGGAGGTGGGCCAAGAAATTCAGATTGTCTGGTTCCGAGGGCCTGAAGCATTTCATATTGTGCTCTTTTGACACCCTCGGCACAATTGAATTCATAAGCAGTTCGTGCCAGAAGGATAGGCCACGTCGGGTTGTGTTCATCCAGTATTTCTTCCAATCGCAATAGTGCTGCGCGATCGTGGTCTGCTTGTTCTTTCAGACCATCGATCTCCTCTTTCAGCATTTTGCGTTTTTCAGTATAGATGGGCTCTGGCAACGGTTCAATTGTGTCTGTTTCATCGCCGGTGAGAACTTGCATTCTTCGTTTCATATCTTGCTTTGCCTTTTCCTGGGCATTCTTGACTTCATTATCCGTTTCTAGCTTCTCTTCGTCCTGCAAATGGGTGATCTTCTCAAAGCATGAATTCATGTCCTGCAAAAGCAGACCTTTTCCTCTGTTAAGAAACGACCACAACTCAGCCAGGATCTGTATGATTGGATCGGCTTTTCGGGGAGTGGAGTACCCCCAGCCAGCCAAAGCGCAGCCGAGGATGACCTGAAGGAGATCGGGCATGTGCAGCCGTTCCGCGCTTCTGCTGATAGTAGTTGTTAACTCCACAGGCTCGCCATAGAAGCGAAGATGTGCCAAAGGAAGTGACCAGCGAACGCCCTCGCCAGGACCAGGATTGGCTGCGTTAAGGCCAAGGGTTATGATGCCAGTGTGAGGCACAAGATTGTCTTTAAGATCGATCAGGTCTTGACCAAGACTGAGGACGTTCAGCGCCGGGTATAGATGCCAGGACGCGAGGCCCAGAAGTACGGCTCCATCGTGGCCTGTCTGCGGCATTCCCTTAACCAGGCTGTTCACTGTTGTCAATGCCAGGGTCCACGCATCCATGACGTTCTCATAGGTACCCCTCACACTACTAACATCGATGTCCAGATTCTTGACAACGAGCATCAACTGAGTCTGCTGATGAGCTCTGGCTTCGTCTGCGCGATTCAGCCAAGCCCGAGCACTAGCGTCCCAGTGCGCCAGATCTTTTCGTGTGATTTCTTGCTGCGAGGCCAGCAGAGAAGCCCAGTGTCGGGGCTCCAACGACTCGCACCCTTCCTTGATAATTTGCTTTCGCTTTTCGACAATCTCAACCCATATGGACGTGGCCTCGTCCGACTTCCACATGCGGGCCAGCATGCACGCCAACATATGCACGGGGATGGCGCCGGAGCCAGACGTTGCGGCCGCCCAGATCGACGTGCCATCAGCACCGATCATATTCTCGAATAATCCATCATCTTTCGAACCCTTGGGATTGATCCCCGGCGCCTCGGAAATCTCAGATACCCGTTTTCCGTACGCGCGGATTAATTCGGGGGTCGGAGGAATCACACCCTCGAATAGAGCACCTAGTCGTCGTGCAATGCGATGGTATAAGCCCTCTTCTGCGTCTTCTTTGCGACGCGCGGATAGTGCATTCCCGAGCCCCGTGAACTCCTGTGGCGGTTCCATTTTGAACAGCGAGAAGTCGAAATTCAGGTTCGCTAGTGCCAGCACATTCTCGTTCGATAGGCTGGCTAGAGCCCCTTGGATTTTGCCGATGACACTCATCCTGGGGACAAAACTGGTGGCCGGGATTTTCGCTGATAGTCCGGCTGAAGATGTCGGTGTCAACGATCGAGAATATATTGATCCTCCTGACACGACGTAGGTGAGAACGTGTCAGCCTGAAGTAGTCGTGGGTGTGGCTGTACCTGAGGGTCAGGGCGCTTAGCTGAAGCATGGAAAAAGCAATATGGCCAGCGGGAACTGCGATAGGTTGGCCGGGAACGCAAGGCTGGCAAGGCACATCATGTTAGTCGTCTTTGGAATGTGACGGTTCTAACTCCATTCCATTTATACTTCAAGTTATCCCGACTCAGCTTCTAATAACAATTATTTCTAACTAAGCAGTTCGCAGAGTGTATTTTTGAGCATAGACCAAATATTGCATTGAAACAGCTATCAACGTCGCATACTAACCCACTACAAACACTGCGAATACCAATCATTCACCTTCTGGCAGCTATACGGACTCACACAGACCGTCGGCCCACTCCAATTATTCCCTCCACACTGCTCATACTGCTTCGCCACAGCCGTCGACGTCGCGGTCGTTGCGGTCGTCGTCCTCGTACTCGTCGCAGTCGCAGTCGTAGTCCTCGTGGCCGTCGTCGTCGTCCCACTCCCCCCATCCCCACCCACAAAGAACGGCTTCAACAGGCTCAAATAATTCGTATACCCCGTCCCACCACTCGGCTCCATATTAAAGATATAATCCCCCCACCACGGTCCCGCCGCCCACCACGCCGCGCCGAGCCACACATCCGAGTTCTGGCCCAGATAGCTTAACATGCCCTGCACGGCGGTCTGGCAGACGCTGTTCGCCCCGCCGGCGAATTCGCCGAGGAAGCCCTTCTTGTTGTTCTCCTTGAGCCAGGCGGTGGCGGCGGCGACGCGCTCTTGGCCGATGGACGAGCTGACGCAGGTAGAGGAGGTTCCGGACCCGTCGGAGTCCAGGTATTGGTGCATTTCGTAGATTAGTTTGTCGTTGGGGTCGGTGAGGGCCTTCAGGTTGTCGTTTACGGTTACCCAGGTCCATGCGCCGGACCACGAGTTGCCTTCGATCATTATGTATTGGCTTGTTGCGCCGGTGGCGCGGATGGCGTTGATCGCGGCTTGGTTGAGGTTGAGGACGTGCGTTTGGTCCATTGTGTGGTATTCGTTGTCTGGATTGTCAGTTGGGGTGGGTTATGCGAAGGGGAGGGAGAGCGTACTGGTGTCGAAGATGACTTTGTCGTTGTTGACGAATTCCTTCGCCAGGGTTGTCCAGAAGGCGGCGAAGTCGGAGGTCGAGGAGATGACGTTTCCGTAGCTGGGAGGGAGGTAAGTTCGGCTATAACTGAGGGTTAGAGGGATAGAGACGTACTATCTCCCGAAGTTATGAGGGTCGATGATCGCGTAGTCCCCAAGGTCTGTGATTCCTTTGACAGTCTGCATCGTGTCAGTATCTTCGTGCCTCCCACGTAGATGGCTAACGGACAGCTTTCAAATCACTGAGATACTTCGCGTCCGGGGTCCCGGTCAACTTCTCCGGAATCAACCTCTCCATCATAAACGCTACACGGAAGATATTCATGCCCGCATCGTGCAGTGTCTTGATGGTGGACAGATCCGGCCAGATGTAATGGGTTCCCAGATCGCCGGGAATAGTGTTCTGGCCGAATTCTGCGCCGGCTTCATTTGTTCCAAACCCTGTGGTCTATTAGAAAATTTCCTGAAATGCTCGAGGACCAAGACTCACAAACAAAACCAGAATCGCGTTTATTCGGCGCCGCAAAGACAAGCGGGAGAACAGCAAGGAGGGAAATGAACTTCATTGTGAAGACCGCGTCAAACACCAGACTGATCGATCGGAATGCAATATCACTTTCAAACGAGATAAACCCACGCTTTTATACACAAAAACCTATACTCCCAAACCCCAACTCTAAACGAAGCCTCTCCCAACCCCAAAAAGCATCTACAACGGCCCCTCGGACCGCAACCCGACTCACCAAACCCAAACAGCTCCATAACCCAAAACAGCACGGAGACCAATTCGTCACGGCAGTTCATTTTCATTCAAGTTACGGCAGTGAGAGACAACGACCGCATGGCATGACATACCGCAGACTAGACACGCGGGGACAGTGACGCACGGACAGCGTTGATCCGGGGGTTTCCGGATCGGCAAAGGAGCTGGTCCCTGAGAGACTCGTGGAGAATGGCATTAATGCCTGGAGGTGTAGAGAACAGGGGTATAGTTAGGCTATTGTGTGGTGACCAAGACAGGAAGAAATGCGCGCACCTGTGGCGGTGTTAGTCGGAGAACAATCCGTCCAATCGCTAAGCGTCACGAGAAACGGTCTGGACTCGACTGCTCTGTCAGTGTCACAAGGGGCTCAGAGTTAGATCATGCCATGCAGATTTAGTCTGAGTGTCAGCAGCGGTGGTCAGCACTAGGGGAGTGAGAAGCGCTAGGCGGTGATTCTGCAGGGATGCGCCAATGAGGGGGGGCTGTTTGGTCCGGGGAAGAGGGGGCGGGGGATGATTAGACTAGTGATGGGCAGAGATGCTAGTTGAGTTGAGCTTGGGGTTTGCGTCTGACGAGTGGGAATTGCTGGTTTATTAATTATAAAAGCTAAGGTCTAGTCACGGGGTGTTTAATATGGACTACAGGTCTTGGGGCTAAGTTCGTGGAGAGATGGCACAAGATTGATTTGAAACAGACTCCATTGATTGACTACCTAGGAAATTGAAAAAAAAAAAGGCCAAGCGAACTGTTCATTCTTGCCACTTCTGCCTAGTCCCTACCCCTGCATGGTCTGCTCCGTCTGGCCGTGCTTTCCCATCACCCACCCCTCGGGCCTGTTTCTTACAGACACTGAGAGTACCACTCGTTCACCTTGGTGCAGGTGTACCCGCTCACACACTTGGTTGGTCCAGTCCAGGAGGCGCCGCCGCACTGCTCGTACTGCTTGGCCACGCCGGTCTGGGTGCCTCCGCTGCTGGTGGTCGTGGTGGTGGCCCGCGAGGTGGTGGTTGTGGTGCCGGTGCCCGGGTTGGAGCCGCTGTTGAAGGTCGAACCGATGGGACCGACCTTGATGTTCGAGTAGACGACGTACGCGTCGGGGTGGTTGGCCTCGACGTCGCCGGGGTCTCCGGACGAGATGTCGCAAGTGCCGCGGGCCACGCCGGGGGTCGTCGAGGGCTTGTCGGTGGGGTAGTTGCTGTCCAGCCAGAGCATGTTGGCGTGGTGGTCGTCCCACAGACTCAGCACGAGGACCATGCCCTCCGCCAAACCGGCACTCATGCCTTCCAAGCCGCCGTGCTGCTCGAACGAGGGCTCGTCGCCGAAGAGAGACTTCTGGGCAGAGCAGTACGAGGTCGTGATCGAGTTGCCGGTCACGCCGGACCAGGTGGACTGCGAGTTGGGGATCACCTTGCCGTTCTGCACGTAGAAGCGGCGGATCTCGGAGAGCGTGCCGGACGCGGCGTTGTTGTTGGTCAGGAACTGCGTCACCACGGTCACCTTGCTCTTGGTGTCCACGGTCATTCCGGGCCCGTAGAAGGTCTTGTTGCCCTGCCGGAACGAGTTGAAGTCGCATCCGTCGGGATCGCAGGTGCCGCCGTACCGGTCGGCGCTGTAAGTGCCGCCGCAACTGTCGCCCGTGCACATGGTCTGCAAAGGGTCATCGCAGGGATGGGGGGTGAAGGCCGTCGAGATGCTGTTTGCTTCCCAAAGATCCATCTCCGCGCAGCAGGACCCGCGGTTACCGGTTCCCGAGTTGGGGTCGCTGTCCGAGCCTTTCCAGCCCTCGACGTTCGCTTGACCGTTGATGAACTTGAGATCGCGAGGACATTGCGAATCGCAGTATCCGGTTCCGTACTTGGCACCGGCCTCGTTGGTGGGGTATCTGGACTTGCCACCGTCGGCGTCCATGTTGACGAGGTAGACGGCGCCGTTCAGACCGCAGGGAAGAGCGGAGACGTCCACGTCGAAGGTGATCTCCTGGTTGAGGAGCTTGAGCGTCTCGTACGTGTTGTCGTCCTTCATGAGGTAGAGACGCGAGCCGACGTTCTTCTGCTGGCTCTGGGTGACGAAGTTCAGACGCAGCGAGTCGCCGCTGGTGGTCACACCGTAAGTCTGCTGGTAGTTGGCACCGTCGACGGCGCACTTGGTGGCACAGTCGGCATTGGTCGAGCAGATGGACGTGTCCCACTTGTTGCCGGTGTAGCAGTTGGTATAGCCGTCAACGGTGTGCACCCATCGCCAATTGGCGTCGATGACGACCTTGCCGTTGTTGGTGGTGCAGCTGCCACTGCTGGTGCAGGTCTGCCAGGTCAGAGAAGGATGGGTTTCTGTCTGCTGAGTACCAACCTTCTGGGCCTGGACGGATCCCAGAATGGAGCTCAGCAGCAGCGCAGCCTTGTAGAATTGGAAGGAGAATGCCATTGTGAATGACGATTGAGCGTGGTTGAGGAATTGGAAAACCGACATGACCGGGAGATGAGGGCTTTTATAACTTTGCGTCCAGCACTATCTTGTCAACATCGTGAAAAAAAAACCTCATCTCCAGAGCTCGTCGACGGCATCGCGGTCCGCATGCCGCTGCGATAGCTGTGCAGATTCACCACGGGGACATGTCCCGTATTGGCAGGATAGTCACTACCATGAGCCAGAGCCGAGTATATTGAGTCCCAAGATAGCCAGACCTTCACGCCGTATCGCAATAGGCAGCTGGCCGGCTAAATGCACGTAATGTTTCTGCAAGCGACGCTGACATCGTGGGGAAGGCAGCCAAACCACGCGCTGGGCAGTGCCGACAACGTGATACCGGGGTGACCTCGCTTGGGAAATACTCCCTGCAGCTGCATGTTCACGATCGAAAACCGGGGCGAACCCCTGCTGACTCGGCTATTCTCGTAAGCCCAATCTAATAGATTGCTGTGGCGCCCCGGATGCCCGGATTAGGCAACAGAACAATGAGGGGAAGTGGCACGACGGCGTTGGCTGATGCTGTGCCACCAGGGTTCAGGGACTGTTCTACGTGTCCAGGACCGGCAAGTCAACTGCCTGCATGATCATGAGCATAAGCATGATCCATGATCCATGATCCATGACGCTGCGGCCGAAATGCCAACGGAGGAAAGTAAACCCGTGCAGAACGAAACCCTAGATAAGATACCCTAATCTAATCAATCAGCCCCGCCTTAGTCAGCGCCGCATTCGGCGGGGTTTTTCGCGACAAATTATTTGCCTCATCTTCGGCCTCTTTCCTCTCCTCCGTCTTCTCTCATCTACAGCCACCCCCGCTCCAATTCAACACCTGCGTCGGGATTCAACATCTACTCCAAAATGTCCAGCTTCATCCTCACCCTCTCCTGCCCCGATCGGCCGGGCATCGTCCACGCCGTGACCGCCTACCTGGTCGAGAACAACCTCAACATCGTTGACTCATCGCAATTCGGCGACCCCTCCTCCCAGCGATTCTTCATGCGCGTCCACTTCGCCGCCGAGTCCGCCGACAAGACCGTCGATGAGCTGCGCACCGCTTTCTCCGCCACCGCCGCGTCCCTGTCCATGGACTTCCAGCTCGTGCCGGCCTCCCAGAAGGCCCGCGTGCTGATCATGGTCTCCAAGATCGGCCACTGCCTCAACGACCTGCTCTTCCGCCAATCCACCGGCCAGCTGGCCATCGAGATCCCCCTCATCGTCTCCAACCACCCCGAGTTCGCCGCCCTCGCCGCCACCTACAACATCCCCTTCGTCCACCTCCCCGTCACCGCCGACACCAAGCCCCAGCAGGAGGCCCAGATCCTGGACCTCATCCGCCAGCACAACATCGACCTCGTCGTCCTCGCCCGCTACATGCAGGTCCTCTCCCCGACCCTCTGCGAAGCTATGTCCGGCCGCATCATCAACATCCACCACTCCTTCCTGCCCTCCTTCAAGGGCGCCAAGCCCTACCACCAGGCCTTCGACCGCGGCGTCAAGATCATCGGCGCCACCGCCCACTTCGTCACCAGCGATCTGGACGAGGGTCCCATCATCGAGCAGAACGTCGTGCGCGTCAACCACGCCATGAGCCCGAAGGAGCTGACCCATGCCGGCTCTAACGTCGAGAGCAACGTCCTGGCCACCGCCGTCAAGTACGTCACTGAGCGTCGCGTGGTGCTGAACGGCCACAAGACCGTGGTGTTCAATTAGAATGGAGGGTATTGAGTTGCATTGCATTGCGTTGGAAGTTTAGTTGCTTCGCCACATGTATATATATTTCTTTCGATATAGATTGTCTGTCTGACCTGTCCCGGGTTCGGACGGGGAAACAACCAAAAGTCTTACCGTTGGAGTCGCGCCAATCCCTAGGTCCTAGATCTGGAGTGGTTTGAAGGGATGGTAATCCTCTTCTCCGGCCCACTGCGCTGCATGAAGCGACTCGTCCATCTGCGAGGCGTCCATGCCGGCAATCACCTCCCTAGACATCACATTAGCACCATCACCACCACCACCACATCTACTACGCGAGAAACCGGAAAAAAAAGTGGAAAACTCACTCATCCGTAGCCAAAACCTCCCACCCCGGCACACAATCCACAAGCGCATACAGCACATAACTCCCTCCAAAGCTCCACACGAACCCAATCAGCGCCTCGACCACCTGCACCCCCAACTGTCTCCAATTCCCATCAAAGACACAGCCGCCCGCGATGACAGTGACGCCATCATACGCCGCGACCTCGCGCTGCGCAAACAACCCCGTCACAATCGTCCCCACGAACCCACCCAGACAGTGCGTCGCAAACGTATCCCCATTATCCACCCATCGCCACCGCGCGGCCATCTTCGTGAACTTGATCCGCAGCGCCTGTCGGCCCAGGACCGCGCCGAGAACCCCGAACCCCACCGCCGTGTTCATATCGATGAACCCCGCGCTCGGCGTGATGAGTACTAGACCCGCGATCGCGCCGAGGAATGTGCTGTCGAGACTCCACTTCCCGGTCTCCCAGTAGGTTAGACTCGCCCAGGTGAGGGCGCCCGAGGCAGCGCAGAGGTTCGTGACGCAGGCGGCCATGACACTTTTGAAGTTCAGTGCCAGTGTAGTCCCCGCGTCGAAGACCAGCCAGGCGTTCCAGATGATGATCAGCGCGAGGAGCTGGCAGAGGGAGTTGTGCGGTTTGTGGAGGACGAGGTGCTGCGGGGTGCGGGAGGCTGAGCGTCGAGATCGGAAGAGAGGGTAGGATAGGTACACGCTCATTGCTGTCGCTGTGGCGCCGCTGCAGATGTGCACGGGGGTTCCGCCGGCGAAGTCGAGGGTGCCGAGCGTGGCGAGGAAGCCGGTCTCGGACCAGACCATGTGGGCGAGGGGGGCGTAGATGAATGTGCACCAGAGCTGGGATGACTGGTTAGCTTTTGAGTGAGGGGGTGAGGAAAAGAGGAAAGACGGACGAAGATGAACGGGATCAAAGGGAGGAGGCGCCCTCGTTCGCAGGCGCCTCCGATGGCGATGGCGCAGACCGTCGCGCAGAAGATCAGCTGGAACTCGGAGAACAGGATCTCGGGGATCGAGCCGACTGGGTTTGACAGCACGCCGATGTGAAAGATCTTGCTGAATCCGCCAAATACACTGTTGGCGTCGCCGTAGGCCAGCGAGTATCCGATCATCCACCATTGGATGGAGCACACGGCGACTGCTAATAGGCCGGGATAGAAGGATGACAGGCTGTTGAAGCGCGTCGAGTAGCCGGAATACGCCAGGCCGACCGCAGGGATGATGAGCCAGCAGAAGACGCTGCAGACGAGGATGAAGAGGGTGTCGGTTTTGGAGCACGCGTCCCAGGCGGCTTGAACGGACATTGTGGTGGTGATGGTTGATGGGTTGGTGGATGTACGGGGGAGATGGGATTAAGAATGACGATGGGTGGGGAGCTGAGGAGAGCTGAAAGAGCTGAAAGAGCTACCATGATAAGGATGCATTAAGGACATAATGGATTGCATTCGAGATGAGAGACAAGATGGAGGAAGAGAGTTGATTGGGCGTGGAAGATGTTATCGCGAGGATCGGCGGCGCTTCATATCAACCTGCAGATCGCCCAATCAGCCGTGCAGTGGAGGTTACATTCATTTTACAGCCTTAGTGGCTACCTGGAGATTAATGATCTTAATCAAATAATTACACTCAATAGGAAAAGCGACGAAAAGAAAACACTTCTATTGCCAAAACAAAACAGCCAACACAAGAATACTCACATCACCCACTTCTCAAACGACTCATAATCCCTCACCGGAGTCACAGGCGACTCCTGCTGATCCTCCTCCTCCGTGTCCTCCTCCGTGTCCTCTTCCTTCTCCGGAATCTCAACCCCAGCCAAGATAGAAAGCTCCTGCTCCCGGAGGACCTTAAGCCGTAGCTTGGCCAAAGACCTCGGCCAGCCACGATTCTGCGACCCCTTGACCTCATTCCAATACCCCAGGTATGGATTCTCCTCATTCCCATCCTTGTCAACCGTCCTCCCGATCTGATACAGCGATGACTGCGACACATACTTGCCTAGCAGGATCAGCCAGACCTCCCACGCCGCGTTGTTCAGTTGCAGCTCCTGGTCGCGACAATACAGTAGCATCGCCGCCTCACACGCTTTGACAGGGACGGGGATTCTCACCGGATACGTGTCCATTGGGTAGCGGCCGAAGAGGTCCTCGTCGGCCGGCGCGTCAGGGAGGCGGTCGTCCGTGATGGTCATGAAGTAGGGGTCGTTGCAGTCGCTGATGTAGAAGGGGAGGGAGGGGAAGGACGGCAGCATGTCGGATTTCTGGAAGATGCAGAGCTTGCCGGGGTTGGTGGTACCGGCTTCTTCGTCGTCCCAGAGGTGGAAGTGTGCGGTGGCCAGGGGGAAGTGTGTCGAGTAGCGTCGACATCCGCGGCTGTCGTCGCAGCGTGGGAAGCCTGCTGCGATCAGGGTCGTGATGGCGACGTCGATCTTGTCGTCTGGGACCACGAATTGGAGGCACCGTGGGAAGATGAACGCGCCCATGATCCCGAGCATGGCGTCGCCGACGAGGACATTGGGGATGTAGTTGTTGTCGAGGATCTCGCCGATGATGGGGACGATGGACTTGGGGGTGTGATTGCGGTTGAAGATGAGGCGCTCCATTTTGTAGATCTCGGGGAGTTTGCGAAGGGATATGGTGATGTTGGTGATGCTGATCTTAGATGGATATATTTTGAGATCTGTCTATATATACATGTCTGATAACAAAGGAAACATGCAGTGTTCATGGTATTGTTCAGCAAGACAACGGTTTCTTTGGTTGAAATCGGCCGTATATGTTCAACACATCTGTTCGATGGGAGATTCCCAATATTTGCTGTTGTCTTCTAGCGGCATTGTACAAAACTTGAAAAGGCAGATTTGTGTCTCAAGGAGGCCTACAATAATTTCAGCAAGGCAGTTACTAGTTAGCAACTCCCAACTGACAAAAGAACAAAGACGTAAAAACAAAGCCCTTGTACCACAAAGTCAACCCAGCCGGGAAGACAAAGGAAACAGGGAAATCCCTGCACTGGCCCGATAGGAAGAGCTTGAACATATCCATATGCAAAGTGGAACTATTCCAATAAAGCTGCTTGCGTCTGACATTGAAACTGGTAATCAAAGGCAATCTGAAGCCATGCAACAAACAATCATGTCCAAGCACAGCATGTTACCTGTCACATCTGAACACCACCAACACCTAGCTAGATTCAATAGGGAGTAGACGAGATCATCTATTTACTCCCACTGGAAACAGTATAAACTAGATAGATCGCCACCCTTATCTATCCCCGTCCCCCCAGACCCCACGCAACGCAACGCGCCCTGTCGATCACTGATAAGACGCTCGACTGCCGATTCAGGCCCAATCAAGCCGCACAATCCCATGACCTGGGGGAGTTTGATAAAATCTCAGCCCTAGGGATTTTACATCCGATAAGTTTATTCAGACGTCGGGGCTTTTTCTTGGTTCGATTGTGTTCGTGGGGGATGGTGGAGACATGCGTATGAACTATTGCCACGGATCCAGGCATCAGGTTAAGGCAGTAAGGCAGCATATTTCCTTTTCTGGCTAGTATTCCTCATCTTCAGGCAGACGTTCTTGTGGCGAAAGGAATGTCCGGCGTGTTTTTATCTTGGAAAAATCAGTCTACAGGAGTTATTTCTTCCAAACAATTAGGTATCATTAATATTCTAATTCCCACGCTACAAACATACTTGCAATAAAAACACGAGATCCGACACCATCCTACAGCAAACGACTGACACTCAATCCCCCCAAAACCCCCCTGTCAACAACTCGCCTGATATCGCCCTTGTTCCAGGGGCGATGCAATCCTAATCATCTCGGGCTGCTGACGAACATGGAAAGCCCTCGGAATACCCGTCTTCATGGAGCCATTCTCGGACTCGCTGTCGATGTAAATAACATCATGGTCGCTCGGGAATCCGTTGAATTTGGTGGCTGTTGCGGTGGTGTATGCTGTTCGATTCATTAACCTTCCACTCATGGAAAACACAGCGCGAAATGGGAGAAATGACTTACCACCCATATTCTTATACTTCAGCCAATCCCCCACTTTGACTTCCGATTCTAACGCCGTGTCCTTGACAATGCAATCCATGCTATCGCATGTCGGTCCCCAGACGGAATACCTATGCTCTCCTTGTTGTCGCTTTACACTTTCTCCGTACGAATGAGGGTACGGCGAGACTAGACTCGGATGCATGATTTCTTTCTCCATAATCACATTCATGAAGCTCCCATACACCCCGTCATTCTGGTACAGCATGTCGGGTCCAGTTTTGCGGGGATCGCCGATCTGTCGGCGTCGTGATATCACCTTGCAGGCGAGGGTGTATGCGTTGCGTGCGTAGTAGCGGCCCGGCTCAGCGATGATTCGGACGTTGGATGGGATTTCTTCACAGAGGCTCCTGTGCACGGCGGATGCGATTCGCTCGAAATTGCTGTCTTGGAATCCGCCGCCGATGTCGAGAAGGTTCATTTGGAATCCGAGGTTCTCAGCTTGACGGAAGACGGTCTTTGCATTTTGGATGGCTTTGATGAAGGCGGAGGCGTTGATTGCGCCAGTTCCTGTTTATTGTTTAACATTCGCTATCGTTTGGAATGAAAAGCGGAGGGAGAAGACATACCGACATGGAAGCTAACGCCCGTGACAATTAAGTTTAGCTCCCTGGCGCGGAGCAACAACAAAGGAGTGGACTCTGTCGATGCCCCGAACTTCTCTCCAAAATCGATCAGCGCATCACTATCGCTAGCGAAAATCCGGAGAACAAGTTCCGCGTCTGGGTGATACGCCTTGATTGTGTCCAACTCGTCGAGATTATCGAATGTGGTATGCATCACTCCCACCCGGCGAGCGAACACGAGCGACGACACCGTTTTGCAAGGATTGGCAAACACGATGCGCGAAGGGTCAACCCCAAGGCTCAGCACAGCCCGGAGTTCTTCGATGGAGGCACAGTCGAAGCCGGTGCCCAGTTCGGCGAGGAGTTTGAGTAAGGTTGGGTCGGTATTGCATTTCACCGCTAAAACAATCAGAAGGTATCCAATAGTGGTGTGCAATCTGTGCTTACCGTAGAAAGGGTGGACATTAGGAAAGGCCGCCTTCCACCGGCGATGCTGGCGGGCGATTTGGCCGAGGTCCGCCACGAAAAAGGGTTCTTCATCGGTGATGGATCGCCCGTGTTTGTTCAGACCCGAGAGCCTGTTCTGAATAGCCAAGTCAACTAGATGGGCCATGGTGTATTTCTGTTTGAATTGGCCGTGCTTACCTTGGACGGAGGCGTTCTCCGGGGCGGTTTTATACCGCAATCCAAATTGCGCATTACACATCATCCTTGAGTTGACCGAAAAATATAGAGCATATAACCTCCGCTTATGCGACGCGGGCAGAATTGCGCCAAAGACAGGTTCGTGGGCTTGAATGCGCTGCGTGATTTTTTCGGTGTCCTGAGGCCAGTGAGGATGGCGAGCGCGGATGCGATCCAGCTGGATCTCGGTCGTCAGCGACTCATGCGCTGCGGCATTAACCAATTATTGGCGGAGCAGCAGGACGACACGCCTTTCTGACTGGATAACATCTTCGGACTGGCGGGTTGCGTAAGACGAGCTACATTTCTGGGCTGATCTGCGCCTGACCCATGCAAGGGATGATCGGCAAGGCTAGCCGGCCACTAAAGGCGCTAAGTCGTAGCTAAGACCAGGCAATGCACACATTCCAGCCAGCCGCAGAGTACGTGCGAAACCCCCTTCCTGGGAGCCTAGACTGCGATGTCTCGGAGCTACATGCGACATGTTCGGATTCATTACCTCTGCACGGGGCTGTTTGAGAATATTTCTCGCCCGGGTCGTATTTCCCTCATACTCTCTGGTTTCTAAACACCGCACGCCCAACATGGTTCTTGGTTCGAAGATCCTCTCAATCTTGAGACCCTCGCGGCCCTCATGGCTCTCGTCCATGCGATCGTCTCGCTGGTTCATCGTCGCTGTGATCTCGACTGCGTACCTGACGGTATGTCGCAGTCTAGCCTTCCGATGGCTGGTTTGGTGCTAACGCAAAGCGGAAAATCTCAGACTTTGTTTCTGTATGGCATGGTGTGCTGTTCTCCTCCTGTTCTGGAATCCCCTTCATGGCTGAACGGTACCAGATTGTTCCCATCATGCCCTCCGCACTCGTTGCGCGGGCTGGTGTGTCACCAGACCACCGTATGTGCTGCAATTGCGATCATGCCCAGACGTTCGCTGACACGCGTTTCGACCTGCAGAGGCTTTCTGGACGAGTATCTTGTTGATTTGTGAGACTGCAACGGCCTTTGCGGCCTGCCCGATCTTCGGGCTTTGGGTAGACTCGTCGGTTGGTCGCAAAATCCCGTTCCTGGTAGGTCTCATCTTACTTGCCGCTGCAATGGCTTTCTTTACCGCAGCGCGATCTACGACGATGTACGTTGTCGGGAGAATTCTACAAGGTCTCGCATCCGCCATGGTGGACGTTGCAGGGCTTGCGCTGCTGCGAGATGCCATGGGTAGCGATCGTCTGGGAGAAGCCGTGGGGTACGTCGGTACCGGCCAGATGGTCGGACTCCTGGCAGGTCCTCCCTTAGGGGGCCTCGTGAATCGCGCCGGAGGATATTATGCGGTTTGTATCCTGGGGTTTGCGATAGTCATCGTGGACGCCGTGATGCGCTTAGCAGTGTCAGAGAAGAATGGTCGGGACCAAAGTTCCATCCAACTGGACGAAGGCGCCCTTGCAGCTGGGGCCGAGGGAAGTCACAGGAAAACTCCCGCGGCGGTGAGCACTGCAGCCGCCGAATCGAGCCCCCAGGAGGCGAAAGCCGTGTCTTTTGCGGGGTTGAAATTGCTAAAACAGCCACGCGTGGTCATCACGCTCTGGGCGCTCACTATCGATGGGCTAATAATCGGGGCTTTCGATGCGGTGTGTTCTGTTCATCCGGTTCCCTAACGTTCTTCCCTCCAGCTTACGTGACCTGAAGACTCTGCCTACCTATGTGGAGATGTTGTTTGGATGGGATGCCTTTGCGGCAGGTTTGCTCTTCCTGGCAATGGCAGGGCCGGCACTATTGGAGCCTTGGTTTGGTTAGTCCTATTTTGATAGAATGAGGCGCTTGTATCGAACGTCCTCGATGTCCTGGAGAACGCAGCGCTAATGTATTCTGCAGGACGACTGTGCGACCGTTTCGGGGTTCGCATCATGACAGTGCTGGGGTTCGCAATGTATACCCCGCCGCTGGTGTGTTTGCAATTCGTCAGCCAGGACAGCATGTCGCACAAGATCCTGCTAGCCGTCCTCATGGCATTGTGTGGTCTTGCGCCTTCGGTAGCTCAACCTGCCCTGTATGTGGAGTCGCAGATTGTGCTGGAAGAAATGGAGGCGCACAGCCCTGGCCTCTTCGGAGAGCAAGGGGCAGTCTCACAGGCATTTGCGCTGCAGACGATGGCCAATTACGCGGGTCTCTCTGTGGGGCCCATTGTCGGGGAGAAAATTCTGAGTAGACACGGGTGGAAGTCAATGGCGTGGACATTGGGGGGATTGGCTGGAGTGACAATCCTGCCCATGTTCCTTCTCAGCAATGAAAGTTTCGCTGAGCAGACACCGCAAGGGGAGGCACGGGGTGACGGGGACCAGGCTGGCGAGAGTTAGCTGGCCAGCGAGAAACCATAATTACCACAGATTCGATTTTTGCAGGGTTAGTAAACTCAACTGAGTTCGATAGTGTTGAAAAAGGCGTCGGCCTTGCATTGACCGACGCGTGCCGAGATCCCGCTTACAAGAGCGTATTCATCCTCATCGACGCCCCCGCGGCATTCCAGTGGACGATCGTACTGTAACGGTCCAGACACAGAAAGTACACATGAAGAGATAAATATCCCGCTGTCGGCGCTGGCAAGACTGTCTATTGTCATTGACTTTTCCCACGCTTGCCTTTGTCCCGCCGCCTTGCTTGACTCGTTCCCGGAACAATGCAACCCCTTGATTCCGGTCGTTTCTCTTTCCCAGCCGAATGGCACCCCCATGTCGCAACCATCCTGGGCTTCCCATCGAAGGCGTCCTCCGTCGAGTCTCTTTACGAACCACTTTGCAATGAGATTGTGGACCTGGCCGCAGCCATTGCCGACTTCGAGCCGGTGCGTCTGCATGCTCGACCGGAGGATGTTCCTGCTGCCCAAGCCCTGGTGAGCCGTAAGTTACGCGATCCCTCGCAGGTCACTATAGTCCCTGTGCCCATCAACCACTGCTGGGTCCGCGATACGGGGCCCGTGTACGTGCACGATGCTACTGGCCAGATGGACCCGAAACAGCGACTGGCCATCAGTTTTGAATTCAACGAATGGGGCAACAAGAACGGATGGGCCGGAGTCGACGAGTATCGGTATGGAACACCCGCCATGACTGCGGATATTCTGCGCGAGAACACCGATTTTGCCCGGAATGTCATTGCCGCTGACAATTCACCCTCACCGGTGCAGACAGTAGTGTCGCGCATCCGTGCCGAGGGTGGCGCCCTCGTGGTCGATGGTGAAGGCACACTCATCATTGCGGAGAGCTGTATGGTCTGCCAGGAGCGCAACCCGGGTCTATCGCGCGATGAGATCGAGGCCGAGCTGCGTCGCGTGCTGGGAGTGGAGAAGGTTATCTGGGTCCCCGGGCGCAAGAATCTCGACATCACGGATTCGCATCTTGACGCTGAGGTGCGATTCCTGCGGCCAGGAGTTGTCGTCTGGTCGAGACATCATCCTGATTCGGACCAGGACTGGATAGACTTGTCAAACGAGGTGCTGGAGGCCCTGCAGAACCAGACAGATGCAAAGGGGCGAAAGCTGGAGATTCACGCGGTGGACGAGCCGCCAATGAGCGCGTTACCGTGTGAAGAAGACGATGAGTTTGTGTCAGGATATGTTAACTTCTACTTCTGTAACGGAGGTCTCATCATGCCCGGGTTTGGCGCGGAGGGGTGGGATCGGAGAGCGAAGGAGACGCTGCAGGCGTTGATGCCGGAGAGAGAAGTGCGGCAGGTTCATCTCAACGCGATTCCGCTCAGCGGAGGCGTCATCCATTGCGTAACTCAGCAGGTGCCTGCTCCGTTGGCTTAGGAAGCGTTCTGAGAGATGGCAACTAGCCCAGTCGTTTTGTTTATCGCACCATCCTTGCTTGAGAAATGAAGTTTCCCGTGTCTTTCGTGCCTGATCGTATTAAAAGATGATCGGTGAATGTTGATCCTTTCCGTAATACCTGTAGGCGATGGCCAAAGTGATGAAACCCCATTAGTTTAGATGATCTGAAGACGAAGGAAGAACGGAAGAAAGGAGGGGAAAGGCACAAGACTTGGCATTCTCGCCTCAGGCCGCAAGGCAATGAGATGATGTCATCGGTCGCAGCGACACAATTTTGCGATTCAAAGATGAACAAGAACCAGCAACATACCAGGAGACAACCATGAAGAATCCCAAAGACATCAACCGATAGCCAGACAGAAGATGCAGAGAAATTCCCACTCCACAACCCCACAATTCCCGGTGGAGACTCGCCTCATCGCCATCCACCCGCACCAATCTGTATAAATTTTTACCCCTCCATACTCCCTCATAAATCTCTCCTGCTTGGTAGAATCCTCATCATCGCCACCGCATCTTATTACTCAAAAATTAAACATTTATTGTTGCCCAAAATGGATCCGATATCCCCTCCCCCGGCCCTCACGCATCTTTTCACTCTCCGTTGCGCCGTTGCACCGCCCATGGAGATCGGCACCGGGCCCTACGGACGTCGGCGTTGCGTGCCGATCGAGTCTGGGACGGTGCACGGGAAATATCTTAATGGGGAGGTGGTTTCAGGTGGTGCAGACTTCATGTCAGTTACGAGTCTATCCTCTTGACTCCGAATTCAAACTGGATGAACCCGAGGGCTGATGTAAGTGACAGGCTCGTGGAAACCGACCAGACAACGCACGTGAATACAAACTATGTGATTAAGAGTGACGATGGGGCGTTTCTGTATATTCGGTTAGTTCCCATGCGACTTATCTCCTGGAATGGATTGATTTACTCGGAATGCTTGTATTGACTCCCCACAGGACGGAAGGCACTAGAGCCGGTCCTCCAGAGGTCCTACAGGCCTTGATGGAGGGTGGTCCAGTTGATCCGTCGCAGTATTGGTTTCATCTACACATCAAGATCGAGACGGGCCATGAGAAGTACAAGTGGTTGAACAACCGGGTCATCGTGGGTCGAGCGACCAGGGCGAAGGGCGAGGTTGCTTATGACGCGTACTTCCTAGAGGATAAGGCTTGGAGCTTTTGATTGAAATGATGATGAAAGGTTGTGGGTATATTCTATATATGCAATGCATGATTTAAAGCTTTTGTACAAAGATGTCTTGGTTGCGCAGTATATCTGCCAAATCGACGTACTCCCCTTGGCTCGCATCCTGTTGAGCAAGAACCTCGTCGGCTAGATCGTTGGCCCACCGGTACTCCGAGTGATAATTCCGAAGTTCGGATAGTCGTTGACACATCCAATCTCGCTGGATTGGGTCCTCGATCTCGATGGCCGCCATCAACAGGGGCCAGTGTAGTCGGCGAAGAAGTTGCGGGTCAGATGCGTATTGCTTGCGAGTAATGTCGAGGATGTTGGTGACTGCGTGACGGTGGATGGTACTGGGAGGGCCAGGTGGACGAAGAAGACGGCGATGGAAGAGTACCTGAGCATAAAAGGTGGTGACGGCCATGTTGATCGTGTTGAGGGTGCGTCGCACCGAGGTTGGCCCGGCGAATTTAGCCGTGATGAAAAGATCGGAATATTTCTGAAATTGTGGTTAGTCCAGTCGCAATACCGGGCAGATAACAGAACTCACATCATGGATTGATAACATTTCATTGAACAAGGAATCACCCTCAAAACCAGTGCGACTGGGATCATCAACTAGCACCTGCCACGTTTTGTACCGCAGCGTCATGGCGATGTGAAGCAATTCCAACCCCCGATAATTCTCCATATCGTCCGACACTTGCTGATCAGGATACTGCTGTCCATAGAAACAACGGCCCCAAAGACGGGCGCAGCGGTGAAGCCGGTCCGGGTGAAGAGCCGGATTGCCTGACCGTAGAACGTATTCGTATAGTGATTCGGTGGTGCCTTGAGGACGGCAGCTCACATCGATGTATCTAACAATAGTTAGAACCAAGTCACTGAACGGGTGGATAATACTTACAAAATCCACAAAAGCAGCTGCTCGGGGATGAAAGAAACGCGAGATACCGATTCATCCGACTGTTCGGAATCAATGGATAGAAGCACGTTGTTCACGTCTTTAATGTGGAAGACCTCCGGATGAGATTCGAGCAAAGACCGCACGCCTTGCAAATGCAGCTGGAGATGATGCACACAGTGACCATACTGCCATTCATATGTGATCATCAGGAACATAGTGGCGAAGATGATCTCTAACTCCGTCGGTGTCACTTCAAGTTTGGGAGTTTCTAGCAGCTGACGAAATTCTTTGACGGCTAGTCCGTAATGATAGCGACCGTGATCTTCTGCCGTTGGACGCCCCGGGGACCGAACCACGAGCCCGTTCCGATGCATATCACTCGCCGAAAGAGCTAGTATCATTCGCATGATGACTTTATTGGTCACAGCCGGTCCCTGATACAGATAATTGAAGCTGCTCCACTGCCAGGACTTCATGTAGTAGAATACCACCGACGAGGACGGGAAGTACTGGAAGTATTTCTTGTCATGGTCGGAGAGAACCAGTGAGTTGGAACAAGCAAGATCAGGTTCCGAGAGCGATGGATATAGCGGAGAAACCGGCGTGAGAGGAAAGCAGGGCCAGCCCGCGGCGGAAAGCGTCTCCGGAAGGATCGGGGGAAAATCCGCGACGGTGCTCGGATGCTGCCATATTGACGCCAGAGTATTTGCGTATTGCGGATTCAGAATCCCTTGCGTGGACGTCGCAGAGCTCACGGGGACGATCTCGTGAACCGACCACCGAGGTTCAGCCGGCTGGAGATGGCGGACGGAGGCGGACTTGCCGCGCTTTACAGGCACTCCCCATTCGCAGTTGAGTCGCAGAGTGAAGCAGCGCTGGCATACGGGATGCTCCTCACCACATTTCACCTTTCGACGGCGGCAAGTGCTGCAACCTGTCATGTCACGTCAGTCACTGGCGATCCGAGCACCCGCGGGGAGAAATCGCGGAGAAACCGTGGAGAAATGAGCAAAGTACCATTTTTGGAGCGAGGGGCGTTCCGACCCGACATGGATTGAATAGCCCGCTCAGATGAACCCGATCAGCCCGAAGGCATCAGTGAGAGGGAGGATTGGGGAGGAGAGGTGTGTGAAAATGAAGCCAAGAGAACCAACATGGAGAGAGAAGAGAGCGAAGCGAGATTAAAGAAGGGAAATGAGGGTCGGGAAGCAGAAAAGGGCGAAATGCCGATAAGCCGATAAGGCTGACTCAGCTCGTGGTCTTCGCCTGTTTGGGAGCGGCGATTCTTCACTTTCTTTCGTCTGCCATCGCCGTCGATCGTGGGCTCCATTCTTTCCTGTGGTTGACGCTCTTACGGCTATTTTCTTGTCCGTGTCTGCTATTCATGTCACTCTGGTACACTCTGGTCCATACTGGAACACACTGGAACACACCATCAGAACAGTCCCCGAATGTCATCGCCCAAGTCAACTAGCATATTTATTTCAAATTGATCGAATCATATTTGTCTCATTCACGAATGCTGATTTCCCACTGCGTCTTGGTCTTCTCATACAGCTTGTTATCGGTCAACATCTCCCATCCGATCAGGGCCAGTGACTTTCCAACCACAACCGCCTCCTCGTGGGCATCGTCGGTACCTGCTGCAGAGGCAAAAGTCGGATGATGAGGGAATGAGCCGTCGGCCGCGGGGATACCAAACATAGTATGCAATGTGGGGAGGATGTAGCTGACATTGCCTGGTGCTGTTAGCCTTGGTCTCTTGATGAACAGTCCAACGTACCGATGTCCGAAGACCCAGTCATAACTTTATCATGACTCTTGAGCACGCTGCGAGAGTATCGAGCCATGTGCGACTGATACCGATCACACAGGGTATCATTGATCTTGATATCAGTGTATAGTTGGTCCCTATCGCAGTTAGAAGCGTTCGGGAGATTCTCCGGCAGCAACGTACTCGACAATCTTCACCTCACATCCCGTCGCCAGTGCACCAGCTTCTATGCAATTCCGTACTCTGACCATCAACTTATTCAGTCCTTTCAATGTCGGACTTCTAACCTGCCAGTATGCTTTCGTATATGAGGGAATCACATTAGCGACTTTGGGGGTGTCAAGGAAGGCGCAATGTACACGCTCGTCAGGCTGAAGTTGCTGTCGCAGGACTGCAACATTGTTGTAAGAGGTCACCAAGGCATCGAGTGCATTGACACCCTCCCAGGGGTTACCTCCTGCGTGGGCACTCTTTCCGGTGAACTCGCAATGGATTTCCTTGCGGGCGTTCATGAGAACTCCACCGATGCCTTCTTCTGCTACCCCGGGGAAAAGTTTCTTTGGGCCTGCGTGACTATTTGAATTCAGTATAAGCTAGCTACCTTGGACAGAGAGGTAACGTACGCCATCAACGAGATGTCAACGCCCTTGTAAGCGCCCTCGTCTATCAGCTTGGCCTTCCCACCCCCGTTCTCTTCCGCGGGAGTTCCTAGAAGCTGAGTCCGACCAGGAATGCCGTATTGTTTCAGAATGGCAGACAAAGCTAAGAATGCTGCCACGCTACTCGTCGTGATCAAGTTATGACCACAGGCATGACCGATAGCAGGCAAGGCATCGTATTCGGCATTGAAATTGATCAAGCGCCCCCCAGAACCGCTGGTAACCTCGAAGGAAGTGTCCAGTCCGTACGCATGGCGAGTGACGTCGAACCCTTGCTTCTCGAGAAAATCACAGATAGTATCGTGAGCTTTGTATTCCTGATACCCTAATTCAGGGTTTGACCAGATCTGAAAAACTTGTCAATGAATCTTCCGCAGAATAATGAATGACGACATTACTTGATGATTAAGACCTCTCAGAGAGGACTGCAACGTGTCCAAAGCTGCATCGACCGAGGCTTTGACCTCATCGATACTTGGCTGACCCTGCGGAATGGCCATGACTGTCGGGATATGAACACGGGATTGAGACTGGCTATTGGAAGTTTTCCGCAGGAATTTATCGACACTGTCTGCGAAGATATAGCGCAGGGCCCGGAATTGCCAAGTTTCCTATCGACGTCATCATGTCATATAACGTGCTCGGCAAGATAGCAAGCACATCATCGCTAATACGGATTGCTGATAGGACACCTCGCCTATCCCCTCAATCTGTCAAATGCACGTCGGCTCCATCTGCACCCCGCATTCCCTCCGGGGGCCGTGATATCATTGTCTTATCTATCAATGAGGGGAAAGGCAATCACCAACGCCGCCATGATGCATATCAGACGTATCAGCGATACTACACGAATCATACAGCGAGCACAGAGTCCCGAGGATCGGTAGATAGCAGCGACGCTAGAATCCCGAGGCCCAGGAGTGGAGAGACGAGTGGATATCGCTAGGAGTCGGACTTCGCGGCAGCAGTCGCCGAAGGCCGAGCAGACCCAAGTTCACGCAGGGCTTCAAACACTGAAACTTTTCTCCACGATCGGATCTGTGGGGAATCGAACGAGTGGCTCCCAGATTCGGCATTTCTGACTCTGTACTTCTTCTTTCCATCTGCTGACGGTGATAAACTTGGTAGGTGTTCTGATAATCATGCGGGTTAAGGTTGGTTGCTTTGCCGAGCAGTGCATGGCATTGGCGAGTCTGCCGACGAGCCCTAATCAGTCTGCGATCGGTGGCACCAGGGGAGATGGTGCCAAATGCCAATGCCTTGTCTTCTAGCCGACATTCCAAGCGTGGGTTTCATTGGCCCAGAATCTTCGATGGAGCCCGCGACCCACGGAACTGACGGCGCGGACCACAAGCCAATTCCGCGGCGTGGCTACTATCTTTACTGCAGCTTCGCAGGCGCGCCGCGACAAGAGCTTGGCCTAAATCGCGAGCTATCTTGGCTGGTGGAGGCACTGAATCCTCGAAAGAATCTGATCTGCATCCCTGCAGGTGCGGAATTAGCCATGCGCTCTCCTATCAGCAGAAATGCCTTGAGTCAGGGCTTTCCGTCTGACTGTTTTCTCTCGTTCTCTGGATAAAATGAGCAGGGCGTCCGGGTCTAGCTCTATATTTTTGCAACGGACATGAAAGGTTTCTGGAAGCCATTTATCATGGAAAAACAGCATAGCAACAGCGCGCCCGAGCTGAGGCCTGAGGTGGATGATCTCAAACTCCACCCAGAGCCTTCCGTCGTGCGAGATGTCGATATTGGTCATATGCTAGAGGTAGATGCGACACCAGAGCAGGAAAGAAAGGTTCTATGGAAGCTTGATATGATGTATGTTGGGCGACCCTTCGTTTCCTACTTGAAGCATGCTGACTGGATAGATTGATCCCGTTGATGGGGGTCTGCTACATGATGCAGTACATGGACAAGTTAGCTCTGAGTCAAGCCACGCTCTTCAACCTCCGTGAGGATTTGGTATGTCGATAGCTTTTTCCGATAGTCAGAAATACTAATAATAGTAGAATCTCAAAGGCACCGAGTATACCTGGACCTCTGCCATCTTCTACTTTGGATACTTTGCCTGGAGCTGGCCTAGTTCTTATCTGATCGTGCGCCTACCGATCGGAAAGTATTTAAGTGTCTCGGTGTTCGTTTCCCAACACACAATATATAAACAGCGGCTAATAGTGAATAGATTTCTATGGGGAGGGTTCCTTCTCTGCCACGCCGCGGCGAAGAATTTCGGAGGGTTGATGGCTGCCCGATTTTTCCTGGGAGTAGGCGAGGCTGCCATAGCCCCTGGGTTCTCCTTGATCACCGGGATGTTCTACAAACGAGAAGAACAACCAGCACGGTAGGACTTCAACTTTCTCATACCCCAACCACCCTGCTGACTTGTAACAGACAATCCGCCTGGTTTCTCGGAAACTGCATTTCCACCGTCATCGGCGGCGTGGTGGCCTACGGCATCGGCACCATCGAAATCCACAGCATCGCCAGCTGGCAGCTCCTCTTCCTCTTCCTCGGTGCCATCACCGCGGGCATCTCGTTCTTCTTAATCGTCTTCCTCCCCGACTCGCCTAAAAATGCAATCTTCCTGACGAAAACCGAGCGCGCGATTGCGCTTCAACGGACACTCAAGAACAAAACAGGCGTTATGGACGCAGGATCATTCAAATGGGGTCAAGCATGGCTGGCCATCCGGGACCCTCAGACTTGGTTCCTGGTTCTGTATACGTTCTGCGTGAACCTCTGTAACGGAGGCGTCACCAGCGTAAGCTCCTCATACCCTACCCTTCATTTCACCAACTGACTAACCACGAACCCAGTTCTCTTCAATCATCATCAACGGCTTCGGCTTCTCGCAGATCAAATCCCTCCTGATGCAAATGCCTCTCGGAGCCGCACAGGTCGTCTTCCTGACCTTAACAGCGGCCTTCGCAACCTTCGTCCCCAACACCCGTATCCTCATGATGATTCTCAACACTAGCGTGTCAATGATCGGCATGATTCTCGTCTGGAAGCTCGACGAAGATAACCAAAAGGGCCGCCTGACCGGCCTCTCCCTGGGTGCCGTCTTTGCGGTCAACATCCCCCTCTCCCTGAGTATCATCAGTTCGAATGTCGCCGGGTTCACGAAGCGGAGTACCACGAGCGCGTTGCTGTTCGTGGCCTACTGTGTGGGAAATATCGTTGGACCGCAGTTTTTCGTGGAGAGTGAGGAACCGCATTATCCGGTATGTTCCCTGTCCAGAGGTTTCTCAAACTTGGAGTGAATCGAACCGAAGCTAACATATATTTGAAATATAGACCGGTATGAAAGCTGCTATTTCGGGTTTTGCGCTGGGCGCGTTCTTCCTGATTTGCTTGTTAGGTTATTATGTGTTTGAGAATCGGCGGAGAGATGCAGTCTATGGTCCTGCGACGGAAATGAGTGAGAGCGAGGAACTTGCACAGGGGCTGTCGAATAAGACGGACTTGGAGATTGAGAGTTTCCGGTATGTTATGTAGATATCGTCGGGCGTATGGTTCAGCTTGCTCTGCAAAGAATTAATTTAATGTATCCTGGTGTCAATTTCATAATTTACCTAAGTAAATATTTTCCCTGCGGTTATGGTCGTTGATTGTATGAGCGATCAAAACTATACCGAGTCTTCTACGGAAAATCAGGCTACAAATCTACAATACTGGAAGGATTCATGATTATCTGGCTATAATAGTCAAAGGCCAGTGATTATATTGTCTGTAGATGCAATTACAAAAGATCGATCTCATATATACACCTCCTGCTGGCCTCCATCACTCGCGACACCTCCACTCAATCAACCGGGCGAGAAATCTAGCAAGAAACGCCGGAGGGCTGGTTCTTGCAGGTGGAGTCCTTGCCACCGGACAGGTCAACGCCGGACCAGGTCCAGTCGGTGCAGCTGCCGGAACCGCAGAGGATGTAGATGGGGACGGCGTCGGAGTCGACGGAGCCGGTGATGCCGTCGACGGTCAGGCCCTTGATGGGGATGTCGTTGGAGGGCTCGCCGGTGGGGCCGCCGTTCTTGTAGTCCTGCTGGATGACGATGGCCTTCTTGTGGATCTTGGACAGCTCGATGTTCGAGTAGGTGACGTCGGACACGTCGCCGGTCTCGTCGACGATGGTCTTGATGCGGATGCCGTTGTCCGAGTTGGTGACGGTCGAGTCGGCGATGGTCACGTTCGAGACGGTGTTGTCGTCACGGCCGCCGATCGAGCCGATGGAGATACCGTGGCCGCCGGAGCAGGTCGCGCCGCTGAACTCGATGTTCTTGCCCGAGTTGATGGCCAGACAGTCGTCCTGGTTCTTGACGACGGCGCCGCGGATCTGCACGCCGTCGGACTCGCCGACGTCGAAGGCGTCGGTGTTGTGGCCGCCGTTGGAGTCGCCGTCCGAGTTGTCGATGTGGATGTTCTCGAACAGGGTGTTGGTGGCCTGCACGGAGATGGCCTGCACGGGGGTGTTCTTGATGTTGAGGCCGGAGATGGTCGAGTCCTCGAGCTTGTGGGCGTACAGGAACTTGGGCTTCTTCTTGCCGCCGTTGGTGCCCTTGGAGTCCCACCAGCGAGAGCCGTCACCGTCGATGAGGCCGCCCTCGGCCATGTTGACGGTGATCTCCTTACCCTCGATGCGGATCAGAGGGCCCTTCCATTCCTTGTACTCGAAGGTGGTGGTGCCCTCGAAGGTGATGGTGGTGCCGTCGTCGACCTTGGACAGGTCGAGGGTCTCACCGGCAGGGACCTTGACGTCCTTGACGACGACCTTGGAGCAGCCGGAGACGCTCTCGGTGGCCTCAGCGGCGGAGGTGATGGTGCAGGAGGAGTCCTTCTTGGTCAAGGAGGGAGCAGGGGCAGCCGACACGAGAGAGCCGACAGCGGCGAGGCCGAGAAGCTGGAAGGAACGCATATTGAGATAAGTTTCTGGTCAACAGAAACTTGGTGGCTGGAATTAGGTTGAGGAAAAAGAACGAATAGCCTGATCAACAGAAGCAAAAGGAGATAAGGTAAAAGAGAGAATGAATGAACGCGATGGGTTGGAGAGAAAGAGAAAGGATGGAAGGGTCCGGACAGGACGTCCTTTATATGCGTGGTTGCGGCCAAGCTTCTTGCACCAGAGCTTGACTTGGGAGGCATTGCTCTGGCTGGCCGCCCTATCGCATACCAAGAATCATTGGTGGAACGAGAATTAACCCACTCGATGCTCCATGTCGACGATGGGGGGTCCACCAGGTCGCCATCAACCTCTGACGACCAGGGCAAGCTTTGACGCCGGTGGGTCACGGCAGGAGAGAAGCAGCACGGTGATGCAGAGGCAGGAATCCAAACACACCAGGTTCGTGACGGGTCGACAGGCATCCGGCAGCGTCCGGCAGCCTTCTCGAAGTGACGATAGGACTCGCAGGCGTACGGAGTCGTGCGCGGGCCCACATGGCGCCGTGTCTCAGGCTGTCTCAGACGGTCGGAACGGCGGAGTCGATCCCCTTTTTCCCGAGTGGATGCCCCTGGCTATTTCGGAATTTCCACGATCTGTCTGGTGGGAAATCCTCGGCCTCATCATGTAGGGCCTCAGGGCATCTTGGCAATGTCGCGCTGGCCGAGACGGTGGTTCCTCCGGGACAGTCGTGTAGGGCATCCGTGAAGCCCAGTAAGGCTGCCAAGGGATCATCGCCGTCGCTGGTGTCTGGGCAATATCGCGCAGGGCTCCAGGCAGGGGGATTCGCTCAACTGACATTGTGACTCCGTTCTACGCTGTACTCCGTATGCAGTGGTCTGATCGGGTCGTCGTGACGAGGGATCGAAAGCCGTGCTCAACTCGGTAAAGGTCCGAATAACCTCTGCTTAGCCGTGATTTGGCCAGGAATAACACCCGGACCCAGCCGATGCCAAACGGGTTTCTTTTCCCCTGAGTATGGGGTAGTTTAGGCCGCCAGAAGGGCGCACAATTCGGGGCTACGGCCTATGCAGGAGGCGTTCTGCAGTGCGAAATTATGGCCATGCAGCAGGAGCGTCATCCTCTCCTTTCATTTGCATCCTGGCTATCCTGTTCCTGGCGGCGACGGGCTGGTCTGAGCGCGAATGGAAAAGGGCTTTGCGTGGGTCGAATCCACCGCGGCCTTAGAGCGTTTCACGTTAACGGCGCCAGTGGATTATTGTGGACTGCCATGCGAGTTGGTCGGCAAATGGCTTTAACGCTGGCCCTGGAGTGCCTTTTTCTGATTAAGCATTCCTGGCACTGCTTGAATTCCACTTGATTGAGTTTTTCTGTTGCGTGGTTGTGTCGTACGGAGTGAACATTATCTTCCGAAACCCTAACCAAACTCTGCTGTGACGTCTTCTCTCCGGAGAATTGTGCGTTTCCAGGTGTCCCTGCTCAAGGCTTAATTAAATTCAATCTGGGAAAGCATGCCCGACGCATGGCTCCGAAATAGACCAAGCAGTGCACCGTCGGGGTTAGTGTCCGACAGGATCAGCTTATCCAGGGTTTGATGGATCCTGGCGGCGCACTCCGACCTTGAATGGGGATACAATCGTAATTATCTCCTCCGTATTCTACCATTCTAGACTTCTAGTTCCACAGTTTTTCCAGATGATTATCCACACTGAATGGTATCAGGGACAGAGGACGCTTTCTGCTTTGACGTACGTGGTAGAACTGAGTTTCTTAATCAGTGGCATTTTGACACAATGAATGATGAAATCCATGGCTCCGAGAGATAGTTTCTTATTCTTCCGTTAAAGGCAATACAAGACACATCGCTTCGAGTCGCTGCGTGGCGATATTACTAAAGAGGATGGTATTCTGAGCCCGGCAGTCAACTCCACGGAGAAGCTCATGATAGAAAGTCTCCGATGAGTATATTAGACCGGATATTATGCGCCCAAGCGACCATTCAACGAGCCTATCAAGCGAACAATCTAGAACACGCGATGGTCAAATACTCCATAATCCATATTACTCCCCATAGCCGGATACTCGTCATTATTTCGACCCCTATCCCGCCTGTAGACAATGAAGCCTGGTCCCAAGTGACATCCCTTTACCGTTCACCGTTCTGACAATGGCAAGACAACATCCGGAATCGTGCGGCACACGTTCCAAGAACGGTTTGAGCCATCTTGTTCCCGGCAAGGCTCGAGACTCGACCAGTCCCGATATCGATATCCAGACGCGCATCATGTCTCACTCTCCAATCCGCAAGCCCTTAGCCAGCTCCATACGCAGTAGCATCTAGCGGCTAGCCCCAAAGTCCGTAGGGGGAATTTCAATCCAGAGTCCAGTTTCGTTCCACTTCCCACCGCACCAGAAACGATCCATCCATTCTCGAACCCCACCATGCTAGTCCCAACCCGCGCTAGCGCTGTCGATCTCACTTGATTCTTGATGAAGGGCCCGAGATTCATTTATTTTCAATTTCGCCGGTCGTTCTCATTTATCGAACTGCTGAGTGCTGAGTCTAACGAACGAGTGAGCCCATTTCCCGCCGCCGTAGCTGCTGTATCTATTCCTGTTCGGATTTCGGGGTCGCGCGCTACGCTCTAACCGAGCTCTGCTTACTCCGTAACAGGCACGACGACGACGCCCCTGTCTAGCGGTGAAACAAGAACATGGCCCGAATCTTGCTGCCTTGGGTTGGCTTGGCTGTTAGCTTGGCTCTGCTGTTGACTCGTGAGTCGTGAGTCGTGAGTGGTGACGGTTGACCGCTGAGGAGTCCCCGGTCCTGCGGGGTGGTCTTCAGGGTCTGTTTTGATTAATTAATGTCTTTGATTATTTGGGTGTAACCGACGTAGGATGTTTGGAGTCCACGGGACTCGAGTCAGGGGTGATGGGATGGATGAGGGCGAATGCCGGAGGAATGTAGACCCCCCAATCAGTGGGATTTCGGGCGATGGGAAACCCGAGAATGCAACGATGACGGCTGGGTGCGTTATTCAGGTGCAGCGAGCATGCAGATGGAGCTGAAGTGTATGTCCGTTCCTGTCTGGGATGAACTACAGCACTGCAACGTTGGAGTCCCGAGTATCCATGAAGGACAACCTGTGCTGAGTTTTCGTCCGACTGGCTCTTGATCTGTTATCCTGCACTTCCAGGCTCTTTTCTTCTTTCCTGACTATCTGACTGGTTTGCCAGATAGTCTCTCAGCGAGTCTGATAACGGAGTCATTTTTCTTGTTAGAACCGCTTGTCGTGATCTTCCATCCTAGGAGGACTCAAGAAAACTGGAAAAGTATGCATTTCGCACTCGAGCCCTCTTCTGCCTGGGAAATACCTTCTGGTGAATTATATATTCCTAGAGATATAAAATTAAACATTAGGATATTAAGCTTAAGAAAATGCACACGAAAACCACCCCTTCCTGTCAACGCCGACCACATGCTCCCGAAACGATCCCCAAACACCCATTAATCCGTCAAAGTCCCAGTATCTCTTGAAGCTCAGCAATAACAGTCGTCCCGAGAACATTCAACGTCCCCGGCTCAGTCAACGGCGTCAGCTTCTTCGAATGCGTACACTTCTCCTCTGCCGGAACTCCATTCATGCGATCCTGCAGCCACAACGTCGCCTCGGCAAACCCATCAACTTCCAGCAGCGCGTGCTCGTGCGTCACTGTTTCTTTATATTCCACAATCACGCCTTCTGCGCAGTACTGGTCCACGAGAGCGTTTGTTTCGTTTACCGGGCTGACTTCATCTAATGTGCCCTTGTACACAAACAGCGGGATGCCCGGTGTATGATGGCCGAGTTCATTCTCATGATAGACACGCTGGAAGATAGGGTTGCTTTGGATGTCGTGGTTCTTGTAGTAGGAGAGGACATCCTCGGATGCGAAGTCGAGAATGTTAGGGATCAAACACCGGTCGCGTGCATCGAGGAATTTCTTTCTCCGGACAGGGTCGTCGGTGAGTTGGTCTTCGATAAGTTCCGCGACATCCGGGTATTCTCGAGCGAAGCCATGGGCTCCCGCGACAACTAATCCCGCAAAAAGGCCCTCGTTTACAGTGTTTGTAGTGGTTTCTAGGCTGCCGATCACGCCACCCAGTGCAGCTCCTGCTATATGCAGTTCGGATGCGTAGGAGGGTTGTAATTCGGCGGCGAAACCGGTCGCTAGACTACCGCCTGAATACCCCCACATTGTGATATCAACGTCGGATGAAACCCCAAAGAGGTCGGATGAAGCTAAAACGGCCCGGATCCCATCAAGCACCGCGTACCCGGCTCGATTGTTGGCCAGAAAAGCACCGCGTGGCCCCTCGAAATCGGGAATCGATACAATCCAACCTTTCTCAAGCAGCGAAAGGATAAACAAGATATTGACTTTGTTGTATGTATCGCCGAGAATACCGTCGTTATCTGCATCCTTCTGCAAGGCATAGGATGGGGCACAATCAACAAAGGAAGAGTCCTCGGGCATTTGGTAAGACAGGAGCTTGGTGGGATCCGCGTTTTCCGGGACCAAGACTGTGGTTATTGTCGCGGTCGCATTGTCGAAGCTGTCGGTGGACCGGTAGAGAAGTTGGTATGAGCTGGACAGTTTGACAGGACGGTTTAGAAGGCCTGCTATCGGATGTGGAACTTCTCTCGAGGCGAGGACGGTCCCTGGCTGCTCGTCTTGATATCCATCTGGAGGTTGGTAGAAAGGGTCTTCGCTAGGCGGTACAGGACCTGGTGCCCGCTTGTCGAGGGTCGGAAGCGAGTACCCAAGCGTGAGCAGGAGCGGGGATAGAGGTAGAAGAAACTTCATCGTATGTTTTTATGCATTATTTTTTTCAAGAACTGCCCTTGGCAGCGCCCGCCCAGAGATTTTATCGCGAGCTTTATTGTCTGTTGTAACGGTCGCCCATGAGCCTGCAGCATTTTTTTACCATGTAAGGGGCATCGTATCAGACGCAGGTACATTCCGCATGCAGAACGGTCAGGTCTCAGCTGCAAGCCGCAACGCCTGGTCACAGTCACCAGATTTAGGAATGTGACCATGCCCGCCCTACAAATCTCGATCCGGGGATCAAATGACCCCAAATTCCGCCCCAACACCGTCTATTCCTGATCCGGATGAAACAACAAGTCCGATCGCATCTCGTCCAAATACCCATGCATGATGGCCTTCAGCTCAGCATATGATTGCAGAAACTCGTGGCTTTGAATGCCATAACTCTGCTCATTCAATTCCCATTCTACTTCGGGGACGTCGGTGACGATCTCCCGGAACGGGCTGAAGTTCCAATCCAGGAGATCCAGCAACTCACTCGGGGTTTTACTCAGACTCAGCAGCAGCGGGATATCGACTGCAATGTCGATATGTAATTTGCGTAGCTGACGCATCTCATTGTGCGACAGGGATCGCGCCAAGGCGACCACCCGATCCTGAAACCCCAAGAGATGCTCCAGAGTGGACGTGCTGTGAATGTGGCGGGGAGCACCCTGAATCGTGATTTTCAAATGCATCGATTGCACCCATCGGATGGTCGACGGGAGCGGCGCGTAGGGCGGGATCACCTTGCCGCAGAAGAGGATATATCTGTTGTCGATAACAACCTCGTAGGGCGTGGACCCGTACCATTCCGGAATGAGCTCATCGTGAATCTGGTGATTGGTGCGCAGGATTGCCGGACAACATGGCAGATTATCGGAGCGCAGGTGGACGGTCTTGCTGCGACCGCGGATCAATGGGAAATTGCGGATCGGCACGTTGGGGACCAGATATCGGTAAATGCACAGGCGCACTTCAGCTGGGAAATCCAAGAGGGGGAGAGCAGAGACAGGAGAAGACGCCATGGAACAGGCAGGAGATCAGCGATCAACTAATCTGAGAGCTCACTCGGTGCAGTCATTCATTTGGATTCCTGCCGATGAATGCTGTCGGAGATGTCGTTGACGTTAGCTGGCAGAGACAGCGCTTCTGGGCGGTGGTGGGGTGTGGTTCTGGCCCTTTTGACCTTGACCAATCAGGGCATTCGCCTTCAGCCTGGTCCGAGGAATGATCCGACAGGTGATGAAAGGTCATTGGGAGGGGATGGAACAGGCATAATGGATGGTTCTGATGATGGACGCTGATGGGAAGCGGATGGAGCATGGAGGATGAAGAGAGGAAGAGGAAATGGAAGGGAAAGGAAAAAGAAAAGGATTGAGGCACGTGGGAAACGGTCACGAAGGTCCGCTTTGGGAAGTCCCGTGACACCGTAGATCAAGTGGGATTCACCCGTAAAGATCGGAGCAAGTCAAATTCAAGAAGTAATTATATGCATTAGAGGATTTATGGCTAACATGGGTATCGATAGGAGTACAACGGAAATCAAGAAAAATGAGGTTCCACAAGATTGAGTCGCCCACAACTGAAATCCCGAGATATATAAACAGAAGCGTGTCACATCAACTCCCTCGAGATGATCGTCGTAGTCCAAATAGTACTGACCTCCCTGACCTAATGCTGCCCTGATCACTCATATCTGCTCGAATTCTTCTCAATACCTTGTTCATGTCAGAGTATGAATTCTTCGGCAATGGCGAGGTCCCGTACCTAGCACCATGTCTCATGAGCGTCTCCGCAAGCTTCACCTGGTTTTGTTTGACGGCTAGAGACAGGGGTGTCATATTGTCTGCATCAGCGTAATTAATGTTGGCGTTAGCCTCTCGAAGAATGTCATATTTCTCCCACCAGTCAGGCGTGTCAGTATAGAATTTAATTAACATCATGAACGGTGTTTGGGCGTCGTCTTCGGCCGGAATGTCGAGTGTCTCTAGCGTGTCAATGAAGGGACGAATGACGTCGCCCCCTGCCTGACGATTGATTGCAGCAAAATGGACGCAGGTGTACCCATGGTTTGAGTACATCATATAATTAGCCCCATGATTCAAGAGCGTTTGAATAGTCGCCCCGTGCCCATATTTGGCAGCAACCATCAGCGCTGTCATACCATGCTGTGATGTGGCATCTATATCTACCCCGGCAGCAAGCAAGGTTTCGACCATCACAACGCTTCCAATCTCTGAGGCTAGCTTGAGTGGTGTATCGCCTTTTAAGCTGGGGGTCTCAAGGTCTAAGTCTCGCTGGTAGCCTCGAAGCATTTGAATTGCGGCGGGACAGTTTTCCCGGATTGCGTGGATGACGGGTCTGTCCCCGTGGTGGGTTTCTTCGACCATGACGTGGCCATTCAATAGTGTCTGGATCTCGAGAATATCCCTTTGCTTGATCGCATTGACGAGGGATGCGACCGTTGCAGTGATGCCGATGCCGCGGTCGCTTGGGGGATCTGACTGGGCTGTCATGATTGAGCCGACACGAGCGGGTCCTTCATTGCGCTCGGGAGGGGCATTTTTCAAAATGTTACCCAACTCTTCAAATACGTCCCCTGCCAACGGCCTTGTGAGTTTCTCGATGGAAAGCATTCTGAATAGGAGTTCCTTGTATTTCTCCAGGGACTCTTGGTGGTAATCGGGATATCGACCGGGCAGTGCGTTAAGCCATGACTCTACATGAGGATTCAGGACGGGCGGAGATCCTCGATAGAACCTGTCATTCAGACCACCTGGAAGGCCGTCATCATTCAATGCCCTCTGCTCGTCTAGGCGTTGAAGCTCCTCGATCCCGCCGAGACCAAATGCAAGAACGCGCATCAAGATACCCCCCAAGGACCAGACATCGCTTCGGCGCCCGAATAGACTGTCCGTAGACGCCTCGGGAGGCTGGTAAGTACTAGTGCGGTACTGCATATCGTCTCTCAATGGAGGATACGTTTTGTTTTGGACTAATTGTGATACAGTCGTTGTCTTTGGGTGTCGATCTGGCTCATCGATGATGGAAATGCCGAAGTCGGTGATTTTCCACTCTCCCACGGGGAATCGGTCCGAGGCAAAGATGAGAATATTTGGTGGCTTCAAATCCATGTGGTGGCATTTTAAATGTCGAGGCTGGAGACCATCATGCAAGAATGAAAGAGCCCAGGCCAGGTTGGATACCTCTTTCATTAGGTCATGCAGGCCGAAGTTGCCGAACTTTTTGTAGCCCCCGTCGAGGAAAATTTCCAAATCCATATCTGCCCAGGGGAAGATAATGTTGAATTTACGCCCGATAGTGACCGTGGCAAGAGACAAGACAATACGCTCGCACTTGGACAGACTGGCACGCAATAGTGAGAGATTCTTCACCTCCTCTCTGAAATCGTGGCGAGTAGCAAAGCTTTTGCGGGCAACAAGAAGATCTTGCTGAAAGATGAAGTTAATCTTAGCCCAGCTCAGGTGGAAGTTAACTCAGAAGCAGCGGTGAAAGCTTACATTCAAAGGTTTCCCCTTGACATTCCCTAACAGAGGGCAAAAGTGGCCTCTGGCGATCGATTCCTTGACCACCTCGCCAAACCCCCCGGACCTAGGTCGCCCAGCACCATCAAGAAATGGAAGCCTCCACTCCTCGGATTGCACAATGTTTTCCCCTTCCACGATATCAACCGGACAAAAGACATACTGTTCGGCGAAAAAGCTGTCCGCCCACTGCGGGCCAAGAAAGCTCGGTTCTTCCAAGATCTCCAAAGTGTATGTGGGGATATTGCAATCTGCGCGACCCTGCCTGAAGAATACGGATCCAAACCGTGACCAATCGGACCAACGGATCCACACTAGAATCGAAAGCGTCTGAATGTAGTGCCCTCGAATATCGGGTATCGAGTTCTTGTTGAATCCCGGGGCCAAAAGGTCGATGAATCCTTGTAGGCGATCCTCGGACCAGATATCCTGCAAGCTCCCGCGCGAAATGAACTTTTCCAAACTGCTTCCGCGCTTCTCCATTCTATCTTTCAATCGCGTACGAAGCTCTTCGATCAGATCATCTCGCCTTTGTTGATATGCCTGGTCGTGAGCTCCCTCCAGCGATGAACGACCGGCATCAAGCGAGAAACTGCGCAAGGTTCGGCGCAGCATGTTGAACGGTGTGTTGCAAATAATAAGATCACGAGACTTGCGGCGTCACTAGACGGGAAGAAGAAGGGAGCGAAGACACAGTAGACCCTGTTGCCATTGGGGTACAGGAGCTTGCATCATCAAAAAGATTGCATGGGTCCCTGGATTTGGAAAAAGCCGAAGATAGTAGATGGCAAATGATGGATAGGGGGTCGGCGAAGAAGGAAAGGGGAAGAGAGAGAGGGAGAGAGAGAGAGAGAGAGAGAGAGAGAGAAAGAAAGCGGGAGAGCCGCAGATCAGCTGTCAGCAGTCACGCTCCCCGCCAAACCGGTACCTTAGGAGTTGCTCTGCCCCGTGGGGTTGGATCACTACGACAGAGTCTTAGTTAATTGGTGCTAATTAGCCCGTCTCGGCAGCCTCATCCTGTAGTACGGAGTTCAATGCAACACGAGGCTACCGGTTTGCCCCGGGCTATGGTCTTGTCTGCATGCAACCAATGCAAGTGATACGGAGGATTTCATTCAGACCTCGATTATTACGTCAAGTTTTACGACTAAAAAAAGGGGCTGGGACAGTGTCCCGTTTTCTATTCGTCATGTAGATTCCTCTTCATGTACCTGCTTGAATGACGTGGAGGCACGAGAGAGGCGACATCTTACATGGCAAATCCTTGCATCTAATCGGCTTGAAGCAGTGCAGCGTCTCACATATTACCAGAGAAGGTCTTATGGGAATTGACTATGACTCATCTCTTAAAAAAAGAAAAGAAAAAGAAAACCTTCCTGGACAGCCAACCGCAATCCTCTCAAACACGGTATTACTTGTGTAGTTATTATATCGCCTGTGTTTCCCTGGAAGCTGATTCTTTACACCTCCGCCGCTTCCACACCTTCCATCGCATGCGTTTGCTCTCGCGGAGGCCTGTTAATCCGTAGGACGGACAAATGTCCTTTGATATGATTCATTGTTTTTGTTTCAACTGGCGATCATCAGCAAACATCCCACCCTACTAGTCATGAATGACTTACAGATGCGATTCGTTTCCTCTAAACTGATACACTCGGTGCCACTAGGTACCTATGATATGGTAAGACAACAGTCTTAAAGTCTTGAAACAATACTTACCAGGAAGAACACCAAGGCAAATGCGAGGGCATTTAATCCTCTGTAACATGGGTCAGCGTAGAAACATTAGCAAGAAACTTGTCTCGGAGAATTCGGAAGACTCACGTAAAAAGAAAAAGCAAATTCGAGTTGCCATTTGAGCCAAACGCCTCGGTCAATTTTGGAACGAACATGACCAAAAGGCCCAGACCAAGGAAGTTGACCATTACACTAAAGCTCATCCCGACCTCTACAGAACGTCGTTTAGTCTGAGGTCTTACCATTTCGCCAGGGAAAGGAAACTTACCGCGGAAGGCCAGGGGAAAGACCTCTGCACTGAACGTAAAAGGTACGGGTCCCGCACCAATCCCATATACAAACGTAAAAAGCACAATTGAGAAAGACGAGACTGTGCCGATGCGAGCTGTATCATCCGAAAGACGAAAAAACCCGCTGATGCAGGCCAGGGTAGCACACATGCCCGCTAGAGAACATAGAAGAAGCATTCTTCGACCTTTATAATCAATGTATCGATAAGCCGGGATGGTGAATAAGAAATTAGCCAGTCCGAAGCCTAGAAACGATAAATTAGCCACACCTTCATCCTGAGACCTCTAAGACAAATCACTCACCGAAGTTTAGCCATGCGACTGACGCCGAGTGAAGCGAGTTAGTCTCGCCGTTGGGACTGCTGACATGATCGAATAGAGTTGTAGAGTAGAATGAAAGAACATTGATCTGTTCAGAAGAGATTAGACAGTATCATAAATGGCACCATTTGTCTAGTAGACCTACCCCACAAAGCTGTTGCGATGCCATCACCACGAATGCTGCCATGCAGGCCCTGCGATTTCGAGGGATACTCCAGAGCGACCATACCCGTCTTGGGAAAGACATATTCCGCACATATTGTTGATATGGGTATTTGTAATTGGCCCGATCAGAGGCTCCATTTTGCAAGCCTTTTTTTGATCGTAACATTTCTGCCTCAGCCTGCAGCTGACGATGGATGTAGTATAGATCCCTCGCCGCTTGGATATCGGTGCCTTTCAATTGACGGAGACTTAAAAAAGCAGCCTTATAATCGTCTCTCCGGATCAGAAATCGCGGTGACTCGGGGCAGAGGAAGACGAGGAACAACAGGATAATGGCTGGCATGGCAGAAGTTCCCAACAGGATTCTCCATTGCCGATCCACAATCCAGACAGCCGCAAAGCCTATGAACACCCCGCTGTAGTTGATTAGCCGGTGAATCTTAGCCATGGCATCTCCTTACAATGTATCGAATAGCTGCCACATCATGAGCAGCCGCCCGCGAATATGATCTGCTGCTGCTTCTGCGGCAAAGATCGGAGCAACGGATGCTTTGGCTCCAATCTGAGATCACCCTAGGTTAGCCACAAAACACAAAAGAGCGTATTTCCTGGTGACTACTCACTCCAATCCCAAGCAAGATTCTACAAACTAGCAGTTGTTGCCATGTTTCGCAGCGAGCAGTACCTACATTATTAGCAAGACATATATACTGTCAGTTCTCGCAGCGACATCATACCGATAACGCATGCAGCACAGAACACTGCCGATATGAAAAGAGCAGGCCTTCGACCAAATCTCCCCTCTTGTAAGGGATCGCTCAGCCATGTTCCACTATCGTCTGTCGGTTAGAAACCTGTCTTCATTTCTAGATCTGACGACGGACATTATACTTCCTGATAGCCAAGGGGATGCGTCGATAAGTCCGGCTAGGACTTTATGCTGCTTCCAATCGCCGATTCCATCATTCAGTTCCGCCTGCCAGCCAGGAGAACTGGCGTTTATAGTTGATTGCTGCCAACCTCTATAGCTCCAGGTCAGTAAATGATCTTCATGTGATTTACATGTACTCTTATCCACTTACTGAGTGATAGCGGCGCATGCAGTTGTCAAGATAGTAACCTTCAAGTCCTTAGTTTGGTCGAGAAAACCAGATCGATTCTCTATTTTAATTGCCTGTTTCTCGGCAGCAGTGAGATGGCGGACTAGATGGTTATTCCCCATCTGAGCCACTCGCGCTCCTCTTATCAAGAGATCAACGTCGACAACATCTTCAAGCTCTTTGTGGGAATCGTAGAGCTCCTGCACCTCAGTCTCAAGATCATCGGGGAATTCGGTTATTGGATTGTTGAGTCTGTGAGAGTGTCAGAAGGGGCAATGGTCATACCCCAAGGCAGCGAGGCCACAGGACGTCGCACATGACTGACAGGTACTTACGGAATCATGTTTATGGGATATTCTCCTGTTGGTTACAAAATGTCCGAGAGGTTGAATCACTCAAAGGGTGATGTCGACCCGACCGGAGAAAACAGGCGACAAAATACTACCAGGCTGAAAAACAAAGGAGAGGTTTAAGGATCGGGCTGAGATCATGGAGCAGCCTAGGTCTTTGTTCGACATGCCATGCAGCATGCAATCAAATTATTTTCAAGGGGTGCATGCTTTTCAAGAAATAAGCTAACCAAAGCAGGGGAGCAACTTCACAGCCCCGGAACGCGGCTCTAGATTCACGCGAGACTGGGAAGTCTCGTATTCAGAGCATCAGCCAATTCCCACCAGAACAGCCTTGCCATGATGCCTGCATAGCCCGTCTAGCTTGGCGGTTTGCCTTGTCTTTAGCATGGCCCGATGTGACTGATCTTTGCCCGGGAACACTAGATTGCCAGTATTATCATCGGTGTTTAAAGAGAGGGCCTTTACAGACGAGGTCACACGTTGACAATCATACCAGATCCTCGAAAATATTTTTGTGCGCGACCTTCACAACTTACGTCGAGTTTGGTGGCCGGATAAGCTACTCGGGAAACTCAACAGCCAATTTCATTTCCTGGTTTCGACCAGCGAAGACCTGGCGAGAACGCAGTGCAGATTTCACAAGACTACTGCAATGTAACTGCGCCCATTTCCAATCAGAAAAAGAAAACATGACTCGTGTTGTTTGCTTGCCTGGCATTGCCTAGGTTGTTTGCTTTTTCTGAACAACGTATATGCCTCACCCGCCACTTGCCCCAGGATATTCGCCCTAGACCCCAGATTTGTCAGACATTGCTCTCTCAGTGGAACTCGTGAGTTGCGCTACTTGATCGACCAAAATATGTCTGCATATCTATCACAAAATAAATGATTCCAAGGAACTACACGCCTTCCCCGCGTTTTAGTGCCGCCGGGGCACAGGCGCTTGTCAACGAGGCTGAGGCTGGATGAACACCAATCATTCGACCGGCAAATGCGAGTCAGATTGCGGTGGCTGAGGCTGTCACACCTTCCATTATTTGTGGATTAAATGCACCTCCAGCCATTCAGCCTCTTTGGGTTCTGATCTCTGAATCCCCGCTCCCTTTGTCGCCCGATCACCCAAGCAGCTCTACACCGTGGAGGTGACTACAACAGCATTTTCCTGGAGATCATACTCACAGTCTGGCTCTAAAGAGACTTAGAAACTCAATATTTGAAGACTAATCTCCTGATATTTCAATCACTCATTGCCATGACCACCAACGTGAGAAATACTCTGGGCGCAGATGCCACCGGTTACATTCGACGCGAGAGGCTACAGGATAGGCTGCGAGTAATTTTTAAGCTGCCGATTACCGTCGAGGTAAGATTCAGGACTTTTTTTCAAGGAGGTCCGTACTGGCTGTTTGGGTCTGCGGCTGACATGATGCCAAATCGCGCACTGCAGCTCCGTAACGACCGCTTTGTCTTCTATGCCCCGAGGTTGGTTACTGAGGTGAGTTTAACCACAAAAGGCTATCAGGCTGTGGGCCCAGATGCTCAGGTGTGTTGCTAATGATTCGGCTATTATAGGATGAGATCGAGTGAGTACCTGGTCAAGGCTGACCTGACCTTTGCACCGTATGTGGGGAGACTAACAGGCAAACGCAGTGACCTTCGCGAAGATAGCAGAGTCAACTAGTTTGAGACGTGATGACAATGCAGGCTTCCGTAGTTCTATTTGTGGTTCCTGATTGTGCACAGGCTTTTCGGATTCAGGGATGATTTCACGCGCAACTGGTCATGTAACCCTTCAAGGCATACCCCTCAGGTGGCGATGTCAGGGCTTTTCTTTTACGCAAATTAGCCTCGCTTCTTACTCTCTGTTCTTTTTCTGCCTTAGAACCAACAATCCATCTATCGAAAGCTATTCTTATACCCTTATTAACGCCACTGTTAGTTCCAGATTAAGTTCCACACCCTAAGTGCCCAGGCAACAGTTTCAAAAAGTGAAGCAATCTTCTTTCCACTTCTATTCCTTCTCAGAGCCAAATTTAGATCCTGAGGCATTTCTTACCCCTTGACGCATGATGTATATCCCTCCGCGTCAGCTCGAGCCAGGCCATTACGACACCGTTCGACCCTATCAACGATATCCTACTTTTGTCTCTTCGCCCGACCAATCAAGCATATACGTCTTTGACGCCGATACTGGACGCGAACCTCATGTTTTCACAAATAGTGAGCGATTTGAAGAGCATCTATCAACCACCAAAAAGCCAAGAAATCGGGTTGTGTATGCATCCACTCCAACGATCCCGCCCCATCAGCCGACTAACTTTATCCCCTCATCATCTATCTAGATCAATATGCTCTGTCAACTCTATGAGACCACTGCGCGTCACCTTCAACGCCATCCGACAGCTGATCAACCAGTATGAGATCGGCCCTGCCTTCCTCGATCTTGCGCTCTCGTTCGGCGATAAACCACAAAGCTCGAATGCCGGACATGGCGGAATGACAGTCATCCATCGCGACGATGGTTCATACGGTATAACCTACTCTGATCCAACATCAATATACCATGGCTCCGGTTACTCATTTACCCAGACATCCAATACCTCTTTACATACGCCGAAGACTACAACGTAAACGGTCGGACCTCATGGACCATCCGCCAGGTGTGCGTGTTTCATCGCTACGATCCCTCGGGGTCGGAAAACCTGTGGATCTTGCTGCATGCGAAGTCGAATTCAAAGCTGCAGCAACACGTCGAGGCGGCTATGCGCACCCAACCAGGAATTCTGCTTTCGGACTGGTTCTCGATGCATTCTTTGATCCTGTCTACTTATCTGCCGAGCTGGAGGTGGTGTATTGCGAAGCTGGGTCAGGAGATTGAGACGACTGTATGCGATCGCCCCGTCTCTTCTTCTCAAGCCGGGAACAAGGATGGACAGTTAACGCGACACACAGGTAGATGCAGCCTTGACCTTTGACTCCTCAGATACCGACGACAGCAAAAAGAGCCTTCTCGGTCTGCTGAAACCGCAGTATCTCGGCGACAAGCTCCTCCCGTTATCGTCTAGACTTGGCGTCGCTTTGGACATTGTCCAGAGGCTCGAAGAATTCAACACGGAGCTCAACTCGAAGAGTATTACATCCGCAGGAAACTTCCAGCATGTTACGGACGAGACGAAATACCAGAAAGCAGTACTGCAGGGGTATTTGAACAGCATCTCCGTGCTGGAGAAGAAGGTGCAGGGAATTTCAGATCTGGTGCGTCCCACCCTCTCATACCCGATCTATCCCAGACGCTAATGTTTCTATGATTCTCTAGCTGGCCGTATCCCTCAACCTCAACTACCAAGCCGTGACCGTGGAAATCAACAACAAAATGCTGAAACTCACCAACGCTGCTATCCATGACAACGCGACCGTGAAAGTCGTGACACTGGTCACTCTGATTTATCTGCCGGCAAGCTTCGTCTCGGTACGCTGTCATTCCATCCCCTCTGCAGTTCTGCCAGAAAGATTTCCTAACCGGATTTCAGACCCTTCTCGGAATGAACCTGTTCGATTTCGACGGCGGAAACGACGGCGGCGAGTTCACCATCTCCCGACAGTTCTGGATCTTTGTCATCGTCGCTGTTCCGTTGACGCTTCTTACCCTCGCGTCTTGGTATCTGATCACCCAGCGACGACTGCGGTTGATTCGGAAGCATAAGATTTCAGATGCAGAGAAGGCCGAGTGATGGTATTAATGAGTTTCTTGATTTACGGGTGGTATTTTAAGGCGGTTTGGCAGTTTATAGACTTTTCGTTAGCTGGACTTTCGGCAGTATCCGTTAAATAGACAGTGCAATACAATGACATTTACCAGCCTAGCCTGGATTCAGTTATTTAAATCACTTTGTTCAAGTCTCTGTCCAGGAAAATAAGTACATACATAGAGACAAACGCGGTATGTCATCCACTGAAAGTAATGTACAGGCGCATCAGAAAAGCCGTAAAGTCCACGATAAAGGCACCAATCCAGAATCTGAGCTCACGGAACCCACAAAGGAAGATTCACAATACCGATCCCTTATCGAGAGAAAGAAAGATCAGAAAAAAGAAGAAAAAAAGAAAAACGCAAGCAGTCATAGACGTCATAAAAGGCTTCACCAGAAAGGCACAACCCAAGACCGTGTCAGTCAATCAAACAATCAAGCCCATTCGCATCGCTAATGGCATACACACCACGACGATCCCAGACCCCAGCAGCATTCAAAACCTGATTATATCTGTGCACGCACATAAGCGACCATCCGCGCGCCGTAACGACAGACAGCTCGACCTCGCCGGGGGCACCGATCTTGCGCGTACAGGTGGATATGCTGACCTTTCTCAAGCCCCAGAACGCCAACGGCATGCCTTCGATCATGGGTTCGTATTCGCGAGCGGTGAACTCTAGACGGTCGAACGATTTCCAGCGGTTGTTGCCAGTCAGGGCGGAGTAGTAGGCTTTTCGGCCGGCGACGTAGTGGAATATGTTCTGGACTAGGGACTCGGGTATGGGCTTTGGGAGAGAGCGAGAGGGAGGGGGTGGTCTTTCGTTCGCGGCGTTGTTGTTCCTGGTGTTGGTTCGATGGGCGAGATCGGCCGGGTCTAGAATGGGAGGAGTGCTGAGTTCCAGGTGGGTCAGGTTCGGGAAACGGGAGATGTAGTTGAGCATCTTGAGCGCGAGGAGTGATGTTAGTTAGGTTGACTTGGTAGAGGAAAGAAATAGGGCTTATGAAGACCAGGGGAGCAAACGTGACCACTTACCGGAACAGTCTGCGAGCCGATCGCCATCGTAATTCCTAGTCTCCGAAGAGCCGGGAGCCTGATACTCATCCACATCAATTCGCGACAACCGAGAAAGACGCTTCCGTGACCACGATTAGACTTGCGGGCGACGGTATCACGGAAGCGTAAGGTCTCCAGAGCATGTCCCTGGAACACCATCACGTCTTCCAGGGTCTTAAGGGGCAGATCATATCCGCTGAACTCCTCCAGGGCGCGCACACCGCGAAGAAACGATGACAGCATGTATGACATCCCGGGCGCAGCATCGATCAGAAAGTTCTCCATGATATCGAAAGACACCGGCTCATGGATCTGGTCTTCTTCGTTACGGAGACGCACCGACAGCGATTTCAGATTGGGCACTTTGCCTGCGAGAAGCTTCAATGGCACCATGCTCACGAAGTAACCGTCCAATGTCAGGTGGCGTAAAGCTAGGCCGTTGAGGCACCTTGTCCAGTCGCTTCCATCTTCTCCTACAAAGCAGACGTTGTAAAGACGGAGAGACTTCAAGGGCGCCAGTCTGCAGCCACGCTGAACCCGGACATTGCATACCCTGAAGCCGGGAGCAGTAGCGCGATAGGTCAAGGTGAGCGCCTCCAGTGTGGGCACCGAGCAGATGGGGAAAAGGTTACCCTTCAGTTCCTGATACTCCTGGTCCCAGTTCTCCATGTTGATGTCCAGCGACCGGATGTTCATGAGTGGACAGGCTCTCAAGATGGGGCGAATCGTGGCATTGTAGTCGAATATCTCATGGGCGCCTTGGATGTCAAGGATTATAGGCCTTTGGAGAAACGTGAACATCTCAAGGATCGTCTGGTCGATCTCGAGGCGTGACCTCCACCTAAGACACAGTGTTGCTTAGTATCCCTAGCTGCTCAGCGATTTCACAGGGCTGACTTACTTGATGATTCTGACTCTTGGAATCAATCTAAACAGGCTTCGAAGAGAGCGGCTGACACGGGTCATGCATTCAACGTGCGTATGAGTGTCGGAGATCTCTAAGACACGAACATCCTTGAACTGAACCCAGGTTCTATGGTATGCGATACGCTTTTCAAACGGGTTATACTCAAAGACGGTGTTCTCAACCAGGTGAACATGCAGGTGGTAGAACAATGCGGGTTGGACACATTGATGAAATTTCCCACAAGTTGCGTACACAGCCCCCAGTGCAGGGTAGTCAAAGTCCAACTGCGGCGTTGATTCAACACGTTAGCTATCACGTTCCATCAAAAAAAGGAACTGTGCTCTTACCGCGTGAAAGATCTTGATCCAGATCTCGTTTGGCACCTTCGAGATATCCCAAGCGGGCGCCTCTGGGATGTCTGAGTCCGCCATATTGCAGATCGACGGTTGAGAACAGACCCATGAGCTACAGAATAGGAAAGGGAAAGGGAAAGGAAAGGCATCTAGTAGTCAACAAAGTAAGAGGCGAAGCTTCACACGTGATGTTGCTTGGGTGCAGTTAATCACCGTTCAAGGCCTGGACCAGTAGTCCTTTCACGGTTTCTATACTACTTCCTAGTGATCCCTTTGGGAGTCCCTACAGGATTTTCTTGGAAAATGATAGAGGGGGTATATCGAAGCGGAGCACGCAACAATACTGTTAAGGTATATGGAGACCCATAGGGGTGGTTTGAGTCTTGCGCGTGTGATATAGGGCACTTCGCACATGCCCCATGTCACAGGAAGTACCGATGAGGGTTACACTTCCAAATTATCAGCGACGTCCTGATAATGCGAAATCCTGCACAAACTGCATTTTAATGGAGCACCTACTTTGTGAGACCTAAGCCATGATATCCTAAGTTTAGGCAATCATATATTCACTATTCTTCCGGTATGCCCCACTTTCTTTGAAACTTGACGCAGAGCCGGAGGTATCCTGAGTATTGATTGTCCACCGGTTTGTTCCTCAGGGCAACCTCCGGTTATTTCCGTTTGCCGTGGGAAAGACGAATGGATGAGATCCTAGAATTGATGTTCGTTCTTCGAACCATTCGAACCCTACTGAAACCAGAAGTCTATTCTTCCTACCATCTGTAGAAGCAAGCCTGCGACCAGTGAAAGATAATAATGAGGATGAAACAACTTTTTGTATGTGACCATACCTGAGATTCTGCATTATTGCATATTATAACTTGATCTATGTATTCAACTTTTTCTTGCGATAATCTTCCGCGAAATACATGGGCAAACAAAGTACCACCCGCCATAAAAGCAAAAAGGGCTAACAACACTATGTATAATCGTCAGGTTTCTTCTTATCCTCCCAAAAATAGACTTACTCACAAAAGCAATACACAACTAGGTATCCTTCCGATCTGACTCCGGTGTGGTCGTCTCTGAAGTCTCAGCAGACAGGGTCATGTTGTCCCACTTTTCCAAGAACCGGTCCAACTCCGCCGACTCCAAGGAACCGGGGTTTCCATGGACAGTGACGGCAAAGTTCGGATACAGACTGCTAAATTGCGTATAATCCTTAACCTTCCAAGACTCGGCTTCAAAGTCCCGGAAAAGACTACGGGTTTCCTCGGGGAGATTAATTTCTTGCTGTAGAGCCGTGACTTGGACCAGTCGCAGCATCCCTTTTGCCAGGACCCATCGACGTGCCAGACCGCGCAGAGAGATGCAGGCGTTGACAAATGCGCGGCTGTTTTCGGGGTTGTCGAGGTCCTCGAATAGCGTGAATAAAGCGACCGTTGAGAAGTGCATGCAGTTGAGTGGCATGCAGATCATCGGGTATTGGGAGCGCAGGATGCTCAACAAGTCGCTCATCCCGTGGGCGGATTTGATTCGGATGGCCTGACCTTGTCGGATGGATTCGAAGGAGGATTCGGCGGCTTCTGGGTGTCCTTTCAGGTAGCCGAAGAGGGTCATTATGGTTACGTGGTATCTCATGCTGTGTCGAGAGGTGAGTGAAACAGGTTTATCAAGACTGATCGTTGCTAACTTACTGCAGGTCTATAGCCCCTGGGTTCGGCGTATGACCCAAAGAGACACACTCGGAGACATTGTTCGCCCAATTCTGCAAGCGACCGTAAAATTCGTCAATGATTCGTTCGAGTTCGGAGTACGGTGGCATTCCGTTATTTTCCGACTCCTTATCACCAAAGAAGTAGTTCGCTATATCCCAAGCGATCACCTGCAAATCATACAATGCATTGATGACACAATTAGTGTGAGCCGGTCGAGGGTCTTCCTGCAATGGGTATGGAACCCAGACATCTGCCGGGTGATGGTCTTCAGGTAACCGCTTGATATCGGGCTTTTTCATGACCGGAGGTTTCTGGAGGCTTAGAGTGGATGTTCTTCGGAAAGTTAGAATCGGGAGGTCCAATCAATACCGCAACCCATAACACTCACGGTTCGAGGTTAAACAATCCCAAGATCGTTTTGTCTATGGCGAGCCGCATTTCCTCGCTTTGTTCCCCGGCGTCTGATATTAGTCGGTTTCGTTTGGATTGAAACTCCCGAACGCTGTCTGCAATATCCACCAACAACTTCCACCCGAGTCGATCCTTCCCCATGACACACGTCCTGGCAGACATTAGCTTCGGTTTGACGGGAGGGAGGAAAATCAGCACATCACATAGATATCTCCCGTGGCCTGCAGAGTCGTAAGGCGGAGTCGTCCTTCTTCCTTTTCCAGTAACTGCTTGGCTTCGTTGTAGAAATGAACGCCACTGGACGACGGGTCCCCAGGCGTGGCCAGCACTTCCGGGTATTCCGAGTAGAACTAAATGGTTAGTATCCTGCGCACAGCAGGGTGAGGCAAGTGTAGACGGTAAACACTTACGCAGGACATGGCTAGCACCGCATTGACCAGGAGTGGGGAACAGAACTGCGAATCCACATTGCCCGACTGCATGTCTCGTATGAATAGATCACGGTCGATCCAGTTGAGGATCTGATGATTCCAGGAGAAATATAGGGAGATTAAATGAGATACCAGGTCATCGTCGTCGGTCACGGTAGTCCATGGTCGCGCGGAGACACGCCACCGCGGGATGTCCGACAGACGATTGATGTCCATATATTTCTGCCGAGTATTGCGGCCCAGGCCTTCTGCCCGCGTCTGCGGATCCTGGGGATTTAAGCTCTCCGCCAGGGAGAGGCGGATCTCGTCCAGCGACGCGTTGCTGCGGATCAGATTCAGGACATCGGAGGCATTGCGATTCTCGTCGGTGCGCAGGGTGCTCACGAGCTGGAACAAGAGATCGCGATCATGCTCGAGCGACTGGATCTTACGCTTGAGGTCCAGCTTCCGACGCTTATCGGATGCCTCGTTGACGATGCATTCCGTCTTGCGTTCGCGACATTTGGTGCACGGCACGCCTCCGATACACTTTTTTCGGGGGTTAACGACTAGTTCGCCCGCTAGAGAGACTGGACTCCGGCAGGTACCTTGGTTTTCTTCTCGCGGCACTCGCTGCAGGCCAGCGACGAATTCTTGCGCGCCGGTTTTGCTACCAGCGGTCTGGGTGCGGGCAGTTTGCTCGGGTTACCAGCGGGAGCCAGAGGTGGATCGGTGCGGTTCTCCGCCATGGTCAACCGGTGAATGTCTCGTATACCCAGCGAAGAGGAGGTCAGGCCGAATTGTATCCTAAACTTTGCCAGAAAGGGGGGAGGGTTTCGGCAGACGGGAGTTGCCAAGAGCCTCTCGCCAGGTTCTGGAGTATGTCTGTGTGCCGATCTCCCACCCGGAACTGATGTCCTGGCGATCGTGACTGGCCAGGCAGTATTAGCCGGCCAGGAATAGACTAAAGGACGAGATTTCCGACAGCCGAAGACATCCGAAGGGACATGGCGAGGAGCACAAAGACACAAGGAAGGAGAAAGGACAAGATAAATGGAACCTGGAATCAAAGGAAACCCAACACTACGGCCCTCGGTCCTTTCTCCTTTGGCCACTCACATCCAACAGTGAAATGATCCCTCTAATGCATTCCGATCCAAAGCCCCAAAAATCAGGTTTTGTCTTCCGGCCCCTCCTGCCCCAACCAGATGGGCAAGATCTTCTCCATCAACCAATAACCTAGGGTGAGTGGACCCGGAGAGAGTCACATGACCTACCATGGCATCGGTACAAGCGCCCAATGCCGATGCAGATGTCAACCCTGGGGTTTGTGGGGTAGTGTATATCCTGGAGGCTTTGAAAAGGTGTTCCTGACGGACTAGCATCAAACTTCCAATAAACTTCTCTAACCCGGACCCCTTCGTTCTTTTGTGTCGCTCTGGTCACGTGATAGCGTGTACTAAGTTGACCTTGCGGCAGTCACCCCGAAATCATGGGGAACAGGGGCTTATGTATTCTGGACTGGATCAAAGATCAGTGTTTGATACCCGCATGTGTGGCTTTCCGGAGTGCATACCGGGTAGATGTGCGAGCACATATTGTGCCTTCACGGCTGACACAGAATATATAACTTGAGACCGTGCAATTCATGTCCAATGGGATGAGTTAACCTGGCTGAAAGCATGAATCCAAAACACCAATTGAAGACTTCCTATCTACTTGTATACGAAAATATCAACAAAGAAAGCGCCACCGTTGTACGGTTGACACACGCGGAGTCACTGCTGGCAAGTTTCCCTCCTTCGGACTAGCGCAGCTGGGCCAGTTACTCGAAGGAGGCACCAGCCCCGCCATCCGGAAGATCCTTGGCCAAGGGAAGTTCACCTCGTCCCTGCGTACAAATACACCCAACCAGTCGTGTTTTGTCCTTGAATCAACAGATATCCAATTACCCTTTGTCCGTCCGCTTCAGACTCTGTCGATTCCCCCGACCACCACCAGCATGTCTGTAGCCGCCACCGCCAAGCGCCCCGAGATCATCGAGATCGCGCGGGGTCTCAACCACGTCCCCATGAGCGAGGAGTTCGAGAAGATGATCTCCGGCATGATGTGAGTGCTGCGTCTCGGTCTAGACCGCGTGGAAATACATTCTGACTGTCTGGTCCAGGTACAACCCCATCGTGCCGCAGTTGCTGGAAGCGCGTCACCGCGCACGCGGGGTAACGCAGGACTACAACAACCTCGACGCCAAGACGGTCTCCTACGACAAGATCTTCGACGTGCGCATGGAGTTGCTGAAGAAGGTCGTTGGCAAAGTCGGATCCGGCACGTTTGTGGAGCCGCCGTTTCTGCCGGACTATGGGTGTAACATCAGCATTGGGAAGGACTGCTTCATCAACTTCAAGTGAGTAGTGTGTTTATGGCTGAACGCGAGACGGGCTAATCAGGATAGTTTCACCGCCCTGGACACCAGTCTGATTCTCATCGGCGACCGCGTGCAGTTCGGTCCCAACGTCAGCATCTTCACGGCAGGTCATGACGTCAGCGTCTTGTCGAGGCGCAAGTTCGTCGAGTTCGGCCACCCGGTCATCATTGAGGATGATTGCTGGATTGGTGGCAATGTGATTATTCTGCCGGGCGTGACGATTGGAAAGGGCTCAACGATTGCGGCTGGATCCACGGTCACCAAGGATATTCCGCCCTTCTCGGTGGCGGTTGGAAGCCCGTGTCGCGTGAAGAGGACCATCCCGACCCCCGAGGAAGAGGAACAGGACCCCAACAACCCGTACCGGAACCTGGTCCGTGAGGATAGAGAGGAATAAACGGCAGAAATAAGGATGGGGGAATGTGATATAGCGAGGACGACGTGATGAGATCGATGACGTAGATATACAGACCAGACACGTGACTTTAGGCATGTTAGCATACAAATCAAGCTTTTTCAAACAACACCATCCGTACGCAATACTCGGCAATTGTTCAAATCTATTGAATGACAGAATCCCTGGTCCCTTGCATGGTCACAGTCTATCCCTTATCGTCGCGTATTGCGAGGCGGTGGAGCAACACGCCTCCGGATAAGGTTCGGGGCTTTATTTGGCCGGCCATCTACCAGACAGCGTTTAATTTTAAACGAAGAACAGCCCACTCCTTCGTGTCCACCATCTCCCGTCCTGATTGCGACTCCTGCAGGATTCCAGCGCCATGATTCGCCCCTCCGTGCCGGCTCGATCCGGCAAGAAAACCAACTCCCTAGCGTTCGCCCGCACGGACTGCCACACCTGCCTCTCCACCGGGCAAGGGTGCGATCGCCGACGACCCCAGTGCACCACGTGTCTGGAGCGAGGCGTCAAATGCGGGGGTTTTGTAACGCCACTCTCGTGGGATACTAGTCGCACATGGCTGGGCGAGTCGGCTGGCAGAGACGCCTTGGCAGGGCGAGCAGATGCAGTCGGCGATAAGGACGTCGCTAGTTCGGATCATGACGGGCGGAGACCGTCGGGGTCGCGGAGGTTTCGCTTTGTGCAGAGTGGCAGGGGCGGGAGGAAACGACGCAGGATTCAGCAGTCGACGAGGGAGATCAGTCCGTCGAGTGCGCCGGTGGGTTCTATGCAGGAAACGTCGACACTGGAGAACCGAGAACCCGTTCCTGTCAATGATGTGGAGCAGATATCTCCTGGGAATACGACGCAGTTTGATAACTACGGTGCGTGTAACTTTTGGTTGGTATAAAGATTAGTTATGTTGACTACGACAGGTCCGTATCTCTTCGATAATATCGACTTTTCGATTGACCAGGATGTTCTCTCATCGCTGGCGGCGCCTAATATGACCGGAATTCCTACCCTGGCGCAAACCACCTTGTACCCGGATAGTGGTTTATTAGCTCCGCCATTAGAGAGCACGCTTTCGGGTGATCAGCAAGGAATGAACCCTGATCCATCATCGATCGATGGGTGGGTAGTGTCGGCCCCTGGCGTGGAACCGGGCAGGGTTCCGGCTCCCTCTGCAGGGATAGGGAACCAACACGAGACCTTGTTCAGGATGTGTAAGCCATGCCAGAACCCGGATAGAATGCGAAGACAACTAACCTTGGACTAGATGATAGCGAGTTCTGCGTCCTCCCAATCACCTCCGACTCTGCACTCAATCCGTTTCGCTGTCAGCAGTCAGTGTCTGAAGGATCGAGGCTATTGTTTCACTCCATGCTGGCCTTATGCTGTCGACATCTGAACCTTATTACGGGGTCCTGGTCCTCCGAAGCACAGGAGCACCGCGGCGAAGCATCTAAGCTTTTAACCCAAGCCTGTCAAAACCAGCAGTTGGTGAAAAAGGGACTTGCATTGTTAGATCCGATCCTTATTCTTTTCACGCTAGATGTGAGTATCACCGGGGATATTTTAATTTTACGAACTGACAGAATACAGTGTACATTATCCGCGTCCGGCCGATGGTCCTCTCATATAACCCGAGTTCGCTCGATTCTGGAGGAAAGCGGCGGTCCATCGGCACTCACGACCCAACGCGCTCGGGCTCAGGTGGCGATGATGATGTGGTGAGAGAGACATCTGCTCCCCAGTATTACTACCAACTAACAAATCATAGGTGGGACGCAACGCTCGCGCTCGTCTCTCGACAAGGTACCATCCTGTCCCGCGCGTACCTCGACTACCTTCAGCGGTACGAAAAAGAAGACCAATGGTCATTCTACCAACTGTCAGGATGTCCGACCGACCTTGTCGCGCACATATTCTCGCTCGCTGAACTGGCGCATCAGCGCGAACTCGCCTCGACCATGGCATGGCTGACATTCGACCTGACCCCGATCGTACAAATCGAAGCCCAAATCCGACACTGGAAACACCCTTTATACTCCAGCCATCTGGTCGAACTAGACTCCGACTCCGAGGACTTCGAGGACGCAGACGAATCGAGTTTCCACGCGCAACAGGATCGGTACCATTGCGCGGAGGCCTGGCGACATGCGCTTCTGCTGTATATTGAGCGGGTGTTTAAGTGGGAGCGCGGCACTCCTCGTCCCAGATCGCTGAGTCGATTGGTTCGGATAACGCTGGATCATGTGCGATGTTGTCGGAGGACGTCGTTGACGCAGAAACAGGTTCTTCTGCCGGTGTTCTTGGCGGCTAGCGAGACCTCGAGTGAGGAAATGCGGGATATTGCGAGGAATTACTGCCGCTGGTGGGGAGATCGAAGCCGATACCATATGTTTCATTCTGTGCCTGGGCTGTTGGAAGAGATTTGGTCGGGCGATTACTGGTGGGGGAGCGTTGTGGATTCGAAAACGCGAGGAACAGTGGGCCATATTCCGGTTGAGTTTCTTCTGGGATAGGAGAATTATAAATATTGTAGATATATGGGCTTGAATACATGATGCTTTCCTGAGGCTTCGTTGGCTGCTTGGGCTGAGGTATTAATGTGATGTGGAGAGAAGGGAATTGAGGGAGCTAAATGCTGCTTGCTTTGGAACATTTTCAAAGCCAGTATACAGATGCTAACAGGATGAGAATGATCCCCGGAGAGATCGAAATGGGGAGCAAGCCTAGGCCTCCATATGATTGCAATGTCTTTAACAGGAATAGCCTGGCTGAAGGATCGCACTAGTCGTCATGTTCCTGTTGGTGGCTTGCCTTGGCCAACCCTTCGCACGACAGATCTGACCAACTCGCACACCACACTTGTTTCTTCAAAAGGAGCGGCAATGGAAGAGAATGCAAATATTTCAATCCCCTCCGTTGCGGACTCGACCCCGGGAAAGGCAGAGTTGCGTCCGCGGCCTGCTACCAGCCGGCGTCGAGATAAGCCGCAGCTATCGTGTGATAGCTGCCGGCGGCGTAAGTGAGTGCCCTCACCCCGTCTTCTTGTACCCACAGCATAATGTTGTCTTAGAGGCCGATGTGATCGCCGAGCTCCGTGCTCGAGCTGCGTCACGCGAGGACATGTCTGCACGTATCCTAACAACCATGTCCTGTCGGCACCATCATCAGGCGCGCCACTCATACAGGACCGCTTAGAGCAGCTGGAGCGACTGGTCGTTTCTTTAATGCAGGGTTCAACTACCAAAGAGCGCGCTGTATCACCCGCGGGTGGGAATATCGCCCCGATATCGAGTTCCGATAGTTCTGCTATCGAGGAGGTCGAAAAAGATAGACGCCCAGACTGCGGTAGCATGCGAGTCAGCGATTCGGAGCTGCGCTATGTTGGTGGTGATCATTGGGCCTCCATTCTTGATAGCGTCGCAGATCTGAAAGTCCACTTTGACCGTGAAGAGCGACTGCGTCTAGAAGCGACATCGGGTTCATTTGAGGAAGATACGAATAGAGGGTCTACTTCGCGAGCCCTGCTGCTCTATGGCTGTCGTCATGCGACGTCTAGAGAGGACATTCTTGCATCCTTGCCGTCTCGCTCTGTTGTGGACCGCTATGTTTCGGGGTATTTCAACCGGTTGGATCTGGTTTCGTCAAGTTAGTTTTGGCTATTGGTTAAATAGATCGATGGAGCTGATAATTGAATTGTGTTAGGTGCTGTTCATGGGCCGACCTTTTTACGACAGGTAGGTAGACCCCGATCTGATGCAGTGGCATGTTGTTGCTGACGAATGCAGTATGAAGCTTTTTGGGCCACTCCCTTGGATGTCCCCATCATGTGGATCGGCCTACTATTCAGTATGATGTGCCTCGCCGTTCAGGCCTCCACGGTGTCGGATACCGCAACCAGCCACGAAACGGACCAACATAGACGTCAAATCGAGCTGTATCACGAGAAAGTTGTCCAATGCTTGCTCATGGGGGAATACACAAAGTCAGGACCACACGCGCTCGAGACACTCATCCACTACGTGTATATTGAATTCTGCCTCCATCCTGACGCAGACAGGGATATCTGGTTTTTGTTATCCCTGGAAGTCAATCTTGCGATGCGCATGGGATATCACCGAGACCCTAGCCATTTCCCCGGAATCACGCCCCTCCAAGGGGAGATGCGTCGTCGAATGTGGGCGACTGTGCTATTAGGCGATGTTCTGATATCGAGTCAAATGGGGATGCCGCGTATGATATCAGACTGGCAATGCGACACGGCTGAACCGCGGAACTTGAATGATAGTGACCTCGACGCTGATGCACTTGAGTTACCTCCCTCGCGACCGGAAAGCGAAAACACCACAGCTTTGTGTCTGATTGCGCGCCGTCGAATGGTTATTGCGTTGGGTAAAGCGTCAGATCTTGCGGCCGCTGTCAAACCGTGTAGCTACGCCGAGGTCATGCATGTGGACGGTGTTCTGCATGAAGCGGCTAATAGTATTCCGCAACAGCTCAAGATAAAATCGATGACAGCGAGTTTGACGGATTCACCACGGATCATTATGGAGAGGTTGTTTATATCTCATATGTTTTACAAAGGCCAGCTCATGCTTCATCGGCGGTTCTTGTTCCAAGATTCAACCTCACCAGACACCGACACGCTTGCGCATTCGCGGAAAGCTTGTATCGACGCATCGCTTGGATTACTAGGTATACAGAAGATCCTGGACGAGGAGACAGGTGCAGATGGTCAGCTTCATACCATGCATTGGCGCATCACTTCCATCTTGAATCACCAGTTCCTGACCGCGACCATGATTCTGTGTTCGATTTTACATCACGGGCAGATGCCGCAGCATGACGACAAAATCCGGGCTGCTCTGCAGCAGGCTCAAGGGATTTGGATGCGTCGCAGCCCCAGATCCCAGGAAGCAAGGACGGCGGCTGACATGGTCAACCTCGTTCTCTCTGGGACGACAGGGGCAAGCAAGGACAATTTCGAGGCACTACTGGAACAGGAAATTCCCCAACGCTATATTACTGGTCTATTTGACCAGTCGGCACTTTCATCACAGGCATATTCTCTGCAATCACTAAACGGCCGGGACGAGGGTTTCCCATATTTCCCATACACAATACCGTCGTTGTATGAGGAATCTTCCAATGATTGGATGCCGGAGAACTGGTCCGGGTGATCTGTTGTGTGATCCATGTTAATTAGCGAATAATCTATACGAGATACCAATCTCGGATCTTCTCGTATTATCAGTACTGGACAGAACCATGGAATAGATTCGGTGTTATACGCAATCCCCAGAAGATCGAGATACCCCAATTCTCGGAGGAAGCGTCTCCAATTGAGCAGAATCCGGGGCGCTCTCGGAATCACCGTGCTACTCATAATACGAGGAATGATGTAGCCAGACTATACACATGTCATCCTCAAGAATGACTCCCACGTGTGAATCAAGAAACTTTGTCTGACAGCCTGACGTCTGCATACTTCTTCCGAAGGCTCGGAACCCCATCCATGCCCATCTAGACCCTGTCGCCTTATTCATCACTACCCATGTGAAGATGTTAAAAATGGGCTCCTGACTATTTAGGAAAAAGGTCAGAGTGCAGAAACGCATTGTTTCAGGGGACTCAGCGAACAAGGTTCACAAGCCATAGGCCCAGGAATACAGTCCTGTCTCTACTCCAAGTTCGTATTTAGCAATCAAGCAGCACTGCCATGTGCAACATTCAGCCAAAAACCGGCGAACACCGATACCAAAGCTCAGGAACCAAGAACCTTCTCTGCATTCGGTCCCAGGCGTCGGAGACCGACATCACAAGCCACAACATGGATGTGATGATGAGTCGGTGTTACTAATGTGTCAGCTTGCGGCTCTATCCTTAACTTCTTAAGTCCGTGACTCCGTTCGGCACTGCAATACCCCGGACCATCGAATTAGTTAATCATGGCCTAGAGACAAGCCTTCTAACTAGTCTAGCCGTTTTCCCGTGTCTCAATCCCTAAAAGGCCCATCTCATGTCATCTCACGTGTGCACTAAGACCGCCTTGAAAGGGATTAGGCAAGAGATTCCTGAAATGATTCTAGCTTGATACACTAGCACACAAGTGCTGAAGTACCCCGTCGGGACCACTGAGTAATATTCATGCCGGATCGTCGGTGCCGACGGAGTCTCGGACATAAGCCGTACGGGGCGACAGGGCTAGTCTTGCCAGACCGTGGAAATGGACGCCACAGCCGGGAGGATGAGGATGCAGACGAGGCTCTGGGCGGGGCGGTTGAGTAATGAGCGGGATTTGCGGAGGGGGTTAATTGCTTTTGTGATTTATCTTCGGGTTATGGTTTAGCTTTTTGGCGTCCTCGTGCAGCTAGGATGTAGCTAGCTTATGAATGGTACTATATGGAATTGAAGTCATTGGAGGACTTTTTGGACGGACATATGAATAAGCTTTGCGTTATAGGCTGTAGGTATGCATGACCGTCATGAATAGGAGGCGTTTGGGCTGAGCAATGCTTACTCTCGTGGCCTGGCCAGTATGTGTCATTACGGGTTTGTAACCCTGAAGACACGTTTTGGTGGTACCTGGACGGCCCAATACCATGCACTCATGTCCATGGGTTGATCGGATGATCAGCACGTTCTGAAACCGAATTTCCTATTCCGTGATAGCATAGCAGTGCTGAAAATCAACGGATTGTGTGTTTTCCGACTCCGATGCAAATGGGGCATTGCGTGATGGATCGGAGCCGTTGAAGGCCCGGCAGGTTGATGCTCGTTAATGACATCATGACCAACACCTAGACCGTCTGTATTTGAAGACTAATTAACTACTCAATGGCATTGTTACTGACTAGGGGAATTTGGTAGCTGGATGTGGGTCTTTCAGCATTTAGCCTGGACCTAAATGGCTATTCCAGAGTATGTGAGTGGAGGAGGCTGTGCCTTGCAGTTTCTTGGTAGTTAATGAAAGACAATAACCTAGTATGGATAAGCTACTTACTTGCCACAATCCCTATTAACCCTTTTCATACACTCACAAGCTGCTGCAAAGGAGGCGAAGTCTGTGGCTGATTTGATCCACTTGCTGGGTGGATGGCATTTCTTTTAGCGTTTTGGATGGATGGAGCATGACATTAACTTAGATTCACACGGAGGGATTCCGTTCAGCATGACAGCTACGGAGTGTATCTCGACTTTCATTGCCTAGGAATCCTAGAAGCTTGCGCAATCCCGGGACCACAGATTACCCAGGCCTTGACAGTCGGGATACCATTGCCTATCCCCATGTTTAAACACCTACCTTCTGAGCCACCAGGATTTGAGTTACGTGATGAAAATAGAACTAAGTAGCCGGGGTGCACTGAGTCATGGTACGCTGCATGGTGCAGAGAGTCTGTACTCCGTAAAGCATCAGCCTCATCCCGGTAGCCATTTCAGTGTATCCACTCGACGATTCCCTTCCTGGCATGCAATAATAGGCAGGATACACTTGTAATTTACAGTCAAGATCAGGGTTCCCCGCCATTTACATGATTCGGTCAACAAAGTACAATCCTTCGCACTAGATAAAAATGGACCATACGGAGTAGTCGGGAAATCCCGCTGAACACGGAGTAGGACAGAGGGATCAATCCGAAACAGCGAATAACGCCGTGCAAGTTCCCCACCAAGCCGAGACCTGGAAGAGTAAGAGTACCCCGACCGCAACCGGGATCTGATCCTGAAGTCTGTCGCGATCGACGTGGACGGTGGATTCGATTAGCGGACCCTCGTGGAATTGTCCATGTCGGCAGTTCCAACATGCTGGGATAAAACAAGATCCGGAAGGCGCATGTAGCGGGACACATCCTTCGAAGGTCTAGGTGGTGCTCGGGCATAATCACCCCGGCAACGATCAACTTGACAGCTCTAGGGCTGAGATTGGCAGGTAGCGGTCTCCGCGGCCGGGTGCGGAACCTGTCCGTCGGATATGCAAGCTACTGAGTCCGCGTCATCGCTTCTGCATAGCGTCTCTCGGGTCGGAAATAGAACATCGACCGAGCGAGTGGTTTATTCTGAATAGGCCACGGATGATCCACAGTAATATCGATCAGGAGGGTAATATGCTCAGTCGCGGAGGTCAAACAGGCCGTTTAGCCATTTAGTTGCTTCAGAATTTCTGCCTGGCGATGGAAGGATGCAGGAGCGTAGAGCACCGGGCCTCGAAGAGAGTGTATTTCAAGAGGTAACAAGGCTGCGAATCACATACAGGGAGCTGTCAAGATGTGGTGGATCCTGGAGGATAGACTAGCAAAAGGTAGCTTGACCAAAATGGGAAAAACAAGTCCAACCCAAGAACTTGGATACGCTGTTGGCCTAGTATGATCTCCGGCCTTTACAACGTGGCTCTCGAGGATATTTTGGCCCCTGGATAGGGATTCGGCGAGCTGGCAAGTGGCAACAGACAAGGGGCATTGTATTTCCGAGAAGGATATAGCACTAGACTATTCTCGTTAGTGCAAGATCAACTTGTTTGAAATGGGTTTCAACTCGACGTCGACGAGGTACTTCGCTGCAGTTACCTTGAGATTATTTTATCCGAACAGTACTTTGTGAATTACTGAATAGACTGTGGCTCTCCAGACTTCCCCGAAAATCGGCTAAAGCAAGCATCTCGTATTCCACCTTGGAAACCCACCTGCAATCCGGTTTTGCCTAATAAGAATCCCGAAGTAACTGCTTCCACCTCGTTATGCAATATGAAAGGGTCCACCGGCGATCCCGATCCTAGGCTATTCCCTCGCCGTTGCCGACCATACAGAAACCCCTGTTCAATTTCCGTTCGTATGCAAGCGTTGAGATGACGATTTTATCAATCTGTCGCCACCATGCACATCATCCAAAGAGGAAATGCACGCTGTGTCATCCTTTCCACCAATTGCACGCCGTGATGTCATCATGATTGCTTACCTCCCAGGCACATACCTATCGGCAGAAATGGCCAAGAAGACAAGACACTAGAGAGTGAGAAGAGTCAGGGAAAAAGCCACCGGGTGCATCATCCGAGTGGGGGGATCGGATCGTATTACGTAGGACACCGACGGGCCATTCGAACATGGCCGCCTGCTGCGTACAGCGTATGTAGTATTGAGTTGCTTACTGCCTGGTGTGTGACGGAGCTAATGCACGGAGGATTCTGGATTGCTTCTCCGGTGTCCGGTGGAGGAGTCATGGGTAGGTACCTACTTTTGCGTATCCTGCGTATTGACAGGCCAATACTAGTGAAACCGTCAAAGGATTCCCGTTACCCGAGAGCCGCGGGCTCCACGCGTAGGGCTGTGCCCGTTTCTACTGGTGTCTTGGTGCAGGATCGAGTGTTGGTATATGAAATGAGGTGTTGGGGTTGAATTCCGATTCTAGAAGGTGGGCAATGAGGCAAGAATTGCGAATGACTGCGCTAGCCCTTAGCTACTGACTACTGACTACCATACGATGTAGCATCAGATTAGATCGTCCCGGTTGTTCTTCAGCGCCGACGACCGAGCGCCAAGAGGCTGGATTCGCTGGCTTCGGGCGCTAAGAAACGCCAGCTCCGGCGACCGACGTGCATTCCGTCGATCCCCTCGGGGCTTCGTTTGTGTTTTCGGACTGACGAAAATTGCTGGAACACATGCAAGGAAATGTGGACTGTGGACTATGGAGAAGATGGGTGCGCAGAGTGGTAGACCGAAGGTTGTTGGTACATTGGTAGGTGGTTCATTCAAACATGTCTATCGTAAGTAGAATATAAATAAGGGGATATATCTGTTCAATTTTCTCTCCTGTCGTGCTGTTTCCCGCCACCGATCCTTCCTGGTATGATTACATCCTTCATCGCTTTTCAATCTCCAGCAGCACCCGTAAGCATTCCTCGTCGCCGGCATCCACCGCGTAATGCAACGGCAGCCAACCCGCCCTATCGGTGAGCGTGGGATCAGCGCCGTGCTTGAACAATTCGCTCACGATCACGCTATGCCCACTAATCACCCCGACGTGCAGGGCCGTCGCTCCTTCGCTGTTGACTGCATTGACGTCAGCCCCGTGTTCTAGCAGCAGCCGCACCATCGACAGATTCCCGCGCGCCACGGCCATGTGCAGGGGTGTCGTCCAGGGCATGTGTCCCGGCGTCGAGGCACAGGGTGTCTCGCCGAACTTGGATGCGCGGATGGGATTGGGGCCGCTAGTAGCGGCGGGAATCGTCTGCGCGTTGACCATGGACGATAGCGGAGGTAAGAGGCCGCCGTAAGCTTGAGCATCTAAAATAGTTGGTACCAGGCTTTGCATATCGACGTCGCATAGCCGCACCGTGCCGTCTTCGGCACATACTTGGAACCCCGGCTCGCTGCAGGTCCCGTAGATCGGATCGAATCGCTGGGCTAGAGCGAAGGGGTCGAATGCTGGGGGCATCTGCGTAGTCGTAGTGGTGGTGGTAGCAGTGCTGTCTGCTGCTGTTGGGTCCAGACAATTCAGGTAGTCGGTCGACGGGGAGGACGACGTAGGACCGACGGACGAGGATGGGGAGCTGGAGGACCCGTAGGTGGAGGCCACGGTCCCGTCGCTACCGGGATAAGTGCCGTCTGGTAGCACCATATTGTGGAGTGTGAGGTCCTGGGGCGGCGCGTCCGACTGGGGATCGGGAAGCCCCAGCTCCAGAGCACCGGGCGATCTGGAATTGCGCCGCGAGCTTGTCTTTGATTGTGTTTCGCGCGAGGTGCGGCGAGATCGGGGAGCTGGTGCCGTGGGATTGGTACTACTGTCGAGCTCTAGCTCTCTTAATCTTTTCCTGACATTATCGCCTTGTGGAAGGTGTTAGTTTGGGGCCGATTCAAAGCAAGGAATCTGAAAAAGACATACGGTGTCTTCGTTGCGCGATGCGGTTTCGCTCCCGGCGTCTTTCTAAAGCCAGCAGCTCCTCATGTCGCGCATCTGTGGTATCCAATGTGGGTTTCATCTCGGGCATTGTACAGTAACTCTCGGATATAAATAAGTGCAGTCAATTGAGAGGCAGGTTCCAAAAGAAAAAGCAAAAGAATGCTCGCCCGCTTCCATGCATCCGTTCGTCACGCCGGGAAAAGCCCATGTCTTATGCGGAGCGTCGATCCATCAGCTCGTAAACCGATCGCCAATTTTTTCTCTCCATGGGCCTGCGCCCCCATGGAAGGAATCAGGCGAGACAAACGGTCAGAAAATAGTAAGCTGGGCAATATCCATGGGTCTCTCGTATCTGCTGGCTGGCCAGAGGGTCGTGGCATCCTTCCGTTCGGGACTAGCGGTAATTTATTCTGCGTTTCGCTGGTGACATGGCTGTGATCTTTTAGTTTCTGCTGAAGAAGCTCTGCGAGTCTGGGCCAGTATAAGCACCTTATGTTGCTGCTGATTTCTAAGACGGAGGCTTAGTCGAGGGACTCGACGTCTGCTGGTCGTTCTGCTGGTCGGGAAGCCCGTTGGAGTCACGCGCAGTCCCGTGGTTTGCCAGACCCTAACGATCTCCAACGAGGCCCTGCACGCTCCTTGAGGAAAGAGATGGAGTTGCAAATCCCTCCCTCCTCATCGGTGGGCTCCCACACAGCCCCGCTTTGTTGATGAGGTCTATAGACTCAGCTTAGTCGAATCCCCTGCTGATTGGTCGTCGGGGTCGTCTGAACCTGCCCGTTTACAAATAGCACGCGGCCTCTTTCTAATCCCCATTCCTCGGCGGCATGATCCGGCGTGTCAGCCACCGGATAATTGCGGGCTCTGTCTTCTGAGGATGCCAAATTGCCCCATTCTCCCCGGGAAGACGACAGCCAAGAGCCGCGGAGTGGTCTTGGTGGCGGACGTAAGGCAAAGGAAGGCGATCCCGGCCGGCGACGAGGGGACTCCGTCAGCACGATAGATTAGTTAGGGCCTTTTAAATATGACAGCACATGTCTTGGTGAACTCACCGGCCTTTGACTTGCAAAATCCTCCTTCAAAATCTCACATACTTGATGAGTGTCGTTCGAACGGAAAAGTGTCACAGCTGCCTCGTGGTTTGCACAACCCAAAATACGAACCGAAGCAACTGCTACTCTTCGCAGGCCATGCAAAATGCAACGGCGCTGCCGATGCTTCTGCAAGAACCCGAAGAAACCCGTCGATCCACTTTCACGACATCGTGGCCATGATTGATCTCAAAGGCCTCGATACGATTCTTCAACCGCTCTCTGCGTCCCACAAACACGAACCCCCTCGGCGTGCCTGAGCAATTTAAACCCTACCGCCGACGATTCCCTACACGGTGACATCAGATCGTCCTCTAGCTGCAGATTGACCCCTCTCGTCTCCCTGTTGATTCTGCCGCCGGCCGTCGCTGCGATGCCACCGTTCCCTGCCCTGGCGACAGGGAGATATTCCCCGAATGCCAATGCCAGCTCGGACTCCGGTTCATGACGACATCCGGGGCGTGAACGCGCATCTGATCACACTTTTATCGCTCGATCGGCGGTCGTATGATTCTCGCCTGGCTGCTATCACCGATCTCTGCCTTGCGATTCATGTTCCCTCCCCACTTGTCCCGGGTTTGGTGTTACATTTGGACAGGGGAATTCGGTCAAAACAAGCATCCCAGGGCTGCTCGGCGGTCCTCGGCGCGGTCGCTGGTACCGAGTGCTTCTCTTTTCCTGATCGATCGGTGTGATTGTGTGCGTTTGACCCCGCCTTGGATCCATTGAAAAGGGGCAGCCACGACGGCCGTTTCTGTTGCTTTTTGGACATGTCAAGATAGATGAACTGCGAGAAATCCGACCGCAAATACTACAAGTTGACAACCTCTTTTCTCTGCCATTTTTCCGACTGAATTTTCCCGTTTAAAATGAGTCTTTCTCAAGCCGTCAAAACCACCCTCAACTACTATCCCACCTGCTCGGTCGCTGGCCGACAAATCGTCCTGGGCACCATCGGCACCTACCGTCGACCTATGGACCCCCGTCCAGCGACCATCCAGGACGTGCGCGGCCGCGAGAGCACCTTTAATCTGGACGTGCACGGATTCCAATTCCTGCGTCATCCCAGCCCGCATGTCTCGTCGTTCACGGAGTCCGTGGTCAAGAAATACATGTATCCCGAGGCCGTGGATATTCTGAAACAAGCGTACATCCCCCTTCTTTCCCCGTGAGTTCTTAGATCCAAACCACTGAACCTCCCACAGCACCGGCGCCACCAGAGCCCACGTCTTCTCACACATCACGCGCAACGCGCCGTACGAGAAAGTCGAAGAACTAGTGGCCTCCAAAGAGTCGGACACCAAACCGACCAGCATGATGGTCCCGGGCCGACTCATCCACGTCGACCAATCCGAGTCCGGCGCCCTGGACATCCTGAAAGACAACATGTCGGCGGAGGAAGTCGCCCGGCTGTCCAGGTCCCGCTGGGGCATCGTCAACATCTGGCGGCCGTTGAAGCCCGTGCCGCGCGACCCGTTGGCCGTGGCTGATGCGCGGTCCGTGAGAGACGAAGATCTCGTCGAGGTCTATGCAAGGCTTCCGGGGAAGGGGGAGAAGAATTACGAGGCGACGACTCAGGGGGCGGGGTTTGGTATGCTGTATGGAATGTATGGAGAGGGCCAGAAGTGGTATTATTTGTCGGGAATGAGGCCGGATGAGGTCATGTTGATTAAGTGTTTTGATTCGAAGGATGATGGCAGTGTGGCGAGGAGGTCGCCGCATACGGCGTTTGTGGATCCCAGGACGCAGGAGGTCAAGGAGGCAAGGGAGAGTGTGGAGTTGAGATGTTTGGTGTTTTTCGAGGATCAGACTGTCTAGATTATTTGGTTGGTTAAGCCTTCCTGGAGGGTCGGGAGTGTTATTTATTTGAACTGGTTTTGTTGGTGTCAGTGAATGCTCTTCAATCTGTTATATTCATTTGCATGCTTTTATGGATTCCGCTCTCCCTCTTGACGATTCTACTTTATTCCATTCACCCCTAGAAAGCTGAGGCAATTGAACATGTCATATTTCTTTTCGACAAGATGCATGAGGCTGCAGGAGGTCCAGAAACTAGCGATTCTTGGTTTTGTCTCGTGAAGAGAGAGAGGGAGAGAAGCGCGAAGAAACAATCGTAATATCAGTGTTGCCAATAAGTTTGAAAACAGATATTGAAACCCAAAAAACAGGATAGAATAAAACAAAATGAAAAAAAAAGAAAGAGGGATTTAACAAATACTGCGCAATGTATTCTGATCAACTAACCTAACATATGTTGCTAGCATAAAGGCTGTGGCCTCTATATGTCTAAGATGATTTCAGACTTGGTGGTTATTGGGAAATAAATATATTCACATTTGTATACTAGTAGACTAACAATTCAACGGGCCATAACTTTTATTTCAGATATATCAACAAATAACAATGACAAAATACATCTATAAGCGTGCAAACAAATTGAATCGAAACTCTAACCTCACCCTCTAGCAGGCACCAACCCCCTCTCCACCCAGTCCGCCACATGTCGCTCCAAATCCTCCATGACAAACCCGGTTCTCCGCTTCGGCATATCCGCCAGGGCCTGCTTCGTATTCGTGATATCATACTGCGCCATATCCTCGTATAGCTCCCACCGCGTGCGGTGCTTGCGCACGGGTTCCTGCAGCACCGGCAGCATCGGGAGTAGCGGGTTCGCGAGCAGATCCTTATCCGAAGAGAGCGCTTCCAACCAGTCCTTGTAGGGCAGCGCCTTCAGCGGATATCCGCACTCCTCGAGCATGTTCCAGCAGGCTTCCACGTCCTTGTCTTCCTCGGGGCTCTGCGGCACGATGTGGAACGTGCGGTTGTGGTTCACTGGGTTCGATGTGATGTGGACCAGGGCGTGCGTGACAAAGTCAACGGGGATCATGACCTTACTTTGGTTGGGCAGGATGGGTCGACAGCCGAGCTTGATCGACCCGATGAATACTCGGCCCATGAAGTCGTCGATGTTGGCTTTTCCTCGTGCCGTGTCGCCCATGATGAAGCCCGGGCGGAACACGATGGCCGGAAGACCCTTGGCCATCATGCTGTGCACCATCTGCTCCGAGACCCATTTGCTCTGTGTGTATCCGATGTCGTATGGGAGCCAGGCTTGGAATTCGCCGAGCTCAGTGTCCTCGTAGATTCGCTCTTCGCCGGTGAAGTGCGACATTGGGCCCGTGACGGCTGCAGTGGACATGTAGTGCAGGGTCTTAGGGCGACCGGCCGTGGCGAGCTTGATGCAGTTAAGCGTGCCGATGACGTTGGTGTCGCGGTGCTTCTCGTAAGGCTGGATGTAGTTGATGTGAGCGCCGGCGTGGAAGATGACGCTGCTCCAGAGTCCGAGTTCTTGGAATTCGGCCTCGGGGAGACCAAAGAGGTCCTTGCCGAGGTCGCCGGCCACGGCTGAGATCTTGTCGAGGTTTTCCTCCTGACCGAGGCCGTATTTGTTCAGTGCGGCGAGGATGCGACCACGAGCCCAGTATGTGTCTGCGGCGCGAACGAGACAGCGGACGGTCTTGACATCGGGCATGTCGATCAGGTGGCGCAGGAAGTAGGTTCCCAAGTACCCGGTGGCACCGGTCAGGAAGACTCGGCCTTCGGAGGGAGCTCGCCAGTTAGGAGCCTCGCCGGCAGGGACGCTGATGTTGTTGGCCAGCTGGGAGTCGGCAATGAACATGCCCAGACGCGAGTGGTCGATCTTGTTGCTAGTCTTGCCGGCGTCGATGACTCCTGCAAGGGTCTCCAAGGTCGGGAAGTCGTAGATCTGCTGCATTGTCAGGGAGAGACCATATCGGCGACGGATGTGGACCAGCAGCGCAGCAGCCTGTAGGGAGCTGCCACCGAGATGGAAGAAGTTGCTGTTGTGTGAGATGTTGCTGATGCCCAGGACCGAAGTCCACAGGGCGCGCAACCACGTCCCACTGTCAACATGGCCGTTGGAATCGACCGACTCAAGAGCCTTCTGCTCGGCGCGCTCGGTCTCCTGGATGTGTTTGGTCACGACAGCAGCGCGATCGATCTTGCCGTGCACGGTGAAGGGGAATCGGTCGACGACCTCCAGTCGGGGGACCATGTAAGAGGGCAAGACCTTGCGGAGGTACCAGTCTAACTGGGCCAGAGAGAAGGTAGAATTTTCTTTCGGCTGCACGAACGCCGTGATGTACATCTCCTTACCAGGCCGACGAATGGGGAGAGCAACGGTGGCATGGACCATGTCGCTCTTGAGCAGAGCGCCCTCGATCTCACCGGGCTCGATTCGGTATCCGAGGATCTTGATCATGTTGTCGGCGCGGGCCATGAACTCCAAAGCGCCGGACTCAAGCTTCCGCGCCAAATCTCCGGTCTTGTAGACCTGGACCTCCGAGCCGTCCTTTGATAGGTGGGATAGGTTGAGGAAGCTCTTCGCGTGTGCGTCGGGACGGCCCAAGTACCCCCGAGCGACACCGGTTCCGCCGATGTACATTTCTCCGGACTCACCATCGGCAACGGGCTGCAGGTTCTCGTCGAGAAGATAGATGGTGGTCTCGTCGAGGGGACGACCAATCGGAGTCAAACCTTGACGAACTTCCTCCAGAGTCACGAGGTGGTAGGTAGCGATACTGCTGCCCTCGGTGGGACCGTAGGCATGCACGAGGTGCTTCGGCGCACCGTTGTCGAGCACGGCTTGCATGACGGTGGAATTGGCAGCTTCGCCGCCGGTGAGGACATAGTCGAGGTCCCTGAAGGCGTCGGGGATGACGGAGACGACATGGTTCAGCAAAGCCGTGGTGAGCAAGATAGTGTTGATCTGATACTTGTTAAAGCTCTCGTAAAGAGCCATAGGGTCCACGACGACGCTCTTCGGCAGCGTAACAATGGCACCGCCGCGCGCCAGAGTCGTCCAGATCTCGAACAAGGCGGCGTCGAAGCTCGGCGCCGAAATCTGCGCCACCCGATCCGAGCTCGAGAATTGGACCACTTGGGTGTTGAACGCCATGCGGGTGATTCCTTGGGACAGGATCTCGACGGGCTTCGGCAGGCCGGTGGTGCCCGACGTGTGCAGAATATGGGTCCGGTGGTTCTTGCCGGTAGGCGCAGGAATGGGATCGTCGTGGAACCCATTCTGGTGTAGATCGGCCAGCTCGGTCGCCGGGAAGATGGCATGGAATTCGTTAAATCGCGTCTGCTCGCCCTTGACAGTCATGACCAGGCGAGCACTTATAGCGTTCAGCAAATCTCGGATTCGTTGGTCTGGAAGAGACAGATCGAGAGGCACGCAGGTGGCTCCAGCGCGGAGGACTGCAATCTGAGACGCAACATTTGCAATTCCTGAGGGAAGTAGAATACCGATCGGCTCTTCAGGATGCAGACTTTCTCTCGTGAGAACGGGAACGAGCTTGTTAACGCGCTCGTTGAGCTCGTGGTAGGTGATGGACTGGTCTCCTTCTACCACGGCCGTGGCATCGGGGGAATTGTGAACATGGTACCGAAAGCAGGCCTCGAGGCCGAGGGAAGAAAGTTTGGGAAATGCAGACATGGTGAGGAAGAAAGGATGGTGAGTACAAAGAGAGAGGATGAGGAGTTTTGATGTTGTTGAGCTGGTCTATGTTGCTGATATCGCAAGTTCCTCCCAGTCTATATATACCCATTGTCTACCTCAGACTTCCTCTGTTTTTCACCATTGACTGAGTCCTTTCCTTGACGCCTCATCGCGATCCTTCGTCTGACTTGCCTGTGGGTCGAGGATTTCCGTCTAGCGGCTAAGAGGCCTTGGGATAGCGCCACCTGCATTTTGCTCGCAGTTCGTCATGTCATGGCCTTTGCATGTCGACCATTCGTGCAGAATTACCCAGGACTGTAGACCGCATTTCCACGTGTCATGTCATGTCATGTCATGTCAGCTTTGTGAACCCCCAGTGCGTGGGACTGCATATCAGACGGGCTTCAAGACGGTTCGCATCGGCAGGCCCACTCTAGGCCAAGCAGGATTGAAAACCCCACTCATCCGACGAGTTCTGGATCCGTCGGCCTCGTATTTGCTCCGATCGGTTTGTCCGTGGCGTGAGAAAGTGTCGATATAAAGGCTTGATCACAACAAGCCGGGCATCTCGTCATCTTTTGCCTTTTGGATCTTTCTTGGTATTCCTTTCTTACGTGCATCATGGCGATCCTATCGGGGCTCGCGGCGCTGGCTGAGCATGGCCTTGCCAATACTACGCTTGTGTACTCGATTCTTGGTGCTATAGGCGCTATTACGACTCTGATTCTGGCGACACTCGTTTGGCCACAGGCTTTCAGCCCTGTGTCGAGGGTTGTATCTTGGGTCCTCAATGTACGTTTTTGTCTCTCTGCATATGTCGCTTTTTCATACTGACGATCGAGAAGACATATTTGCAGTGGAGATATCCGATAAAACATGCGGAAACCGGTCGTCCCATACCCGGACCGGCGTACGTGTGGCCGGACGGACAAGGGGACGCGGGAAAATACATCTTTGGCCGAGATAATAGCGCTCAATGGCAATCGAAGTATGGCAATGTCTATCGCCTGTGGGCTGGGATGACTCCTGAAGTGTCAGTATTTTCTCTCACGTACCTTGGAAACCACAAACTGACATATCCCAGTGTTCTCACTCGTCCCGAGCAACTGCACTCCGTCTTCAAAGACTCCGACAAGCATACCAAAGCCACCAACAGTAATTCAGGATACTTCATGAGCCGTATCCTGGGCGAATGCCTCGGGCTCATGGCCGGTCAGCGCTGGAAACTCCTCCGAGGCATCGCCTCTCCCCCATTCACGCACCCGGCCGCCATCAAGTCGATCAGTCGCATCCAACGCCACGTCCGCGAGCATTTCCACGAGCTCGAAACGCACGGCGACTTGCGCCACGGCCGCATCCATCCCGTCCAGGACCTCAAAATGCTCCCCTTCTTTATCGTCGGCGAGGCCAACTACGGCTCGCTGACGCCAGAAATGAAAGCCGAGCTGACGAACCTCGCCCCGGCCCGTGAGAACCTCATGAAATTCGTCGTCTTCGGTGGTCTCGCTCGTTTCGGCATCTCGCGCTTCCTCCCCACAGAAGCAAACCGCCAATTGAACAGCTTCCGATCCCAATGGAAGAGGTTCAATCACGCCGCATACGAGCGAGCGCGAGAGAAACACCCGTCCGCACTGGTCGTGCAGATGTACGATGCCGTCGCCAAAGGTTCGCTCACGGAAGAGGAAGTCCAACAGACCATGGACGAGACGCTGTACGCCAACCTGGATGTCACGACGGGCGGACTCTCATGGAACCTCGTCTTCCTAGCCTCGAACCCATCCTGCCAGGCCCGCTTGTACGAGGAAATCTCCGTCATCACGACCCCGGAAGAAGAGGAGGCCTACATCTCCCGCTCCGGCACGTATTTGTCCGCCTGCATTCTCGAATCCTCGCGTCTGCGACCCGTCACGCCCTTCTCCATTCCGCAGTCCGCACCCACAGAGCGTCTTGTCGACGGGTATAAGGTCCCCGGGGGCACGAATTACGTGGTGGACAGCTGGGGACTGAATCTGCGGAACGAGTTCTGGGCGCCGGACAGCGGCGCGTACCGGCCGGAGCGGTTCGTGGGACGGTCGGCGACGGAGCTGCGGTATCATTTCTGGCGATTTGGATTTGGGCCTCGGCAGTGTATTGGCAAGTACACGGCGGATGTGGTAATTCGGACGATTCTGCTGCATGTGGTGCGCAATTACGAGCTGAAACTGCTGGAGGAGGGCAACTGGGCGCAGGATCCCGAGTGCTGGATCACGCATCCGGATCTGCAGGTGAGATGTGTCAAGAGGGGTTGAGATTAGACCATTGTATGATTTGGGTTAGATAGACAGAAACTGACAGAAGATGAGAAAAGTTAATTCATGACGAGATGATTTGTTTGCTCGGGGTTTCCAGTCAGATTGGCGTAGAGCTAAGGGAGACGGCTGTCGGGGATGCAGCGTAGCGTCATGTCGACAGCGTGACAAGGTTGCATTTTCTGACAGCATTTAATCAAACCGAAGGCCATGACAAACAAGATCAGCAGGGGAATCAGCTAGTGAAGAATTAGATTACCTTAATTCCTGAGATCGTTAGAAACTGACGATGACTCCTTATGCACCTCGGCCTCTTGGCACCTCCGAGGCGCCGAAGCCCCTCGCCCGCCGACTTTCTGCCTTTCTGCCTTAATTACACTGACTGCGAGGACTTCTGGTTCTTCAGCATCTCCACCTCTCGCCGTCCAAATCCCCGACCCGACAAATCATCTGCTCTCCGAGAGAATCGCCGCGCAATGGAGCGCTCGTGTATGCAGTGTCATCAGCGCAAGGTCCGCTGCAGCAAGTCTCTCCCCTGCTCGGCCTGCGCCCGCCTCGGCGTTCCGTGTCGCTATCCCAGCGCCGACCTCCATCGGCCCCGACGAGTCCAGAAGGTCACCATCACCGACCGCGTCGCCCAGCTCGAGCGCAGTATTGCTGTTCTGGCCAACAGTCCTCTGCCACAGTCCTCGGCTCCGGCCCCTGAGGACCCCAAACATGACCCCTCGGCGGCCTATCTGTCCGACCCTCCGCCGTCCCCTAGTCGACGCCAGGAACTGTTAGTGCAGGACGGTGGGTCGACACGTTACATCAACGAGACGTTCTTGTCGCGCATTCTCGAGAAGGATAGCGGTCTGCACAAGGCGATCGGGACTCCGCAAGACTCCACAGAGTCGACGGGTGGCTTCAGGCCCGAGGGACTACTGTTGTCTCGATCGCGACGCCCGTCTACGGATGAGGAACCGTTGGATCTGTCCAGATGGCAGGCGGCACAATTGTGGCAGATTTATCGGACTAATGTCGACCCTGTCGTCAAGATCCTGCATTTGCCGACCGTGGAACCATTGGTGTATTCGACGATGAACGATGGAGGGTCCGAGGATCTCAAAGCCCTTCTGTACGCGATCTACTTCGCTGCAGTGACGAGTCTGTCGGCAGCGGATGCGGCGAACTTACTGGGAAGGGATAAACGGACTGCGTTGCTTGACTTTCAAGCGCGGATTGAAACTGCGCTGGTTGATTCCGCCTGTTTTGACCTGCCAAGCATCTTGTCGTTGCAGGCGCTAGCCATCTACATTGTAATTCACCACCGGTTGCTATTGAAGAAGCCCATGCTAACTCAACCAGACTTGTCTACGAGCCCACAGTACCAGTAGATCCGGATGGATCATCAACGGTGTCCTAATTCGGTCGGCCCTCTCCATTGGCATCCACCGCGATGGCACGCACTTCAACCTGTCCCCGCTCGAAGCCGAGATGCGTCGTCGGCTCTGGTGGCAGATCATCATGCTGGACCATCGCGCCGCCGAGGACCATGGCCTAGCCGTACATGGCTTCGGCGGTCGAGCCGACACGCATCTCCCCCTGCACATCGACGACAGCGAAGTTTCAGTCGAGACACGCATCCTGCCGGGCCCGCGCGCCAAATGGACCGAGATGAGCGTGTTCCTGCTGACCGCAGAGATCGGCATCGCCTTCCAGCAGCTGTTCCATAACACGGCAAAAGAACCGACCGAGCCAGCACAGCGACTGCAGACAGTCCACGAGTTGACATCATACTTGGAGAATGCCTACCTGCGTCATTGCAACATCAACATCCCGATCCAGAAGGCCGGGTGGCTGACTACTCGCTCGTTACTGGCGAAGTTTGAATTCTTCGTGCATCAGGAGGGGCTGAATAATGATCGGCCACAGGAATCGGTGTCGTCAACCGCCGAACAAACCTTAATTGCGGCTTGTGCTTGTCTCGAGTTGAGCGTCGAGCTTCAAACGGATGATCTCCTGCGGGGCTTTCGCTGGTTCTTTGTCAGTTACAATCAGTTCCATTGCCTCACGTACATTCTATGGCATTTGTGTGCGCAGCCAACGGGTCCGAATGTCGTCCGCGCATGGAACGTCGTCGACGTTGCCTTTGACCTAACGGAAAACGACGCCAGCCGTCCGGATCCCGGGCCTCTATGGAAGGTCCTTAGACATCTGCGAGAGAAAGCGAGACAAAGACGCCAGGACGAGAATGCCCCACCACAGGTCCCGGAGGTTCTACCGGAGGGGCAAACCCCGGTAGAGAAGCGCGTGGAGGAACGGCCAATGGACCAGATCGAGGCGCCACCGGAGGGCTTGGAGGACGTGCTGGCTCCGAACCTGGACCCGAACTCGTTATCCGAGTGGATGGACTTCTCGGAGAATTTGGGAATTTTCCGGTTTGATCTGTAGCTTCCTGTACTGTGATATCACCTTCAATGTTTTTGTGGCGAATATGGAGCGTGGGCGGCAGCGATGATGATTTTGATGTAATGCGAATGGATGTGGTTACCTAGTTCAGAATGTACACTATTGCTTCCGCCATTGCCGAACTCCTTTCCAAGTTTCCACCAAGAACTAGAAATACGTAGCCGGAGAGATGAGCAAGAGCGAATCAGCCCTACGGCGCCTGCCAATGCATGACACGCCGACATTCCAACGCGCTCGGCGGCGTCGACCTGCGCTGGTCCGAGCCGAGCGGAGCCCAACTGGCCTGAGCCCGAGCCGAAGTCGCAAAACAAATAGAAATATCAGATTTTAGTGCTTGTACGCCTCTCTTATATCAGCCAAATACTTCTCGTTCAGGTCGCCCTTTTCAAAATACAGTCAGGCTAGACTAAATCAGATACGCCACGAACGGTCCTGAAGTCGGTCAATCGTCACCATGTCCAGTCCTCGCACGTCAAAAGAAAATCACGACCTCCAGCCTTGGGCGAACAATGAAAGCGGTTCGTCTGTGACAGTGTCAGGCTCGCCAAATGAGCAGCCGGTGGTCGATGAGAAAGAGATCCCTCCTCCCCCTGACGGAGGCGTGGAGGCTTGGTTGGTTGTTGTCGGCGCGTGGTGCACATCGTTTTGTAGCTTTGGCTGGGTGAACAGTGAGTTATCGCTTTTTTTTCAAGGGCAAGAATCTTGGGATGCTGACTTGGATAGGTATTGGAATTTTTCAGAGTTACTATGAGTCAAATATGTTGAAGAACTACTCGTCTAGTACCATTTCCTGGATCCCTTCACTGCAGGTGTTCTTCATGTTTGCGATGGTATTTCCCTCCTTTTTATCCATGACGATAGGGATATGATTCTGACGGATACAGGGGCCTATTGTTGGAAAGCTGTACGATGCATTTGGGGCGAGGTACTTGATCATCGCGGGCACTTTCTTCCATGTATTCGGCCTTATGATGGCGTCCATCTCCACCGAGTACTACCAGATCTTGCTGTCTCAGGGCGTGTGCAGTGCCATCGGCGCGTCTGCCATCTTTCAGCCTGGTGAGAATCACCCTTATCTTCTTCTTTGACATAAACACTGACCCAGCTTGTTCAAAGCTCTAAACTCCGTTAGTGTCTGGTTCAACAAGAAACGCGGTATCGCCTTCGCCACGCTCTCGACTGGCTCCAGCGTCGGTGGTGTCATCTTCCCCATTATGCTCGAGCGTCTCGTCCAACAGGTCGGCTTTCCCTGGAGCATGCGCATCTCCGCATTTATGATCCTGTTCCTGCTCGCCATCGCCATCGTCACCGTCAAGGCCCGTCTGCCTCGCTCTAAATCATCCGCCGCCGGCAAGACCACCCTCCTGCACCCTTTCAAGGAGCCAGCCTTCGTCCTCACCCTCTTCGGCTACATGCTTCTCACCTACGGTGTCTTCATTCCCATCAACTACGTCATCGTTGAAGCCGAGCTGAACGGCATGTCCGCCAGGCTGGCCGCATATCTCCTCCCTATGCTCAACGCAGCGAGTCTTTTCGGACGTCTCGGCGCGGGCTTCGTCTCGGATAGATTGGGTCGGTATAACATCTTCATCGCTATGTGTCTAGTTGCGGGCGTGCTGGTGCTGGCGCTCTGGATCCCCGCTGCGAGTAACGCCCCGACTATCGTCTTCGCTATCATATTTGGTTTCGCCTCCGGTGCGTACGTCAGTCTCTCGCCGGCGCTGGTTGCGCAGATCTCCCCGCTCACCGAGATCGGATATCGCACCGGCTTGCTTTTCCTGTTTGCGTCGGTCGGTGGGTTGACTACGAGTCCGATTGCGGGTGCTATTTTGGCGAATGCTGGTGGCAAGGACTTTACGAATGTGAAGGTCTTTTCGGGTGTGTTTTTGTTGGGTGGAACGGTCTTCGTGATTGCGGCGAGAATTATGAAGACGGGAGTGAAGTTAGGAGCGAAGTTTTAGGTGTAAGGTTTTTTGCTTTGCTTTCTCTTGTTACATTTTCCATGGGGATAAATGAGGGATTAATCGGCATAAAGAGTGCGCTGTTTGGGTGGAAGTGTGGATATAATATTTCATAGATTCTCTCTTAGATTTGTCATGTTAATTGTTGCTGTTACTATTGCTGCGAATTTATCGACCTTGAATTGAAGTTTCTCCCTCAGATGAAAGACAGCCCATTATTGCTTGTATAATACGTGATATAATGTAGGGGTGAGCCAGTTCGACTGTTTCATTGCCAGAGGGCCTTCTCGAGGGCCACTTACACAAACTCGCGGACGCATACAACCGCCTCCTTTCTTCTGGACTACAAACTAGCAAGTCTCGAAATCCAGATTGGGGAAGGATAGGCCTGGACTTCATATCGACGACCCCAATTCTTCCCTCTTCTCGGCCGCACTATCGTGGAGGGGTTAAAGGAGAGAGATCCAACATTGCTTCGTCTAAGCCTTAAACATGGTGCTTAATGTGTGAAATTGAGATTGTGAATGGCTCGGGGGCTCTAACTTGGGAAGATTCAGCTCCGTAGTAGGTCCATCCGGGCCAGGAGGCTCCGGGAGCTCTAGCCAGCCACACTGCTGGGAGATCAACGTCGATCTGCAGCGATCAGCCGAGCATAGCGACTGGTCGAACTGATAGGGTGCTTTAATATCAAAGCCCACCGTCCGAAGCGCCGCGACCATTATTGAGTCGTGCTTCCGTCGTCACCCACGGCGGCTAGGATCACTAAGAATCCACCACGGGGATGAGTTTTCTCGGTTGACTTTTCTCTATCGCTCATCTTCAAGATTAACAGTGGACCGTATTCCGCTTTCGCAAGTTCTCGCGCTTTTGTCTCGTCGGGCACGGCGGCAATGTCGGGGCGACGGTTAACGGGACTATCTGGAGCGGAGGAGCCGCGAGTGTCTCGCGCGGACCAGAGGTGGTCGGAGCCAGCAGTTCGAAGCTAACAGGTATAAAATGGGGGGACGGCAGCAATTTTATGTTGGCATTCAAAATCCGTCGATTGAAGGTGGCCAAAAGCACCCATGAGATAATCAAACAAGAAGATTATAAGAAGGGCATAAAGATGGAAGGGTGAGCGGGACAAAGAGCATCCGGGTCAGGATTTAGAAGAGGAGGAGCTGGTTATATATATAGACTGGCGAGAGAAAAGACTGACAGAGGGGGACGAAGTTATCAGTGTGGCATATTCAGGATTGAAGAGGTGAGGAGCAATACCAGCAAAATCCCATGTCGCCATCTACAATGTTTAAATTTTTACATTCATGAAAGTCTCGCGCCTGTTTGGAATACAAACTTTGATGACTGTTTGATAAGCAGTGAGCATTAAAGAAGAAAAATAGCGAACTAGTTTATGAAGAACTCGTGCTGAAACAAAATATTCATCACATACGGTTTACCGTTTCGCCATGGAAAAATAACACTTCCCTATTATCGAACCAGCAGAATTCGACAGTAGACGACTTTGAAGTCCAATGAAATGTAGGTTGGTAAAGGTCTGGTGGGCTCAAATTGCCATTCTCATGAAAAGGTTGCCAATATTGGGTTTGCAGTAGGGAGTATTTCGGGTTGTGAAAGCCCTTCCTAGGCGTTTCGTCTCCAGAATGGCCATAAGCATTTGCACGGATTTGTTAATGAGGTATGGCTCACCATATGAAACGAGAATCAATGATTTCCGCGATGCTATCGAGCTCGTCAAGTGAAATGTAGTAATACATCGAAGTGAGCTCTTTTTCCAAAGGCCTTACAACTTCTTGGTATATAGTTGTCCGGAGATTCTGATCATCCAATGCCTTAGCGCTCTCGTCTTCCCAAACTTTGGGGTCCAGGCACTTTGCTGCAGCATAAAGGTAGTGGGACCCTTTGTTGAGCACACTTCTGTCTTTCGCAAGAACCAGTTGTGCGTCTGTAAACCTTGTGCGGGTATTCGATCCGGCATGATGCTCTGCCAGGTCCTCTGGCACGTCTTCGGTCACGTCTTCGTCCAGGTCCTCTGGTACGTCCTCTGTCAGGTTGTCTACCAGGTCCTCTATTCTTGTTGCATAATGCAGCTCGATCAGCATGACACCTAGTGCGGCAATTTGTGGGCACTTGTGAACCATTCTATTGCCTTGGTGGTCAGGTTTATCATCACAAGTATTAGCGTTGGCATCATGTGTCAGCTGTGTCTGGATAAAAGGTTTAAGAGGCATTTCACCAGAAGTTTTATTGAAGAATAAAATGTTTGATGGTCCCCATGTAGGTGGAAGCCAAGGGGTTCTGGTAAGATAGAGTACCGCATACCCGAGCATCAGTGCAAGAATTTGCTTTGTCGGCGATGAAAGCATAAGCAACTCTCTGTAGTACTTTAGAATGTCTTCCAGCGAAAATGGTGCTTCCTTGTCATTAATACCGAGAATAGATTTCTTAGAGTACAGTTCATAAAGCTGGCTGTCCTCATCCACCTGTAGTTGCAAGTGGTCTAGCGCCTTCCTCTGCCTCATGAGCTGGCATAGTTTCTTGACTCTCATCTCATGAGCTTCCGGGTCTCCAATCGCCGGTGTATTGGCGGAGGTGGATTCGACTGCGCTGGATGTGGCAATGCGTACATTTGCTTCGTGCCACTCATTTTCCAGCGAAAAGAACATATCAAAGTCGCAACTATGCTCCAGATTACTCCGGAATGTCCCCAAACAAAGTCTGACGGAAACGTCATGTTCGGGTAGGCAATTGCAATCCTTATGCTCTGAAAGACCTCGAAATAATGATTTCAAGGCATTTGAAACCACATCCGGAGGCTGTGCTATTCTTCTTCGTCTAAACATGCGCTCCATTTCTTCCAGATGGTCATAGAGAAAGTCCACGAATGCATCACTTTCGTCCTGGTCACGTAAAATTCCCAAGGAGTTGGTCAGCAAGTTGGGTTCAATTGACTGGTTTTCTTTTTGCAGCTCTCGCCACCATTTGGTGAGATACCGCTGGCGAGGAAAGGCCGTTTCTACCCCCAGGATTTGCGCTGGTATAATTGATGTGTTAACAGTCGCTTCAATTCGACGCAACATGCTCAGAATCAATTCATGATTATCTGGAAGAACAAGCCCCCTAAGGTCCAAGCAACGTTCCATATGATGGCAATGTGTTCTGATCAGTTCATAGAAACCCCTCGACTTTCCCGGCGGTCCGTTGTTTTTTAGGTATGTGCAAATTTCTTTAACGGTTCTGATTGAGCTCTCCAGCCAGTAAAGAAAATGTAAATTATCATCAGCACTGGTCATTACACTTTTCGCAACCCTCGAATCCATGGCGCCTGATCAATGTCTTTTCTTCTATCGGCTGCGCGACTGGAGAAGGGCTTTCACTGCTTAAGCTACTCTCGAGAGAAATAGAGAATGGATCAGTTGAATAAGTTAAAGTAAGTAGATCGATCAACCGTGATATTTGCCTATCTACAGCAGGGCGATGACCATCCTTATATAGGGATAATCACGTGCGACATAAGCACCGACTTCTCCGGAAACCTCCACCGTCCTAGTTGGAGGCTCCATCAGCTAGCAAAATGCCGAAAAGTCCATTTCAACTAAGAGCAGTATCTACGGTAGGCTTTCTGGTTATTTGAAAGCTGACGAGGGAAGGAAACCTTCCCAATGAATGTCAGCCGTTCTCGCGCTACCCTGCGGTTCCTCAATATTTCACCCTCTCAACTGGCTTGGAATCCATAGACTGTGGAAGGTTTTCTTTCATGCTTCCAAGTGTCTTGCAGTTTCTACTTTGATTGTCAAGAAAACTCTTTACGTTTATGACAATGACTATTAATTCGCCAGTCGTTCACCCACGGATCAAAACCGCCCGGTGCGTGTTCTATGGATATCCCGATTCTGGACTACCTAGGTACTTCGTAACCTGTTTTTGGGAGAGTCCGAATCCATGCAAAAGTCCCAGAATGAGATTGAATGTGATGCGAAGTGTGATTTTAACATAAGGACGATAAAGAAGTCGTTTGGGAAAACATGCATTGATCAAGTTGTCGAATATGGGGTTGCTCGACGACCGTTTGTTCATTATGCAACAAATCCAAGCAACCACTCCTTTTCCACCTTGTGGTTTCATGAGCTTAAACATGCTAGCGGCCCTTGAATACAATCTATTAACATAATAATGTTCAATGAATTGGGGTATTTCGGAAAGTCGGCTAATGCGATTGCAACGCGTTTCTGATGTTCTTATCTTTATTTTTGAGACCCAACCCACTTGAACACCAACATCTCAAATACACTAGCTAAAAAGCTTTATCTATATCATTTGCATATATGAGATAATTGCGTTCCATCTCCAGGCTCAGTTATACGACTGTAAGAGCTTTTTTTTCCCATGCACCTTGTCAACCTAGCGATCAATACATAGTCCAATCGAGCACTTTCCGATTTAGGCGATGTTTTAAATAAAATAGCCGTGTAGCAGATGCTTTTATTCACAGCGGCATGGTATGATAGCATCCTAATGATCAGCCAATTTGAGGACGTTAAGGGGCAAGAGATTCCTTTAGCCCCTATTATCTGTATTGGAAATTAAAGCATGGGCCTAATCAGGTAACTTCTGTAATGTCAGTAATGGTTTCTAAGACTCAGATTAAACTTGAACATATCCTAGTCTCTACACGCATGTATTCTATATTTAATAATAGAATCGAATAATTAGAAGCGTTTGATCTACTAACACTATTAAATCCGCTTCTTTATACACATGGTCTGCATAACAGCTAATGGTAACCTCCCGGTTTAAATCTCTTTCATCCCTTACATCACAAGATCCTTCAATCCCTCCTTTGTCGGTCTGCGCCGCAAGGAGCTCCAGGGATTCAATCTCTTTCAGCTTGTCAGCCAATCACACGTACGACAGGCCGTTGAGAGAAAAATCCGATGGTATTCTGCCGGGAATTAGATCATTTGTATACTGCCTACCCACCCTTTCAATGAAACGCTCGGATTGCTTGAATTGCTTAAATTGCCTGGATTGCCTGGATTGCCTGGATTGCTTGGATTGCTTGGATTGATGACTGGAATTAATCGCTTGAATCGCCTGAATCGCTCGAATGAATCACTTCGATTACTGATAAATATGATTTATTATCGTTTCTTTTTTTTTAAAAGAAAATACCAGCGGTGTTCTAAATAGGGCGTCCATGTGGTAGATGCTTCCTTTTGCAGCGCCATGGCATAATATGGAATCATGATGCTAAACCAATTCGGGGATTTTAGTGGCCAACGGATTCCTTTTAGCTTCTGTCACTTTTACGAATGACTAAACGATGGGCCTAATGAGGTAATCTCTACGGTATCCGTAACGGTTGAGTCGAGTCAGTTGCGACTTGACCTTATCCTAGTCTCCATGCGCATGCATTCCATTCTCAACAAGGCAATCCAACCATTGGAAGCTGTTGGCAAACACACGTATGAAATCGCCTTTTCACACAAAGGATCTGTGTAATAGTCAATGTTTACACCCCAGTCCGCCCCTTCATCCCTCACCTGACTCAGTCCTTTAATCCATTCTTCCTTGCCTCTACAAAATAACTCTGGCAATCAGCGCCGCAAGGGGCTCCAGGAACAATTGTCTTGCCGCTCGTTAGCCAATGGCATACCGGACCACATTCTTGATTCAAAGACAGGGCGTTATAACCTAGACGACCAGTCTTGGCAATTATTTCCCCTGGGAAAGACTACATTCCTTTTTCGAGGCTCAAGTGCCGTATTAATGGTGTCCCCCGTCACCCAACCCATGATTTCCACGATGTGATCTGACACTGTCCTCCAACTCTTATTATCCCCACTGATCTCTACCAATACCATCAATAAAATGTCGCCGATTAACTCCACGAAAGAAGCGCCAATGACTCCTGCTTTGGAGGTCGCGCAACACCCTCCAGATGTGTCATACCGGGGTCTGAGTCCTGATCAGTATCAGTACACGCCGATGGCGTATGCGTCTGGGCCGGAGAAAGGGTCCCAGGCTGGCCTGGCGGAGGGGACGACATGTGGGTTGCGAAAAGTGACGTTTTGGCTTTCGCTAGCGATTGCCGGTTTGGTTGTGATTGTGGTGGCCATTGCAGTTGGATTAGGGGTTGGCTTGGGCTTGGGGAAAGATGGTAGATCTTCCTCGCGGGCGCGTTATTATTAGATCAACGACATGGTTAACAATCATTTTAGGATCCCCGTCGTCACCTGCCACAAATGCTACCTTCTCATCGACACTATCCACGGCATCGGCAACCTCGACCTCGACCTCCCTCAGCGGCACCAAACCCATTTCCTGCCCCGACGACAACAACACCCTCAAACATATGAGTGATGGATCGGGAATACAATATAGAATTCAATGCGATACCTACTTTGACAAGAGAAGAGATTTGGCTTCTATAATGATGCCGTCGTTCGCCGACTGCCTGTATCTTTGCGATTCGATGAACCGAGTTCAGCGTCGAGATGATGTCAGTGCTGTGTTTTTTAATGATACGGTTTATGGCTACACGAAAGGGACGTGTTGGTGTTTTGGGAATGCGACAAAGACGTATAAAATCAAGGGGATAGCAGTTGCGATTCCGCAGTGAAGTTTCGAGCTTTGTGTTTTGGTTGTAACTGGACGGTGCTTGGATATAGACCGAGATAGAAGGAAACCATCCATTTATTTTGCCAAAGAACAGTTCATGGAAAGAGCTTGATCCAAAATCACGATAATTCTAGTCAGTAACATAAAGCAATCTATTCGAGAAGCTATATACAACTGCAAATGCGATTCTATATGAACATATGCCGACTGTATAATGCTCTAGTTCACCATTACCCAAACAGCCTCTTCAAAAGCCCCGAACCCCCCCCCCCCCCCCCCTGTGCACTCCCCACCGTCTCCAGCATATCAACATCCCGATTTATATCCTCGGCCGGAACCACCACATCCTCATGAATCCCCCTCCTCTGCTTCCAATTCCTCTCCGTATTCGTGACATGACCCTCTCTCCACATGCGGCCATAAAACCCTCCCGCCTCATCGACCGTCCACACCCGCATGATATCATACTCGCTGGCCGCTGTCATTGCAGCGTCTCGTTCCGGTCCGGTCTGTCCGTCCACCACGTGTACATTTACGCTGAGTCCGCGAAACTGCAGGCCCCACATGCCATCTTCCGAGGGCGTGATGAAGATGATTATTCGTGACGGATCGATCTGGTAGGAGAGAAGGTAGCTAAGCGCGTTGCTGTCCACCCCGTAGGGGATGGGGCCGATCACGAAGGAGTCGTTGGCGGCGATTGTAGAGTCGATGAGCCGGACGTAGTGGGTGAAGTAGGATTCGGAGGGGCCGGTGTCGATAGGACCGGAAATGAATGCTATTCGAGGGGGCATGTCTGTGTACTGCGATTTGTATGGGTTGTGGGCGTGTTGATGTTGTTTATGAGGATTGATTGTTGACAGGAACTGATAAGATAGCGATGTGAGGCTAGTCCTAAGGGGGAAAGGCGTATAAGACGCAGCGGGGAAAAGGAGCATGACGTAGTGAATGTCCATCCAGAAGGCATCCTCTCTCGATGCATTCCAGAACTCTCGATCCACGTTTTGGTCACCCATTTGCTGGTAGAATCCAATTGTAATCCGCTCCACAAGTTCCTTGATTGATCTCCAATCATCTCGACTGCCCGATGAAGTAATGCCTGATTGGGAAGGCAGCCGTGAACTTTCCTGCCAATACATGCCCTGATATAAAGACTGACTATCCAGCTCATGTCTTTCCTCCGCTTATCTTCTCCTTCCTCAAGCTTAAGGCCTTGCCTCATCTCACATCATCAACTTGACCAATCCTCCTGAAACCGCCACCATGTCGACTATGGAGCAGATCTTCTCCGGCTACCACAAACGCCTGGAGACCCTCAAGTCCAGCAACAACCCCTTCGCCAAGGGCATTGCCTGGGTCGACGGCGAGCTGGTGCCCCTCTACGAGGCCCGCATCCCGCTCATCGAGCAAGGCTTCATGCACAGCGATCTAACCTACGACGTGCCATCTGTCTGGGACGGCCGATTTTTCCGCCTCGACGACCACCTCAACAGATTGGAAGCGTCGTGCGGTAAAATCCGTCTTCGCTTCCCCATCCCCAGAGACCAGATCAAGAAGACGCTGGTGGAAATGGTCGCTAAGAGCGGTATTCGCGATGCTTTTGTCGAATTAATCGTTACCCGTGGTTTGACCGCCGTTCGCGAAGGTAACCCCGACAGTATGAAGAACAATCTCTATCTGATTGTCCAGCCGTATGTCTGGGTTATGGACCCCGAGACGCAGAAGACGGGTGGAAGTTCGATCATCGCCAAGACTGTTCGGCGTGTGCCGCCTGGTGCTATCGATCCTACCGTTAAGAATCTGCAGTGGGGTGACCTGGTCCGTGGCATGTTTGAGGCAAGGGATCGTGGCTCGCAGTATCCGTTCCTCACCGATGGGGATACCAATATCACTGAGGGGTCTGGGTTTAATATCGTTTTTGTGAAGGGCGGTGTGATTTATACGCCCGACAGAGGTGTCTTGGAAGGGGTTACGCGCAAGAGTGTCTTTGACGTTGCCAAATCGAAGGGCATCGAGGTGCGTGTGGAAGTCGTACCTGTGCAGACAGCATATGACAGCGAAGAGATCTTCATGAGTACTACTGCAGGTGGCATCATGCCGATTACGGAGTTGGATGGGAAGCCTGTCGGTAATGGCAAGGTCGGTCCGGTTACAAGAACGATCTGGGATGGCTACTGGGCTATCCATTATGATCCGGCGTTCAGCTTTGAGATTAAGTATTAGTGGAGGACGTGTCTTCGTTTCATAGTTTTGTATGATAGTTACAATTGATGCCCTTGTCCAGTTCGAAAAGTGGCATTTGCCGGGAATGCGGCGCCGAAGCCCATGACGTTACCCTTCGTGTCGTAACGGTGGCGAATTCTATGCAATTAGACCGAGCCAACCGATCCATGGGTGTGGCGGGAGCATCTCACATTCCTCGTTCGGTAATCATGCTCCCATTTCCGCATGCGGCCTCAGATCTCCAATTTTGCGGCATTCCGGACAAGACCGATTGTGGAACCGCGTGACCCATTGTTTCTTGTACAAAGCATTTAATTGGCTATTCGGGGCTCTCCAATATTTCAGCATATTGGTTCAAAGACCGTCCGATCAAATTGACCAGTTCCCAAATATAGTCGGCCGTGAAGAGCCGAGCCCACAGTCGAGTAACCACCGCGCTCAGTCGGGTGTTATTTGCCAGAAGCCAGTCTCGAGATACGCCGTGACGGGCCTCCATGACCATCTCGATCACGAATTCTAAGAGTTTGGTTTCTTGCTCCGTCAGGCTGGGTTGGGGATTGGGGACCGTGGCGACTTCTAACCATTTCGCTAGTAGCACTGCGCATTCTAGGGAGCATAACGCGTACTGATTTGACCAGGACACTACTTGCGTGTGTGCCACGAAGTTGATTCCCAGCTTGATAGGTGTGCTGAGTGCGTGTGCGCAATGTAATGCGGCGCGCGTGAGTCGGTCGCTGCGTTCCACGTTTAGGTTTGTCTTAAGGGAGCGGGCGATTTCATTCGGGTTCCAAGTCTGGAAGCGACGCGCGGAGCTGAAATCCGCGTTCAGGCGGATGTAGGCTAAGCGGAGGAGAGCGGTGGATGTGAATGACAAGGGTCCGTGGGGGTTGAACGGGTCGATGGATGATTCTTGGTTGTGTTCCCAGCATTGGCACCAATGCTCTAGCGCTTGTTCTTGAGATGTGATTTGGGCCGGGGATAAGGAGCTGGTTTTGGTGTCTGGGAGTCGGTTGGCTTTTTGGATGAGCCAGATGTTTTGGATGATGGCGTGGATTAAGACGTATCCGCCCATCGAGGAGAAGCTTTCTAGTCGGTCTTTGGATCCCGGAGAATGTGTGAACAGGGAGGATAGGGCGTCTTGGAATTTAGTTTCCGTCTTGACTTGGCCTCGCTCTTCCATCCATTGGTAGGATGTGGTGGCTTGCCATTCTTTCTCGGTGCACGGTAGGTCGAATGTAATCTCTTCAGTCAGGACGAGTGGCGGCACGTCGAACACGATGGTGTGGATATTCAGGAAGCAGAAAACGACGAGCTTGGTGCGCTTTCGCTCCTCCATGCGAATCCAGCTGTGCCATGTCCCGTCTTGGATCGGCAGGTCATTTAGCCCACCTTGTCGAAGGAGGGTTTCCATGACCCCTCGTATATAGAGACCCTCGGAATACGACGGGTTGCGCTCAGACCAGGATGAGATCGAGGTCAGCATCAACAATGCTTGGATAGTCTCGAGATGGTCCTGGTCTTCGGAGATGGTTGGGTTAGAAGGCGGCTTTGGTACGATCCATTGGAATTCTCTGCGAATATGCTCCATGGTCACTGCTTTAGCAACGAGGTACAGCCTCATGCTCGTGTCGGGCTCCCGACAATACTGTGCACCGAGTGCCGCCATCGATAGGAATAGCGGTAGGGATATTTCTTCCACGTTGAAAGTTGGAATATGCTTAATCGGATAATGGTCATGATATCCAGCCAAGTAGCCGGTAAGACACCGGGACAAGGCATGTCGTGAGGGGATGAAGGGGTTTGGCATGACATTGGAGTAGTCAACCATCAACGCTACTATGCGCTCGCGACACTGTGTCGTTACGGAGATGGAGCTCCTCGGCTGTCGTGCTTTGTACGGAGTATGCGATTCCTCCGGTTGCAGTGAGGGCAGCTGAGTGCCATGTCGGGGAAGCACAGAGCTCGACGGCGTCGCCACACTTGCAGCGTCCTTGTCTCTTTCCGAGGACTGCTCGTAGACAGGCGTCGAATCGAACTGAAATGCCGGGAACAAAGGCAAGGGCTGATAAGTCGGGGAGTACGGGTGGCTTGGGAGAGGAATACTGTCCAGGAAAGAGGTGAAATCATCTCCATCGTACGGCGCCGGTGCTCCAAACCCCCCAAAGGATTCAGTAAACGTGGTTCCTTCCGACGGGGCGGTTGCGGGCGTCTGGTTCGAGGTAGTCTGAGAAACCCCTGACATATCGGGACCAAATGTCGTATTTCCCGGTAGAAATTGCGGGCTCTCTTCTGCAGGTGTTGGCACTTGGCTCTCTGTCACAGCCGACGCGAGCATATTCAGCCCGTCAAATATCGGCCGAGAAGCGGGCGAGGATGTCGACCCGCGGCCCGCATCCGCTGAAGGGGAACTGTGGGATAGACGCTCATGGCGTGCCAGAAGATCCCTGAGTCGGTCAGTAGCCAGTCCGAGTGATATTTCCGAGCGACATACTTGCGGGTGAATGACTTGGGGCATTTGTCGCACACGAAAGGCTTCTCCTTGGTGTCTAGGACCGGTCAGTCATTGATCCACGAGTGGATTAGTCAGACATACGCGATCGATCATGACGCTGCAAATGCTCGAGTCGCGCAAATGATCGTGAGCACCGATGGCATTGGTAGGACCTGGCCGCTTTGACCATCACGGCATTGTCGGTGGATTGCAAGCACAGAGCAGGGGGCGACGCGAGGACGAAGAGAGGATGACGAAGACAACGAAACGAGAGCCCGACGGCGATGCTTGGCGTTGCCCATCTCGGTGTCTCGTATTTCCGGCGGCAATCGATCTCGGCTGTGTCTGCCGAGGTTATTAACGTCATTGGCTCCTGTGTCTAGTCAATAAATCGTTATTGGAATTAATTCGGTTTTGTTTACAGATCTCACATTCTAGATCTTTTTGAAATTTCTGGACGGACATCCTTTCCTGAAACACAACGCACGGGGTTCAACTATATATACAGTGCAGCGGACCTGCGAATTACCCGAACGAATGTGGACAACAATCCTTGTACAACGAAATCAATAACAAAGGTGGCTTCAAAATGTCTGTTATTGCATTTCAGTTGAGGAGTTGCAGATCACATTGACTCAGTGCACAGCGCGTGATCGACCAAGAGCCATTGGCAGGGGGGATGGGGAAATTGTGGGGGAATCCATTGGATAAGGCTCCAAGGCCGTAAGGCAGCAGGGGCCCTGAATGGGTTAGCGCCACCACTCTGCGCCCAGGCATGATTGATGCCTTGTAAATCAGGCCGAATTATGTACTCCGCGCAGGTATAGCTTTTGTTCAATGTTCAATATGTGTGAACAACATGCCGATGCAGAATGAAGTGTAAGGCAGCCCGATGGACGACAATATACAGTGTACAATAATCCTTTTCCATCTCACCAAGCGGTAATACTCCCAGCTCCGTGTCGTGCTTTCGATCTCGTATGTGCATTTTGTCAGGAACAAGACACTCGCCTATAGTATCCTCTCTTAGGCCCACTGGAACAGGTACTTGACAGCCTGGAGGGTCATTTGGATACCGACAACTAGTTTAGCCAACTGAGGGGCCGACTCTAAGACCAATACATCATGATAAGATTAGTCGAGAGCAATAGCCAGGGATAGTCCTGCTATACTGGCTCCGATAACAATCACCTTCATACTGAATGCTAAAATGGGCTAAAGAGTATGATAGAGTGGTTATGAACGTATTCCAAGGAGATACACAGTGAAATAAAACGCTCGGAATGAACCAGGGGCTGTTACTCCGCACCAGACAGCTTGATTGCGGAAGGATACGACGGAGAACCTCGTGTCGAACGTCAAATGGCCTATTTTGGCCTTTTAAGGGCTAGATAGGCTGCTATGTGGAGCAGAGAAAGCTTGGTTGATGTCGACTATTGGTGATGCCGGATATTGGATCTGTGGTTCCCGACGTCAGATCGAGAAAGCTCTCCCATGATTGTGTAACCATGCCAGCTGTCGACAGGCCGTTGGTGTTTTGATCAGTAGTGTGGTGATCAGAAACATGATTTTGACATGTGTAGTTTGGGCCCGGAAGATTTGAGCATGCTACGCATAGCAACACCATGGCTAATAGGCCCTTTTTCCACACAGTGAAGGAGTGAGGGCGTGCTTTTTATATCGACACTTCCTTCCCGTGTGATTTCCTGAGTCGCACAAGGGAATTCGTGATCGCATCCATATTGACATCGATACCCGCGATGTTTGTGAGGGTTCATCTTTGACAATTTTGAGCCACGTTGAGAACTTGACATCAATCCAACTGTGATCATCACACGGGACTGACAAACTACTAGATCTAATATCACACGAACAAGAATATATGAAATGTGGCTGGGATCTCGAATCGCCAGGGCCAAGGCGCTAATCCGGTCTAATGCATCGCGACAGGGCGGTGCTGCATGATCGAACCTCTGATGCCCCTCAACGTGGCCCACGAAATATGGGTCGATGTGCGTGAGCAAACCGACGGAATCCTATTGATGAAGTTTGAGAGAAAGCATTTAAGTGATTGGATTCGCCGGTGAATCTTTCGTGGGTAGAGTTCCACGTGACATCGCAGCCCTCCAGTCAGTTTTCTTTCAAGTCACCGCATTCTCGACAGCCACATGAGTCGCAAAGGTCCTTCGCGGGGCAAATACACGGTCGGATGGATCTGTGCACTTCCGATCGAGCTCGCCGCCGCCGAGGCGATGCTCGATAAGCGTTATGATGACCCTGGACCGGAAGAGGGACGGGATAGCGACAATGACTCGAACATCTATACCCTCGGGGCCATCGGCGACCATCGGGTGGTTATCGCTTGTTTGCCTGGTGGCCAGATGGGAACCAACCAGGCTGCGGTCGTCGCCATGCAGATGAAGTCGCGGTTTAAGCACCTTCGATTTGGCCTAGTGGTGGGCATCGGAGGAGGTGTGCCCAGCGAGAAAGCGGATATTCGACTGGGAGACGTCGTGATCAGCCAACCTGATGGTGGCCATGGAGGTGTCGTCCAATATGACTTCGGGAAGACTACCCCGGATGGTGTCAAGTTGTCTGGATACCTGAATACGCCGCCCCCGATCTTGCTCAGTGCGTTGCCGAGGCTACGCGCCAGACACATGCGGAATAAAGAGGCCATCACGAAGAACCTCTCCAAGTATACGGAGCTGCCACTGTTCTCTCGCGAACGCGCAGGGATTGATGAATTATACAAGCCAGCGTATCAGCATGCTGGAGGAGAAACATGCGCTTCATGTCGCAAGGACAAACAAATCCATCGCGACCTACGCAGGGCAGGAGAGGAAATCATGCTTCATTACGGAACCATCGCCTCTGGAAACCAAGTGATGCGAGATGCGATCATTCGCGATCGGATAAGCTCGCAAATCGGCGGCGTTCTATGCTTCGAGATGGAAGCGGCAGGCCTGATGAACAGCTTTCCATGTCTCGTCATTCGAGGCATTTGCGATTACGCGGATTCTCACAAGAACAAGCGATGGCAACCTTACGCTGCAGCGACTGCAGCTGCTTGCGCGACCGAGATCCTGTCTATTGTTCCGGCTAAAGACCTGGCAAAGATGATGACTATCGACGACGCCGTATGGTGCCTTTTCATATGTGATATGATTGCTTTGCAGAGACGGCTAACCTGTTCTGCGTTGAATAGGAAGTCCTTCGATTAGCCATCGAAAGAGTATCATCCGACGCATTTTTCTCATCACTGGCAATACTCGACCAGGATCAGCATAGATCCAACATCCCAGACATCGATCCTTATGATTCCCGACATTTTTGGGTCTTCAAAAATATCGACTTTCGAGGATGGTACGGGTCGAGCGCATCAGGTGCTCTTCTCTTGTACGGACCACCCGAATGCTGTCTCGATGGAATTTCGGCATATGTGATCGACCAGGTGAAACGGGTTTCTAGCTCGACGAGAATCTTTTACTTTTCCTTCGCCACTGCGTCGTCAGACAGATCTTTGATCTCCAGCGTTGTGCATACCATTCTCAATCAATTGATTCAGTTCACCTCATCGAAGCATCGCATGTCCGTTGTCAAAAGCTTTCTCCACTCTCTACGAGAGAAGATGTTGATGGAAGGAAGTCGAATTAATGTCGACCCTGAAGGCTCTCCAAAGAGTATTGTGCAGCAGATTCTGGAAACATCGGCGTCAGAAGAGCTGTGGTCCTCATTGCTTAACCTTTTTCATGCCTTTGACCAAGACTTTCTATTGGTAATTTATGATATGGATAAAGCTCGAACTGGCGGGGAGAAGTTCCTCATTGACATGGCAGGCTTCATTCAAGGCCTTGTTAGCCGAGGTCGTGGTGTCAAGGTTCTCATCACGTCGCGATCGCAAAACGACGTCCAAAGAGCATTTAGTCGCTCGGTATCGATTGAATTCGACAAAGAGAGAAAAGGTAAGGCCGTTCCCCGAGATTCTAAGCTATACTAAAATTTTGTATAGAATGTCTTGCCAGCTTGCAGTTTGACAACACTCGATATGACAAGATCTCTTCGGAGCAGACGGGCTCCTTCGAGTGGATTTGGTCCCATCTTCGGTATCAAGATTGGTGCCAGTCAAATTCGTCCCGGCTTCTGTATCTTCAGGGCAAGCCCGGCAGCGGAAAAAGTACCTTGACGAAATACTTTTACAAGAACCTTCGAGATCGAGATGAAAAAGTGAATACATCAGTTGTGGCGAAATTCTTTTACAGCTATCGAGAAGGCGAGGTGCAGAAAAGCCACTACAACATGCTTCGAACGATCCTCCACGATATTCTCCAGCAAGACGAAACCTTTTTCTATCACGAGTTTCAAGCAGAGTATCGGCGTCAAGCTGAACTCCGGAAGAGCAATGAACTTGACACGGACGAATGGGACTATGAGTCGCTGAAAAAGGTCCTCCTCTCGTTACGAGATCACATACAATCTCGCATGTACTATCTGATCATCGATGCTGTTGATGAATCACAAGACACCGACAGACGGGAGACACTGGAGTTATTATTCCAGTTGAGCACCGAAATGAAATTCTCTGTGGTGAAGATCTTTGTCGCCAGCCGACCAGTCGCGGTCATGGAGCGTCGCATAGATGAATTCCATTCTTTCATTCGCATCCAAGACGAGACGATGGAGGACCTCGAGATTTTCGCGAACTCATTCATCCGTCGGTTGGATGTTCAGCCAGACACCGCGAATGAGCTCACACAATACATTACGAGGAACGCTGAAGGTGTCTTCTTATGGGTTAAGCTTGTAGGAGAAGAGCTCCTAGCTTACGATGAAGAGGGTCTTGCAAAGGAGGATATTATGCAATTCCTGCAAGGGCTGCCAACGATGTTGGAGGTGTTCTACGAACGAATGTTAGACAAGATGGGAAAGGCCCGAGCAGAACTGCGTGACGGGGTGAAGATTTTCTACTTCGTGCTGTTCGCCCATCGCATTCTGAGTACTGGAGAGCTCCTGCATGCACTCGCGATCCCCGACCAGCCTAATATTGACTATGCTGTCTCCGACGAGGACTTTAGAGGTCGGATTCCGTCTGAAAGACGGATTACGCATTGCGGAGGTCAGTTCGTAGAGATTAAACAGCGCTCAGGTGAGTATTTATTCTGCCCTTTTGACCGAGATGCTTCTAACGAAGTCTATAGGCGCCAATGGCACTGTACAAGTCATCCACCAAACCGTCCGGGAATTCTTTTTGCACCCTGAATCGTCCGTCAAACAGACCAAGTTCAAAATCGACGAACGCAAAGCTCACGCCTCAATCTCGATAACCTGCCTGAGATATCTGAGACACTGTATTGCCAGCTATCTCCACCATTGTCGAAAGATCGACGAAGACTCATCAGATCAGTTGGAGGTCTATTCTCGATACCTCAACGAGATGCCGTTGGCAAAATATGCTTTCCAACATCTCAAGCATCACCTCGAGCGCTGTGAAGGAGACTCGCATGTTCAACGAATCGCAGCCGACTTTTTCGCCGACATACGTCGCTCAAGGGTATCTGGGTTTCTCGACGAATGGACCCGTCTTCAACTTACCCAGTCACTATCGCATCATGAAAGGGGCCGCTCAATCGAGCTACGCAACAGATTCCTGCACACTTCCGTATCAAATGATCTAAGCCTCGCGACCGAACTGTTGTTAATCCTTGGAGCCGACGCGAATATAGAAGACCAAGACGGTAACCGACCGATTCTCACGGCGTCGACGTCGGGTCATCAGGACGTTGTAAAGGCACTCGTCAGCTCGGGGACGGTAGACTTGAACGTAGTGGGCAGCAAATACCGAACTGCACTCCTGATAGCTGCAGAGGAAGGCTACGAAGGTGTCATGGACGCCTTGCTCGCCGGTGAAACTATCGACGTGAACAAACAAGACAAGCGGGGCCGAACGCCGCTGTCTTGGGCTGCGGGAGAGGGAAGGGAGACCGTGGTCAAGGGGCTTTTGAGCCGCGGAATGGTCGACGTGGACCTGGAAGATGTCAATGGCCGAACGCCATTATCTTGGGCTGCAGGCAACGGACATGAGGTCATGAAACTGCTTCTGGACACTGGCAAAGCTAACACCGATTCTGTTGACGACGGTGGCCGAACACCGCTATCATGGGCTGCTGGCAAAGGGCACGAGTCCATAGTCAATGAGCTACTACTCAAACTCGCACCAGACAAGAGCCATAAAGATCTCACCGGAAGAACGCCATTGTCTTGGGCGGCTGGAAACGGCCATGAGGAAACGGTTCGGGCGCTGTTGAAATCCACCAACGTTGACCCGAACGAAAGTGACGCCACTGGACGGACTCCTTTATCGTGGGCTGCGGGCAACGGACACCTCATGGCAGTCGAAGAGCTGTTACAAGCTCCCAAGGTCTCCCCAGGCACCAAAGACGAAAAAGGGGACACACCCCTATCCTGGGCCGCGAAGAACGGATACGCCCATGTTGTCCAAGCCCTGCTAGCAAGAAAGGATGTCAACGTTAATAGCAAGGATTTTAACGGTCGCACCTCGTTATCTCTAGCTGCTGAGAATGGCTCCACAGCAGTTATTGAGGTATTATCGGTCGCAAAGCATGTAAGGATGGAAGCGACCGACAAAGAAGGTCGCACGGCGTTGTCCTGGGCAGCCGGATGTGGGCACCATGTGGTAGTCAATCAACTTCTCCAGACAGGCCAGGTAAATGTCGATTCTCGGGACCAAAGAGGTCGTTCTCCGCTGGTATGGGCGTCTATCAAGGGGCACGATACGGTAGTGCAGGAACTGCTATTGGCAGGCATGGCGAGCGCTTCTGTCGAAGATGGATGGGGCCGATCGGCTCTGTTCTGGGCTGCAAATCGAGGCCATCACGCTGTGGTCGAACTTATCCTATCTCTGAGCATCGTGGACGATGAGACGAAGAAAGAGTGGAGGCGTCGGGTGCTGCGCAATCCGAGGTGGTCGAGGCACTGGAGGTCGTTGTCGTCGGAATAAACATTGTATAGGAGTGAGCATAGCTTTATATTTTAACGAAACCCCTTGTAACAAATGTTAAATAAATTGCATTGCAACTTCTGATTATTTACGGTGGAATGAAATAATTCAGAATATCTTGAAGTGGTCTTGTTAACGTTCACTCTGTATCTTTAAACAGGCACATATCCTAGGTCGCTTCAAGGCGCATTCGTGATCAACGTCACTTGGACCGCAGCAAATCTTTTCAGACACAACACTTAGCGATATTACTTTGAATAGCAGGGGATGATGTACTGACGCCGTCGCGGCCGCAAATATCTCTATCGGTCTTGCTTTGACCATCAACGCCAACGAGAACGAGAAGACCAGGTTGTAGATGAAAATGACAATCAATCTGACAGTTGTATCCTTGATGAAATAGAGCGCCACCATCGCCGAAGCAGGCAGAACAGCCGAAATAATGATACTAGTTGCTCTGGTGAAAGATTTGATCTTCTGATCGCTGTAAGTCCAAGTTCCCATCTCAGGGTCATGCCGGGCCTTTAATAGGGATTGCATTGTTAGCACTCTTGTGGAATTTCAGGACTGTTCTTATACTAACGTCACCGTCGCGACTCCATTTTCTGTGAAACCAGGGTATAAGGCTACTAGAAATCCATTTCGTGAAGTGATCTTCTCCGCCATGTCTGGGGTGCAGGGCGATGAAGTCTTCCTGGTGATACATCCACTGTTTCAGTTCAGGCCCATTCAAGGCCGAGACCACCTCCTCTTCGATCATCCACCCGTTGAAAGCATCCCAGTCGCTTTGATCCGGTGCCCTAAGCTGCAGGACTTGTTTCTGTTTTATGAGCGCTGTGTCTGATACGATTTCAACTGAGTTAGTGTCGGTAGTTCCAAAGGCCCCATAAGTACCCACTATATTTATCCAATACCTCGCGGATCTCCAATATCTTCTGCCACTGTTGTCCCCCGTCCTGCTTTAGATGCCAGAATGAGATGGGAGGTTCGTCCGCGCCTTTTTCGCTTTGCTTGAGATTGTCGAGAGCAATTTGTAGTTCTGTCTCAAGATGTATCAGCTCTGCTTGGAAATACAGAATATTCTTGGCGTTCAGGTTTGCGAATCGTCGGTATATCGAGGAGCCAGGATCTTTGGCTATGAATGCGGCAATTTGATCGTATCCTTTCATTTTGACTACTTACTGTGGATTTTACCGCCCCACAAAGACTATGGCGTGTCTACTATATATGGATTCACTCCGTGGAGAACCCATGGACAAGGCGGACAGCTCAGTGACAGCTCAGATATCTACAAGTAACCCGATCGCATGGCTGTGTTTTCAGTTGTTTATCATTGGCTGTAGTCATGCGGGTGCCCAGCGCCCAGGGATTGTGGTGCCCGAAGCTAGATACTTATTTGCAAGCCTTGCACATAATATAGTAGATAGACAAAGCAAATGATTTTGGCTGTGAAGTGGACGAATGAGAGAAAAGCGTAACTTGCCACTTTGGTCGATCATGTTGATTTCACAATGAGGCGAAAGCTTGCAATAAGTATGGCTAATTGTAATCAGCATTTACGGTTGAGAATACTAACTAGGAGGTAGTTGTAGTAAACTATCTAGTCAGTTACCTGATTGAATCCGCCCTGATCACGTCGAAAAGATAGAGGGAAGAGTATAGTCGAACCCACAGTCTAAGCGAGGCCTGCTTTTGTTTTGATTTTCGATTTTTGATTTGTCCTCTGGTCTTTAGGAAATGCCGGACAAGGCTCGAGGGCGGCCACGCTCGTGGCTATGTCTTATTGTTTCTGGACATTTTAGTGGACTTTGAAGTTGTATTTCGCGTTATCCATTTTAGATGTCTCGTTGCCACAGAACAGAAAGAGTAGGACTCGCGGTCATATGAAAACAAACACCAGGGTAAATGAGAGTAAGGGGTAAGGAGAAACAGGCGAAGGGATTGAGGAGAGAATAAAATAACGAGAATAAAACGCTCATTTGAGCACGTTGGGTGATGATGGTTTCTCCACGTATTCATTCAATGGTATGAAGCCTGCAATCTCGCCACAATTTCCGGATCCACGCGGAACAAAGCAAGCTCCTTGACTGAAGGCCGACCGAGTAAAAGGTCTGATCGGCTGTTCTCAATGATCAAGAATCTTGTCTGGTAGATCTTGTTGCCGCGCTGCAATTTCCACCGAGTCACGACGCTCCCGATGGGCTGGACATTGAGTTGACCGGGTAGTTGAATTGTTGGTCCGGTATACGGATCCACTTTGATATTCAAATGTTTCTGAACATCGTCAGCCATGAGGTTCACGTCGGTCTCAAAGTCCACGACTAGACGCCGGCGGATTTGGCCTTGATTATTTTCAGTGAAGATCAACGCGTCGTAGATAAAATCACACTGTGCAAGATGTCTATGTGAATCGAGATTTTGGTGTTTATTTTGCTCCCAGAAGATAGTGTCTATCTCCTCGGTGAGTTTTGCTCTATCCTCGATGTCCTCCGCACGATGAATGGAATTTCGGGGGTCTTGGAGAGAGGCGGACGCGTTAACCCGGTTGCTCTGGCCTTCCTCCGTGTCGTAATGGCGACTTTCTTGAGCTGGGTGACGGTCTCCTCGGTGATAACATAAGATTGATGACAGAAATGTTCGCTTCTTTGGTTTGACAGGCTGTACGGTTAATAGGATTCCAATCTGCGATACATGTGTCTGTATCATCTCCACATGAGTTCTTTTAGCAAAGATAAACCACCCCGAACATAATAAAATTGTCCCGTACCTTACATTGCTTTGCCTGTTCGATTTGTTGCCGCCGAACCTGGCTGCTCCGCGGCTGAGTTGATACCTTGAGCCCCGATGGTCATGCTTAGGGGGCGCTTTGAAATGACACGGTGGTTAGACCGCAGCGGAACAAAGTGAGCCAGCACTTACTTGAAGATGAACGAAGCATGGAGCCGATGGGGGACTTCAGTGTATTTTCAATCAGGATTTTCATAAAATGTTGAAAAGTGTGAGGTTCTCTGAGCTCAGCCTCATTGCATTCGATCACTGATTGGCGCTTAGTTCTAGCAGTAGGTAATCATACCCCGCCTTGTCATCAGGTGGTTGGAGTCTGGGATCTCGAGATAAAAGCATGGACATAAATTTATGGGCATGATTAATCATTCTCTATCGCTATCCTACATTTCCTGATCCGGTAGAAATTGCGCTCCCGGCTTACATTGGGGGTTGGGGATTGTCGTGCTCTTCCAAAGGCGTGGTATTCTTGACTACGCCTCACCGTCTGGATTGCTCGTGTGAGTGAGGTGACTGGCTGCATGATTGTTACCTGTTTGATGCCTTTTTCTTACATTCTTCGCCGACCGTAATGTGACATACTGAACACCTTTCAACATCTCAGTCGTCTTATTCTGCCAAATCCTTGGAGGCCTAGTAATCCTTACCAGGCGAGTCCTGGGTTATTTACTGTAGTTAATCACTTAAGAACCCCCCTCGATTGCAATAGCATCCCTCGGATATCGAGGTACTTGACCGCCCGTTCAAGGCAAACAGCGGTGAGTCCCATGGTCGAGATGGCTGGTATCCCCGACCCAACAGGAATTCTCCGGCTCTACGAAATACTTGGCTGTGGCGTGGTTTCGTGGTCCACGCAGCAAGCCAAATGCGAACAAATCACAACTAAACACACCCCTAAAGCCCTTGTCCAACCTGCTCGACTAAACAAAGTGCAGTATGCCGTATACTATTTCTCGATCAGACTCGACCGCTACAGAAAACATCACTTTGGCTATGGAAGTAGACTATGAACATGCGTTACCGACCTTGCCTCGCCATCCTTGCTGTTTTCACGCGCCCTGTTGCTTTCGGCAGTTGTTCTCGTATTTTTCGGCTTGTTGTGCTTGAAGCTTCTCCGTTTGTTTATCTGCCCTTGCCATCGTTTCTTCGAGCTTCTTCTCTTTGGCTTTCTTCTCGTCTGCACATTCTCAGTAAAAGATGCACCTTGAACCCTAGGTCTTCGGCCCGGAATTTCGCTAAACTCACCAGAATTCTTAGAGAATTTGGGAAGAACCGGTGCGCAATGCTTTCCCTTCTCTCCCAGCCCGCTCAAAACCTTCGAATCCCGACTAATAAAGACATCGATCGTCGGGTCAGGTTCTTCCTCGTCGCCCACGTCAATGTAGAATGCTTCTTCGTGGCTGTTGCGTCTCTCCTGGTTGGAAAAGCAGAGCCGGATCTGGTCTTGCACGAGATAATGCCCGCCGTTCAGCTTGGCGACGCGCGTTTGCGAGGCCCCCGATGTGCGCGGGACATCAGGGAACTTCCCAACGGCCTTTCGAGTGATAATGTTAAACTGTAGGTTGTCCACGACGGACGCCCTCAAGAGAAGCGGGATCTCCCTAGGGCTGTAGAAATACAGTTTGATGGATGTGGGTTGTGCCTGGATAGTGGGACCCGACCGGGCGGCCCGTAAGCAATGGGCGATTTTGAAACGCCTGTTCGATATCACGTACCATGTTTGCGGTCCCGGGTTGAACTCAGGATTTGAGCGACGGGTTCGGACTCCAGGACCAGGGTGCCAGAGCATTTCCCGCCCATTTGTATTCTCTGCTGCTATCAGCCGCACTCATGTTGCAATTCCGCCGCAGCCATCTAGTCGGGGTTGTCCATCCGCTACGAAAAGGAGGGTTCAGCGAGGCTGAGGCATTGGAGGGAATGACGATGAAAAGGTGAGAGTATCGCGAAGGCCCTGTGTCCCGATAGGCTCCCGACTGGGAGGTACCGGGGCGGTGGGGGGTGAATTGGGCATCCAATCTAATGCAGTTTGCGGCATGGATATTATTCCAGGCCAGCGGCATCGAATGGGCAGTGTTCCTTCTCTTCCCTGCTGCGGGGAAAATGCGACCGCAATCTTTGGGTAGCAACCGGGGTGAAGGGGTGACTGGAGCGAGCCTTTCCGACATGCAATCATTTTCATTAGATAGACATTCGCTAAGCCATGCCATGTCGCCAGATACATGAGTGCGTCTCCGTACAGGTGGCATTCTGTGCTGGCGAGGCTGATATATGCACTGTGATTATAATCCCCCTGGAGAACACGAGTAGCGTCACAGGCAACCACTCTGAAAAAAAAAAAAAAAAGAATACAATAACCCAACGCCCATGTAAATGCAGACAGCCTCCCGAGGCATTAATAACGTGAAAGATTTCTGCAATGGCAATATCAGCCGCGTTCTTCTTTCGTTATTCTGAGGAAAACGGACCATACGAACCTGGTTTGACCCGTTCGAAATGCAGTTCAACTTAGGTATGAATGCATAAGATCAAACAAAGATAAAGACAGTGAAAAAGAAGGGTGGCGAAGAGCAGCCACAAGGCGAGATAAGGAGTTGACTTACTGACGTGGTAAGGAGCAACTTTCCCCTACATTCGGAACGTACTATTCCTCTTGGGAATGTTGCCGAGCTTCAGAAATTTGTGTTTGTTGATGGACCGGATGCCGATGATGGCATCAAATGCTTCCATATCAACCACTAAAAAGTCAGTGGTGTATGTCTTGTCACCGCAGGCAAAATGCCAGGGCACGTTTCGGGCAATGGAGTTGACGACAATTGGGCCTTTTTGTCCCGACATTGATTGCAGGGGATTGATGACTTCGTGGTGAGGTTCAGTATGCAATCCCATCCGCTCACAGATGTCCGTTCTTATCAGGTTTGTGTAAGCCTGTGTGTCGAACGCAATGATGAAGAACTTCTTTGTGTTCGGGTCGTCGACAACAAAGGCCTCTCTTGTATACTCTTCGGGGTTGCTATCACAAGACCCTTGGCTTGAAATGGAGCTTTCCGTGGTGGGATCTGTATTAGGCTTGGCACTAAGGCCATCGGCATAATACTCCTCACGACTATCATTCCCCTCCGATCGAGCAAAGCCGACGTCGGGCGTTGTTTTCGAGCTGCCCTTGAAGGCACCAATGATGCGGGAAAAGCAAGAAGGCGAACGCGGTGTGGATGTTCCTCCGGAATCTGGCAGCTCATACACAGTGTCATGTATGCTGCGCGATACAACAAACCACGAGCCCGAGATCGTGCATGCGCTGTCACTTCGCTCCGCGATATTCATATCGGACGGGTTGTCTCGAGGGACGGATTCGAACGTCATTAAGTCACCATCGTCATTCGATCTTCGAGGTTGGAATATGCCGTTCTCGGTTTTTTGGAAGAAACGTCTCGCGCGGTCGAAGGTGCCTGACCTCCACTTGCTGGAAGTTGGCTGCGGTGCTTGGGGGGCCGCTGGTTCACCACATCAAAGGTAAGGAGAGCCCCCTGCTGTTTCCCCCTCACGGACATTGACATGAAGACTTACCATCATCCCAAATGTCCTCCCGCAGGACCTTCTCCCAGTCTTGTGTCATCGTGGATCCACCGGTTCTGCAAGAGAGCTCGGGCGAATGTGGGTTGAGAGAAGCAGGGAGATCCGCTCCGTCGGTCTACAGACGGAATAGGGACATCAATGAGGTCGGTTCTCGTTGAGAAGAAGGGAAAGCGAAACGGAGAGTTCAGGTAAGAAGACGAGGAAAAGAAGCAGACGAAAGTCCTGACGGAATAAAAAATGCCACGGAAAGGGCGTGGTTTCGATGGTTCCGCGATGATCTCAGTATCTGTCGAGATCGAAGTCGGCGTCCATTCAGACTCCCTTGCCCGTTTAAGCGGTGAATCACGCAGGGAAGGCATAAAAGTCAGGCACACTCCCCGGCTTGCCTCAGGCAAAAGCGGCGGGAGAATGTCGGCAGGTGTCCGTACGGCGTAAAGCCCGCTGGAGGTACGTACGTCAGGGACCTGTTCAGAGAACGTTCCCCGTAAGCGCCGAGACAAAACGGAGCACACCATTGGCCTTGGGCTCGGATAAGACTCCTCCTCGGTGACTCCAAGGTCGGGTGGACGTACTTCCGGTACTGGAATTACGGATAGAATGGTTGCAAAGCGAGTGGTCTAAGCTCTACAATGTCCAGGGTCCTCCGGGGTTGGAAACAACGGGATTTTAATAGGGCTATTTTATAATCTCCGGCAATGTACATCATGCTGTGGCACATCTGCCGACGGCAATCTTATCGGCAGCCCACCCCCATGGCCATGGATCCCTCATTACTCCTTTAGACCCATCGTTCATCCATCGCTCACGATCACAATGGATCCATGATCTCGTCACGGAAAAAAGAGCCATACCAATTAAATAACGGATGCCTGATTGGGGTCCACCCCGTCGGGCAACGGGCCAATCCTGGCTGGGGCAATGAAGCCCATTGTCTCCGCAGCGCACGTATCGATCTCTGGTTGGACCCCCGCTCATCGCCTTGTTTTCGCTGCTTTAAGGCAGGCTCTCGTCACCGCCCTGTTTTCTTCGCTCCTTTTCTTGACAGCACGGCATTCTACCCCGATACGGAACCTTTCCTGGAGCTTTTTATCATGTTCCGCTCAAGTATGGTGCCGAGGATATTATCCTTTGGTCTTTGGTATAATATAATAGATGATGGATTGCTTGAATTGATAAAAGGTCTCAAAGACCGCTGACTAGTTAAAGCCTACTGTAAGTCACATCGATGGATGTAGTCCAGACTAACTAGATCAGGTAGTCAAAGGCCTCGGGCTCCAACGATAGATATGTAAGGAGGTAGTATGTGCAAATCCTTTCCTTTGGGGTATAGTATAATCATCATTGCAAATGATCCTATTAGATAGTGCTCTAAATATTGTCGTAGTTGATTCCTTTAGTTGAAGAGTCAGAGGAAATTTGTAAGAACTATGGCCCAAAGTTGAGATCTACGATTGAAAGATAGCCCTAGTGGAAGCTAACCAGAAGGTTTTTTTAGGCTCAAATCTAAAGAAAGATGAAATAAAATAAAATAAAACGAAATAACAATAATTAAAATCAAAGCCTACTCGAGCTCTCACAGATACACACACTTTTCTTTTTCTCTTTTTTTTTTTTTTTTTTTTTTTTTTTTCATGTTTCCACAAAGGAAAGAAGAGAAACAAGTTCAAAAATGTCGAAAATGGTCGAGAATACACTACGCCCAAGGGCATAAAGAGCTGACTTCTCCCCACGAGAAAAGTAGGCTCAGGTACCTTGGCGCAAGGTCAAAATCCTGGTTTTCGCGAGGCTCCTGCCACCGATGATAATATCAGTGACTGACTGGTCCCAATCGACCACGAAAAAGCTGCCGTTGTAGACGGTACAACCGCTATCACAATCAAAATAAAACTTGGCGTCTCGAATGATGCGCGTAGCCACAACCTCCGACGCTGGCCACCAGCTTCGCACCCGAAAGCGGACTTCATTACAAGACTCTGTCTGCAATTGCATCCGTCCACACGCTGCCGCTGTCATAAAATTCGCCTCGGCTTGAGTATGGAGGCCTATGGTCATGTGAAATAATTTGCGCTGAGTGAAAACAATAGCTGGCCAGTCGAACCCTTCGGGCGTTGGGGTGTTCTCTACCTGGGTAACGCTGCTGATTTTATAGAAGGCATGCAGTCTCCACGCGATTTCCGGGTCGTACTGAGACAAACAACACTCCTTGGCAGAGGATCTACCGAGCAAAAGGCCAAAGCTGCGAGTCGGGATCACCATAAACTTGGTTTGATAGACCTCATGGCCATTCTTCATTTTCCACCTAATCACAAGGCTTCCAATCGGCTGCGTATTACCTTGGCCCGGGACGTCTAACGGTGATCCTGAATATGGCTCCACTTCGAGCTTTAGATCTTTCGAGACCTCGGCGGCCATGAAGTTGAAGTCGGACCGGAAACTCACAAGTAGAAAGGGGTAGACTGGGCCGTGTTCGTTCTCGACGAAGATATCCGCCGTATAGGCAAAGTCATGCCGTGCAAGAAGATGTTCATTCGAATCGGGAGATATGTCTAGAGCCGGAGGAGGGTCTTGTCGACGGCGACCGAAGATCGCTGAAAGGAATTTGAGGTTGTTCATTTTGAGAGGATGCGCATTCCATTTTGCAATACTTGGATATAGAGCGTCTTTATATAGGGTCTTGATGTGAAATTAACAACGCGAAATAAGGGGGGGGGGGGGGGGGGGGGGGGGGGGGGGGGGCTTCCAGTATAATATTTTAACAGTTTGACTTTCGCGGCAGAACCCGGAGGATTCTCCGTGAAGATGATATTTGGTGGGTAGTTCCTTCGTTTTGCAATGACAAGGTAGTCAGATCTCATGATAGGTAATTGGTCGGCATGGATCGGCTGCGCCCATGGAATTTGACTCGCAGGCTGAAGCCAGAGGCGTTGACGGTAAGCCTCATCATGAGAAACCTTCCATCGCAGGCGACAAGGGCGGTTACCAATAGCGTCCGAGTCTGGGGATCCAGTTCTTACTTGCCTACCTATAGAGTTAGGTAACTGTCTAAGAATGTTTCATGCTCTTAGTGCTTATTGGAACTACTCCATAGCATGAAGTTTTCGATCTCCAATAGTTGGCTCCACCGATTCTAAAACACAAGTCCGGCCGGCGTGAGTTGATAAGAAGCAGGAAGATCTGCTCTTTCGGTTGTCACTGAAGAAAGAATAGGGGCATTAATGTGATTGGTTCTTGTTGAGGAAATGAAAATGAACAACAGGGAAAACAGGGTAAGATGATGAGAAAAGGTATGGAAAGGTCCTGACGGTATGAAAAATAGGGCGGAAATGGGTTGTCCTCGCCGCTTCCGCGATGATCTCAATATACTACCTAGATGTATTTAAAATCGTTTTTTATCTAGGAGTGGTCTAATCCTACACTATCTGTTTGCGCTTAAAAGCTTAAAATCAAACAGGCAGACAGGGCAATGGGTCGTTTTTCTTCTACAATCAACTATCTACTTCAGCCGTGAGCCATCAACAAGGCATTCTGAATATCCCATAGCTTTTATTAAACTTTTTTATTATTTTCTTTTCTCGAATATTCTTCCCAATCTTTCTTTTTTCCTTTTTTCATATAAGAAATATACCCATCACCTTAATTTCCAAGAAATTCGATGAAGGTGGTCATATTTCCGAAGACTGCAGCCTGAAAGTGCATTCCAAATAACTCTTTGGGCCTAATAGTAATATCTCCCCGCGCGGTGGGTCCCTCCGTGGTTGGCACGTTGACTCAAAGTAGGTTTCCCACGTTCCCATTCAGCAACAGGAGGTATTCCCTTTTCGCAATCTTTGGGTCGTTGCGGTACAGACAAAGAGCGTTTATTCCGCTTAAGTTTGTGGCTGAAAACAACAATCTCGTTTTTCGCGAGGCTCTTGCTACAGAGGATAATGTCAACATTATTCGACAGGTCTAAATCAAGCACAAAGAAGTCACCGGTATATATCTTGCGATCACCGTTTAAATGGAACTTCAGCTCTCGAACAACGCGTGTAGCACTAACCTCGCTATGTGAGAAATAGCTCTGTAAACGAAAGCGTACATCGCTACAAGACTCTATCTCCAATTGCATTCGTTCACATGCTGCCTTTGTTATTACATCTGCACCAGCTTGAGTGTAGAAGCCTATTTTCGACGGGAATACTTTGTCCTGGACGGAAACACAGGCTAGCCGGGTAAAGTTTTCGTGAGATATATGTTCATCGGACACTTCTCCAGTGGAAGCTCCTTTCGCAGGCATCTTTTCAGCAGCCGTCGCATGCTGTGCAAGAGGATCCTGTTGTTTAGCATTTTGATCACCTATAAAATACCGGACCGCCTCCGAATCTCGACCAATAATTACATCGATACTCGGGTCAAGGTCCCCGTCGCCGCCTTTATAAGTATAGAAAGTTTCCGTGTTGCTGAATTTCATATCCTCGGTGCTAAAGTTGAGTTCTATCTGGTCTTTCGCCAGATAGTACCCTCCATTTGACTTTGGAACGCGCATCTCCGAGTCAGAGATTTGGAGTTCACGCGAGAAATCCGGGAATCTTTCTAAAGCTTTTTCAGTAATGATGTTGATCTGGAGACCATCGACGATAGACGCCTGCAAACATATCATTTTCTCCAGTAAGTAGAAATATAGCTTCATGGATGTGAGTTGCGCCACATTCACGCTACCTCGCAAGGTCAAAACCATGATGGCTACCAACAACGTTGGAAAATATTTCAAAAACGAGTAGGGTGTAAACGATCTTAATGAAAGTGATGACCAGAATCAATGGCCTGATTGTCCGTGGTCTCCTATCTACAGCACGTCCATGAGCATCATTATATAGGAATGAACACGTGACAGGCATTCGGCAAAATGGGTTTAAAAGCCCAGAATGTTCCACTATGAGGCGGGAGCTTCAAGTATAACCACCCATGGCATGCTTGTATAGCGACTCGCTCCGTGGAGACATTGTCGGCCAAGCTGAGAGCCCCAGCGCCAGCTCAAATATCCATACGCTGCCTGAGCACCTGTCCTTGCTTTCAGCTTATTTATCATTGGCCATTGCGATTGGATTGAACTGCGCTATTCACCCGAGGATTATTGCGGTGCCTGAGTATAGCAAGCAGCCTTGAGTGTGACTTAAAAAAGATACACAAAAGAGATCTTTGCCGTAGGCCTATTATTTTGGTTGAATCAGTTGTAAACATGTGACATTTGAGAGAGAAAAAAAAGAAGTGCAAGTAAATCAAAAAAGATAAATATAGTTAAAAGAAAAGCAGAATTGAAAACTTTTTTTCGGTTTTTCTTTTTCCCTTTTTTTTTCTATTTATTTATTTATTTTTATTTATTTTTTTTTTTTGTTTTTTGTTTTTTGTCCCGCGGTAAAATAACACCGAGAAAAAACAAAACAAGAAGAAAAAAAGAAAAGGGGTTTCAAGAGCAGTCAAAAGGTGCTCGAGGAAGCATCATATCCATGGAGGTAGGAGGCTAGCTGCCTGAGATAGTAGGAACGACTTCTCGCGATGGGGGAAGCGGCTCAGGCAGGTTCTCGCGCAAGTTCAGGTTGTGTTTAAAAATGGACGGTCTACCGAGAACGGCATCACAGTCCATATCAACCACCAGAAAGTCTGTGGTGTATGTTTTATCACTACCTATGAATTTCCAACGGATATTCCGAACGATGCTTGTGGCTACAACCTCTCTGCCTTGCCAAGGGTCGACGAACACCTGATGGCAAGGCTCTATCTTTAGATTCATCTGTTCACACAACCGAGTCGTCATTAGATCCACTTGAACTTCCAACCGGAGCAATATAAGCATGCTCCTCATGACGCCACAAGTGGTAAGCCAGGCCGGCCAGGTGGATTTCCAGAGGAACTTTTCGTTAGAACTAGCATCAGGTTCAACGCTTGAGACAGAGTTGTCCATCTTGGGGTTGGTATCGGGGGCTTTCGTATACCCCTCCTCGTTACCATCATTCCCCCCCGATCGATTGAAGTCGACGGTAGACATCGTTTTTGAGGTGGTTCCCTGATTCAACGGCGTTTAGCAAAAGAGTTAGTGGATTGTAGGCGACTTTCAGGATGTGACAGCGCCACGCGTATGTAGGATCGATGAAGATGAGGATTAAGATGAGGATGAAGATTACCTATCTACAACAGGGCCATGAGTATCCTTATATATGTATTTTCACGTGACATGCAATTGGCGGGATACTCTGGAGCTTTCCACTAAAAGATGGTAAAATCCAACATCCATTGGTAATCGCGATGAAAAGTCCCGGTCAAGACCGACTCATCACGGTAAGACAAGCCATACTAATGAGAGTCCCCAACTGCAGAGCATTAAGCCTTTTTCCTTTGTGGCTACCTTCCAGAATCAGGTCTATAGCCTTTCAGCTGGTAGAAAGTTTTTCAATTTGGTCCCAAGATCTAACCTCGATTCCCCTCCTTTATTAAGGAATGTACCGTCGGCTTTGATTTCCGTGACATTAGATCAGCATTGCCGCATGTCTCAAGACTCCAGCCTCATGCATTGGAAAACGATTGTTATCTGGAAGACATTATTTATACCACTTCGATGGTAGAATAGTTCATGGTGAAAAATATTATGGCCTCGAATGAAGTCGACGTTGTGGTGGTGGGAGCGGGCCTCAGCGGCCTCATAGCTGCCACCGAAGTCCAGCGAGCAGGTCTCTCCTGCGTGGTACTCGAGGCCATGGATCGCGTGGGCGGAAAGACCCTGACAATTCCTGCTTCTTCTCAGGGGGGCCTGGCTGAACTTGGAGCCGCCTGGCTCAACGACACGAACCAATTTTACATGTACGCGTTGGCGAAGAAGTTTGGATTCGAGCTTGAAGTGCAACGCCATAAGGGTTTGAATCTTTTCGAGGATTCGAAGGGCAAAACGCACAGCGTGGAGTATGGGAATGAGTATTTGAATGTATCGTTTGGCTTGCCATTCATAAATCAATCGCTAGAAGCTGATGGTTGATGTTTTTAGGACGCTGATTTCTATCAGGAGTACGCCAAACAAGCGGAACTCACTCAGCTGGTGCATCCTGAACTCAGTCAAAATGCGAGAAAACATGATAATATGACGTTCGCGGACTTTGCAAAACAGTTTTCCCCGGACGCAGAACTCATAGCGGATGACATCGCCGAGACGCTACTCGGGGTGGAAGCCAAAGACATCAGCGCGTTGTATATGTTCAACTATACTAAAAGTGGGACTGGGCTGGACAATATCTTGTCAGACTTGAAGGACGGGGGTCAGTACATGCGCAATCGTCATGGTAAAGAGCTCCCAAAGAGATTCCATGTCAAAATGTCCCTACGGACTATTAATTCGGGTTCCCATCTAGGGAATCAGAACTTCTCTGTCCGCCTCGCCGATGACCTTAAGCCTGAAACCGTGCATCTATCTTCACCTGTCACAAATATCAAACAAAGAGGCCAAGACTCTTGCATAATCACCACTCTCACCGGTCGCCAAATCTCTTGCAAAAAAGTGATCATCTCCATTCCTACCTCCTTGTACCATCGCATCGAATTCATTCCGTCTCTCCCAGAGACCAAAAAAGATCTCAGCAGCTCTACAAGACTTGGGTTCTACGCAAAGGTAATCGCGGTATACGAGTATCCATGGTGGCGACAGGCTGGGTTGTCAGGGATTTTCAGCTCCGTCAACGGCCCTATCTGCTGTTCCAGAGACACCTGCATCGTGGGGGACCATCAGTATTCCATCACCTGCATGGTTACCGGCGAGTCGGGCAAGGATTGGTCCAGACTTCCTCCCATTGAGAAGCATAAGTTGACCATGAAGCAGTTCAATGCTGCTTTCTCCACGCAGGTTAAGCACATACCCGACCCCTTGAATGTGATTGTGCATGACTGGTCAGAGGAGCCTTGGATTCTGGGTGCTCCGAGCCCCGTCATGCCGCCCGGGTTGATGACTTCGGATGCTGGGAAGTCTCTCCGGGAACCGTTTAAGAACATTCATTTTGTGGGGACTGAAACAGCCATTATTTGGAAAGGGTATATGGAGGGTGCCGTTCGGGCTGGTATTCGTGGCGCTGGGGAGGTAATCGAATTGCTCGTCCCTGAGACCGAGCGACGGGCGTTCAAGTCTTTTCTTTAAACTGAGATCTATCTGTAGTTGCTTTTTCTTGAGTTGTTCACGGAGAAAGTTCCCCTGGTATAATGAAACTTGTTGCCTGCTATACAATGAATGGGGTTTGGGCTTCATTCTCGGAATTATTGCTCCGGGTGTTGAAACGTCATTTCGATCGATTCTTCGACAATTTGATTAGGTCCCTCCCAACAGCCACTCTTTTAGTAATGGTATTCATCAGCGTTCTTCGCTAATCGCGTAGTTTCGAGACATACTCGTCATGCCATAAAACAGCCCAGAGGCAGCTCACCAATCACAATCCATGGCGCAATGCGTCGTTACACCAGGATCAAATGAGGTGATTGACAACCGCGGGGTAACAAACCTCATAAATAGACATGCCACGAGTCAGTCCCTGGCTTCGATACCGTACTACGATCGGGTTTCATTGGGATACGTCTATTCAAAATGTCCGAAGTCGTTACTATCACTCAACCCACCCAGCCCGATATTCAATATCATCCCGAATACGAGAAATACCTCGCACGCGGCGAACGGCGCAAAGCAACCGAGACGCTTCCGAAGACCCTTCCAGCTGGATTCCCTGCACAGCTATCCTCTCCGCTGGTTTGGGAGGGTAAAGATGTTGAGAAGCGAGATGACTGGGCTTTCAAGCTGAATGATGCGCAGCGGGAGGAGATCCATGCTGCGTTGGAGCATTTCAAATGTATGTCTTTCCCCGGGCTCAACCAAACATGAGAGCGCCCTAGCAGCATGAGAGTTGAATAAATAAATTAAACCGGTGCTAATCCGTCCCAGCGCTCAACCTCAGTCTCGGACACATCAACAAAGACACCTTCCCCCTACCATCCCTCCGACCCGAGCTCCGCAGCCTCTCCAAGGAAATCCACACCGGACGCGGATTCTTCGTGCTACGAGGCCTCGACATCGATCGCTACTCTCGCGAAGACAACATCATCATCTACAGCGGCGTCTCGTCCCATGTCGGAAACATCCGAGGCCGTCAGGAGGATCAACGCTTCAGCAACGGCACCTCGGTGGTGATCTCGCATATCAAGGACATCTCGCGGGACCCGAACGCGGGCACAATAGGGGCACCGTCCAACACCAACGACAAGCAGGTCTTCCACACCGATGCGGGCGACATCATCTCATTATTGTGCCTCAGTCCCGCCGCGGAGGGCGGAGAAAGCCAGATCTCCAGTAGCTGGTTTGTCTACAACGTTCTGGCCAAGGAAAGGCCCGATCTGATCCATACCTTGTCCCAAGATTGGCCTATTGATGGGTACGTTCTCGTTTTTAAGCCTTTTGCTCAGGGGGAACCCAGCCAGAGCTCCTAGTTCACGCAGCTAATTAAACCCCTGGCGGGGCGGATCAGCTTCGGCAACCCGAACCGCCCGTATACCACCCGTCCTTTGCTCTACCACCAGCCGGCGACCGGATCGGCAGAGGAGCGCGTGCTGATCCAGTACGCTCGTCGCTATTTCACGGGGTTCCTGGCCCAGCCGCGTTCGACAGATATCCCGCCGATCAGCGAGGCGCAGGCCGAGGCCCTGGACGCGCTGCACTTCCTGGCGGAGCGACACAGCGCGGCGTTGGACTTTCAAAAGGGGGACGTGCAGTACATCAACAATTTGAGCATCTTCCATGCTCGGAAGGGCTTCCGCGATGGGCCCGGTAAGGAGTAAGTGGCTCTAGTCCCGGTGCCCCCTGATGATCCACGCGCTAAACTGACCGGGCAGACGCCATCTTTTGCGGCTTTGGTTGCGGGACCCCGAGAATGCGTGGGAGACGCCGGAGCAGCTGCGCGACCGGTGGGATGGCGTGTATAAGGACGTGAAGGAGGAGGAGCAGGTGTTTCCGCTGGAACCGAAATTGCGCAAGACGGTGGGATCCTGATGATTCATAGGAAGTCATTCATTGTTGAAGTCATTATTGGGGATTTTGTTCTCCGACACTTGAGGCGTGCCTGAGTCAGGCGGTTAGTCATCTTCCCCCGAATTGGGGACGGTGGGGCATCTCCGACTGAAAAAAAGAGACTCAGGAAATTGATGGCTGTCCATCGCCGCCGAACGCAGTAGAATTGTTGACCTCCAGGCAAATTAGCATCATTCTTGAGCCCACCAACGGCGCGGAGGCCCGAGCTGTTCTCCGGAGTCGACCATTCATCGCGTAGCCCTCGCCTATTTCCTAAATGAGGTGGACCCAGGAAGAGCAGCCGACACGGCCCATGTGGGCTTTCAAAAATAGCCCGGAAACTGGATCTCCTCGTAGTCGGGAATCCAAGATTTTTCCTTCTCCAATTCTGACCAAATGGCCACTCCATTCGCCGGTCCAGGAAGCTTGGATCGGCCGCTCTTATAAATCCACGGCGTCCGTGTCACGCTGTTGACCTGCTCTACGAAGGTTCTGCCCGTCGAACTGACACATCGACACGCTCACCATGGGGCTACAACACGACAGTCCGAACGACAGCCCGAACTCCAGCGAACTCAGCTCCGGAGAGTCCATCTACGCGGGCAAGGAGTTTCCCCATCCGGAGATCGAACATCTATACCTCGAGTTAGAAACGCCGCTCCCGACACCACTGATCACGGCGCCCCCGACAACCGGCCAGTCGCCTGCCCCCGAATGCCCAGATCTCAAGCAGTTCACCTCGCCCTTCCTGTGGCCCAAATGGCGCAAATCCATGATGACGTGGATTGCATGCGGTGTCACGGCCTTGGCGGGGTATTCCGCCGGTGAAATCAGCCCTGCGTCGACGGAATTGACGGAGAAATGGGGCATCAGCAGCGTGGTATACAACCTGGGAATCACCATCTTCTGCGTCGGATTCGCCCTGGCACCCATGGTCCTGGCGCCTTTCTCGGAGATCAACGGACGGCGACCGATTTTCGTCGGCAGCGGAATTATCTTCGTCGGTAGGTCCGCCGTGGCTGGATCCATCACAAACAAGACGCACGTGTACTGACTGGGACGTCATAGCATGCATCATCGCCTGTGGAGGCACGCATTCTTTCGGCGGATTTCTTGTTGCGCGCATTTTCCAAGGCGTGGGCGCTTGTAGGTCGAATCATGCCCGTCCGGTGTTTGTTCGTTCCCGCTAACTTAGGGTTTTGCAGCGACGTTCTCGACCATGGTTGGCGGCGTCATTAGTGACATCTACCATGCCGAGGATAGAAATACCCCCATGGCCTTGTTCTCCGGCGCTGCCCTGTTCGGAACCGGTCTGGCGCCGCTGCTGTCGAGTATCATTGTCTACCATACGACGTGGCGGTGGATCTATTACTCCCATGCCATCGTGGCCGCCGTCTTCACGGTCATGATCTATTTCTTTTTCAAGGAGACGAGAGGTAGTGTCATTCTGAGTCGCAAGGCTGCTGCCCTCAACAAGTACTACGATGCGCTGGAGAAGGCCGGCCATGTGGGCGTCATCATGTGCGACAATGAGCCTGCAGAGAAAGGTCAAGTCAAGCGTATTCGGTGGAGGGTGAAGAGCGACGAGCAGCGCGCGTCGCTGACCCAGATGATCAGCGTGTCTTGCTACCGACCTTTTCGTACGTCCATGGCCCTATACTCTTTCAGTCTATCATCTAACATGATGCAGATATGCTTCTTACCGAGCCCGTGGTCTTCTTCTTCTCCCTCTGGGCCGCCTTCAGCTGGGCTGTTCTGTATCTTCAATTCGGCTCAGTCCCACTCGTCTTCAAGAAGAATCATGGCTTCAATACCGAGCAGTCCGGTGCTGTTTTCACTTGTATGTCTTCTCTCCAGTCCCCTATCAAGACACATACTAACGACACCAGCAATGTGTGTCGGCGTCCTTATAGCCACCGTCATCAGCATTTACCAGGAGAAAATCGTTTCGCGATTCATCACTCTCCCCAAGTCCCCGGAACGTCGACTTTACTTCGCCTGCATCCAGTCCGCGCTCATGCCGATCGGTCTGTTCTGGTTTGGATGGACCTCGTACTCATCCATTCCGTGGATTGTGCCGACGCTGGCCATCGGATGCTCCACTATGGGCATTCTGTCCATCTACCTGGCCGTGTTCAATTATCTGGCGGACACGTATCATCGGTTCGCTAGTTCTGCTATCGCGGCGCAATCTTGCTGTGAGTTTGCCCGTACCTTTTGGGTCTGATGGATTAATGCTAATGTTGCATTTTAGGTCGTAATCTGCTGGGTGGTGTCTTCCCGCTTGTGACGGCCGCTATGTTCAACAATCTGGGATACCCCGGTGCTTCAAGTCTGCTTGGTGGAATTGTAAGTTCTTTGTTCGTTTCGTGATGGGCTTGGCTAACTGGTTCAGGGCGCTTTGCTTACCCTTGTGCCGTGGGTGTTGGCGCTGTATGGGCCGAAGATTCGAGCGAAGAGCAAGCTTGCGAGTGTATGTTTTTCTTATTCTTTCTTTCCTCTTCCTGCACTAGAACTGGTTACTAATGTGCCTCTTTCAGGAACTCGCGCATTAAATGTTTGACTTTCGATTGTTGGTTTCATTGCATTAGCGAGTGTGGTCTTTTGCATTTTCATATCGCCTGGTTAGCGATGGCATAAAAGTAGATATTAGATACCCAGATAGATTCCTGGCTCGGGGTGATAAAGTAATAAATCTATAACATTCATCTAACTCATAACCTCTATAGCATCTAAGTTCTAAGTATCTATATCTATCCCAATCCCAAGACAGAACCCCATCTATTTATATTCCAGCGGCGCCTCCCCCGCCGCCAAATTACACTGCCTGAACAACCGCACCTCGTCCTCTCCAAACGCCCCCACCACCGAATGCAAAAGCCCGCGGTTATGGAAAATCACCAGGTCTCCCTCCTCCCAGTCGTGCGGGTACACGTACTGCGGCTTGATCGCCGGCCGTTGCAGCTTGTACACGGTCTCCCGCACCCGCGTCAAATCGTCGATCACCGTGCCGTCGGCGCAGTGGATCTTGCGCACCGCCGAGGGGTGGATTTGTAGTGCTGGGTTCCCGGTTAGGGGGTTCTTCCAGACCATGGGGAGCACTTGGATCTTGGATTCTTCAATGGGTGGCAGGTCGGAGAGTGGGAGTTCTTTGCTCTCGGAGTATAGGCCGAGTCCTGTGGGGAGGGCGCGAGCGGGGCTCATCCAGATGTATCTGGTCTTTTGTTAGTCGGGTTGTATTTGGGTGGGGCAGGAGGGAAAGGAGGGGATTAAGACGTACGGATGAGGTGCATATTCGATCTTGCTACTCAAGGCAAACTGCTTGTCTTCGTCGGAGAGAAGCTCGAACATTCTCTCTCCGCTGACGAATGCCGTCGTGCCGAGGGGCACGTCCAGCGTCTCGTCCGAGCCATCGTCATACCGGAGAGTCTGGCGTCGACCCTTGGGTACCTTGACGGCGAGGAGAGTCGTCACTTTCGGTGGGTAGAACCCGTACAGCGCCGCGTCGATGTGCCAGCGATAGAAGCGCGTGAAGTCGTGATCCTCTTCGTCGGGGATGGCGTCCCGGTGGAAAGTTCGGTGATGAGGGTGTTTCAATTGAATGTTAGTAAGGCCCTCGTAGGAGTCGATGTGTCCGTGACCGATCACCTGCACCTGGGGCTGATGCGGCACTGTCTTGAGATCCGGGTGCAGGATGCTACGCTTTGCGTCGAGGGTCTTCCCATGGCCGTATTGAGAGGAGGATGGGTCGAAGCGCTGCGTGAGCTCGTATTGTGCTTTTGGAGACACGTGGTGTTGGTTTTTGATTACCACCACGAGGTTCTTGTAGAGTGCATCGTGGATTGTGTTGAATGTTTCCTCTGGGTGCAATGTTAGCTTGTGGCTCATTATACAGGATCAAGGGATGGTGGCGAGTACCGGTGAGGTTCTCAACATCGACATTGTCGACGATGGCACCGAAGTTGATGTCGGATCCCGCGGGTGGAGATAAAGCGGTCACTGTCGGAGCCATTGTGAAGTCTGTGATTTGTTTCAACGAGGCAAGGGAGGGAATGTGGAAGATATGGAGTCATGAATGATATAATATAGTCGGCGGTGAGTTGCGAACGCCTCGGCATCTCCCGCCGGACATGGCCGAGCCCTTATCTCCGTCTTATCGGCGCTTGTTAACTATCGATAGCTGCTGACCAATACGGTTTGGTCACGTTCTCTGGCTCTCACGTGATGGTGCTCGTTGCTGAGTCAGCTCTCATCGCAGAGACACCATTCAAGCACAACATTTGAGTAAATCATAAGAAAAAGTGTGAAATCATCTTCGAGGGCTTCTGCTATGAGTCCGAGAATTGATGGAGATCCGCTCAAGAGTCACTGTTCTGGTGTCGTGAAAAACAAGGCCTGTGGTTCGGGAATATATACTTCTTGAGAATTGTCAATAAGACACACTTATAGCTTGATGAAGAATGGCGGGTCTCGAAAGAAATTTAGGTCTTTCATCTTTGAAAATCGGCTTGCTTTTGATAATCTCATCGATTTTGGAATCCCTTGTTTGGGAACGCTCTCTAACAACAAGTAACTTCGAACTTGTTCACCTTCATCGACACTTTTCTACTTTCAGATATTAGATGCTAACCATAAAGAGTCACTTTAGCAGCATATCTTAATAGTCTGTAGTACTCAAAAATGTATATACTTAAATCCCCAGCGCCCTTTCCGCCATCTCAATTGTATGCACCATATTGATGGTTGTACCCATTACTATAACCTTGGGCATATGTCCCATCATCAACCGTCTCATCCTCATCGTCCTCAAGAGTGTCATCGTCATCCCAATAATCAGCATCCTCCTCTTCCTCGCCGCTGAACTCTTCGGCATCAATCGTTCTCACACACCACCACACCTGAAACGGCGCCTCAGCATCATCAAACTCAAACAGCTCCAGCCCCAAATCCTCCATATCACACGCCCCCTCGTTGCTCATCGCAAGCGCGACGCAGTAGATGTTGCATCCGCCCTGAAACATCCGACTCTTAAACAGTCCCCCATTCACCTTCTGAATATCCTTCTTCACCTCCCCCTTGAACTTATGCGCGTTGAAATAACTCTCGCATTTGAGCTCGATGATCGCGCACTCCTCGCCCACGTACGGCTCGTTCGGAAACACCTCCGCGCCAGACAGCCCCGGCGTCAGCACGATGTCGGCCGCCATCTTCTCGTTGTCCTCGTAGCAGTTGTCTTCGCGGCCCGCGTTGAAGAGAAATCGCATCTCTTCTTGCATCCATCCTTCCCAGCCGCCTTTGGAGAGGTGCGCTTCGCGGATCTGTATGGCGTTCTCTTCGCCCCAGTACATGAGGGCTCGGAACATGGCGTCGTTCGGGGGGAGGGGCGTTCCGTCTTCCATTGTGATTTCGCTCTGGTCTAATTCAGCGAGGGCCCGGGAAAAGAGGTCTGGAAAATAGAGATGGTGAAGTTAGGGTTTGACAATTATAGCAGCAGGGCTGTGCCGTCTAGTTTCCCTTTATCAACCGTTCCTCTACCGTCCCCCATACATGACATTAGACGATCAGGCGACCGGCCCTAAACACTTAGAATATAGCCTAAAAATAATTCCACTCTCTCCGTCCCCGCTGGCCCACGCCATTGGGCATCAGCGACATCTGCACTGACCCGCTGCTAACCGGAAATGCGTACGCCAAGTAGCGGCCGTCCGTATCTGCAGGCCTCAGCCGCGTGCTGACCCCAAGCTGAGATCCTACCCTCCCAAAAGGGAAAACACTGAGCCAGAAAACTTGTCCGGCTATGGAACTTGCTCCGAATTAGGTTGTGGGTCCATGTGTGATTCTGTACAAAGGTGGGTGTCGGACAGGGTCCGTCATCCTTCCCCGGCGTCGGGTATGGGTGTCGTGGTGTTTGATATGACAGCCTCGTGGTCGAGAAGCCACCGCTGCAGACTGCGCCGCGTTTTGTGCAGTACGAGGAGGGGTTCTTCTGTGCAAGGACTCGGGCGAAATCCGGTCCGTTGCTTGACTCCGTGTTGGCTGGGTGGATGTGCAGGGGCGGGATGGAGGACAAGGATGGAGTGATGGCGTTTGGGAGGTGGGAGCCTCGTTCGAAGAGGTTCTTTGCCGCCTTCTAATGATTATAAATGGGAGCGTTGCTAGCTGCAAGCTGCTGTATAACCCAAATTATCAATCTCATTCCGAACCACATATAGAGCCAAGTCTCTCTCATACTTCTTCTCATACTCAGTTATCCCGTATCGTTTCTACTGAATCTAAACCTACCTTACCTCTTCACAATGGTCCAACCCCGTCGCAAAGGCGCTGCCCCTAACAAAGGCATCCACCCCCCAGCGCCCGCCCATATTCGCTCCAACCAACCTCGCCCCGGTCCCCAGATGCAATACCAACCTCAACACCGCAGCACCCACAGCGGATCCTCCCCTCAAATCAACCAGATCCGAAACCAGCAGAATGTGCAAGGCCGTCAGATCGCTCACCACGGTGCGCAGCTGAGCCAACACACCGCCGCGATCCAGCACCAGAATGCCGCACAGCAGCGCCAGAACGCGGCGCTGCGACAGCAAAACGCAGCGCAGCAGAGACAATTCGCCCAGCAGAACGCGCAGATGCAGAGACAGATGGCTCAGCAGAATGCCGCCATGCATCAGCAGCAAAGACAAATGGGACATGAGCTACAGAACATGCGAAACCAGCAGCAGCATTATCAACAGCAGCAGAAGAAGCAGAAGGGGAACGGCAAGAAGGTTGCAGCTGGTGCCGCGGCGGGTGCAGCGGCTGGCGTGGGAGGATACATGCTATACGAGCATTTGTCGGAGACGAATAATACCCATGAGCACATCATCTATGATCCCAGGCCGGAGAACAGCGATGATGAGAATGATCAGAATCAGGGTAATTCCTCGTCGGATGATGATGACAATGGATATGACGGTCCGTACGAGGAGCCTGGCTACAACAATGGGGGTTACGACAACGGGGGCTATGACAATGGCTACAATGGAATGGGGTCGCAGGAGAAGAACGACGGCAATGAATCCGACTGTTGTGGCTGTGGGAGTTGCTTCTGCTGTTGCTCGGATAACGACAACGACAATAACAGCGACTGCTGTTCTTGTTGCTGAGGCGTTGAGTGTTATTGGATTACTTCCTGTGGCACATCTTTCATTTCTTTTGTTTAGTGTTGCTTATATGTTTGGCTTACGATATTATGGCATTATATCATTCTTATCAATCCGTTCTGTCTGCATTTGTTTACCTGACGAATACCTAATTTGCAGAATGTTTGATTCATAGTTTGTGACCATTTCAGGGTCCTTCGCTTCTTGACTCTGCATATGACTGAGTCCCTTGTCAGAGAGGCTTTCATTTGGATTCATTGCTGTAGCGGCCATACAGGTGCATCCTACTTCGAATAAGAGATTACTGTTTGATTCCGCAGGCCTGTTCAGCCGCAGAAGTGTAAAGTCTCCATTTGGAATCTCATTCAAATTCAACCGCCATATCGTCAGCATGGCGCTCGGTCTAGATGGCTCTCTCGGGGCCAAGGCGAGGGTACGCCGGATCTTATTTGAGGAAGCTGGTGCCAATACACGCCACGCGCTGCTTGGCATTTCATATTGAACGAGTCGCAATGAACGGGGATAAACAGATTGAGTAGTGATGTGCAGGAGCAATTTATGACGGCCGGTTTTCTGTTGGGCTCTCAGGCACTCAGGTGTCTTTGGAAGAGTCTGCCGCCTTCTTGGTGCATGTTGACTCCGTCATGGCGGGAATCGTTGGGGCTGTAAGATGATTAGAATTGAGGTCTTGGGAAAGGAAGCTTAAAATCCCTGACTCGGAACCACAACCCTGCCTGTTCCTTGTCCAGACTTCGATGCAACGGCGATAAGCCAATGAGAGGAAGTATTATATTAAAATGATTTGTCAACATAATGTTTCGAGAGACATTTCACGTTATACTCCGAGTATCCAGCGTTTATAATTAATTTAAGCGCAAGTGTGACGCATTGCACATTATCTCATGGTGTTTTTCACGGATTCTGCAAATTTGAAAGCATCTACAAGTCTTAATCAGTCCGTGCATTATCGGCGTGCTTCCTGTTCAAGGGATTCTTTCATGGCCACTAAGAATCTCGAGGTTATAATCCAGGCTGCTTGAAGGATTCTCATTCCCTTTAATCATAAAATTCAGCTACTGCGCTGTAATCGTCGAGTAACCAAGCTGTTAACTTTATGTAATGGTAGGAAATATATAGGTATAGCATTTCTTGTAAAATTGTGCTATATGCCCCGATAAGGTAGAGTCTCCATCAAGAGAATTTCATTTCCTCATGCGGAAACAAGTTTGGCTTCGACACGCGGGGCAAAGCGCCAAGGACGCCATCTTTCGCACCAAAAATGAGTCAGCGGCCAAGCAATCGCAAAGCCATTCAGCGCACTAATCGGAGCTCAGTTCAGGGGTTTCGGAGGTTCGGCGTCTGACTCGTTCACCTCGCCCACAGCTGCCGACAATGCGTCCCAAGCTGTCTTTCAGGAAGCCTCGGAGTCGCGCGAAGGACGGACCGGCGTTTGTATTCGTGGATCAAGCCGACGGCCTCTCATCGGGGACTAGTGACCAAGACGCAAGGGCTGTTATCCGACGGCAGGCGGCACGCTCAGGTCGCAAGCACCGACGGGACGAATATGCGAGTCCGGAAACCAGGGATGGCCTAGTTGCTGCGACACAAAGTCAGACTGCAGAAGATGACGACACGTGGAACCGCAATATGCAGCTTAAGGTGTCGAGTCCCAGCCCTAAGCTTTCGCCTTCGCTCAATGGATACGAGACCCTGCGGGTGAAGTACAATTTCGACATCACCGATCTCACGAGTTTCACCGACGTAGACCTAGGACGAATCGCTTACTTGTCGCTCCGAGATCACCCCACTCGCCTGGCCAGTCTTCTGCAGAAACGGTCGTCTTCGTTCCTGGCCTTCCTGCCTAGTCGGTATGGGTCTAGTTCTTATCTCGATGATGCGATGCATTGTGTTGCTGCCAGGGCTGGTCAGATGCTTGGCTTTCCGGTTAGGGCTTCGACGCTCTCCGTGCTTTATGTCAAGGCCCTGCGCAGTTTACAGGATGTTATCCTGGATAAGGCCCAGATTCTAGGACCAGATGTTTACTGCGCTACCCGTTTGCTAGCTCTCTACGAGGTAAGCCCCACGCATTCGTTGAAGCGCTAGTCGTGACAAGGCTCACGTAGTTGCTCGGTCTACCTGACGCGAACCATTGGGTTCATCATAATCGTGGTGGCATTAAGCTCGTTGAGCTCAGGGGGCCGGCGAACCATCGAACCAGGTTTGACTTGATGCTTATTAAAAGTCAAGGCCCGTCTATTGTAAGTGATCCTTCACGAACCAAGCTCTACAGTCCTTTTCTTATGGTTGCAAGGTCATCGACAGTATGTATCGACAGGAAGCTTCATTCTTTGAGGCCCCGGAATGGCAAAAGTTCTTTAAGAATGCATCGATTGGGGATGCAGATCCGGATTTGAGTCTCTGGTGGGAGTTCTTCGGAGCGATTAGCTTCATGCCGGGGATTCTCAAGGATATGAGGCTTCTCTTTACAGATACATCATTTCAACTCGAGTGCAAAAGGCGAGCCTCGGAAATCCTCGAGCGGACAAGGAGGATGCACACATCGTTACATGAAAACCATATCCGCTACCAACGCAAATATCCCTGTCCACCATCTCTTTTCGACCTCCCCGCATCCGTCGAATCCCCCGATCGCGTCCGACTACGTGGATTCTTCTTGTATGTCATCATGTACATCAGTCGTGTTAAGGCGACACTCTCTCCGGACCAGAGCGAACGAGTGGCTAGCGAAGTTGAAGCGCAGGCATTTGCCACGCAGACCTTACTCATTGAGCAGATGACTGCGAGACTCGATCCGGCTATGACCTGGCATCTTGAGCAACGGAATGCACTGCCTTATTCAATTGTGCAGACGAGGGATGAGTGGCTCTCGGATGTAGACCCCAAAATGAGTCAGGAAGAACTCGAACTCTTCCTTGCGCGGCGGTGGCTGAAGTGGGAGGACTCGTGGAGAGATGCAGTCCTGAAAGCAGAGCTGACGGTGACCGAGATTTCTGAATGAAATAAATTTCTGGATAACTAACAGTCATTTTATAAGATACCTCTTTGTGTACATATGCAAACTGGCCACGAGGTACATTTATATTTCAAGAAAAATAATTAGGATACCAGAGTTATACATGCGCTTCTAACATATACCAACAAATAAATGCACTCTAATACCATACATAAAAAGCCGTCCCAATCCCATCTCATGGTCGTTTAGTTCGTAATCGAGGCAATCTTGTTATAAAACACAGTGTCTCTCTTTAGGACGAGGTTTTGGGCAATCCACCGCCCCGAGTCCTCCCTGGAGATACTATATCCAATAGCCTTGTAGATCGGCCCCGTCTGAGGGTCCTCGATACCCACGCGAACTTGCTTGGTCGTTACGCCGTCAACCAGTCTGCTCGGTCGAACAATGGTATAGGTTTCCTGACTCGCCACGAGAAGGTCTTCCATGGCTTTCTTGTCCGCCGCCGGAACCCTCAGCAGGTAGTCGTACACTGGGAACAAGGCGAGTGGGTAGTCGCGGCCGAATCGAGACGTTCCTGTGGTGCTGCAGGCGACGATGTACGGACTGCCGGAGACACCGTCGCGGCGGCGTTGATCCAAGGCCTCGAGTAGCGTCTTCATGCCTTTTTGGCACACCTCGGGGTCCTCGAGGGTGAGGAAGATTCCGTTCATGACGGGTTTTGATCCGATGGTGGTGATGACGGCGTCGACTAGTTTGCCGTCCTCACGTTGTAGGCATTTTGACACGGCTGCGACATCGTGTGCATCTCCCTTAACGATCTTGAGGTTTGAATCGTCAGAGACAATGCCTGCCAGCTTGGAGGGATCCCGACAAAGGGCGATTGCGCGGTCTCCGGAGAGAAGAGTGTGCTTGAGGGCTGCGAGGCCGACGCCGGTACTGGCGCCAAAGAACGCGATCGTCTGGACGCTGCGCATTGGGACTGATTGGTGGGTTTCTGTGAAGTGGAGCAATGTAGATCGGTTTCACTTGTTCGAGAAGAACTCAGGATAGCAGAAGAGCTGTGTGATTTGGTCTGTTTCCATCTTCGACGTTGGCTGGGATGTGCATGCTTTTTATCTTCATTCTAATCTTCCTCTCCGTCCGAGTTCGCGACAGAAAGAAACTATGCAGCAGTGAAGAGATACCGAAAGTGACCGACATCTCGCGTTTTTCTCGCGCGGCCTTGCGATTGGGGGCCAAAGAGCGCCTTCTCGTTGGTTGTGTTTGGCTTGAAGTCTCCACGCGGGAATTCTCGACCCGCTCGCGCAGAACTCGGTCGCTGAAGATCTCCAACAGGCGAATGCGATCGCAACGAGTCTCCAATGTCGCCCGAGAAAAACACGACTTCGCCCGCATCCAACCCCTCATCCGTCCCGAAACTACGCAGCTGCGTCGTCTGTCGCGCCCGAAAAGTCCGATGCGACAAGCTCTCGCCCTGTTCGAACTGCCGTCGCGCAAATATCGCCTGCGTCGTCCCATCGGCCGATCGTCCCCCGCGATGGGCTCGTCGTCTCGATGTCGCCAGCAATGCGGCTTCACATGAGGTCATGGAGAGGGTGCGAACACTGGAGAACTTGGTCAAGCAGTTGAGGGGGCAGTTGGCAGAGGCGAATGCTGCGGTCGTTCGGTCGGCGACTGGCGGTTCTGCTGTGAACTCTTCTGGCGGTTCGATGCACGATCACCAGGACTTATCTCACCAGAAATTGGAGGGCGATGTTCATGATCAGTTCGGTAGACTGGTCCTGCAAGATCCGGATCGAAGTCGCTATGTGAGCAGCGGGTTCTGGTCTCGCGTCAACGACGAGGTACTTCCGCTGCATTCGATGTTGTGCACAGCAGTCATACTAAACTGATCGTCTTCAGATAGATGGATTGAAGATAGACAACCGACCCCTTGGGTACGACGACTACGATACCTCAGAAGACGAGTCTTCGCCAGGGAAATCCCCGTCCACACAAGAACTCGATCGCACGCCCTCCGACCGTCATGCATTCCTGTTTCGACACAATATAAGCCCTTCCACCCCGGACCTTCGCGAATTCCATCCTCTACCATCTCAGATCCCATATTTCCTGGATGTCTTCTCGGAAAACATCAATTCCATCATCCGAATCGTTCACGTTCCAACTGTTGCGAAGATGATTCGCGATCTGCGCGGCAAACCAACATCCAGCCTGACTCCCTCCAATGAGGCCCTGATGTTTGCGATCTACTATGCAGCCATAACCTCCATGGAGGACGAGGAGGTAAGCAGGAACTGGGATTGTCTCGTCTGGGAATGAATACTCATGGTTCTACACCAGGTCACGGCCAATTTCGGAGTCACCAAGGTCGACCTCAATCTGAAGTATCGCCTCGGACTAGAACATGCTTTGGCCAAGGCAGATTTCCTCAATGTTCCCAACATTGTACTCGTCCAGGCACTGGCCATCTTTCTCTGCCTCGGTCGCCGTCACGATAGCCCCCGATCCGTCTGGATGATGACGGGACTCGCCATCCGAATGGCCCAGGCCCTTGGGTTGCACCGCGATGGCGCTCGCTTCAAGCACTTGACGCCTTATGAAATCGAGATGCGACGAAGAGCCTGGTGGGCCCTCTGTCTGATTGACGTGAGAGCATCCGAGGACCAGGGGACAGATTATACGATCGCCTACGGCAGCTTCGATACAAAGCTTCCTCTCAATATTAACGACGCCGATTTTGCGCCGGAGACCGTCGAGATGCCGCCGGCGCGCGAGGGTCTTACGGACATGACCCTCCCACTTGTATCGTACGAAACCTGCAACCTCACGAAAGAGATGATGACTCGCAGCGTCAAAGACGGTGCATCAAGCATGGAAGAACAGGGCCGGCTGCTCGGCGAGATCTATGAGAAGCTGGATCGAGGATACCTGCAATACTCCGTGGAGTCGGACAATATTGGCTACTGGACGGCGATTTTGATCACTCGACTCGTCATGGCGAAGATGACTCTTCTGATTTACCTTCCGATTCTCTCTCCTGCCCCCGGTGAGCAGTGCTCTGAAACGACTCGCGCGAAGCTATTCGTCGCAGCTATCGAAATCGCAGAGTACAACCATGCGCTGAACGCCGAGCCAGCATGTCGTCACTGGCGCTGGGTGTTTCAGACCTACACCCATTGGTATGCCATCGTCTTTCTGCTACTAGAGATCAACCGCCGGTCGTGGTCGCCGCTGGTCGAAAGGGCCTGGGTGGCACTTCATAGTCAGTGGTTGATTCCGGCTCAATCGCACATGGACAAGGACCTGCGCATTTGGGTTCCTCTGCGGAAGCTCATGGCCAAGGCGCGGAAACATCGCGACGTCGAGATCGTGCGTCTCAGAGGTGATTCTCAGGGTGCCGACCGGCTGGAAATCGAAGATGACGAGCTGCCCATCCCTGCAAGCTCTGGGCCGTTTCCTGATGGCTCAGATGTTGTTCGTCTTTTCCGTGAACGTTGGCGCCAGCTGTTCACGGCTGTAAGGGAGCCTGTAGATCGCATGCAAATCCGTGATGGGTCGGCAGAAAACAATAGAGCCCCAGATAAGACGAACTCCGCAGCATTGTCGAAATCCAGCTCCGTTGCGTATGGCATTCCTAGCGGTTCGGAGTCGATTCCGAACTTCGACTCGGGCTATCTTGGCTCCAGTTCGCTTCAAGATCCGCATCCGACAAAGAACGAGTATTCGTTCATACCGTCGGTCAATCCTGACCTGAATCCATTGAATCACAGCACAATTCTGTCAGACTCTGTCGGGATTGACAATCCCAATAACACCTCCTTCGGTCCTGGCTTTGTTCCCTGGTCGTGGAACGACGCGAGCTCATTTCTCGATAACTTGACGAGCGCGAGCGACGATGCTCTCGATGTTAATATGGACCTAGATGGCGAGATGAACTGGCTAGATTGGCTTGAATCCACCAAAGGGGTGGAATGAAGCAGGGCCAGATAGAAAGACCTAACTTCGCCCTCACATCTAGTCTCCCAAGGATTCTACAACCCGTAGCTCCCTGCCTGGCCCTAGACCCCACAATCTGGCCACGGCCTAGACCAATACCTCTTCTCTGGTTGGCTCCCTGCAGAGACAAAGCAGGCTTTTCCCATGTTTCTCAGCCGTTGATGTCGCCACCGTCGAGCTTCCCCGGATCCAAACGAATAATGACGTCACCATATCGCGCTTTGTGCTGCCCGTCAAACTCCCTCAGAGTTTCATTCTTCTCCTTATATCCTGGCCGTGGGCATCGTATACTGTGCCAAATACATCCACTCTTCCAGCCCAACCGAGATGTTGTCCCATCCACTCATCAGAGGAACCGGCCCTACGGCCCGCCGATACTTTCTTCAAGGCCTCTACCACCGTCCATCATACGCATCTCCCACCCTTCTATCATCTCGAGCACAGTCCTCCTCCTCCTCCAACCCCCAAAACAATCAACCCCCTCCTCCAGAGCTAGCCTTCGACCGCACAGCCCTCAACATCGAGCAGCACGAGACCTGCAAATGGGGCACCGACGACGCCGTCGCCAGCCACCAGTCCTCGTACGACCCGTCCATGACCTCGCCCGAGATCGAGTACACAGCCGAGGAGGCAGAGTTCAAGCTCGAGGGCGAGGACCACAGTCCGTTGTACGTCAGCCCTGCGAACCGCGAGGTCAGCGAGCTGCTGGATCCGATGGTCGGGGGGGCCGTTCATTGTGCGGATCGTCTGGGGCCGAGTGCCAGGGGCTGGACGAGGAAGCATAGGGTTGTGAGGATTAGGGATTTTCCGGGGAGTCGGTGGAAGCAGTATGAGAAGGCGTTGGAGAGGTTGAGGGTTCAGAGGGAGGGGGGAGGTGTTGGGAAGGATGGGAAGGTTTGATTGATTGGGTTGGTGGTGATAGGGTTGGGGGTTGGATTGTGTGTGTTGTGTTATTTTTGAAGATATCAGAATGAATAGAATCAATTATATGCATTTTCTCTTTCAAATATATCTATGGGCTAGCAGTTCCTTACTTCTAAACGATAGCATCGTCTCGAAAACTAAGACAAACACATACGATCCAATGAATGCATCAGTCACTCCTCCCAATCTCCCCCGCAATCAAACCTGCAAAATGTCCAACTCCATCGCCAATAACCAGCTCATTGGCCAGGCTGACTCCGGCTTCATCGGACTGGAGCGATCGACCCTGCGGGACCAATCAGCCCGACGCCAACCACGCGATGGATTCGCTTCGCCCCATTCCACGGGGTGACTGACCATGCGACTGGGATGCTATCCTGGAATGACATCACCTGCAACAGTAGCACCAATCTGCGTCCAAATAAGCAGTGCATAGCCCTATCACATCCGCGATCCCTGGCGCCCCGGGACGGCTGCATTGTGCCTTGCCATGGAAGGATGAAGGAATGGTTGGCATTGCATGGCGTGGCATGGCACGGGGTATAAATCCGAGGGACCCGTTCTTTCTGTCGTGTTCTTATTTAGATGTTGAGTGTCCGTTTTATATCATCTATTTGAAAGCTAGACGCATTCTATATTCCTCACACTACTGAAAACTAAAGCTATACACTCCAAACCCTACCGGAGCGCTTCAAAATGGGCCTCTTCTCCAAAAGCAAATCCGAAAAACCCCAAGCTCAACCTGAAGACAAAAAAGACAAAAAGCCCCTCGCCGATCCAGCCTACACATGGGGCATCACGCCGACCGCAGAACACAAGTCCACAGACCCCTACATGGACAAGAACCACCCCGTGCATAAAATCCCGCTCGAGAAGCAAGAGAAGATGCGCCAGAAGCGAATCGACCCCGTGGCGAAGGCCGAGATGGACGAGGCGCTGAAGGGCGAGGGCGGATTCTGGGCGAAGTTCGCTGGGACGAGTATGGGTGGGGGGTATATTAAATGATTAATCTCATTTTCTTGTTATATGTACACGGTGTTTGTTGCTATTTGCTGGAATGGATGAATGGATGGAAGATACCATGTTAAGAATTCATTAAATATAACCCAACTCCTGCGCTCTATGTATGGAATGCTCCCCTAAGCCAATCTATCTCTATGTGTCTATGGATCCACTTCTATCTTCTACAACCGCGCAGTCCCCTTCAGCTTGGCCTCGATCATCTGGCCGATGCGAGGATCCACCCGGCTGAACATGGCGATCGTGGCATCCCGGATCTGGGGCGGAATGTCCTCCAGCGTCTCGGACACGTTGGCGATCCACTTGCGGCGCTCGGTCTCGTCAAACACATTGGTCCAGAGCGCGCGCGGCTGCACGAAGTCCTCGTCGTCGACGGGGGTCTCGTTGAGTCCCAGCACGCCGCCGGACCGCAGGAACTCGTTGTGGCGCACCTCCTGCACGGACTGCGAGCGCACGCCCGGCGTCAGCGTGCTGCGCACGTAGTTCGGGTCGCCGTTGTAGTTGTTGGTCATGGTCATCTTGCCATCGCGCTCGAACGGCGCGTACACGGGGCAGACGGGCCGGTTGGACGGCAGCTGGGTGTAGTTGGCGCCGAGGCGGTAGCGCTGCGCGTCGGGGTAGGCGAACATGCGGGCTTGGAGCACTGGAGTGGGTTAGTTTGGATGACTCTTGGGGATGGGCTAGATGACGTACTGGGATCGGGGGTCATGGCGACACCGGGAACCATGTTGGACGGGGAGAAAGCGGCCTGCTCGATCTCGGCGAAGAAGTTGCCGGGCTAATCTTGATATCAGCATCTGTTCCACCGAAAAGGGGCTGGGTGGCTGTCTCACGTTCTTGTTCAGGGTCATCTGGCCAACCTCGATCAAGGGGAACTCCTTGTGAGGCCAGATCTTGGTGATGTCGAAGACGGCACGGCCGTAGGTCTCGGCCTGCTCGGGCTCCATGACCTGGACGTACAGCTTCCAGGCGGGGTGCTCGCCGCGCGCGATGGCGTCCCAGAGGTCCTGGCTGTGGAAGTCGGCGTTGGCACCGGCCATGCGGGTGGCATCGTCGGGCTTCATGGTCGTGAAGGGCGTGACGGGGCGGAAGTGGAATTTGCAGTAGCGGAATTTGCCGTCAACGCCGACCAGCTTGAAGGTGTGCACACCGAAACCGCTGACGCGGCGGATGGAGTCGGGGATACCGCGGGAGCCAAAGAGGTGCATGAGAGTGTGGACACTCTCGGGTTGGTTGGCGTGGAAGTCCCAGAACTAGTAGCTGTCAGTTTGAGGGTGTTGTAGAGGGTTGACGGAGTGCTTACCATGCCCCAGTCGGGACGGTTGGTGGCCGGGTGCTTCTTGTGACTCCGGTTCAGGGAGGGGAAGCGAACGGGGTCGCGAACGAAGAACACGGGCTGCTGACTGTTAGAGCGAAGAACACGAACATGGACACTCGCCGGTGAAACATACAACATGGTTGCCGACAATGTCGTGGTTACCCTCCTCGGTGTAGAACTTGACCGAAAAGCCACGGACGTCGCGCACGGTGTCGGCGCTACCCTTTTCACCGCCAGTGGTGCTCAGACGGAAGAGAACGGGCGTCTTTTTGCCAACGCCGTTCATGAACTTGGCGCAGGTCAGATGCGAGATGTCGTTGGTGACCTGGAATTCACCCCAGGCACCGGCCGCCTTAGCGTGGACAACTCTGCAGGATGTCAGCGCTAAGCTCGTGAGATCGCAGAGATAAGGCGGTTATCTTACCGTTCCGGGATCCGTTCCCGGTTGAAATGCGTCAGGGTCTCGATCAGAAGGGTGTCCCCCAGGGTGGTGATTGAGCCACCGCCGTAGGTCGGCAGGGTCTGACTGACCGAAGGGTCAGGAAGGGGCTGGCCTGCATGTTGGTTAGTCAATGGCAGTCGGAGCAGGACAAGCTTTAGACGTGCCTTCGGCCAGGGTATAGACAGGCTTGGACATGGCGCGAACGGGAAGATGAATGTCAAAAGATTGGGTTGACACACGAGAATGGAGCTTTTCCCACTGTCGCACCGGGGAGCTCCATTTTATTTATATCCAGCGTCGAAATTCGTGTCCCGTCCCAACACACCCGAAACCCACAATCACCTCGGGCACCCGACCGAGGCGGCGGCGCATGGACTCAGAAATTTCTGTTGATAAGGCCCCGAGACAAATCCGGTGGCTTCTAGCGCCAAAAGTGGATGAAGCCCGCCAGAAATGCTATCTCATGAGGGGAAATTCCGGTATTTTTAGGGCTTCCCCTCACGCAGCTTCCCCTCACGCGGGGCGTCCCACGTAAGCCGCAAGCCACGCGCCGTGATTGGCCAATTCCGAGACCTGTGGCTGGCCGCGGGCTGTCCGATTGGATGCCGACGGAAGGCCGAGTCTGTGCCGAAAGCCACGCCAGTCCAGCCCTGTCGAAGTGTTGCCCGGCAGGATGCATGCCGTCATCTCCTGCAGCGTTCCTATACTCGTGCGGTGTTTTCACCAGTTTCCTATTCGGATGTCATGGAACACGGAACACGGCACTGCGATGGACGTCTTTGAGTTTCACGCAAGTTGGGGATGGGATTCTCTTCACTATGGCGGACGTAGAATATATAAAGGCGACGGTGGACGGTCGATTCTGGCATCATCAGCATCTCATTCAAAGCAATCAAGCAGTCAATACAAACATTTCCTTACAGGTCTCTTCTCTCTGAATATCTTCAACCAAACACATACATCATGTCTTCAGTTACCAACGGCTCCCAGTACGACTTCATCATCGTCGGTGGAGGTACTGCCGGAAACACCATCGCCGGTCGTTTGGCTGAAAACCCCAATGTGCGCGTGCTGGTGATCGAGGCCGGCATCGACAACCCGCACGAGGTGGAAGACATCACCACTCCCTCCAAGGCCTTCGGTCTGCGCGGCAGCAAGTATGACTGGGCCTACAAGACCACCATGATCAAGCGCGAGGACTACGAGCGAGTGGAGAAGCCCAACACTCGCGGTAAAGTCCTCGGTGGTAGCTCTTGTGCCAATTACTTTACCTGGATTCCCGGTTCCAAGGCCACCTTCGACGACTGGGAGGAGTTCGGCGGGCGCGACTGGACCTGGGACAACTGTGTGGAGTATCTGCGCAAGTGTGCCACCTACCATGACGACGAGAAGCTGTACCCCTCAGATCTGTCGAAGATCGGAACCGGTGGGCCGCTGCAAATCTCCCATGCGGAGCTCGTCCCCGAAATGCAGCCCTTCCGCGATGCCCTCACCCAGGCGTGGGTGTCCAGCGGCGAGCCTCTGACCGAGGACATTTTCGCCGGCGAGATGCACGGTCTCACCCACTGCGTGGACACTATCTACCAGGGTCAGCGACAGGGTAGTTTCCTCTACCTTCTCAACAAACCCAACGTGACTGTGCTGTCCTCGGCGCAATCGAAGCGTCTCATCATCGACCCGGCCACCCGCGTCTGCTCCGGCGTTGAAGTCATCAACCCGGCCACAGGGGCACAGACCAGCGTGTATGCCACGCGGGAGGTCATCCTGTCGCAAGGCGTCTTCGAAACGCCCAAGCTGCTGATGCTCAGCGGAGTGGGTCCCGCAGAGGAGCTCTCCAAGCACGGCATTGATGTCATCCTGAATTCCCCACACGTTGGTCAGCACCTTCTAGACCACCCCATCGTGCCGTTCGTGCTGCGGATCAAGGACGGCTTCGGTCTGGACGACCATCTTCTCCGCGCGGGTCCCGCCAACGACGCCGCCGTTGCCGCCTACCGACGCGACAAGACCGGACCCGTCGGCTCGGGTCTGCTGGAACTGGTCGGTTTCCCTCGCATCGACGAACGATTGAACCAGTACCCAGCCTACCGGGAGGCGAAGGCGGCCAACCAGGGCCTGGACCCGTTCGGACCCGGCGGCCAGCCTCACTTTGAGCTGGATTTCGTGGGCATGTTCAGCTCCGCGTTCCAGTGGCACTACCCGGTGCCGAAACAGGGCAACTACATGACTGTGATCGTGGATCTGCTGCGTCCGGTGTCCGAGGGCGGCGAAGTGAAGCTGAACAGCGCCAACCCCTTGGTGCAGCCCAACATCAACCTGAATTTCTTCGGCAGTGACCTTGACGTGTTGGCCATGCGTGAGGGTGTTCGCTGGACCTACGACGTCCTCACCAAGGGGGCCGGATTCAAGGACATCGTGGAGCAGGAATACCCGTGGGAGATGCCGCTGCACTCGGACGAGGCGATGAACAAGGCGGTGTTGGAGCGCAGTCAGACTGGATTCCGTGAGTGCTTTCGTCTTCCCCTCTGACACCCGTCGCTAATATATTTTAGATCCCTGCGGAACCGCTCGTCTGTCGAAGAGTGTCCACCAAGGTGTAGTCGACTCGAAGCTCCGGGTCCACGGCATCCGCAATCTGCGCGTGGCAGATGCGTCGGTGATCCCAGTCATTCCCGACTGTCGCATCCAGAACTCGGTCTACATGATCGGCGAGAAGGTAAGGTCGGCTCATTGGAAGGATACGAGAATGATACTAACCGACGTGACAGGGAGCCGACATGATCAAAGCCCAGCACAAGGATTTGTACGAGATGAAGAACATTGCCTATTTCGTGCCCAGTCGACTGTAGAATGAGGGGGGTGAAGAAGAGAAGAGGAATGAAAGAAGGAAGTTCTGGGGAAAGGGAAGAAAGCGGGGAAGTGATTGAGATTTGTCTTGCTTCAAGAAAGTATTTTCTGGCCGGAAAGTCAAGAACGGGTCTCGTGGCGCAATGGTAGCGCGCTAGCTTCCGGTGCTAGCGGTTGTGCGTTCGAGTCGCACCGGGATCGTCTTTTTTTTGTTTTTTTTGTCTATCTGTGTTCCATTACGGATCCTCCCGCTTAATTTATTTGATCTGAACTTCTCCTTGACATATAATTATAGTGCTGATGTAGAAAAAATGCGCGATGGGATCCGTCATACTGACTCACCCCGACCAAACTGACTCTCTGACTGTGCCATCTTATCACCCAAGACACCATTCAAATACTCCATCGTCATGTCGGCCACCCAACGTGCTCTCCGCATGCCCGAGATCGTCAGCAGCATCATCCTCCATCTCGACGCCGTCTGGAGCTATCACAGCCGTCGCCGCGCGCACTACCTCTTCTGCTGTCTCCTGGTGAATAAACTCTGGTATCGTGAGGCCGTCTGGTACCTGTGGAGGCACATCTGCTTCGGTGGCGTTTGGATACCCGTGGACCACTACTTCCAGCCCATTGCGCCGGAGCGGAGGCAGTTCTATGCTGATCTGGTCGAAGCAACCAGCTTGCACTACTGCTATAAATACAAGAATAAACACCCCGACCTGGACGGATTGATTTTCCCGCGTTTAACATCTCTCGCCTACTATACTGAGGTTGCCTTCGAGGATGTCGGTTACCCTCCTCCTGCAATCAATGCACCTCGGCTCAAGCACATAACCTGGAGGACTTGTACGTGGGACTGCTGATTCCTGGAGAGCGGATGCAGCTGAAGGTGAAGATTCTGAGCCTCAGTGGATGTCGATCAATGGCAGCGTCTTCCTTTTTTTGCGTGGTTTCCCAATAGCATGAACTAATTAATTAATCGGTCAGCCAGAGGGGCTTGGCTTCTGTTTGTCCAACCAGTGTAGTGCCAAGTGCCATCTAGAATGTAGACCACTTGTAAAGGCAGAGTATGACTCACCGTAGTGTAACTATCCCCGGACTATATATCCATGAATACCAGTTCAACATCGCAAGAACCCACCAAACATCATGGCAACCAATATGTTCGCCGCCCAGCGAGTGCTCCAACTGCCCGAACTGCTCAGCACGATCTTCATGTTCATCCAACTCTGCGACAACTTATTCGAGGTCGTCACGGTGGTCGACTCCGACACGGGAGACGAGGACTACTGAAATCGCGATCGTATCCTGCTCAGTTGCGCCCTCGTGAATAAGTTCTGGTATCACGAAGCCATGCCGTACTTGTGGAAAGACCTCATTCCCTACGGCCGCTACCACAACCTGGAACACTTTTTGGGCCCCATTGCTCCGTCGCGAAGGCAGTTTTATGCGGGGTTTATCGAGAATGCCACCGCGAGTAGTTGCTATGACGCTGATGAGGATGATCACTCGCCGCTGAAAGGGACCATCTTTCCTCGCCTGACTTCTCTTACTCTCTGTGTTGATCTGATCGGCTATTACGTCCCTAGGATTCAGGCGTCCCGGCTCAGAATCCTGGACATTGATCCTCGGCACGAGCCGACGAAGCCGGTGATTGTCTTGGGTGCTGAGATGATGGAGGAGGTGATGGAGCAGATTCCGGTATGTTGTCCTGCTTTGGCTTTATGAGTTAGCAAATGGCTCGTTTGTGCCCGCGGACTGATTAGACAATGGGTGTAGGATATCTTCCCTGATGTGGAGGAGTTGAGGTTTATTGACACGGCGGATCTTACCCATGACATTGCGAGAATGCTGCGAGAGCGGCTGCCAAAGCTCAAGGTGTTGGATCTCTCGATGTGTGGAATAACTCATGTGTAAGATAGCTCTTGAGAGTGAATGTGCTTGGTTAGCCTACTGCCAGCTACTTGCTATTGTCCCACCAGAGTCTAGTTACATCCTAGCTTTGTAGAGGGAATGCCTTATCCTCTCTAAGCAGTGGACTCACCCATAGAGTAGGTTCCATCTTACGCACTGCCATCGATCTTCTTCTCTCAACCAACTCAATATCCTCTCACCATGGCGACCGAAGTGTCTGCCGCCCAACGTGCCCTTCACTTGCCTGAGCTGCTCAGCATAATCTTCATGTTCCTTCACATCTCCCCCGATCGGTTTGACGACCTATATGCGGAAACAGTTCCAGTATCCATAAGCTGGGGCGGTGATGTTGACACTCTACGCAACTGCGCCCTGGTGAACAAACGTTGGAATGACGAGGCTGTGCGGTACCTGTGGAAAAATTTCTCCCACGACGACATATCCCTGGAGTACTATCTTTTCCCTATCGTTCCTTCGCGGAGGCAGTTCTACGCTCAGCATATTGAAGCCGCCAACTGGCATAATTGTGGTTACTACGATCATCACGCCTCCTGGATGAGCGAATTGATGTTTGCTCGTTTAACGATTCTATTCAAATATTATTCTGATGGATGCTCGGATTACGATTATTCTCCTCCTCCGCACATCAACGCGCCCCGACTCGAGGATGTCGAGGTGGAAATTTGCCGTGGGGATTGTGACATTCTTACAATGTTTGAACAGGATTTTAGTAGGACCCCGTTCCCACCTTTCTCTTGTCTGTAGATTCATTTGCCGTTTACTGACTGGTTGGATGATGGTCTCTCAGACCAAGAAGGCGAAGATTCTAGCTCTGACAAAGCAGGTGGAGATTCCAATTCAAGTGAAGGACACGAAAGTCCCGGAAATGGTGCAGGACACAGCTAAGGCACAGGGGTCGCGAGAAGGGTTATGATGACTCGGATTGGTAGATGGTGGACGAAGAAGGTAGCTCTGCAGAGTGATACAGTGGAATGCATTTAAGTGGTTTAACTTGTCTTGCTGAATTCGTCCATGTCATGGAGGCAGGTATTTCCTCTTTCTAAAACATATTGTCGGGAATAAACGAGCATCCAAAACCGTACCATACGAGATAAGCTCCTTGGACATCTACGATTACTTCTCCCCTCGAACATCCGCATGCCATCGATGACCCTGCCAGTGCAGCAATGCCGTCGGAATAAAACTGACCCCCATGATCAACGCCGTGACAACCCCGGAGCTATTCGCGATGCCCACACTCTCAAACATATCCGTGAACCTGTTCATCCCGTTAGTTATCCAGCATAACCAAAAACCAAGTAGGATAAGAACGTACCAAAAAGGACCAATAAACCCCCAGGTGGACCGCACAAAGTTGATAAAAACGCCCACACTGCCGGCGTCCTGCGGATACGTGTCAACCGCATACGTCGTCAACACCGTCGTGACCACCTGGTTGCCGAACGCCGCGATCCCCGTCCCCACGACCGGCACCACCGTCCACTGCCCCTGCGTCGCCTGTTCCGTGCAGACCAGGAACACCACCATCCCCGCGATACTCACTAGGAAGCCCACGTAGCTGAGCCAGAGCCGGTACTCGGGTGCGGGCTTCTCGCCGATGCGTCGGGCGCGCGTGTTCATCCATACGTCGGACATGACACCGCCGAGCTGTTCGCCGAGGAGGGAGCCGATGATGAGGCCGAGGAATTGCAGGCCGAGTTGTTGGGCGTTGAGTTCGAATTTGCTCTGCAGGAGTTGTGGCACTTCGACGGAGTTGAGGACCGAGGCGAAGACAAAGACCATGGCGTAGGCGACGGCGGCGAGGAGGACGGGGATGTTGGTGAAGAGGGTGAGCGGGTGCAGGAATTCGGAGATGGTGAAGGGGGCTGGGTCGATTCGTCGGATTGCGACGTATTGGTGCTTGAAGGAGGAGGTCGATTGCATGTCGGAGCCCAGGTAGCGGGTTTCAGGACCGAAGAATATGTAGAGAATGAATTCGCAGGCGTTTGTCTGGAGAGTTAGACTTGATGATATGTTTTTGGGGCAGGGATGGGTAGCTCACGATGGCCAGGATCCAGTAGATCCAGCGATATCCCACTCGCTGTGCCACGAAGCCAAAAATAAACGGACCGACGGGAACCCCTAGGGTCACCATGACCGTCCAAATGCCCATGTATCGAGCTCTTTCTCGCTTGAAGAAGGTCTCCATGACCACGGCGCTGCCAATAGCCATGGCGGGAGAGATGAAAAACGCCACGAGGGCCCGACAGGCCGCCATCGAGGCATAATCGGGACTTTTGGCACAGCCGATGTTGCAGACGCAGCTCAGGATGAGAGAGAGGAGGAAGATCGGTCTTCGTCCAAATCGATGCGATAGCGGCTTCCAGAACAACGGGGCGCCTCCCAGGATGGCGATCTGGAGAGACGTCAGGTAGCTGACTCGCTGCAGCGACACGCCCACGTCGACCGAGATCTCCTCGTAGGCACAGATGATGGCCGCCGCTGTGAACGTGCCCATGCAAGCATGAAAGGCTACGAGACTGAGATTGGCCACTTTCTACCACTTGTTAGTGATGAGTTCCAGCCTCGGGACGAACAAGCATACCTTCCAGAGCGGCCAGTTGTACGGATCTGCCGGGTCATTGCTCGGAATCGGATCCAGATCCAACGTGCCATGTCGTTCCAGGAGATAGGCTCGATGAGACTCCGACAGCAGACTGGTCGGATCCAAGGACTCCAGCGCCGCTTCGGTCTTTTCGAGGTAATCCGAGTGCGACTTGGACGCAGACATCGTATGTTCGGACGCCATCACGCAGCAGATCTCCACGGTCAGGCCACCCTGCGCCGTGAGAGCGAGCGAGCGAAGGTCATAAAAGTCGGACCCGGGGGCGGGTCCGGAGCGGGTGGAATCGAATCAAAGCATCATCCCTTCTAGGGCCGGGGAAAACGCGGGGTCCCGAGTGGATTCCCCCATTCAGCAGCGATTATCACGGTGGATTCGTTAACCAGCCATTCATCGTGGGCAGAATCCTCTCATTTCCGGTGGAGCTGACGTTTCCGCGGTAATTGAGGCCAGGTCATTACTGCCGTCGGAGTGTGTGGCAGGGGGATCCTCCTTGCGTCTCCTGTGTCTCGGCTGCCAATGTCCCGGGCATCGAGGGATCGCACCGAGGAGAAAAAGTCCGAGGCTGATCAACTGCCGAGTAACATTCCGTGCGTCTGATAGATGCATTATCTCCGGACAATTCCTCGTCGCGTTGCTTGGGTTGCTTGTGTTCGCTGGTGCCTTGGGCCAAGGCGGTTGGCGTTGTTGGCACTTGGCGTGAGGGATTTGGAGGTCATCATTTCATCAGGACCAGGTTCAGGCAGGTCCTCTTGGACAGACAGAGGATCTGATTGATTGATAATGGGTCATGCGGTGGAAGTCGTGCTGCTGGTGCAATCTGTGGACGGGATTGGTAAGAGTTACAAATCATCAAGGTAGCTTGAAGCAGTTAATGCAGAGGGTCTTCAGTGTCACCTCTGGTCTTTCGCCCCCTTTTTGTCTCTGTGGATCTTTTTATCTTCATTGCTTTTGTTTAAAAATTCCCTCTGGTTGAATACATCTTGAACAGGTAATCTCACGACAATTGCAGCGATGATCACTTAATATCCTAGCGGGAGAACCACCACTTGACGAACATCTGCCCGGTCGCACATCCTCTTATCTCCAACAGATCAGTGTACTACCTCGCCAGTGTCTCGCCATCCAACTGCCAAGCTCGTCCCATGCAGGTCGCCGCTTCAGGACGCTGTTCGACCGGCTAATGCCTTTACATCCCTGCATCGGCTGAGCGCATACCCGTCCTCGAGATCGCACAGAACTATGCAGTATGAGACGAATCAGTTCATCAAACTGGAATCTGGTCATCGCCTCACATATCGAGATGCCCAGACACTAGAATACTGTCGTGTGGCGCGAGAATGGCTGGTCCGAATGCGGCGTGTTTCAGCCATCAAGGGATGCCAAAGTCCGCGTTTCAAGATGCGACGCGTCGCAGCCTGAAATGGCTTCAAATCCTCATGGGCTCGTCTTGACGCGACACGTGCACAAAGAATCCAAGGCCTCTTTGCGACCGAGCTCAGCTAAGGGACGAACTGCCGACCATGAGGGGAAAGGTATTGGGCATGGAACGTCGGCGAGAAACAACAAGCAAGTTTTCAATCATGACCACACTGCGAAGGGCATCTTGAAATAGTCCCTGGCGATATAGGGAATAAACGCGTGTCCTGGCCGCGTCTGGCTAGAACCCCGACTGCGATGACTCGACGCCAGTGTCCAACTGAATCTCTGGATGCTTCGGTGGCAGGAATGCAGGAATCTGAATCCCTTCATCGAAGCAAGGGATACGCCCATCCCAGCCTCAGGCGGCGTAAAAAACAGGTGTTCATTGCATCAAGGGATGGCCATTTAAAGCCCAACGGCGATTCATGTACCCCAGGATCTTGTGCCGATTCTCTTCTTTTGATCTGAGCCACGTTGCATAAATCAATTCACAATGTACGCCCTCAAGCAGATCTCTTTCCTCGCGTTGGCGTTATTCTCGGTCGGCAGTGTCGCGAAGATGACGACGGTATGCACTTTCCCCTGACATTCTGGTGGATGAAGCTGACGGCGGGATAGATTGGTCTCGAGACACCGGAGGGAAGCAAGCCGATTCAAGTACCCTTTGACGAATGTCATTTGGTTGACGAGGAGTGAGTTTCTGAGTTGCTGGTCTGATGTTGACCTGAAGCTAACAGAACCAGGGAGGTCTTTACGGTCGCTACGACGACTTTCTGTCGCTTCTTCGTGTAAGTGCAGCCCAGCTCATTCGAAAGAATCTCACTCACAGTTATCATAGTGGCACCGTCTGCAATGGTCGCCAAACACTTCTGGGACCGGGTGATCACTCGTCGGCCGACCCGGTGCCCATCGGCAGCGTCTACTGCCAGGGTTAAGAGCGGGATGGATGTCTCAATCATGTATACTACAGCCGTGGACCTCTGGCGTCGTGAACCAGTCCAACCCAAATATATAAACAAAATAATATAATCTAATCTTCTATACCTTCTCCGCCCACCCTAACCACGCCGCAGCAATAATCCCCTTACAGCCCACCGTCGTCCACAACGCGCCCTCCAACCCGATCTCACTCTTCGCCCACCATCCCCCTATCACCGTCCCCAAGATCAATCCGGCAATGGCGCCGACTCTCCTGCGTCCCTCCACCTCAGACAGACCCAGCACGCCCGGCGCCGAGAACAAATCGCAGTAGACGCTGGTCAGCACCACGCTCGTCAACCCATTCATTTTCAACACGCGACTCGTCAACGCCTGCCCACTACTCTGGAACGCCACCAGCGCCAACGGCACCGCCGTCGTCCATGCGATCCCCTCCCCATCCTTGTTGGGATGATGCACGCTCACAATCCCCGCCGCAACAGCCACACAGACCATCTGCACGGTGAACGAGAGGGCCAGGACCCAGCGTTGGCGCGCGCGGAACATCCGATGGAAGTGTCCGAAGCAGAAGCTCCCCACGCAGAACGAGGTGATCGATATGGCGGATTTCGTCCACCGGTTGCCCGTGTCGAGCCCCGACAGGCCCAGGCCCAGGTACACGGTGTTTCCGGTCTGCATGCTCACGAACGAGCCCCAGATGAAGACGGCGGCGCTGTCGAGGAGCCCCGTGATGAGGTAGCAGAAGATGAGCAGGAGGTCGGTCCATTGCGTCGTGATTTCGGCGCGTAGATGGTCGCGGAGACGCGTCAGAATGGAGGGCTTTTGGTCTTGGTCTGAGCTGTGGTTGAGAAGGGGAGTGGCCTCGTGGGAGGGGAATTGATGGTAGGACATGGTGGGTGCCAGAGACGGGGAATTGGCTGGCAAGAAAGTTAACCAGAAGAAAGAAGAATGTAACAAGGACAACCTCAGAAGGAGGACGGAATTAAAAGGAATCAAAGGAGTAAAAGAAAAGAAAAGAAAAGTTGCTGAATGTGGATGCCTGACAAATGACGTCAGGCTCCACTGCCCCCTGAATATTCAGGCAGCCACATCAATTCATCTGCCTAAGGCTGACTGGTTCGATGTGATGAATCTCAATTGATATATCCCATATTAATACATGCCAAGAAACAAAAGAAGATAGCTAGATCTTTCTATATACAGGTTGATCAAGGATAGGACGCCGTGTCTCTGCACGACCGGGCAAAGCAAGGTATACGAAGAATGTATACCAGACCCTCTAACAACCCGACGGCTTCTCGGTCGGCTGCTTGCAAAAGTGGCTCTCCTTCTGTCGGCGAATGTTCAGCAGTCCGCCCAGAGTGTTCGTGCCCGGCAGCTGCTCGCAAATCCCATGGAAGTTCTTCTGCGACATGGCTCCATGCCACGACGACTGCAAGCCGCCACAGCCCGTGTTGTAGGCAAAGCTGACCAGCGCGCCGTACTGGTGCGCATTCAGCTCCTTTGCGTTGGGCATCGCGCACACGCAGTTTTCGAATTCAGAGAGATCATTGCTCAGGAGGTCAGCGGCTTGGGGTTCGCTAAGGGGTACGCTGATCGTGTGGCAGTCTTTTTTGGCGACGCAGTCGTGACCGTATCCTGACATCTCGTATGTTAGTGGGCTGGAGAGGCAGTTATAGAATGGCAGACATACCAACGGTCTTGTGGCCTTGGATCCAGTAGAAGTTACCACGGAAGCCCTCCAAATGGCCGATCAGCTCGACCGCGGCGCGGATGATTCCACGCTGCTGGATGGACGCAGGCAGGGCCGCGGCGAGCGCGAGAAGGGGGAAAAGAGCGGCGATCTTCATCGTGAATAGGCCGGCTGGGATGAAGTGAATCGGGGTGTCGACGTTGAATAGCGTCGGGTTGAAGGAATGAATGTAGTTGGTTTGGTTCTGGTGTGGACGAGAGAGAAAAAGCAATGGGCGACCATCGCAACGGTCTATATATGCCATCCGGGAAATGAGCCCTAACGCCTCCCAGGCTGAGCAGCCCAGGATGAGTCGACAAATCTGATATGTGCCACGACACGAGAACTCACAAATCCCCCGATCGGGAAGTGTCCCTGCTGATCGATGGATGCCATTGCTGATCCGACGATCGCAGCGAAGATCAGTGATGGAACGGTGGGTAATTTTAGTCCTCGCCACAGAAGGGATCGACTGGGAAGGTGGATGGGCTCTATTTGGATGTGCAGCGAGGCCATTTTGGCCCGTCGAAAGGGGTTATGCCACCTCCTATTGTGGCTTTGCTACGGGTCCGACTCTCGCCAGAATAGGAGGCGCTGGAAGAGGCTGGCTTTATCGTTTCACGAGCAAGGAAGGGATGAGAGGTTTTTGGCATGAAGTCATTGCATTCGTAGTGGATGGTTGAGTGCATAGTAGGGCACGGATACCAGCAACAGACAGGCTCGAGCGAAACAGAAGAGGAAAACGAAAAAAGACCAGTCCCAGTACAAGTGCACTATTACAGCATGCCCAGAATCATCAGTTGCCACTCTCCTTCACCGACACCTCGTTGGAAACAAAGTCGCCCCTCATCGCATCTTCGAACTGCTCCAATCTCACTCCCTGCACCTCCTCGCGCGGAGTCTCCCACACGGCGTGCCAAATGCCCTTGGCCTGGATGGCGTATTCATGTCCGGCGACCAGAGCGCCACTAGGCAGATTCACCACGGCCTCGACGGAGCGCCCGGCAGGGATCTCGACCAGGTCATCTGCGGACGGCGGTAATTGACGGGATATCTTGATTTCGTCCAGCGGCACGAGGTCGTCTGTGGTTGCGTCGCGCACTTTGAAAACCCCCAGCACACCGGCACTGGGGTCCAACGGACTGTTCCACTTCACGATAGTCACCGGAGTTGCGGCAGCGTTGTGGATAGCGACCTGGATGGAAATGGTGGGTTGCGAGAAGGGGAGGACGAGGGGGGACAAGACCACCTCCAAGTTGGCAGGGACCGCGGATGCCATGGCAGCTGCTAAGACGAGAGGAGACAGTCGCAGAACGCACATGAAGGTGTGATGGATTAGTTCGTTTAGCTCGTGGGGACTTATGCGCGGAGGGCGATAAGTGCGATGGCAGCAGGACGACGAGGGGTTGATATGAAGTCGACCGGCCTAGTCGCGACGAGGTGAAACTCCGGCATCCTCCGACGATCAATCATACGGCAGTTCGTCGGGGTTGTCCTGCGGTGGCGGTCTTGGGTTGCATTCTGCAGGCGAATGAGCTGCTTGAATTAATCTCCCGTTTAGATTAACGGCGCATGTGGCGGTGCTGCTGACTGGTGATAACGACGGCGATACTCCCCATCAGCCAATTTAGAATGCAGAACAAGTCCAGTCTGTAGATCTTGGCACTCTAAAGCCATTCTCTCAAGCCCTGGCATCGTGCAGACGGAAGACCGCCGGCTGAAGCCCTGGTGGCGTTCTTATCACGGCTCCCCAGACTGTGGCTTCACATCTCCAGAGCCATTGGCTCGACTTGCATTAACTTCACCAAGCAATGCCATGGCCAGAGTCTCTCTATCCTCTGCTGCAGCGGGATTCCGCCGGGCCAAGCATGCAGCATCTGCCAAATACCCATGCTCGAGACGTCAAGACCCAATCGTCACGGATACAACGGTTGATTCCGGTAGCATCGGAGATAGCAGTGAAGGCACCCAGAGTCGCACAGGAAGCTAATCATTCACCGTGTGAGGGTGAGTATGACAGGGCAGCTTCATAGTATAGAGGGAACTCCCGGTGATCTCGCAGTGACCTCCCAGTGATCTCTATATAAGGCCTGTGAATCCCCTCACCAGTCGACTTCTTTCTCTTCATCCTCATCCTCACTCTTCCCAGCATCCTCAGTCTTCTCATCTCTTCATCTCAATCCAATCGTCTCTTCACGATGCGTTTCACCCTCTCTACCCTGTTGGCTCTCGTGCCCGGTCTTCTGGCTGCTCCTCTGGAGGTTCGCGACAACGCCAGTCTCGACGTGACTCTCAGCCAGGTGGGCAACACCCGCATCAAGGCTGTCGTCAAGAACACTGGCAAGGAGGAGGTCACCTTTGTGCATCTCAACTTCTTCAAGGACTCTGCTCCCATCCAGAAGGTTGCCCTCTACCGCAACGGTAAGTCGACCCTCCCTTTTCTCTATACCAAAACGCAATACTGACTGTCGCAGCCACCACCATTGACTTCCAGGGTATCAAGCAGCGCATCAAGTACCAGGATCTGTCGGACGATGCTCTGACCACCCTGGCTGCCGGTGCCACCTTTGAGGATGAGTTCGATATCGCCGAGACCAGCGACCTGACTGAGGGTGGTGCCCTGTCCCTGAGCAGCAACGGCTTCGTGCTCTCTGCCAAGGGCAACTCGGTCAACGGCTACATCCCCTTCACCTCCAACGAGATCACCATCGATGTTGACGCTGCCGAGGCTGCTCTGGTGCCTAGCGCCATCCCGACCATCGATAAGCGTACTCGCATTGCCTCCTGCTCCGGCACTCGCTCCACCGCGCTGCAGACGGCCCTCCGCAACACCGTCTCCCTGGCCAACGCCGCTGCCTCGGCCGCCTCCTCGGGCTCGTCCACTCGCTTCAACGAGTACTTCAAGACCACCTCCAGCTCGACCCGTAGCACCGTCGCTGCTCGCTTCCGTGCCGTCGCCAGCGAGGCTGGCTCCACCTCGTCCGGCTCCACCACCTACTACTGCACCGACACCTACGGATACTGCAGCTCCAACGTCCTCGCCTGGACTCTGCCCTCCTCCAACATCATCGCCAACTGCGACATCTACTACACCTACCTCACGGCCCTGACCAGCACTTGCCACGCCCAGGACCAGGCCACCACCACCCTGCACGAGTTCACCCACGCCCCGGGTGTCTACAGCCCCGGTACCGATGACTACGCCTACGGATACTCTTCCTCCGTGGCTCTCAGTGCCAGCCGTGCTCTGCTGAACGCTGACACCTATGCTCTGTTCGCCAACGGTTAGTCTATTCCTCTTGATCTTTGAGGGTCATACTGACTGATGATTGCAGCTGTCAACCTGAACTGCTAGATTCAGACCCATCGTGATCCAGACTAAAAGCTCTGATTGAGGTGAAGTAGAAGTAGATATGAGGATGAACTGAGATGAGTTGAACATGAAGTTGTCATTGTTGTTGTCTTTGTTGATTGTTATTTGTTTTGTTCAGGGACGAGAAAGAAGATGTTGAGAAGCTAGACAAGACGCTGAGTAGCTAGACGAGATCTAGAAAATCAAATTGCTTGTTGATATCGATACTCCTTTACATAAACTGCCATCATAGTCCCCATGCCTTTCCTAATGAAAAACAACGTAAGCTATCCCCTGCGGCAAATACCGCCAACACACTTGTTCCCATAACAGCATCCTTCATCATTCTCGCACAGACCCAAGTCCTCGGCACAGTTCGGCCACTTTGGATCTGTCGGTCGACATTTGTTCGCTGCGCAGTAGGATGAGCAGCAGAGGGGCCCGGAGCCGGAGGTGCAGCCCGCTGGTACCCCATGAGCATGTCTTTCGAGATAGATCACAAGAGTAGATAGACTTACAGTAAACGCCCACACAAGTCGGCGTCGGCATGCAGGTTTCTGTGGCGGTGGTACGAGTGACCGTTGTACAGGTCTCGGTTAAGGGACAACCATCGTAGTTGTAGGAATTACGAGGTAAGACGCTGTATTTGTCTTGAATAAAATGTTTAATTTCTGATAATTAAGATAATAATAAAGGGAAGGTCTAGATACACCAGAGGACCCTATTTTATATCTTATAATCTTATTAGGGGTTCTTATTTAATTCAGGAGGTCTCTAGTAAATTACTGTAGATAATCTTATCTTAGCAGGAATATTCTAGTATATTTATTTAGGATATTAGGAGTTTTTATATACTTTTTTAAAATAATAGTTATCTTAAAGCTAAAATATTCTATTTAAATATTTTTATTTAGCTATAATTATTTAATATTTATTAATTTAGCGTGTTATTTAAATTTAACACGCGGGAGTATCTTTATTAATATATCTGTAATTATTCTGTTTATAGTCAAGTGTTAAAGTTTAATATTACTGTGCTAAATTATCTTATAAATCTAATAAATTTAAATATTAATATATTTATTTTAGGTATATATCTGGGCATTTTTTATAAGTTTTAAAACAGGTTCTAAGTTAGTATAAATAATTATTAGTCTTATATTACTAAAGCTGATTAATTTAAATATTTAGATAATCTAAATTACTTCCCTGCCTGTTATACTAATTATAATATATTTAGCTTTATAAATAAATAAGCTTATTATAATCTGTAGTTTTAAAATCTAGGAAATAAGTCTGCTAGTTAATATAAAAATAAAGCTAATAATAAATCTTTATATATTAAGATTACTAGTAAAATCTGTATTTATATATTTTTTTATTATTTTTAATTATTTTATTATTTTTGCCTTTTTATTTTTAATTTATAAGCAAAAAATAATACTATAATTAATTATTAATTAAAAAAATTAAAGAAGATAGATCAGGTCTTTTATATATAAGTTATTAGGGTTTAAAACAAATTATATAAGTTATCTAGTTTTAAATAAGATATTAAGGCGAGTCTATAAAATAATATATATAATTAAACTAAGTAATTTCTAATATTATTTCAGAAGATTAAAATTTGGTTCCTCTATAATTAATTTAATTAATTTAATATTTTTGCGGGCTAAAATAAATAAAATTTTATTTAAATTATAGTTAAAGTCGTCAAGAACATATTATATATATATAAATTAAATTAATTTAAATATCTTCTTTTCTTTATTTTTTTTATCTTTATTTTTAGATAATAAGCGGCTTCCTAAAAGTAAGTACTATTAAAAGTATCTTAAATAATTATTATTATTTTCTTAATAATCCTATAGTTACTAACTATTAAGATATTATTAATATAAATAATTAAAAAGATTTTAGTTATATTAATAAAAAGATATTTATCTATAAAGGTCAGGAAAAAGCCTATTTTAGCTAGATTTTATTATAAAGTAAGATATTATACCCGCGCGGCTTATTTTAAGCCATAAAGTAATTAAAGTAATTAATAAATATATCCAGAATTATCTTTAAATCCTTTTAGCTACTTTATATAAATAGTCTTATTATTAAAGAAATTATTTTACAGAAATATAAGTAAAATATCTTTTTAAAGATATTTAAGATTTATAGCTATTATTAAAATAAAGAATAATTAAATAATTATTAGATATATTATAAGTAAAAAGATATCCCAAAAATTAATTCTATATTATTATATAAAATTTTAAGCAACCTATCTAGCTTTAAAATATAAAATTTAATTATTAATATTTAATTTTAACTTATAAATCTAATAATTGTAAAGCACTTTGCAGCCAGGGAGTAGATCTATAAGTTTTTATAATTCTTATTTAATTAGGCTGTTAAATTCTAATTTTATAGCCTTTTACTATTTATCTTTATGTAAAAAGATGATAGCTTTATTAAATAAAAAAAGTTTAATTATTTTATTATAATTTCCGCGATAATTGCTGGTCGAGAGGATATTATTATAAAAAAAATAGGTAATTAATAGCTAATCTATTATTAATAATTTAAAAATAAAAAAAAAGATATAATCTATAAGTACTGGCTTAAGAAAAAAGTATTAAATAAGTTTATTTTTAAAATTATTATTTAATTTAATTTTATAGAGGTTTCAAGATAGTAAATTAATTAATAAAAGTATTTTTTAATTCTTATAATTATTATTAGGTGTTCTATATAGGTCTAAATCTAATCTTTTATTAAATTATATATTACAAACCTGCTTTAACTTCTCTATTAAAGAGATTTAGATAATATATTACTTATTTAAAAATATATATTTAATAAGTCTTATATTAAATACTCTAGAGTTAATTTTTATTACTTTCTTATAAAACTAGACCTTAGGGGGAATAGTAACCATAATCTTATAATTAATAATTTTTAATTTTTTAATATTTGGCCTTCTGTTATTTCTGATTTTATATAAAATTAATTTTTTATTATAAACAGGCGAGATATTATAAATAAAGATAACTATTTTTATTATCTCGGCCTATAAATAACAGGGTAGATTACTATTAATTAAAATAATATAAACTTTTATAAGAATAATTCTTAAAAGATGCTTAATAGGCAAATTCTGGTTATAAACATATATAGAAATAAATTCCTATTTAATCTTTTGTTCTTCTGCCTACTTTAATATTTTATAATTAATAAATTTCTTATTATTATTAGAATAAAGATATTAAATTAAATATCCTATGGTTTTTTTAGAATTAGTATATACTTAAATTATTAGATATGCTTAATCTTTTATTTTTAAGAATCTAACTAAAGTAAATCTATTATACTGATTATAAAATAAGATCTAATATTTGTAAGGGGCAGCCACGAAGGTTCTGTTCCGGGCACTTGGTTCCCTTAGATGGATATACTGAGGGGTTCAGGACACCTATAATATACTTACGGACTACTTATTACACGCTAAGAGATACAAGGAGTTAAGGGATAGGTATATAATAAATAGAATTAATTATTTGATCTTCTAGGGGTCAAGCAGGTAATTTTTTTTAATAAAAGATTTCACGGGAATTAGTTCCCGAATATCTTGGTAATCCTGTAGACTTCTAGTAGTCTAGTTATTTTATATTTCGCGCTAAAATAAATACTAGTAATAAATATATCCCTTCTAATAAAATAGCTATTTTTAGATACTTGGTATAATATCCTGTGTTTCTATCTTAATATTTCTGTATAAAATAAAATTACTTTATTTTATTTTAAAGATTATTTTATACTTAAAATTATTTTTATAGCTTATCTATAGCTATTATAATTTTAATTATTTAATAGGAGGTTAATTCACTGTGTGGAAATTAAGGTAGTTAAATATTTTATAAGTACTTAAGACTATCTAATACCCCCCTATAGATATAAATAATACAGGTGGATTTAGTAAAATTAATTTTTTTTTTTTAAATTCTTATATTTATTCTTTATATTAAAAAAATTAATTATAAGATTCTGTATTGCCCTAGCAATAGATTTTATACTAATTTATATAGAGATTAGTTTTCTAGCTAGTTTTTTTATTTTTCTATTATTTAAAATTATTATAGCTTTAATAGGGCAAAAATATATTTATTTTACTTTTTTTTTAAAAAAAGATTCTATCTTTACCCCCATGAGCTTTTTTTTCTTAAAATCCTAGTAGGAGCCCTGCGGTATACAGGTTAGATTAATACAGGACTAATTTTAAGTATATATAAAATCTTAAGAAGCTAAAAAATACTATTAAGCTAGCTAGTTATTATCCTTATAAAAAAAATAAAGTCACTGTTATTGAGTGGCTGACTCGTGGGGGTATTACTAAAATTAATAAAATAATTTTTTTTTTAGTTAAGGAGATCTTTTGCTTATACAGGGTCTTTTATAATATACTAAAGATATTTATTATATTATTAAAATTACTACTATTATTTAAGCTACTATTAAAGGCCTTATTATTAATAAGGATTTATTGGCCTGTGTCCTAAAGTTATCTTTAGATAATAAACTATTCCCTAAGCTTAAGAGATTACTAGCTTTAATATATTATTATCTTATATAAAAAAATAAATAAAATACTAATTTTTTTATAAATTATAACTCTTATTAATATGCCTGATCTTATAAAAGAAGAGATATTTAAGTAGAAAAATAGATTTTATATATCTTTGAACCTGTGCCATAGTGAGAATAACTAAGATATAAAAGTTTTAAAAAATATAAAATTTTTTTTTTTAAATTTTATATTATTCTTATCCTATTTTTTTAAGAATAATTATCCTATTATTTTTTCTAACAGGGATCTAAGGTATTTTAATATATTTTTTTTATTATTAAAGAGTGATACCTCTAGTTCCGCGTAAAATATTTAAAGAAATATTATTAAAGTCCTGAATAAAAAATCCCCCTAAACTAATTATTATTTATTTTTTTAATTTTTC